CCCTAACCCTAACCCTAACCCTAACCCTAACCCTAACCCTAACCCTAACCCTAACCCTAACCCTAACCCTAACCCTAACCCTAACCCTAACCCTAACCCTAACCCTAACCCTAACCCTAACCCTAACCCTAACCCTAACCCTAACCCTAACCCTATTTAATTGTTACGCTTAGCAGCAGGCAAAATCTTTTCTATTGCTAGTACTTAAACGCAGTATACTATGCTAGTAAGTATATAAAAGAAATTCTTTGCTGTGCGCAAGTAATTTGTCTAAGTGTTAATGCTTAGCACAGTAAAATATTACACTAACTTACTTAAAAACTTATTACTACTATAGCTTATAAGAATAAATAAAGCTAGCAAGTCTAGCAGAGCATTTATTTATGCAGCTATAGTACTATTGCCTAGTAAAAGCTATAGCTATATTACTAGCGCCTTCTAACTGTCCTTCTACATAAATAACTTACGAGCGTTCTTTATCTTATTAGCTAGCATATCTCTACGCGGCTGTTGCTGCAGTACTACTATGTTATTATTACTATTAAGAGTGCTGTTTATATTGCTATTATTATACTTGCTTTCTATACTAGTATTTCTATTGCTTGCACTATCTACGTCTACGTTTACATCTATAGCTTAATCTGCCTGTATTAAAGATTTATCTATCTAACTTTCTTTGTCTGCAATAATACGCAGATAAAAATAGATAAATTAAACTATATAGCTAGCGTAGATTGCCTAACTCTTAGGGTTCTGTAGTTGCGCTAGCAGCTGTTAATTAATCTTAGTTTGCTATGCACTATAAAGCTAGTGTTGTGTTTTTTATAGCAGTGTTGCTAAGCTATAAATAGATTTTTTAATAAGTTCTTTTGTTAGCTTAGCAGCTAGCTGCAGTTTTGCCTTTCTTTAGTTAAGCAAGTAGACTTAATGTTCTAGATGCGCTAGATTTTAGCCCTGTAGAAATAACAACTACCTAGTTCTCTTAAACTAGCTTATTTTGTTTGTCTTTAAAGCCTCTACTATTACTTGCATATTTGCTTTTAACTATTATTGCACGTCCTGCTATCTACTAAGTTGCTGCTAAATAATCTTATCTTTGCCTAATTCTTTACTGTTCTTTTAAACGCTCTAATTAACTACAAAATATTTCTGCAGCTCTCTACTGTTAAAAAATGTCTAAACCTTAATAGACTTATATAGTACGCTTTTTTTACTAATCTATAAAAGCTAATGTAATTTTTTGCAATGTATCTTTATATTTTTTTTATTTATAATAATAAAGCTGCATAATTTGCATTTTATTCTATCTAGCGGCGCTCTAAGCTTTTAAATTAGCAATACTAGCTGCTCTAGGAGTTTAATTGTACTTAGGTTAATAGTAGAAAATTGCAAAAAATAGTGTACTACTTGTTACTGTAGTGCAATTAGAGTTCTATGTTGTTTTTGCAAGTGCCTGTTAAGATTAATAATTTCTATATAGTGCTGCCTACATACTAGCACGCTGTACTTTGTAAGAAAGCTAAAGATAGTGTTGTAATTATCTCTAGAAATTTTCTTAGGCTAGTGTTTATTGTCTATGTAGCAAACGCTGCTGCTGTTCTGCTAATTGTCTTGCGCAATAAGCGCTTAGCTATTCTAAATAGGGTTCTTTATCTCTGTAAGACCCTACCTAGATTGCAACTCTAAGTACTATTTATACGTGCTAAAAATCTTGTAGCTAATAGTACTTGTGATTTTTTATAGATCTGTTATAAAAAAGTATTAGAATAGAGTAATAAATAATAGGATGTTGGGGGGTGGATGATGCAGATGTTTGGGGTTAGAATTTCCTTGTGGGAAGTTAGAAACCCTAACGCTAAGCCTATTTGAGCGAATGTTAGGCCAAACATCTCGCCTTATATTGGTTAGGCTTAGTTATTATAGGTAGGCTTTCTAGTCAGGTCAATAATTACATTCCTCATTAGATAAAGAAAGCTAGGTATAGGACTGAATGTATGCAGCCTTAGTTTCCTATCTACAAGGCTGACCAAGACAGATATCGGGAAATTCTTGAACGGCGTCAATTTGATGAACTGGGACACACCTCCGGCAGGATGGGATCACATCGAGTACCTCATGGAGCCATACCAGACAACGCCAAACAACGTGGTCATGTCCATCAACGGCGAACATCGGTTGTCATATCCCGGTTACCATCAAACTGACATTATTCGTACGAAGGCGCTTTCACGGTTGTAAACGATGATCGACGATGACGATCCTTTTTTCTTGTTCTTGTCGCCTACAGCTCCTCATGCTGATGATGAGACTCAAATCACTGTTCCTTGCCAACGTCACATGGATTTGTTTCCAAACATCACTGCACCGAGGCTTCCAAACTTCAACCCATCGGATGAAGCGCAATCTCATATCGGGGGATGGATCAAGAGCATCCCTTTCATGAGTGAGGGGAATATCACCTGGGCGGATTCGGAATACAGACGCAGAATACAGGCTTTGCAAGGCATCGATGAGATGCTTGCAGATTTGTTAAAAAAGCTTGAAGAAAACAAAGTTCTAGATAACACTTACGGTATGCGTACTCATCTATAGCTCATTCTTAGGACACATCCTCTAACAAAACCTTCCTAGTTGTGTTTTCCTCGGACAATGGCTACCATCTGGGAAACCATCGAATGACAGCAGGAAAAGCAACAGCATTTATTGAAGACACCAACCTCCCATTTGTCGTCCGAGGACCGGGTATCCAAGCTGAATCGAAGACATCTATCCCAAGTTCATTCATCGACATAGCTCCGACACTACTTGACATAGCCGGCGTGTCTGAGGCGGACCGTCCATCATTCCTCGATGGTCGCAGTGTCCTCCCACAATGGAAAGACCCAAACGCCGAGCTCCCAGGTGCGGGAGATGGCAACAACTTCGAAGTTCTCAACATCGAATATTGGGGCTCCAACGGTGTCTTCATACCCAATGGTGTTTCAACGCAAAATGCTACCTACAAATCCCTCCGTATCGTGGGCGAAAGATTTGCATACCTATACACACATTGATGCTACAGCAACGAAGTCGAACTTTACAACACCATCGACGACCCGTACGAGCTCAACAATCTCGCGCGCGATCCAAACGCCGAGACCACCAAACTTCTCAATCGATTGAACGCCATGCTGCTGGTTCAAAAGTCTTGTTCTACCGACGTTTGCCAGAATCCTTGGATGGTCCTGCTGGCCAATTCGACATTGCCCGCAGTCTCTACGCTCAAGCAGTCGATGCACTCAATGTACGATGAACATTTTGCTTCGTTCCCCAAGGTCAACATTGCGCGATGCCTAGGGTTTCAGAGTACCGCCAATGAAGCACCATTTTGGCCACCGGGTGCCAAGGAGTACTTGTACGAGAATAAGAACTCCACAGAAGCCCTTGGTCCCAGTCGGAAATTCACGCCTACGGTCCCAGAGAATGAGACACCTCAGGGGACCGAGGAGCAGCGTCATGTCACGATTGACGAGATAATGCAAAGCACAAGAGAACTCACTGCAGACGAGTTGAACAAAGACCAAGAATATGTGACTCGCTCTTCTGGTCGAGGTAGTTAGAATTGGTGGTTATTGCATTAGATCTAGGCGTAGTAATTTAACTGCAAGGGTGGAACTAGCAAGGCACATTGTACATTTCATCATTCTATCATTCAATTCTACAATCATTCATTCGTTCACCACGAAGACATTCACCTCTATTCTTTTCAGCGTTGGCCTTGCTTCCGCCATCCCGCTCACAACCCCCAACACCTCGGCTTCCATCATTACTCGCGCCGCCCCGCAGCACAACTGTGGCCTCGACATGTACCCGAACATTGAAGAGGGTCAGTTCCAAATTGGACTTCGAACCTTGGTCCGCTACGACGGCTACGATGATCGCGACGATGATTGGCGAGACGTCATTACGGGATACTCAAACAAATGCGTCTTGATTTGGTGCAACGAGGGTACCGGCATCATACTCTGCACCGATCTAACTGAAAACGTAGGGCCTAGGGATTTCAATTCTAAGAGATTGGGTCACGAGATCGGCGACACCTTCGAGGATTGCAATGCACGTGAACCGCGTAAGGAGAGAAACCAGTACACCAGAGCTATACTAAGTATATTATTTGATCATCGCATATTGCATGCGGCACAAACACTGGATATTGAAAAATCACACGATAAATCTGCCTTCGAGCTCCAGGCAGGACACATGTTCCCTGGTTATCACGAAACTGGTTGGAAAAAGCATGCGCCGCAGCAGGGGGGCGGTACTCTGGAGGGTTGGGCGCCCTATACGCCTAGTTAAATGTGTCACGTTGGAGGTCAGCCATAAGAATGAGATGGGTCCCATGAAATCCAAGTATGAGGCCCAGGGTGTTCAAGAACGCAAGATGGGGTCGGCTAGAATGTGTGGACACGCCTCAATGATCTGTATAAGCCGTGGCAATAAACGTGATCTGGTGTGTTAATGTATTGCAGTGTGCCTACAACTCCCCATCATATTCTTCGTGCGATCAGGCTGACTGAATTGTATTCACAACGCGCCCAACTCATCAATGCTAATGCCGATATAGTCGTGTGTAGAACAGCAACGTTCAGGATCACAGAGGGAAGAGTTTGAAGCTGTGGTGAACAGCCAGCAATAAAGTATCTGAGGTGCCGCATTTCATCACCCCTGATCAGTATAGGCATCAGTATGCAGATATATATTAGTAAGTGTTTACCAATTCGTGAGTGTTTCAGCGAATCAATTCACAGAATTCATATTCACGAGTGCTAGGTTGAACTATAGGTGCTTATACGATAAGGGAATTAGGGATTACAGGACAGGCTGTCTAGTATGTTGCAGTTGTTGTTAGGTACTCCAAAATACTACGCCAACTCGCACCTCCAGCTTTCCGCTTTCTTCGCATCACCCACCCCGTCCCAGCGACTAACACTGGGATAAACGCAGTGTGTGCGCTGTGCCTCCACCTCTTCACCTAATCTATCTCCCTTAAACTTTGTCCCCACCAACGCCTGCGGGGCATTACCTTCCTCTACCCAATCCACCAAAGCCAACAATATGTTATTATCGGTGTTATTGAACTGCTCTCCCGGCGGACGATTGACGTTTGGCTGGCCAATGGACCAGGCACCAACCCCCCCGGCGCAGTGACCCATTCCAGGCACGTAGAAAAGACGGTAAAAATCGTGCATCTGCTCTAGCGAAAGATCCAACGTCTCAGCAGTACGGTGGAAAGCGCGGGAAGACACAGCAGAAGTGACAGTCTGATCAGCGCGGCCGTGATAAGCTAAAAGTTTTCCGCCCTGGAAGTGGTACGCGGAGACATTGTGAGACAAGCCACCGGCAATATTTATACCGCCAGGGTTCAAATTCACTGCAAAGTCCATGTCCGCGATTGTAAAGTTGTGCGGGGTCCAGGTACTTGAGTTGTACACAGCGCCGCGCCAGTAGTCTTGCAATACTGTATATGTCAATTCGGGCACAGTCGTTCCATCCACCGTCTTTGTGTTCGCGGAAAACACAGACGTATCTGCACCTAGGTCGAAAGACGGATACACAACGTCTCCTTCGCTGTTGGTCAAGGGCTCATAGATTTCGCGAACCGTCTGGACTTGTACGTCTGTGAGACACAAGGACGAATTGAGAACGTCGTTTCCGCAGCCGAAGATTGAAGGATCAATGGTATGAGACGTAGGATCATCAATGATACCGTCAGTGACTCCGTCGAGAGGATCCAGCAAATCGATCTGCGCTTTGACAATCGCGGACCACTGCGCTGCTGTGATATACTTTGGAGAACTCAGGTCCGGCCAACCCATACGTCGAGCAAGAATCCCTTTTGATGCGACGATGTGCAACCAATCTACACCCATTGAACCCATGAGTATACCATGGAAATCATCTGGGTACAGAATAGCTTCTTCGAAACCCTGCCGACCTCCCGTGCTGCAGCCAGAATAGTAGTTGTAATCTGCTTTCCGCCCATAGTACTGTTCTATGATATATTTGCCAGCTTCCGCTTCGGCGTGGATGGCGCGGTATCCAAAATCATTGATATCTTCGGGTCGGTTGAGGAAAAATTCAAATCCAGTCTGTCCATCGTGGCCCCCGTTCGTCCCGAAGGTCGCGAAACCGAGCCCCGCTCCGTGCTGGAGGTTCGCATAGTCAATGCAGCCTCCAATACCACCGTTACCGGTTGCCAGGAAACGTCCATTCCAATTGTCGGGCAGCCATGCTTCGATACGGTTGGTGCTGGAAGCACTTGTTGTTACGTTGACGATGATTCGGCAAAGATCGTTGGTAGTAGTGGTCGACGAAAGTCCATTCACCATACAGGACGGGACCAAGCCAGGTAAATCGACCACGACGCCATTGGAAAGATGGGTGGCATTCAATACTGCAAGGCCAGGTGCAGTATTGAGGATTGAGCTGATTTGTTGACAAGTGAGACTCATTCTGCTCGATTACCAAGCGCACAAAGTATAGCAACCTTTGCCATAGCTGCCCGGCATATATATATATACGACAGATACGTTTGTTTTGTGATGCGGGGAGAAATTTCGCGGGGTATGCACTTGGTCAAGTCCCGGTGACGGACCGAAATAATAACGGTTAATGCCACGTCCGGCGTAGTGTGAGCCGGGGTGAGCAACTGGCAATAAGAAAACCGGGTGCTACCTTGATGAATTTCTCTACCCAGGTCTTCGGTATAGTAGCAGCGCAATTACTTGAAACTAATGTTTTCGTTTCTTCACGATTTCAACTTACTTGTTTGATTTGCAAGTGTCGACACGATTAGTGAATCTGCCACGAGACCAACGCGATTCCGCCGATCAACACATGGAAGTCTTGATGGGACACCGCGTGAATCGGTTGACACGAGATCAACGGGCTATCGATCAACCTAGGTACCATGGACTTTCGATGATCGATGAACAAGAATTAGTGGAGATAGCTTGCAAGGGGCGTGTACCTAGTTGAGGAAACAGAAAATCGGCAGTTGGAAAAATTCATTGTGCCAACACTTCCGATGATTCACCGACAGCCTCGGCTGAAGCGAGTCAGCATCGCGATAGCCACCACAACACTTGGGTACATTTTATGCACTTAGTGGAGACCGGAAGAACGTTACCTGCGGTTCTGCAATATCAGTGGACCACCAACTCACCCATTGGATTATTGAGAACTTCGTGAATTGCTCACATGCTCAAATGGCTCCAGGATGCAGTTGTGAACGAGCAGGTCACATGACTTGACGGGTTTTCCTCGAGGGCAAGTCTTCCAAGATTCTCATAGCAGCCTGACGGTCACAGCTGCTGACTTTGAAGTGGTTGCGATAAATCAAAAGCAGTTGTAGCATCTACCAAGAATTCGTGTTGAGACCTCCACATCGTTTGAAGGGCGATTGAAGAACGAATGGATCACGTGACCCAACTCATGTACCACATATAAGGGCCATCACCCACTCTGCTGCTCCATCACTCAATCAATCAACTTGCTCCTCCACATATTGAAATACACATAGCGATCAATGAGATCCGGCTTTACCATGTGCCAAGGCGGACTAAAACATCCTCCCGCCAACTCCACAAGCCTATCAAAACTGCTCCAGGTCCTACCAAAACCTCCCCAATCAATGAAGCTAGTAACGCAACAACATACTCCCACGTTGTGACATAACCCAATCGTCGAAGGCTCCAGACCGTATACAGACTCATCAGTAGACAAGCAGCTGCCGTGACGACGAGGTTGGTATCAAACATCTTCTTGTCAAAACAATGACAAATAGGAACCGGATTCGATAGGGGACCGAATGTGTATATGAGGGTACCAACGTGAACGGTTGCTTGTATAACCATCGCATCGACGTACATTCTCCTCAAGTAGGGCATGTCTTGGTTTCGGTATTGCTCCATGGAAGCAGCATTTTTCTCACTTTGCGGTGTTTGACCTTCATTTCGAAAACTCAACACCGCCTTGGATGTGTAGGTCAGCGCACATAGAGCCAATGGCGCGAGGTAGATCAATCTTCCACTGATACTTCCGGAATCACAAACCCACACAACGACTGCCGCCAATAATGCAAGCAGCACATAGCCAATTCTAGTCCCCGTAGACAGTATTTGGACTACATCGAGCTGAATATGTCTACCCGCCAGCGAGTCAAACGACAGCAACGCGTGAGAGATCATATAAACAGCAACAACTGGCGTAGCTCCGTATTGCCACATAGCGAGAAGAAATACGCTCGGTAGAGCAAGAGGAGACCCTTCATTACCAGACCGATAACTCTCAACTATTGGAATGAGCATAGACGGGATAATTTGAGAGATAACATAGAGTTGATGCGCCGGACTCCTGGAGCCTATGTGGGTACTGGAAATTTCGGAAGTCTGGTTGCGGATCCATGCAACCAAAAGCCAGCCCAAAAATCCGAAAACGGTGATGTCTAAAACCTTCCATGTCTTGACTGGACGTGCAGGCAGCTCGTCCTCGTAGGGAATAGATCGAGGCCGCTTCTTCAATGGAAGTGCTTTTAACCTAGAGGCTGAAATAAAGCTCTGGCTGAAGATGTCGATAACCGCTTCATTGCCTTTTAGACGTATCAGGAAGCTCCAAAAGATCTTCGATAGAATGCGTTTCTCGGAAGCCATAAGTGATTGCTGCTGATGCGAGGAGGTAACCACCCACTCCGCCCTATCATGTCGTGCGATTTCTGTGTTTCGCAAAATTTCAATGACATCCACGTCGTTCAAATTCGTCAAGCCCTTGGTATGGCTGGCTCTCTTCTCAAGAAGGGCATTTACAAGCTCGGTAGCAGATTCAATGGCGCTATTGCCGCCCTGGCCCCCGATGGGATTTGCCTAGAACTATGTTAGAGACGTTTGTACGGTCTTACAATAGCCTACCTTATGTGCCGAATCACCAAGTACAATTATCCTATTGAAGAACCATTTCTTGCAAACAAACTCGTGCAAAGGTGTCAGGGTAGATGTCAGACGTTTTGCGTACAACTGTCCAAATGTCACATCTTCGGTGATGGCTGTATCGGCATATCGTTCGATGAAATTCTCCTCGTCGTCTCTGGTGAGTACTGGTATATCTCCACCGTATCTTGGTTCTGGGAGTCGCGAGAAGAAAAACCAGTAGACGCGGTGTCGTGGACCCGACACCACTAATTGGGAGTGGCCTTTGCCGAGGACCTGTGCTGCATCGCCATGGACCCAGCCGGGAACATCCTGAGCGATCCCATAGCTACAAACATAATAGCAGGGGATCTTATCATCTTCCTTGTGGGGGAAGTATCCTGGCTCCAACTGATTTCCGATTCGATGCATTTCTTTCCTGACAGCACTATGTACCCCATCAGCGCCGACAACGATCGATCCACGGAAAGTCTGTCCGCTCCCACAGGTCACCTCAACCGCACTATCAATCAGGCTGATATTCTTCACCTTCTGGTTGATTAATATCTTCTTTTTGTCTTTTAACTGGTCGTAAAGAACTTGCAGTAGCCATTGGCGGTCGAAAAACATCAGTGGATAACCGTGTCTGTATCACCGATAAGTCATGTATTCGCTAGGTAACGAGTCGATTTACCTCTGTTCTAGCCGCTTCGGCAACCCTTTCAGCGTCGTAATGGGTTTCCCATTCTCATCGCGGGTATATATCCGATCATCCAAGGGCTCAATCAATTTTTTGAGTGGCTCATAACAATCAATCTGATCGAGAATCCGTAGTCCGTTTGGAAACAACCCAATGCTTGCTCCTGCCGCTGGTGCAATGTCGCCATAAGCTTCAAAAAGCAAATAGTCGATATCGAAGCGCTCCAGCATGATAGCCAGCGTCAGACCGGCTATGCCCCCGCCAGCAATAAGCACTCGAAACGGTTCATGCGACATCTTCGGAAAGCTTGAGAATATCTTTTGACGATGAAGATATAGTCGGCCACGGTTTATCTCTTGATAGGTGATATCTGTCGATCGAAGATATCAATTGTGAGAAGGCGCGTGTAGATTGACAATGTTTTCCTATGTCGAATATTCTGAAGTGTGTAGGGCTTAGCGGTGGCCGCGAATCATAAAATAGTAACATGAGCTGAGCACGGTGGGGTCAAAAAAAGTAAAGATCAGATCACGCGCAATCAGCCACAACGTTCTTTGGGAGTTCTCTTCGATGACTTCAGAAGGTCAACGAATCGGTTTCATTCTTTTACGGCTCAGCACCAAAGCTTGAAGTAAAAAATTCGACAAGGAAGATAAGCAAAAGAAAATTCACGTTGAATCTAGTCAACCGATTTTGACCACTCACTGCAAGTAACAAAAAACTAGACATGCAGTATGTCCGTGATTGATGCTGCGGACACGTTGGGGATCCGATGACGCTGTTCACCCTGCTTTAAGGTTCTCGCAGGCCGGTATTGGGGGCTGGCGATCGTTTCTCGCATGTACCTTCGCCACATCATTCATCGTGTCGCGAGGTAAGATCATCATGATCAAGACAGCATTTATGGTTCGTGCGGTAATTTCCTAGATTCTGTGGCGTTGATAATTCACGCTAACAACAAAAAGCATCTATTTACGAGTTATTGCTGCTAGAATTGGTCACCTGAGGTGAATTTCAATGCGGAGGCACCATCCGCACCAATCGCCGTCGCCCCCTCCATTGGAACAGATACGGGGTTGTGTCAAAGATCTCGTCTATTATTAGATACACGTCGTGGTTTATCGAACTTGATGACTTCGAAGCTTCCAATGCTACAGTACTATACTCACCTTCATCCAGGAATGGTTTTCGAAGACGTTTTGCTAGAGTAGACTAACTACCTATACAGATTTTCCACGGCGTGATGCGTGGAACGCTATTTAGGATACTGGAGGGGTTTCCGATGCAATTCGATATATACTTCTACCTAGTCATGTCTATTCCCCTTGAAGAACAGATTAGACTTTCATCAGCCTCATTGTTCGGCATACCCCTACGTCTATGTTGATGCACAGACACTAAGATCACTGCATATGTATAAGAATACAGTAAGCTCGGTCCGGACGTCCCAATTACCTAGTAATTACACCACATGTACACAGATATCTGCAAATATTCGAATGTATATAAGCAGTAACCGATCGCACAAAACATCATGGGTAATCTCAGTCGCTCCCCAAGTCTTCCATTCGATCAAAAACGGGTATAGTGTTTATTAGTTTCTTGCACTCAAGTGCTCTGGCATTACTCTTCTTTGTTCTCCTACTCCGTTGTGTCCTGTTGATCGCGATCGCCTGATGCCAGGAATTACACGTCTGGCTTTCGCCCACGTCTACTTCGCAGTGAAGATGGGTTACCTCCCTACACAAGCTCCGCCCGTATATTCCTCGAATCAATCTCAGCAATAGCTCTAGGGGTAGCATCAACTTCATTCAACGCTTTCCCATGAACCTCTGGAATGATGTATGCAACTTCTGGTTTTTTGATCGCATCTTCCCCAGGAAGCTCAAGTCTCATGATATGATCGCCGTCTCCTTCTGCAACAAGCTCATCTCTTCTACGCTGGCTGCGCCTTCGCCATAAAAGTGTTATAACGAGAGCACCAATTGCGACGGCACTGCCCAGGACTGAGCCTACTCCAATGCCAGCTTTAGCTGCTGTGCTAAGTCCGGGCACAGGGGTTGATGTTTGTGGCGTTCCACTTCCTAGCCTAGCACCAGGTGAAGCTGGCGTTGACGTAGCAAACGGGACGTCGATTCGTGAGGCTAGAGACGAAGCGTACTCAGTAGGAAACAGCCGCAGATCCTCTGCTTTCCAAAATATTTGAAATGGCTCCGCGCTGGCGATTCCGGATGATACGACAGTTGTACTCTTTTTTGTTACTGAACTTGTGGTGTAGGGAAGTCGCATTACAATCGAGCCATCCCCATCCCTTACTGTGTTGATTCCCGTTGTCGTGATGACCATGGGTGAGTCCCAGTAAGTAGTGCCGGACTCTGTGTAGCCAGTGATCGCTGTCCACGGCGTTGTGAAGATGGTAGAACAACCTGTGCGGCCAGGCTCGGTCACCCACCATCCGCTACCAGATGATTAACCTCTGTATATAAATTCCGATGCAAGCATGTCTTCCGCCATGTATCGTTTGCTGAGTACGTACCTCGGACAACATTCTCCCACATAAAGCTGCTCTGCACTGTAGTACACTATGTTGCCAGCTTCTCTTCCACTAGGGCACACCCCAGGACTGATAACGGCGGCTAACGTGGAGTAGGGCAAGCATGCAGAGAAATAGTAGTCGAAGTATTCCGTATCTGACGCAATTTTGAAACGACTGAAGTTGAAGAGATAGTTCTCTCCCGAGCTAGAACTATGAAACCACCGTGTTGAGCATTCTGCTGGCGTTGAGAATTGGGTTAGAAGTGGCACTCCACCTGAAGGTAGTACATCTGTCCCGGCGCTCGCGATGGTGCGCACGGCAGTCACAGCACTCATGTTGGTCAATAGAATCGTCCTTTCGGTGGTTCAATGGATTGGGCGGACACTGCAGGGTCGCAAGAAAGCTGCGAAAAGCATTCTGTATTTACGTATGGAAAAAAGGTGCAAAAAGTCGAGCCAGGCAAAGTCCTAATTCAGGTCGATCTATATCGGCCGTGTTTCCATAAATACGGCGGAGTTGAAGGTCTTGGTACATATACTGCGACCACTCATGTGCAGCGTAAGATTGCTCACATCCCAGTCATCTGCAGTCGTGCCTGCATCCGTGCCCCACTTTTATTTCTCTTCATCCGTATTCGGGTGTTTTGCACAGTATTTACTTCTTCAAGCGAAAAGCTACCCGATGTCTCATGTTCTCCCACTGCATCGGAAATTTGAGTATTTACATTTCCATCTCCAAAGATTCAACGAGGGGGCGCCTCTTTATGTGAAGCAATCGGACAGCGTGACTCATCACACAGAACACGGCGAACTCTCCAACACCACACTTTCAAATGTTGAGGTCGCAAAATTCATATCGAGGTGTATATAATCAGCTTTAAGGTGTTATTTCGAAAGAAGCAAGTGAAGGAATAGCAGAACGTACTGTTCAGTGGAGGGTGTAAAGATTATTACAGGAAGCGTTGCGTGTTTGGTCGCTATTATCATTGGACAATCTTTCTCCTTTACGCTTCTTGGCTGTCTTAAAAGACCATATTCCAACACCAATATTATTTTCACACGAGGACCTCCGAGAAAGAGAGAGCCGAAGATGCTGCAACGTGCAACGGACATTAGATATTATTAGGGCACTGATCTGATCTCGACAATCCCGCAATATTAAATAGAACCCTTCATGATGCACGATCGATTTAGGAGTCGAGAAAAGGAAGTGTTACCAAGGACAAACTGTGGGTTTCCTGAGAGCAATAGGCAGTACCCACAGTAGGCTAAAAAGCGAGTCATCGAGACCGAAGAGGTGGCGCAGCTGCCCTATACGACCGTGTGTATTTTCACCCCAATACACCTGATTCTCAATATCTCGGGATCTGAAACTGCATGAAACCTTCCGAATGAGGTAGTTTCCGGCATATCACACCGCTTGAAACCACGAGGCTCAATTGCATGCCCTTCCCGGACGATCAAGATCGATTGCGCTAAACTCACGTGCATCTCGCGTTCCTGTGTGTCGAGTGATTGAAATGTGGATGTTCTGAAACGTGCTCTGCCTAAGCAGAATTTTCTTGGTAATTGACGTACTCGTCGCATTCTGACGATTGTGTACCGGTTATATCTCGCGTGTTGCGATGTCAGTAACACGCGGAAAACAAATCCAAAATCTGATCTCGAGGGTGATCTTTGACGTCTTGTTTACATTGCAGAGTACGCCCCAGGCCTTGAGCTTGAGCAATAATCAAATTTAGCCATGTCCTTCGAGTCTCGCGCCCCGTGCATACACCCTCTCATCTATAGATTGAGAACTTACTGGGAACCTTGGTATTCCAATGCAACCAGCTGATGCGAGGACAAAGTCGCGCGAATGGAACCATCGATATTTACATTTTGCTTTAATTCTTTGACCACCTTTCACGCGGCTTCTTCGCATCTCTGTGACGAGTTCTCTGCGGTCTTTGAAGCATAGATTCGTATGGAAACAATAATGAATGCTATTTGAGATTGAATTGCTATCAGGTTCGATGCACGAAAGCAAAGAAACACTATCCATGATCAGAGGTAGAAGTCAGAGATTGATACGAGTTTAGCTTCTATTTTCTTTAAGCGATTCTTGACAATAGACGTACTCCCCGCAGATCGATAATTTGTAGAAACAAGATCAAGCGCGGGGCAGGTACAGAGAGTTGTATATGTGCACTCGTCCTCTTTACAGCGAGATGATATGATGTGCAGACTACCCAGCTATTCACGTGTGATATCTTAATGAGGATTTCACCCCGACAGCTTCCGAGTTCTGGTCAGGCCACAGATCGTATCAGATCAGAACAATCTACACGAATCATAGCTCAGTCTCCCTCTTCGAATAAGTGTAATCATACAAATTCATAAATCATCAATTGCAATCTAATATGTGAATCGCAGATAGCTTTCCTCAGTTCCGAGAGAAAACAGAATGAGGACCTGTACGGCAGACCCTGCGGAAAAGAGCGGATAAGAATCATAAGATGACGGCGTGCATCAGCCATCGACGACAGTAATTCGAGCTAGGTGGATTCGAAGACATGCTACAGAGCGCCCCAGTCCTGAATTTTCATGTGCTAACTGAATGGTCGTGGGCCGCTGTGGGGCGAAAAAGCATTGATAACGGGAGTTGCCTATGCATTGGGTGGATGGCATTAGTTACTCAAAGCGACGGTACCTGATCGCTATATTTGCACAGCTTCACTGGATTCTGTTGCGTTCAACATCAGATTATGACGAATCTGCATCTTCACGCACAAACGACAAGGAAAGGCGCATGTTCACTCACATCCCAGAGCAAACACTGTGAGCAATTTGACGACTAGACTAAGAGCTAGCCAATCACGCGATCAAGTCTATTAGTGGGAGGCCTAAACCCTAGCAAGCCTTTATTGTCGGCTCGACCGAGCCCCCCGATCATTCCACAATTGGGGCGAAACAGGTTGAAAATCCCTAGAGCTGGTAATACCAGCGAGATGGAGAGGGTCTCCGGGTGGCGCACTGCAACATTGCGCGGCTGGAACACACGCCAGTCCCCCAATCTAATCAGATCAAGGACTAGTTTAGCAGGATTTGCAACCTCGGGCATAGTTAGCTTAAAGTTATCAATCTGATAATCTTTCGAATAGTCCGAAATTGCGCCTTGGCTGTATTGGAAGGTTAGTGTTTAAGAAGTGAGGAATGCCTGCTTGTGTCTTGGTAACCACGCGGCATCTCTTGTTTCCAACAGCTGAGGAAGCTTGGTATTTGCAGCCATGCCACATATCCAACCTTCCTCCTCGGGGACTGGTCTCGCGGAAGATAATGAACAGCAAATTCCTATTGATGTCCAGGGGAAGTCTCCATCTATGAGGGAGAGGGACGACGACAAGGATAGTGCCGATTTCCCCAATGAAGGCGCACAGCATGGTGTTCAGATGGTAGAGGCGGTCACCCTGGCTTGGACCAAGCAGACACTTGGTACAGCCTATATTCTGTGAGTAAACTCCCTCATTCTAAACTCAATTACTAACACGCGAAAGGATGTGGCTTTTGTACTTTGTGAATGGCTTCAATCAATCCATAACTGGTAATCTCGCGGCATACATCACGAGCGAATTCGAAGCCCACTCTCTGGTACCACTCATTCAGGTCGTCTCGAGCATCATGGGAGCCGCTACCTATATGCCCCTTGCTAAGATTCTCAATCTTTGGGATCGTTCCGTCGGTTTCTCACTTATGGTTGCGTTTGCAACATTGGGGTTGATATTGGCGGCCTCCTGCAAAAGCATCGGCGTATACTGCGCGTCGCAGGTGAGTGTGTCCTGATTGCTTTTGTAATCTCTTCCATTCATCCATTTCAGGTCTTCTACAGTATTGGCTTCACCGGCATGACATTTGCTATCGATGTCATCACTGCCGACACCTCTACTCTCCGCGATCGTGGCCTTGCATACGCCTTCACCTCCTCGCCATACATCATCACTGCCTACGCTGGCCCCACCGTTGCGGCCAAGTTCTACGAGAATAATTGGCGTTGGGCATACGGCGCGTTTGCAATAATCCTTCCCATTATTGCTACTCCATTGGTTCTCATTATGGCATATGCTCGGAGGCAAGCGAAAGCCAAAGGGTTGCTCCCACCCACTCCGGAGGCAAGTGGCAGGACAATATTTGAAAGTTTCAAACACTACATCATTGAATTGGATGGTAAGGCTTTCCTCTATTCTTCCTACAAAATTCCACACTAATCGAATTCCTGTCAGTCCTCGGCACATTCCTTCTTCTCGCCGGCCTTGTTCTTCTATTGATACCTTTCAACCTTGCTGGATCCTCCGCCAACGGATGGAGTCAGGACTATATCATCGCCATGCTTGTACTGGGCGTGGTCTGTCTTTTCGCTTTTGGTCTGAGTGAGAAGTTTCTCGCTCCGGTGCCGTTCCTTCAATGGGATATTCTGCGTTCGCGTACCGTCATGGGGGCTTGCGCGCTCGATGTCTGTTACCAAGTCTCATATTACTGCTGGCTCTCTTACTATACCTCATTTCTTCAGGTCAACAGCGGTCAGTCTCTTGAAGTCGCTGGATACATCTCGTCCATCTTCGACGTCGTATCAGGTATCTGGCTGTTTGTCGTCGGTTTTGCCATCAAGAAGACAAATCGATTCCGCTGGATTTTGTACTGGGCTGTTCCCCTCTACATGCTCGGTCAGGGTCTGATGATTTACTTTCGTAAACCTGATCAGGCTGTTGGCTATTTGATCATGTGCCAAATCTTCCTCGCGTTTGCGGGCGGAGCTATGATCATTGTGCAACAAGTTGCCGTCCTTGCAGCCTCGGATCACCAAAATGCAGCTGGCTCGCTTGCTTTCCTCGGTGTTTTTGGAAACGTTGGAGGTGCCGTGGGTGGTTCTGTCAGCGGTGCAATTTGGCAGGGCACACTTCCCGGCGCTCTTCAACGTTACCTACCAGCGGAGTCTCTTCCGGATTGGGAAAGCATTTACGAGGATTTGGAACTTCAGCTCAGCTACCCCAAGGGTACCGAGACACGCCTTGCGATTGAGAAAGCATATTCTATTGCACAAAAGCATATGGTTATCTGTGGTACTGCTGTCATGGCACTCTCCTTGATCTGGATGTTCGTCATCAAGGATATCAAACTCGACCGAAAACAGACCAAAGGTGTTCTCTTCTAGACTTTGGGGTCTAATTTCGAAGAGAGGTTCCTGGTTGTGTTTAAATTCCTAACAACTGCACTCCTGAAGCCCATTTCGCGCGATCTATCTTTGCAAAAAGCGCAAATAAATACAATCCCGTTCAAACCAAATGGTTCACAAAGCTTTTGATGCCTCATGCAGTGCTTCCGTTACCCTCTGCTAGCAAGCCCAGTGACAACGCCATTCGAATTTTCCTGCTTTTTAAATAACTACACAGCACTATCAAACATGATTTCGTGGATCAAGCCAAAGCCTTCAGGACCAAATCCGCTGGACAGACAGCTCTGTGCACTTGCCAAAGCAATTTCCAGGACAAGATCAAGTTGACCACATGAGAAACAAATGGTACCTCTTGCCCATCGTGTTGATGATATTTAACCTGAGAACAGATCGCCACAAGAAGCTGAAATATTAACGAAGTCCTGAGCGTTCGCGCAGAAGACATCTTTTGTAGCGGCTGATGCAAAGGCTGTGCTGGCAAGGCATAAGCATGGCTTAACTGCCGCAGTTCAGGCTCGCAATTCCTTAAATGCTAGTAGAACTTTGTTCTGGGAAGGTCGGGATAGCACCGGGTTCACTAGCTTCAACGCTGAGACAATAAGGTTGGGTCTAAAAATGCTGAGGAATCGTGATAGACCAGAAAAAAAGGACGGAAGCCAAGATAGATGCTCGATACCCAGGAGAAAGAATGCTCGAGTAGAGTATAGATCATAGCTTACTTGCTGCTTGCTACTCCATCACCGTAATAAGTTCTTGTGATGTTGGAAATTCTTCTTCGGCGGAACACCGCCTAAATCTTCATCAGTTTCGGTATTTCGAAGCCAGTTTTACACATAAAATAAGGTGGAACACCGCTTATTGTAAGTTTGCGGCACAATTTTGCGCAGGATTGCGGTCTCTAGATGTTCCTTGAGATCTTGACAACGAGTAGGTTAACCCAAATTTAGCAATTCATGTGGTGAGCTAGAAATGGCAGATCACCGTCACCATGCCCAGATGTAGAGTACTGTCCTACAATAGGGAGAATTTTGTTCTACGAGGTGACTTCGCGCGTCTTTTTGGGAAATTTCATGCCTCTGCACCTTGCGTGTTGCTGTGGCAACTACGTGGATGATAAGCCTTATCCACGAGTTCGTATGGCTGGAGGTCTTCTTATGACGCATATAAGAGACAGCTGCAAACATTACATATATAAACGCATGCCATAGATGAAGCCTTCATAACTAGGCATTGAAACTGTACGTCTCGATAATCATGCGAGCGTTTATGGGGCGCCCCCCACATTTAATCGTTGTCACTTATCCACACACCATTGACTTGAGATACACCTATATTTATAATTTCTAATGTAGAACCACTCTTGAATGCCTCATAGTCCAAATCCCTCGCATTTGTGAGATCTTATCGAACCGGAAGTGAACCCATTGATCCGGTCACTCACAATTAGAAGTTTAGAACGCCTGTCACTAGGTGCCTTTAGCCACACCGTCTAATGCCCCGGCTACTCTATCGCAGTACCAATGCGGAAAACGGCCATTTTGTATATTCATAGCTGTATCATATCAACAGCTCGACCGTACATTCAAAGCTCAACCAAGTAAAGCACAGCCAGTACCAGCCCACTGACCTCCATGCACAGCACAAGCGTTAGCCTTGGCTTCGAGAGAGCCCTGACCCCATGTCGTAGCATTCAATGTACAAGTCGTAACTTCGAAGTGACCCTCGACTTCGGCGCAGAGCTGCTGCGGAGTGTCAAGATCCTTGACGAAGGACAGGAAGTCGTCCGAGTAAGCGAGATTGATGGTGCAGGATTGAGCGGCGGTGTCGTACTCGCCGACTAGTTGACCGCATAGCATCGGAGGGTCGTGAAGCACGGTCATCGCGTGATAGACTGCCAGGAGTCTGGGGAGCTTGTTAAGACGACAATCGGGTGAGTAGTTCGAGAGATGGTACTTACTCATCGGTGGTGAACTCCGAGAGTTGCTTCTCACGGGAGGTGGAGTTGTCATCGATTGTGGCCTTGGCATCCGATTGGCATAACAAACAGGTGCCGATCGGAAAGAAGATGCACATGCCCTTGAGTCATCGAGTTAGTATCGTATTCACAGTTGACGTCTGGGGGTACTGACGTAGCAGAGCTTGCACTTAGAGCTACAGTTGTTGCCCATCTTGATCGTTTTGGATTGTAGTCTGATGAAGATCTTGTTGTATGTCTAGCGTTTGGGAAGATGTTGATGGTGTCTCTGGCAGTGACTGGTGGAAGTACGCTGGTTGATTCAATTGTAGTGGGAGAGGCAGCACCTGTGAGGATTTATATACGACATGCTGGGAGTCTGAGTAATCGGCTGTGGCGCAAACGGAGAGAGAAAGTAAAAGTATGCTCAGCCTTGCTCTCTTCCAACCTAATTGGTTGCTGCTGGTTGCTGCTGGTTGCTGCCTGCTATTCACATACGTTGTGTAACCTAGTAACCTGTGAATGGAATACAACCACTTTTACCTCGTTACGTCATTCACAAACACTTAGGCACCCCAAAACGAGTTTATCTCTGAATAGATAAGATGGAATGGTTTTCTTCTATTGCAAATGTAATTATTCAAATTTCTAAGCGTAATGATGGTTCATCGCATTTCCATGCGGCAGAAACACTGGGTATTGAAAACAGGATAAATCTGCCTTTGAGCTCCAGGCATTATTCCAAGTTCAATGTGGAGTAGCTAGTACAGAGCGCAAATGGATTTACAATCCGTTGGAAGTTTACCATCATTTTTTCTGCAAATGGAATACCCAACTGTAATATAGCAGTGCTAACTTTCTGGTTTTTCTTAATATGCTCTGTTCCGGTTGGCAGGACTCCAAGTTAATTCATGACGCATCAACTATGACAGAGGATAATTTTTCTCATCGCCTGGCGCTTATATAGCATGTCCTATTTCATTTAGTATCTGTCGATGATCAAGGGACACTGTGAGTCTACATGTGGACATCTGATGTCCCCGTAAAGAAAGCTCCAAGAACCCGAAGGAAAGAGATGAACTTTCTTTACATCCACACACTGCTTTACCGTCACATCATTCAAGTCTGCATCACTCGTATAGTCCAATTATGCCCAGGTAACAGAAAGTAAAAATGGTATTATCTTAATAAAACGGTGCGGCGACTGATACTCCGCAACGACACGCCAACGCATGAACCTCTAGTTCGCCTTCTGGTAATAATACACAGTGCCCTCGAACAAACGCCTTGCAGTTCTCGACACCGCACACCGTTCCACCACTACATCATCGCCCGAACTCAAAGTAGATACTTCGACATCAATCGAACCGCTGGAATGCGAAATGCTGACGTTTTGCTTCTTCAACTGTGAGTGCGATTCCTGATCTTCATTCACTTCAGACAGAGGACTTGGAGTTCTTTCTGGCGTCAAGATTTCCCAGGTAGATTGGTCTTTCGGGTCCGAAGCTAATCGCTGTGCAACAGTCCCACGAATGCATACTGCAGATGCTAGACAGGCGGCGCCCGTCAGTTGCAAGCTAGGATGGGGTTTTCCCATGCTAAAAGCCAGGACGTGTATGCTCAGAGCATCCTTAGTGGTGGACTGAGGCGGTGATACGAGTGCGAGTTTTGGTGTGCCTCGGACTTTACCAGCCTCCTCGGTGTTCGACGCAAGTCCCATAAGAACAGCTCCCGCACGACGGATTGACTCCATGTGTTTGAGATATCCGGGTGTGTCTTTGTTGGAATTCTTTAGAAATGAAGGAAGTGAACTTTCGTCGACGACGATAAAAGGGTTGGCAGCGTCTATCAATGTCGCCTTGACGGTAAATGGACTTTCGTGTCTTTCTTGAACAAGAATTGATTCGCTTCGCTTTCCGGTGGGGAAAAGTTTGCCAGTCATGCTTCCTGCGGGTTCAACAAAAGCGACTTTGACTTCGCTACCGGTTCCTTTGACTCCGGGAATAGCAAAGTCGCCGTCTTCCTCGAATGAGCCATTGTCGTCAACTTCGACAGTGTCGACGACTACACGTGATGTGTTTGTGTTGAATATCCGAACGTCCAACTGCTATTGTTAGTTATTGGTGTTTCATGCTGCCGATGCGAGAGGTGACTTACCGATCGATCACCGGGGTTCGCATGAACTAATCCTTCTTGAAGTGCGAATGGGCCTACACCTGAACACATATTGCCACAATTCCCGCTCAAGTCTACATTTTCTTGACCAACTGCGACTTGCACAAACGTATAATCGACATCTATGCCAGGTCGGGAGGAAGGTGAAATCACAGCGACTTTGGATGTTGTGGAAGTCGCGCCTCCAATACCATCTATCTGTCTTGCGTCTGAGCCTTGAGATCCCATGGCGGCAAGTAATGGCCCAGCCCATTCAGATTCGGAGTTTGGTAGATGATGCCGATGTATGAACAGGCCTTTTGATGTTCCGGCGCGCATGAGTACAGCGGGAATGCTGCATCGTACTCGTTTGGTTGCTCTTTCGGGGGCCATCATGAACTCGGGTAGAAAGAAAGGGGTAGGAGAATTGGGAGATATCTCGAGGGCTGAATATTTGGTGTTGGCACGAAACGATCTGGTGACAGTGCGGAGCATGGGCAACGGACTGCTGTCAACTGGACTAAACTGTACCTAGTAGACATGATCGCTGGCGAATTCGAGGGTGATATATCCTATCAAAGCTATCCCACTAAGCACCCATGAACAAATGTTGATCGTTCGAAATATGCGGGCGACGGGAAGGCCACGGCAACCCGTACCCAAGCGTTTGCTCCACCATTGAGACTGATGGACCCACTCTTGCCGCGGGATCGATAGCCGAAGTTTTGCCGCGGCAGCAGAATTCCCCATCTTCCATGACTTGGCGCGTCTCCCCAACATCAACATCGGTCACATATTCTCCCAGTCGAAAACGGGCAGACTGTCCAAGGCAGAACCATTCAGGCCGTAAAGCAAATCGTCCACAGAAACTGGCATTTCGCCAAACGATTGCTGTTGACCGTGCTCAAGCCAGTTGCTGTTGCTATCGTAGTTATGTGGATTCTCGTCTTGCATCCCTGGAATCGACGACATGTCCGGCATACTCGTGGAAGGATAAGGCCAGGGCTGTTGGAGAGGGGGTGCATCGGAAGGAAAGCGACTGGGTGCATTAGCTTGAGCTATCTGCGAATTTTCTTGTTCCCGGACAAAGCTCTGTATAATAGCATCGATGTCGAGATTTTGCAAGCCGGGTTCGCGTCCCATGGATCTACTGGAAGTGGTATCTGGCGTGCTATGTTGGCTATGATCGTTTGCTTCCACCTCGATGTGTGTTCTGTCTGGAGTGGGAACAACAACTCCTAATCTCTTTATCAAACTCTGGACAATAGCATTTGCGCGTCGTACAGCCCAGTTGGTCTCCTGGTTCTCGCGAAACACTGCGAGACAGGTTTCTAAGCTACTGTGAGCAGGCGAGCCAGGCCCTCGTTTTGCGGCGATGCGAGCATGAATCGTAGCAGCAACATAAGTCGCATAAGAGATTAGATAAGGTGCCCTGCGAACACTAAAGACCTTGTCGTATGCGCGCAGGATCTGCACAATATGATCGGCAGCTGTAGCGCATGCCATGAAGGAGTTGACAGATATGGTCCGTGAGGTGTTGTACAAATGTCCATCGGCAACAAACGGACGATGCAATAGGATCATCAGAACGTTGTACAGGGCACTAAAGACTTCAATCAGAGGAGCGAGGCAAGAAAGGGCCAGCATACATACTGAAGGCTTAGGACGTGTGGAGGTGGTGTGATTGTCTGTTTCTTCATGTCAACGGCCAGGTGTTGTGGTAGGAGGCTATGCCATTTTGTTAGTTTGAGATGCAGTCCCTCTAACTTGGAGGAAAGCTCTCCGGGGTTTGCGTCGAAACTTCTTTCGGTGTATATGGTGCTGAGTATATCACTCAAGATAACCGAAAGCTTGCATAGACATCCAAATGTAGATATACTGTATGCAGGGCAGCCCATGTACGAAGCACTAGACTGCGAGGAAAATGCGAACGGCGCCCAATGCTCAAGCTCCTCATATGTATCGAGAAATTTCATGGGTACGAAGGTGTCGGACTCTTTGATGCTGACTGGGCGACCTTGATACAAACTCTGCACTTTATCGACAACTGAACGGGCTCAGTCAGCGCCGCTCGACAACAAACGGTGAGATCAACGTACCAAAGGCGGCCCAGAAGACGCGTCTTCGAATCTCGTAATCTTCATCAGTAAATTTGCGAGTAGATGCGACGTCTACGGTATCCACATGCATCCCTAGGTCAACAATCATTCTAAATGCTAGGCCTGCGTACAGCCATGCGGCACTGCGTTCGTCGCCGAGAGCAAACAACGAATTCGTCATCACTAGTAGAGCTTGAATGGTGGTGACTTCGCTCTTATCCAGAGCTTCGCCCAGTAAATCACGCACTCTTTGGCGAAATTGCCATCCCGCCGTGCGAACGTCATCTGTCGTGCGTCGCACTTCATGGCGTGGACTGAATTTGGATGCGCCAAAGTAAATGGCATTCAAGAGCAGCTTGGAGAAGTACGGTCCGCCGCAAGCCATATCGCGCATGAATGCAGGGCGATATGTGGTAAGAAACGAGTGATGCTGTCGATTCCAGTGAAGCGACAGCAGATGCATGCCCAACTCTGGTTCTACACCATCAAAGTCCAGCTTTCCGAGGCGAAAATTGACTTCCTCGAGTTGTCGCTGGCGCGCAGCTTCAGCAACGAGACCTTTCTCGATCCATTCTTCGGGCATTTGAGCACGCGCTTCCACCGCAGCTCGATCATGCGCAGTCTCATCGAACAAGGTACTGGTTCGCCCATGGTAGCTAGAGGAGCCATTGGCACCAACAACGATACGCGACACACTTTGGGGCGTTGCAGGCACGACGTCGCGGCCAATCTCACGTTCGACATCACGATCGGGGACTGTGGGACTGGATGTAGAGACAGCGACAGTGGCAGCATCCGAAGCAGCACGCTCTACACGGCGAGCCTTGTTAGGGCGGGCGCGAGGAGCATCTTCAATCGGCTCATAGGTGCACGTCGGCATACCATGCGTTTTACAATTGGCACACATTGGTCGCTCTGAACTGCATTTGATCTAATTGCGACTCTCAGTTCTGCCATCTCGAAAATGCGTATTGGGGAGACTAGGTGACAGACCTTTCTTCGGCGGCAAAAGGTACAGGCTTCCGATGCCCTTTTGCGCACGCGTCCCGCGGCAGACCCACTCCCCCCTTCGGTCGGCATGTTTGCTCAAAGCCGTGTCCAGCACGTGTTGATGATATCAAACCTCGGGAGTTGTAGCCACGGGCAGCACAGTAAGTGGGTAGGTGGAACGGATGGCGAGCAGAAGGTTCAGTGTGCTGCTAGCCGCGGGATGAGAATTTCGGATGTCGACCTAACAAACTAGCCGCGGGTCAACTTTCGGCCGACGCCGCCAGTCTTGTGAGGGCTCAAGCTTACCCGAGACAAGCTCTGTAGATCGAGTACACTGCAGATGTATATACAGACCTCATATCGGAAGCAAAGAAAGATGAACGACTGGAACCTGATCACTATATCGTACGAAACCCACCTTCCACCATGACTACCTCCTCTTCCGCTATCCAAATTCCCGCACCTCCCAATGTTGTCCTTCCGATACCAAAACGGAAGGGGGACGATCAGCTGAAGAAGTCGGTCTCCCAAAGACCAGCACCCTCCGCCATCGTATCATTATTTTCTGGGGCCGTCGCCGGTGGTGTTGAAGCAACAGCAACGTACCCTTTCGAATTCGCAAAAACACGGGCTCAATTACAATCCAACAGCGCCACTCGATCCTCGAATCCATTCGCAATTATTGTAAACACTGCCAAGATTGATGGCGTCAGATCCATATACACAGGATGTACAACCCTGATTGTCGGTACAGCGTTCAAAGCAGGCGTCCGCTTCCTTTCCTTCGACTCGATCCGAAAACAATTAGCCGACGAATCTGGAGCACTGTCCCCAATGCGAGGTATCCTAGCTGGTATGTTGGCCGGTACAGTCGAAAGCGTGATTGCCGTCACACCAACAGAGCGTGTCAAGACTGCCCTCATCGACGATGCCAAGAAGGGAACAATGCAGTACAAGGGAGGATTTCACGCTTGCAAAACAATTATCCAGACACAAGGACTTTCCGGGTTATACCGTGGACTACTCTCGACGACAATGAAGCAATCAGCCACATCAGCGGTGCGCATGGGCTCATACAATGTCATGAAGGACTTCTCCCGGCGGAAGAACCTCCCACAGAACAGCGCTACGACGTTTGGAATGGGTGCTATTGCGGGTGTCGTGACTGTGTATGCGACACAGCCGTTTGATACGATCAAGACCCGGGCGCAGAGTGCACAAGGAGCAAACACGAGCGAGGCATTCCGAAGCGTATTGCAGAGCAATGGGATTCGCGGGTTCTGGAGCGGAAGCACAATGCGTCTAGGAAGACTTATATTCAGCGGTGGTATTGTCTTCACAGTCTATGAGAAGGTGGCGGCTGCTATGACCGACGCGTCGTTTTAAATGCATATCGTTGATGGCTTGCATTGCAAGTTCTTGGGGGATTTTTTTGTTGTTCTAGGGTACGATCGATATACCATATTATTCCGAATTTATGCTTCTGTCTCTCCATTCTTCTGGTGCTTCGTAGAATGAACATCTTGATGTCCCTTGGAACAAATGCTAGCCTTCCTGTACAGGCTACTCTTATCGCTTGCGTTGCGGCTTTGAGATCAGTCCAATTGATACGTAGTTCACTAATGTACTTTCCGAACTAGAATAATTTTATTGTGATGTTTTCACATATTTCCACCTGCACTCAATGACAACAAAGATCTAGTGTAATAAAGATAACAGGTGGGAAACTATAGAAACACCCACATGCAACCCGCCTTTTTTTGTTCTTCATCCTTTTTTTTACAGGTGGTGCAAACTGCTAATTCGAGTCATATATGGAGGCAAACAGTCAGTCATCATGCTTTTGATGTCCATGGCCAGAGTCGTTGAGACGGTTGGACGGGGTCGTACAAGGGATCGATGATTGATTGTTGTCACACCATGTCCTCCTCTGTTCCATGACTAGATTCGCCCGCCTTTTAGCTTAACCGTCTTGATAAAATATCTTATCTGATGTAGGCATTCTGAGTAGTGCGCGAGTAACGCATGGGAATGCAATCCGCTGTGCTTTGGTACGTAGAATCGCCGACCATTCGAAGTATTGACCAATCAAAGCACTCGGTATAAACACCCCACGTGCACACATTTCTAAATCAGGAAATGGGGAAGCTGATTGAACGCAATAGGTAACTATTCCAGCCTATCATGGTTCTTATTTCGCGTATATTCCACCGCCTCTTAAGAAAAGTGTTGCTCCAAAAATCATCGCTTATACATCGCGTCATGGATCTGTGGATATGGAATTGTTAGCCGAGAAAGTGGCTTGCCCTTCACCTCTCTCTGCAATCGCACTCTGAAATCATACACCTCGTACTCAATCTGTAGCGATGCCCGACATCATCTCGTCTTCTGTTGACAGTTTGTCAGCTATCGTATGATAATGCCAAGAACTAAATGTATCCCGCGGGAGCCCTCGAATTTGTTCTGGGCTCACATTTCCACGTTCCCGCGGAATAATATCTGTCTTTTCCCGCGGGAACATCCTCAGCCAAAGCTCGTATCGTGACACTCTGCCCTCTTCGGGCGCGCTTGTGAGGCCGGCCCATATACCAAGAACTCTTAGGCCCGACTCCGCACTCAACGCTCTCAGTCAACCGGTCAGATGGTTCACTATGATCTGGGGCCCCGCATTCTTCGCATCTTGCCGAGCGTGATAGCGGCGTCGGTAAGTGTGACACCAAGGAATTGGCATTTTTGCGTTGGAAATACATAAGAAGCTTCAGGTTTTGGCCACAAAAATTTCCATCCATCATCGGTCGCAGATCTCTTCTCTTCCAACAACCATTGTTTGAGACTGCAACTTACGACAACGCCAGTGCATTGATTCAATTGCCATTATGTCGATCGAATCAGCAAACGACAAGAAGATGGAGGACACCGAGTTCAAGGAGGTTGTGGCCGAGCATCACAACATCACGCCTCAAGAAATCCAGGCTCGTTTCGAGTCTTTGAGGGACCTCAGTCAGGAGCAGATGGATGCATTGAACAAACAGCTTGTAAAACGGCTGGATTGGAGACTTATGCCCATCATCACTCTCATGTTTCTGATGAAGTAAGTCAACATCATGCGCAATCTAATTGGGTCAAGGCTAACGACTGATAGTTACCTCGATCGCATCAACGTCTCTAATGCGCGCCTTGCTGGGCTGCAGAAGGACCTGCATATGACCGACACCATCTGGAACACCGGTATTTCGACCTTCTACGTCGGATATTTGATTGGTCAGCTTCCCGGAAATCTGTGGCTGGCAAAGGCAGACCCTAGGTGGCTGTTGCCCTCAATGATGATGGCCTGGAGTGCCGGCACCATCTGCATGCCAGCTATGACGAATGGCGCCGGTTTCGCAGTGTGCAGATTCTTCATCGGTCTTTCAGAAGCTCCCTTTTTCCCCGGTATCACGCTCAGTAAGTCTGCCACTGATTCATCAAACGAATATCAAATCTAACCCTTCGCAGTGACCTCCTCGTGGTACACCAAGGAAGAAAACCCTATGCGCATGGCTGTTTGGCACGCGGGTAACACCATGTCCAACATCTTGTCCAGTTTCCTTGCTGCGGGTATCCTCGAGAACATGGATGAAGTTCTTGGCCTTCATGCGTGGCAATGGTTTTTCATCATCGAAGGCGCCGCCTCCATTGTCGTCGCAGCTGCTGGCTACTTCCTTCTCCCTTCATGGCCTCACAACACCAGGTGGTTGACCAAGGAAGAGTCAGATATGGCCCAATACAGAGTGCAGCTTTCCAACGGTGGACACGATGAGGAGATTGGCGGAACCTGGGACGGAGTCAAAGATGCAGCAAAGGACCCCTTCACGTGGTACTTCTGCCTCATGCACTTCTCCTTGGTCACCGCTCAGAGTTTCAAGGACTTTATGCCATCTGTAAGTACTTCACAGACCCCCAGCACGCGCGAGCAGTTACTAACATCAACATAGATCATGAAGACATTTGGATTCGAAAATCTGATCACCTACCTCATCCAAGCTCCCCCATACGCCATCGCCTACGCAGTTGCCTGCGGTCTCGCATACACATCCGGTCGATTCCAAGAATCTTCCCTCCACATCATCATCCCAATCGTCTTCAGTGCCGTCGGATGCAGCGTCCTCATCAGCACCCTCAACGTCGGAGCCCGCTACTTCGGTCTCATCCTGCTCATCAGCGGTACCTACTCCGGTCTTAACTTGCAGCTCAGTTGGGAAACTACACTTGTTCCCGCTCCACGAAGTAAGAAGGCTGCGCTTATTGCGATTGCGAACTGCATCAGTCAAGTCAGCCATTGGTTCAGTCCTTACTTCTTCCCCAGGTCCCAGGAACCCTACTACAGACTTGGTGGTGGACTCATCCTTTTCGGATGCTTGGCTTGTGTTGTTTCGGCTCTCTTGGTTAGGCTCAGGGCAATGAGCTTGAATAAGAAGTTGGATGAGGCGCAGGGCTATTCTGAACATTCTGGCTCTGAGCGCGGATGGAGATATGTTTATTGAAGAGTGGATATAGCCGATAGGGATACTTTGGGATTGCCTTTTGTTGGTCACGATTTTATGTCTTTCTCTTACGATATGATTACGCTTGCGATTATACAGCTAGTATGCATCAATGCACAAAATGAGCGATTCTTACAGACTGATTCTGGTATAATTGTGAAGTGCGCGGCATGATCCTGCTGAAAATTCGTCATGGGCAACTATTTCCAAGACACCTACCAATTCTCTCTACACTGATCCCAATGCAAGTTTTGTTAGTGTCCGGGCCTTTTACGCAATTTTTTTTTTTTTGAGTTTTTGCACTTCATGCCCAAGTGTTGCAGTGGATACGTGGTGAATCATGTCAGTTCAGATAGAGGTGCGGAATCAGCCAATGGGGTCATGCAAAATAATGGCGATCGCTCTATGGTCTACGCAGGAGGAATGTCCTCTATGACCGCTTTTGAAAAGCTCATCTCATCATTAGATGGCCGACATACGCAAATCTTGAGGAATGGTGACAGGGAGAGTGGGAGTAGTGGGGATAATATGTCATGTAGCGGACCTTCAAATTGTGAATTCTAGTCTCAAGTTCTATTCAAATTAACACAATTTCGCATTTTCGCTGCTGAAGAGTTACATGAACAATTCATGAGCCAATGTATCTAGATTCAAGTCGTTTGCGCTAAGATTCATGGACCAATTCAGATGTCACGCAGCATGGCTTAAAGACACCTGGGCACGACGAACTGCATATGATCTTATCAATGCTACATTTAGATTGTCTCAGATAACATGTAAATACTCGATGAAATTTTATCCATTCAATACACATGTCTACCCATACTAACGGAGGTCTGAAGGGCGACAGAGAAGATATTCTGCATAACTGTCGTTCATAGTTGATGCCTCGAACGTCAATCTGGCGGGCCCCTGTTAATGATGTGAGCCCACATCCAATTAACCTTTTTGCCATCCTCTTTGTCGTCATCCTCTTCCTCGCCATCGTCTTCGTCGTCATCTTCTCCGTCTTCCTCGTCTTCTTCTAGGTGAGATTGGAACTTGCGGGTAGATTTAGTTTTCCTACCAGAGAGATCATCATACTGAACCCCTTCTGTCTCTGTTGCCAAGACGTGTGGGGGCGGCTGGCGACAAATACGAAATCGGACGTGTCTTGCGGTTGGTATCCTCATATCATCGTAGCTCCTGCGCTTCAGCCGACATGTATATCTGTCGAAGCCTCGTCGAAATATCCGTGGTACACGTGGCCGCCCATTCCTTAGTCTCTGCCGGGCAAAATAATGCTCTCTGTGAAGAATTTCTTTTCTTATCTGCGGAACAGATTTCCTCGGGATGGTGCCTTGAAAACTAATCGGCTCACCCTCGTTCAAGAGTTTGCATACTTCTCGGATCGACTTGCACGACTGCATTCCCGCAGCTTCAATCAAGATATCCTTGTTAGTGATGACAAGGGACTGTTGGCGTGCAATTTCTAGCAGTCTAAAGAACCAAACCTCTTCTCCGAACTGCGCACATGCTTCGAGTGCATCTTCATGGATTATAGGCTCATGATCTGGCCCTAAGATGCAATCCAACGCCACGCGATTGAAACTTACAGAGGCATCGCATATCAGGTTGTATGTGATATCGATCGGGAGTGCCGGTAATTTGAAGATGACGCGATTTTTAATGGCGGAACAAAGTTTATTAAATGTCGCAACCCCTATTCGGCCAGTGGCACCTCGTTCGACCGCGTGGAACAAAGCTCTTTCATATAGGGATTCTGAATTTTTATTCCAGAAGAGAGCTATCGTTTCATCGTCCAGGTGCATCTCGGCTGCCTTGTCTAAGTAGTCATAAAGAAAGCAATAGGAAGAGTAGCTATCTGGTTTATCCAATGCATGAAACCAGTAATTCCGCAAAAGCTCTTCGCATTTCCGTGTTCCTGAATTGTAACAGCGCAGGAGAGTCCGACCATCCTCCGTATGCATCAATCTTTCGTGGATCTGTACATCGTCGAGAAGATCCAGTCCTGTCGGAAAGCGATTGAGTTCGTCGAAGATACTATGCGCCGTCCATCCTTTCTCCAGCATTGCAGAAACAAAAGAGGTCTCCAAGGCTTCGATTAGTGGATGGCGCAGCAAGAGTTTGGCAAGATGCGCATCTAAATGTAGGATTGCTAGTTCCAATGTCTGCTGGCTTGGTTTGACATCTGGCGCCGCTAGAATCAAGAAAGATATGATAGAATCTTGCCGATATGTATCGCGCATTACGCCCCAATCATCGGGTTCTTGGGCCATCACTGCCTTGCGGAACAGTTCATCAGTTATTTGGAGTTGGCCCGACCGCGCCCACAGAAAATCTAGTGCATCCAAATTGCACGATTGTATCGATGCTTCGATTGCTGCAAGAGAAATTTCTACCTCCCGATTATGAAGGAAGATCAACTCCAACTTCATCATCGCATGGCTACTTCCAGCAGCGGCGATGACCACTTCGTTGCATGGGTCGAAGTCAATCTTTTCCATGACGGGAATAACAATAGCCGGTGGGAAATATGAGAATATTGCAGCAAGTGAGCTTGATTTCCACTCAACCTCGAATGGCGAGGATAGGAGTGCCATCCAGGCTTTCAGTATACCGTCTTCGGCTGCGAGAATGTTTGGCTGGATATGATGGAGAACGTCAAAAAAGGAATCGCTTAGTAATAGATTGTTGGAATACAATGCAACTTGGCGAAAAATTTCGTGGTCTGTTAATGTGTGTGTTTTGGGCTCATCCAACAGCCGATTCCTCTGATATTTTCCTTTCACAACAGATGCGACCAACCAATCAATAACAGCTGGAGGCAAATGCGTTTCTGGTAACCGCGTCATGATTGTCGTAAATTTTTCGAGTTCTCCACGGACTAGGATATCTACAATTATTTCGTAGATCTTCGGAAAATTGTCGGGCGTATCATCGGAATAACCTGGAACTCGAGGCCCGAAGACTTTCAGTATTGTGACGTCGAGCCTGGGAGGACCTGTCTTCAACAGGATATCTAATACGTCTTCAAGGCTATCGTTTCGTATCGTACCGAGGTCATAGGTGTACCGCGCAACATAAGATGCCCTCGCAGCCCCAATAGCATGGTAGAGCGCCTTCGGTTCAACAGACCAACGGTCTTGAAAAAGTGCTAAAAGCTCTGACAACTCAAATTCCTGCAGCAAGCATTCGATAACCAGCTCGCTCAGTTCGAATTGTACTCCTGAATCACGGAGATAGTACAGCGCATCGAGACGGCAAAGATGTCTGTTGGCTGTGTTGGTCCACCAACTGAAGAACAAAGACTCCCCAATGAATAATTTCCATGGAGCACCATGCTTCCACAGTAAAGTCTTCAGATTAGATGAAACGGTCAAGCTTTCCACCACCAGAGAGCTGTCTACCTGCACATTCCTCGCTTTTCTTAAAATATAGGCAAATACCTTTTCAGTCTTCCAGCTCTCCTTCAGCAGTGCAGCGAATGTGTGCGCAGTGATGGTGAAACCCGGGTCTGAAAGCAACAGACGTACTATATTTGAAGCTTTACTCGTCCTGCTCGCCGCGACCAAAATAGAATTTGTGGTACGCATTGCAAGAGGCTTCCTTATGAGATTCAAAACCCGAGGAAGGCTGTAATGATTAGTTGCGATAAGTGCCTCCCAGAAATTGGACGGGGTTTTAATAGGAAGGGTTCCTAATCTTCCTAATAGAGACTTTATCTTCGAAACCACAGGTCCATTTGAACGTAATGTGGCGATGAATATTGTGGGGGTAATGCTATCATCTGAATGCTTTGATAACACATGTCTAAAGGACGACGAAGATAGATTTTGCGCTGCCGTTTGCAAAGTTCTTTCTGTCAAAAATGTCGGTACGATTGAGTTCACAATCAATCTGACCATCCTGGATTTGAATGGGTCCTTTTTTGTCACAGTTTTTCGCGAAGTCCAGTTCCAGGAATCATTGGAGGTACTAGTGCCCCTGTATCTTTTCTGGTAGGATGTTTCCGAGGACTGACTCCTTTCCATCGCGGCGATTAGGGTCATCTCATCAATATTTGGAAGGTTCATGCTCAGATGCGCCTCACACTCTTTTCTTGAGAACATAGACAGGGCAAAGTATGCGGCCAATTCGCTTGTTCCTATCCGGACTCCAGCTTCACGAAGCAAATGCGGTGCCTTTGGTCCGCAATTCGCTAGATTGATGAACAACCCAGGATCGATCGTCGTATCTTTTATTATTGCGAACTCTGGACTCTCTCTTGGCTGTATCGGGCTCTCCCCCAGGAAAAGTATATGTTGCTGTAACAATATCGGCCCCAGAATCTTGAATATTTGCTCATTACTATGAGCTAATCTAGGCCACCTCGCGAGCATATCGCTACGTATATCAGGCGCATCATCCCTTCGAGAAGTGGCAAAATTAAGCACGGCTGTATCGACGTGGTGGCATTGTGAAATAAGCCGACTCATGAATGGAAATGTTACTGTCCCAATCTCATATGCCACAATGATAGTCCCCGTCAGAACATTGTGATCGTGATATTTGGAAAGTAGCATCTCGGTAATTTGTTCCCAACGGCTTCCACTTGTGGACTTCTGAGGTCTCGTATCGCCGGGTACCATCTCCCAGAGACTCAGCTTCCTGAAACAACCCCGTAATAAATTGTTGAACATTACGTCATTCATAGGTTCTTTGAAATGTCCCATGATGTTCGTGAAAATTTCTGCTCCATGATGATAGTTTTTAATGCTGGCGTGCATCTGCACAGATTGAGACAAAGGGATAGAGACGAGAAAACGAAGACGATCCAAAGCCTCTAGCGAGATCCAAGACATGATGTCCAGCGCACCTGCCAGAGTCAATTTGACATGTCTACCGGGTTGAAGTAATATCATGATGAGTAGTTTGTTACAGTCTTCACCGCCTACAGCTTTGATAGCTGTTGTAGTCCACTTGTCGAGAAGACAGTTTTTTTGATCTCCATGTGATCGTAGATATCTTGAAATCTGTCGGAAGGCTGCGGGTTCTCGTGAGCCTCCATCTAAGAGCCAGCCAGGCAATATGATGTCTGGCTCCGACTTATTCATTTTCGCGGAAATACTTTGAGATATGCGGTGTTTCCCCGGGCCATTACTTGAGTCGGGATCAGCGAGGTTTTTGGCGGTCGGCAGTTGTCTTTGTGTGGTTGGCGAGAGAAGCCTTGTAACTCGCGGCAGGCCATTATCCAGGCAGTTCTGTCGAGTTTGACGCTTTGCCCTCCGTCGTGAGCGCCCCCTGGGGATGGTCAAAGATTCATTTGCGTCACATTCCGGTGACACTCTCGCATAGCGACGAGCTCGCCGTCTTTGTCTTCCACGTACGTCGCTCGTCGTGTTTTGCCACTCTTGGGCGAACGAGTCCATGGCCACCAAGGAATTGTGAAACGAGGTGCTTACTGCAATGAAAGAGCTGAGCGTTTTCGGGTTGGAATTGTGAAAATTTTGGTAGTCTATGAGGGCATACAGACTTGCGCAACATGCCCTCAGCCCCCACATCGCCAAGGGTAAAAGGCGCCACTTTTGGGGTTAGCATTCCTGCACCACCTGCATCCTAGACGTGTACAGCCCTCAACAAGGCTATTTTGCTGCCAAGGAAATATACGAATTTTATGGAGAATGGGTGACCGATTTCTTATCATCAGGTCCAGCGATTCTGAAACTTTCCCTCCCGCAACCGTCAGCACTGCAGCACACGACCATTCATCTAATCCGCTACATCAGTTGTTTGCATCGCATGGATCCAGCTTCCCTAGCAATCGGCCTTCCCGGGCTCATCCAGACATGCGTTCACGGCTATCGATTCGTGTGCACTATGATCGACCTCGACAAAGATGCTACCATTCTTCGACTCAGATACAGGATTGAAGAATCCCGTTTGACGCTCTGGGGCAGATTTTGGGGGCTGTTAAAACCCGACAATGATCTCAGCCCTTCCAAGAGCCCCCAAACTCTCGATGATCTGCTAGAGATGCCGGGAATCCAAGACCTAATCACGGATATCTTGAAGCAAGTTCAGCAAATACTACAGAACGCGCAAGAATTGTCTACCAAATACACTGGGACTCAACCGGTACCACTGGCGACGATCTCAGGAAATGGCGTCATCCCCGAACTGGACATGATCGCCATTCAGGCTAAGATTAAGCGAAACACTGTCACCAAGATGAAGTGGGCAGTTAAAGACAAAGCACAGTTCGAGTCGACTCTCACATCTTTGACAAGTCTGAACGATGGGCTTGATAAGTTATTGCCACGACAGGAAAGGCTCAAGCTTGGACAAGTGTTGGTAGCTGAGGTGCTGTCAGAAGAGGGTTTATCGCCAACCGACAATGATGCAGCGTATCTGCCAATTGCTTTCAACGCCGGGTCTGCAGAGTTGGAAGTAGCTCCTATAAGGAAACGGCAGACCGTTGCCGAAGTTATACATAATAACACGGTGCCTCATCGGAATTATGAGTCGAAACGAATAGAAGAACCATGGGATGATGATGAAAACCACCGTGGCATGCCTACCTCGATGGAAATCAAAAAGGAAAGATTCATCAAGTTAGGGACCAGGAAAGAGGGGTTCTCCCTCGAGACACTCAAGAGCCCTCTGGCTGATCAGGTGGTTAAGTCTGAACCCAGCATAGTAGGTACATCCCGACTGCCGCAGTCGAACATCCAAGACCGTACATATCCACAGGACACGGGGAATCATGACTCGCAACTGGAACCCAGCGAGCAGCTGGTTTTTGTAGAGTGGAGATCATACGACGAGACTGTGAGTAACGAACAATTGCAAATGGCGTTAGACGCCAGGCGTGAGCAGCTTGGCCGTTTTTTCCGAAATGAAACGACTGCGAACGCCCACTTTGTCCTTCAGTGCCTTGGTTTCGTTATGCCCGATGATTTGACTATGGGCTTGGTCTTTCAGCTGCCATCGGATTCTGTTGGGGAACCTATAACGCTCAACGACCTGCTCAGGAACAACTTCCATGACATCGACGCTACAATACCCGATCTGGAGGATAGAATCCGATTAGCGAAGAAGATGAGCCTGGCATTGTATCAACTGCAATGCTCAGGATGGTTACATCGGAAGATATCGTCTCACAACATCATTTTCTTTCGTCGCCGAGATCAAGATGATATAATCCAGGTAGACTTATCCCAACCGACTATCGTTGGCTGGCAAACAGCAAGGTATGACGATCAGTTTGAGACTCAACACAGCGAAGGTGTCGAGAGGTGGCGCAAGAACAAGTGGGTGTGGCAAGAACTGCCTTATGTCCATCCTTTACGGCCAGAAGCCAGAACAAGGTTCAAGCGATCTTTTGACGTCTATGCATTGGGTATCATACTGGCAGAAATCGCCTTCTGGGAACCAATAGATGTGTTAAAGGGTGGCAATAATCCTGAGTCAATGTTTACGGAGTTCGACCAGACCAAGCATGCACTTGAACTTCAGGATTTCTCCAGGCTTGTCGTGGACACTTGTAGGAGGGAATTGGCAGGGGAGGTTGGCGGTCGATACCAAGCAGCGGTGTTGTGGATGTTGGACGGACTGAAGGACTGGCAGGCGCAACAGATAGTCGATCGGCCGACTGCATCGAAGGAGGACTTGGACAAGGAGATTGGCTTAGAGAAGGCTTTCTTCTGGAATGTCTTGAATCGGCTGGATTTCGTATCCTAGGAAACGTATCGCACGAGCAGGCTATGCTGCTTTGAGATTATAAATCTAATTTTCAGGGCAAAGTTTGGTATAACTGGGGGAATAAGGTTTTTCCATTGCTCGATTCTTACGTGCTCTGATCGGTAAACAAAATGACGTAAGATATCTCGGTGGTAACAGCTATATCGCCATGCTTGATTTATAATCCTCATTCGCAACAATTCCATACAAAGATTTTGCTTCGACGATCCTCAAACTTCCTTACCCGTTCACATGCCGCATCATACGAAATCCAATCGGCCCTTTCCCCACGTGTCCTGCGTGTTACTCCGCGTGTTCGGAAACGCTACATAAGCGAGCTGGCCAATGACATAGTCGATTATAAACTCTATCTTCGCATATCGGACTCAGGTCTATATCTTGTGCTCTATGATCCATCCTCTCCTCGGATCTGATCTTTTAGCAGTGGCAATCGGGATTCGTTGCTGTGTTGCTGGTTTTAGGTGACTAAACCTGAGCTTCGGGGACCCGGTTCCCATCACAAGCTCTCTACAATGACATGACTCGCGTGTAGATCTCAACAGCAGGCTGTCTAGCTTATCCCGACGAGCCTCCTCTGTCGGCTAAGCGTTTATCCAGTCTCCCAGTAATCCATGTCTTGGAGACAAGATACTAGTATCAGACCGCCTGTTCTTCTTGTCCATTCCATCAACCGACTTGATCTATCCTGGTCGGTATGCAGTAGTGACACGCCATGCATCTAACCGGGCTTGTTGTTAAAACCTAACCCCGCCGATTGAGCTGATGATAAAGTCAGACGAGATTGGACATTGGCCCTACTTTTTTGTTGAGCCTATTGGTAGACCTACTACAATGCGATCCCATGCCATAGTCGCTATTGCGCTCGCAACGCGGGCCTGCGTGACGGCTACACAGGCACAGACAAGGCCGATAATTTCGCGACAACAAGTTTCCCGCGACCCTTACAGCAACTGGCCTTCGTACGGCGATCTACCTCTGGACTCATCATACCCCCCAAAAGCAGCTTGGGGTGTTTGGGTAAGCAATGTCAATGAAATAACCCCATCAGTCAATCGCTGAATATTATCTCCAGGGAACTGAGGACGTGAATGGAGCGCTGAATCATATCACCAACGCGACTCGTCGTGAAGCTGCCTCCGAAATTCAAACCGGCGAAGCTTTCAATCTGAATTTAGAGCTCGAGTTCATACCGCGTCCCATCAATGGCGAAAGACGGCCTTTGGTGCACGTCTTCCAACCAGGAGATGGCTACACCGACGATATAATGACACTAAACACACAAATGAGTACTCAATTTGATGGGCTGCGACACTTCGCATATAGTGAGAAAGGGAACCGGAGCACGTACCGATACTACAACGACCTCATCGCGGATTACGAGGATGTCATTGGGTACAATTACTCTAGTGTCCTTGGTATACAGCAAGCGGCAGAGAAGGGTATTGCAGCAAGGGGCGTTTTGCTGGATTACAAGGCGTGGATGGATGCTCATAATCAGACTTTCAACCCTCTTGAGGTGACAATATTCTTCCCGTCTCACTCCATGATTTTTGCGCTGATCTCTAACGTAGGAATGGTCTGTGTCTGCCTCCGATCTGCAAAAAGTTGCTGAATGGCAGGGATTACCGGCCAACTTTTCTCGACCAGGTGATATTCTCATCGTACGCTTCGGCTGGATTGCCGCCTATTCCCGGCTCAACGAGACCGAGAAGCAAGAGTTAGTATTGGGAGCGGGCAACTACATCGGCTTAACTTCCGATGACGACTCTGCAGAGTGGTTGTGGAACCAGAAGTTAGCCATGGTGGGAGGGGACAATCCAGCGTTCGAAGTGCTGCCGTTCACCAGCAGGGTAGGAGGTACAAACGGAAAAAGCTTGCATGAAGTGATGATATCTGGTAAGATTCTGAAGATTTCTATTATTGCGACTTGAGAGCTGACGATCATATAGGTTGGGGCCAAAGTATACTTGAATTCGTGGACTGCGAAAAGCTTGCGACGGCTCTGCATGCACAAAAGCGATCGACCTTCTTCTTGACTATGCAGCCAGTCAATAAAAGAGGTGGCATTGCAAGTCCACCGAACGCGATGGCAATCATTTGAGAAAAGTTGAGAATACAAACAGTTTCTAGACACATCTTGTGCCGACTAGAGAATCTTCCATAGGCTAGAGAAGTTGAACAAGTAGACTGGTGGAACTAGATGTAAAGACGCATCTCAAATTTTGTGGGTTGCAATCGAATACAAAATAATGATATACCTTCTTCTCGTGTACCCGCTGCCGTATTTGTGCTCATAGTTCTGCCGGAATATGTCTAATGCAGTGGTTCCTACACTGATTCACAAATTTACGTACGACAATGCTTTCTGCCATCTAGTCTTCGCCGCATGCTCTTCGAGTATTTCCATTTCTTCGGGATGATCTCTCAACATCCGCCTTTCGAACTGCAAATCCACATTCCCAGGTTTGATATATAACCACCATGTCCGATGCCAGATCTTCCAGCCCGCCCACATAAAAATGCACACAGGCACCCCAAGATACCTAGCAAAGAAGTGGGTCGCATTGGGCGATCCCTCGAGAGGCCAGATAGACGTGTATCCGTTGCAAACGAGCATGAAGAAGACGAGAATAAAGCCAGTGATTGGTGCATATGGATAACCCCATTGGACGTAGGGAAACGGCTCGCCAGTGAGAATGTTGATACCTTGCGCCTCTTGGGCGGCGCGCCATCTCCAATTACAAGTGAAAATTGTTAGAGAGAAGATGAAGAACGCAGTACCTGACAAGCTGGAGAACCAGCCAAAGACAACTGCACCAGTGTTCGATACGTTCAAAAAGCTCAGTCCGGTGCCGATGGTGGATGTAAGAATCAATGCAGGTAAAGGTCGTCCTTGGCTATCGGTTCGCCCAAAGATATGCGGTGCCATGTTCTGCGTGGAGAGGTAGAGCAGCATGCGCGCCGAAGCATAAAGCGATGTGGTGCCGACCGACATTACACATACGAGAATGATTGCGTTGAGGATGTCGGGAAGCACGCCAATACCCGCATGCTTTACCGCGACAACAAGGGGCGATGAGTTGACGTCCGAACCACCAAGAAGCTTAGGGTCGGTGAATGGGACGAGAATAGTGATGATCACTACGGTGACGACGTAGAACACCTAGCGGAATTACGTGTGAGTCTAGATTGCGTCAAGATGGGAATTGGCATCTATGCACTTACGAAGATGCGGAACCAAACAGTTCGTGTGGCTCGAGGCATGTTGTGGCGAGGGCTTGCACTCTCGCCTGAAATCACGCCCACGATCTCTGTTCCTCCCGTCGCAAAAGCAGCAGTAACAAAAACCGCCGCCATCCCATGAAACCCTTGCGCAAAAGGTCCCGGATCTTTCCAGTAGCTTCCGTCAAACTTCTCCCCAGTTGGACCTCCGCCCCCGATCAGAACTAGGCCAACTATGATGAATCCAATGACAGAGATGATTTTGATGCTAGATGTATAGAACTCTGCCTCGCCAAAGACTCGCACCGGTAGAAAGTTGATAAGACAAGTTAGCGCGCAGAAGAGCGCTATGGCACCGGCGATAGGAATACAGTCGCCCCAGTAGGAAAGAATGACGTTGAAGGCGGTGGCTTCGACTGCGAACACGGCAATCCAACAACCCCAATATTGCCAGCCTACCGCGAAGCCGAGAGCCTCGGGGATGTTAGTTCCACCCCGATATATAACTTTATAGGGAGTAGAGGGAAGTCTTACGGGATCAATAAAGCGAGAGGAATATGATACGAAAGATCCGGTGACAGGGTAGTGGATGCCCATTTCCGTCAAAGAAGTCATCATAAAATATTGAGCGAAGATGATGGTCAGAAAAGCGATGACCAGTGCAGCTGGACCTCCAGCCTTCAATGCAGACCCGGTTCCAATGTAGAGACCCGTACCAATATTCGATCCAATCGCTATCATCTAGAAAGATCAGTGTTCATTCATAAATCTGTAACGTCTACGCCTAAGAATACACACCTGGATATGACGCGAGCTAAGACTTCGCTTCAATCCGTCATGACCGTATCTCGCTTGTACGACTTCACCTGCTGCTCCAGATGGTTGGTTGTCCACGTAACTATCCGTGGCAATACCACTCTTTGTCTCCTGCGCCATATTTGGGTCTGATCGGGACGATTGAGATATCATGATGCACTCAAGGAATGGAGTCGAAAAACCCACATCAATTCTGATGAGGGGTGGAAAATATGGGGAATATGGTGCAATCTAGAAAGTTTTGATGTGCAGCTAACCCCATGTGTTGTGATTGTGACAGAAACCCTACATGGTAACAGACATGCTATCGCAGAGCCGTAGCGGGCCGCACAGGGCACTCATTTCATTGGGGTAGCATATACAAGCGAGGTGCATTTCAGGGTTCAGCACCCAGGGCATTAGCTAGTTTTCAACAGTCACTGTCAGCGACGAGAATGTACCATTTTAGACTCTGTACTCGAGTATCCAATCAAACAGCAGTAAGTGTAGTTGTTTAGCTACCTATTTGAAGGTGATAGTTGAAAGCCGTTCGATGATTTTTGCTATGAGGGCAGAAATAGAACATTGGTGGGTGGACACCATCTTAATTACAAGTACAGGATAAACTTTATCTATCACATCACTTGTTATCAGCGAATAAGTCCGTCTGAAGCTACTGGTACGATATACAGCTTGATTCCCCTTTTCATCAGTTGACCAGAATCCGAAGAAAAATCTTTCCATCCACTCGAAGAAGAAAATACGAAAAACGTATTGCTGATTTCTCCGAGGAATTATTGTTTTGCGAAATTCCGCATCGCCCCATGAAAACATTGCACCATCCGTCCCAATCAGCACCATGCTGAAGATGTACGAGGAAACTTCGAATATCGTGTAAACCAACCCCATCGCAATGCATAAACAAAGTGGGCGAAGTAAAACTATCTTTGTTCCTCCACTACTTGTTTCACTGAATTCGTAAAGATTTCGACCAGTTCGTTGATTTGTACCTCGTTGATGATGAAGGGTGGTGCAAACATGACAGCATCAACTGCAGACGAGCATAAGTAGACCGCCGCTCCATTCTCAAAACATCTGGACGCAACCTTCGACGCAATCGGAGATCCTGGCTGTGTCGCAAAATCTACTGTCTGAAACAAACCCATCCCGCGTACTTCTTTGAGGATTGGTGTCGATTCGAGTAGCTTTTGTGTCAAGACATCTCCCATCTTCTGCACGTTCGATAACAAATTGTCGTCAATAATCGTACGCTGTACAGCCAAAGCAGCCGCTGAGGCGATGGCATGCCCTTGATAGGTATGTCCACTGACAAAGGGATGCTGGCCCTCGGCATTCTTTAGTGTTTCGTAAACACGCTGTGACATCAAGACACCCGAAATAGCTTGATACCCCGCTCCGAGTCCCTTTCCGATTGCTTGAATGTCGGGAGCAACGTTCCCGAGAGACTGCCATGCATGATAGGTACCAACTCTCCCAATTCCGCACATTACCTCGTCAAATATCAAGAGAGCTCCGTGCTTCACACATAGCTCTTTCAGCTTCGCAAGATAGCCTGCCGCAGCGGGGACGGATCCCAAAGTAGCACCTGACACCGGCTCTAGAAGGACAGATGCTACGGTATCTGGGCCGAGTCTTGTGAACTCATTCTCATATTCTTGGATGAGTCGAGATACGTATGCCTCTTCGCTTTCATTTTCATTCGCGTCGCTGGAATAGAAGCATCGTGAAACATGGTGGAACGCGGAAGACAGAAGAGGTTCGAAAGTTTCACGCCTGGCAGGACTGTAGCCAGCAGACAGCGACCCTAACGTATTCCCATGATACGCAGATTTTCTGCAGATCGATTTGACGCGTTGGGGCTGGCCTTTACAGACGTGAAATTGTCTTGCGATCTTGATAGATGACTCCACTGCTTCGGAACCTAGGCTTATTAGCTGAAAGCGATTGATCTGTGGATGGTGAAGATGCACCTACCAGAGCTGAGAGAGAAGGCTTTTACAAATGCCCCGTCACTTTGCTCAAGTAACAGGCTAGCAAGCTCCTCTGTTGGGTCATTCGTGAAGAAAGATGTATGAGCAAAGGCCATTCGTTGGGCTTGGTCGATGATGGCTTGGATTGGGGCGGGGTGGCCATGGCCGAGACAAGAAACAGCCGCACCACTGCTACCATCCAACACTTTCCGCCCGGAGCTTGTTTGTATGTAGACTCCGTCCGCCGATTTCGCCGTGGGATAGGACTTGAAAAAAGAACGCTGGAATATTGAGGAGGCTGCCATGTTGACGCGGCTGATTGTGTAGCAAATGAACAAATTTGGCCTACAACACAGTTTTCAGCTCTGGGAGAAAATGGTTTACGGAGGGAATGTGGAATTGTCGGAACCTCTAGTACTAAATAGCACCCGCATGTGGGTATCATCTCATTTCACGTGATTGTTGGTGAATGCGAGGCAGAGTTGATTGGCTACATTTTCACGCCAATCGGAAACATATCCGGGTAATTGAAGAGCCAATCACCACTCGCGTCGACTTCTCACAGCGAACAACAGTCCTTTACCAACACCCCATCCTATCGCACCCCGGTCACGTATCACAAATTCGTAAAAGAGCTGCAGCAAGCATACACTCTGAAACGAATGGCTTATCTTAAGAGCGTTATTATAATGCTTTTAAGTTATGCGTATTCACGGTCGTGGCTCCACAACCACGCCATTGAAGCCGGTGGTCCTGGCAATCCTCATTCCCATATCTTCTTCCTCGACACGATAGCTTACTGGCTACATTCTACCGCTTTCTCTATTCGTGACAACTTGAGTTCAATGAGGTCTTGGAAGCTCACCGCCTCTACGTCAGCTTCCAAATATCTAAGATCGAAGGGTAATCCTGTGACAGTGGCTTATCTCTCGGACATCAACCCATTCTAGAACTCCTAGCATCGGTATAAACGGAAATACAGTTAAGTAATTAAGGGTTTGTTTGTCTAAATCCTAGGTCGATGGGATCAGTCTCATTTCGAGGGAAGAAACAAAGAAGTTGGGTACACATGTATAGGTCCTAAGCCGGCAGATTCCCGCAGCCCCGCTATCGATAGGCCAGCTATTACGGGAGACGGTTGAACGAGGCATCAAGGACGCAAGACTGATGCGCATATTAGAGTATTTAAGAGTGGGCAGTGCAATGATACGACGGGCTACTACGATGTAAGCGGATCATTCCATGTCCTCTGGAAGTCTCTGTTCGATCCTAATTGGTGCTTGTAGCGTCGAATGACACTCAAGCCCAGCCATCCAAGCTTCAAATTCTCCAGGCCGGAGATCTTCGGCCCATTCCCAGCACTATTTGAAATCATTGTGTAATGGAAGGGCAGAAAAGTGGTCTTCTTCGCATAAGTGGCGACATAATTCGTGCGGGCAATAGACATGCTCATAACTGAGAAATATCAGTATCGAGTGTACCCTTTTTGTCTTTATGAGAATACATGTAGTGTGCGACCGGAGATGGTCCCGAGCACGTTCCAATAATAACCTTTGTATGATTACGCACCGTACATACCGCAAGAATCCTCTCAATCCCAGGAAATACAATTTAAGAATTCGAAGTCAGAAAGGGGGGGGCTGAGAAGCTATATGTAGAAAGCTGCACGACTGTCACATGATATATCACGTGTCTTACACTTGGCAGCATGCGGCACAGTCAGTCAAAAAGCAAGCTCTTCACGAAGCAAAAACAGTACCAATACCACATCTTCTGTGCATGAAGAAAAAGTCTTTTCGCCTTCATTATTTCATACGGCACTGGCGGAAGGCAGCGATCCTTTATAATTTGTTTGCATCGCCCCCACCCTTACTCGCGGGGTTCTGATTGGCTAGCACTTGAGCTTCAGCAATTGACATTCCATTGGCACGCTCGATACCTATCGAATATGTATGCTTCTGTACTCTTTGCGATTTTCTTATCAGGCATGGGAGCCCATCTATCGTACTTCATACATGGCGAGCATCATGGTATGTTCATTCACGCGACTCTACACCCACTATTTTTTTTTTAGCTGAATTCCACATTGATAGATCAGGGCCCCCACCTTGCTCTGATGGTTCCAGTTTCTTGGACTGCATCGGATCTGGTTCTCTCAACCTTTTTACCATCTCTCAATGCCGCGACAGCGACTTCGGCAATATTCACATCTTTCGCTTGCGGCCTCTTCTCATCAATGGCGATTTACCGTCTCTACTTCCATCCCTTACGGGCCTTCCCAGGACCCCGACGTGCAGCTGTCAGCAAGCTTTGGCACAGCTCGAAGCTTTCAAACCTACAAAATCAAAAAATGCTCGAAAATTTCCGTCTGGAATTTGGAGATATTGTGCGCACTGGACCAAATGAAGTTGTTGTCATGAAAGCCGAGGCGTTCCCTGCGGTGCATGGACCGGGCTCCAAGTGTCGCAAAGCCCCTTGGTATGATATGCTTCAAAAGGAGAGATCGATACATACGACGAGATCGCCTCAACTTCATCAACAGCGTCGAAAAATATGGGACCAAGGGCTTAGTACAAAAGCGTTGCGGATTTACCAGGAACGTGTAGCGGAGCATGTCACGAGCCTCAGCAACAACATACGCGGACGACTCGGACAATCCAGAAATTGCACAGAGCTGTTTTATTTCTTTGGATTTGACGTCATGGGCGACACTGCTTTTGGAAAAGACTTCAACATGCTCAAAAGCAATATTCAGCATCCAATTGTCGAAATCATGAGGAGTGGAACTTATATCATGGGTCGACTCACCCCTGTTCCATGGCTAGTGACTGTGCTAGCTTCTCTACCCGGTGTAAACAAAAACTTTGAGAGATTGGAATCATATGCGGAGGAGCACATATACGCACTTTCCAAAGAATCTCAGGGAGGGGAAGGTGTAAGTTCTCGATCTGGATCACTCTACAGTACTCGAGCTGACGTTTTATGCGTTCAAAGATTATGTCGAAACTCATCGATGCCGCTCGGTCTCCTTCAGACCCACAAAAGATTGAAATGTACCATCTTGGTGCAGATGCAATGGTGGTCATAATAGCAGGGTCCGATACGGTGTCAATAGCTTCATCGTTTATGTTTTATCATTTGGCACTGAATACAGAACATGTCGCAAAGCTACGCACAGAGCTTGAGGGGGTAGACATCAGAGACAACCGCGCGCTCCAATCTCTGGTTCACCTCAATGCGTTGATTAACGAGACGCTGCGATTATATCCGCCTGTCATAACTGGACCTTTGCGACAAACGCCTCCAGAGGGACTCCAGATTGGCGAAACCTTTATCCCCGGGAATGTTACGATTTCCACTCCTTTATGGATACTGGGACGACTGGAAAGTAGCTATGAAAGAGCTTCCGAATTTCTTCCCGAGAGATGGTACAAGGACTCTACTATGATCAAAGACGCGCGTGGTTTTGCGCCGTTTCTTAGTGGCGTGTACAGTTGTCCCGGGAAACAACTGGCTTTGATAGAGCTGCGATTGCTAACAGCCGAGCTTGTGAGTCGGTATGACTTTCGATTTGCCGACGAAAGCAACAAGCACGCAACTGTTTCCAACATCAAGGACTGCTTCACTGCTATACCAGGACCGCTGGAGCTTGTTTTCGTGGAAAGGGCTGCGCATATCTGATCTTCACTCTGTGTTACATGCGTCGGATTGGTTTTCCTATGATGACAGCGGCCTGATGATCGACTGTGAACTGTGGGATGATTGATATATACAATTCGACTGATATAGCGAAAACAGCATTTACTTACGGACAAATTCCATATACTACGTGTACTCTGGTGACATGCTTATATTCGTTTTAGGGTCGGGGTCTACTTTTATGGGATCGCTCCTAAGTAATCGATCGGCAGAGCACAGTTCCGAAGACTCAATACTGAGGAGAGCTTCATCGCACATACTGATTTTTTGATTTTTGATGCCCTCAATTTATCATAGACACACAAACATATTTCCAGCTGTTCCCATCAAACGATATGTAACGTATACCAAGGATGCGGATGCTCCTCGTTCGGATACTCGCTATCCTCAAAAGAACCCTCGCACACTTCGGCAGCAGCTAGATGTCCTTCTTTCTTGTATGTATCCAAGAATGACTGAAACCGATCGTCTTTTTCTCCTTCATTCTTAATGGTCGATGTTAATTGAAAATATCCGATTCGCTCTAATCTCTTCTGTCCCGCGAGACTTCGCAGAACTATACCAACTATCTTGGGTACCTTAACCCACTCTGTTTGGTCTTTATATCTGATATTGATAGAGAAATATCGCATCGGTAAAAGGAAAACCGTTTGCTCCTTATCCTCAGATTGCTCGCCCCAGAAGTCATGATGGACTAACAAGCCCCACTTTTCGCAGATATCGATTTCGACGCTTGCGATATTTTGTCCGGGAAGTTTCCCAGCCAAAAGACCAAGACAATTAATCCGGAGCGCTCCTTCAGTACCATCTCCAAAGATGTCATCTGTTGCAAACTTCAAGTCTACCCCGGAGACAAAAGTGCGGAAAATGCCCGAGTCTGGGTAGTAATAGTCGGGATAGTCAACTGGGCCGTCAACAGAGGTCCAAGACCAGCTTGGTAAACGTTCAGAGCGACTCCCTGGGTCCTGCGCCTGCCAACACAGCTGATATGCTATCTCGGAATTTCTCCAGAGTCCTACAAGATATTCGTCTCCACACTTGTCATGGAACCATCTGGCAATACCCGATAGAGCGGGAAGTTTGTCTTTCGTAAATGTCAGATTCGCTGCCGAGTAAATCTTCACAATCGAGCTCCAGGCGGACACCAAATCAGTGTGCTTAGAGGCAAGACCTTTCAGGCGTGAATTCTCACTGATTTCAGGGGATGGGTAAGCATATGGTAGGCATTGACTCGCGGTTCGAGATTCGCATTCCCAAAAGGCTCCACGGTCTCCAATATGCAGGGTTCGAGGTGGCAAGAGCTTTTCCTGTAGCGTCCATGCACGGGTTGCTAGATGTGAACCAGTAACATGGTGGCTATATAGATCAAAATCTCGAAATTCTCGAGGTACACTTTGACCAGATACAACGACGTGGGTTCTTAGTCCGTCAATGTACTCTTTTGGCTGCGTGAATAGGCCCCCGTGGGGGTTTTTGGAGCTGGTAGCGGCAATATTGATATGAGAGCCACCGTATACGGCACCCATAGAGCTTGCTTCACGTCCCCAATCCTGGGGATCGTCTTGAATGATACACAGGGAGTCGATCCAGATGTATTCAACATGAAGACTTCTGGAGATGTGAATGGCGTCCTGAAATGTTTTTGGTAGGTCTCCCATCGGGATACCCCGCATGAATTGCTGATAACTACACGCGGTCATTTTGAGAAAAGGCTCTTGGCCCCAACAATGACTTAGAGTGCTGTATTGAGGCCGATCTTCCCAGCCCTTTGTAAGGACCAGTTTTGGTGGTTCACCAGCGATCGATAAAAGCCTAGTAGGCAACTTCGGCGGTCTATCGTGTTTGCACCTACGGTGCGATTCAATGCAAGAGTTGAGCCATGATCTTGCAACGTCAAGAACATCCATTTTGACCTCGTGCATACTCTCTGTATTTTGTCAGTATTTCAAAAAGGAAAAAACAGTCCGCGCATGATTACCATCGTTAGAGAGGATTGTAGTGTGGATATACGGCCGGGGAAACGTATATGCCCCACCCGGTAGGCTGAGCCACAACTCTTCAACATCAGACATGTCTGAAACAGAGCCGGAGGTTTCTATACATATGGATCCATTCTTGTTATTGTCATCTACCAGCCGTATCTCAATTCTCCGGCAGATATCCAGGCAATCAGCGTCTTTCATTCGTTGCATCATGTAAGAGCAAAACCAGCATCCGTTCCGTGCCGCAGCCTCAAGGACAAGTGAGTGATACTGTCGCAAGACGACATCTATTGTCGTATGCCACGGATCCCGCCCTTCGATCGCCGGGCCCCTCATATTGCTAAAGTCGGGCCAGTTGTTGAAAAGGTACAGGCAGTCGGCACAGAAGCGGTCCTGTATGGGGATTGATCGTTGCAATTCTGACACGCATGTTTCTATTCCTTCTAGATTGATTGTATCCGCTAGCATCTCTTCCATGAATGGCGAGAAGTTGCGCAGCTGACGGGCCTGCAAGTATTCCCCCTTCCATCTCGCCAGGGTCTCGGGATCGATAGCCAGCTGTTTTCGGAGGTGATGTTTAATCGTTTCGGAAAGAGAAATATGCATAGGCGCATAACAGGTGTGAAGAGGCAACAAAGACTCAGCCGATTTGGGATCCATGCGTAAATGTCGGACAGCAAATCAGAACGAGAGACCGGCGACTAGGACAGTGTGCAGACTCAAGAGTCTTGTGGGAAATAGCAGAAAAAAATAAAAGGAGCACTTGGTAGTTGCTCGATAATGTAATGGCGACTGTGTAATAAAGAGGGGACTGGAGCCTGGAGAGGCTTGGCTGGTGTGGCGTTTCTGTGCTGACCCCGCGTCATACAGGGGCTTGTGATGGAAGCGAAATCACATCAGTTCTCTATAACGTTATCTGTATAAAACCTGGATTTAACAAAGCCACTGGATTATGGAAGGAAGATATCAATAGATGGAAGAAATTACGTCACATAATACCTGACAATGCGATGATTTGATGAAGTGCCCAACTGCATGACTAGGGATATATCTCACGCTTCGGCCCCTAACGGCCTATCCCCTATCCGCTAGATCCGCTTGTCTGCTTCTCATACTCTGGAAAAAGAGTCCTGTCATGCTCGCCATATCTATCCTCTGCGATTCCCACCAAGATTCTTGTAATGGCAGCGTGTGTCCCACATATACTCCCCTAGGATGCAACCTGGCCATAGGCCACAGGCTGTACGGTCGCAAAGAGTTGGTAGCCAAAATAGGATAGAGATCGTCGAGGAGTATTCTTGAGAGGACTTTCAGCTCGCCTTTATATCCAGGGGATACCCTATCGAGCATCTGCTGATTGTATGGCAGAGTATCGATGAGACGAACGAATCCTCCACTGTCACCAAATGCAGGTCCATATGGAGGAGGCGGACGTATTTCTTCGGGAGGTGGAGTGGCATAGGAGCCATAGGAGAGGCTGTCAACAACAAGAAAGTCTCTTGTCCACATTCGGCCGAGGGTTGGAAGCGTGGTGTAAGTCGACGTAAAATGTCTACCGGCGGTTAGAACCTGGTCTTTCTATGCTATGCGCATGAAGATCTTACCGTTTTGCCGCCTCTACATCACCTTCCGCAATACCGAAGTTGCGACCATCGACATATTCGATACCTGCCATGTCCGCAATGGAATCATATCCTTGAATCCATGTGCCTGATTTGAAGACATCTGCTTCAAACTTTGTTCGAAAGGCTTCCCACTCCTCGTTACTCTGATTGTAGGTCAACCTATAACAGACGAAGCCCCATCTGTGTGTTTTCCGATCTTTTCCGTTTTTCAGGTAAAACTCCATGCGTTCTTCAGAACAGTGATCCAATACTCCTCAGCCAGCGGCTTTGGTTCACCGCGGAACGCTTTTCTCATCTCGGCTAGGTTGTCCTTGACCTGGTGATAATGGCCAATCATGGTCTCGCGATCCCGGAATATGGGTTCAGCCGGCTTTGAACGGCCTGCCAGAAAATCCAGGATATCAGTAGCATTGTGCTGAGATAGACTGGACTGTTGCTGCCGTTCCGTCACAATCTTTTCTAGGAAACTCCAGGACTTGGTGTCTCCAATTTTTGCGTTGTTCTCTTGACGGACTGGCAGGGACAGATCTGATGGGCCGCCCGGGGACGTATATCCTTTGAAACCGGTCATAGGAACATCCAAGCATGGGTCCAGACGGAGCATCATTCCATTCAGATCTTGCACACATTCGAAATACTTCTTGCCTGCGGCACCAATCGCATTCTCGTTACCGGCTTTGCTGAGTTCCTCATTGTACTTCTCGAAAGCGCGGCTACGGACCTCTTCGACTCGCTCGACCAGCCATTGGTGTGTTCTGCGCGCCGACGTGGTGACAATCGAACTATGGTATTCGGCCCACATGCCAGCGAGATTGAGTCTTTCTGGAATGCCTTGCGCCTCGCGACGAAGATTCGCGGCAGATTCAAATTCGGTGTACATGTCAACTACATTGTTGAAGCAATTGCGCATCTTGCCCAAAACTTGATCGTGGTTAAGCCAGGCGAAAACATTGAAGATGTCTTGCATTAGCTCAAACAGGCATCGATAGTTTTCGGGATCATCCATCTTTCTTTCGAGCCAACGCTCGCGACTCATGGGGACCATGCCATTCCAAAGCCTTTGCCTCAAAGGGTGTAGTCTTGCTGTGAAAGCCGTGATTGGTGTTGTTTCCTGGCTGCCAGAGTATATGGTTGTAAGTTTTTCACTGCAGAAATAGCCCAGATTGTTGTATGGTGCCGGCGCCCACTGGTTGTACGGTTTGTCCACGAGAGTCAGCTCCTCATCCGTTAATAACGGAAACGACGCCTTGCCACCACCTGGTCGGCGACCACCCTGAGCGTAATCAGCAAATCTTAAGAGGTCATGAGGTTGAAACAGATAATCGCCTTAATCTAGTTAGTCAGCCATTCGATTTTACTTGGTTGAAACGACGCACCATAAGTGAGCTTGTTCAGCTTGTCATGATCCCACGCGCTCCTGTCTCCGAAAATATTATTCATCTGCTGTTCAAGGAGATCAAAATCCATCGTTCTCAGAGAGTCGTCAAGATCGCCAGATGACGATGCTCCTCCTTGGTTGCTCATGATTGTACAATATGGATTTGATTGGCAGCAAATGAAAATGATCAAGCGAGCAATTGAGGGCTGGACAATTGTCCTAGGAATTCTGGTAATAGGGAAAAGCGTGGCTACACAAACCTGTGATTTCAAGCATGTTATTTATATGCTTCCCGCAAAATATCGTAGAGTCGGTTATCTAGGCAACAACCGGAGAACTAGGGTAGATCTGGTTCTTAGCCCCATCACCTCAAACCTAAAAAGGGAATTAGCTAGCATCCTTTCGCCTTTCGGGCAGTAGTGTACATCGTCGAGTAGGCATCAATCGTATTTTTCTCCTTGTGGGTTCGAATTTTGTTCTGGTCGCCAGATCCTTCGGTTTTGGCACATTGCACTGTCGCAGATCCATGAGTGCGGACTACGGCTATGACCAATCCCGAACCCGCTCCTCCAAGGCCCCCAGCGGGGTTCATCGGAATTCATCCCACTCGCCTGGATTGCGATATCTTTAGGAGGAAGGACTTCAAGCAATAGATTAAATGATATTCTGTCGCTCTGTCGATCTCGAGGGGCGCCAGCCCGGCTGCCCTTTTCTAACGCCAAATTCTCGACTATGCAAAGCATTCGCTTTCCGATCACGTCTACGATGAGATAAGCAACCAATTGTGATCAAGAAATTTGCTTGAATCAAACATAGTACCGTCAAAGGAATAACCAGAGTAATTTATGTCTATCGCATTGAATCTAAAGTTTACTAGCCCTTATTTTGGGCTTTCATCTCATTCTGAAATGAAACTACGCGGGCTCTACCCTGCTTTGGGAGTGAAGTCGGGCTTTTCTGAACACATGTGGAGTGATAGGCCAGTGTATCATGCAGTGGCGCCGCCTATTACAAGTTTGCATATCGCGCGAGTTCGAACACGAACGACAGACTTGCCTAAGTTCATGATAGCTACATAACCCGGAATCGTAGGTGCTTGAAATACCACTCAACTCTGGTCATTAGACGACTCGAAGTGCACAGTGAAATAAAATGCGTTCGAACAGTACTAAGATTCGAGATCTCGCGTCATCAAGATTTCATTCGACGACGGCGCAGTAGTAGAATTCCCCTTCGAAGCCGGTGCCATTGGCGCATTCGCCCTCCAACGTCTTCTCTCGCGCGGCTTCATCAGCCTCAACACTACATCTCCAGAATCGCCGCCGCTGGTCTACTATCGCACTTTCAGCAATCCGCTGGATGTCTCTTTGGCCATATCTGCGCTTCGTTATTCCCGGAAACTGAATGACCAGCGTGCAGTCGCTGGCTTTGCGCCTGTCGAATTGGCGCCTGGCAATAATGTAACCGACGATGCAGCACTGGAAGCTTTCCTAAGAGACCGCGCAATGGCGCCGACTTTTGGGCATGCGAGTGGTTCGACTAGTATGCTGCCAGAAGCGCTCGGGGGTGTGGTTGGGCCTGATCTGAGAGTCTATGGAACAAGGAGACTAAGTGTTGTAGATGCGGGTATTATGCCTTTTATTCCTGCGACGCATCTATGCACTACAGTCTAAGCGGTTGCGGAGAAGGCAGCCGATTTAATCAAAGCAAGAACAAACTGGTAAGAGCACAACCCGACGTAGTTTGATTTTTTTTGGTTGTTTGCGCCAGTCAGACCTCATGAGTTTGGAACCAAATTCGTCGTCAACATAGACAATGTGTTCTTATTAATTTATCCTTGAGATGCTTCCATTCTTTGGCTAGACATTATTGCATGAGTGTCAGTACGTTCTTTCATCCACTAGGCGAACTGTACTACCAAGAACGTGGTAGAAAAAGAGAAGATGTAATATGACACTACAGTACGTTTTTTCTAAGCAGGAAAAGTTCGTTAGAATGGGGCATGCATGTGAGATTAGCGAGCCCTGGACGTATATGTTGCATATTCGCAATGGCTAAGATCATACACGAATTCATCGCATCTCAGTTGAACGGCGCGCGACTTTCTCTACATGCAAGATCACCCATCATCCAGAACATCGTAGACTAAAACACGGTTTCACAGCACGAGACGGTATATACATTGCTCAACTACACTCTATCCATATTGACTTAAGACTGGAATCGCTTAGCGACTGTTCGTCCAGCCTGCACGTCCTTGACAGCTTGGATGATCTTGGGGCCAACCTGCTGGGCGATGAACTGATCGCCAGCACTGTTAGGGTGCACACCATCACCAGCCAACATAGCGTTTGTGTAGCCAGCCGCACGGGAGCAATCCGCGACCACAATCGGAGACTGCGCTGTACTCTGCTGAGACGCCCAGTTGGGGATCGCGCTGTTGACAGCCTCGATGGTAGCGTCGCTCCAGCTCGTAGGGATCATCTTGTCGATCTATTTGTTGGATGTTAGGAGGTTGTTCTTCTCGTGAATAACGTGTAGAATTCTGCGCTACAAATCGATGCTGATGCATCGTTAGAGGAGGAACCAGGGTGGAACTTACGATCACTTTGACGTTGGGGTTCGCCGCCCTCATCGCCTTGACCAGTGCCGTGTAGCTGTCCAAAATACTCTGCTGGTTCCTCTTTCCGATGTTCACATCGTTGGTGCCGAGCATGAACTGCACAACATCGGGCTTGGTGTTCTGAACCCATCCAGCAATGTTGTTGCGCGCAATGTCGTATGCCTGCCATCCAGAGTGACCCTCGTGGCCTTGGTCGAATCCAGACGGTTTCTGGCAGCTGCCGCCAATGCTAGACATGCTTCCGACGAAGTCAACCGAGTTCGCGAGGCCAGCGCTGGTAAGCTGGTTCCAGACAAGCGGGCGCCAGCAGGTGATTTCGGTTATGGAGTCACCGAGGAGCACTGCGACTAGTAAGTTTCCGAGATTCTATATCATGGAGATTTGATGGAGGTTTACGTACTGACTTTGACCTTTGCCTGAGCGGCAACGGTGGCCAACAGGCCTGCTGAGAGTGCGAGTTTCGAGAAATGCATCGTGTGTTCTGTTTTTGTTTTCGAATGAGCTGTGCTTTTTCCAAAGAACCTGATTTTCGTTCCATTCTGAAATAGAAAAACATCTCGCTATATATCGTCAAGTCTGTTTCACCCGGTGGTTTGATCGCCCATGTTCCGGCGGACGGATGATTGTACTCGCATACTAATTAGCAATATACAGGGATCATCTCTGCTGTGTGGGGTAGCTGTACACGATCTGTACCTAGCCACAAGATCCTATCTGCTTGCCATTTTGTGGCAATGAGTATACTTGATTGGTGGGAACTGCCGGTGTTCTAAGAATATTTTGTTTTTGTCGAATACATGGTGTGTGAACTCCGCGCCTCTGCACCAGACTTTACAGCGGCGATTTTAATCTATCGCGTACACTAGATGGCGACTTTTAATTAGATTATAGTAGTCCCCTGTTCGCTAGCGTCCGCCTGCCCGGAGATATTACTCCTACGAAGGTAGCTGCAAGCTGTGTCTCCAGTTGATCTAAGCATTTCTTGCTGGTTTCGCTGATAATCGATCGATGCTGTTTCCCCTGAAGTTGTGAAGTTCTCCATGAAGCTTTGTTGTACTTCTCTTTCACCCATCAACACTAATTTGGTCAGTGCTGTCGTAATAGGCTGCGTATACGCGGCATATAATCTAACCACGATATTACTGAGATTGCCACGTGGTACATACGGCTATCGAAGTAGGCAAATATGGGGAACACGACTTAACTTCACGGATGCATTCGCGCGCTATAGTCAAGATCAACATATCGGTCCACCGCTATGCGACTCGGCATCCTGGTAAAATCAGCTCCGCTGTTATTGTGTCCCTGAGCCTTTGTCATAATGCTTGTCTCCGATACTCTAAATTGACGCATCACTCTCAAAAGTCAAAACCATCTAGCGACCTTCAAACCACCGAAATAATTATCATTCCGAAACTTCAGGCTTCAACTTATCATATAGAAGGGTAGCTGGCAAGGACAACTGATCCTTAACAAAGTTTATGATTAAAGCGCACTGCTCTGCGAGCACCAAAGACCTTTAGCCTTTGCAGGCTTCCAGTGCCGCGCTTACGTACATCATCTCACTCCAGCAAAAGAAACTCTTCGCGCATCAGATCCCGCCACCTCGCTCAACTCACCCCAAAAACCCCTCCTTCCAGCTCATCCCCTCACCCACGCGCTCGAAATACTCCAGCTCAATTTCCTTCTCCCAAGTTGGTCGACTCTTCGCCCATAGCTCGTCGTAAAACTCCTCTTTCAACTGCACATTCTCGAACCACTCGCGAGTCGCGTCCCAGACTTCCACCATGCGGAAACGTCCTGGTGTGGCGGTGTCATGAAATACTTCAAAATAGAGACATTTCGGGTTCGTAGCGAGGTGTGCCCACACAGGACGATGTGCGGCTTTCCAGGTCTCCACTTCAGAAGGTTTAACGTGGAAGGTTACGAAGATTGTGAGGTGGGTTGGGGGCGATGTTGGTGTGGACATGTCGATGAGCTGGAGCGCTTCCTTTTTAGGGTCGATGAAGTCGATGGGCCGTTGTGCTCGCGATGGAGAAGTTGTAGAGGTAAATCACAGTCGCGCTAATTATGAGATGTTCTGGGCAAGGGTTGATGTAGAACTCTGGTTTGATACAAATACGGGTGGGAAAATTGGTTTTTCAAACGAGCTGTAGTCTGGTCGACGGTAGACTGATGCATACTAGGCAAAACGAGTAACTGCTTGTGTGGCGTTGAAAACTCTAGCAGCTTGATCTGACAAACACATCTATCGGATTTTGGGGTTACCCGAGTCTGGTGCATTAACTCCGGATCTGATCAAGCTTTCTCGTTCTTTGGTGCGATCAGATTACGTCTTTGCGATAATCCTTATCGCTTGATCAGTATTTCGCAAGAGTTAGATTACAGCTTACGATCTTACCGCTCGTAACAATCTCTATGCCAGTTCTGCTACATGTCATAACAGAAGTCTGTCGTCTACCAGTACGAAAGGGTACGCTGTCAAACGCGTATGTTCGCATATTCATTCCCGTAGTTGATTGCGTCTCTTCGCATATTCAATCGTGCGAAAGATCAATTGCCGTGTTTCCCGTAGGCTGTGTTGTGCCAAATACTATTCATCGCCATAGACTCAAACTTATATGTACCATTGGTGGGAATCGATTCATTATACAAATACAAGAGCAAAAACTTGAACAGATGCCAAAGTGAGAAACGTTTTGCGATTTCAGCCAATCAAAAAGTAAAGCTCCTCATTGGCTAGCGGTATGGTCAATCTTGAAAGTAGTTCGTATAGTAGTAGATGTAGTTTCGTTTGCCCTCATTTATCTACATTCATCGATGGGCTCATTGTGCAAGTAGCCACTTTAGCGAATAACTATGGCCCAGTCTAGACTCCAGAGATAAGCTCATGTCTCGGAATAAATGCTTAGTCTAAGGCGTAGCGGTCTTCCAAGTATGTCGATCTTCCCAAGAAAAGTGAATGCAATCTCAAGGATCAAGGCCCATCGCGGGTCTACATCAGCTATCTTTCTGATATTATATACTTTTGTATGGAAGCATTATTAGCATCGACTTGAATAAGCTTTTTGAAATCATTTACGTTCTGTTCACATAATGTCGCAGCGCTCTTGGTATGAACAGGGGACCGATTGAGGCTGGGTACATGCTACCCAATCAGGCTAGCGCTGTATACCGTGCTTAATCGCAAAAGGGGAAACGACAACGCATCGGACGACTCTGGCAAACTTCTTTTTCTTCACATCAAACAGCTTCCCATCAGAGAAAAATAAAACGGTCGCTCCCGAATATCAATGCAGTAATATACGGTACCATACATGGAAGAAAAGGCCCGTCAATTGTGGGACAACTTTTGCTCTAAGCACCCAACGCTTAGCTCCCGCTTAGTAGCTTTAGCTACCGCTATTAGGCCTTATGTTCCACCCGCCAACTTCATCACGATACATTATGCCTACTTCGTCGTCACGACCATCATAGGTACATTGATCTTCTGGGGTGCTTCGTCCCCGCCTCGCAGCATTGGATGGTGGGACAGTTTGTTCATGGTGGCGTCGGCTGTCACCGCGAGCGGTCTCAATACAGTCAATGTCAGCCAATTGACGACGTTCCAGCAGGTCGAGCTGCTGGTTTTGATGATCATCGGTAGTCAGGTGATTGTGTCATGGTTCACCATCGCATTCCGGAAACACATCTTCGAAAAACGTTTCGAAGATATTGTGGAGCAGGAGCGGGCGAAGAGGAAGAACAAGCCATCCAAAACAGGTTCCGTCGTAGGCATGGCAGGTGCCATGTTTGGAGTTCCTGTCATGTCTACTTTTGGCAAAGGTCGATTGAGAAGCCGATCACGACCGACCAACAAGGCGAATGGCTCAGATCCTCTGGATCTGGAAGAGCTTGGGCGCGAAGAAACGTTGGTCCAGAACGCGCAGGATCCAGTCGATCCCAGTTCTGCCACTGAAGAGAGAGCTCAAAATCAACAACATATCGGGTTTCTCGAGCCCATCCGCGAACACGATGGCTCAGAAGCAGCTCCAACGACGGGACATTCGATTTACAAGATCCGTTCCCAGGGCGGCGAATCCATGTCCATAAGGCGAAGACCCAAGACAGCCGACTCTGGAATGTCAGACAAGTTCAACGTCAAAACTTTTGTGACTGAGCAAAAAAGCAACATCGGCAAGCACGGCCAGTTTTTCAATCTATCATCGGACGAACGCGAATATCTGGGTGGCGTCGAATACCGCTCTCTCAAGTTCCTCTCTTTCTTTGTCATGGCGTACTTTGTACTCTGGCAGCTGTTCGGTGCTATCGCCCTGGGAGCTTGGATGTCCGTCCACGAGACTGAAGCCACCGCGGTCAATGCTCAGAATCCATGGTGGGCCGGCATCTTTCTTGCTATATCAGCGTACAACAACACTGGATTCACTTTGCTGGATGCGGGGTTTTTACCCTTTCAATCTTCGTACTTTGTTCTGACGGTAGTCACTATCCTGTCACTGGCTGGTCCAGCGGCTTACCCAGTTTTCATGCGCTGCACCATCTGGACCATGTCCATACTGCTCAATTTTTTCCGTCGACAGAAGGACTATGGGGTTTGGAGGGAGGGTTTCGACTTCATACTCAAGTTTCCTCGCCGAGTGTACATCAGCATGTTTCCGCGCAGAGACACGTGGGCATTCGTAATCACTTTTACCTCGTTTGTGGTAGCAGACTGGATTCTTATCCTAATACTGGGAATTGGAAACCCGACCATGGAGGCTATACCTGTTGGCCAGCGAATTTTCATCGCTCTCTTCGAAGGTTTTTGTAAGTAACACCACGTAGCGCGGCTATGCACACCCCACGACCCTGCTAACTCTACATCTACAGCGATCCCTTCCGGAGGCTACGCCATTGTCGCCCCATCAGCCATGTATCACGACGTGCAAGTCCTCTGGCTCGTCATCTTCTACACGGCCGCATACCCGCATATTATCACGATGCGGCGAACCAACGTCTACGAAGAGCGCGCCCTCGGCATCTACGAAGGCGACCACGCCGAAGTAGAGCAACTCCACTCCGCCAGCAGCAGCCTCTTCGACGTCGACGCCAACATCCCCACCCAAACCCTCACCAACGATGAATCCACCCTCGAAACCTTGACCCCACAATCCCCCTCTGGAAGACGCCTTCCCGCCCTCGCGCGCCGCGGCACCTCCTTCGTAGGCCGCCAGATCCAAAACCGCATGACGTCCTTCCAAGGCGTAGGCGTCGCGAATAAACCGACTACTTCCTCCTCAGCCCCTACCCCGCTCCGCCGAGCCGCAGAAGTAGATTTCTCCCGCGCGTCTATTCATTCGTTGCAGAACCACCCTTCTACCGCTCCCCCGAGTCTTCTATCCCAGCAAGTCCGCGGCCAACTCAGCCACGACGTCTGGTGGATCGCGCTCGCGCTGTTCATCATCACCATCATTGAAACGCGGCACTCAAAGGATGACCCGGTCACTTACAGCGTGTTCAACATCCTCTTCGAGATCGTGTCGGGCTACACGAACATTGGAATTAGTATCGGGTTGCCGGATCAAGCGTACAGTCTTACGGGCGGCATGTACACGGGGAGTAAGATTGTGATGGTGTTGGTCATGCTTAGGGGCCGTCATAGAGGTCTTCCGGTTGCGCTGGATCGCGCGGTGAGGTTGCCGGGGAAGAAACTTGCTGAGCAGGAGGAAGAAGATGCCGAGATTAGGAGTATGTTTTCGGGCGTGGGATCGCCTTGATTCTTCCTAGGGGTTTCTATATAGACTAGGGGGCACGATTTTCGGGTGGCTTTTGTGCGAGTTTTGGGAGTTGCTCGTTGTACGTGAATTATATGTAGGCATGCGATGGAGCTGTGTACTCGACACAAGAGGAAGAAAAAGGAGTAAAAATTCCCAATAAGATTTTCTTAGTCAAACGAACAAAAAAAATGACTATAGACCCTCCGACTCCTGGTCGTTCCTCCACCCCCAAGCATACTCCCAATACAACACATCCAAACGATCCTACAAAGCATAATCATGAATAGCCTGCGGGCCCTGCTCATTATAATCCGGACGGGTCATATACCCCTTATTCTGGCCCTGATCCACGACGAAAATAACTTTTGCAGCAACCTGCGCGCCCAAAAACGCGCTCTCATCGAATCCGACTTCTTTCCACTCTGGAAAATACTCTGGGGGTTTGACAAGTTTGATAGAGGTAGGGGTCTGGCCGTGCGATGAGTGCTGGTTGTGCGAGGACAGGCCTTGGAGGGGGTTGGGGATGGGACTACCGCCGTGTTGGGACGAGGGCATGAGGTGTTGGGTTTGGGCAGTTGTAGCGGCGTAGAGCAGGGGGTTCACGTGAGAGGGGGCGGCGGGCATGCCATGAGGGGTGGATGAGGGTTGCGGGGTGTTTGCGCCGGTGCCGGTTGGGGTGGAGATGTTGGAGGGGATTTCGGAGGTGAAGATTGTGGCTGAGGAGGGCGAGATGAGGTATTTGGCTTGGATGGTCGCGAGGAGAGCTTCTTTGAAGCCTGGAGGACGCGTTAGCAGGTTATGAAGGTAGAGTAGAAGATGCGATGGGGGTTTACCAACCTCGTACTTTGGATCCGTTTCCACAGACTACTATCGCATCCCAAAGTTCGCTGCGCTTGTTGACCTCGTCTACCGAGGAGATGGTACGGTGTACAGCGTCTGCGATTGTCTCGAACATGGGGCTTTCGGATGGTAGGAAACGCTCAGTACCAACTTCGATTTCTCGTCGGATAGACCCGTTTCGGGTATTCGACAAAGTGGCCTCACCCGTGCCATTGGTTTCCACTCCTGTAGCGGGCTCGCCTTCGCCTGCTTCCTCTCCTTTTCTTTGCGGGCCTTCGTCGAGCGCAGCGTGTGCTTCGGCCAACTTTTCGCTTCCTAGGTTCATGTTTTTAAGATTGTCCAACAGCGCGTGGTCTTCGTACAGAAATGCGGCCTTTTCACGTTTCGAGTTGGGCAGCCTGACTGGTTTGGCGGCGTTGGCTGCTGCCGCTTCACTGGCACCCTTCTTTTTCGCGACCACCTTCTCCTGCTTTTCCTTATCCTTCTTGGCCAAATATTCCTCCATTTTACCCCCGGCCACAATACTTGCAACGTCAAGGACACCCTCGGCCTCTTCTGGGTTTGTATCGTCGCCAACTTCGGTATCGGCGCCAGGTCCGCGGGGAGCATTGCCTATCGTCGCGGCGGCGGCAGGGCCCGATCCCGGGGCGCCAGTGGATGCCGCAGCGGCGGGGTTGGTGACGACTTCCTGTTCGGCCTCTTGCGTACCTGGGAGCGGGGTGTCTGGGGGTAGGATTTCGCAGATGGGACTTCTCTTGAGCTGTTCGCACATTTCTCTGTTCAGACCCTTTGACTTTAATCTCGCCAGAAGCTGCTGGGTCAGCGCTTCGCCTCCATAACCAGATAGGGACATGACGCGGCCCTGGGTGTGTGGTATAAATTCACTAATGGCCGTGACATCCACCTTGCCCTTGCCTACGTCGATGACGGTCGAGGTATGTATGCCGTATGCCCATGCGGTGGCCAGAGCGGCGTCCATGAGGCTGAATGCGGGCGTCTTGAACTTCTCGAAGAAGAACTGGGTCAGCTTCTCGTGCTCCTTGGGGGTCCACACAGGCTGAGCGATGAGAAGAATGGGGGTGTGGAAGGGCGGATTCAGGGCGTTGTAGACGTGGGTGATGAGGGCGAAGAAGCAGGACCAATTGACGATGCGGCCGTCCTGTATGGGCCACACAGCGCCATCTTCTGTGATGCGGTCCTCCTCGTACTCGAGATCGTCGTCGCCGTTGGCGGCGGTTGCGTCGGGCGGCGGTACAGTGGTTGTTGAGGTTGTCGCATCGGCGGCGGCAGCGGGCTTTGGTTGGCGCCGGCGCACTTTGAAGGGCTCCCACTCGCCGTCCTTTTCGGCGGCGAACATGCGCGAGCGCACGCGCAGGCGGGCCGGTGTGAAGGACTCGGGCAGGCCGAGCTGGGCGACGGTGGTCTCTGACCCCGGCGCGATAATCTGTTGTTGTGTACGTCAGCCAGGCAGTCAGTTGGAGAGGGATATGTGGGTCGTGTGTACTATTATCTGGTCGTCCTTGAAGGGCGGCATGGCTGCGAGTTGCGATCAGTCAATGTGTGGGTGTGATGATCGCGATGATGGCGAAAGGTGGTTGTGATGCTTGTTGTTCGGATAATCGAATTGAGCCAATCGCGACGGGCAGAATGGCCCCGTTGTTGGACGGCAGCTCGTGGGTAGTTGAAGCTGTGAAGTCGCGTCAAGCGCATCGCAAAATCACGGGACGCGTTTTCTCTTGGCGTTTGGCCTCGCTGCCACCCCCACCTCCACCTCCACCTCCCTCTGTCTGTCACAAGCCAAAGGATTCTGTCCATGATTTTTTTTTCTTTCGACTCTCTTCATTCCATCCTTCTCACTCGGACTAGCTAGGGGCTCTGATACGTACATACCCACCCACCTACATAGTTGATTCAAGACAGACCATGAATACCTCGGTCGCTACCTCTCTCGCCAAACAGCCGCCCGCCTTGGTTTCGCCTTGACTCCACCTCCCTCGCTTTCTTTACTTACTCACCTACATACATACGTATCATATCGTTGATAACAACTGCTCCAACAACAACATGCGCCTCATTTGATCTACCAAAATCTCATCCTGCCGCTGCATTCACTGTCCCCTGCTCGAGTGCCGAATCTTCATTCCGTCAGTCGGCCCACCCGTCATGGCTGTTGACGCTGCCGTTAATGTGACAAATGCCGTGACCACCGCCACACAATCACCCCTCGCAGCTACAGACAATGCATCTTCATCCACCTTTGGCCTTATGGGCCGCGTGATTCTCGCCTCTTTGCGTGTTCTACCCGGCACACTGATCTGGATCATCACATTCACCACCATCACCCTCCCCACATGGCTCTTTACCCTCTTTTCCATGAGTCTGACCTTCACCATGAATTTCACTACCTTGTGAGTTGCTCTCCGCCGCTTGCTTGGAGAATAAATACTTATCTAGACTTCTTCTAGGATGTTGATCCTGGTTTTACTCGTCTCCACAGTCAGCTACTTGGTCCGCTATCGCTTTATGAATCTCTACACTAGATTACCCCCGGAGCCACAACGCGATGAACCTCAGATCGAGGTTTTCCCGGATTCTCAGGAGGGGGATTCCAAGCGCGGCCTCGCCAACTACTTCGATGAGTTCCTTAGTGCCATCAAGGTCTTTGGCTACTTGGAGCGCCCCGTGTTCCACGAGCTCACTCGCACCATGCAAACCCGAAAGCTAATTGCCGGCGAGACTATCTTGCTCGAGGAAGAGAACGGGTTCTGTCTGGTGGTTGATGGTCTGGTTCAGATCTTCGTCAAATCCAATCGGGAAACCTCTGAATCCGATGACGAAACCATATCCACTGAGCAATCCGGTGATCATCCAGGCCGAGGAGGTCACAGTCAGGGCTATCAGCTTCTCACTGAGGTCAAGAATGGGGCTCCCATGTCCTCGCTCTTTTCCATCCTCTCGCTCTTCACTGAAGACGTCAAACTTCGTCACGAAGGGGATGACGATGCCGATCCAGACTCGGGTATACCTGAGTCACGCCCATCCATGTCCAGGAACAGCAGTTTCGCCATGAACAACTCACGCCCACAAACCCCCGATGCTCGAACTTACAGACATGGGAGAACTTCCAGCTTGGCAAGTCCTACAGCTGGAGGACGTCTACCTAGTGTTCCGCCTCTTACGTTGGATCTAAACGACCCCAATGATCCGGCTCGACGGTCTCATAATGATCTGCGAAGAACTGAATCCAGGACAAAGCCCAAATCTGCTCACCCAGATATTGTGGCGAGGGCCAAAGTCGACACCACCATCGCCATTATACCAGCAACCGCCTTTCGACGTTTAACTCGCATATATCCCAGGGCAACTGCCCACATTGTTCAAGTCATTCTAACTCGTTTGCAACGTGTCACGCTAGCGACGGGTCATGCATATCTGGGCCTGACGAGCGAGGTTCTGCGGACCGAAAAACTCATGAACTCATTTACAACATACGATCTGCCCGGTTTCCTACGCGATTCTCCTCTTCAGAGACTCAAGGACAAGTTCATCAAAGAGACCGAGCGCATCGGCCCCGAAGAGGGAATGAAGGGCATCGCTCTACACAACCCAGGTGCCGGACGTCGACGGAATCCTAGCATCTCCCTCAGAAAAGGAGCTGCTGCGCACGCGCGTCTCGCATCCGCTCGCGGACCATCCGATCCACAAACTCCGCAGAGTGACAGATTTCCATTACCTACGACGCCTGAGGCTAGCAATGATAGAATCAGTGCTGGCGATCTGTTGACCAACACACAGATGCTTCGTGGAGGGGGCCGACAAGGGCGATACAGCTTTTCGCAACCAGTTCATCAAGAAAACCGCCGCGATGCCCGCACTCCATTGGACGCTAGTAGTTTCAACCCTTTTGCATCGCCGCTAATACGACCAGCAGCATTGCAAAGAAAAGAGTCAGTAGATGAGGCTGCCATTTTCCGAGAATCCGTGCTCGACTGCATGTTCAAGGCCATTGGTCTAACAGATCTGGAAAATCCATTGCCGAAACCACAATCGGTTGAACAATCCCCTCGTTTGGTCTCTTTCGATGCGAAGCGACAGAAAGCCATCTTTAGTAATGCATTTGGCTTCATGGATCCGTACGAAGCGTCTCGAGATGGGGATACTGAATCGGTCATCTCGGCTTCCGCACAGTCCGCACTGAGTATTGGCCACCAGAACATTGTAGAGGACTGTGTCAATGATGTTGAAATTGTTTTCTTTCCCAAAGGTGCAGTTCTTGTGGAACAAGGTGAACGTAATCCAGGCCTTTACTATGTCATTGACGGATTTCTCGATGTCGGCGTGCCGACAGAAGAGGATGACGCGGAGCACAACATTCTCGGCACGGCTCCCACGTCGTCTACAGAGACCACCGAGGCTGAACTATTTGGTGGCTCCATGCCAAAGCGTACACCATTGCAGAACAGCTCATTCTTGAATGATGCCGCGAAGAAAAGACGGGCTAGAAAAAGTTTGTTCCTGACCAAACCTGGAGGTCTTGCTGGCTATCTAGGCACCGTGTCATCGTATCGCTCTTTTGTGGATGTAACGGCGAAGACTGATGTTTATGTCGGATTCTTGCCTAGAGCCTCAATAGAACGGATAGTAGACAGATATCCGGTTGTTTTGCTGACTATGGCCAAACGCCTGACTACCTTGCTCCCGCGTTTGATCTTGCATATCGACTTCGCCTTGGAATGGGTGCAAGTCAATTCGGGACAGGTAATCTACAACCAAGGAGATGAGAGCGATGCCATCTATATAGTTCTTAACGGACGCCTACGAGCGATCAAAGACGGCGCGGATAACGCCATGAAGGTCATTGGCGAATATGGTCAAGGAGATAGTGTTGGGGAACTCGAAGTGCTTACGGAGTCGACGCGCCCAGGCTCTCTGCACGCTATTCGTGATACAGAAGTGGCCAAATTCCCCAAAACATTGTTCAACAGCCTCGCTCTCGAGCATCCCGGCATCACAATCAAGATTTCAAAGATCATCGCCTCGCGTATGAGAGCACTCGTCGACGACCCCCTCCACGAACAAGGCAAAGAAGTACGGTCTAAAGCTACATCAACCGTTAATCTCCGCACCGTTACCATTCTCCCCGTCACTGCTGGAGTTCCCGTTTCAGAATTCGCTAGTCGCCTTACGAACGCCTTGACTCAGATTGGCACACCCAACGGCGTGGTTTCTCTCAACCAAGCGGCCATCCTCAATCACTTGGGCCGACATGCCTTCAATAGGATGGGAAAGCTGAAGCTGTCCCAGTACCTTGCTGATCTCGAAGAAAAATATGGCCTCGTGCTGTACGTTGCAGACACGCCTGTTAAATCGCCGTGGACACAGACATGTATCAGCCAAGGTGACTGCATTCTGCTTGTTGGTCTAGCAGAGGGCTCGCCAAGCATTGGGGAGTATGAGCGGTTTCTGTTAACGACCAAGACCACAGCCCGTAAAGAGTTGGTGCTTCTGCATCCAGAGAGATATTGTGCGCCAGGTCTCACGCGTAAATGGCTGCGCAATCGTTCGTGGGTCAATGGCAGCCACCACCACATACAGATGCCATTCCGGACTACAGTTGAGCCCGTTCACCCAGTTGGCCGTCGCTTTGGCACTGCGATCAAGCAAAGGGTCCAAGTGCTGCAAGCCGAAATCCAAAAGTATACCTCACGTCGTGTCCGACAAACTCCATTGTACTCGGCAGAAACCCCGTTTAAGGGCGACTTTCATAGACTTGCGAGGCGACTGTGTGGGAAGTCTGTAGGACTGGTATTGGGAGGTGGCGGTGCGCGAGGCATATCACAGGTGGGCATCATCCGTGCGCTCGAGGAAGCCGGAATACCAATCGATATTGTCGGCGGCACATCGATCGGCTCTTTCATCGGCGCGCTTTATGCTTGGGATGCTGATGTGGTGCCCATGTATGGGCGAGCCAAGAAGTTTTCGAGCCGAATGGGTAGCATCTGGAGGTTTGCTCTTGACCTCACATACCCTTCGTAAGTTGACAGCGCTTCCACGATTCATGGATCTCACTGACCACCGCTTCCAGTGCATCGTACACGACTGGTCACGAATTCAATCGCAATATCTTCAAAACCTTTGGAAATTCCCAGATCGAAGACTTCTGGCTAGAATACTACTGCAACACGACCAACCTCAGCAAATCCCGCACAGACTTCCACACCTCCGGCTACGTCTGGCGCTACGTCCGCGCCTCCATGTCCCTCGCCGGCCTCATTCCCCCGCTTTGCGACAACGGCAACATGCTCCTTGACGGTGGCTACGTCGACAATCTCACAGTCACACACATGAAATCCCTCGGCGCAGACGTAATCTTCGCCATCGACGTCGGCAGCGTAGACGACGACAGCCCCCAATCCTTCGGCGACTCCCTCTCGGGCTTCTGGGCCATCTTCAACCGCTGGAATCCTTTCTCCACGTACCCTAATCCCCCAACGCTCTCGGACATCCAATCCCGTCTCGCATACGTGTCTAGTTATGACGCGCTCGAGCGCGCGAAGAACACGCCAGGTTGCAGATATATGCGCCCGCCGATTGATCAGTATGGCACGCTCGAGTTTGCAAAGTTCGATGAGATTTACCAGGTTGGATATGTCTATGGGAAGGAGTTCCTCGAGGGGCTCAAGGCTAAGGGCGTGTTGCCTGTTACCGAGGAGACGGAGAAGGAGAGGGATCTGAGGAGGACTATGGCGCCCAGACGGGCAAGTATTTGAGGTTAGTTTCCATATATGGGAACGAGTAGCAAGAGAAAGGTATTTCTGGAAGCTCGCCTTTCATTTTTATTTTTTTCGTGGGAAGGAATTTCGTTTTCCTTTCTTAGAATTAGAAATAGAAATAGCCTACGCTTTGCTTTCCCCGCCCCCGCTTTAAGACTTGTGACATTTCTCGTCTGCAATCACGCTCGATTTGAAACAAATAAAACAAAGTACTCTAATATAATGATGTACGCGTATACAATTTTCTCTATTATACTTACTAGCAATTCTTAATAACGTAAATGCGTACGCACATAATTTGTTTTACTTGAAATATTGTATGCAGTACCGCTTATTAACATAGTCCTGTTTCTCTGTCTTTAATCCCCCCCCCCCCCCCCCCCCCCTCCCCCAATAATAACTTTTCTTGTTATTCCTCTAGTACTAAAACTAAGCAAAGTAATTATAATCGTCTCAGCACCTTTTTACAAACTAACTAACTAATAATACCTATAACTCTTATATATGCAAAAAAAAAAGAAACAATTGCAACTTGTTATGTATATACACGTGTAGCTGCTTTTTTCTAAACGCATACTTCTAGCTCTTAGCTTTGTAAATAATTTTCTCCTGTATAGTAGATTATAGAAACTTACTAGACAAGAGCTGAAAAAAATAATAAGTGTAAGAAAACTAGATGCAAGAGAGAAAAAAAAAGATTCTAATTTTTTTTAAAGCTATCTTGTTTTTGTGTGCAAATAAGCTTATAGACAATTGTTTTATAGAGCTAGCTAGTGTTATGTGTGATATAGCGCTCGCTAGAAGGGAAAAAAAAATTACATTTAACCTGTTCTTTCTTTCTGTGATTAGTGTACAAGAGTTGTTGTCAGGTTGTGTTGATCGCAGTGATGTTGAATTATTAGAAGTGGTGGAAGAACGGTGCAGTCGGAAACTGTGGGAGGAAATGCTTATACAGGAGTATTATTCTCTACATTTTTTTAAATACCATGTGGGTGAGCTAAATGAGAACAGGGTGGGTATCTATATTTCTATCTATTCAATTGACTTGATTTCCCAACAGGGGAGAGGAAAGGCAGAGAGAAAAAAGTCGTGGAAATGCAATTATGCCGCTTTCAAACGCCAACAATGCGAGGTAAGAGATGAAAAGATTACTCATCGACAACATCAACGCCAAACCTGCCCTTGGTACCCCTCAATCCTTCTTCGCCGGATGAACCAGTGACCAACTGATCGCGCTCATTAGGGCCTTCGTCTCCGCTTCCATCTTCATTCCCGCTTCCGGTTCGATCCGGCCACCACCTTAGAGCAAACTTCTGCTCTTTCTTCACCTCTGCATCGATAGTGTCCATCTCGTCGACCCAGCGACTCCCAGCGACCAAGCTCATAGTCCCCGCAATGGTTCCAGGGTTGTGCGGCAGCGTGCCTCTGACTCTAGCCAGCGAAAGGGTGACCACGCCGCAAGCAAGCATGACACCGAGCAAGATTTGAAGGATGAGTTTGGAAGTAGCGTCCATTTTCATTGTGGTTTCTGATCGACGGACGGTACCGTTGAAGCTGCGTACATTTGTCGCGTTGAAGGGGAGAGGCGTGTTCTCATCGGGCAATTCCGTCATGTTTCGCCGCATGTTGAAATGAATCGCATGCGCCATGTATTGTCGATAGAGGTGTTGAACGGCATCCAAGAGCTTGTCCCCGTTCTCGAGGCCTGCGAAGTCTTCGGGTGACGTGTTTGGTGCTTCGACAATGTTATCGATTATGGGGTCCCAACGCCTATCCTGGTCGTCTAGAACGGTGAAACCTCCTGATGGGTGACCCACCCGGCTAAGACTTGCAGATATCTGGTTCTCGATGTGGTACGGGAAGGCGGATATGCCGGCTGTACCGTTCGTGAGGAAACGGACGCTCGATTCATCGGTTTGTGGAGTTCCAATGACTTCGATCCGGTCCCTGCCGTCTTCGATAGATACCACCTTGAATTCAACCCGGGTCTGGACTTCCTGAAGCTGCTGTAAACAGTTAAAGGCAGTGATGTCTTTGGGCGACGTATTATTTTGCACTTGAAGAGTTCCGAAAACGAGCAACAAGGAAGGGCATCCGTGTGGCTCTGGGGGACATTCGACCTGGTCACAGTTGAGACTCTCATTCCTCGCGACTGTTGGCCAGTCACGCAGCATCCCCCCGAAACCTGGTTTCGGGACTTCACCAACCCTTTGACTGTAGCTAAGTGCGTCTCTGAATACGATAACGTCTTTTACGGGACATTGCGGTGGTACAAGGGAGGCTACCGAGACACTGACTAAGTGATCGTATATGGTAGTTTCATACGAGATGTGTTTAGCTTCGTTGGGAATCTTAACACATACGAGATTTGCCCTGAGGGTTGGCAAGTCTATGACATGGGTGAGATTTCGGCTTTTCGGTGACGAGGAGGAGGCCGCGGAGTATTTATCGATATGGAACATTGGAAATGCCAGTTCGCCCCACGTATACTCAGGACCAGACATATTCTTATGAAGCTGGAGATCCAACGACGCTGCTGCGTAGTTATCTATCCCGAATTGACTGTTTAGCCATAATGGATTCCAGGAATCAAGTCTTTGGACGATTACACTGCTCTCCTTAGTCACGTCAGAATCCAATGTCCACAGGCCCGATGAAATAATTGTGAGAAAAGCGCCGCAAAAAACGGCCAGTCTGGAGCTGGCTGCGCCAAAATGTCTGTGTCGAAGGGCTACCCACAGTCCCTCCACAGCATTACGTCGCACCAGATTGTTTTGGACGGTTCGGCGAGCGGTCGTTGGTGATCGTCTTAGAGAGATCAACGGACTGAACAAGGATACCGTGTAGTCTAGACTGCCGAAGAGTGTGGACACGCCGAAAAGTACAAGAGTAGATGCCCAAGAAATGTAATCTCGTACGAGATGATCATCGATTGTCAATAAACCTTGACGTTGATCGGAAAGACGTTGAAGTACCTCGAGCGCAACGATGACAGCGACTACGAGGGTGACTGTACATACAATCGTAGTGTATTGAATAGAAAAAGGGATCCAAGGCTTCCTTTTTGTGTCCGATGAACGTTTGCGGTCCTTCGAGGTCTTTGGAGTAGCGTCTCCGCTGCTGATTGTGGCTTGTAATTGGCATGAGCCTGGTGAGGTTTGGAATTTGTACTTCTCGAGGCGCTCTGCCAATTCCTCGTTGTTTGCGTGCCCTAATCCACTTAGTATGTCGCTCACGTCAGAACTACTAGACTTGAGGCAAATCGCAGATGCCTCGACAGTATCCGGGGAGTGCGGCACCACGTGTACCGGACGTACAAATGCAAGGGTAGCTCCAAGTACAGTAAGTATAGCAACACACGAAAACATTAACCATAAAGACACCGCGTTGATGTGCAGGCGTTGTTCGGTGTTGGTCAAAAATCCCATGCCACTAGCATCATTGGGGACTGTCATGTTTAAAGCTGCATATAGCGCTGACAGGCCACTGAAAACATCTTCGGCTGCTGCAGCCATGCGCCGGACGTCCACAAGAGATTCGAATGGAACCGGGGTCGCGCCCGCAAAGGTTTCCATTAGCTGGAACAGACGGACGAGTCCTCCAGCCATGTGGAATTTGCCTGCAGCCCCCGTCTGGTTGATTGGAAACGCGAAGTCCGAATTCGCGAATGTACTTGTAATCGCTTGGTTGAGCATGATATCGGTCAAATTGTGCAGGTGTTTATTCTCCGAACGGACGTGGTCGCCGAGGAAATATTGTGAAGGAATGCCGTCATCGCCAAGCACCACAGTCAGTGGGGCGGTCGACATTGTATACTTCAGGTCACATATTGCCGAGCTCACTTTGTTTACTCTTCCCGACCAACTAGTGACGTTGCGTACTATATCGTTGCCAGGGATTTCTTTCGGGGGCCCAAGCGTCATGTTGTACGATATATCGAGCAAAAGCAACATCCAGCGATAGTTTCCATCGGAAGCCTCGTAGGTCTTCCAATCAGTTTCTGATTTTTTCTTGGAGGGCTGGGAGCAATTCTGCCATACCATCCAGGGTGTGATCTCGTGGGAAGGCCACGGTTCCCTGAGTGGCATATCTATCTCTGGGTACCAAAAGTCTCTTCTCTTGACTTCGAAATTTTTCACATGACAATTCGGTGAATCCACGTCGATATGAAAGGCCAAGTTCGGGTTGGGATTATCGGCGCCTGGTGGTGGCCTGAGTTTTCTCTTATTCAGTCGGTCTGGGATTTTCATATCGGGATCCAGGATGGTCACATCAGCCGGTTCACAACGTGTCTCAGGAACGAAGACGTCGACCATGACTGTCAGATTCGAGCCTTTGGGAGGTGAAGATCCATCAAACACGAAAGACTGGTAAGCTCTGTTGTTGAGAAAGCCAGCAGGGGGGTCGGCGCCGTTCTTCTTGATGGCGTAATATGCATTACCGATCTGCGTGGAATTTATCTCGCGATTCAGCATTCCTGTGATCAGTGCAGACTCAGGGCTGTCGCTGAACAATCGTTCATCGAAAGCATCGGCCCACGGCTTGGCATCAAATTTGGTTGAGAACTTGGCAGGAATATCGTGTTGGGTAAATGTGGTTTCTGAACGTACGAGTAAACCGGTGGAGAGGATTACTAGTAGCTTGAGAATGACAGTAGCGACGATGGCGATGGCGACAGGAGCTTCTTGAGCTCGTACAGCGTTGGACAAAGCGTTAACCCAGAACGGGGAGACATAATCGAGAAGTAGACTCCTTGAGGCAGCGCCGGGCCCCTCTTGCAGATTTTTCCAGGGCTGTAGAATCATTGTGTAATAGTCCACCTGCCTCCACAGACCGACTATTAAAATCAAGATGGCGGTAGGACCATAGGTCCAGGCGTAATGACTCGAGGTGACGGTCAACTGAATGCCGTCGCCCCGACTGATAGCAGCCCACAGAGCGATTAGAGCAACACCGATGGCGACAAAAAGAGACACCAGAAGAAGGATAGCAGTCTTGGTAAGCCAGATTGGCTGCCATAGAGGATAGAGAGACTCTTCTGCATCGCGTCTGGATTTCTTGGTGAGGTCCTGCTGAGGCACAGTCTCAAACTCCCCGTGCGCCTCAGATGGTGGATTGTTCCGCGAACCGAACATGACGGCAGAGCGTTAACGTGTAGCTGTTGGTGAGCGATTACTGAGAAATCATCGTATTTCGCCCTAGAGATTGAATGAGTAAACGAGGTGAAGGGACATCAAACATGAGGGGGATGTTGGGTCGGAGATAGGTTATTCATATTATTCCTATTGATGGCAGTTTTTTTTGGGGGCGGGTATGCTGCGGTTAGTGGGCCGACCCTCTGTTTCCCTTTTCCCAACCCCGATCCGACGCGCCAATGCGGCGTAGGCTGACATGTTCCCTGTCTGAATAGCGGGACACGACCGAGAGAGGACAAGTATGGAGGACGATGTTTGAGGTTGGTTGGTATAGGGGAAATCATAATCATATCCATGTATGCCTTGTCAGCTTCGACATGGGTAAAAAGCACGGGAGGCAGAGGAGGGCGGCTGTGCAGGATGGTTATTGGTGTTGAGGTTGGGCTGAAAGCTGTCGGGGAAAGGCAGCGGCTAGTTGCCAAGCCGGCTTATGTCATGCCCCAGTCAAAGCATTGAAGATCAGGTAGTCCTTCAATTGTAAGCTGATGCCTTGTACTTGTCTTTGAAATCCTGTCGTTTAGTGTTTCAGAATGTATACACTGCTTGGTACCTTGTAGCTCTCAGACTGGTAAATGGTTTTCAAGGTTACATCGGAGGCTGTAGTCACGTGACAATCAGCGATATCAATAAATATTAGAAGCTTCAGGTGCCTACATATGTATGTACATATTTAGGTATGTAAACGTGCAAGTGTATGCTGCGTATTTCCATGGCCGGTCTGTACAGTTGATTCTTGTCTCTTTGTTGTGTACTGGTGAGGGCCTCGGATCTTCTTTTTCTCGCCCCGTCGGAAAACCTTTCCAACATTGAATCAATCTCTCCAGCCACAGCTTCTTCGGTTCCAGGAAGGTGTTGTTAGGCTCCTGTATCGCTCCAAACAAGCTGTAATTTTTATTTTCCTTTCTAACCATTGAGTGGATTCAAGCAAAAAGCCAGCCGTGACGAGGAGGTGCGGTTTCCCCAAAGCGGGCAAAGTTTACCGGCGGGAAAAGACGATATATAAGCGGTAACCCAGCAACTCGATTGGCCACCTTGCCTCGAGATTCACTTGATGACTGCTTGGGGTCTAGCGGAGGCTCCCGAATCTCCGCGTTATCGCAAGTCAAGCGGGGTGGTTCCTGGGCGCGGCGACGGGTGGCGTGCAAAAAACTAAGGCAGCGGATATCCACGGGCTTATTTTACTCAGTCTAGTTTGATGTATCGTTACGCAGGGTTCGTCTGATTGAATGGCCCATGGTTTGGACGGGATCAATGGTAGTTTGGGGTTGGTATTTTACGGTTTGTCATTGCTTTAGAGAGAGTTTAGCAGGGAGATCAAGGACAAGATAGACATGATACGAGGATTGATAAACATCAATTGATACCTAGAGATAGAGATAGCGCTCACCGCCCGCCGCCCGCCGCCTCGGTGCTATTCCATCACCTCCAACTTTTTTTTCTCTGATTGTTTTCTTTCTTTTTTCTTCCTCAATCTCATCGTTTGTCAAAAAGATCGAATCAATCACCGTCAATTGGCCTTGTTGTCGGCTCTCGGCTCAGTGTCAAGCGAACTGACGTATTCCGGAAAACCGTTGTTGTGTCGCTTCACCGCAGACGGTCAAGTACCTCCAACAACCGAACCACCACTGCAGCAGTAATCCTCCAAAAAAAAGCCCTTCCGGGCGAAGAGTCGTGCTATTCTGCACACCAAAATCCATCACAAGATGCGCACCGCAATCCTCCGCACAGCCTGCTCTGCCACCAAAACCGCCCGCATCACCGCCCAGCCCGCCGCCCGGTTGCGAATAACGCCGCAACCGACATCGCTACGAGCCTTCTCCACGTCGCTACCCTCGCGCAATGCCCACCACTCAGACAATGCTTCTCCCGCGAAGCGTGCGTTTCATTCCAGCGCCGCCGAGGATGTGCTCGAGGTCAAGACAGAGCAGTCGGGCAAGATCCAGCCATTCGAGTCCCTCGACACGTTCCCCCGTCGCCATATCGGCCCTTCCGCTGCCTCCGTCGAGGAAATGCTAGCCACCTTGGACCCTCCAGTAAAGTCGCTCGACGAATTCGTGCGCCAGGTCATACCCTCAGATATTCTTTCGGCTCGCGAGCTGCAAGTGGGAGCCCTCGCCGCCGAACAGCCTCAGGGAGATAAGGTTCAAGGCATTCCCGAGAAGCGATTTTTGGGCGTGGCAGAGAAGCTCATGAGCCAAAACTCCCCCGGTCACAGCTACATTGGATGCGGATACTACGGAACAAAGGTCCCAGAAGTCATCAAGCGAAATGTCCTTGAGAATCCCGGGTGGTACACCAGCTACACCCCCTACCAGCCCGAGATCAGTCAGGGCCGCTTGGAATCGCTACTCAACTTCCAGACTTTGGTGACTGACCTCACTGGTCTTGATATTGCTAATGCCTCCGTCCTCGACGAGCCCACTGCAGCTGCCGAGGCCATGACCATGTCTCTCGGTATGCTTTCGAGCGCTCGCCAGAAACGCCCCAACAAGACTTTCCTTGTCTCGAGCCGATGCCATCCCCAGACCTTGGCCGTGCTGCGTTCGCGCGCCGATGGATTTGGCATCACGATTGAGATTGATGACGTGCTGAAGGACAACGGCAAGCGCGTAGAAGAGCTGGGTGACGATTTGGTGGGTGTTCTGGCCCAATATCCAGACACCGAAGGCGCTGTACACGACTTCCGTACCCTCGCCGACAAAATCCACAAGACCGGCGCCCTGTTCAGCGTCGCCACCGACTTGCTCGCTCTGACCCAATTGACTCCCCCAGGAGAGTTCGGCGCCGACATTGCGTTTGGAAATGCCCAGCGCCTAGGTGTTCCGCTGGGCTACGGTGGACCCCACGCTGCCTTCTTTGCTTGCGCTGACAAGTACAAGCGTAAGCTCCCCGGTCGTATCATTGGTTTGTCCAAAGATCGTCTTGGAAACCATGCTGCGCGACTGGCTCTGCAAACACGTGAACAGCACATTCGTCGCGACAAAGCGACGAGCAACATTTGCACAGCTCAGGCGTTGTTGGCCAATATGAGCGCCATGTATGCTGTCTACCACGGGCCGGAAGGGCTTCGAAAGATCGCCCGACAGGTCACCGCCATGACGAGGGCGCTGCAGCAGAGCATTGCCAATGTAGGATACCAGACGGGTCAACGTGGTAAGCTCGACAACGAGCCAGCTGCTTTTGATACCTTCGTTGTAGCCACCGGGAATAAGACTGCAGCCATTGTCTCCGAGCTGGACAAGAAGGACATCCTCGTCCGCCAGCTCGATGGCGAGCACATTTCCATCTCTTTGGACGAGACGAGTGAACTGCAGACCGCCAGCACCATCGCCCAAGTATTCGCTAGCCAGAACGGAACACAGGTCAAAGCCCGGTTGGAAGGAGAAGTCAGTGCTGACCCGCCAGCTGCTTTCCAGAGAACCAGCGAGTTCCTCACGCACCCGGTTTTCAACACACACCACTCTGAAACTGAACTCCTGCGCTACATTCATCACCTTCAGTCAAAGGACTTGTCTCTTGTTCATTCCATGATTCCCTTGGGATCTTGCACGATGAAACTGAATGCTACCGCTGAAATGGCACCTGTATCGTGGTCTACAGTGTCGAACCTCCACCCATTCCTTCCCCTGGAGAGAGCTAAGGGCTACACAGAGATGATCAACCAGCTGGAAGGTGACTTGGCAAACATCACTGGCTTCCACTCTGTATCTCTTCAACCCAACTCTGGCGCGCAAGGTGAATTCGCTGGTCTTCGCGTGATTAGAAAATACCTAGAACAGCAGCCCGGCAAGAAGCGAGATATTTGCTTGATTCCGGTGTCTGCTCACGGCACAAATCCCGCCAGTGCAGCGATGGCTGGTATGAGGGTTGTTCCGGTGAAGTGTGAGAGCGGAACTGGCAACCTAGACATGGACGACCTCCGAGCCAAATGCAAGAAGCACAGCGAGGAGATCGGGGCTATCATGGTCACGTATCCCAGTACATTCGGTGTCTTCGAGCCCAAGATCAAGGAAGTCTGTGACATCATCCACGAACACGGTGGCCAAGTCTACATGGACGGCGCCAACATGAACGCTCAAATCGGACTGTGCTCGCCTGGCGAGATCGGCGCCGATGTATGTCATCTCAATCTCCACAAAACTTTCTGCATTCCCCACGGCGGTGGTGGACCTGGCGTTGGTCCGATCGGTGTAAAGGAGCACCTCTCCGAATTCCTCCCAGGTCATCTCCGCGATGAGTGTGGCGGCTCCTCCGCTATCGCGCCCATCAGCGGTGCACCCTGGGGTAGCGCCAGCATTTTGCCCATCAGCTGGGCCTACATCAAGATGATGGGCGCTCTCGGCCTAACCCAAGCCACCAAGATCACCCTCCTCAACGCGAACTACATCCTCTCACGCCTCAAGCCCCACTTCCCGATCCTCTACACCAACGCCAACAGCCGCTGCGCCCACGAATTCATCCTCGACGTGCGCAAGTTCAAAGAGACTGCCGGTGTTGAAGCCATCGACATTGCGAAACGTCTCCAAGACTATGGCTTCCACGCCCCCACCATGTCATGGCCCGTCGCAAACACGCTCATGATCGAACCCACCGAATCCGAAAGCAAAGAGGAACTCGACCGCTTCTGCGATGCCCTCATCTCCATCCGCGGTGAGATCGCAGAGGTCGAAAATGGTTCTCAACCCCGCGACACCAACGTTCTCAAGATGAGCCCACACTCCCAGATGGATCTCCTCCTTCCCGAGGAGTGGACTCGTCCGTACTCCCGCGCCCAAGCTGCGTATCCCCTGCCGTATCTCAAAGAAAAGAAATTCTGGCCCAGCGTCACGCGCGTCGACGATGCATATGGCGATACCAATTTGTTCTGCACATGTGCACCTGTGGAGAGCGAGGATTCGGATCTGACGGGTATGGCAGCACCCACGCCAACATAGCCCCCGTCTTGTCGGCTTCACTCCACAACTTTCCTGAACCCCTCTTTCTTGCTCCCAAAGGGCAAGGAGCTCAGAAAAAAAGAAAAGAATCCTTCAACATGAATCTTTAATAGCGATGGGAGTTTGATGGCGTCTTCCCCTTTTTTTTATATCACTGCGACAATTGCATGTGGGGGTATGGAAAGACATGTTCGAAAATATTCAACATTCAATCATGGTTTGCGGGCGTAACTAAGTCTTCTCTTTTCCTTTTTACTTTATTTTTTCTTCTCTTTGCCATGCATGGAACGTATGTAGATGACGACAACCCCCCATATTCAACATGGAGTCAGGTAGATGTAGTCGTGATGTAATTATTTCAAATAGATGTGTCAAACAGAAGATATGTATGATTCAGTCTTGCTATCGTCTAGATAGATGCTAAAGTTTGCACACGTACTTTGCTCTTTATTTCCGGTAGTCCTGCATGTTCATCATTGGCATTATCGTATATGAGTAAGCAGTGTACACACAGTCGGCAATGTGCGAATCTAATATTAGGCAGTTGTGCATGTGACGTCGCCTTTCTCCAGCTAATAGCGCCGATCCGATCGCAAACAAACGCCCAATCGGGATAAGATCAAACAACTAACCTTGCCACCACCTTAAACCCTCCTCCACCCCGATGCTATCTAAGCAGCATTCAAGATACTATCAAGACTGACTTATTGTGCAGCTAGTTGTCTCACTCCAACTCCAACTCGAACAGGAAATATATTATCTCCAGGGGATTATTTAGCCATTGATGTGGAAACCGTATCTCCAGACAGCGCTGTCGCTGCTGGGGATCACTCGACTCACGCCTTTTGCACCGACGACAACGACAACGACAACAACCACCACAACAGACCACGTGATCCAGATCGGAGACGTGACCTGGGATGACGATGCCTGGATCCTAAGCACCCATTCTCTCACGCCCGGAAACTACAAATCCCGCATGACCCTCGCCAATGGCTACATAGGCCTCAGCGTAGCAGCCGCCGGACCATTCTTCGAAGTCGACCGCGACAGCGCCGATACCTCGGGATGGCCACTATTCACCCCACGGCAGGCATTCGGCACCATTGCCGGGTTCTACGCCGATGTCGAGAAGCTCGCTGGCACCAACTACGAGTGGTTGAATCAGTATGGGTGGGAGAGTGTGGTTTCTGGGTTGCCGCATTGGTCGGGGCTGCTTGTTGAAGCGCATGGCGAGTTGTTGGATGCGAGGGTCGATCCGCAGCATATTTCGAACTTCTCGACGAGTTTGAATGTTGAGACGGCCGAGTTGAGGTGGGGGTTTGTTTGGAGACCGGGTGGTGAGCATGAGGGGATTGAAGTCGAGTATCGCATGCATGTTAACAAGTTGGTTGTTAATAGCGCTGCGGTGCAGCTCAATCTTACTGCGGCGCAGGATGTGGATGTCGTTGTGTACGATGTTTTGGATGGGATGGGCGCTGTCAGAACGGAGTTTGTGGAGAAAGGGTTTGAAGAGGATAGTGTGATGTGGACAGCTGTCAGTCCGCTTGGCCAGCCCGACGTCACTGCGTATGTGTATTCGACGATTTGGGCCGAGGTCATCGATTTGGAAGACAATGTTAGGCCGGTTACTGATGAAGATGTCTTTTGGGGTACTCACGCTGCGTCAATTGGACAGGCAGCTCCGGTCACCTTGCATGCTAACCGCACTTTAGTATTTGGGAAGTACGTTGGTATAGCTTCTTCAGATGCATTTCCGGATCCGCAAAGTACAGCGCGGGATGCGTCAATGTTTGGCGTATTCGGATACGAAGAGTGGTTTGAGCAGCACGTTGCGGAATGGAGGTCGATTCTTCCAAAGCATACAGTGGACAGCTACCGCCATCCCAATGGAACGCTCCCAACAGATAGGAACCTCCAAGAGATGCATATAACGTCCGTGACGAATCCGTTCATGATCTTGCAGAATACGGTTGGCCCGAATGCTGCGGTTGATAACACCAAACTCAACATCCACAGTATTCCTGTTTGTGGACTTGGCTCCGACTGCTACGGAGGGCTCATCTTCTGGGATGCTGGAATATGGATGGCTCTTGGGCTACAGGTGTCACATCCCGATAATATCCGATCGGTGGTGAACTACCGCGTGGAAAAGCATCCGCAGGCCAAGGAGAATATCAAAATGGCGTACACCTCGTCCAAGAACCAGACTGGCAGATTCACTGGGGGCGCTGTTTACCCGTGGACAAGCGGTCGGCATGGAAATTGTACAGGAATAGGGCCATGCTTTGACTACGAGTACCACGTAAATGGCGACATTGCGATATCGTTGCGCAATGAGTACGCCGTAACAGGCGACGCAGAGAAGTACAGACGCGATTATCTTCCCATCGCAAATGATATTGCCTATTTCTACGGCGAGATGCTTGATTACAACGCTACATCCGGACACTACGAGATCTGGAACGCGACCGATCCCGATGAATACGCCAACAACAAAAACAACGTCGGTTTCACAACAGCGCTCATCCAAAAGCACTTGGAAGAAACCAACGAGATGAACGTTCGTTTCAACCTCCCCACAAACAAAACCTGGCTAGACATCGTCACGCATATGCAGCCACCTACCAACGAAGACGTAGGCATAATCCTCGAATACGACACAATGAATGGCTCCATAGTCGTAAAACAAGCCGATGTAGTCCTCACAGACGACATCCTCCACTACGCCAACCCCTACAGCCTCGGAAACCTAGACTACTACGCCAACAAGCAATCTTCCGATGGGCCCGGAATGACCTACGCAGCCTTCAGCATCGTCGCCAACGCAGTCTCTCCATCAGGCTGCTCAAGCTTCACATACGCCCTCTACTCCCAACAGCCATACCTCCGCCTCCCTTGGTTCCAGTACTCTGAGCAAATCGACGATGACTTCACTACCAACGGCGGCACGCACCCCGCGTTCCCTTTCCTAACAGGCATGGGCGGATCCAATCGCATCGGTATATTCGGATACCTAGGCCTCCGCCTCTTCATCGACAGACTCGAAGTCGAGCCCTCGCTCCCCCCGCAAATCACGTACTTCAAATACCGCACCTTCTACTGGCAAGGCTACGCCATAACCGCATGGTCCAACACCACACACACCTCTCTCCAACGGCTCCCGAACCTCACCCTCCCCACCGCGAACCCCGCCTACGCCACCTCCCCAATCCCAATCACGCTACACAGCCGCCGCACAAACTACTCCCTCCCCACCACCTCCCCGCTCGTCCTCCCAAACCGCATGATCGGCCAAACTCCAACCGCCCCCCGCAACATCCTCCAATGCCACCCCGTCTCCGTATCCTCTTTCCCTCCTTCCTCTTCCTCGCTCCCACCCCTACTATCTTCCCAACCCCCTAACAACCACAAAACATGCACATCCCCAATTCTCCCCGGCCAATTCCCCCTCGCAGCAACCGACGGCGCTTCATCTACTAAATACCAACCCTGCAACGCATCCCTCCTCCACTACCTTACTATCGATCTCGGCCCCCACCACACCCCGCACCGCATCCACTCCATCCTGCTAGACTGGGCCGCCGTGCCCCCCGCATACTACGAAGTCCTCTTCTCAAACACCACTCTTCTCCTTCCTCCTCCTACACTTCACTTTTCTTCTAATCTTGGAGACGGAAGAGATCGAGGGGGATTTGGGTCGGGGTTGGGGTTGGGGTTTAGAAAAGCAGCGAGTGGCGTCCCGGAGATTAGCGAACCGTGGGATCCTGAGACTGTGTTTGATATTGTTAAGGTTAAGGGGAATCAGACGAATGTTACGTTTGTGGATGGGGATGCGGAGGAGGTGTGGAGTGGGCGGTTTGCGCATTTGGGGATTTGGGGACGCTTGGATGGCGAAATGGGGAAAGGTGGGGCGATGGTTGCGGAGTGGAGTGTTGTTAGGTGGGAGGATTGATGGAAATATATATTTTTTTTGCGGGGGGTTGTTATGGGAGATTGGATAAGGGTTGTGGAGATGTGGGAATGGATTTTTTTTTTTTTCTTTGCGTTCTTTTTCCGTGAGAGGGCTTTTTGTAGGTTTTTTTACTTTAGTTTGATTCTTTTCTTGCTTTAGTGTATACAAAAGAGAGAGTTAATAGCGTTTAACAGTTAAATTCGCAAAAGCAACAATCAAAAAGCTTCATAGTTCCAACACAATATCCCTGCGAAACAATTAGAAACGCCAGACTGTTAATAGCTATTTAAACCCTATCATTCTATGTGCTATTATAGTTCTACAGTCCTTAATACTGTGTTTTATAAATTAACTACATTTAAAGTTATTAAGCACACTAGTACATCATCGCATTTCTACGCAGCACAAACACTTTGTTATAAAGCACGAGAAATCTGTCTTTAAGCTCCAGGCAAGAAAAAACATTGTTTTGTAGTTGTTAATCATAAGTTGTAATCTTTAGTTGTAATCTGTAGTTTTTATCTGTAGTTTTAATCTGTAGTTTTAATCTGTAGTTTTAATCTGTTGTTGCTTTTCAGAATCGTGAAATCTATTGCTGCTCTTCTTACTCATACACGGAGAGCTTGATTTCTCTTTTTTTTTTTTTTTTTTTTGCGATTTGTGCGTTGTAGAGAGAGCTGTATTGACTGCGTATTTGACGTAGTGACGTATACAACGTCCCAACAATCTAGTGGAGATGTACGGATTTAAAATGTGTGATGTTGAGGTTGAAGAACAGAACGCGTGTCTGGTAGTGTGTGTGTAAGAGGGAGAGTAAGAGAGAAAGGGAAGTGGAAAGGGTTTTTTTAAGCGTTAACATGTGAAGTCTGGATACCTGGAGAAGGGCCAGCTAAATACTATGATACCTAGCTATACTTTAACGTATATAAAGCAACGTAATTAATATATTCTAGCCCTGTAAGCATCAAAACAGAGAAGATGTTCAATTAGGAACTGAGGAATCATTTCTGTCTTGATATTCTTAGCTTGTGTGTCTGACACTTCTGGCGTGTAGAAATTAGGTGTTTTTCTCTCCTTTTGCTCTTCTTTCATCTGGTGTGTATTATATTACTTGATACTACCTGTTCCTTCTTGTTGGGGGTTGAGGCTATGGTTATTAATGAGATCTGACACAATAGAGTAAATTAAAAAAAGGTTAACCTGCCCTCTTTATTCTTGTTGTGTATGAAAACCTGGAGTTCAGGTCTTCCTACACAGCAATGGTTCATAGCGGTAGAAGGTACAACAAAACGAGCGATTACAACAAATTCGAAACGATATTGCGAGGCTAGTCTGTGAAAAAAGAGAATTGTCGAAATTTAGGTGATGATAGCTTCTTTCCTACAAAGGAGACTCTATTGATGACACAGCTAATCATTTGAATACATGTTTTTCTCATTTCTTGGAGGTTTTAGCCAGGTTGTTCTCAGTGCTGGGCTTGATTAAATTAATCGTGATGACTGCAAATCGAAAAGAACAATAATTCAAGACATGGCAGTGAGCACATTAGAGTGTAAGTATACTTGCTTGGAAGCCAACCAATAGATGAAGGGTAGCACAATCAGATGGGATATCATTGCCAGCTGTGTGGAACTATCAGGCTGAACGCTTGCGTTCGTTCCCATTGGTTTCAGAGTTCTCAATAAGTGTCTAACAATCGCGCCCACTCATTAGAATACTGTGCAACCTTCGTGGCATATATTGATGATCAGATATAGGGCTTAGGCAATAGCAGTAATAACCTTGCTGCCGTCGATATTCCTGGATTGATTTGTCATAGTACTACCTTAGAATGCATCCGCGAAAAAGCAATGTGAAGGCAAACACCCCCACTTCGTATTCAGTGCCACCTGAAACGACCTCCTAAAGCCCCTCATGTCTGATTGGCGGTGGTTCCACCGGTCAATATCAAGAAGGCTCTCATGCATGCAAGCCCAACAGCGTTCAAAACCGGTGAGCTGAGAATACTTATAAATAGTTACCCCGCTTTGCACGGAGCGAGGCTAGATAAAACAAAGAGTGAACCCTCCAGGCTCTCTGCGACCTTTGGGTATACATACAGCAGTGCTACACACTCTTTTCTCGCACCAACATATCTTTACAGATCAAGAACACATTGCTATCACTTCTACCGGAGTTATCTCAGCTCTATCATGCGTCTCTTAAGACGCGACAGTAAAGACAAATTCTTACTCACCAAGGATTTTCTCGGTGACGATGAGGTTCCCCGTTACGCAATCCTTTCTCATACCTGGGGTGAAGAAGAGATCCTGTTTCAGGACCTTCAAAATGATAGTTACAGGGATAAGAAATCCTACAACAAAATTCGGTTCTGCGGAGATCAAGCTGAGAAGGACGGAATACAGTATCTTTGGGTAGACACCTGCTGTATCAATAAAGCAGATCCAGTCGAGCTTCAACACTCAATAAACTCAATGTATCGCTGGTATCAGCAGGCAGCGAAGTGCTATGTCTACTTAACAGACGTAGCGGCACTTGCCGACGAGCAAAACGTCAACAACGAGCCCCAAGAATCAACATGGCGCACTGCTTTTCGGAACAGCCGGTGGTTCACAAGAGGCTGGACCCTGCAAGAGCTACTTGCACCTCGTAATGTCGAGTTCTTTTCTGTTGGGGGCAGCTTCTTAGGAGACAAGAAAAGCCTAGGGGAGCAAATATCAAATATAACCGGCATCCAGATCCAGGCTTTGGAGGAATCCCGTCTTCATGACTTTACCATCAATCAACGATTCTCGTGGGTCAAAGATCGACAAACCACACGAGAAGAAGACAAATCGTATTGCTTATTGGGTATCTTCGGTGTCTTCATGTCACTCAACTACGGAGAGGGCAAAGAACATGCCTTTAAACGCCTCCGGAGAAAGATCGAGAAGTCCAAGCAGAAAAGTGCCACTGAACTGTCGAGGGAGCAGCAAGATTTCATCAAGAAGTTACGAGTAACTGAGCCCAGTCACGACAAAAAGCGCATAGAGGACACAAAAGGCGGGCTGTTAATAGACTCCTATCGCTGGGTGTTATCGAATCCAGATTTCGAAAAGTGGCGTACAGAAGACGAAAGTCGGGTGCTCTGGATCAAAGGGGACCCAGGTAAAGGGAAGACGATGCTCCTCTGCGGTATCATAAACGAGCTGGAAGGAACGAACAACGATACAACCCTGCTCTCTTACTTCTTTTGCCAAAGTACCGATTCACGTATCAACAATGCGACTGCTGTCTTGAGATCTCTTATCTGCACGCTCATAGCGAAGAGACCGATATCTGCCTCACTCGTCGAGAAACTCTCTGCTGACTCTAATGCATCAATGTTCGAGGGTATAAATGCATGGTATGCCTTGGAAGAGATTTTGGAAAAAGTTCTGGAGGATCTCGGCACTGAACAAATTGTATTTGTTATTGACGCTCTGGACGAATGCACGACAGATCTGGAAAGATTGTTAAACTTAATCGTCAAGATTTCGGCGACACCACATCAGGTCAAGTGGATCATTTCCAGCCGCAACATACCAGAAATTGAAATCTATCTCGATGAGGCGCAGAGTAGGCAGACCCTCAGCCTTGAGTTAAACGCACAAATGATATCCGAGGCTGTTCATCTCTACATTGACCACAAGGTGGGCGAGCTCGCACGCTGGGGGAAATATGACACCGAGACCCGGCAGGCGGTACAGAAGCACTTTTCCGCAAACGCCCAAGATACGTTCTTATGGGTTGCTTTATCATGCCAGAGTCTTAAAGGCATTCCAAAATGGAAAATTATCGCGAAGTTGACTGCTTTCCCTCCTGGTTTGAACGCACTTTACGCCCGCATGATAGAACAGATCAACAGATCAGAAGACGCCTTGCTAAGCAAAAGAGTCTTGGCCTGTATTGCAACTGTATATCGGCCAGTTACATTGGCAGAGCTTTCTGTGCTCATTGATGAGATAAATAGCCTGGGTGACGACATCGAATCTATTCGAGGAATCATACACTCCTGCGGATCTTTGCTCACCATGAAAGACGATACTATCTATTTTGTTCATCAATCGGCAAAAGATTATCTGTGCGGAGGTGCCTCCCCGGAAATATTTCCCGATGGAGAAGAAAGAGCACACAGAGCCTTGCTTTCCTCGTCTCTCCGTATCCTGTCATCTGGCGCATTACACAGGGATTTGTACGGCCTACGCGACGTTGGATATCATCTTCAGAAGCTCGAACCCCCTGATCCCGATCCTCTGGCAGCACTAGCGTACCCCTGCTCCTACTGGATTGAGCATTTCTTGAGGTCTCCTATGAAACACGCAGATGCACAGGATCTTTTGATGGAGATCAACAAGTTTCTACGTGCGAAATGTTTGTATTGGATTGAATCCCTGAGCCTATTGCAACGAGTTCCTGAAGGTGTCAGTTCATTGACAAAACTTGCGAACTTTGTCCAAGTATATTACCGCTATCAATCTAGTTCGCTATAGTCGCTAACGTAGCCAGGCCCACTACCGTGCTTCCGTGTTGAATGATGTCGTTTCTGACGCGCATCGTTTCATCATGTACCATGAAGTTCCAATTGCAAACTATCCTCTCCAGACCTATGTCTCGGCACTTCTTTTCAGCCCACATAGTAGCATCATCAAACAATCGTTCCAGCATGAATCGCCGTCATGGGTCAAAATAACAGCAGGAACTCCTGATCATTGGAGTCCCTTACTACGCAAATTCGAGAGATCTGGGAAAACACCAGACTTACTTGTTTTTTCTGAAGACTCCAGACTATTACTATCACGTTCAGGTGGCTCCTATGAAGTACGAGACATGATGAGCGGGCGGCGCATACAGTCATTCCCTTCTTATTGGACCAACGAAAACGATATCACTGAGTTAAATTCAGCAGCAACTTTCATACATGACTCGACGCAAATAGTTGCTCTATCTGAATATGGAACAATGTTGTTCTGGACTGTAGATGATGGTAGGCTAATCAAAGTGCTTAAACACCCCAGCACACGCGACGAACATCCCCGTATGTCCTACTACAGTTCGGTAGAATGGTCTCGTAAATCTCAAAAGCTGGCTTGGATATGGTCAGACAATCTCGCTATGTGGGATACTAGCATGGGGGCGTGGTGTGTTGTCCCTCGATCAATGCAACGCGTCGCGGACGGTTGGAGAACCAACAGTGACACCTGTATTTGGTTAATACCAGATATTGTAACTGTATCCTTCTTCGGCGACCCAGAAGTGCTTCTAACTATATCATACAATGGTTCCATTCAGATATGGAACATAGATGGGGGTGAATGCCTCAAAAACATTGAGTTGGGGTATACAGTGCATGATGCCAAGTTCAGTAAAGATGCATCTCAGCTTTACACTATTGAACATCTCTCAGATTTGCGGGAAGCCATAACGATAACAATATGGAACGTTCAGTGTGGCGTGAAGCTTCGCACATTCGATAACGCAGGTATCTCTCCATTACTGTTTCTATTCAACGACTCGCAAGTTGACGGAGGCGTATTAGAATGGTTTGTCGACCATGGAGGTCTCTTTCCAAGCGGACATGCAGCGGCATGCATATCTGTCTCGCATGACGATGGATTGGTGGCAGTGGTGAAAGCGTATGATACAAATAGCCGCGGAGATATTGAGATATGGGACTATGACCAAATTCGAAGAGTTGGATTCAAAGATAAGCCAAAAGCAAGCCATAACACTGGTCTAGTAGTGCTCCATGCATTGCGGAAAGTCGCGTCGGTAAGCGATAATTTCGAATTGCTAGCCGCGCAACTGGACGACGGTAGTTTTTCCCCAATAACTGTGGACTTCGACTTTACCCCACTATTCGCGCCCTGGTTTGAAGCCAAAGATATTGCTTTGGTTGATAACGATGCGCTTCAGCGCTGGAACATACATACAGTAAAACGTTTTCTCTTGCTCCAAAAAGAATCAGCGAATAAGTGTGCACTCTCTTCTGATAGCATTGAGCTGCTATCGTGGTCACAAGATGGGTATGAAACTTGGGAAATCGATTGGAAGAAGCTCCTTCACTTTCTGGACGATAGTCCTTTCTTATGGTTCTTTGAACCGGGTCCCTTGAGTTTCTCCCCTGATTCCCGGCGGGTAGCTGTACTAACTTCTGGACACACGATAAAGATATGCGATACGAAGAGTGGCAAGTTCCTTCAATCCCTCCTGGGTTTGAATAGGGTTTTCCAGATGACGTACCCTAAAATACACGTAACATCAATGGTCTTCTCTTCTACAAATAGGTGGCTTGCAGTAATGACTTCTGGGGACATTATTCAAATATGGGATACCAGCAACAGCAATGATTTCTTTGTGTTCTCATGTATAGAAGATACAGTTCTAATCTCACTCGATGCAGAAGGGCGTTTTCTTCGAACAGATTGTGGGGAAATTGACATCGAGGCTTCCTCATCGCTTGCTTCTACTTACAAGAATAGCTACGGTGTGTCGGTTGCAAAGTATCGAGGCGTTCACTTAGATGGCGAAGGATTATGGTTTGGCTCCGAGTTTATCTTGTATATACCTCCTGAATATCGTCATGTGAACGGTAGAGTACGGATTTGCAGAGACACCGCAATCATCATAGATAAGGATAAGAGAGTGTGGGTGTATGAGTTTGATCTGGAGCATTTGCCCCTTGGGTAATTACATCTCCGATCAATTCTTCTTTCAGTGACTCAATAGAATAACGTTGGACATCGTTCGCGTCCAATTCAAATCGTGAAATTGTTCTACATGTATCCACCCTGAATTGTAAGCATCACTTATCACATACTTACCACTAGATCTATCCTAGCCTTTTTAATCTAAAATAAGGGCCTTTCCTTTGCCGCCTGTCTTTTATAAGATCTTTGCATCAGCCTTTTGGATGTGGGAGACACTTCAACCTCCAAAACAAAAACTTCAATATAAACAGGCAGGCAATTGATTATCCCCCTTCGACGAGAAAGTTCAGATTATAAAGAAAAAGGCTATTCCGGTAAGTGCATAGAAAGGGTATGGATATAAGAGTTCGATCTGAAGCAGCTGTCGCGACTGTGTGGTAGAGTGAAGGACTAACTCACGTGACCTAAATTACGCTTGCATATAGATCACTGCTCCTATTGTGCTCCTCCATAACTTTATTGATTGAGTCAGTGATATCCAATAATTTATGCTCTTGAATAGCAAGAATGCCGGTAAATTCTTCTTTTATTTAGACATCCAAGTAAATCGATGCGATCAAAACTATTGCGATTATTAAGACCCTTCACAGCCATGACACCTAGGACGATACTGTGACCTAAATAACCACAATGAAACATATTTGAGAGAGTTTCAAGTATGGCAAGAGTCCAAGCTCACCGAAAACCACAAAGAACATGCCTACCACAGGCTCTGCTACCGTTACAGTCTAGTTTGCGCACGATAAGAAACGCGAGAGGCTGGGTGTCCATGTGCTCAAGATACAGATATCATACAATAAACATCCAGAATGAGCGTAGGAATGGCATAAATAATTCATGGATCACAAGATAAACCTGTTTTTAGATGATCTTGAAACAAATAGATGGCCACGATCATTCTAGAGATGTATACTCAAATTCTACACTACGACATTCCAGGGGCACAAGAGCCACTAACCCACGCTTCGTCCCATTCTTCCAGCAATTTTCCATGATACTCCAATAGCCTATCTCGAAATCAACCATTTACGTTTTGATTCCTGTTGTTCAATATCCTGCCGCATTCAACAAGTACGTCCACACCTCCCCGCGTGTGGGAAACGGAGGAACCACATGTACCATGTCAGTCAAGGCCATACCTTGCATGATAGCCACTTGACTAGCATTTGCAAATTCGGATCCCTCAATACAGCAAAATGTCGCTCCTAGCAATTTCTCTGTTCCTTCTTCAACGACCCACCTAGCCCAGCCGGGTTGCTCATCTCCATATAACCACGTTCCAGGAATGGAGAAGTTGCTGTCAACAGCCTTGGCCTTTAAGCCTGCAGTCTGAGCCGAGGCCAATGTGTGTCCAACGGCAGCAATATTGGGCTCTGTAAAGATGACTCGCGGAAAGGTGCTATCGAGATGCTTCGACTTCGTAACGGATACTCCAGTCGGGAGGTCCAACTTGGCAGCTTGATCTTGCTTTTTGGCAATAGACAGAATAGTGTTGCTGGCAATGCGGGCTTGGTATACTCCCATGTGAGTTGTTGAACCGAGACCGTTAACATCTCCAACGGCAAACAACCAAGGTTCTGTGGAACCTGGCGTCTGAACCGCCAGCGATGCATCTGTTTTCAACGGAAGACCACCTCCAGCTAACCCAACAGTTTCGAGCCCGAAGTCGTGAGTCCTAGGCCTCCGCCCCACCGCATTCATAAGCACAGACCCCGTGATCTGTTCGCCGTTGGATAATTCCACGGCTAAGCTGTTGGCAGCAACCTTTTTCACCTTGACAGCTCGTGTCGACAACTTCACAGACACGCCATGGGCTTCCAAGCTCTTTCGTACAATTTCAGTGGCTTCGCGCTCAACCGTAGCTAGGATCTCTGCATGTGGTGTGATCAACGTCACCTTGGACCCTACGGCGGAGTAGAACGTCGCCATCTCGCATCCGACGGGCCCCGCGCCGACAATAATCAGAGACTCGGGAACTTTGTCGAAGGCCACAGCATCGCGATTGATCCACAACTCCTTTCCTGGTATCAACTCCTCAATTCCCGCTATCTCCGGCACAATAGGGGTTGAGCCCGTAGCAGCAACAACCGCGATTCTAGCATCAAGCATATACCTCTGCGTCTCGCCATTTGGCTGCACACTCACCCTCCTGGTCCCTTCGATTCTGGCAAACCCTCGAACAAGCTTCGCACCACTCGATCCATTGGAGACGGAGATCCAATTGTTGTCATCCCAGTTATCGACAATCTTGTCCCTCCTATTGAACACGGCGTTGTGGTCAACCACGGTCTTGCTACCCACCGCCTCTCGAGCTCCGCCAACTTTCTTTGCTGCTTCGAGCGCTTCGACAGGGCGGAGAAGTGCCTTCGATGGGATGCACCCGAAGAAGTGGCACTCGCCGCCGTATAGCTCGTGTTGAATGACAGCAACGCTCAGGCCGGCTTTGGCGAGACGGCCCTCCGCAAAGTTCCCGACAGGCCCACCGCCTATGATGATGATGTCGAAAGTTGTTTCGGCTAGCAGTGAAGGGTGGTAGCCCGTAGGATGGACGTTGATGTTTCTAGAGGCCATATTGATGGGTCGGATAGCACAAGTTATACAACAAGTAACCGAAGAATAATACGATATGGGAGCGATGATACACCTCGACAAGGTATCTGAAAGTATCTGGTTGAGTAGTAGTTCCTTCTACATACCTAAGTATTTATATCTCAAACCTCCTGTGCTACGTGCTATACAACACGTCACATGCATGCACGTTACTTTTCGGGTACAAAATCTGCCTAATAGTGATAGATAATCACCGATTACCACATGTAGCGGGCTGCATGATGATAATCATGTTGGTATTTGCCGCTAACCGGATCCGGAGGGCTACATGGTAGAACCAATTGATACTTTTTACCACATCGAGTAATTAACTAGACTTCTAGCATCGATGAGAAATCCCTCAAATGTATATCTACTCGACCATATGATGAGTAATTCATATAGGCGGAACACGCGGCACAAAAGCTGCAAAGTTTTCCTACGTGGTTTCAGCCTCGTGCTGCCCTCGCGGTGCAGCCAGCGCATCCTCCCCGCCTTTTGATCGCTCCAGCCGAACGGGATTTCTGCTCCACTCGGAGATGGTACTAGGGAACTCTAGGAAAGAGCTTAGTCAAGACCCTCAGGCGGCACATGGGGCAATCCAAGCTGATATCAGTACCCGGCATCAATGTATGTGTCATGAAGCCTGATCCTTTGAGCATGGGCAATAACATCGTCTTTCTATGTCTAATCCCGCATTAACCCCAATGAAGACTTGCAAAAAGTACACAAGAGCGAATCCGCCTGCTCCTACAGGGAGAACTCACCTTTTGACGAAAGTCGAACACGCCTCTAGAAGGAATGATCATCGAGATCGAAGATTGCACAAACTGCTCGATGCCTGTAGCCTTGGATGTCATTTGTCAACGAAGACTCTTCAGAAATCCGAGAAAATGCGATCGAAGCAGAGTTTATCCCGCTATGTACTATTATGGGGTGATCTACTACGTACACAGCATCCCTAGCTATACACTGTTGAACAGACTGACTATTTTTACTACTTATCAAAGCAATGCCTTACAATTATCTTAAAGGTGGATTTGTAGCGCTTTACTAACAATAATTCGTTCTGGAGACCAGTATTGAGCTTGGGAGAGCACGTCTTTAACTAGATACAACATCTGCTTAACACTAGCAACAATCTCTTTGCCCTATAAACTTGTTTAGAGCATTGTGGGACTTAATAAGCGCCTTTAGCACATGCACTTTCTATAGGTGGTAAAATAATAGTATGGGTGCTTTTAGTATAGCAATTGGATATTGTACACCCCACATTGTGGTCGTAGCACCCTTTTGATAACTTAGTATGAATGTCATAGGTGCTATAAACGGCACGGAGCAGCATATATAAACACTATCTTCGTACTCAGAATATTTCAATAAGCTTTGTAGGAATAAAGATACTTCAAGTTTGCAGATCTTATTGGAGTATTATGGAGCTAGTCTCGTTCGTCACATCCCTGCAAGCTTTCAGATACGATGGACCCTATAGTAACGCTATTTAAATGATGCTGAATGTGATTGGAATACTTTGTATGAAATCGCTACAGTCCAGAAAGCGTGGGGATCTAGGAGAGAGATTAGAAGGAAAAACTAAAATGCTTCCTCGAAAACCCTTCCACGGATGAACTGTAGCACACAGGCTAGCTAATCGGCGCTTTCATGCATCAAAAAACCTGAGTTAAATCAGATGCCGCATAGCATGCATTCAAGCAGTTGATTTTCTCTGATCTCATAGCACCTCTTGGGTAAAGTCTGAGAATATGCTCATGTCCTCGAATTTATCGAGCCAGACATTAACATCTGCATCTTGTCTGCTCTGCACAGCCATATCGAAATCGACTACAAAACCTCCTGTTGGGTGGGCGATGTCGTCATGGAAGGTCTCCCCAGCTTGAAACTCCTCCATTATAGATAAAGCCTCGGAAGATGACATTGATGTGCTCTCGAAAACAGCCATTGCTAAGAGTCCCCGCACAATGCCCTTGCATACTGCGAAAGCAGGGAAGAGCAGCTTAAAGCTGCGGATGCAGAAGAGGAAGGAGTGCCGCCAGTCGGAGCTCGCAACATCTCGAAGCACGGCGTTTGCGACTTGCATAAGACCAATACCCGCCCAAAAGATGGTTGCCGTTCCGTGCTGTTGCTCGATACAGTTGGCGGTGAGGCTTTTTAGCTGCTGTGCAGAGGCTGCGAAAATGGTCTCGGGTGACGCAGTAGATGTTTCTAGATACTCTGCTATTCGAATTCTTTTACCGGGGGGCAGAAACGGGCGAAATACCTCTAGCACGGCGGTATGAAATACTATGCTAAAACCGCCTGTAAATCGTGTGGATCCATATTGAACCCAGGGAACTTACTGGAAGAAAAGCACAGATAGGGAAGTATGCTCTTGGCGAATCAATTGCGCGGGCAGTTGTCCAGCCAAAGCCAACAGCATGTTGTACTTTGAGAATGCGAAGGCCAAATTCGGCGTCCCTGGCCGTTCAGGGTTCCGGTAGAAGCAGAGAATGTCAGAAAGGACCGCCCAGAGGCTACAGAGCGCAGATGACATGGTTTCGCTAGCATAGCGAGTAGAGAAGTTGCAACCTCCGCTCTGCTCAATGCTTTCATTATTGCTTTCCCTCGCTCCAGAGTACCCCGGATAAGGTAAAGCTGGAGGGTACGGCGTAGGTGGTAGTATATGAAATAAACTGAGTAACCTTCTAACGTCAAAAATATTACCTCTTCTGAAAGAATTCCAATACCTACATAATTGTGTTGAAACCTCCCCATGCTGAAGATACCAAAGCACGCTGATGGGGCGTTGGGAGTAATCGGAGTTCGGGGGAGCCAAATCGATCCGGAACGCCAAAAAGCTTCATTCGCTTCCCCATCTGAAAGGCATTCTCGGCGTACTTTCTCGAACCGTCGGAATATCGTCCGTGTGCGCCGTGGGAATATGAAAGCACTGCCACAGTCAGTCATCTGACCTTGCCAATATCTACCATACGGTACAAAGACACACAGGCTAAACCAGACAGGGCTGTTGGAGAATCTGTTCGTTCTGCCTCAAACAATCGTTCTGCTTCTTCTTCAAATTCAAAGCCTCGCGCGGATGATGTCGCATCTTGGGTAGAGTATCCTTGCTGTGTATGGTTTCAGTCTTCATTACCAACTTGAACACGTCAGGGCGGGACAGGTACCGATGCATATGCGAGCAAAGAGCTCACTAGGAACGGGGAGCAGAAGTCAAAATTGAAGCTCAGTAGATCGGCAATGAAAAGCTGCGAGTCAAAAACGCCTATTGTTGGATGATCAACTTCCAGATAGAAAGTGATGGCGCCAAGTCCAAATCAGCTTAAGGAATCTACTGCAAGGATGTATGCATGTAGGTACCTCTAGCAAACTCATTTGTAACCGGCACTGCAGTCCAGAAGCTAATATCAAGGGTCTCTAGCCCCATGTTTTGATCCTGAGCCATTGGAAGTGGCTCCAGTAAAGGTTGTGTTTCGTCCGTCAACTTGCCTTGTAGATCTATGCTGCTCATGCCCCCAGATAGATGTAAGTTTGGGTAAGCGAGAGGGTGTCTGACTGACAAGGCTAGTTCGGCGCCCGATTGAATTCGCGGTAGCAGACCGAGTGCAGCATGATTCGCACTAGGCAGTCTCAACTGGGGATCGCCTCGAAGTGAATTGAGTAACGAAAGCGGAGTTCCTTTAGGATTCATCCTAATCTCCCTCAGCAGTTCAAGAGCGTTGTTCTCTGGCAGCAGCCGTAGGTGGTCGAGCAACTCCTCGGTGGCTGTGTTACGCTCTTTCAGGCCCTTGTTTTCGTGTTTGAGCGCGTGTATTTGGAGCCCCGCCTTCTCTTTCACAGTGTATATGCACTGGGACCCTCGAACGACACAACTCGAGCAGGCGGGCGTTGCGCCATTACACTAGGAATTTATAAGTGAGCTGCTTGACGAGGAAGTCGTTGGCAGCCAAGTTACTTTACTTTTCCTCTCACGACACGAACCACACGCAGTGGAGATACGCTTACGCGTTGGTTCTACCGGTTCAAACACTGTAGGAAGTCGGCCATCATGGGGCTGTAGAGGTCGATATAAACGACGCTCCATTTCGTAGAAAAGTGGAAACCAACGTGGATTATCTTGTCTAGGCGATGGATGATGATGTTCTAGGCATTACCTCGATTGATTGTCGCAGCGATGCCATTTATCTGCCAAGCCCTTGGCGTGATTGTGATTCGGCGCATTGGCTACCGAGCGCTCGCTTGCCCATACCTGAGTACCTACCTAGGTACTACGAGATCCATTCCAGCCTGGTTCATTCATACTGTAAACAGACTTTTATGTTTTCTAAGAGGGATGTCAGGTTTTTATAATTTGTAATTGTCCAAAGCAGCAGTATTAGAGGACGTTGTTGCATCACGTGTATGCACGTGGGTCAGTAGCAGCAAACCTTAAAGTCTATTCCCATTACCATGTCATGAATTGATTCAAAAGAATCATAGCAGAAAGTATTATTGGTATTCCAAGGCGCTTGCGTACAGATATCAAGTGGAAATCCGATGTGACGAGATCCGTTATCGGCATCAAGGATACTGCATCTGCTTACCAATATCAAATTTGGACAGGGTTGTAAACAGATGACAGCCTTGTACGAAAATAGTGTTGACTTCTAGCAAACAGTACAGTAATACTATCTATTCATAACCTTGGGTTGAAAGCGGGTCGACTAGCAGTCTTGCCACCCGCTATCCTCCATAAGGTACCCAGGTGGAACATCTTGATGTTGCCTGTAGAGTGTACATAGTGTACATGTATTAGTCGAATTTGTGCCAGTGTCGACCCTATATATTGACTATCTGGGCGATGCTTCATTTGAATCATAATAACCGCGCCAAAAATGCTTTCAATACTCTTTCACTCCCTTGGCACGGGTTGATATCCGAGGCCACGGCCATCAACAACATCTGGCGCAACACGTACAAACAACACTAATGAACTACCCTTCCATTACCTTGATAATACGAGAGCAAAATTGTCCTTTTCATGTATCCTCCCACCTACTGTGCTGTGCCATATCCCATCGATCGCCATGGCCTCGAACTCATCACAAGTAAATGTTTCCCCGCTCATTCTTAGAAGATGCGATTTTTCACAACTCCAGATGTTCTCACATCTCTCAATTCTGCAAAATCACCCAGCATGACTCTTCCCCAACCTCTCCCTCACTTCCCTCACCATCCCCGGCCCAGCAGCCGCCACAGCAACCAAACACGTGACAGCCCCACAACTCACGGCCAACAAATGGCTGACCCTACACCCATGCAGATACCCACCCAACACCATCCTCAACTCCTCATCTCTAAACAAACTCCTGATCTGTAACGCACCCGCATCTACCACAACCTTGGGATCCAGCTCAGGCAAACTGGCTTTCAGATAACGCACCAAGCCCTGCGCGAACGCGGCTTCGCCAGACGCTACAAACAGCGTGGTTCCCACATTCTCCGAGAAGAGTGACAGCGGTGTCACAAGCGCGACTTCGTCCTTCTCCACAAGTGCCTGGTTGTAGATCATGGGGATCTGCAGCGCGATCCCAATCCCCATCCCCGTCAGCATCTCGAACCCAATCCATGTCCGCGTCGACGCAGGCTTATCAACGCTGTAGATGCTGATCGTTCCAGCAGTAGCCAGCATTGCGCCGCCCAGAAGTAGCGGTTTGTAGTGGCGCCACCACGTGAGCAGCACGTTCGACGTCGCCGTGAAAACGGAGACTCCTAAGAGCAGCGGGATAAGCCGAACGCCGCTCTGCGACGGCGAGGCCGCATCTACAGATTGGAATTGAACGGGGAGCGTGTATTGAAGGGGTTGAAACACGCCTGCGAAGAAAAACATAAACGCCAGGTTTAGTGCGACTTTGGGACGACGGAGGAGGTGCGCGTGCACCATTGCTTTGTCGCCCATCTTGTACTCGTTGAAGACGAAGGCGCAGAAGCTGAGGAACGAGCCGATGAGACTGCAGAGGACGCGTGGAGAGGTCCATGGGGAGATGCTGGAGTAGTGCATCCCGAGCACGAAGCAGGTGAAGAAGGAGGTCACTAGGAGACCGCCTCCGATGTCGAGACTGGCGAATCTCTGGATGCGTTTCATTTCTCGCGGAGGCGTGAGAGGGGAGCGGAAGGAGAGGGCTACTATAGCTACTGCCAGAGCGCCGATGGGGAGGTTGATCCTGTGTATCCCGTCAATTCGCAATCCCTACTCAACAAGATCATCGTTTCCCAGCAAGCCCTAACCGACTCTTAAAAAAAGATAAAGAAAAAGAGGGCAGTAGATGTGAAAAAAAAAAAAAAAAAAAAAAATCACGTCGAACGGGATACATACCAAAAACACCACCTCCACCCCACGCTCCCCGTCAACCCACCCCCCAACAACGGCCCCGCCACACTCGAAATCCCAAACGTAGCACTCACAACCCCCATAAAAGCCGGGCGTTTATCCTCGCCCACACTAACCGCGATGATGATAAACGCGCCCGTCATGACCCCACCTCCACCCAACCCGGCCACCACTCTCCCCAAGATCAACGCCTCGGAGCTCTGCGCAGCACCGCATATGATGTTGCCGAGCTCGAAGAGGGTCACGGTGAGCATGAAGACGCGTTTGAGGGGGAAATGCTGGTACGCTTTCCCCCAGACGAGCTTGAAGGCGCCGTTGGTGATGGAGTATGCGGAGCCGTACCAGGCAATGTTTGAGATGGAGTTGAATTCTGTGGTGATGGCTGGGATGGCGGTTGCGATTATGGAGAAGTCGAGGGCGGCGAGGAGGATGCTTAGCATGAGGCCCAAGGTGAGGAATATGAGTCGCGCGCCTTCAGGAAACTGGCTTTGCGGCGATGGGCTGGTGTCGCGTGGTGGTGATGGTGTTGTTGAGTCATTCTTATGTTCTACTGATATTCCTAGCGACGTTTTTGATGCTCGAGCGTTGAGAGTGGGAGGTTGACGCGACTGTAATTCTATGTCGTCCATTTTCGAGATGCTGGTGTGGAAAGCTGGCGAGAAAGAGGATCAGAGAAGATGGGATGGTTCGAAATTATCGTTGCACATGAGACTAGTCTCCATGGGTGTGTTGTTCGTCGTGCATTTTCCCGAAAGAACTGTGATGGTAATATCGGTCCGGGCGTCTGACCTACCTAAAATGTGCGTAAGCTGCATAGGACTTTGTTGTTCACGCGAAAGCTAAAATATGACTCATACTGTCCCGAGTACGTAAAGTATTGATGTTTAATAAAGCTTTTTTTCTTGTGCTTAATTGTCTTGTGTGGAATGTGAAGAGAGATGGGAGCGACTGCGCTGGATACAACACCTCTAAATAACGAGTGGAGATCATGTCAGCACTTGAGAACCCAGAGGAAGAAAAATGTCCGATTGCCTACAACTATACCAGGCTCTTTTGAGATTAATAGCTAGCATATAGACTTCATCCATGTCAACTACCACAAACTCATCACACAAGACAGCTTCGTAGGACTACAGAAGCAGTATCCCTCACCCTCCAGACCATCCACACAAAGCCTAAGCAGAACCACATGTGCACGCTTCAACCACAAATTGCATACAACCTAAGACACAAGAACAAAAAATACCCCAAAACATCCACACTACCCGTAGTCAGTCCACGGACAACCCCAATGTTTTTCTTCCTACTCTATATCCACGTCCTATCTCATTGCTCGCGATAGCCTTCAATCACAACTCCAACATATACCCTTCCCGATCTATCTATACATCTCTACACAGAATACTCTACTCCTAACCTATCCAATCAATCAAAAACGCCCCTTTCCCTTGAAACTAGCTATAAGCTACTGCTTACCACACACCTAGCCTTATTAATCCGCTTTTTTGTTGCGGAATTCCACAAGACCAAAACCTCCTTCTCCCTCCCTCCCTCTCTTTCTCTCTCTGTCTTTCTCACCCAAAAAAAAAGGGAAATAGGGAAAAAGAGAAAACTGATCAAGTATTACACACCCAAGAACTCTCCTAGCCCTCGTTCTGTTTTCCCAAATATATATATGAGTTTGGGATGGAGACAGCCAGCCAGTCCAATTGTTCCACCTAAGATAGGAATAGCGTCTCCGCCTAGCGTCCCCGCCTAGCGCCCGCTATACATACCTCAGCAACTAGGTACTTAGACAACATCTGGTCCGACAATACGAAAAGGAAAGGAAAGGAAAGAAATAAACAAGTTTTAACGAATTGTTATGGATAATTTATTAGACATGGTTTTTAAACGCAATGCAATGGAATGCAACGTAATGGAACTAGTTCTAAATACAATACAATCAATCGTACAAGCTAATAATAATAATAAAAAGGGAATTCGTACAACGACTGGGGACCGGAGTTGCAGCGAGCGGGCGGGCGGGCGGGGCGGGGAGTTGTGAAGCTTGATTTTTTTTTATGTGTTTGGGCTTAACTTGATTCGAGGGAGGGGAACGAGGAATAGATGGGGGAATAGTTGCTCCGAGGTAGAAGGATGGAAGGTGTGGGATCTTTTTTCTTCTTTGGCTAGGAGTGGATTTATAATTCTATGCAATGTGTACGTACGTGGGTTTTGTGGACATGTGGGTATGAGGGGGAGGGGGGGGATAGGGATATAAATATAGGGGGGAGGGAGAGAGATGGGTATCGATCGTGCCATCAAGTTGTATTCAAACGGTTCTTTCGACTCACGAGTAGAAGGACGAACGACGGAACAGAAAGGCAAGCACACGAGAACACTGGAAAGGGTGTGCGTCTAACACTCTTCTAAACTTTTATACACAAATTCCACTTCTTCGAGAGATCTCTCTCTTTTGTATTCGAGCAGTCTACAAGACACACCCCAAAACTCCACCTCTCCAGTCATGCCCCAGGAAACCAACATGTCAATCCTCGTCATCGGCAGCACCGGCAAGATCGGCCGTCGTCTGATCCCCCGGCTCCTCTCCTCGCCCTCGACACCGACTCTAGTCTTGCCGACGACAAAGGAGCCCTCGACGCTGCTCTCGACCGTTTCCAGCTTGCCAGGCTACGATGAGTCCCGCGTCCACGTGCCCCAGGGCTCTATATCCGACCCGCCGTTCCTCGATGCATTGTTGCAGAAGCACAGCGTGACGAGCGTGTTTATGGCCATGACTGGGCCCGACGAGCTCTTCACGACGAGTTTAGTGCTGTCTGCGCTGCAGAGAAGCGCGACTGTGAAGCACGTCGTGTATATTTCCGCGGCGGGGGATTATAGTGTCGATGCTATCAAAGCAGGGGGGATGCAAGGTTCGGATGCTGCGAATGTGCTCGTCAAGTTTCTTGTCGAGGCCAAGTTGAAGTATGGGATTGCTGCTCGTGATGATGGGGAGAGTGCAGACAAGGGGAAGAAGAAGACAGGTTTTAGTTGGACGGTCTTGGGCCCGACGTTGTTCACAGATAATGATGCTATGGGAAAGCAGTGGTTGATGGAGCGGGGGGTGTATTTCCAGGCGTTGGGCGGCGGTGCGGGAATAAGTTTCGTGGATGTCGAAGATATTGCGCTCGCTGGGGTTATAGCGCTCGAGGATGATGGGAGGAAATGGGGTGGCAAGAAGATTATTATTGGCGGAAAGAAAGCGTATACCGGGGATGAGGTGGCGAAGCTGTGGTCGGATGCTTTGAGGAAGGAGTTGAGGTTGGCGGAGCGTGATGAGGTTGAGGCTGATCTAGCGGGGGTGATTGGGCCGGGTCATGCGAGAATGTTGGCGGATATGTTTCAAGAGTTTGGGGAGCGTGGGTTTGCTATGTCGGAAGAACAATATCGTGAGCAGGTCGCCTTCTTGGGTAAGGAACCTGAGGAATATGAGCAGTTCGTGCAGTCGACTGCCCAAGCTTGGAAAGCGGAATGAACTGGGGATGCAAGCACGGGAAGTTTGTAATATCAGACGTAGAATCAAAGAAGCGAAAAATCGAATTGAATTGAATTATTTTAGTTCTACCCCGCGGTCATGAAAAATCGGCGCCCAAGAAACTCACATCTACACCTGCCCAGCAGTGTGGAAGTCCTGGAGAGCGGTCTTAATGCGGGCAGACATGGTCTTCTCTCCCTCGCGGACCCACACCCTAGGGTCGTAGTACTTCTTGTTGGGCTTGTCGTCGCCGTCGGGGTTGCCGACCTGGGTCTGAATGTAGTCCTTCTTGTTCTGCACGTAGTCGCGGATACCGGTGAGGTAGGCCCATTGCAGGTCAGTGTCGAGGTTGACCTTGACAACACCGTAAGAGATGGCCTCGCGGAAGTCATCAACGGAGCTACCAGAGCCACCGTGGAAAACCAAGAAGACGGGCTTCTCCTCGCTAGACTTGGTCTGCTCCTTGACGTATTGCTGGTGCTTCTTGAGAAGTCCGGGCTGGAGCTTGACGTTTCCGGGCTTGTACACACCGTGCACATTGCCGAAACCAGCGGCAATAGAGAAGTAGGGGGAGATGCTGTAGCATGATTAGCTTTCAGTGGATTAAAAATGGGCTCGTGAACTGGTCCTTACGGAGAGAGAGTCTTGTAGATCTGCACGTAGTTAGTAACTGTTACTGGCAATCGTGCCGATTCGAGCTGGAACTTACCTCGTAGATGTCCTCGGGCTGAGTGTACAAGCTGTTGTTGTCAACATCCTCGTTGTTGACGCCGTCCTCCTCACCACCAGTGATACCAATCTCCATCTCGAGGAACTGCTTCATGGGAGCAGCGCGCTTGAGGTACTTGGCGGTGGTCTCGATGTTGAACTTGACCTCCTCCTCAGACAAGTCGATCATGTGGGAGGAGAAAAGGGGCTCGCCGTGCTCCTTGAAGTGAGCCTCGTCGGCATCGAGCATGCCATCGAGCCATGGAAGGAGCTTCTTGGCGCAGTGGTCGGTGTGAAGGACGACGGGAATGCCGTAGGCGGGAGCAATAGCGCGAATGTAGTGGGCGGCAGCAACGGCACCGGCGATGGAGGCTTCTTGGTTCTTGTTGTCTACACCTTTGCCTGTCGATAGGAGTCAGCATCTCACGCGACACCGTAGTTTGAGGGTAGCGCGCTGGGAATTGTGCATTATCGCTAGCAGAATCTGCACTGGAATATGATTCCGACGGGGAAAAAAAGGAAACATACCGGCAAAGTAAGCGGCACCACCTTGGGAGGTCTGGAGGATGATGGGACTCTTGCTGTCCCGCGCGGCCTCGAGGGCTGGAATTTTTTGTCAGTCTAACATTCTCGCGGTTGAGGACGCGCAATCGCGAATTGTTGCTTACAGGCGACGACAGTGGAGCTAGATGTGACCTATGGATGGATTGTCAATTTTCTGCTGCTTGACTCGGATTTGAGGGGAAAAGCCTACGTTGATGGCGGGGATGGCGTAGCCCTGCTCCTGGGCGTTCTTGAAGAGCTATCACCGAACAGTGAGCAGTCAATTCGCAAACAGTACAGTGAGAGCGAGCTTCTTTTACCTTGAGGACATCATCGCCGTAGATGACACCGGTCTTGCGGGAGAGGTTGCTGGTGGCGTGTCAGATCGTTGCGTCGTATGATTGATGAGGGGTAATACTGACTCTGTGGCACCCATTGTGATTGTGATTTTGGATTGGTGAGGGGTTCAAAAGGTGAGTTGGTGGGATGCGTGTGACTGGGGAGCAAAGGTGAGTGAGTAAAAGTAAGTAAAAGAGCAGGAGAGGGCTTTGTCCGAGTTATGAAGGGTGGTGGTGATATGAGGTAATGGGCACAAGTGGTTGAGCTTGGTGGGGGGGAACCCCACCACAGCCGGCACCAATGACGCGCCTCATGATGCACAGACTGGGCATTCTGGGCTGCGAAGAAGCAAACAACAACAGCAGCGGACGAGGCGAATCAGACGGGCTGCTGGGGAAAAGTCTGCAGCGCAAGCGGTGGGTACGTGAGGGCGGACAGTGGGTACAGGCGTACCAAGTCCATTACAAGGGCGGGCCCACCGTAGCATCAGCTATCAACCCTCATTCAAGGCGTTATGCCATGTCTGGATCCTGTGAACAGCTTTTTAAAACCATGTTAAAATGCTATTTGATAGGATAACAAAGCAAAAAGAGCAGTTGACACTAGATCCTTGGGTGGGCCTTCCCCTGCAATGTACGCTTTTCAGACGACGTAATAGCGGATAGGAATGACTTACAAAGTGGATGTAGGTAAACTGGATCGTGATAAGAGGTGAAACTCGAGTGGATGGACCAAGTAATGGTTGTTATGTAGTAGGTAGGCGAGGGGGAGAAGAAAAGAACAGAAGAGAAATGCAATCCAACGGCGGAAACGTAATATAGTTGCAAATCCATCCATCCCCATTCATTCACGGCCGCGCTGCTACAGCGTCTCCATCCCGGTCCGCGCCCATCTCATCGCCCGCACGTAGCTCGGCACCATTTCCCACCTCGCCCATCCGAATCTCTCCGTTCCTCCATCTCTCCGCTGCTGATGCCGAGCATCGTGAAGACTTGTCGCATCACGGGGGACTGCACCCCCCGGCCAATGCCATCGTCACCTGCATGCGCCACGGCCTGTTTCCTATTCCATCTTCAGCACGTCGCCCTCACGCTTCCCGTCAGCATTACTCAGTCCTCGAGTCTTGTTTTGGTAGTAATTGGTTACATGTTATTGCCATCTTTGGTACACTATGTTTACAAACATCACGTCGTCGTCGTCTCCCCATCTCTACATGTGAACTTGCAAATCGAGCAGCCAGCATGTGCTCCCCCGATCGACAACATTTCTCCCCTACTGTACACCTCCCCTTGATGCGATTGTGTCTACTCTTTGGCGCGGATGCGAACGGTCCGCAGCAGGGGCGCCTCCGCTCCGCTGAGCTGGATTTCCACCTTGAACGAGCCCACCTGCTTCAACCGTGATGTATCGTCCTCCTCGAACCCAGTGATGAATTTGATGTCGCTGTCCGAGAGCAGCACGCGAGCCGCCTCGTCGTTGTGGGCCAATGCCGCCTTGATAGTGTTTGCGACATCCGTAGTCGAGACAGAACCATAAATCGAGTTGACGTTCACCTTTGGCTTTTCCTGGAAGGAGATAGACGACAAGATATCAGCCGCTTCCGATGCACCATGCCTCCTGCTGTCCTGCTTCGCCGGGCTATCCTGCTCGATGAGTTGTCGGGTGAAGTCAATGGTAGGTGGAACGAAGGTATCGATGAGCTCCATGGAACGTTCGGGCTGTATTCACGGTGAGTTTGCGTGCAGTGTGGAGAGAGGGATGGGAAGGAGGAGACTTACGCTGAGCAGCTCCAGCTCGATTGGCCGCACGTAGTGCTTCTTCTGCTGCAAGAAGCTGTCATCTTGGTCGGCAATCTCCTCGAGAGGCTCTGGAACACCAAATGTGAGGTCGCGCTCAATCAATACACCCTGGGCCTTGAGCTGCTTCAGCTGGGTCAGGGTAACATAATCGGCGATGCGGGCAGGGAACCATCGATTGCGCATAGTGGTCCGACTAAGGGGCACGTATGAGCCTGCTTTGCCGAATTTCGGGACATCGGCCAACAGCTTCACGGCAATGTTCTTCTTTGTTTCCTTGGCCGCTTTGGAGAGGTTGCGCGTGTGCTGGACAGCTCCGCCCAGTCCATGTCTCGTCACCCGCCGTATGCACGAGGGGCATTGAGGCAGGAGGGCGGGCCTCGCCACCATTGATGAAGCCATTGGATCGCGGGTCTACGGCTGGTGGTATTGTCGAGAAATCGTTGTTGACCTGCCCGACCGGCGATGTCGAAGATGGGATGATTACCGTTCAATGTCGTTGTACGTGTTTTGGTGTCTGGGGGAAAAAGTAGCCAAAGACCCGAAGGGGCTTAGTTGGTCCATCGAGGCGCTTGCCCGCAGTGGGACTAGCGCGCTGATTCTTCTTTGGGAAGATGCAATGTTGGTTGGACGACGCCAACTGTGAAGATTGAGCTCTCTCCGACCTGTGTATAGTTCAATCCGTGGTTGATGGGTGTTGAAGACGACTTGAATTTGGGGGAATGGCGCAGGGAAACAAGGCAAAGACGGGCAAATCAACGTATCAACTGTGGCCGGGCCGACCTCGTTGATGCTAAACCACCTACCAGTACAGACACACATATTTGAGACGAAAACAACATGGAGAGAGCAAGACAGACTCGGACGCCTCGGAACTAACCACTGACTACCGAGTATCTGCGTAGCCTTGTGACCACGACTGCTCCCGGTGTGCCTTTACCTAAGTCGTGTCTGGCATGCGCGGACCCTGGGCCCATGTTCTCTCTCAAGTCTTTATTTGCTCTTCAACTGCCATCTTTCCCCTTCACACCACCTTTAGTTCCACTTCTTGATACTTTGTTAAACGGCTATTTCCCTATACACGTCGAGGTCTTCAATCAATCTCTTCGCTCCTCTGATTCGCCCGCGTGCGGCCGAGGCTCGCCATCTTGTCAACTAATCGATAAGCCGTTGGTTCCGCACCTCCGTCCTCTAACAGCCCTGCCCGTGTCTCCTCCGCCTTTTTCTAACCACCCCCAAACTCGCCCAAAAAGGGTAGGGGGTGATCCGTTCATTTGTTCCTTGTCCACAATGCCAGAGAAACCTCTCACCATCGCAACCTATGCCGCTGGAGCCTCTCTCGCCGCCATCACCCTCGTCTACGTCTTTGGCCCCACCTTCATCCTCGACGATGAAGCCTCATCTACGCGCAAAAAGGGCGTCGTCGGCCTGAGCAACGCTGCCAATGACTGCTTCATCAACTCTATCCTACAGGCCCTAGCAGGTCTCCCGGACCTCCGCATATATTTAATACGAGAGATCCATCGTCGGAAGCTCGATGGCGCCGATATGTACGATGTCGATCCCGACCACAAACTCGCCGGCGCAGACGACGACTCTTCTCCCCCCGCCATAAAACCTTGGAAACTTGCCGGCCTGCAGAAAGGCTTAGTCACCCACGCCCTCAAGGACGTCCTCGACAGTCTCAACGAGCGTCCGCTGTACAAAAAGACCATATCCCCCCAGCCCTTCATAAGGGCCCTGGAGCGTGCCTTTGGCACCCGCATTAGCCGGCAGCAGCAAGATGCCCAGGAATTCTTGCAAGTCATCACCGAGCGCCTATGCGATGAATACCACGCTGGTGCAAATGCCCGTCAACAGGCATTGAAGGCAGGTACAACCACAGCAGAAGATTGTGCTTCGGAGAAACGCGAAATTGTCGAACAGTTCGACGCTGCTCCTACACAACCAATCGAACCCGATGCCGCACATGAAGAAACAACTGAACCCCCTAGCGAGGAGGGCTTCCCCTTCGAAGGCAAAATCGAATCTCAAATCGAGTGCCTCACCTGCGGCTTCAAGCCCAAACCCACCGTTTCGACCTTTGTGACTCTCACACTCAACGTTCCACAAACTTCCTCGGTAACCCTCAATAAGTGTCTAGATGGTATATTTCGGATAGAACACATTGATGATTTCAGATGCGACTGCTGTCGCTTAAAGTATGCACTCGAGACCAGGACGCGCGAACATGAACGGGCTTCGGCCGGTGACAAAAAATCGCAATTGGCTTCAGATATTGAGAAGATCCAACAAGCTTTGAAAGATGACCCAGAATCGCCTCCTGAAGATGTGGAACTTCCCGATGGTCCCAAGCAACGCATCGCTCGACACATGTATATTTCGTCTTTTCCCAAAGTCCTCGCCCTCCATCTATCTCGTTCCGTATTCGCTGTGGGGACCATCTCTACCAAGAACCTTGCCAAGGTTTCCTTTCCTGAAGAGCTTCCACTCGGAGGGCTAATCGATAGGCAAAATTACCGCCTGCTCGGGCTGGTCAATCACAAGGGAACGCACAATAGCGGTCATTACGAGTCGTTCCGTCGACAGGTACAACCGGTACCGTTTTCCACTCCGCATTCGTTTGGCACCGAAGGCGTATACAGTGTGCAAGGAAGTCCCAACCCATCTGCTGTCCAAAGTCCTCGGATGTCAACTTCCAACCTCACCATCACCGACCGCGCTTCTAGATTCCCTGACATAGCGACCGGGCCTGCGCCAGACTCTCCTTCGCTCCACTCCCAATCATCTCTCTCATCCAATACTCGCGACTGCGCCCTTCAGTCCTCATCCTCGACATCATCTGCTATCGCGCCAGGACCCACGTCCGCGCCATCTTCCGATGACAATGCGTCTCAAAAGCCCCCATCCACAGCGTCGACGTCGCGGCCCAAAAGCACAAAGAGCATTCGATCTCTCAAAGAAAAAGCCTCCACGATGATCGAAGATTCGAAATCAAGCCTGGCCACGAAACGGAAAGCCAAAGCGAGACGCGTGAACACGAATCGATGGTGGCGTATCAGTGATGACAAGATCAAGGAGAGCAAGACGAGTGATGTCTTGGGCATGCAAAAAGAGGTCTATTTGCTGTTTTACGAGCTCGATAGACGATAGTGTACCATTACACGACTGCATTAGAAACCATACTCTTATTAGATTCGCCCAAGATGGCGTCCCCTCGTGTATCATGCATGTAGTCCAAATTCATGCAGACAAAGTACTGTAGTGTAGATTATATCCCAATGCATTGTGTATAACATTATACAATCGTGTCTAGAAAGGAGTACAACTAGGAGCACTAGAATAGCCAGCATCAGAATAGCCAGCATCAGAATAGCCAGCATGAGGCAACAGGATTCCCGGTATAAATCGATATCTACAACAAAATAGGCGAGCGCCGTCCCGCCCGCGCCCGCGGCCCCGGAGCAAACCGAGGTACGAAGCCCGATGCATCCACCCCCCACCAGCGAAACCCTTGCGCTAAACCCAACCCAACCAACCTGCGCACGGCATCGTCTTGTTGATACACCTCCCCACGATAGTTCCCCTTTCATAAAAGCCACATATACCAGAGGTCTTGATTTTCTTTTCTTTTTTTCTTTCTTCTCTTGTCTCTTCTTCTGTGTGTTCTTATAGACTGCTTGATCCCCTCGGTTTGTGCATGTACGACTAGACAGTGGACTCGACGTCGCGAACCCATGTACTCATAGATGTACGTTTGAGTGACTGGAACGCCATACTTACTCATCTCTTTATAACTTGCCTTACCTCCTCGTTGTTTTATCTGGGTTCTGGGTCTCGAGTTTGTTTTTACTTTTTCCACTTCAACGCGGCATCTAGACGTGCCCTGCTCACTCCGTCGAAGGCGATACAGTCGTCGATTTGATAGACTGCCTCCAATAGCGGAACAACACATCATACTTCGGCTTTTATCTTTCTCGGACTTTTCTCCGGGTTTTGTCAGTTTTACCGGACAGAAGCGTACTCTGTGTACAATCAAGAGCTAGGATCTACAGACGTGCAAGATCGGTTGTGAAAGGGTGATAAGGTCAAACTTCAGATACATCGGCGCAAGGCACACGAATAATCAGCAAATATCGAACGCAATCCTTGTAGCGATTCAACAAAGCCTTGTTAACCCAAGGAACTTGCCCTCCAATCTTCTCTAAAGCTGTTGGATTCTCACCTCGAAATAATCCAAGCTCTCGCAATATCTGTCACAGAATAGATCAGCATGGCAGCGTCACAGACTATCGCCAAAACTGTCTACGCTGGCGCCTTTGTGCACTCCATCTCCCTCACCGAGCTCGAGATTTGCGAGAACGGTGCTATCGGCGTCGATGAAGCGGGTGTCATTCAGTTTATCGAGAGGAATGGATCTGAAGAGTGGAAAGAGAAGGAGGGGTGGCAGAGTGCGAAAGTTGTAAGACTAGATGGGAAAGGGTTCTTCTTTCCAGGGTTCATTGGTGAGTTTGTTTTTTTCTTTCGGAAATGCTTCTTCATCTTGCTGTGAGAATTGACTTGGTGTATTGCCTTGGGTTGATAGCATCATACTCTTGGTTAAATGATCGAGTTCTACAAGATGGGATGCCAAATCCCCATAAAAGCATACTCATTATCTGATTCCAACATATTTCTAACGACTTCCAGATACCCACACCCACGCCCCTCAACATCCAAACACTGGTCTCTTTGGCAAGACGACGCTCCTCGATTGGCTCTCAACTTACACCTTCCCCCTCGAGGCCTCCCTCTCCTCCCTCCCAAAAGCACACCGCATCTACACAAACTTCGTCTCACGCACCCTCTCCAACGGCACCACAACCTGCGCCTACTACGCAACCCGCCACGTCCCCGCCACCAACCTCCTTTCCTCCATCTGCCTCGCCCGCGGCCAACGCGCCCTCGTCGGCCGCGTCTGCATGGACTCGCTTTCCCCCGAATACTACCGCGACGCTTCCATCGATTCCGCCGTGGCCGACTCCCGCGCCTGCGTAGAATACACCCGCTCCATCGACCCCACAGGCGCAATCGTCCGCCCCATCATCACCCCCCGCTTCGCCCCCTCCTGCACCGCGCCGTGCCTCGCTGCCCTCGGCGCCCTCGCCCGCGAAACACACTCCTACATCCAAACCCACGTGTCGGAAAACACGTCCGAAATTCAACTCGTCGCCCAACTCTTCCCCGAATCCAAATCCTACACCGACGTCTACGACACAGCGAATCTGCTCACCGAGAAAACGATCCTCGCGCACGCCATCCATCTCTCAAAACAGGAACGTGACACTATCCGCGCCCGCGGCGCCAAAATCTCGCATTGCCCTGCGTCCAATACCGCGTTGACGAGTGGATGCTGCCGTGTGCGTCAGCTGCTCGATGAAGGGTTGACGGTGGGGCTCGGCACCGATGTGAGCGGTGGCTTCTCGCCCAGTATCCTCGAGCAAGTGCGGCAAGCGATCTGGACGAGCCGGTTCGTGGCCATGGGCGATCCGAGTGCCGGGGCCGCAGACGGGAAAGCGAAACTGAGTACAGCCGAGGCGCTGTTTCTAGCCACGAGGGGTGGTGCGCAGGTTGTTGGGTTGGCCGATAGCGTTGGCGGGTTTGAGGTTGGGAAGGAGTGGGATGCGCAGATGGTTACGTTGGGGGAGGGGGTTGCTGATGGGGCTGGCGAGGGACAAGTTGATGTCGACGCTTTCGAGGTGGGTGGAACTTCTACGGCGTTGTTGGAATCGACTAATGTCGATGTCTTTGGCTGGGAGTCTTCTGAGGAGCTCGTCGAGAAGTGGGTTTATAGCGGCGACGATCGTAATTGCGCTGCTGTGTGGGTTCGGGGTCGTTTGGTGCATAAGAGAAACGATGTTGTTCTGTAAGACGTCCACCTGTATCCTTTTTTCCAACTATAGTTTTGGTTTTTTTTCTTTCGCTAGACTAGGGGATAAAACGAGGAAAGAGGTTTATTGTACATGGGTAGCTGTATAGATTGAAGTAGCCGAATATAAGATTAGAAAGATAGACTTCGGGAACCCGAAAGATTATGATGCCAACCAGTGAAGAAACATCAAGAGTAATCCACTTCTATCATTTCATGTCACCGTATCCCGAAATCTTATAATAACTTGCATTCTCCACAAAGTCGATCCTATTTCTTTCACCAATACTCCACTACAACACTGACTGTTCAGTCTAGTCTGATTCAACTATGTAAGTACGTAGTAAATGATATAAAAAACCACACAGACACACACACACACACACACACACACACACACACACACGACTCCCTACAAATCAATCACGACAACCCCACCAACAGCATCATTAACATCCCCCTCAAAAGCATTAACCAGCACATAAACAACCCCCCCAGCAAAACCCCCTCCCCTTCCCAAAGCCAAACTCGTCGGATCCGGAACCTGCTCCCCACTAACAACAACCTCAACCTTCCCGCCCTCACCACCAACCCTAAAAACAAAATCCGGATGAGCAGCAATATACACATCCCCATTGCCATGGACATCGAAATCATCAATTCCACTAACGACATCGGTATCGAACCGCGTGATTACACTCGCGTTCCCAATCGCCGTCCCATCATCCCGCGAGATGCGGAAGCGCCCCAACACGCCGGTGAAGGAATTCACGAAGAACAAGGTGCCGTCGTGGACTTTGATGCCGTTGACGCCGAGGCCTTGCGTTTGATCCGGGATGCCGAGGATGGGGTCATTGATGGCGAGGGAGTGCGTTTTACGGGCTACGTCGATTTTGTAGATGACTCCGGCGACGGAGTCGGAGGCCAGGACGAGCGGGGTGCCTGGGATGGCTGCGAGGCCGTTTAGCAGGGCCGCGGAGGGCATGTCGAGGAGTTTGGTGGGGACTGCTTCTGTGGGAGGGGAGGGGGGGTTGAAGTCGATGGTCCAGAGTGAGATGTTGGTTGCGCGTTGCTGCGTGAGATTCCAGATCCCGGCTGCGACGACGAAGAGGTCTTGCGAGAGCTCTGTGATTCCCGATATGCCGTTTGCGCCGGGGATGGGCGGGAGTGGAGTTGTTGTGTTTGGGGTGTTGGGGTCGATGTATAGCAATGATGGGGTTGAGAGGGAGGTTATGAGGAGATGGCCGTTGTGGCGGACGGCGATGTTTTCGAGGAAGCCGTTGTAGGTGGTGAGTTGCTTTACTGTGGCTGGGTTTTGGGGAGGTGTTGCGGATGCGGCGAAGGTGAAGAGGAGGGTGGGTAGGAGGATCCGCATGGTGGATGAATGGGGTTCCGGATTTCTGGATACATGGAGTTGTTTGATATGGTGTTTGTGTACTTAAGTAGTTATGGCTCGGGGCCTGGAGGACACCGAACATCCGGGAGCCGGGATGAGTTTCATTCACTCGTATTTCGATTCCTTCGTTCCTGTAATGATATGTAGGTTTGCATCATTCGGATAAACATAATATCCGACTCACATGGCTTGGCTGCATTGGTTCCTGCATCCTTCATGAAATAGGATCGAAGTACGACTTCATCCTAGCTCTTCATTCCTCGGATTTGATTCTACTGATAAGTTTCCAAGCAATCTGCTACATACGCGTCATATCACCAGCTAGGGTTACTCAAGCTGATCATTTTCCGCATATATCAAGTGAGTGTCGTCATATGAGCAAGAACTCACAAGAGTATCCTCGTTCTATCGATAGTCAATATGTTTGAAAGAATGTATGATGCACAAATCTAGTTCGAGTATACACAAACAAACAAAAATCTATTCAACACCTAAAATAGAATAAAATCCCACAACGTGAATTCCATCCAATCTACTCCTGCCTTCTCTCTCTTGGAAGAGTAAATCAGTATAAAAAATGAATGCTCCACTGTAAATCCTCGACAGCGGCGTAGTCAAACCACAGCCCCAACCAACAACACTCGTCACCTCTCCTCTCCTCTCCTATCTTATCTCCGAGCCACTGTAACGGTCCTATCAATACGCACGCACACAAATGGTCCGGACAAAATCGACAGTCACGCACATCCCCATCTATCCCCTTATTCTCACAACGGCCTCCAGAAATACCCACAAAAACAAAAACAAAAACAAACATGATCAATCTTATCCACCCGAGAAAAGGAAAGAATTCAAACAAAATTTTCTAACCAATTGCCTACGGGCAAGAGTCCCTCCATGTCTCAGATCCTACGAATTCCGCTGATCTTATCTCCACTATCTCATATAAGGTAAGGGGAGGTATTATCTCCGCTTCTTAACACCGGGGTGGGAAATATGGGTGGAAGACGAGGGACGAGGGGGAGGGGAACGTATGAGGTTCGTGGGAGCGGGGGGCACAGGGAAGGTACCGAAGGGAGTTTGGCGAGTTGGATGTAATGGAGCGACTTTCTGTGTATGTGGGTATGTTGCAAGGCTTTGAATAGTTAAAAGATGTATTGGTTGAACAGCAAAGACTACACTTTTTTACTGAACGAGGAAGAGAAAGCTGGCTTCCCCGCTTCCTCAGCCCTTATGATAACCACTTTTGCTTCCTGGATATAGGAAGCAGTACCAAGAGACCAACCATGTAACAAGATACATATAATGAAATTGCCACCAACACCGACAACTCCATGAAGCAAATCCCAGCAGGGAGCCAACTCCCTACTCAAACTAACCCTCCTCGTGATCCATGTCATCTCTCCCCCGTCTGCCATGTCCACCACCTCTAGAAGCACCACCACCGCCCCTCCTCCCCCTCCTATCGTGAATCTCCTTCATCTCCCTCACAGCCACAATCTGCGCTTCGCTAACCCGATCCATCAACACCATAGCCTCATCCTTTGGAATAACCTCTTCCTCAATCTTCCTGCCCAGCGCGGTTTCCACACGCAGCCAAAGCTCGACATCGTACTGCGTGACAAACGAAATCGCTTTTCCGCTCTTGCCTGCACGCGCGGTGCGGCCAACGCGGTGAACGTAGGTTTTGCTGTCGGCGGGGAGGTCGAGGTTGATGACGAGATCTACAGAGGGGATATCAAGACCGCGGGCGGCGACATCGGTGCAGACCATGATATCGCGGGCTCTGGTTTTGAATTTCGAGAGCGCGCCTAGACGCGCGGATTGGCTGAGTTGGCCGTGGAGAGGGATAGCGCCGAAACCGAGGGTGCGGAGGAGGATGGCGATGCGCTGGGTTTCGTTGACTGTGCGAGTGAAGATAATGGTGGGATGGCCAATGGCGTCTGTGAGTAGGTAGATGAGGTAGAGATCTTTGTGTTTGTGGGGGAGGAAGATGTAACGCTGCATTAGGGTCGCAACGACTTGGTGGGCGCTGGTGGAGATGCTGACGCGGAGGGGGTTGTGGAGAGCGGCGCGTTGGAGATTTTCGACCTTGGTCGACATGGTTGCAGAGAAGAGGTACGTGTGGCGGCCCTCTCGTGGGAGTACTTTCAAGATTTTGTCAAGGATAGGTCCGAAGTCGAGGTCGAGCAGTCGGTCGGCCTCGTCCATGACTAGATATTTGAGGTGTTTGAGAGAGAAGCCTTTTGTATTTTCCAGGTGATCCAGCAACCGACCGGGCGTAGCAACTATTATGTGCGGCCTCTTGCTCAGAGCAATGGCCTGGGTGACCATGTCCATACCTCCTACAAGTGTAGCGCACTTGACATTGATGATGGAACCTATTCTCAGTCAGCCTCTTCTCAAACTCTCTTCTACATCCAACCATCGGAAACTTACCAAGCGCTTCAACCTGCTGAGAGATCTGAAAGGCCAGTTCTCGCGTCGGCGCAAGTACAAGGCCAAACAGCGATTGGGGCTTCTCCATGAGGGCCTGCAAGATCGGCAGCACAAACGCAGCTGTCTTTCCTGAGCCCGTCTCAGCCAAACCAATGATATCTCTCCCTCCGAGCGCCAGCGGTATAGATTGCTCCTGGATAGGCGTCGGATTTGTGAACTTGAGGTTGGCGCAAGCTTCGCACAACTCTTCCCTAACGCCGAGGTCCGCGAATGTCTTTTTTCCGGAGCTCACTGCGTCATTTTCTGACTGAGATCTTTCTTCGTCTTCCTCAGCTACCTCTTCTTCTTTTCCACTATTGCTTTGGTCTGATTCGGACTCGGATGCTGATTCGCGCGCTTTCCGTTGCTGATGCGACTTGGAGCTGGGTTTCGTATACGGGCCACGCTGTGATGCTTTGATTTTTTTCGCAGCAGCGTCCCGCGAGGAACCTGCACGGCTCATTTGCTGCTTCTTGATCGCAGGCATGACGTCGAATGCATGTGATTGTAAGACGGTCGGTTGGGAACTTGGGCGGGAAAATGTTAGGACTAGAGGTGGGTCGGGCGGATCTTAAAAATATATTCTTATCGATAAGTGATGCAGAAAACCACGCCAAGATTTCGGAAACCTGGGACAATTTTTTGGGGACAACCATTCACCCCAAGTTTTTTTGCTACACCGCACACCCAATCGGTAAAAAGTGCGATATCATATACATCACCACTCGAGAGTGAAAAAGACGAAGAAGCGCGGCCGAGAGATATATACTTGCTTTAGTCCGAGAGAGACATTCTAGAAAAAGGGAAAAAAGGAAACCACCAGAAAGAGCAGAACCATGGCGCGACACGCCAGCGGGAGGAGAAAGCAGTCGGTGCAGGACAAACAGGCCGCACAAAAGCCTCATGAGAACAATCCCAAGAGCATGGTGATTCGGATAGGCGCTGGGGAGGTTGGTTCGAGCGTATCACAGCTAGTCCAAGACATGCGCCAGGTGATGCAGCCCGAAACGGCTTTGAAGCTCAAGGTATGTGACTATTTGCACTCCCTCTATGTCCCATGAACCTTCTAGAGAACCATCCTCTACCCAACCACTCATCATGTAACTTCATTCTGACATTCAGCATAGGAGCGACGAGCCAACAAACTCCGCGACTACACCGTCATGGCCGGTCCCCTAGGCGTAACCCACCTCCTCCTCTTCTCGCGCTCCGAAGCAGGCAACACGAACCTGCGTCTCGCCAAAATCCCCCACGGTCCCACCCTCCACTTCCGCGTCGACAAGTACTCGCTAGCAAAGGACATCTTCAAGTCAATGAAGCACCCACGCACAGGCACCACGAGCGACTACGACATGGCCCCGCTCCTCGTCATGAACAACTTCCTAACCTCGGACGCCGAGCGCGAGAAGCTAGGCGACAAGGCGCCGCCGAAACATCTCGAGAAGCTCGTCACGGACATGTTCCAGGGACTGTTCCCGCCGATCCAACCACACACCACGCCGTTGCACGCCATCAAGCGCGTGCTACTGCTCAACCGTGAGCCGCCGTCCGAGGAGAACGGCTCGTGCACAATCACGCTGCGACACTACGCCATCACGACGAAAATCGCGGGGCTCTCGAAACCGATCCGCAGGCTGTACGCGGCGGAGAAGCTCATCGGCAGCCGCGAGAAGAAGAAGCGCAGCGGCGGGCTGCCGAATCTCGGCGCCCTCGACGATGTCGCGGATTACATGCTCGACCCTTCGGCGGCGGGATACACATCCGCCAGCGACACGGAGCTCGACACCGATGCCGAAGTCGAGGTCGCGGCGTCCGTCACGCGCAGAGTGCTGTCGAAGCGCGAGCGCGAACAACGCGCCAAAGCCGCGGCAGGCGACGGCGACGATGCGCGCAAAGTGCCGCATGCCGCGCGGCCCAAGGTCGAGAAGCGCGCTGTGAAGCTTGTTGAGTTGGGCCCGCGCTTGAAGTTGAGGCTTACCAAGGTAGAGGAGGATGTCTGCAGTGGGAAAGTCATGTGGCACGAATATGTGACCAAGAGCGATGCTGAGATTAAGAAGATGGATGCTGTGTGGCAGAAACGGAACGCTGAGAAGGCGGAGCGGAGGAGGATCCAGCGGGAGAATATCGAGCGGAAGCGAAAGGAGAGGGGTGGCGGTGCCAAGGGAGAAGAAGGGGAGGAAGAAGAAGACGATGATGAAGATATGGCGGACTACGACGAATATGATATGGACGATGATGTGTGGCATGACGAGAATGGCGAGGGAGAAGACGAGGAAGACGAAGAGATGGAGTAGAATCTGTGTATGTAGATATTGCCTGACTTTTATGCGTAGTAGCAGACAAGACGGAACAAACAAAAATGATACCCGGTCAACGTTTCTACGTTTTGCTCCTCTGCCTCTGGGGTGGCATCTCTTTGGGACGGGCGGTATCTTCAAATAATCGGCCGCTCAGCCCGTCTTCTTCCCATTCCATCTCACCTTTGCCGGACTCAGTCGCCCCTCGAAGCAGTAGGCGGACAAGTCGTCAAAGGTGCTCAATGTCTCGCCGTCTCTTCCACTTACCCCAATCGCCCAAGGAATATCTCAATCGATGAATCAATATCTCCATGCCATCCCCCGCTCACTTTGCCTTCGGCTTCTTAATCAAAACCCGATCCGTCTCCGTCAACTCCCACCCGACCCCTTCCTTGACCAACTCCGCCCACTCCCTATCAGCGCACTTCTCCACAAACCTCCTGTCAACACTCATATACCCTCTGCCAAGACATTTCAACGCATGCAACCTAACCTCCTTCTCCGCAAACTCCATAACGCTGCGCTGGTACCCATCAACTGCCCTCTTGAGCTTCCAAAACGCGACCCAATTATCCGCAACCAGGGCCTTGAGCACGCCTTCGACCCTGCGATCGCGGTATGCGAACTTGACCCGCGTCTCGTGGGCCAGGGCGAGATTGCCCTGACGACACGCCTGGTCGAGGATCAGCAGGCCGACGTATTCCTTGAGGTCGGGCGCGCTGAGGGGGGCTTCGGGCCGGTGGATCACGGTGAGCAGCGAGGTTAGAGCCGGGAGATAGGATTCCCAGTCCTTGCAGAGGATGCCGGCGTGAGCGCCGAAGAAGTAGGCGCGGCGGGCGAAGGCGTCTTTGCGGCCGGACGCTGTGATTGCTTCGCGCAGCTTGCGGAGGGCGGCGAGGACGGTGGAGAGCTCGGTGAGCGGGGGGCTGGTGAAAGGGGCCGTAGGGGTGCGGGGGTCGTTGAGGGTGGCGGCGGACGTCGGGGGAGTGGGGAGGTGGAGCGAGGCGAGGAAGTCGTGGTTGAGGGCTTGCGAGATGGAGGCGAAGAGGGTGCCGAGTTGTTTTTCGTTGATGGCGCAGAGGCGCATGTAGCGCTCGAGGATCTTGTGGAAGTAGAATTCCTGCGTGCGGAAGTCGTTGAGGCTGCGGGTTCGTCGTCAGTAGGTGGGATTGCTGGTGGTAGTGGGAGGTATGAGCATACCGAGTCTCGCCTTTGGAGGGTAATCCATAGAGCTCGAGAGTATCTGCTGGAGCTGGCTTGAGTCGATCGCCTCTTCGCCATGCTCCCGAGGCGCCACGGCGACTACTTGGCCTCAATTGCTCGTTGTTCTTCATCATGGCAGGCGGTGGTTAGTCGTGTGGTGGGTGATGTGAGTGGTGAAAGCAGACAGCAGAGTGAGCATTAGTCACGTATAGCTATGCTCAGGCAATAGGTGTACCATCCTGAACGCTTTGCAAAGAAAGCACAGTCGAATGCAGGTACTTTTCTGTTGTATGCAACTCAGACGTGAATCCGAATGCAAGGAAGGAGGTGCCCCTCGCGGTGATGATTCGGTGATGGCGGGGAGTATTTCCGAGTCCTACCCGTACTTACTAACAACAGCACTTCATCTTCAAATGTTTCCAAAGAACCATCGCATGACTTGACATTCATACATACATGTACGGACATGTGGCACCGAGGCTCAACCAGGACTAAACTATTGAAAAAGCACCCTTCAACAGCTAATGTTTATTTGTACTAGATGCTTCAGGGGTGCTGCTCACATAACGAAGAGATTCAAACGATAAAACAGCCAATCGAATAAACAAATCAGTAAGTAGAGATGGAAGGATAATATTTTTGATAGAGGCCTGGAATGAATTATTTCAATCCGATCGGACGATCGATCGAAAGGAATTGAACTTCAAGTCCGTCTATTGGTTCTATGCTTCGAAAAACTGAACAATTGATTTGCTGAAAATTTGAACCACGGGGGGGTTTAAATTGATGGTGAACCATGGCACACCAAGAACAGCACAAAAACTTTTTTCAGTGAGTGGTATATATACCAGTGAGGTAATGATCAAAGATGCCTCTTTACCGCTCACCCCCAAAGTGATCACATAGCAGCGAAACCACAACACTGCTTGTAATCAATCTAATAAGACAGGTCAGTAAGTGAAACCAACTCTCACGCAATGTACACCGGCTCTAATACTACATCTTGAAGTCTCCCTGAGATTGAATTGGACTTTATCGACACTCCTTCGCGATGGACCCAATACCATCAGAGATCTGGATCATGATACTGGAGCACTTGGCCAGTGTGACCAAGATAGCGCAGTATGCCACAGTGTGTAGGAAGTGGCAAGCAGTCATTGAAAAACTGAATTTTCACTCACTTAGCCTTTCAGCTCGAGATGGTCTAATACCTGATAGCATAATGGCAAAACGAAACAGTCTAATCAAGTATATCTGGTATTCAATTGAGCTTCCAGATTACGGCTGCTCAAAATGCAGTCATTGGGATTCACCTCGCGATGTCAGGGTCAGCTCATGGCGTATTAAAGATGGCATTGATACAATGTTCCAAGCTCTCAGCAAACATCAGCATCTACACAGTAGAGGCATGACGCTCGACCTTAGTATTCATTCTCTCTCTGATGCAGAACACTACTTCAAACACATACGCTTTGAGCCTGCCAACATTGACCCTGCCAACGCGCTCAGCCGAACCAGAATGAAGGAGAAGGTGTTACACCACGTTCCGGAACACAGCATGACGCCACCTTTCACTGCTGTCGAGAGAATCATGAGCGTGCTCCCTTTTTCGGATTTCGATGCTTCGGGACTCAAGATTCCAGAGACCGATGAAAGGTTCTGGTCTAGTGTGCCCCAGGTACCTTGTGTTACCCGCCTTCTGTTGAGACGGCAGACACGACGTCGGTGGGATCCACCTACTATTACCCGGTTACTAGCCCTTTTTCCAAATTTGGAGGACCTGGTAATTGAGCCATAGGGCACAGAAGTGCCAGAAGATGACATGGATTTCGATGAGCGTAAGTATTTATACTCTTTCAATACTATCTGCATCTCGTCTCACAGAAATTGCTTACTTACTTTTCTCTTTAGGCTGGACGAACAAAGTCTTCCCTTTTCTCAATCCCAATACTTTGAAAAGGATGACCTTATTTGAGGACTCTACCGAGGCACACGACCCTTGCAACAAGCTGTATATATGGGGACTCATAGCGCTATTTTTTACAAATTACCAAATAGGAGATCCGGAACCCGCCTGGGTGTCAAATTATCAAAATATCAGGAAACCCCGAACTGTAAGCGCACAGCTGGCCAGAGCACTCGCTGAGGCAAGCCTTGGTCTAGAACATCTATCTATTTCGTTTATGACAGACGCAAGGATATTCTGGACTAGTCTACGCGAAGATTGGGTGTGGGAGCAGCTCCAAACGCTAGCACTCACTTCTCAAGATCTTCAACCCGATGTCGATTCAAGTAAAATTAAGGATGTACTTTGCTCTGCGGCCAGGGCGGCAAAGAAGATGCCAAAGCTTCAAACCATGGAAATCTGGAACGGAGGAAAAGGCTATGCTGCTTTGTTTAGATACAGTATCGAAAGAGGTCGTCGCCAGGCTGGGATTTCGTGGAAGGCTAACTGGCACTTTGAGCTTGAGGGGCTTGTGGTGAAGGAATGGCAAGATGTGGCAGATGCCAATGACGTTGGGTATCTGAAGACTGAGAGCGAACTGCTTATGCTAACGCCTTCGCAGATTCGTTCTCACGGGGAAGCAATCCTGATTCTGGAACTCAAGATCGAAGTTGCTTGCCCCGTGTCTATCCAACAAATGCACAGAGAGCATACGGAGATGGAACATTTACTAAGTAGTTAGTAATTTCATTTTGCCTAGGCGTTAACAGGCATTCAGATACCTGCGCTCACCATGCAAGGAATTTTCCAGAATGATTGTCTGCATCCTTTCTCAATCCATCAGGATTTTAGAGCGTACGTTTAGATAAGATAAACATGTCAGATTAATACTCTATTAGAAAGCCTCTTAACGTAGTTTCTATATGTTATCAACAACATCTAGATGTACAGTAAAGCCTTAAATCAATTTTAATAGCTGATCCTACAGTAGGCGTGATGACAAAATAAGCGAGACAGTACGGGAAATGCAATCCTCGCAATATCCCATTTCAACCCATCTCTGCCCACAATCACATGTACATTGAGGACGAGTCAATCCAACAGATGCACGGCGGAAATCCAGTTAAGCCGGCCAAGGACATGGGAACCTGACATGTCATCGCTCCGAAACGACATATTATTGGCCTTTCATGCCCTTGGGACGGGGCTTTATCTTACTGCTTTCGTCTCTCCTCCTTTTCCCTAGGGGAGTTCCATAGAAAGTACAGCAATTGGCCTTAAACCCACCAAGGTCGACAAGGGCGAGGACGGCAGGGCTGGTCGTCAATGAGACAGCAGAGAGATGTTTTGTCGCGTCAAGAAGAAGCCGTCTATCAGCTCCCAAGACGACTATTGTTATGGATTCGTGGTTAGAGATGTTAAGGAAGTTAATAAAGATAGAAGCTATAAGTAGATTTTTTCTAGCAGATTTGTAACTTTAGTATCTGCTAGAGAAGTGTGGAGTGGCCTGGCTTTTTTTTTTTTTTTTGGTTCACTGATTACAACGCTGTTGTTACTCCTTTTCGTCTGTAACTAGCCCTTAGGGGCGTGGTACAGTTATCTCATTCCAAATTGGGTTTTTACTTCAGTGCTCGCTCAGCACGTAAAAATGACAAATGAATTTGCCATTTCGCGGACACAATGATTTTCAGAATATTAATTGATTTTTTTTTTTTGCGACTGCCTATCTTTTGTATAATATTTTTATCAGCCTTTTGAGTGTAGGGAGCATTTCAACTTCCAATCAAAGAGAAAGAGTTATGCAAATAACAGGCACACCGCCCAGTGAAAAAATATAAACAATTCTTAGCACTCAGAATTTTCCTAGGGACGCCTACTGCGTCAGAAAATCAACAATAACATCATGAGTCGTGACTTACCAAGGATCGTGGTGTGCCTGTTATTTGCGCAACTCTGTGGGTGGTATTCGGAGATACATATGTATGCTCATTGCTGTAGGTCACACGACTACCATTCATAATTAAAACTCAAACCTACAAGACCAATAGTCCACTTCATTTCTAAGCACCATACCACGTCCCTTTCTCCGCTAATACCACATACTTGGCCACACCTCCCCTTCTCTCATGCACAAAATCAAACGCCTTCACCAACCCCACCAAATGCACGGCCGCAGCAGCAACAACCAACACATGAAAAATCTGATGACTACTCCCCCAAACATCGAACGCACCAGGCCACGTCCTCTCGGGGAACCTCGCAGCGTAAACAGCAGCGCCAACAATATACAAGACGCCCTGCAAAACGACCCAATCCAACGCGGCACTCGCCCTCAACCTCTGCACACCATACAGCCTCGCGGCATGCACAACCGGCACAACAGCACTCAACCCCATAGCAACAAACATGGCGGCGCGGAACGGCCGCAGCGCAGGCGTGCGGAACCGCTGCTGCGTAGCCACGCCGGCCGTCGCGACCCCCAACGACGTAATCATGCCGCCATACCACCTCATCAACCGCACATCCTCCTGGAACGCATAAAACAGCACGGGGATGAAACTGCCCCAGATCAACGCCACGATGCCTAGGTAGTCGAGTTTGTTGCCCCACACCGCGACGCGGTGGCTGTGGTTCGAGATGGTGTGGTAGGCTGCGCTCATCCCCAGACACGCGACTGCGCTGCCGAAGAAGGCGGTGAAGACGAGCGCGTCTTCGACCGTTGCCGTTGCGTGCCGCGTTGTTAGCGATTTGTGCGTTATCATGGGGAGCAGCAGGAAGGTTAGGCTGCCGATGAGGTGCGTGTAGATGTTTACCGACTCGTTGTGTAGGTATGTTAGCGAGAGGAGCGATTTGAGGTACGAGGAGCTGGCTGGGCGGTAGTGCGTGTGGATGTAGTGGTTGTCGCGTTGCCAGGCGGGGAGGTCGGACCAGGTTACTGTTTGTTTGGTGGTGGGTTTGGCGGTGGTCATTTTCTTTTTCTTTATATGTATATATATCTTGGGTGATTGGTTGTGTGTGTTGGATGAGCTTTTGATGTTTGGGGTGGATGCTGTTATGTCCTGATGATTTGAATCTTTCCAGTTGCTGAGAATCCACGACGACCGATGGCAGGTAGTGGTCAGATTGAGATTCTAGAAATAGTTTTGATCTGCGAGTCGGTGGTTTTATACCCAATTTTTTTTCTACCTAGGTACAGAGAGAGCATGTGAAGTTGAACCTCTAGAAATGTTGAACGGGATATAGTACATTTATGCTGCGCTAGCCATATGCAGATTCCGACGGGTATACGGGATATTTTCTTGGCCGGTTATTGAAGGTTGGTTTTTCAACATTACATCTACCCAAGATTTCTTTTGGATGCACGGTGGCCTACTTTTGAGATGTTTTTAGTTTAGAGTGCTCCATTGACCCTATCCGCCTAATCCACCCTGAATGTGCATCGTTATTTTATATGTTGACCTTTTTTCGGAACCCGTATATGAATGGCGCGGACAGAGTACAGTCGAGGTTGAATGTAGATCTGTAACGCACATATAAGACGAATCCAAACTCGGAATACAAACGAGACTCAATAAAAACTACTAAATGATCCAACAGAGATAGTCCAATACGCCTTCATTCCTCCAATCCCATGACCTGTTCCCCCATTTATCCGTGTGTACTTCCGGGAACGTGGACGGAACGAATACGGTTTACCTCCAACAAAAGAAAGAGAGATGGCGCCTACGCGATTCTTTGGCGTATATATGGAAGGTTTTCACTTTTCGAAAATCTACGACCTGTTGCGGGCGCTCCGCCTAGGCACGCCGTCAGCGGTAGCCGCTTTCTTGGGCTCCTTCTTCTTAGCAGGTTCCTTTTTCTCAGAGGCCTTGGGACGACCGCGTGACTTGGGTTTGGCTTCGTCCTCGCCTGCTTTGGATTTCTTCGAGGCGGGCTCATCGTTTTCGGCTTTGTCGCCGTTGGCCTCAGTGGCAGGAGGCTCGTCTGCTTTGCGTTTATCACCAGTCTTTGGCTCTTCGGGTGATTCCTCTGTGTCTTTGGAATCCCCATTCGACTCTTCTTGGGGCTTGGAAACACCGTTTTGAGTTTCGGATTCATCCTTTTTCTCGGTTTCGGTGCCCTTCTCCGGCTCGGCCTCTTTCTCGGCCGGAGCATCCTTCATTTCCTCGTCCTTATCACCAGACTCGGCGGGCTTATCATCGCTCTTCTGCTCGGATTCAGCAGCTTTGTCTTCCTCCTTGTCACCAGTCTTGTCTTCCTCCTTGTCAGCAGACTCTGGCTGTTTCTCTTCATCCTTGGAGTCGCCATTTGTGCCATTGGCCTTTTCGTCAATCTCGAGCTCGGATGCGCGCTTGACGACATCGTTGCCAGGTCGTTCGATGTGCACAGCAGGGTTCTCGGGATCGGCGTTTTTCTTGATGGTGTTGCCTCGATTGGACTCAATGGCGATTTCGCCCTGGTCTTTGACCTCGGCTACCTCTCCACCTGGTCGTCCTCCAGACCATTGCCACGAGACTGTCGCCTACGTGTCAGTAAAGCTCTGCAAAGGACGTGATTGCGCATTCGGGTGGGTTTGAGCACTGTCGCGAGCGCATAGCTGCGCGCACGCGCGACGTGAATTTCCGCGCCTGTAGCGCGAATCGCTGTAGATGCCAGGAATGGTAAAAGATGGAATTGCGCATACCTTGGTCACCCTTTTGGATCTCTGTGTCAGTCATTGTGCTTGTTGACGTTCGGATGAAGGCGCAATTGTGACGATGACGTTATTTCCCGTAAGCTCGGAGTTAGCGGTCGCGAAGTCCGAAACAAAGGTCAATTGAGTCGCAAGGAGTAAAGAGGTGACGCGAGACGAAGATACGAATGCGCGTGTTGGAATAGGATGGAAAAGTGAGGTGAAAGAGGAGAAGTGAGGTGATGGACGAGTGAAGGAAGGTCGAGCTTGGGATCGGAAGCTGCGAGTGATGGGCGATGGCGGGCTGTGATTGGCTGGAGCGTTGAGGTATGGGGAAAGGTGGCTGGTCAGAGATCGGACGATGGCCCGTTCTTGGTAGGGCTGAAGGTACGTGTGCGCGATTCACGGCGCAGGTACTGCATGACGTGCCGAATCAACTGCTTCGATCTTGATAACGCAAAAAAATAATATCAGGACCGATATCCTTGTGTTAGACACAGAATGGACAGACTCGCGACTGCGTGGTGTGTCGATCAAGAGAAGAAGAGAAAAAAAGGCCCGTCGCGCAAATCTTGTTTGGTGGAGAAACAAAGCAACTTTCGCATAACTACATTACCAGGGCGGGCCCACTATAGGATCAGCTATCGACACTCATTCAAGGCTTTATGTTATGTCTAGATCTTATTAGCAGTCTTTTAAGACTATGCTAAGATGCTGTTTAACGGGGTATTGAAGTAGAAAGAGTACCTAGGTAGTTAACACTATATCCTCAGATAGGCCTTCCACTGTAACGAACGTGGGTAGAAGCGCCAGGCGAACGAGAAAACCAAATGGAGAATGTGTCAGGCAAGTGGTGTGGCTGGATTGCTGCATACAGCTACAGTAAACAAACACCTCCCAGTAAGCGTAGGAAAGATGGAAGCGGAAAATATGAAGCACATATGTATGTATGAATTGATTCTTCTATAAAACGCATCCCATGCCTTCAGCAAGAGAAACCCGCGATTGCCGTCTGAGTTTCCCACACAACATCTGGCAACTGCGGTTCATCGCACTCTTCTCAATCTGACAGATATGTTAGCTGTCAACGTCGACAAATTGAAGGCAAAAGCGACAGCAAAACGATGGGATTGTGGTACATCAGTCTGGAAAGTCTCATTCAATGAGGCAAGCACATGCCTCTCCGATCCGTCTTGAAACTTGAACATAAATAGAATCATCATAAACAATCGTGATGGTATAGAAAGAAAACAGATATGCGACTTACAGTGGACGTTATAGGTCGACCTGTCTCTAGCCTACCGACGGGCAGAGATACTGCAACTGCAACCGCATCTCTACCTTACACCATCTCAGTGCTGCTCGGAAATCAATTCGAGCGGCCCTCGACTGCGATTAAAATCAAGCGTGAATCGTGTGCTCGACGTGGGCGGTGTGAGGAGAGGGTGATGTCGCTGCAAAACTGAGTGCGGTGAAGTTTATACTCGCCAAGATCGGCTGAGTGGGGCGCCGGGAGAACATCGTCCAATGAGATCCACGATCCTTCAACGCCATGAGACTGCAAATATCAGCCTCTGTACTCGTACTGCGTTGAGGACAACTGCTACCGGCGATCTTGTGTATATAGTTGATATTATCATTTTTACGGAAATGCAAATACGTATGCCTAATAAGGTCAGGATTATACCCCAGAATTTTCTATCCGCAACGCCAAGATCCACATGGAACCACACTCCGATGCACCTACGTTTTCCCATCATCTACAATATCCTGTAACCAACGATTCGTGCTGCCATATTGATGGGGAAGTTTTCAAATCTTCGCCTTGATTGCCCAACTCCGCCCCAAACATGCCCACCTTGTAAACAAGAAAGCGATCAAACTCAACGCGAGCACCGCGCAGAAAAACCCTACCATTGGCGAAGCCCCAACCGTTTCAACCAACTCACCACTAATCGGGATACAAACCAATGTCGCCAAACTGGCAATGAAGTACATGGACCCGTAGTATCTCCCAAACTCCTCTGCTCTGCATAGCTGGCCGATACACGCCGGTGTCAGCGCCATCCAACTACCTGTTCCGAAGCCGAAGAGGGCTGCGAAACAGTACAGCGCTGGTAAAGATGTGGTTCCGAGAGGAAGCCATAAGACGAGCATGAACAGCAGCGTGAAGACAATCATGATGAACAGAGTGTTGAACCTCCCGATCTTGTCGGAGAGATAGCCTGGCATGATGCGCCCGAGACTCGAGACGGCGTTGAGAACAGCGATGAGGTAGAAGCCAGTGTCCGCTGGAAAATCCGTGCTCAGCGTAGCGTACGTGGGGAGGATACCGAGAGCGCCGAACAAGACGACTTCGAAGCCAAAGACGCTGACGGTGAAGAGACTGAAGCGTAGATCCCCGAAGATGGAGAGGGAGATGATGGGCTTTTTCTTTGCAGCTGCTGATGGGGGGATGCGTGCTTTGATCAGCACGTTACCGATTATGAAGCACACCAGGAAGAAGAAACCGAGGATGCGAAGCGACCAAGCATATCCATACTTGGGTAGTGTATATCGTAGAATTAATGGAATTGACAGACCGCCGGACGAATTTCCCGCCATGGTGACTCCTTGGGCTAGACCACGGCGTGCTTTGAACCAGTGTGATACAACTGAAAGTCCGGTGGTAGTCACCATCGCACTTGTTGTTCCGCCCAGTATACCTAGCTAAGTAACGGGAATTGAAGTCAGTGACTGTCGTCTGTGTGCAAGGAGGCAATATCCCAACGGAAATCGATGAAATAAACATGGTGGAATACATACGCATAACATCATTTGCCAAAAGCTCTTACATTCGGCAAGCAGGAAGATCATGGCCAGATACCCGGCACTTCCAATCAATGCAATCCAGCGCGGACCGTACCGATCGAACAAAGGTCCGATCCAGATGCCCAGTCCAAGACAAAGATAGGTGAATACTGATGGAATCCATCCAACGTCGCGAGCAGAGTAATGAGACAACTGATTTTGAATCCAATAATCTTGCAGAAGACCCATGGCAACCATGAATCCGAAAGTCGGGAGCAGTAGAAAGAATGACGATACAACCACAAGCCATGCTCTCAGACCGCCCTCGGGAAAATCATCTTCTGGGTCGATATATTGTGCAAGTTCCTCATCCTGCAATTCATTCGACTGCCGAGAGTGCCGGGAGGGTGGTGGACTTGTTCTTGCCCTCGTTGATGTTTCGGCGGGTTGGTTCACCTGCTTCTCTTCGACATTGTGAGCAGTATTGCTTTTCTTGGAGTATGCTGAGCCTGGTCTCGTTGATGCATCAACACCTCTCACTTGCACTGGTGCAGTGTCGTGGTGAGACGGTGAACTTTGGGGTTGAATCGTTGGCAATGGATCCATGCCAATATTTTTCCTCTCTCTTGTTGCCAGAATTGAGGTTGCGTAGAGGAAATCGTCCCTGAGGCATGTGGAACACTTTTATACATGGTCGCATGTGAGACACGGAATGAACAACGGTGTTGTTGGTCAACCAATTTTCACTGACGATTGTCTAGATTGGATGGATCATGCACGTCTATGACTCCCACGCCCTTTGACTTGACTCGTTGACATGGGCTAGCATCGCGTAGACAGCACCGCGATTCCTTCCCCGCTCTTGACTGTACTCCGGGCAGCTCCATGCATTTATTCCTAACTCCCTTTATGTATTCCGCATTGTAACTCAGGCAGCGACTCGCCGATCATACGCTATTTGGATAAAGGTGGATCAGATCGATGTTTAGCGGCCCGGATGTGGAAAGTTGACACGGGTATTCGAATACAATGAGATGAATTCAACATGCCATTGCACATTCGCTGCGTTTCTGGCGTCTCCCGATGGGGGCCGCGTGTACCCTATCGATATCAATCAAGTGCATCCAACCATCCATCTACCTACCTACATGTATCCATCCGATGTCGCATACCCGCAGATTCCGAATTCCGGGGTCTCCACCGTTTGGCGTTCGGTTTGGCTGCGGCCGCCAAAATACTTAACGTCTCGTCGTCGTGCAGGTCGACGAACCTCTTCCATTGCGGCATATATGATTTTGGATGAAAGGACGTCGATACGAAAGGCGGGATGTTTTGGATTTGTAATCACATAGCCGGCCATGTAGCCAATGAGAGCGTGTCGCTTCGCACCTTTACGACATTGTGCAGGCGGACATCGCATCACTCCACCTACTGTCAGCAGTAGAATCCCACCCCGTGCCTTGATACTACCCGCCTACGTACGTGCCAGACTGAATAACCTCATGTCGACCAACGGAATCGAAAAACGTGGCTCGGCCACCACGGTCAAGGCAAGCAGATCACCGTGGCGGTGTTTCCTCGACCTGGTACAGGTGCTAATCGATGTCATTGACAGGCTTGTGATTCTTGTCGAAAGAGAAAGCGACGATGCCTATGGACCGCAGGGGCGCAAAGCTGCAACTATTGCGTTCAGCTCAAGGAAGAATGCACTACTACGCATATCCGGAAACAACGCGCCAAATCTCAGAAGAAGTATGCCTTTCAGTACTCATCTGTTCGCTGTGTATCGGAACTCACTGCCTGTCCGAGGCTCCGCTCGACAAGATCTTGGCTAACCGGGACACTCATCTTCGTGTAAACCCCGAAGAGAACCGCATTGCTAACAGGATCGTAGGGATCGCATCATCGAATATGAGCGCCGCATCAAGAATCTGGAGTCGCTTCTGAATGAACAAAACACCACCCAACCCCAGATGGATGCACAGCCCCTGGAGCCCGCTGATCAGGCAGTCTCACTGTCTACATGGGTGGACAATCTTCGCTCCCAGGTTGACGCGATTCCAGATGTGACTCCGCTGCCTTTCGATCTAGACAACTACTATGATGCTGAACTTGAACCATTCCCGTTACCAATGAACGGCCACTCCACGCCATCTACTGGCAACGATGGATCCACCCCAGGCACGAGCTTGGGTACCTTTGAGCAACCCGTGAAATTCCAATTCGACCCCGCTTTGTTGCAGGACCCAGCCTTCCAGGCACTTTCCACGGCGGACGATCTCTCTTCTGTGCAGACAGCACCATCACTGGGCGATCTATCATCGGTGCAAACAGCTCCTTCGATAGACAATTTCTCGTCTGTACAGACGGCTCCATCACTGGATGGCCTCTCTTCTGTGCCGACGGCTCCATCGCTGGATGGCCTCTCTTCTGTGCCGACGGCTCCTTCACTGGATGACCTCTCTGCTGTGCCGACGGCTACACCAAAGGAGAGTACCCCACCTGTGCAGAAGAAGAAAGCATGCGATGCTTATCTCCCCCCTCCGGAATTAGGCACCATGTTGCTCAAGGAGTATCTAGTCGACTCCAACACGGTCTTCCCCTTGTATCGACCCCACGCCATTGTAGAGCATCTTCGAATCTGTTACGAGGGCAGGTCAGATAACTCAGCTTTGGCATGGGCTAGTACGTATGCTGTGTTTGGGTTGGCGCACCGGTCACGGGGCCTAAGTGCAACTGCGACAGTAGAAGACGATCAACTCGCGGATTGGTATCTGTGCAAGATTCTTCCCACTTTGTCTTCTCTCCTTGTATCCGAGCCCACATTCGGACTGGTCCAATGTTTGCTCGGTCTTGCTATGCTGATCCGGAGTTCGAAACATTACAGCCCGCATGGCTTGTACGTTTCAACTGCGCTGCGTATAGCACAGAGCCTCGCATACATTGAGCACGAGCAGCTCACTGAATCGCCCGCCAACCTTGATATTGACCATCAGCGACGCGTTTTGTGGCTAGCATTCATCATGGACACCGAGGACAGCATCTTCACCAACCTCCCATCGACACACCGTCGGGAAGACCTGCCCAAGTCATGTCCCGTTGAGGACCCTCACGACGCGCTTGGTATCGTGACGGCAGCTGAAGGCACGCTGAAGATCAACACATTTGCTCTGCGCGTGCAGCTCGTTTTGATCCAGTCGGATGCAATCGAGGACATATTCTCCATCCGATCTCGCAAGTCAAAGCCGCAGGATACAATAGGGAAAGCAAGGCAAATTCTCCAGCGCCTCGAGGAGTGGCGGAACAATGAGCTTTGCCGACGCACTCCAGAGCAACTGATGCAGCTTCTCTACCGGTCGGATCTGCTTCACACCATGAGCATTGAAGCATCGTACTTTGCGACCGTGTTCCGCATACATGCGTTCCTAGGCTTGGGCATGGATCCTCGGATGAACCCTTTTTCGGCGACTAATCTTACCAAGCTTTCTGCGATGAAGAGACATGCATGCCGCAAGGATGCGGAGCATTTTCTTGGAATTCTATCGCTGACACCGCACGACGAGATTGGGGTCTGCTGGTACGTTATTTCCTGCTCCACTCCAACTCACTTGTTGACGAATATATGATAGGCTCCTCAAATCTTCCATCATCGCTGCACTCGTGACGGTACTGGCTCACTACCTCCACGCACCGGCGCCTGAAGCTCCCTCGCCCGAGCAGATGAAGGCGTGGTCGGGGATTCTGCGTTCGATGGGCCTATTGATCAAGGAAAGCGAAGACGTGGAACTCACTCGTGCACACGAGCTTGGGATGATGCTTTTCACGCAGGTTGATTCGAGCCTCCGGGTCAAATGGTTGCAGGAGCAGGTGGTAAAAGGAGGGACGGGTAGATTGTAAAGATGATACCAGTTTATAGTTTTTGTTTTTGTTGTTAGATTTTGTTGTTGTTTTGTTTGTTTTTTTGCTGTGGGTATGCTCCAACGTGAGGCTTCTTTCAACAGCCAGCTACCAGTATGAATACCTAGTGTTGAGCTGGAGTATGTAATACCCGTTGTACAATCGATCACCTTTTCCTTGCTTCTGTACGTACGTCTCCTTGGGCTCTTGACCTGGGCATGTCCAAGCGACAGGATCAGACAACATGGACAATTGGCCAAAGGCAAGCCAGAGTAAGATGCAGGGGCGAGATTCGGCGCTTAGGCCGGATACCTATGGCGTCATCAGAGGACCCTGGGACTAGCCCGACTCGTCTAGCTCATTTTCCTCTGCCATCGACAACTGATGCTGCGTGCAGTGTTGCTACAGTGCAGTCATGTACAATTACTCTTCAAGTCGTCTTTTGAATCGACCGAACCCCGAGGAATCAAAAAGAAGAAGGGGAAGAAATGCCAAACGTCTACTGATCTGCTCAGCCTTGTGGTTGTTACTACTCCTTCAGGTCACGCAGGCCGGCCTACGCGGAGAAATCTCTGGCCGCATTCATCCATTGATTGATTGATTGACAGGGTCACCACTCACGGCTTGATGAAAACCATGGACGTCTGCCAACTCTTCTTCTTTCTCGGTCCTGACAAAGACTCGGGCTTATTGACAACCGTCTCTGCCTGCCTACCTACCTAAGCAATTTCTCCGGACTGGCCGAACACGCCGACGGGTACCTTAATGCCACCAGATCAAATCCATCGCCGCCCCCCACTACACTACTTAGTCTTGTTATCACCACTTTTGCGCCCAAACATTTCTTCCATACTTACTTGGTTAATTCCCCTCAGTCTCAGAGATACCCCTTTGCCGTTTGCTTTCTCTCTTTCTTACTTCTCCACGTCTTTTTTTTCGTATACACGACACTAGTCATTGCACCATGGCCGCCACGCCCGACGAACACCCCTCCACTACCTCGACGTTCCCCACCCGCCAAAAACCCCTCCCCTACTCCTTCAACAACGGCCAACGCACCCCGCTCTCCTCCATCCTACCTCCGCTCGTCTTCGGCACCGCCACCTTCAACTACCAGTACAGTCACGACCCATTCGCCCTCGACACCACTGGTCTCGTCACTTCCGCCCTCACCCACGGCATCCGCGCCTTCGACACCTCCCCTTACTATGGCCCGTCCGAACAGCTACTGGGCGACGCCCTTGCGACACCCTTTGTCCGCGAAACCTTCCCCCGCTCCTCCTATATGATCCTGACCAAAGTCGGTCGCATCGCCGCCGAAGAGTTCGACTACTCCGCCTCATGGGTCCGCCAGAGCGTGCTGCGCAGTCTGCAACGCCTCCACACCGACTACCTCGACCTAGTCTACTGCCACGACATTGAATTCGTATCCGCCGCCGAAACTCTCGAAGCCGTCCGCACTCTCCGCACTCTCCGCGACGAAGGCAAGATCCGCTACGTCGGCATCAGCGGGTACCCCCTCGACGTCCTCGGGTCCACTGCCGAACTCATCCTCCGCGAGACAGGCGAACCCATCGACTGCGTGCAATCGTACGCGCACTTCACACTCCAGAACCAGGCCCTCGCCTCCCCGACCCTCGGACTCCCGCGCTTCCAGGCCGCAGGCGTGCAGGTCGTGACGAACGCGTCGACGCTGGGAATGGGCCTGTTGCGCCGCCAGGGCGTGCCCATCGCGGCTCTCGGCGACTTCCACCCCGCACCGCCCGGTCTCCGCGCCGCGGTGCGACAAGCGTCCTCCTTCTGCGACGCGCACGGCGAGCGCATCGAGGTCATTGCCCTGCGGTGGGCGCTCGAGACGTGGAGTGCGGTGGGCGCGGCGTGCGGATCCCGCGGGGACCCCGCATCAGGACTCCCCTGGATCTCCGAGTCCAATTCCGACGTTGGCGGCGCCAAAATGGGCGTCAGCGTCATCGGGGTGTCGAATGCGCAGGAGCTGGAGAAGACGATGCTCGTGTGGCGCTCGATCCTCGACGGGCTCGAGGGCGGCGAGGAAACGGCGAGGAAAGCCGGCCGCTGGAGTCGTGCTTGGGAATGGAGTTGCAATCGTCGCAAGGCTGTCTGTTTGCTTGCCGAGGGCGTCCAGGAGATTCTGGGCTCCCCGTGGTTTGGGTACTCGTGGGCGAGTCCTGAGCCCGGGTTTGTGAACAAGAGGGCGCTATCTGAAAGCGATGCTGCTGCTGCGACGACGTCGGCTGATGATGTTGAATCCGCGGACCAGAAGGAGTACATTTCTCCGCCGCAGAGCCCAGAAGCCAGCGCTACCGCCGCTGCTGTTATCGATCAACCTGCCCAAAACCAGGCCTTGCCGTTACGGTGAAAGACGCTGAATCTAAAATGAACGCAACAATCTTTCTCTTTTTTCGTGCATTTTTGCCACCTTGATAATACCAGTCATGAAACCTGAATTCAAGAAATCCAATCATCACATTTATCTACTGTGCCATCCTACCTTTCCCCCTTCATCAAACAAGAAACGCTCCTAGATCAACTACTAGTGCTTCTATATATATATCAATTAGCACTGAGAGAGTCTTGTCCCTATGTACTTGTTTGAACGTACACAGTGAAAGCACATTTTTCGCACGCGAAAACCCTGTATAGGAAAATATTGATCTAATTAGACGGATGGTAATAGACAGCTAGACAGACCTAAAAAAATAAATATAGATCAACACGCAAAATAGAAGAGGGGCTAAAGATGAACAGTAAAAGGAAAAGAAAGGGATGGGGTTGGAAAGGAAAGCAAAGAGCACGATATGATTGTTACATACAAAATCATTTATGACCTGAGGGATTTGAACTTTATCAGCTAAGGTAGATATAATTTATAACAAAGTCTTATTTCTTTTTTAGTTTTTTTGTGTATAAGAATTCCCTTCACTATTAGGATCCACATCATCCATTCCATTCCATCTAATGACCCAAACAAAAAGAAAGAAAAAACCCCCCGTTTCACTAAGAAAAGAAAGAGGTAACGAAGTTAGGAAAATGACAAGGCCAGATAGATAGAGAGAGAGAGAGAGAGAGACAAGCATTACATAGCAAAAAAAAAAATGCGTATTTCAATTCCCCAGGGCGCAAGTTCTACAAACAAATATGAGGTGTACAAACTACAGCAGCAGAGAGAAGGACTCAACACCACTACAAGATAATCTAGATGTCGATGGGGGTGTTTGACCTCTTGCGGTACGCGTTTCTGAGGCTGCGACGGTTCGCCTTGCCAATGCCCGCGTTCTTGAGCAAATCAGCCGCGCTGGCAACCTTTGCTCCCTCGCCAGCAGCACCACCAGCGCCCTGAGCACCAGCACCAGCAGCACCAGCACCGTTACCGTTGAGGAGGCTGCCGAGAAGTCCCGAGATGGCATCTGCGCCCTGGGCTTCGCCTCCAGCAGCAGCACCGGCACCAGCACCTAGCTGTCCTCCGAGAGCGGCTTCGATCTGAGCAAGAAGGTCGTTCTGGCCTTTACCGTTGCCGGCGTTCTTGCCCTTCTTTCCCTTTGCCTCGTTGCCTTTGCCTTTGCCTTTGCCCTGGCCAGCGTCGGCGGTTCCGTTGGCTGCGGCAGCTCCGTTGTCGACAACGGCGGTTTCGTTGCCGGCAGCAGCGGCGTTCTCGTCAACAACGGCGGTTCCGTTGCCGGCTGCGGCTTGCTCTTGCTCGAGGGCGGCCTGCTCTTGTTCGGCCTTGGCCTTCTCTTGCTCAGCCTGAGCGGCTTCCTTGTCGCCAGCGTTCGCCTTATCCTGCTCAGCTTGGGCGGCATCCTGTTCAGCTTGAGCGGCTTGCTTCTGGTCGGCCTGTGCTTGTTCTTGTTCAGCCTGGGCAGCTTCCTGTTGGGCGGCTTGCTTGTCACCAGCTTGGGCGGCTTCCTGTTGGGCGGCTTCTTGCTGAGCAGCTTTCTTGTCATCGGCTTGAGCGGCCTCCTGTTGGGCGGCTTGCTTCTGGTCGGCTTGAGCAGCTTCTTGTTGGGCGGCTTCCTGCTGAGCGGCTTGCTTGTCACCAGCCTGAGCAGCTTCCTGTTGGGCGGCCTGCTTCTGGTCGGCTTGAGCAGCTTCTTGTTGGGCAGCTTGCTTATCACCAGCCTGGGCGTTGTCTTGTTCAGCTTGAGCAGCCTCCTGTTGAGCCGCTTCTTGTTGGGCGGCTTGCTTGTCACCGGCCTTCGCGTTGCCTTGTTCAGCTTGGGCGGCCTGCTCCTGTTGAGCGGCATCCTGAGCAGCGTTCGCCTTCTCTTTCTCAGCACCGGCAGCCTGCTGCTGTTCGGCGCCAGCCGCTTCCTTGGCCTGTCCATTCTGGGCTTGTTCAGCGGCGGCAGCGCCCTGTTGGACCTCGGCGGGGACAGCATTGGGGTTCTTCGCCTGGGCGGCACCATCGGCAACCTCTGTCGCGTTTCCAGCGGCAGCTATGAGAAGTCAGCAAGTGTTGATGTAATGAGGTCGAGTGAATGAAGACATACCAGCACCTTCAGCGGCAGCAGCCTGCTCACCCTTTGCGTTTCCGGCGGCTTGCTGGTTAGCAGCATTTTCAGCAGCAGCTTTGACAAGTTAGTATACATGACAAGAAACAGTGGAATGATTGAAGACATACCAGCACCTCCAGCAGCAGCGGCTTGTTCGTTCTTCGCGTTGGCCTTAGCTTGCTTTCCCTTTGCTTTTGCCTGGCCAGCGTTCTCCTGGGCGGCGCCCTGGGCAGCCTCTTCTTGCGCAGCGTTTCCAGCTGCATCAACTTCGGCGGCGGCGGCTTCTGCTTGGGCTTGCTTGGCTTGACCACGAGCTAGCACAAAGGACTTGCGGGCCTCCAGTGCCTGCATAGTGAGTCAGTCAAGTTCGTTCAAGTGGAGATGTTTCAACAGATCAAAGTCTGAAAGTGCTTGTGAAGAAGACATACCCTCTTGCTGAAATCAGCTACAGCATCTCTGCGTGCAAAGTTGGTGTTGGGAATGACAACACCAGCTGTGTCTGATGTGACGACCGGTCCGGGCTTGAAAGCAGCCGGCGCCGCGACCACGACAGTGGCGGAAAGGAGAGAAAGAAGAGTGTATGAGTACTTCATGATGAAAGATGTGAAAGGATGGTGAGTTTGTTGAATACAGTATAGAACGTAAAAGGATTGTAGAAACGTGCGAGCTCAGCTCTCGGAGAATAGAAAGCGAATCGAAGATAAAAGTGCCGGCACCGCAAAGACTGAAAGGAGACTGCAACTAGAGATGGTAGTGAGGATGAAGCGTGAATCCCAAAGTGTCTGGATGATGGTTGTGATATATAGTCGGAGCCGCTATGACCCCAGAATCATTTTTAGAACATCGTGCAAATCATCCAGGGTGTAAATCGAGGGTAGAACCGATGCCGTGTCTATCTAACGTTTGATGCCGGAAGATGCCTGGAGAAAGACCAGGCTCGAACATGTGCAGTCTCCACCGGTCTCTCACATCGTCGAGCAGATCATCTAGCCCTGAGTAATGCGTGGAACAAGTGGAATCAGGCAGTACTGTCCAATGGGGATGAATTGCAGGCATGGGTGGTGCTATAGAGCGCTGAGATGACGTGGACGACACAGCGCTACAGAACGTTACGGAATGACAGCCGCCACGCGAAATGTCAGAGATGTTGTAGCAGGCAGAAGGGTGCTGGGATGTACCCCAAAGAAGCTTTCACCAAACGCATACGTTTGTTGGGCATCGTAAGGAGGCAGGGAGACGATCTGAACCTTGGCAAGTTTCAGACGGGAGGGAAGCGAGTGAGGTGCAGTTTCGCGTCCTTACGGGGTTTTCGGCCGTATGCATTGGAACAAGGAGAAATCGGAGAAATGGATAAGCCGTTTTTGAAAGCTTCCGAGCATAAGTAAGCTCTGCATAATGGGATGGTGGAGTGTCGACCGTTGAGCGTTGACTGCTGCCGCTGCCGCTGCTTGCTGGAGACTGATGGGTGTTGTTCAACGTCCAAGCACCAGACTGTTTCTATAAGCAATTAAGGATTCGGTTTGCATGATGAGAGTAGGATGCGGGAAACACAGAACAGAACATCGCATGTAATGCAAAGGACATGTTTGCCTTGGCCTCGACCGTCACGTTTGGGGGCAGCGGTTGAGGTGTTTCATGCGTTCCAGGGATGCAAATGCAATGAATGCAAGCCTTGCCCGGATTGGAAACAGATCGAGGTGGAATGAGAGACATGTCACCACACGTTTGACAGACGACAGACTGGCGCTAGGAGCATGTTCGCGGGATGTTCCCAGTGGATGTTGTCGATGAGATGGAAGGCATGAGGTGGGTCTGTCTGTCTGGAGCAGGCCACGCAGATTGACAAATACATGTCCGGGGCGGGCGTACGCATTCGTACGCGCAAACACGAAGATGAACGTCGAAATGAACCGTGATGGCTATGTTTAGTATCAAGAAGCAGAATGATTTGTGTTTGTTGGAAGACGGATGGGGTGTTGAGATCAAGAGTGGAGTGGTGGTGGTGTCGTTGTTTGTTCACGTGAAGAGGGTACTTGCGGAGCTGGGGGCAGCGGGACGTGGGTAAGTAGGAGCTGGTGAGTGAAGATCAGCCGCAAGGAGAATCGACTCGAGGCTCCACAATATGATGAATTCTTTTGCAAGTTGGATAGTGAGGTACATGGTGAGCCCCAGGCAGTCATATTTTTTGTAGGTATCGCGGGAGGCATACTTTGAGAGCGACGTGCCGGCCAATCAGAAGGCGGGTAAATAAATCCCGACGCATTCCGTTAGCCTCGGGAGACGGTTTGTTGATAGCGTCATGGCCAACTTTCAGATGGAAATGGCTTCAAGAATGGAGTCAGGACTACAAACTACGCCCTTTGTGCACACGCCTGCTTCCTGGTGGTAGAGCCCCCGCTTCCTCCACTCTGTAGCCTCCACTGCCGCCGCCAATGGCTGCCCGACCGCTTCCCGCGTCCTTTGCACGCCGTGTGCTCTCGTCGCATGCCCATTATTCTCCGCCACTCGCCCGCCTCAGAATCGCCGCCTCGCCCTCTCTCCACTTCAACTTCGCTGCATCGAGACTATACCGACCAGCTCTACGGATAGCAGGCCAGCGGAGGGCACTTTCATCCACAGCACGTGTCAAGCTTGCCCAGCCAGATGATGCCTTTGACATACGGCAGGCAGAACGCGAATCCGACCAGGTCGATGTCTGCATCGTCGGTGGCGGGCCGGCAGGGCTTTCGGCCGCCATTAAGTTGAAGCAGCTGGCAAATGAGGCGGGAAACGAAGACTTCCGCGTACTGGTGCTGGAGAAGGCTGGAGACCTTGGTGACCACATCGTCTCAGGCAATGTCATCGAGCCCTCGGCTCTCGATGAATTGCTTCCCGACTGGAAAGATGAAGCCAATCCGAACCGTTTCGAGCACATCACCCCTGCCAAGGAGGATCGAATGCGCTTTCTCACCAAGACCGGCTCCATTCCCATGCCCAAGCCTCCACAGATGAACAATCATGGCAATTACATCATAAGCTTGAACCAGCTAGTCAAATGGCTAGGCGAACGTGCCGAGGAGGTTGGCGTGGAAGTCTACCCTGGCTTTGCAGCATCGGAGATTCTATACAACCACGAAGGTGTGGTGACGGGTGTCGCAACCAATGATCTGGGTATCTCACGGTCCGGCGAACCCAAGGACTCGTTTGAGCGGGGCATGGAGTTTCATGCACGCGTCACACTGCTCGGGGAAGGTGCTCATGGCAGCTTAACCAAGCAGGTCGTGAAGAAGTTCGACCTTAGGCGGGACAGCCAACACCAGACGTACGGCCTTGGAATCAAGGAGGTCTGGGAGATACAGCCGGAGAAGTTCCAGTCAGGCCTCGTCGTACATTCCATGGGCTACCCTCTTCCCAAAGATACCTATGGCGGCGGATGGATGTATCACTTCGGTGACAACATGGTGAGCATCGGCCTCGTGGTGGGTCTGGACTATCCCAACCCGTGGCTTGCGCCTTACGGCGAGTTTCAAAAAATGAAGCATCACCCTCTGTACAAAGATGTACTGGAAGGCGGCAAGTGTATTTCTTATGGTGCTAGGACTTTAAACGAGGGTGGATTTCAATCCATACCCAAGTGCGCATTCCCAGGTGGTGCCTTGATAGGGGACACTGCCGGCTTCCTCAATGTGCCTAAAATCAAGGGTACTCACACAGCCATGAGATCTGGCATGTTAGCCGCAGAAGCAACCTGGGATGCATTGCAGGATAACAAGGATGGGACCGTCTTCCTATACGACTACGAAGACAAGCTGCGCAACTCGACCATCTGGAAAGAGCTGAAGCAAGTAAGGAATATGCGGCCTTCCTTCCACACCCCGCTAGGTTTGTATGGTGGTATCCTATACTCAGGTCTGGAAGCATACGTACTACGCGGCAAAGCTCCCTGGACGCTGAAGCACGGGAAGCCCGATCATGCTTCCACTAAGCATGCCGATCAGTGCCAAAAGATCGACTACCCCAAACCCGACGGCAAGATCAGCTTCGATATTTTGACAAGCGTTAGCCGGAGCGGCACCAACCACGAAGAAGATCAGCCCGTTCATTTGCATGTGGAAGACTGGGACGCACACGCTCAAAAGGAATGGCCTGCATACAAGGGCGTGGAGAACCGGTTTTGCCCTGCAGGCGTGTATGAATACGTCGAGGACGACAGCAAAGATCTGGGCGTGCGCTTCCAGATCAACTCGCAAAAGTGAGTAGTAGTCTGAGTGAAGCTAGAATTGTGAGGATGATGCTAACGGACACATAGCTGCGTTCACTGTAAGACGTGCGACATCAAAGTGCCGGACCAAGACATCACCTGGAAGACCCCCCAGGGCGGCGAAGGGCCAAAGTATGTGTTGACTTGAGTAATTATTCCACCGATCGTATCACTAGGCGAATACAGCTGGGGGATTCTGGGGCCCTGTACATTTTGATTGGTTCGGGCTGTGTTTTTTATCAGCTACATATTACTGCATAGGGATACATATGTAAGTGAGGCGTCTGTATTGGGGACCAAAAGCTGGGATTGTTGGGGCGTGTGCAACATGATAGCATGTGAAAACACACCATACCAATGAAACCGTACATATTTTTGTATGATATTGACTTTGATCTCGCCAAAGAGATCACCTGCCAATCGAATATTACTTCCAAAGCCTCAACTGTCCAACTGTCAGTTTGAATGTTCAACATTAGCTGCAAAGCTGGAGTCACGTGAATGCCAAGGCGCTTGCTTTGACGCCAGCCTCATTTTGACGCCGCCTTCAGCATCACCACCTCCACTACCACACCCTCACCGGCCGCCCACTATAAGGCAGCCCCCGTTCGCGACCACTTTGCCCCGTGCATTCTATCGCACGCATCTCTTACGTTCACCTCCACCAGTTTCCGGTCCTGCCCGCTGGCCATATCGTGCAGCCAGCCCTCCTGGAAGAACTCGGGTTTCCATAGGACTACCAGGCCAGCAGTAGCATCTCTGTCACTCAGTTTCTCTCTGTCTCCAAGGTACGACATGCCGCTCACCTCGTTGGATTCGCACATCCTAGGGATTCTGCGCAGGAGCTCCTGCGCTGCCCGGCCCACTGGCATGCTCTCGCATCTTTCTCTTCCACGCGCTTCTTCCGTTTGGCTTTCATCCTTCGACCCTCATCATGTATAGGCTTCCTGTATTCTTGGCTCCACGCTCACATCCTGTTCCCAGGCTAGGTCTCCACCAAAAGGAATTCACTATGACTACCGAGGTGTCTTCTACCCGCCTCTACTTGGGCAACCTTCCCCGCCACGCCACCAAGGCAGACGTCGAGGCCCATTTCCAGAAGCATGGCACCGGAGAGATCTCCGAAATCAAGCTGATGAGCGGCTTCGGTTTCATCGAGTATACCGACCCCATGGATGCTCGAGACGTCGTTCCAGGTTCGTAACTGCCCTGTTCAACTGTGTACAATGACAACAATGCTAACTTGCACACAGCATTCCGTATGTATTTGAACCTTTACAGAAACTCATTCCGCAGCTAATGCGTTCCAAGATGGCTCCGACTTCATGGGCGAGCGCCTTATCGTGCAATTCGCTCGCGGCTCCCGTCGCAACGAGAACTTCACTCCCCACGAGCGCGCAGCGCCTCGTCCTCGCCGTACTCCATTCAGGATGAGGATCGTCAATCTTCCGGTGGAGACAAGCTGGCAGGTTAGATTCCCCGACCCCTGGATATTCCGCGTAGTCTCCTAGGCTAGACACCCGTGTTCTGGACTGTTGCCTTTGCGCGTGCCCCTGCTGCTACTTCTCTGGATATGGACACGGCCTAATCTCGCAAGTATAGGATCTCAAGGACTTTGCCCGTCAATCTGGTCTCGACGTAGTCTACAGTGAAGTCGGACGTGAGCGCGATGGTACTGGGTACGTTGTTCCTGATTCATGCAACTTTTCTCAGCGCTAACGTACACAGCTTTGTCGAGTACGAGACTGTCAATGACTTGAAGGCTGCGGTTGAGAAACTGGACCGCCGCGAATTCAAGGGCCAAGAGGTTCAATGCACCCAGGATGTCTCTGACCCTCCTCCTCCCCCACCATTCAAGCCTCGCGCTCCCTATGGCGGACCTGGTGGGCCCGATGATCGTGGCCGCGATAGGTACCGATCTCGTTCTCCTGGAGGTCGCCGTGGCGGCTACCCACCTGCACCCTATTACGACGACTATGATCGCCGCGGCCCGCCCCGTGGATACAGTCCGCGACGGGGCGGTGGTGACGATTACCGTAGGCGCTCTCCCCCACGCGATTTCTATGACAGCCGTGACAGATATGGTGGTCGTGCTTCTCCTCGCGGTCGTGGCCCACCTGATGACTTTGGCCCACCCCGCCCGCGTTACCCGGAGGACCCCTACGACGCCCGCGGTCCGCCACCCCGCCGCTATGACGACCCTTATGCGAACGGACATGGCGGCCGTCCTTATGATGCTCGACCTCCTTCCCCTCGCGGCCGCCCACGCAGCCCTAGTGGTCGTCCTCCTTTCGAAGCAGACTACCCTCCTCCTAGGGGACGCTATTAGTGTACGCTCGTGAGGTGGTTTGCCTTTCAAATCGGGTGTACCCATTGGCTACGAATGTGGAATCGAAGGTATCATGTTCCTTCAGATCTGAATGTCATGAGTTTTGTGCAGTTTTGAGCTGTGCGGCACCATCAAAATTTTCCTTGGTCTTCCTTGATTGTCCCTCTTCTAGCTCTGGAATTATTGAGGTGGATCGCCCTTTGGCAGGGTACGAGTAGCCGGTCTGGCTATATTGGTTTCACATAGTCAAGCTAGGACACAACGAGCATCGTATCCAATACTTGGGAAGCCAAACAAACTGTATCGTTTCGAGGCTGCGGCTCAGCGGCTATATCGACTATACTTTTTTGGCCCATCAAAAAGTAATAATTCGTTGCCTGTTTTGCCTCGGCACTCTTGGATATGAATTCGGTAGGGTTGATTTGGACGGGGAAAAAGTCAAACTGGTTTCATTGTATAACAAAAGATTGTCCTTGTTCCTTATTCTATGCTGTATGGTGTGGTGTCCTGTAGCCTCGACCAGGCCATGGATATCCTTTTCGAAGCTTGGAATTCCAGATAATGGGAACATTCTGAAGCAGAAGAGGGTATGAAAAGATGACAAAGTGTATTCTTCCTGGTGTTTAAGGATCAGCTAGTCAATAATGTGTTCTGTCGTGGTATTTTCCGAGTTATTCGGTACATGAATCCAACCAAACATAAATGTCATGTTCTCCTCTTTGCTACGTGGCTATTCTATAATGGTTCATGTACTGACTATTGTATACATGCTTTACCCAATCGCATACAGCACTACCATACGCCTCATCAACGTTGACTTGAACTTTTATTCGAGTATATACGCTCATTGACTCAACTGTCCCCCAAGGAACTTATTCCACTTTAATGCAAAAAGTCCACACAAAGCGGAGAATGTGAGCAGTCAACATTGAATACTTAAAGATACGTTATAGTGAATCTTCTTCCCACGGTATCTTGATTCCTAGATTACAGTCCCCAATTCAATCGCCTACTTGAGGAGCCATGCCCTCTGCAACTTATCCAATGACCCGACTGCATACTGCTCCCATTCAGGATTCAGTAGATCGAACCCATGTTCTTGACCTGGCGCTTCATCGTACCGGACTTCTGTTCCAGGCAGCTTCTCCTTCATGAGCGCGACTGTGTCACGGACGGACTCGACCCTGATTGTGGAATCATCAACGCCTGTCAAAACCCATCTACATCGCAGTCAGTATCTCAATCACCCCTTCCTAACGACACCAATCGGAATAGGAAACACTCACATGAACCCTGGCGCTTTCGCACCCCCCCTCATTCTCTCCAACGGAAATATCTTCGCCTCCTCACACCCCGTCGGATTAAACACTTCCTCATACAACCTCCCTCTCTGCGTCAACGCAAAATTATACTGCGAGACCTCAAACCCAGCCCGACTCTTCCACCCTTCCTTCTCCTTCTCCCCCTCCACCCACGCCACCGCCTCCTCCAGCCCCATAAAACTCTCCTCAGGCATCCCAAACACCGTTTTACCACCCGCCGGCCCCCGCACAAACATGTCGTCCTTCAAATCTACCAGCGGATACAACATGGCAACCGCACTAATCTCATCCGGGTAACTCAGCGCCGTCTGCACCACGCAATACCCCCCCGCGGAGCCCCCTATCAGCATCACCCGCGAGAAATCCGCCTCCATGGCGCCCGAGCGGTCCAACCGCGCGAGCACGCCTGCGAAATCGCTCTTGAACCATTTCCAGAAATCGTCGAGGTCTTGCAGTGGGTCGAGGACGCCGCGGGGGGTGGGGAGGAGGCGGTAGTCGATTGAGAGGACGATTGCGTTGTTGGAGAGGGCGAGGGACGCGATCCACGGCGCGAAGAAGGGGCCGAAGAGCGCGTGGCCCATTGTTAGGAATCCCCCGTGCATATTTATGATTACCGGGTGTGGTTTTTTGTCTTTTGGGAGCGTTTTGGGGATTAGGAGGGCGGCTTTGAGGTCGTGGGTTGGAGTCAGGGTTTTGTAGCTGTTTTTTTTGGTTTTAGCTTGTGTTAGAGGGTTTTGTTATAGGGGGAAGATGGGGGGAGAAAGAAAAGGTGGGTTACGTTATTTCGTGGATGTTGAAGGGGTTGAAGACTGTGTGGTCTGGGCCGGGCCAGGTTGGTGTTGATTCGATCATTGCGGATGGGGTGGACGACATATTTTTGTATTTCTTTTGTTTCCTTGGGCTTTCGTGGGGAATCAATTACAAGTTGTTTTGAAATTTCGCGATGACTTGGAGTTTGTATACTTCAAAGTATGGATAACTCGTGTAGGAAAAAAAACTGATGTCGAATACACTGATTTCCTCAACACAAGTCCTACAAGAAAGACATTTATATATCTTATGAGACCGTCTACCCATGCACACGCACATGCACACTCATATCAAAGAACGCACACAGACCACAACTTAGGCATCCTACACTAGACATCTCTGCTCACTCATCCGTTCCGCACTAATTCAGCACTTTTTCAAGTTCACAAACGACTCCATTGACCTAATCAAGATGATCTTGAGGGACGTAGTGCTGCGCAGCTCGGCCGAGCTTACTCGATGTTGAACTAGGTCGTCTTGGCTATCTGTGTAGCTCTTACAACGGGGGAGTATGGAGTGGGGGCGGTTCCCAGTCTACTTAAATTGTTTTAGGATGGAATGTCATCGGCCGAACTATGACATGGCGCTGCATGGAGAGCAATCATGCTATTTTGTGTTTTTGGTATTCAAGAATCATGGGGGATCTATGTTGATACTCTTTTCAGATGGAAATTGACGGTTTCAATGGCTCCGGTGAGATATCTTGTTCAAAAACCACGGTACTATGAAGGTCAGGACTGCTATCTTGAGCCATCTTTTTTTTTAAAAAAAAAGAAAAATAGAAGATATCCTTATTGCATTCTACCCATCCTCCCCGTTCCTACACTCCGTCCTAAAAAAAAATTAAGGACTCTGCGCAAAAAAAAGTGCACTAAACTCGTCGTGAAATGCTACAGGGCATCCCAGCCCTGTACCCCCCATCTACTACTAAACAGTAATCCCCTTCATACAAGGTAGACAGATATTAAAACAACGGAGTGAACCTTGATTTTCACTCCGCTCCAAGTCCATCAAGGGCGGAAGGGCTACACAATCTTACGATTTCAAGATCAAGTTGTGGGCCAGGGGGTCAGGGCGAAGGATGCAAGTTGTAGTTGGGAAGCCGGGTTTAGAGGGCGGGAACTAGCCTGGACGGGCGGGCGCGCGAAGGAGATGGTGAGTCACTCACAACTTTATCCCGTCGTGACTAGTGACATTTACGCGTGTGTGTATATGTAAAGTTTCTTTTCTTTTTCTTTTCTTTTCTTTTTTTCTTGGAATCTTGTGGCGAGGTTAAAGTATAGAGCTACCTTTATTTGCCGACAAGTAGCTTGCTTGGAAATTTTGACACCTTTTTGCTCCCAACTAGTTTTATTTCCAAACATACTTACATATGCCGTGTAGCGCTAACACGTCGCAGCATACTGCAGTGTCTTTGTGATTTACTGATTTCTGGTATTAGTCTGCTGTTGACTTTGACCTTGCCTTGCTCTGAACTTTGATATACTGATATTCTTTAACAAACGCGGGGGTTTGCGCCCGGCGCTTGTTGGAGGGGAGGGAATGAGTGGTTACAAGGGCTATTGCAGACAAGGTTGAAATTTACAACAAGAGGGGCTACATAGGGTTGGTTGAAACAGAGGGGAGTTTGTTCGTGCATGGTGATTACTATTTATCGTCGCTTTCGAGAAGTGGGGGAGTCATCTTGGCCGCCGTGATATATCCATTAGTCTATATGTAGTATTCGGCTGGCTTCTGAAATCTAACAGTACAACATATATATATACCGTTTCAGTTGGGCTGACCAATTCATCAGTTGCAGTCATCTTCGCCTTGTTCTTCCAGATTCGTCAACTCATAGAACACGGAGAGCTCATCAAGCCGCGTAGCAAGATTATCGACGCTCGCTTCCTCCACACCGGCAAGCGCAGACTCCATGGTCAACCTGGCACTGGACCTCGCGCCGTTGGGCGCGTAATGCGGCGCAGCAGTCCGCAGGTCTTTCTTCACGCGCGCCACGTAGTCATAGTCGACAACTCCCGCATTCAATGCCATTGAAAGCATCGCATGAGTGACTGCCAAGTAAGTCCGGTATCTTACGCATACCCTTATCCAGTACTCGAAGCAGATTTTGAAGTAAAAGTGCCATTGTGCGTCTTTGACAGGGTTCTTGATCAAGTCAATGGCGACTTCTACGACGACGCAGTTGAACCATACATTTCCGATCCCTGGTGTTGGGTCGGCGCAGAAGGCGACCGTGATTGCTTTGAGCTGGTTCATGGATGCCGAATAGAGGGCCGAGGGCGTTGCGTCGGGAGATGAAAAGGAGCCAAGGCGGAGCTGCTGGTCTTTTGGCATCCTCGCCAGTGGCCGCAGCAGTGCGAGCATAGCGAAATGATAAACGCCACTGATTATAGCTGCGTGAGGATCTGATAATGTCGAGAGCGTAGGGTATTTCTGAGTACTTACTGGAAGAAAAACACATGGCTGGTGGAGTGTTCTTCTCGGAGCATTTCCTTGCTGAGAGTATCAGCCCAGGCGAGTAGTTTTTGACATTTCGATTCTATAAAGGATAGGGGAACTCTTTCGGCTACCGGCTTGTCGTCGGAGGAAAAAAACATCGAGTTGATTTCCTGAACGATGATCCAGAGCCCGCTGAGCGTGGAAAAAGTCCGTCCCATATAAAGTGGAAGCGGATGAGGTGGCCATACAATATCCAGTGAGCCAGTGGATGCGCCGGCATTCCCGGGGACAGGAAGTGATGGGGGGAACGAAATAGGCGGCGCCGGGAAGTAGAGTCCTAGAAATCTAAAACATGGTAAGAGATTCGACGACAGGAAGCAGAATCGCAAGACTCACGATAATGCTCCGTATACTGCCCAGGCAGCGTGAGACATCTCCTTGATTTTTTCCACGGGAAGCTGGTGGAATTTCTCAATGACATTGTCGCTTGGCCGTACATCGATGAGTGCCATTCTCTTTGCCATGGCACGTATCTCAACCACTGAGTCAAATCTCAGCTGTTCGTCACCATGCGCAGTACATGCCAAGGCCAGATAGCATAGGGCGGCGAGATTCTTTGGGCTATCAGACATGCGTTCGGCTTTCCATAGCTTCTCGGCATCTTGTATGAACGGGACAATGAATGCAGATGAGCGGATATCGAAAGTGCTGTATGATTGCTGGCTTCGTCGTCAGTCATTCACCGTAAAGGAAAGGAAGGATAACCTCATGTATGAAGTGTCTAGTGTCGAGAGACGGAGACATACACATGCTAAAGACATGATGGCAGAAACAAGGAACGGTGAGCAGTAGTCGAGCTTATGATCGACTAGATCGGCTATGAAGAGGTCAACATCTACGCAGCCAAAGATGGCATGATATGTTTCAAAGTGATAAGATAGAACAGAAGCGGCAAATTCATCGCTGATGGGAATTTTGGTCCAGTAATCGATTTTGAGCTTGTTCAACCTGGGGTCACAATAATGGCGGTCCTCGAGGGGTCCAGATATTGTTGAATTGCGCAAAGATGAAGTTCCTTGAATGGGTGATGGAGGGCCAGTGGTGAGCGAAAGTTGGGCGGTGTTGTCTTCATTGGCGGTACTTGGGCCAGATGGAGAAGCTTGTCCTATGGCTTGAGGAGAGCGCCTCTTTTCGATGCTTGTGACGTCCAATGATACCAGAACCGGGAAAACCGAGTGATGGAGCATGCCTAGTTCGAATTCTAGGGCAGAAGCAGTGGGTGGCAGTATCGCACGAGCTGTAGTCAGGTCAGACGGTCTGATGGATGCATGAGCAGCGCCATTGAAAGAGGAAATAGCATTGGAAACATTCCGGGTCATCCTTAGTCGTCGAAGAATCTCTACAGCATCAGGTTCCGGCAAAGCCAAAAGGTGTTGTACGAAATCGTTGGGCTCCGACAGTTTATTTTCGTTTGCTGAGACATAAACGCACTCAACCTTGGCCTGGACACAACGAGAACATGCTGGGTGTTCGCCGGTGCACTGGATGCAGTGAGCGCCAAACATTCAGCCATTGAATGAATCCCATGGGGAAAGAGACTATTCAACTCACAGACAACTTTTTCTGCCGACAGGTCTTGCAAGCGACACCAGTGCGTCTCCGTTTGGCAGGGGGTGGACCTCGATTGGGTGTAGGCGGTGCAGGCCCTGGTAAGATGGGTCTATGGTAGTTCCTCATCATGGATCAATATGGGTATTGATGAGAAGGTCCTGATACGCAGAAATGTGTGTGACATGGGCTGAACAGTATTCCGTCAGTTTTGGTAAGATTGAATAAGTTTCATGTTCCATGCATCATCTCTCGCGCTCGATTGGTACATGGTTGGTGGAGTGGTGGGGCATGGTGGATGAATAGGTAAGTACCTATATAGAGTTTTTGGTTTTACGTGCTGAGTGAGCAGCACTGTAGTAAAAGATGATTGAAAAACGATGTTTTGAAAAGGCGGGCCAACCGGATTACTAAAAACAATCACAAGTAACCTGGATAAGCGACGAAAGAACAAGACACCATCAGAAGGAGATGCAAGATAATCCGACAACTATGCCTCGCCCATGATCTTGGCCAGTCAGGGAAACGTCAAGCCATGGGACACGTCGAACTGTGGCCAGTTGAGCCGAATTTATAGAGTGGTGCTGTTCTTTTTTTGTAACATCGTATTTCGGCACAAGATTCCATCCAATCAACATCCATTGATTCCTCTTACACATACTACTTATGTATGTACAAAGATACATACATACATGTGCGTTTGCAGCCAATCAAAACACGAGACGACAGAGGATGGCACTATGCCGGACCCGGACTAGCGTTCCCCAGAACCTCGGTCCACGAGGCAGTGGATATCAGACTGCGGGCATAACCGATCCATCTCCGCATCGTTGGATATCTGACAGAATGTCCTTGCGGCATCTCAAGGTTTCTTCAACTCGAGGTTCCATTGTTCCAGCAGGTTGATCTTTCAAAGACGCAATTGCAATAGAAGCAAAAGAAAAACATCATGGCGGCAGCACGTGTAGGCCAGATTGCTGGTCATCTCAACTACCCTAGCGGTATGTTGGCGGGTCAAGTAGCCATCATCACGGGGTCTGGTCAAGGCATAGGTGCAGAGGCAGCACGATTGTTCGCTAACGAGGGGGCGAAGGTTGTGGTCGCGGATGTCGACGGGAGTATGTCCATGTTCACTGTTCTCGTCATCTTCACATCCAAGTCCATCGAGACTTGCTAACGTATGCACAGAGAAGGCGCAGGCAGTGGTCGACGCCATTAAACAGAATGGAGGGAGCGCCATCGCTGTAGCCGGAGATGTAATGGACGATGAGTATATCGCGACGCTCATCAAGAAAGCTGCCGAGTTTGGCAATGGCAAGATCCACATCATCGTCAACAACGCTGGATACACATGGGACGGAGTGATTCACAAGATGACGGACAAGCAGTGGCACACGATTGTTGATTTGCACGGTACGGCGCCGTTCAAGATCATCAGAGCTGCTGCGCCGTACTTTAGAGTCAAGGATGGAGAGCCCAGGAACATCATCAATATCTCAAGCACTTCGGGACTACACGGCAACGCTGGACAGATCAACTACGCATTAGCCAAGGCTGGGGTGACGGGTATCACCAAGACCATCGCAAAAGAGTAGGTCCCATATTACTGAACTAGCAGGAAGCAGAATTAACTCGCGCAGATGGGGTCCTCAATTTGGCGTGCGCGCAAATACAATTGCATTCGGACATATCCTCACCCGCCTCACAGCAGCGAAAGAAGAGGGCGCGTTTATAACCACATCGGATGGGCAGAAGGTAGCTCTAGGAATACCACAGGCGCAAAAAGCGGGAGCGGGGGCCGCTGAACAGCATGCGGATATCCCCCTGAGACGGCCAGGCACTGCTACTGAAGCTGCCAGCGCAGTGTTAGCAGTCGCTAGTCCGTTGATGAGCTATGTTAACGGACAGACCATCAGCGTCACGGGCGGTCGAAACATGTAATACGGTGGTGAGCTGAAGGTTGGATTGTATGTTCCCGGTGGAAATTGTTGAGTGGCTGTGCAGATACATATGTTTCCCGAAGAAAGGAACAACAGTAATGCAGTCTATGGAAAATCAATGGAACAAATACCTAGTGAAGCGGATAGTCATTGTCGAGCGGAGAGAAACGAACAAGTGTCGTGATCTCTAATCGAGTGTTTCGTCGTGTTCCAGCATTGCCGAACAGGAGCTGAGTTTAGTTCTTGGAGAAGCTCGGCGGACACCCCCAAGACACCTCCGCTCTCCATCCACAGCCAGCCGCGCCACACTTCCCTCCCCATCCACGCACTACTACATCCCCGGCAACTCGACATACGTTCGACACATTATTATTCTTTTGTTTCTTCTCCCCTCTCCATTGCTGTTACCCCCCTCCTTTCTTCCCGTATCTTATCAATCCTCCGACCTGGTCACTCCTTTACTCCCCTCCCACCATGTATATGCGCATCCAATTATAGATACGACACTCACTCCATCATCAATCCCACCTCCGTACCGCCCCTTACGAACCCACCCTCCCCTTCTTGTGTAAATCGGCTCCGGCCCCCGGTGGCCCGTCATGCCCGACGAAAAACACCACTACGACGCCTTTCAGGACCCTCCCATCCCCACCTACGAAGAAGCCACATCCTCCTCACACCCCCTCTCCTCCCGCCGCGGCCCCGATGAGATCAGCGACGACGCCGAACGGCAAACCCTCCTTGGTCACGATCTCCCGGCGAGCTCGGGTTCGAGTTCCCGCCGCCGCAATGGCTACTACCAGCCGCCATCCGTGCAATCCGCGCGGTCCAGTCTGGATGAAGACGAAGAGAGCGGACTTGGGAGTCCGGTGGACGCGGATGAAGAGGTAGCGCTGCGGCAAACCATGGAAGAGATGGATATCTTGGATCCCGAATCAGCCGAGGATGGGCGAGGGAGGAGAAACCGTTCGAGAAACGGTTTCTCAAAACGCTTCTACAGCATCACGACGTCACTGTCGAGTATACACCTTCCGCGCATACGGTGGCCTTCGTTCGGATTAGAATGGTTCAAACAGCGGTTGCCCACAATACCAGAAGAATACAGACCGGGGTGGGCGGTTTTGGCTCGGTTATTTGGGCTTGTGCTTATCATCACGCTGGTGTATTTGTTGGTGGTCAGTGAGATTGTGCCCATGGGCGCGGGCGGATTCGGCACACCTTTCAACCCGGAGTGGGTGCGCCAGACGGCTTTGGGGAACATAAACACGTTGCGCATACAAGAGAACCTGCAATATGTGACGTCGTACGATCATCTTGCTGGAACTAAAGGCAGCTATGTGCTGGGGCAGTGGATCGAAAGCCAGTTCAAGGAGGCGCATATGGATACTTATACCCACGATGAGTGCGTTCCATCGAATACACTCCCAAACGCAATGGCTAACCAGACAGGTATTTTGTCTATATGAACTACCCCAAAAAGGACGGGCGCCGCGTGGCAATCGTGGATCCCCCGGAGAAGGCGTGGCAGGCGAATCTGGAGGAAGGCTCGCCTTACGATCCCCCGAAACCGCAAACCGAGTCTTTTCATGGATTCTCCCGATCTGGAAATGTGACTGGTCCTCTCATTTATGTGAATTATGGTGACAAGAAGGACTTTAAATCTCTTTGGGATGGGCAAGTCGATGTGCAAGGCTGCGTGGTGCTTATGCGGTACTACGGAACCCCTTCGGATCGCGCACTCAAGCTCAAGGCTGCACAGGATGCAGGTGTTGCAGGTGTGCTCATGTATTCTGACCCCGCTGATGACGGCTTTCTCAAGGGCGACGTCGCGCCGAAAGGCCGTTGGAGACCCAAGGACGGCGTCCAGCGAGGTTCGGTCGCCTTTTCCAATATGGTTCTCGGCGATCCTCTCACCCCCGGCCGCCCGAGTACAAAAGATCAAATGCGCATGTCCAAGGACAACAATGTCGCACTGCCAAACATTCCCAGCATACCCATATCCTGGGAGAACGCGCAGCATCTTTTGCAATCCCTGGACGGGATCGGCACAGAATTGCCTGAAGAATGGATCGGTGGAGTGCCAGATGTGAAGTGGTTCACTGGCCACCCGGACAAATCGCCCAAGGTATACTTGCAAAACTTCCAAGACGAAGAGGAACAGCAGCGCATAACCAATGTCTTCGGCTCCCTGCGCGGAGTGGAAGATTCACCGAAGAAAATCATCGTCGGTAGTCATCGCGATTCCTGGTGCTTTGGAGCCGCTGATCCTGGCTCTGGAACTGCTGTTATGCTCGAGGTTGCGCGGGTTCTTGGTGAGCTCCGCCTGCAGGGTTGGCATCCGCTTCGCACCATTGAATTCGCATCGTGGGATGCCGAAGAGTATAACATGATCGGATCCACGGAGCACGTCGAACAGAATATCGAAGAACTCCGCGCCAACGCCATCGCCTACATCAACGTAGACGTCGGCGTAACAGGCGACAAACTCTGGGCCAGCGGATCCCCCGTCTTCAAGCACACATGGGGCCGCATCCTCGGCCGCCTCGTCGATCCTCAACAGAACAAGACCCTTCTTGACCTATGGGAGCGCGAGACGCATGAACTAGGCACTCTCACGGCACCCGGCGACCATATTGCCTTCCAGGACCTCGCCGGCACCTCGTCGATTGAATTCGGTTTCAAGGGCCCCGAGCACGGCGACCTCGCCCACAGCTGCTACGAAACCTATGAATGGATGACCGAGCACATCGACCCGGAACTCGTATACCACACCCTGCTCGCGCAAGTCTGGGTCCTCTTCATCCTCGAGCTCGCCCAAGAACCCATCATGCCGCTCAAAGTCGAAGACTACGCGTCCTTCCTCGCCGAAGAATCCCAAAAACTCCTCGACTCGACCGACAAGATTGGGCATAATTTCGATGTCGCCATCTTCCAGCCCCTCTTCGATGCCGTTGCGACACTGACGACGCGTGCTAAGGAATTCGGCGAGTGGGAAACCTTCTGGTACAACAACGTCTACGGCACAGGCGGCTTCGAAACTCAAGGTCTCACCGTCCAGCGCGTGCACCATAATTCGCAAATGGGCCTTTTTGAATCCCGCCTTCTGGATCTGCCAAAGGATGGCAGCAGTGCCAAGGACGATAAAATGTCGGATCACGGAGTATGTTCTTTCCCTCCCCCCCTTCCTTCCTTCCTTTTGCTTCCTTCCCTCAAAACTCGAATTGTTAAGTTCATGTTACTAATCCGGCATGTTATGTTATAGCTCCCCGGCCGCGACCAGTTCAAACACGTCATCTTCGGCCCCGGCGACGACGCGCACGACGGCGGCTACATCTTCCCCTTCATCCGCGATGCGCTCGCCAAGCAGGACTGGGACCTCGCAGAGCGCCAGATCAAGAGGACGGCTGAGGTGCTTGGCCACGCTGCTGAAGGCTTGAAGCGGCATCATCATTAAACTCTACCCCCTCCCTCATCTATCTACCTACCCCCATGTATCTGTAGGAAAAGAATCGCATAGTTGTTTTTAGTTTTACTTTATTCCCTTTTACTTTTTTGGTTTTTGGCATGGCTTTTGCTATATATTACGGAGGTTTTTCCTCTTTTCTTCTTTCTTCCTTGATAGTTTATAGTTCTTATCCTTGATAAGTTGGAGCATAGAAGGAAATGCCATCATATCTTTCACCCTCCCTTGTTTCCTTTTCTTTCTCTCTCTCTCTCTATATGTATACATATATGTGTGTGTTGATGTCCCTAGCCATACCTTAACTAGTCAAAACCCCCCCGCACCCAAAGTAAGTACCTAGGTACGTACATAACCAAGTAAGCCAAATGTCACAAAGTCCCCCCAGAAACCAAAATTTTTCTACCATACCCATTTCCCAGCTTACTTTATCCCCCTCCCCGCGTTTCAAACTAAGCTAGCTAACTACTCTCTTACACTAAGAATCTACTATGCTTAGGGCTATCAAAAGACTATATATGTATACCTATGTGTGATGAATATGTATATGTATGTATGTATGTATGTATGTATACCTAACCTCCCATCTCTTACAGGGTTCCCGCTATTTCGCTTGTCTGCTTGCTTGCTCGCTTTCTAAAAAATATATATTAATATTACTTTTGTTTTTCTCCTCTCTTCTCTTGTGTAACTTAAAAAACAAACATCTTCTACTGGAATAAAGAAAAGATAAAAAAAATTAAGACAAGACTAAGAATAAGATAAGATAAAAATAAAGTAAAGTAGAGTAGTAGGAACACATGTCTAAGTTATAAAACTTTTTTTTCTTCTTTTAGCTCCTTTCTTTTATTTTTTCTTATATTATTTATTTATTCTTTTTGCTAATAATTGCTTAAGTAAAGGGAGGGAGTTTTTTTATAGCTTAGGCAGATTATATTTGTACTGTTACATACCAATGTTAAGGATTTACGTTCTAGTGTAATAAAGGAGGTAAGGGGGATAAAAAGAAGAAGAAGAAGAAAGGATAGGAATAGAATATCTGATTTTGTTATAATGTTTGTTTGAATTTGTATTTACTATTATTGATATTGCGAGAGAAAAGCAACAAGGTATTTTTCAAGTCAAAAGCCTGTTTGACCATAAAAAGGGACCTAAAGAAAACAAAAAACGCCAGATGTAAATGCTGAGATGACAAAAAGATAACGCCCGGGTAAAAAATGCATGTCAAAGCCTAACCCTCCAACCCCAGTCCTCGTTGTGAAATGACCGTTTTCTGATTCCGAGGTCCTTCCCCCTACCCCCATGCTGTGTTCGTTTGTCGTTTGTCGTTTCCTCCGTGTACTTCATCGCGAAATCGTCCATATCTTGTCGTGAGAATGAGTGTAAAGAAAAAAGTAATGCTGATTATGTAAAGGAGAGACAGTGGTATGCAAAAATGAAGATGCAAATAAAAGAGGCGCCCCCATTTTTCGTTGTCGTGATGCGTGTGCATGCGTGGTGTAATGTATGATGAAGACCAGATCCATCATAAACCTTTGATGTAGCCCGACCCATGCCCATGTCCGTGTTGTCCGTTATGCCGTATGCAGGGTATAAATGAGAGTAAAGAAGAAGAGAAAAGAGAGAGAAAAATATTAGTCAAAAAAGCGCGATAAAGAAGCGACTGTAGCCACATCCCAGCAGCCCCCGAAAAGGAGAAGAAGAAGGAAAGAAGAGAGGAGGTAAGAAGTAAGAAGGCGCTGCAAAAAAAAAAAAAGGGAGTAAGAAGGGAGAAGAAGGAGAAAAAAGGTAGCGCGAGAACTTTGTCACTCACGCACCCCTCCTCTTCCCACGTCCACACTCCCTCTTGCTAAGCGGCTCCTCGGGGAAAACCCACCCGCGAACACGCTTGGCCTCCCTCTTCTCGCCCATCTGCGGCTTGGGGATCCATGCATCTTTCTCCACGATGTTCTGGCGGGTGAGGGCGGCAGGGCCACCGACATCCATGCGCCACGTGCCCATACCCTCAAAGGGGTTCTCCTTGGCCAGCATGTGGAGGTACCACAGCGCGAGGGCAGCGGTCATCTTGATCTCGCCTTCCTCGCCTCCGTTGTTGTTGCTGTGAGTGGAGAGGCTGATGGGAGGAGAGACCTCGAGGTAGCCGAAGATGGGGACGCCGGCTTGCGCATTGACGGTGGTGGGGTCGACGGTGGAGTCATCCGAGGGACCGCCGCAGCGGACGCAGAGAAGCTCGATTTCGGTGAGGATGAAACCGTAACGGCAGCCGTGCTCGCGCATAGCGCGCTGGAGGTGCGCGAGGCCCTGGAGGTAAAGGACCTGCTTTGGGGGGGATTCACCGCGCATGCCCGTGTTCCATTGGTCGTAGCACTTGACGAGGCCGACGACGCGGCCGCGGTGGTCGCCGAAGATGGTCTTCTCGTAGTCGGAGGGGTAGCTGGAGATGAAGTCGGGTTGCGGGTTCTGGCCGGGGATGGACTTGACGCCGCGCATGACCATGTGGGTGGTTCCCTGGGCGACCTTGAGAGCGGCGTTGATCTTGGTGGTGTAGTGGGAAGTGTAGATATCGTGGAGGGTGCTCTCGTTCTCGGGCTGAGCGTTCTGGCGCGCGGGCTCAGGGAGGTAGTTGGCGGTGATGGGGACCTCGAGGAGGGGGAGGACCGAGGGGAGGGAAGTGATGGTGGAGATGTTGAAGTCGGTCCAGCTGCGGAGGTTGCGAATGTCCCACCAGAAGTGTGTGTTGACGCCTCGCGGTTGCGCGGTGAGGCGGCGGACCAGGGCTGGGGATGGGTTGGGTGCAGTGAGGTACTCCATGAGGGAGGAGGTGGGGGTCACGGGGAAGCTGTCGAAGTTGACCTCGGTGGAGAAAGGGTACTGGACGGCGGGAGCCTGGTCGAACTCGGGGAAAGCAAAGTCCTGCGACGAAGCCGTGGTGGCAGCATACGAGGTTTCGTGGATCTGAGGGAATGTGGTTGGGAGAGCAGTGACCAAGTCCAGGTTGGGCTGACCAGCGTTGGAGGTGGTCATGTAGGTGGGGATGTTGCGGTAGGTAGGGAATCCGTAGCGGTTGATGACCGACTCGTCGATGCTGCCGGCGGAGCCAGCGCGCGAGTGTCTGCTGAGAGCGGAAGCAGAGTGCGATCGGCCATGGTTGGCGATGGAAGCGCGGCGAGGCTCCGTGGCAAAGACGATTGGGGAGTTGAGAGTCGAAGTGAGGCCCAAGTCGTATGATGATGTGGAGACGGGGGATGTGAGGGTGCTGTTGACGTGCTGGTTGGCAAAGGGACTTGAACCTCTGCGCACCATGGAATTAGGGCGAGAGTAAGGGCTGTAGGCAGAGCCATAGCTCATGCTGGAAGCGGTAGACGTCGTCCGGCGATGTCTGATGGGGCCGGTGGTGGGCTCTGCGATCTGATCTTGGGTGCGGACCTTGGGGAGGAGGAGCGGGCCATGTTGCCTGATGGGTGATCGGGGAGGAGTGGTGTTGACTGTGTAGTTGGAGTCGGCTGGCGAAGCATTTGGCGAGTAGAAGCCACCATCTGATATTGAGCCGGCACTCCCGGGGAAGTAGTTGAAGGAGGTAGTTGGGGGGGTTGTTTGGCGGTTGTACATTGTGAAAGAAGAAGGAGGACTGCTACCAGACTGGATAAAACTTGTCAGGCTGTGCGGTTCAAGTTATGGCACGAGGTCCAATGGGTTGCTGCGACTTACGCTTTTGGTATGAGGGGGGACAATTATGGATGTGAAGAGAGGATTAAGGTAGAGTCCAGCTCCGGGTGGATCAAAGCAAAGGAAGAAGGGGAAGAGAAGGGAGTCGGGCAGTGCACAGCGAAGAAGAAGTGGGTGAATGCTTGGGAGGAACTGTAGTTGTGCGGCGAAGGCTGGGGTTCTTATTCTCCATGGGATGAAGTCGCAGCATTGACTGGCTCACAGCGCGCAGTCTTGGAAAGGTCTAGCGGGTAAAACATTCTGAAACACGATTCCACGAGTTCCAGGGACGCGGACTGACGAACAGTTCAGCGATCGGGCGCGTGTATGACCGAGTTCTGGCTCAGTGCGCCATGAATCGTGAAACAAGCGGCTGGTGGGCGAGTTAGTCGGCGGGGGGGGAGGGTAGGACATGTCTAACTGCTATTCTTGCCGTAGGCTGGGCCGAAAGGGGACAAGAGAGCAAAGCGATGGGGGTCGGTGAATGGCTGGGCACGGTGAGGTTGCAGAGAGGCATGGACGGATTGGGCCAAGGTCGGAAGGGCACGGCGACGCGCTGCAGCAGAGGGGCGGTTGGCTAAGTTGAAACCGGGCAGGCTTTGGTCCCAAAGGGTGTAGGGCAAAGGGTAAGGCAGCGTAGGCGCGGGCGGGCGGCAGTTTGAGATGGCAGACGGCGGTGGTGATGTTGTGGTTGGAGGTGTAGCTGTCGTGAGGTGGCCCTGCTTAGCGCCCGGCCGGCTTCCCGCAGCGCGTGGGGCGCGACAGGGGTGCACGTGACAGGGACCGGGGGCCACGTGACAGGGGCCGGCGCCGTCTGTCAAAGTCAGCAACGCAATTCACCGCCGATCCATTTTATTCGGGCTAGCAGCCAATGGGAGGCGTTAAATACACCGCCGGGCGGGCGAAATATTCGAGGGCAAGCGATGCGGTGTAGTAGCGTCGACATGCCAACTCCACACATTCATGCAAGCCGGCTGGGAGTCATCGCTTTTGCCGTGGTTGATTGGGCCACGATGGTCCAAAGTTTCGTTTCTCCCACTGTTTCTTTCCCACGCCTGCAGACAACCACCACACCGACAATGGTGACTCACACATGGCGACCACTTCTCTCGTCCCGGCCATCACGACTATAACACGCTCAACATCCCGCATCGCGTCCACAAGCAGAGACGAGCGAAGAAAAAAATCACGCAAAATACGGCAGACGCGTTGTTGTCTTCCCTCGTCGGGGTCTGAGGCCTTCCCCGCATCTTCGTCCACCTCTCTCCCTTTCTTTGCCAACTCTGACCTTATGCGCCCGGCTCGCAAAGCATGACTTTGCAAGTTCCCCTTCCATCAACCTCATTACTGACCTCGCTCGCTTCCAATCTTGCTCCCTCGCCATAAATAACGCTCCCTCCAAGCAAAATCAACCCACCTCACTCACAAAATAAGCGCCCACCATTGGCCACCACCACCCTCCTCCAAGCGCCGGCCCCTTCCACGACCCTCCAGAGCCGCTTTGCCTTGATGAGGCTCTTTTCTTCTTTCATTTCCCTCTTCAGCCCTGCCAGATCCGTTGCACAGCCTCAATTCATCTATTCTCATTCCCCATCTTGCTTTCTGTTCATCTAAGCGCCCGATCCAGCCCTGATCCGGTAACTGCTACTTTACGTATTAGGTTGGTTTCAATGCCTGGCGATTCGGCATGGAAAAGGTGTCAAAATGCTACCAAAATAACCCCAAACCGGATTCTGGTTGTACCGATTTGGCGCTGGCTTGAGAAGGAAAAAAAAAGGTTGCTAATTAGGTCGGATTCTGAAGCTTAGAGATGGATGCCTGACTTTTGCACTACGTACGTCAACACGGTGGCACATGGAACCGGTATGGTAGTGGGGAGCTGTCAATGCTCTGCAGTACGCGCCCGGCTTCATCGTCGACTTCGCCTTCCGATGCACATAGTAAAAATGTATTTGTATTCTTGCTTCTTTGCTTGGGGATAGAGGGCGCGCGCGCACACAAGTGGCATCCAAGCGACTTATGCATATGTGAGACGTTGTACGAAGAAGAAAGAAGACCAAAAAAAAAAGGCATATTGCTTCACACTTGCTTCCCCCATCTCAGCGTAACATCACACACGACCACCAACAACAACAACATTTCAAGGAATTAACCGCCAGCGCCCTCGCTCATTCATTCATTCATTCATCGCAACCGCGACTCAACCCTCTCCCCCCACCACGTCGCCCACTCGACAACCTTCCTCCCGACCCTCGCCTCCTCGGCCGCGAAAACCGCAGCATGGCTCCTCAACACCTCGTCCAAATCGCACCCTAGAAACCTCCTCTGCGCATCCCCGGCCTCAACGCCCCCGTGCTCCACCGCATCCACAGCGAGCAGGAACTGCCTCGCGAGCCCCGTGTCCCCGCCGCCGTGCCCGCCCTTCTCCACGTGCGGCGAGTGCACCGTCGTCTGTCCCGAGCGGAAATCATGCACGCGGATCGTGTCGGCGTCGTACTCGATTTCCGCGAGCGAGCCGTAGATTCTGCCTCTGCGCGCGCAGATGTTCTGCGTGAACGCCACCATGTGGAACTGTGCTGTCTTTGCTGTCCTCCCTCCTCCTCCTCCTCCTCCTTCTTCAGCGTCCCACTGAATAGTAACGTGCTGGTCGTCGCACACATCGTTGTCCGATTCCCACACGCAGCGTCCGTACCACCCCCGCGATTCCACCTCCCCAACATCACTCTCCTCCGTATAATCCTCCGCCAAATCCCGCAACAGCTTCTCCCCCGCCGCGTCTCCCCCCAAATCCCTATAAATCTCCTCAATCTCCGGCGTCACCACGTTAACCGGCCACCCCGTAACCCCCTTATCCAGATGCCGCTCTTTGTAGATTTTGCGCGCGCTGTAAATGCATTCTTGTTCGTGCGGGCACGAGAGGCAGTTTGTCGCTGGCCCCGCTTGCGCCGGTTTCCGCTGTTTTGTGAAGAAGGTGCGGGACCCTGTCGATGTGATTGACGAGGGGAGGTGCGGGGGCGTGGATTTGTGCGCGTGCGAGGCGCCGCCGGGCGTGCAGAGGAGCCAGAGGAGGAAGTCGATGTCGTGGCAGGACTTTGTGAGGAGCGAGGGCGCGGTTGTGGAGTGGTTGCGCCAGTTGCCGCGGACATAACTGTGCTGTTATTTCTTCTCCATCAGTTTTATCCGTGACATTTATCAAACCTTCTTTTATCTTTCTTTCGTCGTTTCTCGTCACTCGTTTTTGCGTGGTTCCGCGGTATCCATAGAATACTTTGTGTGTGCAAGTCTGATAAAAAGGAAAGGGGGATAGGAACGAAGGGGGGGGCGATGGTATAGGAAAAAAGGAGAAAGACAAAGGGGGAAAAGAAAAGAAAGGAAAGGAAAGGAAATAACATACACTATAATGCCACCACCCAACAGGCTCCACATGCTCAACACTCAAAACATCCCCCACAACCCCTTCCTCTACCACCAACTGCCTCAGCAGCATCGTAAAAGGCGAGTACCGTAACACATGGCAGATGCCAAAGATCTTATCCCTCCCCTCTTTACCTCCCCCGGGAACAGCAGAAAGCGCTTTGTAGATGTTGATGCATTTCTCGAGGCTGGTCGAGAGCGGCTTCTCGCAGCAAATGTGCACGTTCAAGGGCGCGATGCCGACGAGGACTTGTTCGTGCATCTCGTCGAGCACGCAGATGAAGACTGCGTCGATGCCGGGGGGAACGGGGGAGCCCGTGCGGGCGGCGGCGCGGCGGGAGGTTTCTGCGTGAGGTTGGAGTCAGTGCGGGGTTTACCTATCTTCTTCTTTTCTTTTTGGTTTTGAAGTGGTTTGTGGGTTTTATGGATAGAGTGTTATATGGATTTCTGGGTTTTAGTAAGGATGGGGATAAGAGAGTGACGAAAAGGTATCTGGGCAGTGAATGCTAAGAGCGGGCAACGACTATTCGGACAATGGAGAATATAAGTTGATTAACAAGAGAAAAAGCGAGGGCTGAGAAAATGAACAAGATAGTGGAAACAAAAGGTTATGTATGACAGAATCGCACACAACCCTCCTCAAACGAACCAAAGGGGGATAACGTTACGACTCATAAAAAGACGCTCAAAAAACGAAGAAAGAGAGAGGTAAGAAAAGCTTAGAACTCACCATACTCAACCCAATCCCTCCAATCCACAAACTCAAGCCCTTCCCTCTTACCCTCACCCCCCTCATCATCGCCCCAGATGAACTTCCTCCCAAACTCACGGCGTTTATACGCCACGGGTTCCGCGACAGCAGCGATGATACCGTTCGTGGAATCTAGAGTTCCTTGGGCGTACGCATTGCCTATATCCCCGCGAATTTGATATTAGTGTGTGTTTGGTGCAAGTATGTCATGGCACAGCTGATGTGTCTTGCTAGACATATTGATGGCGATACCCTCACATAATCAAGTCTTCACGGACTGTAGAAGCTCTCTCGTAAATGTGGGATGATGATTTAAGGATACTTTTATATGCAATCCTTGTATGTGTAGCGCGCGAGTAGAAGGGATGGGGTAGATGTAAGAGAAGCATCAACGCACCGCGGGATCCGGCGCCGATGATCAGAATGCGAGGAGGGTTCTCAAACATCTTCCTTGGGACAGGGCCGAGGAAGCTCAAGGCATTGCTGTCCTTGGGAACTGGGGTTGTGGCTGAAGGTGCCATATCTTGATCTTGTTCTCTGATTGGGTATTGATTCGCTCTTGAAGTGATCTTTCAGAAGACAGATTCTGCCTTTGGCGATTGCTCTTGTTCTTGGTAAAACAGGTTTACCAAGTTGATTCAGGTTCTACTCTTGTTTTTCAAGGCTTGAGGATCTCGTGGAATCCGAAAATGATGGGGCACCAAAGCTCATCCGATGACTTGCAGCCAGAACCGAACATGTACGATTTCCGTTACGTCCAGTTTATCTGCCGTGAAGTCTAACCTCGCAATGACGTGTAAATATATATTTTACATACGAGAAAACGCGCACCCAGTAAACGACTCGCTCGTGTATATGGTGCAGATAATCCACCCGTGGCGGAGGCGCAGGAATTCCAGAAAGGGCGCAGCAGCGTGTCGTGGGGGTCTATGTTACTTCGAGCAGACAGCCATGTAGCATCAGAGTCGCAGTTATATAGGCCGATCATGTAACACTTGACAATCAATGTCGTGTTTGTTGCTTGGAGGTGTGGACGATGTGAAGTGTGGGGTTGGAGGCAGTGAAGCTAGCTGGCCAATTAGAACCCTGCTGACGCGCATGGCACCCCGCGTTGATGGCGAGATACCGGTCAGTCGCTTTACTTGCGATGTTTGTTTTTTGAGTTCGGCAAACAAGATTCAGATGATTTGGGTGCCAGGTCTCGGCTTGTGATTGACTTGGCGATCTTTTGGTAGTGTGAAGAAGTAGTAGTTGGTGAAAGGAACAGTAGCTTTTGTGTTGAAAAAAAGTTATAATATGGACACAAAAAGTAAGGCGATAAACAAAACTAAAGGGAGAGTGAGGGTGGAGAGAAACATAGCAAGGAAAGCAACATGTGGGATACATCTAAAAAGAGCTACCTGTGTCTGCGGTGTACTTTCTGAGGTTGAATGGAGTTGTAACATGAAAAATGAGTGATTTTGTGCCATTTTCACCTTATTACTTGGTGCTCAAGCCAGTTTGCCTTTTTGGTTGCTCCATGTACCATAAGATCTGGTATTCAATGACTGCAGTTATGTAGTCATTCTAAGCTATTATTAGAGAATAAGGGAGCGAGTAAAATATATTCATCTTCGACCTCCAACCACAACTATTTCAAAGCTGAGTCTGTGTAGCCGTTGATCATGTTAGTGCTCGTCAATTGCCTGCGCAAACATTGGTCTATGTCAGTCAATTTCTCGATTTATCTATGTAAACAATCTTTTTTGTCATCTGCCGTGTTCACTCTTCTTCTTGATAATTGTTTAAACCAGACCTATGAGCATATCGATTTCGTCTTCAAGCGAGACAACGATATATTCGCCTCAATCAAGCACACAAAAAAATAAGAAAACTAAAGGGAGATCATTGTAGGAAAGACATATTCATTCATATATATAATTATATCATACTTTGGAGTGTATCTGCGGACAAAATTGTCCATGCAGAACATTCCTCATCAACACATTTACATGCGTAAATATCAAAAGGGTATCTCCGAAACACAACCTCCTTACTCCGTCTTACGCTGGTTGTTCTCAATGAATACCTTGCGGAAACGGAAATGCATCAAATCTTTCGTCACCTCCATAGCACTCTTCGCGTTCTTCCTCACGAGCTGGCCAGTAGGCATCTGGAACAGCTGATCAATCTCCTCGAGAGTAAGATCCTTGGTCTCGGGCATGAAGAAGATCTGGTAGAACCATCCAAGAACGGCAATACCTCCGTAGAAACCCAACGGCAATCCGGTTTTCGTAAACGCATTCTGCATACCGGTGAAGTTGTACGTGACGATAAAGGAAGAAAGGAAGAGCCATCCAGTGGAAGTAGTCATTCCGTATGAACGAAGATAAGTGGGGTACACTTCCGAGGGGATAACCCACGTCAACGCGGCGTAGGAACCGAAAAAGAGCTCGTAGATGACCAGCCCGGTAAGGTAGACACCGAGTTGCGCGGAGAGAGTAGACAATTGGTAGCTGACTCCAACGAGGACTAGACCAACGAAAAACCCAGGTAACATAGCAATAGCCCAAAAACGGCGACCGCAGGTTTCCATGAGGAAAATAGCGGGTATTGTGCCCAGAAGTAAAGAGCCGCCGCCTACGAGCGACATGTAGTTGGCCTCGTAAGTATTAAATCCGACTTGGTGCATGAGTACAGACATGAAATACATAATAGCGTTGATACCTAGTTAAAAGCCGTCAGAACAGGTTACAGGAGGGTCGGGGATGGTCGGGGATGGTCGGGGGTGATCGGGGAGGGTCAGAAGTATGTGGGGGTGTGTTTTGGGGGCGGCAGCGAGGGTGGGGGGCAAGATAACCACGAATTGCTAAAATGCCGTCGTGCGATAATGTGCAGAGGAAGACTTACCGGTGAATTGACCCAAGAAAATCATGATGTTGGCGTAGACGATAGCTCGGCGCGCACGGGGCTTGGTGAAGAAGTCCATCCATGGGTAGTTGCCAGTACGTCCAGCTGCAACCTCAGCCTGCTCGGCCTCAGTGCTAACCTTCATAACGAAGAACTCCTCACGCGCTTCAGGCGTATCAATGCCGCGGATGCGGCGCCAGACTGTGAAAGCATCCAGAACCCTGCCCTTGTGCATCAGATAGCGGGGCGACTCGGGCATGAACAGAATACCGATTCCCATGATGGTGCTGAAGACGAGAGAGCTGCCGAGGATGTAGCGCCAGTTACCGGGAACCTTGATGAATATGGCAGCAACGGCATATCCAAGAACCTCGCCAAGGGCGATGTTGAACTGGTACAGAGAGACGAGGTTACCACGGAGACGACTTTCGACAGTCTCAGCGACATAAACGGGTACAGTTCCTCCTTCGAGACCAACACCAGCGCCCAGGATAACACGGGAGGCGACGATCATGCCATAGTTGATACTGCCTGCTTCGAGAGCACCACCGATAGTGTAGAGAATGCAAGAGATGATAATGGCCCAGCGACGACCGAAGTATTCGTTACAGGGCGAGATAAGAAGAGCACCAGCAATGGCTGCAGAGTGAGGTCAGAAGAGAAATAGTGAAAATAGATTTGGCAAGACTCACCACCTAGGGGCATTCCAGAGTTTACCAATGAGTTTTGTTGGGAAGTGAGGTGGAGGTCGTCTGGCAGAGTGAGGTTGGCCCCAGAGATAAGCGACTGGTCTAGACCAGACAGCAAACCGCCCATGGACGCAAAGATGACCAGAATCCATGTGAAGTGCTTTGGGTTCTTGAACTCTATGTCGAAGATGCCTTTCTTGTAGCCTCCGCTTTCCTGGAGCTCCCTCTCGAGATCACGAATGAGATTGTCTCCCTCCCATCCGCGAGCATTTTCGAGTTGCTCGGTCTTTGCTTTGGGAGCTTCGTAGGCAGGGGTGGGAGCCACTTCAATCTCTGGCTTGTGGTCTCCCTCGGTATGAAGCGCTTTCTCGTCCATGTTGCTCAACAATTATATCGAGAAACGATAGGAAGAGGAATGTTGTGATGAGAAAAGAGGAAAATCACACCCATCGAATTCTACGGGGCCAACTCCGCTTTTAAACCAGCCCCAGCTGGCAAGGCCCCCAACTGGAGAGAGAGGAGAGGAAACCCCATGGTCCTCCTCCTTTTCCCAGATGACGGTACTGTGGAGTCTCCAATCCCCATGTTGTGCTGCAGCAAATTGTGTGGTGTGGTCATGCAGGCCGGACGTTGCAGGTTTTGATAAATATTACTTGAAAAGGAATGGCGCGGGCGTGAATATGGCGCTGAACCGGCGTCTTAGCAAGGCTTAAGTGGAGCTTATGTGTGAAGAAGCTTCTAGTGGCTGGCCGGACTGCGGCTCTGCGGCAGAGTATTAGGACCGTCGTCATCCTTCCGACATTCTTTCCAGTGTGACCGGAGCCACCTGTCGAACTGTCAGTCGCTAACTCATCGATCTTCACGCTGTTTTTCGCCTGCAGTATGCGTGTGTGTATATAGTTCCTTGCGATGGCCGATTAGACGTGTGGTTGATGAACATACACATCTTTGACAGCATGACCTTTGCGACAACGATAAGAACAACGCCGATAATTTCCGACTGAGATCTTCAAAAAACCAGGTCAGATATCACTTTAGCGGTCCCACCAGAAAATTTATCGCTCACACCATCAGGCATCGAAAATGGCAAAGGTCGACTAGTGACATAGATCGTGTTTTATACCCATGGGGACATGACGGCGGGGACCCCAAGACACTAAAGTCGCTTAGATCCCCATATTCGCGATAGAGCGGAGAGCGTCTTGCCTCTTCGAGTACAGTATCCGGCCCATGATTCAATCAAGGTCATGGATTTGATGTATTTTTTCTTTCATAACACTGAAACGGCATTGACTCGGTGGATATGCGTGGCCCCAGTCAAGCTATATGCTTGTTTTTGAGCCTCATTCATCATATGTCATAGGCAACTCGCGCGTCAAACTTGTTTGACTTAGTAGCCAGTGCTTGTTTTTGATTGGCGCTACTGGGGTTCCTGAGGCCGATTCTTGCAGGAAATCTCTTCGTATTAATAATAGCTGTGAAAAGTGTGTGGCTCCAGTCGATTAGCGGTCGTGTTTTTTTTTCTCGTCGTGATCAGTACTTTGCGCACTGTGTAGCTGTTGCAAGGGTTGGTAATAATCTCTGCAGCCCTTAGTCTGTCAACGAGAGGTAGAAAGATCATCAAAATAGAATGAGTATACAAGAACATCAATCAAATGAGCATATGATCTGAATTCAAATCAAGTCCCACCTCGCGTGAACAGGTGTTTACATATCCGTGGATGATTCTCTGGAAAAGTGTTGCAGCGGACCCACACAATACAAAAACAGTGACTTTCTATGATGATCAACCAAGGCCTCCACATGTATATCTCTATCCAGAACGTATTTTACTTCTTTGCGCAGCATGTCTTTGTCGATTGCTACGTTCTCTAAAGCTTCAATAAGATATAAAGTGCAGAATCCCTCATCCAACTATTTTGGAGACGACACCCCAACACCTCCGCAAATTTCATATCTTAGACGATGTTTCGGACGTATACAGCAGTTTTCAATCTTCTATTCTTCCAAGAATAGCAAGCAGGGGTGTCCCGTGAACCTTCTAGGTTGAATGAGAGAAGTAAAGGCTAGTTCTACGGCCAGCCTTCCGTACCGTTTTTGAATCAGAAACCCTGACTGTTCCCGGCTGCATAGAGTTTGAAAACACGGGTAGGTGAGTCCAAAAGAGGCTTAGAAACTGTAATGTATGTAAGATAGCCATAGGATATAGCGTAGTTGCGAGGAAATCGATCTTGTATGGGAAATCTTCGAGAAGGATTGTTTAATTATAGAAATGGTGTTTCGTCACTATAAGGCTAACGCTCTCTTCTCTCGTCCAAAATTTTGTGTATTAAGTCAGTTTTCGTCTCCTGAAACAGCATATCCCTCGTTCTCCTCTACGCTCTTGTTGACACCTGAACAATCAGAGACTCCTTACAGCAGAACATCCAGGAATTCCGAACAGACATCACCTGATCTGCATTTTCATTCATTGATCAGTTATCATCGCGTCCCTCCATCATTTGCTTCTCCTCTTCCCTCTCGTGCATTTTGTGAGCGTCGTAGAGCACACCAATTTGCTCACACCTAATGTGCGCTTCTGTCTTGTTGCGGTATATATTAGGAAATAGTGTGAAAGTACACTAGACAGATCCCAGAATCCGGAGTCAGCAATGCAAGTTCTTAGATAATACGTGTTTTCATAATGCCAACTATCAAAGAACCTCGTGAAAAAAAAATCCCCCAAAATAATCACGTATTTGCAGACAGGAGGGGCAAAGACTTACAAGACACAGCATCAACCCAAGAAAATATCCGTTAGAGAAGCTAGCAGCTTTTCTCGTCCAGCGTTGATAACGTGCGCGCTTCTCTGCACTCTGCTGTGATATCGACGACGACGAAAATCCCAAATTCAAGTTATCGTCCTTGCCACCCTGTAGATTTAGCTGCCATTTAGCGAGATCCTCTTCTGGATCCGACTTCGAGCACCTCGAGGTGATGATTCCTCGGGTGGAAGGTCTATCCCTGGTGGGAACGAGATGGGGAAGAAGTGAGGCGGAAATTGGACGGAATCGTGGATTGGGGCTTCCAGAATTCGAGGGAATGGGTCTGAAATTGAGAGAGCGCTTAGCGAGGAAGGCGGCCATAGCGAGGGATGTGGAGGTGCAAGTCGCCGAGAGTGAGTGATGAGGGTGAAATGTATGAAGACCCTTCCTGTTGGGCAGATCTCAGATCTAAGCGGCGGGTGTTTCGTTGGAATCTGTAGTGCACAGATAGATCCGATGCGCGTGGGTGGAAGAAAGCTGGCGACAGCGATGTGAGGGGTGAGAGAAGTACATCAACGGGACGGGTAGAGTAGGTTTTTATGGGCAACTCTTTCCTGTTCCATTCCGGCCTATCGTAGCTTTTGCATTGAAGCAGCTTCAGGGACTCGATTACATAACCCTTTCTACAGACCATCTCTCCCAATCAATGTCTACGTATACATAATGCATTTATATGTCCAAGGAGATATGAAAACATCGAAGGGCAGAATAAAATACATGGAAAGCGTACAATTCTCACTTCACTGCCGCGATCATAGTATAATCAAAACAACACCAATATAAATAATCGGCTTTCAAGAATCCCAAATCAACAAGTAGCCAGTATATCCAGAATCTTAATCGTTGAGATTGGGATAAAGGAAGTAACATTTATGCCTCACCGTTTCTTTCTTTGTGTGGGTATTCGAAGTCTCTCATCGAACTATCATTTAAACTTTCTGAGCTTATGCGTGGGGCTTCCAGGAAAATAGCAAAGATACAAGGCTGGCCTGACTCTCTATTATCCCCTCTCTTATCCCGCCCTGCATCTTGGGTGACAGCAGCAGCGAAGGGAGACATAGGGATTGGTTAAGATGTGTTTCCAGAAAATACTGAATGATTTCTCAAGTGCAGACAAAGACCATCGTGTTACGAACCAAGAAAAAGATCAAGAGAAGGCGAAGAGACAAAAAGCGAATGGTAGTATCGTGTGCTTTATCTGTCGCATTTCTGAATCGCCCTGAACTCACGAGGTGGGCTGTGCAGTATATGTACTTTCGCCAGCTTCCCGAAAAGGCAACAAGAATGATCGTCGTATGCTGGTTATATTGGGGCGCTTGCAGGAGGGGCCAATCATCAAACCAATGATTCTTGCACTGCCCGTAACGTTGTCCTTGGCGATCCATAGTACTTTGCGTTCCAGTTATCTGACTTTGCTGACAAGGAATCAGGACGTTCGTACTCGCAAGCGATTATTTGGTGTAGGCACTGTTGTAGGTAGTGGCGTAGGCATCAATATCATGCAAACAAAATAAATTCGCCCCCCTCCCTTTCGGGCTCGTTTACATCATCGCGCAGCATGCTCAGGTATATATTTACACCGTCCCGTCATGGATCCCAATCCTTCCCGCTCTTTTCCACAGATCGCTCATATCCACCAGATCACGCAAACACAAAGACGCAAATTCACAACACCCCAACGAGCACTCTATCCTGTCATACATACCGATATGTTAATCACCTTACGAAGATGGTGGAGCGTCATTAAAGGAAGTTTTCGAGACGCGAAAAACGATTTACGCTGCGTATTTCCCGATTTCAAATGCTGGGTAGCTGCCTTGTTGGGCTGCATTCTCATCGGGGGCCTTGTAACTGCCTTTACATGGCTCAGTTGGCTCTATAGTGATCCTGCCGGAACATTCAACGCGTGTCCTTATGGTGAATTCAATGTGTTTCCAGAATTGGAATCCCCCTGGACCGCTACAGGATTTCTTCAGATAACCATGTCTTTTGGACGATTGTCTTTTGGGCAAGCTAAAGCTATTGATGTCTGTTGGGATATAGTATGTCTTCTAGCTCTGTAACCGAGTATATACATTGACTGACATCTCGTAGATCATTGGCCGCGGTGGTCAAGCTGCTCTCGCCTATATCAGCTGGCGTACATTTGCGTACTACGTGACTACGAGCATGGAAGTAGCGCCTGTATGTGATGTCTAGTAACCGTTGCAATTAAAGAGTGGCTGATTCTTTCGTTCAGATAACTTATAGCTCTTTTCGAACGATTTTTGTCGAGACCTCTCCAGGTATGTAGATTAGTAGTGGGCAGACGGCATACCCCTTCGCTCGATCATGTCAATTTCGCGGCTGAATTGCTTGTCTTAGGTATATACTCCACGGCTCGATTGATACGTGACTTTACTACTCGGAAGGGCTTGCATTCTAGGATTGCTATGATATTTATAATATACAGCGCGATTCTTACGCTGCTGTTCTCCACACTCGCAAGCGCAATGACGGGTTATACTGTGAATAACATCTCACAGATGAGAGACTACCAGTCAAACTCTGTTAATTTTACACAGTTCAAAATCCTGCTCTACACAATCCATGATGGGGACCGAGTTGGACTCACGAGAGACTTCCTTGTCACGTCGAATCCCATGCAAGATTATGAGCCGGTGGTGGTTGGAGGCCGCGTGTTTCCGCCGGAAATTAAGGATCCTCTGTTCGATACAGTGGACGAATGTAAGCTATTTTTGAGATAGCGGGATTTTGTGACCTCTTCAATTGACGTTCTTTCAAGATGTAATCATGAATGTTCGGGATTTTCACAACCCGAGCAACACAACATCATATTACGGACATTACAATGAGATAAAACTGGAACCTCCAGAGCTCAATATCTCGAAACATTTCGGCAAATTAGATGGTCCCGAAGAGAGCCGTGGTTTGAAATGGGAATACAAGAACGAGGTTTACCCACTAGATTATATTTCAAAAAATGGTCTATGCCAATCCACAAAGGTATAATTCTACTTCCATTCATGGTGATAGCATGTATATTTAACATTTGGCAGGATTATGCGTGGGGGTTCTCCCTTATCCTATTATTCGCAGTGATGGGAGCACTATTACTTTGGAGTATAGGGATATCATCAATGTACATGCACTCAAAGCGTATAATGAATGATATCCATCGAATCAGCCTGGATGGGGAGCATAAAGCTATAATCCGTCTGTTTTTGGCGATGCATCAGGAGCTAAATTTGGATTTCCACTCCTTGAGATCAGAAGAAGACCTATCCGAGCATGAACTCAGCAAGCTTGTCCAAAAAATCGATGGAGGCAGTATCTCATACTCCAGTCCGATCTTTTGGAAAAGGACAGGTTATAAAATTCGGATTCGCGAAATACGGTGGTGGCTTGGTGCCTTCATCATCCTTTTGGCAATAACTATCTTTTTGCCCTTGATTGTTCCTATTGAGCATGCTGAATATCTAGGCGGAGACAATTTTTACATAAGAGGCTACGTTTGGAGTACGAATTTTGGGCCGTTACTCGGAACCTTTCTGTCGTGTCTTATTGGCACAAAAACAGGAAGTCGAGTAGTAATAACCTCTGTTCTTACACTAGTGTTCTGTTTAGCATGGATACCTATTGTTGTTCCTAATGGCAAATCGTATTGTGCTTTTAATAGATCCCATTTCGGCGGAGATGACTTAGAATGCCTTTTGGTCTGAGGGAGCATGGCTTACATCTTGCTTGTCTACATTCTTGTTAGATATACAGATTTCTGCATTACTGCTACTTCCTATAGACGCAATCTAGAATATCAAGTTACAGTAATAACAATTCCATTTCTCTACGGCATCTTCGCCAAGTTGCAATCAACTTCAGTACTACACACCGACCCTAATTCTTCAACCTCAACACCACAGATATCTCAAATCCGTACATCTCCACTAGATCGTTGGGATGTAATATACGTCACTACGTCAAATGCACAGTCAACACCGCCCAGACTCACACACCATCACCCAAAACCGCACAAACCACCCACCCAGAAATCACAATAGCTCTTTCTTTACGCATCCAAATACAAAACCCCCAATCACCGCCCCCCCCCAAACTCAGCCTCTCCTTCACAGGCCCACCAACCCTTTTCCTCGCCCGCAGAAAATATACCCTCACCGCGCAACCCTCGAGTACATCCCCCCTACCACCACCACCACCACCACCACCTCCTCAACAACCCCAATCACCCATCCACCACAAAAGCCAAAACTGCATCGACATGACCTCAACCTCAACCTGGCTATTCACACACATACCCATCCAGCACGCCCGAAGAAATCGTCGCCCACGACTTCCCTCATTACAACGACGACGACGACAACGTCGCACTACCCGTGGATAGCGAGCATAGTTTTCTTACCCTCGCTCCGGGTGAGAAAGTAGGATATGAATGTCGATGTATCAGTGACGTTTTAGAAGGGGTTGAGAAGTTGGTGCGGTGTATGATATTGGCTCTGCATCAGGCTGTTATTGGCAGGATGGAGGATTCCAAGGGGAAGAGGGTTACGAGGCAGCAGAGTAGAGGGGATGAGGTGGTTCTGGAGATTCCGAGGTCGATTTCTGTGAGGGTGGAGGTTGTTGGTGGGGAGTGAGGAGGGAGCATTGTTTTGGAAATCCGAGGCTGGATATTCGTTGTCTGTCATCATTATCATCATCATCATCATTATTATTATCATTCTTATCTACCTTTTTTTTTTTTCTTTGGGGGGTAGCAGTTCTGGAGGGTCAGTTAGGAGGCCTTGCTCATCACGCTGTTGGTAAGGATAGGTGGGCCATCTTTTTAGTATATATATACCTAGGTATGCACGGCTCACGACACATTTCCAGACATTCGAATTCCGTCGATCAAAAGTCCAAGTATAGTGAGGACGAAAGAGACAAAGAGAAAAGCGGATAGGCTATTTGAGAACGGAGAGCTGAGAACTGTAGAGGTAGGTATTGAGAACAAGCGTATAACCAATGAACAAACATATATACAAAAAAAAAAAAAAGAGGCCAGTCAAGCTTGGCATTCTTTTCCCTCTCTCACTCCCTACAACTTTGCAAAAACGGTCGGAACCTCACCACCCATTTCCACGAGCGTACTCTTGTTCCTCACCCAAGCCTCGATTCCTTTCCGGCCATTTTCCACGCCGACACCGCTCATTTTCCACCCACCAACGCTCATCTCCGCAGGAGACTCTCCCCAAGTATTGATCCACGTGATTCCGGCCTCAAGACGCGCGACAACGCTGTGTGCGAGGTTGAGATCTTTGGTGAAGACACCCGCGGCGAGACCAAGCGGGGTAGCGTTTGCGCGGGTAACAACTTCATCTACGGAATCGTAGGTAAGTAAGGAAAGAACGGGGCCGAAGATTTCCTCGCGCACGATACGCATGGAATCTGTGCAGTTTGTGAAGACAGTGGGGGCAACCCAGTATCCGTTCTTGTAGTTCTCAGGCACGGAAGAGGGAAGGGTGAGTCGAGAGGTTCCGCCACAGAGGAGCGTAGCGCCATCGACGTCGATGCCGTGGCGGATATGCGAGAGGACCTTTTCGTGGTGCGGTTTGCTAACCAGAGGACCGAAATTCGTGTCTGGGGAAAAGAGGTCACCAGCGCGAATCGTGGAGTTTACTTTCTCCGCGAGTTTAGCTTCGAAGGCAGATTTCATGGATGAGGGGATGAAGACGCGTGTTCCGTTTGTGCAGACCTGGCCTGTGGAGAAGAAGTTTGCCATCATGGCGCCATCGACTGCTTGGTCGATGTCGGCGTCCGGGAGGACAATGCACGCGGATTTACCGCCCAGTTCCATGGTTACGTATTTCATGTTGCCTGCTGCGCTGCCGGCGACTTTTTGGCCCGTCGAGACTTGTCCAGTGAAGCTGACTTTGGCGATGCTCGGGTGCGAGGTAAGGTATGCACCAACGTCACCGCCGCCGTGGACCACGTTGAAGACACCTGGAGGCACACCTGCTTCGGTGTAGATTTCGGCGAGGAGGGTCGAGTGCAAGGGAGTGAATTCGGAGGGCTTGTATACCATGGTATTTCCAGCAGCGAGGCAGGGCGCGGATTTCCACAGGGCAATTTGGATGGGGTAGTTCCAGGCGCCGATTCCTGCGCATACGCCGAGAGCATTCTTGGTCGTGTAGACCCAGGCATTGGGCCGCAATTGTGCAGTCTCCCCGTTGAGCCCACCACCTCCAACCAGGTTCGCAAAGTATTCGAGGACGTCGGCACCCGTCACTACATCAACGGTTGAAGTTTCCGAGTAAGCCTTGCCGGTGTCGAGCGTCTCAATCTTAGCCAACTCATCGTTGCGTTCGCGGAGGAGAGCTGCAGCTTTTTGGAGAATGCGAGCGCGTTCTATAGGAGGGGTGGCAGACCAGGCTGGGAAAGCTTTTTGAGCAGAGGCGATGGCCGAGTCGATGGCTGCGGGGGTAGTGGCGTGAACATCAGCTAGTGGTTCTGAGGTTGCTGGATTGATGGATTGGAAGGAGGATTTGGAAGTGGTTGCGGACTGCAGCTTGCCGTCGTAGTAGGCGAAACGGGGAGGGAGTGGGAGGGACATGGTGGTGGCGAAGTCTGCGTAAGTAGGTGGATGTAAGTGTTGCACAAAATATGATAAAGGAGAGGTCAATGTGGTTCTGGAAGCTGTACTAGAGTAAGTCAATCAGCGTAGGAGGGCAAAACGACAGCAGTCGAGACTTGAAGTGATGCAGGGATGGGATGGATAACGTTGAAGGTGCAAGCTGTGGGGTAGCTCGTTACTTGATCGGGATAGATGAGAAAGAAAAATTTGAAATGCGGTGGAGAGAGATAGGTATACGTCAGAGGGGTGAGATAAACGATTTCTGGAATGACTGCTTTCCTTATCTTCCTTGGTTATTCCTCAGCACCTCTCTGTGTGGTGAGATGGTTCCCTGTTCCGTCCGACGAGCCGATTAGGAAGAGATGGTGAAGGATTGGTGGTGTTGGAGGAGGTGGAGTCGGCTTTGCATCGGCCGATGTCCGGTGAGACTGGCTGCGCTGTGATTGGCTGGAGACAGTTCGTGCGCTGTGGGGTAACAGGGCTAGCAGGCCTCCAACACAGACAGCAGACAAAAGATTTTCAAGCCAACAGTCCCAGGATCGAGGCAATGCCTGCTGCTTTGCCTGGAGAAAATCATTTTTTCTTTCTTATTTGCATTGGCATTACATCATTCCGAAGAAGCTCCTATTTTCAGAGTCCGTGGCCATCTGTTGGTGGTGGTGGTGTGTCGTCCAACAATAGATTGATGGTGGTTGATAAGTAGATAGATAGATAGATTAGATAAGATAGAGACGGACCCTGGATCTGTATACGCAGCTCAAACGAAGGCGAAAAGAAAAGAAGAAGAGAAAAAAAAAATCAATGACAGCTAGACAGGCTGCCTGAACACGCCACCCTCACCTCCAGCTCTCGAGTGCTCGCATGCAAAAACTCAAAAAGCACGCGATTGCATGCATGGCACGTGCATCTTCCCAGCTCTCTCGCCCTAATTGAGGCAGCTCGACGACAGGTCCTGCAGTAGCTTCGCCTTGAATTTCTCTCGCGACTTCGGCCCTACTCCACCACGACCCACGTCCCGCTCTCCCTTGCACTGTTTGCCTGCCTGCTACCCGCTTGGTCCAGCTGTCCAGCTAGCTAGCACTTTGCTCAATCAATCGCGCGACCCATTCTATAAAAACTTGTGGCTTCTCAGCTTCACCTGCTGCTCAACCACATCCGCATCCTCCGCCATGGCTCCTACCACCACCACCATCCCTTCCAATGCCGTCTACGATTTCGTTATCGTGGGCGGTGGCACCGCTGGCTGCGTCATCGCCTCCCGTCTCTCCGAGTACCTTCCCGACAAGAAGGTTCTCTTGATCGAGGCTGGCCCCAGCGATTTCATGGACGACCGTGTGCTGCTCCTCAAGGATTGGTTGAACCTCCTCGGCGGCGAGCTCGACTACGACTACGGCACCACCGAGCAACCTCAGGGCAACTCCCACATCCGCCACTCGCGCGCCAAAGTCCTGGGCGGATGCTCTTCCCACAACACCCTCATTTCCTTCCGTCCCTTTGAATACGACTGCAAGAGATGGGAGGCTCAGGGTTGCAAGGGCTGGAGCTTCAAGACCTTCACCCGTGTCTTGGACAACCTGCGCAACACCGTCCAGCCCGTGCACGAGAACCACCGCAACCAGCTCTGCTTGGACTGGATCGACTCGTGCTCCAAGGCCCTGGACATCCCCGTTATCCACGACTTCAACCACGAGATCAGATCCAACGGCGCCCTCAAGCCCAGCGTGGGCTTCTTCTCCGTCTCGTACAACCCCGATGATGGAAGGCGAAGCAGTGCTTCCGTCGCCTACATCCACCCGATCCTGAGTGGCGACGAGAAGAGGACCAACTTGACCGTCCTCACCAACGCATGGGTCAACAAGGTCAATGTCAAGGGCGACAAAGTTACTGGCGTCGACCTTTCCCTTCAGAACGGCGAGAAGCGAACCCTGAGCCCCAGGTGCGAGACTATCCTCTGCGCTGGTGCTGTCGACACCCCTCGATTGCTCCTCCTGTCTGGTATCGGTCCCAAGGACCAGCTCACCTCTCTCGGAATCCCCGTCGTAAAAGACATTCCCGGTGTTGGTGAGAACCTGCTCGACCACCCAGAGAGTATCATCATCTGGGAACTCAACAAGCCCGTCCCCGAGAACCAAACCACCCAGGACTCGGACGCAGGCATTTTCCTCCGCCGCGAGGCTCCCAACGCCCGAGGCGATGACGGCGAAGTCGTCGATATCATGATGCACTGCTACCAAATCCCCTTCTGCCTAAACACCGCTCGGTAAGAGCCAATCCCCCACCATCTCTCTCATCACCTCAACTCCCTACTAACTACCTTTTCTAGTCTTGGCTATGATACCCCCATCAATGCTTTCTGCATGACCCCCAACATCCCCCGCCCCCGCTCCCGCGGCCGCATCTACCTCACCTCCTCCGACCCCACTGTCAAGCCCGCTCTCGACTTCCGCTACTTCACCGATCCCGAAGGCTACGACGCCGCCACCATCGTTGCCGGCCTCAAAGCCGCACGAGAAGTCGCAAAGCAAGCCCCCTTCAAAGACTGGCTCGTCCGCGAAGTCGCCCCCGGCCCGGAAATTCAGACCGACGAGCAGCTCTCCGAGTACGGCCGTCGCGTTGCCCACACCGTCTACCACCCCGCCGGTACCACCAAGATGGGTGACGTCCGCACCAACCACATGGCTGTTGTCGACCCGGAGCTTAAGCTCCGCGGCTTCAAGGGCGTCAGAATCGCCGACGCCGGTGTCTTCCCTGAGATGCCGACCATCAACCCCATGTTGACTGTCCTTGGTATCGGCGAGCGCGCTGCCGAGTTGATTGCCGCTGAGTGGGGCTGGAAGGGTCTCCAGAGGGAGAAGTTGTAAAAAAATCTCATACTCCCTACCCCTGGAATGGTCGTCTTTTGTTATACTTGGGTGTTTTTATCTACGAGTGTATGATGTTCTGCATGTTGATATCTAGCTTCTTTACTATTTTCTGTTCTATTCATCTGTTGGTTACCCCCCACGTTCAGCTTTTTTTTTTGGTCATATGAGAAACTCTTGACTTCATTGAATGCTTGTATATGATCTATTACATGCAACACTACATAAAGAACCATGAAAAAGAACAAATCTTACAATAAAAAAACGAGAATACGAAAACAAGCAAGTTGATGCACTAGATTATTTTACTTCTAGTATATGCTGTAATTACGATTTCTCCAAGTGTCGCACCCAAACCCTACCAAAACATCTTCCTCCTTATGTAATCCTCAGCGCCTATTCATTTATAATATGTCTACATGCTCTACAAATGCAACTCTTCTATATTTAGCGCTAGTCTTTTGTACGTTGATTTATGTACCTTATAAACACAGTATTCCTCTAATTACCTAATACTTACTATCTACTACAATACATGCATATATACCCTGCTTGTCTATCTATTCCTACACTCTAAAACAAAACAAAATTAAAGTACAGCAAAGCTTAAAGCAGAGTTTTAAAGTAATATAATACAGCTTGTGCTGTCTAGGCTCTAGCACGACAGCTGTTCTGCAGTTAAACAAATTGCCGCTCTACATTACAATTTAGAATAACACGCCTTTATAGTATTTCTTAAATCTTACAGTTGATAAGGCATAGTCCTATTTTAGGATCACGACTTATAATATGCAATTTTAGAATAATAACTATAAACTTAAAGTCTAAGTTGGAGCAGCTTGGTGTTGAGGCTACAAAATGACGCCCTTACTCATTAAATAACATACGGATTAGCGACTTCTACTGTGCACTATACATCTATCTTTCTATAATCTTCCGCTAGAGTTACTGTTAACAGTACATATCATGGTAGAAAACTTAACGTACATGCCAGACGCCAATCAACCTACACCTAAACACGTATGATAGGGTGTAAGAAAATCGCGTTGAATCAAGTAGGGCACTGATATGTGGTACCAATGATATATTTGTAGATTATATAGAACTATTCAAAGAGAGTCGGTGGAATAAACTACTTAGCCTATTCCAATGAGAGTGTTGGGAACATAAAAAGAGTGTATATGGGAAAATGCCCAACCATCCTCCATCAGACAGTACTGCCCGCCCCCCAATGCTGCCGAGAACGCAAGCTCACGCCCTCTATTCGTCTACCATCTTATCTATCTGCAAGCAACGTTAATAGAGAAATCTACCAACCCTGATATCAGATATCTGATGACGGTGAACAACTCACTGGGGATTGCACCAATAAACAGCATTACAACTAGTCGCGCCATCCTGATACAAAACCCTCAGATTATCCCTAAAGCAATCCCAAGGCCTACCAGCCTGTCCGGGGATGAACTGCGTGGCAGGGCCCGCGTAAGCGTTGATTGGCACTCCACTCCCGATCCGTGACTCGAAGCGAACGCCAGTGCCAAACGTGCAGCTTCTGGCGTTGTTCTCCCAGTTGACGGGGAGGTTGTTGCCGGTTTGAAAGCGGCAGCGGTCGTCTGGCGGGGTGCGGTTCTCCGAGTTGTGGCCTGGACGGTAGTAGCTGAATTCCGAGGTGGAGCCGCAGTTGGTTAGGTAGACGGTTTCGCCGGTTTGTTGGCTGGTGGATAGAGTGGCGAAGAGTGCCATTAATGCGGTGCTGGTGAGCTTCATCTTGGGAAGATGGATATATTGCGAAGGGTGGAGTCTATAGAGGAGAGTATAGCTGCTTTGATGTTTGGATAGAAAGTTGCTGTCGTCGATGGTATTTTCGTTCTTCCATAGTCCTCTATTTTATACTTCTTTTTGGAGATCAGAAATCAAATCCTTGGACCGTTCGGCTGATGGCCTCAGATTAGTAGAACAGCTGAATACCGAGGCAAAGGTTTCTGACACGAGTATTTTGTTTGTAATATCAACTCCCATGATGCGATTGTTAGTGGCATACCTCCACAAGCTTACGCCAGCAACTTTCTTGGCCTCCCATTTTCCATTATTTCTCCCCCATAATCAAGCATCCCGGTGAGCTTCGCTATAGCCAGATAATCGCTAGACTCGATGCAGCAACAACAACATCCGTATAACTTCAAGTTGTCAAGCAAACAACATATTCGCCCCCATATCTCAGAACCTTCTAAATCATACTGAATACTTAATAATCTCTTGGTGCGCTTCTCAGCTCTCCCATTCTCACCGCTAACTTTCTGAACCATATATTCGGGTCGCTTTGGTAACAGGTCACAGGGTTTCCAAGTGATGCCAATGTGTTCTCGCACTGAAATGATTCGCTGGACTCTGAATGTGTCACTTCAACACCCTTCTATCAATATGCAGATATTTCGGATGGTTACTCTGACACCGTTTATAGTCACGATCACCACCAGTTCATCAAAGGGAAGGAGGGAGTGCGGGAGATTATGTACTGCAATCAGGTGCGCACAATGAAGCCTGCTTGTTTGTATTCCAGGAAAATATAGAAATTGACGCGTGAAGGGTAGTATGCAGTTATACGAGGATTATCCTTCCTCTTCTTCGCCCTTCTCAGAAATATCGATAGAGGCAGCGATTATTCATAGGCATGCACATAGTTTTACTATCACAAAAGCATGCGTTTTACAACGCATGACCTCATGTGTGGAAGTGCGATCAACAATCAAAATTCTGGAGTGAAAAAAATTCGAAAAAAAAATGTGGACACTGTGGGAATTGAACCCACGACCACTCACAATTCTGCATGTTTTTAAGTATGCGAACTATCACAATGTTAGTAGGTTGAACAACATCTGAATATAATCTGTAGCACTTACGCGAGTATCATACCCCTAGACCAAGTGCCCTGACTTGTTGGATGTGATGAAGCCTGATTTCTAATCCTATATACTCAATTAATGTGTTTTAGGAGGACTTCCGCCAGTCTACGACATATCCTCAATGTCCTATTGAGTCGAGGTTTTGATAACCCCTCACCGGCACATTCGCTTTAACCAGATTTTGGTTGGTGCCGGGCCCCACGTCCGCAATTGAGCCGCACTATGCCGGACCATCCCCACCCATCATAAGGACCACCGATTATTGGACAGAAGGACATCACGATGTAGCTGGGATAGGATCCGTTGCAGCTCAAATAACCACTTCACGCTTCAGTTCAGCTGAAGATCGAATTAAACTACACTGACCAAATTCTGAATCGATTCTTACTCTACATGGTGAATTGCGCAAGATCTCTCTACACCTGAACTCTAAATATCGTTGTAGACGTCTAGTTTTACTCGTGGTAAGCTCTAGTTGAAGACTCAGAATACCCTCGGCCTTGCGCTGCTACGCGAAGGGGTGCTTTCGCAGATCACTCACCCCTCACCCAACAAACTTCACAATTTCCAAGGGGAATGCCGTGCTGCTATATATTCGTAGTAAGCTACATGATTGGAATAATTGAGATCAATCTCTCAGTCATTCGTTCCTAGGCATTTAAAAAGTCTTGCAGTCAGATGGGTGGCCATTGTGCCTGAAGAACAGCAGACTTCTCATGGGAGGCTATCTAGCTTTCAACACATATTCATATGCCGAATAGCATGAAATTCTGTACCCTGATGAGCATTAATAAAAAACTTGGATGTACTGAAGATTTTTTGTATGAATTGCTGATCTTCTACACATCATATATTTCTCCGGTCGCATGAGAAATCCACACGCCCTCCTCGAAAAGACGCCACAATCACAATTACGACGCGCAAAAGGCGATCGAATACCCCAAAGCCTTCGTACTTCCCATTCATCGACGTGTTTAAGCCTACATATCTAAAAATACCCTCAAGGCCCAAAGATACTTCCTCGTACCTAACCACAAGATACCAATGACGATACCACGGTAAAAGCCAACCCCGTTACCAAACAGACCCAGCACCCAGTAGCAGTATCCAACGTTCTAAATTTCGATGACGCCAGTCACCAGTGACCCATCGCTATGCAAAAAGAAGCGATCAAAAACCAGACAAGAGCACCTCTTAATTGAAGGCGGACTATAATAATACAAGCATGGTTACCCGAAACACACGTCTACTTCGCGGACACTACCGACATCCACTTCTGTTCGTCTTTCCTGCAAGAACGTTAGCGAACACCATCGTTATCAAAACTAAAAACATACTTGTCAAAGTGTAGAAGCATTCCCAGCACTGGAATGAGCTGCTGTTGGTACTTCTTATCCTTCTGCTCGAGGAACTGTAGCAACACGTTCTTCAAGTAAACATAGTCTATTGCTTCTCCCGGCTGCGATGCGGCTGTGTTCTGAGACTTGGGCGTCGGAGAGGCGATTCGGGACCGCGAAGATTCGAGAGACGATCGTGAAGATTGCGCTGGGGCGGTCTTCAACGTGCGGAGCTCCTCGGACATAGCCTTGCTCGATTTCTGAAGCTTCTCGAGACGGCCCTGGGTCTCATCGAACGCGCGACGCAAATCGGCCTTCTCTTTCTCCAAATCGCGAGCTTGCTTCTCGCTGTCGTCAAGTGTATCGCGAAGCTGGTTGAGAGCTGTGCGGACCTCGTTCGCATCTTCACCGGCTTGGGCGGCGCGTCGCTCCAAGTCTTCCTTCTGACGACGAAGCTCCTTTTCGGATGCAGCGAGATCATCCTTGTCTTCTTGCGCTCGCGTGACGGCACGCTCGGCGTCCCGCACTTTTTGTTTGAGTTCTTCAAGTTCGCGGGCCCGGCGGCGGCCAAAAGTGCTGGCCTGTTCTTCCGCGCGTTCTCGCTCTTCCACGGCAATATCCAAACGCTCTTGCATCTCACGAACACGCGCATCAGCACGGCCTTGGGCGTCTGCTAGTAACCTTCTCATCGTCTCTGCCTCGCGACTCCGCTCGCTCAGTAATCGGTGGGCGTCGGCCAGCTCTTCCTCGAGACTCTCACTCTTTGCTCTGACTTCCTTCATCTGCGTGCCAATCTCCTGGGTCTGATCTTGCATGCTGTTCATGAGATCCTGTGCGCTAGCGTACTGCGCTGACTTGAGCTGGATGTCGTCTCTCAGATTCGAAGCTTCGCGCTCCAGTTTCGAGACTTCTTGCTCTAGATCGCGTATCTTGTCGCGCGAAGTCTTGAGTTCGTCCTGTGCCTTGGCGAGGTCCTTGGACACCTTCTCGCGCGCCTCAATAGCATCATCACGATCATTGTCAGACTTTTGCAAGTCTCTTTGAATCTTTCGGTTGGTCTCTTCCAAAGCAAGTCTCTGCGTTGTTTCTTGTTTGAGTTTCTCGTTCAGTGATTTGACATCGCCTTCTTTGTCAGACACTTGTGAGCAATAGTTTGCGATTTCGGATTTCAGGTCCTTCTCACGGTTCTCAAGACGTCGCAGCTCAGATGTCTTTGTTGACAACTCCTCTTTGGTGCTCTTTAGCTCGGAAACCTCTTTCCGCAGTGAGCTAAGTTCGGGCTGCGCTTTCTGCAGAACCTCCCTCATATCCGTGAGATCTTTGAACCTAGACGCCGCGAGTTGCTCTGCAACGGACAGATCCGTCTGTAGAGTGTCTGCCTTAGCCTTGAGCGCTTCAAACTCAGCGGTGAGAGCCTTCTTTTCTTCTTCAGTGCTGGCTTGTGCCGCTTTGCCGGTGCGGAGCTCGGCAATCTCCTTCTCCAAAAGCGATAGCTTCTCCTGCAGCGCGGACTTCTCAGCCTGCAATTCTTTGACTTTGTCTTTGGCTTCGGTGTGTTCCGCACCAAAGTCTAGCAAATCTTGCCGAAGAGTCTCAATCTCCTCCTTCATGCCCTCTTCATCTCTAAGCTTCTTGTTAAGCGCATCAATCGAAGTAGCTTTCTGTGTAACTTCCTCCTCCAAACGCTCGATTGTCGCAGTCTTCGCTTCCAAGTCTGACTTGAGTTGCGCAACAGTCTTTTGCGCATCTTCCAATTGCGAGGGGGAAAATTCCGCAGTAGCTGGACTGAGAAGGCCGCTCGCGTCGCCAGCCTCACTGGGAGTCTTCTCTACCGGGGTTGCATCGCCACCTTTACCGCCCTTCTTCTTCTTCCTGTTCTTCTTCTTGTTTGAATTGGGCGCAGTCTCAGTGGTAGGTGTAGGAACAGGAGTGGAAGCCTCCGCCTGGCTAGTCTTCTTCGCGTCTGCGGCTTCGAGAGCACTCTTTGCTTGTTCAGCATCAGCAAGTGCCTTGTCCCGTTTCGACTCTGCTTCCTTCACTTGGTCGCGCAGGTTGGTCACGAGTCCATTCAAAGTCTGGCCACGCTTCTCGCTCTTGGCTTGAGCATCACGGGCCTCTGAAATTTCCTTCTCTAGCGTAGAGACCTGCGCTTTGAGTGCCTCCTGGCCATGATTGTCAACGAGTTCCTCCCCCTTAGTAGCATGAAGCTCTTCCAACTCTTTCGTAGACGCATCCAATTTCTCTCTCAGCTCCTTGACCAATTCGCTATGCTCGCTCTTCTGTCGAGCAAGCTCCTTCTCAGCAGATTCAAGTTTTCCTTGGAGCTCCTGGATCGTGTTGTCAAGCTCCTTCTGTCGCTCGGCAGCTTCCTTCTGCGATTTTGCATTTTTATCTTTCATGGAGTGAATGTCATTGGCCGCTATTTCCAGGTTATTCATAAAAGACTTTGCCGATTCCTGGGCGACGGATAGTTCACTTTTGAGATTTGTGTTTTCCTCCTCGAGCCTCTCCACCTTCTCTTCACTCTCCTTGAGCTGTGTTTGGAGTCTCGGCAGTTCGCTGTCATATGAAAAGAACTCCTCGTCCTCGGTAGGCGCTGTATCCTTTGAGTCCTTCGAAGGGGACGAAGGAGTTGCGGATTCTGTGACAGTAGAGTCGTCTTTAGATTCCTTCTGCTCGGCCGCCTGCGTTTTGAGCTTTTCGTTCTCCTCTGAAACTTCCTTGGCTCTCTTTTCAGCATCCTCTAGTTTCTTGTTCATCTCATCTCGTTCTTTTGAGACCCTCTTCAGTTCATCCATGAGCATGTCACCTTTGACGTTCAATTGTCCGAGATATTCAACAAACGCAGCGGGTTCGCTAATCGAGGTTAGAGGCGTATGCTCGCGGAGGGACGACTCGAAGGCTTCGATTAGACCGACTCGGGCATGCGCGATACGATAGGAACGGAGGAGCTCTATGGACCGAGTTAGAATACCCAGCATTCGGTCTCGTGGATCTACTGACCGGTGTACTTGGGCTCCAGCTTATCAAGCTTCCGTAGACGAACCTGCGCCTCTGGAGGAATCTCTGGAGGTGCAGGTTTCTCATCGTTCTCTACGGCTTTCCCATCTTCCTCTGGGGCTTTATCGCTGCCTGTAGCTGCCTCTGTTTGCTCTGCTTTCTCCTTGGAAAGAGGAGTACCTGTCCGACTCGGCTGTTCGTCATCCTCCCCTATGACAAACTCTGGGTCGAATTCTGAGGGATCGGGACCTTTCCCAGCGGGAGCTGCCTTGCCGTCTGCTTCCTTGGACTTGCCGGCCCGCTTCGAGGGAGAATCAGTCCGAGAGTTTGACCGTCTGGGAACAGATCCCGATCTCGATGCTGGGAACTGAGTAGATGTGCGCTGCCGCGCCTGCTCTTCTGCGATTCTGGCGTCGATTGCGCCTTTGAAGCGCTTCACGGCATTAGCTCATGTACATAACATATTGAGAATATGGTGTATTGCTGTACCTGGAAGCCTTGAAACATATCGACGATAATCTATATATCTCCCCAAAAGTGTTGACTGAGCCGAATAGCTACAAATCGGCCATAGCTGTGAACAGAGAGTCCACTTGTTCTTTCACTGAGTGCACAGGTGAGACGTCGGGAGTTTGCCAAGCTCCGCGCAACGCTCGGACCAGCTTGTTGAATACGCCGAATTTATTTTTCTCAGGTCGCTTTCCCCCCACCACCACCACTCGGCACCATCACGCACGCAGATATGGCTACGGTACAAGTGTCACTCCCGCTACCAGTCCTCCCCGAGGGCTGGACAGCCGAAAAAGACTTCAAGCCCATTGGTAGCCTTAGCGCTGCCAATGATCGCAACATCGAGCCCGTGGGCCACCACTTCCTCGCACACGCCCGCAGAGTACGTTCTTCTTTGTTTTCTATACTCATCAAGGCTAACTATAATTTCCAGAAACGTCACAAGCGTACCTTCTCCGAGGACGACCGCATCCAGGCTCAGGCCAACGTCAAGAAGGTTGAAGACGAGGACGATGGCGAAATCAGCGAGCCCGAGGACCCTCTCATGCTACAGCGCGAGGCCAAGGACTGGAAAGGTCAAGATCACTACGCCGTTCTAGGTATCACAAAATACAGATGGCGCGCTACCGAGGATCAGATTAAGAAGGCCCACCGCAAGAAGGTGCTCAAGCACCACCCCGACAAGAAGGCAGCCAAGGGCGGAACAGAAGATGATCAGTTCTTCAAGTGTATCCAAAAAGCAACTGAAGTCCTGCTTGACCCCGTCAAGAGGCGCCAATTTGACTCCGTCGACGAGGCTGCGGACGTCGAGCCACCTTCCAAGAAGGACACTCAAAAGGGCAACTTCTACAAGCTCTGGGGCAAGGTTTTCGAAGCCGAGGGCCGCTTCTCTACCAACCAGCCTGTACCCAAGCTTGGTAACGACAAGAGCTCCAAGGAAGACGTCGAGAACTTCTACAACTTCTGGTACAACTTCAACAGCTGGAGGACGTTCGAGTACCTCGATGAGGACGTGCCTGATGACAACGAGAACCGTGATCAGAAGCGTCACGTAGAGCGAAAGAACCAGAATGCCCGCCGCAAGAAGAAGACCGAGGACACTATCCGCCTGAGGAAGCTCGTGGATGACGCATTGGCCTTGGACGAGCGTATCAAGAAATTCCGTCAAGCAGAGCATGCCCAGAAGAACAAGCGCCGTCTTGAAAAGGAGGCTGAACAGAAGCGTCTCGCCGAGGAGGCAGAAAAGGCCAAAGCGGAAGAGGCCCGTCTCCAAGCTGAGAAGGAAGCTGCTGAGAAGGCGGAGAAGGCAGATAGCAAAAAGGCGAAGGAGGCTGCAAAGAATGCCGCAAAGAAGAACAAGCGAGTCATCCGTGCTGCCGTCAAGGATGCCAACTACTTCCATGCTTCCGGCGATGCTCCTGCTTCGCAAATCGACGCTGCCCTCAACGACGCTGATGCCGTCATTGTGAAGCTCGACAATGAGCAGATTGCAGCACTCACTGCTAAGCTGAACGGAAAGAAGGATGCTGCCGCAATCACACAGGTCTTCAAGGATGAAGTGAAGAGTTTGGTTGCCGCAGGAAAAGCGCAAGAGGGCGAGCTCAAGTCTCTGTCTTAGGGAGTGGGATGAATCATGTTGCTTCATTTTTTTGTTTTGCAGGCTATCTATAGACAATACACTTGCTCGATTACCAGCCAAAAGCACATACCATGCCCACGGAGTTTGTTGCATCAAGTACATTGCGTGAAACACTTGTCTAATTACCAGCTGTTAATTGCTTGCATTCTGGCCATATTCTAAGAGCAGGGCAAATTTGTTTGCCAACAGCAGTCGGAGCCCCTACACCGCACAGCACTGCTCTAGTGCAGACTGCCCTTGCATTGAAGCTGAACCCTAGTGAGGATCGTCGTCCTGGAAGATGACGTGGGGTGAAGCTTGGCGTGGTCCGAAACACCAGGCGACATCCTCCCGCTCTTTACATGAACCGTTACAACGTCTGTATCCACTTTCAAACTTTGGCCTCCCGCAGTTGTTGTCATGGTACATGAGCCTGTGTCTGCCAGCGAATTCATGGACGCGCGTTCGACATCAGTATCTGAACAGTGACGCACCATAAGCTCTTATATTCCTCCGGGTCTACCACGTACATCACAACTCTAGAGCTGTACCTATGATTCCTTCCTCTTCCGCAGAAGACGACTGCGACGCCTGCGCCCCAGAATGGGCCGTTAAACGCAGACCATCAGCGATAGCGATCTCCGCATTGCCTTTTGTCTTTACATTCCTCATTGTCGCTTCCGCCGTGTCGCATAAACTATTCCCACTACTGTCGGGATCCAAGAAGAACCGAGATGGCGGCGTACACCTGGTTGGGTTCGCATGGCGCGAAAAGACATCTGGCTTGAAGAAGCTACGCATAGATGCGCGCGCGCTCGCCAGCTTGACGTTTTCCACCAACATTGCGCTATCGGCCGTTCTCATCGAGCTCATCCTATGTGAGATATCGAACACGATCAATCCCACAACGCGCGCGTTGGCTCTGAAAATCACTCTACCGTCGCTATTATTCCTCCTTATTGTCGCAACACCGGCCTTGATCATACACTCTGTAATATCCAACGCAGGATGGGATCTTCGTGGATCAAGAAGAGGGCACCGGAGGATCGCTTGGCTGATGGAGTTATCGGGCCTTGCACTCTGGCTGGCTGCGTTTTGGTACCTGGGGAGAGGCCTATTGGGCTCATATCTCCATGAAGAATCGTATCTCCACAATCATACCTTTAGCGAGGGATGTTTGGAACGGATTGGCGTCATTGGCATAAGCCTTATGGCTTCCCTTGCTGGCTTTGCCGCAGTCAGCTCACTGTGGCAAACTTTTGGCGTCAAATATCGACCTGTAAGCAGCTTTCCATCGTGTATCCAAGATATACCCTGGATGTCACATCATAGATCACTGACAATATATAGGTCACTGAATCCGATATAGCACGCAAACAGGCGGGTATAGATGCTACTAGTGATATGCTATTGACAAAAGAGAGTCGATTGCGCGCCATCAATCGGAAGCTATCGGACACCCCACAAGAAGGATTCATGACTCGTGTCGTTGGCAGCATTCGCGGGAATCCAGATGTTTTGGAGCGAAACACGCTACAGCTAGAGATTCAAGGCTTGGAAACAATGAGAACAACTCTGCAGAACTCACTTACAGTGCTTCAATCTCGGCGTCAAACGCAGCAGCGGGCACACACAGCATATGGTCGGCTACTCAACCTAGTCTCATTCATCTTCTCCGTGTACTGCTTGTACCGCATTACCGCCACAACATTTACTACTCTTAGACGATTCTCATCGCCAAACACAAGCTTCTCCAACACGGACCCCATAAATAACTTCCTTGCGCTTCTCGCAAAACATTGGGATCCAACCATCGATCGAGTTGCCTGGAGTCGCACCATCTCATTCTTGCTCTCTGGGATCATGCTCCTTGCCTCTTTCAATAGCGTCGTCCAGACATTTTTCCTTTTTGCGCGGGTGGTTCCGGGCATTCTCCACCATGCGCGCGCGAATTTTGCGCTTCTGATCTCCCAGATTGCGGCAACATACGTTATCAGCACGGCACTCCTCTTGCGGAGCAATTTGCCTGTAGAGATGAAGAGTGCGATTTCCGACGCTCTTGGGGCGCCGTTAGAACCAGCATTCACAGAGCAATGGTTCGAGTGCTGGTTTCTGATGGCTAGCGCGCTTACAACCGTAGGTTTGTGGGCTGGGAGAAGAATCAAGGGGCAGGGATGGGACGACGATGAACTGGAGGATGGAGATGTAGAAATGGGCAAGTTGAATTGATGGACATGGACTTCTTGCGCACCTAGAAGATTATACCGGTTATAATAACCAATGTATGTATAATTATGTAGACCCAAAAAAAAACTAACATGTATTACCATACCCTCCTCTTGCTCGATTGGGGACGACCCGCGGCTCAGATGATTACAGATGGGTGTCGAGTTCGTGATTGTTGAAGCTCCAGTTACCCAGCACGGCATCGGGCATCAAGAGCGCAATCTAAATTGCATGCAACTACGGCATGGCAATCGAATAAAGGGCATGATCCAACATTCGTCAGCGCTGCTAATATAGATTGGATGTTAGCCCAAAGGACGTTGTCGACGCCAAGCATGTATTTATTATGACGTCTTTACGTGGGGCAGAGCAGTTGCGAGTAGGTATGAAAACCGCGGTCCCGCATCACTCTCTGCTTCACTCACATCCAAACATCCAAACCACCACCGATTTCAGTAATCCAACACAGGAGACTTTCCGGTAAGTTCAAGATTCATCTGCCCATGTATCGTTCACCGTGAAAGATTTCGAAGCTAATATATATCTTGCTCAGATCCTCTTTCATACCACAACCCCCAAAACAGTACGTCTGAACGCATCACGTCCATTCACCTTTCACTTCTTACTCTCCAATACCATCATCCTCATCAAATATTCTTATATCCTATCAACTAAAGTTCCAACCTGACCAACCACAGTCATATCTCATCACCCACCCAAAAATATGTCTGCCCCCAACGCCGGCCGCCAGTCCCCTGAGCCCCAGAACCAGAGCGGTTCCCAGGCCGGAGCTACGACTACCAACATCAACCAGCAAGGCGGAGCACCCTCGCAGGAGCACGCCAAGGAGGCATCGAACGAGCAAAAGAGTGGATTGAGCTCCAACCCTACGCATCCTTTGGACAAGGCTGCCGAGGAGAAGACGAGCAAGCAGTAGAGGGGGAAGAAGAGCAACACCGATGATGACGATGGACAATGAAGGCAATTGAATGCATACCGTGTAACTCATACATAATATACTTCGATGAATGAATAATGAGTCCAAAAGTGTAAAGATTGAAAGAAAGTCAAATTCCTGCAAATGGATATTAGTAGAAGCTTGCTGATTCTGTGGGGCGTGACGCAGTGTGTAACTGACAGCGATTGGCCATGGGTATGGTCTGCATGGAGAAGCTGGTGTTTATTGTCTGTAGATGTATTGAATCGTACATAGATGCGATGGCGAGCGCACGTATCGAGTAAAGTCAATGTGAAGCAACTCGTTTAATATAAAAGCTAGCTTCTGGCAGCCATCCGCCTCACCCATCTGCGTATCCACATGGACGAGTTTCAGTTTCCAGGGGAACGGATCCTATTTTCCTCTTCTGTCAATCCACAGCAAGCAACAATCTGGATGTTTGTCGAGTAACGCAGGTCATCGGTGGCTGGCCTTCCCGCCTTGGCAACCCATGTGCCAATCCGCCGTCTACCAGATGTCCGGGGCAAGCACAAAGTATGTACCTGCACGGAGATGGGGGTGCAAGAATCGAGTAGGAGACGTTCGAACCAGAGCCATTTTCCTTGACTCGGCGCGGTGTTTAGTCGGGCGCCAGGGCGAAGTTTCTTATTTAAACACAGCAAGAGGAAAAGCTGGCAGGACGGTTGCATCATAGGCACCTCGACGTCTGGATAGCAGGCGTGGGTGGGATCGGGGGATGTTACTAAGATTAACTAGCATCCGTCTTCCTTGCCATCAACTCTCCCTCAACCAACGCAACCCTCGACCCTCTTGTCCCGGAGTTTGACGTGCTGCACCACCACACACGCTTGCATATACATTCGCCATTTTTTGCTGTTTGCGCCCAAACAAACCATCGTCGCTCCTCCCTCGGGCCTCGTCTTACTCTCACTCTCCCTCTCCCTCCCACGCGCGGTGTGGCGTTCGACAGCCACCTTCTGATCTGAGCGCTCGCAACGCACCCCGCCAACCCGCTGCCAGGATAGCCCTCACTCAACCGAGTGCGACACGGCGGCTTGCTTCTCATCTTGCCTTGATACCATCATCCATCTTGATTCCCCCCCTCGCCTCTTGTCCCTCCCTCCCGCCTCCCTGCCGTTCGCACAAGAGACGAAAGAAAGTAAAGGAAAAAATTGCTACAGAATAAAGCCCCGAGGACCAGCCAGCCACCCCATGAACCCCTCGCGCTGAAGCGCCTGACCGACCCGCCCCGACCGCATTGTCTCGTCACTCTCTGCTCTCCCCGGCAAGCCCCTCCCGCCTTGTTGTGCTCTATACAGTGCAGTGTGGCCAGTGTGTGTTGTGCTCCGCCCGCTCTGCTCTGCTCTGCTCTGCTCTGCTCTTCTGCGCCCCTCCCTCTGCCCTCCTCTGCCCGACCAGCCTGCGCTTGCGGCGGCCAAGCCAAACGACACGATGAACGGCAACGACATCAAAAAAGCAGCAATTAACAAGGCCAAGCAAGTTGCGCAGGCGGCGAACGGGAACGGCAACAAGAAGCGCAAAGCCAATCTGAAGCCTATAATTACCACCGAAGGCCAGTCCGCCTCGGACAGTTCCTTCATCTACAAGTGCGCCCCACCTGCCTTTCTCTTCCCCATGATTCCTTGTTTTTTTCTTTTCTTTTCCTCCCTTCTTCCCACTCCGTTGCTGCTCACTGCCCGCGCCCCATTGCGCATACGCAATGCAATGCACTCCCGCCCTCTGCCCCGCCACCGTCATTGACTGACCGCCACCCCACAGTGTCCAGCAATCCAACCCGCAAACCGCCGCCAACTCCAGCATGTACGCGAACCAAATGAGCCATTCGCCTTCCAGTTCCTCGTCCTCGGTCGATGAAGCCGACAACACCGCCGACGAGGAGGATTCCGAAGACTATTGCAAAGGCGGTTACCATCCGGTGCAGGTCGGTGAGGAATACAAGGACGGGAAATACACAGTAGTGCGCAAGCTGGGCTGGGGTCATTTCTCAACCGTCTGGCTGTCCCGGGACAACAACACCGGCAAACATGTCGCTCTCAAGGTGGTTCGCTCCGCCGCACACTACACAGAGACGGCCCTCGACGAAATCAAACTGCTCAAGAAGGTCGTCGATGCCAACAAAGACCACCCGGGCCGCGCACACGTCGTCAGTCTCCTCGACTCCTTCAACCACAAAGGACCCAATGGCGTCCACGTCTGCATGGTGTTTGAAGTCTTGGGAGAAAATCTGTTGGGATTGATTAAGCGTTGGAACCATCGCGGCATACCCACACCTCTCGTCAAGCAAATCACGAAGCAAGTCTTGCTGGGTCTCGACTACCTTCACCGCGAATGCGGCATTATTCACACCGATCTGAAGCCCGAAAATGTCCTCATCGAGATTGGGGACGTGGAACAGATTGTCAAGGCATACGTCAAGGACGACACAAAGAAGGAAGGCGAGCGGCCCAGCGGTCGAAGGAGACGAAGGACTTTGATCACCGGAAGTCAACCGCTCCCCAGCCCGCTCAATGCCAGCTTCAACCACTCCGACATTGGTTTCTTCCCCGGCAACGCACAAAGCCTCAACAAGGTTGTCAACGACGCCAAAGGTAACGAATCCCCTGTTTCTGGCTTGAGTCCACCTGCGCAAGACGGCATCGTAATGAGTGGTGCTCTAGGCACTTCCTCGCCATCAACCACCCTATCCATGACCGAACGACTGGGAATCAAGCAAGGCGCTACCGAAGAAGAAGTGCAGAAGACGCGGGAAAAGACTGCGTAAGTTGGAAAATCCGTAATACACAAATGCACAGACTGACCTTTCACAGTGATCTATTGACCAAAGAAGTTTCGGGGATCAGTCTGGACAAGTCAAATAATGCTTCGACCACATCCGTGACGACAGGCGAGAAGACAACAGAAGATGTCGCATTCGAAAAGATTTCGGTCAAGATAGCCGATCTTGGAAACGCCTGCTGGGTTTCGCACCACTTCACCAATGACATTCAAACTCGACAGTACAGATCCCCCGAAGTGATCCTTGGGGGTAAATGGGGTGCGAGTACAGATGTTTGGAGCATGGCTGCAATGGTACGTGGTCGAGGGTACAGAAGATGGAGCCCCAACTGACATGAATATAGGTATTTGAATTGATAACAGGCGACTACCTGTTTGACCCTCAATCCGGCACCAAGTACGGTAAGGACGACGATCACATTGCACAAATCATCGAACTCCTGGGCGCATTCCCCAAATCACTCTGCATGGCAGGCAAATGGTCGCAAGAGATCTTCAACCGCAAAGGCGAGCTACGCAACATCCACCGGTTACGCCACTGGGCACTGCCCGACGTCCTGCACGAAAAGTACCACTTCAGCGCGGAGGAAAGCAAGCGAATCGCCGATTTCCTGCTGCCGATGCTGCAACTCTTACCCGTGGACCGCGCCAATGCGGGCGGTATGACGGGGCATGAGTTCCTCAAAGATACCAAGGGCATGGAGAACGTTTCGCTGGGAATTCCAGTGGGAACGAAAGGCGATAGTATCGAGGGGTGGTCAACAGAAGTGAAGAAGACGCGATAGGGGTAATGGAATCTGTTGGTTGTCACGACTAGAAGGACGATTTGACGATGATGAATACGTCGGTTTGATGAGCTTTCGATTCACGTTGAGATTGGGATAGCTATAGGGGAGTGCAAGAAGGGAGAGAGTGGGGGTGTGTGAGTGGAGTGGGTGTGAGGGGAAAAGAGTGTTGACAAGATGAAATGAGATGTTTACGAATTCCTCCTCAAGTCAAACAAGCGTAACGCTAGAAGAAGAAAGACGGTGCCTTTTTTCTTTTTTGCCCTTCTCAAGAGGGGTGTTTCCGGGACGAATGAATAGGGGGGGCATTGGTCGATGGATTTGATGGATGCGATAGCGGGATTCATTGTAACGCCTTTTTTGTTTTACTCTACATGCCCCATCTATCCCTCCTTTTCCCCATTTCTCCCTTTTTTTCCCAGGGTATCGGGCTCGGCTTGTTTTGTTGGGCGCTCGTGGGACTTGTATGCATTTCAAGACGTTTTGTTTTTGATCCGTTACGACTTTCAACATGACATGCATGCCACATACTGTCATGTACATACATGTAGTTATGTGCACGGTTGCGCGCAGCTAGGAAATATCATACAGACGATTCTTTCGTATCCTCGCCTTTGTTCCTGCAAGTATATCGTTGGTGGCTAAGCAGATCATGTACCAACCATGTCATGTAATATACACCGTTCGTCGAATGGGTTCGTTTAGTAGGAGGATGGGGAGGGGAGAACACGAGGACGGGCCGGTGCGTGCCTCGGAGTCTAGCTGGCTCAGTGCAAGTCGGGGTTGCTTGCCGCTAGCACTAATGCAATGGATTCATTTGGGGGACTGCGTCATTGCCTGCTTGCTGGTAACTGTATGCGCAGGGTGAGGCTTGCTTTTCTGATGTATGACTTGTTAGGGTGATGCATGAGTATCTACAGTAAGGGATTCGTACATATATATATATATATATAAATATGTCTGCATACTCAAGTACATATGTACCTGCCTACAAATCACCGCTACCTGGGAATGCCCAACTGCGTCAACATGGGCGCAGAGGGCCAAGAAGATCTATTCTGGACTGGGCGCGACTTCTCCTCCGCACCCTTGTTAACTAGACTCTACCAACTAACTACATAGCTGATCCACGTACCGCTGCGTGCTTGTTCCATTCCATCTCGTCTTCAACCACACTGCACTACAATCCACCCTTCACACGTCACGCTTCACCCGTTTATCGATCCCCAGCTCTCTATTCCCACCATACTCGCTCATATTCTTTAGCCACCTCCCTGGCTACCACACATTTCCCCGCCTGCAACCCCCCAAACTATCCACCCCGCGCCAAGCATCCCGCAAGCCCAGCACAGCAGAGCAAGCGCATCGCAACGTCACTCGCCAGCAACCCCCAACGCACCTCGTGAACCAGGATCGCTCAGGCCAAAATCCTCGTGCTGCTGCTGCATTCACTCGTCTACGTGGACGGCCATCGAGCCTCTCGCTCCGTCGCAACGTTACCAGGATGAGCAGCTCCCCCACGTCTAGCCCACACCGGGCTCCCTCTTCAGCGACCCACAATCCCACAACCACCGCACCGTCGAACCCGCAGCTTCTATCCACCGTTCAAGACGATAAAGAAGACCGCCGTCCATCCATCCAATTCGCCGCCCCCAAGAGTCCCTCGTTCCCGCGAGGAAGCCCCAAAACAGATCGCCCCAAGAGGCGCATATCGTCTCCTCCCCCGCCGCCGTGAGTACTCGCCCTCTCTCGCTCTACACGTGCGTCATGTGGAAAGCATATAGGAAGGACACGTTCCTCCGGGATGCAATGTCATTCGTGCACATCCAATTCCCTTCCTACCGACTTTCCCAGCCCATGGCGCAATGGCCGAGTATGCCTCACACGACTGCGGGGCAGCTCCCAAACTGAGCCACCAGACCCCGTCTTGTCTCTTGTGACCTTGCAATCGAACCATACTGACTAGCATTGCAGTGTCTTTCAACCCCGCGTGTCCTTTGATACCTTTGACAAGCCCGCTGAGTTCATAGAAGAGAATTCGTTTACGCTCGTCTCGAAGCACAAGGACTATGAGTACACGAAACGTTCGCGGACGTTTCTGTGCGGTTGTGACGACAACGATTACTCCGAATACGCGTTGCAATGGCTGATTGACGAATTGGTCGACGACGGCGATGAGATTGTATGTTTGAGGGTTGTGGAAAAGGATGACACTATCGCGGCCGAACGGAGCGTCATGAAAGGTCGGTACAAGTCAGAAGCAGAAAGTCTTATGGAGACTATACAGAAGAAGAACCATGAAAACAAAGCTATCAATTTGGTTCTGGAGTTTGCGCTTGGAAAGGTGAACAAGGTTATTGACGAGATGGTAAGAAAGCCTGCAGTTCACATTTTCCGTGACAATTATCTGACATGCCACAGATCAATCTTTACGAACCCGCTATTCTGGTGGTGGGGACTCGAGGTAGGAGTTTGGCCGGCTTCCAGGGCTTGCTCCCCGGGTCTGTTTCCAAGTACTGCCTTCAGCATTCGCCCGTGCCCGTCATTGTGGTGCGGCCGTCTTCCAAACGTGACAAGGCCCGAAACAAGCGGGCGTTAGATCCCAACAGACATTCTTACAGGGATCTTTTGGAGAAGAGTGGACCCATGTTGGATGCGGATGGTCAAACCTTTGACGCAGATGGCTCCAGACAAGCGTCCGAAGATGAGGCCGCTGCTGTAGCTGCAGCCATTGGTTACAAGCCCAAAAAGAAGAAGAAGAAGAGTGTAAAGGGGCTCAGCCCGCTGGTACAGACTCATACAGCCTCGTCAGATTCGTCGAATCGAGATCTCGCGGACGACCTCAAGAGCCCAGGCATGCTCATGAAGAGCCCCGAGCTGCAGAATCTGGACAGTCCAGAACTCACCGAAGAAAGCAGTAGCGACGACGAAGGCGGTGTTTCCATGAACGACGCAGCGTCGGAACCAGGCGATGTTCAACAGCAGAGTGGCGTCGCGACCAACGTCATGGATACAGCCCTCGGCGCCATTCTTAACCGATCGCGCGGGAAGAGCAACTCGCCGGCTAGGAAGCCGAGTAAATCTCCCGGTCGTCGACGTAGTAGGTCACCTGCAAGACGGAGACACGACATCACGGACGACATCATCGACGGAACCGCTGCTCTCGATGTCGGAGACAGCAAGCCAGCAGCTGCAGCATCGTCGGGAGTTGTCGAATCTGAGTCTGCACCAAAGGCCGCCGGGGGATCGTCTCCTTCTGCTGTCGAACCTGCTCCCGCTTCCGAGCAGGAAATCAAAGCTGCGAAGGAGGTTTCCCAAGTTGAGTTGGAACCTGGGGCTGTTGACACCCCACCTCCTGCGAAGGTGGAAACTCAGTCTGCGGACATTCCGGCCTCTCAAACCACTGATTCCATGGCTGGGGAGAAGAAAGAGGATGAGGAGGATGTAACGAAACCCCAACCGCCGGCCGTGGCTGGCGAGTCTGAGGCCGCAACGGCAAAGGTCGAGAAAGATGTATAGTCGGAGAAATGGCATTCCCTCTATTATCAGTTTACAGTGCAGGTAGGCGTGCAGACGCAAACGTTTGCAGCATTCCAATACCATTATGATTTTTTCTTGTCTCTCTCGCCCGTTTTTGATTCTCGTTCTGTGTGGGCCAATGGCCCACGAATCCATTCCTGCATGCTTGCAACATTGCATGGTTTGATCAACCGTGCTTTTGCATCACCACCATGTCAACCATGTCAAGGGTTTTGATCCTCAAGATAACATAGACATGTAGGTGCCTTGTCAACCTCGTTTGGGGTTTGGTTGGTTGGTCGGTCAGAAGCTGGGTATGTGGGGCATTTGTCGGTCTGGCTGTATATACCTACATATGTAGGTATGTATCAACCACGTGAACACCTCCCCATCTCTCCTCTAAAACTATCTCCACCATCCATCCTATCCTCTCACAGAGAAGTCCTTTGAGTTATTCCACCGTCTCTTCCTCGAGCTCTTTGCATGAAAGTGGCTCTGCGCTGATGCAATCAAGTCTGTTAATCTATAGAGTACACAGCATACCTTGCTGCATTGTTTGCCTGACCCAAAACTGAGTCGGATGTAGGCTTCATGCACCGACAGGCACTTATATACGTGTGGGCAAGGGTATAATGGGGCCGGGAGCGGGGGTCATGCACAGAGATCACAGCATGATGCGGCTTACCATCCGCTGTGCGAAGGGCAATGCAAATCCGAGCTGCGTGAGGCAGGGGCCACAAGGAGTGAAACATAGTTTTATCTGACCACATTTTGCGAGATTCCGAGTTTTTTATCTGGCAGAGCTTCTGGTTGATTTGATGGATAGATTCATTCCTCGCTGTTCTTAAGTGGACATCTATCGTCTTTTAAAGGATTTACCCTCTCTCCCTGCAATACAATGGAGAATTTTGAAGGGAGAATATCCAAAACAACCTTCACTGTGGGTGCAATACAAGATTCAAAGTATCAGAGGGTAACAAGGGTTTAGGCAACATCATCCGTCTTCCTCGGTGTCTGTATCATAGCCACCGCGGTTCGCTGCTACATCCGTTTCCGAGTCCAGCGAGAGGTTGGATGGGATGACGGCTTCCTGATCTTTGGCCTGTGCTGTCTCGTCAGCGGCATGGCGCTTCTGTTCTCAGTCATGGATCTCATGTACAAAACCGACATCTCTGCTTTTGGAGGTATTCCAATATCCGCGATTAGTTCCATGAACCTCGCAGAACTCTCCAAGGACTCTTTGCACTACCGTAAAGTCTCAGCGGCCGCAATGACCTTGATGTGGTTCAGTATATGCTCTGTCAAATTCTGTTTCTTGGCGTTCTTCAGACGGTTGATTAGGCAGCAACCTGTTATGGTCAAATTCTGGTGGTTTGCTGTTGTCTTCAATTCCATAGTTACCGGCTACGGTGCGGTGATATACACGGCAGCCTGCCCTTATTTCAAGCCCGAGGAGCTTTTACAAGCCAGTAAGTACTTTATTCATCCCGCAGGCCATTGCTAACTGCGGGAAAGTTCAGTGTGTGCAGGGCGATGGATTAGTCACTATAATACGTTACTCGATGTCACACATGGTCATCGATATTATAGGAGATTTTTTCAGTATGTTTCCCTGCTCCTCGTGACCTCTTGAGAGGCTAAAAGCGTTTTAGTCTTGGTTATACCCATAGTGTTGATATGGAAGATTCGAATCAGCTGGAAACAGAAAATCGCCCTTTCCTTCACGCTCTGCTTGACAGTTGTGATGATCGCCATTACGATCACCCGAATTACCGGTCTCCAGTGGAAGGGGAAGTTAGACTTAGTCTGGGAGATTTTCTTCATCGCCATCGCAGCAGAGATTGGGCTATCGTTAGTCGCCATTACTGCCTTTCGCGCACTGTATGTTTCAAAGTCAAAGAGCCGTCATGTTCCAGGTGCAATTTCCACGTTCAACTGGTACCACAAGGGGAAATCATTCATGTTGGGAGTCTTTAGTAACATTGGAGGAAACTCTGCGCGGGGCAAATCAGAAAGTCACGAGATGCATGGTAAAACGGACGACGATCTTGGGGACCCCATTCCGAACGCCACCATGACCGGCATGAGAACCTTCATTGATCAAAATGGGAAATCTGAGGTTTACGAAACCATGGATGAGGAAGGAAGAATATGGGTGCTCCCTTGAACCAGCACCATTCTTCATCATTTGTTTGTTCATCGAGGAGGAATTCGATCACGCAATTAGTAAGGACTGTAGGTTCAGAACAATAACTTTCCGGTACCTCTTTCTTTATTAGACCCTTCCTCAGGAATTATGCTTCATAGCAACAGTAGATCCCTTCCGATTATGCGTATACATGCAGGACTGAGTCTATTATGTGATCAACGCACATTCCATGCGGCACACACCTTGTCTTTTTAGTTATCGCTTGTTTGTTCGGTCTATTATTGCTGTAAACCCCTCGCTGTGTGTAGGATCACCTAAACCCTAACTCAGAATCAATGCAAACACTTAGGACTATAAAACATGAATATTCCTTTGAGCTCTAGGCAAAAAAATAAAATAAAAATAACAATACACATGTTCCGTGATTAGGATTATAAAACACGATAAATATGCCCTCGAGCTCTAGGAAAAAAACACATGTTCGGCGGTTATCACGAAACTGATGAGTAATGATTATGTATAGCTGAGTGCGGATTGTGTCAACGAAGACACATGTAGGACAGCAACCCCACATGACAGACCGTACTGCACACTACAAATATGCTAGAAACACAAATACTCTTACAACGATGCAATTCCCATGGTCAAAATATGAATTAATCTTCTCTCTTCTAGTCAATACAACCAGTAATCTACCCACATGTGCATGTTATCAATTGATACACCCTGTCTAGCCATATACATATCAAGGTTTCCTAGACCCCGCAATTGTGAACAACACAATCCGCATAACGCGTTACAGACATAAAAATATCTTCCTCTTTCCTCCTGAGAAAATCAGCAAACTTTACTGGCCCTCTAACGTCTCCATTTTCCTCTCCCTTCCTCCCTCTCTCTCTTTCTAGTCCAGAATAAAAACTCCCTCACGATTTCCCCATGTGAAGCCATAATAAAAGTGGGAGGGGTGGGGGGAAGGGGAATAGACGTAGCATCCGCCTATTCTTGCAGAGTCGAAAGGCCCCTTGCGACGAGTTAAATATTCGCCTTCGCACATCCCGCGGACTGGAAATCGACCAAGGGAGTTTAGGGGAACGCGTTGTGCATGGGTCTTCGCCGTATATATAACGCGAGATTACAAGTCTCTGGAAGAGACGGCGTTGAGAAAAGTGTATAAATAGCCATGTTGGCGATCCGAGCAAGACGAAGGTTAACCAACGGAGAGAGAGAGAGAAAGAGAGAGAGAGTAGGAGTCCATTTCTCAGGTATTAAAAGATCCGTTCGTTGGCTGGGGGGTAGCAACAACACCAGCGGTTTTGTGGCTCGACGAGCCAGTGTCGTCATGATGATTTTTTTTTCTTTGCTTCTTTCTCTCTTTCTCTCTCTCTGCGCATCGCGCTGGATCCGTCGCGCTTTTCATAACGTTTGTTTTTCTCCAATAGGAGGAAAAAAAGAGGCGGAGCCGAGTTGGGTTTGGTTTATCTTTTTATCAGTCGACATCTGCTTTTTGTCCATCGTGCTGCAACACGTCAACCAAGGTTCTGTTAGCAAATGCACCATCTCGACAACCTTTTTGACAATGAATAGAAGAAGAAGAACAACGGAAATAGGAAAAGAGGAGGGGTCTTACGCATAAAGGTTTCCGATCCGCGCAGTTATACGCATACTTTGGACAGCAATCCAGAACATCTGTTTTGAGCAGTGGCCAAGTGTACAGCGACTTCTTGGGTTTCCGCTTCTTCAGCTCTTCATTCTCCTTCTCCTTCTCCTTCTTCTTGATTTCGTCTTCGGCGTCTGTGTGTTGTGCTTCAGTGTTTCCGACGAGTTTGTCGTTGTTGTCGCTGGACGAGTTCACCAGCTCAGCGTTCTCATCCTCGCGTCCTCGCTGTGGCTCTTGTGGAGATTCTAGCGCTTCGATAGCCGCAGGAGTGTCGGGGAGATATGGCGGGGGATGCAGCGGTACAATTTCCTCGACTGGGCTGGCGTCGCGCGGGTCCAATGCAGCGGCGGCGGAGTGGAAACGGGAGTGGTTCGGGGTAGGCGCCGCAGCGGCGAGGGCAAGGGATGTAGGTGCTGGAAGTAGCACTGATAAGGAGAGGGCGAGGGAGAGGAGAAGGGCGCTTGTTATTTGTGGTGGATACATTGTTGTGGCTTGTAGGTGATGCCGATAGTTTGTGTTGAAGGCTAAGTTTGTTTCTTCCTTCCTTCCTTCCTTTGTCTGATTTTTTTTAGTGTCGTTCTCTTTTACGGTTCTGAGGGATCAGGTGTAATTAAGGAGATGTTTGGGTCGCCCAATGGTTATATGTGTTTGTGCTGTGAATGAATCCGTGTATTCCCGTGTCGTGTTGTTCGTGGCGTGTTGCACTGGCGAATTTGGTGTAGCAACGTACCGCAAGGACAAAGAAGAAACTGTTGCGATTCGCGATATAGATTATTGTTTTCCTCGAATGATGGTGCAGACGTCCGGGCGTTCGTTCACGATCTGACTCCGTTTGTCGTTGATGGTGTGTCAGTCGGTGGTGAGTCTTTCGTTGTGTCACCGCGGTCGCTATCCCTCCTCTTGACCTGGTACTATTGCCTCTGTGTACTGGTAAAATCTGGTCTATATTCTCCTTCGTCTTTGGGGTTCCCGGTCGTCCGGTTTTCTTGCCTTCTTTGCAATATACACCAGAAAATATAAGGCAAGCGCGAGCCTAATGTCCGTGAAACAGCCGTCCGTAACCAGGAGCGAGCAACCCAAAAAGAAACCACCCAAGGGCGCAACGACGCAAGCTCCAGCCAAACACAACAAGAACAAGTAAAGACAGAAGTTTGTGATGGCGGAGGGTAGAAAACTGGGGGGCTCGATAGCTTATAAAGGCGCGCGCGTGGGTTCCCAGGAGTAAAAATAAACCCCGATCTCCTATGTATCTCTAACGTCCGTTGGGGTCCGGGGGGAGTGACTTGGGTGGGAGATTTTGCGGTGTTCTCTTTTTTGGGGGTCAAAAGACTAACCCAAACTCCCCAGAAGTGATCAATCACGAACCACCGAAACAGTTGGACGATGATGATTAGTGGATAGATCTAGCCCTCGCGCTTTTCCACGGTTCGTGCGTCCGTTGAATGAAGTATAACCGTTGAACAAAACAGGCAACGCTGCCTCTGGTCTGGCGGTCCAAAGGAGTTTCTGTGGATGCGGTGGAACGGGTGCTTGGGTTGGTTCCCGGGACACAGCCCTATTATACAACACCAATACATATGTATGTATAAGTGATTTATCGAATGAATGGACGGCCTCGCTTTTCCCCAGTCACACCCGCGCGATAGCGCCGCCGCTCAGCATGTTCGAAAACAATAAAAACCGCAGTCAATGCGCTGTCTAACCCACCACGGTAAGCTGTCCAATGCCATTCTATATCACCGACGAGAATTGATGGCAGGAACACTGCAAAGTAAGTACGGAGGAAGGGTGGAAATGTTCAGCTGGCGGCGCCGCCGCACGCCTCTAGCTTGCAAGGTCGGGGGAAAGTCAGCCAGCCCCTGAAACATGTTTGTGCATTGTCGTCCCCAGAATGTCGTGGCCGGCGGGAACCTGGACCCTGGATTTCGACTTGCGCAAGTCCGGAGCTTCTTTTCCTTCCCACAATACTAGGCTCGTGAATACTTTTTTTCTCTCTTGACAGTTGAATGGATGCACATTATCAATGCCCATCTATGTAGTACGTGTATATCGCTACACGACGCATCAAGCGAACCACAAGTTCGAGGCCCCTCCCGCCGCAAAAGGAGCTCCAGCACAGTCAGCCAGCGCCGCCGCCGCCATTATAGCGCGAATACGAGAACAGAAATCAAGAGACGGTGATCCTTGCGTCCCTCTTCCTTGACTTGTTTCAATTCGTCGGACTTTGGGCTGTCTTTTCGCTAAGTGACTCGCGTTTGCTAAGCTACTTGAGGTACTCGAGAGAAAGTTCGTGTACGCTTACCACTTTCTGCCAGTCTTGGACTCGACTTGCTGACCCACGTGCGGCGGAGGGTAGAGCGTAGTGAGAGTGATTGGGCGCAATGTAGCATGATTCAATCAAGACTAATCGGTATAAGCAATGCCGAGGGAAAAGAAACGTACGATCTAGAAGCCCGGGGACTCTTAGATAGACTTCGTTGCATTGGACGATCGTGTACGCTTAGCCTTTTCAGCTCTGAGGCCAACTCTGCTTTTACTTTTTGTACGCGGATTAACGCTATGGCTGGCTGAGGTAAATTGCATTGGAAGAGACGTATCGCCGTACTTTTACAGGAGAAGCGCAGATACTCTTCTTTGCACACTCGGTTGCTCAACCCGACCTTGATGTTGGTGAGAAGACAAGGGCTAGGGATCCAGCAGAGCAAAGCAACAGGATCTTTAATCCTCGGCTTTTGCCACAGGAGAGAGAACTATACAAATTCCTTTGCTAAACGCTACGATGGCTTCGCAGTCTATTACTCGACTCCGCCATGCTGTCTGTGTTGCGAGGAAATGCTCTACACTTTCGTATCTGGGGTCTGTCGGTTTAATTAGCTAGTGATATTCAATTGGGCTGTCCAAGCCAGGGAAGAGTTTGGGGGTTGAGAACATGGGATCGTTCCGGGTTATTGGCAAGTAAGAACAGTGTATTCATAGGTGCTCAGTGTCATTGTGCATCGGTATCCGAAGTGCTTCATATCGATGTTAGATATAGAAGAAACAAGCATCCCATCCCGAAAACATAAACCCCGGGTCGATATACGGGAGCCCTACACATCCCATAATCAACCTCCCTCTTTCTTATCCCTCAACTCCCCTCTGACCTCCATCAACACAATCCCCAGGAGATTCTTCCCCCACCTCCTGCGATTCTGCTCAGCCTTCTCCTCGCGAAACCCAATCCCCCACTCGCGATCCGACGCGCTGGCCTCTGCGATCTCCCTATCCCCCGTGGCAAGCAGCAGAGCCCGCAAGGTCTCCGCATCCTCAGAAGCCGTGAATTTGTGCATGTTGCCTTGTTTGACGACATCTTTCTTCACTGCAAAGTAAAAGATTAAGAGTCAGTAAATTTTCTTCATATCAATAAACACTTTCCCATCAACCGTAGAAAAACACTGCTACGGAATGACCCGATCACACAAAAGGCAAACAGGACAAGTAGGAAGAGAATAGTAAAAGAGAAGGGGGAAGAAAAAGACAACTCACCACCATCCCAAACCCGCTCATCAAACCCCTCAACCAGCCGACCCAACTCTTTAGCTTCCTTGGGGTCCGTAGAAGCCAGAATCGCACGCTCAGCTGCCTCGTCGTGGAAAGTCCGCGCTTTATGCAGCATCATCCATTTCTCGGCTGTTTCGTAGCGGATGCCGTCGACGATGAAGGGCGCCCAGTACCATTGGGAGAGGTAGCCGTTTCCGCGGTGGGGGCCGTGGAAGAAGACTGGTTTCTGTGATCTTGATGAGGATGATGAGGCGGCGTTTGTGTTTGTGTTGGAAGGGTGTTTGGATGGACGTGGCATTTTTGCTTTGTTTTACTTGGCGTTGAGAGAGGTTGTTGTTGTTGTTTGGTGATGATGATGATGTGGTTTGGAGTGTAAATGTGGACTAAGCGTATATAGATCAATTGATGTATTGAAGCTTGTCGGTGGCTTTATATCGTAGTGATGTTGTATGTACGAAAGGAAAGAACGAAAGGGGACCCCACGCATTGAGGCATTCCTTTATACAAGCCCCCCCGCTTCCAACGTTCCTCTCTTTCCGTCCCAATTCCCCAATCTGGTAATCACAACCCATTCTATTCGTAGTGCCGCGTTCATCTATGACATTTTGACTGGATGAATGCCAAGTTGACGGAAGTGAAAAGGGCGCGAGGGCGTTTCGCAGGTGGGGTGAGTCATTGTGCTGTTTTAGGTTCGGTCGGGCCAAGAGGAGAGTCCTCGACATGTGCTTCGATTAGGCTGTTTCCAAGACTCCAGTGGGAAGTATTTTAAGATATCGGAAGAGAAGCCACATTGGAGTTCGACAAAATTCGAATGTATTTTATCAATCCCCAACGAGGTGGCGGGGAAAATAGAAGGGAGACATGCATCCAGGGAGAGACATATTCAACAACACTTCCAACTTTTATGCATTCATTCAGCGTATGGGTATGTTTGTTGTTTTCACGCTCAATCCCCCTCACTCCGCTTTTCTATATACCGCTCCCACCTGCTCAAAAAAGCCAAAGCCCTCAAAAGATTACACACCTATCAAAAGATCTCAACTGTGTGCCAAGAAGAAATAGGCATTCATAACAACACCCCCTAGATGGTTTACACGAAAGGTCGCAGACGCACAGCAAGAACAACAAGCTAGACCAAACATATGCGAAAGGGTGAGCGTATCAGTATACACCCTCCATACCCTGCGAAAGTCTGTCTTCCATCACTTTGATAAGAATGGGCGGGACGGCTTCGTCGGTTGCGCGAATGGTGATTCGGAACATCTGGATCAATATTAGCAATCTGTCAATTTGATAAATACGAATGGCACGAGCACACTCACCTGGGTATCGTAGTTTGGCTCCAGTCTCAGCAAGCACCCGAATTTGCCGTCTGCCGTGTGCAGCACTGTTGCACCAACAATGTTCTTGCCGTTAGGGTCGAGCCCATCTAATATGCCCCACCGGAAGCCCTGCACGACTCTTCTAACGAATTCACTGTTCATGGTGCGGTTCTTGTTCACGAGGCCGAAGATGCGTTGTGCCTCACGTGGCTCACCGCCAATTTGTTTCCACCTCTTGAAAAAGTCCTCACCACTCAATTCAGCAGCATCCATGTATTTGTGGAGGCAGACTGGAAGTTGGAGCGTTAGTGCCTGGAGGGCTCCCGCAAGATAGGATATACGAAATGTGGGTGGCTCCGCGAATGCGTTCTTGGCTTCAAACATGATGGTCTGCTGTGTTTGTCCCTCGGGGTGGATCAACGTCTCTGGCAGGCCTTTAATGTCCGTCTTCAAGTTGTCTGACGACCTGTTGTCAAGGGTGGTAGTGAAAGAGCCCATTGGGAAAGGAGACCTGTTGGTGAAATAAAATATGAGACAACCAAGCTGCGCACGATATTCCGTACGCAAACCGATCTGAATCTGTGCATCTTCATAGAGAACACCTTCCGTGCGAAGCAAGAGACGGTTGTAACCGATTTCCCAGTCTGGACTCAAATGCGCGGCACTAGCCAAGTTCGGCGCCTTCAGCATCTTGTTCGTATCGATATTCATATCAAGACCAGCAAGATCACTAGAGAGATTGTTTACACCGTTAGTGCCATTAGCACCAGGTGTGGTGTTTCCTTGCACTGGGACTGTGAAGCTTCTTTTAAGCCCAGTAGGTTGGTTGACCAAGTTGAACTCTTTAGGATCAGCATTGGCGTCCTTTCCTCCAATAACCCATGTCCGCTTATCACTAGTCGTCGCATGCTTCTGGTGAAGACGAGACAGGAGAGCCGAAGTTCGTTCAGGGAAAGGCGGCATTTCGTCGCATACAGTCCGCAGGAGGTCATCGGTTGGCATGTTTGCAAGAGTAAGGTATTCGCACGCTCTTTGCTGCAGTTCGGAATCGAGGGAATGGCTATAGGCGCGGAAGGTCTGCAGTAATTGGGGTTTAATCTCTGGAAACAAGTTGACGAACTTGACGAAACAAGAAAGGATGATCGCTCTCGTACTAGATGGACATCCTCTCATCTTTGCATTCAGAGCCATGTATTGTTCAATCGGGCTGCAACCCTTGCTGTCGGCAATCAAATGGCCGAATTCTCCCAAAAGGTAGCCTCCAATCTTAACCAGGGTTTCATGGCAGTCGGTCTTGACGTATTGCAGAATGTTCTGCGCCGCATAGACCTGAAGTTCCTCGTTGTTCGTAACGATTTGGATAACTCGCTGCCAGACTTCATCGCTGACGTGGTCTCCGGCCATGGCGATCAGTCGTAATGATATGTCAACATACCACTGCACATCGGTCGCGTACTTCTCCGTCAGGATGGCAATCTTCAATACCATTTCTTCTCGTATAGCGTAATCAGCCGACTGGAGATATCGTAGTAGCTCTTGAACAATTGGCTGAGCGTTTGAGGGATCGCACATGCTGTAAAGCAAATCCAAACCCTGTCTCCTAACACTGATATCTCTGTCCCTCAAAGACCCGATGATGATAGTTTGATGCTTCTTGATCGGATCGAGTGTTTCGGATCGGGCAGCCAAATGCGTCATGGCTTCCAAGCCAAGGTAGCGGACATTAGTCTCACGCGATGCAATGAATTTCCCTAGGCGAGTCGATATCTGGATCATGAGGTCTTGCTCTGTGTCTAGGTGAATGACGAGATTAATCGCTTCGAATAAGACGGCGTTCTGGGCATTGTTCTGCTGCACGTTCTTGGGCATCTCAAGTGCCGAATCCATGATTCTCTGTAAAGAGTCACGGATCAGCTTCCGAATATGCGAATCCTCTAGATGCCTGTTAGCAATGATTCTCGGTCTCAAACACGCGGAATTCAACGCACCTGGCGGTGGATAATACTGCAACAGCTTCAGAAGTTTGACCTGTATCCATGGACACGGAACCTTGTAGTAAAAGTAGCCTTCAGCACATTCGTTGTCGATGACTATTCTCTTGAGTCTGTCAGCGGCCTTTACGTAGCTCCCCTTGTACTGTTCCTGGTTGTCCTGGACCAACGCCATAACCAACGAGGTGACGGAGAGCGCGACACCCATGTCCGGGTCATCCATGAGAGATATTATACGTTCCGCCCACTCATGCTGAACGATGCCGGGGTACTTTCGGTACAAGCGAAGAAGAGTGAGGGCAGCCTTCTTCTTGACGAAAGCCTTGGAAGCTCTGGAATCGAGTCAGTCACTAGATGACAGCCAAAAAGTACGGCAACGGAGACGGAAACTGACGGGGATATAAGCAATCTGTGTACGTCTCCACTCAGCGCTTCGCCCATTTCCTTGCCGCCCACATTTGCAATCGCGTGTAGCGCTAGACAATTATTCAGCTCATTATGGCCCATCAGATCCTTTCTGATACTGTTCACGACGAGATGTAGCAATTCGTGCTCTTCATGTAAAAATAGAGTGACGGCAAGATATCCGATTTGTTTTTCCGAGTATTTGGTGGCGGAGATGAGATTGACGGCTTCGAGATGCCCGAAGTCGACGTTCCAGCCAAGTATGTAAATATAAAGAAGCTTCAGATAGTCAGTCTGATTAGCCAAGAAAGGTAGAATAGTCGCCATACCTTGCAAACATATTTCTTTCTGTGGTAGCCATTGAGGCCGCCATCTAGAGACACCCTGTTAGATGGATGGTTAGAAGGGGAAGGCGCCAACTGTATATATACCTCTAAACTTTTGCCTGCATGATCGATTAGCATGCCGTCACTGGTGCGTGTGTCCCCGTTTGCAGTGATTTACCGTATATTCGCCAATTCCTTGTTTATCCTCTTCTCCTCGAGCTCTCTGGCACGAGCATTCCGTAGATCGGCAATGAAGGAGACCAGACCTGTATAATCGGTATAAGCTTCCGGGTAACAATACACAACGGTTTCCTATGGCGTGTACCTCGCATAGTCGGGACATTGCCCGAATTGTTCCGACTGAAGAAGCTCCCTCCTCCTGATCGGGACTCCATCTTTGGCGCAATGCCCACGGCGGGGCGACTGGCGCCTCGAGGGGAGGCGGGCAAACCAGTGGGGGATTGGACGTGAAGTCGCTCGAAGGGTCCGCTTGGGATCAATCAGATCAGATGGTGAGGGGCGGGCAGGCGGGCAAGCAAGCAAGCGATCGCGAAAGGGGTCGGAAGGGCCGGCGGGGTACGATTCGTCAGTCGTGATAGCGAGAGCCGCACATGTCGATGGGGCTCAGCGGGGAGAAGGGTCAAAGAGTGTCCCGCGGCAGCTGTCGCAAGGCCAGCGTGGTGCAGCAGAACTCTAATAGTACCGCGAGATGTACTATGTAGGTATATGCGGATTCGAGGTGCGGGACTGGATCCTAGTGGAGGTGCAGAGTGCAGCCAAGCCGAAAGGTGTCCAAGCGTTGCTTTGCCCGTCTAAACTCCGTTTGATCTTCCCGCAGTCACTACCTAGGTACCATTACAGGGGAGAGCTTACCCAAGAATATAGTGTCAACTACCTAGGTACTCTTTCTACTGTAATATCCTATTAAATTGCATTTTAACATAGTTTCAACAGTATGTTAATAGGATCTAGACATAGAGTAAAGCCTTGAAGAGGAGTTGTTAGCTGATCCTATGGTGGGCCCCCCGCCCCTGTAATGACACTATACCTACTAAGTAGGTATACATTCACTCATCACATCTACATACCTAGGTATGTATTTATTGATCAGGCACCACATTAGCAAATGGAACGTATGAGGCTGCTCAGCAACCATCAACTCGTCTTGCATCTATCCACCATCCAAAGAAAGAGTCGAAGCAGTTTGAAATCATGTTCATTTGTCTGATCAAACCTCATCCTGCAGGGGTGGTGAACACCTAGCCTATATGTACAGAAACATTCCCGCCCAATCCCAAGTCAATCTGACCTAAAAACCATTCCAAAACGCCAAAAGCACCCTCCCAATGCTTGTCCATGCTGGTGCCATCTGCTCATGGTCTATTTCTTAGACGTGAAGTCGGTCTCAAGCGAGGAAGAGCCGTTGTCTGCCGAGCGGCTGCAAGTGCAAGCATCTGATCCAAAGTCAACAACGTGCATCTCGTATCAGTTGCCATCGATTCGAATCATACCTTCAGCGCGCTTTCCGCAGGCGCATGTGCTGGTGGGGAGCTTGTTCTCCGTGGCGGCCTTCTCGCAAGCTGAAGCATATCGTTAGCATACGTCATAAGTAAACCAACGATCAATGTTGGGGAGGACGGCAAAGGGATCCAACATCGTGAAGGTGAAAGGCAGAGATGGTCGGGCATACTGCATTGAAGGGCTTTCTGCTTGCCGCACGAGCAAGTGGCTTCTTGAGCGCACACGCAGTTGCCGTTGTTACGTCCACAGCAGGCCATTGTGAGGGCTTGAAGTTGAGTTGATGTTGTGTAGGTGGGTGATGAAGAGGAGGTAGACGGATGGTAAGAGCACGAGAAGAGTCCAAAAGTTTCTCTGCAGAGGAAGTGATGCTTGCTGTGAAGAAGATAATATCGAAGCAAGACACTCTCTTTATATGTTTGTATAGAGCTCTCTGGGATATGCTCGTCGGGTGCAGCTTGATCACCTGATCAGCAGATTGACCAATCAGAGCAATTGTGATTACGCGGTTCAGCAGCGCGACTTCACGATCATCTCGCCACCCCTACCGCACCGTAATCACCGCGCCTCTGATTTGCTGAGCACTGTCTATTGCGGACATCAAGTCATGAGGTTTGTTACGAATTTGCCTATTAGCGTTTGGCAGGACCCATCGTTGGAGCGAATCAGAAGATGTCTATTACTCATTATGTGAATGCATTCCCTTCACTGCCATGTGCAGGTTGACCTTGGTACTGTACAGGGAGATGGCGCATTAGGATCTCACATGGCGGGAGTATAGTGCCCAAGTGTATTATCACTTTTTTCGCGGATATAAGACCTGATTAGAATCTATCGGGGCCTTCTACTTGTGAATGACAGATGGTATACCTAACCTCCTGCCATGTGATATCCCAATGCTACACCCCCCTATACCTGCCTATCTATGTCACATTCATTTGTAGCCAGACATCATTTGGTGCATTATTGAACCATGAGCTTACCGAGTTCTGTTTGTAACTCTTCCACGTCACTCTTCATCGCAGCACTCATAACATCAACCTTGGAAACCAATGTTAGCAACTGGGAACAGTCCTATCGGAGTACAGAATCAAAGCTTACCCCATTGTTCGCCAGTCCGTGTAACAGCACCACTGCATTTTGATAGTCCCTCCCTGCTGTTGCGTTGTTCTCCTGTCCACCTCTTGACTCCGTTGCAATCTCTTTGATCGATTCGAGCAATCCGTCGTCGGCACGCAACTCTTCGACCACACAAGCTGAACCGTCCGGGGTTTGTGCCATGAGGCCCAGGCCCAAAATTCCCTCCGCCTTTGCATCTGCATAGAAGCGCTGGCGTACCAGCCTAGCGACTGGACGTGCAATGGCAGGAGTTTTGAACATCGCGTCTGTGTACTTTCCCATTTGGCTATTCGAGGATTGGCGAATATATCGGAGAATAGCGATGATTGTGCGTCCCAATTCGATCATGGGGTTCTTCATTGACGTGCTCGGTAGCGGTGCTGAAGGCGCAAGTGCTTGTGTGACAATGTGATACAAGATCTTAGGGTTCTCAGGGGCAGCAGTCGCAGGCAATGGGGTCGGTGATATGCTATCAGGTAACTCTCGGAAAAGTACAATATCGATGTTAGCAGCTCCGTCCGAGACGAGTTTGCATAAAATGGCAGCGGCTTCACCCCGAATGGAAGGATCGCTGTAAACGAGGAGTTTGCAGCAAGCCTCAATCAGTCCTGCTTCCCCTAAGACGGGCCTGTTGGATGATGGGAACGCGAGATGACGGATGAAGCCAGCGGCGGCGTAAAGAAGGGCCTGTTCTGATTCAGAAGACAGTATCTCGATCAAGGTGATGTGCAGTTTCATATCCTTCACTATCTCGATGCACACTTCGTCAGATGTTGCGAGATTACCCAGTATTACACAGCAGCACACTTTTGAAGGTGTGGCAGCTGGAGATGTCAATTTGGACAACAGCATCTCGATGACTGCGCTTTGCAGTCCAAATCCGCGAGCGAACGCGTCGGACGCGGACATGGCAGAGATCGAATTGATCAACCGGACCATTAGTATCACGCCCAGCTCTTCTGAAGTGATTTTGTTAGGGTCGGCTTGTTTCTTGAGCTCCTCGAAGACGCCTTGAGACTCTTCAACTGTCAATCGACTTTCGAAAGCATACATCAAGTCGACCAGACGCTCAAATGTGTTGGGTGTGGCGATCTTCTGCTGGAAGTTGGGATCTTGGAGATAGTGAACTAATATCGCCACGTACTCTTCAACGTTGTCGTCATCGTACTGGGACGCAAGTTTGAGTATGTTGTCGAACACTGCGGTTGATGTAGTATCAAGCAGTTGATCTGGTGTGAGCTTTTCCGTGGTCCACGTCAACAGATCCATGGCATAATCGATGGCCTCTTCCGATACATTGCCTGCGGTCAGGTACTCTGACAGAGTACTGTCTAATCTCAAGTGTGCTCCTTCATCGTGTGCGGGTTCTAGTCATATATCAGCGACAGTTCTGTTCAGGAATATGGAAATGCTCACCATACTCGGTTAAAAGATTGTACATCACGACAAGAGCTGTGAATCGCAGCTCTTCCACCGATAAACAGTTGATGATTCTAGGAAGATACTTGACAACAAATGCGCGATTTGTGTCTGAAGGTAGTTTAGATGCTGTTCAGTCAAATTCGAGACTTAAAGGGTTTATTACCATTATCCGCGACGCTGTTTCCAATCACTCGGAGGTACTGCTTGACCAAAGCTGATGGGTGTGTGGACAAGTCGAGATTTTGTACTACATGCTCCAAAATGCCATTCTCCCGATATGGTCCTTGCCAAGTGTCTTGTGCCTGTTAGAATGATGAACATGTTGTTGAGTGAAAATTGGGCGTACGTTGCTTGCCCACTGCTGTTCCCAGCAGTTGGGCGGTATGTTCTGCTAAGACAGAGTCTGCCTGTAACCGTGCCGTAATTTGCTTGAGGCGAGTGCTGTTGCTTTGAGGATCATCCGCCAGATATTGCTCCACCTCTTTCAGATATACATCCGGTTGCTCGCTGAAGGTAGCCATGTTGAACAACGGGGGCAGCTCTTCGAGTCAAATCCAAAATGGTATGCGAAGCTCAGGTTATCAGCCACAGCCCTATCGTGATACGTGATATGTGAAGTGGCTGAAGTGCTAGCTGCCTAAAATTGTTTTACGACTAACTAAAGGATAGCACAGAGAAGTGGGGACGCCCATAAAACACAGCAGTATGTATACAACCAGAGTTGATGATTTGATATTGGGTTGCAATGGAGATACGCGCGTTGCATTGATGCCTACTTGGATGCATCTTTTGCTTGTTCTTTTTCCTACAGGGTCCTCCACAGGGTTAAGTCCCGGGCCGCGGCATCGTTAAACCTTATTTGCTCTCCAATCGTATCCCTGGCGAATGAGGTAAGCAGGTTTGACACGTGACAGATCTAGGGAAATGGCTTGGCATCGTTTTTGAGATGTGTCGAAAGACAAGTCCGACAACGACAGCGAACATTTATCTCGTGCCAGTCATTCATTCGCCATATTCAATCAAAGAAACCTCTTTAACAAAGAACTGTGCCCAATATGACGCGCGCTCAGCAGACCATCTCCATTGCCCTGCTCCTGAGCTCAGTACGAGCCCCTCAAATAATCCCTTCACCTATACCACCTCTAATCAGTGTAGCTCTATATCGCAGTTTTCATGCAGATAGTGTCTCTTCCTGAAAAAATTCATACCGAGATTGTCCCAGTGGTTAGTCAACTCGTGTTCTCTACACCTTTACAGTTACTGATTAGCTACAGCTCCCCTTCTGGGCACTTGTGTCCTTCGGCGCATACCTCCTCTTCAAGCTCGGCTGGGGAGTGTTCACCTTCAACGATGTTCCCGACGCGCATGCGGAAATTCTGGCTCAGATAAAGGAAGCAAGAACAGAACTCCGCGCTAAGGGTGTGGATGTTGGCTCGGACTAGACATGGCTTGGGTTCGAGGATTCAATCCACTGGAGCGGGGTCATTTGAAGGCGTAATGGTGTTGAAGGCATCAGGGGAGAAGCATGGAACAATTGCATTCAAGGGTACCTTGAAAGTGAAATTGGGGGATCAATTCAGGCTGAAGAAGCTCGCTCGGCGTTGTGCTTCTGCTTCAACTTCTTCTCTGTACGCATGAATTCGCGGATACCCACTGGGATGTCATCGAATAAATCAGAATTCCCCTCATTGGGGACCCAGTTCGTTTCACTACCTCCACCATCGTCGTCCATACTTGTGGCTAGCGATGCAGTGTCATTTCCAGCAGGAATGGGAGCCCGACTTGCATTCTGAGCTTGTACCTTCGCGCGCGCCTCTGCACTTTTGGCCGCCCAGTCCTCCATCTCATCCCGATACATGTCCCAAACACAATTCACACAACCTGACATGCAACAGTTGTCCGGCTCTGTCGGGCGCGGGGGTACCAAGACCCCAGCTATATTCTGAGTGGCCGCCTCCATCTGCTTCTTGCGTTCAGCCATCTCCTTTTCTCGTGACCCAAATACCTTCTGTGCCCTCTCCCATGTGTCCACTTCGCTTGATATCTTGGCCGGTATCGGTTGTGTGGGAGGTGCTTCTGGTGGTACGGGGGGTTGTCGTATTCTTGTTGGTTTCGAGAGTATTTCTGATATGTTCTCAGTGCTGGGCGTTCGAGGAATGGAACATTTGTCAACGTACCAGCATAGAACCCCGTTATTGGCCGAGCTTGACCGCCGGGCGGTGCAATGTAGCCCTTGAAGCGCCGCTGTATCCGGTCACTATTTTGTAGACCTTTTCTTTGCGAGGAACCAGTACTATTGGTATAGACCTCCGAGATCCGGAGGGTTCTCCGCAAAGCCAGTGGCCGAGCGGAGTATGCGAAAGCTTCCATTGTCCTTGGGTTCCAACAGATGGTCGACAAATATTATATCATGTTTTGTTGTGGAAGAAATCTTCAATCGCTAATACGAAATGTGTCTTGTTCTGGTAGAAACATTAGGAAGGGCGTTAAAACTTGTAAGAATGCCAAAGAAAAGAGCCGATGAAGTCATGTTGCGCCGCTTTTCGAGGCCTCGGCTAAACTTTCCTTGTGCACCAACACCATCAACACATTGCCCCCACAACACCACACGCGACGACGCGTCGAGCATTCACATCCCCACCAGTGTTCAATGTCAACAAGTCGCAGGACTACATATTCTTAAATCAATGCCCAGAACGTACTTCAGATCAAGAAAACAGGAAAATTTGTCCCAAGCGCGATTCTGGGCCACCGCCACGACCAACACGGCGCGTTCCCGACAATGGAGGAGCCGGCGCGAAAGAAAAGAAGAACTATATCGCCAGAACCAGACGAAAGACCTTCAAGCCCTCTCAAGCAACCCCCGCGACGACCCTCCTCGGCATTTCATACAGCAACTGGCCCCGATAGACTACAAAGTCCACTCAAACAGCCGCCTCGACGACCATCTGTGTCGCCGACGAAAGCAAGGCCCGATCGATCATCGAGCCCCCTTAAGAAGCCTCCGAGAAGACCGTCGTTCGCATCCCCAACTAAAGCTAGCCTTGCGCGCAATTACCCTAATCTACTGTCGCGGCGCTCACCGTCACCGCAACCAGTAATCACCAGACGAAACGATAAACAGAGCACCTATGTCAATGGCACAGAAGTGCGCGCGCGTGCAATTGGGAGCAAGGGCATACATACAGGGCTAGAGCAAGACGCCGACACAAATGGTGATAGTCGTAAAGCGAATGGGGCTGCGCGGGGATTGAATTCGGGGAGAGTGCTCCAGACCTCTCGCCCTGTTCAGAGAGAGGAAATAGAGCCGGAAGAGTCAGATCTCCCTCTGACGCCACTACAAAAAGAGGTCTCTCGGCCGGGCAAGAGGCGGCAAAACTTGGAGGCAGCTGCGGAAGAACCTACTGGTCCATCGAAACAACCACGCGTTGAACAACAAAATACCAATGGAGTAAAGGAAGTAGAAGAACTCGGGGAAAATGCGAACGAAAACCAGAAGAGCCCACAACATCCTGATCCAGCTCTGGAGCAGAAGAAAAGGGAAATGAAACAACTTACGCAGGAGCTGGAGGAGCTGGAGAACCAGGTGTCGCGATGCACAGAAGAAATTGTCAAGATTCAAGGACAATCCCCGACGCATGTACTTCCTCCGAAAGAGAGAGAAGACCTAATTTCCTTCATCGACACGATCAGCAAAACAAGTCCAGATAATGAGGAGGAAAAGCCCGCATCTCTATCAAATCTGCTCTGTTCATTTCTCCCTTTCTCTACGCAGACGATACCTCTGCCACACTCAAGATTACCCAAGTCGAAACCAGTACCCTCACACCGCCCGCTTGCATTGGATGATCCACTTCCATACCTACAAATGTTCACGAATTTGGACATGACCACTCAACTCGACCTGCCCAAGGGAGAGACACCCTCTGGCTCAGATCACGTTCACCAGAAACACACCATACAATTAACGGCACCTCAGAAACTCCTTGCAGCAACAATTGATCTCGTTATCGACATACAGACCAGCACCATTGTCGACCTTCAGATCATTCGCCTGTCCTACTGGGCTGAACGTGAACTTGGCACATTCATCAGGGAAAAATCTCTGCAGCACGACCTTAGCAACGCCTGCTGGGCTATAGGGTCTTATTGGGAACTTGCCCGAAAACGCGCCGAATTCTGGCACAAATGCGAGGCTGCCTTTGCACATTTGCTTCCTGGTCAGACGAATGATGACACAGAGAATGTTATTCAACGGCAACAAGACGCTAAGACCATGTCGAGGAAGGTGCTGAACCGACACCTTGGGCGGGATATGCTGCTGTTGCAGGATCACCATGTGATGTTACAGCTCAACTGGGCAATTGAATTCGACTGGACTGGCGAAGCGAACTCGAATGTCGGCGTGAGAGCTGCCGTGCCTCAAGTGTGTAAGTTAGATACCGATGATTCTTTGCTACGTTATTTATGTTAACTAATTGCGGATGTAGGGACCGAAACAGATGAAGGCATGAACTTCGACAAGATACCAGAGACTTTCGATATGTTACTGCAGAGCAAAGGAGCTTTCGCAGCGACTAAAACTATGGTGGCGTTGCTGTTTGCTGAGGAGCAGTGAAATACTCATGTTGGTGTCTTCTTGCGTGTATGTGGAACGCTCGAGTCCAAGTGCTGGATCTCCATGATGTTGATGATGTGTTTACGTGTCTGCTACAAGGTTTTGTAGGCTTCGAGCTGTTTTATACCCCAATCATATATTTCTTATCCTGCAATAAGTTCCATGGATTGAATTTTGTGTAACTCAATTGATCAATAGCACGTCTTGATAGTAGCGCTCATATTACCTCCGTACAATATTTTTCTTCTATGGGTTAGGGACAACTTGCCCAGTTGTTTTCATCGTGAACATAGCACCCGCCCTTCACCTACTTCACCGCCCGTATTAGTCACAATCGAACCCAAAAAAGATCCTCGGCCACGCAAACCTCACAAAAAGTAGGTTGGGGGTATGAGGATTTGAACCCTAGACCTATCCCAATCACGCCTTGTCTACATGTTTCAAGGCATCTCTCATGTAGACAGAATGTATATTCCTAGTATAAAAAAGAATGCTAGCAACCAACCCCTGAACCCAAAATGCACAAAGAGTAACAAAACAACTTTCGACATCGAACCCCTACGCACTCCTAAAAGTCCCACACTCCTGATTCAACGGACCAATAATCTTTGCACAGACCGACTTCCACAAATCCCCATCATCCCACGTCTGCGCCCCAGGTTGAGCACGCTCCAATGCAAAACTCAAACATGTCTCGACGACCTTCGCATACTGATCCGTCATCTGCTCGCTTGTCTCGTCGAACCAATCCCTTGCGACACCTTCACGCATCTTAGGATGAAACATGGCCGGCTCGATGCCCTGTTCGCGCTGCGCAAAAGTGCTAATGGGCTCTTCGTTGAAGATCTCCATGAGTAAGATGCCCAGCTCGAGGAACATGAGTCGCGGTTTTGCTTCGTTAGGGATGCTTTGTGCGGCCGCTGCTGCGCTTTCAAAGGTGTAGAGGATCAGAGGTTGCTCGATTTCGATACGGTGTGTTTGGTGGGCTGCTTGCAGCGTTGTCTTGGGGAAGTAGATGGCACGATTAGACCATGCTGTACAGAGCCATTGCGAGGTTTTGAGTTGGAGGAGAGATGCTGCTAGTTTGAGGGCTAGACGGACTTTTTGGCGCGGGAGGATTCGTTTCTGGGAAGAGAGGAGCTCTTCTAGACTGATGGTGTCCCAGGTGGTTGGGGACGGTTTTTGTTGACATGTGCTCAGATCGTAACAGAGCGTCGGGTGGCCGCATCGTAAGAACAGGTCAAGAGATCTTTGCGCACTTTTGGCGCGATCCAGTTCTATGCACAGGTTTTTGACCTGGTCGAGCGTGTCTTGGGGAATACTAGGACCCGGCGTGCTGACGGTGATTGATGGTGGTATTTGTGTATTACTGCTTTGTGATGTAGCGGGACTTCTGCGCGTGGAATTAATCACTGGTAGAGTGCAGTGAAAAGAGAAAGAACGAAGACATACGAGTGGATCTTCTGGGATATATCGCCCTCCATCACAGTCACACCCACTTCATGCCACGCCGGTGATAGTTTTACGTCTTTTGGCCAATCATTGAGCAGCGTGCGGAAGTTGAAGGAGCTGATCCCGCAACTGGGCCAGCCTGTAGTAGAGAATTTTGGGGTATCAAGAAACAGTGCGACATTGTGGGACGGATGGCAGCTCAATACCCATGCCTGATATCAAAAGTTCAGATGTCAATCTCGACAGTGATTGCGCAGTACGTACTTTACAGAAGGCCTCAAAGAGCCTGTCAGTGTAGGAGCGGACCTGTCGCAGGAGTGAGGCCATAGCGCTCGCTTTTCTCTCGTCCGGAATGATCTTCGATACTTGAATATTCTTTAGTTCTTGGAGCTCCTTGTTGTCCGTAAGGATTCTACTCATTTGCGAATTAAGTTCGTGGAGTTCTTTGGTTAGCGATTTTATAGTGGGTTCTTCAATCAGATACCAGACTCGTTTCGATACAAGTTTTCCATCAAGATCCTCCGACAGAGCAAGCTTTCTTATATCTATACGGGTCAGCCGCACCAAGGAAGACTCTTTCTACATGAAATTAGCAAACACAACATGAACACTGATAAATACTTACTTTTCGAGACCTTTGGACGGCGTGGAGCGCGTTGGCGATATCGAGAAGTGTGGACTCGAAATCCTCCATCAACTCCTTGAACTGGGCTTGCTTTGTATTCCCAAGATATTTTTGCACCGCCTGCCCACTGTTCCCCGTCAAAATCTCCGACCAGTGATCGCTCCCGACGGAGATGTTGATACCCGAGGCATTGCACGCCGCAAGAAGCAATTTATCGAGGTTGTCCTCCAGCCAAATCTTCTGTTCCGTCACCCCTCTTATGAGCTTTTTGAGTGAGCTATCGTACTTGACTGATCGCTTGATACTCTTGATACTCTTCTGGTACGCTTTCAGACCTTCTATCACCAAAGGAATCGCCCCAAGGACAACACCCGCAATTTCCACTCCTGCCATGTCTATCGGCTTGTCATAGTCAGTCCACTCTCGTGAACTATACCAAAGAGTATCTTGGAGTTTCGAATGCCTGGGCTGGGTCAAAGGAGATCTCTCTTGTGGGGTGGGAATCTATGGGATGGATGTCGACTGCCGTGCACGGTGCATGACAAGGCTGAAGATGACTTCCGCCAACTCGCTTAAGTTATCACACCCATGTCAGACAAGTATTCTACAGCGTATCATTGGAGAGACGATTCTCATGGCGATGCAGCGGGCGTCGTTGCCCCACTCCGGTGAGGCAATCGTCTTTCATCCAGCACATGGCGACTATCAACTCAGCACAATGTAAGGGTGTCAGATGATTGTTCTATCGTTCATGATCGTTCATTCGGTATCATTCAATCATGGAAACTGCCACACTACGCGAACTTGGAAGAGATGTGTTGCTACAGTTTGGGACGGCTTTCCTAGCGCTTTCCACCGAAACGAATCGACAACCCGATGTCGGTAGCGAAGACACATTCGAGAACAGTCGCGAAAATTTCAATGCAGAGCAAGAAAGATTTCAGTTGTGGGCAGCCAATCTAGGTTTACAAGCTTCAGGTGATCGTTCACTCGATTACCGAGTTCAAGATAGCCCGAGCGTCAAGTCTTACACGCGACAGCTTCTTGAAGAACTTATTGATGACCTTAAGGACTGTAAGGGGAAACCTTCGGTTGCCTTCAAGAAAGGTACTGACAATATGTAGTACCCAAGCTTTTAAGGGATGGACCTAGTGAGGCGGCTGCAGATCAGTGGAGTGAAGAAGATGATGATGAGGCAGAGCAAGATGACGAAGAGGAAGGAAAGGAAGAGACACAAACGACCTCCGACCAAATTCTGCCCGGAAGTCCTGCGGACGAAGACGATCCTGAAGATGACTCATCGGAGGCTGGAAGCGAAGAAGCTGAGTACGTTGAACTTGGAAGTACTGCAGAGGCCGTTCAATCAACGATAGAGGATATTTCCGATATCATCGACCGCCTTTATCGACTCGCTTCAAAGCTCCGAAATTCGGCTACAAGAGCTCCTCCTTCAGCGCGTAACTTCTATAGAGAACCTCTGATGAATGCTCAAGGGGAGGAGATACAACTGACGCAAAGTGAGCGAAAGGCGGCAAAAGAACAAACTGAGCAATTCCATCAGCAGCGCATCGAGGAAATTGTTCTTCAAACACTGCGCGACGAAAGAGACGAGCCATATACCAAAACATATTGCACTCCATATCTGAGCCCGCGTACAACAGCAGTGATCCGTCGCATATCGGTGGCGAACGCGTACCGACAGCAGCAGTTCGCATTCTGGAGATCAAGGGAATGGGATCGAAGGCATGCGGTAAAATATCAAGCCGCCGACATCGCTAAACCTCTCTTAAAGGCGGAAGGGCCTCAAAGTGACAATCAGGAGGCACAGCGTGGATTAGATGGATTGCTGAACAGACAACCATTTCCAACTGCACGCAGTGAAAACCAGAACCCCTTCTCCGAAGCACCGTCAGCGACTTGGAAGATGTTGAAAGAACCTACACTTTCTGAACTTGATGATACTCGGTCCTTGACGTCCAAAACTGAATACACATCCTCGCCGACGATTTACGAGCCTAGCGGTAGGAAAGTAGGATGGCCTACCTTTCCAAAAGAGCTTGGGAAGAAGAAAGATTTCATCTGTCCTTATTGTTTTGTGACATGCCCAGCAAATTATAGGGGCAAGGGTCACTGGAGGTATGCGAAGCAACAATTGTACATATCTTCGTTGACCATTTGATTGACACAAAGCAGAGCTCATTTGATCCAAGACCTTCAGCCCTACACGTGTACGGCTGAGAAGTGCGATGAGGGCGATAGCAAGCCGCTCAATACGTGGGACGAATGGATTGTTCACGAGCAAGTCCATCACCGAATGGAGTATACTTGCCGGTACCATCCGGAGTCAGCTTTCTCAAGTAGAGATCAATATTTAGAACATGTTGGACAAGAACATCCGCATCAACAGAACGAATTGTTAGACCCTGACCATATCAACGCAAACGCTCAGCTTACACCAAAACCTCGCGATGGGTGCCCGATTTGCTCATATCAACCGGAAACTTGGCAAGACATGGATAAGCACTTGGCCTATCATCTAGAGAATCTGGCCCTTCTTAGTCTTCCACTGGCAACTGGACTCGAGAGAGAAGATGCAAATATGGGATCCCTTCAGCAGGAAGGTGGTGAAGACGATGCCATGGGGCTTCTTGATGGCGATGCAGCAGGAGCTCTTTCTAGTCTTTTCGAAACTATCCCTGCGCCATTAGCTGAGGATGGCACTTCGTTAGAGCAAGGTGAAGTGCTCACAGAAGAGGCTTTGTCCAAGCATTTGGAAAATGAGATGTCGGATGGACCGCCCCCTAACATGTTGCAAGATGAACATGCACCCGAAGATCTTGAAAGAACAGATTACGAGACAGGGGTGGGACTTTACGAAGCGATGGCTTTCTGGGATCTGCAACACATCGACCATCTTTTTCCTAAGGCCAGTCAAACCCTGAAAGACCGCCTTGCACGAGCCAACACCGACCGAAGACGACGCATGGATATGTTACAGCTCCGAAAGACGACGAAACCCTCCAGTTCCCGAGAAAATGAGAAGAATGAAATCCTCTCCCGCGCACTGCAAAAAGCGAACACTGCAGTTTTGCTGGACAACGCGGAAAACTTTCAGGGTGCTATAGAAGCGTATAGCGACTCTTGTGAATTATTGCAACAGGTCAGTTTCAAAAGTAATGTAGATGCGGATAAGAAAAAAGTAGAATCTATTGTAGGTTTACATGTACTCTTAACGTGACCTTCTGTCACATCCCACCTTTCTACAGCGTACTGACGATGTGCTAGCGCTTAACATACCTGAACCGGATCGAGGAGCTCAAGCATTCACAGTCTTCCAATTTAGATGATGCAAATCCGAATAGCACCAAATATTCCATTAAAGAGATGCCAGATCACCACCCGATACCCAGCGGAAGCCCTCTGGTGCCGACAGTACTGGAATCAGACCATCTCAGTATCAACATGCTTGCAACAGAGCTCATGGAAAATGCTGGAGAGGAAATCAAACAGCAGTATATGCAGGAAGTAGACCAATGGCCTGAGGAGAAAAAACTGGAGTTGAAAAGACAGGGCATCCATCCGAGCTTTGTCAGATATCGAATGCAAGCCGAGAAGATGATCGAGAGTGGAAAAATTACGAAGCATCAATTGCAATTCCTGGAAAATTCAAGAATTGAGAGTTTGAACCAATCAATGGCTTATGAGTTGTTCGTTGTTCGGTTTAATCAGCTACGTGTTCTGTCTATCCACTGCCCCATATGCAATTTGGAAGCAGACTATCTCTCTCCGTAAGTTAGGCCACCAAAAACATTCAGACCAGATCATCGCAATAACAGGATGCCCTTCAGATATCATATTGAGCAAGACGTCCCACCATATGTTTGTCTATACGAAAATTGCAGTTCAGGCGATATGCTGTATAGCCAAGCTTCATCACTCCAAACCCACATGTCCAGCCATTTAGTCCCTCTTGAGGGCGAGGATATGACATGTCCCTTGTGTTTGGAGGCCTCATTTGACATAAGTCACATAGTTGTGTGCTTACAACGCGCTGCTTCTTTTGTGCTTCCACGGAATCTTTCTACACAACCGGATACGTCATCTGATTTTTCTGGGAGTGCGAAGAGTGATTGGGATATAGAAGAAGCCGACGACAAAGCTACGGAGAAAGAGCTCCCCAAGCCGCTGCCAGAAAATGACTGGGACTTACACGAAGAAACCAACTTCGACCAAATGCTGACCCCTCATGTGGTCGATGATGCAAATCTGCCTGCTGTTGGTTCACATCCAAACTCTGAAGCAGACCCAGGCTTCGACTTCACTAGCTTGAAAACAGAACTTCGGCGCATCGAAGATGAGCGTCTTGGAGTAAGAAAACACAGAAGTTCTTCATATCCCTCAACCGAAGATCTTCCCGGTTTCTACGAGTCCAAAGAAGAAAAAGTGCCCGATATCTCACAGACCAATTCCTCGAATTCCACTACCGAGGAAGAAGTCGGGAAAGAGCAGGAGCGAGACGAGAGTGTCGACCCCCCGGATACAGCTCGAAAAGGTTCATTACAGGATAGCGATCTAGTCTTACCTGTGACTGATCCAGAATCTCTTCCTGGCATTGCTGAAAGATACGATACTACAGAGCCCTCCGCTGTCACAGGGGACGATGATGTCTTAAGCATCGCCTTGCGTATCGACACTTCCTATGACCCCGATGAGACTATACTCCGTCCCGAGATCAAAACACAGACAAACGAAGAAAAGGTGATGGACAAAAACATGATATTCGAACCCTCAGTTGAAAGATCGTATGAAGAAGCGGATAGCCCGAGATCATATGACGAAGCTGATAGCCCAAGATCAGTAATTGAACGAGAAATTGGAAAAGTTACCGAGTCCATTCAGGAAGCTTCGAGTTTCCCAAAGTCAGAATGGATGCCAACTGGGAACTGGCCCGGAGATGATACATCTCCAAACGTCGAGAGCAGTCAAGCCGGTGGTGGTGCTCATTCTAGCATGCCTGAAAACACGAGCTCTGCATTGGGTATCGACGCAGCGGTGACTGTCAGAGGCGATGCGGAGAGACAGTCAGTGCATCATACCGATATGAACCCACCTGCGTTGGATCCAGCTTCCGAGTCGGATATAGAGAGACGCGAACAAGAACTTCATCAGCAAGAAGACTGGCCAGATCCGGTCGACCCTGATGCTTTATATTGGTTCGAAAATCCAGGACCAATCGAAAGCCAACCATCACCCCAGAACCAAAGTATACAACAAGATCGGCTGCGTCGTGCCCGGCTGCAACCAGATGAGATGCTATCCCGAGATCAACATACACGAAAAGAGCGGCTGCATCAAGCCCTAATGCCACGCAAAGAATCTAAAGCTGAAGATCTATTCAAACGATTGAGATCACGCGTTGATCACACACCTAATGACCCTACCCAATCCACTAAAGATAGTGGCAAGGAAACAGATTCATTCGTTCAATCCGCGGAACAGGCGATACTTGAGCCCAAACGCCCTCTGGGTCCTCGGACAACTACAAGGCAGGAGCAAATGCATTCGACTAGATCCTCTGGCACCAAGCCTCAGATTATTTCTGGCAGTGGTAATGTATTGACAAAGATTCAAGAAGACGGAAAAGAAGCTCCAAAGCTTCCGTTGTATGGCGATATCGATGTGGGCATTCCGAATCTTCGGGAAGCGGATGAGGAGAAAGATAAGTATCGGAGAAGGTGGGCGGAGGATGAAGAAGAAAAAAATTCTGGCTATTACGATTAGAGTAGTGAGTGTAGCCCTACGCAACGAGTGGATTATCGTTGTTTGATCGTGAATTGCGTGGCACTTGCTCTCGTCTCTCTTTCTTGCATGTCACGTTACACAATACCCCGGACGAACGGTGTTAAAGTAATAAAGAGTTCATTCTCTGATAGCAAGGTATATTGAAATAGTGGCCAAGATCATCTATCCTGTACACACTGTGTCAAGACCGATATAATCGAACAGCCCGGTGATTAGGCTTTGATATAACCCCTCCATCTCAGCCCGGTACTCAAAACCCAGATCCAATCCGCCGGATCCAGCTCAGTAGCCACAAGGGCCCCTACGATATCGGCCTTCCCATTGTCCTCACTTGTACCTATAGCACGTGAAGCTATTGAACAGCTTGTTCTCCCCGCCGAAATTGGGGAGATCCGCGCGCTTGACGGTATTGTAATTGGAACAGCCGTAGGACCTATTCCCGCCTCATCAACCTCCGACATCAGGAAAATGATGCACAGCAGCGGTGACATGCGCACAACGAAAAGAAGCACGAGACAAGAACCGTCTAGGGGAGGCCAGCAGGAGGACTTACTTGAAGAAACGGCACTCCCATGGGAGACCTCTGCCATCCAAGACTTTGAAGGAGGACAGCCAGTTATCGCTAACGAGTTAGCCTAGTCCTGCATTCATCATTCCCAGCGACGGCACAGTGATCGACTTGGAAGGAAGGATTCACAAACCCGTAGTAGCCCAAGTTGACACACTGAGCATTATCCCTGGTTTGTCGGTCGACATCCGCTCGTCCTCCCCATTTGAGGGCCTTACCCTTGTATTTTTGCTCTCCGAAAAGCTTGATCTGTGTACGCCATGGGTGTCAGCGTCGCTGAAGACAAATTTTGCACGTCAGATATGAACTATGGTGTATGAAACATACGAAAGGGGTCCTCCCATTGGCAGTAATTTCATCGACATCAGAAACCGCGACGTCAGGGACGGAGACCTCGGCTTGGAGAGCAGGATCGAAGATGGTGGTGGCAGACACGGAGTCGGCAGGGTCGACAACGGCGGTTGCCACAGCCACAGAGGGGAGAGAAGAAGTGGTCAAGCAAGTGACACTCGCCATAAGTGCGAGAAAGAAGGATAGGAGCAACATTGTATTCTTGATTGCAAGATGCGTGGGTGGGTGGTAGGATGCGGCTTGGTGGAGGTAAACAGGTTGTAGGGCTGAGGTATGTTGGAGTATCGTGTATAAAAACGAGCGTACGTTTTAATAAACGGCAAAGGTGATATAGATAGAGCCCGCTCATGGCGCACTTGACAGTAATTGAAGCGAAGTAAGTGCATGTGGATGAATGAGGAAGTGAGGATTGTCCTAGTGGGCTCGTGATAGTACACACACAGCAGCCCGTCCACCCTCACTTGGCTATCGTGGAACTCGAAGCAATTGAAGCTCTTGAACAAGCCATTGCGGGGCGGGGTGACTTTTCGCATGTTCTGCCGTGCGTGAGGACAAGTGCATGTAGTCGACAGGCGGGAAGACCAATGCGCTGGTGATCACCTATCGTACAGATATATCGAGTACAAATCACTTCATTTAGCAGCCGTTCCAAAGCAAGGCTGAGTCCAGAGCCCGATATACGCTGTTACAGGAAACAATACCACATCAATAAAATTGAGCAATAGAATGTTGCTGAATCGTGACGCAAGTCGTCTTTTACCAAAGTCATATAAGTTCCTCGACGGCAAGAGCTGAGAATTACCAGGTATCCCTACTACAAAACTCACATACATATAATGAAAAGCGGAACAACAGATTGCAGGGCTCAATATTCTTCCACGCTGAGTACACGTTTATCAACTAAATCCTCTTGGTAATCGTATGTTGCTTGGTTCCTTTATTGTTATAAATCTATCGCCGTGCGTAGGAGGACCCTAATTTCCACTATACAATTTACAAACGCCTATAAGCTCACAAAGTCGACTTGACGTACGGTAGTTCTCTACAGACGGCTGGTATACGTCCGTGTCCCACGCGGCACAGTACGTTACACAGCACACTTACACAACAAGTGACAGCCACTCACGTCATCTCCGTAAACCTTCAGCCCCCGGTGGCCTCATTGGATTATGAGGTATGCAACACGCAACGGCCCTGCATCACCTACCAAAACAAGGTCCAACATTATAACTTGCACTCTCATACATTGTCATCCACTTGATCAACTAGCAACAAAAATTAAAAACAAAAACAAAAAAAAAGTATTGATGTTCTACTACAGAATACCTACTCGCACTTAGTTGATACAAAGCAACATGTATACCCTAAAACCAAGTCTATCCAAGAGCTCCAATAGAAACAAGTCCAACAACAAGTCCAACAGCTACAAAGCCCAACAAAAGCAACTCCAGAAAGCAAACAAGAAGAAGGGAAACCCAAAAGACACAAAATAACAAGGGTAATCCCACCCCTTGATTCAAACACTCGTGTTATAAACAATAACCACTCTCTCCTTGGTAGAATCTTGCAGGTATAAAGATATCATGAAATGCACACAAGCACATACACAAATACACACAAACACATGCTAGATGTAAAGCATTCAAGTGTTTGAATACGAAAGTGGATGGGTAGTATGCACATGTATATCAAGAATGGATCTAGGACGAGTGAAGCAGATGGTGGTAGTATGATGTCTAATCTGCTCTTGCACAGAAGAGTATGCACACCAAGAGCAAGCGAGCAAATGTATAATTCTAAACACGTGAAGAAGTGTCAGTGGGCCATATGACGAAATAGAATCGGGAATGTTGATCGCGATGCAAGATGAGATGAGCATGATGGAATGGGAGAACAAAGATTTGCCGATTGCGATCTGCGGTCGGTTCGATTAGGATGAAGAGGTCCAGTTTTGATTTGCCGAGGGTTGGTGAAGGGACTGTCGTCATGGTCCACATCCAAAAAACCAATTGATGTTCCGGGTCCTGGCGTAGCGGGTGGAGCAAAGTCCCTCGAGCCGATCGGGATTAGCGGCTGATAGGCGATGATGCCGGTAGCCTATCAGTAGAGCCGAATTTGCCCCGGCGCGAATGAAACGCACTAGCGCATGTGTTGGCGTAATGGGCGTTCATCGGCTGTCTGAAACGCAGACGCGTCCTTGACAGTTGTTGAGGGGGAGGAGACGAGGGGAAGAGGGCAAGCAAACGAAGAGCCGTCTCTGTCTGTGCAAGGATGAACACTGGAGGCAGATGCGATGAGGACGGATTGGAGATGAGGCCGAGGAAGAAAGGGTCTCGATGATCAGTGCGCAACAGCGAGTACACGTACACATACGTAGTCTCGTCAAGAAATGACTAAGGCACGCGGACTAAGGCGACGTGGAGCAAGGGTCCTACTGGTCTGGCAGCGGCGGCTTGCGGCTTGCAAGTCGAACGGCCCCTGGGGCCGCTCGGGTCGAGGGAATTGAATATTCATCGTCGTTGAGTGGATGCTAAGGGAATTTTGGAGCAGAAAAACTGCGCTGGTTTTTATGTACTGTTTCAGGCATTGGGACGTTGGCTGCGTGTCCAACGGCACAGTTGGTTGGGGATTTCGCCTTGACGCGGACGGACATGTGCCACCAAAGTCCGGTCGGGATTGCACCGGTACGAAAGGTACATGGTTACATGGGTACTTGCAAGGGCATGGCAGCTGAGAGGCGCCTGTCTGTACTGCGTGTGCAATTCTTGCATATCGCACATGGCTACATCTGGACGATAGGATCAGAGTCCTATTGTACAGTTGCTCCGTGCCATGAACAGAGATGCCGAACAGCCGAGAAAAGGAGGTTGTATTCTGGTGACCCATTTCCATGTCTGGCTCTGGCCATGAAGCTCGGAATGGATGTACAAATGACATGGTCGGCTTGGTGCGCTGTGCTGTGCTGCCAGGCGGTGCACTGTACTGTGTAAGCCTTCCAGACCCGAATCGAACTCGAGTCGACGGGCGCTAGGCCGAGTGATTGGCTCAGGGGGTACGTTGCTCGTCCGTTTCTGGAAGACGCCCATCTGAACCTCGAATGTACCTATGTACCCATGTGGAGATGGATGTTGGGACAAGCCTGCATGTGAAATACACTTTGCTAGTGAAGCGGGAAAATTCTGAAGGAAGACGAAAAAATGAGATTGATGAGGAAATTAGAGGGCAAGCATGGCGAGGAACGTGGTGAAGATGATGATGACAATGTGCAGCAAGTTGGGACGGCCAGTTCAATATAGAGTTTGCAACGGCGCGAGGACTAGACGCTGATTATGTGGAGAAGATGAGAAGATGGATAGATGCTCGGTGAATGATTGAATGAATGAATGCCTTGACGGTGGCCGTGGCAGAAAGGCCGGACAGGCACAGAGAGAGAGAGACAGACAGACAGACTCTGCGGGAATTCCGGCGACAGGCTAGCGCTGTTTCAAAATAGAAGCCGCTGCCGCCTCCCCCCTTCCTTTCCTTGGTTCGTTCCTGCATCTCTGGGACGGCGCTACCCTGGATCGGGTCGGTGTGGCGCACCCTTGTCCCACCAGCCTAGCCCTCGTCCAATCCGTCAAAGAGAGAGCAAAAAAGCAACCAACCAACCATTGAATCCCCTAAAACCCTCCGTCGTGGCGCAATCCCCCGAACATTCACCATCACCATTGTCTTTCTCCTCTTTTTTTTTTTTTCTCTCCATCTCTCTCTCTATCCTCCTCCTGCTTCGCTTGCACTGATTGACGCGCAGTGCCGCTTTGGCTTGCTCCACCGCTCATTCAACTTGACTCGGAGCTTCATCTCAAAACGACGGCCGGTCCTGACCTTCCCACATTCTTTCCAATCTAGCTCTGCTGTTCGTCCCACATACCACCACCACCACCACTACTACCGCGGTGCTCGACGCATCATCCTTCCACATTCCACATCCCACCACCCTCATTCCTACCCACCACCACCACTACCATTCGCTTCCACTCAGTCCGTCTCCGCCGCCGTCGCTCTTTGGCTCGCACGGTGACTGACCCCCCGCCTGCCTTCCCCTCATAACCACCCCAATGTCCAACCCTCCCCAACCAAAGTCTCCTTCCTTTCGTCTGTCTCGTCAGGGCTTCCAACCGCTCAGCAACAACGATATGAGGGGCACCGACGATATCCCCCTCCAGACCGTGGTCAGCCACACCCCATCTCACACCCCCACCATCAAAGAGCCTTCAGAGAAGAGCGGCCTGTTCCACCGCGGAAAGAGACGAGTCCAAAAGGTCGATTCAAAGGGCAACTATGACGCCTCCACAGTCCCGCCTGTCGAGGAGGAATCCACCGCTCTCAACCGCATGGGCAGGTTCTACCTCAAAGTCCTCAATTTCAGCATCATCACTCGCTACATGATCTACGTTGCTCCCATCGCTCTTATACTGGCTATCCCCATCATTCTCGCTGCTCTCAAGGACATCACCAAGCCAATTGGCCAAGGCAAGAACGCCAATGGCGATGTCCTCCATGGCGCCGATCCCAAGCTTTTCTTCATCTGGATCGAAATCATCTGGCTCAGTTTCTGGGTCTCCAAAATCATCGCCCACTTCCTTCCTCGTGTCTTTGAGTTTCTCGTCGGCGTCGTAAGCCCTGGTGTCAAGAAATACGTTCTGCTCCTGGCCGCTCTCGAGCGCCCTCTCTCTTTTGTCTTCTGGATGATCGTCAACCAGGTCACATACCAAGCTCTCGTCGCAAACCCCACCCCGAATCCAGACGCTGCATGGATCGACAAGGTCGCCTCGTTCCTGCTCGCTCTGCTCGTTTGCACCTGTATCATTCTCGGTGAGCGTTTGCTCATTCAGCTCATCAGCATCAGCTACCACCGAAAGCAATTCGATGGCAAGATCAAAGAATCCAAGCGTAACATTCAACTGTTGGGTGTCATGTACGATGCCTCGAGGGCTCTATTCCCGGCTTACTGCAACGAGTTTGCCGAGGAAGACTACATCATTCAAGATCAACTGGGTTTCGTCCTGGGTAGCAAGAAAACAACCATGGGCCAGCACACTCGCACAGGCTCAAAAGCACCCATGCGCTTGGTGCAAAATGTCGGCCGTGTTGGAGACAAGGTCACATCCGGTAAGTGTCTCCTCGCTTCTGTTGGCAAGCTCCCCACCATCACCAACTAACCCCGTGCTAGTTTTTGGAGCCGTCGCCCAGGAAATGACTGGCAAGAAGGTTTTCGATCCGAACTCGGCGCATAACATCGTCTTGGAAGCTCTGGAGAGCAACCGCTCTGCCGAAGCCCTGGCGCGCCGCATCTGGCTCTCTTTCGTTGTCGAAGGCAAAGACGCTCTATTCCAAGAGGATATGATCGAGGTCATGGGACCCGGCCGACAAAAGGACGCCGAGGAGTGCTTCAGCTCGCTCGATCGCGATGGTAATGGCGATATCAGTTTGGAAGAGATGATCCTCACCGTGACCGATTATGGCCGTGAACGCAAGTCCATCAGCTCCAGTATGCACGACGTCGACCAGGCCATCAATGCTCTGGACGGTCTTCTCTTCGTGTTTGTCTTCATCATCTGCGTTCTCGTTATCGGTATGTTACCCCAGAAAGGACTTGTTATTTTTCTCGCTCGTGAGCACGTCACTAACAGTCGGTAGTCTGCTTCATGAGCCCCACATTCACTACCACCCTGACTACATACACGGCTTCTCTCCTATCTCTGTCTTTCGTCTTTGCTGCTACTTGCCAGGAAATTCTCGGTTCCTGCATCTTCCTCTTCGTCAAGCATCCATTCGATATCGGCGACCGCGTTGACATTGCCACGGACCAACTCACTGTCGAACACATCTCTCTTCTCTACACGGTCTTCAAGCGCGTCAGCAACGGTAAAACCGTGCAAACACCCAACATTGTCCTCAACAACCTGTGGGTTGAGAACATTACTCGTTCCAAGGCTATGAGAGAGCAAGTGCCCATCTTTGCTGCATTCGACACGTCGTTTGAGGACATCAACGCATTGAAGCAAGAAATGATCACTTTTGTCCGCGATCCTGCAAACACTCGTGACTACTTCCCCGAAGTGGAGGTCGAAGTCATTGGTATCGCTGAAATGAACAAGCTTGAGCTGCGCGTGGAGATTCGCCACAAGAGTAACTGGTCCAATGAAAGTCTTCGCGCCGCCCGGCGATCCAAATTCATGTGTGCTTTGGTCGTGGCTCTCCGAAAGGTCCCTATCGCCGGTCCCGCTGGCAGCGATGTAGGCTTGGGCGATGCCAACAAGCCATCATGGTCGGTAGCTATCTCGCCCGAGGAAGCTCAAGCCGTGCGACAGAAATATCTCGATGGCAAGGATGCCGCACGTCTCTACCCTACCAAGAAGGATGATCCCGATGATAGTGGCGACAAGGGTGATGGGGGCAAACCTTCCGGCATGTCTTCAGGCACCGACTATTTGGGCTTAGGCCCCGAAGGCAAGGCCATCAGCTCTTTAAACAACCGCAAACCTGGCGTGGATAACGTTCGCGATGATACCTGGGTCTACCGTGACGACGCTACGATCGGCCGCCCTAGTATCGATGGCCAGCCCCCTGCGGAGACTGAAAATCTTCTGCACAAAGCTACGAGCCATGGCGGCAGACGCAAGCAGGGTGGGACCCTTTCGCCCTACACTGTACGGCCCTCAACGGACTCGCAGCGTAGCCACGGTGTGCCAAGCAATACCAGCAACCCTTACGCATCCCCTCCTGGACAATCTGCCCAACAGGGACTCCGTAGTCCCGCGAGTGTCACTTCCGCATCCACGGGATATACAGGATATGCCGAGGAGCACCAATTCCAGCCCATGATGCCCCCGACTGGTCCACCCAGGCCTAATGCAGGTGCGCCGCCTCAACAGCAGCAGTCATCCACCAACCCGTACCGCGCCGCTTCACCAGAAATGAGGCAATATCAGCAGAGGCCGTGAACATTAGTTGAGGACCAGTAAAAGTTTTATTTTTGGGCATGATTGTACAATATATGGCGAAAGAAAGACGGAAAAACTGTCAAGTTTTACGCAGTCATGAATTTCCTTCTTGTTGGTGGGGTGTACATAGGCAATGTCAGCATCGACTCTTGGGGCATCTGTGGTACTTGCCCTTTTCTTCTTCTACCCCTTTTTTTTTAGGGGTTTTATCGGGCACTGTTCATTTTGCATGGGATTTTGGGGTTGGATTTGTTTAAAGTGACTGAAGGTTGGACCAAAACAACAGCGTACATATAAATCGTCTTGGTTCAATTTCAAAGTAATTGATTATTTGATCGCACTTTGTTACCATGTATTCTTCTCAAAAGAAAATGTTGCTTCTTGCCAATCCAATCTAGACCCATTTATTTGCAGGCGAGATGTGAACGCGATATTCCGCACCTCACTCTCTTGTCAAAAGTCGAACAAGTACTTAGTGGCTTGGTCCGTTTGGTTACCGCTCGTCATTTTGGTTTATTCTTCGTTGTCACCCATCGCTGTGTGTAGGATCACCTAAACTCCAACTTGAAATAAATTTAAATAAAAAAGTACTTAGTGGCGGCGCATCAATGTTCCAGAACCTCTCACTTGTGGTGGATCGGTTCCCGACAAGAAGATCAACATGCGCACCCAAGACAAAAATCCACATCAGCCAGCGTGCCACAAGTTTTCCCAGAAGCTTTTCGCTATATACTTATTCGCCGAATGCTGATGACAGCGTACGTGTACCTAGGTAGTCTTTTTCTCCTTGCCCTTGTCCGGCCCCTTGGCTGCCTCGACATCCTCATCCGCCCCCGTCTGTCTACAAAACATGGAAGAGAAAGAGCCCTCATGCGGGGCGTGGCCTCGAGGAGATGCGTTCGATTTTCTCTTTATTCCCGCATCATCACTGTCTTGCGAGGCCGTGGGGCCACGATACCAGTTTGTAATCCACCCGCGCAACTTGCGCCTCTGGTCGACGCCCAAGAGGGCCACGACGGCGATCAGGTACGTCACGCCTGAGACGGAGGCGAAGACGGTCCAGAACTGGCGCTGCGTGGAGCCTATTTCGTCCCCGGTATCGAAGAGGTGCATGCCGTAAAACGTCTATCGGGCACGGCAATGTTAGATGTGTGCCTCGAGGGTAAGTAAAGTCCATAATCTGCCTACATACCGCGACGAAGGCCGGAGGGAGGTAGAGGATTGTGACGACGGTGAAGATGAGAAGATAGTGGTTGATATCGGTGCTCTTTATAGCTTCCTTGACCGATAGTGCGCTGAATAACTGGTTTCGCGTTAGGTCTTGCGAACTTGCCACCACTTTGGGCCTCGAGTCTGATAGCCAACTTACCCCGTCTTGGAGACTTTTGATATCATCGGTCTTCCGCAATATGCGCGCTAGAAGTGCGTCTGCGGCCTTTTTATGACGATATAGGACGACATCCCAGTTCTGGGTGATGGTTGCTATCTCGCGGTTGATCTCGTCCGAGCGCTGGTAATACCATACAGCGCGCTCTTTAAGATTTGTCTGTGATTTCCCTACTAGATTCTCAAGGTCAGATACGTTCCGTTCGATCGATTCCGAGAAAATGCGAAGTAGCTGCAGTAGACTGAAATACAACGCAGACTGTTGGAGCTTTTCGTCGTCGTACATGTGCCTCTCTCGCGAATCTGGATCGAGAATATCGTTGACCTGCAGACAGTTCAAAAGTTGGAGGTAGTACACACTTCTTAGGGGATTGGTTTTCGAACCTTGACAGTCAGCACGGCGTCAATCTGAAGGAGCATTCTTGTCCAGTCGTCTTCCCACGAATCCATCGAAGTACATAATTGATGCTGAAACACAACCAGGCCACTTAGACGAGGACAATGCTCAACGTCATAAACGCCTTTTTTTTCTGCGTATTTCAAGCTATCGACGCGCTCGGGATCGGAATCGACGAGGGTGACAATGGCGAAATTCCCATAATGCGAGCCGTACGGGCTTATTGTTACGCTATGGGAATACCGTCGTTCTGTCACCGAGAACAGCTTTTTCCCTAAGAGCGATAGAGAGGCATCCTCTCTTTCACACCTTATTCCAAAAGGATTATTTTTAAGGTTGTCTCCTGGGTGAGGATTCTCGAACCCAGTTATGAAGGATTGCATGTGGTACTCAAGAAAAGTAGTTCCCGACCAATATGCGGACCAAAACCGTGGTGTATTTGCTGGCCAGATCGTTGCGTGACGGGCAAGAAAATTGTGCGAACACAATTCCACATTCTGGCCATGGGCGGAACAAGTCGCGCTCAGGATCTGGAAAATGAAGGCAGCTGCATCGAATCCGAGTAAAGCTACAGACCTATTGAGCCAAGTGGCCTCCACGACGCTACCTCCCGTTAGCAATCACGAAAATTTCAGGCGACCTAACCGGTTAACAAACCACAATAGCCCACAACGATCAAAGTCCTCACTCCCTGGTGTCAGAGGGGGGGTTTCGAAGGGCTGAATTAACGTCACCTTCGTGAGCACTATCTTCTTCAGATGTGGACAATGAAATTGGAAACATAGTTGTACCAACTAAATGGAAAGTCATACTCCACGAGAGCGTCTCATGGGCCTCATTTGAGGTACACGAAACATTGGATCATCTTCATAGTCAAAAGTGCAAAACTTATCTCGAATATGTAATTTCCGGCCGTCCACAATTCTCGGGCCATCAAAGTAACCCATCGTCGGGATGCTTTTTGGCCAATGCTTTTGTAAGGCGATTTTCATTTCGCCAAATTCGTCGTCCGACAGGCCTTCAAGAGCTCGAGCCCACAATTTTTCTTGATCTCCCTCTTCAAAGGAAAACTGAACACTGGGCCTCTCAACCGCTATAGTTCTCGACGTCGGGGAGGACCCTGAACCTCTAAGCCACGACATGAATCCGTCGAAGTTTTCGTTGAGAGATTCGTTAGTGGAAAGGACTCCTTCCCAAAAATATAGGGAATAGACGGGCGGATCTCTGCTCTTTCCCGGTTGGTCAGACTCCAGCATTTCCGACTTTTCCTCTCCCTCTTTGACTCTGAGCATCTCTTTCATAACCTCGATAAATTTCCCTTGCTCTTTGCGGAGCTGGCGGATTTCTTCGAGGAGTTGTTGCATGGCATTGCCCTCGTCATGGGCAGCATTACCAGGATGGTTTGATGCCGTGGTGCTAACGGTATTAGTCGAATCGATGCTCGGAGACATTCTGCCAGAGGCGGAAAGAATTGTAAAAATTCCGTTCGACACGCTACTCTATCGAGCAGGAATGATGAGAGACCAGATTTTGGATCACAAATCTCAAATGTAGCCGCGGAGCGCCCTGGCCCCACGTGTCTTGTTTCGATTGGTCGAACATGTACGCAAACTCGCCTCCAGAGAATACCTTCCTCGCCATCTCCGCAACAAAGCGCTTGGTGTTTCAAACACTCCAGTTGTCTATCTTACCTTTTCCACAACTGCGAGCAGACGATTCAGATCGCTAGCGTAATCCGCCGCACTGGCAAAATTTGTATGGAATCGCACCCCTGACCAACGTGGCTCCGCGAGATAGACTGATCAGTGGTAGTATGCCACTTGGAATAATCTGGCTTCTCGTCGGAGTTTTGGTCGAAGACGTTGCAAGATAGTTCTTCATCAGTAAGTAGCCGAGCGGCGATGACAGTAGCTAAAACTCGGGAAATTGAAGTATCTAGTACTGAACGTGTAAAATTATGGTGACGTATGATGTGCTATGAATTACGTAGTCAATAGTACAAGGAAAGTGACAGTCTGACGTCGCTCCTTCCACCACGACTATGTACCCTTCGACAGCGGGCATTATAGCACTCTGCTATCCCCACAGAATCTAAACGTCAAACCCTTTACTAAGTCTCCGGAAACAGACATTGTGCACCTCACCACTTCGTAATTCTGACCCTCATAGTGCCGCAAGCAGTCTTCAGCATCTCTACTTTCCACCAGATACATCCAACCGTCAACCCTATCTTTGTCCTGGCCGTCTACCAGCGCCCTATAATTCCCACCCCACATTCCCAATCTGCCACGCTGTGCCTCTGCACGTCGAAGAATTGGTTCGTCGTCCAACGAAAGAAGACGAGTCAGAACCTCTGGATCTGCCAGAGTGCCGTAGAAGAAGTACGGCACGGGATACTCATCTTGGCCAAGTATACTAACAACGCCGCGGTGTTGAGGCAACGTTGCATCGATACCGAGGGCTGGGGCAATACAGTGTGACGAAAGGCTCTTCTCTGCTGGTCTCTTGAGCGCAGCGAAGGTGAGACGCGTGTTTGGGACCAAACTTTCAAGCATTGATCGCGTATCCCCGTCCACAACGACATATGTTTGCTCATTGGTCTCCTCGTTGTTGAGTAGTCGGGGTAGGTGAGGCAAGCGGGCAGCTTGCTGTATCACCAGCGCCGTATCAAAGGGCGGTGTCAGTTTGAAAACGTATTCAGTTTTCGTCGCAGAACACGACTGGGTCTGTGCCGTGCTTTTTGGCTTCTTCGGGGCCTTCGAAAGACCCAGGAGGTACGAATAGCTCTCCTTATCGTGCTCGGATACCCCGACAGAGTCCTTGAGGATGCCCCATTGCGAGTCTGAAATCTGGATTCGTGAAAGGTTTGAAAAGTGTGATTCCATGGCTTCCAGGGCTTCGTCGTATGTCAGGGCGAACAACCGCGACCAGCGATCTATATCCTCTTTCGAAAATTGGTTTTCCTCTTGAGCAATGCTGGCGCTCGCAAGATCTTCGAGAATGGCTAGGACATCCATTGTTCAAATGAGCTTGATATTCGTTGATGTTAGGAGTGTTTTTTGTCAGTAGGGTTATCAAGATGAGGTGGTAAAGTGCAGTTCATCATCTGTATTCAGGGGATTCGACCTTGCTTTATACCTGAGACACTCATCTTCTCTAAGGTAAATCTATTTATTCAACCACAATTGATTATTCAAGAAGACCGTGATTCATCAATCGCTATATAAACTTACATGTAGTTCAGAGGCTCGGCCAATCATACAATAGTTTTCAACTGCTATAGCGAATGATGGTCATGGTGTTGATGATGTTGACGTGTGGGGAACCCAACAATTCCAGTTTTATCATGGCTGCTGGTACCCTATGGCACTGGCACTATTACTATAAATTACCTAAACACTAACTCAGAACAAGTGATTGATAGACTAAGAAAAGAAGACAAGGAATTACCAAAAAAAAAACCCCTCCCTCCAGAATACTACTTGCCTAACAAGAAGCTACAGCTACACGCAATAAGAGAGAAAGAGAGCACAAATAAATAGCCAAAAGGCTGGGACAATCAATGTTGTAGCAGAATAGAGCCTAATCTGTATCTATACATTATTGATACTAAAACAATTAATTTTTTTAAAAAAAACAAACAAACAAACAAACACGTTATCTCCTGACTTATCTTTTAAAGAGGATAATAAATTTACATGCTTGTCATTCTTTCCTCCATCTCTTCTTCCCCCTCTTCCTTTGTTGTTGTCCCTAGTAAGTGGAGTGTTGCCACTCTACTTAGGAGAGAAGGAGCTGCAAAATATCTGTAACTCTTTTTCCTTTTAACATGTGCAAGCAAGCAGCTATGTAAACAACTTCTTTGCATGAGAGCACACACACATACACACACACATAACATGTTTGCACATTTGTTCAAGTTTAATGTGTAATTCACTCACTTCACTTCACTCCACTTCACTTCCTCATCATTCCTTGCTCACTTGAAAACCAAAAAGAACAAAAGAAAAAAAACAGTTTAGTCCCCTTTCCTTCCCCTCCTTCTTCCTGGAATAAAGAAAAGAAAAAGAAAAGAAAAAGAAAAATAACGTAAGAAAGATGACAGGACAGACAAAAGAAAGAAAAAATCTAACTAAGGTGTAAAGAAACCAGTAATGGCAACATTCATAAGAAAATAAAACACCACAAAAGAGAAAGAAAACATCATACTCCATGGAATATTGAGAATGTCTTGATTGAAAATGGAAATAGGGAGGAAAACCCCTTGTATGTAAGCACTATCGCGTTCGATGCCCCATATCCTTCCTTCCATCCTTCTATGAATTGAGCGAAGGTACGCGAAAGTGAAAAGTAGAAGGAAAAGCCAGTGCGAAGCCCCGCAAAGACAGCTGATGGACTCCTCCCATTGTTAATGTCCTCAATGTGAATAGATGTACCGGGACCCCATTACGCCAACCCAACCTGTACGAATGTTGAAATGGAGCACGCAAGGAAATTTATTGGGTGGCCTGGGAATTGTTAACGGCATTGACCATGCTTACATCTTCGATATGTTTTTGACCGAGGTGGTCGGGTGAGTGTGAGACGGGCTCAACACGCGGTGCAGAAGCGATTGTATCGTCATCCGTGGATGAGATGGATGGCTTGAGAGTCGCAACGCTCTCTTCTAAAGGCGAGGTGGGCTCTAACTCTGGCAATTGTGGTGCCGTTGAGGAGGTGATATGGACGCCTGGAGTTGAGAGAGGTTTGTCTCCGTTCACTCTATTAGGGGCAGTAGAGACATCCTGTCCAGCACCTGATTGAGTAGTTGGCTCTGGAGAAAAATGTTCTATGTGCTGTGGACCCTCGTTATTACTCTTGTCACGAGAGATTGCCTCTGTCAGGCTGTTGAAATTGAACATGGATTCCGTGCCGGACGTGCTGTGTGCCGGAGCCGAGTCAGCGCCCAGATCAAGTCCCGAAGCATCCAGATTACGATCTAGCGATACTTGGCTGTCGTGCTGCATAGATCCTGAGAGAGAGTCGTCCAACGATGACATCGAGGATGAAGCATTTGAGAGGTTGCGGAGAACAGCGCGATGATCTGGTTGCTCAGCCAGGGGGTCTATTGGACCAGTGTTACCTGTGTTGGAGACTTCCCGCTGGATTTGCGCGCGGCTGTCCGAAAGATGTTTTTGTGAGTCGTCCCTTGAGCTGGACGCATTGACAGTCGATGTGGGCTCGCTCAAGGGGTTGAATCCAGCATACCCTCCAGAACGATCGATGGCCTTTCCCTTTCCTGCTGCACTCGACGAACTGCCCAATGATTCATCACCAGCCCCGTCATGACTGGTTGGGAGGAAGAATCCGCTTTTCCTCGCCGCCTTGTCGGCTTTCTTCGCGTCTTTTGCTTTCTTCTTCTCTTCCTTCTTGGCCTCCTTGAGAGCTTCCTTCTCTTCCTTCTTCTTGCGCTCTTCTTCAGCTGCAAGGCTGAGCCTGATCGCTTCCATCATCATTAATTCCTCGAGATCTTCAAGCCTATTTCCTCTCCTCGAACTTTGTCGGCCTCCAGCAATATCATTCTGCCCTTCGTTGCGACTAGACGATCCCTGCGAGGCAGCTGCAGCTAGCAGATTGTTCAAATCGCCTTCTCGTCTGGGCGTTGCCTGTCCACTACTGCTGGTGCTCTCGGTCGCAAAAATAGTACGCCTGCGACGTCCGAGCCCGCCAAAGCTTCGACTCTCCGACTGTGTATTTCCCATCATGTAGGCAGCGTTATGCAAGGCTGTAGCAGCGGCGGCTCGTCTGAGGGCATTTGCCCTTGCGTCAGCCAATTTCTTCGCCCAATCTGGTCGTACTCGGTCTGTGGTTATTACAGAGCTGTCGTTAGCCGCAAGGGAACCCGCACGCCTTCGGCCAGGTGGGGAGACTCCCTGCGTATTCACAGACGAAGACGAAGACATGGCGGAGGCGGCACTGGTTAGGGTCTGGTGATTAGCATACGATAATCCTCTGCGGAAAGGCGGAGGCTCGTAGGTGACACCGAATTCTGGCTGAACACAGAACGGACAGCATGCAGGTTCCGAAACCAGCATGCCATCTTCCTGTGGTTCGGGTGTCTCTGACGCGTCGTTTGCTCCTTCATGATGCTCTGGGGGGTGGGGATCAGGCCTCTTGATTTGCACAAAACATTCGGAGCAGATGGCCTGGTCGCAACAGCGCGTCTTGTTCAGATATGGTGGATAGTAAAGAAAGCAGATAGGGCACTCTGAAGCATTCTTGTACAGAAACACCTCTATGCGCTGGCCATTCACATACGGGTCCCTGGGAAGCTGTAGCTCCTGCGGGGTCATTTCCGTCTGCGAAGCATTTCGAGAACCTGTGGTCAGGGCAGCCAGGGTCTTGGCCCGGCCACGGAAGAATGGCGACGAAGATGGTGGAGATGAAATTGGGGAGGTTGGCGAGGGAAGCGAGAAAGCCGGATGTGAAGGTGATAAGTTGGAGGAGCGGTCCGAGGTCTGGGACATGGAGCGACCGCTGATAGGCACGGTCAGGCTGTCTATATTCGTGTTGGAGGTTCGAGGGTTCCACTCGGCGCTCAAATTGTTGGGGCGAAGCGGTTCCTCGGGAGGGATCTCATCAGGAGCAGGAAGCGGTTTGCCTTCGACAACGGAGACGATCTGATGTTCCGTCCAAGTATCTTCGTGATCGTCGAGTCCCTTCCAAAAAGGTGCCAAGCGGCGTTCGATCTGGTAAAGTTAGATGGATTGGGCAAAGTAGTCAATTGATTTTTAGCTGTAGCGCGTACCTGCAACTGGCGCACAGCAGGCTTACTGAAGTCTTCGGGACCGGTATATGTACCGAGGGTGACAAGAAAGCCTCCGTCAACGCCCTCTTCACGAAGACTTCGCTCACGCTCCAAAGCTCTGAGCTGCCTCTCCTTTTCCAGTTTCCGTGCTTCTCGCTCTACTTTTGTCTCGCGGCGGGGTTCGAGGGCTGGATCACGCTCCGAGCTGGCTGCGCTCCCGATGCCCAAAAAGGAAAGATCATGCCTGCTTCCACGTCCGCTGCGAGAACTGTAAACACCGCTTCCTGATCGGCCATGCCGCGAGGAAGACGATTCTTCATGAGAGGCGGCTGTTGGAGAGGCGGGGTTACGAGCACTCCCGCGTCCGGGACCCCTTGAAGAGCCGGGTCGCGACTCTTTGCCTTGACTATTACCCATGATGGAACAGCCTCGGATGGTGTCGGTATTGGTGAATCGAGTGATCAAAGGGGATCGGATACGTGGGGAGCATTCGACAGCGGGTGGATAGATATATACAGGCAGATAGGCGGCGGCGGCAAGGGTTGTTGGTGGTGTTGGGCAATATAATTCTGGGCGAGGTGCACGCGGACAAAAGCCTTATCAGTAGGAGGGCGGGTAGCGAATGTGCGATGTTGTCGAGGAATCTGTAGATGAGCAGCTGGGTGTCACAAGGACATGGGCGTGGACATTATAACAGAAAGCGGTTCATGCACGCTTGCTGCACGAAAGTACCGCCGAAGCCGTCAAAGAAAGCGTCGCACGGCGCTGTGAAGGGAGTCAAGCAAGTCGAGGGACGTCGCGTTGTCCAGCAGGCGCAGACGTGACTGGGAAGAGAGAGAGGGGGGGTGTCGCTTGTTGCAGAGCTGTCTGTCACGACAGCGGGCAGGGGGGCGGGGAAGGTTGAAGATGTAGCGAGGGGTGGTGATGTTGGGGTAGATGCAATCAAGTAAGTAAGGGTATGTGTAGTGGTGAAGAGTGGTAGCAGGCACGGGCCCAGGCACAAGGCGGAGAATAAAAACTTGTTGTTAGGGTGGATCGCCGTGGGGGAAACGACGACAGTGGTGACGAGGAAAGGGCGATGATGATGATATTCTGGGATGATGTATGCGCCTTCCTTGGCAGCAGCTAGAAGCTGGCCGAAGCGGGGGTAGCCCATGCCTGCCTGCACCTGCCACCTCACTCACCACTCGCCTACTACCTTACTTGTACTTACATATACAACACCTTCACAGTCCGAATGAATCCACGCAAACAAAAAAAGCTTGAATGCATCTCGCACTATACTACTACTGCTACTACCGCTTTCACTTTGACGCGAGTCTTGACGCTGCTGGATGGAGCTTATGTATGCTGCCATTAGCCCACCCGCCCCGCACCGCACCACAGCACGGCGGCACGTCTCACGACACCAACCACTGCACTCACTGGCTGATTGACAGTCTGTCTGCCTGACTGACTAACTGGTCTTCCTCTCCTCACCGACTGATGCCATTCCCCCTTCCGCAGTTCCCCATCCCCCCGCTTCACCACTCTGTACGCTAATCTCCACATGTATGCATACAGCCCAATCCGTCCCATCAACTGCGCTGGGGTGGCTTGCACGCCATGGGCATCGACTTGCACGCAAAGAAGAGCAAAAAAAAATGAAGCTTGCCCGCTAACACCTCCATCAACATCACATGCACTGTGCAAACACCATCATCTACTCCCAACATTCATCAACGGAAGAAGCACTTGTCATACGAGTCATTGTTGGCTTTTATCTGACTGATCTCCCTTCCGCTTCCCGGATCCAGCTTAAATGGTTCCAAACTCCCACGAGGATTCCCAGTGGTACTTCTGCCCAGGGCCGAAAATTTGTTTCTCAAGACGACCCCACTCGGGACTGCAAACACTCGTCAGACCCTGTTTCAGGAGCATGACAGCCCAAACTAACGGCAAGGGAGCAAAGAGTAAAACAAGGAAAAAAAACTCACTGGTTGATGCCGTCGACGTAGTCTTGCGCTTCAATGGCAATGCAGCCATCTCGAGGGATGAACTTGTCCTGGCCTTCCACTCCTTGGGTGTCCTTGAACTCCGTCTTTCCGTCGTTCCAGTTGCACGTGTACAAAACCACTGCGTCTTGGTCTGTTCGTAGATCTGCCTTGATACCGGACCATTCGCTCGACAATGTGAGCGCGACTTCTTGTTTGTTCCTCTCGTCGTCAAAGGCCAAGGCACCGTTGTAGCCGTGGCACCCGTTGCCGCAGTGGTTTTCAAACTCGGCATTGCCAGACGCAAATCCCAACTCATGAGGAGCAGACCAGAAGTCGTCAATGGCATCTTTGGAGATGTTGGCAATGACTCCTGTCGGCAGAGCGTTCTGGTCAGCCACAAGAGCACGCTTGGCGCTGGGCGCGTACAGCGTGTGGTTCCAGATGGTCCTGTTCTCCGGGTTGGCAAAGGCATCAAGCTGGAAGTACGTATGCTGTGTCAGCATGAGCGGGCTCTTAACATCCAGCGACTTTGCATCCATGGAGATCTTCCACGTGTTCGCCGACACCGAGTACGTAACACTCGCCTCGACATCACCCGGCATACCCTGCGATGAGTTCGCCTTGTCGTAAATCGCAAAGGTGATGGAGTCGTTTCCAAACTTGGTTACATTCCAGGTACGGAATGACCAGTTGTTAGTGCCGCTGTGGAGCGTATTGGGTCCGTCGTTGAGCTGCGTATGGTACGTGACGCCGTCAATGGTATAGGTGCCATTGCCAATTCGGTTGACATAGCGTCCTGGGATCGCGTTGTACACCGGATGTCCAGGGTCGACGGCTGGAGGCAAAGAGTGAGCGATCGTAAGAGATCAAGGTCAGAACTAACGTACGGTAGTAAGAAGTGTTGGTGTAACCGAGAACAATATCGCGCTCAACGCCATCCTTGTCTGTAATCGTCAACTTCTTTCCCTCAGTGACATGGCATGTCACCCATACCTTTAACAAACAGGTTGGTCAGAGTCGCAGCATAGGGAATGAACTACACCAAGTCAGTTCAATGCTCTAACATTGAGGTATCGATGTGAAGCACCTGCGCCTTGATCCCCGGGGCGGTAAGCGTATATTTCCCGTCCGCATCCGGCCCAGGCGCAGCGGTAGCCGAAGCCGCCGCTGCAGCAAGCATCGCAAACGAGTATCTCATGGCTATAGCTTTTCCTTTAACGAGTAACTGAAGAGAGAGATCAACGTTGGGCAGTGAAAGCGGGACAAAAGCAACAAAGGAAGATGCAACACCTGTCCCGGCAACCAGATTCCTAACCCTTACTACTTATACACGCGCTCTCCAAGCAACAACCCACATGGAACCGGCGGGAGCTGCAGGAACCTCTCGTTTTTTAATCACAACAGCTGGGCATCTTACCCATAGCTAGCCCCCTCCCCCGTCAGCGAGCTGCTGATGCTTACATCGCCTCTTCCGTGCTAGAAGAAAAAGTGTGTGGGGAGTAGGGGTGGATGATGACTTCTTGTTCCACCGCAATGCAATATCGACTTAATATGCCTGAAATCTAATTACCCCATCACCCTTCCTCGGCTGTTTCCCGAACAGAAATAATCAGCACCCCCTGTCATCGCCGCGTCGGGTACTTTTAACTGCTCCAATACGCAGACAGTGCAAATACCCATATACAACGGTTCCGCGCGCGCAAATAATGTAAGCGAAGGGGGATCCGAAAACGCGGGGAATGTGGGGAGTCTACATTTCGCTCATATCATAGTAAAAATCGTTCTGTTTTCACACAGTGAACAACCAAACTAAAACCCTGTTATGTCTTTGTGTGAACGCTCACGTTAGTTCCAGACGGCAAGTCGCTCCCTCTACTCCGCGTCAGATTAGTACATTGGAACAAGGAAGAATCCCATGTCACCACCACCAACACCCCCCTGCACGTGGCACTTTCTTACACGCATCTTTGCCCAGTCCATCATCATGTATGTACATCAGTAATCTTGGTACCTTTTTCTTTTCTCTTTCTTTCGTACGTGAGCCTACACATGTCCCTCACACCTCCATTCTAGGCACCTTCCCCCGATGGTTGGTAGCTAAGAAAGCTAGTCTTCGGAATAAACTCAACCATTCCCTAAATACAATATGCACGACCACCTTTTCACCTCCGCACATCCAATCCCATGTACTGCGAGGCTAGCTATTCCCCTTCCAACGGCATACTCGTTTCGTTTTCGGGTCCTGCCGATGCCTTTGCCGTCGGGTGGCTGGATCGTTGATCCCGCTGCCCTAGCAAAGCCACCTATTAACTGTTTTTCTCGTGGCAAACATCAAGGTGGGACTTGGTATACACAGGGTACATAAGCCTGCGTGTACCTGTGTGTGTATGTGTGTGTACTTTATGCAACTCAAGTAGGCAGGTAGAGTCAGCCCACGAGGGGAGATACGTCTCGGCGCTGCTTACTTCGATGAGCGAGCGGGTTGGATTTCGTGTTCTTGTATTTCTACCTGTCAGATTTTTTGTTTGGTTACTCACACCGATTAGCGAGTGGGCGCAGGAGGTGGGAATGTGTGTTGGCTAAGTATCTTTGAACCGAGGCGCATGGTTGAAGTGGTGTGGTTGATTGCGTGCTTATGATGACGATGTGATAGGGGTTTGGGTCGGTGTGATGGGTTGCTTTCGATCTGGTTATACAGGGTATATGTAGATTTCTACGTGTTTGAGGGATGCAAGCGGCGAAGACTGTAGAATGGCCTAGGTGAGAAGTCAACGCGTGACCTTCACTACTACGGAATGACTGACTAATCGAATATGCCAAGTTGGTATGCTTCATCCTCCATTCTCACATCAGGCAATCTAGAACATCACTGCGACACACAATAAACGTGAAAGATTTGGTTGTTGAAAATTTTGATTAAATACTGATATCGTCTATTGTTGAAATGAGTCCATCGCGATCGAAACCTGTCGCGATGACGACGTACGCTATGCTGATATCAGTCCCATAAACTCCAGAAAAATGCACAAACCAAAAAAAAAGTGTCCAGATCAGCCCCTGGTGCCGGAGAATAACGCACCAAGTACACTCGAGCACTTGGTCTCCATCTCCTGGAACTCGCCTTCGTCGGTGCTCTGGATCGTCACCGCTCCGCCGGCGCCAATATGCCACACATCGCTCTGGACATGGCTGTTCACAGCCGTTCTAATAACCACACTGAAATCCCCCGCACCGCCAACATCCATGTACCCCAGGACCCCCGAGTAGATCCCTCTTGGACGACGCTCGATATTCCCCAGGATCTCGCACGAGCGCTTCTTGGGCGCTCCCGTCATCGACCCCGGAGGCAGCGAAGCCCTCAGCACATCGAGGCCGCGCCGCGTCCCATCCTCCGGGAGCTGACCCTCAATCACCGAAACCAACTGATACACCGTCTCGTACTCTTCAACGACCATCAGTTTCGACACCCACGTCCTGTGGGCGCCAATGACGCCGCTGAGATCGTGCCGGATGAGATCGACAATCATGAGGTTTTCGGCGCGCTCTTTGGAGCTGCGCAGGATCTCGTGCGCTTTTTCGCGCGTCACGGAGGCGCTTTTCTTGACGGTTCCTTTGATGGGGCGGAATTGGCATGCGCCGGTTCGTGACCAGCTCAGGAAGCGCTCGGGACTGCTGCCGACGATGGAGACGCCAGAGAGCCGCAGGAAGGCTCCGAAGGGGGCTTTGTTGTTGAGGCGGAGCCGCTTGTAGAGTGTCCAGTCGTCGATTCCTGGGGAGTGGATTGCGGTCGAGTCGGTTAGGCAGAGCTCGTACGAGTCGCCTGTGGCGAGGTATTCCTGGCAGCGGAGGACTTTGTCGCGGTATGTCGGTTCTGAGGGACGGTGGATTTGTGCGGTGCGTAGACTGCGGTCTAGGATTTCGTTGTCTCGGGCTGAGGCGAGCGACATGTCTTTTGCAGCGAGTTCGGTGCGGTTTGATAGATCATCGAGGATTCGCCCCGTGTCCGTTATCCATGTCCAGTCTTCTGGCAGTAGGGATTGAATATACACGCAAGACGTTTTGTGATCGATGACGATACTTCGATGCATGAAAGCGAAATTTATATCGGGGATTGTCTCAGAGTAAGCGTGTGGGGTGACATCGATTGTTTCCAATCCAGCTTCGTAGGAAATATACCCCATGAAGCCACCCCAGAACGGACTGTCGGCTGGAAGCTCGGCATCGGCATCATGATGCAGTTCTATAGAACTGCTACTGGATCTGTTACTCGATGCCCGGGAAGATCCCATGCCACGACCGCGCGGATCGCACAGTGATAATGCTTCCTGCAGCATTGGCCAGACTTCATCAATGGAGTCGATTTGCATCGTACGCGTATTGCTTTTGTTGAATCCATACTGCAGCGTCTTATTTGAGACTTTGTACGTGACTCTCATCGTTTTGTCGGGGACAGTGAGCCCGAGAATGCTGTATCTGCCAGAGGGATGGTTCTGAGAGTCAAGGAGAACATATTCCTCGCGTCTTTGGCCCAGTGCTTCCACCAGGACTGTAGGAGTAATTTCTGGGGACAAGGAGTATTGTCTCCACCGCAGAGTTGTTCCGTCGTCCTCATTCGCAGATCGCAGCAGGCTCGCAAGATGCGATCTAGGCGAATTGCTCGTCGGACTGTCACCTGGAGAACAACCATCCAGAAGACTCGAAGCAAAACGAACAGTCTTTTCACCAACTCCTTCATCTTCCCGAAACTTCATTTCACGTGTCATCCGTCGACCGCCACGCTGTTCCAGCCACTTCTCAGCACACGCCCACCAATTCAGAACCATCTTTCTCCCTCCTTCGTTCGTGCAGATCGACTCGGGATGGAACTGCACGCCCCAAAACGGTCTTGACTTGTGTCTGACGGCCATCAAGACAGGGCCATTGGCAGCAACATCCGTGACATCCCACGCCAACGGCTGCAACTCCGGACACGTCTCCGTCGGCTCCCAGAAAATCTCTCCTCCAATCTCTGCATCCTTCTCCTTCTCATCCCCATTACGCCGCACACTCTTCGAACGATAAAGATCGACATGTAAAGAGTGATACATAGTTGCTTCCAACCCCTCGCCCACTCCGTCAAAGATCCCACCTCCCATCCCCTCCCCGCCACGATGTATCACTCTGGCAACAATCCCATGTCTCGCCCTCTTCAATCTCTCCACGCTTGCACCATATGCCAAACACAATGACTGGAACCCCAGACAAACGCCCAACACTGGTATCTGATCTTCCGAGTCCAATTCCCAAAGCAGCGGTATGCAGCCTACATCGGCAGCGATATCAGGGTGTCCGGGTCCGGGTCCGACAACGACAGCATCATAGGAGCGTATTGTGCGTTTGAGGGTTGGGAGCGAGGTCAACGATGGAGAAGTTATGGGGAGACGGGTTACGTGCGCGTGGAGGTGGGTAGTTAGGAGGCCGATTATGTTGTTTGCGAAGGAGTCGTGGGCGTCTATGTAGAGGATTTTTGGAGGTCGTTCTAGTGGAGAAGAGGACGTGTGTTGGGGGGCTGGCTGGCTCATTGTGCTTGAATTCGGTGTGGCGTTTTCATGTATATATGATTATAAGTATGATGAGGAAAGACGCGGTTTAACACGGAACTTTCATGTGCGAATTGTGTGATTCATGGCGATGGAGGATGAATCTACAACGGTCATGATAATTTGATCGAGATGGTAGTTGCAAGACCGGTCCCCATGGAGTAGAGGTGATCAAGCATCTGTCAATGCGGCGAAGAAAGAAGAAAGAAGGGAAAAGGTTCCAGAAAAAAAAATAGAAGAGCCCTCTGACTGTACCCCACCACTAAGCATTCGATGAACGCCGAAACCTCCGAAGAAGCTAAGCACCCCCGAGTCCAAAAAGTTCCCCGCCAAAACGCAGCAGCTACCACCTCAACACCACGCCAGCGGCAAACCCACATCACGTCGCATCTGATTCCACACTCTTCATAGGTCATGGCCGATAACACCACCGACGGAAGCCATCACATCCAGAACGACAGCGCCGAAGCCATGCAAATTAACCCGCAGCGCGCGAAGCAGCTTGTCGAGAACCTGACGGGAATATCGAAACGTATCGATGCGGTGAACAAGAGCGGCAGAAATGTACACATCCTATAAACGCTGTTCGGGGCATGCAGCACAACTAACAATCAATACACAAGGTTCGCCTTATAGCCGTATCTAAATTGAAACCCGCCACCGACATTCTTGCCTTGCACCAACCCCAATCCTCGTCCCCGTCATCGTCGACGCCCTTCCACACACACTTCGGGGAAAACTACGTGCAGGAGCTCCTCGAGAAGTCACGAATCCTCCCGCGCTCTATCCGCTGGCATTTCATCGGTGGACTACAGAGCAACAAGTGCAAGCAACTCGCGGAACAAATACCGAACCTATGGTGCGTGAGCAGCGTAGACAGCGAGAAGAAGTGTAATGAGCTCGAGAAGGGGCGTAAAGCGCTTCTGTCGCAACAGCAAAATGGCAGTGGTGCTGAGAAACTGCGCATCATGGTGCAAATCAACACGTCGGGCGAGGAGAACAAATCCGGCGTCGAGCCTGATGACGCTCTTACGCTATGCAAACACATTATCGAGAAGTGTCCTAGTCTGCAGCTCTCTGGGTTCATGACTATTGGCGCGATTGCGCGGAGTAAAGCCACAACGCCGGAGAATGTGAATGAGGACTTTGAAAAACTGAGGGAGGTGAGGGGAGCTGCTGCACAAGGGTTGGGATGGGAGGAGGACAAGCTGGAGTTGAGTATGGGGATGAGCGCCGATTTCGAGGGCGCGATCGGGCAGGGGAGTGATGAAGTTAGGGTTGGGAGTGAGATCTTTGGAGAGAGACCGCCGAAGAAGGACGCAGTGGTGTAGGATGGATGATGTGATGAACTTAGACGTATATTCTTTCTGCATGCAAGCAACAAGTCCCCGACATTCAATGGCATGATATGTGTGCGCTATAAATGGAAATATGTGAATGACGCCCGCCCCCAACGCGGCCCCCATGGCCCCAGCCAATCATGGCCACGCCACGCGGGGAAAATGCGGAGTGGGAGTATTTACCCCCATCACGTGGGAGAAACGACAGGATCAATTTGATTGTCCAACCTCGTTCAGTCAATCGCCTGCCTGCGTGGTGTGAGTTTGCTCGGATTACCGTCATACCGCCGCCCTCTCCCTTGCGCGCCTCCTCCCCATCATGTCCACGATGATCACCTTTGCCGCCAACAACGAGTTTTTCAGGAAGCGGAAACGTGCGTACACATTCTTAGCCCCCGTCTTTGGATGTACCAACCCGCAACGACAAGGGACCTGGCTAACGGTTGCGCACAGGTGTCCACCGCGCATGCGAATCGTGCAAGAAGCGTCGGGTTAGTTTCAGCCCTGCCGCAAGCAATCAAGTAAAATGTTGGCCCACCGTCTGACTGTCCAGTAGAAGCGATGTAGCCACACCTTCGACGAAGAAGAGGATGCCGGAAGCTCTACCAAAAACGGACAGCCCGCACCTCACCCTCACCTCACGGACCCAGCTCAACCTCATCCTGATGCTACTAGTACTGGGAGCCAGAGGACCGATGCCCCGAGCCATGGTGCTCCCCAGAATATGGCCCCTCAGTACAGCCCCACCACCGAGGACTCGCGCGCGGAGACGCCGCCCAATTTCCTGGGCTATCTCAATCCCGAAGCCGTGCTCAGGGAACAGGTTCATTCCGAGAGGGGGGGTAATGCAACTCAGTCGCCGCCTGTGATTCCTTCCATTGGTCAGTGGATTGAAGGCGAGAACCGGTTTCCCACTGGACATCATCAAGGAGCCGTCGAACCGCCACGGTCAGAGGAGACGGGTCCAGCATGGACTCAAGAGACCAAAGTGCAACGAGCTCTTCATCAATGGTTGGATGCAGTCGGCGTGTCGACTCTGCCTCCTCGTAAGACGCAAGACGCGCTGTGTGACTTGTACTTTGAATATGTCCATCCGCTGTTGCCACTGATCGACAAGAATCTCTTCACTCAGCAGTACAACGAAGGGAGAGAATCGCGTATACTGATGCAGGCAATATGCATTGTGGCATCCAAACATGCCGATGCCGCCAGCTATCTTTGTCTGGCTGACGATCCTCGACTCATGGGTCCCCGCGAGTTCTCTCACAGGCTTTACAACGCCGTCATTGCAGCTATTGAGGCCAAGCTGGAAAAGAATCGAGTCATACTGATCCAGGTCCTTGCGCTGATATCGCTACACTGCGAGGGTCCAGACGGCGCGGAGCAAGCCTCGATGCATCTTGCCCAAGCCATCCATCATGCGCATACTTTTGGTCTTCAATTCGGACACCAGTGGAAAAATCAAAAGTCGGAGGATCAAGAGAACCTCGAAGACGTGTTTTGGTGTCTGTGGAGTCTGGATAAGATCAACGCTTGTATGCACGGGAGGCCGTTGATCATGCACGATCGCGATAGCAGCTTGACCAAGTTGCCGACTGACCCCGAGAAGCGACAGAGCCCGTTTGGTGTGTGGCTGCAAATCTCGGAGATGCTGGACAGAGTCATCGATTATTATCGCCCAGGTCGATCGGCGGAGGAAACGGGATGGGAAGGAGATGACTTTCTTGGATTTGAAGAGATGGTTGGTGATGGCGAGGACAAGCTTGAAGGTCCCATTATGAGTATGTGTTCGTTATCGAAAGCTTCGACTGTGCTAACGGTTTGTATTAGGTCTTCTATCGCTCTTCCATCACACCATGTGCATGGCATCACATAAATCACTCTCTATCAACGCCCCTGTCAAGTCTACTCCATCCTACACTCGTCAGAGCTTATCAGCAACTCGGGTCATCCATCTCCTCAATGCCGAAGCCCCTGAACGCCTACCGCCCTTGCCCCTTGTACCTTATGCTCTATCTGTTGCTCTGAGTGTGGTATACCGTCACTTCCGCTCTCGCCGCCTCAAAGTTCACATCAATCGGGCAACAGAAGAAATCAAGCAATGCGTAACGCTTCTTAACAAACTCCGTCCCGCATGGTGGTCTGCCGGGACCATGGCCGACCTAGGTATGGCGGTTCTAAACAACGCCGACCGCAACACGCGAGCAGCCAACACACCAGCAGCAGCTGTTTCCGAGCAGCCCGAGAACCCGCAATCGTCACATCAACACCATCGTCAGCATCACCAACAGCAGCCACAATTCCAACGCATGCAGAACCAGCAACAACACTCAGCCACTCACCCCCCACCTCCGTGGCCAAAGCACGAAGAGGGTACCAACACCGCACTACCTATCGACCCTCGTCTCCAACAACACCACCTCCACCACTCACTCTCCGCACCCCCGCATCGAGGAAGCCCAAGTCCAACAACAACAATGACAAATCTCCTCAACCCCGTCCCCACCCCTCCCCCCACATCCTCGTCATCAACAACATCAACAACAACAACCTCCATGCTCCCAGGCCAACACCCAACAAGCAGCGAACGCATCTCCAACCACCGCGGCCAACTCTCTTCTTCTTCTCTTCCCCAATCCCAGCACCTCTCCCATCCCCATCCCCCTCCTCCTCCTCCTCCTCCTCCTCCTTCGCATCAACATAACCCGCAAACCCCCCAGCAACAGCACCTCCCCACCCCCACAGGCGGATCAGCAACCGAAACTCCAATCGCCTTTGACGCGTTTCCCGACGCTAGCCCCGATTGGCTGAACTTCGACACCGCGTTTGAGAATTTCGAGGGCTTGTTGGGGAGTAGTGGCGCGGATTTGAGTCATGAGCTTTTTCGCCCGTTGGGGTATGAGGGGCTTGAGGGGGTTTGGTTGGAGCACGGTGGGAATGGCGGGAATGGGAATGGAAGTGGAAACGGAGGAGGATAGAATATGAAAAAGAGTGGGGAGTTGGCAAGAAAGTAATTCAATGGATGAAAACGTGCGATATGTGAAGCGGGGGGGGGGGGGAAAGAGGGTGTGTTTGCGTCTATGTCTGCGTCTGTGTGGGTGTCGTTCTCGATGCTTATACCTTTTCTTGTCTTGTTTTTTCTTTTTTTTACTCCTATTTCGAGTTCATGTGTATACATCTGTGTATATCGCCTTTTGTTTTTCAAATTCCTACCTTGTTTTCAGGGTTTCACAATTTCCCTTCCCTCCTAGCGTACGTAATCTTTCTCCCTTCCGGTCAGCATATTCAAAAATACAAGCCTCGCAATCTTTTTTCTACGCCATTCTTCAGGGTGTAGCAGCTCTTAGCTTAATTTAACCCTCTTGCTGAAATTTAATTCCCATCTCTCTCTCTCTCTCTCTCTCTCTCTCTCTCTCTCTCTCTCTCTCTCTCTCTCTCTCTCTTTCTTCTTACAAAAGCAGTATAAAGAAGAAAGCAAAGCGCATATCTACATCTTCTCTACACATCTTCTCTACACATCTTCTCTACACATCTTCTCTATTATTCTACACACTCACACTTCAACGTCCTTCTTTACTTAGCCTACTTGATTCCCTCCTCCCCTATCTCTTAGCTATCAACATCCAAACAATAAATATACTAGTATACTATCCAGGCAGTATTTTGAAGTTTTTTTTTTCCTGCTATTTCAATTAAGGTCCAATGAAACAACATTGAGCACACAGAAAATAAGAGAGAGATATACAGCCAAGATCCAAGCATGTGTATATAAGTAGCATTAGTCGTTGCGCCAGCTCTACAACGCCCATGTTATCTTTTTTTTTTTTAGTTAACCTACTATCTATCCCGTTAATTTCATAATCGTAGGCGAATATATCCAAGGCTAGCAGGTTGTTGATGGGAGAACAGAAAATCGAGTTCAAATGGAGTGTGAGTAATTGGACAACAACAACAACAACAACATACCATATATACAAAAAGACTATAAAAAAGACTCAGTCATATACATCCTTTCAAAGCTGTAGCCGGTCGTAGACAAGGCCGCATTAATATAACTGATGTCCAGATGAATGGAAAATATGACAGGGATTAAAAAGAAGTAACACGAAAAGAATCAAACCCCCTTAACCAGAATCACCGAATAGATGACCGGCCTTGTATCCCTCGTAGCTAGAAGCCACAGGGTTGTGACATGGCGCGCACATGTCGTGATCATCTGATGCCGTGGACGAACTGCAGTTGAGTCGCTGACTTAGCACTGAGCGCCCTGGGACCAAGACGTATCTACCGGCAAAGCGCTGGAAATGCGAAGACGGTCTTGGTATCCCCAGCTTTTCTTGGAGGGCGAGCCGCCGTAGCATGCATGCATGCGCTGTAAACGTTGTCTATCGACTGCGAAAGAATGTTGCCATCAACGTTGATCGAGTTCTTTTCTTGGATATGTTGACGACAGTGCCGCCGGTGCCGCCTACTACAATATTTTTTTTTTAGCAATGAGGTTGCGGTAATAAGTGAATGTATAGCGGATGGTGTACCTTTGCACGAGATCTGCTTGGATGTTCCAGCAGCGATTACGGTGGTGCTCTTAGTTTTGAGGGCGGAGATGCTGATTTATTGATTAGCTTGGACTTGTCATAAACCTAGCAACATACGTACACGTCGGCAACCCTAGCTTAGGTGGCCTTTTGGTAGTTGGAGAGGTTGCAGTTGTTCTTGTGGTCGCGGGCTTCGATATCAGAAACCGGCAATGGGTTGGCGATGGCGAGGCCAGCCACGCAGAACAAAAGGGCGGGAGTGAATTGCATGATGATGGTGATGTTTAGAAATCAGAAGTTTGGAGTTTTGTTAAATTGCAGATGCTCGAAAGTTGAGCGAAAGAGTGAAGTGAAGTGAAGCGAAGTGAAGTGTAGTGGAGATTCGTTGAACAGCAGTTACTCGAGCCCTTTTATATTGCTCTCTTTGATCGGGAAATCCATTTTGAGCTCGTCGAGTTGGACCTCAACCCATCAGCTACTCTGACCTTGTATATCTAATTCCAGCGGATTGAGTATCATTGACAGCAACGTAAAGTAGCGAAAGGAAGGTTATGTTATGCCGGTACTTATATATCAAAGTATAGATCTATATGTTTTACGCGTACCATCTAAACTAGGGATATTGATAGTCTGATAACAAGATGGGAAACGCGAATACAAGCGGCCACACAATTTGCGGGTGGTTATTCTCAGCGGCGTTCAAGTAGGCTGCTTCCATGTCCTCACGACGAGGAAAAATGACTGGAGGAACAAGAGGGATATTGGTTGCAGGATTGGAGTGTACGTGGTTTTATCGATGTGAAAGGTAGATAGCACGGCACGAGCTGGCTAGGTATACGAAGGTTAGCGGGTATAGGGAGGTAGGTCTACCACGAAGGTAGGCAGAGAGGAAGTCCGCTCGGGTCTGATGACCTACATGTACCGCTGGTTAAGGCAGCAGCAGCAGCAGCAGTAGTTAGTAGGCAAGGCAGCAGTGTCAGCAGAAACTGCCGAGTTATCTGTCCAGACGAAGGAAAGATGACTAGTGGACCAGAGAAAGAGAGAATGGCTTGTTCTCCAAGTATCTCTACCTACTTACTGTTCCGCCGAGTCAGAAGACAGAGAGGATGGGCGTGGGAAGTGGAATTTGACTCGCCGCTTCGCGGGCATTCATTTGCATTTGATGATTGCGCGAGTGGGTAGCGCTTTCTCGTCGTTCCGAGTTGTCCTGTACTTTGAACGGTCCGTCGCACCATTCGGGGGGATTCTTTTTTGCTTTTCAAGATGATATGATGTGGTAGAGCGCTAGAGGCGTTGGTGGTTATCGGCTGCCAAATCTCGACACATCAGGAACGGTAAATCAACAGATTGGATAGGTAATGAAGACCGCTTGCATGGATGGTGTCAGGATCGGTTGGTTGGCTGGCTGGTCAGTTGACAGCCTGACCAACAGAAAAAAAATCAACCCAACTCTGAAAAGATGGGAGTGATGGTTCAACTCGTGATTCTTGAACTGTGCCGCCATTCCCCGAAATACGTAGCGACGTATTTGAGAAGTGCAGATTTTTTTCGTATTTGGTTCGGAACTCCAAACTAGGCGGGAGTGATCCATTGGGTCACAGGACTGTTGCCCTTTGCCGTGACGTTCCCTGGGGCTGTGAAGTCGCCAACGGTGTGGAGTTCCGGTTCAGAGGATGAACCAAACTTTGTTTGCTTTTTTCCCGGTTCGCTTGGGTTCTTTTTCTTTTTCTTTACATCTGTTAGCTCGTTCCCGGCACCGCTGTTCTCTTGCTCTATTTTCGTGCATTTAGTGCATTTGGGTTTGTGTATTGGTTGGAGGATGATGAATGATCACAACAATTGAGATTATCATCTAGGCATCTTCACCACGGGAGTAGCGGCCGTTGATGCACCGAGTGGAGGACGTCAGCAGTTTTGCAGCCGCCTGGTCGCGAGCCACATTTGGTGGTGTTGATGACAGCGGAGAATTAAGCAGTGTTTTGTTTCTGGGGCGGCGCGTAGATGGGAGGCCATGGCGCGAACCATAGGCGTGTCATAGTGAACGAACGCGCGCGCCAGGTCAACGGTCAGCGGCAAGCCAAGCCAACGAGAATATCGTCGACGATAACAATACCACCAATTGGTTCAAGACGTTAGATTTGATAATGTTCGTATGGGACGATAGCGACACGAGCCATCGTCCCAACCGGGATCTTTCTCGATTGTCCTTGTAATCGATATATCGATGATTGGGGTTTTGGCCAGAGTCTTGAGGCGCGGAGGAACGATCTGGATTCAGACTGCAATCTGCGCATGCAACAACCGCTACGGAATACGGCCGTGTTCAATCAATCTGCACGCGAGTTCTTGTTGGCCCCTGCTGCGGCCACCCTGCGCAACTGCCAACGCGCCCAATGGGTTTTGTTTTCATTGTCACTGCTGCTGTGGTGGAGGGTGTGGACGGATCCTTCATGGCGCCTGACAAGGATGACCTAGTGGGACAAGCAGAAGCCGGGTTGTACACGATGATGTTGGAAGTGCTGGGACGGACATTTCATTTGCGTTGAAGGATTGGTTGAAACGCAGGGCTCTTTTTTTTGCATCACCATGACTACCGCCGGTGATCGTGGTGAGATGGGTGAAGGACTCGAGCTTACTGCAGTCCTCAGTGCTCGGGATGACTATCGGGCCACGAGAACTGATGGCCCAATGACAGCGAGGATGACGAAGCTGGCTGGTAGCACTTTTGTGCCGCAGCCTCTCTGGGGATTCAGATCATGATGAGACCTCTGTGGCGAGTTGTGCTGCTGCCTCCATCGTTTGATCACCGACAAGTTCAGCAAGGTAAAGCTGTGCCGTTGTCGTAGTGCTGTAGCCTGTTCACCACCCCACCCGATCCCCGAGCTGTACTGCTGCCTCCATCGTTTGATCATCACCGAGCATCCATGGCATAGCTGTGCTGCCTCCTCCGCCTTCTGTGACACCAAGCGACTGTTTGATCACCAACGAGTACTCGCCATGTCAAGATTGAACTAGAGCATCAACAGACCCGAGTAAGGAGCCTCCATCCCGCTCCGCTGTTACAATTCATGAGAGCGGATGTTTTGGGGCCACAACGAAACATGTGCGTCTGAGAGATACGTATTGGGATCTCAGTAGAGTGCTCAATACAGCGGAGTGGCGTTGGGGTGTGAGCAAAGAGGCCAATGGGAGGGCGATGACAAGCATAAGCCCGCTAGTTTAATCTAGGAGGTGCATGAGATGTATGCTGTAGAGAGCAAGGGAGCCACACAAGGCCGTGGAGGGATTATCGGGACTCAACAACGCAGAATCCCTCGAGGGGAGGCTGAGAGAGCATGCGGTCATAGGCTTAATACGACCAAGCACACCTGCCACACAAGGCTGCGATGTACGAGTCTGGATTGCCCTGACCGGAGTAATAGTGGGGCTTTTTTGATGTTCCTTCTTCCATTCTGCAGTTGAGAGATGATCACGGTTGTAAGTATTGCATCACTCCAAGGTTGATTGCAGGCAGGCTAGGCATTGCCGTGCTTTTTGTGCTTCCCTTGTCGCGGTAGCCGCGAGTCTCCGTGGAGAAGAAAACATGTACATACAGTAGTGGAATGCAGTAACGTTAGTTGATGCCGACGACGACAATGCAGCAAAGGTCGCGACGGACAATCCAGCCCCTCGTTCTGCCCCGCCGTCAGATTCGCCGGTTGGATGCGCGTCCGTATCGATAACATGTCTCTATGCACGGCGTCGTCGCACGAGGGCTGCGAGTACGACTTGCCGGTAAGCAGCTAGTTTCATATGCTGCCTGAGGCGGTGAGTGACATGACATGCTGCCCCGCCGAGACACTCGATATGTGGAGTTTTTGCTTGACTCTGTCGCGCGATTTCGTATAGCGATCATGCTAAGGAAGGGGTCTTTGCAGGGTGGATAGGCAGAGGGACGGTGCATGTATGTCGCATCTTAGACTGCGATTCAATGAGTATCGTATCCCTCCACGGCGCAATCTACAGTGATTATTACTGCCGTATACGTAGGTTTGACGGCAGGCGGCGTGCACCGGAAGTCAAAGTAAGCAAAGATCGGTTCGGCCGGCGGCTTCGTCAGTCAAATGATGATGGTTGATCAAAGACTCAGACTGAAGGATGAGCAAATTAACAGGACCGATTTCTCGATGGCCGGAAATCGAATCCTGAATCCGTGCCTGCTTCTTGGGCAGCCTTCTGGAAGGTGAATTTGCCGTTTTGGAAGAAAGAGACTTCAGGCCAAGTGCTGTGGTACCATTGGTACGATGAGCGTGACAGGATCTGCCGGTGACGGGATATTTCTCATCTCGGGCGACGATCCATCAGCGAGCACCGTCAATCAGCTTGCTCACAGACTCCCGCTTGCAAGGCATCGCGAGGGCGGATAGAGTTTAGCCAGCGGGAAGCGGTGCTTGGCTGGCACCGAGATGCTGCACGGATGACGGCAAGGGGGTGGGCAGCGCATTCGCAAAAGAAAACATCCAAAGAAGCAAAAGAGGGAAAGGAGGAAAGTGCCTCCACTCTGGTGCTGGTTGACCACGTCGAGGGTGCTTGGAACGAATACAGAGCCCCCGGTCAATAACACGGGCCAGATTGATTGATTGTCTGCTCCTCTGGGTCGAGCGTGCTCGCTAAACGAAGTTCAACGGGCGTGGGACACGACGAACCCAGCCTGGCAGTTCCTGATAAAGTACTGTACATACGAGATGATGTGCCGGCAAAATAAATTCCCACGCAGATTCTGCAATGGTGGATGGTGATGGCAGGGGCGTGTTGGCTGGCTCCAGATCGCGATCAAAGACGAAGCAGTCAGCAGCCTCCCTCCAGCCCACCACCCATTGTCCGAATTGGAAACGAGTGCGTGTGCAGGCAGCGTGGATGGTGCAAGCCACACTTTGGCGGCGGTGCAAGCAAGTCACTTGGACGAGAAAGTGGTCGGTGTGGTGTTTGACGAACGGACATGAATAATGGTTTTACATGTATGGGGAAAGGGTCATGCGAACGAAGGGAAGCCAGGCTGTGGTCATCCAGCCATGTCGATTTTGGACGAGGATTCGGCCACGTCGACAAAGATGGCTGAGTGGTGGGTGGAGTGGACTGCTCAGTGGACCAGCCTCCACCCAGGGCGAGGAAAAGGGTGGCTTGTATCAGGACTGGCAACACACACACACAGGCAGAGTTGCAATGATGAACGTCGAGCGATCTCAATCTCCACAGCTGGTTGGGCCTGCAGGTCACATGGAGGACGGAACGGGGCAAAATAGAGATGAAACGTGTGCACTGTTGGTGTTGCTGCTCCTCCTGCTGCTGCTGCTGCTGAGGGAGTGAGTCACGGAGTCTGTAAATGGAACGGGCAGTGGTGTAATCTGGTAAGTTAACAGAGGTTAATAATCTCCGGTGAAGGCGCTAGACCGGTTCGCGTAAAACTTTGTAAAGGAGAAAAATCTGCGAAGGCGCGGCGTGTGAGTGGGCGGCACAAGGCTGGGAAAGGGTTTTTTTGTCTTCTGCTCTGAGGTGGAGAGAGGTGAGTGGCTGTAGCAAGCCGAGGGCGAGTGAAGCGAGGGCGTTAGTCAGCGATTCAAGCAGGCAGGGCGAGCGCGCGCTAGGAAGATGGGTACGGTACGGTACGGTGAAGAGGGACAGGGAAATGATTGTCAATATATTGGCGACGCAATCAAACCGGGCGGCATGCAAGCGCAGGCTGGTCTTCTGTTCTCGAATCCAATTCTTCCACAGTCCCTCCTGGAAGCGAGAGAGTGGGTGGTGGGTAGAGGCGTGGAGATGCTGGACCCTCACTCAGCAAGTGGTAGTAGCTAAGCGACTATTGGGGACTCGTGTCATCCATGCATGTGTCATGGCAACGCTCTTGCTGGGTGCTGGACCGTTCCATCGAGCCCATCATTTATGGAGCCTTTGCTGTGGTTCATCACCCAAGGGGTGTGTGTGATATTCCCTAGTCGTTGGGTACAGCAGCAGCAGCAGCAGCAGCAGCAGCATTGCTCAGCCGCCTGGCACATTGATTGATGGATGGATGGATGGATGGATGGATGGATGGATGGACTGATGTTTTGGGTTGCAAGCGGGCCAAAGTGTGGCGACAAGTTTTGGATTCGAAATCATTGCTTGTTGCCTTGCTTGCCATCAACTATGGATCCAGTCCACGACGGAAAGGTTACAAAAATACAATTTGCGGAACAGGCAGGCAGCCAGACAGACAAGACAGACAGACGAACGGGCAGGGCGAGCAAACCCAAACCGAAACGTGACCCGACCTGGGCTATCCTTCATGGGCCGGCCATGCTGCGGCACAGCGAGTTTGTAGATTTGGTGACTAACCCGGTGGCGGGTTTCGTCATGGGCCGGCGTGGCAGGGCCCCATGGACATTACAGAATTTTCTCGACAGTCTCTGTTTGTTTTTCCCATTCGCTGCCACCGGCCATGATGCTGATGGAGAGTGATGGCGATCAGGCCAACGGAGAGAATCATGGGCGGATGAACGCGGACCGTGCAACAAGCCAGGGTGGAATTGCACGGCGGGCGGACATTGGACGGAGGCCCCTTTGGCAGCTTACGACGGGCTTTTTTGGGCACCCAGTCACAATCACCGCTGGCGACGAGCAGGAATGTCGAGGCAGGTTGGGCAAGGGGGCCCAAGGCAGGCCCAGCCGATTCATTCATCCACTCATTATTATTCGATTGACTGATTCTCTTTGATGAGATTCGTTTCCTTCAGCCTTTTGGTTGGGGTGAGGCGAGGCGCGTTCGGCCGTGAATGGCTGGGCTGCCCATCAGCTGGCCAAGCCCCGGTCAGCCATCACTCACTGACAGTCAGGAGCCATGAGGGAATAGATTTGCCACACTGGCAGACTACCGGCACTAGGTACTTCCAGTGCAGTGCAGTGCAGTACAGTACAGTACAGTACAGTACAGTACAGCGTTGGAGCAGCGCATGGCATGGTTGATGCTAATAATGTAGGCGTACATGCAGACATGCAGACATAACGGGAGATTGAATGATTCATTCATACAGGTATACAGCAGAAAGCAGCATGGTAAAACGCAACAATGCAGGTAGACGCTTTGGGCGGCGGGAACCGGTGTGTTGCAGGTGTGGGTGGCAGCAACGGGTATTGATTGGGTTCAACGGATACACAAAGAGAGAGAGAGAGAGAGAGAGAGGATGGGAGAACAGCCCCCATCATCTTGATTGCATCTGCATTTCCAGGTGCATGGCGGAGAGGAGGGAGAGATGGAATGGGTGCGAGCGAGGGCATGAATCAGGGCTGGCCGCCAGAACGCTCGGCAAAAATCTGCGATCCCCCCTGCGCCCTATCACACACACGCGTGCTCTGCTCTGCACTGCACCTGCTTCCCGGAACTGTCTAGTGACAAGAATAGCCCGCCGGCCCAAGCAAGCAAGCAAGCAAAGCCCACGTTAGTCGTCTAGTTCTTTTCTTCTTCCTCCTCTGTCCTTTGTTGCCTTGCAAGCAGTCGTCCAGTCCGTTGCCAGACGGACAGCCAGACAGACAGACGGACTGGCTTTGCAGAGACGAAAGGGTAACGTATTGGGCTTTGTCCGGCCTACTCCTACTACGGCCACTGCTACCGCTACTGCTACTGCTACCGCTGCTGCTGCTAGCCCGTGTGCAGCCAGCCTGCCACTGCCTAAGCCTCCCGCTTACCTGCTAGCGCTCCCCACTCCGGGCGCCCGCTGTGGCCGCTCATTTGCTGCCCGCCTGCGCAGCTCCTTGTCCGCCTGCCCGCCTGTCCTGCGCCGCCTTGTGTTGTGTGAGTGTGAGAGTGTGTGCATCCATCCATCGCCTCCAACAAGACTGGTGCGCGTGTGCCGCCCCCCTGCCTCGGGGCCCTTGCTGGCTGCTGGCTGCAGTGAATCAAACCGAGTGCATGCAGTGGCTCCATTGTTGTCGCTCGGTGGGTCTCGTCGTAGGCCGATACCGTGGCCCTTGCCACCCTGGGCTGGCCCTGGCCCAGGCGGGCCAACTTGCTGCTGCTGCTGCTGTTGCCCATGGCTGCTGCATCATGGATTCATGGGTCCATCAAATCACCCACTCCCTCTCATATCCATTGTGTGCGTGCGTCGTGCGTGCGAGTGGAACCGCCTGGCCCTTGCTCCCCCCCCAACTCGACCGCGGGTGGCCTGTCTTCTCTCCCGTCTTCGTCATGTCATGGCGCCGCCTTGCGCTAGCGAGCCCCATCCTTCCAACCAAGTGCTTTCCCTATATTTACGACCCCCCGGTCCCCACCAGCCAATAGCCGCCCGCCTAAGCCCCGACCGTCTCTACAATACAACCCGCCCGCCTGCCTGCCTGCTTGTGTGCTTACCTGCCATCCATCCATACATACATACACTACTACCACCTCCTACATCATCTCTAGCCTCTCTACACGCTTTCTACCTCTCCTCTCCTCTCACACTACTACTACTACTACCTCCACCACTACTCTTCCTCCTCTTATATCAAACACCTCAACTCACTCCAACCACTCCTTCCTTCTACCACCACCACCACCACTCTTCACCACCTTTCCTGCCACCTGCCATCCTTTGTTTCCACCTAGGATCTTGCCATCCATTACTTGCCGGATCTGGTATTTTGAACGCTCGTGCATCGCTGTTCCTCTGCTCCTATTTGGTATCCAACTTTTGATTTCTCTTTTCCGTACTTAATACAAAAGAAAAAAAGGACCGTTCCGGACCTGTTTGGATCTTTTTGGTTTTCTACCGCCCATTCCATTTTCCGGAGTGCTTGATATCCGTCCTTGAGGCCTTCACTGGACCTGCAAGGACCTTCTCCCCCCTTCCTCCTCACACACTATGTTGCCGACTCCCCCAGCATCTCCATCTCTCAATGCATTCTGTGCCCCCGAGGACCGCCTAGGCCAAATTCTTGCTGGAAGACTGCAACTCACCGGAATCCTTGGCGTTGGAGCTTACGGTGTAGTGTACACGGCCGTTGATATCCAGACCAACGTTCCATATGCCGTCAAGGCCCTGAACAAGATTGGCCTCGAGCCCAGGCAGCAAAAGTTCCAGCAACGGGAGATCCAACTGCACCACCAGGCCTCTGCTCACCCCAATGTCGTTTCTTTGGTAAAGATCATGGATGCCCCCGACTGCACCTATGTGGTCCTGGAGTACTGCCCGGAAGGCGACCTGTTCTCCAACATCACCGAACAGGGCAAATACGTTGGTAATGATGCTCTCGCCAAGAGGGCTTTCCTTCAGATCCTGGATGCCGTGGAATATTGTCACTCCGTTGGAATCTACCACAGGGATCTCAAGCCCGAGAACGTCCTTGTAAAAGACCAAGGCATGACCTGCAAGCTCGCCGACTTTGGCCTTGCCACCAACGATCACATCACCTCCGATTTTGGATGCGGTTCCACTTTCTACATGTCTCCAGGTACGTTTCATCCCAACCATCTCTTACGGCATGGTGTTGTTCCCAATCCGCTTTGTCACGCGCTAACCCTTTTTGGTAGAATGCCAAACATCGGCTCCTAAGCCCTACTCCTGCTACGCGTCTGCGCCCAATGACGTCTGGAGCCTCGGTGTTATTCTGGTCAACCTCACCTGTGGACGTAACCCATGGAAACGTGCTTCCTTCGAGGACAGCACCTTCCGTGCTTACATGAAGGACCCCAAGTTCCTTCGTTCCATCCTGCCCGTGTCTCTAGAGCTGGATTCCATCATGAGGCGCATCTTCGAGTTCAACCCAGCCAAAAGGATCACCATTCCCGAGCTTCGCGACCTCATCATCAAGTGCCCGCGATTCACGGCCTCCAAGTCGGCGGCTCCCACGCCCGTCTCCACTCCTCCATTCACCCCCGTGGACTATGCTGCCCAGCAGGAAGCTGCTTACTACCAATCCCAGGTCGTGCCCCCTGTAGCTCCTCTGTCGGGCCCCGTCTATCCGACACCCGCCCACGACGTGTCTTACCCTCAATACTCAACTTCCACTGGAAGTGCCCACTCGGACAGCGGCTCTGTGTTTTCCGCCTGTTCGTCGGCATCGTCCACTTCCTCAAATGGCTCCTTTACTCACGTGGCTGCTCCGTCCCAGAAGATGCCCATCAGGGCACCCCAACAACAATACGTTTCTCCTCCCTCGAACACATGGTTTCACCCGTTCATTCAGGCCGCCAACCTTGTAAAGCATGTATCGTTCCAGCCACAGATGATGGCTCCCGTTCATGTCTACTAAGCTGGCTCTTGAAACCATCCCCGTTCAATCCGCTTCTAAAGATGTGTTTATCTTTTCCTTTTTCCCCGGTTCGAAAAAAGTCATGAAGTTAGATGATATTGTAAGCGGCCTTTTCCCATGCACGGTGTTGCGGACCCCAAGGATTATCATTTCAAATCGGCGTTTCCTTTTCCAATTGTTCGAAGCTCAAAATAGACCCTCCTCCAAAGGTCCCGGAGATCCACCTTCCACGTTTGTTCCCTTCACCGGATCGAAGCGCACCTTTGGATTTTTAGAAGATGATGACCCTTGTCATACTACTGCCATTTAACTCAAATCCTGCGGAAGTCGGAGCCTAGATGGCGAATCATGTACTTGTTTCGCTCGCCCATGTCTTCCCTTTTCATCTCTTTCGCTTTCAATCTTCAAAACATCTTCAACCCTGTTATGTTATACGACCCTTATTGATGTGTCAGAAAGAAGCGATTCTGAAGAAGCATTTACACACCGGAGTTTTTGTTGTTGGGGCGGTTTGCTGGCTTTTGGAGACAAGTTTGTCCTGTTTTTACTTTGTTCTCGTTTACGGTCGTTTGTTTCCTTATCTACGTTTCTGTCTTTCTTTCCTTCATCGTTACATCAAAGATACCAGAGCAGGTTGTTGTCGTTGTTGTCGTTGTCGCTGTCTTTGAACAAAAAAAAAGCAAAAAAGCAAGCACAAAAAACACAAACACGAACACAAGTACCTTTTGGCTCACACTTTTTTTCAAACACACACTGTATGGTAGTTATCAGGGATGAAGTCGCTTCTCTCCCTTGATGTGCAGACTGATCATGTCTCGCAAAACACATATATATTCCCCCGGGCCAACACCCAATTGAAATAAAAGAATACTTTTTGGCATCGTCTGTCAGGCTGGGTCTAAAAAAAATCAGACCTGGTTTGGCTTCACATAGATGATGATCCCTCAAACAAATCTCTTCACCTCGTTACCTGTGACCATGCTGAGACTCTTTCTATGGTTGTCTGTCTACTTTGGAGTTGTAGTTCTGCCTTGTTCATCCGTAACTACCTAGGGGAGGTAGGTAGCTTGCACATGTGGTATTGACAACACACACATCACGTGCCTCAGCCTTGTATGCACCTGCCTCGTATAGAATTCCAGCTGTGCAGCTTGCGATATCTGCCTTGCCCCGCCACCACACCTTCATATATTGACCCGGTCCTCTCTTCTCACCACTTGCAAATCATCATATAGTGTCTACGAAGCTGGCATGACCCTAGTCCTCTATATATACCCTTTCGTGCTCTATTCCTTCTTCCTTGATTGATGCGGGAAAAGCTCATGCCGCTGTCACAAGGCTACTTACAGCTTCAAGCACAGCCCGATGCCCTCATTGATTCAGTAACAACCCTGCACTCCCAGTTCTTGAGCTCATCTCCACAAGAAGTACGTTCTGCAAAATGGCGGACCCCTTGACAATCTTCGGCTCAGCAGCCTCGGTCCTCAGCACCATCGACATCCTCGCCAAAGCCAGTAAAGCTATCCTGGAACTCCGTAATCAATGGAAAGACGCCGACATGACTCTTCTGAATCTGACTTCTCAGCTGAATGCACTGAGAGCAGCGCTGACTAAGATCAAGAAATGGATGGAAAGCAGCGTGGACGAGTCCCATCATCAGCTCATCATAGACTTGGAAGCCTCGCTTCAATGCTGCCAACTACTCGCTATGCGGATCGACGCCGAAATAGGAGAATTGCCAAAGTTGGATGACGGAACGTTGCGTGCGGACTCCAAGGCCAAGTTGATCTTCAAGAGTAGTGGGATAGCCGATTTGCAGAGCATGATGGACCGACAGACTTCCGCGCTTACTTTGCTTCTTACTGCGTGTAACAGGTATGTCACGATCGAGACCCCTAATGACATTGACTGGAGTCTGACTGGAGCAGCAACACCCTTGTCGAGCAGCAGAAGCTCTTGGAGACGCCCAAAACTCGGAAGACTATTGAGACGGCTCACAAGGATAGTGCTTCTCTGATAGTGCATCGCGATGCTGCCTCTTTGCGCACGCAGCAAACGGATAATCTTTCCAAGCTTTCCATGACGTTCGGTTTCGATGGTGATCTGTTTGGATCGAAAGTTTATCAGTCGGTCATACGCGACCCTGTGAAGCTTGCGTTTCGATCGAGACACTGGCGAGGTGGCTCGCGGGGCTCCAAGGAGTCTCAAGGTTCAGCTATCTCTGAAGAAACCACGGTGCAATTCCGGCCTGAGATGATGCAGACCCGGCGGGTCAAGACGATCCTTGTTCTTGGTGAATACCACTTCCCTTGTCATGCCGCCCCCTTCCGTAATGAGATTGCGTCATGAATGCAGAATCGAAGCTGAGTATTGTTACTATAGGCGCCAATGACACTTCAAAAAGCACGCTCTTGAGGCATTTGAATCATATTTCCGAACCTGACAGTGAGGGATATAAGCTGCAGCATAGTAAAAACATTGATGAGTGCCGCGAAGCAGTCTACCAGAATCTCAGGAATTGCTTCGAGATATTCGTGGAAATCTTGCGCAAACAGTCGTTCGAGATGGAAGATGAAATGGAAGATCGAGAGATGGTAAGTTTTCGTGGCCAGAATTTTCTTTTCCCGTCGTTAGTCAAACATTTATATGAGTTTTACCTGCAAAAGAAGTCATCACTCACGCGCAAACAAGGTGACACAAGCGATGACTCTGTTGGACCAGTCTCCCACCCCCATCGAGGAAATACACATCAATTGGATCATATGCATTATAATGAACCTAGTGGATCTTCCGTACACCAGACGTGCCATTCTTGTGGGGAGCGATTATGACCTTCCTGACAACACTGAGTAGTAAGTCGCACTCCAACCATGTAAATTCAATTTCATCATATGGAGCCTTTGTTAATGGCGACTGTATCTCGCGTAGCTTTTTCACAAACATACAGAGAATCTCTGAGCCAGGATATGTTCCGACGAACCTAGATATGTGTCACATTCAGAACATGACGACAGGTATAGAGCAACATCGTATGGAGATAAACGGGCAGACTTGCTTGCTATACGATGTAGGAGGCTCTCGCAGTGAACGGAAGAAGTGGAAGAAATTGATGTACGATGTCGACCTCATTGTCTTTACCGTTTCTATGAGCGACTATGATGGGGGGACACGGTATGACGAAGTAAGTCTCACACTTCTGGCCTCTGGCCTCCCTCCTTCATCGTCGCCTACACTCTCAACCCATCCTATATTTGCCCTCTGGACAACGAAAAATCCTATTTTAACCCAAACTAATACAACAACACCCACTGTATAGTCCAAGATGTCAGAATCTGCATTGCTCTTCCAATCCTTAGCGACGAGTGACCGTCTTTCCTCCGTCAGCTTTATCCTCCTCTTCACCAAAATGGATCTCTTCGCCGCTAAAATCGCCTCTGGAATACGCCCACTCTCTAAATATAACAAGGACTATAGCGGCCCACCGACGAGTATAGCAGTCGCACGCGATTTCCTTACTAAAACGATTACAGATATGTATCAGACGGGTGGAAAATTGTACGTGCAATATCTAGACGCCACAAACCGGAGGGATATCGAAGAATTTCGGGGGGCACTTGCAATAATCCTCGCAGGCAAGAGTTGGAGGACAGGAGAGAGGGAGATCGTTAGCGGGAAGGGTAGGTGGATGAGTCAATTCAAAAACGAAGAGCCACATGAAGAAGCCGAGGCCAGATCATCATCTCAACCCTGAATGAACCTGACACCGTATCACCCTTGGGTTTCTGCGCGCCACCGAAACGAGACGCAGCACCCGTGACTTTTCAGAAGGCCGTGATACCACCACCGCCGTACGCGACATTCTCGTCACACATTCGGGTTCCCCACAATGCGACAACCAGCCAGCCATTCAGCCAGCAATCGGCCTGCCGAAACGAAGTTACACACCGACGACGCGTTTCCCCTTACCCTTGCATCGTGCATCGGCGAATTCATCGCCCCTTGTTTTTTCGTGGCCACAGCGTCAGAAGCGGAAACGGTTGAAGAAACCTTGGAGAGAGGGAGGGAGGGAGGCGAAGAGGTGGAACAAACGGTTCTCGTGACTCGACACCGCGCACGCCACGCATATGCAGGCTGCTGGCTTATGCTGTTTGCTATTTGTCGCGCGTGGTTCTAATGCCGTGTATATGTATATGCGAGTCGATGGGTAGGTTTGGGCGTCGGCATGCTTCACACGTTGCGTATGCATGGAGAGACTAGAAGATGTATTTCCTGCGGTGCCGTGGATATGAATATGCGGAACCAAGTGCTTGCGTGTGTGTGTGCGCGTAAGTGCGTGCGCCATGTAGCCTCCTCCCACAGTAGACAGTAGACAGTAGACAGTAGATTTACCATTAAGGGCGGGTGGTGATATGCATTCATCTATCACCTAACGCAACACTTTGGCCGCGACATAAGAGAAGGGGGGGGGGGATAAATTATCCAAGTAGAATTAGCTACAAGAGAGACGTTGAACCTTCCTAATCTAGTGATTAAACAGAAAAAAAAGTGTAGATTGCAGTGGTGCAAGCTAAACCATGTAAAATATAAGCTGTACTTGTATGTACAACTAGGTTTTTCTCTCTCTTTACGTACCTATGCTGTAGATGGCTATACTTGCGTTCAAAAAAATGTTGGGATGAACTTAACTACGCAACAAATGCATTTTGTTGGAGTAGATGGCACAGATATTTTTTTTCTTTTTTGTCAAAGTGCTTTTCCTTTTTGTAGATTGAAATAGATTGTTTTTTTTACAGTAATGATGGGGAGGAGGAGAGAACAGAGAGGGGGGGTGTAGTAGAGGCGCGGATTTCAAACTGCCTAATACGGTAAGTTCGGGGCTGATGTGTTGATTGCTGCAGTGAAACTGAGAATTATAGTACTACTCTACTGTGCATGTACCACTGTGTGCGCGCGCGCAACTCAAAGCTTACATATGTATGTGTATGCAGAATCAACGCTAGCGAAACTACATACTTGCGTAGATACTCTAAAATTGTATAAACTGAGTATTGTGGGACATGAGAAAAGGATGGCTGCGTTGGTGAATCGCTGGTGTGTGGTTTTGGCGTGGATTCCAAACTGCCTCATACGGTAAGTGCGTGGGATACCTGTTGATTACGGTGGTGAAACTGAGATTGCTGCTACGAACAACCGCGCGTCGGCTGCGTCTTTGTACACGCGCTTGAAATAACAGCTGTTAAAAAAAGAAGCAGCGTAGTGTACAAAGTGCATTTGCCTTTGCTATATGGTGCAGCGTAAGTCAAACTATCTCTAGCATTATCTGCGCGCATTGATCTTTTCTTGACGTTGATGGTAGGAGGGAGGAGATTGAACCTTCCTAATTAGGAAGGTAAGCTGTAGCCTGTTGATTCCCTTGGTGAAAGTGAAGCTCACATCCCTGCCACCCACAAACGAACAACCAGTAAGAAATCGTCACCAGCTCAAACAGCATTTTCCAAACCGACATACAAGAGAAAAAAATACCATCTCAGAAAGATTGGTTGGAGAGAGAGAAGGAGGAGGTGGACCTCAAGCAGCAATCCCACCACGGTCTTCTTCCCAGCAAAACTCGCAGACGTAGTCGATGAAAGCAGGCTGTAGCTCAACCTTCCTAATTAGGCAACTGATTAAATTCTACTGTAGATCGCTGCATCGCTTGATAGCACCGTCGCCAGTCTGTTACCAAACTTGATCCACGGTTGTGAATTCGCGATAGTGCATTGAAATACTCCTGCATACCTTTTCATGGATTTGCGCTTCCAAACATTCTATTTAGGTGATCTTGATATCTAGGTGTTGATTGCTGTTGGTTTTGGACGTCTTGTTGGAGATTGGGTGGGGTTTTGAGAGGGTAGATGGAGTTTTGCGATAGTGCATTGGAATGTGCTTGGGTGTACTCAGTGTGGGATTTATTTTGCTTGGGGATTGTGAGCTTGTGAATTGCTAGTTATGCGATCTCAGCAGGTTAAGTACGTTATCTACTTGACATGCATCATCTGCAATATGGCTTTATGGCGACCTCACTTACACGGTGATGAATCGTCACAACTCACCATTGGTCGTGCGAGAACTAATTGATCGCCGTGACCTCGGACTATTCACAAAACTAATCATAGGAGCTTTTCAACGTTTTGGGAGAAAAATGAATGAACAATTAGACAGTGTTCGCCCTCGTCGGCTATCATTCTCAAACCCTTGTTGTTATTTCTTGGGTTTCTGCCCTCTCGTGGCTAGATGCCTGTGTTACGTTGCTTACTTTTGACTGGAACACTATCAACATAACAGGCGACATCGCCAATGCCACAGACCCATAAACCGTAAAAGTCAATCCAATACCGAGCCTTTGGAAAATCGCACCTGCGAAGATGGAAGGAACACCAGCGACTATCGAATGAATCATCAAACTACCTGTGACTGCCGCTTGCGAGTGCGGCGAGATGGGATAGGCAGCCAAGACGTACGACATACACAGAGTCTGCAAGAAGTGTTAGTCGGCATATCAAAGAAAAACAAATTGAGTAAGATTTGGGGGTTGGGGAAAGAGATCGAGACTCACTATCGTGCTCATAACCCCGATGCCAGCGATGCCCGCGGCAATGAGCGGGATGATCCAGTGCACTTGTTTTTCGGCCATCCATCCACAGAGCAGCATTCCAGCCCCGGCGAGTGGCCAGCATAGTGTCGTGGGGAGTACTCTCCATTTCGCATCTTCATCGCCCCTTTTGTGTCGCCAGCTCGCTGTTGTAGTGGATAGGAGAGTGGCAAGGCCTATACCGACAATGTTACCCACAGTGGGTGCGAGGTATACGTATCCGATATGGATCGACTTCACCGCGTGGATCCCGACGAAGATTTCCGGAAGCAAGCCGTAAAGAACGACCTGCAGTGCCAACCCAGTAGCAGAGACCAGCGAGACCGCAAAGAAACGAGGTGCAACGACCATGCGGAGCATCAGGGCTGCACTTTTCGAGCCAGTGAAAGCCACCGGTATCGTCGTTCCACGCGCACCATCACCACCATCATCACCAATTCTAGCGCGCAAACATTTGTTCCCTGTAATCTTGCGGAGCCGCTTCGCCTTCCTCTCCAGCACTACACCAGAGCATGTCTCGGATAACCCGAGCAGTGAAAGCACAGTGCAGAACACACCCCCCAACCCCGTCCCCCAGAAAACCCACCGCCATTCCCATCTCCCACCTACAAAGCTCGCTGCCACGTCGCCGAGCGCCCACGAAATAGCAAGGGATATGAATGCTACGCCTCGTCCCTTCGTATGCGGCTTGTACATATCCATCAAGCTCAACGGGGCGAGCGCAAACGCAGCACTGCCGCCGACCCCAGCGACAAACCGTGCAACTGCGAGGAGCGGAAACGAGTGCGTGGAAGCGCACCACGCTGTTGCGCCCATGAAAATCGCGTTGCTGAGATGGTACATCCATACGCGGCCGAAGCGCTGTGAGAGCGGGGAGATGACGAGGAGGCTCAGCGCGTGGCCGAGTAGGTAACTCGACACTGCGAGCGGAGCGATAAACAAATTCCCTGTCGTTGTAGGGAACTCGTGTTTGAGGTCTTCAAGAGCAGGGGCGAGGACACTAAAAGTGAAAGATCTGTATTGTGTTTCGACGACGACGTCAGTGATGCTTCTTCCAGGGACATATCCGGAGGCGGTGTTAAGATTAAAAAAAGGGCGGGAGTATACGTACGATGTAGTAGCCAACAGACATACAATGACAGTGTTCAGCATCTTCTTCCGCGCCGACCAACACACCGGCTTCAAGGGGTCATCTTCGCCGTTCCAATCCACGACATTCAGTACCATGGGTCTCTGCGTGTCACCACGCTGTGCTACACCATCCGCTCCTCGAAACAAATACCCACTACTATTCCTACTTCCCCCTCCTCCTCTTACGCTCAACGCCACGCGATCGTACAGATCCTGGATATCTTGCCGGATCATTGACACGGTGGTGCTACCATTCGACGCAGCGGTTTCGGATCGAGGAGGAGATAGCGCAAGTCCCTCGTTTCGAGCGTCCATGGTAGCGGTAGCAAGGACTAATGATCGTGGGGATGCCGGGGGTCTGGCCTTTGGTTTTCGCGGGTGGTAGCTGAACGGGTGGAGAAAGGTGCGCTGCGGAGCTGGAGGATTCATCGTGGCAGATGCTGTCAGTGGTGTTATGTAGCTGGGTGCGTGTGTATCTGGGATTGAATTGAATTGGGCAATAGAGACGCGGTTGTCCTGGAGGTCACCGACGTTCAGCCTGTCACATCAAAGTATATATGATTCATTCATAGATGGGGCGTGTACGGTTCAAGACTATATCTGAACGGAGATTCCAGCGCTGGAATGAGCCGGATGATCGTGGGCTGTAAGCGTTGTAGGTGAAGGAGCGAGTGATTGTGAACCACTGTGAACTGACTTGTTTCTCCTGTGCGAGATCACGAAGATCGAGGGGCCCCAGATCATAAAGAATTAGCATTATTCCTTTACTGCAACGCATCGTTTGGCCTGGGTTGATGAACGGGGAAGAATGGTCGTGCATAGACCGACGGTTGTTTTCCCAGGTACTTCATGCGGCAACACGGGCAAAACCAACGTCACCTGAAAGTGAAATATTTCTTTCTTTCTGAGTTATAAAGTCTTTCATATATGCACACTTGAAGCTACAACCACTTCAGATTCTGCACATCTCTAACCAACGACATGGGTGGAAGACCCCACTTTGCAGCACAGGAAGTTCGTCGTGTGGAGGTGTTGAGGCTGAGTGGTGGACGATACCAAGACAATGCGGATATATTGATATCCTGGCTCTGGCCATCCATTCGCGAAGCAGACAGCATGAAACCGCGTATGCTGCAATGCTTGCCACTGATACTCTTATTCTAGAATCTTATAGAAATATGTACCCCGCATACTCAATCTATAAAGCACAAGCGTGTGGTTGGTTGCATACCTATCTGGGCCTGCATCGGGAAGTGCTTTACGTTTCTTTACTTATCAAATCACTTGATGAAGCATTTTATCTCCCATAAAAAGGCTATCTTTCGGTGAAAAAAAAAGAGTACACATACCTGCAAACGCTATGAAATAAATACATGCCCATGCATACGTGTATTGTTCGAAGTTGCACATGCGTACGCAAGCGCTCCGCCTAAGAATGTACATAATTTCCAAACGCACCCAGTCACCCCCATCAACTCACATCCGATCACTATACCAACGCCCTCATCCTCCGCTTTTCTCCTTCATCCTTCCCCTGAAAGAAATTCCAAAAAAAAACATACAACAGCAGGTATTCGCTAGTGGTCTCCCACCTAACTACTAATCTGCCGGTACAATGCTTAAGTACAGCTGAGCGAACGGGAAGCTCTGTTCTCATCGTCCTATGGTCGTATGTGAAAGTGAAAGCATAATCTTAGATCTATATACAGGGGTGATTGTACAACTTTTTGCTGTGTGCAGTGTGCAGATGTGTAGGGTGATGTTGGGTATGTAGGATAAACCTAAATAAGAATGGGGTGAATGGCAAAATGGGTAAGGATTGTCGACGAGGCATATTGAGGGGGGGAAAGCGAGAGAGAACAATGTCGAAGCAGTGATACTGATGTACAAGTAGACGATGGAATAGATATGAGAGTCTACAGTACTAGCCTTTCGCGGGATATTCGATAATATTGCATTGAATTATGCTATTTGGTTTTTGCCTTCGCAGATGGGAACGGCATGTACGCGCTACTGACGACGAGAACTAACATGAGGTTTAAGTATTGACCAATTTAGATCCATGGATTGTAGAGATACATACACCATATGTCAAACTAATGATTATTTTTTGGTTATCGCCCGTTTTTTTAGTTTATTTATCGTTGTAACCCTTCGCTGTGTGTAGGATCACCTAAACACCAACTCAGAATTAAAATGTCGAACTATAGCCCCTCTCGAGATGGCACCCCACGATACGAAGCCATGTCAATCAACAAGATACGACATAAACACTGTGTAATGGACGGGCAGTAGAGTTAGTTTGTCAAGGCAATCAATATTCATCCAGAAAAGTATTCAACAATCATTATATTATCGAGATTTAGCGGTCATCTCATTGTTTCCATGAAGAGTAAAAAGATCACTGCGCTATTGTCACAGCCCCATTTGCTCAAAAGTCACCAGAGCACATGTCACTTCCTTGACGCAATCCTCTTCGGAGCGAGTCGCCGTAAGTGTCATCAGTGACGCAGTTTCCAGAGAGCTACTGCTCTCCTCCAACAACGTATCGCATAGAGAATCCTCGTCGCTAGGAGTACCAGGATCCTCTTGCCCGTGCTCCGTACGGTGACTAGCAAGTGCAGCTTCAGCCTCCTCATCTTCCGAAGCCGATTCGTCGAAACTGAGGCGCCTAGTGTACTTCCGGTCCTCTCGGAACCGATGTTGTACTTTTCCAGGCTTACTTCCAATGTCGCTAATTTTTGGAACAACAGTGATATCGTGTTTCCGAGGGGTCCTGCGCTCACCTGCGTGCCGTCTATTGAACTTGGGGTTCTGCGTTAGAATTCTCTCCACAAGATCTCTGCCATTTGTGGCAGTCGCCGACTTGCTCATCTTGTATTTGGCCTCGCGACCAGCCAACGAGAGATGGTGACACCAGTCTTGGAGATCTTTGCCTGGCTTGCGGGGATTCAGCCAGGGGGGTGTGGGGTAATTTAAAGCGATGGGTAAAGAGCGTATATCGCCTTCGAATTCGATGAGGTCTTGTAGTGTTTCCTGGGTCAAATTGTCACACTTCGGGCAAAGGTCAAAGAACTGCGAGGGTTCTGCATTGCGACAGCTCAGCACGGGGAAACATGTTGAGCATCTGTCACGAAGTACCTTCGGCGCGGGTTTATGTATGGAAGGTGCTGGCTGCCAGAGGGGTGTGGCAGGCAAGGATGTGAAGCGATTGCATTCGCCGCAAATATACACAACGCCAGCACACTGCAAATTGTTCGGCTGTCCGCACGCCTTGCATGGTTTTGGTGGATCAGGTTTGGGCTTGGATGTGTTGGGTAATCCGGAAAGGCCAGCTATGGATCTTTGCGAAGGCAGTAGGCTGAGATCAGTGCGTCGGGTCGGCTTGGAGGTCTTTGAAGGTTTAAGAATTTCCCTTCTAGGAACAAAGGCCGCATCCCATGCAAACGCATCTCTGGGTCTAGAAATGATAAGCTGTTGTGAGCTTTCATTCTCGAGTTCCTGAGCAGGCGCCTGGACGGCTGTGATTATAAGATTTGAACCAGAGTTGGAGCTGGTTGGATAGTAGTGTTGATCGGGTATCATTTGATAGTCTATGATTCCAGGTCGAGATGAGTGCATCATTATAATGATGGCCGACAGGAGAATTTGCCACGCTTAAAAATAGCAGAATCGTCGGTAGATGCCCAATGAACAATGTCAAGTGAATACACAATGTCGACATGTTGCTGGCGTTGCGAAGTCGTGGTGTGGCGTGTCTACATTGTGCAGGCGGTCATTCGCTCATATACTCGTGATCGCAATTCTGCTCGGCACATACAGCTGCACCAGCAGCTCTAAGGGAATGTATATAAAAAGGAGAAATACCCCTCTCTTCTAAGAGATATCTCCTTTGGATGGAAAGTGTATATATAATGATGATGATGATGATCCGGAATTCCTGGGTTGAAGTTTAGTACTTATAGAAGCCTCGGGTCGTCGTAGTGGCTGCACAATATTCGCATTGTAATGTTGGCATTGTGCAGTAACAGTGTGAAGATTGCTGGACACAACGCAACGTTCAATCCTGGCTGGCATGCCTCCTCTTCAATTCCGCTTCGACAGCCTCGACCGTCATTGGCACTTTCTTTCCTTGCCATACTTTCTGTTCCTCTTTTGCGAAGCTCTCCACGCTGAGTAGAGCTACCACCAAGAACCCTAGCTCTTCGCGATCGGTATCAAAGACCTCCCACCACTCGACATCCGGTAACTTGATGCCCGTTTCCTTTGCGGCAAGGTATATGGCGGCTGTAGCAAGACTGGGAGGCTGGTGAGTAAGGTACATGAGCTGCGGACTCAGAAGCGCGGTGTTTAGGTGTGCAGTTGCTCGCTTTGCGAGTTCGGACGCGCGAGGATGCGAGAAGACATCGAGTGCTTGGAGGTATGTAATGCACAGAGCATATGGTAGCGAGACTTGAAGTTGGAATCCCAAGACCTTTAGGATTCGCTGTTCAGTCTCGAACAGGTCCAGTTTACGCGTCTGGTAAGTTCCTTCAGAGACATAGTACTCTTCCGCTTTATTTTCCGTTCGCAAGACGTCTGTTTCGAAGGAGGGGAAAGGAATAGAGTCGAGGTAGGCGTAGACATTGACAATGCTCCTGGGGGACTTTGGATAGGCAGATAGTTTTGTCGTCAGGTAAATCGAAGCGGCCGAAACTTGCTGTACACACCCCATTAGCATGTATGATCTAACCATACATTATACAAATTAATTTTCAAGTTCAAAAACGTACACGAGCACCGAATTCCGCCAAGCTCCCTCCTTCGGGTCCCAGCCAAAACCTCGCAAAGACGATGATGGCCTGCGCAATCACCTCCTGCGGCAAGCGCAACAAGATGCCCGCGGCCTGCGTCAGTTGCGCCCCCGCAAAGCGCACAGAATCCTCGAGATCGCGCGGTATATTGTCGATTTGCGAGCCAGTCTCCCGCAATTGGGCGACCGTGGCGAGCGGATTTGCGAGCGGCGAGGGCTGTTGCATGACGGAGGATGAGGCTGGTGTCGTTTCGTGGTGTGAGTGAAATCGAGCTCTCACTTCTGTTCTGGGAGCTGCCCTGGAGCTCTGGTTCGGTTCCCTCGGCTGCTTGGCGACCCGACTAGGCTCGATTGGCTCGATCCACCCTGTTGAACCGTTCTGATATATCAACACGGCTCAGATTAAGCTACAAAAGAAAAGAGAAACAGTGTTAGGTTACTTGTCTGGAGCCTGTCGGGGGATTTTCCCTGCGTATCTAAGTACGCAAGGATCTCCAAAACTGTCACACCGCATCGACACCACCTCTCCTACAGCTTAGCTCCCACTTAAGCTTAAGCGTTCGTGCCACAGGCCCGGGATTGCTCCAAGTTCCTAATTATAAATCTTTTGATATCGGAACGTCTACAGTAGAGACCGTTACAATGTGCACCCACAGGTCTCATGACTATATAATGCAAGACCTAACAGTTTCATGTACACCGTCTCCTGGCGAGATTTCGCTGAGCCCACTTACGAAACCTGCTTACTGACACTTAGCATACTTATATTAATATATGTTATGCTAAGTATTTGTTTGGTTTTAAGAAGTTGGAAACGTTAAGAGTATGCATAATGCAATGGTTTTATAGACGCGCCGAGGGAAGAATTTCAGAAAGTCCGATGTCGGGTTTCATTCTCCGTTGATTCCATCAGCCAGTGTGAACGGGCTTTGATCTCTCCCCAAGTGAATGAACACTTGCAGAAAAGCTTGAGAGGGCATTTTCAGATGACTAGGAAGTAATATACATATTAAGACCGTAGAAATTTTACATTAAGACATTAGTTGTGTACTAGTTCGCATTCATAAGCGTGTGCAGCGCCCAATTATACCAATAGGCTTCTCAAACGACTGTCCGCAGTCGATGACCTGGTTTACGAATAGCTTCTGGCCATTGCTATCCTGCCTCGTTCCTAGTTCCGCATACATGTCCCACAGGAGGCTTTTGCTGACTGCCATTTTGCCCTCTAGGTGCATGTCCTCGCAAGGATTTACGGAGAACCCTAATTTCAGGTTGAGATGCTCGGGAATCGAGGCTAGTAGCAAGGAGAAGAAAGCACGGAAGATGAAGTGTGCGCTGTGCCATTCGTTCAATTCGGAGATTGCCCAGTCGTAGTATCGCGAGTGGAAGGAAGGTATGATTCGTAAAAAGCGCAAGTTCGGGAACATGGCGAAAAATGAAGCCCAGTCGGTATAACTGTTCATTCGTTGCGCGTCCTTGAGTTGCAATTCAAGCTGCAGTCGGGTGATTCGACTGTAATCCCACCCCGAGGGAGTCTCGATGGTGGTCAATGGCAAATTGTCCATGGAGATGGCAAACCAGTTACTCTGATAGAAGTATTCACTGGACTCCCAGTGGAGGAATTTGGATGCTTGGCTGATATTAAGGTCGATGATGGGTGCCAACGAAGTCTCTTTGGAAACAATGGGTCGGCGTCCACTTTGAATACGTTTGAGGTTCTGGCGTTCCCGGTTTCGCTGAGCTGTATTACGTTTCTTTTGCTCCCGGAGAATTGATTTCGCTTCCAACATTGGAATACGGCGCCCGCGCTGGACGACTAGATATGAATAGACGTGATTCCGGAGCTCTCGTGGTAGGTGAAGTAAAGGAAACGGGTCCGTCGATCTGTCGCCAACCTGTCTCGAGGGTTTGCGCCTGGGTGAACAATTAGAGCAAGACCAAGGTGTGTTGTTTGAGAGCCATCACTAACTGGAGTTTCCTGTATTGCGCCATGCAATGGACATCCTTGACACCATCTCTCGCCGTCTCTTCGTTGAGAAGTGACATTACAGATACTCTATTGGGGGCGGGTTGCTCAACCTTGTCCACGTGATTGTATCCCCACTCGTTCGCACGCTTCTGTGTTGCTATAATGGTGGCGTCGTCTCCTTTGCACTTCCTGTAGGGATTCCGTCGGAGAGCCATCATTGACATATGGAATCGCTGGATCTGGCTCCCATTAGATATGTATGTTGAAATTGAAGGGCAAGGACAAGATTTCTCCGGCGCACCTTAGCGACATTACAACAGCAAGCAACATCTGTTAGTAGTGCGTGCACGGAAGGCGGGCCAGAGACGCTATGAGTGCGTCTAGGGATGCGAACCATGTTGACTCAAGCAAATGAGTTGTATAACAGGAGGGACCGAGCATGCAATTTCCAAGAGGACCGAGCGTTGGAGGGGCCAAAGTCGAGAGCCAGAGGCCAACAGTGGACAGATAGGACCGAGGAAAAAACGGCCATGGAGCGACGTTTTGAAGCACGGAGCTTGCGTGACATATCGAAAGTATTATCGAAGGTATTATTGTTTGATATTTGGAACTGCCGGGCAGTGCACTCTCTCACAGAGTCGACCGTTGCGTGTGTAAAGCACGAAGCGGAGGAGGAGGAGTGGTTAGCGGATGAGTGTTAAGGCTTATTGTTTCAGATGCGAGATCTTATTGGCATTAACAGAGGGCAACTAAGGTCTCGCAGAGCAAAAGTGGAAGCCACGATTGCATTGCTGCGCAAAGAAAGTGTAATGAAGCATGGGTTGGATGCTGAGATGGGTTAGCCGTCGTCGGCAACCACTTTCGCGTGTCTGAAGTATTTCATGCCGACCCAAGCCACCACGACCCATATCCACGCCATGACGACTGTGCATACCATCAATGCAGGATAGTAGCCCGTTATGGGGAGCGTGGGGTCGTCCTCCAAGTCGGGAGGAGCATAGGGCGTCTCTCCCACGTCCCACGCCCAGCTCCAAACGCCAAAGCAGGAGCCCATACCAACCACAAACACGATCCAGGTGGTGATGAGAATGACCCAGCCCCACCATTCCGTCTCGCTGTAGTCCCACTCGTCGTCCATGGTCGCGTCAACTGGCACTTGCATGACCAGGGGAGATGAATGATGTTGCAACGAACGGTTGAGTCGGCGACGCGGCAGCGCCAAATTGGATGAGGGTGGTTGCAGCTGTCGTGAAGCGCTGCTGGTGGATGCCGAGGGTCGAAAGAAAGATAGCGAGTCGTCATCGTCGGTTGTCGATGCATAGGTCCCAGACGAACTCCTCAGAATCATGGATGCGAGCGGCCGCGGGGTAGACTCGTCTTCGCGGCCATACGACGAGGAACTGCTGGTGTCGGGGAACTGCTGCTGCTGCTGCTGCTGCTGCTGCTGCGGTTCCTTGCTGGTAGAAGTGGCCATTGGTGGAGACGGCTTGGATGGATGGAGGTCCTGGACGGCCATGCTTTTGCCCAATATTCCCGTTCTCAGCGACGAGTTCCTCTTTCTGCGTGCTGCTCTGGCCTGGCCAGGTGGCTTGGCAGCTTCCTGTTCCCATTCCTTTCCTCTCCTGGCTTTTCCGTCCGCGCCTGCCGGGGACAGTTCAGGTTCAGGTTCATTTCCGCGAGAGCGGGCGTGGGTGCCGAGCTCCATTCTTTCCTTCTGGAATGGCGATGATCCATTTGGCGTTGACGGCTGTCAGCACCTGTGTTTCACGATGGAGCGGGAGCGAGGGTTAGTGTCGACGTCGTGGTGTTGGATTGGGAGCGACTAACAGCTGTAGAGCCTGTAGCGCGGCTCTGCGACGTGCACCGAGCCAGCGGGAAGCGAAGCCACAGTCGGCCAACATCGTGTTGCTCGCTCGTAACCCTGACCCCAGCTTATTTTGCTCGCACCCATTTTTTTTAAGATTAAATCACCCCCATATTGGGCAGAAGTACTGTATATTTGTCATTGTAGCACTACTCCATGCGGCCTAGTCCCTCTTCTTCCCCGAACCCCTCTACATCATCTTCCAACCTCTCTCTCGTGAGGTGGATCCGTTGCACACAACCTGAAATGACGCCGTCGTGATCATTACCTTATTCTTCTGTTCCACCGCCATCGCTCATTTCACCGCAGCCAGCAGTTGAGGCCGTGAGAGAGTCATGGATACCAACATGCCCCTGCCCCGTCCACCGCGAACCCCTACGCCTCCACTCGACGACGAGCCTCCTGCAGACCACCATCATTCGCATGCGCATCCACCCCCCAATCTGAACGCTTTACATCCCAATTCCTTGTCACCGCTATCCGCGACCTTTGGAAGCCTTGCTCCCAGCGAATCCCTCTCCCAAAGATCCACTGCCGCCCAGGGCAACCTCTACAGCCCAGATCGCGGGTCGTTTCTTCCCACCTCGACCACCGCCATCAATGGTATCAGTGACAATGAGGCACCCTCCTCCTTGAGTGGCTCCGATAATGCCCAGAGTGCGCCGAACCCGTTCAACTTCCAACCTGTCAGCTACATGCCCGCGAAGCCGCAGGCGAAACAAGCTGTATGTGGACGTACACTTTGCTCTTTGTTTATGGGGAATAGTCGCTGAACTGTCTAGGACATTGGCCGGAGACGTGGACACAAGTACAAGCATAGTAGCGTTTCCCACCAGATCTTTCTGGAACCCCCACCGCGTGCGCCGCTCCAACTACCTGCGTCGCTTCCTGTTCCTACCTTTAAAGAATATCGTTCGAGCATGTCCAGAGAACAGACCCTTAGATTGGGCTGGTGTTTCTGTCACTTGCTGGTCGCCGGCTTGGTACAGTGGGGTGCGCATGAATCTTTGGCGCTGACGGTGCTATCGCGCCTCCTCTTCTATGATGCCCTGGGTGCCTTCCTATGCGTCGCTGTCGACGTGGGATCCAACTTCGAGGTCTGGAAACGGTCCACAATTCGCCACCCGTTCGGTTTTGAGCGCTCCGAGGTCATTGCCGGCCTGGGCATGTCTGTGGGTTTGCTGTTCATGGGTCTGGATCTGATTTCGCATGGCCTCACCCACACGCTGGAGAACAAAGGAGGTCACCAATCCCACCACGGCCACGGTCACGAGCGGGTTTCACCTGGCAGCATCGATCTGGCAGCTCTGAGTGGGATTATCTGCACTTTGGTGTCGGCTATCGTGTTGAAAAACCACGCTCGGATAGCAAAGGTGATGCGGCTGAGCGCTATTGCCAATCTGCCTTCGGTGCTGAGCAACCCTTCGCATTTCCTCACGCTGTCGTGTTCCACACTTTTGTTGCTGCTGCCCCTTCTCAGCATCAAAATGTATGTCTGGTTAGACCGCACGCTGTCGTTCTCTGTCGCCATCTCCATGGTCGCATTGGGTTGGATTCAAGGATGGACGCTGGGCAAGGTGCTCATGATGTCCTACTCAGGGCCCGGCGTTTCAGCCGTCATGTACGACATTGAGACGGATCCGGCTGTCAGTTCGGTTGAGGAAGCCAAATTTTGGCAAGTGCATTACGGACTGTGTCAAGCCAATCTTAAGCTGCGCGTGCGAAACCTGGACGAAATCGTACGGCTGCGAGACCGTATTGGAAGCATGGTGCGGAACCGGTTGGGCGGCAGCTACGGAGGAGGGGGCCAGAAGTGGGAGGTTTCGACCCAAATCACATTGGATAAGGACTGATGTATCGCGATAGTTTTGAGTGAGTTTTGCGCTTGGTTTGCTGTGTATCGTGTATATTGTATACTCTTTGGTAGGGATCGAGAAAGATTAAGAATCGTGCTGCGTATCCGCACACACATACAAACTTGCATGTATACAATGATACACAGTGACGCGGGATGACTACGTGATCTCTGTTTGCCCCAATATTGATGTGTACAATAACCATGTACATGGAGATATATCATGTATCTACGTATGTACCTATCAAAGGACATGGTAACGTGAGGTCTGCACGCGCTCACCAGAAGACATGGGACGACCAGTCTCCCCCCTCGATCGCTTCTCCCAGCCCATTGGCCGTGAAGATTGCGTAGACACTCCGTCTTCGCACATGCATGTACCGCAAAGCCAGCTGGCAGCATGGTGTGTGTCTTACCATGGGCACGCATACATGTACAGCTGGTGGAGGCTTGCTCGCCAGCCAGTGACGACGCCTAGCGCAGGAGGGTTGAGAGCAGCAAGGAACGGGGCTCTACTTAGCGTACCCTGTACGGGAGCCCTCGCACCGATCATCAGGCACTCTGAGCAAATCCTCACCGCCCAGCCAGCTTGCTTTCTGGTGCTTTCTGTCTTGTGGGAGAGGTGGCCGTGACTCGTGCGCTGGTCGTCTGGTCGTCTACCAGCAGTTCAGCAGTTGAACCTACGACACCAGGCTGCAGATGCTCTGCTGTCACTCCACCACCCAGCCCATCGCTTCACACAACCCCCGTCACCGCCTGCAACCTCTGCTGCACTGCCAACACCACCGACGACACTTGCAGCAGACCCGCACCCACGGGGTCGCTTGCACCTGTACATACCCACACGAACCCCCCAGGCAACGGAATGGCCAGAGACCGCGACGGCCGCGAATCCTCTTCCAGATATTATTACGACCAGAACTCGCCCGACGAGCGCGAACACAGACACCGCCGCCGGCACCGCCATCGGGACTACGACCACCAAGACGAAGACTACGCTGCCGCCAAACGGGAGCGCCGCGAGCGTCGCAGAGCCGAAGAAGCACGCAGGGAGGCCGAGCTTGATCTCGATGATATAAGGACGCGCCGGGAGTCGTATTACGCACGGCCTGAAAGCGATCGCCATTACCATCGTGACGACCATCGGCGCATGGCACAGGAGCCCCGAGCGCGGGAGAAGACCAAGTCGAGGAGCAGCCACAAGGAAGGAGGGCGCGACAGTACTTTGCGACGGAGAAGAAAGCAAGAGAGGGAACCCAGTTTGGACGGCAGAGCCGAAGACTATGTCTATGGTCGTCCGGAATCCGGCATGGTAGAAGAAGTCACAGTACGGAGATCAAACCGCAGAAGGAGCGATGAGGGCGGGTCATCGAGCAGGACCGCCTATACCCCGTTATCCGGCTCTCGGTCTGCCTCCACACGCAAGGAGGAGCCCGCGAGGTTAGGTAGGACGCTATCTGCTCGGGAGCCGCCCAGGGGATATGCGACGAGGCCTTCTGTCCGCCGCACCAACACTACCAAACAGCCTGTCATTGCTACCACCACCGCAGCTCCTATCGCGCGTACTCAGTCGCTTTCAGTGAAAGACACTGCACGGAGAAGCAGTCTTTTGGCCAGTTTCTTCAGACCTCCACCCCGAACCCCGACCCAAGCTTCCCACAAAGAAATTCCGAGGTTTGCCTACCTTTTGGCCCCTTGCAGGTCTAGTTGCTAATAACATGCAGAGTGGAATGTCTCATTTGCATGACCGATGACCTTCCTGCAAGCAAAACCGCCAAACTTGGCTGTGGCCACCGCATGTGCCACTCGTGCCTCAAACGTCAATTTACGCTCTCCGTCAGTGACCCTCAGCACATGCCCCCAACCTGCTGCAGTTCGGAACACATCCCTTTGAGATATGTCGAGCGACTGTTCGACGACAAGTTCAAGAAGCTATGGAACAAGAAGTATCAGGAATATACCACAGCCAACCGCCTGTACTGTCCCGCCAAGAATTGCGGGGAATGGATCAAACCTTCCAAGATACGGATGGACTTGACTTATGGTATGAGGTATGCCCGTTGCGGGAGATGCAACACCAAGGTGTGTGTCCTGTGTAACAGCAGATTCCACACAAGACGAGAGTGTCCCAAAGATGAGGAGACGAACCGCCTGGTTGAAATGGCCAAGGAGCAAGGCTGGCAAAGGTGCTACAACTGCAAAGCTGTGGTCGAACTGAAGGAGGGCTGCAACCACATGACTTGGTAAGTGACTCCACCAGCGTCTTCCGCGATATCACACTCACAATATCTAGTCGTTGCACCGCTCAATTTTGCATGGTCTGCGCGGCTCCCTGGAAAACTTGCAATTGCCCTTGGTTCAATTACAACCACATTGATGACGGCGACCGTCTCAACGATATGCAAATCCCATACACTGCCCGTGAAGACATGATCGAGGTCATCGAGTATCCGTCCGACCCAGCGCCGGTTCCGCTTCGTCGCACCAGCACAAGGACACGCCACCGACAGGATCGAGATCGCCAACTTGACCGTGCAGACGAGGCTCTTGCTGCCCACCTCCAAGCGCAACTGAGGCTTAACAATCCTACTGCCTCAGACCTCCATCGGGATGATGCCAATGTGCAAGTCTACGGGGTAGGCAACTCTGGCGGCCACCACATGAATGATTCGTATGCTGTACGTCCTCTCGCGAATCCGACCCCCAGGACAGCAAACAGAGCAGCACCCCGGATGCCAGCCCCGCGAGCCTCTTTCTTCGGTCGCCGACTTGTCCGTGAGCCCGCGCGTCATGTCCCTGCCCCGAGTGCTCACAGCGCAAAGGCGTCCACGATGGCTGGCCTGTCTCGTGATGGGACGAAACGCGGAGCCAACAGAGTCGGAACTTGGTTGAACCATGTCGAGGTGGACGACGAAGCCATTCACACGGCTCCGAGAGATGTAGAGGTCGATGACTGGAGAGTGGAGGGATCGATGGTTGGAATTGATTAGTTGATTATATTGCGATTCCATTACTTGGAAATGCGGCAGAGGATACTTTGAAAGCTACGGTGGATCTAGTCGGGGAAGGAACCCACGATGTGGATGAGAGGAGTCGGGAATACTGTGCATATTGTTTTGGATTTCGCACGATACCCTTACAGCGCGGTGCGCGACGTTGATGAATTGACACGAAACCAATCTTCACTCGAAATATTTAATTGTTTTTTTTTTTTATCTTATGATCTTTCTAGTGATGGCCGCAGTTTCTGATAGCGTCCGGGGCTCAGTGCCGAAGACGGTTCGAGCGCTACGATCCCTACCCGTTTGTATGATGAAGGTGATGTGAACATAGTGATGTCATGTCACCTAGCTCCTGAAGCTCTCCCCAAGCTGCTTAGCTACCACCTACAACATAGCTCGAAAACAGCATCAACTCGATTCAATCAATCAATCAGCCAAACTTCTTTCCCAATCTTACTTTCAAGGTCCCCTTTCAAAAAACACCCCACTCCTCCATCAATTCCACATCATGTCCTTCCTCCGCCCCCTGTCCAAGCTCCGCCCATCCGCAGCAGCTTTCCGGCCTGCGCTGACCACGACGGCCCCCCGAGCTGCTACACAGCAAGTACGCTTCGCAACGCAAGACTACGGCTCCGGCGAAGGCAACCCGGCAGGCGAGAACCCTCAAGCACAAGGCAAGCGTGGCCGCGAGGACCTCGAACACCCCGGCCCCGCTCCCCCAAAAGTAGCACAGAAAGACTCCAAGCAGACATCTTCGTCTTCCCAAAAGTCAGACAGCAGTGGGGAGAAGGCGTCGTCGACAGGTAAAGGAAGTGAGAAGTCTAGCAGCAGCAGCAGCAAGCAAGGTGCGCAGCCAAAGATCCTTAACGAGAACCCACCCAGCAAGGACAAGGAGAGTGCAGATGTGAAGAGGCATAACGAGGAGATGGATCAGAGGGCTGAGAAGGCGCATGAGCAGGTTAGCAACGAGGAGGCGAAGAACGACAAGGTGCCCAAGAAGTTTTGGAAAGGTGAGTGATGGGTTTCCTTTTTCTTTTGGTTCACGATGACAGGTCACTGTATCAAATACTGACTTGATTGTGTGTGTGGATAGGCCAAGGAGGGAGAGACGAGGAGCCGTGATGAGACGTGTACCAATAGAGAAAATGTTGCAGTATTGTAAAATGGCATAATGTTATGGAAAATGTACAGCATGGATGAATGGATGAGTGAATGAATGCATTGAATCCACCAGGATGTATTTGTTTGTTCACTTTGATCTGGCAACCTCAATCAATGATGCGGTGTTTACCTAGGTATGCAGTGCATCAACATAGAAAAGGTGAGTAGAGTCTGTACAGACATATTGTACATGATTAATTATGCAAACGCACAAAATAGCTGGGGACTCCATTGAGGAGTACAGCGGGCCGTTGTTGATGGTCGGCAATGATGTCAGTGGCTTCGCGTAGGCTGGACCCCCGCAAATAAGCTGGTGATGGGAATTTTCACAATGCCATCAGCACCGTAGTCCGCTTGGGGACAACGCACAGTCCCCGGCCTTTGCTGGACTCCAGCAAAATGGAGGCGACACTTTTGGCCAGCAGATGATAGAAATGTGCGAGCAAGAAGAAGGTGAAGGAGATTGATAGACATTGAATTAGATCGATGGGTGAATAGATACCTAACGCTGGTGAAGAAAGGCGATGACGGACGCTGTGGGCGATTGCACGCAAAACTGACGCGATGAAGAAGACGTGAGCACAAAAGAGGCACACACTACGCTACCACGCCGTGATTGGCTGCGGACCTCCAGCTCTGCAAAGGCGCAACCTTGTTTGTGCCGCCCAAACAGTTACGTCACAAACACGCGCCTCTGTCTCTCCCTCCCTCTCACCCTTTCTGCTTTGTCCACATCCCTCTTAAACTGTTTCTTCTCCGCAGTCAGCTTTCCTGTCCTCTTCCACCTCTCCTCCTCCCGGTCAAGCATACCATAAATTAACCCATCAATCAATCTATATTGCTTCCCCCCTCCCATCCCTGCACCCCCACACATCCCGAACATGAAGTTCTCTCTCTCATCCGCCCTCGTGCTGGGCCTGGCCGCCGTCGGAGAATGCAGTATTTGGGGAGGCAATGCCGGTAGGTCATGTGGGCACATCTTTTCCATTCAATCCACGCTCCCTGCTTTTCCCTCTGCCCTGCAGCCGCTGACTCCCCCGCAGTATACAACAAGTGGCACGAGACGGAGCTTGAACGCTGGCTCTCGGATTACAACATCCCCTACCCCAAGGCCTCGGACCGAAAGGACCTCCAAGACTTGGTCAAGAAGAACTGGAACGACAACGTCGTTACTCCTTACAATAGCTGGGATGCCCAGACTCTTCAAAACTACTTGACCCTCAAGGGCCAGCAGGCCAAGAAGGGCACCGAAAAGGACGCAAAGTCCCTCGCTGAGCAGGTCCAGGTCTACTGGACCGAGACTGAGGAATCCGCCAACAATGCCTACAGCAACATCAAGGAATGGTTCTTCGACACTTGGACCGACTCCCAGCTCAAGGCCTTTGCCGACAAGCATGGCATTCCCGTTCCCCAGCCCCGCCAGCGTGACTCTGTTCTCAAGGCCATTCGCGAGAACTACCAGACTGCCGCTGAGAAGCTCTCTGAAACCGCCCAGTACCCCGGTGACTGGGTTTACGAGTCCTGGTCCGACTCCGACTTGAAGGCTTGGTTCGACGAGCGTGGTTACAAGGTGCCCCAACCCTCCACCCGTGACAGCCTGATTGCCCAAATCCGCCGCAACTCCCGTCTCGCTAGCCTGAACGCCCAGGGCGCTTATGCCTCTGTTTCCTCCGCTGCCGCTGCTGCTCAGGAAACCTTGAGTGATGCTCTCCTCAACTCTTGGTCCGACAGCCAGATCAAGGAGTGGGCCGACAAGAACGGTATCAAGGTTCCCCAAGGCTCCAAGAGGAACGAGCTCCTTGCTCTCGCCCGCAAGCACCGTGCCAGCCTCGTTGGTGACAACGTCTCGGGCACTGCTGCTAGCGCCTACGGAGCCGCCACCTCCAAAGCCAACAACCAATACGCCCAGGCCACCAACGGCTTTGCTGGTTACACCGACTGGGTCAAGGCTCAGATCGGTCTCGCTACTGGACCTGCTGCTAGCGCCAGTCTTGCAAGTGCCTCCGCTGAGAAGAGCGCTGCTGCTGCCTCCAAGAGTGCATCCAGCGTCGCAGCTTCGCTCTCCAAGAACGCCGGCAATGCCGCCTCAGTCGGTTCTGCCTCTGCTTCTTCCATCGCCTCTGCTGCCTCCAGCTCCGCGAGCTCCGCAAGCAGTGTCGCGGCCGCAAGCGCCAAGGCTGCCGCTGATGCTATCAAGAAGGAGTTGTAAGCATTTTGACTTATTGCACAATGGCACGGATGACTATCGAGTCGCACAACATGTTCGTATGCGATGGGCTCAAGCCTATCGTCTCTAATATATCACGACGTCACGATCAGAATGGATGGAGACGGGGAAGAGATGGGGAACAGGCGCGGTCACTCGACTCGTCGTCCCCTATCACATGTATTTTAGTTTGGGATTCACACTTCTGCGAGCTGGTGGGTATGCTTGACGCATACTGGACCCGTCTCTCATGTTTTGGACCTTTTCTTACTTCTTTTTTTCTCTCACGAATAGCGCTCAGTGTAACTTCGGACGGTTACTCTCTCCCCCACTACTAGCTTGCTCTTTCCCCCCTTTGCGCTAGAAAAAGAAATGGATACCTTTTTGCTGTTTGAGAAAGAACTCTACTTGCACCAATGGTGATGTATATGTGTGTGATGACATGATCATGGAAAGAAACGACCAACCTGCTCAATGTTACCATGTCATGATTGTAACGACATGAGGTAAGAATGTAGATATCTAACCAAACATATTCTCTGATGCCACCATTCTACAGTAACCAGAGTCCCCCTTTTTTTTTCCTTTTTTCTTTTCTTTTCTTTCTTCTGGTGGAGGACTATATACTGGAATGAATTCTCCCCCCCCTCTCTTTGGATATATATCCAACACCCACTCACCCACTCACCCACTCACTCCTCTTTTCCTCAAACCCCCCTCCCCCCTCCTATACCAATCAATCTATTTATTCGTTTACTCACTCAATGTCATAGTCGGTCCTTCATTCATATATCTATCTATGTATCTATCTATTTATTTGGTATATCTCATCTTATCTAAATTTTGTACTCAAGTGGAATAATTGAATACATAGTTAACAGACAGCACAATCTCTCTATCTATCTATCTATCTATCTATCTGGTTTATAGATGGGGGGGGAGGGGGGATCAACACGCAGTGGATTGACTATTGTGTTAGTCTTGTGGGAAAGAAAAGTCACCCCCGACCTGGAAGAAAAACATAAAATGCGGGTAACGGCGAAGACGACGAAGACGACGAGCAGCAGTTGGTGTAAAGAGACATATGTTTAAAATGAGTAGGAAAAACAATGTTGGCTGGGCTGGGCAAACGAGCCAGAAACCTGTCAAAACGAGCCACACACGCATACATTCACTTGCAAGCAAGGACAATGTTTTCTTTTTCTTTTTTTGGGCGCACACACACGCCCATTTTCTTTTGATTTTTTGCGTTGGTCTAGTCGAGAAACAAAAAGCAGATCCGGCCTGATCTGGTGAAATGTTCAATCTGATATGAAGCTAGGAAACCGGGGTATAAAATGAACAGCAAGAAAGTCTGAGGCCCTCCCCTCAGATTGAACGCCCCGTGATACTGTCCCTGTGCTTCGTGTATAAATCAGACCGCAAACGCCAATGACATGCTGCCCAGTATCTTCTAAACCGACTAGGAAACAAGTGAAGCTAATTACAATCTTTACCTTGAGAAATCAGGATCAATCCCGGTCCCCTGCTGCATCACTTTCGAGCGAGAAGCTTTCTATGCAGAAGGGATCTTGGACAAGTCCGCGCCCCTCTTCTCCCACTTCTTGTCCAGAACATCATCGAGAGACTGGTGTATGAGCTTGTAGGCGGTGCGAATGGTGCCGTCACTAACGTCAACCGCTAAACCAATGTCCTTGGCTGACTTGGGCTGACCCATCATGTGGGCAACGAGGAAGATGCAAGCGCCTGTGATGGACAAAGGAGATCGACCAGCCGCAACACCTTTCTTGGTGACGTTTTCGGCACACTCTTGAGCGATCATGCTCGTCTGGTTGTCCAGGGCCAGTTTGTTGCAAGCACGGATGATGAGCTCAGATGCACTGGTAGCCTTGGTAGCCTTGAAGGAGCTGTTGTTGAGGATCGCACCGTTTCCAGCGACCTTGTTGCCGGCACCTTCTTTGCGTTGCTGTTGCTGGAGATAGTTCTCGAGCGTCTGAGATCGTTAGTCCAGATCCCAAGATACCCAAACACTACGTGACTCACCTTGAATGTTCGGCCGATTTCCTTCTTGCTGACCTTGGTCAACTTGTAGATTTCGCGGAATGAACGACCCATTTCATGTTGGCGACAACCAATGAAGATGCATCCAGCGATCACGGCATCCTGCGATTTTCCCTTGAAGATCTTGCCGTCATCGGTCATCTTGTACAGCATCTTGGCGGTCTCCGCGACTGGCTTCGGGATCTGGAATGATTCGCACAGAGCTCCGATTTGCGAGTACGCATTCTGGAGAGACTTGTTTGTCTTGTCATGGTTCGACTTGTTCTGGGCGCGCGATAGATCTCGATGACGGGCGCCGCCATCTCCGAATGCGATCTCAGTCCTGTGGAATGGTCAGCATCTACCTGAGATAGACGCGCTTAGAGCATTACTTACTGTAGCTGCGAGCCATGCAACAGCGGATTTGCGGCATCACCGATACGGGAGGGATCGTCGTTGCCTTGGTCATCGTTGGAGAAGGTTCGCCATTCGGATCGGTAGTCAAGATTGCGCTCGCTCAGAACCCGACCGCACGAGCCACAGATGGTGTCACCGACGGAGAAATTCTATTACAGTGTAAGCATTTACCTCAGATGTAGTCGTCCCAGATGCCTTGGTATGCTTTTCCATGGTGGGACACGGGAGTTATAGAAAATGGGAATAGATGTTTACTGCCACAGAGTTAACATATGTGCATCACTTTGGTTTCGATGCATCTTACCCTCAACCAGATTGGGTGGCATCTCTTTGCAGTCTGGGCACATGAGGATGACATCTAGCTGCTCTCGCCACTCCTCTTCGGCGGTTTTCACGGGAGGCTCGTCAATGATGACTTCGCCAGGAGACAAACGACGCTGCATAAGGTGTTCATGTTAGCATGGATCTGATGATGAAGACAAATGGGCATGGAGAACATCTCCGCTGTCCAACTCCAAATAGCATCAAAGACACCATGGGAGCGCTCGATCTGAGCAGGACAGCGGCTGACCGATGTCCGTCCCTGATCTTACGTACTCCATCTGGTGCGTACGACATCTTGGCCGTTCGATATCACGATGAACGGGATGAAATGAATGGTATTTTGGGCTCTATCGGCACGGTGGTTGCGGGCAGCTTGTCAGGCAGAGCAGCTGTCAGGCAGCAGCAGAAGTGGCAGACGGACTGGGCGGCCAGGGAAAGCTTTGGACAGCTTGGGGCGGCGCGCCGTCGACGAGTGCGTTACTAGTGAGCGTACGTTTATATACTACGAAAGAGCGGGGTCCCGATGTCAGGTCGAGGGGTTTAAGGCGGTGGTGGTAGATGATAGAGATGATTGCGTGAAAGAGAGGAGGGCGCAGTGCTTAAGAGAGCAGATGATGACATAAGCGTTACGCGCCAAGCCTTTATGGGGTTAGCTCGGCGACGTCCAGTGATTGCCCGGCTGGAGAAAAACGACCTTCCATCAACGACAGCTCCAACCCCGTCCCCCCCCATCATCCACCATGTTCGCGCAATCCATCAGGGCCTCGGTAAGCGGATTTGCTATGCATGCTCTATGCCATTGCTAACTCTTTTGCAGCGCCAGCAGCTCGCACGCGTTGCACGACAGCAATCCGGCTTCGTCGCTCGCCGCACCCTCATCGTCCCCACGGCCGTCAGACAAGGTGATTCATCTCGGATAGCATGGTAGAGGGTTATACTGATGCAATTGATGCTTCGCAGCCGACCTCGTGCAGGACATGTACCTGAGGGAGCTCAAGGCATACAAGCCTCCCCAAGTGAAGGCCACCGATGCCGAGGGCCACGTCTCCAAGTTCACCATCCCCAAGCCTCCACCATCTCCCGAAGAGAGCGACCTCGCAAGCGACTTGAAGACATACGAGACACAGCAGGTGGAGCTCGAGGGCTCGGCATCCACGGAGGACGGTGCGGCGCCTGTGGAGGAGGACTGGTTCGTTGAGGAAGAGGAGGAGACTGCGGCGGCTCACTAGACGAGCGCTGAGTGACTGCAACTTGTATTAAAAACTCCAATTGTGTCAATACTGGACAAAATCAGCTACATTCGTCTCTCCTAGTCTTTCTGGCTCTATATCACGTGATTTCTCCCCAGGCGGTATCTCTGGGCAGGTACCCTACCTATTTTGACCATGTACCTATGTAGGGTTAGTCCCATCTAATACGCAATGTGTGCTTGCTAGACCCGAATTGCTTGGGTGGTTGTTTGCCATGTCTTGATGTAAGATGTTTGGGGGGACTAGATGTATCATTTCAGGTTATTGGGCCAAGGAACAGTGACGGTGTTATGTGCAGGTTATCCGTGATGTAGTGTGCGGTGCATACATAGATACGCGCGTATAAATGCAAGTGGACATGACCAGGACCAATGAGGAACCGAACCGTCCGGCATGCAGGTTGCATGGCGTCGACTGCATGGAACATGTTTATGAGCAGCGAGAAGAGCTGAATTGGGCCATGTCTTGAACATATTGTGAAACGCCGGTCAGAGGCTGGTACCCGAAACGGAGGTCCGACCTGAACCTTTGGATTTGTCTTATCGTGCTTACGCAGCCTTGGGTGTACCACGTAACGCATGTACATAGATATTGTGTGAGTGGTAGATGGATACGATGGGAATCGAATGGATGCTGTCAGCAAGTAGGCGTGTGCCACAACATGAAGAACACACATGTGCATATTCATACATGTATATATATGTAGGATGCAAGCAGAAACAGAACAGAACAGAACAGAACGCTGAGGTTGTTGCAGGGGGTTCCAAAACTTTACGGGATAGCACGCAGATGAGAAGGCTGGATTTTGTATGGAAATCAGAAGCGTCCAACTGGGAAACAATCAGAATTGCAAAGGGCGCGGAGACGATGATTGTATCTTTGAGTAACAAGCACGTCGATTTATCCAATTGGACAAACGGCACAAAGAGACGACAGACAACATGGAAGCTAGCACAAGTGGGAAGTGGGACGACGACATCGGATGGCAGGCTGGCGGGCTTGGAGCTACTGCACAACATTTTGATGCAATTAGGACGACGCCGTCTCTGGCGCATGGATAGCTAGCTAGCAGGTGTGGAGCCGGCTGTAGTGTATGCACGAAAACAGCTCTGGTAAGGTTGAAGGCTTGAGCCGCAAATAATGAAGGCCCCCCGAGCAAGATGCGGAATGGACAGGAAGGAAAGGGTTGGGAAGGGAGAGCTGGATACAAAAGTGTGCAGAGGTGCAAGAGGTTTGGAGTGTTGGGCCAATCACACCATGGTCCCATGTGGATATCACGGTCGCAGCTAAGGATAGCAATGCTAATAACAATGGAGAAGAAATGTGGGCGTGGGCGTGTGGCGAGTTCGGGTAGAAGCATACATTGGATGGCGGAACAGCATCAGCTATGTAAGTAAGTAAGTAAGTAAGTAAGTAGAAAGTGGTTGAGGTTCAGGAGAAGGTTGAGGAGAAGGTTGAGCAGAAGAATGATTTGATTAAGTTTGAGGGTTGGCACACATGGCATGAGGGTGCCATGGATGGGAGTGTTGGCACAGCAAGCACACGAGCCAGGCTCCCAGGGTGGTGGTGACTGAATTGGATGTTTGAAGAAAGGAAATGTTGTTGAGAGTCAGGCAGTCAGGGGTCGTGGAAATGGCATTTCGTATTCGCTACACTGCGAGAGCCGCCCGTTACGGCGCTACTTATCGTGTGTATCTGTAGCTGTTCTATTCCTTGTTGGTCGCGTATGTGCTAGGTGTGTACATGGGATGTAAGCTATGCCATGCCATGCTATACTACGCTGCTGTTACCTACAGCAGCAGCCGGTTCGGTTGGACAAGCTGCTCCTGGTAGGATCCATGAGTGAGAGATAGCTACCCAGGTGTCGGCACGGAGGGGGGCAATGCGAGTGCAAATGCGAATACCAACGGGTATACAGAGTTGGCCACAGCCAGACCGGAATGCCGGCCGGAAAGCGGAGAGATGGTAAAAGCAAGAAGCAGAGGCATCAGTGGTTATAAGCCTGGCGCGGCGAACGATGACGCCGGTCAATACAGGTTGGAACCGTAGAGTGGTTGCGGCATATAATCCGCAGCTCCTATTAAAGCTCTGGCACCGCTTGGGAATGGCTCGGGACCGATTTGACTGCAGCGGACCGCGAATTGGAATCTTGATCTGCGCGAGGCGAAGCCACCCGAGAGATGCAATCAGCAAACCTGCTGCCACCGTGCCAAACCCCCCCCTGCTAGCCTGCCCTGCGCTGCACGCCTGCCTGCCAGCCTGCCACCGACATCTCAATTTGCCCGCCGTTAATCAGCGTCAACGCTCTCACCTAGCCAGCCTGCTAGCCAGCAAACTAACTCCTCAGCTTACTTTTCTCTGCTCACCTCCCACACTCACACCCACCTACACACACCCTCCTGCCAACCGCCTCTTCTTGTCTCTCTTCGTCTGTCTGCCCTCTCTCTCCTCCACACGGTCGCTACCACGCCCCCATTACCACATTCGCTGCTGTCCCGACAATCGAGCCCGCCTGCTTCCGTCACCTCCGACCCGTCACTGAAACTCGCACGCTTCCCGTTTAGCCAGTCCTCCTACTTCTTCTACTTCTTCTTTCCTGAGCACCCCCACTCGTCGCCTTCCTCGCTCTTCTGCTTCTGCATCTGCATTTTCTTTTGCACCTTAGCTGCCTTGCCGCCTTTTCTTTTCAAAACCATGAGCCAATAGACTGTCGCCCACTCCCCGCAGCTACCTACCCAATCTACCTTGCCCACGAGGTACCGAGGACTGCTTAGACACTGTCGACCCCATTCGGCCTTGTCCAAATCTCCTTTCCTTCCTCAGCATGCAGGCCGTAGCTTCCGCCCTCCGCGGTCACGATGTCTTCCACGCACCGCGTGGCCGCAACCGCGCTGTCTCGGAGCTGGTCCCCCCGACCCAAGAGCGCAAGCCAGAACCTCCCCCGCTCCCCAAAGCCGCCTCCTACACCTATTTCCCCCGCGTCAAGGAAATCGACGATACACAGGTTGTTGGTGTGCAAGGCACCATCTCCGAGGAAGAGCTCAAGGCCGACGTCAGCGCCGACGCCTCGTATGCATCGTCAGATGGGTCTAGTCACGATTCAGATGACCCTCCGCCAGTGGAAATGTCGCAGTCGAGACATGACAACCCCCGTCGCTCTTCCACCTTCAACATCTTCTCCAGCAAGAGTCGCGACCCTTCCACCGAACCCAAATCCGATCGAAGCCGCACAGACAACCTGAAGCAGACCGATTCATCGGCTTCGAGATCGCCCGTCCGATCCCTGACACGTTTGCGAAGAAAGAGCTGGATCTCGTCCCCGTCTTCGCGTTCCACCTCTCCTACCAAGGATGCGCAGACTCCCAAAAAGGGCGAATCTCCGCGTAACTCGTCGCAGAACCGCAAGTCCATCATAGGTCCTTTGAGCATCCCCGAAAAGGCAAAAACCAAAGACGACACAAACAGCCCGACTATGCAGAAGAGGGGCGTCCTGGCTAAGAGAGCAAACAGGCTTAGCGGCATTTTCAATTCCGCACATGTTGAACAGCCGGCCACTCTAACCGCTGAAGCACCCGCAGTCCCTCCTCTACCCAAATCTTTCTCTACAGACAAGCTTCCTACTTATGTTCAATCTCCGACAAGTGCAAGTCATGTTCCTCCTTTGCCACGCAATATATCCACCGACAAGATCAAGGGCTCTAAGACGGAGCCACGCAAGAAAGACGAGCTTTGGACCGTGTTTCGGACGCTCGAGGGCGACCTTCGAAAGTGAGCTTCATGACTCTCTTAGCTATTCTCTCGCTGACATGCCCTGCAGATTCCAGTCAAAGTCGAGTGCTTTCAAAGCCAACGCCGTACGAACCACCCTCCTTCCATTCCTTCGCTCATACGCCATCCATGCATCGAGCCAGAAGCTTCGTCCGGAGGATTTGGACCGTCGTGCGAATATCTTGAATGGATGGTGGACCGGCCTCTTGGAGCTTCTATCGGGTCGCAACAATCAATCTATATCGGGGACCGATCGGCCTGCCATTTTAGAGGGAATCACGGGGATAATGGAGAGGCCAGAATGGCGATCTTCTCCGTCGCCCTTCTGCGCTCTCGTCGACCGCACCGAGACGAACTCTACCACCTCCAATTCTTCCAGCTCGTCCGACTTCCTTGCCGAGTCCGTCTATCACAATGTTCGCAACATCTTCACGCAAAACCTTTTGTCGCAGATGACTTTTGTTGTGGATAAGATGTCGCTCCGTAACGCAGCCGCCAGTCTGGTAACCTTTTGCGGGAAAACTTGTGCCTACGCATTCTGTTTCTGCCCTGGAGTTGCCGATATCCTGGTCCGGTTGTGGAATCTCTCGCCAGATCTTATGAAGCGTGTGTTGGCAGAATCGGGTGTCACAAGAGCCAATGGGCCCGAGTTGGTATCTGAACATATCACCGCGGCCTTTCCACCACTGTTGCACTCGCTCAAGCTCGAGTCCATTGCCAAAATGGTCCGCCTCTTACGCCGACCCGCGACTTTACCATTGGGAACTGCGAATGTTGACTGGTATGGTGCCTGGATCAAGCGCTGGTCAGGCGCCGAAAGTGACTTGTTCTACGTCTTTGTCAAGCATTATCATATCATTGTTTCTGAATTTTTGCCGCGAGAACCGAGCAGTCTCGAGCGCATCTGCGTTCCTGGTCTTCTCATGGTACACGCACAGATTTTGATGAATTTGGATGCAACAATACATCGGCATGCCACGCCTCAATTGATGGACGACGCGAGTAATAGCACAAGCTCTGTTACATTTGATGATGTATTGGGTGACCCAGACGCGTCAGCAAACACCGTGCCTATACCTCCCGCGAATGCCACCCGACTGATGGCTGAGAATCGTCTCATTATGTTGATCCGAGATTTCCTGTCTGATCGAAACTCTCACATCGCATCTGCACGACGTATCTTTGCACAGAGCTTTGCCTGCCTGTTGAAAGCCGCAGCCCAAAGAGTGTCAATCTATGAGAACAACTCCTGTTACACTCTTTGCGACTTCCTCGAGGAAGCCTTTGTGATCATCGTTCGCTATGAGCAGCTTTATGAATACAAGGAAACAGTTCTTGATTGGCCGTTTTGGCTTTCTGTATGCAAGCAAATGGCTGCAAGTGAGAACACGGCGACAGAAATCAAGCTGTTCTCTTTCCTCTACAGCAGCTGGTCCATTATCGGTAACAACGAGCAACGAAAGGAAAGCCTTTGTGTCGACTTTCTCCTGGAACCCGAGTTCTTCGAGAGCAGATTCAATCACTGGTGTCCAATGGTTAGGTCATACTTTATGCGTCTTCTCTGCTGGAGAGTTGCTCGCTTCGATGGCGAAGAGTCTGATGCTCAGCTGTAAGTTCAATTATCTTTGAGTTAAGGATTGTTTTGCTGATGTCCTATAGAAATATTCTGCGAACTTTCAGTGACCGTCTTCGCTCGGTCTGGTCTCATTATCTTTGGCTTCGCGATGATGCCGAACAGAAAGGAGTCTTCCCACCTTCTACCCAGGCATGCAATCCTGCTCCTGCTCGACGTTTCCTTATCATTCGCAATGATAATCCTATAATTACCAACGCTCAACCATTTCTATCCTTCGACGGCGTCGTTCAATCACCAGCTCCCAGGCGGCTATCATCTACCACCAGTCCCCCCGAGCGACCCGTTTCCACAGCTTCCGCGGAGTCACTCGATTTCCCAGAGGAGAGTGCTCCCAAAGGTCGTTGGAGCCTTTTGAAAAGCTTCATTCCAGGGGCTCAAAAACCAACAAAAGCCAAAAGCTCGGACTCCCTTGCAAGCAAGGAGAACGCAAAGACTCCAGGGAACAGCCCGCAGAAGGACAAGGCAGACGTCAGCACTGTTCCCAGCCCTGCTGTCAACGAGACACCCGTTCCAACTTTCACACACAAGAGTTACAGCTTCCGTTTCTCCTTAGAATGGGTGGACAAACGCTTTGGCACATACCAGAATATGCGGCTCTCTCCACCCCGCCTTCCTTTGCCTGCGCAAGTGCTGCTGCAGTCGAAAGGAATCAATACTGAGCTTGTCAAAAGCTCGCAGCCAACCGGGTCAGCAGATCGCTCCAGTCGGTATGCAGGCCGAGCACTCGCTGAGTGGACTTTCATTTCACACGAATGCCAAAACTTCTTTGATCGCCGGAAGAACGAGGGTGTCCCATCCAACAAGCAGGTCGAAACTCCGACCCTGGCGGTGGAAGCCTTCAGACGCCCTGGTTGAGCAATCATCTCCGTCTAGTACTCCATGTATATTTCATGCCTCTTTCACCAGGGCTGCACGTAATATTTTGCATCCCTACTTTTTCTGTAGGCAAGTAGGCTTTTCTTGTAGTAGTTTTTTCCATTTGTCAGTACTATTCATGGAGGCATTTATCTTTCCGCTTTTACAATCTCTCTGTCTGTCGGCCGGACTGATAACATAGTTGCCGTTTGTTTAGGCCTTTTTTTCTGTTCTGTCTATTTGCATATGGAGCTTTTTCACGCGCGTGCACACCGTCACGTAGTCGCGAGCTCCTAGGGAGTTTTTTTTTTTTCCGTGGCGTCGTCAGTCTTTCTCTCTCGCCCAATCTACATGCATTGCAGTGCGCACCTTTTCTGCATGTCATCATCGTTTTGTTTATGTATTTATTTGCCGCCCGTGTTCTCTGGCTCTCTCTCTCCCCCCCATTCCTGTCCTTTATCAACAGAATCGGGTATGTGGCATTTGGGCGTTTCTCTAGTCAGTATCTTTGGCGTTTTTGGGAGGGATGGTTTCGAGGGTTCGTTCTAAGGTGAATCGGTGAAGAATACACATGAGGGCAAGTAGGTGTAAGGGAAAATACACATGAAAGCAAAGAAGGGAAAGGGGGCTAACATATAGAATCTCCTTTTTCCTCCCTCTCTCCCTCTTTCTTCATCTTTGGTCACTTCTTGCGTTGCGGTTATTATCGCTGCTGGGTTAAATGCGTATATATGGAAATAGAGAGGAGAGGCGAACCAAATCTGGAAATTTCATTCCATCCAGATAAGGTACGGAAGAGGCTCTGGGGCTTGTTTGGTTGGTACGTAAATACATAACATAAGAGGAGTGAAGAATATATCTCATTCCAAAATACGGAAAAGTTATTCAACTGTTGCAGTTCCCCCCATCCCTTCTCTCTGTTTTTTTTTTTCTCGAGTAAATTCAGTATACCTCTCGCGTCCTATCCTCTCCCCCCAACCCCCAACCCTAATTGCTATTTCATTTCTCCAAGTTCTTTCCAAAGTTAGCGTATGTAAGGATCTAACAGCTGCCTCGTGATACAATATTGAATGTGAACTTTTGAAGGAATGAAGGAAGGAATGACGTGATTGTCATTCGACAATACGATAACTCGACTCCTTCTAGTCATCCTCCCATCCATCCATCCATTCTAATAATAGCCCCCGTCCGTAAACGTCGATCATGATTAAATCCTAGGAAATCATAATAACGGTACACACACACAGAGTTAGTTAACGAAAAGGAGACAACAACACCGCCCTTAATCCCCCCTCCCCCCCACACAATCTCTCTCTCTCGTTTTCTCACACAAAACCACTATCATCCCTCCACATAGCTAGCCGTGGAGCATTTGGCAACTATATCCGGTATTACAATCGCAATAGACGATGAACGAAGGCGTTCTGCAATTAAGCCTCTTCAACTATTAAGCTATGTAGAATTCTTCTCTGCGCGTGCTCGAATCCCCAAAAGGTCAAGGCCTGCAAGAAGAATTACAGCTGTTATTTGCTATTACTCAAAACATGCACACACTCATACACGGCATTCAGAATCCAAAACACAGTATCCCCCAAACCATCCCCTACCTACAGATGCCAAAAAAAAAGCAAGAAGGGAAAAGAAACTGATAGTCGATTTGTAACTCACCGTTTTACGTACCCTACACTAAACCCTCAACGAACAAACCCTTAAAGCTTACCTATAGACTGGAGTAGAAGTCAGCCTGCATGCATAAGCAAACGCACAACCCTAACCTACCGCAATTCTGCCATAATCATCTGAAAAGTAAGACGGGGCTGCTGAAATCGCCTACTTGAACTTATTAAAAGTGAAGAACGGAGATAGGCGAAGGATGACGTTTTTATTTGCTTCCCCGCGCGGGCGCGCGTGTGTGTGCGCGCTGACACTTGTGTCCGTAACAGGTATTCTCGCGACCTGGTCACGATAAGCTAGATAGGTAGGTAAGATGGGCGGATGTGTTGAGGAACGCGGAAGAAGAAGGTATAGGCGAAAGTTTTTTTTTTAGGGCTGGAAGTCTGGTAAGCTTGCGATGGATGATCTTTTTTGTAGACTTGATTTATTTAGCTCATAGGTCTGAGGGAGGGAGAATGTGGATATAGCTGAGCCGTGTGTGAATGTCAGATTACTGGTTGTTCTTTGGGGTTTCTAGAAGTCCGATGTGCCGCGCCAAGTTAGTAGGCTGTTGTGATTTCGTTAAAAGATTGATATCAATCCGGTGGTGTACTGAACCACATCCGATTTAACGTTGCTATATACAACGACGATGTGCGATTGCAACTTCGTGTATACCGTGCTTGAATTGGACCGTAATACATCTGGACAGCATGGGCGGGCTTTAAATCCGTCTGCTCTCAATCCGCCCCATCGGAATCTGACCCCTGACAAGTCCATTACATGCACTTCATGGGGCCAGGAGCCAAGCCACACACCTGCGTCGTCGCACCGCAACGCCCAACCGCATATAAGGAGAGCACCATCACTCGGCCAAATTCCCGAATGAGAAAAAGATGGCGTCTGTAAACCAGTTCCAGATCGAAATGAACGACGACAAATTGCGCCAGATCGAGCGCCAGTACAAGCTCCGCGTCAAGACTGGGTGTGAGACGTGCAGGTGGGTTTTGTCAGCCGCATCCAGAGAGCCCGCACCATTGTGAATTGACGTCTTTTTTTTCTCCTCCAGGGCCCGGCGGGTGAAGTGTGATGAAACCAAGCCAGAGTGTAGCAGGTGCACCAAAACCGGTCGCAAGTGTGAGGGCTACAAGACTACGGCCAGTTCTCCCAGTGCTAGTGCCTCGTACAGAAATCCCTCGTTCCTGGTCGTGCCTCAGAGGGCGACGCCGCCGACGAGCGTACCCAGGAGTCCGTCTCGGACACTATCGCCGGATGCCATGGAAAACAGGTCGTTTTACTACTTTCAATCGCATACGCTACCCAAATGGACCGAGTTCTTCGACTCTGATCTGTGGACTCAACAGGTGCTGCAACTGAGTCATCAAGAACCGGCAATCAAACATGGTATACTGGCTTTGAGTTCCATGCATGAGAAGTTCGAGACCACAATCCCCAGCTCCAAAGCCGATACTTTTGGCTTTAGACAGTACATGGAAGCCGTCAACCATTCCCACAAGCTAATCAGCGGACATCAACGACATGGAAGAGACGTGGAGAAAGTATTGGTAGCATGCATAATATTCACCTGCTACGAGAACCTCGCTGGGAACTATAGAGCAGCTAACATGCATCTGGAAAGTGGGCTTCGCATTCTTGCCCAGCACAGGCAGAGTATTGGACAAGGAAATACCAGTGCCTCTCTCGAATCCATTGCTAACGTCCTGTATCGATTTGATCTCCAAGCCATGACTTTCTCCGACAATGCTTCGCCTTACGAGTACGGGTTTGATAATCCTCCGGAGTGCCCACCAATACCGCACATTTACACTAAGAACGAAACGGCGAGAAACGACCTGGTCGGCCTCTTTCGCTGCATGATGTGGATATCAGGCATAGCGAACATCAATCCTCAAGCACCAGAAAACCCCATCTGGCTTCGCATCTACACTGATCTGATCAGTGCTTTCGAATCATGGGATCGCACATTCGAGCTTTACCAGAAGAACGTTCCACCAAACGAGCAAGGCGACCCAAAAATCTACGCAGGCAACACACTCCTCAAGATGTACTCCATCCTAGCGCGCACAATCGTTGCTTCAGGAGCCGGCCAACGCACAGAGACAGCATGGGACGGGTTCGTAGATTCGTTCAAAACCGTCGTCGACCTGGCCGAAACCCTTCCCATCCTCACACGGCCTGTATCATCGCCCTCACCACCGCCACCACCGCCAGTGTCCCGCACTCCATCTCCCATGTCCACCAGCAGTACACCGCAACCGCAACCCCCTCGACACAGAACCATTGCCCCCAACCCCGCCACACCAACCCCGTCCCCTCCACCAGGAACCTCGACCCTCGTCTTCTCCGCAAACACAACCCCCTCACCACCGGCGCCATCGCACTCCCCATCCCACACCCCGCCACCCCCCAAAAGCAGACCAACCTCCTTCTCCCCTTCCTTCGAGCTCTCCCCCATCGTGCCCCTCTTCGTAGCAGCGTGTCGGTGCCGCGACCCCATCATCCGACGGCGCGCCGTAGCCATGCTGCTCAACTGCCGCCGTCGCGAGGGCGTCTGGGATTCGTACGCCGCTGGCCTCGTCGCGCTGCAGATTGTCAAACTCGAGGAAGGGCTCGACCAGATGCATGATGTGGGGCCTACGAATTGGTTGCCGCTTGGGAAGGACTATAAGGAGGGCATCCATGTCGAGGAGAAGAGGAGGGTGCAGGATGTTTTCATCAGCGTGAATATGGGGGAGAGGTGCATTGGGGTGAATTATTTGGTTAGGAGTGGGCAGGCTTTTGATCGGGTTTTGAAGTTTTGATGGGGAGGTTGGGGTTTGTGTGGTAGGGGGGTGTTGCATCAACTTTTGCTTGTGTATGTGTGCATGTGTAAGGAATCTTTTTCTTGGGGTGTGTTAGATGTTGGGTATGTTTTATTTTATTTTTCCCTCTCTCTTCTTTCTGGTTGATTGATACCATCATGGTTTGTACAAAGTATACGAAAAACAGTCGCGATTCAACCTTGTCTTGTCAATCCGACACGTCGATTGCGGATATGGAGCTAGCGTTGGAAGCTTGAGAGGGCTTGTTTTGCTCGTGCAAGTACACGTTTTGAACCTGCGTGCCAACGCTTTGCCATGTTTTGCGCTTGAACATGCCTCGAATGAGCAGAGGAGGATATTTCTCAAAGCCTGCACTCGGGAACTAACGAAAAGGAGAAGAAAAGATATTCATTTGGGGGCGGGGCGGAGGGGGAGAGAAATTTGACATATCAGCTAACGCACTGAGGGACCAATGATGGTTGCCGAAAAGGTAAGCTAGTCGGAAATCAGCTGTTTCCCGTGATTTTTTTTGTACGTGGTGTATGGAATGCGTCGTGTTATTCAATTGCTGTTCCTTTTGGATTATTCCAAGGTGTGTCGAGTGTTGAATGATCAGATGACGCGTGTACCGGCTGCAAAGAGTGAGGATACGTTGTAGTTTAGAGGATTTTTATCTCCGCAAGAGACGATCGCGGGCGGGAATCCGGGGAATCCGCCCGCAACGGGTATAGTCCATTCACATGATGGCGCCAAGTAGCACATCACCGACATCTCCCTTCTCTGTCCTTGGTTTCGCGACTTCTTCACACTCACCACCGCGACCTCACCTCACACAGCAAACCACTCGCCAGGAACGAACCTGGCCTTATATACATTAACAAACACACCTATGGGCTCTGCAGAAAACACCACGACCTCTTTTCTCATTTCTTGCGACCGCACTTCAGCTGTCTCCGCCAACTCCGCACTGCAGTTCCGCCTCTCCAAGACTGACGCCAGCTTCGCAGCTTTGCTGTGGGATCTACTGGCGGGCGGTCCGCCTTGATCACTGGGCGGACGGTAAACTAAAGAGAGTGATAACAAAATTTGGATGTGCGCTGTCGCCTGCATACCGCGTCGTCTGTTAACCTGCTGACGCGCCCTGGGCAGAAGCCAGCCGACGCTTCTTACACGTCCATTTCATACCATCTTTACACATTCACGGCAAATCTAAGCCATGGCGCTATTCACATTTGACCACGATGATGGCCGCTTTGCAGGGGGCAATACACCAGCAAGCCCTGCTGCGCCCAAGAAAGACATTGAAGTTGCCTTGAGCGAGCAAATGGAGCTCGACGGACCAAAGGTGCCCGTCGCTATTGGAACCCCGCCTATCGCCATCGCTTCCCCCATCCCCAGGCGTCTCGTCGCACCGAGCGTAGAGGGGAGGCTGCCTGGCCCCGAGAAGCTGAATTTCGAAGCAATGAAGAGGAAGAAGACCAGCAACAAGAAAAAGAAGAAGAAGGGAAACCCTGCTTCCGCCATGTCTACGGTGCATGGTTTCGAGACCCCGACTGCATCAGGAGGGGAGGAATCCGACTTTTCGGCCGCGACCACCCCTCGCTTTGGCCCCTCCCGCTCTGGCCTTCCCAGCATTACTAGCAGCCCGGCTCTTCGACCAACTTCGGCTGCTAGCGGAATCGGCAATCTCAAGCAGCAGTTGGAAGCGCTGAACATAAGCTCCCGCAACGGCTACCCCAGTGGCGCGTTGAGGTCGGGCATTTCAAGCAATGCTAGTGTTTCCAACTGGAGCGACAGTGATCGCACCGAAATGGACAGTTACGAGGTTCCTTTGGATGAGGACTTCATTAGTCCTGATGTCAACTCCAAGCCATCGACAATGTTGACGACCAGCGTCGCGCGGAAGATGACGTCTGCAGACTTTGAACCTCTAGTCTGTTTGGGAACTGGCAGTTTTGGGACTGTTCACTTGGTGAAGCAGCGCGCCACTGGCCGTCTGTATGCGCAGAAGCAATTCAAGAAGGCGTCCCTCACGGTGCGCAAGAAGCTCATTGAACAGACCAAGAACGAGCGTGCCATTCTCGAGAGCGTCAATCGACACCCGTTCATCGTCAATCTATACTACGCATTCCAGGACCACGAGAAGCTGTATCTCATCTTGGAGTATGCCCAGGGTGGGGAGCTCTTCCATCACCTCGCCACCGAGCGTATGTTCAACGAAGACACCGCTGCCTTCTACATGGCGGAAATGGTTCTTGCTCTCAACTACTTGCACAGGACCGTCGGCGTCGTCTATCGCGATCTCAAGCCCGAGAACTGCCTGCTTGACGCCGAAGGTCACCTGCTCCTCACCGATTTCGGTCTGAGCAAAGTCGCTCTCGAGGAAGAAACATGCAGGTCCATGGCGGGAACAATCGACTTCATGGCCCCCGAAATCCTCAAGGGAGACGGTTACGACCACGCCGTCGACTGGTGGTCTCTTGGTTGTCTCGGGTACGATCTGCTCACCGGCTCGCCCCCCTTCTCCGGCCACACCCACCGCCGCATCGAAGACACCATCGTCCATCACAAGAAAATCAACATGCCCTACTACCTCTCCCAAGACGCCAAAGACCTCCTCACTCGCTTCCTGCGCAAGGACCCGCGCAAACGTCTCGGCGGCAACATGCCAAAGGACATCAAGACTATCAAAGCCCATCGCTTCTTCCGCAAACTAGACTGGAAAAAGCTGGAAGCTAGAGAGCTCGAACCTCCCATCATCCCGCTCATCACCGACCCTGAACTCGCAGAGAACTTCTCTGATGAGTTCACTGCTCAACCGCTCCCTAGCCCTGTCATGAGCAGGTTGGCGGGCGACGAGTTGGCGTTGGATGCAGATGTCGACTCGTTCAACGAGAAGAATCCTTTTGGCGGGTTCAGCTTCGTGGCTAGTTCGAGCTTGTTGAATGAGGGGTTTTGGGGTGAGAATTGACCAATATTTTTTTTGTTGTGAGGGGATGTGGGGGGAAACGTTGTCTTAAAGCACTTTGTGTAGGACGAGCAATATAGCACTTTTTGGGAGGGGTTGGAATAAAGTATGGGGGTTTTGGTCAGGGAGTAGCGAAGAGGTTCTCCACAGGGGGGAAAGTTTCCTGTTGGGTCTGATCAGTGGCTATCTATTGTTGCTTCTTTCAGGAGGTTTTCTTTTGCGTACGATCCCATTCATGTTTCTTTTCTTTTCTTTTTCTTTTCTTGCTTCCTTCTAATATCCCCCCCCCTCATCATCCCCAATCCATTTTGATCCATTTTTTTTTCCTTCTCTCTAGTTTGCCCTTGCTCTACCCCTCACCCAAAACCCTGCATCCATCCTCGATATTTACTTGCCCCTTCCCCCTTATCTCCATGCTGTTCTATGCATGCGCGCGACATATATATGTGTGTGTTGTGTGTATCTGCGTGTATATCTCACCGCATCCATCCTCCATCTCTTTCCTAATCTTTTATAGCAAATAGAAGAAAAAGAAAAGAAAAAAAAAGCTCTCTCTCCCCGACTACCTCTGGAATTCATCAGATAGGGAGTGTGTATATATATGTTACTGTACCTTGCGCCGTGTACGTGCATGTGCATGTGTCGGGTTAACCTGTGCGGTTAGATACATGTACGTGCTGTGCTTTAACCTTATAATTCCCGTTTTTTTCTTCTCCTTTGCTTTTTGTGCTTGCATGCATGCATATATTATTATGAATATGTGCACATATATACTAACTAACAAGCAAGTCCAGTGTGACCGACAGAATAGCGAAACCCGTATATAATATGATGAATGAAAAAAAAAACTGTGTGTATATGTGTGTATGATGATGGGCAGATGGGCTGATGTAATAGTATATCTACGTAGTCTTTTCTTCTCCTTCTCCGCCTACACTCTTTTTCTTACGATCGATCTACATCGCTATTGCAAGATTCTATGTCGAGTAAGAGTCTGAGAAAACATGACTGACGCGACTCGTTCCCTCTTCCTCGTCGTACCGAGATGTTTGTGTGTGTGTGTATATAGTACCAAATGTGTGGTACCTACCTAGGTATCTATCTTATCTGCGTGCCCAACCTACAAGCCTTCCTAAAGGAAAAAAAAAAAGCGAAAACAATATATTAAATGAAAAGGGAAAAAGAAAAAGAGAACAAGAAGAGACTAGAGCATAGCCCTCTGAACTGCGTCCTCATCGCCATTCCTCCTGGCCTCAAAAACCTCAACGATGCGCTTCATCCCGTCATTACAGAGGCCGTCGACCTGCTCATCCGTCAGATCCGTGATATCCTTCAAATCCATGTCTTTGTCCTTCAACGACTTTGCCAAGACGAGACGAGCCTCGCTCTTCAAACCCTGGCCCTCAGTCTTGTTAGCAGCAGCAGCAGCAGCGACAACAACGTCGCTGCAAAACGCCGCAAAAACCTCGTGATGCCGATCCGCCGCCGCGCTGCCCTCGAGGATGACGGCGAAAACGTGCGGCATGCCTTCGAACTCGACCCACCTGATGACGCTGCCTTGCTGCACCAAGCGCCGCGCAAGCACGGCATCTTCATCCCGCAGCATCTCCTGCCCGACGGAGAAGAAGACTGGTGGCGCGTTGGTCCAATCGAGTGCCATGAGCGGCGACGCGAGGGGATGCAGGAGGAGCCCGCCGTCGCAGTAGAGATCGGCGCGGGGAGGTGGAGACGGCCACGCGGGACAGGCGGGCCAGCGATGGGTAAGGGTTTGGGAGGGGGAGGGGAGGTAGTCGTAGTGGGCGAGGGAGGTGAGAGAGGGGAGGGAGCGGGTGAGGTCTAGCCAGGGGGATGTGAGAGCTAGCCCTGCTGGGAGGGGGAGCGGAACGTCTTTGTTGTGCCATTTCACGGTTGGGAGGGACGGCGAGGATGGGTCCGAGGGGGTGTGTGTGCGGTGGATTTGGAGGAGGAGTTGGAGGAGCGCGGCGCAGAGCATGCCGCCGGCGGAGTCGCCCGCGAAGACGATTTCAGAGGCCGGGATGGGAGCGTGTGGGCTTCCTGGGGGTGGGTGGAGGAGGCCGATATAGGCAACGAGGGCGTCGAGGAGGGCTGCTGGGAAGGGGTGTTGGGGTGCGAGGCGGTAGCGGACGCTGAAGACGCGGCCGCCTGTGTCTTTGGCGATGCGGCTAGTAAGATTGCGGTAGGTGGATGGGTCGAGGAGGTACATGGCGCCGCCGTGGAAGTAGAGTGTGGTTACTTTGCTGGTGGTTTCGGCGACGAGGTTGTTGTATTTTTCTTGCTCCGAGAGGTTGGGCGGTTCTGGGGAAGTAGATGTTGCGGACGCGCGATAGCCGGTCCACTCTGCTTCCAAGGGTTGAGAGGCGGGCTTTTCGTAGACTGTTGCTTTTTGCTCAGGGGTTGTGCTCATTGAATCGACGGTGTCGAGGACGAGTTGTCGTACGTGGTCGTCATCCGAGTCGACGGGGATGGACACTTTGGAAATCCACATTTTGCCTTTGACTCCTGGGTCTTTCGTAGTGAGACGTTGGTTTTTTGAGATTGTCGACGGCGTTGAGCCGGGGACGAGCATAGAGCGCATGATGTTGATGGTGAGTTCGGTACGAAGGTCCCATTTTGACGCGGTTGGCGAGAGGGAGAGCGTGTGTGCCAATGCGGTTTTGAGGATGAATGGGGTTTTTGGGAGGAGGAGTTTTAGTATGGCAGTGGGTGAGGCTTCCATGATGAGTTGTGGTGAGTTCTCGGTTTTCCTTCTCTTTGGTGTTGTCTGTTCCGAAGATTTTTCTGATATCACGGTCCTAGTATATCCCAATATCAAACAATGCGATCCGCCCACTTCCTTGCTCTTCCTCCGTGAAATCTAGATCGCGATAACGGAAACGGATCCACCCAAGTCTCGTCTTGGAGACGTCGCAGAATCAACTTGAGAATACAAACGGCTGTCCAATAACCAAATTCAGAGGGGAAAGCCTGCTGGTAATGAAAAGATAAGAAAAGAAGGGGGAGAAAGAGAGGACGCTTGAGGTCGATTACTAGACAAGGATGTGACGTGCACGACTTTGATGAAGGCAAAATAGCCTCGGCTGTCCTAAAATGGTTTAAGCTGAGAGAAAGGGAAGCGACGGCGTGGGGGTCTGTACAGTGGGACTGGCCGATTATGCTTCCTCATTATATCTTGAGGGTAGGATCGCGGACGTGTAATCGAAAGGCGGAAACAGCTTATTCCAGTTCCACAATGTATTTGCAACTAAGTTTATCGAGCAGCCCGGCCACTCATTGTCTCTGTCCATCTTAGCCATACGTGATAGGTCACTCAATCAATCTTCTTCCTATCCAGCTAGTGCAGGAAGCACCTATGGTAAACAATCTCGCAGTCGTGGTAACGCAAAAAACTTGGGAAACAGAAAAGAAAAGAGGAAGGATGCAGTTTGTGTATCCCTGACCAGTGTCCCAGGGTATCGTTTCGTTGGTCCATGTATAACCCCATGAGAGAAAAAAAACAAGAGAGAACGCCAGAATCGCAAGAGGATGGTCCCGCCAGATATGTGTTGTATCCAAGATAGGAATGCATCATTGGGGAGGAGATAGAGGGAGATAATGACGATGGAAATTGTTGAAGAGGCAAGTGACCGGCAGCTAAGGAGAAGGAATCTGCTGGCTCAAGGGAGAACTCTATCCATCCAGCTCGCCTTCTTCGCTCACAACTTCATCTGCGCCAGCGCCGTTTGTCGGACCCGTTTGGTTGCTTGGGGTCGGAGTATCGAAATCGATGTCCTCGGGAGACCGCAACCCGACGTACATATTTTGTTCTCCGTCCTTTGTGGGTATGGCCTCGTATAAATCGGCCATGCGATTGCATGCGCGTCGAATGTCGCGGAGTCCGACATGCTGTATCTCCCACCACGGTTTTCCATCCTCCTCCGGAAACTCAACGTCTACGAGGCGGGCGGCGGTGTACAGCGAGGCAGCGGCGAGGGTGCGGGAGTCGAAGAGGAGACACAGTTGTGTGCTTGAAGAGTCGGAGAGGAATGCCCATGCGGCGTTGCGGAGGCGCTTGTTGTGCTCGACACCATAGTAGCGTAGCATATCATACATGGTCTTGTATGGTGGTTCGACGCTGAGGTCAAAGCAGAGAGTCTCCAACAGCACATCTTCGGAATACAAGATGGTGTCTCTCCACTTCCAGAAATCCTTCATTTGTTCGTCCACGAGCTTGTTGGGGTCTTTGAGTGCGACCCGGACACAGGCGACGACCACTTCCTTCATCTTGCGACAATTCTCCTCAACCTTGGTGGCGAGAAAGAGGGCGGTGGCGGCGACTTGCTTATAGGGTTTTAGCGATGCCGGATCGTACCCGACAACGGAGAGAGTGCTTACATAGTGATGGAGGGGTTTGTAACCAGGCCTGGCTTTCAAGCTGTTGCGCATGAGGTAGCGGTTGAAGAAGATAGCAGCCACGGACAGGGTCGTCTGAGGCAGTTTGAGCATCATGCCGACCTGCAGAATAAAGTTGACGCCCTTCTTGCGCAGAGTCCGTTCATCTTCAGGTGTCATTCCGTCAAGGATGGAAGGCGCTTGGTTCAGCTCTTCGTCGGTGAACAGCCACTGCTGCTCGGCTTTTGCGACGGCTGGTGGCGTGGGTCGCGGACGCTCGCGCGGCGGAAGGCCGTTGGTGGTTGTTGCTGTCACCATGGCGGGTGGTTGTGTATATCGATGCTTCGTGGTTCTGCTGCAATGCCAGATATTTTGTGAATGTGGTAGTAGAGGTTGAGGCGCGGGCGAAGGAGTCGCAAGAGTGATGAACTGCTTGTAGGTAGATGTGGCGACCCAAGGTAGGCAGTACGTATGGTGGGGATGGGAGGGTGGTTGCGAAGAATGCGGGACGGGAAAGAAGTTGGAAGCAGGAGAGGGGAGAGGGAGGAAAAAAGGAAGCAGGGATAGGCTATGGCAAGGTACTTGATTTCTATTGTTGTATTGTGGAGCAATTGTCTTTTATTGTCCGGAAGTCGAGGTACCTACGGCACTTCCGCGGACGGCGGCCTGTGACCAACCAATTGCATTCGTCTCACACTCTTCGCTCCGCACTTCACCTTCACCCAACTTGAGCCTGACCACATGAATTTATTATCATTACTATTGTTGTCAATATCTGCTCATTCCGTCACAGTCCCATAATAGACGTGAATAACAAACTTTTTTTTTGCTTTTAGCTAGCCAATCATGTGAAGATTCTCGCGCGATGAGAACAGCACTGCGTGCTTCACGGAAGTCTACCATCAATCTGCTCCGGTACTGCTACCCAAACAAAACGCGAGTGGGAGATTCCCAGACATATTACATAGCATACGATGCCTCAACGGTAGATTAGTCGTCTCCTGACTGAGGAAGAGCTTTTGTGCACTCCGTCAAGTCACGAGTCTTGCGCACACCTAGCAATGACAGACGTAGATAGGCCTTCGCGTAATCCTCATTCCAGTGCTCCTGTCCTCCACGACCCGCAAAATCGCGGAACTCTTCTGCCGTACGACGATCTTTGGAGAGATTGATGTCGCTTTGAAAACGGAAGATCTGCGCTGGCGGGTTTTGCTGGAGCGTTTCCTTGTAGTACAACACGTCCCAGATACCAGGTGTAGTGTCCTGTGGGGCACCAGCTCTCTGTGGATCGACAAATCTCTGCTTGCTCGTACTATGAGCTCCAAGGAGAGCAACCAGATCGTGGGGCGAGATGGATTTGTCTTGGAAGAGTTGAATGAGTTCGTCAGCGGTACCAAAAGGGCTTGGGATCAGATTCTCAGGTGCCGTTCTGCTGCTATCCGGGCGGCCAACGAAAACTCGCATGTGAGGTCCAAGGGGGCAGGCTATGGATTTATTAGTTCGTGTATATTTTTTGGTGGAGAGAGAAGAATGGATTACGTACAGACTGCGGCGTGCGTTGCGGCAAATTGAACGAAATCAGCTACGCCAACGTCGAACTTTTTAACCAATTCTTTGACTTTGTTCCTCCAACCTGCGAGGCCTGAGTTCTCCCGTCTGTTGATCTCCACATCTGACAGAACAAGACTCCCATCTGCACCTCCAAAGTCCAGTCCCTTGCGCCAGGCGCCGGCGTCGTGAAAACCAAAGCGGACAGCAGAGCGTGCATTGTCATTGCATTGTCCATTTCCGTCCACAAACAATTCGGTCAAAGTCTTGGAGACATGGGCCCAAATACAGCACGTGTCAGCCTTGCATTTAGGGCTTCCGGGTGGTCCTGGTGGCGACCACTCATCTGTTCTCTTCTGAGCTGGTTCCCTTCTGAGAAGAATGTTCGCAATAGACCAGCCAGAAGCAAAATCTTCGTAGTCTTCGAAGAGCTCGTCCAGATCCTTCCAATCAAGGAAGGATTCTGCCCGCTTTGTCTTTGCAACTTCCTCAATCTCGCGAAGAGTCTTGCTCATCTCAGGATGGGCAGTGATGCCGTCCACAAGGGACAAAGCACAGAGTAGTGTAGAAACTCCGGATAGCTTCATAGTGAGAGGAAGCAGAACGTGTATAGCTCAACAGCTTGGAGACAGAATACAACGAGAGTGACAAAGCGAGGGTGTCTGTTGATCAGTGATTACGTTGAAAGCTCAACATCACCCTAGTGATAGTTATATAGATCAGTCTACTCCAAAAATTTCATCACCTATGCTCCGTGGTTGACACGGAAGTTTCCCGTATCTGAGAACCAAAAAATCTCCTGGAAGTCGATGATGCATCCGCAACGGGAAGTGGTCGGCAAACGAATGAAGAGTAGACAGTATCAGAAGAAGACCAAAAGGAAACGATATCTAGAGCTGTCCTGCCGATCGAAACATCCATGGGTCAGTGAGTCCAATTGTGACAGGTTTAGGGTGGAGTGATTTCTCAAGTGGTCAACAGAGCATTCATCGGACACAATCTGAAGAAGACCGAGTGAGATGATGTCCGGTAAGTATGAAGATCACCGTTGTTCCCATCAGGCTGGAACCTTCTGAGCACCACATGTACCACAAATTGAGTGAGAAAAGCATCTTCAGTGGTCTTGCATCATCGACAGAGGACGGTAATTCGGGGAATCTAACCACTCGCTTCAATTCCCGGCAAAATGGCTTGGTTCCCAGGACAGTCGCTGTGCCTTACGGTATACAGTGGGGTGCTAAAGTCCTTCCGGCGGGTGTTCGTACATTACGACTTCGTCTGTGAACGTCTTCCGACATATCCCGCGCGATTTCCATGTCCGTGAGCCTCGCGGCTGTGAATATTCCGGCACGGTACCAGTCGGTCTTCACGTATATGGATCTGTATGTGGTGGTCAGTCTGTTTGCGCATGACAACGGCATAAAAACAAAACGCCTGGTTGGCCAGACGTCAAGCACATGTAGAACCATTGTTGAGTTGAAAATCCTGGGAAATGCAGAGCCAACTTGACTAGAACTTGAGAATGGGGGTTCGTTGATTGGTTCTAGACGCTGTACACGATGAAGCGGGGGTGGAGAAGTGCGAAGGGCGCGCACGAACGTTTTGTGGTTCTTCTAACGGGAAGTGCGTCTTCGGGTCCGTTTCGTGGTGGGATTTAATTCCGTTTGAGCTTTTTGGGCACGAGCTGTCTCTATTGGCCATATTTGAAGGTTGTGTATGAATGTGATTGGGAATGCTTGCCGACCCGGTTGCGATGGAAGGGCTTGAATGGAAGTGTTGGAAGTGTTATGCCGTCCTAACATGCAGTGCTTGAGCTGGCTATGTAGTGCCTTCCAGACGTAGAACAACGAAAATGTGTACCTGCCCCCGTTGGAAAAAGAAGTGTACACTCCAGTAGCTACTTAAGTAGATATGAAATACTCATTATTTGCTAAATGGAGCTTTTATGGGTCTTTATGTCTGTTTGTTTTTTATGTTGGTATATGCCTCTTTACTTTTGTCAGGTGGGGGGCATTCCAATGATCCTCCGCGTGTTATGCAAACGTCCCAAACTCCTTTTCCCTTTCCATGAGAAACGTACAAGCGCCCCTCGCTTGCCAAACTAATTTACAAAAAGAAAGTAAAAGATCGAACAGCGAAAACCAAGCGGTGGATTACAATAGTGTAGCAGTACGTGAGCAGTGTATCGAAGTGGGACTTGCGATGTGCGCCGCATCTCGGCGATGGTCTGTTTCTACTCGTGGTAGATGGCTTCAAATAGGTAGATGACGCCGAAGCAAAGAAAGGCGATTGCACCACCAAGAGTGACTGTTTGTTGTTAGCTGTTGAGTCGATAAACGGTGAGAGAGAATGAACTTACCAACACGCATGCTCACTCTTCCAGCGATGGCACGTCCACCGATAACAGCGCCCGCGGTGCAAAGGCCGTGGCCAACAATTGCACCACCTGTCACCCACCAGTAGTCCGAACCTGCTGCCATGGCCACGGTGGCGATCTGGCTACGATCACCCCACTCCCCAAGGAAAGTCATGATGAAAGTTTGCACCCACGCAGGGCTGAGAAGTAGAGAGAAAAGGTTGTTCAAGCCGCCAAGAGCACCCGAGACACCAGGAGAAGGAGCACGATCGGGAGACGACGACGGGCTGCGAGCAGGAGCTGGAAGCCTGGAATTGGATCGCGATCGTCGAGCTGCACGACCAGATTCAAGCACATAAGGAGAAATGGAAGACTTCCTGTGGCCTCTGTTTCGTGCAAGGGTTTCCTTCTCCTCCAGCTCTTGCTCGACTTCGCGCATCTCTTCACCGACGCCCTCATCAGGGCTCATGGCAAGACCCTCTCGCAGAAGCTTGACACCAAAAACAAGGAAAAGGCCAGCGGCGGCCAGATGGGTGAAGCGCTCCGGGATGAGCGTAGGTACGGCATGACCCAACACTGCAGAGAGAACTGTCATGACGATGAGAGCTGAGAAAGCCGCTGAAAACACAAGAAGGCGAGGATGGCGCATAGCCATTAGTGCAGCGACGAGGAACGTTTTGTCTCCAATCTCGGAAAAGATGATCATAGTGAAGGAGAGCACAAAGGAATGGAATGGCTGAATGACACCACCAGCTTCGGCATCGCCGGGCAAGTCATTCACGGGCGTTTTTGGGGTTGTGTCCAGAGGATCCTTCTTGTTGGCCGAAGACGGTGGAATCGGGTGCGGGATATCGTGAGGAGATTCGGGAAGGTCTGTGGGTTTCTATGATGGGAGTCAGCATAGTCGAGTACAGGAAGTAAAGGTGGAAGATACCTCGAGGCCCTGGGCACCAAGTACGCGGGGAGTCTCAGCGGCATCCGCGCTGTCGCCATTGGAATTGGTATTCTCCTTCTCTTTGAGATGCTGCTGCTCGCCGTGTGGCAGAGGTGGAGCTGCCTTGGGAGGCTCTGGGACTTTTTCCACTTTGGTGCCCGTCTTTTCGTGCTTTAGACGCTCCTTATCTTTGGCAGACATGCCGCCTTCAGTACCTGTATTGCCTTTTGGTGATGATCTATTGGGGTCGTTCATGACACTATCGTCCTCTTCCACCGCAGCCGCGATTTCCTCCTTGGTTGGCTCTGGTTTTGGTTTCTTGTGGGTATCGGGTCGCAATTCTTCTATGCCGCCGGGACCCTTCTTAGATGCCACAACCTTGTCATCGACATAGGGACCCTGGTGGGGCTTCCCATCGAATCCGTCGACGGGCGCATCCTTGGTTCCTTTGGAAGCTGGCACGGGCGTAGCCAAAGCGTCAGGAGTGGCCTCGGCGGCCAGTATTTTAGACGCAGCGGGCGACTTGTCAGCGTTGGGAGCTGCCTTTGCGAAGGCGTGCAGGGCAGGCAGAAGAAACAGGAGGGCGGCCGTCCGCGGCTGTCGCAGCCTCATGATGTCGGAGTAGGCGGGACCGCGTGGTGAGCGAAAGGGCAACTGTAGCGGTTGTCTTGGAGTCCTTCCAGAGGATGAAGACAAGGGGCGATGGACAAAGGCGAGGCGCGGGGGTGGGTGAGTGAATGAGCGAGGGGGAGTGAGTGTAGGCGGTAGGCGTGGTGGATTGATAAATGTTCGGTGGAAGTCAGCACGGCGATGGTTTTAGGAGGTTTGAGTGAGTGTGTTGCAAGGATGCGCGCAAGGGGGCAGAGGCAGCTAGCTCGTGAGTGGCGGTGCAGCGCAGTAGAGTGGAGAAAAGAAGGGGAGAACGACGGGGGTCGGGAATGGAAAATGTCGTGGTCGGGCCCCGTGCTTATAATTAGGAGACTGCGTCCTCAGCATCTACATACATATGTATGTATGTTTTCCTGGACAACGTGTACATGGTAAAACATGACATGGCACAGTCGTGGGAAGGCCCCCCCGTGCCATGGTTGTGAAACTCGCAGCAGCTGAACGACTCCCACATTGAACAGTGAGCCATCCATTGAGCTTGCCATGCAAACCTCAAAGTTTCATCCGCCAGATGCTGCTAATGCCATGTTTCGAAGCACCAAAAAACAGACGCAGAGTCATGACTTGAGCTGCATCTCCTGCGACAGTGTGGTTCCAAACCAATGATTAAGGTTTCCCGTCGTCGTTCGCCGTCTCAAACTGCGCATGAAGATGGCACAGCGGCCTTGTATGTCTGACAGGCCTGGCCGGATAAACACGTTGTGACATGACGCGGCTTTGCTTTTTGGAGTCCCGCAATGAGCGATATCATTTCAATTGACAAGAAATCTCCAATGATCGAGCGCATTGTGCAATCAATCCGCCATGGATTCACTACTGCAGCAGCAATAAGGACACCATGTACATATGCGAATCGAGGTATAGAGGTACCTTGCATACATACAATATGTACACTCAAGTACACATGCAGGTACCTTCCATGCACGTCCGTGGATAGTTGTAATCATTAGCATGTGTCCACTATGTAACAAGATGAATTGAACTAGACCTATGGCATGCCGAAACTCTTTTTCATCTTTCCACGGAGAAACATGGCAGCAGCGCTGCATAGTAGTTAGCGTACGGAGTCAGTATGATTATGAGCCAGGTTGAGCTGACGGAAAGGTTCACGTGATCTCGCATTTCGGGCTAGCCCCGCGTCGGTTCGGTACGTTGGACGGCCAAAACAAAGATGCCCTCCAACAGCAACCACGCTATCTTCACTCACCTTGGCCCGTCACCCACGCTTCCTCGACTGCGCGTAACAGCCGCTCATTGCCCTGTCATGGCCGACCGCAGAGGAATGCGATCCGGAAGCCGTCGCGCCGACCCCACCCCACAATCCCATTCCAAGTCTATCGTCACTCAGACTGTACACGCGACGCGCAAGCGCAACACCAGGAGCGCTAGCCGCGACATCGACGTACCCACAGAGACAGAGCGGCCTCTTCGTAGAAGTGCGCGCCAAGCCAGCGTTACGAGCATAGCCAGCGAAAGTGCACGCGAGAATGAAACTGACCGGGGAATGAGACGGAACCCCAGGGAAGAAGCTTTCGCAGCGGGTAAGTGGCTACCACGCATCCGCGTTTTATAACCGTTATAGTTGGTCAGAAGAGCATTGGTGAGCTGATCTATCTGGCATAGATCTCACTGCAGTCGAGGAAGTGGACACCCAACTCGATATCCAGGACGCACCTCAAAACACACTTCATCGTTCTCCAGGTGCAGCTTCTGAAATGTCTGGCACTACTGCCATCACTTCGTTTTCCATGGGCGAAGCCGAGCTACTTGAATCTCGCTTTCTTCTACGCCATCTGCCCAAACTACATTCAGTGGTCGATGAGTTTCTGAATCTTCTTGTCCCGGAAGAAGAGAATGTATTGAGTATGGAAGACCGACTACAGAGAGATCTAAACCGAATCCGCAAGATGAAAATTCCGGGATCTGATTTCGTGGAAGACTACAACGATTGCGTCGACCAACTCAGTCTATACGTGAAGCACTTCCTGGCAGATAACTGGTGGTTCATCAATATTCAAGCCATCCACCAAGCGCTCTTTGGCTCTGCAGATCGCAATAGCGCACAAACAGGACTGAATCTCATCTTGTATCGAGCTAACCTTTTAATCATGGCAAAAGACATGATCCATTCAGACCGTAAAGATAAGAATATGTGGACTACCATCCGCGCGTTCGAGAATATCTTTCCCATTCGATTCCTGTCTGCCTTAGACCCAGAAACTTCTACTGCATTATCTGTCACTGGACAGAGTGCCTTGCTGCAAAAGACCTTCGATCTTGCACTAGAGTTCCGCACACAGTTAGCAATCATTCACATTGATCGAGAATCTCGAACGAAAAACTTCGATCCTGATGCTGTTCTCGACTCTGTTTTCTTTGACGAATCTGATGAAGCAGAACCCATTATTCGAGGTTGGAATACCTCGGCTTTGGGTGAAGGTGCTGCTACACTCCCTGACGAGTTCAGAGGGAAAGTCATGGACCGGATGGCTGAGATTCGCACACATTTTCCAATTGATACTCAAGCGCTGGAACACGGAAACGTAATAAACCTGGGAAGGCTAGAGAAGGCTTTTCCGTGGCCATCCGTCATACTCAGACTTTTGGATTGGGTTCGAGCTCGAGATACAGAGCTTCGAGCAGCCATTGGGCATCAACGCGGACCAGAAAAGATTGTGAAAGAAGTGAAACGAATCATTGAAGAAAGTGCCGGGAGGGTATCACAGCTAGGGACCAGCGAAACCAGTAACAAACGAAATTCTTATGGCCGAGAAGGAAGGCGTGTCAGTGGCAAGTATTCCGTGGACAAGCTATTGGATCCTGGCGTTTTTACGAGAATGAAACCGACTTTGGAGAAAGCGTCTCGTGTACAAGTTCAAGTTCAAGCTCATGATCAAAACGGTCAGAAACTAGCTGAGGCCAGGGTTCCGACACCCCAGGTGGAACCGCAAAAGATGGTGCAGAAAGAGCAAGGAACAACGGCGGCCGAGCCCGAGCCTCAACTGGCCGATACCACTGTGCAGGAAGATGGATGGGCCCCGCCAGAAGATGACGAAGACTTTACACGGGTTGGGGAAGGCGCTGGAGAACCAGCCGCAAAGTCAACAGATCCTCCTGAGGACCCCCAGCCACTCCGACCTCCGCAGTCCACTGCCGATATCATGAGCTTTCTCAAACGGCCCAAGAACATACAGAAGGAAAACCGCGCCAAACCAAGCATCTTTGACCCGCAGCCAGGCGCAGTTCGTGTTGAGTTCGGTGATGGTTTTGATGATGCTATTGAGCCGGGTGAGCCAGTAGTAGCAGCTTCTTCAAGTAAACAGAAAGTGGTCCGGCCTGCCACTCAGAGCAAGAAGCGAGCTCTTCCCGTGGAGAGTGACGAGGATGATGACGACTTTGAGACTGTGAGACGCACAACACACGTCGAGCAACGACGAGAAAAAGCACGACGCGTTCAGCTGAATGCAGATGCTCCGAGTTCGTCCACTGCACACCAACCCCAAGGGCGGAATATCCGTGAAAATCTCGCAATTAAGAACGAAACGGACACGAGTGTATCCGAAACTGATGCTCCAGAAATGACAGAGGCGGCCCCCCCATCGTCCCGCTATGCCGCACAGAGACAACAATCTCGGATCAATCGCCCCACTGGTTCAACGCGCAAAGAGAGGGTGGAGTGGACGCCAGATGAGGAACAGGCTTTTGAGGAATACATGGCATTGTATCAGCCAAACAAGTACGCTGAGATTAAAAGGGTCGATGATGCTGGTCAACGAAGGCTGCAGACTAGGACGCAGGTTAACCTCAAGGACAAGGCTCGAAGCATGGCTATCAACATGATCAGGTAAGTCTAACAACTATGCCTTGTTTCCCATCGAAGTTGCATCAGAGGACATGGCAACGAGGACATCTCTATGCGAGCATGGCGTTCATTTCTCGCGTCCTACGATTGACTAACGTTTTCCGCAGGTCCGGGTCAGGTCTTCTACCTGGCTTCCAACTTGTCATCCGCAAACATACCGCAGATGGTCAGAAACTTCTCGATCAAGGCTTCGATTGGTGATTTACTCCACCTCGCTTCATGCATACTTTCCCTCCTTCATATATGAACGCCCCGAGCCGCGACATGAGGGAGGGAACTGAAAGCATTTTTCGTCTCGGTGTTTCCTTTATTCCGACTTGTTTTGGTTTGCTTTTTTGTTTAACCTAGTCACTCCTTTAGTCAGCTCAGGTCCGTAGCTTTACACATTATCAGGTAGCTTACTCGTCTTTGCTTTGGTTAGTACACATTGGTACACATTGGTTAGTACACATTGGTACACATTGGTTAGTACACTTTAGTACACATCATATAGCAGTGGTACTGCTTGAACCGGTGGGAGTTGGTCATGGTCATGTTTCTGTAGTTTCTTGCTGTTTTTTGTTTTTGGAGCGCTGAGATACCCCCTGTTTTCGATTTTTTTTTTCTTTGGGGTTAGGGTTAGGGTCAGGGTCAGGGTTAGGGCTCGTGTTAGGGTTATGGTTAGGGTTAGGGTCACATGTATTTTGGTACAGATCCTCATGCCCACGACTGTATGGGAGGGTACAAAGGGTGCAAAGGAATGAAGGACGAGCGTCGATGATTACGCCCTGGCTTTCACGAAAAGCTGGCGTTCATGCACACGTGTGTGGTTGGTAGGAACACGCGCTGGAGTGACCAGTCACTCTTCAAATGGGAACACATCTTTCCACCTCTATCTATTGGGTCTTGAGCTGGTGCTGTCTTTTTATCACTCGAGAGGGTGAAGTAGGAGGTCGTCCGGCTGTACTGATAGGAGTTCTACTATATGGTATGGGACATGCTATGTTCCTTTACCTACATATATGATCGTTTTGGTTCATGATCATCATGCATTACTCATACGCGGATTGTCACTCAAATGCCAGTGTGCGGAGGGTTCGTCTTCTGTTCACAATTTCATCTCTTCGATAAGATACCGACCGCCCACTCCCAGTGAACCATTGAATAAATGTATTGTTTAAACAGATCCAGCGCACAAGGCGAGCTGGTCCGAGTTCTGTCTTCATGCGGCGATCATCTGCCATGTCAATGAACAAGCACTCATATTTTCTAAACCTTCTCCCTCCACCGAATGCCCCATTCTCCCTTGGCGAAGCTCGCCTCGACCACCACCCCCTTCATCACAGCTTCGCACTTTCTCCTCTCCTCACCCTCTCCATCAGCTGCAGCACTCCCAAACGCGACTAACCTCCTCGCCGCCCGTCGGACCATCTCTCGCTCGTCTGCTCTGCGCTGTCCCTCGCGTCGCTTCGCCTTCATCTCGTCCGTCTCCTCAATGCGCTCAGCCCAGCCCTTTTCGCCGCCGATGCTGCCGTTGATACTAGATTGCGACTGCGGGGGTCGGATTTTACCACCGCCGTATCCGTAGAGGGGAACCACATCCTCGGAGGCGGCCGAAGTAGCTTTGTCAAGCTGAGCACCTTCGGAAGAAGCCGCGTTCAACGAGACACCACCTGACCCCTCCTCTTCTTCGTCCAGCTCAGACGAAGTAGAGCCAGACCGTCCATTCGCATCGTCCGCCGACACCGAATGTAAAGAGTCCCTCGCAACATGTTGGCGACTTGCTGATGGCGATGCGGGATCATCAACCATATCGACACTGCGCCAATCCTCCGGCCTCTCCACTACCCCCCTCGCCGCTCTATTCTTGCGCCGTCCAAAAACTTTCTCTGGATCCTTTTCATGCTGGAACACTATCTCTTCTACCGTCCTGCATTCCACGATGATCCTCGGATCACCTTTGATAGCTTTCTTCGCTTTCTTGTGATCTTTTTTGCCTTTGTGGTGCACTGCTGAGCTACTTTCTGTACCTGCTGCTTTCCTCGCCTCCACAGCACCACCATCGCCTCCCTCTCCCTCTTTCCCTTTTAGAGACTCCGCAGTAGCACCATCTAACAACGCCGTAAAAACACTCTCGATCCTTCGATCCACAGGCCCTGGTTTCGTGTTCCTGCAGCGCGCGGAGCAGTACTTGATTTCCTGCGTCTTCTTGGACGGCTGCTGCGTCCGGCGCTGCGAGATGACGCGCCCGCAGCTCCGGCAGTACGGCACGTCGGGAGTTGTGAGGTATAAAGGGGGAGGCGTGGCTTGGGATTTCGAGGGGCGCGACCACGAATCCATCCAGCTCATTTTGGCAGCGGTGATAGTAATGTATGTGTGTGATTTGTGGGGGGCCTGGTGCTGTGGTTTTGGGAGATACGGGAAAGGGGTGGATGAGGATGGGGATGGGGGTGGGAATGTCACGGGTCTGGTGGTGAGAAATGCACGGTGGTGTGGTGAGAAGGAGAGGTGTAGTTGTAGGTGTAGAGTTCGGTACGTCATCGATGGATGCGGTTGTGGTTATGCTCGATTAGGCAAGATTGGATGCAGGGCGTGTAGCGTGGGATCCTGCGTGTATCATTCTAGGGGTATGGTTTTCGTAAGAGAAGGAATTGTAGTATCGCTGATTTGATGGATGTGTTCTTGTAGCTGCTGCTAGGCGCGTGTTTATGTTACGAGTCTACTGGACGATGACGTAGGTGATTGAAGCCTCTCTGCAAGGGGAATACTGTTTTCGCACACATTTTTATGGAGGCTTGGTGCGGGTTTCTTTTGTATTCGGGTAGTAAAACCACTGAGTATGCAGGTTTTGGGAATTATGTTCATTTTCAAGGCATGTTTCGATGATATATCATGGAGTGTAGAAGAATTGATCATGGACGATAACACCAACCTCATCATCATGAAGAAAAGTATGAGACACACAATGCAATGCACCCAGATTTGCAGAATTTAAGAAAGAATAGATTCATGATGAATATCTTGCCATGTGGAGTGAGACTTGTCGTCTACCCACAGTCGATCACTCTTTGACTCCATATCACTCATGCTAAAGAACGCATCAATATCTCACATAACCTGTCGGTTTACACAACATGAATATCAATATGTGTATAGCACGAGTAAAGTTTGAAGTATACGTAGTGTAATCGAGTAGCAGTGTGGTGTTGAATGATTCCAGAGATTCATCCCACTCCGACGTTATTATAGAAGCTTCGTGACATCACTATGCTTAAGGGGACCGCAATTCAAGTTTCGTGTTCGCTCTTATTGCCAGGTGTTGCTCAGCCACAGGATAGAGATCTTACCTATGGAGAAAATCAACATTGGATCGAAATTGGGATGACACTTTGGGGTATTACTTTGTCGACCAGTCGACATACGACTGGCTACTTGAAACCAACCAAAACGTCACGTTTTCTTTGACCTCTCCCGATTCCCAGGCCGTGACTAAGAATTACACTCTCTCATACGAAACAACATTCAATCTCAACCTTACATATCCGCTCATGGATACCTGGAGCCACTATTTCCCTCCAAAGCGAGAGCGAAATGTGTTGGGTCGTGCCTTTTTCCAGGAGACGCACATATCCATCGATTACGATGAGGGCTATCTTCAAAATATCTCAAACGAATCCAGGATATGGCTCGCTCCGTATTGTGGTAATTGAACATAAGAACGACACCAAGGAGAATGAGACAACCCGCTCGACACCTTTTGTCCACTGGAGCATGCGTTGATACAGGAGTCGGAAACCATGAAAATATATGGAATGATCAGCTTCTGTGTGTATGTGATTTTGAGTTTCAATGTTCGATATAGGTGTATCTGCATGTAGGGACCTCCATGAATGTGATCAATTGATTCAAATGTTGGAGACGGCGAAAGGCATTCACGTGACCGATATCCGAAAAGGGAAGGGACCGGGGAGCTGTACAATGAGGTCAACGCACTTCCATATGCGCGACGGGTAACTCTCTGGATTCATGCAAAGACATGCCTCGGTCATCCGGAAGCTCATCCTACACTCTTGTTTGCTCTGCAGCCATGAGTGATTGTGGTTGGTTGTCGACATAGATCGGGGCACCTCCACATGCACCACAGCGAGTCCCGAGGCGTCGTTGATCCTCAATCGTCATGTTGCCGAGCTTATGGTACTCAACACTCGGATGTCGCGGTGGTTTCGGAGAGAGGCCATAAGCGTCGAGCCGAAGGCACATGGACGTTGTATAAAGAGGAATGGCAGACGGGACGGCCTGCTGGGCGATTGAGTTGTGCGCATCGCCCAGCGGCTCTCCAGTCATTGGCACTCCCCCAGGCCTCATTCTTCGCAGCAATCTTCATCACGACCAGTTACAAAGCGGACAGATGGAAGGGTTATCAACAATCGGGACATGCACATCGCCCTCTTCGCTAACCGAATCCTCGCCTTTCCGCTCTTCTCCCCGTATCAAGTCCAACTTTAGCATTTCAACCCAAGCACAGCGAGTGCGCCGGCGTCTGAGGGGTTTCGACTACGCAAAGAAGAGAGCAGCAAAAGCGACGCTGCAGCCAAGACCCATAACGATGTCGACGTCCAGTCTGCCGCTGGACCCTGTCGCTGATACATCGAATACGCGCCCGCGCCGCCCCACGGTGCAGTCGGACATCCACGACACCATTTTGCGGCCCGGCACAGTCCGCATCAACGTCCAGGGCGCCTTCATTGTCGACGAGCAGCCCGTCACCCCGCGCAGCGAAGACTACAACCATGATACCAGGGATATCCGCCTCCCCAACCACACCGCCGTCGTGAGCCATGTCGCCGTCGATGTGAGTTGCGCCCGCCCGATCCCGCCGACCCATCTCACCCCTCACGCGACCATCCGTCGCACACCCATTTGACTGCCCCCAACGCCCTGGATTGTCCATGCTGACCCGTCAATTCAATTGGCGTCCAGATCGGAGGCTCCCTTGCCAAGCTTGTCTACTTTTCGCGCGAACCCGACGAGAGCTCCATCGGCGGCCGCCTCAACTTTGTCAAATTCGAGACGGATCAAATAGACAAATGCATACATTTCATGCGCAAGCTGCAAGCCGACCACAAACATCTCAATGGCTCGACCACGGACGAATTATGCGTCATGGCTACTGGTGGAGGAGCTTTCAAGTACTATGACAAGATAAGAGAGGCATTGGGTGTCAAGGTGATACGGGAGGATGAGATGGAGTGTTTAATCATAGGTATGTTGCTGGCACGCCAATTGGTAGCTCTGCATCTGCTGATACAAAGTGCTCAACAGGCCTAGATTTCTTCATCACCGAGATACCCAACGAGGTCTTCACCTATAGCGAGGAAGATCCCATGGATTTCGTTCCTCTGCCCCCGCAGCCATCATCCATATACCCATACCTCCTCGTGAACATTGGCTCTGGCGTGTCCATGGTCAAAGTCTCCGGTCCTCGACAGTACGAACGTATAGGCGGCACATCCTTGGGAGGGGGAACTCTGTGGGGTCTGCTCTCTCTGCTGACTGGCGCGCGGAACTTTGAGGACATGCTGAAACTGGCCGAGAAGGGCGACAATTCGACCGTCGATTTACTCGTCGGTGATATCTACGGTGCCGGATATAACAAGATTGGGTTGAAGAGCACGCACATAGCGAGCTCGTTCGGCAAGGTATACAAGCTGAAGCGCGCCGCCGAAAGCGAGGCAGAAGACGGCTGCAACGGTGACTACAAGGTTCATCACTCGGAAGAAGAGCAAGTCGAGGGTTCCTCTGAAATCCCACACTCCCCCGCGAAATTCCGCTCCGAGGACATATCCCGATCCTTGTTGTATGCCGTATCCAACAATATCGGCCAGATTGCTTACCTCCATGCTGAAAAGCACAATCTGCCGCACATCTACTTTGGTGGTTCGTTCATTGGCGGCCACTCGCAAACCATGCACACCTTATCGTACGCCATTCGTTTCTGGTCCAAAGGCACCAAGCAGGCATACTTCCTCAGACATGAGGGTTATTTGGGTGCGGTAGGCGCATTCCTGAAGAGACAGCCGCAGAACTGGGGAAGGCGGAATAGCTTCGAAGGATCCAAGCGGGCGAGCATGTCTACTTGATGGGGTTGGATGATGTTGATTACAGACTTTTTCGGACATATCTCAAGTATCGTCCTTGAGTGTCGTCTCAATTGCATACACTAACTCGCCATTTCACTTTTCTTCTCTTCGGAGAGATTAATCACTGGGTATATAATTGGGGGAGAGGACAATCCCCCTATCTCACCTATTTATCACATAATCTCATATTGTTCGCCTCTGTGGCTGGTCTGAGATTCTGCTTCAAACCCTCTCTCGTATTTTATGTTTAAAAATTTCAACCCAGGTGACATTGGATTCAGACGAGTAGTACGCACAACAAATGTTGGAATAGAGCAAGGTGGTGGTGGTGGTAGTGCTGGTGCTGGTGCTGGTGAGAATTATCGATCATCTAGCGCTCTATCAAGTCGCACTGTTATTTGCTGCTGCACCACGCAACGCACCACATTTTCTGAGTTGATTGAGTTGGGGCAACACAAATGAAAACTCGTCTCACGACCGTTAGAGAATTTGGGCAATCGTAATGCTTATCGGAGTTTAATATGTGAGGTGAGTGAGATTGTTTGTTGGGCTTCTGGCATAAACACCTTCTCTAGACCTCAGCTCCTCATTCTGCTTTCTGCGTGTTACCGCGGGTCTATCTAGCGTCTAGCACAATTCAAAGATATAGTAATTCAACTGATATTTATAGTAAGGCTCTCTCTTCACTTGAATCTCTTCATAGTGGAAAAAAGGCAATTGTTACACTACAGTTACACCGCACTGCCTATCCCACTATCGCGCCCGTGCTTCAGGACAAGGCTAGGTGAAGTTACACAACAATTCACGTATGGCAGGTATTCTATTACATACGTCAACTCAGTATCCCGCAATCTCAGACTTGCATGCGATTTTCGAATGCTCTGTCTATTCTTCATTCACAGGACGGACTACTATTTACTTGGGAAGCCTTCGAGGTACAAGTACGAGTTTGTTTGATGCTGAAAGCCATCTGCAACCATAAACCTTCACACAAACATATCTTACCTTTCGATCTGCCTACTTACTCAGCACCACACTCAACTTCCTACATCCCTCTATACACCGCCCAATACAATGCCACCTTCCCCGCCCCCAACCCTCCTCCTTTCCGTCCTTGGCCCCCCAGGCTCAGGAAAAGGAACTCAATGCTCCCTCCTAACCGCCCGCTACCCCCAAATCTTTACACACCATCTGAGTATGGGCGACGTGCTTAGAGACGAGGTGCGCGATCCGGAGAGTCCGTATAAAGCAGTTCTAGAAGAGAATCTTCGAGAAGGGAGACTAGGCGCGAAGGAGATGGTGTGTGGGATTATAGGACGGGCTATTCGGGGAGCAATAGATGGAGAGGAGGCGAGGAAAGGAAGGGGGATTGTGTTACTTGACGGTTAGTCAAATCATCCCCCCCCCCTCCCACCCGCTTCATCTCATTATACGTGTCCACGATCAAACAAACAACTCATCTAAAGCTCCACCCCCGTTAACAATGATAGTGATAAGGTTTCCCCCGTAAACTCGACACGGCGGAGTACTTCCAGGACACTGTTGCTCCTATCCCCATTTTGCTCGTGATCCAGTGCACGACGGATATCTTGGAGACAAGACTTGCAGCGCGTAAACGCGAGGACAACGACGTGGATACGATTCGTAAGCGGATTGCGGTGTATGAGGAGGAGACGGCGAAGGTGGTGCAGAGGTTTGAAGAGGATGGGAAGAGCGTGGTGAGGGTTGATGGGGATGGGGATGTTGAGGATGTTGCAAGGAATGTGTTTAGGGGGTTGGAGGGTGTGCTTTCTTTGCGTGGGTATGGGGTTTGCTAGGTGAGGTATTTGGGGGGGAAAGATGGGGGTGTGGGTAACGGATGATTCAGTGAGTAGGTTGGGGCTGGCTCTAGCAGCGGCCGTTTAGTCTCCTCGAAGGGATACGGTCTAGATGCCGCTGCGCAGATAGAGACGATCAACAGCCTCTATTCGGAGGCTTTGCAGCGATTTTTTTATCAAAGCTTTCCTTTCGCACGAATTGGGTCTTGGTCTGTACTTTTCTCCTTTTTGTTTCTGTTTTCAGATCAGGTTGCTGTTCTCTGATTTCAAATCCGTGGTTTTTACAAGACCAATTCCGGCTTTCACTCCGCCTTCAGGGGTGGATTGCTCTTGCGCTGATTCAAAGCTGCTGTGTCTAGCTATTATGAGACGGATGTTCTGGAGTCTGGAATATCGTGCATGCCGTTCGAACTAACTACAAGTCGTATACACTTCGCGTGCTCTTTATGGATGATTAGTATCTTTACTATGCACGTGGGCTCGGATGGGTTTGGCGTAGTGGCTTGATGTTAGCAAGCCGAGCGATCCTTCGAGAATGTTAATCTGCATAGTTCTAGTTTTATACAAGATATGAGAGAGGCGCCAGAGATAGATAACTGCAACGTCCGGTCTCCGAAGTAACATGATGGAAATCGGCCTGTTTTTTTGGAGATTGGGCTTTCCTTGTGCGTCGATTTCAAATCAACGCTTTCTAGAACCCTCCTTTCGAGGTGTGGTGCAATCATCCCTATTGAAATTTGGAGATTAGGTTCTAGTCTGATCTCCATGAAAAGAGAGCAGTTAAAAGTGTAGCCACCAGGTATCATTTTCTATAGAATCTTAGTTGTGGAACATTCTTATTCAACTATTGAACCCACTTCCTCCAATCGTGCATTCCTAACTTGTGCTACTACTGATGACCTGAGCCGGATAATGAGTGACATGTCGTCAATACACAGTACTCGCGTATCCGGACTGCACGATGTGTACGCTCGCCGACGGGCCATAGCGTTGGGGGCGAAGCAACCCGTCGCAAAACGAACACACTGACCTGCCAAGTCTTCCATGAGCCGTCTCTCCTGCCAATTTGAACAGTTGATTTCATGCCAGGCGCCTAGCCTGGCTGTGTGCCTTGCTATCAGAAGATAAGATTGGGTGTTGGTGATCGCGGATATCGGTCGTGTTTCAGATGGGTCGTGTTGTGTAGTTGCGTGTCGGTTTGCAAGCCGTATCCTTGTCGGTTTGCAAGACCAAGGGGGCTAATTTAGTAACTCAGATATCATTGATTGGGTTGCTTCATCTTTAGAAGGCAATTGTGAGTATGATTGATCAGTAAATTATTGAAGTAAATGCTTGTTGCAAGTTGTTCTGACTTTCATATTTTGGATTGCGACTGCTCATTTACACCACCGGCATTGGCGTGACTTGAGACGTATACGCTACCCCTGCAGTAGCAGGAATGTCACCATACTGTCAGTCGGGCAGTTCGACTGGAATTCTCCGGGCGAGCCTTTTTAGCTGATTGTGGAGAGACGAAATTACAATCATGGGGGCATTACTAGACGCGCACGAGCATCCGTGACATGCCGGTGGTGGTGGCCTGAAGCTGTGCAAAAGCTGCCTGTTACCGATCGTTTCCAAACAATTGCTTGTTTGCTTGGAATCTATTAATATTACAGTGACTATGCTGTGATTAATGAGGGTATATTCTGCGCTCGCGAAAAGATGCATGAGAACACATATGGGATCTGAGCACTTCGATAAGCAAGCGTGGGGGAACATTCATCAACAAGTCTGGTCTCTAAGAATCGACTGCTCGTTGTATGGGATTACATTATGAACACTAGATTTGGTAGTCTCTGGAACCTGAGCGGAAATTTGGTCCATTGTTCGACGACAATTAAAGTTCTTCTAGGCAAAAAACTGGTGTAGGGAAACATGTTCGATCCACCAGGTTGCAGTTACGTCGTCATGTACATCATCACCGGATGTGACAAAGTATACGACATCAAGTAGGCGCTTACTCGTTCGTTAACTAAAATCCCACCTTTTTGTTTAAACATAATACAGAAATTGCCTAGTTTCCTGCGGCACCAAGCATAGACAAGAAAGCGCCATAGCATGCCCAGCCTTCTAGGGCATCTGCGACCTCATACCACACCTACCTCATTGGTCCAACACACCCACCGACGGACTTCGATACAAAACCTCCACGCAAAACACTCTGCTAGACCTTGTAACATCTTTACACCGCCCCACACTACCCGATCGAAATTGCGATGCTTGTCTTGGGAAATCTCCACAGGCGGCAAGCTCCACTTCGGGTGTCATTGTGGCAGTGAACGTCGACTGCCAAACATGAATCTGAGGCAGACGCCAAATGTCCGTAAGAGGGATCAGGCTCGCACTTGGAGCCAATGAACATGTCATTTCGGATTGACAGTAGCAAAGTCACCGTCACGGAGAGTCCAAGTGCGTTCCTTGGTCACCGGAGCGGGCGCTACTGTTACTGGGGCCATGCGTATAGGGGAGCTGGGAGCGATCAACATGTTTATAAGAGGTCGTCGTATGCGTCCTTCTATGCTTCATTCAAACCAAACAATTCAGCATTCCTACGTTTCTACACACCCACATTCTTTTTTATTCAGTCAATCGTTTTTGCAGCTAGTTCTGCAGTCCATTCTTTTTATACTTCGAAACATTCAGTTTAGTTCATCATGAAGTTCTCTCTCGCAGCCGCTGCTGCTGCAGCGTTTGCCATGGTCGGTTCGGTCAACGCAAACTGTGACAAGGGCCCCTACGTGAGCACCAGTGTTGGACAGGCTCTCGGCGATGCCCCGGGATACCAGCATTTCTGCGAGTCCCGTTGGGAAGAAGGCATCGTCATCACCGGTATTCGTGTATGGTCGGCCAAGTTCCAGGTCAAGGCCGTTCAGTTCCAGTTCGCCGGTGGTGACTGGGGCAAGCGTTACGGACAGCTCCCTGACGATGTCCAGCCCAAGGAAAAGACATGGGACGAGCTTGAGGAGATCAACCTGAGGCTCTGGAACAACAAGCCTGATGATGGTGACCCAGTTGACGCTGTCGGTTGGATTCAGATCAACATGGACGGCCAGGAGAAGTGGGATGCCGGTGCCGACGAAAAGAAGGTTGCCAAGAAGGAGAACTACGTTGAGAACCCCAGTGGAAAGCTTTTGGCTGTCCGAGTATGTTCCAACCTACTCAAACAACTGTTAAAAGTTCATGACTTTACTAACCATGATCACAGGGTGCTGCAGGTGCCTGGGTCACCACTCTGGAGTTCAAGTTCCTCGAGTCGCCCGTCAAGAGTGTCGAGATGATCTCGATGAACTTCAAGGAGGACTACAAGAAGTGGGGAACTGAGGGCAAGGGCAAGTCCGATGCCGTTTTGGGTACCAACTACTTCATCAACTCCAGCGAGAAGGGCGGACCCAACGCCACCTACGACAACACGATCAAGCTCACCAAGTCCAAGAGCAAGGAGATCAGCACTTCTCAGACGCACACTGCTGGCTACAAGTTGGGCATCACTGTTAGCGGAAAAGTGGGTGTCCCACTGTTGGCTGGTACGTAGCTCCTTCCCGATTGAAGAGGAATTTCTCAAACAACTGTGAGCCAAAAATGCTAATGCACAACCAACAGAGGGCTCCATCGATGTCACCAACGAGTTCAGCTACCAATACTCCAACATGAAGTCTGTCAACAACGCTGAGACCGAATCATGGGGCATTGACGCCAGGATGGGAGGTCCTGGTGCCGCCGGTATTCCCCCACAGTCGGCTGCCTACTGTAAGCTCTCCAGTCTCCATTCTTTTGGCTTCTTCCTTCTAACCATGATATAGGCACTGCTCAAGCCACCATGGGTTCTTTCGAGAGCGACTACGATGCCGTTCTTGAGGCCACCATGGCCAGCGGCAAGAAATACCAGTACAAGAACTTTGGCCACTTCGCATCCGTCGGCTACTCCAACGGCAGGACCGAATGCAAGGTTATCCCCCTTAAGGACGTGCCTTCTGATGCCCCCAAGACGGATGCTACCCCCAAGGGCAAGCGCTCTACTCGCTTGTCTCGCTTCATTGCCGCTTTGTAAGAGTTTTCATCTCTGCAATGCATGCTCTGCTCTGAGGCTCTTGCCTTGTTTGCCTTTCTTGTACGCTTCTTCTTGATAGACTTGGGATTGTTGATATTTATGAAAAAACAAGAGTTTAGACTTCTTGTGCAACACCGACTTTTTTGTCTGGTGATGAGGGGGAGGTTTCTGTGTAGATGGCATATATCCAACTATGTATTTATGTTTTATTATCTTTTTAGATCTGCATTAGTTTGGAGTTCCCAATCTTTTGTTTCATGCATTCAAGCAGTTTTGTTCTACCTTTGATCCTATTCTCGCTTGTTGGTCCGTGAGAAAATTGGTCGTGTCAATGTTAACTGAAGCTCAGCTGCGGGTATTCAAGTTGAGATTTTGTAGCTGCCAGTAGCAGAGGCGTGGTTGAATCAATCAACGCGTCAGCGAAATCATCTACTCATGACCACTACTTCCCATCATGAAGTGTGAGCTGTGAACTACGACCAGAATTGAACAACATAAAAAGGAAATACGATAATCGCATTCAGCACTTCACCACTCCATCTCCACAAAAGGAGTAAAACTACCTTGTTACACACACACACACACACACATATATATATATATATTTACATTTATTTATTTAAACTACATAATCCCTCCCTCCATCCATCAAAACAAATCCTCAACCCCTACACAATTCACTCTCCCCACCCCAACACCGCCATCCCCACCACGATGATGTCCAACGACCCAACAACCCCTCCGCACACTATTACCCCCATACCCCTCACCACCGCCTTCCCACCGCCCCACTAAATCCTCAACCCCAACAACCCATTCATTGCGCAACCCGTACGCATCGCCCTCTCCCTCATACCCTTGATCATCCTCGTCGCCGACAAACAACCCCAGCGCCTCCCGATCAGAACGAACATCATACACAACCCTACTTCTCGGCTCGCCGAGTCCCATGAAAGAAGGTGGTTTTGTGGAGCGAGGTGGAGCGGCGGACTCGACGGCGCGGTGTTTTTGTCGGGGAGTGTTTGCGGCGAGGATGCGGGACTGGGCTGCGAGGCGGGAGCGGGAGGGCGTGAGGCGCGTTAGGTGGGGGAAGGATCTTAGCGGTGTGGTAGGGTTCGAGGATAGGGGGGAGGTTGGGGAGTCTGTTCTTGAGGGGAGGCGTTTATGATTGTTGGGTTTCGAGGCGGATTGGAGGGAGGAGTGCGGGGATGGGGATGGAGAGGTGGTGGTGAAGAGGTGTGTGTCTGATGGTAGGAGAGCGGAGGTCAGGGGTTTGCATTGGGCTTGGAGGAGGCCCGAGGGGTCGTGTGGGATGCGGATGCGTTGGAGGGAAGGGAAGGAGATGCCTTTTCTGATGCTCGTGGCTAGGAGTAGGTTGGTTAAGTGGGATGTAGGGTCCTCTTCTTCTGCAAGGGTGGTGGTGGTGGTGTTTGGCGTTGTGAGGGATGGTGGTGGTCCGGCTTGTGAACGGATTTCCCAGTGGAGGTATTTAAGCGTAGGGGAGTGGAAGTGTGGACGAAGCCAGATCCCGCGGTTTGATGTGACCAGTGGGGTTCTGTATTGGATGAGGGAAAAGCGGTGGAGTTTCGAGAGGCGTGGGTGGAGGAAGTTGCAGATGATATCTAAGCGGGAGATTTCGAGGTTGATGAGGGTGATTGATTGGAGGGTTTTTACGGTTCGTGAAGTGGAGAAACGTTCGAGCCCCGTGTCGTTAATCCCTGGGAGATTTTCGAGGCGGAGGGAGACCAGATCGGTGGGGAGAGCGTTCAGCGTAAAGTTTGAAAAGGCGGTCTTGGAGAGTCCAGATAGTGAAAGATTGCGGAGTTTAGGGAATTGGCGCAGTGTGCCTATGATGGCGCGGAAGTTGAGCTCGCGCGATGTATGAATTGAATCCTGGTGTAAGACCAAGCTCGTCAAGTCTGGGTGATTGTAGTTCAATCCGAGAAAGCGCTCGGTAGGATCCGTCGCTGCATGGTAGTAGTCTTCCGTCGAGTCATCTTCATATTGATCTTCAGCTATTCCCCCATCATCTTCGGAAAGCAACCAGACTCGCTCTTTCAAACTCGGACGCGTGGAGAGCGCGTAGGAAAGTCGATCGCAGGAGTGTGTATATGGGATATGGAAGCCAATCAAGCGTTCAAGCCTCGGACAAGCCATGACCAAAGAGGCAACTAAATTGACTATCTCTTCTCTTTCGATAGCGGCATTATGATAGAGATCCTGGAAATCAGGCATATGCAGATTTCGTACCAGCTGAGCTAGAGTTGGACGCTCACGAAGCGTTCGCCTTAGAAGCTTGAGCCTGCTGGTCCCTATGATTTTGACTTGCATGTGTGAAGCACTATCGTCGGATCCTAGCACCCAGAGATCTCGGTACCTGATTTTCACATGTCAGTGACGACTTCATTGGTCGATAATCTCAGTTGTTTCTCATCTTCTCGTAAAGTATGCGTCGAGTGAGATATCAGACTTCGCAACACCGCCAAAGCCATATACAAAGCTTGACCGACGCGATGAAAACACATAACATACATTCGAGGATTCGCAACCCTATCCCAGGATCGACTCGTCAAGCAGAGATGGTAAAGATCCCTGACATAGCACTGAGAACACCCTTGCCCATCACGCCCAAGATGCATGTTCTCAAGCTGCAGCAAGATGCACTCATAAACCTCCCTAGGCAACTTCCGGAAGATGTTCATGGGGAGATCCAGACTCGACTGCGTACGTCGTAACTGCAAGCGAGTCTTGCGACGAGTAAGCTCCCAAGGCGCAGATGCGAGGCGCGAAGCCCGTGTCTCTTCAGAAGTCCTCAAGTGAGATGGAGTTCTCAGCAAGGATGGTTTTCGCACTGGAACAGCACATTTCCGAGGAACGGAATCGCTGCGATTGAAGGTGGAGACGCGGTATGGGGGCGGATGCTCGTCCTCATACACCATGACTGGTGGTTCTGTGTTGCATATTAGCAGTTGTTTTCTCAAGTCTCGCAACGTGCAGTGCATTCTTGTCTGGAGATTCTGGTAGGATGGACTTGAAAAGCTGCACAACAGGCGGACGTACGTGTTAGTATAATCATTTTGAGTGTCTGGTGACCTTGAAAGCCGAAGACACTTTTGACATGAAGTCGAGGTTTCAGAGAAACTTGCCCGTCTCGACAAGACAGACGACGGTGTTGATGCGCTTCGGCAAAGAAGCTTTACGGAGGGTCAAGCGCTAACCTATGGTCAAAGCTAAAAAAAAATCCAAAGGGAAAAGTAACAGAAGATGGGAAGACAAAAGAGGGGCGCAACTGGGGAAGTTTACCGTAGATAAGATTTCAAGTTCTAAAAAGGCAAAAAGAGAGAGGGACCCGAAATCGCGCGAGCAACATGCAAACGAGTTGACCCTTACAGATGGGTCAAATCAGCTGCAGCTGTATGTACTGTAAGCTGCAGCAACAGTGCTGAACCCTGTCTCTTGCTTGCTGCTGCGTTACCCCGTGGAACGAATGTGACGAACGTGCAAGCCAACGAGCCTGAAAACCTTATCGGACGGTTCGGCAGTGTCAAGAAAAAGCAAAATAGTGGAATCACATATGCAACTCAATGAGATGTGAGCAAACAGCCGTACCGTTCTTCACGGTTGGACAGCAAAGCGTGATCATTTAAACGTTGATTAGACCCGCAGACGGACGCTGGGGCTCAATCACTCCAAGAAGCGCCGGTTCTGGAGCGCAAGACGGTTACCACGGTACGCCACAGAATCCGGCCGTTGTCAAAACAGAATGGTGATGGGAGTGGGTCGAAAAGCAAGCTCAGTAGCATGCTGCGCCCATGTAACCGACTACCGTACTAGACTTGTTAAGTGATGGTTACCTTGGATTATTTGCGCGGCACTATACTTTTGCTTTTTGTTTGATGAACAGAATCCATTGGTAATTTATCCCTACTCAAAGGAAGCATTTGGCTGAATGTAGCGGGCCCAAAACGGTACCCTTGTACCGCATCTGTAGCAGCCACTTCGATTTGTTTCCCGTCTGTTCCCGTCCCTGACAAGACATTTTTCGATAGATCGACACTCTGACGGAAGGAAGGGAAGGAAGCGTGATCAGCGTGGCGTGTCGCACAATCCAATTGCCGTGTATCAGGACTGTATGTCGCGGACAAGTCGTACCGCAGGCGATACTATATGTGATACCACGGAGTTGAGAATCAAGGAGGGAAGGTGGGTTCAGCTTCGGAGAATTTGAAGTGGCTAGGACCGCCTGTTTAATTTGTGACTTGATGATGAACACATGGGGCCACTCACCCACCCACTCACCCACTCACCCACACATCCACTTTTTGTTTTTTTCCTGCTCATCCGATTCCATCGCTTAGGCGCATGTTTTGATCGATGAAACTTGGATCAGAAGCGGGACGGACGACAGGCATCTTTTTAGATTAACGATAATTAAACTAGATCCCATCCATCACCCATCTATCCTTTGCTGCCCCTCTCGTAGTCCTTCACCTTGCACACTGCCCACCGCGAAGTACCCCCGCAGTTTGTTTGACGCATACACAACGCCTTATTCATTTCGTGTCTTCAGTTTTGCAACCTCAGTATACTTCTGTGCGCATGAAAAAACCCCTCTTTTCCAATCTTATCTAGAGCAAGAAAGAAAGGCGTGGAGGCGTGCTGTCATCCTATAAGGTCCAGCCGGTCGTGTCACTGCAAGCCACCTACACCCACTCTGCACGCACCTTCTGCACGCCAGATAGCTCCTATGTTCCTGAGCTTATGTACTCCACGGGTACGCACCGGCCCGTGATTGCAGGCCCATACTAATGGTCTAGCCATCAACTTTACACCAAAGACCCGCCTTGTGTAAAACCTCATTCCCCACTCTGTTTTTTGTTTTCTCTACGCATGTTGTTTTGGATACGGCTATACATAGATGAAATGGAATAGAGAACGTAATCATCACCTTTGCAACTACTTTTGCCTTTTCCCTTCTGCTCCTGCAATCCTTAAAGTTCGGCATTATTGATGACACGATTCAAGCGGGATCATCGAAACATCAAATGTTTGCAACCGAAAAAAGAATACCGAGACTTGTACTTGCTCATAGTCATCTGACGAGTTAAGGAAGGGACAACATAGCGTATGCTGATTGAAATATTTAATTCTAGTTGTCTCAAGGCATATTCGACCAATCAACCTGGAATACAGTAACAGTGAATCCTCAGCCCAACAAAGTTCAATCAGACTGTCACGTTGATGGCGGCGAAGAAGAAACCACGCTCTGAATAGCAAAATGCTAATGGTGGCCTAACAGACTGACTCGATCATACAAAGGCACCACCCAACTTCAAGATGGAAAAAAACATAGCGCGTCATTATCTATTTCAATTACTTTGGCGTAATGACAACGCCCTCGTACTCTCTACTCGCAATGTAATCTAGCGTGCGCTGGAAATGCTTTCTCGGGTTTTCGAGTGAAGAGGCGGCTTCGTTGGATTGGAGATTGGAGTGGATGAGCTCGATCAGGCCATTGAGGTATTTGGTCGTGACCTGTAATATGATTGCGTCAGCATGATTCTTGGAAGCAGTAGCAATTAATACAAAGGTAAACAGAAACGTAGACTCACAGCTTCGTTTTCTTGGTCAAAATAGTACACGTAGCGGTTCAGGATCTCGACAAAGAGCTCGACGGACACTGCGGCATCCATACAAGCATCGGCTACGCGAAGAGCTCGTTGCAGACACTCGAGCACGCGCTTTCCATCCCGGTAAAGCTGGTTGAGTTGTTAGCATCCTAACATCCACAAACATATATGGGCCAGCGTCAGTCTTACATTCTTAGGATCCTCGTCGCCAAGGGCACGTATTTCTGTGGCCCACCAGAGATGACTGGCCAGGTACACCGCTCTGCACTGGTCGGGCTTCTTCAGCAGTTTGCTTCCATGCAGCGCGCACTTCGTTATTAGTGTGTCGTAATTTTCCTTGCCGAAGTTTCGCGTCGTGTGCAGGGCACTGGCGACCACACACACGGCCTGGAATTGCGCTCGCGAGTCGCTGATGGCCTCCTCATATATGGTAAAAGCCTGCGCAAAGTACTCATACGCGACTTCCTCGAATCCGGTCTGGTCCGCAACTTGACCGCACCCAACAAACAATCGGAGGGAGAGATCAGCTGAGCCTGTTACACGCGTGTACAGAGTAGACAATGTGCTGTGCATGAACTTGTAAAGCGCCGATGATTGTGATGACCAGTTGTCTTCATAGTGTTCTCGGGCTTTGTACCTCCGTGCAAGCTTGAGTGAGGCAGTGATGATTGCTGGCGTAGTGTACTTGACGCGTTCGTTTCCGTCGGCGAAGGACTTCCGAGCAGCTTGGAGAAGCTTGAATTGCGTATCGTTGTCTGGCCCTTGTATTAAGTGTACTAATCGAGCTAGCCAGCCTTGCTCTTCCACTGTCTCATCCGTCTCGGCAGCTTTCCGCTGAATTGGTCCTCCAGGGTAACCGCTCGCCTGTTGCATTCCTTCCTTGATAAGGACCTTCAAGATCTCCAACACGCTTTCCAGGTTCTCCACTGAAGTGATGTGCGTTTGATTCCTCAGCAGACTCCGTACCACTTCACCCGCTACGGCTCTTCGAGTAGGGTATGGCTGGTTGTGAAGGAGAGGAATAAAGCTCGGCAATGCGAGAGCAGTGAACATGGACACGTAAGTCTTGATGGGTGCCAGCAAGAGGCTGAGAATCTGGCTTTGACAAGCCTGTGAGTGAAGATCCGCGCTGTTTGCGTACTCGGTAACCTTCTGGTTTGCAAAGGCCAAAACTTGATCGACATAGTCCAGTCGCTCAGGATATATGTTGAGAGCCAAGTTGGCAAGCGAAACCAGCAATCCAATTGTATCTTGTATGCTAAGTCGTTGCATCTTGACGAGTGTGGCAACCTGTTCGTGGAAAATCTCGAAAAGCTTCACATTCTTAGGAATACCGCGCGACTTTTCTATTTCGGCATCCGGCTCGGTAGTTTCCGTGACTGGGAGGATTTCGTTGGCTGTTGTCGACGATGCCAATGAAGTATCTTCAGTACCGGATGGCGCTTCAGACGAGTCTCCGTTGGTTTGCTCTGCCGGTGATTTTGGCTCCTCGGGTTCGGCAGCCTTTTTCTCTTTTTGTAGCTTTAGTTGTTCCAGAAGGTTGACAATGGCTTCGTCTTCTGTCTTCTTGCGTTGCTCGGGGCTTTCGGATTCTGACTCTCGCTGTGCGTATGCGGACAAGCGGTCCATCAAGCCAACGACGATTCCTTTCACATTTACATGCGGATTTAGACGAGCAACGGCGGAGAGGAATTGGTCGAGGGTGTGCAGGTGGAATTCATCAGGGAAAACTTGGGTTACGACTGTGGTTTTGGTTAGCAACAGATCGAATCGCAAAACACATCACGATAGCTTACCTTCCAGAAGATATTCTTGTGCCAGAACATCCCTACATTGAACAATCTGTTCAAGTAGCGGATGCAAGATCTTCTTGTAGTTGTCGAGATCCACAAGTTGGCTCAGACGAACCAAATTGCTGCCCACCAAAAGCTGAAGTTCCTGGCGCTCTTTCGTCCGCTGCTCCCTTTCCCGTGAATGACCTTGATGCTGCAGCCGTACCCATAGCTTATTCATTTCCACGAAATTGGTAAGAATGAAGCTTATCGAGTCCTGCAAGTTCCCTTCCGGTCCATCGCCCTCCCCGGTCGGCAGACAATCGCGGGCTTGCCCGGCGAGATAGTAGCGCAGGAACAGGCCGCGTATCGGATGTTGGACCCCGCGACTCATTTCCATCATGTCTTTCATGATTTCCTTGACGGGTGCATCTTCAATGGCCATGTAGACGGTGCCGACAGTGACCATGAGGTACAGGCGCGGAATGATGTTTCCGGCATATTGGACGAGTTCGTAGAGATCGGCGAGGTGGTTCACGGGGTGGTTTTCGCGGAGGTAGACGGCGAGATGGCGGAGTGCGTCAAAGGCAGACATGTAGAGTTCGTAGTACTGCTTGGGGCCGAGGCTGCTTGTCCGGAGCTCCGAGACGAGGGTAGAGCTAATTCTCTCATATCAGCATCCATTCACGACTGCAGGTGGGTATGCATATATGTACCTGCACTTGAGCGCATCCATCAGCTTGCCCGGGGTTTCCAGGCACCTCCGCATGAGCATGGCCTGCTGGCGCACCACGCCGAGGGCATCTTCAAGCAAGCGCGCTTGATCCTCTACAGGAGGCGGCGACGCCATTATATGTGGTGAATTATGATATTCTTGCGGAGATGGTGAGAGCGAGCGGATGGGGTAGTGTTGCGGGAGGCGGTCGTCGGTCATGTCAAAGATCTTGGCAACGCCAGGGATCAAGCTCGAAGCTCCAAGCTTCGTCATCGCATTCATTGCATCCACACACAATCCGAACAACGAACCATCACCCACGTAATTCATTTTCAATCTTTCTAGTTACAGTTGCATTCAACACTCCGTCTAGTATGAGCTTGATATCTACGAAAGACATAAACTCCGTCCCAATGCTAAACCCCAAGTTGCTGGTCGCAAGACACACAATCAAACCGAACAAGTAATACCTACACACCATCATACCATGGCAGTCTCTGAAGTCATAATCCCGTGTGTTCATACAGGCGGCCATAAACGCTGGAAAAAAATATGCAAGAAAATAAGACAACAAAACCACCCTCAACCCTGGAATTCATCATGACCATTCGACTACCAAGACACCACATCGGTAGGCAGACTTGACTGCGTACTCAGAGCAGCCCACGTCTTAATAGCATAACTCGTATGCCACTGCCCATCATCATAATACGCAGTCGGACTCGACGTCTCTGTGATAATGACCGTAACGACACTGGGCGCAGCCGTGGCAGTAACGGTCTGAGGTTCCGGCACCTTCGAGCTGGTCGAAGTTATCGATGGCGAAGACGCTGTTGCTGAAGGCTTGTTTGTTGTTGGCTTTGGGGGTTCTATCGTTTCTGTTTTGGTTTTGTCGTCGATGATAGTAGTAGGTTGTGATGATGGTGGAGCAGGTGGGGGAGCTGTGGTAGAAGAACCTCCGTCGACATTGACGATTGCGTAGGTTTTCGCTCGAGGGAGAATTTGAGGCGCGCGAGGAGCATTGTCGAGGGGGAGTCCGACTGTCAAGGTGCACAAGAAGAGTGTAATGTGAAGTGGGTGGAAGCGCATCTTGAGTGTGTTTGATGGGTTGAGTTCACAGTTGGAAAAGTGTTTGTTTTTATGGGATTTGTGGGGTTGGTGTAGACCAAGTTGAGTGAGCAGCAACTTGGACGTACAGGGGTTTTCTCATTGTAATGAAGGCAGGCCACGATGGCGTTGTATATCGCAAAAATGCGATGGCGGGAAGGAAGTCGATGGCTGGGGACGGTGTTGACTTTAGTGAGGCGGCTGGGAAATGGTCCGTGCGTGCGATCCGACAACAACAATAACAACAACATTTGAACAACAAGTTGAACATCGCAACATCATGAAATTATGATATGTACCAGTGTACTCAATATACGAATCAGTTTATGCCAATTGCGAAAAGATATCCGCTATGTCTGCCCGGTTCCAACAATAAAATGCTATCTTCACATCTCTACAGTGACCAACCACCCATCTCCTAGTACTCTTCCATCAGCATCAGCGCCGCCCCAAACCACCACACTTGCACCATCGACTTCTGTCCCCCGAGCAAGAGCGAAGCCGCTGCGAGGTCCAACGCCCTTGACATGCTCGCCCAAATTCTCCTCCTCTCCCGTGGCATCTACATATCTGTAGCCTACCTCAGCCCAGTGACCTTCGTGAGTATCGCGTTTCAACCCGCTGCGAATACTGTCTTTCGCAGCTGCAGCACTGCCTTTCTCAGAGGCAATCTGATATACCCAGATATCATCCAAGAGTGTCGTGTTCGAAGAAGGGGCAGGCGATGCACCGCCAACTAAGAGTAGATAGTCCCGACCTTGGCCAGTCGTCACACCTGTAAGACCTGCATTGTACCTTGAAGAAGGCGTTGCAGCATTGGATGGTGAGGGCTTGGTTGAAGCCTCCTGTGCTGATGTCGACGGACCTCCCAAATGCTCCCAGGCCCATCCACTAGTTAATGGTACTGTTCCATCTTCTGCGTGCGTCCAGAGGGAGGAAACGTCAAGGGCTTCGATGTCAGATGTTTCTTTCAAAGCGGACTTGCCACCAAAGCTGTACAGGCGGTTACCAACAATTCCCAGACTGGTACCAAGCAGCGAACTACCAGATGGAGTGGGGATATTGGACCATGTACGCGTCTTGACATCAAAAGCCAAAGCATCTTTCAGAAGGTCTCCGGTATGTGGGTTCTTGCCCCCAATGACGAAGATGGTGCCCCAAGTATCGGCATTAGCAGGCTCGGGCACAGCATCTGCCGGGTCGGTAGGTTGTTGCGGTGCCTTCTCCTGAAACGTGATGTCTTGCGGTCCTGGAAATTCCGAGCTTACTGTACTAGAGTCGGGAATACAAAGTCAGCGAAGTTCAAGCAAACGTTTTTCCATACATATGTACAGAGGTAGTTGCAGGAGGCCACCTCACGTAGCATCTCATCAAACAACTCTGTAACTGGGATATACGTACGCATGGCCAGTGCGATGGACGGGAGAATTTGTCTCGGGAGAAGGATCCAAGAAGCTCCATTTGTTGCGAATGGTATGGTAAACCCAAACCCTGCCGTTCTCAGATTCCACACCTTCACCACCATACACATATATGCTATCTCCTATCACTGCACTGGTGTGCCCCTTTCTAGGGGCGGGAACAGGGCCATCGGGGTTTTCTGCTCGAGCCTTGATGGTGGTGTAATCTGCGTCCAGCACTCCTGAGGACGGTAGGATAATGACGCTCATGTCATTATCAGCGAGTTCATTTGGCGCGACCTCACCACCAAAGACATAAGCACGTCCCTTAACGACAGACACTGTGTGGTGCGCGCGGGGTAGCGGAACAGAGGTTATGTGAGTAAGAGATGCCCGGAGAGGGAGAGTGGGGTGTGTAATGCCCTTTATTGCTGCCGCCGCACCGTAGAGAACGTTCTCCACGGCGTACAGAGCTCCTGCTGCACCGGCTTCCATGATGATGCAGAAGGATTTTGAAGTGTTTCCGGGACGGAAACTTCTTGAGATTGGAATGAATTGAAAGTTCCAAGTGTAAAATACAGAAGTGTAGAGTAAAGCTACGTTATAGAGGGGAGCAGAATATTTGCTCAATTGTTGGCTGTAGCTGAAGCTGGCAGTAGGTAGTGGCACGGTGGGTACTAAAAATGACGTAAGTGTCATCCCTGTCAGCTGAGGGTGGTGCCGGTGCCGATTTCATCCATAGTTCCGCCAGTCCCCATAGGTCTGCATTGTGAAAGTCTCATTCCTTTGCAGCACTCCATGTGAATATCCCATATCCTATATCGTACATGTAACCCCATTAACACCGAGTAATGCTGGAAATGGCCGATCCTTCGAAACCGCACTCGCCGTAACAAACAGCCAAGGAATATGATTCGGATGAGAATGGGCAATACTACAAGCTTTTGTAGTTTTATATGTTCGGTGACAGTTGATCGTACTTCACACATCGTTCAACCTGGGGAAGGAGTCAGTACCACGACATTTGTAGACTACTAAATCATTGCTTACTGATTCAACAGATGCTTGCAAGAAGCTGCGGGCTTCAAGACCAACCCATACCCTCAGCATGGAAAAATCCCCACCTCGAATCATAGTTGATCCACTTTGTGCGCCCAGCTGGCGCAGAATGGGAAGAGCGCTAATATGCTGTTAGTCAAATGACGCCGGCTATCCGGTTGCAAATGTTAACCTACCCTGCGAACAGATCCAGATTCGGATTCAGACTTCGGCCAATCCCTTCTAATAATAATATGCTGAGCACAACGTTCACAAAGTCCCCTTCAAGGCGGACATGATGTGTTCGTACCATGGACAACACTTCATTCAGGATATCGCCAATCTTAATGTTGCCCAACGCAAATGTCCTGCTCTTCACACCCAGCACCAAGTGCTGCATACGCAGGGCAAACACTTCAGCGTCAATGACTGCCTCGGGCTGTCTGCACCGTTCCACCATGAGATGGCCAGCCTTGTATCCATCAAATTCTGCCACTGCTTTGAATAGGTCCAAGAAGTTGGCGCGATTCGTGGCATTCAGCTCTGTCACCAAGCCAGTGTCAATGAAGATAATTTGCGGTCGGAAACCTTCATTGTCTATTTCCTCTAGGCGCTGCCGCCACTGTTCAGGATCCTTCTTGAACGGCCTCAATCTACGAAGTACGTCTTCGGTGACGTCGACTGAGTTTTCTGGGCCAGTCGTGCGGTCCTCTTTACGACTGAGCATGGGTACATCCAACGTCTCCGGTTTGTAAAATCGAACCATGATGTTCCCGGGGTGCAGATCGGCGTGAATGAAATTGTCAATCAATACCATGGTCAAGAAATCATTGAGGCCCTCGTTGGCAATATCTTCTTGGAAAGGTCCGCCTCCATTCTGTAGAAAGTCCTCTAGGGGAATGCCTTGTGCGAACTCCTCGATGAGGACGTTGCGTGTCGTGTACTCTGTGTATGGATATGGAAACCAGGCCGTGGTGCGATGCTTAAAGTTTTGTCGGAACAAGGTCAAGTTCGCAGCCTCAATACGTAAATCGAGTTGTAGTCTCATCATCTCGCCGAATTGCGCGACCTCATCCGGGAAAGACAGCCATTCCATGGTAGGGATTGCGTTAATGATGGTCGCGAAGAAGCCCATGATGCGCAAGTCCCTGCGCACAACTCGTTCCACATTTGGGTGCAGCACTTTTATAGCAACATGGCTAGACGGCACCCTGTGCGGAATATCCTTCAGTGTGACATCTACGTTCTTCTTTATCCGCTGTCGTAGATTCGGAGGTTCAAAGTCCTTCTCGTGATCTACCAAGGTAGCCAGATCTGGCTTCAATCTTGCTTTATAAACTTGCGCAATAGCTCCGACACCCAATGGTGTCTCGTCAAACTCCTCGAATATGTCTTCGAATTTTCGGCCACCGAAGGCCTTTTCCACCGTTCGTTTCGTAGTCTCGAGGGAGTGTGCGGGAGCGTGAGAATGAAGCATTGACATGGTCTTGCACATTTCGCTGGGGAAGATGTCGGATCTTGAGGCGGCCCATTGCCCAAGCTATTCAGTCAGCATTTCACCATGCCCTATGTTTAATGGCGAATAGAGTCCTACTTTGATGAACGCCGCACCTGCCCGCTCCATTGATTTCACGAGAAACCCATACCACCATATTGTGCCACTCCTTTCGTTGTCCTGACTCGGCTGCCTCTGCCCTAGCCATATAACGGGAATCGTCACTATTACTGGCACAAAGATTACGACGAGGTGTAGAAAGCGTAGGCCAGTACATATCGGCTCGACAATGTAATCTTCGATAAAGAAGTAAATTCCTCGACGATATTTGGTGGAACTCTCCAAAGATTTCGGAACTTGTTCGCTCAATTCTTTGCGTGACACCTCCAACATTGCCTCTTCATGAGTCTGCTCGCCCCCGTTGGTTGCATTGTTTCCAATCGCGACCAGTGCAAGAGGGCTCAATGCAGCACCACCAGCTCCCGACCATAATATCGTCTTGTGAGGGAATCGTGGGGTTGCGAAATGTCGGCGGAAGAAGGAGGCGTCACCGGAGGTGAAGAAACGGCGCGTGGAAGCTCGGAACACGAAAGATGCTGAGGCACGCGGTCCTTGACGGAGACATTGGCGGCCAACCCAGAAGGCCGTCCTCATGTTACAACAGATCAGGATGGACTGATAACGCGCAGAGTGCCCATGGGGGGAGTGAGTGAACTTTTGATCGTCCTGTCATATGCAAGCCGAGATGACCAAAACTCCCGCCGAACGCCGACGCCGACGGGACGTCATCGATTCGTTCACGGCACGGACCCGCAACCACCACATCACGACTCGCCAATTGCTTATCAATGAAGAGATGAATTAAGACTACTGTCTACTGAGTACTTCAAAATCGGCACACGGATTAATTCAACAAAGTATTCCACGTAACGTTGCAAAAAGGAGTTTCAGGTCACATGACCTGGAATATTAGCAGTCACCCGGTGGCCATCTCCAACCACCAGAATGTTGCTGCTAGCAGTAATCGTAGCTCAAGCTGTCACAAACCCTTGGAATCCGTTATCGAGTGCCTCGCGACACTCTTTTGAGTAAGCAGGTATTCCTCCAGCCCAATTCAATTGCTCCCGTGGCTTCCCTGGTATATTTGCTCCCACTGGAATGCAAAGTTAGTGAATTGCCAAAGGACACCAAAACTACTTTGTACTGGGATCTACTCACTGTACCATGAGGATGTGCCAGGGAATAGTGTCTTGTCGGAAAGCTCGGTGACTTTGCGACGCCATGCCTCCTCAGCCTCTTTGGTCGCATCGCAGTATTTGATGTCTTCGTCTTTTAGTTTCTTCATAGCATCAACAATCCAATCACCTTGGCATTCGACGCAACTTGGCCCATTACTAAAGGCTGTCGGACCTTGTGCACCGTAGAGGAAGAACATATTACTACACCTTTTGTCAGTTCTGCCCTCTTCTATGGAGACCCCATCAACAGGACTTACGGGAAGCCGTTGCAGGTCATGCCGAGATAAGACCACGTCCCCATCTTCCACTTCTCAGAGAGCGAAACACCGTCAACGTCTACCAATCCCATATTCTTCATTCCGCCAGTCACAGAGTCGAATCCAGTCGCTAGTGCGATAATGTCAAACTCGCGATGCTTGCCATCCTCGGTCTTGATACCCGTCTCCGTTACTTCAACAATTGGTGTCTTCTTGATATCGACAACTTCGTTCTCGGGTTTGTCGAGCATTTCATAGTAGTCTTGTTCCAAGGATGGTCGCTTGGTGCCAAATGCATGCGGAGGATCCAGTGGCGCCAGAATATCCCTCTTCTCAGGATCAGTTATCCGCGCCCGAACTCTCTTTGCCCAGAAATTGTACGCCTCCCGGTTGGCCTTCTTATCAAAAAGCAAGTCTTTATAGTTCGCCAGCCAGAACTCGAACCCACCATTATCAAACAATTTCTGATAGAAGGCTTCGCGCTCTTCAGGGGTGTCGTCGAAGGTATTCCGTTCGATATAGTCATACTGAAACCCAGCAAAAGTCGTCATCCTGTACTTATATATCTCAGGATATTTTGGCTTCCTAGTCTGTTGTTCCTCCCTCGTGATGGGCTGTTGTTGCATTGGTAACGCCAGATTCGGAGTCCGTTGGAACACTGTGACCGAACCTGCGGTCTTCGCGGTTTCCTGAGCGATCTGAACCCCGGTCGAACCTGTTCCAATTATGGCGATCCGCTTGCCTTTGACATCGACGCCTTCATCTGGCCAGAATGAAGAGTGATGAATCACACCCTTGAATTTTTCGATGCCGACCCAGTCGGGAAAGTGACGCTTTGCCGCGAACCCAGTTGCTAATAACAAGTATTGTGCTTTGGCGGTTCTACCATCCTCTGTCTCGATTATCCATCTGGATGAGGGTTTATCAAAGTGAGCTCCTGTCACACGTGTGTCGAAAGCAACATCTTTCTTGATATCGAGCTTCTTTTCGACATGTTCGAAGTACTTTCGAAGCTCGGCAAATCCAGGGTATCTCTCTGACCAAATCCAATCCTAACATCAGTTCTTAGCAATACAGTCTATAGATGGATGTCGCAACCTACTCACCTTCCATACTTCAGGCAATGAATACTCATAGATAGGGACCTGAGTGTCGACGCGAGCTCCAGGGTAGCAGTTCCAATGCCACACACCACCGAGCTCTTTGCCAGCCTCAAATATCTTGCAATTGAAGCCCAATTGGCGAAGCTTGTGCATTAGGTATATCCCTCCGAACCCCGCACCGACAATCAATACATCTGTCTCCAAATTATCCGCATAGCTCTCGTTATCGGGTGTGCTGTGCCCATTCACAGCAGCGATATCTGTTCGAAAATGCATCTTGCTTGAGACTGTACGAAAACTAGGGTATGCGCATGCGTAGTCTATGGGATACTTGGTCAATCAAAGCGGAGGATTCTCTTGGGACTATATATACTTCAATAACTAATATACCCCCTCAATGCGCATCACCTATCATCATCACAATCACTCTACGCTAGGTAGGTGTAACTAGCAGTTTCCGTGGAGGCTCGGCAACCTTCATATCAACTTGAACGAATCAATGACTTCTCTCGGCCCTTAGACAGCATCATTCTTGGAACTATGCAGGCTTAGCTCCCTCCTCGACTTGTGCATGTCCATTCCCCGAAAACGGATTCCCCGCGCTTAGATCTGCACGTACACCTCGAAATGCGGAGCTAATCGAGCAGCTTTCCGACGCCATTTAGCGTCATCTATACACCCACACCACCCCGCATCCGTGAACGACAAAACTCTGCGGGGTACATATACGGCGAGGCTAATCTCGTGGATGAAACACTAAAACTTTCGCGCCATGTTCTTCGAGTTGCTCCTTTTGGTGATCCCGGAACGTGTCTGCTGCACGATTGAAGGCGGTCGGAGGGAACGGAGCTTTGTGACAGGTACCCACGACGTTGCGCCGCAAAAGGACCGTGTTCCTGGAAAGTACAAAGGTAGCCATGAATCCCGAGATCTAGAAGGGCTATCTAAATAGGCTCTGCGGAAGAGGGATCTCCGGATAGAAGGAACTGACGTTGGGTGATGGGGCTAGGCTGCACTGCTGAGAATTGTTCGAGTGACTGGAAAAGACAGAATCAAGGGCGCCACAGATCCGGAGCTTGAAACCATCGCGAATCAATCTTTATATAATAGATTATCCTGAATGCGCGATGATGAGGTGTATATCAGATCGATCCAATGACCCGTCTTGTTAAGCAATGTTCTGTGGCATCGAGTACACATCAACACGGAACATGGAAACCGAACAGACTCAGACACTCAAAATCTCCCTGTCTCCACTAACCTTCTTGAATCCCCTATAGAATCTTCTTTCCTTGAAAACCTTGATGTCGTCTTCCGCATTCAACTTGTCTTCTAGCCTTGATCGCTAGGCTTCGAACTCTCCTAACATAATACTCAGAATTCCTCGTCAACCAGTGTGGATAAGGGAGCTAAAGAGTAGGATAGGGACACCCATTCGCTCAAAATCTGTTTCTGTCTGAAGCTAAGTGTATTTCCAGCGGGAATTCTTATGATGTTTCTTGTAGTTACGATGGCATGTTGCCTATATCAGCGCCTCGATAATACATTAGTTGATAATAGCCGCACTGTCAATTGCGACGGTCACTAAACTAGATGTTCACCCTACAAAATTCTCTAACGCTTCGCACTATTGGATCACGCCCAACGTCGACATAGTAAACGCTTGTGTGCATTGATCATGGTCAATTGGTCAAGATTGAAGTTGGTGTTGCTACGCAAAATACCAACATTTGAATGCATAACGACATCGCGAGACCTTGATATAGAATTTGATATGCATTTGCTGAGTCGGTGATTGTACAACACTTGGATGATATTCATTCTGCAAAACAAAACTTGTGCGTCGCTGAAACTATTGAACAATGTGTTTTGTAGGAAGTGGTGGTAGAACTAAGGAAAATGAGCGATGTATACTTGTTGGTTAGATTAAGTGAGAAACATCTTATGGAAATTAAGGTAGAAATTAAATCACAGTGATCGGTTCCCTAACCTGAAATATATATGATGATCAAAGAAGAGTGTAGTTGCAGGAGTTCAAAGATCAATTGAGTGAAGCAGGTCGGGCAATAGAAACACCGACCTCCGATGATATCGTCATTCCCACCATGAACAACAGGAACAACACCAATTGATAATTCTTCTCGACACTCCTCACGGCACGCTTCCCCGAATGTCGAGCAAGAAGCTGAAAGCCTCGAAACAGGCTAACAAGCCTTCCTTACCCGCCATCCCCGATCCTTTCGAACCTGCGCCGGCCTCCCTCGCTCCTCTCCTCGACACGTTCGATATCGACACCGTGTACATCAGCCACATTGATAAACACCCGGCCACCTTTAAGAAGTCGATATTCTACGTTCCTGTCGGAATCAATGTCTTCATCGCAGCTCTACTTCTACTGCGAACGTACTACGCGGCCCCGCTATACTGGAAGCTGTTGATGTCGGTATTGAACCATCATAATGAGACAACGCTGTACTGGAGCTCGTCGCCAACGCGCACAATCGTGAAAGCAATTGTGTGGCGTATGTTCATGTTCATGTTCGACTTCTTGCTATTTCGCTTCATCGGTCCGTGGCCGTTGTCGTTCTTCTTCGAAATGCCTGGGAATCCTGTGTTGTGGCGCTGGAAGGTCGGATTCCGGGACCAGGAGGTATACGTACGAGAGAGTAGAGGTTGGGGAGCAGAGGATTTGCTTGGAGCCGCTGAAGGTTCGAGCGGAAAGGCTGGCAGCGAGAGTCCCTTCTTCAAGACACGGATACTCCCCGCAGTGGATATGCATAGGCTGAGGGCCAAATCGGGCTACATGCTGATGGATAAGGACTTCGATTTGGACTTTGGCGCTATGATTACAGCCACTCGCTTACTGGATAAGAAGGAGGTTTCCCTGGAAGAGTTGAATACTAGTGTTTTTGTGTGGGTTGGCAACGAAGAGGGCGGTCAATGGGCCGTTTGGAACTGTGGCAAGCTCGACGATGGTGCTGAAACCGACGCAAGAAAGAAAATCGTCATGTTCAAAGATCGGTTAACCATGATGGGGAAAGAGAGTCTGTTCTTCAAATGGGTCGAGCTGGTTCAATTCGAAAGTTCTGCGCCTGGAGGCTTCACTCAAGAGAGACAAGCTTCTACAGCGGAGAAAACAAGAAATTTGTTCGAAGCAGAAGGCATTGATTTCGAAAAGTTCAGCGCAAGCATTGGGGGTTTTGGTGGTATGCCAGGCATGGAGTAACATTTGATCCCGGTTCTCGAATCAGGCAGCTACAAATGTCTGAACCTTCGGTCGCAATGGACTACATATCCTCTATCGACCTCAGCTATCTTACAAGTTCACCTTCTCCTTCGGCTTGATATTTCTCGCCGCAAACTCAATGGCTGCCTCGTAACCATACACTCCCAAGCCGCAAATGACTGCTTCCGCTTTGTCACTCAGATAACTATGATGTCGAAAAGCCTCTCGTTTGTGGATATTGCTTATGTGCACCTCAACGAACGGCAGGTCGCATCCAAGTAAAGCGTCGCGCAATGCAACGCTTGTATGTGTCAAGGCTCCCGGATTGATTATGACAGCGTCAACCTTGCCCCGCGCTTCATGTATTCGGTCGACTAGGACACCCTCGTGGTTTGATTGTATTGATTCGAAGCGTATGGAACGATCTGAGCATTGCTTTTGTGCTGCTTCGACGACTTGTGGTAATGTGGTGCTGCCGTAGATTCCTGGCTCTCGCGTGCCGAGGAGATTGAGGTTTGGGCCATTGATAAGTAGAATTGATTGTGCCATTATGAGATACCAATATCAGTGTATGAGAATAGCATTGAATCGATCCTCTTCATCAAACAAATAGCTTTTTGTTACCAGAGGGCTACGATGCATTAGTGCGGAAGATATTCCGATAGCCGGAACTGGAAGAATGCTTTCCCTCCCGTTGCGCCTCTCCTCCACATCGCAGATGACCATTTTTTCCAAGACGTTTCGATTGGCGAGACCAGTCCTTGGATATCCATCAGTCTCCGAGACCCCACAGCTCCATCAGTGTATCTATGTGGCCAATAAGCTATCGCCGCTTGCGTACATTTGAACAAGTAGGAGACATCATCGACAATGAAGATTTTACATAACACGTGTGTCTCAAATGAGTTTTGTGATATACCTCATACAGCGGAGAGTAGGCTAGTAACATAAGTTATCCAACTCATAAAGAGGAAGGCTCAAGCAGATTATTCCGCAAATAGAGTGGTAGAATTGATGTGTACAAGAGCGCCGTTCCCTATCTGCTCGGTTGACGCCGGTCTTTTCGCAATCGGTGGTGGTCTCCACTAGTAATCGAACATCAAAAGAATTCACTGTCATATCTCACGCTTTACTAAACACCCAACGTGAAGATGAAGGAGCTATCGAGAGATGACTTAGACGACATTCACAAGTTCGCAGTCCAGTTGGGCAAATATGCTGGACAGATGCTCATGCAAGCTGCCAGGCTTCGCACAGGAGACACAGCCGCCCCTCAACAGCAACAACAAGAACATGTGCAGAAGGCCAACGCGGTCGACCTCGTTACTGAAACCGACGAAAACATCGAAGCATACATCAAATCTCAAATCACGTCGAAATACCCAGCACACAATTTCGTCGGCGAAGAATCGTACTCGAAAGGATCCTCGCGAGAGTATCTGATCGACGATGCGCCGACGTGGTGCATCGACCCGCTCGACGGAACCGTCAACTACATTCACCTGTTTCCGATGTACTGCGTCTCTATCGCATTCATTTACAAATCCAAACCCGTAGTCGGCGTCATCAATGCTCCTTTTTTGAACCAATTTTTTAGCTCCTGCGCTGGGCGAGGTGCTTTTCTCAACGAAACTCAGCCTTTACCTCTTATCCGGAATCCGGTGCCTCCAATGCCGGCCAAAGCGCCGAGCGGATGTGTGTTTTCTTGCGAGTGGGGAAAAGATAGGAAAGATATCCCGGATGGCAATTTGCATCGGAAGGTTGAAAGTTTTGTGAACATGGCTGCAGAGATCGGAGGTCGGGATGGGAAAGGAGGAATGGTGCATGGTGTAAGATCCTTGGGAAGTGCTACATTGGATCTAGCGTACGTTGCTATGGGTTCGTTTGATATCTGGTGGGAGGCTGGATGTTGGGAGTGGTACGTTCCCCAACTTTGTTCATTTATCAGTGTTCTGACAAACAATAGGGATGTGGCCGCTGGAATAGCTATTCTCCAGGAGGCTGGAGGTTTAGTGACTACTGCGAATCCACCAGAAAACATTGAAACTAGCCCTATTGATGAAGTGAGGCTCGGAAGTCGGCTCTATCTTGCCATACGACCAGCCGGAGAGTCTAAAGACGAAACAGGGCGTCAAGGTCAAGAAAGGACTGTACGAGAAGTGTGGAAACGAGTGCGTCGTTTGGACTATTCACGGCCTGGAGCATAGTATCACAACAGCTTCAAATATTACAAGATTTTCTCTATCCTGAAAGCTAATATATACATATATGCATTTCCTCGTGTATGTTTAATATGCTGAACAAGCTCATAGTTTCGACGCGCTCAATTCTTGTGCGATTGCTTGTTGCACCGCGTCCACCGGCAACTCGCTCACTTCCCTTCCAAGCCAGTATCTGTCCTGCTCCAGCCCTTGCCAAATCAAAGCCTCTGTTCCCAAAATCAACTTCCAACCAGCCTGCTGGCTGATATCCGCAATCTCTGTCCATGGCGAAGGATGATAGCACATCTCCAATATCGCACCCTTGTGCTCTTGCTTCAGAAAGTGTTCTAGTACCCGTCTCGCCTCTTTCTCTTCCTCTGTCTTGGGCGTGAAATTCGGCACACAAGCTATAATCGCACCCACGGGTTCCAGACTCTGCGCTTGGGAAACGGTAGCGACATCGACCAACGCATCGCCGTAGCCTCTTGCAGCGCACTCATCAATGACTGCCTTGACCTCGGCTCGATCCCGATTCACGAGGTAGATTTTGCTTGCTTTCATCCACGTCCGCAAAGCGTATACGGCGCTTCGTGCCGCTCCTCCCCCTCCTACCACCACTGCGGGGCGGTTGTGGAATGTGGCATCTGGGTCCGATACGTTTTGGTAGAAAGCTTCCCTGATACCAACGACGTCTGTGTTGGTACCCATGTATAGTCGCTTACCCGTGGCAGGGTCTTCGCGGATGAAGAGTGTGTTTACCGCGCCCACGGCTTCGCCTTCGGGTGTGAGAGAGTCGAGGTGGTTTAGGATGGCGACTTTATGAGGCATTGTTACCGAAGCACCTGGTAGAAGTAAGTGAGCTGTGCTAAGTTGAGCTGATAGTGTGGCTTACCGTAGAATTTTGGGTCTTGCCGCAGTTTGAGGAAGAGGTCCATGTCGGTGGAATCGAGGGGTATTTGAGCCCAGTTCAAACCCAATTTGTTGTATATCGTTTGGTGTAGAAGAGGGGACATGGAATGTGAAATCCCATGGCCAAAGAGATAGCCATGGCGATCGAGCTTCTCGATTTGAGTGGTAGGTGTTTGTGATATTTCTTGTGTCATTGTGAAAATGTATTGGATTGGCGAGAACAGAGTAAGAATTTGCTTTCTGGGAAGGGACCGGGGATCTGGAGTTGATAATGTCCTTGATTTAGAGCACACACCAAAGCGGAATTATGTAGAAGACTTCCAAGTGGTGCCAATGCTCCGCATACACTTGGGATGTTGCCAATTATTGCGACGCAAAATGCGCTTACCAGCTGGAAAATCACTTAATTCCCCAGCGTGTACACGAGTCGCTTTGCATTATTGGTTCACGCCTCGTGGGCGGTTAAGGGTTCTTCCGCCCCTGTCAACTGACGACATCAAGGAGCCCCATCCATGTTCCAACCGGCCCGTATCCGATATCGCTTCCTGCCATTGGCGTAAACCCTTTCACTGTTATAGTCTTTCCCCGCAAGCTACTGGTATTTCTTCGGCCTGGGGAAAACTTTGATCAGATGGGGATCAGGGGGGAGTAGGGCGTGGATGAACGTTTAATGACAAGTCGAAGAAAGGCGTCGGGACAAGGACAAACTGGGGAAAGGGATGGCTGGGCTTTCTCCACGGGGTAATCTCTGACCAATTTCTGGGGTATACACCTACATATATGAAGGGGAATCTCACCACGATCAATCTCTATTCATCCCATCAGTACGGTTCCGCATCTATCTGAGTGGGGTCCGATCTGGAGCTGCGATCAATTTTTTCTCGTTCACTTGCCTTTTAGTCTTAGTCTCCTTTCGAGTCATCGAGCGACCACAAGTATTTCAACTCATCGGACCTCGCGGACGTCCATCAGTACATTATTGACAGTATAATCATCCCGCCATCATGGGCATTCTCGCCTTTGTCGAAGATAGGCCTACGCCGAAAGCAGTCTACAACTGGCGTGTATACGCCTGCGCCTGTGTAGCATCATGGGCCGCATGTATGATCGGATACGACTCGGCCTTTATCGGCACCACACTTGCTCTCCCATCTTTCGTCGACGAGTTCGGTCTGAGTCCTGCTGAAATGGACCCTGCCAAACTTGCGCTTACCAAAGCCAACATCGTTTCGGTGTACCAGGCGGGAGCCTTCTTCGGATCGTTCGGCGCCTATGTTTCCAGTTACTACTGGGGTCGAAGGACCAGTCTGTTGATCTGGATCATGGTTTTCATCGTTGGTGCGGGCATGATGTTGGGCGCGAACGCAGAGAGAGGGCTCGGTCTCATCATTGGAGGCCGAGTACTTGCAGGACTGGGTGTAGGTGCCGCCAGTAACATGGTTCCCATCTACATCTCTGAACTAGCTCCTCCTGCGATCCGTGGCCGTCTCGTGGGCATCTACGAGCTAGGCTGGCAGATTGGTGGTCTTGTGGGATTGTAAGTCGCCATTCTTCCACGAATCGTTTTGGGTCGAATGCTAACAAAGTGCAGTTGGATAAACTATGGGTTGACTGAGACCATGGCACCATCACACAGCCAGTGGCTTATCCCATTCGCTGTTCAACTCATTCCAGCCGGTTGTCTTCTCCTTGGAGCAATCTGGATGAAGGAATCTCCCCGATGGCTCTTCCAGAAGGGCATGCGCGAAAAGGCTATGGCTAACCTTTGCTGGATCCGCAAACTCGAGCCTACCGATATCTACATTGTTGAAGAAGTTGCAGCTATCGATGCTCAAATTGAATGGGACCGTGTCCACGTGGGTGTTGGCTTCTGGAAGCCGTTTGCTGCGCTCAAGGAGAGGAAGACTCAGTATCGCTTCTTCATTGGAGGCATGCTTTTCCTCTGGCAAAATGGTTCAGGTATGAGAAACCCTTTGTTCCTCAACGTGTTTGATATGAACGAGAAATACTCACACGGATTGTTTAGGTATCAACGCGATCAACTACTACTCGCCCACCGTCTTCAAATCCATCGGTATCACTGGCACTAGCACCGGCTTCCTCACCACTGGCATCTTTGGTGTCGTCAAAACGGTACTGACTGTGATCTGGCTTCTCTGGCTTATCGATCACCTCGGCCGCACCAAACTGCTCTTGATTGGCGCTACAGGTGGATCTCTCTGCATGTGGTTCATCGGTGCCTACATCAAGCTGGCCGGCGCAGGGTCAGGCCCTGCCAGCGCGAATACGAAGCTCTCATCCGGTGGAATCGCCGCTGTGTTCTTCTTCTACCTGTGGACTGCTTTCTACACACCATCATGGAACGGCACACCATGGGTCATCAACTCGGAAATGTACAGTCAAAACACCCGATCTCTCGGTCAAGCTTCCGCAGCAGCCAACAACTGGTTCTGGAACTTCATCATTTCGAGATTCACTCCTCAGATGTTCAACACCATGGAATATGGTGTCTACTTCTTCTTTGCATCGCTTATGGTGTTGTCCATTCCGTTCATTTACTTCTTGGTGCCCGAAACCAAGGGTATCCCGCTCGAGCACATGGATGAGCTTTTCTCTTACAAGAATGTGCGCAAGGCCCACGGAGAGATGCTTATCAAGTTGAGGCAGGATGAAGAGGAGTTCCGCCACGACGCCGAGGGAGCGGGGTTAACGATTGAGAAGACTAAGGAGGAGAGACGCGAGGATGTGTAAAAGTGTTTGCGAATATTGTTCCGAATTGTTGGAAGTAGCTCGAGTATATTGTCTTCAGTACCAAAGGTAGATCAAAGAATACATTGATTTCATTGAAATGTCGGGGTTGGCCATTCTCAATAAGATCAATCTGTCTCCACCTATACTTTAGTAATAGGGAGACATTATTTCCCCATATCACTGTGAAGTTGCAGTGCTAATGGAGGGAACATCGCAGAAGTATTACACAACTAAACGTTCAGAGTCACTGCATGGACTTGCCGTTCTTCGACTAGAGTCAGGTAAGGATATATGGTTGAAATTCTGCTGAGGCCTGATTCCGAGCGCAAGAGCGGATATTTCTCAATGCACGGATATCCTACGATGTCAACTTGTCTTCAAACAGGAGCTGTTCGGATAAATTGATTCGAGCCAGAAACATAATCACAGGACGAGCAGAGCCTAGCTGTGTCTGATGTGCCTGCTCGTCATTCACAATTCAAAGACCTTTCAAATCGTGGATGAAATTATACCCACTGAGCGCTTCCTGCAGTTTGAAGCCCGCAATGTAAGCGCGAAGATCATTTTCAACATAGACCCTCATGACCAAGGCCAAAATTCCATGAGATTTTGTACCAACAGCAAATTTTGAATGGCCATATCAATCTAGCAAGTCTCGTTTGCGAAAGATCCTAAGCCATTACAAAGAGCAGTGGAGGCGTATGAGACTCCAGAATGCCTTTATATGGTCAGCTTCGTAGGATCTTGATAGCGAATAAGATGTCTGCACTCTACTTTTTTGCGCTGCTATGAGGCCATTGAGATCGATGAGATCTGGCACATATATAGCTTAATACATATATTTTTCGACCAACTTATCATCAAAGCCCAATACCACTCATGGCAGACCCTTGTCACCACAGAATATTACTCATTCCACACATCAACCATCGCCGATACCTGGTGCGTTACGAGGACACTCGATCTGATTCATTGAACAGAACACACTAGATCAAAACAAAGATAGAGGGCACAATCTCGCCATCTAAAACATACCATCCATGGTAGCGGGCACGATTCACAAGTAGAGGGCACAAAACCTCCGGCATTGAAACAATGGGGGGCACGATTCTGTGGTAGCGGGCCAGATCCCGTGATAGTGGGTACGCGTACGGGACAAATCCCCCTGAGATCTAGATGAAAGATGGAGAGAAATGGGGTCCATGAAACTAGCGCTCTCGTAGAAATACAAATTCGCGAAACGGCGGACTAAACGTAGATTATATATTTAGCGCTGGGAGGCCTGATCGTCGAGAATCCGCGGTTGCACCTCCTATCTCTTGCCCATTAACAAATTACGATCATGATGGATGACGAATTGATCTTTGCTTGTTTCCACTGGACTGCTATCCTCACTTGTTGCGGCTAGAACAAAACACATCAGCCCCAACAGGCAGTGCATGACTAAACGAAAGAAGAAGAAGAAATTAGTGTTCGAATATCGTATCCAATTAGATAAGACTCATGAATATAGTTACGATAGATTTTGTTACATTTCTTTTCCTCGTCACCCACCCCACCCGCATTATCAACAGCTCGCCCTCTATACACCCTGTTCGTTTCAAGGCGCCCGCCCGCTCACCCGCGCCCCAACTCCATCTAATTATATACACCGGTTTTCTGCTTTTTCGTGTTGTATAACGTGTCTAGCCGTCGCGATTCGTTACCCCACCCTCGCTTCCGAAAGTTGAGAGAGAAGCAATTCTCTACTGGCAAGTGCCAAACGCGGAGTTGCATCCCGTGCCGCAGTGGTCGCCGGTGGATCCGCACCATCCGTACTGGGAGCAGCAGTTTCCTATAAAAAAAGAATGGTTAGAATTGTGGTTGAGCTGAGTGGGTTGTTATTGTTGTTGGATGACTCGAGTGGAGAAGAGCTCCATAATTGTAGCTCGGTAGCGAGTGTGGAGACCGGATGTTTAGACTTATTAAAGTTTTAGGAGATGTTTTAGATGGGGGTAATGATGTTTATGATGGTACGCTTACGTGTAAGGTAGGTACTTCATCCTTTTTATCACTTTGACATGTAGGAGGTTTTAAAAACAACAAAGGTATATGGAACGGTACAGAGAGTCCTCGGACTTGGCGAAGAACTATACGGAAAAGAAAAGCAAAGGAGGACATGAAAACAAAATAAAACAAAACGCCAGGCTACCTAGGAGCTTTTGTGCGGGAATAAGAGATGATGACGACGGTGATCACGTGATGAATCACGGACGTCCATCGATGTTGAAGGGAAGCCACTTGTTGAGGAAACCTTCCAACTTACCAAAGGGAGAGCCAGTGCAAGTTTGGCCCTTGGTACCAGCGCAGGTGCCGTCGTCGGAAACAGGTGTTGAGGGATTGCCAGGAGCAGGAGTAGAGCCAGTACCGCAAGTGCCGAAGTCAGATTGGCATCCGGTGCCGCAGTAATCGCCAGTGCTTCCGCACCATCCAGCGGCGGAGCAGCAGTTGCCAAAAGTGCTGCCCTGGCAAGTGTATCCATTGGTACCACCACATGTGGCGTCGGTGGTGACGGGCTTTCCACCAGCAGGAGGATCCTGATACTTAGGTTAATTCCATGTCTTTGAGAGAAGTTTATACTTACACACAGAGCCCTGGGTGTAACAAAAGAAAAAAGGCGGATGCATTGAAGATCCTCCGATCCCGTTGGGTTTTCTCTGTTGATAAAGAGATCATCGACTTACAGATGGGGCAGGGGAGCTGCCATCGCCGTTGCGGTACCAGTTCTCGACTGGGTCGCCGAGACATTCGCCGACGGTGACAGCCTTGTAGCCGAGCTGGGTGAGGGTAGAAAGCATGAACTCGGTCAGGTTGTAGGCGGTTTGGTAGTGGATGTCGTGCCCGATGACGAGCCATTCGTTGTTGGCTGGGGTAGCACCTCCGGCAGTGATGTTGCCCTGGAAGTTGTCCTTGGCGTTCTGGATCTTATCGGTAGCATCTTGGTTGTAGTCATCAGTGTCGACATTGAAGTAGGTGACGTGGTAGCCAAGATCGGACATGGTCTTTTCACATCCAGACTCGGCAGTGCAGCTGGAGTAAGGAGGACGCATGTATGTTGGGATAAATCCGAGGATGTTGCGGAGGGCCATTTCGTTCCTCACCATCTGGTTCTTGCGGTCGGTCTCAGAGATTTTGCTGAGATCCAGATGGGTCCAGGTGTGCGAAGCAATTTGGTGACCCTCTGCGTAAGCACGCTTGATGGTTGCTGAGAACTCGGGGGTAGTGTCGATCTCGCCCTTGTTGATGTTGTTACCGGTGATGAACAAGGTAGCTTTGGCGTTGTAGGATTTGAAGACGTCCAAAAGGTGGTCGGTGTACTCCTTCTGTGGGCCATCGTCGTATGTAAGAGCAACAGTGCCAGGGGTAGTGCACTGGTAGATACCAGCTCCTCCGTAGGGGACGGATCCGACCTTTGTGCGAGGAATCGAAGAAGTGTCGTCTCCAGCAGGAACGACGTTGTCGGGGCATCCGGGACCGAACTCGTAATTGCAACCGGGAGCATAGCAGTAGTCCTAAGTATTGTCAAAAGGTTTGGTCATCTTGCGGTTTAACGTGAATCACTTACGCCAGTGTTTCCACACCATCCTGAGCCACTGCAGCAGTATCCTTCGGCGCACTTTCCGAATGAACCTCCACATTGTCCGTTGGTGTTTCCTTGTCTCTTTACGTTCTGGTGACGCTTTGCGGTGGCAGCTTGGATTTCCTCTTTCTCTAGTGCGGCGATTTCGACTGCGCGAGCCCTCAGAGTACTCATCATATCGCGGGTTTTCAAGTCCCTCATGTTCAACCCAACAATGCTAGGCATCATAGGAGCATCGCCGTGGGCGCTGACGAAAGGAGCAACCGCCGCAGCGGTGGCAAGAGTGGTTGAGAAACGCATGGTCGTCGGAAAAGGTGGTGAGTTCTTGGAAAAGAAAGGGTAATTAATATATTAAAGATAGCAGAATTGCTGGTTGCGATTTGAAAGGGATAGCGAGTGACTGGTGCGAAATTTACGAATAACTTCCACACTGGATGAGAACCTCTTTTCCTATAGGTTATATGGGAGTAACCAAATTACGAATGGGAAAGAAAGGTAGGGGAAGAGGAAAACATGATCAGGGGAGCAGCATCAGATGTTTATATGCAGCGAGTCGAGCATCTCCCACCTCGTTCCAGATACCCTGGTTGCGATGCGACGTAGGCGCAGATCGTGACTCGCGCATTAGCCCTGCTGAACGGCAAACCAGCTGCACTCTAGCTAGGGCCCGAAGATGTCTGGGGTCTTGGTACCTTTTTTGGTCGCAGTTTTGGCAGCGCCTTTCCGCATTGCGGCATCTTGCCAGAACACGCAAGCGTGCAGCTCCAACTTGCCGGGTTCGCTACGAGTGGCCGGGTGTTGGATTGGTCGTGGAAAGGCATAATGCATGGGAAGACATGGGCTACCTCGCATAATTGTCAAAGATATCAATAGTTTCTTCTGTCTGAATCGGTAGTGTCATAGTAACAGCTGTATTAAGATCGGATCAGGAATGAACGCCCAGCAAAGCGATAGTCTATGTGGTGTTGGCCGTTTACTTGTATACACACCTATAGACAATTCTCGCCGAACCCGTGTCTCTTTGCTTTAGTGAAGTGATTGAATACGATAATTATCAAGATACAGTCGAGGAAACATGACGTAGAGCTCAATCATTCCGTCACTTAGGTACAGCTTCTGTAAAACGACGGTGGATTCAACAAGAGCTCCTTACTAGCTACTCATCAACTGTACGTTGAGCCGGCGGGTGGCCCCAGACGTCTCATCGCAGTAAATGACGATGTCTGCTCCAGAATCAACTTCTAGCGCACCACGAAAGTCGGTTTTCGTCGCGGAAGACTGAGTGCATGAGCCGGTGTGACAATGAATCGTCTGTGGTGAAGGCGTTTAGGCGAGTCAAAACGGGTGCCGACAGGCCCGCCCTGTGAATCGTTCCACACCCATCGCCACCACGTCGCGCTCGAGGTTGCTTGTTTCTCGCAAGAACCTGGGGTCAGCATCTGTATGATCGAGGCAGCTTTGCTCGTTTACTTGTTGTTAAGTTACATGCGCTTTTTATCCTTTGCGCGAGGGTACTGGCGAAGTGAGCGAGTTTAAAGGTTATTGGCTAAACCACCCTCCCTTGCCCCCCATGAAGATAAAGCAATCCCTCCGAGACCCTTCCCCTCACGGGCCATTACCCGAGTAAATATCCAACTCCCTACTTGTGCGACATCGATTCTTCTGCGTGATGTTGGGAATACGGGTGTACCCAACACACGTGTCCAGTGTCCCAGTCATTTTTTGGCATTTTGTCCCACACATTGCAACTTTATGCACGCTCTCTTTACATCATGCCCTAGAGTTCACCCACCATTGTCGAGTACAGTAGTCACCTTCAATCTATTCCCGCGAATCTGCAAGATGGAAATACGAGGCGTCTGAAGCACCTAGCAGACTTGCAGAAGAAGCAAAAGTGGAACAGCAACGCTATTTTCGAACCACACGGGTCAAAGGCTCTAAAAAAACGATATTCTACCCGTCCAGATTCGGTCAAGTTGACCCTTGTAGAGGCGGGCCAGGGGCTATTCTTTCTTCCGTTTCGAAAAGAAATCCCATGGTTGTCTTGGCACTCCTGTTTCAAAGTCCACTCTCCCACGCCTCCACCAAGCTTTCACTATCTGCCATACATGCAGTGGAGTTGGCTCTTTATTAGCGCCTCCTTCATTTTTGTCTACTTGGCGTGCATCTTTTTTTTATTCCACACACCAGATTTTTGCAGTTCCGGGTTTCGGTATTTCAAGACTGCAACGAAACCTTTCTTCCATAGTCGACAGCCAGTCGCGTTCGCTTGCAGATTCACCCGCAGTAAAGCCTACCTCAGCGGCTAGTTTACTCTACAGCCAAGATCATGTTCCATACAGGGGAAAGCACCCGCGTGATCGCTCCGATCGCCTCGTTGGATCGCCTCTTCTTTCCTTCTCTATCTCCCTCCAATTGCAATATTGCATTGCGTCAGGTGCAGACTTGCAGCCTGAGGGTGTGCTCTAGGGGGTTACTTTACTTAGCGTGCGCTGCCGATCGTTGACTGCATGGCATTGCAACCATCCCATTATTCGATGGGTCACTAGTGTACGCTGGCGACGCTTTGAAAGAAACTGGTTGGCTTACTGCTTGAAGACCAAGCCGCGATGGTTCTGGATGGGGCGCAGAGTACGCCTTGAAAATTCATTGCCTACAAGATCCCGCGGCTTCGGCATACTCGTAGGGCACCGGTTCCTGGGCAGTGGATGTCTGCGTTCCTTGTGAGGCCGACTGCCGACACTTGTTGTCGATCCAGTGCTGCCCCTTGATGATGTCCAAGACTCCAAGTACCCGAATGTATTTGTGTAGAATCGGAGTTTTCCCTGTGTTCGTCCCGTTGCTACGTACTCAGTATGTTTGCCGGGTACATGATCGCGGAGAACCGTCACCACAATCACCATCGTCGTCATCAAAGATGCAAAAAGCTCCGTCATGACCAGCTGTCAGAACCTTATCACCGATCCATTCTTCGATGCTTGGGACTGCTGCTGTCATACAAGGTTTGACCGTTGCTTGATTGCGAATTCTTCCACGTAGTCGGACCGGTGCAGTATAGATTGACGCTTCTCTTCGCTCTCGTTTCCCTGGATGACACTATCATATTGCCGCGGAAGGGAAAATCCCATAGAGTTCGATGCGCGGGGTATCTCAAACACTGGGGGCATGATTCACCTCGATGCATGGAATAGTACCAGATCTCAGACCCAAGCCAACAAACAAGGGTGAAAGAATGGTTGCCATGCAGCAAAGCCCAAGTCACCCAAAGTTACGAAATCGACAATCTTTTTTTTCAAGAAAACCCCCAAGCAAGTGGTGAATTCGTAACTAAGCAACGAAAAAAATATAGGAAAAGAATCTTAGTAAGGGGTATCCCGCTCTGTTCCATCAACTCTTCTCCAGCGTCACACCCAAAAAACAATCTCCATTCTTTTCTCTCACTTCTGCTCCGTAATGTACTTATTCCTCCCGGCCTTCGCGTTATTGATCGCGATCGCCAAGCTCCTAATATCGTAGTTCTTATCCACCGCCTTAACTTTATCATACGGGAACGGAATGGGTTTATCCCTCACACCCACAGCATCGATATACAGCACATTCGGAAACGACTCTGGCGTAAACGCATTAAACGCCTCCACAAACAACCCGTCATACGCATCCGTCGCCATGTTCAAAATCGCCTTTTCAGGGTTCAGAACATCTTCGGGTGCCTGGGTCAGCGTCCACGAGAAGACGAAGAATTTGTCTTTGCGTTTTGAAGAGTCGGCTACGAGGTTGCGTTCGTCTTTCAGCTTTTTGAGCTGGTCGTCGCGCATTTTATCGATGCTGTTGGATTCGGCGTACGAGTCGTAGAAGGGGAGGTTGTCCTGGTTGTAGAAGCCTTGGTCAGCGTAGGAGCCGAGGTTGATGCCCGACGGGAGTTGCGAGATGATGAGCACGCTTGCGTCTTTGCCGATGAAGTCATCGAGGACTTTGTTGGAGAGGTCGGTTTTGCCGGGGGATGTGAGGGTGTAGCGTTTGTTTATGCCTTTCAGGAGGTCGAAGAGCTTGTTCCATTGGTCTTGGGATAGGTCTTTGTAATCGTGGTCTGTGTCGAGGGTGTGTGAGAGGTTGATGATGACGAGCTCCTTGTATTTGGCCGTGAAGTCTGAGATGAGAATTAGTAAGTTGTTCTTGCTCGATGCAGGACTCCCTGTTTACTGTCCTTTGTCAGGAGGAACTCACCATTTACTTGCTTGACCACATCCGAAATCTTGAGGCCGTTACCACCTAGCCAGACCTTGTCACCAAGTGCTGAGTAGTGACCAGCCTTCCATTCTCCGTTAGAGACTACCGGTCTCAGATCAAAGTATCTCGATCCAGCCACGAGCTGATCATAGATATTCAGCACCTGTGTTTGCGAATTTTGGAATGAAGCACCAATAGTCCCAGGATCAAACTCAGACATGCCTGCATCGTGCGAACCAGGCATGCAAATCTGCTTCAACGTTCTATTCCCAATCGACCCCATGCTCTGTTGCATCCAATCGGTCAAGTCACCGCTGTTAGACCACCAGTCGCCGGCTTCATCAGTGCTCATGATCCAGTCAACGGACTCATCGTGGCGGAATCCCAGGTCGATCTTCGAGCCCTTGGGGCTCTGTTTAGTGGCGTGGTTGTCCAGGGTAATAGTCAACATGAAGTCGTTAGGCTTCTTGCCCCGGATGGCGAATTCGCCTTTGTCTCCGATCTTGTAGTAGGCTTCCCCTGCGTCGTCCTTTTGACTGCCCTTGGTGCCCCATTCTACGTAGACCCTTTCGGCGGTGTTGGCTTTGACGGTGGGCCATTTCCACTGATCCATCTGGTATGAGGGCGAACTCGTCACCGTCCAATCATTGGGTGATCCATTCACCAGCGTGAGAAAACCCCCTAGACTCCATGTCAGCCGTCTACATCTCTCGACTCATACTATGCAGCAGAGAAGGGCAAAACTCACCGTAACCCATCTTGGTATCGAATTGCAAATATAAAAAGAAAGTATGAGTGAGATAGCTAATCCACCCTTGATAAAAAAAACTTGCGTCTCAAACGCAGTCAAATGACTCTCGAATGCGGAGATAACTCGAAGAAGAACATAAAACGAATGTACAGGTTATATCAACCGGAACACCCATCACCGGACATGCCGGTGAGTGCATATATACCTTCCTCAACCACACAAAGCCACAGGACCCCCAAGATCCACCCACGCGTCCACCCGCCAAGCTAAAATCCCATCGACCTACCCATTAAAATCTCCGCATGGCATTATTTTGCCTTCCATCGTTCCCGCGCGTCCGCCATCCGAGCTTGAGTGGTGCGGTTGGCCTGTCTGGCATTTTGCCGAAAGTCTGTTTCGGGGAAAGCCGTTTCAATATCTCCGGGGTGTGGACTCTGATAGGTCAGTCCGAAGTCCGGGCGAGCGTAAACAGACACTCAGAATAGATCCTTGGAGAGTAGTCGCGCCAATCACGGTGACATGGTGTTATGCCTTTGGACATGTGCTGTGGCGCAGGGTTTGATTCATGCGTGTGGTTATAGTACCTACTGTATAGAGTAGGAGGGGGAGGGGATATGTCATTGTGTTCGGACATGGGTGGGAGATGATGTTTGAAGGCCATTCATCGACCGAGTGGTGGAAGAGTGCCTTAAACTGATGTGGCAAGCACCTCGCGATGTACCAGCTTTTTGTTTGAGCTCGTAAAGTTGAGTCGCTGGGGAAGTCGTAGCTGGCGACGCTACGGAATTTCAGAACATTTGTCGGCCATGTAAACGATATATTTTTTGTGGCCTGTTGTGGGGGCTGCATTTAGCAGAGCATGAACAGTTCAAACTATCACTACATGGTTCAACGAAGTACAATACGTGGGACCGTGTCCAATTAGTATGCGCTTAGCTTTGCCATCTGCCATATTCGATTCAATTCACACATAGAAGAACACTGCTCGAATAGTAAGGTTTAACACAGTCTCTGTTCCGAATTATGGAAATTGTTTTCTACTATATGAAATACACAGGCGCCGCGCCCCCACTTAGCCATACCGTCTATGCGGCACTAGATGCTCTAGGTTTCCGGGCATATAATCCTACTACTGCGTCAAACAAGTCCCGCACTGGAGGGAGAGTGTGAGAAGCTCTGCTCTCGAAAATCTCTTGCAGTTGTTCTGGCCTAACAACAGGCTTGTCGTTGTCTGATTGAAGAAGAAGCTCCTCGTTTGTGTCAAACTGCACAGTATCGTTCGCATCCGATTCTTCCATATCCAGTTCCATTTCATCAGCGGGAGGAGTCGCTGTTGCCTCCGGTGGAGGAGTGGGAAGTTTCACCGCATTGGACTTGGGGTTGATGGTTCGAAGGCTCGAAGATGAGTCCAGAATGATGTAGCCACGGCCATTCTTCACAGGCGCAAAAGCTAGGACGACTCCGGATACGCTACGTTCCCAACGGGCTTTTGGCTGGCTGGGCTCAAAGAGAACGATCCTCGTGGAGCCTCCTTTTTCTTTTTCAAAACGGGGTACAGCGACAGCAAATGTGTTATCCTCTTCGTGAACTGCGAGTCTGCCGGCTGCCCCGATAGGATAGCTGTGTAGAAACTGGTCCGTGACCATGTCCCAGACCACAACAGCATTGCCAAGGACGATCAGATGTCGGCCGATAATGCCTAGCCCTGAGAAGGTTGTCATATCTATCTCAGTGATTGAACGGCGGATGGCGCTTGCTTCCGTGTCGATGACATGGATAACTCCGGTATCTATTTCGGAGGACCAAGAGATTCCAGCTAGCAAGACAGAACCATCCGCTGAAAATGCCAAACGAGAGGTTCGTAAAGTGGTTGTACTATCAGCCGCATCAATCGGGTTGGCAATCTTGATTGAGCCGTCCAACGACCAGGTCACTAATCCCTGGGCTTTGTCTGATCCACGAACAACTGTTCCATTTCGAAGCCTGGTTTTCGGTCGCCATAGTCGTACTACCCTATCCCCGCCGACGGTAGCAAAGCCAGCGCCGGAAGGATCCGCCACCAAGTCAAAGACTTGAGCGTGGGCAGCAATATCGTCGTGATGGTGTGGTGCGTCGATACGTGAATCTAGCACCCATTGCATGCCCTTTTCATCCCATCGCCAAATCTTGAGATATACCTGGCGACGCAGAATACGCTCTTCCTCATTGAAAGCAGATGTCCCCTCTTCTATGTGAGTCATGTCTGCACGTGGAGGAGTCCATTCGTCAACGGTGGCCAACCATGTACCATCTTGACTGATCTGCAAAAATTTGACATTTGGTTCATGAATCTTTCGGCCATCGGGAGCCATGTTTGGATCAGTAGCATTGTTACGGGTAAGGGCTTGCCGGGCGACTGGTCGACGAGTAGTGATATCAAACGTTTGAGCGTATGGTTCGGCAAGGAAACCTTTTTGGTGACGACGAGGTTGCGATGAAGGGGTAGAAAACACAACATGCCCATGACGCTTGGGATCCACAGCAAAGGGGACTGAACCGATGAGTGCTTGAGAGTCGCGAGAAATCTGATCGGGATTCAATCGACGAGATTGAATACCAATGATATTTGTCTTGGGCTCAAGTTCTGATGTCGATAGAACAATCAACGAATTGTTGGCAAGAGAGATGCTGTAGGATGTGCCTGTAGGGGAGACTACAATGTTCTCGATAGCCGCAGTAAGATGAGGTAGGAATTGCCGTTGTCCGGTAGATAGTTGCCATATGGTGAGAACCGTTTCCTCACCGCCGGAGATGAGATAATTGCCTAGATGTGTCAGTATGTACTACTTCCTAACATGACCATACTCGAAACGACTTACCATCCGCAGACCATTTCACCGCACCTACAGCGTCTCTGTGCCAATGCAATCGTTTCGGGTGGAAGTTCTCTAGCCCAATCGCTTTGCCTGTCTTCGCTTTTTGGGCCCGCTCAATCGCTGTGAAGGAAGCTATGACATTCTCGAATAGATGGATCACTCCTTCTTCGTCACCAACCGCAAGATCCAAGTGATCCCGTGGGTCTGTTGGCAGGGTCTTGCCCTTCTCTGTGCGGGGTGGTCGAACGAACGCACTGACGGTTGTGATTCTTTTCGACATTTCGAGCTCCCTCCATGTGTATTCGAACTCTTGAATAGCAGTCTTATGAACCTTGTTCCGTCTGCCGACCAATACCCGGTCGACAGTGCTCAGGATCACGATCTTGCCTTCCAACAGCACCTGGAGATTGGTAATGGCATTTGAGAGTTTGAGTATCCGTTTGAACTCGGTCTTGGAAGCATCTCCCTTCTGTCGTAGAGCGTGGATGGTGATGGCATGGTTGTTTCCAGCTTCGTAAGAAAAAAGCAGATCCTGATCAGAGTCCGGCGCGTTCACTACAGCAACGCATTGGACTTTTGCACTGATATCCCACCGAGCAACTTTGGAGCCGTCAGTCCAGTCCCACAATGTAACGATTCCGTTCGACTCGGTGATGTAGACTTGATTCGGTCTCGAGGTAGATAGAGCGGAAGCTAGAATGACGCCCGAGCCGCCTACGGGAAGCTCTCGTACCAGCAGAGACGTGTCGGCGGCATACACTTCCAAAGCCTTGGGTTTTTGGAGAAGGAGGTGTTTTTCGTCGACAGAGAAGATTGGGTCTTGAGGGAGGAACCATCCGCCCTGTGCCTCGGATATGGACCAAGGTTCGGAAGTCTTTTCCTTGAGCTTCTTCGATTTGCTCTTCTGCTTCGAGGTCTCCGCATCGCCGTTCACGGGCAGAACTTGAATGGTAGTTTGGTTGGTTTCCTCCTTGTCGGCAGCTGCAGCATCCTTCTTCTTATGTTTTTTCGTGTCTGCACGGTTCTTCTCTTTACGAGAGCTAGCCGGTGTCCCTGTGGCGGTGGGGGTGGAGGTAATGGCGTTTTCGATCGAATTGCGAGGACCCGACTTGGAGCCTTTCTTGGGAGTAGGGGTCACAGCAGCCTTTTGAGCCGATCCGGACTCGGATACTGCAGTCGCAGCTTCTTTGACGGGCGTTGCGGCTTCGTTTTGACCTTTTTTCTGCGTCTTGGCTTTCTTGCGCTGCCCTTCGGTAGTCTCCCCCTTCCTTTTCAGTTTCGGAGTGCCATTGAGGTCAGCCATATTGGAGAGCCCAGAAATCGTGCAGTTCAATCGGGCGGTCGATCTGCAAAAAGTTGTTGGTGTCGCAAAACTTGAGAGGATAATATTTTTTGGCGCCGGAGGTCAAAGCTTTACACCGCCGGGAGAACCTCGGCAGTGCAGCTAGACCCGCATCTTCAATTTCTTTGTTACTTTGGCAGACATTCACTCGCCGAGAAGACACCCCCAATCAACCTTTGGTCGTCAACTGCTTCAGCCTTCGTTGACGAAACGCCTTGTTGGTCGCGCAAATCCATAATCACCACTTCTTGTGACATCTGTTGCCAATATGATCATCCCCATCCGCTGCTTCTCCTGCGGCAAGGTACGCCCTCACGGCTTTCAATCTCTACGCTGAAGGCGCATACTGACTGTACTAGGTCGTTGGCGACTTGTGGGAGCGGTATCTCGAAGCCATCGACAGTGGCAAGAGTGATGCGTATGCGCTTCCATGTTCATGCAGTTGACACAGAGTCTTCCCACTAACCACCGTGACCTTCAAATCGCAGGGACGCCATCGACGACCTAAACCTCCAGCGCTACTGCTGCCGCCGCATGATCCTCACCCACGTTGATCTCATCGAGAAACTTCTCAAGTACGTCCCTTGCGCAGAGCGCATGGTCAGCCCCCGCGAGCTTCGCAAAGAGCGAGAGCGACGCAACCCCGACCACTTGTGATCTGCAAAGGTTACGTCCCGATCAGGGACTAACATCCACTAGATACAACGCCGCCGAACGAGAACAAGCGAGAGCCATGGCGAGGCGGTGATGCAAGGACTTTAGTCCTTTTATGAGCGAGGGATCGATTAGTATACCCTTCGGAAAACGGGGAGTTTGGGAAGCATTAAAAGGCGTTCAAGGATCGATCCTGCCGATACGGACAGGGCATTCGTATCTTATTTCGAGAATATTCAAATTTGGTTTCTCAATTCATCCAACCTTCATATATCTTTGTGGACTGCCGTGAGAGTATTCTGTACATGCCCGAAGTGTAAGATATGGCTAATAGTTTTAGGCTCAGAGTTTCCGAATAACTAGAATTTTTCCTTCGTCTTATACAGTATGGAAGACGCCGGAACAATTCAACCGTAAAGATCATTGTATTGGTAAGTTGCTAATATATGATATCTCAAAACACCGTCGCCAGATGCAGATGCAATCGCAATACCGCACAATCGAATCGCCCCCCAAAACTTCTACAATCTCGCAATCTCTTCCAAATCCTTACTATCCTTCCTCAGGCCTGCCCGGCTCACCCTTACATCCACCAATTCCAAATCCTCCATCATAATCCCCCACGCCTTTCCCGCTCTCGCTGCCAATCCTTCCACGACTCCGTCCCCTTTCTTCTCCATTGCCCTGTTGAAAAACTCGAAACTAGCCCACCCTTCGTATCCGATCTTCTTGAAGATTGTCTCCACAACCTCCTTCACCGGCAGATAAGCTCCCTCTTCCGTCTCCCCATAGAATAACCTACAATTCCTACTCCAGCTCATCCTCGCTCGTTGACCTTCCTGATAAAACGCATGTCCCGGCTGCAACGGCTCTCTCAACTTCTCTGCATCCACAACCTGCACAAAGAAAATCTTTTCTTTAAACGGCGTTATCCTCTCCACCATCCTCTTCATCGACTCTCCAACAACACTCTCCGCATCGGCCGTCTTGCCCCCCACCGCCGCCGGATCCGCATATATCCTGCCCAAAATGTTGAACGAGTCGAGACAAATGCCAAAATTGCCTCTGTCGACCGCTTGAACAATATCCCAGCAAACCTCCCACGTGTCGACGTGCGTACCCCAACATAACCCTTCATACATGAACCGAATCACCTTGCCATCTTCTACCCCCTCGCTGACGCCCAACTCCGCAATCTCGCGGAGATCGGAGACTATGGTGTCGAAATCGCCTGTACACTCGTCCTCGCCGAGGAAGGAACTAGGCACTAGTATCAAGTCCGTATCCAACGCTTTCGCGAGTTTGAGCCAGAGTTTCATGTCCTCGATCCGCTTTGCGTGGTCGACGCGGTTGATGAGGCCTTCGTAGTGCATGAATGGTTGCAAGCAGATGACAGTGAGGTTCAGCGAGGTGCAGAGATCGTGGACGTATGTTGCGGCTTTGAGCAGGTTAGATGGTGTGGGTGGCGTTGCGAGGGCTTGGAGGTCGTCGTAGAAGAGCTCGATGCCGCGGAGGCCGTTTTGTGCTGTGCAGTGGAGTTTGTGGGAGAGGGTGTGCCCGGCTTGGTTGCGGCCTAGCGACATTGTTGATATGCCCGGGAGGAGTGTCATTTTTGGATTGTTGGGTAGTGGCCTGGTTTGGTTTCTGGTAGAGAGGAACGGAAAGGTGGGTTTGGTGGTGTAAAGCGTAGGAACCTGTCGTCTAGTTCACTCGAAAACCGCGATATCAAAGTAAGATATCCCTCTCGTCTTAGAAAAAAAATCAAAATATTAGACCAAGATATCTATGTGAATACCGTCTTGCGTCAAAGTCTTCGAAAATCAACCAGTTCGATGTAACAAGAAAACTAGATATTCAATCTAAAAATCTCCCACTTATCAACTCTTCCCTCTAACCAAGCGCCTTGTACAAATCTTGCACCCCTGGCGCACAGGCACAATCATTACAACTATCCAATCCAGAACTTCAGATTCCTGGAAGATAATTTACCATTTCAACCATGCGTTGCGTGTCTCGTAGTGCTTATCGGGCGGTTTGCGCCGCTTCGCCGAGGGTACTCTAGGGTAGTGTGGTCTTGACGTCGTGGGCGATCAGGCCGTACCGGGAATGTGTTTATCCGCCTTGGTTGTTCTTGCCACCTCCACTTCATAGAATGTTCATCCAGGAGTTTTTGTGCGGAGAGATTTGAGAGACTTGGTTGATTAGGAGTTCTGGGGTGTTGAGAGAGAATCTGGGGGGCGTGGGGTGAGACGTAGTTAGGTTGATTGGATTGCATTATGTGTGTGTCTATGTCTTGCATCTCTTGTACTAACGCCTGTGCTTCTAGACGGGAAAATGTGGATCGAGCAGAAGAAAGGTTTTTGTCTTGTGTAAAAGGTTTAGACCTTGGTTGCACTTGAACTGAAAGGGTTACACGTAGTGGACTCATCAGCTGGCGAGATATCAATACATATATACTAAAGTACGTCCTCATGTGTGCTTTACTATACTTCTAGTACCGTCATATCGTAACGCTATGTCGCACCGGATTTTTCTCCCAGTGGACATGTAGGCCAATTAAAAAACATTTCTCGTGAAACATCACTTCATAATCATATCAATCGCTGTGTAAACGATGCTGTTCCCATAAAATTACATAAAACGTGATCACTTCTCTACCGTTCAGAATCGGCAAAATGGACGCGCTTGATGAACCCTGCTTCCACTGAAAGCGTAGTTCCATAGTTCTCCATCATGGAAAGTCTTATGTTGCTGGAGCTTATTCCAGCTTAGGAAGAGTGTTGAGGCAACTTTACGTTCCACGAGATTCGGTCCCACTGAACATGTACTTGCTGCTGAAACAAGTCGTCCCAAAAAGCCTCGTCTGCACACACAAGAACTCTAATGAAAGACAGCTACTGAGATTGGATTGGCATGGCGTAATATGTACAGAATCATCTGTTTCGCTGGATATACTGACTCTGGTTAACGGGCCTGTAGTATCCAGATCATCCAGGCACAGCCGTGTAACGCCATCTAGGGATGTCTGTTTTCATCACCCTAATCCACATGGTCGACTCAGTGAATGTAGATCCACACGTGTCATGTTTTGGAAGTAGAATATCGATTCCCATGGCTCCGAATTGTGATTGCGGATAAATTTGCGCTGCCAGAGACCATGGCTTCGTGTGTGATATTAGATGATGAATTGATGAAGAACCCAATATCGAAATGTAGATATTACGGTGTCTAGTCGAAGGGCAAAAGAAGACCGTGAAGTACAAGACAAGACGGCGGTCGAACGAGTATGCTGTTGCAAGACATCCCGGACACACAGAGAAACAATATAACCTTCAACCCTGTGACCTTTAGCAAGGAAATATCGAATTCCTTCGTCGACTCTGGAGGCTACAGAAAGCCGTCACAGAAACGATTTTTAAGCTCTCATAGCTATGCTCTTGGTTTGGTTAGGCTCATTCAACTTCTCAGGATGCCCCAAAGAAAGCTGGATCCAGATGCGTGTAGTCATCGTGCTGTGGCAGAAAAGTGCTTGAAACCCCGGGTAGAAACTGTCCAAATTCAGCTGATAGGAAATCAGCCATATTCGCATCGGGTGCAAAACCAAGATTTTGCATGAATTGTGGTTGGCTGTCTAATCTCTCTGTCCCATCCAAAGAAGCCAGTTCGTCAAAGTAATTTTCTAGATCAGGTGGAAGTGTTGTACTGCTTAGAGAAGGGCGGTGCTGTAGCGAATGCCGCCGAAACCCGTCTTCACTCGGTGGTCCCATTGTGGATATTTCTGCTGGTAGCGCAGGATTCATATCCGGCAGCAGCTCTTCTAGTAGAGATGAGGATTGCTTTTGCCTGGCGCTGCCAGGTCGATTACTGGATCGGGGAAAATTGTAGTTGGCTGGAATCTGCATTGATTCGGGTGTAGGAACTTGTTGTAGCGACTGTTTTCTTTGACTGACGACGCTGATTGGACCCCTTTGGCGAGTAACGGACCACGCGTGACAAATTTCCGCCCGGATTGTTTCGATGCGAATCTTGGAATTCTGTTCCAATGTGGTATATGAGTCTCTCTTTTGCATATCCTGCAGTAGACAGTCAATCAATGGAGGCATCGATGGTACCCCTAATAGCTCGCGAAACTGTTCTAGCAAGGCAAGAAGGCGATCAATAAGACTTTGAGCTGAGCGCAGAGCATACAATACACAGATGTATGTAACTGAGAGTAACAATGCTGGCGGGTTGAGTGGGACATCCTTGCGCTCATCGACTATGTAGTTGAGCCTAGTTGGAAGCATGGTTTTCCAGTGGTCCAAATTCGATAGCAGCTGCTCCGTAGGATATGGCAATGAGTCGGGTTGTCTCCGGCCCAATGACGCTAGAAGGTCTGCAAGATCTAGTAGCCTGTTGAAACTGCTCAGCCCAAAAGTAGGTGTTCTAGGCGTAGCTGTCAAGCATGACATGGTCGGTGTAGTCCATGGCTGCCATTCCTCGAGGCCATCTTCTCCAATTCTCTCTATGTCGGACCGATGTAGGTATGGACTCCTCCCGAGGTGAAGAGACAAGAAACTGTCCATCAAGAAACATCCAGCAAAGAGATGTTTGAGTTTCGGATTGGAAGTCTGGGACATGTGTCCAATCGCTGTCAGTATCCGCGAGGCTGACCCGACCAGCAACCAGGCAGCTTCAACTCTCCCACATCCAATATTGACCACTGCCAAGTTCAACAAAGCTTTAACGTGCCCAGTATCGAAGCTGCCAACCTCATTGGGGATCAAACTCTTGGTAATCTGATACAGGCTTTCGCCATCTGGCAGATTGCTGGTATGCTCAGGGTCAAGTTTGGCCTGGTGAACGGCTACGGCCAATGCACTCCACAATTCTGCATGATCATGAGAATTCGATAATTCTGCAATTGAAAGAGGAAGACCTTGCTCCGGATAAAGATATGAGGTCCTCAATACATCGTGTTTTTCGCATATAGGAAGCCATGCTTGCGTATAGGCAAAGTAAATTTCCAATAGATGCCAGCTGTTTGGAGGTAGCGATATAGAGGACGTTGGGCCCGTGCGAGAATGGGATGATTGGTGTTGGATCGGATGTGGTAGAGTGGGAGAGGCGAATTGGGTAGTGGGAGAAATTATAATTTCCTCTGAAGGTTGCATATGCGATGGGTCCTGCAAACCAGCTGAAGGGGGCTCTACATCGCTATCGTCTTCTTCGCTAATTAATGTATCGGCATCGCCTCCATTGCGCGATATCTGCTCCCCTGACAGGACTTTATCGATGTCCTTGCAGAATCTGCTCTTGCGCCAAGCTTTGTGTAGACGATTGGACTCGCGAGTCTCGCGGCCGAAGAATACCGACGAGTTTCCTTCCCGGGCAAGTTTCTCATGGAGTAGAGTTTCGCCGTCAGTGTTTTGGAACAACCATGTTAAGGCGAGCTCGAGTGTCCGGATATATCCTAATATCGTCAGGGTGTGATGGTGAACAACAAGACGAATGTCTCACCTGGTTGGATACCTCTCTTTTTGGGAGGTGCTGTATAAGTGCAGGATCGTTTCAGATCCGAACATTTCATACATGTCGGTTGGGTGCCATCGCATTTCTCACGGGCGGTCCTGCACTGATCGCAAGCCCTTGATACGCGTGAACGCTTCGCAGGAGGTTCATCCGCGGAGCGTTTGGATGAAGACTGCGCGGGCATAGGGGGCCCGCCTCAGAAGAGCTTGGTAGCTGATCAAGGCGATGATTTCCCATGTGCAAGGTATGGGAATCGCGAGACAATTGTCTACCTAGTCGTCCAAGCAACTCTGGGGGTCATAGCAGCCTTTCCCCCCACGTCTTGATGCAGCAAGGTCAATTGGGCGCAAGAACGATATTGCGAATGCAAGGATTAGCGACTTACGGCTCACAGCCTGATCAGAGTTGAATAGTCGTTGATAGGGAATTGCTCCGGTTCAATGTTTGATTAGATGGAACTCATTCTTGGAGCTGTTGCTAATACAAAGCAGCTGAGAGGATAAGCAGGAAGAAGTGGAGCTCGCTTCCCCCGCAAAATCGGATAAAGTCTCTTCCGGGCCTCTACCTCCGGGGCCGTCCCATCCAAGGCCCATCCCACCATGCCATTGCGATGGATCCCCCGACCACTCAGGTGAAGTTCCTCTGCAAGACTCCATTCCGACCCTTTTGACAATTCTGCAATTCATCCTGCATGCAAAGAAGATTGAACTTCTTCGTCAGCGACAACCCCGACTGGGTGACCGAGGCGCAACCATGGCCACTGCGACCGTCGGGTCCAAACGCTCGTTCTCGACCATGATTGACAATGCTGCGCCCAGCATCGAGTGGGCATCACCTCCCTCGCTCCAGCGCGCCAAGACTCCCGCTTCGTATGGGTACAACCGACATCTGGGAGGCATAGCAGACTCGCGCAACTCGAGCGCTCGATCCACTCCACGAACCACTCCAACACCTGTACCTCCTCCTACAGAATGCCGCCGACGTTTCGAGTCGAATGCATCCATTGTGCTGGTGGGAATCCGCGGCACAGGAAAGTCTACACTGGCCATCATGGCCTCAATGGCATGCCGTCGTCGAGTCGTCGATGTTGAGGTCCGGTTCCAGGAGGCCACGGGCTTTTCAAGCGCAAAATATAGAAAGCAGTTTGGGGCATCAAACCACAACTTGCGGCAGGAGGAGCTGCTGCGTAATATACTTCAGACACATGATAAAGACGCTATCATTGTATGCAATGGGAGTGCCTTGGAGAGAAGCGGCCAGGTTCTGCTCCAGGACTTCTCCAATGCACATCCCGTAATCCACATCTTTCGCGACATTGCGAGTGTTCACAGTTACCTGGAGGTCGTTGAGTTATCCAAGTTACAGGATTTGGTGGCATTCACTGCGCCAATATTCCGACGTTGTTCCAATTACGAGTTCTACAATATATCCGAGAGCAAGGCCGCTCTTTCAGTGGTACCTGTGAACCAACCTTCGGTGCCCGCGTTTCTCACTCTGAAAAGGGCTGAGCGTACTTTTCTCAAATTTCTTTCCATGATCATATCACCCGCGGCAACGTACGGCGTGGGCCAAGGTGTACCAATATCTTTCGAACCTGGCTTCCCATTATCCGAAGTGCCTGTAGAGCTCAGAAAATACACGTGTGCCGTCCAAGTGCCCCTCTCCGATTTAGATCCAGAAGAGGTGGATATTGAAGGCTTAGAATTCGGGTCGGATGCGTTTGAAGTGGTTGTTGAGCCCGTCGAAATCGAACAACGTTTCCAGCAGCTTCCTACGGACAGAGCAGATCGCATCAGCAACGCGATAGCCAAGATTCGGAGGAGCACTGTAGTTCCTGTCATATATCATGTAACACCGGCAGCAGAACACAGTTCAAATGTTGCCTACCTAGAACATATACGCCATGGTTTGAGGATGGCACCGGAATTCGCTACTATCGATTTATCCTTGGACGAAGCGAATGTGCGAGACATCATCGAATCGCGAGGATCGACCAAGATTATCGGGCACCTGCACACTTCGGTAGACTGGTACAATCCGTTTTGGATTGAAAAGTACGAGGCGGCCATGCGTCTGGGATGTGCTGCAGTGAGATTCACTCGGCCAGCCAATTTTATGGACGACAACCAGGCTATACAGAGTTTTCGCAACAAGATATATGATAAGCCTCGGTCGATTCCCCTCATATGCTTCAATACTGGCCGTCCAGGACGCCGCTCGGCATGCTTTAATCAAGTGCTTACCAGCGTCATTCCGGCATCAGTGAGAGACGGACCGTCATTCCAGTCTAGGACCGAGCATAACCCGGAAACATCATGGCTTACTGTACGAGAAGCAACCCACATCTTGTACGCATCATTTACGTACGATCCTATGAGGTTCTATATCGTAGGGGCACATGCTGGATACAGCCTCTCTCCAGCCATGCACAATGCAGCTTATAAGGCTTGTGGTATGCCACACAACTACACGACAGTGCAAACATCAACGTTGAACACACTGCAAGAATTAGTGCAGGACCCCAGCTTTGGGGGTACTGCCATCACTCAGCCGTTCAAGTTAGAAGTTATTTCGTTGGTCCATTCTATGAGTAGACACGCACGCGCCATCGGTGCGGTCAACACTCTTATTCCAGTGCGTCATATCAATGATGATGGCACTATACCTGGAGACTTGGACTTGTTCAAAGAACGAAACCAGTCTGGACCTGTCAAAGCCCTCTATGGAGACAATACGGATTGGATTGGAATTAAATCATGCATTCGAAGAGGGCTTTCACCCGCCAACGCGGTCAGGCCAAGCACATGCAGTTTGGTAATTGGTGCAGGCGGTATGGCACGTGCCGCAGTGTATGCGTTGTTGCAACTCGGAGTGAAGCATATTGCTGTGTACAATCGAACAGCGGCGCATGCGGAGAAGCTTGTGGCACATTTTGACCGCCTGGTTGCTTCCTCGGCGGATACGGGACTGCTGCCCTTGAGCGGGCAAAATGCAGAGCCGACGTTCCACGTTCTCCTCTCCCGAGATGATGCTTGGCCAGCTGATCTTCGACCACCGACGATAATACTTTCGTGCATCCCGACACACCCGGCTGACGGTGCGCCTTCACCTGGCTTCACGTTACCTCAGCAGTGGATGCATAGCTTGACAGGAGGTGTGGTGATTGAGCTCGCATATAGAACGTTGAATACGCCTCTGATGAGACAGATCAGAGAGGTAAGGTCTCGTGCATGGGTATGCATGGATGGATTGGATTTGTTGCCTGAGCAAGGTTTCGCACAGTTTGAGCTATTTACTGCCAAAAGAGCACCACGCAGGGTAATGCGGGAGGAGGTGCTGCGATCTTGGACGGACGAACAGGGACGGTCTGATCCGGCTATGGTACAGACTAGACTGGAAGCAATTGACGAACAGGAACCATAATGACTAAATGTATGTAATGATATAAGAATTTTCGGTACACCACGGGTCGATGAAGGCCCTTGCTCTCTCATACAATGTTCTTCTTTTCCAGCATGTCGCATTGTGTTGTAACATAATAGGGAACAGGTAAGATAGCGAATCATATCAATTCATTGTTTGACACTACGAAGATAGCATGATCGTGGTCTATAGCAAGCATTGCAGATATAGGTGAAACGAGATGAATACACTGCGCGTAGAATTGAGTGGTTGTCTTGTGTACAGCGGATCCCTGCACGCATCATGGTGCACGGGCCTATCTGCCCTTGACGGTTGACTGTCAACGCGTGCAAAATACATTGACGCGACTTGAACTTTTTTTTCCTACGAAATACATAGCCACACATACATATGTATACAACCTTTCACTCTTAGCCCCAAACGCTTACATCACCAAAATCCGAAGCTTTATTGCACGCCAGTGACGCGTTATTATGCAATCTCACTAGCCGCACATGAGATGAGTACGCGCTTCCAACCTTTCTCCCCACTTCCAGCCACCCATTTCGCCGGCGCGAACCTCGAATCCCGCCACAAAGCCTACAACCCCCGCGTACCAGAGAATCGCACAGATGGACTGTTTGAGATGGCTCCGAACGAACGACCCGCACCCCACGAGGACGTATACGAACAGTTGACCGACCTGGAAAACGAACCCGAAGCCGACGAATTCGATAAGCAGTTGATTCGCAATGCGCGCGAGGAGCAGAGCCGCCGCGCGCAGCCTTTTCGTCTTGCACGAACACACCCAAATGTCGCCGTCACGTTGGAGAACCTGGACAGACACAATTCTGGCAACGACGCCATAGCCGCAGGCGCGAATGCGCATTTCAAGAGGGAAAGCTCTGCCAGCAGCACGGCTTCAGTGAGATCAGACCCCGCTATACATGTTCCTACCAGCTGGGGGAGAAAAGGAAGAACAAGTAAGAATTGGATGCGCACCATCATGCCCGAGGAAAACCGGAATCCTGGGACTCCACGCTATAGAGAGAGTCCGGGAGCGCCCGCCGCAGACCTGCCGCACCCATCAGTCGAGGAGAGCCCGCTTTCGCACAAGAGTTCCCTTCAGAGCACGCCCGTCTCCTCGCGACAGAATAGGTTCGACGACGACTGGAGTTTTGATCTGAATAATGCGTCCGTGATAGCATCTACTCCGTATATTCCGCGAAACACTGCCTTGGATGATATCCGTCAGAGGGAAATTGAGGACATAATAGAAGAGGCAGCGACACCAAGTAGGCTGAATGTAATGAGGCAAAACTCCCTGGAAGAGAAGCGACACTCGCGCTATACGTCTGCGGGGTTGACTACTGAACCATCCAATGGGACCGGAATCGCAGAGCAAACAGGTCGGGAACCAGGTTCCACGCAACAATTGCGCAAACGCACAAATTCGTGGCAAACAATCGGAAAGTCGCAGGCACTCACCAGCCAAGGCACAGAGAATTCGCCTATTACCGTGTACAAGAAGAGCGTGGAATCTATAATCGCGACTCCAAATATGCGCCCGCGTCTATCCAATCGCAAGGAAGATTCACAAGACTTGCTGCGAAAACTCGCAAGGCTGTCAAGCACGCCCAGTCCTGGTCGGGCATCTAAAAATCAAACGCATAACGCCTCCACTGCTATTGCGACCAGAGGCATCGGGCAATCGATGGGTGAAAAGTCCGTAGCAGCAGGAGAACCCTCCACTGGAACCAACCGACCTGAGGAGAGCACGAAAGCTCCACAGGTCAGCCAGTCTGAAGCTGAAAGTCGCAAGGAACCTCTCAATTTGCCCGAAAACACGTCACGGGAACAAGTCTATACTCGGAATAGTGCTAGGCCTCAGTCAAGCCGAATTTCGTCGCAGGAACTCAAGACAGAACCCGTTGCCAGTACGCCGGTCCCAACAGAGCGAACTTTACTCAATCCTAAAACACCTGTAGTGACTGGGGCTTGGGTAGATACGCCGCGGACAGCTACCGTGCTTAAGAAACCAACAGAAGCTCCGTCTGACTTAACCAAACCGGATAGAATGGGCAGCCCGAGGAAAATCTTGAAGAAAGAAAAAACAGAAGATTCAGCCGACGAAAAACCACAAGTTCTACAGCCAGAGGTAATCAGACCCAAACTTCCCGACTCTGCTTTGCAATCCATCATCGAAAAGGCGCGAGCCAATGGACAAAAGCGTTCCTCTGATTTCGGCGATTCCACCATCAACTCCCTAGAAGAGCTAATCGCCGACCATACCATTACCTCTGAAGCCGAAGACGACATCCCCCCGGACTACCAAAAGCCCACCGGCGACCCCAGAAACGAAGCCGATCGCGGCCGCCGAGATGAATGGGAACACCTCCACAGCTTGGATAACCGGCTACAATCAACAAGCATCAGTGTGCGGCGCGCCAGTAACGGCATTGGCAAGATCGAACGACAGTTTGAGCGTCGGTTGAAGCACCATGAAGAGGCGGGGGCAGGTGGACAAACACGCGCCACTTCTAATACGTGTACTTGCCTCCACCACGGCGAGCGTGCGCCCGAACCAGCTAAACGATGGACGTTCTGGAAGGGTTTGAAGAGCCTCTTCTACGATGAAAACCTAAAGAGGACGAGTAAACGAGGGTGGGGCTTAACAGGGTTAAGCATCGTGCTATTGACATTTCTAACGTGGTTTATTGCGGAAAATCTTGCTTGGTACGTTCCCCCGTTCTCTCCCTTCCCACGATCCTCACTCCAACCATTCAACATCTTTTGACTAATCTTATATGCAAACAGCGACGCCTTCTGCAACCCCGTCTACGCAACCTCAATGAAAGGCTACGGCGTCATTTACGGCGCCCCCAAATTCCCCTTCGTCCTCCCAACAATCACCTACCGCGCCCTCATCCGTCCCTGGTGGCGCCCTCTCTACTCCTTACTCCTCCTCCCGCTTTGGAACTACATCTCTGGCTTGGACGATGAGCGGGCGGCAGCGGCGGCTACTAGAAAAGTCGGCGCGGCTACGCGCGTTGGCGCGAGTTTTACGACACACACGGTGGCTGCGGCGAGGAGGGTTTTTGAAGAGGACGGGGTTGTTGGTATGGGCGGGGATGAGGTTTTGCGGTGATTGTTTTTTTGCATTGCTTATGGGGTTTCTTTTATTCTTTTTGCTATTTCTCATGTATAGCGTCGGCGTCTTGTATTTCGTCCGCCTGGGTTTGCTCTGTTTCGCGGATTGTATTCTTGTTTTCATGTTCTCTTGTTTTCCCGCCATTTTGGCTTTTCTCACTTTCTTTGGGATTCTCTTGCTTGAGGCGAGGTGTCGTGCATAGGTGCATTTGTTTTTCCTGGCGTAGAAAAGCTGAAGGGAGTGAAGAGGAGGGAGAGAGAGGTATAGTGAAGTTTGAAGCACTCCGCAATCAGCATTGTTCTGACCCTGGCTCGTCATGACACATATATCTATGCTACAATGTACATGCATCCATGCCCCTTAAAAAATAATCAACTGAAAAAAAAAAAAGGAATTAAAAAAAAAAGAGATAAGAGAACCCTAAGAAGCAACGCTGGGAATCGAACCACAGGTCTCTCGCGCGCTGCCGAAACTGATAGAGAGCCACCGAGGTGCTAGCCACCAAGGCTGGTTCTCAAGGTGCTGGCCACCTGCACCAAGGCGGTCTACCACCTTGGCGCTTTATATACACCATGGGCATCTCCCATGGTTTTAGTGGCGGCGGCGAGTGTTCTGCCACCAGACTACGTGCTCTAGGGACTCTTATTTATGGGGGGTTTTGTAGTTGAAAATGTATATATAGGAGTAGGGAGAATCTATGAGGGATTCAGAACCGAGAGGGTGGAGAAGGAAGGTACGTGGGTATGTTGGAGTCTGGGTATGGGTATAGGAAGGAAGGAACGAGGGCCTAGTGAGGTTGGGAAGGAAGGCGTGTTGACACGGATGGGACTAATACGCATCACCTTAAATCAATACATATCAAGGGAAGATGCTTAGCTATTCAGATGGGTGATCACGTAGGTATGATTGATCGTTCATTAAAACGATTGCGGATAGATGGAATAGCGATCGTGGTATCGTTTTAGGAAGCTTCTGAGTATATATACAAAAGGTAATGAGAAGTAGGATCGAGTCCGAAGGAATGAAGAAACAGGACATTAATAAACTAAACGCCAATGATCCAAAAAGGCGGGTTTATAGGAGGAAGAGAGGGAGTGAGAGCGTGGGCCTTACAATAAAGTAATCCTCCTCGCAACAACGCCTTCTCGGGACCTTTGACGCACCCATCATACCCGAAAAAAAACTCATAAAAATACTGCATCATAAATGGAATAAATCATTTTACAAGAACCAAACAGCGGCAGCACCCATCATGGCATATCCGACTGCGGCCCCAGTAGCTCTGGGTCCAGCCGCGGCGTTACCGGATCCCTCACCCTCACCCTCGCCCTGACCCTCGCCCTGACCCTCGCCTCCTTCTTCAGAGTCGTCAGGGGTAGGTGCAGCAGTAGAGGGGTCGACAGTAGTGGTGGGGGTAGGTTGGCCGCTGGTGAAGGGGACTTCGTTGCCGCTGCGGGTCGCAGAGGGGTAAGCGTTTGCGCCTGAGGACGCGCCCTCGTCGGGGGTGGATGCGTTCTGGGGGTTCAAAACACTATTTGTGTGCGTCAGATCAATCTTCATATAAAAAGGAAGCGGTTGGGGTTAGGACTTACGCATCGATGATGTGCAAGACACCGTTGCCGATCAAGATGTTGGGGGTAACAACCTTAGCCTGGTTGACAAAAACAGTGCCGTTGCGTTCGGTGATGGTGATGTTTTGGCCAAAGGCGGAGGTAAGGTTCTGTCCGTCTTCGAGATCGGTGGAGTAGCCGACTGTGCCGTTGATGACGTGGTGCGCGAGGATGTTGGCGAGGGTTTCGGTGTCGAGCTCGGTGATTTCCGAGTTGATGTTCGTGAAGGCTTCGTTGTTGGGGGCGAAGATTGTGACGTCTGGCGTGGAAGTGAGGGTTGTTGCTAGGTTTGTAGCGTTGACGGCACCACGGAAGGCGGAGAGGCTGGTGTGCGATTGTTAGATTCCATAATCGATAGATAGATTGGGGATGTGAGGGGAGACTTACTTGAAGGCAGACGCGGTGTCGAGAATGTTGGCTGGAGGCACAAGGATAGAGTCGATGATGTGGAGAACACCGCCGGTGAAATTGAGGTCCTAGCAATACATATTAGTTTTCGAAATGCAAATTCCAGAAAGGGGATATCTTACAGCCTCAGTGACGTTGGCTCTGGACAAAAGCCCGCTGTAGAAGGAAGTTTGGTTTCCTTGAACAACAGCTTCCACAACTTGCCCACCAGTGACGTTCGAAGCCGCCGTGTTGCTGTTCAAGTATGTAGGTGCGAAAGTACTTGTGTTGGTAATATCATCCGCGCGGATGGTTCCATTGAGGATATGGTAAAGAAGGGCAGCAGAGAGAAGCTGAGGATCCGAAGTAAGGGCCTGGAAAGCGGGCTGTTCAGCTGCCCTTGAGAATGCCTCATTGCTAGGAGCTAGAATTGTGATGTTGTCTGCTTGAGAAAGAGCGTTGATAAGGGACGGGTCGGCAGTAAGCAACTGGGTGAGGTTGGAAAGCTGCGAGTTGCCAGTGAGAGTGGCATTGAGAGATTGAGATTCCTCTTGAGCCAAAGCGTAGCCAATCAAGGCCGCAACGGGAAGATTCTTCAAGAGCATGATGATGGTTGTGTTGTTCAAGTGGTACAATGAATAGTACGAGATGGATGTGATCGACGTTTAATGAAAAGGACGGTTCCAGGAATGGGGACAGAGAAGAACACGAAGAAATCAATCACAGGCAGACATGGTCGTCCGAACCCGTGCAATTTGTACTTGTTCATGTCCAATGCCCCTCAAACACGATCACATCCATTACCCACTTTTCTACCCCAGCTTGCCACTCATCGGTATCCACGATGCTTTAGCCGCTCCACATTCGTATTGGGTTGCCTTGTCGTCTTGTCGCCGATGAATAGAAATCACCCGGATCGCGTGAAAACATACAAAGGGAATTGCCAAGTGGAATGGATGGATGGCCAAGTAATTGTCGCACGTAGCACTGGTCATAGACTCCAAATGTACTGGGGTGAAGATGGGGGCTGTGTACAGAATATCTCTTCGCGATCGCTGAAACAAGTTTGTGATGGATGGATTGATACAATTGAACCTTTGCTGCTGTAGATTATTACCAATTTCCCTCCACAACTGTTCAATTGGATTCAATTCTACTCAACTATTCTGTTACTACACACGCACAGCGAATTCCATTCATCCATCGCAAAGTCGCAAACGAATGAGGTGAAGTCAGCGAACAAAGACACTAAAGATCCCGGTCGATCCGAGTCCAAGCTGTGGGGTAAGCTGATGGGCTCAAAACAGACCACACTTGGCTTGGCATACGCACTCGATTCCAACAATTGCCAGAAAAGAGCTCCAAATCTGGGCAGCGCTACCAATGAAACGAATGCGCGGTTTGTCGTGCTCTAAGCGCCACCGCGTGGTGTGGCTGACGATGTTGTAAATTCGGGGCCAAGCCGCCCGTCAGACCCACCGGTTACTACGAGTCATCCTAGAGGGAAACAGAGCCCGCAAATACGTAATTGGTGACATTTCAAGGCTGCTTGTTACCTGTATTTTGACTTTCGAAAGCAATGCCGCCAGGTGTGTACACAATTGATTGGTCGATGTCTTTGAAAGAGAGAATGGTGTTACGCGAACTCCATGTTGCAAATCAGGGCGATGCATTCTGCAACTGCACGTCGGATTTATCCGGTGAATTCCTAATGACAAGGGTTGAATACGGAATATGACGGTAGTCATGTACAACAGGCAAAGTCTTTCCTTCTGCCTGGCGAAAAGGTGTTTCAAGTTCGATTTCATCATCTTGCACCAAGTTACGAAGTTGATTCCCGGCATCAATCACCGAAATGAATCAACATGTATGATGCAAATCTCAGCATGATTTGTTCGAGATTCGAACATGCGGGCTATTCATCAGTTTATGGCTTTTGGAAAATGACATTTTTGTACTGTTGGTGTACTCATTGGATCATAGTTTTCACAATGACCGAGTGAACACCAAAACATCTGTATCGGTGGGGTAAAAAATCCAAGGTTCACATCTTACTTGAGCGTGTTATTCTGCGAGACATCATCCAGTGAATGTCAATGCTTCCCAAAAGAAAGCCATTCTCGTAAACTAGATTACACGGTAATATCTAGCAGTCTACCAGCCACATGTTTCGCATCATACACACGTTCACTTGGCTGTACCCAACAAACCACCGCAGTCGGGCATTCCAACTGCTCATATCGCGTTTAATATTAGTGGAAAAATAAAGCAAGTTCATTCAGAGATCACATCCATTTATACATTCAAAAGTTCTATACATGCAGAAATCTGCTAAAAACGGAATGAGTACATGCGAATGCAGAAAACTACAAATTACAGATTTTAAATACCCAGGAAACTCCTATCAATAACCATCGATCTAGATCATGACGGCAGCGACCGCCAAAAAGAAGGCACCAAAACCAGCAGCCAACTTAGAACCAGAGCTGGACAGCGTAGGATCATTGCTACCAGGCGAGCCGTTGGGGTTTTGGGGAGAGTTGACAGTGCCATTGTTGCCGTTGGGACCAGAGGCCGTACCATTCGAGCTAGGCGCACCAGTTCCAGGCGTCGATGTTCCATTTTTGCCAGCACCGACTTGCGAAAGTGTACCGCATGCCACACGTTCGTCCTTGCCGTTCGAGATGACGAGGGCCTTTCCACCAACAAAAGCCTTGTTGTTGGGGTCGAGTGAGATGTAGTAGTCCAGAATGCTGGAAGAATTAGCTGACTGCTAGTCATAAAAAAAAAGGTGCATCTCTCACCCGTTGTTGTTATTATCAGCCTCGACTTTGATGTGGCCGGCGCGCCCACTCAAGTCTCCGACTTTACACAACTCCGAGTTTCCACCTGAGGGGCAATCGAGAGAGCCGGTGCCAGTAGGATCGAATACAGCGCCAGCGGTCGCACAGTCACTTCCTGAGAGTGCCTTTTCGTGAATTCGGTATTTGAAGGGGCCTATAAACAAGGAACTAGCGTCAGTAATATTCCAGTAAGATGTCCTAGACAGATGGAGAAGGTGAGGTCTTGAGTTGTGTATTACTTACCACCCTTAGCCATGCTGACACCATCAAAGTTAAAGTTTACACCGACGTTTTCGCCACCAGCACCAGACTTGAGCTCGAACCAGCCCTTGACGCCGTTCTGAGAGACTTCGGTTTTGTATTCGGCTCCTGCGGGATTTCCCCCAATAGCATCGACGGTCGCTGCTACGGCGAGCACGGAAGCGAGAGTGTAGGAGCGCATGTTGTCAAAGATTGGATCGCAGGGGACAAGTGTAACGACTGAAACGAGTGAATGTTGGGGTCGGAGACAAAGAGTGAGGAGTAGGCCAATATATAGGCATTCATTAAGGGCATTGCGGGCCAATGTTTGACAGTATTTTAGGTAGCCCTATTAATCACTTTGCCCTGTAGTACCCGCATGAATCTAAGCATGCCCAGAATTTGGGAGACTTTCTCTCGAATGCAGACATTGCGCTTTGGCTTTACAAGGCTTCAGGATGAGGATGGGGGCCACATCTCCGATTCACACGAGGTGATCTACGTACCGCCGTGAGGCCTAGCCTTATACGGTATTTTGCTGGGCATTGCAAATTCTATAAGACAGTAAGTCTGCAACGTGAAGCCGTGACATGAAACTTTGTCCGGAGAAAAGACGTGATATCCGTCCCATGATATAGCACAGAGAAGTCGATGTTAATATCATTACGAGGGTATTCCTCCTACTTCTTTACTAGTTAAGTCAATCTGGGAGGTCAGAGTAGGAGCAACTAAGATTCGTAACAGAGAGTGGGCTTGACGCCTACGAAAGTATATAGATCCATCTACCATGCCCGTATACTGAAAGGGTAGCAGTGGTTTCGGATTGCTAGTCTCTGTGATGTGCTACCATCGTTCAATGCGTTGGCGATTCAAGAGCGCGACTCGACATACCGGTCTGTCAGCACTACGTTTACAGATAGCAGGGTTGGCCGCCCGATTCCATTGACGAATATCCACTCCCATTGGTCTGGAAGCGTTGTAAATACTGCGTACAGTAGAAATTGGATATAACCGCAATAAATTCTACGGGGTTTGTCAAGGGGAATAGTCTGACACACTGTTCCGACGTGAGGGACTATATCGTCAAAGCTAACTTGAACAAGTTACTTTCTTACCCCAGATTCGTGACACTTGGACCCCACATCTCCGTACTTAAACTTGGTTGAAGGGAGTTTGGCGATTCAATTACTTAGATGGGTGCTTGGAATTGCAAACCTAGTTAGAGAATAACGAGCGCATTTCCAGTTACGTACGTTATCCATCACAATTTTCATGAAAGGGGAGCTTGACACACCCCAAAAGCTATACTTAACTTAAGCACGGTATGGCACTGGTTACCAAGAAATAGCTCAGATCCGTAAGTCACATGTTGAGTTTCTATTGAAAACGTTAAGAAAAGTGCAATCTACCCTCTATATTTTACATTGCTAATAAAAAGAGTGTTGCCATCTACGATTGGCCTACTAAACATTGAATCACAAAACCTGCTCCTCGGCCATCGCAGTAGTACACGACCTTACACCTAGTGTAGCATCGGGGTACTTCTCTTTCTTCCTTATCGTCTTCACGCTGGAAGTCGCAGGCTTCGCATTCCAAGCTACAGCCGTGCAAATTAGCGTATGTGTTTCGTGATGGTACTGTCAGGACACTAGGACCGAAAGTAGATGAGAGGAGACGGACATTCATAGATCGAAGTGATGACGGTGGCGTCGTGTCGCTGTCCCGCGTAAGACGCCTTTACTGAGTGCCCGCCCATAGATCATCATAGGACTCTGCATTATTGGCAAAATTCAACAACTGCTTCGCTCAATAATCCAAGGTAAAGTTTTCCTCTGCCTTTACATTGATAGTCATCATACTAATCGGCCCTATTCCTGGTTGCTATCGTGGAGAGTAGCTCCACGGTTGGTCGGGGCCAAATAAAATCCGAATCCTCCTAAACGCCTTAAACACCGAGATGGAGTCGGATAGAGAAACAGTTTGGAGGACCGACGCCTATTGCTGGGCGAGCGGATGTGGAAACTCGGTGAAAGAGCCATGATCATGTTCCCGTGAAGTAATACGATGAAGGTCTATAAATTCATTTGTTCTCCCGTCGCAAGTGGAGTGTATTCTCAACAGTCCGAACTCAGTACTCGTATACACGAAGTCAGCACAACGAAGGAGCATTCTCGTTACCGTGGCGCATATCCAATAAATCGAAGAAACGACAACAACGGCACAGATAACGATACAAGTATTTACTCACGCGCGAAACATTCCACATCATGCAACTCATTAGCACCGCCATCGAAATTGCAGCAACACCAGAAGTCGTGCGACAAAAGGTACCCTAAATCACTGTTCTTTCTCAATCTCAGCCCCCAAAAATGATAAGACTGGAGCTAACACACTCATCAAAAGTTTCTGGACTTCCCCTCCTGGCCTAAATTCCAGCGAGAAAACGGCTGGTTCCTATCAATCGCCCCCACCGACACCGCCAAAGCGCCCCAAGACCTCCAAGAAAAAGACACCCTAGACGTCAACATTCAGCTCGGGAAAATGCAACCCACATTACTGGTATGTTATCTCCCCCCCTAATCCTTCAAGATGTTTACTAAACAACGGCATCAGGAAAACACACCAAATGTCTTCCGGTGGATTGGCAACGGACTAATGGGTACCTTCAACGGCGCTCACGCATTCCGCTTCCATCCTTCCTCAACAACGCCCGGTGCGACTACACTGGTGCACGAAGAAGAGTTTACAGGGGCGCTGACGTGGATGGTTGGAGAGGGAGTTGTTGCGAAGAGTCTGGGGATGAGGGAGAAGACTAGGAAGGGGTTTGAGGGGTTCAATGAGGATTTAAAGAAGTGGTGTGAACAGTGAACGGGATGGGATACTGGAAAGAGTGGGGTACCAGCTTTTTGATTTGTGGTTTTTGGGTTGTTCGTTTTCATACAAGGTTCCATGCATGTCGCGTATCGCGAGCGGGTTTTTGGCTTATCTTTGGGTAGGGGTGGGTGCGTGGCTATCTCTGCTAAGCTTTCTGGGCGTACGTCTCGTGGATTTTCTTGTCAGCTCGTGTTTGGTGTTGCATGTTATAGCATTTTTGATGAAGGGAACTGTTTCTTAGCATATATAGATATCATGCAACCTGCCCACGAATACTTAATTACTCACACTTGAGAAGTTGTCATGACACAGAAGGCATTCTTGTGGCCTCTTTGGACCACTCGGAACATACCCACACTAGCGGATTTCCATAATGACTACTGGTTGGGAGAAGCACAGTGGAGCAAAAGCATAAATTCAAGTCGCTTTCATTTCATTCATCTTCGTACACTAAATCGTATACATAAAACAATTCTTGTTACATGATTTACCACAGTTCACAAGTCGGCTCCTTGACAGGGCAGTTGAAAGCCTCCTTGAAGCCTCTTTGGTTGGCGACGGTGCCAATAATTCTGAAGTTGGGCGGGGAGTGGGGATCCGAGTAGATCCTCCTGACCGCCTCGGCCGGCCTTCTCTCACCACACCAAACACCACCGAAAGAAAGGTAGAAGAGCTGCTCCCTGGTGTACTCCTCAAGACCAGGCAGGAGCTGATCGGCCTTTTCATCATTCCTCTCCTTCCACGCGGCATAGGCGGCGTTCAAACCTCCACCGTCAGCGATGTTCTCTCCAAGTGTAAGTTGGCCGTTGACATTGAGCTGCTCGCCAGCGGGGGTGGTGATGGAGTACTTGGAGTACTGATCGACGAAGCACTGGGTCTTGTTGTTGAAGGCTGAAAGCGTCGAGTTGTCCCACCAATCATTGTAAGCGCCAGTCTCGTCGTAGTGCGATCCTCCGTTATCGAAAGCGTGGGTAAGTTCGTGTCCGGCGACGGCTCCGAAAGCTCCGTAAGAGACGTATTCGGGAAGGTCGAGGTTAAACAAGGGTTGTTGCATAATACCAGCAGGGAAAGCGATTTCGTTGGTGGGAGGGTTGAAGTAGGCATTGACTGTTGGTGCAGTCATGTACCAACGGTTCTTGTCGGTAGGGTGAAGCAAATCGTTCCATTGGTTGGTAAGGGTGAAGTTGTTGTATGCAAGTCCATTCTCAAACCAAGAGTCTGTGACGTTGACAGGGGCATACAAATCTGCAAGGGCCTTGGGGTCCTGGACGTTGGGAGAAATATCGGGATATCCGATCTTCTCAACCATATTGAGAACCTTTTGAATCGCCTTGGTCTTTACGTCTGCGCTCATCCATTCGTAGCTCTTGAGCTTCTCCTGGAACACATTCTCGATATCGGTGATGATGCGTTCACCATATGTCTTGGCTTCAGGGCTGAAAGCTTGTCGGACGAAGAAAGCGCTCTCAATCCATGGGATGTTGGTGTCAACATCGGTCAAGCAAGTCCTCCAGCGCTCAGCAACAGCTTCAGGATCTTTACCGGTGAGTTCGTTCTGAAGGCGACGGTAAGGAGCAGACACATCATCAGAGAGGCGCGTGGCCCAAGTCTGAATGAGAACCCACTCCAAGTAACCATCAACGGTTTGGCTGGTGGCATTTGATAGAATGGTCGAAACTTTGGGGAAATACTCGGGGGCAAGCACGATAACATTGCCGACGGTGTAGTTGCTGGGGGCGAACGCTTTGATCAAGTTTGCGAACGAGACGTCGGGGAGCAGAGCATCGGCCTCAGCAATGGGCATGGGGTTGTAGTAATACTCCACGCTGGCCGCGTCAGCGGGGTCCGGTGTGGCTGCAGAGAGGGCTTGCTCGAGCTTGACGATGTCGCTAGCAAGGCTGGCGTGCTTATCATGTTCTTCCTCGCCAAAGATGTTGTCGTACATTCCAACGATAGCGGTCGTGTAGTTTGCGATAGCATCCGCGTCTTCGTAGTATTCTTTAGCATCAAGGCCGAGCTGGCCAGGGCCAAGAGCCACAGTAGTAACATCGGGAGTCTTGTCATCTGCCCAAGTAGTGGCTTGTACAAGACCGCTTCCTCCGTACTTCTGAACCCAGATCAATTTGTCTGTAAGACTTGTCGCGTTTCCGGACTCAGATCGGTAAGCCTCTAGGATATCTTGCAAAGGTTTGGCACCAACGGCATCAATCGCCTCAACATCCATACATGACTCGTAGGCTGCAGTCATCTTTACAAAGTTTTGCTTGTCCAGTTCATCAGCATTGTCCGAAGCGTAAGTGCTGTTAATGGTGGTGTTGTCCGGGTAGGGAGACTCCAAAATAGTGCGCATCAACGCATTGTTGACATCTGCCATGATGGACAGAACACCGATGTTGGACTGATCAGGCCTGAAGTCATGAGACGCCCACCACCCACTGCAAGTATAAGTTGCAAAGTCAGTGCACGGGTCGACTTCAGTGTAATTTTCTGCACGACCTGCTATGACGGAGTCTGCAAACTTCTTGCAGGAGTCTGTTGTGCAAACATCCCCATCTTGGCGGCGATGCACCCCGCCATTAGACGACCATCCACCAACAAAAGGAGGAGGTCGTGCTGGGTTTGCGCGTTTGTTCAAGTCATTGACTTTTAAATGGTTAGTTGCTTGTCGAGAACGAGGAGGTATCGCTACATACAAGGACGTTGAAGCTCGCCGACGGGTGAAGCGATCACGCCGGCTGCGGACGCCAAAAGTACCAAGGTTGCTTGTTGGACCATATCGGCGATGTAATTGAAGGACCGTGGTTGGATCAATTAGCAAAGGGCGGACGACCTGAATTTATACAACCCCATTCATTTGAATCATCGCTCATCGTTTCCTAACATGATGAAAAACCCGCATTAGCACTTCGTAGTCGTAAGCACAATGAACGCAAGGGCCCTTGCTGGGGATTTGGATGCCAATATTGCGCTAACGAGCTTTGGAAGGTGGAAAGACAGTGCCAAGTAATCTCGGCGCGGAGACGCTTCGTTAAGCATCTATGCCGTTGATGGCTGTTTCATTGGATTCGCTTTTGAATGGCTCGCTGAGTTCCTGCGAAAGTTGTTTGCCACTGCGCCCAGGTTGCCGGAAACTGGGGGAACCAACTGGATGACGAGATCGGGGCCGCAATCGTGGAAACGAAGCAGCCTCGTATGCTCTCGCATCTTTGGAATAACATACCGAATCCTGTGCGGCAACAGGATACTTGTTGAACCCCCAAAAGTCCACCGGGAGATCTATTGGGGGCGTAGAAGGTACCTGTATATTACTCCCATCATTGCATATCAAGGTATTGAAATTCTAGTGTGAGAGCATAACATTTCCACGAAAGTGATGCTGGCCTGTGGGAACCTTGCCATTACCCCTGAACCCAGAAGCATGAACATGTCAGTCCAACAATCAGCTGTTTTCCGAGCGAAATACACAACTCCTTTAATTTCTTACATTTCAAGGATGCGATTGAGAATATATTGTGCACCTAACTCTTCTGGCAAGATCGTAAGATGGATGGGCGAACGGGTGTGGATCCCGTTGTAGTAGGTGTTATCGGCCAACTACTCAACGCTAATATGAATCAGGTACGTGATAGGATGACGATTGCTCGTGGATACTCGATTGCCTAGGTCGAACACTTATGCTGTCTTTGAGAAGAATGTTGCGCAATTGATTCGCACAGCTGTCCAACTTCAAGGTCGTCAATGTGATCATCTTCCAGCTATTTACAACGTGAATACCCATTTGAATCTCATTTCCCCCACAAAACTAGCATTGCACCGAGTTCCAGGTGGACAGTGAGAGCTCAACATGTTGCAAGTAGCTATCATTCTGGCTCGCTTGTAGCTCCGCGGCAAACGAATACTAGGCAAATGTTTAAGCTTCGGTGGCGAAGCTTTGTATCTCTTCGCCACCAGTCGCACGGCCGTGAATCGCCGGTTCACAATCGGTGTGGCCAATACTGAACGAAGCTGTGCATGAAGCATCGGGTCATGTCATGCCCTCATAAAAGGCAGCTGAACCAGCCAGGCGTCTGATAATTATTATGTATGTGGCGCGACACGATTTATTGCGCTCACCGTTCAATGTATTCTCATATACTCACATCTCAACGCCTGCGTCTTATACTCGGTGTAAAGGTAGTCTGTTGTCAGCTGACGTACCTGCTACAGGAACGCGCTTCTTTCCAGATCGAACGAAACAGTGTTCAGCATTTAATAGTAATACCATTACTATACTATTATTATTATAAATCACTATTACTATTACTATAGTATGATCATAGTAATACTGATTACTATTTGTGCCAAACCTCACCGCTGTCAATGTTTGTATCCATAGTTGCTGTGCTGATAGAACGCAATAACTGATCATTCAACAGCTCTCATGAACGGTATCATGCCAGACACTTTGCGCAAAATTACTTATTCGCAATGCACTATATTAATGGGAAGATTTTAACGCTGCTTTCTTTCTCTGGGGCATGGTCATGCTAAAGATGCGATTGCAACACGCCGAAGCTCGCTTTTCCCCTCCGTTTTGGACCCCAAAAATTTACCAAAGATAGCAGTTGTCTAGCGAACGGCGGCCAGCTATACAAGCTATCCTTCTCATGGCTTTAACGCCCTTGGCGACCACCAGTCCTGTTTGATAGTGGATGAACGACACGTTTTCCTCTCCACACGGCCAGCGATGCTCTTCCAGACCTTCACACCACGTGTACGGTCCATTGACACACACAACGTGTGTCTCCTGCAGATTGGTGAAGTCCCCGAGGTCGTTTTCTGCACCAACAAACCATCCATCCCTGTGCTCCCTTTCAAATTTGAGCCTGCGAATGGTCGGTGCAACAAGTGCATAACAGTTGAAAGGGGTGGTCCCGATGTCGATCATGTCGAGCTCCATGTTGACCCAGACATGCCTGAGAAGCGACGCCGAATGGTTAAAATTCGCATGAGACACAATAGCGACTATCACTTACTGCAATCCGATCCCATCCTTACTGGCTAACTCAGAGAAAGCTTTTCGATACAATCTCAAGTTACGAGATTCTTGGCAAACGTGGAGTGTCGATGGGGTTGGGGTTGACGAGCGCAGACAGACTGCAGATTCTTTGTGCGAAATTGGACGCGACCCCGTATCGCCATCCCCATTGAAAGGCTCGACGCGAACATTGACAATGCGCGGCTCGACGGTCAGTTCCCAGATTGAAAGTCGCAGCTCATATGGTAGACGAGGGAAGAGGTGGAAAGAAGTCATTGTGCTGGACATTTTGTCGGATGTCCAGGTATGGTGAAAGGGGTTTACAAGTACATGTTCTTGGGAGATGTTTGATGTTGGAAAGCCTCCAAATCCTACGAGCGAGCACGGAACCAGTAAGCGGTGAGCAACATCTTATTTTTAGGTGTTAGACACGGCACATTGCTTCTGTCTTATCATCTGCGTAAGCGAGACCACATTGTTGTTCAAGTATGCCCTGATTCGTAGTGAGGAGACTGTCCCGTGACAAGTTGGATAGGGAAACTTGTACGAGTCTGACTTGAGTCTCCGGGCCGAACGCCTTAGCGGGAATAGGCGACATGCATTTTACCCAACACACTCTCCATTACGAGGGTATACATCCAATGATACCATTGCTTCCGAATCAATGCAGTTGGTAACGGGGTCATCAGCCTTAACAAGTTAGGATTGTAAGCCTGCCAACTCACCCAGTATTTCTTCCTGGTGACTGAAAGCAAAACTAAAGTGACCCGCTTCGTCCTTCATGCGCAACGTCGATTCTGGCATCACTTCCTTCGCCTTCAATACCATATCAGACGGGCAGTTTGTATCCTGCGATCCATGCCACAGAGTCAATGATACACCTTCCTCGCCTCCGATCTCCAGTTCCTCCAGCTCAAACTCCCACGGCGTCCGAATCAATCTTGTCTCCCATGCCAGCCCTTGACTTCCCTGCTTTAAACCATCTCGGGCAGCCTGAAGAAACAACCATCGATTCCTCTCATCGTTGATGGCTTCCTGATCGACTTTCGGGCGGGATTCGATTTCCTTGAGCAGCCAATCGTCGAAAACTTTGGGATCTGAATCTCGCGCAGCGTTTCCCATGGTCATATCAATGAAGATATCGAGCGTACCTAAACGGAAAGGGTATAAAGTTAGTAAACGGGGGTGCTTCAATAAGTGATGCATGGCTCAACACGCCAAAAGACGTGGTTGGTCAATGCATCTTGTATACCTAAGAAACGTACCCGGTACCCAAGGTCCAATCCAAGTTGTCAAGAACTTCGGGAAGAATGGCATATGTACGGCCTTTGAAGAGACAGGATAAAGACTAGAGACAACCGCCACGCCTGCTAATCGCTCTCGTGGAATCTCCTTTACACAAGCCAAGGCGTACGGACCACCACTTCCCAGCCCAATGACATAGAATCGTTGGATCTTCAGGCTGTCCGCGAGTGCGAGGACATCCTTGGGCCAGGTCAGAAGCGTACGGTCTGGGTCATAAGTTGAATCGCCCATACCCGGACGGTCGGGAGATATGAGGCGGATGTTGAGATTCGACGATGCCGTATGCCAAAGCTTCCCCTCTTTTCCGCTGGAAAGAAAATCGTGGAAGTAGAAGACTGTGGTTTTGGGGACCGGCGACCCATATATCGCGTAGGACAGCACGCGCCCATGCCCGAGTTTCAGTTTCTCGGATTCACGCATTTTTTCCAAGTGCTCGCAGACTGTCGAGAGATTCAGGTCTACTGAGGATTATTGGAGTTTGCGTGTCGTTGAGAGTATTCGATATTATTGCCTCGGGTAGATGTATACACATATACAAGGAAGAAGCGGGCGCATGATCTCGGTAGGCCTATTAGAGTAAGACGTGCTTACCACACCGCTCTAAGCGCTACTTCACGATGCATCTACGTCATGTTTAATCCTATGAATAGGGTAGTTATTGCACGAAAATCTTGCTAATCAATATTTGTGCAGGGACAACCAGATGTAGCGTAGCCGTCCGTGTCTGCGCGTGCTATGCACTGGCATTTGCTGTACGCTAGCCTCTATTACCCCAATGGCGTCTCGATTCACCCCATATTTCTTCACTAAATTCATTCAATAATGATGAGTACCAATTGCCATGTGTACTTGCCGCTTTCGATTGATCATTCGTTGCGCTTCGGGTGATCATCGTCACTCCTTGGTTGAATTGTACGAGAAGAAGACCTTGAGCGCCTCGTCATTCATGAATAGTGTGCGCATCCAGCTTATCCATATTGAAAATCTTCTTGCGCGATTGGAGCTCTTGAGATAGGTTTTGTTGCCTCCCAGCTTTCATCTATCACCCCGTTTTCTTTCAGGTCTTTCGGGTGAGATTGACTCCCCGGCAGTAGTACTACAGCCTTTCTTTCTCACCCTTTGAAATCATACACGCTATAATTCCATTAGTTCCGTAGTCAATGTATTGCCAATGTGGTTGGTTTTCTTTGCTAGGTCATTCTAAGCTCCTTTGCGTGTGTTCCTTCTGGCTGCTGTCGGCGTTTTTCAGTGCTTTCAGTTCTGATGATAGTGAAGACGACAGCATTATCATGACCCCGAAAACACATAGACCTGACTATACATTGGGGTATCGTTTCATAAGACAGATGTGCTTTTCCGAGACGCTGGAACTCGTCCCAGGACAGTGAATTTCGTACCTTGGTATAAGGAAGTGCAACCAAGAGTTCACAGCAAACAAAACCTCAAGGGTTAGACGTATGCATCAACTAGAATCAGATATTTTAGTTTCCCATCATTCTTATATCGAGGATTGTTGCGCGAACGCCTTATGGAAACGGATTAGTGGCGTTGAGTTATGGCCCACATCCAATGATCGTTTTGCCGATATATGAACTTACCCATGGCGGCAGACATTATTTAGCATAGAATGTGCCATGGCCTCAAAACAATGATAAATAGTATGGAATGCTGTTAATAGAGATATTTCCTCGGGTAGCAGTGCTCGACCCTTTGCGAAACTCGAAGTCCAGAGGAACAGTGGGCGACTATAGATTCCGGCACTTTGAAGGCCAGGAACCATGCAGCGCGCGAGGAAGAGGGGTACTTTATACTACTTAATTCGTTTCCTATTATGAAACTTGCGCGTTGGGGAGCACAGACGCACTTCATAATACTTATTTTTACCGATAAAATGCTCTTTAGCTATAACTCATCTTTACTGGCATCACATAGCAGTTCTAATACTCCCCAGGTAAAGAATTAGTCGCTCAGCCAGAGGAAAGTACTTGAGGGTGATGTTATACTACTGGCTCACCTTCTACCGGATTCCTCAGAACACTGATAAGCGAAAGGTTATATGAGCTTACGAATGCCCAAGGATCCTGCATGCTGTTTTTGCAAATCGAATCTCCAACCTCGTCCCCATAAACTATAATTCTGTAAAAAACGCTAAATTAGCTCCCGAGATATCCACTGCATGCGCGCATTGAATGCACAAGTTGGGTTTTTGACTTTGTGCCTACATACCGAACTTGATCTCCTCGCGTACAGTCCAAATTGATCCGTTGATCGACCTACAGGGTAATGCCACGTCTGAGCCTCAGAACTCGGAGGAATGAAATGTCAAATTTTTTTCTCTCTTCCGTCAATCGGATTCTTAGTTTTCACTCTGCTGCCCGGTAACTTCTTGAAGCTCCCAAGTCCTCGCTTCCCGAGATGTCGGTGTGCCGGTATGCTTCCTACATAATAAATGATCTGGATTCTTTCCGGGTTCTCAATTAGTATCTCAAGCCCAGTTATAATCTGCTTTTATGCCATTTTTTGCGGTTGATTGTCTATTTTTCAAGTCTCTACTACCTGTCTAAATCAACAACACGGCACCTGTCCAGGCGAAATCATCCACCCCCGCAAAATACAACTATACTGGATCCAGGAACACCAGGCTCGTTAATCGGTTCTTCGACCGTCTTCGCGCCCATTCTGTTTGTTGTTGCGGCCGCACTGGCGATCCTGAATTGGAAAATTGACGATTTGCCCCATGCCAACCCCAAAATGAGGTTCTTTCCAGCAACTATGGCACAGCTAGACTTTGCCAAACATGGCACCAAAATTTTCAATAGGGCCAAAAAACAGTTCCCAGGCCAGCCGTTCCGAATGATTACCAATGTTGGAGACACCCTTGTTCTGCCTCCGAGATTCGCGAACCTTATCCAGAACAATAAGACCCTCAATTTTAGTCAGACCGTCGTCCGAGTAAGCTGCCTACTGTGACTGCCAGCGGATGTTTTCTGAAATAATAGGACTTTCATGCTCATGTTCCGGGCTTTCAGCCGCTGGGACTTATAGACCATCAGGGACAGATATTGCAGAACATCATAAAGAAACGACTTGTTACACTTCTGCGTAAGTATATAGTGAGTCTGAGATCGCATACAACGTACTTACGATGCCTTTGCAGATACTATCACGAGGCCTGTGGAATCTGAAACCGCCTTCGCTGTTCACCTAATATTTGGGGACACTTCAGGCAAGGCTTCCATCCGCAGGAGTTTACCACCGCCACTAAAAATGAAGACAGAATGGAAAGAGGCTGGAATACAAGATGCCAGTCTAGACTTGATCGCCCGTGTCGCCTGTCGCGCATTCCTAGGCGAGGAGCTTTGTCGCAACAAAGAGTGGCTTGTGATAACTAAAAACTATACTCGGGACGGGTTTCGAGCAGCTCAGCAGCTGTCTACTATGCCAGAAAGATTTAAGTTTCTCCTTCCCATCTTCTCCCGCAAATGTAGAGTTGTTCGTGACCAAGCACGCCGCGCCCAGGAAATTATAAAATCTGTGATCGAAAACCGGCGGCGCGCAAAAGAACAAGCTCACAAGAAGAACGACCCACAGTCTGTTCCAGAGTTCAATGATGCGATGATGCGATTGAGTGGGGAGAGTTGGACTGTAAGGGTATAGAGTATGATCCTGTTTATCTGCAACTGAGTCTATCCTTTGCTGCAATCCACGCCACCGCAGACCTCTTAACCAAAATCATGCTACTCTTAGCAGACAATCCCACAGCAGTCGATTCGCTACGAGAAGAAATATTGTGTGTCTTGAAACAAGAAGGGTGGCGCAAATCGACCTTCCAAAACCTGAGGCTGGTCGACAGTGCACTCAAAGAAGTCCAGAGAATGATGCCCAACGACCGAAGTAAGCTAGTACACGCATACTGCGTTTTTTTTGCCACTGAGCACCTGGCTAACCACCTCCTTCAGTTACCATGAGACGCTTCGCCTTAAAGGACGTGCACATACGAGACGAGAACCTTACCATCCGCAAAGGCCAGTACATCACAGTCGACGCTACTCGAACCGAAGATCCCACTCTGCACGAACATCCAGAGAAGTTCGACATCTACCGCTGGATCCGCATGGGGGAGACACCGGAATACGAGAAGAAGGCGCAATTCGTCAACACGAGCTCGGAGCATTTGATCTTTGGACACGGCATCCACGCCTGTCCGGGGCGGTTCTTCGCATCGAATACCCTGAAGATTGCATTGTGTCACCTCCTGTTGAAGTATGACTGGGAGTTGGCTCCTGGGACAACTACCGAACTGCCCACTTTCGGCACTGCGAACGTTGTGGATCTGACAAAGGCTTTCAGATTCAAGAGAAGGGAGGCGGAAATCGATCTGGAATCTCTGGACTTTGATTAGGTTTATATGGCTGGATTAGGGGGTGCAAATGGTCAAAAATTGGTGGGGGTGATTGGAAGTGAAGATGACAGTAATGCTTCGAGATTGGCAACGACCTTGCGCGATTATAGTTGGGTAGTTGAGTTGGCAATATTGCAAATGTTATATTCCACTTCAGTCCATTCGAAGCCCAAATATACAGATCATCCAGACGTATGAGAATGCACCGTAAAGAGCGATGGCACGTTTCGTTATTACTCTGTTTTCAGTGTTGAATCATAGTTGTATTCTGGCTAGGTACATCATGACAGTCAGTCTGGCCTCACGACGAAAACCAGAGTTGATATCCGGACATCGTATTAATCCTATCCATTGAATCATTTCATCGAGAACATATGCAAGTTGCAGGCGTTCCTCAAAGTCCCCAGACCAAGCAAAAAGTATAATTCCAGAAGCAGCAGCAAAGCTCCCTAGACCTCCACATCACTCGGGTTCTGTTCGTAGGCAGAGCCCTGGCTATCCTCGGTAGATGCAGAGCTACCGCTCACATTGCGGAACGACTCGGAAGCTTGCTTGGAAGCTTGACGAGCAGAACGGGCGCGCGGAACCTGTGCAGCCTTGAACACAGGCTGAGCAAGCCGCTGGGCAAAAGGGTCATCCATGACAGGTTTAAGCTCTGGGTTGAAGAGTACAGCACCGCCACTGCGTTTGAGAGACTTGGCCTTTGTGGGGGACTCTTCGTCGGTCATGTGATTTTCGGCGTCGGATTCCTGGGTCTCGAGCTTGTCGTTGGCCTTGCGTTTCTTACCCGTGCCTTTGAAATGTAAGTCTTGTGAAGAGCCTCAGGAATGATGTGGGTGTACATACCAGATGACTGAGGGTTCTTAGGAGTGACTGCGGTCTTCTTCGGGGTGTTCGTGGCAGACTTGGGAGCCTTGACACCTGCCATCTGGCGGAGCTTGAAGATGCGCTCCTTGATGGCCCTCTCTGTTGGAACGGCAGGAGCATTGGGTGCTGGGAGATGTCAGTCGTGCTGTCTGGTAGGTGCCAGGGCATCGTCATCGATGAGATCCGGCACAAACAGTCACGTCAAGGGATACACACGCCAGGCCTTCAATATCTTGCTGCCATCCACAGTCACGTTGTGGGTCTCCAGAATCTTGAGGAGCAGCAAGCGATCGTTCTCCGCAGTCCAGTTCATAGGCATGTTGGATGATGAATTGTTGTGGTGTGCTGAGGAGTATCTCGAAGCTAGGGTCACTGTAGCTGACTTGGATTGGAGGAGGGGAGATGTAAACAAGAGTGAGGGAGAGTCAGAACTGAGCTCAGGGTATTTATAGTGAAGTGGGGTAGGGTGAGAGATTAGATTGTAACAGAAGGTGACCGTAGGTAAAAGAAAGATCTTAAGAAAAGCTTAGATCACGTGCAATTGTCAAGACATCAACAAATCTGTTATTCTACTCCAATTAAAATTTTGCTTGGACAATCCACTTGCGTTACAGATAAATAAAGGTTTTTCTATGGCCTAGTATCATAATACGCGATCTACTAGAGATTCCTTGCAGTTACTTCTGATAGTAGGAGTACATATGTACTTACAGAGACACTAGGTCTTATTGCTCATACCTAAATTGCCACGAGTCTGTTTTGTGTATGCTACCCGACGCTAGGAAGGGGTGCCCCCCGATCCTTGCTTTTGCTTATTGCAATAAGCTTGGTGAAGGTAAAATTGTTTGTTTTTTTGATTATCGCTTGTTTTTTGTTGGTTTATTTTATCGCTGTAAACTCTCTGCTGTGTGTCAGGATCACCTAAACTCCAACTCAGAATAATTAAGTAAATCAATCCGACGCTGGGAAAACTTTCGCCCGTAGTATCACGTAGTCTTCGTTTGTTTGCGTTCACCCTAATATAAAATCCCGCAGCTCGACAAATTCCAAACCACGACCTCACAACAAACATCACCCATCGACCACCAAACGGACGCGCACACACAATATAGCTTGCGACCCTCACCGGAGCCCTAGCAAGCTCACATACATGATTGCCACATGTTACGCGGTACCGGATTACGCCCGACAATCATGGCGCCCAAAAACCTTTTAAAGCAGGTGTTTCGCAACATTTACCACAAGAAATCGATGGACATCATGCATGCTCGCCAAAAAGAAAACTCGGACGTGGAAAGCGAGAACCAGAATCGGCCGCCGCGACCACAAAGTACGCCTTTGACGTCCTATTGGCGGGAAGCTGGGGATACAGAAAAGCAGTTACCAGAGGATATGCAGGGAGCCATGGAAGTGGTGGCAAAACAGGTATCTTTTACTGCATCTCGTTATCCAAACATTGGAGGAGAAGAACTGAAATGCTGATAATGGGCCTAGGAAGACAACGATTCATCATCCACCGATTCCAGCATCGAAGTCGCGAAACCAAACGACGACTCTATTCTACAGGAAGCATTGAAGCTGGCTAGGTCGCATCTCGATACTATTGATACGACGCTCATCATGGTGCAAGCTTTCCGGGGTATGAGTCGGCATGTGGAAGACATAGAGAAGGAAATGCTGGCCAAGAAGCGGGAGTGCAACCGAACGTTGGTTTTATTGGAGGCTACGCGCGGAAATGAAGGCGGTATGCATGCCGAAAGCCGTGAGAGCGGGAATAAGGAAGAGGGCAAGCCTATCATGGAGTAAGAGTATGGACGCTTTGGGATAGGGGCAGGGTTGTGCCGGTGTATGCGTGTCAAGACATGCTAGGCGGTGAGGCTGTCTCTTTGTTACTAGGGCCCTGTGGCTTGTAGGGATATGGCTCGAGCAAGCCAAGTTTGATACGGCCACCCTGAGCATGTTTAGGGTCAGACACACGTATTGATCATGTTTTACAAGGATGAATTGATGATGGGTACGGGTATGTAGGAGACTAAAACTATGTCTCTTTGGCTTTTTTTTCCAGACTTATGTATCATGGCTCACTGAAACCATGGTTGAACCAGTGCAAAAAAACAAAAACCAACTCGTCGCTACACACGAAGCATTATAAACGATTACACATGTAGATAGTATGTAGCTATGGTGGTTCTTCAACCTCAACACCACAGGTATCTCAACTCCGTACATCTCCACTGGATCGTTGGGACGTCGTATATGTCACTACATCAAATGCGCAGTCACTAGTAGCTATGCATTTTCAGATGTTGAATCATTCAGATGGGGCTAAATCAGCAGTCTCCACCAGCCAGAATATGAAATTCAGACTGTCTTACACGGTTTTCTTTGACCGTCATATCATATCATGCCACTCTCCAATCAGTCGATTGTGGTTGACGCCAGTTGATTGACTGCCAGGACGCCACCAAGTCACGTGCACACGTGGAAACAGTCAACTGAAACTCCGAGAAAGTGACAGGGCAGCTTCTCCGCAAACCAACGCGCTAGAATCGTAAACAAGCGTACTTTCCATGCAGCTCCACCACCCTGCATATGTATGGACCTGGCTAGGTAACCACCCGCCTGCTGTTTCACTGCATTTTTATTGATCCTGCCCACCACCACAAACAATCATACCTACACCGCTTTTGTGCCCCGCTCGCGCGTGATATAAGAGATCATCGCAGCACATTTATCTGTCGTTCAAAGAGATTCTGGCTGCTTGGAAGCTACTGGTGTCATCGTGATGGATACCAAGCGTGACCAGGACGACAAGAAGGTGCCGGTTGACAGGCAAGAGCAGGTTTCCACCGCGGCACCGAAAACGGCGTACGTATAGCCAATTTCTCTCATTCAGACATGGATTCTTTCTTGGACTGACACAACATTATAGAGCGACCGAGAACGCTGCAACTACGCAGCCCTCCGAAGTACACACGGCCGACGATGACACTCCTCCTCCCATGATCAATCCAACCAATTATGATGAACGTATGTATCCCTCCTTCCCTCCCCTCCATCCGTTTCTTCTCTGTCTCTCTCTCACCCTCAAACTGCTAACACCCGAGGTAAAATCAGGCATAAAAGCCCTCAACGACTGCATAATAAGGCTGAACGAGGACATCACGGCACTCCGCGAAGACAACGCCAGAATCGCAACAAAGTATTAAGATGTCTACAAGAAATACCGACTCATTTTCAAAGACTCAATGAACTGGGCTAGCGATAAACACAAAATCATGAAGCAAATCAACACCGAACTCGATAAAACCAAGGATCTGCGAGATGTCAGCGCGAGCCAGCAACGCGATATCGAGAGGCACGTTAAAAACCACCAAACGTTTTCGCAGAAAATCGAGGGTCTGGAAAAAGAAGTGGAACAGCTCCACGCCAAGGTCAAGGAAAAAACCGAAGCGGAACTCAAAGAAAAAGCGGAGAAGGCGAAGCTCGGGAAAGAAGTTGCGGATCTCAAAGCTCAACGCGCTGAGCTGGAACAAGCGAAAAAAAAAGTACGCCCTCGAATGCAAGGAATTGGATAAAGAGAACCGCGCTCTCGCGGAGAATGCAAACATGCGCCGACAACCGGTCCGCTCACCCCCATCGCATACCAAACCTCCCCCTCCTCCGCGAACTCCATCCCGATCTATAAAAGATCCCACTCCTGCTGCGCACCAGAAAGACGAGCGCCCGTACCGCAGCGTCGAGCCGAGATCCCCGTCCCGCGATACTCTTCTTCATCGGAGACAGACAACTGTAGAAGAGTATCGCTACGCCGATGCCAACGCAGATGCGTTTGAGAAACAGGGATATCATGATTCTTTCCGGCCTTCAAGGGATAGAGATACGATCAGGGAAGAGGAGTGGGAGAGGGAGAGGGAGCAGAGGGGCGTCAAGAGGTCGCTGCCGCCAACGGGGCCGAAGGCGATGGAGCCGAGGGAGAAGCGGAGACGTTGAATTGCGTGTGCAGGAGGAGGGGAGGTAGGGGGTGTTGACTTGGGTGGCAAGGGATATCCTGGGGTTTGACTGCGCATTTGACGTAGTGACTTGACGTATACGACGTCCCAACGATCCTGGGGCTTGGCTGTTGAGAAGAGCTTGGTTATCTCTCATTTGGTGTGTATTGATATCATGAGTAAGTGGGATACGGTAGGGGACTATATGCTGGTCGTTTGGCGGTACTTGAATGAGGATGAGATGGGGTATGCGATATCGAGATCGGGCGTCTGTTGTGTCTTATGGAGACATATCATGTCGCTACACGTTTCCTAAGCTGCGTTAGCATTGACCAATGACCGAGTCAGGCGTAGGTGGACACTGATTGATGAAGTCATGAAAAAATAATGTCGAAATATTTTTATTCATTTGATTTCTCCTGAGACTGAAGAATGGCGCAATAGTATGAACACCTGTCGGCGTGGCTCCTTCATTCGCCTCTCATGGTATGCTCACGCCTGCTAATTGTGTAGGGACGTATAAAGCAAAAGAAAGTTGGTTTAGATACCTTCCAGCCCATGGCGCCCTGATATAACACTTGCCACGATTCAAAAACACGAAAAAAAAAAAAGATCCGTCCAGCCATGTGATGAAAACGCCAGCCCCTTAGTTGTATGTGTCCACCATATAACTCCATGTGCTGTACAACTCCCGAGACAAAATGGCTCTGTCAGAGTTGAATTTTGTGTTTCCGTAGACGAAAGGGAATGACGTCTGAGGACGTAGATGATGGTGAAGAAGAAGAGGAATCAGACAAGGGACCAACTATCCTCGGTGTCGGTGTCGCCGTCTGCGTCGAGATCGGATGGGGCTGCCAGGAGCTCGGGGCTCGTCATAGTGCTCATGTCGCTCTCGTACACCGCGCCGGTAGTATCGTCGAAGCCGTGGCCATGGCTCTTGGGACGATGGACGAGTGTGAAACCGTAATCTTCTTCTGCGCTCGAGGGAGAGTCTGGGAGGAATGCCATGTCGGTGCTATTCTTTGGCCTGTGGACGAGTGCGGCGAAGTGATTGTTGTCATTCGCGTTAGTGGGTTCCACGTCATCGATGAGCATGGCATTATCATCCTCTGGATCCTGCCAGAAGTCGTGAATGATATGATTGCACTCGTCCAGTTTGAATTCGGGAATGGTTTTGGGGGCAGGAAGCTGTAGGAGCTCGGAGGCACCTAGAACGAGTGTTATATTAGCTGATTGAACCGTGGCCGGTTTCCGCATCATATAATCCGACAACTTACCGTCATCCTGAAAGTTCCTTTCCATGCTCAACCTGCACAGGTCCTTGTAAAAGGCGGGAATGTCGTAGACAGCTTGACGGAAGCTCTCACTATGACCCAGCTGTTGGTAAGCGAAGATGGAGAGACAGTAGTGCAGGAGGGTGTCGACGAGGGTGTGCTCCAGACGGGCCTGGTGGCTCGCGAGATGCTCGTAGAGGAAGCGGATGGTTTCGGACAAATCAGCTGGGGGAGTCGCATAGCAAGACGAGAGCTCGGTTTTGTTGTTGAAGTTGGCATAGGCGGCGACTTGGAGAGCAGGGACGTCAAAATCCTGGGCGATCTTGAAGGTCACGGCATGGTGCAGGAGGGTATCGCTGCCAGCGGTTGTGATGTAGCTTCCAGTGTACAAGAAACGCAACAGAGAAACGACAGCAGCACGCGAGGTGGCCTCGATGTTGGCCTGGCTGAAATTGTAGGCCCCAAGCTCGAAGGCATGATAGAGAAGCGGGCATTGCTCTTTGATGATAGAAGGGTTGACATTGTAGATATGCGAGACGGAGTTGTCAGGCAGCAGGACAATGACGGTTCCCGTGTCGGAGTCGAAGGCGTCGGGAATAAGGAAAGCCAGGTCGTCGTCCATGGCGGCAGGCTGATGAAGTGGTGACTATCAAAGCAGAAGACAGGCAGCAATGGAAATGCCAAAGACGGGCGTCAAGGTAGAAGTTTGCGGGATCCCCAATGTCGGTTGACTGGATGCGCCGGAGAGGGGCGCTGGCTGGATGGGTGGATGGTGAGTGATTGCGGATTGGCTATAGGGTGGCTAGGCAGCAGTCGGTACGTTATATGGACGATCCGGTGGCCACGAGATGGAGCGAGACAGCAAACACGGTGGGAGAGGATGGTAAAAGCCAGAGACGAAGGACTTGGGTGGGATAGCAGGACCGAGCGTCTGAGACGGGTGAAACGGTGGACAAGAGTGTATGGTAAAGTGAAGTGGGTGAGGGTAGGCGGGGCAGTAGACTGGAGAGGAGGCTCAAGAAGCATGCTCCGCTGCTTATACCGACCACTGGAGAAGCAGACTTGCCCTGATTGGATGGCGGGGGGCACCGGTGAGATGGATGGATGGCAAGCTGGACTGATACAAGATACATGGGATTGTCTTAGCTGTGTCTATGTACTTAGCTAGGTATGTATGTATGCTCTACAAAATACCCTCTCACATCGCTACGTGATCCCCGCAGCATCCATCCTGCAGCAGCTGAATGACGTGCAGACACGCCATGGAATCAGAGCAGTTTGGAAAGCATTGGGCAAGCAAGCCAGCACACAATCAATCATGTGGGTATGTAAAGGAACAAAGCATCGCGGGTTGGCTAGAAACAGATGAGAAGAAGAGAAAAACAATCGGCGGGGGGGAGGTGAAAGTGAGGACGAACGGGGAGGTGACGGTTACTAAGGTACATACCTAGGTAGGTACAGAGGTGCCTGCCTACTTCCTTAAGTACATAGGTACCCAGGTTGCTCCTGCCACTTCGGTGGGCGGGTTACTCCACACGAGCATGCATGCAGCTAGGCGCTAGCGTTCCCCTCGCACCTTCCCCTCCAGCGCCTCAGCCACAGCGCGCCACCGTCGCTGCCTTTAGTCAACAATCCACCCTCCGTCCATTCATTCAATCCTCGTTCGTTTCACATGTCACCGTGACATGTTTCTCACACGTCGTCGTCCTTGTCCCTTTTCTCTTTTTATTCCCCGTTCCCGACTCTGCCTCGTCGTCTTCACTCCTTCTTTTTGCCCTTCATTTTTTCTTCAGTCCCGCCATTGATGTGCCGCCTCCTTCCGCCGCCGCAGCCGTGCCTTTTTAGTGCAGATCCCATTCTACTGTAATTCGACCTGCCTTCCATCCCGACTTGAATACCCGTCCGTCACCACCATTGTCACTTGTTGTCGCCCTGCCTCTACCGTTGCTGCGATGGGCCTTTTCTCCATTCTCCCCGCCGACTACCTTTTTGTAGAAACTTGGGTGGGACGAACTTTTGTAAGCAAGCCATCCACTTTAGGATCCAATCGCTCCGCCCACAACTAATTACTACCTCTGTCCAGCTCCTTTTTGGCGCCTTCCTACTTGGCCCATGGGTTGTCCTTTTGGTATACGACCTCTTTCTCTATATCTTCCGCTCCGCTACATATGAAATCCCCGTCGTTGGCGGCCGCGCTCGCGGGAAAGCCAGACCTCGCGCTCCTAGTCTGACCGCGCGACCCGATGGCCACCGCCGTAGATTCAGCCTCGCCCCTCGTCTTGCTCCTCCTCCTCCACCTACCCACACCGGCAGCGATGCGAAAACAAATTGGTCGGATCCACGCTATAGGAATGTTCAGGAGGAGCCCGATGACGAGGCTACGTGGGACAACTCCACTATCGAGTGAGGTGTACTCTTTGTTTGACCCAAGGCTGTACAACCTATACAACTGGGTGGAGTGCGCTTGTGGACATCTGCTGCAAGTGACAGCAATCCGGGCTTTCCGCTGCGTGGCAGGCGCCAAGTATCACGATGCTCATTTGGCAAACTCTGCCGTTGGGAATGATTATACACAACACACAATAACAATTGCACGATGCTATTGCTGCTTTGAATATCGTTTGGGGGATTATGACGTTTCGACGCCAGCACAGCTCCAGGCATTACGTAGGGCATATCCAATTAACCAAAAACATCATAGAAAACATATATCCATTAGCTTGACTTGTCCAAATGTTAAAACCTCAAACATCGCTATCATGATTGATCATGCTATTATTGGATATACAAGGAACACTGCATCGTGAGAATACCATGTTGCTCATTCACCGTGTTCGGTGGCCCGGCGCTAAACCCAATCAAGCATATGTATGCGACGTTATATATTGCGACAACACCACGCTGTTTACAAGCCCTAGACGCTCGAGGACCTGCTTAACTACCATCATCGCGCCCGTAGAATGAATCCGATGAATGAACTTCTCACAACATATCTTGCTCCATTGTGACCATTCACTACTCATTCTATTCCCGCAATTCAGATACCATGAGAGATACCCTTTTTCACCAATCCCCACTATGGTTGGGAATCTCAGGACTTCTTATCATCCTTCTTGCTTTCCGCACTGTCTGGCTACGTGTAATACCCGCTTCTCTTTCCTCTCCCTATGATTTCCACCACTCCCTCAAATCCACAGCTCAAGATCTGACCATGTTCGCCACAGGTTTCCAACTCAAAGACACGATCCTCCATTTCCGTTCCAGCACCTCGCAAAGAGCTGCAATCTGAGTTTTCAGTGGATAGTTATGATCAGATTGATCCTTTGGAGGAGTTTGATTTGGACAATGAAGAACCTCTGAAGATAAGACCGTTTAAAGACAAGTATTATCTGACTATGGGTACGGCGATTGCCCTTCTTGTGTCCATGGAATTGGATGTATTGATTTGATCACGTGTACTGAGAGATTGGCAGGAATCGAGAACATCGCCGCCAATGATCTTATAGTCATGGACAAAACTTGTAAGCCAAAAAAACTCCTCGATACGCAACACTGACCAAATCCCCCCTCTAACACATATACACACTCGCAGACCTTGCACGCATCAACCTCCGAAAACACCTCATCAACACCCACACGTCCGATGTCCTGGCCTACAACCCAATCATCACCCCCGCAGTAACAGAGTACTACACTTACCTCCTCACAATCTACCTCCCACGGCGCTTCCCAACAATCTACACCCTCCACCCCACCACTCTCTTCAACACCACCACAAACACTCACATCCCGCTAACCCCGCCCTCAACGGCTGCCGCGCTCCGCATTCTCGGCGAGAACATCGACACAGATTTCCTGTTCCTCCTCCCTACTCCTCTCCCTCCTTCGTCCGGGAAAGAAGGGTCCAAGTACACACTCCAGGGCTTCATAACATGCTTCCCATCCGGCTTCGCCACTCTCTCGAAACTCAATCTCTCCCTCGCAGACATCCACGCCCCTGTCCCGGGGTACGCGGAGAAACTGGAGCGCAGCATGGATAAGTTCTTTGCGGCGTTGCCTGCGGGGAGGATCGTCCGGCGGTGCAATTGGGGCGTTACTACCGATGATCGCTTGTTCGCCATGAGCGGCAATCATATGAGCGAGGACGAGCTTCGGGATAGACGCACTCACAATGGAAAAGAAGAAGAGGAAGAGGAAGAGGAGGTGTTTGACGTAAAGGACTGCGTGCTGAGGATCGAGCGCCAGACTTTACACAGATTACCACGGACTGGCGCTGTCGTGTTTGCGTTTAAAACGTATCAGTATCCCCTTGGGGATATAGTGGACGAGGGGAATGGCGAGGCGCTGGCGAAGGCGATTGAGGGGTTGGGCGAGGGTAATGTTCCTGGGATGAAAGTTTATAAAAGGGAGGTTGTTTGGGGGGAGAGGGTTAAGAGGTTTTTGAGGGGGGAAGCGGGAGGCGAGTGATTTTTTGCCACAGAAGGGGAAGTTTTTGATGGGGAAGCTTTCTCGCTCTTCGGTTCTCGCTTTCTCTCTTTTTTATGTTTTTTTGGAAGGGTGGTGTATCAACTGCGTAATTAGAACGCGGAAGAGGCGGCAGTGTGTTCTACATATTCCCCTCTCTTCTCGCCCCTCCTTGAGAGTGGATCCGCAGTTAGAAAATACCTAGGTACATACAAATATCCCTCCCTACTCATCTCCCAAACCCCATCTTAATGTTCGCACAGCATACATCGAAATTAGTGAGATCAGGAGGATGGTAGGGCAAGGCGGACGGGTTGATGGAAGTGGGAAGCCTTGTGAGAACTCTGCTCTTGTGTAGCGGAAGTTCTTCAACCACCTCAACACCACGCATATTTTCAATCTGTACATCTCCGCTGGTTCGTCGGCATCAAATGCGCAGTCCATACATCCAAATTTCCCACACCTCATGATCAACACCCCAACAGCAGTACCGATGGGGCATCCAGATACCTTACACGCTATACCAAAACCAGCGCAACAGATCAACGCGGATTACAATAACGTATTCTTCTTCGTTCATTCATTTGTATACGACTGGTCTGACCCACTTAAGTAAGTGTCTGTGTCCCTGCACTAAGATGTGACAGGGCTATTTGTACACGGAGGTATGTATGTATACCCTGGTTTATATACATACTGTGGTTCTATATGAGATTTGTTTTGTATACATGTATCATGACGAGATCAGAAATGTGGGCGATGGATCTACAAAACCTGATTTTGGTAATCTCCCATCTTAATATCTTAGGAACCCCACCCCTCCCTCCCCCTGGAAAATCTTGTCAAGTGTTGATGGTATATCCCTCCTTCTCCTCCAGCATACCAAAAAAGGGGAAGAAAAAACGTCATATATAAAGAAGACTACGATTTGTTCTCCATACAGTTAAACCCGCAAACAGTATTCCACGCAGCAAGCTATCTAGGACAATCAATTTTTACCAATCTTTCCCTACTAGCTGAGGCCTCTTCCCCCTCCCCAATATATAAAGTCTTCTCTATTTAATCCCTTGGTTTGATTTTTCAGGAAGATACTGCATGCTAGTCTGCTCCCAGCCAGTTCACGAAACAGATTCCCCACTCCCCTCTGCATTCTAAACCCCCCAACGCCAAACATATCAATCAGAGTCTAAGCGTACATCCCGAGTCGCCAACTCGAGAAAACATGATTCCAGGTAAACGACTGACGTGAAGCGTTCTCTTATCGTAGAGAAAAAAAAAGTGGAGACATAACGCACTTCTCTCTTCCCTTCTCCCACCCATCATCCATCTCTCTTCTTCATCACATGTCACTTTACTCACCCCCGCCTCCCTATTCCTTATTTATATAGTATTCACGACTAAAAAAATAATGGAAGAATCAACTAATAAAAAGTTACGCGTTCTCGTGTATGTGTGTGTGTCGGTCCCAACACAGCCTAGCCCAACCAACAACCCACAACAGCAAAAACCCAGAAAATAAAAAGTAAAAGGAGATAGTATTATGAAAAAAAAAAGAATGAAACAAAGAAGAAAGCGAACAGCAAGGGACTCGAACCCTTAACCTTTGGCGGTTTTAATTGCTTGAGTTTCGAAGAAATCGAAGCAACATCTGGAACCGAAAACCAACGCGCTACCAATTGCGCCAACCGTCCGAACTTTTCTGAGGTGAATTATGAAAATTTTGTCTCATACCTTTTTCATATCCGGTACAAAAAAAAAGGGTCTAGACGGAAGCTGTTGGTTTCCACAAAAATTTGGACGAATGACGACGGAGGAAATTTTTCCTTGGGTTCGCGGTGTTGGGTGTGTGGGGTAGGTACCTAAGTTTTTAGTAGTTTTTTTTTCCCCGGCGATGCATCATCCGTCCAACTCTCCACTTAGTAATCTTCCCTAGTTCCCCCCTCCCTTCTTTCTTCTTCATTTCCCTCTGAACTTGACCTTTTCGTTTATATTTGCTATATATAGAAGGGAAAGGCAAATAAACTTAAACAAAGAAAAAAAAAGGGGGGGGACAATTCCATGTCACGATCATGCTTAGTTAGATTCAGGCCTAGTCACTTACTATCACATCAACAGGAATACTTTCAAACTCGCTCAAACAACCCTACAATTCAGCCTTTGGCGGTGCCTCGAGATGATGCACATCCTTGACCACACTCGCTTTCCTCCCATTCCCGTGCTCCACATCGTTCAAGGAACTCCTCCTCACGACCTGCACCCCTTCCTCCTTCATCCTCGCGAAATTCTTTTCCGCCTCCCAATTCCATATACTGTCCGACGCGAAGAGGAGATCGATTTCCTCGAGGGTGCGCTGGTTGGTCTCGGGGTACAAAGCCCAGACCATCGGGATAGAGATGATGTTGCAAGCGGCGAAGATATACAGAGTTTTCTCGCCAATGTTCTTGAACATGATGGGGCACAGCAGCGTCAGCCAGCCGTTTCCAATCGACCAGCCGACAACGCCCCAAGCGTTGCCCTTTGCGCGGATCTCGAGGCCGAAGATTTCGGCCGGGTAGAGCCACGGCACTGTCAACCAGGTGGCGCCGAACACGAAGGTGAAGAGGAAAACCATGGATACGGCTGCGTTTCCGTAGCTTGCGGCTTTGGCGGCGTCGTCGACGGCTGTAGCGCGCTGGCCTAGGTACGAAAAGGCGCCTGCCAGCGCCATGGCGATGCCCTGTCCCACAGAGCCCCAGTAGAGCGTCCAGCGGCGCCCGATGCGATCGAGGGTGAAGACGCAGATGAGCGTGGAGAACATGTAGAAGATGTTGTTCAGGCCGGCGATCCATTGTCGCTTCGCGGGGCTCATGCCTGCGATGCCGAAGATGGTCGGGGCATAGATGGTTACTCCTGCTATTCCGACCCATTCCTGCATGATTTGGAGCCAGATGACGAGCTGCACACGTCGTCCTGTGTGGAGACGGCCTGAGTTGATGCCGAAGAGCATGTGGTAGTATGTTTGCTGTTTGAACTCCTTACGTTCGAGCTCACAGGACGATATAATGTCTTGATACTCGGCCTCGGCTTTCTCTTTATCGGAGGGATCTGTGTCGCCTCGAAGGCGCCCTAGAATATACCTCGCCTCTTCCTCTCGTCCAGCTTTCACCAGCCAGCGCGGCGATTCAGGGAAGAATAGAACGGCACCCATGAGGATGAGGAGCATGGGAATCTGGAAAGCGATGGGGAAGCGCCAGATAAAAGACGAGGTGCCGTCGCCGTAAAACGAGCACCCGTACTCAAGCCAATACGCAATCACCACACCGAGAATGTTGAGCGTAAACTCGATTGCAATGAACTGGCCGCGCGAAGTGTGCTCAGCGGTTTCGGTAGCCCAAACAGGTATGATGGCGTTGAGGATTCCTGTTCCCCAGCCGTTGACGAGGCGCGCGCAGATCATCCATTCGTGGTTCATGGCGGAAGTTTGCAGCGCTGCACCCACGACTCCGACGGCAGCTCCAAGGAACACAGTCTTGATGCGGCCAAAGTGATCTCCGAACGAACCTCCTACGAGACAGCCTACTAAAGTTCCGAGATAGTAGACTGAGACTATGCCACCCTGGAGGAGATCATTGTCTACGACGACTCCGCCGTCAGGTCCTTTGTGACCGAAGCCCATTCGCGTGTAGTAATCGTACGCCGTGTTGACGCCTTGGTGATTGTTAGTATGCAATTTGTAGGGAATGACTGATTGCTTGACCTACCTCCCATCATTCCTTGGTCATAACCGAAGAAGAGAATAGAAAGACCTGCAATGCAGTTTATTCTATGTCCAGTGTTAGTGAAGCACAAATCATCAACCACGAAACCACACTGACGCTATAAGAAGGCTTCTCTTCTCCAGCCGATGCACGACATTGAGTCTGTGAATCTTGTCCATCGCGAGACGACGTCCTCAAACACTTTCGATATCAACTTCGTGCAAAGGGACAGTGTTCAAGTGAATCAAAACACCTGTCAGTAAGGCGGGGAGACAACCATGGTTATATAGTGCACCGCAACCGTTATGCACGATCCCAAGCAGGTCATTTTGTCCATCGCACATCTGCATAAGTGGGTCATCCACCATACTCGCTGTCCACCGTTCGAATCAAAATGCTCGAGCTGTGGAGTAGATGCACCCAGGAAAACATTCGGGCCTTTCCTACCCCGAGTCCCCGCCTGCGTCATCACTGGGGTAGGACATTGTTGACGGGTAGCGCGACGGCAGCGGCTTGCCAATGGTAATCATGGATACGCAGGTATACCAAGCCTTTGGAGCTTGTGACGACATGTAGCGTTGAATGAGGCTTAACTGGATGTGGCTATCCGCGGTTCGGGCTTGGAAAGGTTGATGGTGATGCTTGTCGATTGTTTGGTGGGGCGGCTTCGGGTGAACATGCACGCCTCGGCTTTTGAGCGTGGGATAAATGTCGCGTCGGTGTCGACTGGCCGGGTTGAAGAGGACGGCTGATGGCGATCTTGTCTCTCTTGATTCTTATTTCATGGGGGCTTTTTAAGAAGGAAATATAAAATGAGGAAACTTTTCTTTGCGCGACGACATTTCGAAGTAAGTTCACTTTCTCAGCCTCTCGTCTCGAGGCAAAGCGGCAAAGCGGCATTCCAAGTTGGAGCGGACCGGCTGCAACCGTTGTCAAATGCCGAGCTTTTCTCCGTCATGTCTTGATCGCTCTTGGGGTTTGTTTGAGTCAGCTTTTCGATCCTGAATCTTGCTTTCACTGATGGGGGAATAAGATTCTAATTGTCTCATGATCTTTTTTGAAAACATTGCGGTGAAGATATGCTGAGAAATCACGTACCATTGTCATTGGTATCCCGTTAGGTTGGCAATGTAGCTGAAGGAGTAATTGTCATGTGGCAGCGCTTTCATTAGATATACTGATATCGAATATGTTCTGGTTCGATTGTTCTAGTTTGGACTCACTATCATGTGTTGGTCACTCCATCAACTTCAACTGCATCAAACATAATAATACTCTGCGGTTTATTATCATGACGCAACATCGTCCCTAATCGCAAACCACAGATTTCAGTCTCTTCAAACGCGCAATCCTCTCCACTCATATACAATCCTGAATTCCACAAATACATCATTACTGACAACGAGACCGTCCAAACATATGCACCATCTGAGCTTCTACTTATTCAACGCCTTTACGAACCCCCAGACAACCCCTACTCTCAAACACAAACAAAACATCCCCCCATTCCACCCGCCTAGAGCTCAAAGCTCTCCCCAACCAACTCCTCACTCAACTTCCACAACCTCTCCGCATTCTCCCGCCCCTTGGCATACTCCTCCCACGGCCCATCATGCTCAACCCTACAATCCTGCATGTACGCCCCATTCTTCTCCTTGATACTCGGATCCAGCGCCGCCACTAACGTCGTAGCAGCGCCCTGGGAGTGCGTTTTCGTAGCCACCAACACGTTCCTTTCACTGTCGAGATAACCCTTATCCACGAAGACTTGCAGCTCGATGTGATTGCTGAGGTTCGTCAGTATGAGCCCAGGGTGCACACTGAATGCCGTTACGCCTGCGGCGTTTAGAGAAGGAGAGTGCGCTAGCGCGATGGCGTTGAGGATGTTTGCGGTTTTGGATTGCCCGTAGGCTGTATCTGGGTCGTAGACTTTGCCGTCCTAGTTTCAACGTTCGATTGGTTAGTATTTTTTTTGGGTTTACCTTCACCCCCTTCCCCCACTTTCCATCGCACCATGTCTATTTTCTTCCCTTTCTCTGACGAGAAGAGTGTAAAGCAGAGACTCAACTTGGAACGACCAAGCTTGCGATAATTCGAGAACATGTTACATACCTCGAAATTCACATCCCCCCACCTCACTCCACCATACGTATGTCCCAGACTCGCCAGAAAAACAACTCTTCCTTTCGCCTTCATCACCGGTCCTTCCCTGCTCTTCACCTCTTTATCCCCGCGCTCGACCCCTTCCCCCTGCGTCCCAAATAATAGCAGATTCGTAAATAACCACGGCCCCAAATGATTCACCGCAAATTGCCTCTCAACACCTTCCTCGCTCTTCCCCCATGGCGTACTCATGATCCCTGCATTGTTAACCAATACATCAATGCCCCCTTCTTTTACTTCGTCCCAGCTGCAGACTTCTTCCGCCGCGGCTCTTACAGCTTTTAGACTGGAGAGATCGAGAAGGAGAGTGCGGGCGTGGACGGAGGGCACGGAGTCTTTGAGGAGGGAAAGGGAAGTTGAGAGCGTGGAGGTGGAGCGGCCGGCGAGGATGAGGAGCTTTGGTTCGTGCGGGGCGAGGGCGAGGGCGGTGGTTAGCCCGAGGCCATTGGGAGATACGCCTGTGATTAGGAAAGTTTTGTGCTGGATTTGCTGGGAGAATGCCGAGGTGACGGTTTCGGAGGTTGTCGAGGCGTCGAAGGGTGAAGTGGTAGCTGTTGCCATTGTGAGGTTGTCTTTGGTCGCTCTTTTATGGTTTTTTTCCCTGAGTTGTGTTGTTTGTTTATCTTTCTTCTTCTTTGACTTGATGAACCGCCCGACGTTTGTATGTGCGTTTAATTGGTATGCGATAGTCGAGAGTCTTGCGAGAGAGGGGTTTGTTTTGTTTACTTGGCAGGATGCATCGGAGTCCGAAGAGTAAACTATCCCGTCTTCAAGTGATATCTCTTGTTTCTTCTGTCCAATCCTCTCCGGGTATATCAATTGATCATAGACAGGACCCAGAAAGCAAAGAGAGTTGCATACTTACCCTCCGAACACGCAGACTCCTGCTATATATACTGTTCCGCTTAAAGTCGCTGCCTAGCAACCCCACAAAAATCCTATTCCCTGCGGCGTAGTGGGAATCCTAGCCTACTGCACCTAATCTGTTGATACTGCGGTCCTGTTTGGTCTTACTGTGTTGTAGTTATGAACTGTACCAATTGACGTTCCAAAAATCCGGGTGCCTAATTTTTCGGGCGTAAATGGATCATAAAATCTTGGGCGTAGACTCAGGGTTTCATAAGCGCATCCATCTTGCTGTACTACAAGAGGAATAGAGGCTGGACAGCAGGCAACAGCGTTTCAATATTTTCTATTTGTTGAGTGTGGCGTGGTTTTGAGTCGTGGAGTGGTGGAGTCTTGGAGATGCATAACGGACTATGGTTAGTTGTTCATTCGTACGAGTGGGTCCATCACTATATTTGAGAATCGATGTTCGAATTGTGAATTCTGAATATTTTTCTTTTCTTGAGGGGGAAGGGCGGATGGATGGGGGGATTTTATACATAGATCAATGGGAATTACCTGACCTGACTCGAATAGCACCCGAGTGTCTGATCATATCTATGAGAATAAGCTTTTGACGATATGTCCAAGTGGACATCGTCACACGACGACTTATACGCACCCATGAAGGAATGAATGTGCGCGAAGCCTCGGGAAAGCTATCCTCGAGTGGAAATAAAAAAAAAAGTGAAATGGGGATGGAATGAAATGAAACAAGATGGGGGTGGTGTGGAATAGATGGAAGGGAGGAAGAGCGGAACCACTTCCCACGCTCTTTCTCTCTCTTCCCAAAATCAACTCAACCCAGCTCAAATGAGGCAGCACGATCTCGTACTGCGGTGCTTTGGCGGACACCGCACTTCCCACCTTCTCCATCTTTCAAAACTCAGCTCAAATCGATTCCAGAAAGCATTTGTATGCGTGCGTACGTTTCCTACTTCCAAAGTACGCCGTCATTTCTCCGAACCATCTTCCATATCCGAAAGCTTTTTCCATATGAGTGTTTCGTGGTTGTATGTGTATCGTATCCAGGTTATCCGTCGACTTCATATACAGAAAACCCAAACGCATTACCACCAAATTGAGTGTTCGTCGTGAATGTTCAAAACCAAACTCCAGCATAATGGTTGCAATCTTCACCAAATGAAAACACTCTCTCTTTTTCCTGGGATTCTCTACGATCAAGCGTCGTAGTCGTCATCGTCATGGTTCCAGAAACACTCTCGGCCGCAGAACTGGCAGTACCAAGTATCCCTTCGACTCTCCGCCTCTGCGAAAGCACCGCCGTCGAGAAGAAAACTCGGGACGAAGTGTTCCGCTGGTGGGAAGCCGTCACCTTCCGTACCTTGAAATCCACTGCCTTCAGCTTGGACAGTAGCTCCAGGAGCCTCAACTGCCCGGACTTGATCTGGAATGCGGAACGGGATGTTGGGATCCGGTATAGATGCCGTCGTCTTTACTTGCGAAGGGGAAGCAGATCGACCCCCAGGTGAATGACCAAAACCCACGGGAACAGATTCAGCCTTTGGCTTTAGTTCCGATTTAGTAGGTGAAGTGGTCTTGACTTCGGGTATCATGGGCGCGTCTCCTTGCTCTGGATAGGGCTGGGCAGGGTAGATCGAGCGAGGGAGGAAAGCGGGGGAGGCAGCCGACAGACCGGACTTTTGATTTGTGCTTATATCGGCCGTGCCAGCGAAGGCGTTGGTTGGGTTGGGGTTTTGGCGAGCCCAGTACGAAGCACCAGGTTGGAAGGGAGTGGGTGTAGGTGCCATTTGCTGAGTAGGTGCTTGGAAGGCTTGGGGAGCTAGAAAAGAAGAAGGGGGAGCGGTCATGAAGGGATGTTGCATATGGCTGCTTTGTGCTTGGCCGTGCTGGGGGGCAATGGCGTATGTAGGAGATGCAGTGATGGCGGGCTGGTGGGATAAATTACCTTGATTTTGACCATACTGAGAGGCCATGGACTGATAGGAGAGGTCACCTTGATTTTGGCCATAGTGGGAGGCCACTGGGGCCATGGTAGGCTGGTAGGAGACTTCACCTTGAAATTCGGGGTATCGGGATAGTAGCTCCGGTGGCACTAGCGTCTTCCTGATGACTTCCCGATCCTGTGCGGTGGGTGCGGTAGCATAAAGATGGTCAAGGTAGTCTATGAACGTCTGTAAAGTCGGGTATGTGCCGTAGGCAGCCGGAGGCTGAAGGGAGGTATACTGCCCGTAATTGTGGGCATCGTGAGGATTGTTGTTTCCACTCATCTGGTACGCTGGCGTATTAAGGCGAAGATCATACGTAGTAGGCTGGATAGGCCGAATCAACCCAGTGGCTGTGCTCTCACTCACCATTTCGCTCTGGTCTTGCCCTCCCACTGGATGTTGAGGGCCTGGGGCAAAGCGGGGGGCGTTTTGGCTTTTCGTATGAGAGCTGCCTGGCTCTCTCCTCGGCCTCCTCTTCCTCGACACCTTTTCAAACGGATTGCTTGCCATGTGACGCTGGCTGTCGTTTGAGGGAGTACTTTTGTGCCGTGAATCTGCGCGAGAGGACGAAAGACTAGGGTGGATACTTGACGCTTGTCGAGCCCGGCGTGGGGTCGGTACGCCTTGGTTTAGCTGCCTCTCTATCGAAGCTTGACTGAACCTGGGCGCATGATAGCCGACTCGGATAGGCTGGGGGCTATAAGGTGCGAGTGTATCGCGTTGATCGTCGTCGTCGTCGTCTTCTTTGCGACTTGATGCCGGAGAATGGAAAGAGGCGGCGGGTATGACGCGGGGAGGGGGTTTAGGCTTTGGGGGAGAGGGTTTGGCGGGAATAGGGGCGGAGGAAGGACGAGGGGGTATGGCCGACATGGTTTGGCTGGAGTTGGCTTACCTCTATTGTGTTCTTCTGTGTGAGTTAGAGAGACAAGAGTTTTTAAGCTCTTGGGCGAGGGGAATGTCGGTCTAAGCCGATGAAGAGTGAAGAAATTGGGGGCCGAGGGGTATTTATATGAATGGAATAAATATTACCGGGCTATTTACAGGGTGAAGGCGGCAACGGGATTATACGAGTGCGATCCCAAGGTGAATGCGGGAATACGTGTAGGAGCTGGGCCTAGCCGACTGTAGGTACCGTCTGGTTTGACCACCAGGGGATTCAGACGAGCCGGCGCCATTAGTATGTGAAGACGGATTCAATATTCCATGTTCCGTGAATTGAATGCGGATTATATATGTACGAAATGATTAGGGGTACGAGTGAGAAATTGGTTGATTGAGCAAGTTAGTAGGACCGTGCAAATAAACGCTGTATAGACAAGTTGGGAGAGGCATGTGACTAGGGTAGGTGAGTTTTTTGGAAATGGAATGATATATGGTATCATAAACCTACAAATGTCCAAAGCTTAACGTCCATCATCCATGTGCAAGCACATCGAAATCGAAGTCCTCGATTAGACGACACCATCTCCTACAACCTTGAAAATCATACTGCCACTGCCAGGCTTACTGACAACAACCGCCTCTTCCAACTTTTCTTCCGTAATATCGGGGAACTTCTTCTTGTAATACTTTTCTACCCACGCCTGCTTCACGGCATCTACCTTGTCCTTGGGCACAAGATGCACGCTGCAACCTCCCCAGCCCGCACCAGTCAGGCGACTACCAACGGCACCTGCACCTCGTGCGAGACTGCATAATTCGTCAAGCTCAGGGCAACTGCAATCGTAGACATCGCGACAAGAGTCTTGTGTTTCGTTCATCAGATCGCCGAGACCCTTGAGAAGTTCTTTGCCGTCCGCCGGAGGCGCAGCAAGTAGTTGGCGAAATTTGATCACACGGAGAGCTTCTGTAAAAACGTGGAGCGCGCGTTGTCGAAGCAAAAACCTCTCCGCCCGGACCGGGAACTTGGACATGTACTGTTGGTTCAACTCTTCTTCGGTAGTGCCGAGAAGTCCGCAGATGTCAGCGCGGGAGTAGCCGTCTTCTTGTGGGAGGTAATCTTCTGCTAGCTTGATAAGCTGTGTGAGCTGCCCTTCAAAATCAGATACCGAGGTTTTCGTATTATCTGCTATGCTGTTCTTCTCTTCAAAGTAAGCATCGTGGAAGCTGCGCAGGCTGACACCGAGAGGGGAGGAGTCTTGTGGTAGTTGACGCTTGAGTCCGAATGCTTTTGCAAGGAAGACAGCCGCCAGCGTGCACTCAACTACACGTAGGTTATAGCATACGGGCGCTGTGACGTGTTTGTCGGCGGCAACGAAACTCTGGGCCGTGACAAAAGTAAGTTCGGGGTCCGTTTGCGGTATGCTAAGTGTTGTGTAGTCGAGGGAGGGTTTGAATGTCACGTAGAGGGCACTGCCTCGCAGGGAAAATACGGATGCGGCTTGATCCATGCCGCCTGAGTTGACACCCACAGCCCGCTCCGACACGATAGCAAGCTCGCACAGCTCTTTCTTGTCGACCTTGGTTTCTCCATTGGCGATGAGACTGGCCAGGGCGCTTGTGCACACGAAAGAGGCGGAACTGGACAAGCCTCCTCCACTAGGCACGGTTCCCTCGCATAAGATGTCCATACCGCGCGAGACAAAGTGCTTGCCCTGCTTCCGGGACAGAAGCTTCGACACGCCAAGAAGACCAGACTTGAAGTAATTTGTCCACTCATGCTCGGTGGCATTAATGGGCAGGTCGCCTTCAGCAGGTATCTCGAATTCGCGCGTGGGGAACTTTTGCGATTGGGTGCTCGCGATGCGTATCCGTGGTTTCTCGTCTGCAGGCCGTACGGCAACAGCCATGATGAAGTCTGCGGTGATAGCCATAGGAAGAACTTCATACAAGGAGTAATCGATATGCTACACATGGTTAATCTTGTTTGGTGGCAGAGACAGATAGAGACTGCTCTCTTACCTCGCCGATGATGTTGACTCGCCCTGGACTCCGCGCTACAAATTCTGCCTGTTTGCCATACAACTCCTTGAATTGCGAAAGAAGCCTCTCCCATCGCTGTGCCTGTGTCGAGACGGCATCCTCGGGGTATATGTCGCGGAGAGAAGTCGCCGTGGGTACCTCCATAGTGAGAGTGTGAGGGCAGTGAAAACGTGAGGAATCCAAAATTCGTCTGAGAGCGGCAATGCAACAGGAATCGCGACAAAATATAGCACGAGCAGTGGAGAGATTGGCTTGTTAATGAAGGCGGGCGCCATCTACGAGCTTGGTAGTGCGACAGCGGGGTTGGTGGGGGGCAAAGGAAGCTACCCTAGTTGGGCATGCGATCCGCCTCGAGAGCCGCCGCATCTGCTGCGGTTCGTTTCCACCAACGTCGCTGCGACTAGGTAGATGAATCTGCTGAAATATTGGACTGGGATGTCTTGATGGATTGCGAGTAGGATGCGGTTACAGCTGTAAATTTCGATTGCGGGCCTGGTCGGGTATCATGTTTTTATCTCTCTTCAACCGCCTCCTTCTTTCTATCACCAAGTCTCACGACGCAGTACCTCTTCCGCGGCCTCGCAAGCCCCGTCCTATACCACTTGCTGGGCGTCCGCGAGTAGAGCCACTGCGGTTGACTCCCTGCCCCGTCTGTCTGCTGACTCCATAGCCAGAACTGGGTACGCCCCTTGTTCTGACACTTCCCCGTCCTCTTCCTCTGGTCCCCGTCTTAGAAGCTGCCTCGGCTTTCCTCCGATCTTCTTCCGCTTTCCTTGCGGCCGCTTCTTTTCTTCTCTCCTCCTCAGCGGCCCGGCGTTCGGCGGCGTGCTGTCGCTGAGCCTCTTCGTCCTGTATGTCGGCAAGATCTTGAGTCGCTCCTTGCCATTGGGGGTTCAAAATCAGACGCTGGTTGTGTTCTGTTTGAGAGAGGATGCGTGTCCATGTCTGGAGCAGTGTCGATGCGTTGTGAACGGTGTGCGAGACGGTCTGTATCGCTCCGACGTCAGTTGGTTGGCAAAGACAGCAGTAAGTGAAGATGCACGTACGTCCATGTTGTTTTTTGCTTTCTCGAGGCTTTCAACTACACCTTCGATGACTTTGTTCACATTGCGCACGCTCTCCAACTCCCTGCGCAATGCCGCCTCGCGAGCTTCCTCGGTCGTGTAGTGCGATTCTTTTGTGCGTGGTTTTGCAGCATCCTCTCCCGCTGCACCGGCGGCTGCATCGGGGCCCTTTTGCTTGGATTTTCGAGCTGCAGGGGTATCGAGGAGAGGTTCTGAATTGGAGTCAGAGTAGTCCACAAAGTCGTCGTCCATCTTCTTTTCTTTTGTGTTTGATCGTGTGTGTCAACGCGGGCCAAGTGTAGATTGTGGAATTGCCAGGGGCTCTCACGTGAAGTTGATTGGCGGTGGACGATTACTACTACTACACGAGTGTCCAAGACAGACGAAGAGGGGACGAGTGTTTGGTGTTTGACGTGTTTGCATGTTCGAGTTAGCGCTTGGAGTCGTTCATAGTGGGGCAAGGCGGTAGCGAGCGGTGTGGTGTTGGTGGTGTTGTGTTGTTTACCATCTGGGGTGGCCCGAGCGTCGCCTCGTCAAATCGGAGATGGCTGGGAAACCGCCAACCTCCCAGCCTCCCTCCCTTCCTTCCTTCGGAATTGACGACGACAACCACGACCCATCCCATCGTATCGCAGCCGCGAGCCCACTTTACTCCACCGTCACTCAGTCACCCCACAACCGTTGTTGCTGTAAACATCAACACCTCCAACACGCATCCCAATATTCCATCACATCAATCGTCCCACCCGCCGAGAGAAGCGAGCAAGACTTGGAATTGCGCCGTGCACCTTGTTGTGCTCTCCACCTATCCATCCTTACCTACCCACGCCCTGACTGCCTCACACTTGCGACCGCCTCCGATACTCCTCCACCTTCCTTCAAGCCCCCCTTTTCTCTCCTCCCATCATGGAGAGGACTCCCTCTCCTCCACCGAGGTTGCGCACGCCGCCCGCTCCGAAATGGGCCAATTACGAGCCCTATTCGCCGCGTCGCTCGTCCAGAGTCGCGGCTCGTCACAACTCTCACCTTCACATGGAGTCGACCTCACCTACGCGCTCGCGCACTGTCCGTGACGTGACCCCAACAACCTCCAGGAAGACAGCAGCCCCGCCTTCGTCGTCGCTCACCTTGTCCCCTCCATCATCACCCGTCTCGCCCGCCAAACGCATTGCGCACACCAAGACCGCCGCGGACGACTCAGAGTCTGATCAATTTGCTGCTCCCACGCCTGCACGTCGTTTCTTGTCGCAGCAAGGCTCTTTACTTACCCCGGCCAAGACCCCGCGCAAGCGCGACCTGAAGACGTCGGACTCTCTCGGACCAACAGCGCGTGTTTTGTTCCCCAATCGCCCAGCCACCATTGAGGAGGCCATGCCCACCCCGCGCAAGGCTCGCAAGACCACCGCCTACACCCTGGAGAGCTTTGCTGAGCAGATGGAGGACGACAATACCAAAATCTCCATCTTCACCGATTCCAAGGAGCGCATCCCAACCCACGATGATGACGACGACAATCCTTTTGTCACCCGCAAGGGCAAGGGCAAGGCCAAAGCCAAACCCAAGGCGACCCCGCAGCAGAGGATCCGCAAGGGCGATCCAGATAGCCAGGAGATGTTCGACGCTTCGTTGAAACGCGACGAAGGTGTCGTCTTCACCTTGTAAGCCATCCACCAATCCTCCTCGTCTCTTGTCGACACTAACAATAAACAGCAAGGGCAAGAAGATCTTTCGCAAGTTCCACGATGGCCCGCCTTCCAATGCCTCGGAGGGAGAGCGTATCTTGTTCGAGGAGGATGAAACTCGCCGCCGTGCTGGTGTGGCTATTGCTGGTCGCATCACGCGCTCGTCCATCAAACCGCGTACTCTGTTCAAGGAGGAAATCGCGCAACAAGCACGCGAGCGTGGCGAAGAGGATGATGAGGAAGCCCTCACTGATATTGAGCCGCAAGTTGCTACTCCGAGTCGCAAGTCCAAGAACGCTACTCCATTGTTCCAAGTAGCAACCCCACCGCCTACCAAGCGAGTGCAGCGTCGTAAATAATCCCCAGCAATTGCACTTTTCGTAGACTAACAGCTTCTTCAGAAATTTCTTTCGAGTCCTGGAGCCGTGTCAAGTCATCCTCTCGAGCAGACAGCTCCGGTCAAGGCAGCAGAAAGCGTAGCGGCCCTCTTCTAGAAGGTCCCACAGACAAGCGCAGCCGCAGCCAGCAGTCAACCCCCTCGGCCAACTCTACCATGTCTGTCGATCAAGCCAACGACCCCGCTTAGAATGCCTTACTATCTGTTTTGCGCACGGTCTCTATTGTCTCTTCTAGTTTCATTGCCTGGCGTTATGGCCAAAACGATTACGATTGCACGGAATAACATAGCCTTCGGTTGTTACTTTACTGCATTGTAATACGAGAAGGGCGAAGTCAGCTTTGGGTTTTTGCTCATCGTTTGCGGGATACCCTTCTTTCACCACTAATTGCTTTTCTGCTTCTCACATTACCTTGCACGAGACTTGCACATGTTGTAAGTCTAGCTAGGTGTTTTCGTTCTTTTCACTGGTCTTATATGGACTGGGCGCCATGCTTGTTTGACAGGAATTTGCAACGGGATTGTGGATTCTTCATGGTCTCGTTTTGAGTTTTCTTTTCGGGCAGCTTGGTCGACGGTAGTACGCATGCTTGTATGCAGTGCAGTGGAGGAATTACGAATCTGGTAGCTCTGCAATCCCAGGGCGATTTAGCATAATTAGACGGGGAGTCTACTTTACTTCCCCCTAAACCAACAGACAAACAAATGAAATAGTCAAAAACACAGTCGCAGTGCCGTGTCATCCACTGAAAGAATGTTGATCGAAGCGTCGTTGTGTAATGAAGGAACGCACATGCTCTTGGATGTCCGTTTCTCTCTAGTAACAAGACGAAATGTTGCTTTTCACCAAGTATCCAATGCTACTGGATCAGTCTACACATCCACATCTTGAATCAATGGGACTGTAATGAAGAAGTGCCACAATATACCCACCCCCATCTTAATTCTTAACATCCAAATCTCACCGCCGTCCAAGATCAATATCCAACACTTTAACCATATCTCCCTCCTTCCCCTCCCTTTCTTCCTCCCCAAAGAAAAAAGGCCTAACCCCAACATTCACCACACCCCCGAACAAGCCCTCAACCAACCCCTTCAATTCATCCCCCGTCTGGCGAAAATCAGGAAATGCATTGACCTCGAGCAGCCACGTCCTGACCCCGCCATCTCCATCTAGCGAGACCATGAAATCCAATCCAAACACCTCAAACGAGTTGGGCAGAGGTTGGAAATGAATGCTCATTCCGCGGGCGGCGGCTTCGAAGGTGGCAGAGGTAGTGGCGAGGATTTGATTGAAGACTTTGTGTTTCCAAGTTTGCTTTCCTTCTTCTTCTGTTGCTTTGGGTTCGGGTGTGGAGGTTGTTGCGTGGTCTCCGGAAGAGGAAGAAGAGGATGGTTGTGGGGGGATTTGATCGGGGAGGTCCCAGAATAGACCTACGCTTCCATCTCGTTTCGCGGGGTCCTGGAGACACGTGTTGGTGAGGTGCGCTTGCATGGCTCTATCCCTCTCTTCTTCCGACGCAGTGGATGGAGAAAAGGTTGAGGAGGAGGGGGATGTGTATGGCGCTGCTGCGAAGAGCGCGAGCATGGGGCGGTAGACGTGGATTTTCAACGCGCCGGTTGCGAGGACGTATGTTCTGATGTGGAACTTCCTGAGCTCTGATTGCGAGGGTGAAGAAGAAGAAGAAGAAGGGGAAGGGGGGTACAAGAGCAAGGGAGGATGAATGTACGGCTGCGCAATGAAGTGGCGGAGCTGGGATGTTATAATCCCGTTTCCCATTTTCCCGTCTTCAGCATCAGCATCATCAGAGTTGTCGTTTTGGCGATCGCTCCTCGCGTCGTCCTCTTCCTCTTCCTCTTCGTCGTCAGACGACTCGGGATCCCACTCCTCGAAAATAGCTTGGAGTTCCTCCTCACTACTGAACAGCCGGATCCCCTGCCCCCGCTCACTCATGCCCGGTTTCAGAATCCACCACTCCCTACCCTCTTCCCCGCTCTGCTCGCCACGGCTCCAGCTCTCCTTCAGCTCCCAAGCCTCAACAAGCGCATCATCCAAAAACTCCGCATAGTCAACTTCAAACTCAACGCTAGGTTTCACGTGCCGCGCTAGCACGCTGTCAGGGTACTTGATAATCCAGTTCGCGATGGTGGTACTGAGATAGTGTTTGCGGATCAACGCTTTGCGGATGACGTAGGCGTTTGCGAGGGACGTAGAGGGGTGGTAGAGTTGGTGGTCGAAATCTATGGCTTCGTATTGGCGGAATTGAAGGAAAGGGGTTGAAGGAGAAGGGAGGTCCGAGAGGGAGCTTATGAGTTGAAAGGATTTGGGGGGAAGGTGGGTTTGGAGGGCCGAGAGGAGGAGAGGTTCGACGTAGGGGTCTTCGTAGTCGACTAGGGCGTAGAATTTGGGGGTGGTGGGGGTTGTCGTTGCCATGGTTGGTGTTCTCTCCTTGGATGATGATCTTGCTGTCTGCTTCTCAGGTGGTCCGGATGTAGATACCACGGGGTTTCCAAACTCTTGCTATTCACGGGATGTGTGTGTATAAACCTAACGGAGCCTCGCGACTTTGATGCCGTAGACGAGATGCGAGGAAGACTCCTTCCAGTGATTTGTGTAAGTTTGGCCCTATGAAGATATGAATACTGGAAGATAGAACAAATTCACAGAAGAAAAAGGTAGAGAGTGACCACTGAATGTCTCTCCCTTTGAATTGTACACTAAGAAACGGTTGTCGTCGAAACGTAGAGGGCATGTAACCCTGAAAAGTGAAATACAAATGCTGGACTCGCTTAGTCCACCAATGGCGTCGGTCTGGGGACCCATCCCAAAACTCTCCCCAGTCCAACTCCATTTCCACCCCGGTTTACTCAAAAGAAAAGACAGATTGAATAGTGGATATCATAGAGAATCAAACTACCTCCAAATCATCATCGTCGTCCTCGTCCATGGCAGCAATCAGCCCCACATCAAATGTTCCCAAGCTGTCTCTTCCAGGCTCTCGGATGCCCTTCTCAGGTAGCAGAAGGCGCGCCCTCTTCTTCGCAGGACTGGCTTCTCGGGTGTCACGAGATAGTATGCTCTCGATCTTCTTCGTGGGAGATGGCAGAAGACCACGCTTGAACGCACCTCCCCAACCGACCGGCTCGCTCGATGCCACCGATTTACCAGATAGATTGCGCTTGCGTTTCGATGGAGCCAGCGAAACATCCCCTGCTTTCCTGTCGAGAAGACCCAGAAAGTCGTCGCTTGTTGCTTTTGGTTTGTCGAGATCGTTTGCTGTTTCCATTGCCAGATTTTGGGATACAGCAGCTCCTTTATGCCTCATATAGTCACTCCCAGCGCCACTGCCCATTTCCCCCAGTTTTTTGGCAAGCTCTCTCTCCTTCTCTTTATCGGCCAGCTGTTTTCGATGTCGCTCTCCTCTTTGAGTGGGATTCCAGGTATGTTCGTCTTGGTCGATCAATCGCGCGGCCCCTCCAGCCACTGGCGCGATGTACATGGTTTCATGGAGTACAGGGTCGTGATATTTGCCTTCTCTTCTTAGCTGGTCGCCCTTGGGACCACCTTTCCCAGGGCCGAACATGCCGCCTTTTCCTGTGCCACCAATACCCTTTCCAAAACCGGCCATTGTGTTGATTTCCATACGCCCTCGCTTGCTCTTTTCCACCTGTAGCTCAATGTGGAAATCGCAGAACTCGGTCTTGCGCCCATCAATCCATGATCCACACTCTCTGCCGTCCTTTCGCATAGCGTGACAGAAATCCAGATCCCGAGCAATGCCAATCTCTAACACGGTATCGTCAGAACTCGTGAGTTTGAGAGAAAATTTTCCAGTATCGCGCACCCGAGGGGGCATAATTTCCGGATTGAGCACAGCGATTAACGTTCCTACTGTAAGCTTCCAGAATTGGGAGAACCCAGTGTCGAAAAGGAAAAGATCGAGCTCCCATTTCAAATCCACCAATTTGATGACCATGAACTTGTTCGTCTTGTGCGCATCCGTGTCCTGGTTATTGGTTGATCGGTCTTGGACAACATTCTTCGGTGTCATGGGTGCCGACTTCGAGGCGATCACTCCCATGACAACAAAGTCGTTTTCCATGTCCGGTGGTTCAAAGTCTGGCGCTTTGACGGTCTTGAGCAACTGTTGTATCGTCACAACAGTTTTGCCTTCCAGCGTTCGCGCGACCACATTGTGCTGCATCTCACGAGATTTAAGGTGCAGACCAGAGAAGGATTCGAAACTGGGGGCATCGGCGCTGTCGTCGCGGTCGGCAATTTCAGCATATTTGGCAGCCGTTTTCGTCACGCCAAAAGCTGATGATGGCCTAGAAGTGGTCGACGATGTCCGTGAGGTATCTGTCCGCTGGGAAAGATTTGAACCAGGTCGTGATAGTGCAGCACTGCGGAGCTCCGTGATTGAGCGAGATCGTGTTCTATCAGGATTTGCCAGGGATGAAGACGCTGTATCCTGCAAGCTTCTTGTTTCAGTGCTTAATGCAGATGCTGCCCGAGATGCCGGCCTGTCCTTCAAGTCCTGAATGTTATGCAAACCAAATCCACGACTCCTACTCTTTACGATTCGTGCCTGCTTTTCATCCCGCTCCTTCTCCTTGCCCCTGCTATCTGCTATACGTTCGCCAAAAGTCTTGCCCCGTGGGGTTTCTGCCTCTCGTGTCGAGTTGGATCGTGACACTCCGGCAGCTTTGAGTCGAGCGGTAAAGCTGCTAGGCCGCTTAAGGCTGACATCTTGCGCCCTCAGCCCTTTGTCTATACCCAGCAACACTCTTGCAGGACTTTTCTGCTCCTCCTGCGGACGACTGCGTCTCACAGGTGAAACAGGGACCTGTACATCCGATTGCGATCTTTTTAAATCTGGTCTTCTCGAGCTTGCTGATGTGCCGGGTCGCGACGAGACACCGGCATTGTCGTTGTCGCCTTCGGCTGTCCTTCGCGACTTCTGCTGCAATTTCTTCAGCTTCAACTTGGCCTGGATAGCCTCGAGTTTTAACTGCAATGTTTCCTCGTCATCTTCTTCATCGCCATCATCTTCGTCATGTTCATCGTCAAACTGGGCTCGGGATAGTGGGCGGCGCTTAACAGGGGATGGGGAGCCGGGACTACGCTGTCGACGCTGTTCGTACTTGCGGCGACCCGAGGGCGAGCTCAGAAGGGCTTCATGGGGGGATTTTGGCGGCCAATTTGGTGGAGGGTTTTTCGCTGACGGTACATGAGTAAGTGCATCCATCCCCAGAGGATGCGGTAGATTGGTCCGGACTCACCTCTAGCCTTGGGGCTTTCCCTCACAATCATCGTTGTAGAGTGTGCATGTGCTGTCGATTTGTTTTCGCGCCCATGTCCGCACCAGGAAAATATGGGAAGCGGCCGAATGAAGATTGCAGACGAGTGGTGTGGAGAGAATCGAATCTCGCGGATCTGGCTGTGGGGATTGTTGACTGGACCTAGACTGGACTGCACACGGCCGTTGTTTGCTGGGGTGCGATTAAGGTTGACCGTGCGCCTGCCAATCCGAAACGCGGCCGCCGGGGTGACGCGCTGGGCAACGCGTCCATTAATTGATTGGAACGCGACTCCTCGGCTCCAACTATCCATTGCTCATTGACTACGATCGGAATATCGACAAAACATTGCACTCTCCAAATACCTTCTTATGCCCATATCATAGATACATCGATTCAGTATAGTTACAGAAGATGGCGCGCACACGCTCGAAGCCGGCGCCGGCGGCAACCACGACGGAAGAGCAAGAAAGCACCCTCGAATCCTCCTCAACGACCAAATCAGTTCCACCCAGCGAAGCAAACCCTCCGAAGCTGTTTCTCCTCCCCAAGGATACCTCGAAAGACTCGCGCATTGTCACATTGGATAATCCTGCAACCAGCGCGCCGTCACGATACTACTTCTGCCCCGAGAAGGGATTTTACGAATTTACACGCATAGCGGCGCCCAAGAAGGATTGCAGAAGTTGGCTAGTTACTTCGGAGGAGAGTTTGAGTAGCAATGAGGCTGGTGAAGAACTGAATTCGGATTCCAAGGCGGAGCTTGGAACTGGCTATGTATTGCAAACCGCCAACTTCTTCATCGCGACTCCCATCGACTTGCTCTTTCTCATACTGCCTGTTCTTGCGCCAAAGAACGCTAAAGAGACGGAACAGCACTATCTAGAACTTTTCGATCACCTTGAAGCTCTTTCAGCAGCATCCAGGCAGTGGAAGGCCCTGCTCACACAGTATCCGAGTCTCAAGGTCATGGTTGAGAAGAAGTTGATAGCCATCTGCGATGCAGTTTCAATGGGAGGTGAATCCATGTATCGGATATCGCAGGAAAAGCTGCTTGCGATATTGCTAAAGAAAGCAGAGCGGGTGTGTAAGAACGGATTACCACCATCGTTGGAGAACAAATTCATCAAAACCGCACTCGAAGTGCCCATCATGAACATCAAGCGCGAAGAGAGCAATCTTACCGTTGTCTCCGAGACTACAGGATCTCAGCTGTCGACAACTACGGGCGCAGACTCTCAAGCCAGCACTGAATCACCCAGCACAGCTGCTACAAGCGTCACTCATGAGGAAGTTGTGAAGGAAGAGATTACGTCCTCCCCGTCCTTTGTAACACCGCCAGAGATACCACATCTTCTCCGCCTACGGACAGCTCTAACATATTTGACATCCTCATACCTACCATCTACTATCAGAACCTCCATAAATTCATTCCTCCAAACGTCTTCATTGGTCGACTTTGAGCCTTTAACAGCACACCTCGCGCTAGTTGCCAAACTGCGCTCCGAAGCTGCTGCTTTGCGGTCCATATCTGACAATATCAGTCGAAAGCGGGGCCTGGAGGAGGATGACGAGAAAATAGCGGAACGAGAAGAGAAAAAGCGAAAGAAAGAGGAGGAGACATTGAAGAAGAAGAATGAGAGTCGTGGCATCAAGCAGCTGAAGAAGGTGGATACCAGTGGGATGAAAAAGATGAGTTCTTTTTTCACCAAGTTGCCCAAGAAGACGTAAAAACGTCTGCCTGTCGCAAAGTTTATACCATCTCCTTGGCCGATGAAAAGTTTAGTCCGGCTGAATCGCCATGCTTTTCGTCGTGTGTCTATATACCCTATGTAGCTGTGAAAGTTGACAGCACTTCAATACAGGTGGTTGTCGTAATGATACCACGTATGTTCCTTATCTGCATCACGCTCTTGGAAATTTCGCTGACAGCATCATAAAAAAGCCATGATCGCGGTTTGATATCCTGTGACCGATGTATGTGACTCAAATCAAGGGTCACAGTCAGTCCAGCTCAAACGCCTGTATGACGCAGACATCAAGATTGAAGTGCATGACCGAGCCCTCGCAAACCCGGGGCCTGACTGTTTTTAACAAAAGTCGCTATAATGAGTCCCGACTCCCGAGCTGGCTGGTGCTCAATAATAACGTATGAATTTATTGATATCGTGTAGTGATATTGTCTCCCCCCACGAACTTGTCTATTGTGGCGACGCAAACAGCGCACACCACAGCCTCAGTCCGTTTGTAGCCAGCGAGCTATATAACCGCACGTGCGTGGTCCACCTCACGTCCACCAGCCAACACGACACTGTCGACCACCCGCCATGGATCCTCCCCGCGATCGAGATCAAGCTAGAAAGGAACATGCCTTCCCACCAATTCCTCGCTATAAATGGTTCCAAACATCTGTCATCGACCCGGCGCTGGTTGCGATTCACTCCAAGCTCTACAACCCTCCCCCCAGTTCTAGTGCCTCGTCCTCCGACAGCGTCTTTACTATGCCTCATAAAACAAGCCATAATCGCAATAGAAATGTCCAACTACCCGCGAACGGGATGCATTCGATCGCCCCTCCAGACTTTGTCTCGATTACGGTGGGAGGATCTATGTCTTCTCCAAGGAGTAGCAGCCGTACTTTCGAAGTCCCAACGATGCTGGTGTACAAACACACCAGCCTCAACCTCTCTGCCAGCGCCATCGAGGATAGCGACGCCGATGACGACGATGTTAACCCTTATTCATATACATTCGCTTACAAGCCCATCTCACTAACTCTTCCCCAAGTAGCACCCTCCACCTTCCAGAACCTCGTCGACTTCATGCACTCCAGCATCTACTCCCTCAACACCTGCTCTTCCGACTACCACCCCCTCCAATCCCACATGCGCGCATACCTTCTCGGCCTCTACGCGGGCGCTACCTGGTTCTCAAACGCTGCACTTCGCTCCATCGTCAAATTCCTCACGCCCCCCGAAGTATGGAGATGGAACAATAGCATCCAAACCCGACGCGTCTACTGCGAAGGAATCGGTCTGGCCCCGTTCAGCTCCGACGACGTGGCCTTTGTGTGCACGACAGTCCAGGAGGGTGATGCAGGTCATCTACTAAGGGTCATCATGTTCGATGCCGTAGCAGCATGGTGCAAGCTCGGCGACGCAATGGGATTCGAGCGCGACTATGTCGTTTCATCCTCTAACCAGTTCGCTAACAATCCTTGGGGGGACGCTCAATCTTCTTCTCGGAGGAACCGCAATATTGCTTCGGCGTCCCCAGAACACATCTCACTCAATGAGATCGCATCATCTCCTCCGCGTCAGCTTCCTGCATCAAACCATCTCTCGACCGATACAAACACTCGGGAGAACGGCTCACCCGCATCTCCGTCTCGCACACCCCGCCAACGCGAACATGCGCTTTATACCACTCTCTACGCTTCTAATCCCGATTTCCGCGCCCGCATACTCAGCTCGTGTAAAGTCTCTGATGCACGCCGCGGCGAGCTCCTACGCGTCGAAGAGGATTACATCAAGGGCATCACCACGTACAAAGAGCACGAGGGATTCGATGATCACGTGGGTACGACGGAGAATTTACTTGGGGATCGGGTCGGTCATGGATTGTCTGGTGGGAGGGGCCAAGCTTCGGGTACCAGGACGGATAGCGGTGAGGATGTGGTTGAAACGACTGAGAACGAGGAGAATGTTGAGCCACTGCCGGTGGAGGAGAGTACAGATAGTTTGGGGCCAGATGTGTTTTGAGGCTGTCAAACAAATCCTCTATGTATGCTGAGGCGATGGAATCGATCTGGTTATTATACAATACTGCTGTGAACTTTGTTTCCTGTATAGTTTTCTGAATGGGAGGTCCTGTTTGTGGGCGGGTGGAAGGCATACGAGTTTCTGTTATTTCTCCCTCTTTCGGATATTTTCCTTTCTTAGCTACTTGCCTTGAGTTTCCGGACACTGCATTGCATGGTCACATGGTATCTGGCGTACTGGCAAGGGAAGAAAAGGAAAATATGGGCTTCTGTACGCTATACCACCTCCGCTGCAACTTGCAGATGTAGACTATCATTTTTCCTAGATTTGAACGATTTTTTGCTTTTTGCCTGTAAGATGTAATCACTACCTGATTCTGTTGTAGGCGTATATAATGTCGTTTTTCAGGGGATTTGTGCACAACGTAGCGAAGACAATAGATACTTCATCAAAGTACTATATTAAATCCAGTTCGACTTCTACATCTTCCGTTACATAATTCCCTCCCCACCAGTATTTAACGCCAGAAGTCGAGCCTTCATAGCCGTACATGACGACTCCATCGCCCAGAACTTCATGCCCGTTTTCAGTGGGCCGAAAGAATGACGAGATATTGCCATCTAATAACGGTCTCACGACAATATCATCCACCTGGAGATCCGAAGGTCCAGCTCCAAATACAAAGATATCTCGTTCTCCAAACCGCGCAACGGGCGCGCTGACGTAGAATTTCCTCGTAGATAGAATGGTTTGCCAATGACAGAACAGCTCGTACGAGGACGACAAGAAAAAATCGTCAGAGAGTATTCCGTTATCGTACCAGTCTTTGAAATCCTGGAAATGAGAACTTCTGCTCCGCGAAGTGTTGTCGAATGCGGTTTCAGCACTCTCGAGGATGGACATGATCCGCTTGATTCGACCGGGGTTCACAAACTTGCCCAGCCAATCTCTTAGAGCTGAATAGAAAGAGATGGCGTTGTGTTTCCCTACAGTTTCAGGAAATGTGAAGATTTCTTTCACATGGGCGATGCCTCTTTGTACTGGGGGCAAGGATGGTATTGGAGGTAGTGGCTTATGAGTGAGTAGTTCCTGGCCTGGCTTGGTTTTCTCGCCGCACTTCTCTCTTTTCCATGCTTGGGTCGTAATCCTAACTTTGAGTTCTGTTCCGTTGTTTCCAAGTACTTCGATTTTCGGAAGACCCCAGCTAGATTTGGAAGCCAGAATAGCTCTTTGAGGAGCATGTCGAAAGTCCGGAATCCAGCTACTCAGTGATTTGTCCTCTTTACAGGCAGGCTGATACACCGCAGCAAAAGACAACGTGCGGAAAGCATATCGAGTATCCATCATTGCAAGTGCAAAATCCCGAAACACTTCATAGTCTGTTGCGCTATAGTCGGGTATGATGAGGGGAAGCTTGTAGACGTAGTCGGCTGACATGGCCGTGGTTGCTGTTGCAACGTCCACATCATCTGCGATACCTGCGATAGAGTAGATGATATCTTTATCCATTTCGCATTCCAAGTCGCGGAAAGAGGTCATGAGGCTGAAGAAGTCGCGTTTGGTAGAAGACTGTGCGGAATAGCACCATGACTGCCAGAGATCGCCGAACTTCCGTAATCTTTCGCGAATCCGCAATCCGGAGTCGTCTCTCCAGAAATGTGCAGGTGATGCACTGATGACTAAGTGAATTGTGGTCCAAGGAATTTTCGATTGTCCGTAGTAAAACACGGGATTGTTGTTCACAACCAGCTCTTGCACAGCCCATCGGCGGCTGAACCAAGGGAGTTCAAAAAACAGTTGCATATCGTGTTTGCTGCCTTTGAACTCTGGTAGAAAATGCGGCTCTTGGTTAATCATTCCTGACGCCGTAGAGGGATTGGGGCCATTTAATCCAGGTTTGAACAGATTTGCGGCAACTCTGAGTGCGTCGATATCTCTCAAACGTTGCTCTTCGCCGTCTCCCAACCAGATCAAGACTTTTCCAGCGGCGCGGTAGATTGCTTTCATTAGTGGAATGTGCACACTCGTTTCCTTTACGTCATCCTGATTGATACACACAGCATCAATCCATAATATTTGGGCTTGGAATCTCGATCTGAATCGTCGCAACGCTGAAGAGAGATTGGACGTGATCTTGATGGTAGCACCTTCACAATGAAGATCCTGATCCCGCGATTGACTACCCCATGTATACGATATAGCCTTGTAAGATCCAGGGTGATCCTTGAGGTCTATCTGTATCAATGAGCATTCGAGTCGCGCATCTGCCTGCTCGGCTGGCGTTAGCACAAGAATACGGACATGATGCTCCGAAGCCAGTGGCTGGTACTGGTAGTCCATGAATATCTAATAATATAGGGAGTCACGCGGCAGAGTCTGACCCGGGAGTCGAAGCATGGAAATTTGGTGTACAAGCTAGCAACCTGTCGAGGTTGAAAGCTTGGAGGAATTGCCAAGCTGAAGCTGAAGGTGAAGGATTGGCCCCCTGTCTACGATTTTGATTTGACGGGTTCGGCACAATCCGTTCGTCTGTGCTTCCTTGGCTTGGGGGCAGGAAACTGTATTGTTAGCCACATCTTGGCCAAGATAGGAATAATATGTACAGTGAAGCAAGGGCATAGTACAACACCTAAGCGCACAGCCCCTATCAACGGAGCTGTGCTACAGTCATTACCCAATGACGTGCTATAGTGTGGTTTCACACCTATGGAAGACAACTTTCCCATACATAAGGCTTGCACCTTTGCTCCTCACACGATCTTCGTGAGTTTGTGTCACAATCAATTGATTAGGCATGTCCCGCGAAGCTTCCAAACAGCAGCATGGTAGACATGGAGGCGTCTCCCCTGAGCAAGACATATGGATGGAGTCTATCACGTACGTACACGTGGGTTCACTTTGAAGTTTGTGCATAGGAAAGCAGAAGCTAAACGTAACAATCTCAGGACTTCTTCGCCTTATACATTGGACGATGACAGCGTTCGACTATTAGACAAGACAGAACAAGAGTCCAAACACAAAAGTCCACATAGACCGTCAACACCTTGTTGTGCAGAGGACAAAGTATCCTTAAAAATGACCTCTTCATATCAGCGCAGCCTGGAACCTCACCAATCCTTCACTACACGCATACAGAATAGGCGAGCAGGATCCCGATTTCACGGATGGCGTATGGGGATTTTACTGGGCTGCATCATGTCTGCGATTATCCTATGTGTCAACGTCGGCGTGTTGATTTTCGCCGCAGTCCGACGTGCGGGATTCAAAGGAGGTTTTGCAGAGCCGTTTGACTTTGCTCCGTCTCGCATGTCGCAGCTGAGCAGCGCGATTCATATCGTCATCAACGTTCTCAGCACGTTGTTACTTAGCGCGAGCAATTACACCATGCAGGTGCTGAGCTCCCCTACGCGAGCAGAAGTCGATAAGCGGCATAGAAAGGCTCAGTGGTTCGATATCGGCGTCTTGAGTGTGCACAATTTGACGCAGATTACAATGAAGCGGTCAACTTTGTGCGCAGTTTTGGTTCTATCGTCAGTTCCTTTGCATCTTTTGTTCGTAGTTGTCTACTAAGCTGTTACAAATTAGTGCTAACATGCAGGTAGCTACAACTCAGCCGCCATTTACATCGCGGCGTCAAGCGAGTTTGATGTTCATCTACTGCCTAGTGAGTCCTCGAAGATACCGTCAATGAGTACCAACACTACCTTCACGCATTTTGTCAATGAGACGTGGCGACCGGATTTTACTGCGCCACTGATCCAGTACCAAGACCTGTATCTCGTTGTTGATCGATGGGCTTCGACAATAAACATAACGAATCAGATAGGTGAACCATGGGGTACGTATCAGCTTTCTTAACATGCAATGTATACGTGTATTGGATAAGTTTGAACTCCACTGACTTGCATCTGTGGTTGTAGAGGAAGTGGCAACTCCGAAAAACATAACGTTACCAATTGAGGCCGACGTTCCCTTTGATGCCCTGCTCACGAACGTAACCAGCTGGGTAAAAATCGAAGCATTGGGTGTAAGCTCCCTCACGAAAGACCCCTTCCCCAGCTTTGCACACATAAGTTACGGTTACGCCATCAAAGCCAATCCTGAGGATCGCATACAGCTCAGTCTGAATTTCCTCATCATCGTGATTGTATGCAACGCTATCAAGCTTTCGGTTATGATGTTGGTACTTTACAGAGAGAAGTCAGAGTTCATAGTAACTATTGGAGATGGCGTCGCCTCGTTTCTCGAACACCGGGATCCTAACACGGAGAAGTTTTGCGTTTTCAACAAGCACGCCCTCACGGCTGAGGTTGCCCATCGGACCACTCGTCAAACCATCCAGGATGAACCGGATTTCGGCTCTCAAGCGCAATATAAAGAAGATATGTTCAAACAGATTGACCCCAAAACGAAAGACGATCGATCACGTACCCTGAAAGACGATGCTTTCGAGAAGCTGGTACTCACCTCAAATGGCGTATGGCGTGACTTCAAGTATCCCTATTCCTCCGCCTTAGGCAAGGACCGAGAAATAGGCTCCTCCTTTATGTATGTTGACACAGCCACCGTCTGCCCACCTCCACATGCGAAACGCTAATCCGCCCAGTTTCCTGGTGATATTCGTCACCTTTATACTCGGTTTCATCCTTGTAACGCAAATGATCTCGGGAAACGTCAGCTCCAAATGGGGCACTTCCTCGACAACGGTTCTCGGGGATAGCGGCCATAATGCCGGGAACAGTCTGGCGTTAGCATGGATGTCTAACGCGCCGCAAATCGTGCTCTCCTTTCTCTACTTCGCCATCAACAGCGAGTGTACGTCCATGGCCGGAGCGTACGAATGGAACAGGATGGCCTTAGTGCGCAAGGGTCTGCGAGTCACCAAGCCATTTGGAGAGCAGCGGAGTACTTACTTCTTGCAACTCCCGCTGCGATTTTCCTTACCGCTCATAGCCATAAGTGGAGGTCTTCATTGGTGCGTCGTCCTAATAAGCTAACAGGCAGCATCTGACATGATAACAGGCTCCTGTCCCAAAGCTTGTTCCTCCTACGCATAGACACAGTGGATCGCGAGGGCAATCTCAATCCAGGACAGTCCAAATCCGGAATGGGCTTCTCCAGCAGCAGTTTCCTTACCCTGTGCGGCACTTTCTACATCTTCGTGATTGCAGTTGGGATTGTAGGGCGTAGGCGGATTCAGGCAAGGGTTCCGTTTGCCGCTTCGTGTAGTCTCGTCATCAGCGCCGCGTGCCACGCACCAGAGAGAGAGCAGGAAACGCACTTGCGCAGGATCAAGTGGGGCGTGGTGGAAGAGCGTATGTTTGACCAAAAGATGCATTGTTCATTCTCTTCTGGGCCAGTGGAGGATCCGGTGCCCGGAGAAGTGTACTCGTGAGAGAACGGGTTGTGCATTACTGATAACTTGCTGCACTTGTCTAGAAATATCTGCCATCACGTTATAAAGTCATTGTTTAGAGTAAATAGCTGCTAAGCTAGCTTACTGCTTGCATAAATAATTTTATACACATATGTACATCGTGAGCGCTACACTAGAACAGTCTCTGGTGGGCCTAGATAACTCTCTTTGACTCCACCTCTGGTGTCAAGCACAATTTTTTCAAGATACACCTCTGGGCTATTAGTGCTCCATCTTATACTATGTTTACCTTCTGCTGCAGAGCCTAAAGAGACCTTCTTTGTCCAAACTTGATTGGGAACATCAGACATCCATTCTGGCGGCACATCCCCTGCAGTTTTCGGGTCGCCGAGGACTCTTGAGAAATTCTGAGGGCTCTCGTCTAGAGTAAGCGAGAACTTCATGAGAAGATTGGGATCGGTATCTAAACATGCGTTGATGTAGACAGTGGCATTTAGCGCCGATGTTTTGTTGAACAGATATATGTCGTATTCTACGTAGGCAGACGTCGATGCCGAGAGAGAGGATCGCGAGGAGGTATATGGTCGGAGCGCTAGGGATCCAGATCCACTTCGAGTGCCAAGATAAGGAATGTGGGAAAATGCTACTGTGCTGTTCTGAGGAGGACTTTCCGGATGTGTCGTGTTTGAGGATGGGGGGTTGGAGCGTTGAAAGTGGGGAGCTTCAATAGAAATCAGGCCTGCGGTCTCGGGGAAGCCTTCAAAGCCTGCGGGGACTATTTGATTCTGGATGGGAATGCGGATCAAATCAAAGTAAGGGTATGGGGAGGGCTCGGAAGTGATTCCGACTTCAATAGTTCCGTTGAAGCCCTCGGGGACTTGGTCCCACTCAACCGTTACATTCAGCCGCTGATCAGACTGCTCTTGAGATACTGTGCCATAGCTTGGTTCGATGCGCAACCACGAGACAGGAATTTCATCGAGTTGCCAGTGGAGCGGGATCCGGTAATCTCCACGCATGTAGAGGTCTATTGTGCGGACAGACGGTCCATATCGATTCATGGCTGGCAATGTCGCCGGGAATTGGACCGTCGGCATCGAATCGTCAATGGATTCAGCCCAACGACCCTGGTTGATCGGACTTGTTGAGCCCTCTGCGTAGATCCCCAAATTGCCCTGAGAGAATTGCATGTTTTGACGCAACTGGACGAATGACAAATTGGTGGCCATATCTCGGGATGGATTTGCCCAGTTGCGCGGCTGCTCCGTAACCGCATCAAGTTTTGCTTGCGACATGATATGCTCCCATTTCCCGCCCAAGAGCGCGTCAAAATCCTCTATCAAATCGTAATCGTAATCGAGATCTTTCAAAACTTGTTGAGCTAGTGTATTGGCAGAGTTTCGGCGCTCCATAGCGTATCGATGGTTAAAACCCGTTCCAATGTTAATCGCATGGTACGTTGCTCCAGCTACGATAGGGTAGTACAAAAGCTCGTAGTAAGCTGGCGAAAGTTCTTGTGGTATTATATCATAGAGAGCCTTTGTCTGATTGGCGAGATGTTTCCATCGTCCCAGAATCGTCTCAGCTTCGTGGTAGTTGAGGGTAGAGAACGTCCCCGGGTGGACCATTTCGAATCGTCGCATGCCAATCAGGTTACTGAATTCCATTAGCAAAGAAGCAATTTCATCAGCATAAGCGATTCCAAACTCTCTGGAGGCATAGCTGTGTAGGTACGATGGTATCATGTTGAAGTCGAACTTATTTGCATTCCAAGCAATGTCCATGGCAAAATTGAGTGGCAACTCCATAGGCTTGATGTCACCAACATTGACGACCCAAATTCGATTCGCATCGCGCCAAAATGCCTGGAGGAGCTCCTTCAAAACTTTTGGCTGCATCGCAATCAGTCATGTTGTGTTAATACAAGGAACGCGCTTCACTCACCAGGTTGTTGCTGTTGGACCACTTATATGATCTTGGAGATCCAAAGTATTCGAAGTGAAAATATACACCAACCCCTCCTTCTCGTGAGCTCTCGTTTCCTGTGGGTAGTCTTTGAACTTGGCCGTGATTATCATCGGGCATGATAATGGTAACGTCGTCAGGTGGGTTCAAGCCTGCGGCATAGTACGTTGCAACCTCTTTATAGATGGTCCAAACCTCTACTATCGTTAGCACATCCTTGCGTGTTGGGACTTTTCTTGGAGCTTCCTTACGATTGACCTTTTGGTCTCCCAACACCTTTTTGAAGATTTCCCGCTCAGTGTCAAACACCTCTCTCAAAATCTCAATGGCGTTCGGTCCTTCAATCGGTGCATCGCCCGGGCCTCTCATTCCAAGAGTCACGTAGCTCTCATTCTGACCCATTCGTCGGATCCCCTCCTCCATGAACTGTGTCACGTTTTCTTTATTCGACGTCCAATCCCAGGGTCCTGTTTCTGTGGCATTCCATTCATTAGTTGCACGCTGCATTGGCTCATGGTGGCTTGTCGATACAACGATGCCGTAGTCGTTTGCAAGTTGCATATTTCGCGGGTCATCCGTAAAGAAGATATTACCAGGAGGTGGAGTCGTGGACCTCCACATCGCAGGCCAGAGGTAGTTGGATCTCAAACGAAGTAGTAGATCGAAGACGTGTTCGTAGAACTCTGCATCTAGAGGGTAGTAGGTACTATTATGCTGAGCCGCCCACCATGTTGTCAAGGCCGGTTCCTCGTCGTTGATGAAAAGTCCCCGATATTTCACGGTAGGTGGGCCGTGAATTGTGGATTTTGGAAGCGCATAGATAGCGGGATGCTTCTTCGCTGGCACGTCGGCAAACCAATGATAGCTAACTCCGATGCAATAAGTCTATGGTGTTTTCGAGAATTGGGGCAGATTCTTACGGAGATTGTCCAGATTGTTCCGAAAGCGTGTGAATACCGAATATAGTACCCCTCTTGTCACTTCCCACAATCACAAGGGCTTTGCTCACTCCTGGAAGAGGATTTGCGACTATTGAAGTCCTGAATGTCTCCCACTGCCCTTCGATATCCGAAATTTCAATGGAACCATTGCTTGACAACAGGCGGATAAGTGACGAATTAACGGATCCGACGATAATGGCTGTATTTGTAGTGGATGTAGTAAGCCCGGAGAACGTTGTGTTTGCCGTCACGTTGTGCACTTCTGGTGTTGTGCCAGTGATCGCGGCTAAATCACGACCCAGGCTCTTAACCGCTATGTGCACTCCAATAAAATCATCTGCATCTGCAATTATCGCAGCACCTGCAATATTCAATGTTGAATTTGAGGCATTGAAAGTGACAAATTGCTCTTCGAGAAGGGCGAAGCTACGGCAAGACCACAAGGAGATCAAGCTAATCGAGATTCGCGACAGTAACATCGTAGAGACTAGACGAAGAGGGTGTGGTGCACCGCAAGAAATTGTTGGCGTACATATACAACGACTTCAATTGGAGAAAGGGAAGAAGCTTTGCGAGGTAAAAAAGTCTGAGTCAGACAGGCGAGGGTAGCGGACATATATATCCCGCGAGAGCAAACCTAGACGTGACGCAGATTCAAGTTACGTCACAAGGCTCGATTAACAGCGAAGTTCGTGCACTAAAGATGCGGAGAATTCATCCGAATGTCTGGTTAAATAAGTTTGCCCAGCCTTACTTAAGGATCCTTCAAGTAGGCGGATAGCAAAAACTTCTAGCCCAAGTGCGCTAGTGGTGTAAGTCATATAATATAGCCTATAGGGTTTCCGTAAAGTAGCGCATCCTATCTACAAGGATACTACCGAGTGACATATGAAAAGGGTAGGTGGTAGAGTAAACTACATTCAACACAGTTTTGCCTCTTCTATCGGACGACATGCATATCCAAATCATGAATCAACAGGACCGGAACTGGGGATTAGTGGATAGCAGAGAGTGTGCTCTACAACAATGAGGCATGAACTTGATAGCGAGGCGCTGGATTGAGAATATATTTATATATACAACAAAAAGTGGGTAAACTAGGCCATCATAACAATAATAAGTTTTTTCCCCACAGGCAAGCAGAGCGAGCACATGACTGTTGCCCACTCGTCAAACAGAAAAACATTTAGAAGGTCACAACGCCAACACCGGCGCTCTTCTTGACAATCGCGCAGATGCCCTCAGCAGCGTCAATAGTGTACTTGTAAGGAACCTCCAAGCTACCCTGCTGGGTGATCTCGGGCTTGCTAGCTCCATCGAACAAGTTATCCTTCTCCACCGCGAACCCCTCCTCCTTGGAATCCAAATCCGTGACAATGGCCCTCTTGGTACCCTTGAAGTCAGATGCTTCGACCAAGACCTGGGCACCCATGCGCGAGTTGATGCCAGACACACCGTTATCTTCGTAGCAAGAGCTGTAAATGTGCGCGGTACCGAAGCGGATGGACGGGAGACGAGAGTTGACGTTGGTCCAGTGGTTGTGGTGGTAGGTGACGCGGAGCTTGCCCTTGTCCTCGCTGGCGTTGGAGTCGGAGTGTCCGATGAGCGAGGCCTTCCAGTGGTCGTGGAATTTATTCCAGGAGAAGGTCAGACTGTCGGCGCCGTGCTTTGCGTCGAGGAGACCGTCGTAGAAGTCCTTGTCTCCGGTGATGCCGACGTTGGAGAAGTCGTTGTGGTCTATGTTCATTGTTAGTTCAATACTTTTATTTGTCTTCGCTAGACGTGAAGGTGGGAAGAAGGTTGCGAGAAGAAGAAAGGGAAAGACTTACCAATCCACACGTTGGTGGCGGCATCGATGTCGATCAAGTCCATTCCCTCAGGGGACTTGGTGAATTTGAGATTGCGCACAATCACGTTCTCAATCTTCCTGATTTTGAAACCACCCTCCTCGATACCCGCATCACTACCAACGCCCAACACGGATGTGTTGCTCACGAGCTTAACGATGCCGCATCCCTTCAAGTTTCCCTTGACCTTGATGACGCCGCCATTCTTGGCTGCTGCCGTGAGTTCGGAGCACGATGAAACAGTTGTTCCGGAGCCAGAGCCGCCGCCTGTCGTGCCAGCGGCATAGCCTACGAGCTCGTCGACGGTTGCGGCACGTCGAGTGATGGGCGTGCTGGTCGCTAGAGATGCGGCAGACAAGAGTGCGGTGATTGTAGAGAAATGCATGATTGTTGTGTTGGTAGTCGTTCTTCCCGAGAGACAAATGTGTAGAAAGTCGAAGGACACGAAGAAAATAACTTTTAGAAAAGATTGACAAGGGTTCGGACTGGTAGGTAGGTAACGAATGTGAAAGAGCTCGACTCTTGAGGGAAGATGTAGATGCTCGCGGACTCTGTCTTATACATCCATCAGATTAATTATGGTGGAGAAACACCCCCGATACATGATCCTGGTACTGCACGTTGTTTGTTGAACTATACCCAATCTTACCCCCCTCCCGGTCGTCGCTGTGCCGAACCGTGACCCTTAATAACGACATGACGCATGACATCGCGCCGAGAATGGGGAACACGGGAGGCGTCAGCATAGCGGCAAAGCCAGTACTGTACGGGCAAGAGCCTCCGATTTCGAGATTGCTGTTTACCTCTGATCATTGCATGCGAAACTCAATAGTCTTTTTGCTTGAATCAGTTCCACTTGTCGGGAATTACTTACATCAGACGTCAGCCGCTATTGCGTGATTTTGTAATGTTTGAAGAAGAACGATACCGATGAACAGATGGGGAAAAGACCGCCTCGGTAGGGGCCACCATACGATTCATAAGATGTATGTTGTCGTGCCCAGTTCGTCTTTGAATATTGATAATTTTTCCGTTCCTTTTAACCTTCTCCTCAAAGCATTTAATTTGACCCGACCGCCAGGTTGTCGTTCTGACATTCAGGATGGAAAACTAAGCGCCAAGGGCGCAATGAACACTTCGTTGGAATTGGAGGGGTTGTTTTATGTTTGACCTCCATCGAGTTACTTGGCCTGCATCTAGCGCGGTGTTGGGTTTCTCCCGAGCTCCACTTTTGTTATGCCCTGTTTCAAAACGGGGGAAAATTGGGGTAGTTGCACGAACAACGTTGGTAGTGTTCTTGGGGCGGTTTCGGGAATAATTTGGCCGCTGACAGCTGGCATGACGTGCTTAGATATTGTTTTTAGTCGATCTGTTTCCCGATCTGTTTTCCAGTTTCGAGTAACGCAGCTACGATGTTGCGCTTATTAAAGTGATGGTCGGGGTCTTGCATAGTGCTCGAATCAGGTGTAACTTGTGCGGAGGCAGTACACTTTGTCGTGGATGCTTGTGCATACTTTCAACGTAGCAGTTGCACGAGCAACATGAGGCAGAAGATGCTCTCCAGTTATCAGTTGAACGTATGCTACATCAGCATTCAAGCAATCCATTCATTAACAAGCGTTACAGCATACTCCCTATGAGACATGTACACGTATATTACAATATCGAAAGACTCTAACCGCAACCACTCCAAGCAATAGTGTTTTTTACAACTCGTCTGGTATTGGAACTCCAAACACGTCTGGATCATAAGTTCTTTGGGACGACTACAGCTTCCACCAGCGGTATGCGTGTTTCTTCAATTTCCCCTTGCACCTCATTGACTACAACTTCCACTGGTGACACGCGTTTTCCTTCCTGTTTCCCCTGCTCCTCATCGATTCCGGCTTCCGCCAAGCGGTACACTCCCATAGTCGCAATCGCATCTTCCACGCTCGAAACCCGACCTTGCTTGATCTGCCGCCCTAGTAGATTCTGCGCCAACGTCTTGAGCGAAGGTCTATTTGAGTCAAGGCCAGGGCGCGCATACTGGCGGAAACCCATGTATGTGAGCGTATCCCGCGCTTCGAATTCGAAAGCGACAGGAACAGGCGACTTCTTAGGACCTAGGATATTGTGGATTCCCGTCGTTAAATCTAGTCCCATGACACCTTTGTCCCCTTTGATATCGTGGAAAATCACGACGCGGTTGCGAAGAAGCTCGATCAAATGGCTTTGAACTTTAGAAAAAGGCTGTGCGCCGTTCTTTCGTTTGATATCATGTAAGCTGATTCCAGAGTACCTGTAGTTGGTGCTCCGAATGACGACTGGGGCAGGGTAATAGACGAAAGTGTCGTATACTGTTTCACTGTTGTAATTGACGATAGAGACACGGCCGAGGACTCGTCCTATGTTGGATTCCATCATCTCACAGTCGAGGGCCACCTTGTCGGTGAGAAGATGGTAATGGGGGCCTGTTGGGAGGGTGGGATGGGGTGGTGCTGAATCATTATGTTTGAGTTTGTGTCGAGAACCATCGGATGATCGTGACTGGAGTTTTGCGCAAGATGCGAAAGAATTTACTGGTGGCAAGAATTGAAAGAAGCAACTAGTGGTGAGAATCAGCAAGTCTGAATCTATTTGACAACTCTTAGCAGAGCATCAAGAAGGAAAATCAAAAACGAACCGTGTAACATTCTCAATTTGATGAGGTTGACGACGAATGGCTTGGGTGCACCAGTTCTGTGCGCAACGGCGCCCGAAGTGAAGCGGCGATCGATGAATGTGACAAAGTCCCATAGTGATTAATTCCATGGAAGCACCGAAGAGATCATCGGGGCCATCCAAGACAGTCTAGGCTAGCTGACATCACTACCAGACTGCCAGCTCATGCATGTAGTTACTGAAGATATTGGTGGACCAAATCTATCATGCTCCTGAGTCCTGACGTCCGCTGTTTTGCAAGCAGAGTCTGACTAATCATCTCGCTGCCGGCATTTATCCGCGCACGAGCTATCACGGATCAAGCGTATTGGAATGCGATATATGAGAACGAGGAAGGCAGAATCGCCAGTTCTTTCCAGTGTCTTTGCTCAATCAGGGGTTGAACCTCAGCTCAAGCTAAGAGGACATCTGGAAGCATGAGATAGCTCGCTGGTCACGTGATCCCACCTCCTCATATTGACCCAGATGGCGGTCAACTGGTTGCTTCAAAACAATAATTGTCGATCATTGCTGTCAATATAGGATGCTAAAAGACTGAATTGGTATTAATTGAAAGATTAAGAAAAATTGCGTACAAAAGTTCCAGGCGGATAATTCATGACAACTGGCATGTAGAACAGACAGAAAAGAAAGATCGCATACTATGCCAGAGATATTCCCACAGACTACTAAGGCTTTCAATTAATCGTATAAATTGTTAAAATTGTGTGATCTGATCATTATAATTCCAAGACATCAATCATAATTGTCGCCTCAAGACGCCTCCCCTCCCCCTGGTGATCTCCATACCCAGAGCCAATTCTCAAGCCCACTGCGCAATCATTTCTCTGATAGAGTCGCCCAATCCATCCCAACCTTGCCCATTCTTCACCCACCCCAAAACTTCTTCAGCTCTCTCTCGCGGTACCTCCACCATATCCTCCCCCGCAATTGAAACATCATCTGCAAACTTGCGGTCCGGATACGCTTCACGCATGATAGCCAGCAACTTGTTGAAGTCCCATTTCTCAGCATATCCAAAGATGCGCTCGGATATGATGGAAGGGTGTAGGAGTGCAGCGACGTGCAGGAGTGCGCAGTCACGCGTCGATATGAACCATTCTGGCATCATGAGTCAGGTATTGGTGTCATTATAGAGAATATTAGAGGGGAATTGGGCTTACGAGGTTTGATTCCCTGGCTTAGCGGGGCGAACATTTCGTTGTTGTCGAATGCTGCTTTTGCCCATGCGATGGTGGAGGGCTCACCTTGTTTCTCGGGAACCATGAGTTTTCCGAAGTTTACGTAGGGGAGCTGTATTACGTGGTTTAATCCGGAATTCGTCAGCGGGGCTCCACCAAGAGAATTCGAAGCTTATGTGAGAAATAAAGGCGCTTACAATTGTATTGAAATCGAAATCTGGCTTATTCTCTCGGACCCAGTCCCAGCATGCTCGCTCAGTAGAGACTTTGATGGCTACATAGAGGGCCATGACCTCTTTTGTGGGACTGTTATTTTGGACGTCTTCCACTGATTCGTCGTTGAAAGACGATTGATCGACAACCTTCTTGACGTTTATACTTGGGTAGGAGGCGGCGAGCGCAGAAGATGTGACGACCACGCGCTTGATGCTGGAGGCCTTAGCTGCAGCTTTCATAACGTTCAAGTTGATGTTGACGGCTTTCGGAATGATGATGTCGGGTGCTTCGCCTCCAAGAGGAGAAGCGAGATGGATGAAGCCAGATGCTCCTGCAGACGAGCGGTCGCATGTCAGTGACGTATTTTACATCTTTTATGGGACGCACCAGATAGAGCTCAAGCTTACCTTTGAGAGCTTCATCGAAACATCCTTCTACAGCTAGATCTGGCACGGATACTAACTCGAACTTGGTGTGCTCGTACTTTTTGGCAAGATATTCGGAGAGCCATTGGGACTTCTCCACGTCGCGCACTACCCCTCGGACGGCGTACCCCCTTTCCAAAAGTAGATCGGCGACGAGACTACCAATGAGGCCGTTTACGCCAGTGACCACGATGGTGCCACCAGGTGCAATGACAGGAGTGAACATTTTGGTTGAAGACATGCTGAGGGGCAGCTTTGCTGAAGTAAGCAAAAAAGGGGTAATCACTCAGGTATCGTGAAAAGTTGAGAAAACTTGGCAGAGTGAGGGGAAAAATCAGCGAAAGAAGTGAGAAAGAAGAAGACCAGATAACAGGTTCTGGCGGGGAAGGATGATGCCTTAAATACCCTGCTGTGAGGGCGGCGGATCTGACGGGGTAGCAAAATTGAGACCGCTAACCTCTAGAGGTAATTGATGTGGGCTCATGTGTGCTACACGTGCCCTCGTATGAGTACTTGGTACCATGCAGTTCCATGCAGTGCCGTGAGAACGAGCGAATCAGATAGGTGTCCATCGGATTGGTATATATGGCGCAGTCGGCCATAGGTGTCAGTTGAGTAATCTCGTAAGCAGAATTCACTGCGCAGAGCTGATATTTCAATCAATGTTCCACGGAATTTGGAGACATGTTACTTTCGGAAAAGTGAGAAAGCAAAGAAGTAGTATGATGCTTGTTTGAAATAGAAATCCATCACAATTCTCAGAATATCACTCACAGCCTTGCTGTCTGGATACCGTAGATGGTCGAAGCCACACAACTCAATTGCCCACTATCCACCCAACGCCAACGCCATGCAAGCCGGTTATAGCCGTTTCCTTCCTCAAACCTTCATCCACAAGTTCAGCACTCCCTTGGCATATTCGACGATCTCGTCGCCGCCTAGTTTGCTTTCGCCATACAGACGATCCACAAAACTAATAGGCACCTCCGCAACAGTGCAGCCCATAGCCTTTGCGCGAACCATCATCTCCATCTGGAATGTGTATCCTTTGCTTTCGGTGCTCCTGATGACCTTCTCCAATACCGCCTTCTTGTACAACCTGAAGCTACCAGTCAAATCGCTGACGCCCGGTCTCAGGACCGTGTCGGCGAAAAGGTTGGCGCCCCTGGATACGAACTTCCTCTTCAAATCCCAGCCATATACACCGCCATCACCCGCATAGCGAGTACCAGTTACGATATCGTAGTTCTTGGTCTTCTGGACCTTGACCATCTCGGCGATGAATTTAGGGTGATGCGAGAAATCGGCGTCCATGATGATAACATAGTTTCCGGTGGCGTATTGTAGACCGTGGACGTATGCAGTACCGAGTCCAAGTTTGCCGGCGCGCGCGCGGATCTGGATGCGCTGGGCGGTGTAGACTTTCTGGAGCTGAGCGGCTACCTCTTGCGTGCCATCGGGGGAACCGTCATCAACGATGATGAGTTCCCAATCCAGGTTGCTATCGCCGTTGAATTAGCATTGCATATCAATTGCGCCGATTGTAAAGCGGGGCGGCGAGAGGTGTACGCACTTCTCGGTGAACGTCTTGTTGAGGAGCCAGGTTATTATGGGCAGGTTGCGGCGCTCATTGTACGTAGGCAAAAGTACCGAGTACTTGTCCTTGGTGGATTTGGGAGGCATCTTGTCTGTTGTATTGTTTTGAAGGAGCGACTGCAAGTGAATGCGGACGTGAGAGTCCAGAAATCTGGCCGTACCAGACCCCCGAATAAGCTGCGAGCTCGGGCCACTTTCGCCCCTTGTGAGCATGGCCACCGCTGTAAAGTCTGACCCTCAGATGACTATCGACCATGTCACCACCGAGGCAATTATCATCAAAAAGAAATCTCTTTCTGGCATTTGATGCATTTGGGACTCTGTTTGAACCGAATTCATCAATTCCCAAAGCCTACGGCCAAGCGGCCTTGCGTCACGGCATCTCGTTCATCGATAAACCGGAGCATGAACTTGTGTTGAAAGATTATGACCCAGTGAAAAAATCTTTCTCTCGAGCATTCAAGTCGGAAACAACTCGCAACCCAAATTATGGAAAGGCAACTGGTCTAGGGGCGGAGAAATGGTGGGCAAACGTAACATACTCCCCTCATACGCTCTCCCATCATCAAACCCAATTGTGTAGTAATAGTCTGAAAGGTAATCAACGGGACTTTCCAACCATTCCTCAAACCCTCTCAACAGGTTCCGAACGCCTTGATCTCTGAACTGCTCACTCGGTATTCTACGAAGCAAGGCTACAATCTCTTCACAGATGTCTTGCCTCTATTCCGCATGTTGAAGGATCATGCATCCAAAGACCGTTCTGCTTCCTCATGGAAGTGGGACAAAACAGTAGTTGGTATCATCACAAACTCTGACGACCGTGTACCCTCTGTTTTGGAGTCTTTCGGTCTGAACATAGGTCCTCGACGAGTGGGCAGCTGCGTTCAACGCCCAGCGAAAGCAACAACCGACGACGACGACGACATCAGCTTCGTTGTTCTTTCGTACGACGTTGGACACGAGAAACCGGACCGGCGCATTTTCGAGGCCGCTGAGCAAATTTTGAGTCAGACACTCTCCGAACAGGGAGCAGATGCCAATATAGGAAACATAGATGAGTATGAAAAGTTGTATGTAGGTGATTCGCTTGAGAAAGATTACTTGGGTGCCAAAGCAGCGGGATGGAATGCAGTATTGTTGAGGAGGGGGCGGGAAGGGCAGGAGTCTAAGTTCGTGAAGAAAGTCGATATGGCCGAGCTGACAGACGGAGAACAAGCTGGCCAGATAGTTGGCGTATGTACGAGCCTGGCGGCCTTGACGTCCTGGGTTCCCGATCAAGTCTGAGCTGATTCTGCAACGCTTGTTCGTGTATAGTATCGATACATGTTCATTAATCATCTGTATGGCAAATCCGCTGGATCCAGCAACTGTCGCTCCCAATAATTCATTTTTCGGTGAAATTCATATCACGCCGTGAATGTAGTACGCAGTCTCTTGCCAGAGCATATTGCTGGAGATAGTTTAAGACGTTGGTTTCCTCAGGTCTAATATGTCGGCCAGTGGGACGTTGCCCTTTCCGCCCCACCCAGCTGCTCCCTGCTTGACCTCTGGTCGTACTTTTGCGTACCAATTCCATGCACGCTTATTTAAATCCTCGCTACTCAAAGTGGCCGCCCATGATCCATAGAGATGCTCTAGAGCCACAAGAAGCAGCCCTAGATTATGTTCCCTCTGCTCAGACAGCTTTTTCTTTTTTGTGTTAGTTGCCACGGTCTTATCGGATTGACTCTCGAATGCTTTGAGCAGATAAGCCCTCGTGGGTTCTGGCTTGTATATGGGGAGTTGCGTGGTCGAATTATTACGGTCACCAGGAGCAACCGGACCATTTGACCTTTTGAGTGCTTCTAGATCTACACCCCAAAGAGCTGGTTGTTGTTGAGCTTGTGCAATCTCTGAGGGATCTTGCACGATTGTTTCATCCGTCATAATTCGCAAGAGTGTTGGCTTGACCTCCCTCGGTTGTGTGTCTTCACTATCAGCTGTTACGGTGCCTTGTGTCGATTGAAAGTCGTCTTGTGAGTCTGTTCCCTTCCACTCATAGCCCCAGCGCTTCATGACCCTAATGTCACGTCCCATGACCGTGATGACAGGCTGGCCTTCACCCCAGCCTTCTTCCTCGGCTGTTTTCCCAGCTTGAAGCCCAATGTATTTAGCCTTGCTTTGGCTATTAGCACTGCAGACGGCCTGCGCCAGACTCAGTCGGCTCGATAACGGCTGCTCCGGCATGGTGTACTTCAACAACGTGACCGCGAAAGCTAGTACCAAAGGTGCGCGGTTCGTGTAGACAACAGCCTCTTTCAACACATCTAAATCAAGATGAAGCTCTGGCAAAGCAAGAGAAGCCTCGTAGCTGGCAGGATCCATTGCGATCCCGTATGAGGGTTTTGCTCTTTTCGCAGGTGGGGAGGGTACAGCCGATGACGTTGAGACATCACTTGATAGCCGTTTCTTCGATACCCTTTTAGCAGCATTGAGAACTTGCCGAGCTAGCTTTTCGTCCCCAAACAAGGTTGTGAGATGGTGGAGGTCGGATTTTGCAATTTCCATTGGTCTGGTCGCGCGTCAGCGCCCTGCATCTCCAGCTGTCACGAAAGTTACCGGTCCTCACGTGATGAGTTTGTCTTCGCGCAAGTCTTTGACTTTGGCCATTGCCTGGGCGAGCGGCACCTTTGCATCTTGAGACAAGAACCTAAGCAGAATTTGAACTTCCTGCGCTGAAGTCATGGTGATCGATTCTGAATCCGAGCGGGGTCGACGATTGTCGGATTCCACACGCGGAGGTGAGTCGCCCAGATCCACTAGCGCCATGACGTGCGAGGCAGGTACGCGCCCGCGCGGCTAGTTTAGCGCCCGTACTCTAAACTTCTGGAAATGTTCCATCCTCTTACCTCCCGCCCCACCTCGACTTTCGATACTTGATTGTGGACTAGGTCAGCTAACATGGCGTTCAGGATATCTCTCAACAAGGCCAATAAAGCCCAGATGGGTGCCAAAGCGAAGGCCGAAGACGAAGCCAAAGCTCGCGAAGAGAAGAATGCCATGGACAAGGTTATGGCCGACGTGATGGACGAGCACGGCGAATCGCGCGGAATACTCGGCGACAGCGAGAAGGAATATGAGGCCCCAGAAGACGTGTTTGTGCCGACAGGTGCGAGACGGCACTTTACTGGCAGGCCCAAGTCTACAAAGAGTGGCCCGGGGACTCTGGGACCCGAACCTGGTGCAGGATCATTCCCACGATTGGGCGGGCCGGGAGGTTTCGCAGCTCAACAGCCTCAATTTGGCAATGCTGGATCACGGGGCTCTGCAGCTCACCAAGGCGCGCAAGAAGAGAATGTATTCACGACCGTTGTCGCAAAAGCTTCCAATTTACCCCCTGCCATCGACACCCGCCGTGTGGAAGAGCTGTTCGCCGGGTTCCCCTCGCTGAACGTCGTCAAGGTGGAGCGAATTACGCCTTCGAGCCCTAACAGCTCGTCGCATAAGTCCCGGCCGTCGGCTACGATGAAGATCACCTTCGATAAAGACGCAAGCGCTCGAGACCTCGACGATGCCATGTACAGGCTCAACGACAAACGATACTTGGGGAGAGGATATTATCTGCATCTGGACCGATATCTTGGTGATTATAGCAAGAGCACCAAGCAACCGGAGGCGCCGTTCGCGGCTACAATATTTGATGTAGAGTTGCCCAAAGGCGTTGCTCCACCACCTGGTCTGGGAGGGCAGAGCAATCGACACCAGCATATAAACAATTCTATCAAGAGGAGTCTAATCACAGCTAACGCCCCACCTGATGTCGCGACCATGAGGCTTATTCACCAGACAATCGAAGGTGTCATTGAAGGTGGAGTGGAATTCGAGGCAGCGCTTATGCAAGATGATCAAGTTCAGAAAGAGGAACGATTTGCCTGGCTTTTCGATCAAACACATCCTCTAAATCGCTACTATCGATGGCGTCTGCATGAGATTGTCAGTACTACAGCAAGGTCCGACGTATTCTCTCGACAACCGGATTGGAAAGGCCCCAATGAGGTTTTGATGGATGAATTCGCCAGTGAGCTAGGCGACTTGAGTCAGCCACAAGACCAGTCAGAGTCAGAGTCAGAGGATGAGGAGAAGCCCAAGCGAATGACGGTGGCCGCTGGAGACAACTACCCCGGCCGAGCAGATACAGGGTACGGCATATTGAGCCCACGCTCAAGGGCGCTCCTTATCTGGTTGCTTTATACAATCCCACCTACTAGCGCCATGAACGAGGAAGTTGCTGCAATATCACAATTCGCCGTGCACCACGCCACGAAAGGGCTCGGCGAAGTTGTTGAAATCATCATCACCAACCTATTCCAGCCCTTCGCACTATCGCCGGCCAATCCCAAGAATCGTGCTGAGACAAGTGAGGAGGATGGAGTCGATGCGAAGCGGCTACCACCGCTCATTGCAACTGGACTGCATCTCATTTCAGACATCATCATGACCACTTCCAAGGAGGGTGGTCAATGTTATAAATACCGGTCGGTATTTGGGATTCAGCTAAAAGAGCGAAAAGTGTTCGAATATCTTGAAACCGTACCCAGCCGCTGTAGGATGGGACTCGTGGCCCGGAACCATTTTCGCGCAGATGTCAACTACATACTCAAAATATGGATGGATGAACAGTTGTTCGAGAATAGTATACTCGAGCATATAGACGATGCATTCAACGAGCGACAGCGGCGAAAGGATCAAGAGGAATTGGACAAAAAGGCAGAGCGACGCAGACAGAGGAAAAGGCAAGCGGCGGCGGCGGCGTCGACAGCTTCCAAACCCATGCTCGGGATGGATGGAGCCATGGACGTGGAGAAGATGGAGGAGGACAGTTCGGAGGATGGGGAAGAGGGAACGGCAAGGGCGGATGCAATGGAGGTTGAAAGAGAGGCGATGGAATCGGAGCCAAGCTCGGCGCCCCAACATTATGCAGGCACGGAAATGGAAGAAGACGTTGGCAGACGGGCGGCGGCGGTGGACAAGATGGGTGGAGAAACGGCAGCAGCTCGAGCGCGGCGTCTGCGGCCTAAAGCGGAGGACATGTTCGCATCCGATGGAGAGTGAGAGTGGAAACAAGGGTGCAGAGGCAAATGAAGGGGGATTTCTCAAGGGAGCGGTTAGCCGGGCGTGACTACAAGTATGGCATATGTATGCCCATGCATAGATGCATGCACATGGCTTTAGCGGAAACATGGCAACCCCATTGTGGTGGTGGGGGATCTGGCCGGAATTTAGTGTCGTGGAAATTGGGGGCTGCGGCGGCCACTCGGCAATGAAGGGGAATTGAATGGATGATGGAATGCATTGGATGATCAAACGCACCGTTGCGTGTAGACACTGCAAACCGCAAGCCACAGGAGATGGGACTTTGGCGTAGAGGAATAATGAATGATGAATCACATGTACGAGAAGAATGGCAAAAAGAATGGCTGTTTTGTTGTGTGCGAGCGGATGCAAGCCGTGGGTAAAGATGGGTGCAGGCCGGGCGGGGCACACAAGGGCCAATCAAAGGCCGGCAGAGAGCGGTATGTACTGTACCGTGTACCGTGCTGAGCTGTGCTGCAGTGTACTGGTACTGGTACTTTGTATGCTTGCTGTAGGCACGCTCGCACGCACGCACCGCACACTTCTGCCTTGCCTTTGCTGCTGTTTGTTTGATGCTCCCCCCCCCCTCACACTTGAGTACATCTACTATTACTACATGCACCCGTCCAATACTGGCATTGTCGCTGCTCACAGTACAGCTGGCCTGCAAACATCCTACACGCCCTACGCGTCACGCGCCTACGTGCCCATCCCGTGATTGACTGCTCTGATCTGCCTGCTCTTATCGTCCAGCCGAGCCCTGAAGCTGGCCACCACCCAAAACTAGCTACACCGTCTCTCCACAGCCAGTCCAAGTCGGCCCCCGCCAAAACAATCCTTTCCGTCCTTGACTCAAAACACCCTATCGTGCCCGTCTGCCTGCCTGCCAACTACCTGCATAGTCAGATATTGACAGCAGCCCTCCGCGCTGCTCTGTCCTGCCTGGCCCTCTCAGGCGTGTCCACGCCGAGCTCCCCCCGCCTCTGCCTGCCTTCCCTTGACTTGTTGCCCCCTCATCTCCGCGTCCCGTTTAAACCCACAATGCCTTGCTTCTTGGGGCTCGCCGTGAGCATTCACACTCCGAATGGCCCGCTGCCTGAGCATTCCGTCCAGAAACAATCTAGAGCCCACCGCATCACCTCCTACATCCCTGTGCCGCCTGCCAAAACCCCCGCCGGTTCGACAAAGCCCGAGCAATCAACCTTCGCCATATCAATCACCTTACTCACCCCCGGCCTCAACGTCCCGTACTCTACCCCGAAATCTACTCTAGACGATCCCAACCCGAAGCCCAAGGTCGTTGGCGGCACACCCCACCCGGCTGACGATCGGAGCAGGAATGGCCCTGTCATCGCCCCGTACAAGCCCTTGACCACATCCCCCAACGAGACAATCGCCGCATACATATACTTTGACGGGAGAGCAAAGGAGGAGGTCGCTACACTGCTTCGCCGTGGCGAAGAGACCTGGGTGAATTCGCGGTGGGTCAGCGTCCCCGCGTCCGAAGGCGGTGGCCTGGCTGAGCGTGAATTCTTGTTCCGCGAGGTTGGCCTGGAGCGGTGGCTCAACGGTCTGGATCTAGAGGGCAAAGACGTAGCAGCTACCATTGAGCGGAGGAAACAACGTCTCGAGAAGAAGCGCAGAAAAAAGAGAGAGGCTCAACTGAGTGACGACGAGGAAGAACTCAAGACACATAAGAACGGCATACTGCGTTACGGCGACAACAAAGATGCACCTGTCGAATCACTGTCGGGCAACGAAGATTTCTTTACTTCCGATTCAGACTCCGAGGATGAAGGTCCCCAACCCGAGGCTGCAGGACAAATTAAAGTTGCTCTGTTCCGTGTATTGGCCAGCGGAGAGATCAAGCGCGGCGAATACTCACCACAATTCGATGCGCACGACGATGATGAGACAGCCGGCCAGAGCGGTACCGGCGACGGTGAGGATGTTGACCATACTACAAGCTTTGCAAAACCAAAAACGTTGGACCCCAAGTCGATTAGTACCCAAACCGTGACCGGTATCGATCCCCCGGATAAACCCTACGCTGTTTTCACTTTTCTGTACCGTGGTGAACGTAAGTTTATGCCTCCATTTTAGAGAATTCTAGCTAATCAACATCAGGTCAACTCCGCAAGATGGGTATACTGGCTGCCGACAAAACGCAAACATCACCCGTAGTCGCGCGAAGAAAATCCCGAGGCTTGGACCTTAGTGCGTTGAAACCATTGAATGCCACTGCAGGTACAAAGAATTTTGGTGGCTATCGAGAGAGGGATGCAAAATCCAAGAAGAAGGATGGCGACGCTATGGACAGTGACGCAGACGAGGAAGACGATATCAAGATCAAGACCGAAGACGTCGATGCCGACGATGGAACTGATCCCAGTGGAGAGGGAATGCTGTCACCAGAAGATGCCTTGAGGCAGGGTGAACTGGCAGAGGGTGTACGCAAGATCAAGGTAAGGGTTTCCTCCAATATTGCAGGACTACATAAAAGGATATTCGCTCACACTTGCCTGCAGCTCAAACGCCAGCACTCAGCCGAACCTGTAGGACGAGCATCCGCATCCGATGATAGAGGTGCTTCCGGATCACCAATCTCAGGCACACCCAACGCCGCTGGCGACACACCAGGCGAACCTTTGACCGCATCCAAGAGCTCAGCACCGGATCTCGGCGCAGAAGGCGCAGTCGGGTCACCCTTTAAGAAGCACCGAGCATCTCTCCCTGGCTTCGATGAAAGCGTACGGAAGAGTCTAGGCGCGACGCTGGCAGGTGCATCATCGTCGTCGTCGTCGCAACAAAAGGAGCGCGGCAACTCGGAAGGCAGCATCCCGGTCCCGAACCTGATAGAGACCAAGATGGAGGAAGACGATGAGTTGTGACTCTTTGAGCAGGTGCGAATGCAAGGTGCGTTGGGTTGAAGTGACCCCGAGTTGGAGCGGATTGAGTTGAAAAATGGACCGCTTGCAAAGGACTCGCGGTTGGAAAGAAGGCGCGGAGCAGTTCTCTTTGCCTCGCAGATCTACGTGATTTTCTTGCGGCAACGATGTGGATAATTACGATGGGCCGATGGACCACACGGATGATGTTGATGGATGATGAGGATGATGGATGCTTGTTGATCTTGGTATACTCACAGGCGGGTTTGGGGGAGGAAAGCAAAGACAAGGAGAGAGAGAGAGAGAGAGAGAGAGAGAGAAACAACAGCACGGCCGCTTCCATGCCTGGCCAAGTCTAGAGCGGAACAACGTATTAACAGAGAAGAGAGTAAATGGAACTTTTTCTCTCTTGTTGCATGTGTGTGTCTACTAGGTGTGTTGAGAAACAAATAAAAAGAGGGAGGAGGGGAACAACACGGCAATATAGCAATCTAGCAACATCATCACCTCTTCTTTTTGTTCTTTTTTTTTCTTCAACTTTTTTGGCTCTTTTGTTCAAACTAGGGGGTTTTTGTTTTTTTTTCTAATTGGCAGCGAAGAAAAAAAGGAGTAATACCTATGAATATGAATACCCAGTCCCTCTACCTCCTTCTAGCTCTCCTACCCGCTCTCTCTCTCTCTCTCTACTCTAGTATTCTTGTATTTTTCTGTCTTGGCTTTCCTCTCGTGGTTATGATACCTTACTGTGACGAACATTCCATGAGCATATGGTAGATTGATTTACCGACAACGTATACACAAACAGAAACTAGAAAAACAGTAGCAACTGTGCTGGACCGGAAGGGGGGGGGGGACCAGATTACGATTTTTCTCAAAAGGAAAAAGAAAAAAAAAAACATTCGACATTCGACCTCCTGCTTCCCAATAGCTACGTGTGCTCCAATCCGCTTTAATCTTTTTATACATTTTTTTTTCTCGCAATTCCCCACACCCTACGATACCATTTCCATCAACCCATCACACTCAGACTCGAGACAACGGCCATGATCAAAGTTTGAAATCCGCGCTCAGAACCTCCCACCCGACAGCGCCCTTCTCGGCCTTGCCATCCCTGGCCGCCAACTTCTCCGCAAGCTGCACTTTTCTCTCGCGATTCCGCTCTGTGCAGAGCTCATACACGGTGCACAGATTGAAGACGCTGGAGTGGAAGGGAGACCCAGCGTCCACGACATCAGTGAGGAGTTTCTTCGCTGCGGCGATGTCGCCCGTGTATAAGAGGCAGACGGCGAGATTCTGGGCGACCATGGCGTCGGATGGGAAGCGCGTGTGCAGGGTGCGGAAGAGGGATGCTGCTTCTGTGTAGGCGGAGGAGGCGAGATGGGTTAGTGCTTTCAGCGTACCGGTGATGAGGTCGTCATTGTCGTCTGAGTTGCTATCTGATGGCGGTGATGGAGGATCGGAAGGTTGCGAGAGGGAGAGGAGGCGTTTCGCCGCTGCCAGATCGCCCAAGCGTAGCCGGACCAGGATCTCCATGACGCGGATGTCGTTGTCGTGTTCGCTCGAGGAGTGCTGCGGGAGGGTGCTGAGATGGCGCCCTGCGCTTTCCAGGTCTCCCATCTCGACTAGGACGTTGGCCACGCGGATCCCGCAGTCGCGGAGCCTTGTGCGCCATAGTGCCTTGTCCTCGTCTGAATCGGCTTTGATGATGTTTTCGCGGCACTCGCGAGCCAGTTCATAGTAGCCCATGATGCCCTTTCGCCATTCTCCAAAACCCAGGGCCGCGAGACGGACTACGAGGAGGCGTAGGTCCCAGGGAGCCAGATGGGTGTTTGTGAGGGGATGGCGGTAGAAGGTGCTCGTCAGGTCACCCAGAACTTTGGATTCCTGAGCGGCCAAAGCATGTTCTGATATTAAACACAGGCATGCGAGGCGGATGTGCAAGAGGTGCAGCAGGGTCTCATAGTCGGTAGGGGAGGCGGCTTGCAAGATGTTCCGGGATGCGGCGATGGCGGCAAGGCGGAAGTGGCCTGAAAGCAGCAGCGTGTCGACGGGGGACGAGAGAGACGGGTTGGTGGGAGCGTTCAGGAACGGAGGTGGGATGTTGGAGGCCGGGAGGACATGGTAGGCTTGGGGATCTTGGATGAAGGAAAAGTCCTTGGCGGGCATTTCCATGTCAACGACCACGGGACTCTTGACGCTTCCATGGCGCTGGTGTTGCGACGAGGCCGGCGACTCTGCGCGTGTGGGCGATAAGACGCGTGCATGATGTTGCTGGTGCAGTGTAGAGAGCGGTGGTAAGGACGACGAGGGCTCCTCCGACAGCGGACTGGCGGTCACGTTAGTGGCGCGCGCAGGAGGATATGGGATACAATGGAAGCGGATTCGGAGCCGTACTCATCTATATCCAGAGGGCCCTTGGTGGAGCGGCGAGGGATGGCGACTGCATGAGGGGTGAGTAGTGGACGAGGGGGTGTATGTAGGTGAGAAGACTACGAACTTCGGCGTCGCTCATCACCGCTTGGGGCCCGGCCATGGCTGCGTGCAGGTTCAGGGATGTGCGGCGGAGGGTTCATGGCCGTTGTAGTGCATCAGCATGTAGATATTGAGTTGTATAGGTGGGCAGATGGGTCCGGTAGATGAGTGGTTGGAGTGGGCTAACCGCCGGGCAGCATCAGGAGGAGCATTTCCCGCAAAGGCAGTAAACGGTGTTGCTACATGGCCAATTCAGCTACCTAGGTACGTAATACATGTCATGGAAGCAGGTATGAGGGTCCAGCCACGCCATCATTTGATTCGTATCGCATATTAACGAGGGCGGAGTCGTTGCATTGAACACGATTCTACCCGTAGAGTATGTGTAGCAAGTGCCATGTCGAACTCGTGTCGTTGGAAGGTCCGACGTCGGAGGCGGGGAACAAAGCAGCGGATGCATTCGCCCAATCACGCCGCTCACCGTCACTCGCCGCCTCCAGATGGTGAGGTGCTAGCCAATTGGCCTCTGTAAGATATCGTTTAGTCATGCTACAGAGGTTTCACATGCTTTGGGTTTTCATCATGGTCGCTCATCTGGTATGAAGAGCAAGACGCGAAGAGAGAATAGATGGGCGGCATCGAAGCGTTCATGGTCATGTTGACAGGATAATAGCCTGTACAGTTTCCACCCCCAGATTTAAACTGCACGCGGAATAGCGTCGCGATGGCCAGGGACTTCACATGGGTTTGAACGTGCGTCTGCCATCGATGGCTATACCCCATTAGCGAGCCGCCGTCACGGCGTCATGCCAGCCGTAACGTAATCAATTTTCACAGTCGTCTAGCAGGGATACGCCGAACATAGGTGCGGAGAGCGAGGCGAGGCAAGAATTCGAGCTTTTGACTCAAAGCCGCAGGCCATCAAAAGCACGCCCTCTCCGCCAGACTCGCCCAATTCCTCTTTTAACCCACCAGTCTACTCTCTGCCACCCTCCCCTCGGCCATTGTTTCCTTAATTACCTCCCCCTTTTCAATTCATTGTCCGTAAGGACTCCAGCCCAGCATGCATTCACGCAGCAAAGCCATCCAGGCTCTCAAGGGCACACGGTGCTTTTCCGCCTCAACTCCCAAACCCGCCCTCTCGCCCTACCGGAAAGCCACCCAGGCTGCCGGAGTCAAAGTCATAAAAGAAGATGTGAAGAGAACACAGAGCACAGCAGCCGCCGCTGCCCAAGCCACCGCTACGCAGACCCCTCCCGTTCAAGAAAGAAGACCCCGGCCCGCACCCGCCTTCAATCGTGACGACTATGCTGCCCAGCCATTGAGGCGCAAGCAACCTGAGATGGACCACTCTTTCGTGGGCATGACCGGTGGAGAGATTGTCCACGAGATGATGCTGCGTCAAGGTGTCAAGCACGTCTGTATGTCTTCCATGCCATCCATTCCTCTATTGCCGACTTCTTTGTTTTGTTTGCGCCCACATCCTATGATGCTTCCCCACAACACACTCTGACTCGATGTGACTCAGTTGGCTACCCCGGTGGTGCTATTCTCCCCGTCTTCGATGCCATCTACAATTCGCCCCATTTCGACTTCATCCTCCCCCGCCATGAACAAGGTGCTGGCCACATGGCCGAAGGTTACGCCCGCGCCAGTGGCAAGCCTGGCGTTGTCATTGTCACCTCCGGCCCCGGTGCCACCAACGTCGTCACACCCATGCAGGATGCCCTCATGGACGGAACTCCCATGGTTGTCTTCTGTGGTCAGGTCGTGACCAGCGCGATTGGCTCCGACGCCTTCCAAGAAGCCGATACCATTGGCATCACACGACCATGCTCCAAGTGGAACGTCATGGTCAAGGACATTGCCGAATTGCCTAGGAGGATCAACGAGGCCTTTGAAATTGCCATGAGTGGACGTCCTGGCCCCGTCCTGATTGATCTACCAAAAGACATCACGGGCGGTACCCTTCGTCGCCCAATCCCCATGGCCAGTTCGCTACCCACGCACCCTAGCGCCGCAACTGTCGCCGCAAAAGCAGTGAGCCGGAGACACCTCGAAACGTCAATCAGGCGCTCGGCCGACTTGATCAATAAAGCAAAGAAGCCCATTATCTACGCTGGTCAGGGCATGGTCAGCACCCCTGAGGGCCCGAAATTGCTGAAGGAGCTCGCGGACAAAGCTCAGATTCCTGTCACCACTACCCTTCAGGGTCTGGGTGCATATGATGAGCTCGACAACAAGTCTCTTCACATGCTCGGTATGCACGGTTCGGCATACGCCAACATGGCCATGCAAGAGGCCGATCTCATCATTGCACTGGGTGCCCGTTTCGACGACCGTGTTACGCTGAATGTCGGCAAATTTGCCCCTGCTGCAAGAGCCGCAGCGGCCGAGGGTCGAGGTGGTATCATTCATTTCGAAATCATGCCCAAGAACATCAACAAGGTTGTGCAAGCTACCGAGGCTGTAGAAGGTGATGTCATCACCAATCTCGGCACTCTTCTGCCGTATGTGAACGATGTCAAGGAGCGCCCGGAATGGTTTTCGCAAATCGCTGACTGGAAGAAACGCTTCCCCTGGAACTTTGAGCGCGAAGGCGCAAACGGCCTAATTAAGCCGCAGACTGTGATTGAAAAACTCTCCAAGCTTACGGAAAACATCAAGGACGAGACAGTCATTACCACCGGTGTCGGGCAACATCAGATGTGGGCAGCGCAGCACTACCGATGGAGGAATCCTCGCACCATGATTACATCGGGTGGTCTTGGTACTATGGGCTACGGTCTTCCTGCCGCGATCGGCGCCAAGGTTGCACGTCCGAACGCCCTTGTTGTCGATATCGATGGCGACTCGTCCTTCAGCATGACTCTGACCGAACTCTCCACTGCTGCCGAATTCAATATCGGAATCAAGGTCATCATTCTGAACAATGAAGAGCAGGGTATGGTCACTCAATGGCAGTCTCTGTTCTACAACGATCGCTTCGCGCATACCCATCAGCGCAACGCCGATTTCGTCAAGCTCGGTGACGCTATGGGTGTACAAGCCCAGCGCGCTGTGAAGCCCGACGAGCTCGAAGAGAAGCTCAAGTGGCTGATCAACACTGAAGGTCCTGCTCTTCTTGAGGTTGTGACGGACCAAAAGGTACCTGTTCTACCTATGGTGCCCGCAGGCAACGGTCTGCACGAGTTCTTGGTTTATGACGAAGGTACGTTTCCATTCCCTGATGTATCAATCTTAGATCATTTTACTAACAAATACACAGCCACCCAAAAGAAGAAACGCGAGCAGACCAGAGAAAGGACCGGTCGGTAAACCCTAACTTCCAACCCTGTAATCCATTCACTGTACATTGTTTGTTCTTTCCCCTGTCGTGTGGCTATGCCCTTCACTAGTGGGCATAGGGCGTTTATACCAGGAGCGGTTTTCTTTGAAAAGTTCTTTTTTCTGGAGGAAAAATTCAGCACATCTTCTGCATGCTCGCGCATTCCCCCCCCCTTTTTTTGTTGTTTTTGTGTGGAACGGTAGATGAAATTTGAGATGGGTATGTACGCACGACTTTTATCTTGTCTACTTCTTTTTCTGCATGTCTCGCATTGCATATCAGAACGTAGGAGGTATACAATACCTTTGCATAGTTGTTCGGAGTAGGAACATATCTAGCTTGGAAAAAATATGAATGATTGACAGACACGTCTGATCTACGTGCCTCTATCTGCGTATGATGCTCCCGTAGATTCATACCGCTGTTTTGTTTGTGAGGGTCAAGTCTATCATCAATTTCCCTCTACGTCGCCTATCCTAGCTGAACTGATCTCCCATGTACTGGCCATGAGAACGTAGGAAGGGTGTGGGCAATCAATTGTCTCTGTCAAACGAGTAAAAATGAGGAACCTTCGCGTCTTCTTTTACTTTCCCCTCGCACGCAAACTGCAGGGAATCGCAGTTCAAGTTCCAACTTGCCCATCTACAGCACACCACACACACACAACAAGGCAAAAAGAAAACAAAAAAGATAAGGCCGTAAATCCTACGAATGTAGGGCTTATGATAAAGCGACGCCTGCAGGATTCGAACCTGCGCTCCCGAAGGAACGGGCTTAGCAGGCCCGCGCGTTAACCACTCCGCCAAAGCGCCGGTTGTTATGAAAATTTGCTCTCATACATCCATTATATACCACATTGATTCAACATCAGACGAAAGCCCCACGACTTGAGCGTGGTACTTAGTACGTTACGCTCGTTTGAAAACCTGTACTCCACGTAAGATGGGGGCCTAAAGTCATCAGCCGCGCATGAACGGTACGAGCCCTCACCAGCAGAATTGGCGTCGTTCACTTGTACACAGCGCAGACTTAGGGAAAGAGCGCTGAAGACGTCAACACCACCATCCACACCTGATTCTCTCCCACCTTCGTACCCGGAAGACCTTCACACATCTCTGCCAGCCAACCTCTCAGCAGCCTGCAAGATCTTCCGCTTGCCATTTTCCAACGACTCCCTGCGCAAAAGCCAACTGCTTTTTGCTCCTCAAAAATCTGCCTTTTCGGCCGTTTTTAAACACAGCCAATCAACGTTGCGTCAGCCCCCGAAAGCGTGGAATCACCCAACCCCAACCCACATTGTTCATCGTAACGATAGTCCGAGACGCATGACGTTTTTCGTATGGCAGAAGGTAAGATTGATTCATTCCCGTTCAGCGAACGCGATCCATCTCAAAGTGAATTTCTATACATTTGTTTGCAACATCAAGGCTGATTTGTTTGGTTAGGCAGAGCGACTCGCCGTGCGCGCGGCCAGCGCAAATCATACAACATCGACCCTCTTGCGGGGCTGGAGCTAGAAGATGGTTCAGATGGTGAGGCACGTGGTGAAGAGGAGGCGAACGGCGGGGCAGTTGACGACGGGGTTTCGAGTGATGAGTTTGAAATGGGGCAGGAAGAGGAGGACGCTGATGAGTTCATGGAAGAGGATGGGATGGCTGGCGAAGATGAAGACGACGACGATGGTTCGGCGGAATCAGTCGGAGATGCCGCATCTGAAGCCGACGAAGGGGGCGTCAGCGTACCTAAAAGGCGATCTGCGGCGGCGGCGAGTACAGCCAAGGCGCCCACAGAAAGGGGAAAGAAGAAGAAGAAGAAGGGCCCTGAGCGGCCTTCCAAGAAAAACGCGTTTGGAAAAGGGAGTATGATCCAATGGCGCAGTCAAAGTCACAGAATTGCTACGGCTGTCAAAATACGCCAGAGAGGAGTCGACGAATGGATGCCCGCTGGTCAGGCTATACGGTTTAAGATGTACTTTGGCCCTACCGTGGAGGACATATATCCTGCGCTGCAGACGAGAGATTACTTCAAATTCCAGGAAATTTTCCCGAGTCGTTCCCAGGGGAGTTTGATGAGGTCATTTTATCTGGCCGAGGATGCTCGAATGAAGGAGATCAAAATTACACGGGAGTGGTATAAAAACTCTGGACAGGCGGCATTCTCCTCCGGCCAGCAGACTCAGATTCTCACGGGGGAAGAATGGAAGCCTTATATGTACAATACTGGACCGGAGACCATGGATCTACTTATGGGTGATGCGACGGCGCCCAAGCTGTACACGCTCAAGAAGGGCGAGTTTATGAAAGCTGCTGAGCCATTTGCCCCCAACACGAATCGACGTGGTTGGATATTCAATCTCGGCGCCCGAATTCATGAAGCACAATGGGCTCCCAACGAAGAAGGCAGGACGCAATATCTTGCTGTCGCCGTGGAGCAGAAATCCACAAAGAAATCTCCCGACATGTTCGAAAACTCGTCTGCTCCCGCTTTCACTGCTACTGGTACCTTCCCAGCATCTATACAGATATGGGCGTTTGAATCCTTAGAAAATGGGGACATGGACCCCGAGAAGGCTCCACGACTTGAACATGTCATATGCACAGATTGGGGAGCCCCGAAACGTCTTGCATGGTCGCCGATTGGGCCTGATGATGAGGCGGTTCATCGATACGATGAAAATGGGGAGGTAGTTCGCCTGGGTCTACTTGCTGGTATTTGGTCAGACGGGAAGCTTCGCATCATCGATATATCCTTCCAAAAACCTGAGACCGGCACCTTTCAGACAGTATACACGCACTACTCGCAAGCGGCTTTTGATGTCGATTTCCCAGACACTATACCGACCAACATATCATGGCTATCTGGGACTTCGATCGCTGCCGCAACAGCAGCTGGTAACGTCGCAGTATGGTCACTAAACCGCCCTGGAGTCTTTATCCCCTCAAACACGACCAACGACAATTCGTCACCAAAACCCTGGCTCTACAGCCAATTGTCCGACACCTACATTCTATCCCTTTCTTCGGGCTACCCCTCACGCCCCAACTTCCTCTCCATCACTACAGGCGACGGCTTCTCGCGGCTCATCGACCTGCGCTCCCCCAACGTCGACTCCTGCACCTCAGCGCGCACGCGCATGCTGATCTCTAGCCAGGCCTGGCACGAACACACACAGACATGGATTATGGCAGATGAGTACTACATGCTCAAACATGCCTCTCTCCGCCGCTACTACGCCAACTCATACACAATGAAACTAGACAGCTCCTTAGTATGCTGCGCCACGAGCCCCGTACAACCATGCATTCTAATCGGCGGCGCAGACGGCACCGTCGCAGCGAGTAACCCCACAGGCAAAATCATCAACACCAAAAACCCCGTCTGGCAACAAACCTGGTTCAAGCACGAATACCGTCCTCCCGTCGAGCACGTCCTGCGCGGGATCCAACACCCCCCACTCCATGAAGACGCCACCTCTTCTTCCACTTCCATCCCAGTCAACGAAAACGATCCGGTTCCGCAGTCAGTGTTGGATAAACCGCTTACGCGCATCACGGAAGGGTATACGCCGCAAAAAGTCACCACGGCGGCCCGCGATGAGACGGAGCAGCGGGCCAGAGAGGGCGGGAATCTCATCGCGATTTTCGAGGAGCGGTCGGCTGTTACCAAGTTGGCGTGGAATCCGAATTTGAAATTCGGGACGTGGGCGGTGGCGGGGACGCATAACGGGTATCTGAGGGTGGAGGATCTAAGCGTGTGAGCGTATGAGTCTGAAGTGGAGGGTTTCGCGTGCGGCTGTGCGTCAAGTATACTCAATTGGTGCTGGTAGAAAACGGCGCATACAAAGCCATTCAAGTTACGAGACAAGGAATCAATATAGTCGAAAGGGGGGGAAAAGAGTACATACCCGATATATACACTCTCTCCCTCCTCAATCGTCAAATATCCCTATCACCATCTTCCCCTACTTGCTTTCACTTCCACGTCCCCCTTTCCCCTCCAAACCCATCAAAAACCCCGCCCGTCCCTTCCCCCATTCCTCACCTTCCCACGCCCCACTCCACCTCATCGTCCCCCTCCTGACAGTTTCTCTCCCCTCGCTATCCCGATCACTGAGACGCATACACCGTACTTTTGTGCTGGGGTACGTGCGGATCACTGCACCGCTTTCACTTTTATTTCCTTCTTGTTGTTCCTCTGCGGTCTTGGGGTCCGTTGTTGCTTTCGCTCGAGGTTTGGCTTGAGATTTGGGGGAGGTGGAGGGTGGTGGGTGGGAGAAGATGGATTTGAGAGGTTCGAGGAGCTTGCGGGGGAGAGATTTAAGGATATGGAGGGGCTTGCCGGTCTTTTTCTTGGTCTTGGACTTGGGCTTGGGTTCTGGTTTTTTGTTTTGCGAGTAAGTGAGGTTGGTGGGGGTTGAGGACGAGTTGGGGAGGAGAGATTTCGTGCTGTGGGTTTCTGGGGAGGAGGATGGTGAGACTTCGTTGGCTATTGTGGAATGATGGGAGGTGGAGGAAGAGGACGAGGCAATGCTGCACGTCGTGTGGATTGCATGTGCCATGTTTGTCGTTTGCCGTTTTCGGTGCGTTTTCCAAGATCCCTGGGGTTGGGCGTTTGCTGCTTCGTTGTATTTCCCTCTGCGTCTCAAAAGAAAAAGCTTGTAGTTGTCTGGATGCGAATCATTGGAGGTTTCATTGTGAGAGGGTAAAAGGTTGTTTCTCTCATTGCATGAGTGTTCGCGCGCTCCAACCTATGATTCATCATTCCTGTTTCCACCCAGTCATCTTGATGCCTCACTGATTGACGACCTCAACAATTTCCTTATCTCGCTTCGCGCGCGAATTCGTGTTCGATGATGTGTAGGTTAGTTGCTGGAACCATTGAGAGCGCGCATGTTATATAATCTTTTACCCCCAAGACTCTTTGCTCTCGCGCGGATGAGGTCCAACACATTTTACTGAGAGAGGTTCACAGTCAATGCCCGTAGTACTTGCCTTCGAAACTATGACTGTTTATGCCCTATTTCGCTTCTACATCTGAAATTCACCTTGTTTCTAATAATGGATTTGCGCATACTCAAGGAGAAACAACCATATTTCTCGTTTCTAAGGAACCTGTAGCAGAAATCATGTACGAAGAATAAGTCAGGACTGCATACGGATTCTTTTCCATTTCAAAGCCCGTTGAATCCGACCAAGGCGCGCTCACCAATATCTAACGCAGAATCGGATTTGGGGAAAGGACGCATGGCGCTGGGGCTTTGCCTGCCTAGCCACACAAGTGAAAGTGATTACTATTTCGACACAACATATTCGAAAAGAAGAGAGGATTGACTACCAGCACTCAAATATTCAATATTTCCCAAGTATAAATGACTACAAGCCCTGCTCTTCCCCGTTACTGCTCAACCTCCACCCACCCCCTCTCAATCATTGTGCAGAAACAACGCTACTGTCTGTGCATACACCTCGCAACCACAACACCAAACACCAACATGAACCAAACACAAAGCTCTCCCGCTCACAATGCGCGGTACAATCCCATATATCTTCTCCCTCGAGTTATACGATGGATCCACTCGAAAGTAACCAAGCGAAAATCGAAAATGTCAACCACCAAGGAAGACATAAATATCCTCACAAACAACATCTCCACAAACATGTCGATTTCGAAAGAATCCGAAGCGACGGCTAGCCCCGTCGCCATTCCAGAAGAAGTCGCTGCCGCTCATAAAGAGCGTATGGCTCAACTCAAGAAAAAACTCGAAGACATCAACGAGTCTGTCGAGATCCGCGATATGCTCCTCGCGCTCTCTGAAAAGCATTCGGAGTACGCATTCAACAGCGTCCGGAGTATGGTTTGGCGGAGAGACGCTGCGCGCGATAAGCGTGTCTTCGAAAACCTGAAGAGGAAGATGGAGATCGCTGGGGAAGACATCTCGAAGCAGATGGCGAGGGTGAAGGATTGGGAGCGCATCGCTTCGGACCTCCACCAAAACACCCTCAACCAATCCGAGACGATCGACATTGAGCATGAAGATCTAGGGATGAAGCCCGGGGTGTTCACGGAGGGTTGGGGCTGGGATCAGCCGGAGGGAAGCGGACCTGGGATCGAAGAGCCAGTAGATCCCAAGGACGTGGAGAACAAGAATCCGGATATTGTGGACGATGGGGTGGACTACAGCAAAAATTTCAACAAAAGAAACACTGGTGCCTTTCGTTGAGCAGGTCTTTCCCCATCTACTACCATCTGGTCTTGACTCTGGATCTGTCTTGAGAGTTGGTCTTAGACGGTCCTCGCTCAGTCAACGCAGCGTAGATGAAAAATGAAACGAAATGTCTCTGAAAATTATCAATTAAGTTTCACACTAAAGATGCCTTGATTCCTCATAAAACGCGAATGTAGTTCTCCCCTCTGTCAAATATTTTTACTCTGAAGAATCATTAGCCATCAACATACTAACGTGACAGTTGTCTCCAACAAGACCACAGTGTGACTCCGAGTAAATTCAAGCACGATCCAGCACGTCCCATTGCTAGCTCGACATTGTATTCATACAACAACCATCTTCACCATCCCCGATAACAAAACCACACTCCCAGAACACACACCACATATCCCCCATCTCAGTACCCTCTCTCACACACCACCCATACCTAGCCTGCTCCCACACCTACAAAAACAACACCACCACACACAAAACAACAGCCATCCTACTACATCAACACCCGCCCATTTTCAAAACCATGCCTCTAACTCCCCTCCCTACCTATTCCCCCTCATCATCACCACCGCCATCCTCCCTACAAACCCGTCTCCAAACCCTCCACACAACCCTGCAAACCCTCTCAACGTCGCTCAAAACCCGCGCCACCCTCCACGCCCTCGCCCTCGCAAACCCCACCTCCTACCGCCTCTGGACCCTCAACAACCTAGCCTGGCAAGCCCGCACCGAGCACGAGGCGCAAAAACACGCAGCGCTCGTAGCGCAGGTCCGCGACGCGGCGTTTTCGGATGAGATGCTGGAGTTGTACATTGATGGGTGGGAGGAGGAGGTTGAGGAGATGAGGAGGTGGGATCGGAATGAGTCGGAGGTTGTTGATGAGGAGGGGGGTAGAGAGGAAGAGGTTGTGTTTGAGGGGTGGAGAGGGGGTTGGGAGGGGAGGTGGATGGGTGGGGGGAGGAAGGAGGACGGGGATGGTTGGGTTGAGGTTGGGAGGGAGGAGGGGGATGAGGATGGTGAGGGGCCTTTGGGGGAGAGGTGATGCGGAGGGAGGGTGAGGAGGTTAGGGAATTTTGTTTTGTCCTTTGGGTAAGAGGGATGTGGTGATTTGCTCACTTGGGTAATGAGGAGATGCGCGATGGGAGGGTGCGAGATATCTTCTTTTGCACGAGTTCCTTTCAAGTTCGTGGCATGATATTATCTTGGTCGGAATTCACGTCGATATGTACATTACAATGTAAGACCAGTGAAATGCGGAACCTATGCAAGCTTAAAACTCTCCCCTAGTTGCGACTAAAAGTACATATTAGTAGTGTTCCCAAGTCCCAACCTGGTGACCCAAAAGTCTTGTCTTCGTCCAATCCTTCCCATACTGATACGGCGCAAGTACCGGATCCTCATCAATCCCACAATGATCATCACCGTCCCTTCCCGAAAACCAACCCAACGAATACGTTTTCCCCTTCCGCTCCAGATGCCGCGTCATCTGCGAACTATCCATCTCCTCGGTATCCACAAAGTTCACCAACATCTTACTCTGATGGATAAATGCGAGCACAGACGCCATGGTGCCGATCTGGCGGGGCATGAACTTATGAGAGCGCCGGAGATACACAGCGACAGCAACAGAAATGAGGAAGATGAGAATGGCGATGGAGAGACAAAAGGACGTCCAGAAGGAGGTGAAGGTTTGGTCAGTGTTGGCGCGGTCCCATTGGTCGTCTTCTTCTGTTTTGCCTTCGCCACCGTGGCCGGCGATGAACTTTTGGCCGTTGACGGAGAAGCCCGACACGCAGACTGTTAGGACTTCGGCCATGATGGCGCCTGTACCGACGAGGCTGACGAGATAGTGCTTGTTCATTAAGGCTTCGACGGGGAGGAAGATGGGGTTGGTGCCAGTGTAGTCGAGAGTGAGGATCTTGGGGGGAGCATGGCCTTGCGCGAGGATGTAGAAAGGCTCGAGCATGCCTGAGAATGTCAGCAATGCCGGACTGGGATGATTAATTGCAGTGATATGAACTTACGGACGTCGTTGTTGAGAGTGCCCCAAAGCACTTTGACGGCGGTAGCCAGCGCAGTTAAGAGGAATGGCAGTTTCTCAACCACAATGTCTGCCCCTTTGATGAACAGCAGCGAGGGAATCGCGACCATGAACACGAACAAATAGCAGATATAAGGTATCCCGGCCCTCAGCCGAAGCATAAGCGGGCGTGGATCGGACCCAGTATCCGGGATCTTCTCCGTGCTGTTGCGAATGAACTCACCCTGCCAAAGAGCACTCTTGTGAAGATTGTAGCGTCGATGGCGGAGCTGCTTGTGGATTTTTTCTAATGGCGCAGTGTCCAAGCCGCGGAAGTCTGTCAGAATGTGGGATTTGGTAGCCATGGCCGCGATACCAGCTATGCCTTTGGGATTGGAGAGTAGCCCGCTCTTGCGACGCATGTCGCGCATGAGCACAAGACCAAAGATGGCGACAAATACTAAGGAAACGGTGACTCCTCTTGACCAAGCTGGATCTATTCGAATGGATTTCATGCCTTCGCTCTTACGCTCTTTACGAGGGGGATACCTGTGTGAATGAACTAGTGGTTAGCAATGCTGGAAGAAATATCGATACAATGGCTTGATATCTTGCCAGGTATTTGAACAGTTAACTCACATTTCCACAGATGCCGATTGCAATACGGGTACCAGACTACTAGATATGAGAGTAGCCAAGGATACATAGATCACGGCATATTGTTTGTGCCGCAGCGCCCTCAATGGTACAAGCCAGCTCATGAATGTAAGGTAATCCATGTTGAGAGATTCGGCTGCTGTGGCCCCATTCTCCTTGGAAAGCTGATAGTAAGGCTCCAATCTCTTGACTTCAAAATCCGTGATCTGCCAGAAGATACCGTATATGATGAAGAACAGTATCGGCGCATATTTCCATGTAAAGTACGCAATGACCGTCAATTCTTTGGCTTTCGTAAACTGGATCAGTCCACCCTCAGGGTCTTCCCTAACTTTGCGCAGTGATAGCTGGCATATGAACTCTTGAAGGCCAGCCAGAATCAGCGCAATAAGCACGAGAAAGGAAAGCCATGGCCAGCCCATCCAAAATGGTCGCCATGATGGTTTTTCCGGATCTTGCAGCACGTTAGCGTGTCTCCAGTCGATGAAACTTGTGTTCACGCGATCCGGGTTCGAACTTCACCAAGATGTCTCACAGGAAAGAAATTGAAACACGTACCAGGCGGAAAGTAGTAACTCTTTTCGTTATCATCTTTCTGCGATACAGTAAGGGCACTACGTGTTTCCATGTCGTGATTATCGTTCGTCAGATCACTTATATCCACCGTAATCTCTGTAATCGCAACTATCTCGCCCGTTTTCTCAGCTTCGTGCTGCGCTATCTTGGGGTCGGATAGCACCCTCCGATGGCCATTCTCTGCGTGTTCCCTGGATGACGGGCCGTGACCGGCGGGTTGTTGTATTTCCATGACAGTAGCCATGCCTGCGCCGAGCTGGGCCTCGAGTCGCTCATATTCCGCGGCGTAGCCTGCCTCGTTCAAGTCTTCCTCCTGCCCTCCGGCATCTGTTGCGCTCAGTACGCCCCGACGGGTGTTGATGTTGTCCATGGAAATTGAACCATCTATACCACTCAGGTCATACCCTATGGGCTCATCCACCTCGGCGACATTCCCGAGTCTATCTCTGTCAAATCTCGATTCCTCATCGTCCAGCTTGTTATATTCTCCACCCCTAGATCTAGGATTTCTGAGCGACGCTAAACGGTTTATGAAGCGATGTGCGCCGTTACGAGTTTGTGAAGCCTGATGCGCCCCGGTCGGGCTGAATGCATCGGGCGTCGAACTATAGGATGTATCGTCGGAGAAAGACGGCGGTGCCGGTGCACGCGGGATGTTATACGTAGGATCGACGGGAGGAGTAATGGGAGAGGGAAACGAGTTCCGCTTTGATAGCAGAGGTGTGTCTAGGGGACTTATAGGCGCGGTTGAAGACGATCGAGAGGGGAACAGCTGCGAAAGCCTGTCTGACCCGGATGTGTTCTTTCGAGTGAGAGGTGGTCGCGAGGCTGAGATGGGCGACACGATGCTTGGAGACCCAGCACGCAAAGCTGCAGGCACATTATCCACAGACTGTCTCTTAGCGATGGCAGAAGAGCCAGCTCTAAGCGCAAATGGTGTGTCTTCCATGTCAACCCTACCCTGCACTGCAACACACCGGTGCGTCCAAGTGGAGAAAACGGCTCTATCGCAAAGGACCGCTAACGTACAGGACCTGTTCAGGTATTCAATAGCAATCTTGGTTCCAGACTCGGTAAATATACACTTGATTTGTGTATGAGGTATGATGGTCTTAACACTAGGAGATGATGCACAGCTCGCTGCTGAACGTGTCGGCCAAACTGAGATCCTTCTGATCCCACGGAGAGCTTGGTCAGGCCACCCACGGCGACGTGTTGCCGGTCATACCAGGTACAAATATCAATTACACTGGCAGACAATCCGCAATGCGCAAGATTGGCGCGATCTGGAAAAACCGCTCTTAGCAGCCTTGCGACAAGTGGTAGGGGGACGGAATAAGCTATACTGAATAGCTGTCGGCTAAAGATGCAGAACAATCAAGATGGATTGAAGCAGAGGGGGAGGAGCCGAGGAGCAGAGTGGCGGTGGAAGATGCGGAGAGGTGGAAAGCGAGAGGACGGCCTTTAGCTACTGCCTCACAGCCTGATGCCCTCGCGCAACGGTAACAGCTCAGCCGTACACATGCTTGCTTAAAGAGTTATCGTAGTGAGTCGTCCTAAAAATACGACGCCGCCACATAATTCGGTTATCGTTACCACATTGGCGAGTGAAACGAACACGGGCGGGGCGCCTTTGGGGGCTGGAAGCGGCTTGTTTATTCCTGTCTGGCGTAGGCGTGACAGTGCAGCAGGGTGAACCGCGGGCGCTTGGTCGTAGGGGATGAAGGGTCAATGGAGACTGCAGACGTGATGGGCGATGAGGGTGGTGACATGTGGTCTGAAGAAGCTTTAGAAAGAAAGATGATGCTAATCCTCCGCCGGACGCGTGGGAGGTAGCCAGCTACTTGGTACGTACTTCTAGGGCCGCGCCCCAAGCGACGTAAGCCGGCGCTTTACTTGATTCACTTTACGATTTGTTTAATTCATCGTTCAGTCATCCCAGAAAGCCAATGTTACACCCAATACAATATTTTAAACTCGGAGGCGTAACTACGTGGAGCGGTGGGCTGAGGAATGCGCACGTGCTACAGGAAGGCCCACGCACACAATCCACGGGTTGACTCTCGCGATGCGAGGGTGATGCGATGCTCGGCCTGAGGAACTGGTGATAGGTCGGTAATATGCGCCATCTTGAAGCATCAACTCGCTCTGTTTCCTAGAGTTTTCAACATGCTAACAGGTGCGCAGTCCGAAAAGCACCGACAGCCAGCCATATATACCTCAAGAGTGCCATTGAGCAACTATGAGTTCGAACGACCGCCGTGGACCAGGGTGGGGGGCAAAGACGACGCTCAAAAGCGTGATTTGATCCATTGAATGGCTCTAGCATGCTGGGCCATTTGATCATCGGGATTGGCCCTATTACCTTGCATCGCATGCAGTCAGCATTCTTTTCATTGGCATTTAGATATGTGAGCATCTGGGAATCATCTGTGAATATAGAGAGAGACCACATCAGCTCTCATGACTACCCATCAATCGCCCGATTCTTATGCAGTCTCACACGGCATAGTTATACCGTCATGTCAATTGCATATCTCCAGATGCTATTCATTGAGCAAGGTTTTTACCGCCTCTCGCGTACATTAACAGCTTCTTTGTTTGTGTACACGGCACAGTGCATGCCGCTTTCTTCACCGTCCTTCTGTCTCAGTCGTGGCTTGGCGACGACTGGTCATCTTTTCGTCGAAAAATGAAACTGGCGAGACCGGGAAAATACTGGATTGGCCCCGATTACGACGTTGTTATGAAGTTCAACATCCTGTTGAGACACCAACGAGTTTACGCGTGTTTCAGGGACTGCAATAAGTACTTGGTAAGGTAATATGTGCCGAAAGAGCCAACGTCTTCATTTAGAATTGTAGAATACGTTTGCCATTCGTCGGTAGTCGCAGCCAGCTGTGGCTGCCTAGTTGATCACATGCATGCAAACAACGTACCTACATATGTAAACAACCCAGCCTCTTACTTTGGCAGACCGACAGTCACCTTTGCCCTCCCCCCCACGCAAGAAAACACAGCAGCCGAAAGTCTCACTTGGAAGCTCTATTGCCTCACTGCTTAGCAGCAGCTTGCCTGCGTCTTAATTAACCCACTGATCCTCCCACTTGATCTCTGCACTCTCGCCAACTACCACGCCATTTGAGAGTAAGTGGCATTCATACCTGTGCCCCAATTGTGTAAGTTCTTTTCTGTTCTACATATTTGCCATTCCCCTTGAGCTCCCCAAGTTTCCCCAGCTTCTGGTCACAACCACTTTGGACTGCTTTCTGTGCTTGGGCACGGCCAGCTCACTTTTCCCAGTACGGCTGGCCACTGCATTGCAAATTCCATCCCGTCACTGGATAATTCAACACCATGGAGTCTTTCGAGATAGATCATCCACATCTCCGTGTGGGCACTGCGACACGGGAGTTAATTAGAGCGAACAACCTTGACTCTTCAATGCCTGAGAACAGGAGCCTTCGCCAAACCTTGGGGTTTCGAGAGAAAGGTGTCGCCCGTCGACCACAGTTCACGTCTGATATCATCAACAAACTCTACAAGGAGCTTGATCCCACAGCTTTAGGGTTACCTGTCCAAAGCCACAAGGAGTTATTCCAGGCCTGGGACGACCAAACCTTCACTCCCCGAGTCTGGAAAATCGCAGAGGAATTCGGTCCAAAGATCTGGGACGATGCCATGGATAGACGTCGCCCTAAAAATCCCTTCAAGGTATCACAGTTGTTGGTGAGCGGAGAACAAGACTACTGTACCGAGGATCTGTTCTGGGACTTCAAAGACCACCGCGATTTTATTGCTCTGCAACTTGAGCATCTGTCATTTGTTAGAGCATTTGCGTGGGCGAGGAATCATCCCGATGCTGTACCAAAGCTTACCAAAAAGAGCCTGATAGTCAAATTGCGACTCCCATACCTTCTCCCGGTAGCACGCGCGAAGCCGAGGAACAGCGCAATCATGATTGGCAAGCGAAACCTAAGGGCCTACGTGGAGGAGAACGAAGTGGAGGATTCGAGAGAATGGGATAGTGTCAAACGGCGTCTCAACTCGTCACAGCAGCATCGAGTCCTCGACGAGAGTGGCGATGAAGACGGCGACCCCGCGTTCGAGGGAAACGAGAATGACGAGGAACACGGAGAGAACTACACGATTCGACAGCCGTTCATGAGGACAGCCAATTCACGCCGCAATCATCGTAGATTCGCTGCACGAACACAACATGTTGATGAAGGTCTCCCGTCGCCTCGATCTCATACACATGGGTCGAACACGCAAGCATCCTGCTCTGCTAGCGCTCCAAACCCTTCTACACCTGTGCATATTCAGAACCCCACCCCTAATTCGAGTCTGGGTCCGGATTTGACCAAATTACGCTGGGAATTGCAGAGAGAGATGGTGAACGAGCTGTACGGCAAACACGTTTCATCCTATTCGGCAACCCTGGAAGAAAAATTCCTCCACATCTGGAACACGGATCAGGAGACGACAGCAAATAGACTGGGCCACGAAAAATACGAAGCGGTCAATGAAGCAGTTCAGCACTGGCTGGGCTGGCGAAAGGTAGCAGGGGCGTTAGGTAAGTACCCTCTCGACGTACAAGAGCAACTTACGCTTCTCGCGTTGATAGAATTTTGCGTATGACTATTGTCACAGTACGCAATCACTAACAGCCTTGGTGCCTACAGGCGGCCTCACGGGCCATAAGGAATCTTCCCTTGAGAAACTTCCCGAATACTCATATGAGGAGTGGACTACAATGCTTGGTGGAGAAGATAGGTACCGAGAGATCTTCATCCAGTTGAATGACTATCGCATGCGCTCATATGAGGACGGCAGCATCCAGGATCATGTCAGCAGACTGATGGAAGCCTTCCAGGCTGTGACTAAGCAACCCATCGTCGTCTATGGGCTCGAAAGGGGACTCAAAGCCTTCCACGAGCAAATGCGTGTGTGGCATATGGCGATCACTGGGGAGGAAGCCTAATGCCGTCTGGGTGAATCTTTCGATGGTCACCCACCATATGGGGCAAGCAATAGGAGGTCGAAACAGGGTGCAGCAGGCTCACAAACAAGTGGGGCCATGCACGACCTTTGAGTCTATGACTTGCATGAAATGCTGGAAGAACTATTGGGGATCTCGCTTGCCAAGGTAAAATGTCTGGACAAAAGCGACTGTACTGTAATGCCGCAGTATCTACGGATCACTAGCGCTGACAGGCTTGTGTAAAGATTTGTAGGATGACATAATATTATGTGGCTAGTGTACCATTTTAGTGCGGTGGCTGAATCAACGAGTGCGAGTTTCATCTTTTTCATTTTCCTTCTCTACAGTGTACACGTCGCCAGGGAACCATCAAAGCCATATTAAACCGCATTGCTATGGAATATCTGTGCGATTGGTTGAGCTGCACTTTTCTGTCAATACGCGGAGTGCCCCTTCGCCACCTCCTATAACGTCTCCCACGAATGTGATTCAGTGTCTCACCTACCGTGCTAAGCAGTTGAGCAGTTGTTCTTTTGCGCCGTACTCATCTTCTGGTCTTCGAGGATTTGTCTGGCAGGAATCGTCATCGGGTTCGAAGTTGCAGCAACTTCCGCTCCACATCGTATATCGGAGCCGTGCATACTGACTTTCATCCAAGCGACTGCATGCTGCAACCAATCGCCATGGAGGAACCAACCGCTGGCACGCCTCTTCAGACGCTCGATTATGCCAACGCAAAGGACTGGCTGGATATTATGAAGAACAGATCCAAATTACGCATGCATGAGCTTATCGAACGCCTGGGGCTCCGCGCCAAATGGAGTCAGAACAAGCGCGGTAAAACGAATTTCGAAAGCGCTTTGGTCAGAGATCTGGTAACGGGTAGGTCGTCCTTGCTCAAACCCCGGTTGTGCCTACACAACGAGCTTTACTGACATAGTAATCACTTTTTTAGATATGGGAGAAGTCGTGTCGACGCTCCCGAAAGACTCTGATGAATTAATTCAATATTTATCGGAAGACGGAAGCATGAGCCAGCAGGTAGAAGTAGGTCCAGTCCATGTCATTTGTTCGCATCACTCTCATACACGAGAGACTCTGCAATACCTAGCACGATAAATGGCTGACATGTACATGGCGAATAGGAATTACTGCAAAAGCATGGTTCAGCAATATGGGGCCGCCTCGCCGGCGAGAACAGGGAGCATCTCATCACCGCTGGCGAGGAAGGCATCGAAGAAGGAGTCTACCCGACGGATCTGTATTATGAGAATGAAGAAGACAGGACCACGTAAGTATATTAATTCAGAAGTATTCTGGATCGATATGCAGGGTTGACCATTGCAGCATCCGGCGTCTACTTCATTGGTGGCTTGGTATGAAAGCGATCAATGTCATTCTAGCGCGTGAGCGTCTTGATCGAGAGCGCAAGAAGAAAGAGGACAACAAGAAGGCTCGAATAGATTTCGACCCTCAAGATACTCCTTCCTCCTCATTCGTTGCGCTAGCGCCGAATTCAGCAATCCCCTTGATGCCAACACTCAACACAAACCTCGAGCCTCCACGGCACATGCAGTTTTATCAGGTCGAGAACCTATCACGAGATAGCCCCATCTCGACCACCATGGTCACACCGACCGACTCAAATGGAAGCCCAATTGTAGCTGCTAGAGGCAGCATGGGTAACGGGGATGCGAATGGCAGCCATCTAAACCAAGGTACTTCTACGAACGGCTATGCTAACGGACATGCCAACGGGCATGCGAATGGAACTCTTACAGCGAATGGTCTCAACGGTCACGCGGAAGGACAATGGGGCGTCAACGGATCTCGCAACGGAAGTACTTCATCGCAAGCAGCTTCCTCTTGGTCTATGGCACACGCTTCACAACCAGCAGCGGTAGACCGTAGAAGATCATCATTAGCTACAGAGATCACATCACAACCTCCACCAGCCACATCGGCATCCTCAGCCGCCGTACGACAGTTTGCCGCAGACATGTCGCAGCTCGTAGCTACCACGACATCGTTTAGGGTCGCAGCCAGCGAGAACCATATCCCCAGTGGCGAAGAAGGGGCCCGGAGTGCTACTAACGAACCCTATCGCGGGCTTGATGAGGACACCCTTCAAGCGCTCCGAGCCTATATTTACCACGAGGAAACCAGTGTCCAGTGGGACGAGGAGGCGCTACTCCTTCGTATCGAGACAATCTGGCGAACGGGTGTGCGATCAGATCGCAACATCATCATGGACAATCTCCAAGCATTCGTGGCGAGAGAGCGCGCCCTTCTAACTTGGATCGAATTGAAACGGCATCTAGCCGATCTTGACCGCGCTGACAAACGTACGTATCTCTCCATTTCTTCGCTTCCCCCTCCTCGGAAATAAACAATAAGGAGCAAAAGAGGGGGGTTATCGCGAAAGATATCGGAACACGACGTTTTGCAAAGACTAACTAACGAACGCGTGGGTTTTTTAGGCTGGCGCGAAGAGGGCACTTCGGCGCCCGAAATCGAGCGGCGCATCCAGCAGCACCGCACGCTCATGAGCGCAACGCGCGAACTGCTGCGAGCCTATCAAGACATTGCGCCCATCTCGTCGGGCCGCGATAGCGATAACGATGAGCTGCTGCGTCAGGCGTTCGTGGTTCTTGCGGGGTCAAAGTACGCCGTTGAAATGCAGTGGGCCAGCGTCGAATTCGACGGCGTCATGCGCTGGCTTGCGAACCACCTTGAGGGGTTCATACGCGATGAGGAGGAGCAGGGCGAAGGGAAGTATTATGTAGCGTGAGTCTATGTGGGCGTGGAGGGTTTGCCTTTGCGACTGGTTACTCTAGGCGATGGGTAGAGATGATGCGCATACGCGTCGTTTTTTTCTTATTCTTTCTAATCCTCGCGCTTGTTTTCCGTTAGTGTAAAGGATTGGGTGTATGGCAACATTTTCCCGTTAATTTTCCTCCTACCCGAAGTTATTCAATCAAGGCAGACAAAAAGTGTGCAAATATGCGCGACCTCGTATCCAAAGGCGCGCACTCGCAACACACTCTAGAAACAAACACAGTCAACCTTCTATTTACCATACACATGCCCTACACCAACACCAACCAATATTCAAACCCAGCGCATCCCTGCATACCGCCAACCCTTTATCCAATTTAGACCTCGAATACCCATAAGGACCACCGCAATGACATTTGCATACCGAGAGTACGCCTCGAACCCCACCCAGCCCAACGCAAACCAGCATCCCCCAATCAATCAATCAATCCCCCCCCCCCCCTTGGACAAAGGATTCCCTCTCCCCACCCGAGCAGCGTTCCAAACTCAATCCCCAAGAATCATCCGTGCGCCAAAATCACTTGTATCCGCTTCCTTTTGATTTTCTTTCGATCCTCTCTCTAATCCAGCAAGCTCTTCGCTCGCTACATGACGCGCGCTAGGATGGATGGATGCAATGGCATCGCAATCGCATGGCACAGTATAAACAGTGTATATACCTTACCTACATACCTAGTTGTAAGTAGGTAGGGGTATATGCGTTTTGCGATCTGTCACTACATGCATGTTTGCAATATAACATGGCGCTATGTTATGCTGTGCTATGCTATTTTGTTAAGCTGAAACTAATAAAAAATAAAAAAACTTAAAATGGATAATGCAACGATAAAGCAAGAGGAGAAAAACGCCTACGGGTTTGATGTTGCGTTCGTAGTGGTGTGAGTGACATGTTCGCTGGGTTAGCGGCGGTCCGCCTTGCACTATTCCTCAATAGAAGAATGAAGGGTGGATAAACGATGATGAGAAGAAGAAAAAAAAAAGGGTATGTTGTATGAGATTGTTCCTGCCGAGGCGTATTTCCTGACCACTTGTTTGTTTGATGCATCGATCAATCTATCTAGTACTTGCTATTATGTCTGGATGTATGCGCGCTAGGTATACATTTACCTTTTTCTATTCCGTAGACGTGGATACATACATACTCCTCCCACGCAACTAGCATAGCTTTGCTAAAAAAAAACCCCCCTCGTCATTGCATTCTCATTTGGTGCCTGGTAGTTCAACAGCAGCGATGATGAAAATTCTTGTAATCTGAGTGAGGAGGGGAGCAGCAAGGAAAGAGAAGCGACAAAGGCGAACTTTGTCGCACACACCCCCTGTCATTTCCCGTTTACATTGTAAGGGGGGGATATCGTAATAATGAGGAGATTGTTTATGTAGGTCAACAACTTTTGAAGTAGACGAGTGTTGGTCATTTATGCATAGTAATTCTGTTACTGGAAAAGAGTTGATGGATATCCATTCTATTGATTGTTGTTTCATTATTGCCGGCGAAGAAATCCGCTTCGAGGGAGAGGGGAAGAGCAGAATCTAAGAGAGAGAAAAGATGCGTCCATGGTTCTGTTCCGTCCTAACATGTAATAGGGGAGAATCCGGGTTCCGAGTACAGTACAACAAACAGCACATAAACATTTACATGTGCATTAACATTGGCAGGCGTCTAATGCAAAAGTATTGTATAGTAAGCATTAATGTAGTATAGAAATCTCACTCTTACTCTACCTTACTTTACTTTACCTTACCCCTATGGGTTCCACAGGATTGATCGCCGAGAAATGTGAGATTTCTCGATCTTTGTGTTGGTTCGCTTGCGAGGATGGATTTATTATCATTATTATTATTTGGCTTGGCTTGGCTTGGACTTGTTGCCGCTGGCGAGCTGCATGGTCATCATCATCATCGGCGCGCGAAGAAGCGATTGGAGGGCATAAAGGCTTACGATTACAAGAGAGGATCTGGCCCTGCGCGTTCGCTCGATTGATCAGCATGGAAATGTGTGGACGTAGTGCAGTGTTGGTCGTGTATTTTCCAATAGATACAATGGCGGTTACATGGGAGTTTCACTCGCATATGTGCATGTGATGGATAAGTATTAAGGGTAGCGGTTATTTGGGGTTAGATGATGGTGATGGTGTGTGTGTCACACGATTTGGCATAAGCGTCACTCGTAGGATGGATGGATGGATGATCGGTAGACCCTTCTTGCCATTCATTTCGATTGGAACGGTACATATAGATGTTCGAAACTTCTTTACGCGGAGCGAAGTGTTGCTGCTGGAATTTAACCCAGTAGATTATTTATTGGATTGATTGCTATGTGTAACCGTATCCTGAGTCGATAAAACCACGGTTACACTCGTTGTCTTGGGTTCTAAGGGGTAGCGCAGGTAAAGCTTTAGTCAGGTCGATAGCAGACAGAGTACATACACACTTCTTGTTTTTGTTATATATAAGATGTAGTTTGATGCTTGTTTTGCGATGAACAGCGCTGGAGCTTACATATGTACGTACTTGTACACGGAGGTTGTAAAGAGCAAGGCAAACCGTTACTAAACAGCTCTGGCCCCCACAACATGCAGCCTCACCGTCTAGTCAGTACAATGATAGTCTCCCCGCGCAAGGTTCTCATGTGCTCTTTTGTATGCGACGCTGATCCACTGTGTTGAGCAAGTCTTTTACTTTTCAGGCACGTCGAATGGCGATTGTTCTGAGCGCGGTTCGGATCGGTTGTTGTATCCGTGCTCTCAAACCTAGATCTATACTGGTGTTCTCGCAGCGTGTCGCAGTCCTTGGAAATGTATCTTCATTATGCCATGATTTGCTCCACGGTTTTATATTCTTCTCTCCGCGATGAACGAATCCTGCTTCTCCAAGTACAGCGGCGAGGAACTCGTTCGGGGTTTACATGCAGGAGCCGAAAACCAGCTCAAGGAATGTTGGTCAGGCTCGTTTCGCGACCAACTGCACGGATAAGCCATCTTTCGTCTGAGATATTCTCATGCCTTTTGTACATGTAAAGAGAGAAGAGAATGGACATGTACATGTACATGTTAGGTTGCATAAAAACCAAGCTTTACAACATAGGAAAGGGGAAGAGAGAGGAGGTGGGGGAAGGTATGTCACCGTATCAGCGTATATTAGTATCGAATCAGTAATCGGGTAAGGTCCCCTACGCATGCAGGTAAGGGTAAGTAGGTTTGTTTGAAAGTGGGGCGCATATTTTGGGCGGGTGAGCGAAAGAGCGCTCTGCGGTCAATCTTAAGTTGACTAAAAAAAAGTCGTAGGAGCGGAACGAATGGCAGGGAATAAATATAAATGCGAATCCAGATCCCATGTTGTTCGAACACACTTTCTTTCTTTTTTTTCTTTTTTGGGGGGAGGGTTTGGTGGGCGGGCGAGCGAGCGGGTCAAAAAGGTAAAAGAAAGTGGACTTGGTTATCGGTACAAACGGTAATCATACCATGGCGGAGAGAAGATGGTGATGATGGTGAATGACGATGACAGGCGATGACGATGATGAACTGATGATGATGATGATGATGATGTCGATCTCTATAATTTTTTTTCTTGTTCATGTAATCTACTAGCCTAAGCCCCCGCCTTCATTCGGGGAAATAAGAAAAGGAAGATAGATAGCAAGGAGCGGGAAAAACTTGCTTGTCGGAGCCGATCGCAATAGGTTTGATTTGCTAGTCGCGAGGTCACTAAGCTGTCTTGGCGATTTGTTTCCAATGGTGAGTTGTGGGTAAGGTAAGGTAAGGCGACGACGTGCACGCCGGTGTAATGTAATTGTATGCGGATTTTGTTGGGTTTGTGCAAGTCTATTTTTTCTTTGGAATTCCGTGGATTGGTTGATTCATTTGATGGTTTGAAGTACGTTGAGTACATAGCTCGCTCATTACTCCCTTTACATCACTGTGCCTTCATGTTCTTGTCTCTCTTGTGCGAGTGTCTCTCTCATTCTTCAAATGTTGTAATCTCTGACAAGCGCCGCCCGCAAGTGGCTCCGGCACCTTCCTACAGGAGCGAGCGAGGGCGGACCGGTTACAGTCACGTCCCGGATGGCTATTGAAAGATGGCACAAGCGATACGAGCACAATAGATTTGTTTGATGTTACGGCGGGTTACACGGTCGCAGGGCCTCCCATCACTGACATTTCTGTAGAGGGTGTGGGTCACGTTGGTTGTATGAGGAGAGCAGCGCTTGCGTCTGTGCTTCTTTGTTAGGGCACTGGAAAGCTATGGGCCGCGCGACACAGGCGCTCAGCAAAAGCAGAAACTCGTCTGTTACAGAACCCGGGCACACAAGCAACAACACAGACATACCCACACGCACACTGCACACGCATACATTAGACACACAAACGCTTTTATCGAATCTCGAGGAAAGATGACGCACAAGCAACACGCTGATCATGACACACACCCCCCCTCTCCCCTCTCCCCTCCCCCCCCCCTTTCGCCGTGTTTTCGGCACTTTTTTCGTGTGCGTGTCTGGTTGTTATCGGTTTCGCAACGGCGAGTCGAGCAAAGCAATGTTTCCAAAGCGGGTGTGAATACCTAATTAGGGTTCGTTCGGCTGGGGGGGACCACGCCCCCCCTAGCTCGACTAGCGAGGATTTAATGTACCTGATGTATAGAAGCATACGTATGCATGCGAGTATAGAGTATATACACGCACATATGTAAAGTACTATGGTAAAGGTACTGCGATAAGCAGGTCGCAACACGCGGATCGTACTTTGGAATGCAACCAGTATTGGATAGGCGAGTTGGGATGTCATCACATTTGCCAAGGTTTTGTGAATGCTAGATTGATCAGGTCATTTGGGTAGCATCCACGGTAGTACTCTTTTGATCGAACGGTATGTATGCATGTCTGTATGTATGTAGGCGAGAAAATGAAGCAAGGGGAGGGGAGAGGGGTGTGCACTGCACACAAAGAAGGAAAAGAAACGAAAAGAAAAGAAAAGAAAAAGAGAGAGAGTTTCGACCCGTCCAAGCGTCATCGAAGACAGCGAGCGGCGGGCGCGCGTCGCTGATTCGAGGAAGGGGTCAGGTCACTCTTACGTGAGGTGTTTGGGTGCTAGCATAGCATAGCAATAGCATCAATAGCAATAGCCAGCCAGCTAGCTAGCTACGCGGCTAGCCAGTCTGGCTGACAAGTCTTGTCCCCCCTTCACCGTGTTATGTATGTATATATGTATGTATGCGTGTTGGGGGAGGGATATTTCTTGATTGGGTTTAAGAGGCAGAGGGCCTATCAAACATAGTACCGTTGTATATGGATGGTGCAGGGGACGGGCAGGGCTATTAGGCTATCTATGGGGGGCCTATGGGATGACTACGAATGGCTAGACTATAGAGGGCTATGGATAGCTGACGGGCGTAGGTATGGTGGCGCGGTGCCTCGTACGGATTGGACTGAAGGAGTATCCACCCCGTACATGTAGAGTCTATCTATGTATATGTGTAGGTCTGTCTGTATGTATGTAAGAATGCAAGAGGTAGAGGATGACTGTGTAGGGTGGTGGTAGCGTCATCAGTGATGAGATGAGACGACCCGTGTCGATGGCTGGATGGATGGATGGATGGATGGACAAGAAGGGATAAAGGGAGAATGAATGTATGGGAAAGTGGAGAGTACCTAGGTAAAGAGAGAGAACAGAGTACACGCAATGCACGCAATGCACGCAGAGGGAAGCAAGGGCGTAGCGAGTGGGCCAATGAGGGCGGCTCTCTTAGTACTAGCTCGCACGAGTCAATCCGTCTCATCTCGGCCGCGCCATGGATTACTTTTTTCATTACTCTACTCCCTCCCTTCGCCCTCTTTTTCTTGTTTCTTTTTTTTTCCCGAGTCTTCTCTGCTCTACCCTATCCATCTCTCTATGCCCCAGCCCTTCAGAGCTTCTTTTTCTTCTGCTCCTTCCTCTTCTTCTTTTTCTCTCTTCGCCAGACTATCCGTGGTTCCCTTGATCCTCACACGCGGTAGTGTCTCGGACGCAGACACTAAATTCCCATACTAACTAGAAAGTACTAATCTACCACTGACTGATTGACTGCTTGTGCGTACCACGTATACGCAGGGATTTGCATTTCTTGTTTTTGCATCTGCCTTCCCTTCCCTCTCTCTAGACCGTTTCTCTTTTTTCTTCGTTTCTTTTCTTTTTTCTCTCCTTCTCTCTCCCTCTTTTGCTTTGCTTGCCTCTTACCTGTCGGCCCTCTTACTCGGGACAATACAATCAATCACACACTACTGCATCACACGTCGCTTCCAAGCATCATCCTCGGCTCCCCATTTAGGAAAAAGGCAGTCAGCCCTACCGTGTGTACCTGGTCGCGGCAGACGAGACGCCAACAACAAGGCGGGAAGCAGCGACAACGAGGCGCCATCAGGGGACCAACACCAGCCAGCAACAGCAAAGACGAGACATCGTCGTCCAGCATCCAAGCAGTGCGCATCGGAGAAGAAAGACAAGACCAGACCAGACAGACAGACAGGCCAGCCAGCAAGCGCAAAGTTTCTCGCTTGTTCGATATACTTGATAGTCCTGTACCATTACTCCACTAGCGCTTTTCGCCCCCTTTACCAATCTTCCTTAGCGAGCCCCAACAAACCAAACGGGCATTGTCCTGTCTTGTCCAGTCCAGTCCTGTCTTGACTTGCTTGACTGGGGGGGACGACACGCGATTCCCATACCGTCCCGTCATCCATTCCATCCATTCATTCCATCCAGCCAGCCAGCCATTGATTGATTACACGGCTTGCTTTGCTTTGCTTTGCGCTGTGCATACATTGATACCACTGCAGTGCCAGTGCAGCCCCGTGCAGTGTGCGGGTGGAGCCAGCCAGCCAGCCAGCCAGCAAGGAAAAGTAACTTTGGCTGCCGCACATCTCTTGACCTGCTGTTGCTGCTGGGCTATGCGGTAGTTCCATTGTTTCCAACTTCCCTCGTCGTCGCCATCAACCACACCAGCAATTGCCTTTCGTCGCCATGAGCACAAAGGACTCACCGGCAGCCACCGCAGCCATTGCCGCCTCTGCTGCAGCCGCCGCCGCCGCCAACGCCGAAGACTCTCAAGCCGTCACTCGCTGGGATCGGCAACGTTGGGTTTCCGTCTTCTCGTCCCACAACCCTACCATCCGGGAGGTCGCGGAGAATTTGGGCCTAGGCCTGTCCGCCTCCTCGTCCACCACCAATCGTGGCATCCCCAAATTCGATAACCCCGATTACCGCAAGCTCTCCAGCGAAGTCACCCGTCTATCCAAGGAATTGCCCAAGGACCGCGATGCCTTGCTCGACTTTGCTGCCGACCCTCTCAGTTTGGACGTCGAACTGGAAAAGCTGCTAGGCAACTGGGGTCCTTCCATTTGGGGTAGGGATACCGACCGCTCCTGCCTCCTCACCCCCGAGCATGCCAAAAAGACCTACACCAAAAATCTCTACTACGAGGACCCTGCTGACCGCGAAACGTAAGCTTCAATTTCCTGATTCATTTATATTTGCTGTTGCTGACTCCAATGCTACCGCCAGACTAAAAGTCCATTTGCACCGATGGATCATCATCAAGGCCTGTTATTATATCAGAAACATGAAACTCAAGCGCTCCTCAACTGCAACTGAATTTGATACCCTGGCCGACATGGAGACCGATGACTTGATGAGCCCCACCAAGCCTCACCTACTTCCCTCTCCCAATGGGACCTCCATCTCTCTATCGCCTTCTGTCGAAACCGTGTCCACCATGGCCGGCACCGATCCAGCCGTCAGGATGATTGGCGGCAAGAAGCGCAAGAGCTCCATATTTAACTCCGCCTCCGACGGGGAAGACGTCGACTCACCTCTCGTGAAGCGTCCATACCAGAGCCATACACTGCCCAGAACCAAGAACAGTCCTCGCAAATCTGTCAAGTCCTTTTCGGGAAGCCCGGTCTCGGAAAATATACCACCCATCACTACCCTGGCCCAGGGTCAATACAACGGCTTCCAGACGAAACTCGCTCCTACTTCTGCTCCTGAAACTAGCCGAAACCTCCTGACACCGCTCTCGAGTAACCATCTAAATGGCACCGCCAGACCTTTCAATTCCGCACCACCGCCAGCTAGCGGCCCTGCTAGGTCCAACCCTTCAGGGGGTTTCACTACTGTTAATACCTCACCGCCATCCAAGGACCACGCCGCCCGTACCTCTGCACCCCCACCGCCGACTAACTCGACCTATGCCAGCCCCTACGACGTCAGTCCTCACAGCAAGGCATCTGTACCGCACGACGCCCGGAACCTTCCCAAGGCACCCCCACCAGCCACCTCTGCGCCTAGCCAGGGTTTCCAGGCCATCAACTCACCGCCCGTCGCCAATGGCACCATTGTGAAAGGGCCTAGCAGCCGATCCAATACTCCTGTACCGCATCACCACCATCATCATCACCACCACCATCGATCTGCCGTCGCTCCTCAACGACCCAGTCGGTCAAATACCCCCATTTCTATAGCTTCAGCAACTTCGCATAGCGCCGATAGGAACGGCGACGCCCATGCACACATGAAGATGACATCAAGTTTGAGTCAGTCCTCTCATTCCGGTCATGTCATGGAAAGGCCTACCGAATCTCACCCTCCAAGAAAACTGTCTACAAACCCGGTCCAGGCGGCACCAGCCGTTCAATCGACGCAACAAATTCAGCCACACCCTGGATCACGCACGAATCATGTCAATGCCCCAGCAGCTGCACCCGCCGTGGGCGTGGTTCATTATGCTCCCCCTGTTCAACCGGTGCTTAAGAGTCACCCCGTCGAGTCCTTACCACCTGTGCAACCTCCTACCGGGGCCCTCGACATCAGCTTGTTACAATGTGAAGTTCTCGGCTTGTTGATGCAGTACTTCTTCCCCAAGTCTAGTTCACCACCCGACGAAGGTCTCCTATTCCATCGGATCGAAAGCCTTTGGCACGTAGGCGCTGCTCTCTTCCGCAAACAGATGGGCCAGCTCTACGACCTGCAATCAAAAATCCTCCTCTCATGGCTCCACGAGCGCCGCATGCTGAGCCACCTGCGCCGTTCGCTCGTGTACAAGCCGGGCGTGCCTGCTTCGGAAATGGGAGACCGCCTGCTTGCCATGAACGATATCAGGATCATGCGGCTCAAGTGGAAAAACATGGGCACTGCGGAAGGCTTTAGCTCCGATGACTTGCTGTGCAGGAGTCTTGCCGTCTTGACCAATACCGAGGGCACCGAGTGCCTTTTCAAAGACGGTATTGATCGCTACGGCGATGGCTTGATTGATTTTTTGAGAGAGGAAGATATGAGGATTTTTGTGTACTATAAGAAGTAAGGAGGGATCGTGCTTTCTCTTACTTCATTCCTTCTCTCTCTCTCATCCATCTCTTACCCTGAGAAATGAGAAGAAGAAGAAAAACCCGACCGAGAAAGCTTCGTTGCTTTGTTCTATTCCGGGGTCATTCTGGATCCTAAGTTTCCATTCTTGGCAAAAAAAACCACTCTTGTCGATCGAGAAAAGTCCTTTTCTTAACCCTTCTTTAATTACAAAAAGCAATGCTGCGGTTTATTAATCGCTTGGAAACGTAGGAATGGGTCGGTCTTTTGCTTTGTTCAAGTCTTCACCCACCCCATCTCCCTCTCTCTAGCCTGCACTCGTGTTCATATCTCGATGATATTGCCGAAAGGTTATTCAAGGGGAAAAGGAGAAGGGTGGCAGATTCTTTTCCTTTTCTATTAGTTAGCGATGGCGTTCGTGCATCCTTTTTCTTCTTTTGTTGTTTTAAATCAGTCTTTTTTGTTTTGGGTGAAAGGGAATTAACCGCAATTGTATCAGAGCGATCTTTTGCTTTTTCTTTGTTTTTCTCTGTTATCTTTTGCTTTTTTCCCGTCCCTGTTATAGGTTTCGGATCTTTTAAGAGGGGTGGGTTTGCGCTTTGCGCAATATATAGCAACACGTGTTTTTTTGTTACCGTTTTACTGTTCCTTTGAGTGGGTAATAAGAAAATTAATAAATACTTGTTCTTTTGTAGCTCTCTCTTTTTTCAAGTCTTCATCTCGTGTCTTGATATCTCTTTTTCGTTTGCTGGTTTATAGCTAGCGGGGATTTGTAAGTACGTACTATTCTTCACTTCTCCATTGTATATAGGTGTTTAGTTGCACGCGGGGTGCGAGGGAAGAACAAAGAGTTAGTTATATATCAAAAAACAAGCAAGAAAATCCGCTTATTTAACTTTGCCAACAGTCTCTCCATCAATCACCAATCTTTAACACAAGTCATATTGTTCTAGTCCTAAGGATTGATTTGCAAGTTTTGTCCCTAGCCAACCATAAACGTCTCGCTGACCACTCTCCCCTCCACCGAACGTCACCGCTTTAAGCGAATTTCCTGGAATTTTCGCTTGTTTTAAAATGACCTTGGTTTAAGGCTTAAAGGCTTGTTTTCCTCTTTTGCGGAGGAATTGGGAAATTGGAATTGGGGGTGGCGAGGATGGGCGGTGGGTTCAAATGTTAGTTTAAGCGGTGGGAGGGTTTATCGGACGGGTTAACGGAGGGTTTTTGTTCCCCGTGCCCCGTTCCCCCTGCAAGTGTATACGGAGGAATGGAAAGGATGGATAGAAGGATGGGGGTCTAGAGCGGGAAATGTATGTACGAGGGATCGAAAGAGTTGATTGTAGATGCGCGTGGTGCTAATCACCTCATTTTGAATTAATTGTAGATACGGAAATAGGTCACGTATGCATATATGTATATGTGTGTTAGGCCAGGCCTTGGAAATAGATGCTGTATATACGGGAAGATAGGTAATGTAGTACACGGAAATGTTTTTGCATTTTGGGAGTTTGCGACACTGCGCGCGCGCTAGGTTAAATAGCTACCTATATAATGAACGGCGGCAGCATTTGAAATGAAGTAATTGTACCACACCCCTGAAGGCTGGTGGTGACAGACAAACGACCGGAAAATAAAAGAGATAAGCTTCTAACCCGCTAATATGCTTAAATTTGCTTGCGTCGTCTTAGCTCATGTGCAGGTGGGGACTTTGTCCTTTTGATTTTCGAATTTGGAAGATTCAATTTACACGAGATTGTTCGCCGTTTCGGAAACGGGTCTTGCGATTGGGTTAATGTTCGTTTATAGTGGTTTTTCTCCTGTTCGGGCTTCCCCACAATCGGCTAGGGTGAGGTTTAGATTAAACGGGGGGGTTTTTTTGTTTCTTGGTTGGGGGGATTTTTGTCTGATGACGCCTCTTTGCCTCCCCACCCCCTGTTCGTGCTGTGCTGGGGGGGATCATTGTAATTTGGGAGAAGGGAAGGGGGAGGTATAAATTGGGGGATGCCCCGCGGGCTGTGAGGATGGATTGATTTGCCATCGAGATTTGTTGCTAGATACGAAATCCAAGGCAAAGAAGGCGAAAAAAAAAGAGATATTCGACGACAAGGGCGCACAAGAGAGAAGAATTTCAACGTTTGGAATTCTCTACACCACCAGTCCCCAAAGGAACACAAATTTTCCATATCCCCAACGCAAAAAACACCAACCAAACCAGCAAACATGCTCTCCTCGATCCTCCCCACCCTCTCCCTCCTCCTCCTCACCCCCCTCGCCTCCGCCCAAACCCCCCAAAAAGTAAACGACTTCAACCTCGGCCCCACAAACCTCGGAATGTACGTCTACAAGCCGTCCAACCTCAAAACGCCCGCGCCCATCGTCGTAGCCGTCCACCACTGCCAAGGCAGCGCGACCGGCTACTCGCAAGAAACAAAGTACCAGCCGTTGGCCAACTCAAAAGGCTTCATGGTGATCTACCCAAACTCCAAATCCGGAGGTGGATGTTTCGACGTCGCGTCCACGGCGTCGCTCACGCACAACGGCGGCGGCGACTCCCAGACCATCGCAAACATGGTCAAGTACGCCGTCGATAAGCTCGGCGGCGATGTGAACAAGGTCTTTGTGACGGGCTCGTCGTCCGGGGCCATGACAACGCAGGTTTTGGCCGGCGCGTACCCGGATGTGTTCAAGGCTGCCAGCGCGTACAGTGGAGTCCCTGATGGCTGCTTTTATGTGCAAGGCTCGACCGCGACGCAGGACCCGCCGGGGTGGAACAATGCGTGTGCGAATGGGCAGACTACTAAGACTGCGCAGCAGTGGGGTGATATGACGAGGGGGTATTATCCCGGGTATAACGGAACGAGGACGAGGATGTTGTTGTGAGTTCTTGACTTTTTGCCGTTGATCTTCTTTTTTCGCGGGGGGTGATTGCTAGATGGATAGACTTTCTAACGTGACGAACAGGTGGCACGGCACTGCGGACAACACGCTGCGCTACCCCAATTACCAGGAATCGCTCAAGCAGTGGTCCAACGTTCTCGGTCTGACGTCTTCCAAGACGATCCAGAACTCGCCGCAGAGCGGGTACACGGCTACCATCTACGGGGAAGGCGACGTCAAGACTGCTCAGCTTGTTGGATACAGTGGCCAAGGCGTCGGGCACACTGTCCCCGTTCACGAGAGCATGGACATTGACTTCTTCGGTCTCTAGAGTGGTCGAATGGGTAGGGAGGAAGTAGGGGTCGGAGGTTATTTTCTCTGTATATATGCTTGCTGAGATCGATGATGGAGTGGGGATAAGAACATTCGTTTGTATATACTTAGTAGCAGTGATAAACTGTCGTCTAACCCTGTTCGTCTTTCCTGTGCGCTTGTTACGTGAAAATCACCTACCTGGAGGGTTCTATAGTAATTCCCGCTTCTAGAGCACTGGGTTAATGTACCGTCTCGCTGGCCACCAGTTCACTCTCTCTGTCCAATCTCTCTACATGTCGAAAGTGTTCGCGACTGTGCAACCAGTTTTCCTTCAGCCCTGTGACAAGATTGATGTTGCCTTTCCAATAGCCTCCATCCGGCCCATCGACGTCCGTTTTCAGTAGCCAGACTACTCTGCGCCTGCCGATCCGTCGCAACAGTACTCCATGAGTCCAGGTTTTGAATCGGACAAACGTTGACAACAAGCCTCGTCGTTGCTTAGTTGGTGTTCGCTCTCTCAACTTTTCAATCATAATCTGTGCGCAGTCTTCTATGATAAGTAGAGTGGGCGAGACGCGGTAGATGCGCCAGCCACGCTCTTCGGCCTCGTCGATGAAGAAGCCCGGTTTGGTTGGGGCTGTAATGGTGACGGGACCATACGCGCCGCAGAGTGAGCCGTGGGCCTGACCGATTGTGGTTTTGTAAAGCATGACGGAGAGGCGCTGTTTGCTGATAAAGGAGACGATTTGCTCATGCTCGAGCAGTGGAGGGGAAGCTGAAAGCGAGGTTGCTGGCATTTTTTTCTGTTGGGGTGAGAAATGCTGTCGCACATGCAGAACAACCAATAAGTAGGGTAATGGGCACGTACATTCCCAATCATGACATACTCGCTGCGAATCAAACGCTCCAGCATCGTCTGCTGCATGTGCACCGAGGACGCGGCTAGCTTCGCCTTCATAAACACCAACTCAGAGATGGCGATGGAGCGGAAGATGACATAGTCTCGAAGCGTCAGTTGCGATGACGAGCCTTTCAAGACCACCGCGACGTAAATCAACGTGAAGAAGTTCACAAATGGTGTGTCGGACCAAATGAAGCGACCAGCTCTTCTCAACGCCATAATAGGCATCACAAGACTTCTCTTGCGGCATGCGACCAACGCCGATGCGACGAAAGTCAGGCCGAATGTCGCTGCTACTATAACGTTGAGCGCGGTGGTAGGAACCAGGAGGTTCATAGCGATAGCAGAAGCGAGAGAGACAATCATGAGGATGAAGCCGGTATTGGTGAAGTACAACTCTGCAAGCTCGCCATCATGGTCTCTCGAGAAGACGGAGGTGTAGCCATCAAGCACTACAGAGGTCTTGATTCCGACTTTGTCAGTATGTCGAGAGGCGAGAAGACGCAGTATCGCGAAGCCATTGCTGGTCTCTTTGAAGAAGATCGTGATGCAAGAGTGCAACAACAATGCGCTTCCAAAGTTGATCTCCTGCGTCCAAGGTACAAGCAGCATGGTCGCTAGAGAGCGCGTTGGGTGGAAGTTGCAAGGTCGGGAGACATGACACTGCTAACAAGGCTGAGACGTGGTGAAACAAATACGATATGTAGGCTGGGCACTGACGATAACAAGACGGCGCAGCGCTCATCCTTTGGTATGTCTGCATTGCATTTACTTAGATCAACCTGTGCAGGTGGAATGGAAAGTGTTGGTATAGTGTTGTGCGTCACGTCTGCCCTAGACCGGCTCACCATCAGTTGCCGTAAACGCGTTGCAGCTTAGTGAAAGTGATGCAGTAATCCACACCAGTTATGCCAGCTTCGATAGTTGCCGCATTGGGTATGTTGACTTTGGTTCAAAACTAACCAAAAGCAGTAGAGAGTCAGTAATGAAAGTGACCGCGATCGATGGCTCGTTTATACATCGGCAATGATGGAAACTTCCTAATTGGGAAATTTGATCTGCCTAACTATCTAATCTGATCAAGCGAGAAAATACCTAGGGCAACCAGATCGACACTGTTCTGGCTTCGCAGATGAATTACATTATCGGATTAATTGAGGCATGTCACCAGCTTGAAAGTACCTCTTGAGTGTGTTCTGGTCGATCTTCCTGTTCTGGAGTACAGTGGTTTCGTGATTGATCGCGTCATTATTCTCCGAGGACTGTTACCTGACAGTGGCTATTGACCGGCTTTTCATGTTGGATCAATCATCAGTAGGATTGCATCAATTCAGAGATTGTTTCATCAAAACGCGCGGGAGAGATCGCTGAGATAGGATATTATATAAGAAAAATCATCTCTACGGCCAGCTAAGTGTTTAACTTTGCACGAGAAATGTCCGTGGAGACTCCCATGTCTACAGTCCGCACGATCCGGTCGCCATCAAGACTTGCACTCGGACTGTGCAGTGACTCTTTATCTTTGTCTGAATCAGCGGCGCTCGCCGCTCCATCTCTTACGCATTCCACTTCCTCCGAAGTCACAAGCACTTCGGAGTGCTGCCAGATCTTCATCTGAATCCCTTGATCCCCAGCGATTTGCTCCTGGCTCTCAGACGGACTGATGTCGATAGGATGCGGATCCTTCGGCTTCCTAACCTTAGTACCGGTGGCACTAGTGAGGTTACCATATGTAGAGCGGAACCGGGATTGTCTGGCTGGGTCGCCGGTTACGCCGGTTCGTGCGCCGGAGGATTTGTTGCGGGAGAAGAAGCTGCTAGTGCCGAAGATGCGTTGGAGTAGTGTCCATGTTAATGGAAGGTTTGCCGTGATGATGGCCGTTGAGACTTCGCGGATATACCAATAAATCCAGTCCGTGCCATAGGGAGAGCCTAAACTGTAGTATTTGGAAAGGATGGCGGCGAGAATAGTAAAGGACCCCAAAGCAAAGATGCTACATAGTGTGAGTTTGCGGCGGAGTGGGAGCTGCGAGCTGATGAGGATTGGCATGGGCAAGCAGATGATCATGATGTCGGTCGAGATGTTGAAAACGGCATTTGTGATCATGTGGTTCGTTTCGGCGGAGCAGTTAACTACGAGATCATGTTAGATAATTCGTAGACTTCTGTGTCTTGCTGGTTGACTTACGGCTTGGTGCAGGAACCTTCCAGTAGTCACTAAAGGGTCGACACCAGATAAACCATAAGATCTCCATTACGACAAAGCTTCCCACAGTATAGCCTGCTACTACTTTCACCATTATGCTATGTCGCAAACTCATACTGTTTTTCTGTGTGTCAGTGATACGGCCTCAAATGCTGATGAGGCTACTCACGTCATACGAGAATAAAGGATCAACAAGCAGCCCTTCAAGCTCCAGATCACAACCATCTGAAGGTGTTCGGTAACAAGTACCAATTTCGATCCATACTCTCTGAGTTTGATATCTTCGGGGGTAAGAACGATATTGTCGGCCGGGTTCAAGAGGTTGGTGGGCGTGAACGTTTGGATGTGGATAACGATAAGCATTGACGTGTATACAGACTGCCATTAATATAAGTATACATCGATAAGACTAATACATCAAAACCTACAATAACAAAGAGCATCAGCCAATCATCCGACTGGAAGGCCTTGAAAGAATGGAAGAAAAGTCGTCGCGACAGACTGGTATCAAGCGTCAGTCTCGGGTATCTTGTGTAATCAAATGAGTAGTCGACTGAGGAAGGAGACATACAATCGCGCGCCAACAAGCATCAGTGTCACCGCATACCACGTCCACATCTCGGTCACAAATGATGCCATTTTCGCAAAAGATGTCCCCTGCCGAATGAGTGAGGTATCGGGAGACTGTCTTTGAAGGTTGCAAGCATGCGAACAAGCATGCGAAAAGTAGGAAAGACGTGTCCCAGGAATTCGGGCTGAAAGGGTCCATATTCAATATGTATGGCTCTACCAGAAACTACCACAGGACGGATGCCAGAAAACTCAAAACACTTACCAAGCCCCATCAGCTTGATTGATCCCTGAAGCATTGATGCGCGAAGCGTGGAGGCGTCGCCAGGGAAGTGGGACAACGTGGAGGCTACCACAGGGGAAGGCGGGACCTGGTGTAGTTGGGACTGAATACAAGTACTCATTGGCGGTGCTATACTAGTTCGGGGCGCCTGAGATGACACGACATGGAAAACATTCGATCATTGTTGCTGCTTTACTTTTCTCGCTGAAAGCCCCGAACATGGTGACAGGGGGAGGCGAATCAAGCATCAGGAGCACGCAATAGGATAGCGTGGAGGATGGAAACGGGAATCAAATGCCGAGTCTATATGATAAGACCTGCATGCACAGTATTTGAGATTGGCGGTTTCATTCTGCTGCCAAGCATAATGATTGAAGAAGCTGCAAGTCATGGCTCGTACCCGTGTACAACCGATCGGGGCGAGGATGATGAGATGATGAGCTCAAGGACCGAGAATCGGAGGTGGGAAACTAGCTCCATCGGGATAGCATCAGGAACCAAAAAAACCATCATCTAAAGGTGATTTATACAGAAAACTTTGTGGGCTCACTGTGGCTGGCTTGTCAATCTCTTGTTAAATAAGCCTCTAAAGACCGTTGACTCGTGGTTCACTGTCACGCATAACCCTTATCGACATTGTCCTGACTCAGAAATCACCCCCTCAGCTTTGCGTTTCCAATCTGCCTACGTATTTTGTGATCGAGAGAATCAGAATACTGAGAAAGGTATAAGATTGTGATGACCTTTTATCTTCCTGCTCCACAAGATTATTTTTAACGTTCCTGCTGATCGCCGAAGTGGACAGTGTGGATTCACATGGTAGTGCATTCCGCTTCACGTGTGCCGAGCTGCGCTAGACGCTCCAGACTGGAGCCCTCCGTTAAAATTCTCTTGCGGATACAGAGACAAGTGTACCCATGTTATCGTACCGGACTCCGGATTTGTAAGGCGTCCTAGAAATGGCAAATTCCGCCACACTGCCGCAGCTATCCTCGACCCACACGCGTCGCTCGCTCATACCGACGATACTGAAAATGGAGTCGCTAGGAGAAAGACGCGGAATCTGTAAAAGCGTCGCTTGGTGCGAATCAGCATGTAAGCTGGGTATTATGTTTGTGACTCGGGTATTTCGTAAATTCTAGGGCATATCCCACCTCAGAACTCATCATGTCTTACGATAGTATGAACCCTATTTTTCAGCCCCCTTCGTTCTTCCTCGTTTATTCATTGGCAATCTGACTGACATTACCCTTTAAGGATTGTGTAAACAGCATCGGTATTTTCGGTGCGAATTCTCATCAATCAAAAAGAGGTCGGGATCAAGATGTGATATGTGCGGAGTAGTCACTTAATGTTATTACTGAGACGTGTGAGTTTTGGTAATGCCACAACATAGAAACATAATATTTGAACACAATAATCCTTCTTACTACACGAACTATGCATAAACGTAAGATCTGTTTTGAACGATCATCAACTGATTCTACCCGTGGATCTAAGACAACTGGATCGCCTGCCAGAGGGATGACGAAGAAACAAATGGTCTAGGAGACCATGAAAAATGGACCGTCTTATTCCACAACAATTATACCGATTCGAAGAAGCACGTCTGATAGATCGTAGTGATGACAGAAATGGGAGGCCCCTAGCTTAGTCAGCATATTTCTACCTCGGCCCTTGCCTACCTTCCCCACAGCGACACTTATGCATCAAAGCCTCTTTTGTATCGGTCCATAAAATATGCTATGCCACCTATAGTCTCACGTAAAGGTCGAAGGATCGCCTCCAAAGCATGTGATGCATGCCGTATACGTAAGGTACAGTGCATCTTCGAGGGCGATAGAAGCACGTGCCGAAGATGTTCGGATGGAAATGTCAATTGCATGTTTTTGAGTGATAGGAAGCAGAGAGGGCCACCGGCACGGTCAGTTGTGTAAATATATCTCCGTTTAATGTTCGTCGAAGCTGACGGTGTCGAGCTACAGGCGTACCCATATTCCACCCAGTGACTTCCCAATAGGCCACCTGACCATTGAACACCTATGTTCACGGGCAGTCTTCAGCAGTATCGTAGAGGATTACATACAGCTTGTTTACCCTGTACTTCCTCTTGTCCACCGCCCAAGCTTCCAAAAATCAGTTGAAGATGGCTTACATACTTCTGATCCTGCTTTCTTCCGGTTATGTCTTGCCATCTGCGCAGTCACTGTCGCTTCCATCCCTCGACGGTTCCGAGAATATGGATCTGAATATGCACATATTGGCGCTTTTGTAGATCGATCCTGCCACATGGTACTTCTCAGTCGCATTGCATCCGAAACGCAGTGGCAGGACAAGCCAACGATGGGCACCATCGTGGTGTCTATTCTACTCACCATGGCAAGCCACTATGCTGCGCGCCCCAACCAGGGTTGGGGATATGCTAGCGAGGCAATCCAGTTCTTTCGAGCATTGGAACTATATCGCAAGGAGGGCTACCACAGCCTGAGCCTCCTAGATGGCGAAATATGCAAAAGAGCGTTTTGGCTACTATTCATCATTCAAATGTTAGTCGCACATCTTAGTTTTGGGTAAGACCCCTCTTTAGAAGGTCACGCGACTGATACGAGTGTGCAGTCATGACCGCCTATCCTTCATCATTCCTCACACTGGGCTGAGTTTCGATCCGCTTCGGACAGATTGGGAGTTCTTGCTTCCTCTTGAAGTTGACGACGACGCTCTGATCAACGAAGATCTTCGACCAGTGTCTCCGATTCCAGGAAACATTGACACACCAGTTCGCCGCCCGTTGCCCCTTATATCTGGTTTCGTTGCACTCGTCAAAGTCTTTCTCTGCGTTGTAGATCTGTTGTCGAACGGATTTCCTGGTGCTCCTCCGCATACATATGCGATGACATCTGGCACTTTGCGTACCCATATATTCCCCGAGAGCTCTACCGGTAGTGCTCGGGTTGATACTGGAAATGCGCTCTCAAAATCGAGCATCAGCTTAAGCGCCTTGCTTCGCATCATTCGACAGTTACAGCATACACAGGAAGATCTACCACAAGCACTCAAAATCTCGAATGTCGATCGTCAATCACAGTCTCCGCCAACGGATTCCGAGATGCCACCGGATCTGTCCCATCAATTCGATATTGTAAGGGCGAATGTTCATATCACCAGCCTCTACCTACAAAGTTGCATCATAGAAGCCTGCTCAGATGCATTCACTAGCCCTCAAGCGAGTACCATTGTGTCCTCTCCAGGCGATGAAGCAGGGTCTAGTCCGAAATGCACTCCTCGGACGCAGCTCTGGATATTTCGGAAGAGTCTTGCAAAAGAGCTACTCGAGGTACTAAACTTTTGCTCGTCGCGAACACTAGAAGCCAACGGATCATCGATGGTTAGTCAATTGATCCGCAGTTCATTGGAATTCCACGACTGACCTCTTCTCAGATTGTGAAGATTCGTGAGATAGCTTCTACGCTCCTTGATAGTGACCTTGAAGCTACTTCGGATCAGGAAGCAGAGTCTCGGCAGTATGTGTCACAATTTGCTGAGATCTTGGCCGGACTTGATTATATGAGCCAAGCATCTATCAAACCACCAGTTTCCGTTACATGACAGGCAGACTTTTGTGATAAACTACTGTAATTTTATTATCGACTGCATACATTCTAAGTCCTAATTACCAACACTCGACAATGTCTAATGTGAAGGTTTTATGTCCTCGATTTCAGACTCAGCCACCGTCGACACTTTCGTTTCTTTCCATTTCCATGCTGGAACTCCTCGCTTGTAGAGTTCATCAATCTCGATCCAGGTGCGGCCTTTGGTCTCAGGGACAAAAAAGTAGATGAAAATACACGACGCCGCCATCACCGCACCAAAGATGAAGGCGATCTTACCCTGGAGATTACCTTGATCGGGATTGATGGCGTATGGCAGTGAAAATGACCAAATGCATGATGAGAGTCCGTTCATCATAGTCACAAGAGACTGCGTAGGAGAGCGGAGTCTGGAAGTAGAGTTCTCCGACGATATGACCCAAGCTGCCGCGCCAATCGTTCCTTGGTACACTTTGTAATGTCAGTTTTGTGGAGACTCTGGTAGACATTGCTCGTAAACTCACCGAAACCCCAGATAGCCATGAATGCGACTTGTCCCCAGATAGCACCAGGCCTGTTGATAACACCCAAGATACCAATAATGAACAGAGTGACGGTCAGACCGGCCGCTCCGTACAACGCAGTACCTCTGCGACCGAACCACTCGATGAATAGCCATCCAAACATATTACCCACCACCATCAATCCGGACATGCCGACAGTCGTATCAAAAGATCTCGCGGGCGTCATGCCGCCAAGCTGCATAAAGTAGCTCATGTAGCCAATCACCCAAACGCTCCCAGACGCGTTCTGAATGAAGAATATGAAGGTAGAGACCATAGTTCTGCGGATATTTGCATGAGAGAAACATTCCAGCATTGTGCCTTGTGATTCGTTATCCGCGTTCATTCGGGCGAGAGAGTCGTGGACTTGTGCCATATGGCCGTCGACATCGTAATCGGGTGCGTGTAATTTGGAGATGGTGGCTCTGGCCTGTTCGTGTTTTCCATGCGCCACTAGCCAGTATGGTGATCTATTATGCATGAGTATATCAAATTCCAGTGTGCTCACGCAAAAGGAAATACCCACTCGGGAAGGAAAGGCAGGATGAGAAGACCGACTACGACGTAGCCCCACTGCGTAGCAAACAGAATCTTGTACTGCCGCGAATCATTGAAGGACGCCGTCTGTCTCTGAACACCGTATCCAATGAGTTGGCCAAGCACAATTGCGAAGTTGATACCGGCAGTGACAGCACCGCGGATAGAAAGCGGGGCCATTTCAGACGAATAACTTGGGGCGACTGTCGCGAAGACTCCAAGAGGAAGCCCAGTCAGGATCTTCCCCCCAAAGAAATGTGCTGGTGTCTTGGCGAAGAATTGGAGAAAGATGCCGCCGGTGTTGAGAATGTAGGCTCCCAAGATGCAAATTTTCCGACCGAATTTGTGGATAGCGAAGCCTGTCATTAAGCCACCACCGACGATACCTGATGTGAACAGTTAGCACGCAGTTCATAAAGATGTAAACTCGCCGTATTCTCATGAAGTGACACAAAAGTCAGAATACGGAAAAGATTCTCTTACCTCCCAAAGTCGCTGCCTGGAATCCCAACTGCCAATTCGCATCCACAACGTAATCCCCACCAAACGGATGCCCAAAATCCTTTCTGAACTCCGTGATACCTACGACCACACCACCAGCTAGTGAGTCGAAACCATACATGATGCACGTGAAGAACATGTAGAAACACCAGGCAATTGCCTTCCAGTGTTCACGGATCGCTTCGGAGCGCGTCAGCGAGTGCTGGCGGGCTTCGAAGGCTTGAGCCGTCTGCGACGTCGCGATCACCGCAGATGAGCTATCGGCCGGTGAGGATAACTCGACCATGGTCGGGTCTTCGGGTTTGGATGTTGTCGTCATTGGGATGCTGTTGCCCTTTTTCACTTTGTTCACTCTTAGTTTCTGGGCAAAGCTCAGAGGTGCTAAGAGGTATGGCAATGGAAAGACAATGTTGAAAGAGAAGTCAGAATAAAAAGCGACTGTATTGGACAATTCAAAGTCAAGAAGTTGAGTAAGTTGACCGATGTGTGAAAAGGGAAGATCGTCACCTCATGCCCCTATCAAGACGAGCAGCTGCACCCGCATATATATATGCGAGAATCAGCAACCACCGTAGAGAGAAGTTCCTGACCAAAGCAAGTAAGTAGCAACAAATGAAACCCCATACCACCTATCCCCGGAAAACAAAATGCCAGATCAAGCTCTAGACCCTTTCGTCTCTCTCCCCGCACGGCTTGCACCGCTATGAATCATGATGGGATCCCTGGGGAAAAGTGAAGCTAGTGGAGTATCTCGGAGAAACTCACCTACCTTTCCCATTTTCTCCCTCGATCGCTTACCATACCAGCGGCAATGGGATCGTCGGTTATCGCACGGACGAATCAGAGGTGCAAATTTCGATTGTGTGGGATGATGAATCGATTTTGCGCCCCACCGCCTTGGTCGCGTGGGTTCGCCTCCCTCCGCATGGAGCGCGAGACCGATAATGTGGGGATGTTTCTCCGAGATTCTCCATCGTTAGTGCGCTTTTTCTCTTCTCGATAACAGATATCACGACATCGGGTTTCGAAGGAAGTGGGCAAAGTCCCACTGTTTTGTGCGATGCTAGTCAGATGAACATGCTGGTGGGTCAGGTTCTGGTATTTGGATATGTAGACGGCAGAAGATCTTTGTTTGACTTTTCCCCTTATTTACTTCTACTACACAACTCTCATCGTGTTCATTGAGCGCGGTCTTATTTTTCTCGCAGATTCTGTACCCGACATTAACAGGAATATTCTGGTCACATATAGCTTGCGATAGAGAGCTGAGTCCGATAATCACCGGAGTAATATCGATCCGCGGAGCAGCAGAGAATGGAAAGCGGTGGTGGCGAAAGGATGAGAGAACTGTTGGAGAAATTGACCCTGGAAGAGAAAATCCGACTTTTAAGCGCCGAGAACGTATGGGAAACACCTGAAATTGAAAGGGTTGGAATTCCGTCTCTGAAGGTATGTCGTATATCCTCATCAAAACAATGGTGTCGTATCGTCTGTTTGTGGTGATTCAAGCACACCGATTTTGGGTGTTATGTGTTTATCAATCTCTACAGCAGTCACCCTATGATACCGGTACGCTTCCTACTACTCTATGCTAATTAATCAACAGGTGACAGACGGCCCCAATGGTGCGCGAGGAGGTTCGTTTTTCGACGGCACGACCGCCGCTTGCTTCCCTTCCTGTGTTTCCCTTGCTGCAACTTTCAACCGCAACCTCTCCTACCAAGTCGGCAAAGCCCTAGGCGAAGAAGCCATCTCAAAGGGTGCGTATCTTCTCTTAGGCCCGACAGTATGCTGTCATCGTTCGCCACTCGGGGGCCGCAACTTCGAGGCTTTCTCCGAAGATCCATACTTATCGGGTGCATTGGCGAGCGAGTATGTCAAAGGACTGCAACAGGAGAACAGAGTCGCGTGTGCACTCAAGCACTTTTTGGCCAATGAGCAGGACACAAGAAGGTTTTCAGTCAACGAAATGATATCGGAGAGGGCTCTGAGGTAAGCTCGCGGTGTTATGATGTGTTCGCCGTTTGGCTAATGGAACACGAAGGGAGATTTACCTGAAGCCGTTTGAAATCGTGGCTAAGGAGGCTGATCCGTGGTCCTTCATGTCCAGCTATCCTAAGATCAATGGCCAACACGTAGACGCGCAATCGAAGTTTCTGATCGATATTCTTCGGAATGAATGGAAGTACGACGGCATGGTCATGTCGGACTGGGGTGCTACTAGCTCTATCGAAAGTGTTCGTTGCGGGTAAGAAAACTTCCCCTATCACCACTAATTTGATCTGTAAATCTGATTGCCTTAGTCTTGATATGGAAATGCCAGGCCCTCCGCGCCAGAGAACGCTCGAAGCTACCCAAGCGGCCCTCAAGACTGGCCAGATCAAGGAAAGCGACATTGATGCGCGCGTTCTCGCGACTCTTAAACTTCTGGAGAAGGTGGGTAAATTCGATGACCGGAAGACCACACCAGAGGAACAGGCCTTAGATCGACCTGAGCACCGATCTTTGATTCGAAAAGCCGGAAGTGAAGGTCTCGTATTACTCAAGAACGAAGGCCAAATCTTACCAATTGATCCCAAGAAGACAAAAAAGATCACGCTCTTAGGTCCGCTAGCCAAGTATGCTGCTGCACACGGCGGCGGGAGTGCAAGCCTGAATTGCCACTACAAAGTCACCCCTTATGATGCCTTTACAGAGAGGCTTGGAAAAGACGTCGAAATAACACACTCTAAAGGCGCACATATTTTTCGCGTATATGCGGACCTCGAAGCTGGCTGCGTCAACTCGCGTGGCAACCCAGGCTTTCTCGCGGAATATTTCATGAATTTGCAGCCTTGCGACCTGCCTTTTCGCACTGAAGAATTTCCTCGCGGCAATTTCACCACACTCATGAACACTCACGTCATTGGTTGTAAGACGGTACGATTTTCCACCACATATCGCCCTCCAGTATCCGGTCAACACTACCTCAGCTTCTCCGGACTAGGGCCTTCTAAACTCTATATCAACGGCACCTTAGTAGCAGAGCAGCGCGAATCAATCAAGGATGCCATGGGCTTCTTTCTCGGAGTTCAAGAAGAAGTGCGCACTCAATACGAGTTCGACTCAAGCAAAGAGTACAGCATCGTCACCGAAACACACCCATCGCCATATTCCAACGCAGAGCTGTACTTGATGGAAGATCAATGCTCCACCCACATAGGCCTTATTGAACAATCGGAAATGGAGCAAGACGTTCTTTCGGAAGCTATTGATCTGGCACGCGAAGCAGACTTAGCCATCGTCTTTGTAGGCAATACCACTCAGTGGGAAACGGAAGGACAGGACCTCGAGTCTATGACTCTCCCCGCCAACGGCTCGCAAGATAGGCTTGTCGCAGCTATTGTAGCTGCCAATCCAAACATTATTGTTGTGAATACGACTGGCGTCCCTGTCGAACTCCCATGGCTGGACAGGGTGCCGGCCTTCATCCAAGCTTGGTATGCAGGCCAGGAGACTGGAAACGCAATTCTCGATGTATTGCTCGGTGAGACGTGTCCGAGTGGCAAGCTACCCGTAAGCTGGCCAAAGAAGTATGAACACACGGGTTGTTTCGAGCACTTCGGCCTTGACAGTTTCGATTCCCGGATAGTGGAGTACGTCGAGGGTGTGTTCGTTGGGTATCGATGGTTCGATAAGATGTGGGGAGGAGAAAAAGAGGTTCGCTTTCCGTTCGGGTATGGACTGAGCTATACTCAGTTCGAGCTGAGCGATGTGAAGTTGCTGGGCAAGATCTCGGAAAACGTTGATGACGGCGTCAAAGTTATCGTGAAGGTAAAGAATATAGGCAGTATAGCAGGGGCGGAAACAGTCCAGGTATATGTTGAGCCGCCTGCTGAGCGAAGCATTGATCGGCCTATGAAAACGTTAGTGGGATTTGCCAAAGCTGAGCTACAAGCAGGTGAGGCACAGGAGGTGGAGATCAATTTCAGGAAAGATGGCGCCGCATATTGGGATGATGTGCAGAGCAGGTGGATGGTCAGCGAGGGAGCACATGCTGTATTGATTGCGACGAGCTCAGATCCTAAGGATGTCAAGGTCCGTTTGGAGACGGTAGTCGAGGTTGATTTTGCATTCGGTCCCTGAAGACCAATATGAGTTGATGCCCCTCTAATGTATTGATAAATCGTATATCGCCGAGAAAGTCGATCTGTGTGGATGTAGTGATGGTATTTACGCTGTGCAGATATATAGACGCCCCAACTCCCCCTATGCTGGTATAATCGACACGCGAAAAAGATGTGTGCCCGCGCTCGCCTATGCACCCAAATAAGAACCATCGTCTACCCTTGCGCCGCTCGGTGGGTGAGTAGCATATTGATTCGATTACTGATCAGAGTTCACAGTTTGCTGTCTTGGTTAGCATTATAAGCGTAGCCTTTTTGTCAACATGCACTTACTACAAGCCAGTCCATCCCTTCGTCAACACCCCTACCATCGACAGCAGAGCAGGCGACTATACTCCAGTTCCGATCTTTGAGCTCTCCTAACCGCAGCGCTTCGCTGATTTCACCAGCCCCCTTAGCCCCCGGCTGGTCCTGCTTGTTGGCGAATACCAAAAGCGCTGCGTCCCGTAGCTCCTCTTCGTTGAGCATGGCAGCCAGTTCTTCTGAAGCTGTAGATAGACGGTCGATATCGGTGGAGTCAATAACGAAGATAACGGCGGCTGTGTTGGCATAGTAGCACCGCCAATAAGGACGAATCGACGTTTGTCCGCCGAGATCCTGTATCGCAATCAGCTTTAAATGTTTCCGAAGGATAAGAGAGAAGCCAGCGCTCATGTTATGCGTACCCAAACATTGAAATTGAGATTCTTGTATGTGACGGATTCGACATTAAAGCCTATCGTAGGTATAGTTGTGACAACTTCTCCGATCTAGCAGTCTCATTAGTTTCGACCTCTACTCATACTCGAATAAACTCCTACCTTTAATCTGTACAGAAGCGTTGTCTTTCCGGCATTGTCCTACCCCCATTTGTAATCAGCATCGTGGAGCTTTCAGAGGTGGGGAAATCAAGCTCCGTACCAGTCCCAAAATCAGTATCCGAATTTCCTTCTTCGACCAAATCAGCGATGCGAACTTCGAGACGTAACCGCCCATCTTGCCGCAGAAATATGATGTGTAACAGTTGTTCCCCCTTTGTCCTCAGCGATGCTGTATAGTCGGATGCGTGAAGGCGGCGTTATGAATAGTAAATTGTCGGTTGGTGGCTAGAACGAATCGGGATCGATGGCTTTCGGGGTATACGTCCTTCTTGAGAGTATGTAAGGTGCGAGAGGAGAGAGGATGGATATTGTTTCAACGGTAGTGGAGTTGTCGATGCGCGGCGGTATCTGTCCCGTAGTTTGTAGAGCGGCAATCAAACAAGCCAAACACGCCCCCGAGGTCATCGGCGGAACCTTTCTCCGACACCTGTTTGCATCCAGCATGACTAATACTAACAACGCCATATAACCCTGATCACACTCAATTCGTATATCTCATGCGTGATATGGTAATACATCACGCCGTTTTCTTTTCTCCCCTTCGAGCAGTAAATGTGAAGATTGCTTGGGTTAGTACTGAGCCAGGCAGATGTCATCAATTGATCTCATTGCTCCGAGGTACCCAATCAGAAATCTCGCAATAGCAACCTCTCATCCCATCAACTTGTAGCACAATAATAAATGATTATATCGTCACTAACATGGGCGGTAGCTTGAAATGCTCAGTTCGCCACACGTTTCAGGCAGACATCACAACCAAACTGTTACCTCGCCCTTGGCTTCAGTCACTGCATCTCAATGTAGTCCAACGCTACTCTACTACCTGTCGACCACATGAATTGATGTGATGAAAAAATTTCGTGCTTTAGAAGACTCTTTGACTCTTTTTTGGCTTGTTTAATGACTGTAGGGTTCCTCAATTGCGTAAAATTCAATACAAAAACAATATTTGAAAGTTGTAGCCCGGTCTGGCTTCACAAATTCATCATAAGTGGGAAAACATCTTCAGTCAACGAGTATAATTCGTTGATTTCTTTGATGATTGTTTGGGGGGCAAATCACAGCAAGGTCGACCCAGTTTACTTTTCGCGCCTCAATCGTCAATTTGTTTAAACACCAAAAACCGATTTTAAGTCAATCGAATAATGAATTCTTCAAGCTGTCTTGCAGCGTTGAGCTACTCAGCCTCTCCGAATAATTAATTTTTGGCAGTTGCTCTTGGTATAAATGAGCAACCATCTGCTGCTTCCCTAGCTGTCTGTCCACAGTCGATCGATTCACTCTTCCACTCTGCTTCTACCACCAAGCTCACTTCTACCACCAAGCTCACTTCTACCACCAAACTCGCTTCTACCACCAAGCTCGCCTCTTTCACCAACCCTACACAAAAAGCCACCTCCAACTCACTAGCCACCGAAGAAAATGCCTACTTCCTCTCCAATCGTTCCCGCCGCCGCCTCCTGCCCATGGCTCGCGAACTTGCAGCTCAAGTCTTGGGATCGACTCCTCGAAATCTCAACTACATTGTATCGGAGCGCCGAGGAGTGCGCGATACTCGAAGACGCAATCGCGTATCTTCGGACCGACAGCGACGCTCCTCCTTTCAACCACCAGCTGGGGAGCCTGCTCTACTTCCGCATGGGACAAGGATTGGCTGAAAGTGATGACCTCAACCGGATGACAGTCGCACAGTTGCAGTATGAGGTCCTCAGACGTGGCCTCATTCCCAGCCACGAATTGCCTGAAACCAGGCAGATCACCCTCCGCGTGCGGCTCTGGATAGACAACCGAAGCGACCCTTCATTCATGTCAAGGCAGATGTCCGGTCCAAGTCGCAAGGCAGATGTCCAGTCCAAGTCGCTCAGCAGATGACAGCGGGTACCAGACTGGTCAAGATGCCGAGGAGGAGTTGAGCTCTAGAAGGAGCGAGTCGGAAGACTGTGACATGTCTAGTGATACGGACGATGCGCTACCAAGTGGCGATTGGAAGGAATCGGGCGGGTATATCAGGCACTGGGACCCTGAGGTTCAGAAGGCTGTTATATACAGATACTAGATCCCATGATCCGCCCCAAACGAGTTTTGTTCGGAGTGATCTGGGATTCCAGGATATCGACATAATCAGACTTGTAGGGTGGTCTGGATGACCTGTTATGCATCTTGATACTTTGTCTTTGTTTTCTATTTTGCAATTGTTTCTATTGGGAAGGGGTTTCTTGTCTGCTATTAGGCGTTATGCTGGACGTTTAGACTCGGTATCGGGAAAACCTTTGGAGTTTTTGAAGGATGGATACCCCGGTGTTAGTTCCATGTTGTGTAATTATTCTATGGCTTTCGAATTATATCAGTTAGTTATGTTATTCAAGCTCGATTTCGCAGTCTATTATAATAAATTCTGGTGCAAATGTTTGACATACCTGCAGCGTAATGAAGTGAGGAGTCTGACCTTTTCTGCTGCACGCAGAATGTTCCTTCATTACATTCCCGATGTCAGTTCTACCATGCATGTATTCCGTAAGCTTTTACACCGGTCGACCTGCAGGTAAAGAACTGCCGTTGCATTTCTTTAGCCTTAATTCGAATGTCAACAATAGCGACTGACACTCTGCGTGCTTATCTTGAAAACAATGCACTCGTTGACGCTTAAATTAGAAATCATGGTGCAATCTGCTTTGCCCGTGTTCCAAAGAAGGATAGTATTGAAGGTGCGCTAACCGGGAATTTGTTGATCGACATCCTCTCCAGGCTTTATGAGGCCTAGACTAAGTATTCACAATATGCAATCCCGTATTACCAGCGCATCGGGTATCCAGCTACCAAATGTAGCCCTTTGCCATGGCAGATATATTGCAAAAGTCCAGGTGGCATTCTTCGCATCCCGAACTGCTGAAACAAAGCTTGCAAAGACATTGTTATCTTCTTCGTGCAACTTGAGCAGCTAATGATACGTGTGGTCTAGATAATCGTCGATAGTCTTTACGAGGTGTAGCAGCCCGAAGACAGCAAAATTTTGGGTTGAACTCGTATTATCGTTGTTCTGATTTCATTCTCTACACATGTAAGTTGTAAGATGCGGGGGGCTCGTGATAACCCTGGTCATACCGGGTTATCTTGTCGTGGCCAGCCACATACATAATTCCGCTTCTCCCCCTTTGTCAGATCTTCGGTTCAAAAGTACTAAGACTCGCGCACTGTATTGAAAATGGTGCAGTATGCCAGGCTTGTTTTGCTTGCGACATGTCTTATAGGACAGTCCATCGCATACAACTTTCCTTACGAAGCTGTCCAATTGCAGGAGAGTGATGTCGCTAATAACCCGGACCTGGCATTCGGTTCTCTTCCAGGTGAAATCCCAGCAGATTGCAAGACATTCCCAGGGGATGATGATTGGCCTTCTACACAGCGTTGGGCCGCACTGAATGCGACTTTGAATGGTGCTTTGATTCGAGCAGTCCCCCCACTCGCAGCTTGCTATCAGGGCCCATTCTACAACGCAGCAAAGTGTGAAGATGTAAAGAGGCAGTCAGGGAGCTCGCTATTCGCGTAAGTAAAGCCTGATTCCAAATGCGCGAAGGTACTAATGGACTGCCAGTAAAGAAGATCCTTTGATACCATTTGGCATGTGGCAACTTGGCAATCCTTGTCCCATCCCTGCATCGACCAATCTAAACAATTCTTGCAACTTTGCTAGCTTCCCAGCCTACGTTGTGAATGCTTCGACCGTGAAGCATATTCAATTGGCTGTAAATTTTGCTCGGAACAACAATATTCGCGTAACTATCAAGTACGCTCATCTATATTAGTTGTTCAATACAGTGCTAATATCTTCCAGGAATACGGGCCATGATTTCATTGGGAGAAACACTGGCGGTGGTGCTCTCCAAATATGGGTTCATCACATGAAAGCATTTGAGTATCTACCTTCAGCCAGCATTTCAGGATATGAAGGCGCTGCTGGACGAGTAGGTGCTTCTTTGGAGCAGTATGATTTGTTGAATTATATGAATGCAAACAACATCACTCTTCTCTGTCCTGGGTCCTCGACGGTGGGGGCTTATGGAGGCTTCATGCAAGGCGGTGGATTCTCTTACATGACCACCAAATTCGGACTCATGGCTGACCAAGTCCTGTCCCTGGAAGTAGTTACCGCGGATGGAAAATTTGTTCATGCTGATTTGGAAGAGAACAAAGACCTTTTCTGGGCAATACGAGGTGGAGGTCCAGGTGATACTGGTCCCAGTCTGCAGCGGTGATTTGCAATCGCTAATGATATCTAGGAAATTTCGGCATTGTTACATCCGCTGTTGTCAAAGCATATGAGCCTATTCCATTTGCGACGTCAACATTCGAATTACGAACCAACACTACATCAGGTGCGCAAGTACCCGCGGAAACCTTCTGGAAAGGCATCAGTACGTACTTTTCGCATCTCGTGCGCATCAATGATGCCAAGGGGATAGGATGGAATAATATCGGAAAGAGTGGCCGAGGGTTCACTTTCACCGGGCAAGTGATGATGCCATCGATGTCGTCCTCCGAGTTCTCCTCATTCATGGCGCCTCTGATTTCAGATCTTAACAAAATCGGCATCACCATCACGAATCCCACCCCGAAATGGTTCCCCACTTTCCCAGAATCCCAATTCCGACCAAACGGTCCTGGCGAAGGTGTCGCGAACCGCCGCTTGGTCTCCCGCCTCTTTCCCCGTGAGATCTTTGAAGACCCAACATCCAAAGAATTTGCAAAGGCTATGAGCGCAATAAGAATTTTTGTCGAGGAGGGTGGGTACAGTTTTCATAGTGTCGATTACCATCCTTCTCTCGAAACCGCTGGAACTCCTGGCTCCTACTCAGCTGTAAACCCCCATCTTCGTACTGCTATCATGCATGCGACGGGCTTCGATACTCAGTCCGCCGGCCCAGATGCAACACCTGAGCAGCAAATTGCAGGGCATACGCGCTTGAGAAAATATGTGCAGTATTGGATCAATGCCACACCTTCTAGCGGAAGTTACATGAATGAAGGGGACGCGGCAGAACCGGAGTTTCAAGAGCGACTCTACGGCGAGAACTACGAGCAACTGTACAGTATCAAGAAGAAGAGAGATCCGTGGGGCTTGTTTTATGCGGTCACAGGCGTAGCCAGCGAGGAGTGGGTAGTGGAAGGGGCTCAATTGGGGTTACCTATTCAGCAGGGGAGGTTGTGTAGAGCTTAAACGCCTCTACGTTTGCCTTGTACTCGTAATCCACATATTCTCTGCCTCAAAGAGCGCTTTTGTCTAATGAAGCTCAACCGAAATCTCATATGTCTCTTTTTGGTGATATTAACATCTTGACGTAAGCCGTGTTCGCGAATTTTGATTATTGTTTGGGTAAGAAGAGTGTGCATTTTTTTCAATGTACAACGTCAATATGCTCAAAACGAAATCTACTCCGACCGTTACGTAAAACTCTAGTCTATGGACAGATACACACCTTTGACAGGGTAGAGCGAAAAACAAGAAATGGTGTATCTCCATCCTCGCTTTCCTATTGACTGGTCAGGTGTACAAACAGCCAGGCTCTATATGTAAGCCACAACCTTGACATAAGTGTATGGGATCTCCATCACACTACATGTTGTCGGACTTATGCCTACAATGTCCCGGCTACGTTAGTCCAGTGATCACCATACAAAATCCCTAACAGGGAAGGTGTGTTGTAATTCCACTATCATCCGGAGCAAACACTTCGTACGGATTCAGAGACGGGGTTTTGATTCCAGACCACTGAGAATCCTGCTGGTTTCCGAGTTTTCCGTGTGCTAGTGTACTAGGATGGTGCGCAGATGGACTTGAGACCTCTCTTAAGATAACGTATTCACGGGCATGTACGGTGGATTAGCTCGTGGATAACTTTACAAGTGACCACTTCGCTGTATTACACATTGAATCTGATGATCGTGCCTTGTAATCAATGTTGGTTCTGTGTTCGGTAAGCTGCGGGAGCTCTAGGATCGGTGCGGGTCGTCCCATGGATCTGAGTGAAGATTGTTGGAATTGCCAATCTCCCCATGCGCTGGTGTTGGCCTCGAACCCAAGACTGAAACAAAGCAGGGATTATAGGAATGATTTCTTGCAGAGATAATATCATAGTGTGCCGCCCCCGCACGCCTTTCGAAAGGACTAGGGTATTGATAAGCGGGGCATCCCGTTCTGCGGTGGTTTTCCATCTTTGCTGCAAAAATGATTGCTTGCATGAAGACATCCAGTTTGTGGTGGCTTTTCGAAGATAGGATAAACTTAATCGATGCAACATTTACATGTTTGCTTTTCGTATTTTTGGTAGTCTTGCCGGGCCTTCTCCCTAATGTGGCGCATCACCTTTGATGTTCCCGTAACTTGAACGGCCGCATAAACAAGCTTATGATAAGCAATCGATACACTCGCCAAAGCGTTGCTTGTTTTTGCCTTGTGGGCCGTTTTTCGCTCGGGGGAAATACTACAAGCTTCACAACTGACAGTTTGGGAAGGTGTAAATTGGTATGCAGCCAGATATCGCGCCAATCGTCTGGCTTTCACTTTCAGATCCTTGTATATCACCCTTGACTTCTCTTGGCAGAGGAGACAAGGGTATTAGAGTCATCATGGTGGTTCGTTCGAATTGAATGCGATAGATTGAACCCCACACAAGACAAATCAAGCCACCGTGACATGCATGTATGGTGTTATTGTGAGAGCATAGTTCCGATGCAAGTGATTGCTGTCCTCGACATTCCTGTTTCCCGCATATGCGTCCGTTATCAGAGATGGCAATGTCGGCCAAATCCAGATAAACAATATGCCACATTTTGATCGTGCGATGGGGCACATGGCAGCTTCCTATATAGACATATGCGCCGGAGAGGGGGGTTTCCATATCGCCGGCCACTGTAGGGTGATGGTAGTGGGTATATATATAAGAGTCTACTCATGCTCATATATCCAGTTCATCCTTCACTTCTTCCATCGTAACGGAAAAGCTATACCATCATTAACGCAATCATGAAGTTCCTCTCACTCGCTGCTTTGGTTTCCCTTGCTAACGCTGTGTCGGTTGACCTTGCTAAGCGTGACTCGCCGCTCGATGTCAAGCTTGAGATGACCGGCAACACTGCTGTCAAGGCTAAAATCACCAACACTGGATCTGAAGCCTTGAAGGTTCTCAAGGTCGGTTCCTTCTTGGACAGCACACCAGTCGAGAAAGTTTCCGTTTTCCAAGGCAGTAAGTAGAGCCTTGAATCAAATGGCAACGTAGGAGAGGCTAACAAAGCATGACAGGCGACAAGGTTGCTTTCGATGGTATCAAGCTCCGTATTACTACTGAGAACCTGTCCGAAGATGCTTTCCAGATCATCGGTGCCGGTGAGACAGTGGAGACGTCATTTGACATTGCCAAGCTCCACGACTTGAAAGCAGGTGGTGCATTCGATGTAACCGCGGTCGGAACTTTGAGTGTTGCTGCTGCGGACTCCACTCAAATCTCTGACGCCGTCAGCTACTCTTCTAACACCATCTCTGCGCAGATTGATGGTGCTGTAGCTGATGCGGTCCGTCGCAGCTGGAAGCGATCTGCTGTTCAGTCTGACTGCACTGGTGCTAAGAGAACGTCGACTGTCAATGCTCTTGCCAACTGCCGCACTCTCGCTTTGGCTGCTGCCTCCGCCGCCGGTTCCAACACCGCCAAAGTCAACGAATACTTTAAGTCGACTTCTTCCAGCACCATCTCCACCGTCCAGAGTGTCTTTAACAAGGCAGCTTCTGAGTGCGGCTCTTCCACAGGAGGAGCTTCCAAGACCTACTGCACAGATCCCTACGCTGCCTGTGGAAGCAACGTTCTTGCATACACCGCCCCATCATTGAGCATTATCAACAACTGCCCGCTATACTTCAGTGCTATTCCGGCTCTCACGAAGTCTTGCCATGCGCAGGACCAGGCTACTACTACTCTTCACGAATCCACCCACTTGACTCAAGTCAAAGGCACAGACGATCTCGGCTATGGTTACACTGCAGCCACCAGACTCTCCAGCTCCCAGGCGCTTAACAACGCTGACTCTTACGCTCTTTTCGCCAACGCAATCTACGCTGGCTGCTAGATATGGGTCCGTGAGATTTGAAAAAGGTCAAAGATCAATTCAGAAGGTGTTGGATCTTTATATGGAAGTATATAGCAACAATTGGATGCGTATCATGCATGATTTCCACTCTCCACCGTGCCATAGCAAGTTCCAGATGATGAGGATAGATCTAGGCGGCTGAGTGAGCATCGTCGATATGAAATACAGAGCCGACTAGAAAGTTAGTTTTCTATAATGAAGACATGTAATGATCACTCTTGCCTATATCAAAGTCTTTCAAGGATAGTGAAGATAACTTTTTGAAATAGACCGAGTAGATTGATAAATGCGCTAGGCCTGACGAGGTTAGCCTCATCTCCAGCTCCTCGATCTGTCTTACTAAACGAACCAACGTCACCTTAATGATGTCTGACCAGCTGCTACCATTACTGCTCGTCACTAATCGTCGTCTAGGTCTTTTCAGTTGTTAGGAACAACTCTTGGTAAAAGTGTGGATCACACGAGTAATCGTGTTGTGAGGACTTGGCTGCGCGAACACCGAAATCTGAATTACGCCTTCCACTCACCGCGCAACATCGTGAAGAAAGAATAGCCCTGATACGGAGATTGACCATAAAAGCTCCTACCATATCGCCTCCCCAGAAATTAACGATGGCCCACTTCCATATTCCCCTCTGGGTTTGTGGGTCGCTGGCTCAAGATTCTATGGGAATACAAGCATCATGGAGAGCTTGTCGCAAGCCCGACAACCGAGAAGAACCGCCACGAGCACCTCATTTCGCCACAATGACACGCCATTCTCAGTAAGAAACGAGAACTCAAGTCCCGAGCTGATAATCGGGAACCGTACATGTGGTATGGTGTAAACACCACGCGTGCGCAATGACCAGGACGGCGGAAGGCCAAGCGATGCCCAGTCGGAGCACCGGCACTACATTCGACTGTTGATTTGCAGGAAGGGACTTTTTGACGTACGCCGCGTTCCCGCCCCGGTTGGTTCTCCACATAGCGTTGTGGAGACCTTGGCATCAAGTACCATTCTTTTGGTGCGCCAGGCAAGACGTGCTGTCACTGTTTTCGCGAACACCACTAAAAACCTCTGATGAAGACCCTTGGATCTACGGCACGCTGCCCTTGGCGAATCCTCTGCGGACTGGGTATGGTGGAAGGAGGAAATAATCTGCGCTTACCGTGCTTCCTCCCATAAATATGCGGAACGATTCATCTATCCACTTGGCCTGCATACTCTTGTTACCCTTCCCTTCCCGATCTTTTCCTTCTTTCTGAGTACCCTGCCCATGATATTTGCGATCAACATCATCGCAACATGGATTTCCTCAGAAAAGTCGGGAGCTGGATTGCTCCCCCACCAGCCAAATCCGAGGATGGACGCGACCAATGGCCCTCCCGAGCAGCTTTCCTACTGGCCGCTATGGGCGGTTGCGCCGGACAAGGCAACCTCTTGAGGTATCCTTCCGTAATGTACAATAACTATGGCCTTCAATGGTTCATACCGTACCTGCTTGCCGTGTTCCTGATCGCGATTCCAACCCTTATTCTCGAAGTCTCTATCGGCCAGGCGTACCGGGGCGGAACAGTCATCGCGTACAACAATATCAATCGTCGGCTGAAAGGTGTGGGTCTAGGCTCTGTAATTGTCAGTTTCATAGTCGTGCAGTATTTCACTGTCAACTTGGCGTGGATCATGAACTACTTCCGATGGAGTTTTACAAGTCCGTTGCCTTGGAAAGACAGACTCGACGACTTCTACTGGAACGACATTCTCCAAGTTGGTACCATTAATGAGGGTAGTCTGAGTCCAGATGGCAATTCCGTGCTATCTTTCACAGGTTATCCAGAGGTTTCAGTCATTGGAGAGACCCTAGGATGGTCTGTCTTTATCTGGTTCTTGATCTGGATTTCTATCTTCCGTGGCGTTGGTATGACTGGCCGCGTCGTTTATTTCACCATGGGGTTGCCGATCGTTACCACTATCATCTTTGTAGGCCGGTGCCTCTCTCTCGAAAATGCGTCCGAAGGTGTAAATCTCATCTGGAGAACCTGGAGGAGTGATCAGCTGGCATCTGGAACTGTCTGGCAGACCGCCGTCGGACAGGTCTTCTTCTCCACCGGAATCGGCTTCGGTTATTTCACGAGCTATGCCAGCTACAACCAGAAGCATTCTAATGCGGTTATGGACGCGATTCTTATCTGCTCGAGCAACGTTCTGTTCGAGAATTTCGCTGCATTTGCCATTTTTGGTGTTGTTGGTTTCTTGCGCAGATGGCCTGAAGATGGGGTCCGACTGGGAGCCTTCGTAAGTTCACCTTTGGATCTTCATTTCACCAAGTTTTTTTTTTAAGTTTTTTTTTTTTTTTCCAAAAAATCTTACAATGTTTCCTACACTCATTACATTGATATCTAACCTTTTTCCCTAGGTCGTAGGCTTTCTGACATTACCCGAGGCGGTTCTTCAAATGCCAGCTCCCAACTTCTGGGCTTTTCTCCTGTTCTTTACCTTGGTCGTTCTTGGTTTCAGTTCCGCATTCGTCATGTTGGACGTTGTCGTGACCTTGATTTGCGACTCTGGCTTGGTGAAGATGTCGCGTCCATGGGTCGTTACGATATTGACCGTCCTCTCCTTTCTTATGTGCATTCCTTACTGCACCCAGTTTGGCTACTATCTTCTTGATGGCATAGATCGCTGGGTCAACAACGTCGCTCTCATCTTCGTAGCGTGGACCGAAGTAGTGAGCGCAACCACAGTCTACCGCTGGGAGGATGTGGTGAGCCAAACCGGACTGCCCGCATTCGCTATCTACAACTTTGGGTTTTTCGGCGCTCAACTCTTCGGTATCCTCTTGGCACATGGTATCCGTGACCCTGGAATTGGAGCTGCAGGTGGCATCGGATTCTACATTGTGTTCTCGATTATAGCAGTGGTGATTTCACGTACACCTGATGAGGCAGCACCAGTATTCTCTAAAGGCGCCCAAGCCCGGAGAGGCCTATTGAGCAAACTCAAACTCCATTTCCTCGCTGACATCTGGAACATTTCTCCGTTGCGCAAGTTTTGGTTCCTTGCATACTATTCAGTAAGCTTTTATTTGTGACTCGACAATCTGCAGTCACTAACAGAGATATTAGGGTAACCAACTCCGCCGTGACCTTAACATAATTGTGGGTACGGGCCGTAACTGGAAAATTCCTCCATTCCTGCCCTTTCTGCTCAGATACATTAGCGGCCCAGTCCTTGCGATTGTCTTCTCATTCGCCTATCCCGAGTTTCACACATTGCGATACGATCCTATGATGATTGCTGGCTTTATCCTGGCCCATCTCACAATGGTGGCTGTCATCCTTGGCTATGCAGTTCCAAAGTATTACGATGCTTTGATACCAATCGAGAGGCGTGGCGAGGGAACAGAGCCAACGGTTGCTATGCAGACGAAGAACGAGCTTGCCGGACAACCTATTAGCAACCTTGTGAACGCAGAGAGCGGAGAGGCACCTCCACCATATGTGGACTCTTCTTCCCCAAACACGAGTACTCATCGCGGAAAAGATGAAGTGGTGGCCAAATAATGAAGTGGCTGTAATGGAGGGTTTCTGGATGATTTTCCGCGACAATTTCTCCTTTTTTTTTTCATTTATTCCTCTCATGGTCTTCTCTGCTGCGATCCAGGGCGATGATTTCGATCTACATGCTGTCTACGGTCCGTTTTTATATGTATGATCAAGTCGGTTCAAGGTCCCTCACGTTGACATCGGTCTCCCATAATCTTATTCGGCTCGCTTTATTCTCCCGCCTACTTTCCGAAGCATACTGTTGGAACTACTTGCGTATGGCAACTCTAGGGGTTGCTTGCGGACTAGTAAAAACACCAGGAGAGAACTCCTTATCCAAACATTATCTTCGCAGTCGATCTCCGCATGCAAGAACTGAAACTCCAGCGTTGCGAATCTTGAATTAAGCGGACCGACTTCTCGCCACACATGTTATGATTTCCATGGCTCGGTGCCAGTGCTGGAGTGCTAATTTTGATTGCACAGGCCTTTCCAACAGAGTCATACTAATGTCGATGCAGTACTGCAACCACTAATGAGCTGAGTAGACAAGAAGGACTAACATTGTTTCAGTGCCTCAGTTTCGCCTGATCACACGCACATATACCAACAGCGAGCACACAGCTCATCTGACGTGACCATCTGCATATGACCTCAGATTAGGAGGTACGTGTGGAGCGGAGAATATTTTTGACACTCTTGACAGACCGAAACTCCCCATGTTCTTATCATTGCCGCTGTAACTGCCGACCAATCAGGCGTAGAACAATGTCGCGTACCTAGGTAGGTAGCCCCCCGGTCCCTGCTTTTGCGTATTGCAATGAGCTTGCGTGAAGGCTCCATCGATTGAATTTCTGGTAATCGCTCGTTTTTTGGTCTATTTACCGTCGTAACTCTATCGCTGTGTGTAGGACCACCCTAACTCCAACTCAGAATCAATAAGTATCTAGGTAGGCATGCACATGTGGATAGCATTCCACTCCCACGTGTAGCTGCAGTGCTACACTACACCCAGACGATTAATATAGACACTAACTTTTCACTGCATTCGTATGTTATGCACACAAAAATATTTACATATACGATCAACGCGCTCAGCCACATGGACAATGTCGTTCCATTTTCGGCATACCAACGGATGCTCTCACTGCCGGGCGCGTACCGAAGGTCCTGCAGCACTGCACTGCCGCCCATCCAAATCCGGAACACGCAAAACACGTCAGATCCGCTGCATCCCAATACTTTGGCCGGAGATCGCTGTAAACAAAGTAAGCAACGTTTCGCAACGGGTCAAATTCTTCGAAACATCCGAGCTAGAAATAAACATTGAGTGTGAATCGCTTGACCATACATGGCTACGATGTCGGGAAGGAGAAGGGATATATAAGTGCGGAGATTCATCAAGACGTAGCGTTATTCTCATCTTCATCAAATACCATCATTGCCATTACTGCGACTGCGGCTATTTTTCTCAGCATCAATACTATTTTTCTTCTTCGTAGAATCATCTGGCATCGGAATTACACTATTCACAATGCTCGCACTCACAATCTTCACTTCCATCCTCCTCGCTCTTCCCGCCAGCGCTCTCCCACATCAGCAATCAAAACCCCGCGCTGCGAAGGATAGATCCTGCATCGTAAGGCTCTCTCCTACTCCTCCTTCTACGCGAAGAAAACATACTGACACCATCTACACAGCCCTTACAAGAAACCGGCTTCACACGCAGCAACTCATTATGCATAGTCCGCGCCAATGGCGGGAAGATCCCCGAGGAGTCTGACTGTGAGGTTATCGGCGACACCTCCAGCTCATGCAAATTCAGCGACGGATTGGTATTGGATCAGGTGTGCGTCAATGTTGAGGACGGGTGTGAGATTACGGAGGATGAGCTCGGGTTCGAGTGTGAGGCATTCAAGGTTTGGGCGGGTGATTGCTTTTGAGAGCGTCCAGTTTGACGGTAATGGTTATGGCGGAGTTATATAGAGGTTTGTTCTTCCGCAGGCTGGAATTTCGTGAGAAGCTTTGGCGTTGAGGCGTTCGGTTCATTGGTATGGTGGTATGAGATTCGATAAGGAAGGGGATTTGTGGATGCCAGATATGTAAACCATGCTCAATATACATGTACAAAAGAAAATGAGTTTGGTAAATGTGAGAAAGGGCCAGCTCTTGCAGATGAGGGCGAGAAGAAAAAAACAGAGGAAAGAAAAGTCTGCAACCTAAAAAAGGTGTAGGATATCATGCATTGTATTCCCAGTCCATTTCATCAGGGCCGGACCGTCGTGTATACTCCTTCGTGTCGTCTGTCCAAGTGACTTTCTTCGGGGGACTGCGCTTCGTTTCCGGCGCGGAGGTAAGATGCAGCCACTCGCGATACATTTCTTGTACCCGGGAGTGAGAATATGCGCCGCTCGTCTCCACCTTTGGATTTTGTGCGTTCCATGCTCGTTCCTGCTCAGCTAGCGCATCCACTTGGACCATATGATTTGCAAGTTCCATTCGAGCAAAGTGGTGGGCTCGTCCGACCTGCGCGTATTCTTCGTCTGCCTCGGTCTGTTTCCATGGACCGCCTATACGCTCCCAAGCCACGTTGATGAATTTGATGTAATTAGTGTGGATTTGGAAAAGGCACACGGGGCAATATTCCTTTGAAAATTGGTCGTTCGGGTGTCGCGTGTGCTGACAGTGAGAACGCGCTTGCGGGTATCTTGGCCCTTGCGCTCTTATAAAAGCGTTGAATTCCCGTGCATTGGGGAATGGCGCATTTGAAGCGTCGACGTTGAGTTTGCACGTTTGCTGGAGCCACGTGACGTACATTGTCATATGCTCGTCGGAGAAAACGCATTTAGGTGAGGATGTAGGCCGGAGACTGCCGAGAATCACGGCCAAACGTTTCGGCATTTTTGATATAGTCGTGTGGCTAAATAAATGAGTGGATCACTTCCCAGAGCCGTCCCGAGAATGTTGTGTGTCGTGGTTATGTCTTATATAGAAAATGTTGTGGGACATCGTGAAGTCGAGCAAGCGAGGTGGGGCTTCACCGAGATGTGCAACACAATGTCCAAATTTCTTTGTTGTCGAGCATCGTAAACAAAGAAGTTGACAAGGACGCTGTTGAGGCACCTGGAGGTGGTCGCTGGGTGTTCGAAATGTCGATTTGATATTGCACAGATTGGGAAAGGGGCGGAAAAATCCGGCAATACCCCCACCACGCAGCGACGCACAACGGGAGTGGCAAGGAAGAAAGGCAACGATGGCTACACCACGCGGGAAAAGATTGCGTCCTTAAATCAGTGTCGTTTATGGTTTCTGGCGAGCATATGGAGGGAGAAATTCGAAATTCTCTGGATTGCTGAACAACAGCCCTGCAGCTTATCTAAACATACTAGTCCATATTTAGACTAGCTTACAATTACGGGTCTGCGGTCAATCTGGCGTCCCTGCATTTCATCTTCAATGTACATATCTTGCACCTAATATGGCGCATCTATCCTTCAGATCGACAAATTCTTTCAGCTTTGGGATATAGACGGCTGGATTGACAATAATGCCAAACGAGATGCTCCAGGAGATATCCAGAAAGCTTGTTGAGTCGAGACGGTCTCAACATCTTGTCAGGCATTGAGCGGGGTTCATCTCTACACAAAGTTTTGATAATTCTACTTTAGATACATCGTTTCATTGTTTCTTGACATCCATTTGTCTCGTAATGCGGCTGATAATGAAAATATAACAGCCAGATGTGCAACAGCCATGAAACCTCTCTGAAAACCGTCTCCTCCAGTTGGAACAAATCGGTATGCCTAACCCCGTGAATCGAGTCGGGCTCCACGACTAATCATCATATCTACCTCTTCCTGCGTCGTGGAATGGTGGCCGGGAAGCTGGAAATCTGTTTCTCATTCTCCAAGGTCGACTTGAACACACCCCACATCCCAATTGTAATCGCAAGACCCACCAAAGACGCTACCGTAGTACCGATGGCGAACGCAGATACAGCACTCACTCCTACACTGCTACCACCATCACGTTCTTCCTTGTTTTCCCCAGCCGCCTCAAAAACGGGGGCGAGGAATATGTGGTGGAGCCATACGAGACAAACAAGCGCTAGAACGTACTCGATCATGCCCAAGCGGAATAGAACCTTCGAGGATTTGGGACTCGACGCCGTATTTTTGATCTTACCCTTGGTCATTATGACAGAAGCGGAGAAAGATACCGAAAGGGAGGGATGCGCTCCTTGAAGCTTCCCGATCAGGAATTGTTGGAGTTTCTTGGTGTTCAGCTCGCTGTGACCGGCGGATTCGTAAGCTTCGGTACCGTCGGTTCCGCCGACAGAGTGGAGGGCTTCGATGCCGCCGGGGTGATCGGAGACGAATGATGTAAGGTCGTAGACTTTGTAAATTGTAAGAGATTAGTTTGATTGCGGTGGATATATAAGAGAAAGGAACATACCGTTGCCGTGCACGGCGATCCAGAGAGATGAAAGAGAGGAGTGGGTGGAGAGTTGATCGAGGGAGATCTCGGGCTCGGTAAAGGAAGACATAGTTGAAGTTGAATTTTGTTTGGTTGTATGGAGTGGAGAGTGGTTAGGTGTTGAGTTCCTTCCTCCTTACGTGTGCTTTTATATCTGGTAAAGGCCGCTGGGGAGATAGTGCCAGAGTGGTACTCTACATGTAGTGAATGAGGGGCATACAATGTGGAGCTTATGGAGATTGCGTTGCTAGCGACGTAATATAACCGTTTGTGAATAAGCGCGGGCGTCTATGTAAACGCGATTCATTCACACTCGCGGTGTAGTCGCCCCACGTGATCCCAGTGAATGTCGTACCCGCACTGACCTCCCACACTTCTATATATTCGCGTGCCATCTACATATTATCGCTTTCCCACAGAATTGACCACTGCATCCAGAGCTGGATCGTATCATATTCAACCCTCAGGCGCTACTTTCGGGAAAGACGGTCACAACAACGAGTGGATCTCAGAATACATTGCAGAGACCAACATGCTTAAGCAGTTTTACATTCCTGATGAGCATGGGGGAGTCTCCCACGAGATGGACATCTCCCTGTTTGCGAACTTCAGTCAACTTACAGAGAATTTAGCCCGGGCATTCGCTTTCGCTGATACCAAAGGTAAGTATAGCGTAGGTGCGATACATGAGGACTATGCTAATTCAAACTAGCATTGTGGTTGGTGGACGAAAAAAAAAATCATCTCTTCACGATGAAGGAGGTGCAGAAGGCCGAAGGTTTAATTGAATTGCGGGCAACATCTAATCAATCCGTCCGCGTACCACCGGGCCCACGTCCATTGCCTTTCGTCGGTAACCGCTATGAAATCTATCCAGACGTTCTTGGAAACTACGATCGACTGTTCTCACGATATGGTCCGATGTTCAAAACTGTTAACATGGGAACAACAATCTACCACAACAACGACCCGGTAATCTCACGCCATATCCTACGCGAGGACCATCTCTTCACCAAGACAACGTCCGACCCTTCGCATCCACTCCACTATATGAGCGAGCAATATAGTCTCTTTACCTGTGACACGGCGTCCCCAGCTTTCATACCGAGTCACAAATTCGTCCCCCCTACACTATCACCGCGGGCTGTCGCTCACTATATGCCACTCATCCAGGACGCAATCGAAGACTCTTTCTCCGTCTTTGATCAACTTGCGTCCTCCGACCGTGCCATAAACGTCTATCAGTACATGTTCAAGCTCGCTTCATCGCTCATCTGGCGCGTCGTGTTCAATCAGGACCTCAAACACTTCGAATCTCCCTCAACTCCTCCCTCGGCACCTATCCGCTACTTCGACGGATATCTCTCGTTGTCCAAGAAGTCTTCGATGCAGCCAACATGGCTCAAGTACCTTCCCTTTGGCTATCACGCGAAGCTTAAGGTCGTGCGACAGCAGCTTTTCGATGCGTGCGAAGAAGCCATGCTCGCCAATATCGACAAAGATGGGCCCACTATTCCCCTTGCCGACACACAGGCGTTGTTGAGCGCGAAGTGTCTGTCAGACTTTCTTTACCGCGCCGTCGACGAGTCCGGAGAACGCCTTCCCTACAATTTGGTAGTCAGCAACCTGGTAGTTACAGCAGGGGCAGGCTTCGCCACAACTTCATCGCTGCTCTCGTGGGCGCTGTATGCGCTTGTGCGGTACCCAGGAAATCAAGATCGTCTCTACAAAGAGATAGCCCAAGATATCCAGAGCAACCCACAACCATCGGACAAGAAGGAAAACAAACGGTGGACGTATGATGAGATCCACGGGCTGAAATTCCTAGATGCTTTCCTGAAGGAAGTCCTTCGCCTACACTCCCCTAACTACCAAACCGCGCGGAACGCAAAGGAGGATGTTGTTCTTCCAGGCGGCTACCTGATTCCGAAAGGTTCAGTTGTCATGACCTCTTTTCCGAGCATCCACAAGAACCCCAAGCACTGGGACAATCCTTTACGGTTTGATCCAGACAGGTGGCTAAGGGATGAGGAACTTGCGTCGAGGATGGCAAAAGAGGGGGGTTACACGCCGTTCGGGGCTGGAGCGCGGGGGTGCGTGGGCTTCAATCTGGCACTCGCTCAGGCGAAATTGGCGATCGTAGAGTTAGTGCATAGGTATACGTTTGAGGATGAGAGCACTGAGGCTGTGGTGTACGATCCGGACCGGTTGGTGGTTAGGCCAATGAACCTCTATGCAGGGTTGACCAAAAGGGGTGAGTGATTGGGTGACTAGGGTACTGTTCCTCTCTGTCTGGTGGTTCTGGGTTGTCACACTCCCCAATGCACTTGCATGCTTTGACATTGAGAGATAGACGATAAGGTCGGACGAGACAGAATCTGAGTTTGTATGCCTGTACGTTTGTATGCCTGTACGTACCCTCGAGATTGTTAAGTCTATTGTTTGATCATCGCATTTCCATGCGGCACAAACACTTAGTATTAAAAAATTACACAATAAATCTGCTTTTAAGCTAAAGGCAGGACACATGTTTTATAGTTATTACAAAACTAATAAGTTATTATTCTGAATAGCTAAGCGCGAATTAGGTCTGGGGACCTCAACACTACAACTTAACAATCTAAAGTGATTTCTTAATTGATGATGAAGACATTAAGAACAGTGTTATATAATACAGCAGCCAAGTCAAAGGAAGAATATAGAGTGTCTCTTTAGATTGCTCCCTGGCCTGGTGCCGAAAGCAAACACCTTTTGTGAAACTTTTTGTCCCTGCCTACTTTTTGTTACCTTTTTTATTAGCCTTTTGAAGTGTAGGAAACACTGTAACTTCCAATAAAAAAAACATAGAGTGTCTCTAGTACCAGGTGGTCTGATGGTCACCCGTGGCATTTTGACATTAATTAATATGATCTTGATCCTTATGGTTTTCAACTGCTGGACCATATATTTACCTTCATCCTGGATTGATGCGAGTTACATTAGCACGATAATCGGCGATCGCGCCGTCCCGCATCACACGTAAGAAGTCCTTGGGTTCTTGTAGAAAAGCTTGTCCAATTTCACCCTGGTCAGTGGCGATCCATAATCCCCATCACGGGACCGGATTTCAGGAAATCGGCGGCGCTACTATGGTTCACTCCGAGAAGCGTTGTAGATCAAGGCATATTATACATAAATTCTAGATTAAAGGCGATACTTTTGGCCCCATGCTGTTGTGCTGCTTGTTTGTCCCCATCTACATCGAGCATGGCTTCGTCATACATTAGCATCTTGATCAACGATCGTTTGGGTTCTATAACTCAAAAACATCAGAGATATGGAAGGGTAGAAGAAAATTTTGTATGAAAATACATATGCAGCATTAGAACAGCCTCCGATTCTTTTAGAAATGAAATGAAATGATTGTACCACACCCCTGGAGGAGGCTGGTTGCAGACGAAAAGGGATAAAAAAAAGCAGCGATGTGTAACCTTGTCGTCAGAACGATATTGTCGCGTAACTGGGACCGGGGTGTGCTGTCAGGACTCAACACTGGGTCATCTTCTGGGGCGTCCCCACGATTCTCCAGGATCCACCCTTCGGGTACGTGTCGAACAAGGTGTTGAAAGCTTAGAACCCAGAACCGAGATCTTCAACGCTTTCCATCCATACTTGGAAATCTTGCTGTCACCGTGCGATCTGTAGTATGTAAGCCTTTGAGGTGCGTTTCCCCCGCTCCCTCCTCCTAGTGAGATACTCGGTGTTCTAAGCTCGTACCGAAGCTTATCCTTATTACTCCCCGACCACCTTGGCCTATCAGATTGGAAGATCGGACATCACATACGAACCTGCATTGGGTGTCTCAGTTCGATGTCGTCACCACATGGCAATGGGTAAAATCGATTTGAATTCGATCGACATTGATCATATCGAAATTCGACCATGATTATATATAACGATGGTTGTTTTCTGTCGGTGCACGCTTCTCACTTTGGAAAGCCGTTTTTTTTCTTCAACTATCTGTTTTTGCCAGAGTTGAAATCGTTTGTGCTATTGTAGCGCAAATATGGAGTTATGCCATGATCCAGCCACTGCGGACCTACGAGTCTGTCCGGCCATGGAGCCCCCTCCCGGTTACAAGCCCATGGATCCCGATGCGTACACACTAGAACCGTATATGACCGCAACTACGGTTGTTTGCTTGTCACTGGTTGTCATCGCGGTGACTGTGCGCTCTTTCACGAAAGGCTTTCTTATCAAGTCATTCAGTGCTGAGGACTGTCCGTTATCCACTGCTTCTCACCCTGGAGACCGCAAGCTTACAGAAGCCAGATGCATTCATCGTAGCAACTGTTTGTCATGACCAATTCTGCTCAAGTCAACAACGTTACTGAGGATAGAAACAGGCATTCTTCGCAGCTTTTCTGGCCTTGATGAACTACGGCACACAGAACTTTAATTCCGGGAAACATCAATGGAACGTTTCGATCGCCGATGTGATTGAGCTTTTGAAGGTGCGCCTTTAACACCACTTATGAAAATACCATACTGACCAGAAGCAGAACGTCAACCTCGTCCAAATGATGTACCCACCATGCATGTTCTTCTCGAAACTAGGGTTACTCCTGCAGATAGCACGCATTTTCTCAGACAAGCAGCGTAACTACATATTCTGGGCAAGCTGGACACTGATCGTTGCGAACGGCATCTTATATCTGGGCGTCTTCCTGTCATTCCTGCTCGCCTGCTGGCCACGAGAAAAAATCTGGAACGACAGAGCACCAGGACGATGCATCGATACGAACGCTTCGATGATATCCACCTCTGCTCTCAACGTAGTCTCGGACTTTGCCATCTTGATTCTGCCGATCTGGAGCGTACTACAGCTCAGAATGCCCGTACGGCGCAAAATCGGCGTTTCAGCGGTATTCGCTACCGGTGTCTTGTAAGCTGCCGACGTTTTGCAAAGACGATTTCGTGCTGATGAAGTGCTAGTTCTTGTATCGCTGGGGTATTGCGCATGTGGTATACCAGCATACTCTTCAAAACTCCGGATTTCAGCTACTGGATCTCGCCAGCGGGGATGATGTGCGTGGCCGAGCTTACCACGGTGATTCTTTGCGGGTGTTCGCCGACGTTTCCTCGTTTTGCTCGGTTTTGTGCGGAGAAGATTGGTGCGCGCGAGGCGGATACGAAGTATTCATTGAAACGTACAGAGTCGCCTAGCGTGCCACGTCTGATCAGTTCCCGGGATTCTTACTCGATAGCTGCCTGACGATACTGTTACTTCTTTGCGTGTCACTAATGATTGTTATGTAATTTGATGGCATAGAGTATACGGACATTCATTCGGGGCACTGTTCAACATCGATTTGTCCGTTCAGGGATATAATGAATAGATTTCTGTTTCATGCATTGTTTTTCTGAAGTTGTATGTGCATTCATTGCTTACTTGTTTGAAAGTATTAAGCAACATGTCAAGTCAAAACCATTGGCTCTTTTACTTATCAACTGGCGTTACATTCATGTTTTGAACTAGACTCCGAGAGAGGATCCTGTTGGAATGATATGTATTCAAAGGAGAGCTATATGTAGAAGTCTACAACGGATCAGACCCCTTAGGGAGTCTAACCTTGAAAACCAGGACCTGCGTGTCCAAGTTGAACCCAGAGCCATCCTTATAAGTATTCTTCCCCGAATTAATGAAACCTAAGTCACAACCGCGGAGTCAGTAAAGGATTATATAAAAAGAGTGCTCGATCGGTGGGTTGTCTTACCGTTTTGCGTGATGAAGTCATTATCGGAAAACGAGATGAGGTAGTACTCATCGCCTTCCCCTTTAGTCTCAAACTTGCCATCGACCTTGCCCAGCGCGAAGCTCTCCCATTTCTCGTTAAGTAGCCCCGCGTCCTGTTCGCCACCGTTATGCGCACCGAAACGCTTGAGCTGGTCATTGTTGTTGAAGGACAGCCACTCGCAGTATTCCGCAGGAACGATATCATCGTCTAGTTTACCCTTCTTGCTCGCAACAGCACCACCAAAGTCGTCATTTTTCTTACCCTTGATGTTGGTTGCTTTGGAGATGTCAAACACGTCGGCGTTACGGTAGATTGATTCTGAAGCATCTTGACCGTGGCCGGCTCCACCATCGCGGGCGAGGACTAGGAACTGTGTTTCGGAGATGAAGTGGAGCTCGCTTTGTCCGGCGACTTTGCCGGTTGGTAGAACGGGCAAAGGTACAATGTATTCGGAATCATATTCTACTTCTTTGCCCTTCTTACCGATTTTGTATTTGAGGAAGCGGGTGTAACGTCGGTCTGAGGACTTCTTGCCACCTTCCTGCATCGTTGCGCTTTGCAAGAGTGAATACAAGTATTTGCCCTTTGGGTCTGCGGTAAGACCTTCGAGACCTTGGTTGTTCGCACGACCCGTATCCGGATCCTCGGGTACTGTCTCGACATCAGGGTTGTAAATTGGAGGGGATGCGGCGTTAAAGCTTTCAGTGCCGTTGCGTATGGGGATAAGCGCATTTGGTGGGCGGATGGCATTGATCATCTTGCCTTGCTTGTCGAATTGGTAGATATAGGGACCGTACTCATCACTGATCCAGAACGTTTCGTCTTCGCCCAAGACAAGGCCTTCAGTGTCGATGGAGATTCGCTTTCCGCCAGTACCGTTGCCACCAAACCCATCACCAGTGTATGTAACAACTGGGAGATCTGGAAATCCATCATAAGAGAGATGCCCGGTCTGATCAGCATCGAGGCCAGTGGTAGGTGTGCCATCCGGGCCGGTAAGGAGGATGGTATCCAAATAGCTGATCTGGAAGTTGGGGGTTGTCGCTGGGTTCTCTAGAGTCGCGGGCACGATATCCAGAGAGACACTGAATTTGTGGATACGGGACTGGGTATTCTGCGTACCCTCTGTGTTCCACCCTCGATCTGGGAGACCGTAGAGGATAGCCTCATACCCTTCCGCGTCACCCTTCTTCTTTTTCCAGGATTTCTTCTCCAGAGCGATTGCACTGCCGATGCCACCGATGGTGTCGCCGAATTTGTCTCGTGCATCGCCGGCTAGGATACCCCACCCAGCAAGCTCTTCATAAACGTACTTGTTACCGTTGCATAATGCGGTGTTGACGACGGGACCTTGCTTCTTATCGTCTCGTGTCACGGGGTTCGCGAATGTACTTGCGAATTGCAGAGCAAGGAGATTGAAAGAGGTCGGTAGTAACATGCTTGCTGACAGTGGAGCGAAAACGAAATGCTCGTGTGCACACTGCAAAGCCGAAGGAGGGGTTCAGTCGGGCATTTGTACCTGCAATCCTTTCTGATGGCGCAAGATCCGACACTATGGAATACGATGCACAGCGGAAACACCTTGCCTAATTTCGATGGAAGGATCAAGATCGCATTGCACGCCTGCAAACAGTGCAGAGGTACTGGCTGTAGAGGAAGGAAGGTCAAAAGTACCTGCGCCCCTTGGCGTCAGCTAATGACGCTACAGCTGGTGAACGGCATCATCTTGCGCAGCTCAGGGCGCCCCGTTTCTGGTAGGCGGTCTTCAAAATATCACAGTCTTCACTCCGATAGCCTCCATGATAGTATTGGCGTTTGCTAGGCGGAAATTGTCGCTACCACGAGGTGGTGAGCGAGCTTCTGAGTCGTCGAGGCGTTGATCTTCCCGCTGGTGAGCGATGCCTGTTCAGGCAGGTGATGGTCACTGGCCTCCACAAATAGGTCGATGAACAGGCACCTAGCCTCTGCACCATTCAAACACTCGTAAATCCTTTCTCTACTTTCTTTTTTCCATCATCAATTCATCTCTTTGGATTTTCAATGTCACGGAGGCTTGAGTAGAGTCATCATGACGACTAATGCACGAGCACGGGCGCTGAAACCTTCTCGAATTCCCGGAGCGACGATCGCAACGTGCTCGCAATCGTTGTTCTGTTTAATAGCCAACCCAACTTGCTCAAATTACAGACGCCATCACTCATACAACGAAGTGCTGGTCGATTGGAAGAAAAGGAGACTGCGCGCCTGTATAAGTGACTTTGTCTTTTTCTTTTGAAGCAGCAAGGACTGTTGGATAGCCATTAGTGACGATCGCGAGAATATCGTCATAGCATAGAGAAAAATAACAGCGCACGCTCACGCTGCGAGCCCCGACGTGCAGACTCGACATGAGTCTCGAATAAGAGAAATAGACATCACCGCCCGGAAATCTAACCGTGAAGTTACGGAGTTTGACTCTTTTTGTACATGGGGCCCGCCAGTGCGCTACCCTCGTGAAAAGAAATTCGAAGATGAACCCCATCCGCCCATATGCTACAAGTACCAGAGGGGTATCAAAGAAAAGAGTTCATGTTAAGATATTTTTCGTCGAAGTGGGCGATATGCACCGCTTCTACGGGGTATAATAGTGAATAGTTGTAGAAAAACCTGCTCCAAAAAGGCAAAACGCGCTGGAAAAACCATCAAATGCAACGCGATCATTCGCCCAGAGCGAACTCTCATGGCGACTCTGTTTTGTAGGAAGAATTTTCCCTTTTTGTTACAACATAGGCGTTGAGTTGTTGAGAAGGAATGAATTGAACAAAAATAAAAAAAAAGCGCATCCAGCAAAAACGTGATCAGGATCAGGATGTCGACATTCGAAAGGGATGAGACCTATTCGACATGAACGAGACTCGATGAGAGGAATCCGTGTTCGCCTCGGAAGAAGATTGTGGCGTTCTTGCTTGATCCCAGCCAGGGTCGATGGCCCCAAGAAGCATTTTATAAGCGTTTCCTGTCCAATGCTCTGTATCGACGAAATCCCTAGTCAAGGTGAGTATGAAACAATGGAGAGAACTGCACTTTGAACTTACTGCATCACACCGTATTGGCGCAATTCGTCATCGAGAATTTTGAGTCTTCTCGTGCCTTCCGCATTGTCGCCGAACTGGATAAATTGTATGCCCAGTTGTCCCTTTTCCATTCCTTGATCCTCGAGTCTTTTCATAGCTTGTACTATGCGATCTACCCATCCATCTCCGTCTTGCCATATACCATCCGTGAAAATGTAGATGTTGACGCCCCATTTCTTTGGTTTGTAGTTTGATTTGTGAAGACCCAAGCGACTAAGAAGGTTTTTCGAGCCGTCAGGTCCCAACTCTTTCAGAACTCTCCCTAAAGTGAGTCCAATGTCACAATTTCCGCCGCGCGTGCTTCTGCTGAGCTTCTGAAACAGCGGTTTTCTGTCTTTATTACGATCATAGTACGTGGGATTACTTGTGTACCGAATCTCTATACCGTCTGGGTCTTTGGATTTGACCAGATATGCCAAAGCTCCAAAGGTATCCAGGACATTGTTCCAGTGGGTATCCATACTGGCCGAATCGTCAAATATAAAAATCTACATGGAAGTTAGAACACTGGACATGATATATTGTGACAGAACATACTTGATCTCTGTTATCTAGCTTTCGCAAATGTTCGATTCCGCGCAACGGCAAGACTTTGCGCTTTTTGGTATCTTTTATCCAGTTATTGACCGCCCCAATTGAAACGTACTCAAGCTTGAAATGGGGTGCGGGTGATGCTGCGGGAGGTTCAACACGCAATTCTGGGGGGTTCGAAATGCGATTTGGCGATGATTGCCTTTCTTTGATCTTGCTTCTGTAGGGGTTGTTTGGGGCGAGCCTTTCCTCGTCATTCGATTCTGCGCTTAGATGGCGGGCATGGGAAGAATGTCGATTTGGTGCAGGTACGGTGTTAGATGGGCTCGGCCTATTTCTGTAGCGTCGTGCACGTATCGAAGTGTCATCACATAACCGTTCCGGGGACTCTGAAACTCTCGGAAGGGCGATTTGAGGACTGACAGGAGACGGTCGCTGTTGACTCTCATCCCAGGAATGGCGGAAGATTGGGGGTGGGTTAGAAGACGGTGGTGGAAACGGCCTTTGATATTCGTAATTCTGGTTCTCCTCATGAAGACCTAATCCAAATGGTGGCTGAGGACTGCCTCGAGGATCGAACCTATTTTGATCGCCTGGAGGATTGAACCTATTTTGATATGGATCCGACCGGCTTTCGCCTGGAGTTGGTGGACTAGCTGGCCACAAGACAGTTTGAGGACTGCGCTGTGAGGGTCGCGACATGCTCTTTGCAACAGTCAAGATATCTTCGCAGTATTCATAGGCTTCAGCGGCACTTGGACGCTGGGAATCTTGTAGCATACTTTCAACCACGTTGATGATTCCCGCAACTACATTGTCGCCGCGACGGCACCCAATGCTGGCTTGTGTATGCATTTCATGTACAATATGAAGTACTTTCTTGGTATCGTGAAAGCACCCACTGTACGCCGAGTTACATAGTTTTGATATTTCATTGGTAGCTTTCGTTCGTTCGGTTCGATAACGATTGAGACCTTCGGGTCCTAGCACAGACCAGACTACAGCTTCACTGAAGACACAGCCCATGCTCCAGATGTCTTTGCTAGGTTTAGCCTCTCGTATATCGCTTTGAGAAAACCTGTCTTTTTCGTTCCTGTAATATTCAGGGGCGGCTTCTTTGATGTTAGTGAGGTCCACAAAAGCGATAAAATTGTGGTCATGAGACGATAATACACGATGAGATGTGGGGGTCAAGCAAAGAGAACAGATATACTAACTGAAGATTTGGGTACCACTGACAGCTTTGATTCTGGCTTTCCTTTCTTTTTCCGCGGGGGAAAAATGAGTCAAGCCCAAATCTGCAAGCTTGAAGGTAACATCGTACGAGCTACACCGATTGGACTCTTTTTGGAAGGCGTTGTTGGGCTCGGCCACAAGTATATTAGTAGGCTTGATATCGTTGTGGATGCCCTGCAGGAATTTGAAGATGTTATCTGGGTTTGGATGTTTTTGTATCCGAGCCAAAGGCTTGAGAACATCCACCAAACGTTCCCAAAACAAGATGATGTCTTCTTCGTACACGGGTGGCGGGCGCGCGAAGAAGTCTTCTAACGTGGCCCCGCCAACATGCTCCATGCACATGCTATATTCTTGTCTCTGTACCCAGGAACCATGAATCCTCACGGTGTTGGGCAAAATCGATTCGGAGAAATCCATGATCTTATAGGCCTCAACCTCATTATGATGGAGTTGTGAATCTTTTGCACGACATGTCTTGATGATAAAAGTGTTGATGGCGGTGGGATGTCCGTCTTTCTGTTTGCATATTAGTGATTGCCTAATCATTGACATGAGGGAATAGAATGCGTACTGTGGGAATCAGCTCATTGTAGCTGGGGTGGATTTCGACCTTGTAGGTACAAGAATCGGGGCCCATCTTGAGCACCTCACGAGACAAATATGGTAAAATGACCTCATCGTCAAGTCTCGTATCGTTCATTCCATGTCTGAAAGTATGCGCACAGAATTTCCATTGCGCCTTGTAGAACTCAGAGAAGAAGTTTCTGCACTCTGGTGGCCAGGCGGATCTATCGTTCCTCCTGAAGGGCAGGCGATGATCCGCTAGGCTATCCCATTGTAAGAAGCGACTAAGCTCTCCGCCTTTGCCAATGACAATAAGGATAGTGAACACAAAAATGTATGATTGTTGAATGTGTATCAATGAAGTGGCGGGGATGTTGTAATAAGCTAACAGATTTCTGAGGACGGGTTTCGACAAATGTCGTTTCACTGCATCAGCGGGGACGAATGAACGACTTTCTGGTCGGTCTTTTTGCGGCTGCAGGTCGACAACCGATACCTCGGAGGTTCGAAGGAAGTCTCGGTAGTCGACCACGTCAGAGTCACGCCCACTCATCGGTAATGAGTGGGCTGGCGAAGTGTGGTAGGGCAGCAAAACGATGGGGGGTGAATATGGTGTGGGAGGCAAAATACTTGCAGACGTTCGCCTCAAATATCTTTTCGAATGACCACAGCTGGGGGGTGGCGGGAAACACGGAAGCTCGAGCTAGGACGCCGGCAGCTCTCCGTTATAATATGCGTCGACCGGGCAGACAGGCCCTGCAGGAGATAGGACTAGTCAAAGGCTGTAGGTAAGCCAAGCTGTCAGACGCCAGGTAGTTAGTGGGCTGGGTTATAGCAAAAGGCAGAGCCCCAATCGCTTCCCCTTACACTTTCGTCCCACTCACATCACCCATCTCTTCGGCTTAGCACCAAGCAGCGTTTGTGAGTTGAGATGACCGTCATTACTCGTTATCAGGCGCATTCCTCCTACACGCTAGAGCAGGAACGAGAAAAAGGAACAAAGGTAGTACATCATTTCAGATTACCCGTAATGGGTGAAAAGTGAAGCGAAGCGGGCACCGATGAACAATGAGCTGTCGCTAGGCAGCAGCAGCAGCTAGCAATGCGCCGCATTGCACCACAGAGCGAGCAGTCTGCCCTGGCGTTCGTCCCGCATACGAACATTGAATGAGCTTTCGAGTGATAGTCAAATAATAATGCCACCATCATCATCACCATCATCGAACATTTGGGCATGAATATGTAAGACGTTGGGTTAAGGCCAAGCGTAGACTTAAGCTCCCCATAGTGCGGGGCGCTAGGTCCAGCTTGTTTCACAAGGATCACGTGGTCGGACGCGAGTATACTGCAAGCTAACCTGTTTCGGTTAGAGGCCGCCCATAAGCCAGCATCGAGGGAGCACCGAAGATGATTTGACCACACTCGAACCTAAAGTTATCATCTCACGAAGACAGCCAATCCGAATGCTTCAGAATGGGCTTAGACTTATGGGAGATGATGACATTTCTCCCAACAAAAATCACAACATGCCTCGCAGTGCCACAGCCACAGCCTCGTTCGATCCAGTGTTCCCAGCTCATCTCGCTTTGCACCATGTATTGCAGTGTAGTGTAGGTTGACAGACAGTTCTCTTTACGAACAGCAAGGAGGCTGTGCTCTGTATAGAACCGGGCTGTGCCATATCTATAAGCTTTCACACACATCTATGTATATGCCCGATATTACGATAGACCGTAGGTAATGCAGCTACCCTGCTCTTGCCGAAAACCCGCCCAAAGTACGCCGTACGGCTGAAATCTAAGACAAGGAAATCTACAATACATATTGGCGGCAAACTAAACCGCTTCGGCCTGAGCGGCCGGCCTCTTAGCCCAATAAGAGATGAACCACCATGCGAAAAATGTCAAAGCCGTCAACGGCAGCGCAATCGCCATATAAGTATGCAGAGCCTTGAGCTGGAAATCCTGCTTCCCATCCTCGAATCTGAGAATATCGGTGCTCATGAACGTCTGTAGTTCATTTAGCATGATATCATAGGCGACGAGGAGGGAACGTACTGCAATGAAGGTAGCTGGCAAGAAAAACAGCGTGACGGTTGTGATCACCCGCATCGAGATTGTCTCCCGTTCCGTCTTTTTGGCTATGGTGTGCATTTCGTACGTCATCTGCTCCATGCGCTCGGCGGAAAGCTGGTTCTTTCGTGCGAACGATTCGTTTGCTTTCACTCCACGATATTGCAGGATACCGTTCAACTTGAACACGTCGTTAGTTACTCTGCTTTCCATTGAAGTAATTGAAGAGGCAAAGCTTACTAAATTTTTCCTATTTTCAAGCATGCGAAGCAAGTTTTCTGATCTAGACTGCAGCATGCGGAGGTCTTTCTCCACATGAAGGATGCTTCTTGTAAATCTCGCTAGATCCATCTCGCATTGTGATCTCAAAAGAGCTGGGAACGCAGAGTGGCTGGTAAGAAAATGGTAGTTCTGGCGTAATTCTTCCAGAACTTCTGCGTTGAGTCGGAGCACCAGAAGTGTCTCTTGGATTTTGTCTTCAATTCCCTGCAACTTTTGAAGATCGGTGACGGTAAAGATCTCCTGGGGCTTCTCATCTCCGTCCTCCGAGAAGTTGGGTGGCATTTCGGGAGGGTTCATCTTAACACTTGCAGCAGAGGGCGACGCTGGTCTGACTTCGTCCAATGGAATCGAGGACTGGTGGCTGCTGCTCGGTTGCGATGGACCGCCAATTAGATTGTTTCTTACTCGGACATAGAATGAATGCAAACTTTTCTTCAGTATATGACTGTCCATGGAGCCTGCCTTGATCCATGGGTCATTGGTGTGACAATTTTGCTGCTCCGAATCGAAAGACCCTATATTCGGGATGGAATCCACCAGGGTGGTTGCTCGGGAAGGTGCACCGTGAGAAAACGACCCTGTTTTGTTTCTAGGGGTTCTAGGGGATCGAGGAGATTGGAAGGTTCCAGTACGTGACTTTGGTGAAAACCCACCGGTCATAACTCGTGGGCTTGTAGCGAATAGCACGGGCGACGGCGGAGGACTGGGTAGTCGATCGATTGGGATATACGGTGCGTCTTTTGCGAGTTTCTGGAACTCCTGCTCAAGATCATTGAGATACCATCTCCAGTTCTCACTAGACCAATCACATAGGAGTAAGTGGATAGAGAGTGATGAGGAAAAGGCCGCCGCAGTTTGTACAGTACCACTGGAATCAAAGGTAGGATCACTCGTCGCTTCTTCAATTCGATTCTTGATCAACTTATTTGCCTTAACATTGATCCATAGGGATTTGCCAGTCTCAACATCAAAGGAGTGATAGACAGCGCATTGACGAATCGACCACTGTAATCCTGGTTGGCTTGTAGAACGTTCCACTGACCGCAGATTGTAGCAGAAGCGAATTTCGTTTCCCGACCGATTCAGTCTTGGTATTGTCAGCCCTCGATGCCGTTGCTCGAGGCGTGAATCGTCGCGTAAACCACTGAAATAGAAATCTTTCGCCTCTATCTGATGTCCGAAAGGGAAAATAAAGTCTAGGAACGAAGGCATGACTTGATAGTACGTGAGAAGAAAACTCAGCATGTTACGACTGATTCGCAGTGGCGCGCGACTGTGTGGCGAGTGCAGAAAGCTACACCACTTAGTATTGAACGGTTCTCTTCTCCGTGAAAACAGAGGACTTACACGAAGCGACATTTTGGGTCGCCTTTTGCTTGCCATTCTTCATTAAGCACATTTTTAAGGTTGGCGAGTGAAGTCATGCAAGTCGATATAAATCCTGCAAAAAACACCCAAATTAGCTCACATACCCAATCGGCGTGTCCCTCTTTGGGGGAGCGTTTGTTATTACCATGGCTTGAATGACCAGAATCCAGAAAGTCCACTGCTGCTTGTTTTTCGTTAAACAGGAGCTTCTCTTCAGATTTCAATCTATCGTAATATGACCTCAATGTATGACTGAGCACGGCGTTCTGAACAACATTTCGAGGGTAATGATCGAAATTTTCGCAGGATTGCAATAGGGTCTCCATTGAATAACACAAACTTTGAAAGAAGGATCACGAATGTGCCAGCTCATAGTCACTTATCATATTTCTAGAGGACACGACTAAGATAAATAGAAAACCGATAGAGTGTTTACACTGCCCAGCTTGATTCGCTGGTGAGATGAGCGATTCCGGTCGTTGCCCTGGTAGCTACTGGCGTTTTTCGTGTTCGCCATGCGGTGAGCCCCACTTCACATGTGGCAAGGGTGATCCCCCGTGACCATTCCGATGCATTTCAGCATTTGCCTGTCAATACCTGAGCAGAGCTTTGTTCATGGGTCATCTAGCCGCAAAGAGGCGAGTTCGTCTTGCTCGTACTTGGAAGGATATCAGTTCAGGTTCCCTAACACCTCCAAAGGTCGGAAGTCATACTGGATACAATTTGCGTGGAATCCAAAATGTGTATTTTCCAGTTGCAGCCACCTGTAGATCAGGTATCAATATTTACACACGTAATTCATCCAAGGGCATACTAACTCGAACGAAGAAATTGTAGTTACCAAACTTTTGGCGTAGGAAGGTTTCCAGCGTTTGCTGCGGCAGCCGGTAGGTGTCGAATGTGTCCCACTCCATGGCACAAAGCAAGGTTAGCGAAGCGGTGGCAGTGCTGCTGCTGCCGATCGATGATGTGGATGCTTCACAAAAGGACAAGCGTGGACCGGTCTGAGCACCGGAAGTTTGGCAAAGTCAGTTGCTAAGGCGATCGAGGCTGGCTCCAGATGCCATCTTTATGTTAAGCCGCGGCTGGTTTCATTTGAGGCTCTGTGGGCTTCATATCAGGTATTATGAAGTCAAGCTTAAACACGCGGACACCATGTGTCCTCAGCCTTGACGTACAGTCGCTGAAAGGCAAATGGTCGCCTGGAAAAGGCCTTTCTGCCTGAGGTGTAAGCAGCCAGGCCGTCGTGTCTATGCATGATAGTGCAGGACCTCCATCACAAGACTAACATCTGCCATCCCATGATTGGTGGGAAACGCGACATCCGGTGAGCTTCAATATCGACCGACATGCTCTGAACAGGTGGGTGTAATGCAGGCAGGCATGTGTGATGGTCGTACCCGAAAAGCTGAGCCGATGCACGACGCGAAAAAGGCAGGTTTGTTGCGTATCGAATTCAGCCTTGCTGATGTGGCTCTCTGGTATGGCCAGGGAAGTGGGAGATATTGAAAATGAACAGTGGCAGCATCAGGTGAGGATGGCTTGTGAGTTACATACCTAGGTACGTAGTGAAGGCGAGTATGCGCCACCAGCTAGTCTGCCGCATACCTAGACATTATATGCAAGTGCACAGCTTGGAGACTTCGCGACTTGACCATGTTGACCATCTTCGTAGAGACCAAAACGATGCTGTTTGGTCGTTATCTCACTAGGTCGAACTGTCTGCCAAGGCGCTAAAGTGAGCCAATCAGAGCTAAAGTTGATTGCTGGATGGAATACTGCTTAGTAATTATAGTTATCGATAACGGCTAAATCTAGAAGCTGGTCGCGCTCATGTATGAACGACGACCAGGACTACACTGCAACAATGCCCCCCAAAGGTTCCAAACGGGCATCTCTCGCGGCTCCGTCAAAAACGCTGGTTCTAGACAATGGTGGCTATACGCTAAAAGCCGGTATAGTCTCATCTGCAAACTCAGAACCGAGCTATGACACGTGCGCTGTGATTCCAAACTGCATCGCCCGCAGTACACGCGACAGACGAACATACGTTGCTTCAGAGCTGGAGGATTGCAAAGACTTTGGAGAGCTGGCTTTTCGAAGACCGGTAGAGAAGGGCTTCATTGTCAATTGGGAAGCGCAGAAGGCAATCTGGGATCACGAGTTCTCGGGCAACAGCGCGGGGGATGGGCTAAGGGTAGGTACGCATCATGATGCTCTTGGATACTATGATAGGTAGAGGCTGACTTGGCATAAAGTGTGATCCTAAAGAAACCAACCTACTTCTCACCGAGAGGCCCAACTGCCCTAAAGAGTTGCAAAAGAATTGCGACGAAATCGTATTCGAGCAATTCGAGTTTGCAGCCTACCACCGTTCCATAGGCCCAGTCTTCAATGCGTACCATCCCTTCGAGCCCAACTCGCTATTCTCGCTGCCGCAAGAATGCCTCCTTCTCATCGATACGTCCTACTCTGATACGACTGTTCTGCCTGTCTACAATGGCCAGCTCATCCAAGCAGCAGTGCGACGGCTTACGGTCGGCGGGAAGCTCTTGACCAACTATCTCAAAGAGCTATCATCGTTGAGACACTACAACATGATGGAGGAGACCTACCTACTTAACGAAATAAAGGAAGCCGTTTCCTTCATTGTGCCATCATACCAGCAGTTTGAGAAGCATCTGGAGCAAACCTGGAAAGGGAGAGTTGGTGACAAGCGGGCTGTGGATCCATCTATTGTACTAGACTACGTCTTGCCTGACTATGAGCATTCCATCCATGGCCATGCGAGACCACATGATCCAGCGCAGTCAAAACTGCGTCGAGGTCTGCAACCTCAACAAGGCCCAAAAGAGGACCTGTTGCCGCTTGGAAACGAGCGGTTCGCCGTCCCTGAGCTGCTCTTCAATCCTTCCGATATTGGTATTGAAGAGTCTGGGCTGCCGGGCGCTATTATGGAGGCACTAAGCGTACTGCCGGAAGCAATCAGAGTGGGAATGATGGCTAACGTCGTGGTAGTTGGAGGGAACTCGCTCATTCCTGGGTTCATGGAACGACTGGATTCGGAACTTAGGGCTCTTATCCCGTCACACTATCTGCTGAACTTAACAAGGGCGGAAGATCCTATAAAACACACCTGGCTGGGTGCGGCAAGATTTGCCAGCCAGCCGGAGCGATTGAAGGAGGTCCTGGTTTCAAAGGCTGAGTATGATGAGAGAGGATCAGCATGGCTAGCAAAAAAGTTTGCTAATACCTAAGGGTGATGTCTAATGCTGCTATTGTAGGTAGTTACATGTATGTTTTTGTTGTTATCGATACCCACATGCTCGACACAAGTACAGGGGAATATCGAATTTAATGTGTATACAATGATCCGTAATCCGACATTTACTTGTGAACACTTCGAGATCTTGCACAATAAGTGAGTAAAGTGATATTCTTAATGTGTGAGCACTATCGTGAAGATTCGCACCCAAATGATCTTTACCTAGATGTCAAACGCGTGCATACATATATCATATGCATCAATGATTGGCTGCTGTAGTTCAGCCGAACATTCACCGACTCCGAAAAGTTAGAAGTCCAGACGAACGCAAGCAACTCACAACCATCACCATCTCGACCCAATGCGCCGAATACCACCCCCGCAGCGGGCAATTGACCGTTCGCTCTCGATACCGAATTCGTTGCGGCACCAATCTCCCTTCTCGCAATGTCGTCGTGCCACGTCGCCGCACCCCCTTCTCCGCACCACCTACGCTTCCTTCTCCACCACCCCTAACTTGTCATTCATTCTGGCCAAGCAAGACAAGAAAAAGCATCAGCAGCTTGTTAGGCGATGGCAAAAGCGGTTATTGGGTGAATCCGAGCCTATTGGTGCGCATGTGGATCCATTCGATCCTACCTCGCCCGTGAGAATCGCGCCCGAAGATCAGGGCGATGAGCTCGAGGTACTCGCCGACGATGAGGCTGCCCGGGAATTGGACGCTATATATGAAGAAGAAGTCAATGGGGAAAGACTGCGACGTGTTGGTGGGGATAAATGGTTGGATCAGCGTGAAGAGAGTCAACTTGCCAGGGAATACGAAAAACTGACCATGCGGACTTACACACCCATGTCACATACAATGGCGGATCAGATAGAGGATTTGACAGGAACTATGTATTCTCTTCGAGATGATAACCTGATGATGGCCCAGAAGTTCCATGACTTCGGCAACAAGCCATATACTGATTGGAGGTAAGATTGATTACGGTTGTCGGAAGGGACCATTCACTGACGGGCATAGTTTTGGTCAAGCAACTCCTATCCGCGATCTGCCAACCATACGTAGCAAGTTCCACCAGGCCGTTATTGAGATTTATACACTCAAACACGCACGCCAATTTTTGGATCTTACAGGGCTGGCAAACCGAGGTGTATATGATGTCCCAAAGTGGATCCAGGATGCGAAGCTGCTGCAAATCGTCAGGGGACCGAGCAAAGGCCGATACACTGTTGCTTTCCCCGATCCTAAACAATCGGAAGATCTACTCAAAGCAATGCGCCATGTTCCGAGCTGGTCGAACCAGCAAGAATGGTCTAGCGAGCAAGAGCTCCTACAAGACGTCGAAGCTGCTGTCGAAGAAGAGGTATCACCAGCGGAAGAGCCTGCTCCCGAGATGGACCCTAACACCCCTGCTTTCAAGCGTGCAGCCATGGTAAAGCAGGATCCCGACCAGAAGCCTTTTGACTTCATGTCAAACCGACCCGTACCACGAACTCCACCTCAAAATCCTCCTGTAAACGTAACAATAGACGCGGGAGAGCCTGTAGCGGTAAAGGCAGACGTTTCACCATCCACATCCCCTATTGTGGACGCTGATAGCGCCAAGACACCAGGCCAGCCCGTCGAGCCTGAGAAGATCAAAGATGTCACTGAACAGCAGGCTGCCCCTAGCAAGAAAAGGCCTAAGACGGTGGAAGTAAAATGGCGAGACGTGCCTCTCGTGAATATCGAGGAAAAATTTGCTGTAGGCTTTCAGAATCCCCCCATCCTACCAATCAAACTAACCCAGTCATAGCTTGCCAAACGAATGCGTCAACTCACTGGTCTCCTCGTATCCGACCCAACTCTCACATCCCTAACCACCTTGGGTGAGCTGTACCACCATCTCTGCGCTGATTCCAAACCGAAGCCATCGAAACTCTTCAGCTACCTCCACATCGAAGGTCAGCAGCAGGCTGAAGCCGCAAAGAAGGCCGCTGCTCAACAGACTTCGAACGCTCCCACTCCCACGAAAGCGAATTTGGGCACTCTATTGAAGTTGAAGAACGTGGAGCTTCATCGTAAGAGGCCTAATGCGAAGGATCTACGTACAAAGAAGGGTCTCAGCAAGGTCATAACAAAGGAGCTGCGCACTGGCGGCTTGGGTGCCGGGCCAAGCCAACCTGGGTTCAGAGCGTCAATGAAGGAGAGATCGTATGTAAAGAGGGAGACTAAACTGATTGAAGGAACGAAGGTTGCGCCGACATTTGGTGTTGCGGTTTCGCCGACAGCCGCGCAATTACTGAAAGATAGAACGCAGAGGAAAAAGCAGGAATGGTATGACCAAGACAAGAGTTGGAAGCAAGTCGACATGTTGATTCGGGAAAGAAAATTTGCGCCGGTCGAGTCCAAATCGCAATTGTAAACTATGGTGGACACAAGGCTGTATGATATGTAGGGATCCTGTTATGTGCATGTATACTATGGGTTTGTAGTAGCTGTTTGTACTTTAAACGCCCAACACCACAAAAATATCATATGTGGTTTCCCCTGTCTATCTTGCGTGTCTCATTAAACTGCGCGTCGAAACATTTTCAATCGGTTATGAACTCCGGACTTCAGGCCGGTCTTTGCGCTGACCGCGCCGCTTATGACGCCATAGAAACCCTTGTTTACTACATGTGTATATAGTCCGTCAGTATATAGAGCCCCTCTCCTCCCATCCGTTCGACATAGTCAACCGAATCCACGCAACGCATCATGGCTCTCGGAACCAACCTACCATTCTGGCCAGCGCTGGTCTTCACCTATCTCGAGCCCATCTCTCTGTACTACACACCCCCAGCATCCTCATGCTCCCGCCGCCCACTGACATGACACCTCTAGCATCGTCGGCCTGCAAGCCGCATTCTCCAACCCAAAAGATTTCGTAGCTCGCCAGATGCCCTCCGCCACCGGCCCCATTCCCGACGGCGCAATCATTCTAACTTACACGATTGGGAACGTTTTTCTGCTTCTCGCGTTCTTGGGAATCCTCTGCACCGCCGTTACGCGAGATACACGTGTGACACAGCTCTACCTTTTTTTTGTTGCCGTTGGCGACCTTGGCCACATATACGCAAGCTATAAAGTCATGGGTCAGGAAATGTTCTTGGATCTGAATAACTATAATGATATGATGTGGGGGAATATTGGTGTGAGCGCTTTTCTGCATGTCAATCGCCTTGCTACGTTGCTGGGGGTGTTTGGTAAGGTGGGGAGGTAGGAGCGTCCGAGTAAGAGTGAAAAGGCTGGATAGTGAACTTAGGGCACTGCGCATTTGACGGATTGACGTATATGACGTCCCAACGACCAGTGGAGATATATGGATTTGAAATATATGTGATACTGAGGGTATTTAGGTAGTCGAAGAACTATAGTACCCTCGTCGTGTTAATCTATAATTGTACATTCTGTTTCCTAGCCGCTCGAATGTGCTGAGCGTTTACAACTCATCGGCAAGGCTGAGGGCGGGGTGCCCTCTCGTTGATTGGCCGCTGTGTCTCTGTATACGAGCGCTTAACCATGGGCACATTTAATAACGATTGAGAAGATTCTCTTCCAGTGGAACCATTTGATACATCTTACACTCTCCCACAATATCATGCTATGATGACTACGGTGGAAGTTCTGGAGCCAGGTTCGTCGCTACACACATTCCGCCCCCAGCGGCACAGCTTACATTTAACCGATTACGCAGGGTCAGCATTGCGGAGATCAACTTGGGGCATCGAGCTGAAAAATCAAGAAACTTTACTCGGGTCTGGCATTGACGGATTTCGCATTTTGTGCGCTTTCTCGATACCCTCGCAGCCAGCAAATGTTGATGGCTTTCTAGATTCGGGGACGCTCACAGTCTCAGAGCGGCTGGATTGGGGCATGACCATTCTGCTCTGTTGCCAGATCCTTTCTTGGATTCTTTACCCAAAGATTTGAATGGATCATATGGGCGCTTACGAAGACAAGATGCATCTGGGACGAAGATTGAGCGTGCGTAGATCCAATTACAGCGATTAACATTCACAAAAGATCTGACTAGAAGCAGACATATGGTGCGGCTTCAAAATCAAGCAAGTCCTAAAAGACGAAAGAACAGGCAGAGTATGGTACGAGTGGCAGCAAATAGTATCGTTCACCACGCGCTTCGTCGACTCCAACACTGGTTTTATTTTCTGTCTCGACTTTCCCAGGGACATGCAAGCCCAATTGCATAACAAAATCATATCTAAGAAGATATATTGCCCTTGGAAGTGGCAGGTTCTCTTCATAGAAACCATGAGAGATTTATATGACGCATCAGTATGGTCGTTAAGAGACTGCGTTAGGAAAGCCGAAAAAAGCCGATCGCAGAATGTCCACGATGATAGATTCCAGCCTGATTTTGTTTACCTACATGACATGGCTCGGCATGTGGATCATTCTAACGAAACACTGGATATCGCTGTCGATACGGTTCGGTGTGTTCGGAAGAGCAGTAAAGTGTTTGATAGTAATAGTAGCTCTGCACATGGGATCTCGAGAGACGAGAGGCCTTTAGAGTTCCAAGATAGGTTGTTCGGTCTGGAAAAAGAACTTAAAGGTATCAAGCGACGGTCGCAATCCCTGACAGAGCGTCTCCGTAGTGAGATCAATCTGGTGAGTTCCGCCTAATTTTCCAATTCTCATATTCCAGCTGCGAACTGACTATAACCTGATAGGCTTTCAGCCTAGTAGCTCAGCGCGACAGCCGCGTGATGGTGGAAATTGGTCAGGACAGCAAGTCCGACAACAGGAATGTACGATCTATAGCCATTGTGGGTCTCATTTATCTTCCGGGTACATTTATCTCTGGTCTGTTCGGAATGAGCTTTTTTGAACTCATGGAAGATGGCAACGGTCATCATGTTTGGCAGGTTTCGGAGCGGCTTTGGCTTTACTGGGCTATTACGATACCTTTGACGGTTCTCACGATTATTGTATGGGTGGTTTTCTTCCATGGTGAGGGTTTGAAGCGACATTTAGGGGGGTTGAAGAGACGATCGAGGGGTTTGATAGAAGTCAAGGCATGATTAAGTGATCTGGTCTTGGACGATAAAGTCGAGAGGTGTAGGCAAGCTAATACCATTTCTTTATACCAATATAGAGACGACTATCGCTTCCAGAGCTCGAGTTCTGCGACTGCGATGACTCTAATGAAAGTACTAGGTCTGAATAGAGCATTGTTAAATTCACTGTTGCATGCCGGCGTGACTGACGTACCTGAACAGTGACATTCCAATCCTATGCCCCCACATTCTAGGTCAAATGATGCAGATCAATCATATTTACAGAACATAGTACATGAGCTAAAACAGAATCAGTATAGGTTATGTGGTTTGAGGTGTTCATATAGCCGACAGCCAAGCCGTGGACAGAGACCTCCGATAACCTTAGATAATAACTCTAATTCAGTAGCCACGTTATCCGTGTACAGATACCAAATACATAAGTACTGGAATTTGGCCATAAGAATACTTCTGTTTTTCAACACCTGTTCATTCTACCCAAAATGTCTATTCAACGTATCCCATACGATGCACCTCGAGCCGACTTCGTCGCCGCACTCGAAAAAGACGGATGCGTGATTGTCACCAACTTCACTACTTCATCTGTCTTAGAAAAAGCTCGGAGTGAAGTGCAGCCTTATCTGGACGAAGGGTCACCCAACAGTACAGTAGGCGCATTGAATGGAGCAACAAAAACATGCACCCGCCTCATCGGACGCAGCAAAACAGTCAGGGAGAAATTCTTCAGCGATCCTTTATACCAAGCAAGCTACCCTAATCCACTTTCCCTTTCCCCATTCTGAACCATGCCAATGAATAGCAGTAAAATAACATGGAAAATCTCTTAGGACATGACAACGCGCTTCCTCTCCCTAACGACAACATGTTACTACAACAGTACTCCATCCACAAACACATGCCCACCTCTCCTCTCCATCAGCATAACAATGGACTCACGACCCGGTACCTCCTCCCAAAAGCTTCACCGCGACGACAAAAACCACCATGCGCGCCACACTGCAGCATCTAAATACACGCCTAACCGCGATCTCCTCCTCGGTCTCTTCGTCCCCGACTGCGACACGACCCGTGCAAACGGCGCCACGCGCGTCGTACCCGGTTCGCATCTTTGGGGTGACGATGTACCTGACTTCGACGCAGCGCAGGTTGTGGATGCTGAGATGAAGCAGGGCGAGGCGTTTATGATGTTGGGGAGTTTGTATCATGGTGCTGGGGAGTATAGTTTACGAGAGGGGAATCGCATGGTGCATATCATGTTTTGTTGCTGTGGGAACTTGAGGCAGGAGGAAATCAGTTATTTGTCGTATGGGATGGAGGAGGTGAAGGGGTATAGTGCGTTGGTGAGGGAGAGGCTGGGGTGGGTGCAGAGTGAGCCGAATTTGGGCTGGGTGGATTTGAAGGGTCCGGAGGCTTTGTTGGGGTGAGTGGAGGGGTGGGTTGGGAGGAAACAGTAATATGCTAGGGTTCACTTCAAGATTATGACGACCAGATTTTCTTGTGTTTCTTAACATCAATTCATTCATTCATAACGAACTCCCTCGGTTTGAGGAATCTCTATGTATGTCTATGGAACTCGCCTAACGCTATTGATACAACTCGTATACACTTTTTTGTTTTCGCTCATGCCTTGGATTCAGCGAGAAACTCTTTGCTGAAAGGGTAATCAATATATCCCGTTTCCGATCCTGCGTTGTAGAACGTGTCCCGGTTGTACTCGTTCAACGGGATCCCCTTTTCCAGCCTGTAAACCAAATCCGGAGTGCTGATGAAGTAGCGACCAAAAACAACTACGATGTCCTTGTTGGAATGCTCCTCATCCACGAAAGTCTTTGCGGAGTCAGGTTTGAAACCGCCTGCGATAAGCATAGGGCCCTTGTAAAGCTCCATAAGCGGCTCAAGCTTCTCGGTAGCTTCGATGTCGGCATTTCCAGAGATCCGCGACTCGACGAGATGAATGTAGGAGAGATTGAATGGGGCGAGTTTCTTGATGACGTCGCTAAATTGCGGCACGGGTTCCTTCATGTGCATGCCCTGGAAAGTGCTGAAAGGGCTTAACCGGATACCGGTCTTCTCGGCACCAACGGCATCTACAACGGCTTGGGTGACTTCAATGGCAAAACGAGAGCGGTTCTCGATAGAGCCACCATAGTCGTCTGTACGCTTGTTGACGGTATCTTGGATGAACTGGTCAACCAAGTAGCCATTGGCACCGTGAATCTCAACACCGTCAAAGCCAGCTGCGATAGCGTTCTTTGCACCTTGTGCGAAATCTGCTATGGCTGCCTTGATGTCCTCCTTGGTCATCTCCTTGGGTGCTGGATCACCCTCTACAAGAGGGACAGCGCTGGAACTCTGAATCGTGATACCTTCCTTTTTGGCTTGGACTAGGCTCGCTACACGACCCAAACTCCACAACTGCAGGTAAATGAAGCTTCCTTTCTTGTGGACTGCATCTGTGACGGCTTTCCAGCCATCGATTTGCGCTTGTGTGAAGATCCCTGGGACATTGGGGTACCCGCCTGCTTGCTGCGATACGAATGTTGCTTCTGTGATAAGGAGTGTTCCCGGTACTGAAGCTCTTTGAGCGTAGTACTCTGCTACCATGGGTAGTGGCACATGGTTATCGTCGGCGCGGAAGCGAGTCAGGGGTGCCATAGCCACGCGGTTCTTCAACTGGAGGTTCCCCAGCTTGAGGGGTTGGAAAAGCTTTGATTCAGACATTTTGACGGTTGTGAAGACGTTCGATATTCTTTGCTATCTTGCGGGAAAGTTTGAGAAAGATGTTATGAGTATGGGGTGATATATAATAGAATTGATCTTGATGCCATGTCTGCGGGAGTATACTTATATACGTGGTCTAGTGAATGTTAGTTGATAATATTTGTGGAGTCGCCCCACGGTCGAAGTCGGCAGCATTAGAAATCGAAGTTTCTGGTCCCACTTCATTTTCACTCTTTAAGATTCCATCTAGAAACAAATCACTGCCACTTGTTTGGTAACGAGATGGTTCCCCAAAGTAGCACGATACGTCATCGGTCTGCGTGTAGTCAGCATCAAGTGTTTGTCAAGATTACTATACTTTGGTGCGACAACATGGTCACACTTTTGGAGTTTGCTAAAACGTCGGATTTGAAATGCTGCATTGCGCAATTCTCAATCCTGTTACATCCGCTGCAGAGTACCGACTTTGGTTGTGAAAACAAGTTTCGGGATGGATGCGTAAGCCGCCGTGCTCTCAAGTGCTATTTGGCTAAATTCAGGTGATCGGGAGGCCAGGCCATGAGTTCAATTGGTGTCACTTTCCCTAAGCATTCAAGGTCGAATTACGGCCTCCGCCTAACTTCTATATCTAGATATATATATTCATATTTTACAGTGGTGAAACGGGCAGCTCGTCAATTGATGTTCACTTCACACGCTGGTATTTCAACCGCGGCTGATGAACGAAATGGATTTTCGGTGCTCAGCAGAGAATTCCACGTCCCCAGATAATTTTCTGAATAATGAATAGACACATTCTCTCCCAAATCCAATTCTATTCCAGTTTTTCGTTTATCTTTGTGTGAAGTTATAAACTCTCTCACTGATCTGTCGGTTCTGATAGGTGCATGGGATATCCATCACAGCCAATCATGACGGCAATCAATTTCGACCAATCACGTCCCGGTTACAGAGCTCGTCCCCCTGATCCCCTTTTCTACGCGACTACGTCGCTCGACATTGCCATCCTTTTTCGAGAAAAGAGGATCCATAATTTTGTGCTGAGCAATGCGTGAGCCAATCACGTTAAAGTGTAAACGACCAAACTTTGCACTTCATGCATCGGAACGATCAATCGATGAACGCGTAGCATGACGAGGTTGATGCCAATGTCCGACCATGTTTGGATATAAGCTCCTGCAGTGTCCCGTAATCCTCTCTCAACATCACTCTCACCCTGTATAATATGACTTTGTACTAATTACCATCTCTACCCCCGTCACTACCGCCATCACCACCACAAGTCAATCTGAGTACTCCTTCAATCTGCATAGATCATAATATGGCTAAGCCAGCAGTTTTCGCTCTAGCGATTCTTTTTGCTACGACGACAGCAGCCGCACAAAATGATAGTCTAGGACCTATCGTCGACCTAGGCTATGCGAAATATCTCGGAAAACGCAATGACGCATTCAACGTGAATGATTACCGCGGGATCCCCTTCGCCGCAGCACCCACCGGCCCTCTTCGCTGGAAAGCACCACAGCCTTACATTGCACCCAGCAATCTCTCAGACTTGCCTATAAATGCCACAGTACCTGGTTCACCTTGTGTACAAGGCGTGCCCTACTGGATCGCCCCGGGGCCAATTCCGGTCTCTGGCTCTCAAGATTGTCTTGTCCTCGATGTCATAACACCTGACGATGTTACGACAGACTCGAAGATGCCTGTTGTAGTCAGCATCCATGGAGGTGGATACACCCTTGGTGACGCAAGTCAAGCCCCGCCATATGCACTCATGCGACACTCGGATAACGCATTCATCTTCGTGAATATCCAGTACCGATTGGGTGCCTTTGGCTTCATGGGTGGCAAGAAGTTTGTGGAAGAAGGGGGAGCTGAGAACCTAGGCTTACTCGACCAACGCATGGCTTTAGAGTGGATACAGAAAAACATTGGTGCTTTTGGCGGCGACGCACAACAGGTCACAATTCTCGGTGGCAGTGCGGGTGGTGGAAGCGTGACGGCAATGTTGGCATGGAAAGGAGGTGTTGAAAACCCACCGTTTCGGGCTGCGGTTGCAGATTTCCCATACTGGCAACAGCATCTCCGCGAAGAACAACTCGATGCACAGTTCGCTCGCCTTTTGAACGCGACAGATTGCCCGGATATGGATTGTTTGCGAGCACTTCCGGAAGATGTGCTGAACGAAGCCACTCAAACAACATACACGATGGCATACACCGAAGGTGCTTATGGATTCGGGCATTACTACTATGGGCCCTACGTGGACGGCGAAATATTGCGCGATCTTCCTTCGAAGGAATACAAGTCTGGCAACTTTGCGAAAGTACCGTTGTGGTTGAGCAGAGAAGGCTATGAAGGCGTGACCGCCACCAATACTTCACTGAGCACGGTAGAAGAAGAGAAAGCCGATCTTGCCATCCAGTTCCCATATGCCAACCAGGACTTCATTGACTCTATCTATGAGCTCTGGCCTAGCGATGAGTTCAATTCCACCTTCTATCACCGAGCAACTTGGTATGGGTAAGTAAACATGCCTGTCCAATCAACATTCAACAACAAACTGACGTACTATTAGCGACTTTGTCATCAATTGCCCGACCTATTATGTCGGATCTTCAGTAATAGCATCCAAGAACACGCAAGTCTACAAGATGATCTTCAACACCGGCACAAAACTACACGGTTCCACCGGACCGTTTCTGATTGATCCGAACTATGGATCGCAACCGGGCGAGAATATCACCGTGGCAGACTCGATGAAAGACTGGTATATCTCCTTCGCAATTCATGCCGACCCCAATTACCAGAGCTGGAGCAATGTTTCTAAGCCGCTGTGGGAGGAATACTCTACTGGTCAAGTGCTGAGCATCAACGATACTGAGATCGGGGCTGTCAGCGATCAATACTACGATGCCACGGAGAGGTGCCAGTTCTTTTGGGATAACGGAGAGATTGTGCAGCATTAGGCCATGCTTGCGCGGCTGTTAATAGCTGGAGAAGTACATGTGGTGATAGTCCAAAACGAGCCTAGTCACGCGGCCTGTGTTCTCCAATATAAAGTTATTTTCGGTGGCAGGCAGCTAAAGTGTTATTTTTGAGATGGCAGCTTATTCTACTTCTGAAAATGAAGATCTGAACTTCTGGTGTAGTATAGTTCACTGCCAAACCCACGGTTCAATCCGCACGACTAAATGTTCGTAACAAAGCTATGCCATCAAGTGATCTACATATTCAATCTTCAATAAATCGAATCAGATTGAAGAAGATGTAAGATGGTCTGCGTTCTCGAATCTTGGATCGAGTGGGCCGCAATGACGCATTAGTAGTGTTAGGTAGGAATCCCACGAGAAGGTTTGGAAATAGTGGTGCTTGAAAAATTCTGCGGCTGGAATAGAGTGCATTAACCGCTTAATCTCTTAAGATGACAAGGAAACGACAGATTGAAGCATGAATTGAAGATATTATTTGAGTGTGTTGTCAATCGACTCCTTTTTCTCGTATATATGCATCGATCCGAGCATGTACCTTTTAGCGAGCTGGAGTCACTCGCCCAACCATTTTCCGCACACTAAGCCTGTTGGGAGCACAGATCACCTTTTTAATGAACCCAGTATCCTGGAAACGCCAAAGAGATGATTAGAAAGAGAAGATTGAATGGGGTATCATACATCCCAAAACTCTAGTATTCTCTTTAACCCCAAGGAGAGAAAAAAGCCTCCGCGGTGACCTCTCTTCCGCTGGCCCCTGCTATCATCCAGTCCAACAGATAAGACTGTCCAAGCCAAAAAAACACACTCAAACAATGATATCGTTGCCATCAGGTTCCGAGCTCTCCGTCTTTTTGTTCTCGGCCACTGCCAATGTGGTCTTCGCCTTCTTCGGATCTGGAACGCGTTGGGCGAGCGGCAACTGGAAGCAGATTGGCACATTCTCCAGCGGCACGATCGTCTCCGCGTAATCGTCTATCTGATCGTAATCTTCCCACGCTCGTTTGCATTTAGCCTGATGGTAATTAGTGGGAAATTTTTTGGGGGATAAGGAAATGGGACGTACCGGGCCTCCTACTGCAGCGGCTTGGGCTGCTTTGGCTTCTTTTGCAGTTTTGGTGACTTTGTCTTCAACCCCTCGAAGCTCAAATGTACTCTGGCAAGCATACAAGTACTTGTTCCTCAGCATAACCCGCATAGCAGCCATTTTGGCACGATCTTCCTCATCCTCCAGGTTGGTGTTGAAGATGCTCCCGAGATCTAATACACCGATGATGGGTTGATAGATCTTTGAGATCGTACCGCGGGGATCCTTGTCGTACTCATTTAACCAGATATTGTCACGAGTTTCTTGGGGGAGGAATTGAAGTTTCTTGTAAGCGTTTGCGCTATGGTAGCTATGTGCTACCTTCTGAACATGGGAGAGAATAGTTCCGTTGAGGGTAGCTTGGTGCCAGGAGCTCTGTCGGGTGGTGAGCTTTTTCTTCCATTGGGTGTACGAAGGACTTGATCGATCAACGCCGATGTAGTCTAGTGCATGGGATACGACACCATCAAGCTCAATCCTGTGGAACAGGATGTAGGATATTTTCGCTGCTTCCATGACGACGTCTTGATCGATTGGTGTGGAGGATGCCTCGGTGGAGGGTATTGAAGGCTCATTGGCAGTGGAGGAAGTTGAAGATTGGGTATTGGAGGCGTTGAGCCATGGCACTGTGGAGCCGTAGATGATGGAAGAAGACTCTTGGTAATTTCGCTTGGGGGGCATGATGGTAGGAGGCTGGTGATGGTAGATGGATGGTGGTAGAACTCGAAGACGGAGACGAGGTTGGTGAGTGTAGGTGTCCAGCACTGCGACGCCGGACAGCTCGCCTTTATATCTAAGCCAAGCTTAGGCAGCTAGGTGGAGAATGATCACAAGTAAGAGAAGGTGGGGGAAGGCGGCGTGAGAATTGGTGTGGCACGATGCTGGTCCCTGCAAGACGTCAAAGTAAGAGAAGTAACAACTTCTCACGATATTCTAGATTCAGACTGTGACTATCAGATTATTTACTGTGCTTTATATGAGATGTATCTACATTTGAAGCTCCAACGTTTATTTTTATCAATACGTACTAAACAACATTTCACTAATCCTACAGCAAATACCCAGCAGATACCTAGACCTTCCATCGGAACGGAACAATAAAGTCCTATCACATCGATATCAAATTCGAACAGACTGTTCTTACGATATTACTGGAGATAATATGTCACGAAGTGCGGGTGACTAGAATGTCGAGTTCATTTGTGTATCCAATGTCACTTTGACTTCCTTTGATAATTATGTACTATCATCTCCTCGGAGTCTTATGTACTTACGAGCTATGTGTACATCCCAGCCATCGATTTGGGGCTTCTGGTGAGTCGTGAGACGGATGAAAGTCGACCTCAAGCCATCTTAAGCTTTGCCAACCTCATACCGAGTCTGCAAAACATCACAGCCGTAGCAGCCGGTACCGCGACACCATAAACGCTCATAATGGTATTGATCACAACGTCCGTACCCAATTGCTGAATCTCATGCGAGCTGGAGTTCGCAACTTCAGAGTGACCATCCGCAAGCGCAGAATGAGCTTGCCCATCCGTAAACTCTTGTCCAGCGAGTGCATGTTGCAAGTTGAGGAACCCGCCATTCTGAATGACAGCTCCCAGCTATGGCAAGACCGAGAGCACCACCGCTGATCCGTGCGACATTGACGAAGGGGATGGCGGCCGTTTTCTGTTAAGCGATTGACTTAACGATGGCGATGGAGTAGCCTAAGGTATAGTATATGATGAAAGTTTTGAGCGTGCTCCAAGATTCGGTCGCGATGCAGAGGGTATTCATGAATTGAGACCTGATGTACGATACAGGAAAGAGACCATCTGTCTTTATGGTGAAGATAATCGCCATGTTACCGATTATGATCTACGCAGTTTCTAGATCTCGAACGGTCAATGTTCACGACCCAGTGACATGGTTGAACGGCATATAACTCCATGTTTAGTTTCCGCACATCAGGTCTGACACAATTCCACGCGTGCACTTCACGGACGCTTTCAACCCAGAAGATGGACGCGTCTAGATCTCCCTCCTTTCCACGCGGAGAACGTTAAGCGTAATGCACGATCCGTCGAGCGGAAAACGACTCCACTAGGTGACCCAAGTGCGCCACACCACCCCCGCATTCCGAGCATCAAACTACCCCAGATGCATCCACATTTACCCCGGATTATCGCACGATTGGTGGGGACCACGTATATTGGGGACGATACGCGACCTGGAACAAGCCTTTGAGCGGATGGGCTTGGGCCAAGCTAAGTTTTTGGGTCAATTATTTAGGTTTAATCGCGGTGATTGAAATCCGAGAACACAAACGCTGTTCCTTGTACATTATGCTTTCGAGAGCCTATAACTTATGGAGGTACCCTGCATGATTTGGCCATCAAGGTTTAGGAAGACGCAGTTTCTTATCTACTTCATACTAGAGTGCCACTGTCTCGCCGATCAGCTAAAGGAGAAAGAGGCCCTTTGAAACGTTCTTATTGAAACTTGGTCTCGCTTCTCCCCGATTGATATCGCATGAGTGCGACGAAGCAATCCATTACCGCAACCACGATCATGAGTGAATTCGAGGAAAAGAAGATCGAGACAACCATGCAGCATATCGAAGATGCCAAGGATGTGAACGTGGTTCAAAAAGTACATGCCGATGGACATGTTGACCTCGTCGACGCGCACGCTATCGGAGGAAATGTGGATGAGATGCCCAGGGGGTATTTCTGGAGTCCACAGTTTCTAGGCACTACCACAGTGAGATTTATCTTCTCTCAGTCGTGCGAAAGGTTGGTCTAACGTAATTTCTAGGCTGTATGCTGTGGGAGCATCTGCGCATACTTGGGTTGGGTCTTGCCAGCGAATACACTGTGAGTGCAGTCTTCCTCATCCTTCGTCTCTCTGCCATTTACCATACACTAATCTTATGGTTCAGTGCCTTGATTAATGCGGATATCGGACCATCAACCAACCTTAACTGGGTCGCTACCATCTGGACAATTGGCTCTGCAATCGGCTTCTTGCTAGTCGGGCGCCTCTCGGATATTTTCGGGCGAAAATGGATGGTCATGGGAACCAGCGTTCTTGGTCTTCTAGGCTGCATCGTAGGCGGCACTGCGAAAAACATCGATACTTTGATCGGGGCGAACTTGATGAACGGCATCGCTGCTGCGGGCCAGTTGTCTTTCGGGATTGTACTGGGTGAGCTGGTACCGAATAAGCAGAGAGGTCCTATCGTGACGTTGGTTTTCGCCTCATCACTTCCTTTCGCCGGTCGGTCTATTTGACAATGCTTGCTCTAAGCAGAAAGGCTAATATTTGAGGTAGTTTTTGGGCCGATCATAGCTCGCACATTCATCGAAAAGACTGCAGCCGGGTGGCGATGGTCATATTACCTAGGCATCATTCTCTCTGGTATCACGATCATCCTCTATCAGTTCTTCTACCACCCCCCTACTTATGAGCAACTACATGTCGGCGGAAAGCCAAAGTGGCAGCAATTCAAGGAACTTGATTTCGTCGGTATCTTTCTGTTCATCGCAGGCACTGTGCTATTCTTGATCGGTCTTAGCTGGGGTGGAACTACGTACCCATGGACATCTGGTAGGTTGTACGACCATTTTTGGTCGAAAAAGAGTCTATAAAGGTATAAGGACTGACATGCAATAGCCGCCGTTCTCTGCACCATTCTCATCGGCTTCGCAACCTTAGTCGCATTTGGTCTTTATGAACAATACGTCTTCAAAGGCCAAGCTATCATGCCCCCACGACTCTTTAAGAAGCTCGAATACGTAGCTATCGTCATGATTGCCGCTGTCGCTGCTATGGTATACTATGCCCTCACTGTACTCTGGCCAACGATTCTCAGCACCATCTACACAACCGACGTAATGCTCGTTGGGTGGTCATCATCCGTTGTTGGTGGAGGTATTCTACTCGGGCAGATTGCCGGTGGCTTCGCGATTACATACCTTCCAAAAGCCAAGTGGCAGCTCATAATCCTGTCGATTATGGGTACAGCGTTTCTGGCTGCGCAAGCTGGGATGCGTGCGGATGCTTACGCCACGTTCATCACGCTCGGTATACTGGCTACATTCGGTCAGTCTCTCGAGTTTTCGTTCCCCTCAGATGGTTCTTGCTAACGTACCAACGTCCAGTCATCGGATGGATCGACAACGTAGTCTTCCCGGGAGTAACTCTCCTGTGGGAATCCCAAGACATCGGTCTCGCAACCGGCGTGCTGGGTTCCATCCGCGCCATAGGCGGCGCAGTAGCACAAACAGTCTACGTCTCTATTCTACAGAACAAACTCGCTACCTTCCTCCCGCAATACGTGGGCGCCGCTGCCACCTCGGCAGGTCTCCCTGCATCTTCTATTCCAGCGCTTTTAACTACTATCGGTGCCGCTGGAAATCTGACCAGTGTGCCGGGAATCACGCCGGATGTTATTGCTGCGGCTGGCGCTGCGACACAGAAGGCGTATTTGGAGAGTTTTAAGGTTGTTTTCCTAGCGACTATTCCTTTTGGAGTTGTGTTGATTGGGTTTTCGGTGTTGAGTCCGAATTTTGAGGGCGTTTTGAGTGGGAATGTGGCAAAGAGGTTGCAGGGTATGAAGGGAGAGTTACAGGGTGAAGGAAGGGAAAAGGAAGGCGATGCAGTTTAGCAGTATCAGTGTACTGGCGTATCTGGGAGAAAGTGTCTGTTAATTTCTATTATATTCAGAGATACTGGATAGAGCGTCATATTGGGTTGTGACAGTCCAACAGCGAAAGAATTTCTATTCGTCAACTGATATATTTCCAGTTGGTATGAAAGCTACGAGGAAAAGGTTCCTCTGTTCAACAAACAAAGTAAAATTGAACATTGAAAAGTCTTCCCTCAGCCTTGCCCCTTTCTCAACGTGTACATCCTCTCCCATATGCAAGAGTTTCTTCTACAAAGGAAAGAAAGAAAAAAATACACCCCGGGTATCAATCATCACATACGAAAACCACAATTGCAACCACTTCTTCTTCCGACGCTACAGTACTCTCGAGTCTCCCCGCTAATTCTGCGAGACATCTTCGATGGCGATACACACCATTCGACTGCGTCGGAGGTTCTTACGACTTCGACATACCACGTGTACGACACCTCACTTTTGTATGTCGAGCCACATCCCCTACCCCCACAACGCACCAGAAAGCAGCTGCGTACTCCGGATATATACTGAGTACCGAGTTTATCGGAGCGTCTTCTGCGTATAAATGGTGCAGACATCGCGCCAAGATGCCAGTAGAACTAGATATGGCCCAGCTTCTCCGGTTCCGATGATTTACGGCGTAGCGAAAAGACAACCCGCGAGGTTTCGGAGCAATTGGATGGATGCGCTACACCACTTCGTTCTTTTCTGGTATTTTCGCCTGATGCGATCCATCAAAGGGGTGAGTGAGATAACACCCTGTGATAACCAACCTGTCCGTATGGAGCCGGTGCTACCTGCAAAGCCATGGTTTCCACGACGGAACACAACGGAGTTGCTGATGTGAGATCGTAGTCCGGATAACGTCTTACCCACTCCCACTCGCGCCGCGATGCGCAAAGTGAGAACAGAACATACGAAACTATGTGGCACTGCGTCACGCCACAATCACCAAGTAATAACGCCCTCAATCCATATTCCTGGGTGTCTTATAGAACCCGGGCGATTTGAGTGGCGACTTCGCCACAGGCGACGCCCTGGCAGCCTGACTATTATCGTACGCCTCGAGCACCGTGGAGCTCGAGAGAGGAGACCCAGAGCTATGCTCAACCATCAAGCTGCGGAAAGTTGTTTGTACGGATAAACGGCGCTGGGTGGATATTCGACGTTTGTGGCCTGCAGCTGCAAAAGGTTGTTGTGCGCTGTACTGCTGTTGATGTAGATGATGTTGGTCGTGGGGGCGCTCTGAGCCGCTAACGAGAGGCGCAGTACTGCTTACGCTTGCAATACTCGGGGAGGGGCTCCCAGCTTCGTAGCGGAGTGTCTGCAGATGGTCGCGAGACATGCCTATGGAAGACTCTTCGTCGACGGTGCTACTACTGCCGCGTTTGAGTGATGTTGAGGAATTGGCGGGGGATTTGTGGAGGGTGATGCCAGGGGTGTTGGTGTCTTTTGAGGCGAACCCATCGCTGCTGGCGGTGGAGGAGCGGATGGAGGATTCGCGGTCACCAGCTCGGGATGCGGAGGGCTTAAGTTCGATTTCGCGGACTTTGGAGCGTGTGTGTTTGCGGAGGTAGTAGATTCCGCCTACGACGAGGGCCAGGAGAAGTATGACGATTAGGAGGGCAGCAAGCGCTGTTACAAGTGTACGGTTGACTCCTCCTTCTCCTTCTTCTTCTTCTCGCTTTTGGAGAGTTTGAACGGGATCTAGTGGGCTCGCATTTCGTTGAGTAGAGGGCTCGATGGCGATGGCGCTGGAAGTCCGAGTTTCGAATACCGTGGGAGGACTGTCTTTCACGAAACTCCCACTTGCCGCTTGTTCCTCTGGCCAGCTCCTGTGGTCAATGTGGATCCTTCCTTCCGGGAGTTTGGTAGTTCCTTTAGCAACCGAATTCCTCGCATGTTGGTCGGCTGGTCAACAAGTCAGTCCTAGATCACTTTCTACGGTGCCATGTAAAAACTGGTCCTTCAACATGTCTATGAGAGTTTGGAGAAGTGTAGTGGCGAAGGGTAAGGCTGTCTCGAACGATGATCCCAGCCCGCTCCTACGACTTGCAGTTCTTGACTGTATCCACTTACCCGCAGTTCCCTCAATTCCCCAAACTCCAAACAATGCCACGAACACAACACAAGGCGAGACGCTGAGCCTCATACTTCAATCTCCCAGTCGGAAGCGGTCAGAGAAATGAGTCTAAGCCTGCGCAAGAAGATCATCAACGTCAGAAAGACGAAACATGGAAAGAACCAAGAAAGAGGGACCTTGAATAGAATCAAAAGTGATGGGAGCCTGAATGGTATAGTCAAGGATCTGCGGTGCGGACACAGGCGTTACATCAAGTAAAAGTGAGAAATGGCGACATAAGCAAGCAGGGCCTTGCGTTCGCAAGGCTTTTTCTTCGTAGAATTTTTTGGATCATTGAGGATCTCCGCGTGATTACATATATATTTTTATCACACACGATTTCCACATACTAGCCGTTTTGTGTTTCCTTCTGGAAGTTGCTGCGTTATCGGTATTCGATTACTGGGTGGTTTCGTTCTCCGGATGCTGCGCCTCCATCTTACTTTGCCGACCTCGGGAAATTGTGATTTCAGTGTTACAAGTCATAGTCGTGATGGCAGGAAAATATTTCAATGAAAGCTCAGCTGTACCATTACATTTTGAATCAGATTTTTGTGATTGTTTTGAGTGACATATGTCCAAAGATGCAGCATCTACAGGTCTATAATAAGTATACTGAGGCACAACAGACAGCGTGCACTGACCACCGCACATATCCCCGGTGCAAATTTCCGAATGGGGACCGATTCAAAAGAGGATGGCCCCCAATTAGATAGGGAACGAGATCTCGCGTCAGACAAACAGGCCTCTCGAATTTCCGCTCGTGATCTCTTGCCCGCTCTGGTCGGAAATCGAATGAAAGCTAGGTGGATGACTGTACCATGAACAGTCAACGGCCAATCCGAGAATGCTTCATATAATGTCCTCACTTATCAGTGAATCGTCATCTGATGATATCACCACAGCATCTATAGTCTGTGGATCGAAGCTGCGCACATCTTCCTTCCCATGAACTCCGTCCACGCTGGAACCGCTCACTTTCCCGAAAGACTTTTCCGCGCCACCCGCTGAGTGCGACCCAGCAGGAGAAATGGATCCCTCGTTGATTTCAACTGCCTCAGCATTGTCGCCGGCGGCTTCCTCGGTCATTGAGGTTGAATGCATAATCGATGGAGTTTCCGGAGCACGCATCCTTCCCCCACTACGCTGCAGCTTTTTTGGTCGAGACCCCTGCTTGGCACGATCGACTTCTAGTGAAGCTAGAACATCATTGAATGTCTGATCAAGCGCAGAGGCCATTGCATCTTCATGTCCCTGGCCACCATCGATCGCCTCCCAATACTTTGTTGAGCAGAGCTGATTGTGAGTCTGCTGTTGATGAAGCCTTTTCCCTGTGCCCTTCTTGAAATTGTATGGTCTGCGTGGTTTCCAATTAGTCAAACCAGGAGCATCTTGATAAGAGTAAGTGTTGGGAGGGAGATAGAAGTCCATTTCCCTATGTTTACCCAGGCCACTTTTACTGGAGCCGCATCCTGGGCAACACATCTTGTTTCCGGCAAGATAGTAACGACCGAAAGCGTGGTTGACCTGACATAACCAAGCGTGAGGCTCCCCTTCTTTCGCTGCTTCCCAGTAGGCACCTTCGGGTAGTTGTTGACTAGGCTCCAATGTCTTGGAGCCGCTTGGGTGGGGTCCCTCTACCGCAGCTTGAGGATTCGGCCGCGTGAGAGGTTTTTGCTTCTCTACGGGCTTAGGCTTTGGCTTCGACTTTGGCTTTGGACGAAGATGCTCCTCGACCGCTTCGATGGCAGCTTTTCTTGCTTCCTCTTCATTAGCGCCGCTATAACGAGCTGCCCAAAACGCTGTTTTAGCAATAGCGTTGTGAAAATTGTCTGCACTCTTCTTCTCTTTGTTTGACTCTCCTGGCGTCCAGATTTTTCCGGGTACCGACTGGTGGTAGTAAGTCCGAGATGGCAGATAAAAATCCATTCGTCGTGCTCTAGGCAAAAACTTCAGGTTTGTATTGCAACCCAGACAGTGTTTTCTATCGCCGGCATTATAGTAATAGCCCATGGCGTGGCTAGCGGTACAGAGCCATGCAAATTGCTCGTTCAGAGATTTTCGCTCGAAGTACGCAGTTGGTGGCAGATGTTGATGTTGCTCGAGTGTTTTTGATCCACTTGTACTCTCTGAATCCGCTGCCATCTTGCGCTTTTTTCGGCAGGGTATCATGTCAGGCTCAGAATCTTCGCTCTGAGATTCACCGTTTGCCTGCCATTCTGACTCGCGCCGTTTTTCAGGAATCGTTGATGAAGCTTCTGTCAAGTTTAGTCTCGCGTTACTGTTTGCTCGTTGTGAAAGAGCAAGCTTCGCACGCTCAAAATATTCGATCTGTGCAGCTTTTTGGACAATCCTGCGAACCTCCGCTGTTGGTGGTTCTACAATGCCCTGTGCAACAGCCTGTTCTACAACAACATCGATTGTGAGACGCGGTTTACGGACAACTTTCTGTGGGAACACACCTAGTCTAGCAAGCTCTCGTATGGATATGATGTTATTTTCAGATATGGAAGCTGATCTCTCCTGTGAGACAATGCTATGGTTATCCCTGGCGCTTTCTGGGATACTCGATTCATCATGTGCATCTATAAATCGAGTCAGCATAAAGTGACGGGTTGTAAAAAGGATACGTACTCTCATAGATCGAAGCTATGTGTCGGCCCTTCCTTTCACCTACTCGGTCTACCACACGTCTACTCTGCCCAGTATTTGGGATTGGATGCAGATCTAATGGCGCCTGGGGCTTGTTGATCACTTCAGTATTGCCCTTCGATGGAACCGAGAACTTCGAAAGCCAATTATTCCGAGGAATTTCGAGTCTCTCTTCCCGATGAGTTGCTGCTCTTTGGCCGCTATTTGGATTTTTCTTCGCCGGGGGTTTGACTGCGCGACCAGCAGACAGATTCTCGTCTAGATTCCGAGGTTTGAAGAGCTTTTCAGCAACTTCATCAAGTTCTTCGATGGGCGACGCATATTTCCCGATCGGGTAATCCTTCGTCGTATATCTGACCATGGGTGGATTGAGATCTACTTGATGCCATGACTGTTCCAGCTTGTGTACTACTAGTACTGGGTTATCGGGGCTGAAGTTGCTGATGGCCTTCTTGTTGAATCGCCGGTAGTCCCAGAAGTAGGCGTTCTCTTTTTCATCGTTGGCTAGCATGTTCACCATACGAGAGTGAGAATTCCACACCGACTTGGTGATGATTTGGTTTACATTGGTCATAACAGACTGTAAGTATCGTTCGAGGTTCTCCAGGTCGTCAGGGCGGTTGTCAAAGCATGCTTGTATATGATCAGATTGCAAAGCATGGTTGAGGAAGGACTTCAGGAAGACCGCTTCGTATGTCTTCTGGCTGGCTTGATACATAGAGAAGTGTGACCAATCTTCTTTTGTTGGCTGGCGGCGATTGAGATGAACACCGATTCTAGCTCGCTGTGAACGGGTAACGCCAGATCGAGGCAGTCTGGAGGAATTCGATGAGTCTATAAGGGGTCAGTCCTACAATCGCACAATAGCGGTGATGAAAAACTTACCATCATGCACAGCGTCTCCGAATGGAAGATTCCAGTGCTCGGGATGCTCAGGAGACTCTAGTTCAAACGTTATGTTGGCTGGCAGGGATGCTGTGCTAGGTTGTGCATCTTGATCGACCGGTTGAAAGGCGTTTCCTATGGCCCTTGCGGGTTCTGGAGAACCATCGCTCCAATCGACTTGATCCTCATTACCATACTCCATGATCATACATGTGTAGGGGCTCCAAGGTCATAGAAAAGAAAATCATAGGGACATGAGATATGAGAAGCGTTGAGTTGTTATGAATGAAGGTTGTAGACGAAAGTCTCACATGAACAACTCCCCCTTGTACATTGTACCTAGACAGACATTCACAAGCGCGTTTCCATACTGCCGCCGGGTAACTTGGGCCAAATTTGACGTAATCTTGTCTTCTGGGTTTTTTAGCTGCCTCTTGCTAACCTAGACTGGCCTGGCATTCACACTTCAGACTGTAGGACTAATAGATATCATTGGTGCCTGGAATATGGTCATGAGGTTGATTCTGGGATTCGAACTATGATAAGGGCTCGAGCTTCTTGCGTTGTGCTGCCACTGTGCCACAAGCATGTTCATACTTGATGAATGAGTCCTAGCGTCTGTTCTGTTGATGCCTGTTGCTCGCACTAGAAGCTGTATCAGTGTTGTGGCAATCTTATGACTGACCGCTCCATTGTGCTCCCCATTGACAAAAAAAAAGCATAGCTGGTGTGATTGGTCGGGAGGAGGTTTGGGAAACGTAGCGACAGACTGGGAATAGTGTATAGTTGATGTGAAGGTTTCATTGATCATACAACTTGTCCGAAGGTGATCAACATCTCCCGTGAGACTTCGCCTGCCTTCTCGTTATATCACTCTAAAACTACTTTTCAGTGTAGCTAAGGAATACTTCAATAAACCTTACTAAAAAGTATCTCATATAAGGAAAGGTATACCGAGACACGTTGACATGGAAGCAGTCTCCCACTCTCAACTGTCATCGGAAAAATCGATCATTAACAAAACAGTAGAAGTCTTTGTCATGAACGATGATTGAAGAAAATCCAATTGAACGGTATATTTGCCAGAGAATTGACTGTCGTATGATTGGCAAGAAGGAGATAGGTAAGAGACGGTGAGCGGAGCGGTTCCAGGTGGAGATAGGTTTAGCTGGGGCGATGAACCCCCGCCAAGCTCCACGTCGCCCTGATTGGCCCACTAATTCGAGCATCGAAGGGCACAGGTGGCATCCAAACATCACCGCCTCAAGCTTCAATTTGTACGCCAATTCCACAAACATGGGTGCGAAAACGCTGTCGTCCGTAGCCCTGCTCTTACCGCTCCTCACAGCCACCGCAAATGCCGCCTCAGAGCCACCTCGGCCTCGGGGTGTAGGTCCGGAGTGTACGTCCACCGCCTACTAGTTGCAAGCAAGCTTCGATCTTGATGCAATTGAGCAGGAAACACTGCTGACTTGGAATATAGTTGCCAAATACTATAAAGATGCCACCTCGTTCTCCTGCATCTCGGCTCCTACTGTCAAACTAGATATCTCCCGCCTCAACGACGACTATTGCGATTGCCCCGACGGCAGCGACGAGCCCGGCACCAGCGCATGTTCCTCCATTTCGCCCTTGTCTCCCGCCCAGCCCTCTCGCTATGAGACTGGCGATGTTGCAGCTGCGCTGCCCGGTTTCTATTGCAAGAACAAAGGCCACATACCAAGCTATGTACCTTTCACCGCTGTTAACGACGGCGTGTGCGATTACGAGCTCTGCTGCGACGGCAGCGACGAGTTTGAACACGTTGGTGGCGTCAAGTGTGAAGATCGGTGCGCGAAGATTGGAAAGGAGTGGCGCAAGCAGGACGAAGCCCGACAGCAGAGCTTGGGAAATGCGAATCGGCGGAGAAAGGAGCTAGTAACTGAGGCGGAAAGGCTACGGAAAGAGGTCGAGGACCGGATCGGTACCCTCAAGACCCAGATTGAGAGCCAGGAAATCAAAGTGCAGGCACTTGAGAAGACACTGGCTGAAGTAGAAAAATCAGAGAAGGGCAAGATCGTTAGAGGAGCAGGCAAGGGCGGAAAGTTGGGAGTGCTCAGTGGGCTGGCAAAACAGAGAATCGAGGAGCTGAGCGAGAATGCAAAGAGAGTGCGGGGCGAGAGGGACGTCGCAAAGGAGCGTATCGAGGAATTGGAGGGCATTCTCAGGCGCTTCAAGGAGGAATACAACCCCAACTTCAACGATGAGGGTGTGAAGCGTGCCGTCAAGGCCTGGGAAGACTACGCAGCACAAGAGCGTGCAGGGCCAGACGAGGCAAGCGATCGCGATCTCGACGAAATCCTCAACCCGGAGTCAGAGAGCGCCATCAAATGGACCGAGTTCGAAGATGAAGACGAATCCGACGTCGAAGCTCGTAAGCTCCACCCCAACCTCTCCTACCTAACTATACTAACACACCCAACCCAGTCTACAAATTCGAAGAATATCTTCCCGAGCCCATCCGCAACTGGGTCGACACCAAACTCCGCGCGCTCCGCATAACCCTTATCGAGAACGGCATCCTCGCCGACCCAAACCCCTCGGATGCCTCCGAATCCAAAGCCGTAGCCGACGCGCGCCAACAGCTCAACTCAGCCCGAACTTCGCTCGACAACGACCGCACAGAGCTCCGCAACCACGAAGAAGACGCCGTCAAAGAATACGGCCCGGACAACATCTTCCGCGCCCTCAAAGGCCGCTGCGTCGAGCAAGACAGCGGCGAATACACATACGAACACTGCTTCCTCGTCTCCACCACCCAGAAACCCAAAAAGGGCGGCGGAAACACGGGAATGGGACACTTCTCCAGCATCGAAACCATCACCGTCGACGAAGACCTCCCCGCCGATGGCAAGGGCCTTGGCTCCGGCGAACGATATGCTTTGAAGTACGACAACGGCCAGCATTGCTGGAACGGGCCGAACCGCAGCACCTTGGTTGTCCTGGCTTGCGCCGAAAAGGACGAGATTTGGAAGATTGTCGAGGAGGAGAAGTGTGTTTATCGCATGGAGATGGGCACGCCGGCTGTTTGTGGGGTTAGGGAGGGCAAGCATGTTCCTCCTCCTTCGTCTGGCCATAACGAGCTTTAAATCGTTACATACACGGAGGGGTTTCGGGATTCGGGCTGTAGATAGAAGGTGTAGGCGTAAGCGGAGGGTGGTGAGGTACAGTTGGGTGAGCGGGAGCAGGGTATGAAGGGACAGAGGCATGAGATAGATTTGAGACGAAAGGAGCAGACAACCCTCCCATTGCTGAGCATACCGTTGTTTTGTCATCTCTCGCTCTCCATTGGAATCTATAAAATAGACAACGAGAACCCTTTTTTTTTTTTTGCTGTATATCTCTGCTGCAGTCTCTCTCCTTTCACTTCACTCGCCCTCCTCCCACAATGTTCTGCACTGGCTTCTTATAGCTGTTGAGAATATATGTATATACCTTGGTTACTTGAGTATGTGTATAGAGGTATGCGTGTCATGTATACCTGTTTGTATACGAACACGGTCGTATGATGTATATCTACCTAGGTAGGTATACAACACTCCCTAAGAGTATGCGCAATAGATAGAATATCTAGGATGTACAGATGAAGTTTAAATAAATAAAAAAATGAATTGTAATACCGGTTTGTGAGGCAGATGAAAAGAAGTGATGAGGTAAAGTGAATAGCTTCATACATTTACATGTACTTAGATATATAGGCTGTACGGGGGGGAGAGGGATGCAATGTATACACGTTGCGGGCCTCTAATATTACAACAACATCTGAACGTTACATTGAATGCTAAGACTTTCTTCCTCTTTACAAGAAATAGTCTTTCAATTGTCTTCTTCTAGGAAAGGAAGAAGAAGAGACATGTTATACAATCGATAATAAAAAGGCAAAACAGCAAAAACTTCAAGAGTTGTACAACCACCCTCCGCTTTCCCATCCCTTGCAAGCGAGAAAGGACCACGGGCATTGCACCACGCTCGTGGGGGAGAAGGAGTAGGACACGGGAACGAAAACAGACAGACGGGTACATGGAGTTAGTTCCACGGGGAGAAGGGGAAGGGGGGGGATTGTTTACATTTGAAAAGCACAAGCCTCAAGACGCGCCGGCTCACGCGACGCGGCCAACCCACCGTACGCGTGGGACCTACCTACCTACCTACCTACCCACCCTCATCGATGATTTATTTCCTCGGGGGAGAGGGGGAGGATGCGGAGTAGGAATCCCCCCTTCCCAAAAAATCAAAAGGTACCAGCCAACGGGGATTCGATTCGCCTTGTCAGGCCAGGGCAGACGTGTGTGGCGTCAGCACTGTCAGTAAGCAGCGACCCTCTTTTTATTTTTGAAATGTGTATCCGGGCGTAGGTTCGGAGTTTGACTGCGCAATCGATTGTGGTGATTAGATTGGGTTTTTGGGTTCAGCAGGTGGGTTGGAAGAGAGAGGGGAAGGGGAGTGCCGGGTTGGGTTGGGTTGGGTTGGATGGTGTGTGGGACCACCACCAGCCGACCCGAATGAAATGCCCATGGCCCTGTTTCGGACGGAGATGATTTTCAATCGCGCGGCGGTGGGGATTTTTCCTTTTGTTTTCCTTGTGGCTCTGCTTACCCGCGGGGACGGGAAGAGGGGAGCAAGAGTGGGAAGGAGTATAGGCGGCCAACGGGCGGCCCTACCTTTTTCCTTCCTCTCCTTCTAGTCGCTGTGTGGGAGTGGATGCGGGTGTTTGTCTCGCCATGTCTCGCGATTCATAGTTTCTAGCGTGGACCAATACATATGTAGGTACGTACCAGTCTCGTGTTGTGCTCGCTCAAGTCCGGATTATTTGCCTCTCTGAATAAATGAATGGATGAATGATTGAAGGTGAGATGGGGTTTCTAGAAGATTGGCGCACCGGCACGCACGCACGTCCATGTGTTGCGAAAATAGCCGGAGTACACGTGGGAGACGACGTGTGCGGTTCGCGTGTTTGTGCTTCAATTGGCTGCATTGAAAGGTCTACATGGCTTGTTTGGGTGGTTGTGGTTAACCACTGGGGTGATGTGCGAGGCAGCCGTGGCATGTGGAGTAGTTATTTCGGGGTTTTGCCGTGGTGCCGCGGCGGTCCCATTGTTTGAATCTCGATTGGGGTCATGGCCGTCTATATGATGTCTATGATGGGTGCATGTATACACATTACATTACACACAGGTACGCGCCTTGCATCATGATGATGATGATGATGATGATGATGCTGAGGTGGGACGAAACAAACCGACACGCAGGTCCTCTTTTCGGCCGACAGCACAGTGCTGGTGATATGCCCTGGGGTGAGGTGGGCGCTCTGGACTGCAGGAGGGCTGCGAGTGCCGTCTCGTTGCGGGCGAATCACGTCTGGCTGGAGTGGCAGCGTGAAGGCGTTCGCCACACAATCACCAAAGAGGGCCGGCGGCAGGGACTTGTGCCTGCATCGCTCGCTCGCTGCATGGCTGTATGCAGGCCGGCTGCAGGCACGCCGGTTTTCATTTACCTCGAGCGATAGGCCCAGAGTTGGCATGAGATGAGATGAGATGAGATGGGGGCGTCAGACGCCGGGACGAGCCCGTTTCCCGTTGCTTTTTCCCTACGGATCGATGGATGATGATGGATGATGGATGGACTTGTGGGTGCGTGTGTGGGTGTGTGCTAAGCAACACGTTTCGAATATCTGACAGCCGTGGGCTGTTGTTTGCTTGCTTTTTACCTGTACTGTGCTGCTTGCTTTTTCTGTAGTCACTCTCCGTGATACATTACATGAACACGAGACGCACGGGGGTGGGGAATTGCTTTGTTTTTCTCGTCGCTCGGCCTGTCATGTGCCAGACTGGATGATTTGACGTTGTTGAGCATTTTCCGAGCGACGGCCAGGCCAGGGGTAACGGGAGCCACAGGAGTGGTAAGTGGTCGATTCTGGCCGGCGCGCTAGCTGCATCCAGACTAGTGTAGGAGTCGCAATGGCAGGGGTCGCTGCTCGTCAGGCCCGGTCGAGCTCTTCAGGGGACGGGATGCGAGCGAGGCCACTTTCACGGTTTCATCTTGCTCGTCTCCCCGCGTCGTCTCCATGACAGGACCGGTTCTCTATCAACTTTGACAGGGCCACTCTTTTAGCGGTGGTAATCCGCAAACGTGTGGTACATGTGGTACACATATATATATACATACATATTGGCTCCCAACCTGCACTGATTGTTGGCTGCCATGGTCATGACGACGACCATGGGATATCATGCCAATGGATGAGGAGGATCCGAGAGAGGCAGAGTGCGCAGTCAGCGTCTCAAAACCTCCCATCTCCCATGTCTTGCGCCAGACATGCCAGGGCGAGCATTGATTACTTGGGATCATTTGTGAAGCAGTCGTGGTTGAAGCGGTTAATGATTTGAGAAAGAAATCGCCTGACCTCTCCCACGTACACATTCGTTCGAGTCTCAGATTCCGTTGCAATAACCTGCTACCGTGTTCCCCTTTTTTTTTCTTTTCTTGGTTTGCGACAGGACAGAGAGAAGGGGCAAGTGAAAAGGAGACGGGTTCGATGCCGATGGACGCGGGCTGAATCGCGGGCTAGCGAGCGAGTCGTGTTTCATTTGGGGGGGAATTGGGGGGCAAGCCATGTGCGAGTACATGATTGGTAATGAAAAGGCAATATGCAGTGCACAGGACGGTTCGATGGAGCAGAAGAGCTAGAAGGAAAAGGAGTCGTACAGACTTGAACCAGAAAGTCGATAGTACGGGCGCAAGAGATGGTGGGACGCGACTATCAAAAGGTAAAGCAAAAGAGAAGAGGGAAAGAGAGAAGATGGATGCAGGGCTCCACTACCCACGTAGCCGACCGTTTTGGGGCTTACCGTACCAGAGCATTCGGGCACGATAAACTTTGGCCGCTCGTCGCATGTCGCGACGACGTCTTCTAGTCGACTGCTTGGCCCAATTATTTGTTCGTCGTCGTGATGCTGCTGCACCTGCTTGGCCGACTACACTACACTACACTCTACCGCGGCGGGCGGGAGTGGAGAGCCCCGGCGCTCTCCCCCCAATGCAGGCGTCGAGTCCACGTCGTCTGCTGAAGCGCCGCACTCCCGCCCGCTCGCTCGCTCGGAGATGACCCTCTGCTAGCCATCATTTGTACAGGATTACACGCTGTATGCATCCATGCACCCATGCAATAGATATGTATGGATATGCAAAGTGTTGGTTGGTACCGCAGTGGTACCGTAATCATAGCAGTCATCAAGGTGTGGCTGTTGCTGTCGCTGCGCTGTGCTGTGCTGCCTGCCTGCAACTAATGATGCCTGTCCCTCGAATATTAACCACGTCCATGCTTGTCTCCATCCATGCCACCCATCCCCACCCAGAGTCCACTCCTTCCACAGATCCGCCTCTCGTTTGTTCGTTTTTTTTTTCTTCTCTCTTGCTGGCCACTGCTTGCTTGCCTGCTCCCTGGTCTCTATCCCTCCACTCCTTCATTCGTTCGCTCGGCCATACTTCCTTCCTTCCATCCAGTCTGCCCTGCTTTGCCCTGCACAGCACACCACAGCACTGCTCTGCACAACTGGTCTCCTCCACCTGCACATTCATTCATTCACTCGCTCACTCACTCACTCTCGTTCATTCATCCATTCCTTCTTTCTTCCCACACATACTTTCCTTCGTCCATTCCGTCATCCACCCCTCTCCCCCCAATCCACTCTCCCCAGCGGGCCCCGACATTCCTTTCTTCAATCGTCTTCTTTTTCTCTCTCCTCTACTACCGCTCTCGCAGCGCGCAGGCGACCCCACGCTCCTTCTCCCTTCCGACTCTGCTTCCTCACCCCGGTACCTGTCCATCGTCCTGCAACAACTCCAAACGCTCCACCTACCTACTGCTGCCCAAGCCACCACCATCATTATACCACGGCGACCCAGTAATCCTCGATACACTTCCCGCCTTCGGCCGCATTCCACACCCTCGTTTGTTGTGTTTGATCACCACCATCGTCAAGATACTCGCCCCTCCTTCCAACCCATCCCGACGCTGCATGGAGCCCATTTTCGCTCGCCTCACCTGCCTCACTGCCCAATCCTTGCAATCGACCTATTGTTGAAGAGGCTATAATATTTCCACCGTGTCCAACATGTACGTGATCCCTTTCGGCCTCTAGCTGTCTTCATTCTTGCCTTTTCGGTCGTGTTGTGTCTTGCTGGTACGAAGCGCTTTCGGAATGCAACTTCGGCTACTCAATGCACCATCCAATGCTAACGGAATGCCCCCAAGTAGAACACCACCTCGCCTACTATATCTGTCCGCCGCCGTGCTACAACAGCCTCTGTCTGCCTTGCACCGCAGACAGCGGGGAGCACAACGGCCACGCACTTGCCATTGATCAATAAAACCACCAGTCCCGTTGTAATTTAATCGGTAAGAGCTTGCAATCGCTCGTCGCTCAGGCGGTTGGCTTCTCGTCTCGGATTTTCTAATGCATACCAGATCACCATGAATCGCTTTCTTGCCAGAAAGAAGGAGAAGAAGAGGCAGCCGGAGCCGAAACCCCAAATCGATCTGACCACAGCCCTACCTGCCGCCGATGATTTTCGCACGAGTCTGATCATGCCCGGTCTGTCGACGCGCTTCAGCATGCTGAGAGAGCAGGACGATCCCAGCTCCAAGATCGGAAAGGCAAGCGATGACAGTGTCTTGGTTCCAAAGCGCCAATCTCGCCTCCACGAGTTTGGGTTTGCCCCAGGAGGTCTATCAGATATTGCTGAGGTCTCTTCACTCCACGGATCATCCCGTCGCCTTCCTTCCGAACGGAAAGGTTCATACGACAGCCACGCCACGGACGATGGAGCTTCCAGTGTCATGAGCCGGTCCAGACCCGGAGAGGGCAACGTTTTGTTCGGCGGAAGGCAAAAGGTGTACAAACTCTCCAACACTGGGACATCGCAGGGGAAACAGCTGTACGATGACGACGTACACCTGTCATACTTTCAGAAGATGCGGTTGCAAGAGAAGGAGAGGCTCGCTGCCCAAGAGGCATTGGAGCGCAACAGCACAACCGAAGAAGCAACGAGTCCGGGTAAAGATGTCTTCTCCCCTTCGGCGGACGGCTTTACCAAGCGAAGAGAGACATCCTCCTCGACCAACTCTGGCAGCAATGCTCGCATATCGACTGCCGCTACCTCCATTGCTTCCCAAGGTGCCGGGGCTATCGCCACCGCTGCGCCGGCATCACCTACCGAGCTTACCCGCACCACTACCAAGGTACGGAGACTTTACGATCAAGGTCTCGATCAACAGCTGCATGAGCAACAGTCCTCTGCTATCAACCGCCTGAATTCCATACAACGCGCTCGCGGGCCGGGCGGTAGAGCAACGCCTCCCTTGCTGTATACTCAGTCTCGATCCGCAACGAACCTCAACGATCGCTTCAATCGCGCCCCTTCGCGCACGGAAAGTCCCACCTTTTCCCACAGCCCCGCATTCCCACCGACCCGCGAGGTCCAATCAGATGCATCGAGTCCGACGTTGTCCAGACCACAATCGCCCAGTCTTTTGGGTCCCTTGAGCCCGCTGAGCAACTACAGTGAAGAGAACCAGACTTTGAACACTGCGTTGCAGTACCAGGACCGTGGGAAAGCAACGGCAATGGGTGCTTTTAACAAACCGAAGCAAGCCTTCAGCGAGGAACAGTATGCAGAGCGTACAAAGCGAATGCAACAAGAACGCGATGCTTCAACACCAAAGCTGGAGTATCCCCGTAAGATGTCTTTGAGGGAGCGTGCTGAAATGGAAAAGCGGAAACGCGCTGGCGCCGGTTCTCCTGAGCAATCATCGCCCGCACCAACTGCTTTCTCCATGTTCCAATCAGCGGCGACGCAAATGAGGGCTTCTCCGACAGATCAGCCTCCCGTACCACCCAAGCCAACATCCGACACCATTCAATCGCCCGATTCCCAAACAGGCGCTACATTCCTGACCTCTGCAGGATCCACCGATGACGAAGGAGAGGTAACTCCGCCCCTAGCCCTCAAGATTACGGATCGAGGACGCAAGTTGGAAAACTTGCCCACGGCAACAGGACCAGCACCCCCGATTCTCGAGCATCCCGCCCTTAGGTCGCGAAGCAATTCTGGACCCAAAGACCACATGGAACCCCCAGCTGTGCTTGAACCTGTGCAAACAGATGCTCCTGCACCACTTCAAACAGAGACGGCCACAGAGTCCAAAGACCCGGATGTTGATTCGCCCACTCTTGGTCCTAACGGTGGTGGTCTCAGCGGTCTGGTACGACAGCATCTGCGCAACGTGAGCAATGTTTCCTCGGTTTACGACGATAACCAGAGTGTCCTGAGCCCCCCGCCAACCCAAACACAGCATGTGGGCTTACAGCGACGTCAACCCGCCTCCGAGGCAGACAGCCTCACGTATTCGGGCTACAGTCACTCCAATCCGTGGGATCTTGATGACATCGAGAGCAACCCGTATTATGCCGACCGAGGAAGCATGAGTTCAGTCAGCCCCACATCGGAGATGCCCAAACAAACGTTGCCACAGCCCACCAATTTGGTCATGTCGCCTACCGAGAGCACATTCCCAAAGGATGATGAGAAGACACATCAACGCGGCCGCAGCACCGAAGAGCATGAGGCGTTGCAGAGTGATCTTGCTAAACGCCAACGTGCTATCCAGCAAAGCCTTCGAGCCAAGGCCGAGGGACGATCGACCAGTCCTGCTCCCGCTCCCCCAACTTCGTCTGGCGGTCTCAAGAATGCTCTTAATATGCTTCGTGCCAAATCTAGCAGAGAATCATTTGCCACTGTTGACACCCATCGTACAGTAGACGGCTCTGGAAAGCCCCTGAAAAAGTTCGGGCTGGGCGCGAACGCCAATGGAAGCAACATTTCTCTAGGCAGCGAAGCCAGCCGACGACCTCTGCGCATGCGTCAGCAGAGCGAGACCAGGCAGCGGTCTGCGGCGGAGGAGAGCACCAACAGCAGATCGCGATCTTCGAGAGAGCGATCGACCTCGCCTACGTCCACAGCACGATCTGCCAGCCGCCCACGCACTTTGTACCGCGACGATCTGGGGCAGTCCATGGCAGAGGGTGTGAGTGTAACCCGATCCAGCGTGTATCCGGTCAACGATATCCCGTCCATGCCTGGCTTTGCGGCCAACGCGACTCAACCTTTACCGATGGATAAACCCTCGCCGGACAAGCAAAAGAGACTGCGATCACGAAGCAATAGTCGTACTGCCGCTGGAAAGCACCTTCAGCCTATCCAGATTGGTCACGAAGGAAGCCTCAGCCCGAAGCCGCTTCAATTTTCGCCTGGTCTTCCGGTTTCACCCCGTCCTTCACCTGGTGGGCCGAGTCCCAACATGAATGCTTTCCGTCCACAGGGCTCGCCTGTGCCCCCGTTCTCCGCAAGCAACACTCCACCAGTCTCCAATCCGGGGACCCCCGTTGGGTCTGCTTTTGGCTCAAAGAGTGTAGTTCCTCCACCCATGTTGAAAACTGGCACGTTACGTAAGAAGTCGATTGCCAAGGCAGACATTGGAGATCCACGTCTTGTTTCTACCACCTCGGTGATTGACACCATCAGTCTGGCTGACGCCTCTATCAAGAACAGCATGATACACTCTGCACCGCCTGTCCCTCCGATCAATCCCATGAGGCGACGTGTCGGTACCGGAAAATCCGAGTATTTTGATCCTGCGGTGCAGCATGGTCTCGAGCCACCGGAGAGCCCAATCACCAGCTCCGGTCGGGCAAATTCCTCGGATGCAGTTCCAAGCCAATCCAATTTCTCAAAGCCAATGCTGAGGAGCGCAGCCAGCGAAGGCAAGAGCCTTCGCGGACTGGCTCGGTCTCAGACGGACAGCGTGGCAGTAACAAGCCCGCCAGTGCCATCCGTGCCCTTCGGTCGTAACAACTCACCACCTCGCCCCATTTACGACCAACCAATCGCCCAGAAAAACATGGATGGGGCCATGTTCTGAGCATTTCTTCATCGGAGTTTTCACGGGCCGCAGGCGCGAGCTGAAAAGCAGATGTTTCCTTTCTTACGTATCTGCCATTTGGCATCCGAATATGTTCTGTTTAAGCCATAATTTTTTCTCTTTGTTCGATCGACAGTCTTCCTCTTTCTGCGACCAACGGCCTTATGTCTCTGTCTATTAAAACCACTTTGCAATATACCTCTTCGTTTCCTTGTCTGTTCTCTGCGTATCTAGGGTATATCGGTCGGGGCGAAACAGGGGATAATCTGGAAGCGTACGGTAGACTGCGACCTCCAACAGGAAATCTTTTCAGACAATGCTAGCATCACACATACACACACGCACACACACACCGGACGGGCATAGCTGGGATATGGACAAACGGTGTTTTTTAGATGTGCATTGATGTGTGGAGGCGTGAACAATTGAGAACTTTTTTTCTTGAGTCCCATCATCTCTCTCTTTTACAACTCGAAAGTGACGGTTTTGTGGGTGCCTCGTGTTCAATATTTGTTCCCTTGATGACACATGGGTGGTGATGATGGTTGTTGTTGGCACACACATACATACCTAGGTATACATGTGTTTACTTGTCATAACTTGTTACATGTGCGTGCGTGCGTGCGTGTGCGGGGGGCAAGATGGGACTCTTTGAGGACATTTTGCGAATGCACCGTCCTGTTCTGTTCTTGCCCTCTCTCTCTCTCTCATTCTCTTTCTTTTTTATCTGTTTCTCAGTACCATGCATGTATTCTGTTTCCGTCGTGTACAAGAAAGAAAGAAGAGGAATAAAACTATAAGAAAACTAGCAAACTTGAAAACGTTGTTGTATAAAGTACTTGCTTGCTTTCCTTTTCTGGTAGTTTATTTCTCTTTGTTTAGAATAAAATAGGTTTCAAATTTTTGTTCCTTCTTTTTTGAGCATGTATTATATGCTTCTCTCTCTCTCTACATGTAGCTTAGTATAGTAATCGTGTTGATGTCATATCGTTGTTCTGCTCATCATAATCTTGGAACACTCTCTTCCCATCTCTGCTCCCTTCTCCTTTCTCTTTCTTTCTTTCCCTTCCTTATAACTCCATCCATCAACTAACCAACCAATCAATCGTTTAAAAAAAGCCAAGTCTGTTTATCTCTGCATCAAACGCTATTATATATCCCACAGCAGCTGCGTAGCAGCCGCCTTTTTTTCCGCGAAGCCTTGTTTACCTGCCATCAGAAATCCTTAACCAGATCCTCATTATTTAGAAGATAAGCGGAGATTTGATGAGCGAGTGTGTGAGTACATAATCTCAGACTAAAGAGTTGAGGTATATTTCTGTTTTTTATTGGGGGAGGGGGGATTATGTGTTTGTGGGCGGTTTGTATGTGGTGTCTGACTCCTATTTTCTCTTGTTTCTTTTCTGTTTTGCTGGGTTTACCGGGGAAGGTGGAAGGAGGGATTGAGGAGCGGGTTGGCTGGTATGATGTGCGTTTGTGGATGGGGAGGTGTTTGACGAGGTGGGTGGAGCTGTGATCTAGGGGAGTACATTAAGTATGTAGGGTAAGTAAGAAGGCAGAAAGGTAAGAAAGCAAGAAGGCAGGGAAGCAAGAAGATAGCAAGGTAGGAATAGAAGGAACGAAGAAAGAGAGAGGAAAGGAGGGGGCCACAACAGTGATTTAACGACAATGACATGAACACCTATGTCCACTAGCAAATCTCTTTTAGTATCCTTTTGGGCAAACGGAATACATCGCCGCCCTTCCCTCCCTTCCCCCTGTCCATCTTCATTTCATTCACGTCGTTTTTTCTGTGGGCGATCTCTTTGTTCTTTCTTAACCTAAACGGAGGATAGTGGAATGATGTGTTGTCCTTATGCAGTCTCCCTTTACCAATGCATCTTAGCTTGTTTGCTTAGACACAACACAATAGAAGGGCTATAAGGTGCATAATCCAGTCTTGAGATTTGATAGATCCGTGTTAGGATAGCATATCCGCAAGGGGAAAAAGGAGGGTCTTGGTGATCGGCAAAGGGATGTGTATGTTAGTGGACTGCTAGTCGCAAGTCAGAGGAAGTAGTCATGGTAATGCCAAGGTGTTTGTCTATAAAGAAAGAGTAGATTTAGTCGTACATGATTTGGGATGGTTGATGAGGCTAGGGTTATGTAGGGAGGGAGGGACGGACGGGTGGAGAAGGGAACGGGAGCATCTAGTGGCCAGCTCGCGATTGAAGCTTTCAGGGTGGGGGGTTCTCTTTTGAGATGAACAGTAGGTCGGTGGGTTTTAATAGATGAAGTGTATTGCCGAGTGTCTGCTCACTGTGATTGCGTTGATTGAGAAGAAGAAAAGATCAGTCCAGTTCGCTGTTTGTATATCTATGTGTAAGTGAATTTCGTCGTTCGAGGCTCTTGGGCGAGGCGCATGCCTCTAGCATTGGATCATGTGGCGAATTTTGGATACTCGAAGCCTGGAGTTAAGAAGCGTGCGATGCATAACTTGTTATACCGCTTCCGGGAAGCTCGCTCAAGTTGGATGAGCGGTCTTTCCTCTACATAATCCACCTACCTACTCCATTACTCACTCCCTCAAAACAAACCCAAACGCGACAAGCGCAAGCGCACATAAACACACACACGCCATGATCTCCTTCAAGGTCCCGAGGCACCAAACAGCCTAACCGACACTACATCGCCAATGCAAACAGCGTCTGGAGATTTGGATTTCCATTGCCAAACCCACCATCCCACGACCCTAACTACAGATCATCAGTGCTTAACCCTCTTGGAGCGAGCGACCTGACTTAAGTTGAGTCGACAAAAGACGCATGCATGCATGCAGGTATGGCAAAAGTCCCCACACGTCTCCACTGCGCTAGATCCCAGTTCATGGATCTTGCCGTAGGATGCGTGCCTGAAACGCAATTGAGGGAGAGTCAGGAACACTTGCTCCACTTGCCGCTTCGTGCGTAATTGGAGCTAGAGGTGGGATTAGGTGAACAATGGATAGAGAGGATGGATCAGCGGATATTGAGTTGGGGCTTGTTGTGGTCTGGTTCTTCTTTGGTCTTGGGTAATCGTCGGTTTTTTGCTGAGGTCAAGTCATGGAACGTGACCGACCCTGGGGGTAGCTTACCTATTTGGGTGATGGGGTCGTTGACTTTTGTACTCCTTTCTTCTTTTTTCACCGTTGTGTCTGGCACATTTTTTTTCCTTCCAGCTCGTTCCTTTTCTTCAACGCGCACTGGCAGATAGGAAATTTGCTTATTCTTTTGACGAGCCGTTGAGGATCTGATACCCTTGGTGTGTGATGGATTTAAAGTGTGTACATGTGGCGTGGGTTATCTTAACTACATCTCGACAAAAGTACAGGGGCGCCGAGTCAGTGGTATGTCTTTCCGATCCTTTCTCTCCCCATCGTCTCCCCTTCCTACCAGCGATAACGCGTGTGATTGTGATTGCTTGAGTCATGTTCTCCTCGGCACCTTCAATCAGCAAGACTCGAGAGACTTTCAATGGCGTTTGTTTAGACTGGAGAAGAACCACTTATTATAATCTCGGGCAAAGAAGGTCAAATAACGATTCCTTCACACTCTCTTCTTTGATATCTCGTGGATTGATGGGATTTTTGGACATGAATAGGTGAGATTATAGACTTTGGGATTGATTGGAATAAAGTGTGAAGCAGTCAAGGCAAGTCCCACACCATACGCGCACGTAACAGCGGACTCCCGCGCCACCACTGCAAGGTACCTGTCTATTTTGACTGATGGTCCAGTTCCCCCCTCCTCCCACCCTGACATGTTTGTTTTTGTTTTTCGTTTCACGTCACACATTAGGTGTACACGGGAGTGGAATTGGCAATCAACGGGTTGTGCGACACCCACGAGAAGGCAAAAGAAACACACAATGGGGAAATATGCAAGAACGCGTCTTTCCGCCATCTCACCAAAACCGTCTCGAGTCGGGTACGTTCCGGATCGGGCCTTTTTCTTGCATCATGTCCTCCCAAACTATTTGCCATTGCCGGTTCGTTCGTTCGCAGAGTTACGGTGGCACGGTGGCTCGCTCGCTGGCAAGATTCGTCCCCGCATTAAATTAGGGTTTCGATAACCTTGAGCCCGGCTCCCTAGTCATGCACGTAATGATAGTCCATGCTTTAGCATTTTAGTCTGACTTGGAAACTGGGCCAGGCCAGCAATGGGAGGAATGGTGCCGTCCTTTCTTTTCTGTTTCCTCTTTAAAAAGGCTCAAAGCCCTGCTTTCCCCCTCCTCGTTTCTTTCTTTAGGTTAGGAAACTCCGTCATTCCCATACTCAATCCTTGATCTTTCTTCTTCTTCTTTCGACTCCTCTCAACGCGAGAACCGTTTTCGACATCCACACATACAATCGCTTCTTCTTTACTACTTCTTATCACCGAAGATTTAATCATATCAAGATGCGTTTCTCATTGTCATCTGCTGTCGTCGCCGTTGCTGCGTGCTTCGCCTTGGTCGGTGCCCAGGATCTTCAGGGTATCCCCACTTGCGCTGTACGTACTCTCTCTTCTCCTCATCTTCTTGTCTCTATGGTCGTTTGGTGGTGAGCATCGCCACTCTCGTTGTCGTTGGCGGGGCGTGCGAGAGACAATGTGTCACTCAACCTCACCCCTTGCTTCAAAGACTAAGAGGCAAACACCGACGACCATTGACAATCAAAACAAACGGACTCCGGGTTCCAAATCGATTGTTTGATATATGCTGACATTCTCTGGTTGTTTGACAGCTTACATGTTTCGCCGCCGCTGTCCCTGCTTCCGGTTGCACCTTGACAGACACCACTTGCCAGTGCACGACCGGCAAGGACAAGATCGCAGAGTCCGTCACCAGCTGCGTTGTTCAGCGATGCTCCGCTGAGGACCAAGGCAGTAAGTGATTAATCTCATTCCCATTGCTAAATCCCTCTCCATACCTCATTTACCACTATCCTTCTTATACCACTCCTGGCTCTGCCCTCCGACTGACACGATGATACAGAAATCGCCAGCGCCGTCACTGGTATCTGCTCCCGCGCAGGCGTCACTGTTTCCGATCTTCCCACCTCCACCGGCGCCGTCGCCTCCTCTACTGGCTCCGCTACTGGATCAAAGAACGGTACCTCTGGTGTGACTGGCGTCAAGCCCTCGTCCGGTGCTCCTGCTGAGCAGACCGGCAACGTTGCCGCGCAGGGTGGCGCAGTCAGCCTTGGTGCGTTGGCTATCGGTATGGCCGCTGTTTTCGGATTGTAAAAATTTGGAAGTGCAGGATGTGGCATCATAGCTGCTGGGAAAGCAGACTACAGTGATTTCAATCGCTCGTTCATAGGGCTTTGGACTTGGTCATGAATAGGATTGCTGTTGTCGATCTCTTAAAAAGTGTAGTCCATAATACATACGGAATGATCTTGGAAATCGACTATTCTTGCTATGCGTCAGGAATTGAATGTTGATTGTCTTGACATTGGCGTAAAAATGTTCGACGAAAAAGGGCATCAATGCTGTATATAAATTTTCGTGGGGTTGTTGATTATTCGGCGTCCACAGCGTTTACCCACTTGCCTGACCACACGGTAAACTCATCGTCGGTCCCATTCCAGCTCTGCCGCACCATAGCAACGGCCTTCTTCGCCTCGGAGCAGCATTTGTCAAACATAACCTTGGCTTCGCCTTCGTCCAAGTCGTAGAATGCGCTTGCCAGGTCGTCCACCCCCTCAGGAACTGCCCTAAGGTGTACCATCAACTGTTCCAACTTCGCCGTTACATCTTGTTGTGATTCCTTCCCTCCGCCATTCTTCTCTTCAGTAGAAGCGGTAGGTTTCGAAGGAGATTTTGGGAATGTCTTCAGCCTCCTCTTGATGAGCGCCTGATAGAGCATCCCCACCATTTTCAACTTCTTCACGCTGGTGTCCAGCAGTGCTTTCAGCTTGACATCCTCCTTTCCCAGTTTATTGGCCGCGCCAAAGATATCGTCGTCGTCCGCGAACTCATCATCACTCCCCGCAAGTTCATCTTCTTCTCCATCCACATCCTCCCCCCACTCTTTCAACTCCTCCACAGCATCCAACAGCACACTCCGCCATTCCTCGGCCTTCTTAACAACCAATCCGACAATCCCATTATCGCAGAATTTGAGCAGCGCATCGCAAGCTTCCCACACCATACCTGTCGTCGCAAGGACGCTCTGTCGCTCGGCCTCGGTGGGTCCTTCATCTTTCTTCTTCCTAGTATCCGCCTTACCATCAAGCTCGCTCTGCCGTCGCTCCGCAAGTCGCAAAACCAGCGTGAGCACCTCGCCCCATGCAGCGAGCACCCTCAACACCCCTCCCCTTAGCTCAGTCTTCATCAAACTCCCCAGCCCATTGGCGCTGTTGTTTCCGGTTATGGGGTCAGAGCCTGTGACAGCTGCCGCGACGAGCCCACTCAACACACTCGAGCTCACGTCGCCGATTTTGGTTATGAGTGCGGACGGTGTGAGCGGTGGGGTCAGGAGGAGCAGGGAGAGGGTCGTGGTATGTGATTTAAGCAACGTGGTACATGCTTTCGCGGTGTCGAGGGGGCTCGCGAGTTGGTCGCCTGCTGCGGTAGCGGTGGTGGAGGATGTGTTGTTAGGCGGCGAGAGCGATGCTTGGTAATGCGAAAGGAGGGCTTGGGTTGTTTTTGTCACATCGATGAGCGCGCGCAGGGTGTTGGGTGGCGGCATGGTTTTCTGTTTTGATCTTTTTTTTTAACGTTTTGTGGTAGGGGACGAGAATATTTCGGTGGTGATGGGTGGAGGGGTGAAAGTTGTGATGGAAGAATTTTGGTGGGGGTTTTCGCGAATGACTCGGGGTCACTCTTTTCTGTAGGCGGCCACGATTCATACACCATCCAGTTTGACTGATACAGACATTGACCTGAACCTCTTCGATGATCTTTTGCGCACGATGAAGATGATAGTGGCAAGCTTGCATTTCCGTCAAGACTTACAATGATCTTGTATGGTTCCCCTGAGGCTACCTTACTCGGAGCGTTCGGTTAACCGCACATGACTTCTCCAGAATGGCAAGACATGGACAGAATAATCCTCATATGATGCGCAAATGGCCTCAACACAAGTCTTCGATATGATGGAATTGAAAATCTACGGATTGAGGGAATGACCAGATGCGTTTCCCGATGTCTTCGGCAAAGAGCTGTGGCGCGCCTGCTCTTTAGGTGTGAGATAAATCACCGATTATAGCACGTCTGGTGAATCATGGAAGTAACTACTCCTCTCATTTGGTCCTTCCAGTAGTGGATCGACCTGACCAGTCAAATCATAGCCAAGATGCAAGAATATCAAGCACCCATACTTTACTCCCTCACCTCATGAACATACAAATGCCCTAACAACCCGAAGCCATCCTTATATCTCTCACCACGCGTCACTGCCTGCTCGTAGTGATCACGACTTCGACGCGGGCTACGTCCTATTGCTTCCGCTTCATTCTCACCTACATCTGAACCGTGGTGAGTCGATCATGTCTGAATTGCATCACAGCTCGTCCATGTCAACTGCGGTCAATCCGACAATCACACATGTTGGAGCGGGCTCCGGCCTACCGCCAGACAAAGCGTATTCCGACATGGTACCAGAGCACGAGGCTACATTCAATGAGCGAGCCTTTAGCGCCTTCCTTGATGTCAAACGCCCGGAATCGCTTTTGAGAAGATCGTCGAGCATGCTCACGTTATATTCGCAGCGACAATACGATGACTATTCCCCAGGCTGTGCTAAGGCAGATTTCGATATGTACGAATTGAAGGACATAACACAAGATAATGGCTCCCCGTGCCTGGATAGTACTTCACCACACCTCTTTCACTCATCAAGTCAATCCCGCAATCCCGATTCTGAAGCTCACCCAGAGGCAATGCAATCACACCGTGTCGATGATACAAAGCTTGATGACCAGAACTATACGGGCTCGTGGCAATCGTGGCGGGAGTGCACACCCGATGACTTCTTGCTGCAGTCTAACTCACTGTCGCCCGAACCATGGTATTCCACGACACCAAGATCCCATCGGGGATCTAAGGCCCGCACAGATGGTCAAGGTACGCCGTTGAGATCAAGCTTGAAAAACAAGTCTCGGACTACCTCCACCACGCCTACTGAGGAACTATCCCTAGACGCAGCCATTGCAAGTTTACGACGTGTCAAGACGGTTAATTTTGAAGATACAATGGCTATGAAAACCGTCTCACTGCTGCCTCTAAACTCCAAGCTTGTTGAATCTGATGGCGATCTGGATCATGCAGAGGAAGGGAGAGCGTCAGATTCCGCAAAAAACGATGATCGGTCCCCCTTGAAGCCTGACCAAGGGCTTTCATATACATTTCCGCGAACAAAAAGCACCATAGCCGACATCGAAATCACCAAGACCAATGTTCATTGCGTATCGAGCGCTCCTCTTTAGGAACTTGGAGACGCTCACCGTCAGCATATCAACGTGGAAATCCCGACAGACCTGGACACAGACTATTTTGCAGTTGTACCTGGAGAAGATCTACCCACCGGAAGCAAAGCTCGGGGTGATCTAAGGAGCTCTTCAGCTAGCCAAGTTTTAGAGAGATATGGGTCGCCGACATTACATAGCTTAGAAAAGGCCAGCGCTAGATTGGCGAACAGCTCATTTCGCAACTCTAGCCAGGACCATCAATTCGAATTGAAGAATGTCGTGCTCCCATACGAGGATGTTGATTCCGACTTTCAAGCAGTCAGGCGAATAGGTAGCGGAGACGGTGCAACGCGAGCGCCTCCAAACAGCAAGATAGCAAGCGCAAAGCCATCTCGTCTTCCCTCCCAATCGACCGGTGAACACTTCCAACGAACGAGATCTTACGACGAGACCAATGCAATTAGATCACCTGGAGATCGTAACACATTTAGCGAACAAACCTTTCCTCTGGAAGTTGTGTTGACACACCCTGCTGGGGATCCTGAGCCTATATTCCGCATGAATGACGAATACAATAATACCATCGAAGAGGACCCCCTTTTTCGAACCCTTTCCAACATAGATGAGCCTGACATCAAATTCCGCGGTCATCGCGATTCGGTTACACTGGAGCGCAACAGCGTACTCAGAAGTCGGCGTGTGACTCCAGAGCTTCTGGCTTATGGCGATTCCATAGCAGATGTAAGAAAGAGAATGCACGTACGGAACCATGCAGCCTCCGAGTCGCGCAGGATTTCTTCACGTCCAATGCCTGCTACCATGGAATCTTTCGGATCACTGGAACATGGGTTTTCAAGTTATGTTATCTCTCGAGGGACAATGAATGGACTCGCTGCGAAAAGGGTTGATTAGCAGAAAGGCGGGTTCTATACTGCGCCCTTGACGGCCTGTCAGCGATTACCTGTTCGGCGTTTAGATTGATTTGAAACTCGAGCAGAGGGAGGCTTGTCTGTTGGAATAGTCGCACGATCGGCAATCATTCCTAGAAACTACCATAGCTACGAAAATCCACCAAACATTGAACTCTGGCGGTGATGTTGCATATCTGTGCCCGTGCCATTGTAATATTATCTTACGCGTTGCGAGGAGAGGCTTTAACTCAGTGGCAAGGGTCCTTGTCGCAAGAATAACGAATAACCCAAAGGAAGAGATATGGCTAGAGAACGTATCTAAATCTACATGGGACATGAATCAGGTTGAGTCTATCGCGCCCAACGATTTCTCGTTATGACGACGCGCGCACGGCAGGATGCCCCAGGCCAATTCTTCCCGCAACTTGGCACCACACATCTAACACGGTTGTTATTGATGCCCTAGGCAAAACCATTCGAGGCCCTGCTGAAACTGTACTTCGGCGTTTGGAGAATTCTCCTCTCGGCCTTATGTATACCCGTTGAGCGGGTTGACGTGTTGGCTTCGTAATGTCTAACGCTTGGCGTCTGTTGTGTTGCGATGCACGTTTCGGCAATGCGGAGAGGGAACGAAGGATCGGTCTCCTCTCTGATCTTCCCGCGCTAGTGTCGATCTTCCACCAGAAGAGCTATCTAGACTTTTCCATCTACTTGGTCCTCTTCCCCTTGTTCGGTATTTGAAATACTTTCTTCATTTCTTCATTTCTTCTTCTTCCACTTTAGAGATTCGTTTCTTTCATCCTTTGGGTGTGGTCCTCTGTGAGGCTCTTTTTAATCGTTTCATTCTTCTTCTATTCCATCATTTACCTCTATACGGTACTATTCATTCTATATACGTTCTTCTTAATATCACTCTCTCATTTTCCCGACTGGATCGGTCGTTGCAACAACGCCTTCACTTACTGTCCACGACCTGCCATAGACAGACAAACTTCAACGTCATTTCCTGCTTTGCAAAGTTGATCTGATTTAATACATTAATCTACCACACGAATGTCAGATGCCACCGTCACCACCACGACCATCACACAAATATTCCGCTGTCCCTGCAGGATACCACTCAAGCATCGACACTTCCTCATCGGCAAATCTTACAGCCCCAACAACGAAACCCACCAAGAAGATCATGAAGACTAAAACACACTCGAGTCGTCGGTACGACATGCTCCGCAACGTGGTGCCCAAGAGCTCTTCCTCATCAGAGGAAACAGTGACCGCACTACCGAGAGAGAGCATAGACTCGCGGTCTAGCACCGAAGTCGAAGATATCGAGAACGAAGCAGGACGAGAGATGCGGTGGGCCAAGGAAGGCAGAACAAAGCAGCAAAAGCAGCGGGGGATAAAAGGCTGGGGCCGAAAGATAGGGAAGTGGAGATGGGTCATCGATACAGGGCTGCTTCTTGTCGTCTTGGGATTGCTTCTGGATAGGAGAAGCGGAGGCGAGAGGAGCTGGGCCGGAGGAAGAATGGGGGCTGAGGCTATCGGTGGGGATATCACGGGGTTTGCACCGCGCTGTGAGTATTTACCCTTTCCTTTTCTCTTCCCTTTCTTCTCGTGTAATTTTCTCTTTTCTTTCTTTTCTGTCATGTATATAGAAAGAGAAAGAGAGGGCGTATGCTGATCTGGATGTGGTTTCTCAACAGTCTCTCAACAAATCGTGTCCTTCGCACCAAACGACACTTTTTCGCCGGAAGAACCGCTGGATTGGTGGAGCAACAAGACGCAGCAAGCCTGGCTCGACATCGTGCCAGGTAAGTCCCCGTCCCCCCTTTCATATCCCCACAAACCCCCTTCCGCCCCGACTAAAGCTAGCAACCCATCCTAACCACCACCCCCCAAAAAACAGAAGGTCTAGGCTACGTCCTCGTCCAAGACCCCGCAACCCACGCCAACCTCCCGTCTCCAATCCACGACTACCCCAACCAAGCCGTCTACACGACCTCGCTGACGCACCAAATGCACTGCCTCTACACGGTCATGGAAGCCTACAACACGCTGCAGCTCTCCCTCTCCACCACCATGCCTCCCTCCACCGCGTCCTCGCACTCGTCCTTCACCACCGACGACGCAGAGCTCAAAGTCAAGATGCCCTGGCACGTCACGCATTGCTTTGAGTATCTGCGCCAGAGCATCATGTGTGCGGGGGACGTGGCGCTTGAAGGGGCCGCGACGACGTTTCCGAAGGGGAAAGGCGGGGTCGATTTGGGCGGGAGCGATGGCTGGGATGCTAAGCATGTTTGTAGGAATTACGATGAGGTTAAGGGGTATTTGGAGGATAAGGCTGTGTGGAGGAAGAAGTGGATTAAGAGTGAGGATACGGAGATTGAGGGGGAGTGAGGGATCAATGGTTTCCCGACGGCTGAGGGAGGTTTCCTTTTTCTTCTAATATCGAAGGGTGTTTGTAAATGAATTTCCAAAAAGGAATTTTTTTTTCCCGTCGAGTTGGGTGTTAAAGGATTTTGACTTGTCCGTTTCGCTCTTGAGCGTTTGCAATCAATGTCTTGTATACCTGCGAAGCCGTTTCTGGGAGCTGACAGGCATTGAATCGTTAGGAGTTCCAGGGAAATATGGGGTAAAAGAGTATAGGTACCATGTATCATATCCACATATCATTTTCCATGTATTCAAGGGTTAATCATCCTTTCATCACAGACACCCACGCATTATCGAAACAGGATAACCTATCTTATCTACCTACCCCAAAACCTCACATATACATACAAGTACTATACAAGAGAAAGAGAAAAAACATAGCTACGTCAATCCACCTCCATCAGCACCACTTCCACCCTCCCCTTCTCTTCCCGTTTCTTCCCTCTACCTCACCCCCTCTCCGCCCCCCACAGCCCAACCTTCGCACCCCCAAAACTCGACAACGTCAACCCCAACTCCTCAACCCACACCCCGCCATTCTCGTCCCGAGACTCCACTCTCGCAAACTCCTGTACCATCCTCACAACTACATAACTCGCCTCCGTGAGCGCAAACTGCTGGCCCAAGCAGATCCTCGGCCCGCCGTTGAAAGGGAGGTACTCCCAACCAGGCCGGATAGTAGCCCAGCGGTAAGGGTCAAAGGACTCGGCTGTGGGGCCATAGAAAGTGGGGTTGCGATGCATGACGTATGGGTTGTAGCCTGGAGGTGTGTGTTAGTGGGCGAGGGTTTTGAATGGTGAGATAGGAAAAATGGGGAGTGGGGAGAGGACGTACCGATTGTTGTACCGGCTGGGACGAAGAGAGGGGACTTGGAGTCGGTGCCGCCGCCTAGGGGGAGGACGGTGTCGCGGATTGCGAGGCGCGCGTTATTTGGGACTACGGGGTAGAGACGCAGTACTGGTTCTGTGTCAGTGGATGAATCGGATGGATATCAGAGTGGGATTGGGGGTGATGTAGCTGCGACGTCAAGACAGAAAGGTATAAGAAATCGGGTTCGTTGTGCCAATGTCTCAGTGTCTAGGAAAAGCTGGAAAAGGGGAAAATATGTTACGAACGAGAGTAGGGCCATGAAAGAGACGGGAGAGAAGAGGGGGTAAAAACAAGAAAAGGGGGATAACGTACTCTCATTCAAACAATACTTGACGAGTTTGAATCCCCTCAACTCCTCATAGGATGGCACCTTCCCTTCGAGAACCCCAACCTCTCTCCTCAATTCCTCCCATATATCCGGGCGTTTCGCGACCTCGAAGAAGAAATTCGCCATCAACGCCGCCGTGGAGTCGCGCCCGGCCAACAAGACATTGATCAGCTCGTCGCGCAACCGCGTCCGATCAGTCGTCTGCTTGACCAACTCCCGGAGGAAAACATACTTCTCCCCATTCTTCTCTTCCCCCTCTCCACCGCCATGCCGTCCACAATCTACGTCCCCATCCGCAACCTTCTCCTCCCTCTCTTTCCGCCACGCAATCGCCTCATCAACAAACCGCTCAACATACTCATGACACGTCCTCACCGCAGCCTCGGCCTCCCGCTTTCCAGGTCTCACCCCCTTCAAAGCCCCATACCGGAACTTGGCCACAATATCACGACTCGCGACGCCCAACGCAAGCGCGAACCTCGCGGCTTCCTCCCTCCCCTCCAACGAGCCAACCGCGCTCCCAAACAAAAACGCCATGGCCGAATCCAACGTGAACCTAAAAAACAAGCCCTGCAAATCCACCGTGGCGCCATCCCGCGGGAGAAGCGAAACCAGCGTGCCAACCAGCGCTTCCAAGCCCTCCAAATCGCTGACCCGGTCCCGCGCGAAGCTCGGCCGCAGCAACGCCCGCGAGCGCGCCCACGTCGCGCCGTCGCTGTTGAAGATGCCGTCGCCGAGCAGCGCGTGGAACGAGTCGATGCGGTTTCCTAGGCTGTAGTCTTTGAAGCGCAGACTGAGGATTGTTTGGATGTTGGCGGGCTCGCAGGTGACGATGAAGGGCTGCGTTAGCATGCGCGTGCGGTAGGTTGTTGCGCCGCCCATGCGGGCGAAGCGGGCTTGGAAGTTTTTGAGCAGGCGCCGGGATTTGGCGGCTGTGAGGGTTTCATGGAGGACGTCGAGGGCGAGGATGGGGTCGTGGTGGTAGGTGTGTGGGCATGGTTTGCAGTGGTGGTGGGATTTGAAGGTCCGGCGGGTGAGGTAGAGTTTTGTTTTTGTGTAGGCGATGTAGAGGGTTAGAAGGGTGAGGGTGAGGAGGATGGTGGGGGATGTGAGGAGTGTCATGATCGGGGAGAGGGAGGGGTAGGTGTGTTGTAGTGACGACAAGAATTGATGCTCAAGATAGACCAGTATAAACAACGAGAAAGAAAGTGGTCTTGATTCATCGATCAATTATCCGATGCAAAAGCCCTTCTCCAGAAAACCACCAAAGAAAAAGTCCACGTAGAAGCTCTACTTATAATTATGCCCGTCCCGCGCCGCTCGTGTCCTTCTTGCCATCCATCGGACCCAATCCTTCCAAAACCCTCAGCCGCACACGCACATACCTACCTACATGAACTTACAACTACGCCTCTTGATCCTAAGCCTGGCGCAATTTCAACCTATCTAGGTACTATGTCTCCGCTCCTCACACTTCCTCTCCTACCCACCGAGGCCCCCGGAGTCCCTACAGCTAAGACAATACCTATTCCCGCTCCCTCCTAACTCATCCCCGCACACAACCCCCAAGACCCATCGCCAAAAAATCTTATTCCATTCCATTCCATCATCTCCGTCAAACTAAAGTTAAACAAACAGACTTAGAAATGTAAAGTAGTAAAGCTAAAAAAAACGTATCTCTCCTCTTCCTTCCTTCCTATCCCCTTTCCTATTCAGGCACAAAGTCCCCGCTAGTCTACCCCCATATCCGTTTTCAAATAAGTGGGGGGTATTACATGTATAACCTAGATTAAATTTCTATTATGAGATTAAGTTAGGTTGTAAGGCGCGTGCGTGCACTATCTACACAGTATATGCAGTTCCAATTTTTGATCTGCGGAGATTGTTAATAGATTGGGGTAATCCTTGTTTATGTTTATGTGATGAGACGGAGGAGGGGACGGAGGAGATAGGATATATATTACTCTTTTCGTTTTATTCGTTGCTTTGAGCGTTAAGGGTGTACTCTGCGGATGAGCTGGTTTGTTCTTCGAGGCTGTTTGGGTTGTGGGTTGGTCATGGCGTTGATCGTCTCGATATAGAGAGGTGAAGAATTTGGGACTAGGAGACATTTCTTCCCCTTCTTGTAGATGATGTCACTACATGTACTTTGGAGAGAAGAAGAATAAAAAAGTCAACAATAAGAATCAGTCCAGACCAAGAAAAAGTCGTTGTATACAAAAAGTTAATGAAAAACTAAAAATGATGACCATGGAAAAATGAACATGTAGATATCATAGGAATCAAAGACTGCAAATAAAGCCAGCCAGGCTCTTTCTTCCCTCCACTCAACAAAAAAAAGTCAAACAAAAGGATCGTAATGTAAAACCCAAAAAACATCACCGTCTCGAAGCAAAAATCCCACCACCACCTTTCCTCCCCTGCGCCGCCCTCGCCGCCGCCGCCATCGGCACATGTTCGCCTTCCTCCGCACCCCCGACGGTGCTACTGCTCGGTAGCGCCGGCAAACTCTGAGAAGCATGCTGCAATCCTGGACGTTGTATGCTCGCGTAGGGAGTGCCATATGGCGTGTGCCATGCGGGGGTCTGATGGCCGTCCATGAGCATGTATGCGGCGCTGTTACCGCTGGTTTGGCGTTGTGGGGTTGCGGGTGGTGCGTATTCGAATTGTTGGTGTTGTGAGGATGGGTGGACTTGGTCGTTGCGGATCCGGTTGAAGGCCCAGTTGGAGAGGTTGAAGCCGCCGAAGAGGACGATGGCCATGAAGATCTGGGGGTGAGGGGAGAAGAGGTTAGTTTCTATATGATGATGACATGGTTTATGAAGGGGAGGAGGATGGGGTGTGAATGAGGTATCGGTGCAGCTATGTCCTGTCTCGCTATTGTTTTACTCCCCCTACTCGGGTTTTTGAATCCGCGCAAGCAACGATCGAGCGGCACCATCGGAGACGAGCTTTAGGGAGTAGATGGAGAGAAGAAAGAGGAAGTGAAATACCATAGATTTGTAGCTGAACTCCTCGGTGAAGGCATTGATGATCTTTGCGATTGCCGTCATTCCCACGCTGGCATGCGCAATCTTCTTCACATCTTGGTTCATACAGGACTCCCAGCGCATGCAGGGCTGCTGGAGCGCAGGAGGCACCCTCGCCAAAGCGCATCCATTATCGCGATAATCCTTTGCACAAATGGCGATGTCGTGCATGATCTCGTTCGCCCTGCTGTTGGCTTCAAGATTTACATCGTTGTAGACAGCGCATATGACTGAGTAGAAAATATACAAGAATGATAAACCCAGGATTGTGTTGACAAAAAACTGCATGTAGTAGCTCAGCACGGCGGGCAGGTTCGGATGGGCTTCTACCCATTGCAGAACACCCGGGATGTTGGCAATGGCACCAGCAAAACCACCCTTCGTGGCAGAATTTGGGCCTCCATTTGCCGTGTTGTTCCTGTTGCGGTTTTGTTCGTAGTCCGAGTCGTCTGCGTCTTCGGCGTATGCGCTCTTTTGTTTCCTGGATCTCCGCTTCATGACCCGATTCTCTGCTTTCTTGGAGTAGCCCTTTCGCGAGGGAGGCTCGTCCTTGCTCGGGCTAGGGGTAGATCGGCTGAATAAACCCATGAAGCTCTCGCGCTTGCTTTTGCGCGGGCTTTTCCTATCCCCGTGGGACAGACCACCCATCCTGCTAGCCAATTGTGTATCGGGTGTGGCTGCCAGGTCGCTATCCTGACCAGGTGTGTTTGGTGTCTCGCCGCCGGAGCTAAAGTCGACGACAGTCTGGGGTGTTCGCGGTTCCCAAGCGCTCGAATTCTGAATGTGGGTAGGGATGCTCGGGATTGGCTTCTGGCCAGAAAAGAGGTAATGCTGCCCGTTAGGTTCGCGCAACTGCGGACGATTCGGTGTAGAGGATGGATTTTTGGTTGGAGAGTCGAGGACGGAATGTGTACCTGAAAGGCCCGCACGAGGGTCACAAGTCAGAGGTTGTTGTTGCGGGGGATTGCTAGGGATCGGTTCGGCGGTGGAAGACTTGAGCTTACGCTTCTTCGCGAGTTGAGACTGCTGGCTAGTGATCCACGGCGAACTGGCATCTACTCGTCCAGTCTCGTTTTCCCACTCAAAGTCCATCGGGGTGGTGGATGGGCGGTGTCGAGACATGGTGATGGGTGTGCGTGGGTGCGTGTGCCCACTGGTCACAGAAACGAGGAGAGGAGGGGAGCAAGGAGGCGGTGGGCGTGAAAAGTCGATCGCGGAGTGGGCTCCGGTTGAGCTGTGACGTTTGCTGGTCGAGGCTACAGTTTTCACTGCAGTTCTATATGTCTACTGTTGTGCGTTGCTATTTGTGTGGCCCGCATTGGGGTGTAAACAAACCAGTTCCACGCCCGCACTGCCATCCATGCGAGCGGGCGAACCGGACCTCCGGCGTGTGGCTGGTGCGCGCAACGACACTACTTTCCCCAACTTCATTCCGACACTTCAGCATTCAATCTTTCAGCCAATCAACCACGACCATATACCATTCAAGTGAACAAGTCGAACGATTGATTAATTCTAGCAAAAACAACAAAATCTACCGGATTCTAATCATGTGATGCTAAAGCAACACGAAACAAAACGGGATATCTCCATTTGCCGTTACCCTCATCCCAGAACGCCGATTGCACACTATTCCCTCACCGAACAAATTTGCATTCCCTCCTTTTTATGCAGCCGCAGCAGCGCTGGCCTCCTCCTTCTCCTCGTACTTGTCCCAGTTTGCGAGAATGTTGCCAATCTTGGGCGAGTTTGTCAAGCGGTACACATCCTCAAAGTACTCTTTGGTGAGCTCGAACGGCTTGGCCGTTACGTTGGGAATGTACTTGCCGACCAACTTGGACGGATCGATCGAAGTCTTGTGAATCTTCTTCAACAAGAAGTTTCGGAATGGCTTCACGCCAGATCGCAGGAAGGTGCTGTGGAATGGCACATCGATGCCCTTGAGGGGGATGGTGGCGAAACCACGCTCCAAGTCGATTGGCTGCGGCTTGCTCTTCGTTGTCTCCGCAGCCTGGTTGATCATCTCCACAAGGTGCTGCTTGAGTTCCTCCAGAGACAGCGTTTGCATAAGATCTTGAATGTCAATCTTTTGCTGCTTCAGGTAGTTGAGGACGTTGGTGAGGCAGTCGAGCGCACGGAGATCACCTGCGCACACATACTGCATGTTGGCAATGTTGTAGTTGACAATCTCCAACAGCCATCCCGTCTGCTCCGAGATGTTCTCAACCACATACTGCAGTGCTTGCTCGTTGAACGTCTTCGAGATTCTGCTGGGGTTGACAGCGCACATGGAGTAGTTGGAGCGACCCGTCTCGTCACGCTCCACAGCGACTTGCATGGTCAATCCGCGGTAGAACACGACGGATACCAAACTCTCAATAGGCATGACCTCAGCAAGGGCAGCAAGGGCAGAGTACTCTCCGAGAGAGTGACCAGCGAACGTGCTGTCACGCTGAACCAATCCCTTGGCGCGCATATCTTCAAACGAGGCCTTCTCCATCAGTGTGAGAGCAGGCTGCGTGAATTGAGTAGCAGAGAGGAGACCAGTGGGGGATCGGTACGTGTACGAAGTGGTGTTTTCGTCAATCTCCTTGAAGATCTTCTCGGACTTCACGCTTCCATCCGCGCTGACAGTCTCAAAAGTCATGGACATGTAGTTTTGGCGGATAGCTTTGCCACGGGGGCCGCCAAAGTGAATGGTGAGCTCCTTCGGGTTGTTCTTGACAATGTTGGTGATGGCAAATCCTAAAGAATGGTCAGTGCTATGTTACATCATGGGAAAGTATTGTACATACCGTAGTTATCCATGAAGTGCTTGTCGGCGCGGTCCCACACTGCCTTGGCGACTTCGCTGCTGGCATAGAGGTCCATACCCATGCCTTGCTCCTGAGAGCCTTGACCAGTGAAGACATAGGATGTTGTGGGCTGTTCGACCTCGGCCTCTCCGAGAAGGACCTTGTCTTCAGTTTCCTTGTTGTTGACTTCAATCTTGATGATCTTACGACCAGAAACCATGCCCACGTGCTGAAGCTTGACCTCCAGCATATCGTCGGGCAAGACCATGCCAACGAGGCTGACATGGTAGCTTCGGACACGTCCAATGTGGTTCTCAGCGGCCCATGTTTCTACCAAGCTACGCACGGCAGCACTAGAGTACATGCCATGGGTGATGGTCCCAGGAAGATTGGCGTACTTGGAGAAGACACGCGAGACGTGGATTGGGTTGTAGTCACCAGATACACGAGCGTAGGTCTCGTTAGAGGCGGGCGCTCTCAGAGTGAGAGGAGTCTTGCCATTCAACGGGATGGGGTTCTCAAAGTTGACAGGCTGGTCAATGGCGGAACCATTGCGCTCAAGATAGTCAAGCACCGGGTTGCCATAAGATGTTCCGGCAGAGTAGTCGACGGATGCGACCTGAACGATTTCCTTGCTGGGAAGTTCCAAAAGTACCTCACCAACAGTTTGAACTTCGGAGAAAGCCGTCTTGGTCTTGTAACGAACAAAGCTCTCCAATTTGAAAGTGAGAGTCTTATTCAGGAGCTCAACATCAGGCTCGTCCAAGTTGAACCACTCCTTGGAGCGGAGAATAGCGACATCTTTGCTGGTAGCCAAGTGCAGCTCCCTGGGGGTTTCCACCGTCCTCTGGAACGTGTTCTCGAAATCAGTGTAGGCGCCACGGTACAAGAACTGGCTGGTGACTTCCATGACGGCTTCTCCATCGCGAGTGATGGTACCGCACACCTCAACCATCTTACCAGAGTCCTGGTTGATGACGGCGTTGATCTGGGCTGTGGTGTCGAGGACATCACCCTTCTTAAGGGGCTCCGCACCGGGAAGCATACGGAAACCATTGGACAGATGGACGAGCTTCAAAAGATCGCCATCAATGGCTCTGGGGAAGATGGGCTTTGTGATGGCCTTCCATCCAACAACGATGGCAAAGTCCATGGGGGCAAACACCTCCTTGTTGGGTCGTTCGACGAAAGCTTCGCCAGTGTTGCCGACGGCGTGAACGAAATCGTTGATGGCCTCGCTCGTGACCGTAGCCCGACCTCCGTCGAATTTGGATGATACGGGAGCGTCGAAGGGGCACTCTTCATTGCCGAACCAGATCTTGTAGTAGAAATCCTTGATCCTGTCGTTGCGGGCGTCCATGACCTCGTGGATGGGAGCGTAGCCAAACTCTGGACGATAGGTGAACTTCAAAGGCAACGCAACAGCTTTCTTTAGAGCAGTACGCTCCTCATACAGGTTGAGGACGATTTCGTTGGCATTGGTGAGGCTGATATCGACCGTCTTGATGTGTTTGCCGCCGTGGTGCGGCTCCTTGACGGTGATGACGGTCTTGGCAGGCTCATTGGGGTTGGCAATCTCGACCATCATGCCTGGGGTAGGAGCAAAGACGCGTGCGATCGGGTTGGTCTGGAATCGCTGGCCTTGAACGAAGACATCCGTGGTGAAGAAGGCGTGCCTCCACGAATAGCTGCTACCAGCCAGGAGATGAAGCCAAGTTTGGAGATCTGGCAACGTGGAGTTGGGTGCAGACGAAAGACGGTAGAGAGTCTTGTTCTCCAGCTGAGACACGGTAAGGCCATCTACTTCCACATCTTCGCTGTTCTCGATGAGTTTGCTTCCAAAGTATTCGATTGAAGGAATCTTGGAGGCATCACCACCGTAAACATCTCTCAGCAAGTACTCAATGTGGCCGTTGTGAACGCCATCCAGGATATCCTTGACAGGTTCGTTGGTTTTGGTGGCGTACTTGACAGCCATAGGACCTTGCAAGATACAGGTGCGCTCAACGTCCTGGTCAACGACAGCGTCAAGATCTTCGGATTGCCACAAGGAGTCCTTCTTGAAGAAGAGCTCAAAGGTTTCATCGAGGACTGGGACGAAAGGCACTGGCTTCTGGCCACGACGCTGGCAGAGCAGGAGGAAGTGCTGGACGTCTTGGGCATTGATGAGCTGCTCCGAAGCCGCTGGGTAAGTCTCGAGGACCTTCTTCACGGTTGGGTAAGGATCTGCAAGCTCTTCGTAGGTCTGGATGAGGGAATCCACGTCGCCGCTGGCGAAACGCTCCTCGAGGCGGCGGATGAAGTCGCCAGTCAGACGCTGGTGGCTGGGGTCAATCCAGCGGGATTGATGCTTGACGTACATCAGGTCCACCATACGTTGAACCACCTCGGCGTACGTCATGTCCTCGAGATCAACAGATTCACCGTGCTTGTTCTTGCCGAACCACACCTTTTGGAAGTCGTTGTTGAGGCGCTTGATGATGTAGTCGCGCATCTTCTTGAGTTCTGGCACGCGCTTGGCCTTGTCCAAAGCGAAGATTTTCTTATCCATCTCAGCCCAGAACTTGACACCGCGAGTGGCAAGCTTGTGAATAGGCTCGCCCATCTCAGAACGAACGGTGATGACTCCGCCAGCCGGGCCCTTGTACGTCTGTTCCCAGTCGTTGTCTTCCAAGCCAGGAGCGCGGACAATGGCTTCCTTGGCGGCTGTGGATGTTTTCGCTTCCTTTGCGGTCATTACACGGGAACCAAACAAGCAACCATCGAAGGGCATAGGTGGGTAGCCAAATTTCGTGGACCAGGTACCAGTGAGGTACGGGTAGGTGTCCTCGGCGCCACCGAAACCAGAACCGGCAACGAGGATAAGGTTTTCAACCTTGCGGAGACGGCTGTACATCTGGAGAATGGGTTGATGGAAGTCTTCAAAAGAGTGATGTCCACCGCCGCGACCGCCAGTCCACTGCATGATGACAGGGAAACCTGGGTTTGCCTTGGCAATGTTGATGGTCTGTTGGATAGCTTCAACTGAGCCGGGCTTGAAGGCGATGCGCTTGAGACCCAAAGTCTCAATGTATTCATTTGCGACCTCAATAGATGGTACTCCGGCGCCGATGGTCAAACCCTCAATCGGGACACCTTCGGCCCTCAGTTTAGCCAGCATGGGGATTTGCCAGGCCATGTGACGAGGAGTGACATAGATCAAATTGACGCTAATGCCACGACCAGCCTGGATAGCTTGTTCGACCTTGTTGATAGCAGCGCTCATGCTCTTCTCGTTGTAGTAACCACCACCTGCAAGCTCAATGTCGTATCCGGCATTCATTGTAGCAGCGACAAAGTCCCAGTGGACAGTGCAGGGTGTCATACCAGCAACCATGACGGGGGGCAGGCCGAGGGTTCTGCTCAGCTTGGTATCCACGTACGTTTGCCCAGTCGACGTTTTCACGAGGCGTGGAGCATGTTCCTTGACCCAATCGGGAGCATAGGTGACGGCATGCTCGAAGTCGCGATCGAAAATCTCGGGCTTGTATCCAATCTCGGAATTCTGACCTTCAATGGCACCGGCCAGAATAACTCGGACACCGGTTCCGTCCTTGTTGCGGTTCGTCAAGACGCCCAGACCCGAAATACCACCAGGCCCGAAGTCGAGAATATGTGTTGCGCGGGGAAAGACGGTGGCCAATTCCCAGTCAACCGAGTCGTTGGTGATCATGCGCACAAGTTGTGGGACGACGTTGTCGGAGCCAGCCTCGCGCAGATCCTTGCCGGTGTGGGTATTGAACATGGGGATACCAAGGTCACTGGCGGCGATCTTGATGTCTTTGAGATCTTCGTCGAGCTGCTTGGTAGCTTCAGCAAGGTAGGGGCTGTGGAAAGGTGCGGTAATGGGCAGGAAGCGGTTGACGAAACGGACTTTGCGGTCCGTGAAGGGAATCCTCGTTTGGTCGAGGCCTGTGGGAGCCTTCGCTTTGCGAAGACGCACATTCAAACCATAGAGAGAGATGGGCGGACCAGTGACGACGAAATTGCGAGCGCTATTGATGAGAGAAATGGCAATGTGCCTATCAGAGGGCAGATGAGCGTTTGTTGCGTCAATGTGCTCCTGAACCGCTTTGCGAGAGAGATCGCGGATGGACAACATGGGCGTGGGAGTGCCTTCGCCATGGTCCATCGAATCTTGCAAGACGTTGGGAGCAAGCGAGGTGCGAGGATATGCTTGTTGACTTCGGGTACCGATCCAGAAGAGAATGGTGATGGCCTTTTTGGCGGCCTGCTCGAAAGATTCCCAATTGCGGGCTTCAGCAATGGCAGCTGCTGTGACGACACCCTGGGAATGACCGGTGGTACCACTCAGACGGCTTCGGAAATGGCCCGGGTGGCTGCCGAGTACTCTACACGTCACAACGTAGTGGGCCAGTTGAGTCAAACCGATCAATGGCAGACTGACGGGAGCAGAAACCAAGTAGTCGGTGTCCGGCTGCGATTCTGGGTTGTTGAGCCAGCGCATGACATCGAGACCCTTGGAGTAGAGCTTCTCGGCGCGAGGATCGCGCGACAATTGAAGCAGATGTTGGGCTTCGGCGCCGATGAAATCTTCCACGAAGGAGGGGTATGTGTTGTAGATTTCCCGGAGCTCCTCAAAGTACTCCTCGATGTTGCCCTGACCGCCCAGAACAGCGTACAGGAAAGCATTCTCGTCAGCAGCCTCGCGAAGGAGAGCAGACTCGTGATGCTTGATGGGTCGCTCCGCAGCAATACGGGCGTTGTAGTAACACCGGACGGTGATGAGCTTCTTCTCGGGGATGCCTGGGAGGGTGGCGGCCAGCGCATGCACCTCGTTGCCACGGAGGAAAGCACGCTCGAACTCGGTAAGGACAAGTTTGAGCACTTCTTCGAACGAGTCGGGGTCTTCACCTTCCTCGACCTCCTTGGCGATGAAGCCTAGGTAGCGAGCCACCAATTCAGCGACCGACGAAGGCTCCTCATCCAGAGCCAACTCGTCTGTGGGCTCGGGGAGGGTGGCCTTGAAAGCATCCCGCAGTTGCTGGGCATTGAAGTGTAGAGCGGTGGGAATCAGGAGAGTGTATTCGAGGGACCCGTGCGAGAGAACGAGGGGGCGGAGGGATGCCTGAGAGCGCGGGGTGGAGATTCCCGTCTGAGGGCCTGAGCCATACATGATGGGCGTATTGAATTGAAAGTGTCTAGTAGAGAGAAAATGTGAGCCGGGGAAGCAATGGATCCGGGGCGGGGACGGAAGTGTGCAGATTGTGTGATGAGTGGGGTATTTTGGGAGGAGAGAGAGATGGAGGGAGGGAGAGAGGACAGAGGAGCAGGATGGTAGGCAGGAATGCAAACGTACCTTCCAAGGCGAATTGCAAAAGGCAAGTAATTGACAGCACGAAGGAAGGTGGGGCCAATTGACTCTATAGCATGGTTAGATAGGAAAGTGTGTTGTTTTGGCTCAATTGCGGATGGGGAGAGTGAGACGGAGAAAAAAAGTGCAGGGTATGATGGTCGAAGCACTTGGGGGGGCAGCAAGCGATGACGGAGCTGGATGTAGGCAGATAAATCAGAAAACGAGGAGTAACATACATACAATTACAGCAATCAAGTCAAGGAGAAGGCGGAATTGGATGATGGATGGACTGGGCGAAGCTAATCGCCAGTGGGTGAAGGTGTAGATGTGTTTGCGGGTGTGTGTGTGTGCGTAGGAATTTGTTTCGACTGCAACGGCCAGACTGCAGCTCCCTTGCGATGACGAGATGGGATGGATGAGGTCGCCCGGGTATTATAAAAGTAAAACACAGGAGAGAGAACAGCGGTGTGAGAGAGGAGGGGTGGGGGGAGGTGAAGAAGAAGAGAGCAAAGGCACTGGTGGAAGAAGAAGAATAATATTAGGGTGCTAGATTTGCCCACTCAAGGTGTTGGGGACGGGAGTGCATGGGCGACCAGGGTAGGTCGAGGCGGGCAGGGATGCGAGTGGAGACGGCTGCGACAGGCCAGAGGGGCCAGAGGGAGAGAAAAAAAAAAGTTGAGGGCGTGCGGGCGCAGGGTCAGTTCGGCTGGGATGCGCTAGAGCTATGGCCGTCGCCGCTGTTGACCCCCTGTGAGTTGTTTGTTGGGGACGACGGGGGGGAGTTCCACACCCAAGCAGGCGTAGGTACCGTGAACCAAGTCGATTGAATAATAATGGTGGTTGACGGTCGCCCGTCGGGACCGGAGCCAGAAGTCGTCCTTATCTCGCCTACCCCCAAAACGGCTGCCTGTCTCTGCCATGGACAGGTGCACTACACACTACACGATGCAGCCATCCAGCCATTGATCCCATCGACCGCCTAGATACGCACTTAACTAAGTACATACATATGACGCCAATTGCTGAGACGCACGATGATGGCTGTTGAGGCGGCCTTGTTGACGTGCCCGTTCCTGCCCCAACGTGCTTGTGCATGCTCACCGTCCATCATGTGTATACTATAGTAGTCTGGAGTGAATGAGGCGTCTCCTGCACCTACTACTCCTACTACAGCTCTCCCTCAGCAACTGCTGGTGAGCAGCAGGTCGTCGGCCCGCCAATTATCCCGCCGGCATTCGCTGTCGTCGTCCGAGTGCGCTAGAAGAGCTGCTAAAACAGCCTGCTGCTCTCTTGTCAAGTGCCCCCCCCTCGCTCTCTCGTCTGATCGCCCCCTTGTCGTGGGTGTGGCCTGGTCTCTGCCGCCGCCTCGAATCGGCGAAAACGGGTGCGACCAACGGAACAGGGGTCCATGGATTTTTAGCTCCGCCGCCCGAGAATTCCTCAACACGCCCACCAACTTCTGTCTCGCTGCTTGTTCGCCAGGCTCCATCACCGCTTGATAAACACACCCCCCAATGCCTGGTGCTGTCTGTCCCTGAATCTCTTCCCTCTTCTCAACTCGCTTCCCGTGGCATTCTTCATTGAAGCTCCACCACCCCTCCTCCTCTTCTCTCTCTTAATATCACCCCCTTCTCCCCACACGACGACAACACACACACAACACACTGCAATTGCAGCCCAGCACGATCCCACCACCCATCGTCGCTGCCTCTCTTGACAACTTGATACCCGTTGTTCCTTCCCTTTTGCCTAGAGATACCCATTGACCCCTCTCCGACCATCTGACCTCACATCCGCCCTTGAATCCAACTCATCTCGCCTCAAACCACCCCTCGTGTTTTTCGCATTCTGCTCACGACACCACCCCCAAAAAAAACCTTCACCATGCGTCCCGAGATCGAGCAGGAGCTCTCGCACACCCTGCTCATCGAGCTCCTCGCATACCAATTCGCCTCTCCCGTGAGATGGATCGAGACGCAGGATGTCGTTCTCGGCGAGAAGACGACGGAGCGTATCGTCGAAATCGGTCCCGCAGACACACTCGGCGTAATGGCCAAACGCACACTGGCGTCAAAATATGAGGCCCACGATGCCGCTCTCTCGGTGCAGCGTCAGATTCTCTGCTACAACAAGGACGCGAAGGACATTTACTACGATGTAGACCCCGTAGAGGAGGAGCCAGAACCCGCGGCCGCCTCTGCTAGCGATGCTCCTGCGTCCTCTTCTGCTGCACCCGCTGCAGCTGCCGTAGCAGCAGCCCCTCCACCCCCCAGCGCTGGTCCCGCGGCCGCCGTCGCCGATGCTCCCGTCACCGCTACAGATATCCTCCGCGCTCTCATCGCTCAAAAGCTGAAAAAGCCATTGGCCGATGTGCCATTGAGCAAAGCCATCAAGGATTTGGTTGGAGGTAAGTTGGTCCCATATCCATTCCGCAGCTCAGGCTCCCTATAGTCCAAAACTGACGTTATAACAAGGCAAATCAACTCTCCAAAACGAAATCCTTGGTGATTTGGGCAAAGAGTTCGGCTCCACCCCGGAAAAGCCCGAAGACGTCCCTCTGGATGAGCTCGGTGCTGCGATGCAGGCCACCTTCAATGGTCAGCTTGGCAAGCAGTCTTCCTCGCTCATTGCCCGCTTGGTATCCTCCAAGATGCCCGGTGGTTTCAACATCACAGCTGTGCGAAAGCACCTCGAGAACCGCTGGGGCTTGGGTCAAGGCCGACAAGACGGCGTGCTGCTGCTTGCCCTCACCAACGAGCCTGCCGCCCGTCTCGGCTCCGAGAACGATGGAAAGGCCTGGTTGGACGAGCAGGCCAACAAGTATGCTGCCGCCGCTGGCATCAGCTTGTCATCGCCCGCCGCTGGTGGAGATGCCGGTGGTGCTGCTGGTGGCATGATGATGGATCCCGCTGCTATTGATGCCCTCACCAAGGACCAGCGTGCTCTCTTCAAGCAGCAGCTCGAGCTGTTTGCGCGCTACCTCAAGATCGACCTCCGGTCTGGTGATAAGGCTTTCCTCGATTCTCAGAAGGCCTCGTCTGCGCTCCAGGCCCAGCTGGATCTGTGGAATGCCGAGCACGGCGACTTTTACGCTGCCGGAATCGAGCCTCAATTCACCTCCCTGAAGGCTCGCGTCTACGACTCCTCGTGGAATTGGGCACGCCAGGATGCGCTCAGCATGTACTACGACATTATTTTCGGGCGCCTCAAGGCTGTGGACCGTGAAATCGTCAGCCGCTGCATCCAGATCATGAACCGCTCGAACCCTCTGCTGCTCGACTTCATGCAGTATCACATCGATCACTGCCCCACAGAGCGCGGTGAGACGTATGAGCTTGCCAAGGAACTTGGTCAACAGCTCATCGAGAACTGTAAGGATGTTCTCAACGAGGCACCCGTTTTCAAAGATGTCGCCATGCCTACTGCCCCTCATCTTGACATTGATGTCAAGGGTAGCCTGAACTACGCCGAAGTGCCCAGACCAAGCGTTCGTAAGCTCGAGCACTACGTTCGGGAGATGGCCGAAGGAGGAAAACTCTCCGAGTACGGCAACCGCACCAAGGTGCAGAATGATCTGCAGCGCATATACAAGCTCATCAAGCAGCAACACAAGCTTTCCAAATCTTCCCAGCTGCAGATCAAGAGTTTGTACAGCAATGTCATTCGTTCTCTGTCCATGAACGAAGGCCAGATTATTCCCAACGAGAATGGCAAGGCTGTCAACGGACTCGGAAAGAAGGGTCGCAACGGCCGCGTCGCACCGGCTAAGCAGGGCAAGGTGGAGACCATTCCTTTCTTGCACTTGAAGAGAAAGGATGATCACGGCTGGGAATACAGCAAGAAGCTTACCGGCATTTATCTCGACGGTCTCGAGAGCGCCGCCAAGGACGGTGTCACCTTCCAGGGCAAGTATGCGCTCATGACGGGTGCCGGTGCAGGTTCCATTGGTGCCGAGGTGCTCCAGGGCCTCATCAGCGGTGGAGCCAAGGTGCTCGTCACCACTTCCCGCTTCTCTCGCGAAGTCAACGAGTACTACCAGTCCATGTACACTCGCTATGGTGCTCGTGGCTCCCAGCTCATCGTGGTACCTTTCAACCAAGGCAGCAAGCAGGATGTTGATGCGCTTGTGGATTACATCTTCGACACCAAGAACGGTCTCGGCTGGGACCTGGACTATGTTGTTCCCTTCGCTGCCATTTCTGAGAATGGCCGTGAGATTGACGGAATCGACTCCAAGTCCGAGCTTGCTCATCGCATCATGTTGACCAACCTTCTCCGCCTTCTTGGTGCTGTCAAATCACAAAAGGCCGCGCACGGCTACGAGACACGTCCTGCGCAGGTCATCCTGCCGCTATCCCCCAACCACGGTACCTTTGGTAACGACGGTCTCTACGCCGAATCCAAGATTGCTCTTGAGACTCTCTTCAGCCGCTGGCACTCTGAAAGCTGGGGCAACTTCCTCACCATTTGCGGAGCCGTTATCGGTTGGACCCGTGGTACTGGTCTCATGGCAGGCAACAACATCGTCGCTGAGGGCATTGAGAAGTACGGTGTACGAACCTTCTCTCAGCAAGAAATGGCCTTCAATCTTCTTGGCCTCATGTCTCCTTCAATTGTCAACCTTTGCCAGGTTGAGCCAGTCTGGGCCGATCTCAATGGTGGTTTCCAATACATTCCCAACCTCAAGGATTTGATGACCGATCTTCGCAAAGAGTACATGGAGACGAGCGAGGTACGCAAGGCTGTCATCAAGGAGAATGCGATTGAAAACAAGATCGTCAACGGCGAGGCTAGCGAGGCTTTGTACAAAAAGGCCACGATCCAGCCAAGGGCGAACATGAAGTTCGACTTCCCCAAGCTCCCCAACTGGGAAAACGAAGTGAAGCCTCTCAACAATGACCTCAAGGGCATGGTCGATCTCGAGAAGGTTGTCGTCGTCACAGGTTTCGCCGAGATTGGTCCCTGGGGTAACTCCAGAACCCGCTGGGAAATGGAAGCCTATGGCGAGTTCTCGATCGAGGGCTGCGTCGAAATGGCCTGGATGATGGGTCTCATCAAGAACCACAACGGCCCGCTCAAGGGTAAAAGCTACTCTGGCTGGGTCGATACCAAGTCTGGAGAGCCCGTGGACGACAAGGATGTGAAGGCCAAGTATGAGAAGCACATTCTAGAGCACTCTGGTATCCGCCTGATCGAGCCTGAACTGTTCGGCGGCTATGATCCCAAGAAGAAGCAATTGCTTCAGGAAATCCAGATCGAGGAGGACTTGGATCCTTTCGAGACGTCCAAGGAGACTGCCGACGATTTCAAGCGCCAGCACGGTGAACATGTTGAGATTTTCGAGATACCCGATTCTGGCGAGTACACTGTACGTCTCAGGAAGGGTGCTACTCTTCTCATTCCCAAGGCCTTACGCTTTGACCGTCTTGTCGCTGGTCAAGTGCCTACCGGCTGGGACGCCAAGAAATACGGTATTCCCGAGGACATCATCTCTCAAGTCGACCCCGTCACCCTCTACGTGCTTGTGTCTACTGCCGAATGCTTGCTCTGCAGTGGTATCACCGACCCATACGAGTTCTACAAGTATGTCCACCTCTCCGAAGTCGGCAACTGTATCGGTTCCGGTATTGGTGGTACGTCTGCTCTCCGTGGCATGTACAAGGATCGTTACCTCGACAAGCCTGTGCAGAAGGATATTCTCCAGGAGTCTTTTATCAACACCATGAGCGCGTGGATCAACATGTTGCTCATGTCATCCACTGGTCCCATCAAGACCCCAGTAGGTGCTTGCGCTACTGCTGTTGAGTCCATCGACATCGGTTACGATACTATCATGGAGGGCAAAGCTCGTGTCTGCTTTGTGGGTGGTTTTGATGACTTCCAGGAGGAAGGATCTTATGAATTCGCCAACATGAAAGCCACCAGCAACGCCGAAGACGAATTCGCTCATGGCCGCACTCCCCGCGAAATGTCCCGCCCTACTACGACGACCAGGAACGGCTTTATGGAGTCGCAGGGTTGCGGTATGCAGGTCATCATGGATGCCCGACTCGCCCTCGACATGGGTGTGCCCATCTACGGTATTGTGGCTTTCACTGCAACGGCTACAGACAAGATTGGCCGCTCCGTTCCTGCCCCAGGCAAGGGTGTACTGACCACTGCTCGTGAGCAGCCCGGCAAGTTCCCCTCACCTTTGCTCGACATCAAGTACAGGAAGAGGCAGATGGATCTTCGACGACGACAGATCAAGCAGTGGCACGAATCCGAGCTCCTGTACCTGCAGGAGGAAGTCTCTGCCATGAAGGACGCAGCCCAGGAATTCGACGAGTCCGAATACCTCCAAGAGCGCGCCGCTCACATTGAGCGCGAGGCCAAGCGCCAGGAGAAGGATGCCCTCAACAGCTTGGGCAATGCCTTCTGGAAGCAAGATTCCCGCATTGCTCCTCTCCGTGGTGCTCTCGCGACTTGGGGTCTTACCATTGACGATCTCGACGTGGCCTCTTTCCACGGCACATCGACTGTCGCCAACGACAAGAACGAGTCAGACGTTGTCTGCGAGCAAATGCGCCATCTTGGCCGCACCAAGGGCAATGCTGTGCTCGGTATCTTCCAGAAGTACCTTACGGGTCACCCCAAGGGTGCTGCTGGTGCCTTCATGTTCAACGGTTGTTTGCAGGTCCTGAACACGGGCTTGGTCCCAGGCAACCGAAATGCCGACAATGTCGACAAGGTCATGGAACAGTACGAGTACATCGTCTACCCCTCGCGACCGATCCAGACGGACGGTGTCAAGGCTTTCTCCGTCACCTCCTTTGGTTTCGGCCAGAAGGGCACCCAAGCTATTGGTATTCACCCCAAGTACCTGTACGCTGCCCTTGAGCACACCGAATTTGCTACGTACAAGCAGAAGGTTGAGGCCCGCCAAAAGAAGGCTTACCGATACTTCCACGACGGTCTCATTAACAACACCATCTTCCGTGCCAAGGACAAGTCGCCTTACGAGGATGACAAGATGAAGGAGGTTTTCTTGAACCCACGTGCTCGCGTCGAGGTCGAGTCTAAGACGTCAACCTACGTCTTCCCCAAGGTCCTCAACACGGTTCCCGCCAAAGACGCAAAGTCCCAGGAGACGATGAAGATGCTCGAGTCGATAACGCAAGCATCTGCCTCGGCCAATACCAAGATCGGCGTGGATGTTGAGAAAATCGATGCCGTCAACATCGAGAACGAGACGTTTGTCGAGCGCAACTTCACCTCGCAGGAGATTGCGTACTGCCAGAAAGCCGCCAGCCCACAGTCAAGCTTCGCTGGTAGGTGGTCTGCAAAGGAGGCGGTTTTCAAGTCCCTCGGCGTCAAGAGCCAGGGTGCTGGTGCCGCTCTAAAGGATATCGAAATCACGAGCGATGCCAATGGCGCCCCATCTGTCAAGGTAAGAGCGAATGACCATCTGATCCGGTACATGTACTAACATTTCACAGCTTCACGGTGTTGCCGAAGAAGAGGCCAAGCGCGCTGGCGTCAAGAAGGTCAGCATCAGCATTAGCCATTCGGACGATCAGGCCGTTGCAGTGGCTGTCGCAAGCTTCTAGATAGATTATAGATGAGGCAGGCATTCTGTTTGCGATTCAGGTTTTGTAATGACGAAACTGTGCACGAGGGCTTCTGTTTGTTCGTGTTTTTTTTCCTTTGGAAGATAAGATTTCTATTCATATATGGTTAGAGGGATTATCTGCACGATGGTGCTTGTTGCTCTATGGGGCTGGCGCATTTGTAGCGTTTGTTTTCTTCACGCAGTCGGGTGACAAAAATGTTGTATACTTTTTTCAACGCGGACGTTGTATCTTTTATCAAGGCAAAAACAGATGAAAATTCTAACTTATGCATGCTACTTTGATTTCACCGTGTCTAGACGGCAGTAAAGGGGAGAATGGAGGAAAGCAAGTGCTTGCGGAAAGGAAAGCAAAAGAAAAAGAGGTTTAGCGCCTCGGCCTCACCCAACCTCCGTCGTCATCGAACCCCCTCCAAAAAAACAAAAAGCTACCCCTCCCCCATACTTGTTCCCAGGTACCATGCATGCACGATGCATGGCCCAACCCTCGCATCGTCCCGCAGACGGGACGACCCAGATGCGCGGGTTGATGTGTGTCAAGGCGTTTTGTTGGGGAAGGGGGTGGATTAAAGTTTTTCTCTGACATGTGAAAGAAAAAGGGTCCGTGAACACACCAAAATCTCGGACTTCCGAAGGGAGAGGGGCTCGGGGCTCGCCTTTCACATGTCAGACAGAACTTGGCCTGGCCTGGTCGGCCGGGGGTTGTGCCGAACTGGTACTGGTACTGGTACTGGTACTGGAACAGGACAAGGACACAAGGTGGGGAGGGGAGTCTTTTGAGATGCCGACATGAGGCTGATGGCGTGGTTCACCTTTTTAAGCATTTTTCTTCATCGTGTTTTCTGACTTTCTTTTCTCGATTCTAGGATTTTTGATTTCTTCCTTTTTTTTCTTCTTTTTTTTTCCTTTTTGCGTTGTGAGTATTGTATTGAGGGACATGGATAGATGGCGAGGATCGTGTGTGTGTATGTGCACATGTGTATGTACTGTTTGTTATGTATTGCATACTTATATACATGTAGTAGTAGTAGTAGTAGTAGTAGTAGTAGTAGTAGTAGTAGTAGTAGTAGTAGTAGTAGTAATATTTGTGAAGCTGTAGAAGAGATAGATTGTACTAGATTCCATTGTATAACCATTGCATTTTCCCATGCGGCAACCGCCACTTGTTGTGTAGAATGAAGACTTGGATGGTACATAGTTAGTTATTAGCTGGTACCTTCGTCGGGTGAGATGTGTCGTGTTTTCTTCTTCTTTTCTTTTCTTTTTCTGGTTTACAGTGTTTGACTGTGTGTTGGCAGAGTACTTTAGCATTCCTCTCCATGTGTTATCATTTATGTCACATCCTACACAAGTGTTGATAAAGTAAATGCGTACGTACCTGATTTCTGATGTGTCATGTAGAATATATTGGAAACTAGAGGACGTTGCAATGTAGAGAATCCAATGACGGTCGCTATTAACCTGTTTTTCCATGCGTTGTGGCTTCTTCTTACTAGGATCCTTACCGAGTAAGGAGACGAGGAAAGGAAGGAGAAAGATAGGCATGTGCATCTGAGTCTGCTACATGTCTGTCCATCTCGGTAGATAGACAGGCGCGGAGGGAGGTATTCGCCTTCCATCGCTGTCAAGGAACGAACATGACAAGTGCAATAAATGTGTAAATGATTGACCGACTTCTGATTGAGTGCTCTATGATATATTATATATATGTTTGAGAGCGCGAGTAACAAAACGACACGCGCGTAGGTAAGGGTTAGGGTTAGGGTTACGTACGCAGGCTTGGTTGACTGTATAGCGCATGTGTGCTATCTAAAGCAACGGGCGAAAGTTGTCTTCTTTTTTGTTTCCTCTTCTTTTCTGTTATCTAATTTAGACATTTTGAACCTTGTCGAAATGGGTTGGTTGGTTCTTGGTTTACGTTGAATTGTATATAAAGTAAGTATTTTTTGGTCATCGCTCGTTTTTTGGTCTATTTATCGTTGTAACCCTTCGCTGTGTGTAGGATCTATCCAACTCAAACTCAAAATCAAGTAAATAAGGTAGATCAAAACGTTGAGATTTTTGAATTGTAGCAATAACAAATGTCCAATTCCAAAGGAACGGAGGGGGAGGATTTGCTTTGATCATAGATTTCTCTGGTTCTTTGCTTGCACTGCGGGAAATGGGCTATCCCTAACCTGCTATGTACTTTTATTTTCGGGTATCTAGGGGGGGAGAGACGAAGTGATACTTCGATAGTATGTGGTATTTAGAAGAAACAGCGTAGAGGAAAATGAAGGGGAGCAAGGTCAAGGACAAAGTCTGAGGGTCGAGGAGCTTTACTCCGCGTGATATAGTCTGTAGACAATGCAATGGCGCAGCAAGCAGACAAGCACCGATGTAATCTATTGCATTGAGATAGTCTATCTAAGCAATGGGCGAACAAGCATGCAATGATACCCCATGTTTGTGTTTTCATCGTTTAAGTCTGGTGAATGCGAGATCTTCTTGAGCGTCTTTGAGAAGGAAGCTATTCAACGTTAGTCTCTGACATATTGTAAAGGATAGGTATAAAAGAGAGGGCGCCATACTTGTACCACCAAATGGTCGGTCCAACGGTGCCCAGATGCCATAGACTATGCGCATCGATCATACCTCCCCAGGGCGGGAAATCCAATAGCTCGAAGCTCATCGCTAGCAATATCCACGCAACGATCAATCCAGGCCACATGGCCCACACCCTGCCGACCCTCCTGTATTTGACAAACGAGAAGCCGCTCCACAGCAGATTCTGCACGCATCCTACGGCAACGTTGGCTGCCATGTTATATGTGTAGTCCCAGCGCCACAAGGTCAGGTAGGCAACATGCAACGTGTACAAGAGTATGCAAGTCACGGTCCACAGCCTGAGTAGCGACTGCCGCATGCGATCCTCCTTACGGTCCAGCCTGCACACCCTCACGACCGTGAAGTACATGCCATAAAGCACGCTGGCGCCCGCGGCGAAGTAATCCAACTTCTCCGTGACGCCAAAGTCGCGCGTGTGAAACACCATGCTCGCGACCCAACTCGCCAGTCCAAAGTATCCAAACAACATGTAGTATTTCCGCAGCGGGTACGAGGCGGGGATCTTCTCGCGAAGCTGCGACACACCCCACGAATGCGCGAGGTAATTGAAGAGCGAGAAGAGGACGGAAAAGGGCTCCTGCATGCCCATGAAGCGGTAGAACGGCCATTTACCGTGGAATTGGGTAATGGGTTCCAGAAAGGGCGGGTCTCGGGACAAGCGCTTTGCGGTCACGATGTGTTGACAGTTGTAATCGCATTCCGAGGGACAGTCCCATAGCAGGATGCGGCGGTGAAGGGCTGGCAACGGGTCAACAATACTCGGCGGAGGATGGAGATTCGAGAAACGAACGTACGAATCGAGGTGGGTGTCTCATTGCAATTGGTTTCCTTGCATATCTGCAGAGTTGTGGTTAGAGTGGTGAGCTTGTCTGAGAAGTGCGCGCGTGTCACTCACTGCTACACAATTCCTGAAGTCCGGTAGACGGTCGCCTAGAGAGGCGTGTGCTGCTCCGGTGAGTAGTGTGAATATCCAGACGGTTTCCCATGATAACAAATTGAAGAGTCTCATCGTGATATTATGTTGCGGTAATCATGTCCGTAGAACGTTCCATGTAAGTATGTATGTTGTTCCGGTGTTGATGGTGTGGGGAAGGAAGTCGGGTGCGCTTGGCCGAGATTCCACCGAGGTTCCACCAAGTGACCTCACCCTTCGAACCCGCGATAATTTCACCCATCACCTTGGTATCCTTTCGATAGATGATTAGAGCAAAATAAAAGCAAGCCATTCAGCAGATGGCGAGGTCCCTCTGACTGATGAATACTCGGCGGCAAAAAGAATCCATTGGACGAGTGGAGGATCGAACTCCAGACCTCCCGCAAGCTTGATGCAAAGCGGACGCGCTACCGCTGTGCTACACGCCCCTGATATGGATTTATGAAAAGTTTTGCCGTTTTGCTGTAAATAATGCAGCATTTTTGTAGCGTCTCAGATTCACGCATGCTTACTTTGCTTGCTCGGTTCGCGTACCCTACTCCGTGACCATCTCCACTCTGCTCTCATGTACGCTCTAGCACGATTCGATGTCTGGATTAGCATTAGCTCATCCCCAGTCTCGAATCATGTATCCAAGCACGCACCTCCAACCCTTTCTTCTAATTGAACAATTTTGAAGTCTACGGCGCTATCGATACTGAAGATGTCACCACTTGATACATATATTCTCATACACATTGAGATTATTAACATGGTAGAATCTGGGGATCCGAGGTTACTGCGACTGATGACATCTGACACAACGCTAAGTAAGACACAGTGAGTTCTCACTGGACTCAAATGTGGTGGAACTTGGCCAGAACTCGGTGGTCCGATTTATCCTTCACATGCGCGTTCCTAATCTCACCAGTCGAGAATTCATACCAGCCTCGAGCAAGTGTGGGAGAAGTTACACCGACGCATGGTCCCCTAGATCACAGGAGAAGGGGCACGTAAATACTTGAACCGGCAACATCCAATCAACTTCCTCCAAGTACACTCGTCCCACACTTGTTCAACAACTCAACAACCAGCCAGACAATCAGCCAGCCAAGATGTTGTCCGCCATATCGAAACTCGTGACGCCACTGTCATTCTCACTCACGAGCCCAGAAACCGTGAACACGTCCCCATCAGTCTTGAACAAGGTAGAGGAATTCATCATGACATCGCAGCTCCAGTCTTGTCATAAACCTGGCGCGATTCGGAATCACTTGCCGGATGTTGCTACAGCCTAAAAAGGGGCCTTGCATCAGAGCCAGCAAGTCTGTGCCGGAACGTTTTGTCAAGATCATGACGAACTGAGAGTTCTAAACAATTAATTCATACGATTAAACTTAGCAGACATCATCCTTTACTAGGATCCCGCGATCTCATTCTCGTTTCCATCCGGGAGAGCCACTATTTCAACCAGTATTCCCAATTCGCTGCAGTGATTAACCCCCCACAACTTGGCGGAAATTTTGGAATCATCAAAAGCTGTAAGCGATCCTCAAATGTGTCTGCATATCAACGGACATCTTGCGAACTTGATGAGAAAGACCCATGATACGTTTTGGGCCAAAGAATTTGCATCCCTCTCAACGCATCTGCCTCGAGCTATAGAAAGAAGGCCCTAGAGCCAATAAACTGAATAGGTGTCTTCAACTTGAGACTCTATATACTAGTTCGCCTTAGTCTACTTGGGAGTGAGCAACGTACAAGAGTGAGCAAAGCGTGAGACCAAGCAAAGGACGGCAGCCAGCAAACAGCGGCTCCCACAACAGCGGATAGCCGTCATATTCTAATATTGAATTGATTAGGCTCGAATAGAGAAGTTAAATAAACTTTTTCTTCATATCTTATTACTCCAATCAACTTGAACGACTGAGACGCCAATTGCTGATTCTTAGCCACCCCCATCACCACCCCCACCTCCTCCTCCATCACCGCCACCGCCTCCGCCGTCGCCTCCACCGCCTCCGCCGTCACCTCCGTCACCCCCAGCCTCATACATCCAAGATTCTGCGTCTACCTGGAACTCAGAATTCCTGTTCCTAGATCTGGCACGCTCGAACAAGCTGAGAAAACCGAGTAAGACACACGTTTCAAGGTAACTATTTCTACCCTCCAAATTCATCAACCTCACAATATCGTTACTCTTGAGCAGTTCTCCCACGACATCTCCACTCTTCTCCTGTGCGTCAACGATCACGCATCGCATTTTTATCTCCCTTTTACTACCAGCGCCATTGGGACCTAGAGACTCCCATCTAATCTTTGTGCCATCCGGGAGCAATCCCGTATAACAACCTCTAGACCCATCTTCGATCTTGTTCGACCTTGCTTTTCTCTTTGGCAATGGATTTTCCGTACCGTGGCCGTACGGGTCGACGAAAACCCACGAATGCGTGAGAGTGACGGTCTGTCGTGGATTCATGAAATGTATTTTCATCGACGAGTCTCTGATCGGGTATTGGGCGTATGCCAAGGTCTGATCAGTAGAGCCGAGCAGAAGGCGGAGCTGGCCTCTACGCAAGATGGCACGACGCGTTTCGTCTGAAGACGGATCTTTCGGTTGTTTCTGTGCACTGGCCGAGGTGGGGGGGTAGGTGATCGGTTGGATGGTACATTTGTCGGCGTGAAAAATGTGTCGCTCAAATGTCAACTTGTATGCTACTGCCATTCTAGTTTCGCTCCAAGAATTGATTTGATGAAAAGAAAATTGGGGAATCGGTGTCAAAATGGTTTCTACAAAACCCTCAGCGGTTGCGAAGAATATATCTACCTGTACTGGCCCCCACGGCAAGGCGCAGCTGCCAGGCTGAATGACACGTCCGGTTCTCGCCTTTTTTTCTTGTCAATGTGTAAGATATCGCAATACGAGAGAGCATGCTTGACCGGTAAAAGCTTGCAGGTGGTCACACGATTTGTGGCTGACATCAGGCTGCCCCTCCTGCATGCATTGCCTTCACCTACGCGCGATAAGTTGATTGCGTAAGTAATCATTGCCGCGACTCAGCCCTTAATGCCTTCGTGTCTTAGTTGCATGTACGTACAATGACATCAATCCCAACAACACGGGTGATGAGACTCATGCACAGCTTGAAGAAATTTGTAGTGGTAATACATTATACAAAAATCGAAATCTATAGGAGTCTATTGAAGTACATTTCATTTACTGCTTGGAGCAGCCTCGACGTCGTCTTCGCTCTTCAGACTAGCGCTTGCCTCGCTGTGCACTGTTTTCTGGCTACTAGGACTCATTGGCATCGTAGGCGACCGCAGCTCTCCAGGAATCCACAGGTGCTGTCCACCCGACGTCCCATCGTATGCTCTTGGAAGCGCGGGTATGTTGATCCCCTCTTGGCTTTCCCGCCTGTGTGGCCCGTCTGCATACGAGTTGTTGATGTTGACGCTCACGGTCTTGGAGATGCCTCCGTGGGATGTCGTCATGCTTTTGAGTGCGATGTGGGATTTCCGATGCGAGCGGAGCCCCGATCGGGTGGTGAGGCGGGGTTGAGAATCCGAGACGTACTGGCCACCGTAGGAGTTGTGGGACCAGCTTCTCAGTCTGAAGATGCGTTGAATAAAGGGGTATGTGAGAGGGAGGTTGGCACACAGCATGGCTGTGTAGGCTTCGCGAAGGTACCACTCGGTCCATTCGGTGCCGAATGGGTGTGAGAAAGAGTAGTATTTGTTGAGCACGGCGGCAATAATCTGTAATCAAGTCAGTCACAACTATGTTTTTCTAATGCTTGGTACTCTAGACCTACATTAAAGGTTCCGATAAGGAAGATGCCGCATAGGATGAGCTTATTTTTGAGAGGCAACTTCACTTTGAAGAGAAGGGGCATAGGGATGGCGATGATCATCAGATCAGACGAAATATTGAGTACAGCATTCGTGATCAGGTGATTAGTGGCAGCGGAACACTGGGATGAGTTTGGAACAATGGCCCAGTATTGATTGAAGGGACGACACCAAACGCCAAAATAGAGGATCTCCATGACGATCTTCACAAAGAGTCAGTGAGGTGTGCGAGAGTGTGAGGCCCATTGCCAACTTACGAATCCAATGGCAACATAAGCTGCGACCGCAACGACGACCTTACGCTGAGGCAACAGTGCACTGCGCATTGAGTCAGGCTTGATATTAACAATGCTCTGGATGATACATACGTCATGCGCCAATACATAAGCAAAAGACAAGCCTTCACCAGCCAGATGGTTATGCATTGCATTTGCTCCACTACCAGCACGAGCTTCGATCCGTAGATTCGCGAACTTATTTCTTCGGGGCTGAAATGGGAAATCTCCTCGCCCGGCTCGATGAGATTGCTGTCTGTATGGACAATAATGTGCATAACAGCCATGAGAAGTGTCAAAGATATCTGGATATCTAGTCAGCGCCACATAATCTTCCTATTTGAAAGAAGCCGAAACGCACCATGGCAAGACATATGAGATAGTCATCCGTATTTAGGGCCATCCACGACCCAGTATGTATGCGCCTCGAAAACATCCGTACGAAAAGTACCATCCAACACACGGCATACCAAATGCCTGACTCAGGCTCCAATCTTGACATTTTGTCACGAAAGTGTGATGGGAAAATTCGAAAGCAGATGTTACGAAGACTAGATTATACGAGAACGCTCAGAAGTTGCGAAATGTCGGAAGTGAAAGCCTGGGCAGTATCGGCGAGCCGTTTGTACGCGGTGAATTCGTTCGAGTGAAGAGAGGTACGCTTGTATAGCGTTCGTTTGGATGCTGATCACAATCGGCGTAACGGAGGAGTCTTTTGTGTAGGTGTCGGGTCGCACACGGCGTAGGGCTGGCCTCGAAGAGACAAAAACGTCGGAAGATTTTAAGAGACGGTGATCATCTCTGTTTGGTTTGACGGCAGATCGACGAGGGCGAAGTCAAGCGTCGGAAGTGGCGTACGGGCGTCTACTCGGAGGTACTCGCATGAAGTCGTAATGACGGTTCGCAGATACCCAAAGGACGGGTTTGAAGGATGGCGAATCCTGGCGGTGCGAGTCGATGAAGATGCAGGGTCTTTGGCCCCAGATTTGGGATACCAGATGATTTAAGCAATTTTCATGAAGACACAGGACGGCCGGCCATCACTTCCCGAAAGATACGAAGACTGCTTGGAAGGGGCATGGTTTTCGAATCGCGTTCCATGCTATTATTTGGCATGCTCACTAGTTGCGCCTCATCGCTTGGAGCTGTACCCAACCATCCGCGATCTGACATGCCGCTAGTCAAAAAGTTCGAATTCTCGACAGCATTGCCTAGACCAGCTTAACACTGTCGAATATCTGAATGTGTGGATATCCTCGTATCCGTCTGTGGGCCTCACACTGTCACTGATGGAGCTCCAGAGGATCATCATTCTTTACAGGATCGGCGAGCAGAGTTCAAAGTGCGATACCATCGAGCCCAACTATCGAACATGAGATGAAGATGCTTGGAAGAAATGTTGCAGAACGGCTTTGATTCCCCAACTGTTAAGCTCTGAAAATCAGAATGTCGGAGCAGACCATGAATGGCAAATGTCAGGGGAATGCGGGCTGGGGAAAGTAATGCCTCTTGACGCTAATAGAGCAACTAAAGCGCAAGTGTCTGAATAGTTGATTACTTAACGTGGATCCGCGATCCACCGGACCCATCTCCCGTTGTTGTGTTTGGTGTATCTGCCCATGGGGCTGCGACTCTGGTGCGGTTAGGGTCTTGCTAGAGAAGAAACCTCACATACCTCGCTTCGGTATATACAACTTCCTGCGTTAAAGATGCTATTGAACGTTTGAATGCCTTGATGTTTCCAAGAAATTGATTTGAATTGCTGCTTTGCATGCTTGCATCAAAGTTTTGAACTAGCCCTGTCGGCGTCAATTCGCCTTGCATCAGTCGGGCCTACTGGTTACACTAGCAAGAGCAACCACCAATCAGCTGCACATATACCTCTTTTATGTTGAAGATCGCAAACCAATAGAAATTACTAAGACACTATGTGTTGGATGGGAACCTGAAAGCTTGTCCTCAGTGTGGTATTCGAAAGAGAAAGGGTGTCGAGTTAATGTTAAGGAAGGGTCTAATGATATGAGGTCATCAGCGTGTTGATTTTGATTTTGAGTTGGAGTTTTGTAATGAGATGAAAAAAGGAGCAGGAGTATATGTATCAGCATTTTACATGTGACACATCTTATATTAGAGCATGGAGGAGCCCATGTTTGAGGGTTATTTATGGACCGAATATGTCAAAATCACGGCTGGAGGCGAGGGTACTCGTTGCAAAAGCAACCTATCGAAACAAATTACTGAAAAAGTATACATTGCGACACATGACAGTCGCCACATACATTTCATATGTAGAGATCCGATTGAACCGAAACCAAAACACGCCATCTGTCTTCTGTCTCTATGAAAACTCTACCGAAATTTCCACAAAGAACCATATCACTCGAGCCTCCGTTTTGTCACGCCCACTTGGTCACTACTTTGTTCTCCACCCGCCGCAAATAAAGCCAACCCCAGCCTTTTCTAACACAACCTATAGACCCATATCCGCGGCCCGCACAGTTATACTTGACTCTTGTGCACTAACCTCCATCAAGTTCAACTTTCCCCCAACAACTAGGGGAATTGATGCTATAGCTAGACTTCACAGCTCATCCCCCACATGAGCGCATCCATCAATCACCACAAATGTAATTAGCCGATGCCTACCTAGGTAGCTAAAACGGTCACGTGAGTGATAATATTACACGCACATGGTTGCGCCTCCCGTCCCACGTGCTCATAACGCAATGCTGACGACAGGCACTTATTTTCAGGAGACGGTGCACATCAACAGCGGTACTCGTCTTCGCGAAACCGGTGTCAGCACTAACACACGCGCTGAGCCGATCTCATAGCAAACGCCAACTCGGTATCATCAACGCGACAACAACACATGTGTGAGTGGTGCGTGGAGCACACTGGCGGCCTTATCAGCCAGTCAGGAGGTACCGTGGAAGATACCACCGTCAAGCCGTTTCCGCGAAGACGCTCAATAACAATCAAGCCGAAACAGGGAAAATGATTGACAAGTGTTGAGCTAAACTGTTAGATATGGACCTAGATGGGGGCCGTTTGGAGGCTAAGGCCCACCTAGACCCATCTCAACGGAACCCTGAACTTGCGAATGAGTTGAATGTGCGGGATCGAGGGGGTAAGCGAGGTTCTATTGGTGGCAAGTGTGTCCGATTCGTGAAGTGATTCTGGTGTTACTGGATACGAACTGAGATTGTGGATGTGCCGTGTGTATACATCTCAACAACTTGTAGTTAAGTGAACGCGATGTTTTAGGCGTACCGCCCACCTACGACATCTCATCCCATCTTTTCTATCAAAAACTTGATGTGTAGAGTCGCATTCCGCTCGGGATCAGATGCCGACTGAGATTTTGAAAGTTTAGACCCAATCATCAATCATTGGAAAGCGTAAAGAGATAGCATGATTTGTTTGTTCTTCATTGGTGCGTTTTTGGATTTTCGCCGCTTAGCTATCATTCAAGCTCAATTGTTATCACTCTCAGACACAGAAGATGTCCCTGGCTGAAACTCATGAACAGATGATTGTGTTCGTACTCTGAGTGCGTGTGCCGCATCTGCAACGAATTATAATAAAGCCATATCTAGTTTGTGCGGCATATCGAATGATATGCGACGAAAAAATAGCCAAATATCAAGCAAGAAGAGAGAAAACTAGCATAGACACAGTACAAAGGAGATCCGGGAATACGAGATAGACCAAAGAAAAAGGTGGGACGATTCCTACAACCGAGACCCATCCACCAAACCTTCCAACGCCTCCTTGATATCACTAGCCAACTTCTCCACATCCCTCAGCCTCATCATCTCTTCGGCAACGAATAGACCCAAATCTAAACCATCTCCTCGGAGCGTAACCTCAACATCAAGCGAATGCTACGCAAGTCATTAGTCCATTTCTCCTTACTAAACGCTCGTGTTGACCAACTTACCAGATATGCTTTCTGAACGTCCTCGTGTACTACTTCCTTCGGGGCAACAAATGACCCCGAGGACTTCGTTCCAGACACCCTACTAACTCCCTGGTTCCATGTTCCGCACTGCTCGATTCTGATTCCTTCATTTGGTTTGTCTGAGCCTTCACGCTCCGAGGTGGGGAGCGTAAGGAAATTGACCCAGCAATCGATTTTGACGCTTGACCACTCGTTGATTTCCCATAGCCCGACTCCGACATTCTCTGCGCTGCTAATCTCGTGTATATCGTTTTGGATCTGTGCAGCTGCAACGAGGGTGTCTACCGCCAGCGGGCGGTGCACGCGGAGAGGAACTAAATTGACTACTGGGATTGGAGCGTCTGTGAGATCCTGAATGTTGGGATAAGAACGGTTGGCGAGGTAGATTCCGATGACGATGTCGTGATCGGAGGGGGTGTGGGTTATGGCTGCGTAAATTTTTGCGAATGTGGCAAGGAAAAGAGATTGTGTTGTTAGATTGTTGGTTCGAGCTAGCGATCCGAGAGATCCCATTGTTGAAGATAGGCTGGGCTTGAAGACCTCGCATCTTGGGGGAGATGGAGAGATTGGCTGGGGGAGATGTTGTTGTGTGATCCCTCGCAAATAGTTTGTCCAGAAGGCCTTGCGGCTCTGCAAGATTGATGGCATGGAATTGGCTGCGATGAATTCGGTGAAAACATTCGTTGATTTGGAAGTCGCTTCAGTGCTGTTTAGGAGGTCTTGTAACTGCTGCGTTAGTATGGGTAGGCTGACGCCGTCGTACAGAGCGTGGTGTATCTTCAACCTCAAATCCCAACCATGCTCTGACTGCGATACCAGCATGAAAGCAAGCGGCTGCTGTGACTTTCGCTCCTCTGTCAATTTGGCGATTTGCTCATTGCTCCAGCCCGTTACATCGTGTATATGAGTTTCACTCTTTCGCAGTACCATCTGCATGAAAGGCACCCCCTTCTCTTCCGTGGCATGGAAACGGGTTCTGAGGATCGAATGATTGTCGACCAACGACTGCCATGCTTCTTTCAAGGTAACAAAGGCTATTGAACCACGCACTTTGTATGTGAACTCCGGGTAGAACATAGTACCGTTTGAATTGAGCCACATTGTGAGCATGTAAATCTGTCCAGCTGTGGCCGGGAGCCACTTCTCAATATCCTGTGGCGAGTGACCGGCTTGCTCCAAGAGTGCTGTTTGGCTCACAGTAGCTATCGCTTCATCGAGAATCTTGTCTGTGTTATTCCCTGTTTGATCGGTACGTGGGGAGCGCGCATCAATAATCTTTGCCATTTTCTTGACTGTGCCAGCTTTGAGCATCTCGCTCACACTCAGGATAATTCCTTGTTTGCGAAGAAGCGAGGAGACCTTGATGGCACTTATCGAATCGAGGCCAATATGGAAGATACTCGTCTCTGCCGTGATATCTTCCTCGGGTGTTTGGGATACCGCCGCGAGAACTCCACTGATGGCTTCGGCCATTGCGGAATGAAGACCATCGCAGTTCTGTTCTTCAGCATCAATACTGCGTGTTTCCGGCAGTGACTCGCTACTGTCCCGATAAGGAGGTAAGCCGCAAATAGAGGTCCCGTCTTTGCTGAAGTTAACAATATTGGAATGCGGTTGGTCAATAATGTTCCGCATCACTTCATCCAGTCTATGCAGCAGTTCTTGAGCCCCTGCTTCGTCGAGTACGTCTCCACTTACTGCGCATCGCCAGATAAGCTCTTCATCAACAACTTCCATCTCCACACAAACCGCGAACTCAACGTCGCTTTTCCCCTCTAGGCTCTCATACAATGCCATCCCATCTCCGCCTTTCTCTATGCTCTTCTGGTAGATGAACAAGCTTTCCAAAGGCCTCCCTTGCAATCCCGCTAATTGAACCGCCTTGCGAAGCGGGAAGTGTTGGTATTCCCGTATATTAGAGAAGTTCTGCTGCATATAGCCCAGCATCTCCTTACGCGTTCCGTGGAGAATACAGCGGACAATCACAGTGTTCATAACTGGGAATAACAATTCCGCACGCTCATCGTCGTCACGACCAGACAACACTGCGCCATAGGCTACATCCATGGATTGGGTATAAGACGCCACCGTTAGCGCATGAACGGTCTGTCCCAATGTCTGTAACGAAACATTGTTGTTCTTGGTAAAGTTGATGGTCTCTTGAAGCGGCACACTGCTCGAACGCTGGATACGATGAATCATCTGCGGCGCCGCTGGTTCATATACTTCATTGCGTGGAAACTTTGGCGACGAAGCGTTGCTCAAGTAGTCGCGCCAAAATGTCACAGCGTCGGGCCCGGAGCTTTCCAGAATCTGAGAGAGGGCGTTTTCGTAATTAGGCCGGGGCTCAAATGTACAATTATAAGCTCGGTGTATGTCGTGGTGAAGCAGTCCCAAAGACCATCCGTCATAAAGAGCATGCGCAATGGACAGTACAAGGTAAGTCTTCTTTGAAGCTTGGACAATCTGCAGGTGAAACAACGGAGTAAGATCATTCTTTTGCAAAGCCATCTGACGACATTCTTCGAACAATGCAGCAAAGTCCGGGTCGCCAAACGTAGCAGTGATTGCTGTAAATTCGTGGGGGTTCTTGTGCACAATCTGTGCAAATGATGACTCGATACCGGGATTGTTGACAGGCAAGAAAGACGTGCGCAAGATCGGAGATGCTTTGGCAACATCCATCCATGCTTGCTGCAGTTTTTCAATATCTGTATCAGGAGCAAGCTCTAGAACGTCGTGGTTGTAATATCGCCTGTATTCAGAAGCGATCATCTCCGCAACCATTGCCTCTTGAATCGGTGTCAGAGGCAGTACCTTCTCTATACCTTGAGTATAGCCTTCCTGTCTCACGAAGTTCTCTAGCTTTTTCTTCTGAGACCAGAAAATGGTATCTGAAGGCTGCTTCTTGATCTTTTCATCGGCGATGTTTGTATGCTGCAGCATGTTGACAATGTTGAGGCTGCGCATAACGCTGCTGACTGGCAGATGCATACCATGTCTCTTGAGCCGAGATGAAAGCTTGATGGCATCGATGCTGTCTAGCCCCAATTCCAACACGGAAGTCTTCTCATCGATACTCGTCGGGTCTGTGTCAGCCAGATTTGCAATTTCTTTTCTCAGCACCATAGCCCTATCCGTCCATTCAAACTCATTCGCGCTTTTGAAATCACTTGACGGAGACACAACTTCTTGTGAAGAAGTGTGATTCGGTATTTCATCGAAGTCAAAACCGAAGCTCAATATGGCGCTGGAATCTTTAGTCGCCTGTTGGAGAGCTTCCTCGAATCGCCGCAGCAGTTGCTGAGCTATCTCGTTGCTACAAACACGTCCCTGGGCGACCAGCGTCATTGTCAAGAAGACGCCGTCCTTTTCCACTTCCATCGCAATTGGATAGTCTGCCACAGCATCCCCATCGAGAAGTTCCCAAAAATTGTTTTTCTTCCACTCATTTTCGGTGTGCGCAGCTTGATACACAAATAGCGTGTCAAATAGCGGCTGTGTCGGACCCCTCTTACACCATTTCATGATGTCTCTGAGCGGCGTATGTTGATAGGGATGCGCAGCAACATTGAAATCGTGTACTTTCTGGATGATAGAAGCCCAAGTATTGTCCTCTTGTGGGCTGAACAGAAAGGGTATGGTGTTGAACAAGGGACCATTGACAAGATCCGCTCCCTCGAGTTCAATACTACGACCCGACACTACAGTCCCGAGTGTGATTGAGCTCTTGACATATTGACAGAGTACAACACTCCAGCAAGCTTGCGCAATAGTCTGTGCGGTAACATTCAGCTTGCGTCTTGTTGCTTCGAATTGATCGAGGTCTTTGATGGTCTTGCTAAGAGAGATTGGTATATTTTCCGAACTAGTGGTGAGGAGTGGAAGGGGTTTCGACTTTGCGTCCACCAGATACTTTTTCCAGAACTTCTCCGCGCTTTTGATAGGCCTTAGTGGACCGTAGGCTAGCGAGGCTTGGAACGGAGGTCCGCTTTGCACGGGGTTTTTGTTGTAAGCATCCCAAACCCCTTTGAATAAGAGTTCAATGCTGACACCGTCGTAAAGCGCGTGAAATATCTGAATGACCAACATCATTCGCGTAGGCGTCTTGATAAAGACGAGTTCGAAAGGGCTAAGGATATGGGGCTGATTTCGCAGTACCCAATCGCGTCTGTGTTGGGCCAGAGTATCTTCTAAATCATTCTCATCTTCCAGTACGATTTCATCGAAGCGCAAATGGACCCCCTTTAAAGCACACTGTATGAAGCCGTCATCAGTATATATGAACACCGTACGCAAGATCTGAGTTGAGGCGAAAACATCCTGCCACGCTTGTCGCAGTTGACTAAGAACAGTGTGTTGTGTCATGCTGAAGCGAAAAGTGTTGAAGTATAGTCCATCCATACTCTCCCAAGACCTGGCAATCATTCCTTGTTGCAGAGGTGTGCAAGGAGCGATTGATTCGATATCGTCCACGTCAGCAGCTGCAATGGTGGACATGTGACGCCGATGTCGATGTTGAACTGCCGCGATTGCTTGTTGTGCGGCGAAAATTGATCTTTGATCGTCTAGAAGGGAAGATTTCTCGGACAGCACCTTTTCCAGTCTGCGTATTGTCGAATTTCTCATAACGGTCGAAGCTGTGGCTTTACTAAAGCCAGCATCTTTGAGTGCTCTCACGACTCTTATGACTGAGATCGAATCCATCCCAAGCTCAAACAAGCTTGCATCTTTCGTAATGTCTTTTTCATCAATTTCCATCGTGTCTTGAAACACATTTCGCATTTTTACTTCCGCTTCAGTCCAAGTGCCGTCATCTTCGGTTGATGCTGCAGACAGAATTTGCAAGTCGTTGGGTGACAAGCCTTGATACATCTCCTTCAATTTTTTTGTGTCGGCTTTGTTATTGACATTCAATGGCATCGCGCTCAATGCCACAAAGTGCGTAGGGACCATGTAAGGTGGAAGCTTGTCTTGGCACATCTGCTTCGCCGCGCTCAACCCCTTATTATTACTCCGCAATTCAATCCTTGGCTCACTCTTGACATGCGAAGTAACGGCAATGAAAGCGACAAGCTGCTCTTTCTGCTGTTTTGGATGTTTGAGAACGAGAGTCGCAACATCTGCTACGGCGCTGTCTGATTGTTTGATGACTGCGTTGATTTCTCCGATCTCTAGACGCTGCCCACGCAGTTTCACTTGATCGTCCGCTCGACCAAGGAATTGGAAGGACCCATCGTGCAATATTCTGACAAGATCGCCCGTGCGATAGACTCTTTCGTTAAATCTTTCCAGGGTGGGGAAGGCCTTTTGGGTGAGGTCTGCCCGATTCAGGTAACCTTTGCCTACCAGCTTTCCAGACACGCAAAGCTCGCCTGGTCCACCTCGCATAACAGGAACGTCTGACTCAGGCCGCAGTACGTAAGACCCTACATTGTCAAACTGAGGCCCAATGTTTGATGGCTTGCCGTTGACTGGAACACGAGGATACATTGTAACACCGATGGTAGCCTCGGTCGGTCCGTAGCCGTTGTAGATAACGCTTTTCGGTCCCCAGACATCTAATATTTCCTGCTTCAGACTCTCGCCACCAGTAATGAAGACACCTTTGCATAGACTCGGGACATCATCTGGGTGTAAAATTCTGGCCAAACTCGGCGTGAGGTCAATGTGTGTGATGTCCAGAGTTTTTATTGATGTGGCAAGGTCTTCGAAGATGAGATCTCGTGGTGCAGAGACTACGCAGATACCGACAGACCAACTCCAGTATTGTTCGAGAACTGAAACATCGAAATGGAATGATGCAAATTGGAGCCAACGGGAATCTTGGTTCCAATGGCCAGAAAAAAGTCGTTGGAATGATAGTAAAGCCTGCACGGCGTTTTCGTGGGTGAGTTCGCAGCCTTTTGGTGTACCCGTTGTCCCAGATGTATAGAGACAGTAGCTTCGATCATGAACCTCAATGTTCCTTTCTAGAGAAGGCTTTGTAGATGGCAGAGATTGATAATCTGTCTTATCGAGATCGACGATCGTGATGTTGACACTGTCCTTTATCTCCTCTGTCTGCGTACTCATCGAGAGTAGTAATTTACACCCTGAATCCTGCATGATGAAAGATTTCCGTGCACTAGGCGCACCAGGATCCAAAGCTACGAAAGCAGCGCCAGCTTTGAGGATTCCTAGCATGGCGAAGGACGCCTCAGGGCATTTTTCGAAGCAAACAGCTACCAAATCGCCAGTTTTGACGCCATGAGAAGCGAGAAGATGAGCCATCTGATTCCCTTCAGTATCAAGCTCGGCATATGTCCACTTTTGACTAGCATATGTCCCTGCGCGTAGTGATGTAGCAAACTCAAGGGCGACACGACCTGGGTGTTGGGAGGCTGTAATCTCCACAAACTCATGTAGCAGATGCACTTCGCTCGGCAAGGTTTTCTCTTTTGCAGGAGTAATCGAGTAGAGCGTCGTATCAAGTAGATGGCTGTCGCCAGCATCGCCAGAGATAAATTGCTCGAGTAAACCATCAAGCTGGTCGAGGATCAATATAGCCTGTTCTTTAGGTATCATATGGGGCAGATATGTGAGCCGATATTCGAGATACCCGTTTTTCGGTTCCAATTCGATGGATAGTGGGTACTCCGTAGACGCTTTTTCATCTAAGATAGTCCACAAATCGTGATTTTCTCCGGTACTTGCCAGCTTCTGGAACGCAAATATGGAGTCGAAAAGTTGTTCGTTAGAGATACCCATCGAACGGAATATTTCGTTGAGAGGTGTGAACTGATGTTGTTGCAGATCTGTATTAAGTTGCATCGCTCTCGCCAAATCTTCATCTCGGCTACCAGTAATGTTGCATACGAATGGCACTGTGGTAATAGATGGGAAGGCTATGTCTTCAGCACCATCGATGTTGCGTCCGGAAAGAACTACGCCAAAAGCGACAGACTTCTCGCCAGTATAGGCTGAAAGGAGAGTCGCCCAACTTGTCATGGCCGCGACTTGCATACTGGTGTTGATCTCTCTACACCCTTTTTCCAACTCAATTAGGGGTTGTGATGAATTCTTGTGAGTAATTTCTGCGGGCTGAGTTTCATATCGTAGTGGGGTAAGGTTGGGGAAACGAGTCGGCGCAGCAACTTTACCCTGTTTCCGCCAGAATTCAATGCTGGAATTAGCATCTGAAACTCCTGCTTGCAATATATGACTGAGTAAAGGCTCCAAAGGCGAGGGTCTCCCAGATAAAGTGCTATTGTACGAAGCTGCAACGTCGTCGAGTATGAGCTGCAGGCTTTGAGCGTCAAAGATGGCATGGAGAAGCGCCAGATCGAGGTAGGTTTTTCCATCTGATTCAATAGGCCGTATGAGCCAGGGAGGACGGTGCAGACTTGCAACGGCCGCGTTTTGTGCTTTGGTGAGCCACTGTTCTACACTGAGATGGCTTTGAATATCTTCCCACGGTATCTCTTGACAGTCCTCACGGTATTGAATCATAGCGAACGAGATTTTGCTGTTTTTCGTATGAGAGAAACCGGTGCGCAACATTCGATGTTGTTGCATAGCAGTGGACCACGCAGTTTTCAGGCGCTGCAAGTCGACATTGGGGCTGAGTTTCAATCGCATATAATTGAAATAAACGCCTCCGTCCTTCGCAATGAAATGCGATAATATTCCGGATTGGAGAGGCGTGCAAGGGTGTACAGCCTCAACACTATCTGCTTTGATCTCTAGTGATGCGATGATTTCTTCTCTATGTCTTGCATCGAATGCTGTAAAGTCGAAGGATTGCGTATCTTTCAGAAACAGATTGGAGCTTTTCTGCAAGAATTGAGCAAGATCACAACAGTTGTTATGTTTCATGACGTCTGCAGCATTGGCGCAATATCCACGTTTACGAAGCGCAGCGGCAATCTGCACGGCGCTTATGCTGTCAAGACCAAGCTGGTAGATTGTAGTCGAAGGTAAAATCTCATCAAGGGAAGTTTTGGAGAGTTTAGAAAATATCTCGCGGATTAGATTCTGGGAATCGGTCCAGTTTTGTGTAGATCCACGAGAATTCTCGCCCTGATTACTGGAGTTGATCTCTTCTGAGTCGTTGAAGATCCGACTGAGCATCTTTCTGTCGATTTTACCGGCCATAGACTTGGGAATTCTGTCGATAAATATGAAGAATTGCGGAACCATGTAGGATGGGAGATGGGCCGAAGCTGCTCTTTTAATAGCCTGTCTGAGTTCCGATTGACTTTCGCCCTCCAGAGGATTGGTGGTTGTGATAAATGCCACTAGTTGGCTCTTCGAATCTTCGGTTTTCTTCATGATCTGCGTAGTTACGCTGTTGATGCGCTGATCAGAACTTTGAAGTACGTAATTGATCTCTCCTAACTCAACCCTCAGGCCTCTAATCTTGACTTGATCGTCTGCCCGCCCAAGGAACTCGAAATTGCCATCACTCAGCTTGCGCACAATGTCTCCACTTCGGTAGAATCTTTGGCCACATTTCTGAACAAACTTCTCTTCTGTCAGTCTGGCGTTCTTAAGATAGCCTCTGGCTAATTGTGAACCTCCAATATAGAGTTCGCCCACACCAAACGTGGGAAGAGGACGCTCACCACCGATTGGAAAAACCGCAAAAGTAGTGCTGGGGTATGGTTTTCCAATGACGGAAGCTTTGGTGTCTTTACCAACAGGGAACATTGTAGTGCAAAAGGCTGCTTCGGTCGGACCATAAGAATTGACACATGCGCCTTCCCACTCCGTGAGAATATCGGGTGTCATTGCTTCACCGATGCAATACAGCCAGTTGACACCGGGTATATGAGTGCGACGAAGTGAGGCGGCGACCGACGGCGTCAAGTCGAGTAAATCAACATCCAATGTGTTGATTGTAGCTGCCAGATCGTTCAACATTGTTTCTTGATTGGCAGCGCAAAGCGTGAAACCATATGTCCATGCGAGAAAGCAGTCGTAATAACACATATCGAATGTGATTGCTGCATATTGCAACAATTTCGAGCTTTGGCTCCAAGGTATGAGATCTCGAGAGCTTTGGATGGTTCGAATAGGAGCGCGATGCTCCATGCTTACAGCTTTTGGCACACCAGTCGAGCCTGATGTATACAGACAGTACGCAATGTTTGTCGGGCGAAGGGTCTTCAAAATTGGATTTTCTCTCGCAAAATGTTCGACTTTAGTCACATCAAGCCCTTTGGCATTGTCGCCCCAGTCCATGGTACAGTCATGGTATAGAACGATTTTGGGGCGAAGCTCGGAAAGCATATAGCGCTTTCTTTCGGTTGGTAGATCTGGATGAATAGGCGAGAAAGCTGCGCCAGCTTTCAAGACTCCAAGTATACTGGCGTAGTACTCTACACTTTTCGATACATGCACGGGAACAATGTCTTCCACCTCAATCCCTTGGTAAAGAAGCGCATGCGCAATCTGATTTGCCCAGTGGTTAAGTTCCGAGAATGATAAAGTTGTCCGCCTGGTATTTTCGTCCAGAAAGTCAAGAGCGACAGTATTAGGCTGTTGAGCTGCATTGCGTTCGAATTCGTGATGCAATAACTGTTCAGGAGCAGGAGTACTCTGAACTTCAAGATTAGAATGACTCAACAGCTTGGGTGAGAATCCTATTGTGTCATTTGCCGCTGCATTCGGGAATTTCATCAATGCCGACAATGCAGCATCGAAAGTTTCGGCTACAATGTTCGCATCGATATCCTGCATCAACGAAGTGCTGTAGTGCAGCATCATTCTCAAGATATTCTGGCTCTTATCTTGGATCAACTCACAGACCAGAGGAAGATCCATCTCGCCCACATCCTGTTCCAGACTCCAAATAGATTCATCAAGAGGCTGGCTTGGTTGTTGGAGTATAAATAAAGTGTCAAACAGTCGGCCTTCATCCTTGAGTATCTTGGATTGTATACGACGCAAGGGTGTGAGCTCAAACGGAGATACATCGATATTGAAATCATGCAGCAGTTTGCACAAGTCCGTGTTGGGGTTTTGAAAATCGAAGTTGACACGAACTGGGATAGTGTTGAAACACGGTGCTACAAGTCGGTGCAGATCCTCCTCGGGCAAGGTACGGCCACTAACCACATTTCCGAAGCATAGATCGCTTTCACCGAGGTAAAAATGGAGGGTCTTTGTCCACGTAGTTTGCAGTAGCGAGAGAAGTGATATAGATGAGCTTTGGCAGAAGCGCAGCGCATCCCCGAGAGTAGTTTGTAACACTCTCTCACTTGATTCGAAGGACGTGCCTGATCTTGGTACTTTGCTAGAGATGTTTGGAAAGCCTGTAGGTTCGAATCCTTGAAACGTATCGGCCCAGAAGTTGTCTGCTTTCGGTAGGTCTTGGTTGAGTAAATGCCCAAGATAACCTTCGTACGGTACGGGCGGAGGTAACTCAGCACCCATGTGCATACTTTGGATTTCTTCGAGCAACGCCGATATTGCCGTTCCGTCGTACATTGAATGGTGGCAGCTGAAGATCACACGACTCTCTGATTCAGATTGTTGAATACCAAGTTTGACCGGTGGTAGATTATTTCCGAGTTGTTCCAGGATAGATTTCTGAAAGTGGGTTATTGGATCCACATTTGCAGCAATCGTGCCCAACTGTATTTGATTCTTCGCAAGAACGACCTGAGCAAAAGCGTGTTGTGCATCATCAGTTGCCACAAATGCAGTGCGAAGAATCTGGTGCCGCTCGAACATAAGGGCCCAACTTTTCTTCATAAGCTCCAAGTCGCCATTGACTTTGAATATCATCGTGTTACAATAGGTGGAACCAGACGGTGACGCGCTGGAGAGCATCGCTTCTTGAAGGGGGGTACATGGCAATATTTTCTCGACATGTTCGCCTCGATTTTCGAAGTTGGCCTCGATTTGAAGCAGCCAATCCGCACTGAAGATATCGGCAATTTCGAAGGGCTTTTTCGTGATTGATGGTGCTCGCATGTGTTCGTCTGAAAGAAACGCCGATAATCGCTTGACCGAGGGATTTTTGAGAACGGTGGAAACATGAACCTGTCCAAAGCCGCCATCTCTAAGACTTTTAGCCAGGCTAATAGCAGATATTGAATCAACGCCTAAACTAAAGAAAGAAGTCGATCGACCCATTCGACCATTCTCTATATTCAGAGTTTGTGACACGATATCCATCATCGTGCGTTCTGATGAAGAGATCTGACTAGAGTCATCTTCCGTGTCCTGGGATGAGGCCGTTGATTCCAAGTAGCTAGGGGATAGGTTGTCATAAGCTGAGCGTAGGGCTCTCTTATCCACTTTAGCTTGTGTGGTCATCGGAATCTTCGTAATGGGGATGAGATGCGAAGCAACCATGTAAGAAGGCAGCTGTAACGATAATGTCTCAAATAATTCCATAATGACGGCGCGAAATTCTGATGATGGGAGAACTTGGAAGTCGGAAACAGTCGCGTTCTGCGGGACCCAGAAACAAACGAGAGATTGGCTATTGGGGCCAGGTTGTAGCAGAAGCGTAGCACAGTCTGCTACTGCAGGATGATCGAGCATGATTGACGTAATTTCACCAAGCTCCACTCTCTGTCCTCGAAGTTTTACTTGGTCATCTATACGTCCGGTAAATGTGATCGAATCATCTGGTAACAAGATTCCCATATCGCCGGATCGATAGATTCGGCCGTAGACTGGATGGTCGAAGATCTTCTCAGCATTCAGATCAGGCCTTTTGAGATAACCTCTGAAGACCTGCGTTCCACCAAAGCAAAGTTCCCCGATCGCTCCACGGGGGACGAAATGATCTTTCCCTGGAGCGAGTATCAATGTCGATGTGTTCGGAAAAGATTTTCCAATGTTGTTAATAACATCCTCGAACTTTACATTTGGGCGGATTGTGCAGATGTTTGTCGTTTCGGAAGGTCCATAGCCTACAATTGAATGAGCAAAAAAAAAAAAAAAAGGTCAGCATGTGATACAGAATACGTACCTTGATACAGACCTCTCCCAGTCCATTTCCTTTTGACGTTCTCTGTCAGTGCTTCGCCTGCCGTGACAAGAAACTGAACCTTAGGCACGTGGCGAGGGTCCACTAGTCCAGCTACAGTAGGTGTGAGACTGAGGTGTGTGATCTCCAGGGTGTTTATTGAAGCTTCAAAATCGTAAAAGAGATGGTCCTTCTTTGCTGTGCACAAGCAAATTCCAACATACCACGAGAAGAAGATCTCGAATACTGAGACGTCGAAAGCTTGAGAGCAGGATTGTAGCATTCGCGAGCCCTCAGACGTGGGGTACAATGATGCAAGATATTCCAAATTACTCATCAGATTGTCTTGCGTAACTAGAACACCCTTGGGTTTGCCAGTGCTTCCTGAAGTGAATATGGCATACGCGAGATGTGAGCCCTGATACGGAATTTCGGGGTTGCAATTCGGGTAATGCGACAAATCTAAGCGGTCGTAATCAAGAACCTCAAATCCGTCTTGCCGCAGATTGGCAAGGACCAAAGAGTCGCTGATAGTGATCGCCACTTCGGCGTCAACTAAAATGTTTCTAGTCCGCTCAAAAGGTGTATCAGGGGTTATTGGTAGATAGCCGCGACCGATCTTGAGTACTGCCAGGATTGACACATAGAGAGCGATCGACTTTTCCATGATGATACCAACAAGTTGGTCCTCTCCAATGTCTTGATTTAGCAAGGCGTGGGCAAGCTGGTTCGCTTGTGCATTCAATGCTGCATACGACATTTCACTTTCAACGCCCAAGGTGCCGTCTTGAATGCTCCCGAGAATAATAGCGTTTTTATCGGGTGTCGCAACGGCCCATTTCTCAACCGCATACGCTGGACCGCACCTGACTGGTGCCTGTTTTGGCTTCGGATTTGCCAGTGAGATGGTATCTGAACCAAATTGCTTTGCAGTGTCTTCCACATAATTATCAACGTCGGAAAGATAATAATTGACAACCTGGTCAATTTGTTTGGTCAAGTAGATGACTTGCTGCTCTGGGATGATGGATGGATCGTAAGTTATAGAATAGAGGACTGCATCGTCTCGTGGTTCAAACTCCAGCGTAATCTTATATTCCAGATCATCAGCACTATCCACAACCCTAAGGTTGTGATTCTCCTTATTGTTTGAGACGAGAGATTGTTGCCAAACAAACAATATATCAAAAAGATGTTCACCCGGCCGGAGTCTGCACACTTTGTTGATCTCACGAAGAGGTAAGGTGCAGTGGTGCAGCATGTCTCGGTTTGCTTGTTGTGTCTTTTTCAAAAGGTCCCCGACGGTTTCGTGCCCAATCATATTCAGTCGAAAGGGGAGAGAAGCGATGCAAGGGCCTATGATGTCTTCCACGCGAGTCACAGGAATGGTACGTCCCGACGTGACAGTGCCAATGACCACATCCTGCGAACTGGCGTACAGACTGAACATATACGCCACTGCTGCCTGAAAAAACACTTGGGGATTTACTGACAGACTTTCTGCACGGCTATACAGTGATTGCGCATGTATCGATGTCTCGCCACGTACATTGCGCAGGCCTTCGCTGTTGACAGCTTGTCCATTGTAGTTCGGCAGCCGTATCGGAGAGTAATCGTACAACTTCTCAGCCCAATAATTCTTATCCTCGGAAACAGTTTCGCTGGTCAGTGATGCGTGAAAAACAACGACATCTCGGTATTGTGGACGAGGATCTGGAGTGCGACCAGAAATAAGGTTTCGCAAATCATCCAATAGATGATCGAAAGACCATCCGTCATACAATGTATGATGTATCTGGAAGAGAATGCGCAACTTCTCGGGGCTGCATTTCACTTGAACGGAGAACGGGTGCAAAAGGGATTCTGCAGAGCCTAGTGAATATCTTCGCGAGAAGATAGCGACCTCGTTGATGGCGGATTGCGGTAAAGTTTTCCACACTATTTGTGCGAATGAGCCGGGCGCAGCTAAGGTGGAAATGAAACCGGAACGAAGAATTTCATTGTGCTGTGCAAGTTTCCGCAGATGCTGTTCGACCTGCGAGAATTCAATGGCCTGGCCCACTTCAACCTCAATCCAATTGCAATACGCATTTGGTCTGGTGCTGGTCTCTGCAAGCATAGCCTCTTGCAGAGGGGTACAAGGCAATATATCCTCTACATCGTGCCGCGTGTCAAAGAGATCGGGATAATCTTCAACGGATAACTCTATACCACGCATCTCTGCCGTGTGGTTGCTTTTTCCTCGCTTCTCGCACATTTGAATGAGCGATACTAGATTTTGGGCAGACAAGACATCGATTGGGGTGACGCTATAACCCTCCTCTCGGAGCGCTGATGCAACGCGAATAGAGCCCAACGAATCAATACCACATATGTCAGCTTTATTATTCCTGCGAAGAGACTGTCCAAGACTTTTTCGGATAAGAGAAGCGAGATGGTGATTCAGGCTCCCATTCGCGTCAGATATCTGAGTTTCTTCCGCGGAATAGGTTTCCAGGTATTTCGTTCTTAGGAAATTCTGATCGATTTTCCCGGACGCCAGCTGTGGCATGCGATCAATAATCACGACGTCGTTTGGTATCATATGAGGCGGAAGCCAACGATTGCACATGTCCACAATCGTAGAAGTGGTGGTGGTCTTGCGAGATGCAACAGCGCAAAATGCTACCAGTGTCTCCTCTATGACCATGACGGTCACACCAAAACAGTCGTTGATTTTGCGTATGACTTGCTCAATTTCACCCACCTCCACTCTTTGACCTCTCAACTTGATCTGACCGGCTACAATGCGGCCTAAACATTCAATAGTGCCGTTGTGGTGTATTCTGGCCTTGTCACCAGTTCTATACAGATATCCAAACTCCGGATGTTGGATAAATGACGCTGCGGTCAGTTCAGGTCGATTCAGATACTCATCTGCAACCTGTGGCCCGCCTACCACCAGCTCTCCTGTCTCGCCGATGGGTAGGATTTCTATGCTTGTGGCTTCGCTGTTTGGGGACACCGGAGAAGCGACAAAGACAGAAACAGTGTCCAATGGAAATCCGATATTGCCCACCGAGCAATCACTTTTGAATCGTGGCTGTAAAGTGCAATGTATTGCAGCTTCAGTGGGTCCGTACATGCCCCAAAGAATGCTCTCTCTACTGTGATCTCCACCGTATTCCTCTACGACATTACTAGTAAGCATTTCGCCGATAGTAAGGAGAAGCTTCAATCCCGGCACACTCGAACGGCCCCGCAGTAGATTACTCACAACTGTGGGGGTTAATTCGGCGGCATCAACTTGTAGTGAATTAATGGTGCTGGGGAGATCGCTGAGCATCTGGCTGCGAGTACAGCCAACCAACGTGCAGCCCCGGTATAACGGGAAAAAGATCTCAAAAATGGACACATCAAAAGTTGGTGCTGCAAACTGGAGGAAGCGAGAGAAACGAGGTATATGTCGGTCATGAGCTAATAAGCTTTGTGTGACGGCAAAGTGGGATACGCTCACAGCTTTGGGAACTCCAGTAGATCCCGAAGTGTACAGGACGTAAGCCAAACGCGATGGCTTCGAGCGAGGCAATTCTATATGTGTTGGGTTGTCAAGTTTCGACAAAACTTGGTCAACCATGAGGAATTGCAGATCAGCGCAGGAGTCTAGGGTTTCCTTTTGCGTGGAAGTTGTGATGAGAAGATCAGCACGCACATCCTTGATGATGTACTGCAGTCGCTCCTTCGGGGTATCGAGACCAATGGGACAGAATGCTCTGCCGGCCTTAAGAACTGCCAACAAGGTGATGTAGAGCTCTGGAGATTGTGGGAGCATGATGGGTATTATAGAAGAGGCATCTTCCAGTCCAGCGAGGGCCAGATCGATCCGCCTTGCGAGAGCATCACTTGATCTATGAAGCTCATCATATGTAAGTGTCCGTCTCCGTGATCCATCTTCCAGGAAATCAATAGCAGGCGCAGATGTCGGTGAGGAGAGTCGAATTAGTTGATGCAAAAGTTTTGGGCCTTCTGAAACTTTTGGATATCGATTTAGAACCGATTGTTCGGGGATTGGCTCGCGCTCGAGAAGCATTATAAGACGTCCTGATTAGACAGTGTTCCTTTGGACAGAAGTGTTGCAAACCACCGGAGGATTAGAAGGTCGACTCCTGTAGATAAAGACCCGTTTCAGATTTCGTGAGCTCTCTAGAAGGTGAAGGAAACTGATTATCTCGAATGTTTGGAGAAGGTGTGATGATGAGAAACTGCTGAGCGCTGATTGGATGAGCGAGTTACAGTCGAACTAGACCCGGAGTTTGCAGCGAGTGCCGTGTTGTATATGAGACATACGAAGAGAAGTCCACAGCGATGAAGTTATAACATCTATCCCGATCAAAACGTTATGATCGGGTATACAAGTTGCCGAATATGCAGTTTGTCCAGGAAAAGAGGCGGAACAGAGAGATGTGCACAGGCCACCACTGCCAGTGTTCTTGAGGACGAGGAGATTGTTGAACTTTTGGGCAAAGAAAGGCAAGGTACCAGCAAGGCGTGTAGCCTGGAAAAAGGGTTATGGATAGATGGATGGTGGTTTTAATGGTTAACGCGTGGATTTCGCGTTGACAGGCGCTTGACCAGCGTTCATGACATCAAAGACTAATGAAAAGGGAAGCGAAGCGAAGCGTGCAAAATTGCCAGCCAAACCGAGGTGCCATGATTGATACATGGTTCATGAGTGTATCCATCCAGCCATCACAAGGTCCATCGCGACCATGACCTGAAGAAATTATTGTGTGGGTGCCTCTCCACCACGGCGGCGTTTTTACCACCATTCATGCGCGAAGGGTAGCAGAGCACCTCGACCATGTGCAGATGCAGCCATCTCACTGAGTCGAATCTGTGTGTCACCTTTGGCCTCACCATCTCCCACGTCTCATCTGTCCGTCAGTAATCTACACCTGTTTGGGGATCGCGCAGATGACCGTGGTAGCCGACCTCGGGCATCGAGCCCTCTCGGTCGCCAGATGCCGAGCGATCAGTTCATCACTCCATCTGATAATTTGCTGGCACCCTTGTTCGCATGCACACGCCGAAAAAAAACCGTCGCTACGCGGTCGCGGAGTAAAATACGACACCAAAATCCCCGAATGATCGACATGGGCGTGAAAAATTTGACGCACGAGCGTTCGAATCAGGCATGTGGCTTGCAATCCTCGTTGCTAGTCCTGCAGGATGACGGATCTGATAACGCGAGTAGTTATTGCTACCCACTCTAAACAAACTCCACCACTCAAAGTGCCAGATCATCAGAGCCCCTTCACCTTCCCCTTGATCTTTTGCAGTCTCTGCGCTGGACACAGGCCATTCAAAATGCAATTTGCGTCACCGGCACTTTGTAGCACGCAGAATGACGGAATAAACTTGGTTCGGCGCCGTTCTGGCTATGTGTCAACTGGCCGCTGTGGGGAAATTCTCCTGCCGGGTATTTCAAAAACTAAGAAAAGATGTGGTTAATACTGGACTGCATTGGGCCGACGGTACTGGTAAGGTAAGCCGAAGGCCAGGCAATGACATTCACTGCTTATGTACACATGTGAACAATCTTTGCATAGCTGTTTCCCTACGAGCTGTGACCAAGGCAAGCAATAGCAGACATCACTAACACTGACTTCTACTTTCGTTATGCTCTGTTCCTTCTTGCCAGGCCTCTTGACCTCGTGGAGATAGTATCCTCGGCAATACAACTGTCGCAGCGTTGGCATCCTTCCGACCATGGAACCTATACAAGCGATCCCAGGGAATGCAAACAATTTGCTAGCATCACACATCGTAGACGATGTATCCGAAAGGCAGCTGAATTTTGACCCCGAAAACACCATTCGAAATTCTAAGCGTCGAAACTCGGCTTGGGATGGACATGCGGACCTGGCCTCTCTCTCCCACCACGCACCTCGCAACCCAGTAGGCCTCACAGTGATACGACAGAAGTTTCTCCGCCAGATCTTAGGGCTTAATCCTTTCAAGACTTCCTATTTTGCACTCTACAGACCACTGGACGACTTACAATCGAGATGCATACTTTTCGCTGCTATCCTCCTGGCCATTGCTGCTGGCATCCCGCTTCCGCTCATCGGCGTCATTCTCGGCAAAATCATCAACAACTTTCCACCCGATGAGGATGCTCTTCAAACGCGGCTGGTACAGCTCATGGGCATAGCTGTGGGCTACTTCCTTGTGACATGGGGTTGGAGTGTTGCGTGGGGTGTGATAGGAGAGAGGGTGTCTCGAAAAACCCGAGAGAGACTTGTCGAGCGCGCCTTGGGTATGGACATGACTTACTTCGACACGATATCGCCCGATATGACCAACATACTCACGGAGAAGACGCAAACGATCCAACTTGGCACGTCAGAGAAGGTTGGCCTGTTCATTGCTTCCATCAGTTACTTTGTCGCCGCTTTCACCGTGGGTTTCACTTTGAACGCCAAACTTACTGGAGTACTGTAAGTAAAGTCTACTCATGACTCCTATATCTACTTGCATTCGGGCTTTGTTGTAGTTCGATGTAGACTGATAAGGAACCAGTTTTGTTTCCGTCATCCCAGCCATGACCATCATTGTTGTGTCGGGAACCAAATACATTTCCAAGTTCTCCCAACAAGCCGACAGCTTCACGGAGAAGGCCACGGCCATTGCAGAAAGCGCATTCCGAGGTGTTCAGATTGTTCAAGCGTTCGGAGTATCAGAACGACTGGCTCAAGATCACATAAACTTCCTTCGTAAAGCCCTCAGGTCAGGAATCAAGAAGAGTATTGTCGGCGCTTTCATGCTGGGGGGTGTGTATTTTGTCGCATACGCGGCGAACGCTCTGGCCTTCTGGTACGGTGATCGCCTAAGAAAGGGTAGTGCTGAAGCTGGTACTATTTACGCTGTCGTTTTCTTGATTCTGGATGCCAGTTTTGTAGTCGGCCAGGTAAGGTCTCCTCCTAGTTTCACTTTGCCACTACTGTTGCATATGTGCATACCCGTCTGACTTGCACCTAGTTTGGACCATTCATACAGACCTTTGCATTAGCAGCGGCTGCTGGACAGTCGGTCTTCGATGTACTCGATCAACCGACCGCCAACATCGATGTGTACTCTGCTGAAGGCACTAAAGTACAACGGGCGGATTTTGAGAAGGATATCAAACTCCAAGACGTTACGTTTGTCTACCCAGCAAGGCCTACTGAGCGTGTATTGGAAGGAGTCAGTCTTGAGATTCTACCCGGCAAAGTAACCGGCCTCGTCGGACCATCGGGCTCGGGAAAGTCAACCGTTGCTTCACTGCTCCTTCGACTGTACGATCCACCCACGGGAAAGGTCAAATTGGGAGATCGCGACTTAAGAAGCTTCAATATTAAAAGCCTACGGTCGCACATTGCACTAGTCACGCAAAGTCCGGTTCTGTTCAGCGGTACCATACTCGATAACATTAAGCTCGGATTACCAGAAGATGAGGCGGTCACAGAAGCAGAAGCCATCGAAAGGTGCACTGCTGCGGCTTCAGAAGCGCATTGCGATTTCATCCAACACCTCCCCGAAGGTTTGAACACTACCATCGGTTCTGGTCACCACTCACAACTCTCGGGCGGTCAAAAACAGCGTATAGCTCTAGCAAGAGCTCTGGTTGGCAAGCCTTCCTTGCTTCTGTTGGACGAATACACTAGCGCCATGGATGCGACCAGCGAGGCCATCGTGCTGGAAAACCTCAAACGCAGCTCCGCGTCGTCTGGAAGGACCACGATTATTATTGCTCACCGTCTCGCAACAGTCAAGGACGCCGATCGAATCATTGTGATGAGGGATGGAGCTGTGGCAGAACAAGGCGGTCACGACGATCTGATCAAGGCCAAAGGGTTGTACAGTGAGCTCATCAAGGCTCAGCAGTTCGACAAAAAGCGCAGTCCGTCTTCAACGTCTACTCTAGTTTCAGCTGCATCGTCCGAGAATGATTCATCGGAGACGGCAAAACCACTTCTTGCCGCAACCGATGTGAACACTGAGGTGTCTGAGGAGCCGAAAAAGATGAAATCAGGTACTCTGATTGCGCGGTCTCTATCGCTGAGCCGCACGGAAACTCCAGCAATTGCTGTTGGCCTATTAGGGTCTATCGTGAGCGGCGCTGTGACAGTTGGAGAAGGTGTGTATTTTCTTTTTTTTCCACGCGAATCAAAACCTTGCTAACATTGAAATCTTCACTAGCCCTCGTCTTCGGAAGTCTCGTGGAGCTCCTTAACGACACGACCAACTCGCCGCAAACAGCCTCAAAAGTAAAGCTGTATTGCCTGTTGTTCTTTATCCTCGCGCTCGTGGCCTTGATCTCTCGCTCATGCGGCGGTTGGGCCTTTGGGCTCGTGTCAGAGAACCTTGTTCTCCGCGTGCGAGATGTCTCGTTTAGAACTATCCTGATGCAAGATATTGCATGGTTCTCCAAGCCTGGACACTCGCATCATAACCTGATGTCGAAGCTCAGCATGGATAGTGGCCACATCAGCGGTCTATCTGGCGTTATTCTGGGAACCTTTTTCTCGATTGCAACGTCTGTCGTTGGCGGTATCATTCTTGCTCATATTGTCGCTTGGAAAATTGCAGTCGTGCTGCTTTCTGCAGTACCTATCGTAAGTCTATAGAGCCCGGACTGTGAGTACTCATGGAATCAATGTTAACACTCTTTGAATAGATGCTGCTTGCTGGCTTCTTCCGTCTACGAATTCTCGCTAAGGCCGAGGAGCGCCACCAAACAGCATACAGTGGTGCAGCTGCATCGGCTTCTGAAGCATGTGCCTCTATCCAAACAGTAGCAGCGCTCAGCCGGGAGCGATACTTTCTCCAAAAGTACCGCGCAGCAATCCAAGGTCCTTACGAAGAGAGTCTGAGATTCACTTTCCTGGGAAACATCATGCTGGCTTTCTCTCTTTCCATAACGTACTTTGTCTATGCATTAGCATACTGGTGGTAAGTGAAATCCTGTCTGACATATCATGAAGAAACCGACTTACCAACACGTGGTAGGGGATCCCAGCAAGTTCGAAAAGGAGAATACACGCAACGCGAATTCTTCATCGTACTACCAGCCCTTCTCTTCTCAGCCCAATCGGCCGGCCAGCTCTTCAGCTTAGCCCCGGAAATCACACGAGCAAAAACCGCAGCCCAAAGCGTCTTCACCCTCCACGACGAAACACCCACCATCATCAATCCCGCAAAACCTACCACATCCCCTTCCGTCAACCAGCCCGCGAAACCAAACACCCGCAACCCCTCTCAAAAAGGCGAACTCGAATTTCAAAACGTCAGTCTGCACTACGCAACGCGCCCGGACGTGGCCGCGCTCCGGTCCGTATCCTTCACGATCCGCGCGGGCGAGTACGTAGCCTTTGTGGGCAAATCGGGTGCGGGCAAATCCAGCACCGTCCACCTAATCGAGCGCTTCTTCGACCCAACAGCAGGCCGCGTCCTGGTCGACGGCCACGACATCCGCTCGGGCCCCGTGCAAGCGCACCGCGCGCGCCTCGGCCTCGTCGAGCAGGAACCAGACCTCTTCCCCGGCTCCGTCAGCTTCAACATCGGACTCGGCGCCCACCCAGACTCTCCCGTCGCGCACGAGCACATCGTCGCCGTGGCCAAAAAGTGCGAGCTCCACGACTTCATCATGTCCTTGCCCGAAGGGTACGACACGGAAGTCGGGGCGCACGGGAACAAGCTATCGGGGGGTCAGAGACAGCGTCTTGCTATCGCGCGGGCGCTGATCCGTGATCCGGAGATTCTGTGTCTGGACGAGGCGACGTCGCAGTTGGATGCTAACACGGAGCGGGAGATTCGCAGGGCGATTGCGGTCGCGGCGAAGGGTCGCACTACGATTATGATTGCGCATCGCTTGGCGAGTGTGCAGTATGCGGATCGCATCTTTGTGTTTGAGGGTGGGGGGATTGTTGAGGTCGGGTCGCATGAGGAGTTGGTTGCGAGGGGTGGGTTGTATGCTGGTATGGTTGCTGCGCAGGAGTTGGATTGAGTGAGTGTTGGCATTTCATGTTTTCTTCTTGACATAGTACTTTAGCGACGGCGTTTTTGTGAGGCGTTGATGGGTATCTTTGCATAGCCTGCGGTGTTCTGCCGTCACAGGATGTTTGTGTGATATTTAGTATTTAAGTTCATAAGAAAGATTATACCACGTCATCACAAACACACTTTGATCCGTCCACTTCAGCGAATAAGGAGGTTTGTGTGATATTTGGACCCATAAGAAAGATTATAACCACTTCATCAGGCACTCACTTCCCAGCCAGCAGCAATGCAACAATAGAAACCAATCCACACGACGAGATCCAGTCCATCAAACCAAACTGAATCCCTTCCTGTTGTTCCCACTCCCGCACGTCCCTCGGTCCCCCCAAAAGACCTCACATGCCGCAAAGCAAGCATATCCCCACCGGCTCACCACCTTTCCATCACTAATCAAATCAGATAACTCGCACCACGTTCTCCAAACCACGCACGCCATCCTCAACCAACGGTCCCCGTCCACCCCAGCAAAAGCACATGCATGCACGCACGTATGCACGAAGAGATTAAAGAAAAAACGCACGCACACACACATGCAAGCCACCACCATACAGGATCATGTAGCATGAAGTAAGTGGACCCCCCTCCCCCATCTCCACCCCACATGCCCTTGCCGTCGCCTCCGAAGCAGGTCCGAAGTATGGCACGATTTATCAGATCAAATAATTGCCGTGCGCGCGGCGGGACGGGACGGGACAAGAGAAGAAATTTTTTATCTGATCAAAACGAGGTGAGGATCGGAAGGTAGTCCGGGTGAGCTGGCTGGCCAGCACATCAGACCCTAGTTCCTACGCATCGCATCAATCCATTATATATTGTATAGTTGCGGTTTAGCTCTGTTCGCTTTTTCGCTGCCGGTATGCCAAGGAGAAGGGAAGAAAAATCTGATGATCTGATAAGTAGAAAATTTTTCATCGTCATCATCATCGTCGTCTGGGATCTTGACTCCGCAAAGAATTGTGGGGAGAGGAAGGGTGCATGATTGGCTTGGATGTAGATTTGCGACCAAAACTCTCTACGTGGTGAATATGTTACGGCTAAACTGCATATGGGGCGTGGCTCCGCGACTCTCTCACACACACAGAGAGAGCTCGTTTAGAGAGATGCGGGATGAGATTGATTGTCTGATTGATTGATTGATTGATTGACGGGATCTCGAGACAGATGAGGGGAGGCAGGGGAGGCCAGAACGGTGAAGGCAGCCCAACGGGACGCCCTTTTTTGCCGTCGTCGGTGAAAAAGCATCATTTCAAAGCAGCCATCATCCTCTCCCTCTGCCCACGGGACGAAAAAATGAGGGGAGATGGGATGTTTCCATCACGTCAGAGTACATTAAGGCAGACGAAACGAATACATGTCGACACCATTTTTTTTTTTGTGAAATCGGTTTATGCTTCAGACACACACATCTTCTGTCGAGATGCCCGCCCGGGGGCGGCAAAAGAACCCAGTCGGGCTTATTCTTGCCTTGCCTGTCTTGTCTTGTCTTGTTTTGTCTGTATCGCTTCCAGCTGTGGGTTGGGATCAGGAGATAGTCGTCGTGGGTCGTGGTCGTGGTCTCGACTAAAAAAAAACTTTGAAAAAATGAGACCGGGTGGGGAAGAGATGATCAGGAATTTCCATCTAATCAGATGGCGCGATAGCAAAGCCAGCCCAGGCTAGCTCGCCCATGAATCCTTCCCGGTCCGATCCATACCATCAAACATCCTGACTTGACTTGACTTGACGGACTGACTGACGTATACTACATCTACCCAACGCCCAATGCCATCCCTGCTCTAATATTTTCTTCCTGCCTGCTTTGCTTTGCTTTGCTTTGCTTGCCCGAGACGAGCGAAGGATCAGGGCAGGACGGGAAGAAAAAGCTCCATGCTGGACTTAATAGCTAGCTCGTATTATCTTTTTCCTTCTTCTGATGGTTTCAGTCAGTCGGACCATTGTCGTGCGTCGGGGGGGGTACACGAAAGGAAACCTTGTTGTATTATTGCATTTGCATGGGACCAACGGCCGACATGTTGCCAGTGGGTTAGTTAGTTTGGGAGCTTGGGAAGTGGAGCTGGGGGGGTGGACGGAGGGGGGTTAGCTAACTTGGGACAGAGACAAGTACATGTATGTGTACATGATGAGCTGCCTCCCTCGTGGTGGGCATTTTGTTTTGTTTTGTTTTTGACTTGATCTACCTGCATCTACTGTACTGTAAAGGGAGACGAGCGGAATTGTGCTTCTTTCCACACTCTTCTTTTGTTGGTTCAAGAGAGACTACCTACCTACTTGCTTGGATTCCGACTCCTGATATCATCGGGGGTTGCTCTTTACTGTATGTTCCTGACCTGTGACCAGTCGCCGGTGAGCCTTCTTCCCGAGAAGGTTTAGAATCCTCGCGCTGCTTCCCTACCTCCCTCACCATCTACTCTAGAGCGAGCTGGTGTAGGACGTCATCACTAAACAAATGTTCAGCCACTGACTCTTATCGCGCCCGCAATCTAGATATCCGTCCTTGCACCCGCAAAAAACCAAATTCTCCCGCCTTGCTGCGCCAAGTTCGTGAGTGCCGGGTTAAACAGCTGTTTATCGGTGTTGTCGGTGGTCCAATTGCATTCTCGAGTAAGTATGCACCAGTCAATTGGCACATGGCTAGACGTGGACGTCATACTATTATTCACCGCACCCTACTAATACTCACCGAACAGATATCTTAGATCTTGTCGGATAATTACTACAAGGCAACGCAGCATGGCACCACACGCCGAGCCAGCCGGCTTTCTTCCAGAGGAGCACGCCCCAGCCGTCCAAGAGGCTTTCACTGGCTTCTCGCCAAACGGCTTGGATGCGACAACTTTCACAGAATCCGAGAATCGGTCGCACCTTCGCTACACCCCCGAGGAGGAGCTGCACGATGTGGTATGCGTCGGGTTTGGCCCAGCATCGCTCGCCATCGCAGTGGCTCTACATGATGCCATAGAGGGCTCCGATGCCAACTTGGATCTGCCCGGTGTTCAGGCGCGGCGGCCAAAGGTTGCCTTCTTGGAGAAGCAGTCGCAGTTTCGATGGCATGCGGGGATGCTTCTCCCTGGAGCGAGAATGCAAATTACCTTTATGAAGGACATGGCTACCATGAGGAACCCGCGGAGCGAGTTCACCTTCATCAACTATCTGTTCCAAAAAGACCGGTTGGTTGAGTTTGCCAACCTCAATACTTTCTTGCCCCAACGCATCGAGTATGAGGACTACATGAAGTGGTGCGCCAGTTGGTTCGAAGAGGTAGTCGCCTACGACCAGGAAGTAGTCAAAGTGATCCCGGAGAAGTCGGCCAGCACCGGGAAGATCAATACCTTTACTGTGGTGTCTAAGAATCTGCAAACCGGGCAGATGGAAACACGCCGCACCAAACATGTTGTGGTTGCAGCTGGAGGGCGGCCAAACCTCCCACCACCCTTTCCTTCCAACCATCCCAAGGTGATCCACTCGTCCAAGTTTTCATACATTTCGACAAAGGTTTTGCAAGACCTGCAACGGCCGTATAACATTGCCGTCGTTGGCAATGGTCAGAGTGCAGCGGAGATCTTCGACTTTCTGCATACCCATTATCCCAACGCGCGGACACGATTACTGATCAAAGGTGGCGCCCTGCGTCCCAGCGATGATTCGCCTTTGTAAGTTTGACCTTTTGGCTCGTCTGGGTAGCGGTTACACGCATACACCTAGCCAATCCATTTACTAACAAGTCGTTCAAGCGTCAATGAGATTTTCAATCCCGACCGTGTGGATCCCACATTCAATCGCGAAGCCACGCTTCGAGCAGCAGCTCTAAAGGAAGACAAGGGCACCAACTACGGTGTTGTGCGGTTGAACTTGCTGGAGCACATTTACGAGACGCTCTATATTCAACGGGTGCGCCATGGCAACTCACGGGAAGCCGAGGAGCAGTGGCCTCACCGTATCCTGCCACATCGGCTTGTCACTGATGTGCAAGACTCTCCCGTAATCAAAGACGGTATACGGTTACGAGTGCGGGACGCGAGTCCGATATATCTCCCAGATACCCCCAACGCAAAGGAGAAGGAAGAGGTGATGGATATGGATGCAGTGTTCGTGGCCACGGGATACCAGCGAGATCTCCACGAGATACTGCTCCAGGACGCGCGACACATGATGCCTGGTGGTAACCAGGAGGGCGCGAAATGGCAGGTTGGGCGCGACTACCGGATGCGGTTCGCGGACCAGCAGGTTAGCGATGATGCGGGAGTGTGGTTGCAGGGATGCTGCGAGAGCACACATGGGGTATGCTTCCCTTTTCCTTCTTTGATGCCATTGTCTTGTTCCTCTCCTGTTGAGTCTCTTGCTCGTTTTCTGAGATTGCGCCGTCCTGTTTCTCGCTTGTGAAGCCTTGGCACAACCACCAGCTGACGCTAACATTGTCCCTCTCTCAGCTGAGCGACACACTACTTTCCATCTTGGCGACACGGGGCGGCGAAATGGTGCAGAGCATCTTTGGGGGCAAGAATGCACACGGTGGAGAGTGGAACGGCGGGTTGGGATTCGCAGACGTGCAACAAGGAGTCCGGAACTACTAAGCAGGCGGACTGTGCGTGTGTGCAATAGACAAGCCCAATGCAGGCAGGACTGGTGATGTGGCGGTGCTTCCTCGAGTCCGGCCGCCAGGTGTAGCCACTAGGGTGCCGCGTCCGCCGTCCTGAGGCCTCGAATGTCGAAAGCGTGTATGCAATGTATACCTCGACGGTGAACAGAAGAGGGATTGGGAGTCTGAGATCAGCGTATCTGTTTTGGGGGGGGGGGGGAGCATTTCTTTTCTGGGGGGAGTGGTTGGCGCAGCGGAATGAATCAACGAGCACGTGTATCGAGGCATGGAGGCCATCAATAATATAGAATCCCATTCTCAAGTCTTGCATGAACAATAGATGACATCGGATGATTCACCGCCATGGTTCGCTAACGATGGAAAGCCAAAGTTCCTTTTTTTTTTTTTCTCAGAGTACTCAATAAAGCGTGGAGAAGAGTTGAGGAGCGGAATGCCAAATGGCACCGGGTGGGTATCGTTGTTGAGACGAGGGTCAAGGGGAAGACGAACAACAGGTTGGGCGTTGAGTGGGAAGAGACATCGTCATAGCTCAAAAACAACCATCGCTCGTCATCCAGCGGTAACAGCAGATGGCACAGAGCAACGAAAAAAAAAACAAAGAAATGGTCATTCGTTGACGGGTGGAGAGAAGGTTTGGGGTTGGGCTAGATTTGCAGTTAATGCTACCATGCGCCCAGTAGCCGTACACGGACCCAATTGGGCAATAGCGAGAAACAGACAAGACAACACAGATTCCACCCTTCCGATTGATGGCCTGGACTTGAACTTCACTCCCTCCTCTCCTCGCCTGCCTCGCCTCGCCTCACCTCACCTCACATCACCTTGCACTCCAGCCCGCCCTCGCACCTCGCGGTATACACCAGCTTGCCGCCCGCAGAGCCGCCATACCCTCCCTCCGTTCCTTGCTCTGCTAACCACTTGCTAACCGCTGACGCAACGGGGCCTGGCGCTGCGGCTGTTCTTCGCATTCATCGCGACCCCCGCCCATACCTGCTTAGACGTCAGTCAGTCAGTCAACCCAGCCGCCATCACGCTGTCCACCCAGCCAGCACCACCGCCAGCAATCTCCTGTCTGTCCGGCGCAAACTCTGCTGGCTCGTCCCGGTCCAGAGCGCCGCCCTCGACGCATTCGCTGCCTGCAGCCGTCTGCCCTGCCCTACCCTGCTCCTCGCCTGAATCAGTCCACGACTGCCCAACCACGCCGTCTTCGACACGCCTCCCCAGGCTTCCCACACTTCTGCCCAGCCTCACGATTCGGCATGCACCGTGAGGATTGATCGCCGTCACAGCTGAATTCGCTGTACCAAAATATCGTGGTCCCACTCCGGCCCTGTGAATATGGAGCAGCAGCAGCAACCGCCGCCGCCGCAACAGCAGTGGACCGCCTACTCCGAATCACCAGCAGCCCGCCAGGCGCGGTACGCTCCCCACACCATGGCGACCCCCCAACAAACCTCGCGCGACCCCAGCATGCAACCCCAGCTCAAGCAGGACCCTTACGCCTCTCCCACTCAGTTGTCGCGCACAAATTCCATGGCGAGTGCAATGGCCGTGGCATCGCCTAGCGCTTCCCAGAGCCGAGGCCTCGACTACAATGATGGGGACGGCGACATCAAAATGGAGGACGCCGACCCGTACAAGCCCAAATACCCCCAGAGTCGCGCGAACCACCAGCACAGAAGCTCCCAGCAGTTTCTTCAGCAGGTGCAGCACGAAGAGAGCAGTGCTGCTCGGAGATATTCACCCATGAATCTCTCGCCAACCTCTCCGTATACTGCTGCGACCACGCAACAGGGCGGGCCAAATTACACCAGCTTCACCCCTCAGCAGCAGGTCCAGCCCAATCGTCAGAGCCCGACGCGTAACAATCCCTACATATCTCCGCCGAACAGCTACTATTCCCCTCCAAGTACGTGTTTATTTCAGGTTGCCCAGTCTGTAATTCGCCAAGCGCCACATGCTGACCATCTCATTTGCAGCTTCGAGGCCTCATGCCCCTCAACTACCGCCGATACAATCCAACATGAGCCCCGATACCTTTTATCCGCAGTCCGCTACTGCACAGCTCAATGCGGTTTATAACAGAGATGCGCGATCCCCACGGTCGGCAAACCCCAACAACCAGCAGCAGCAGCAACAATTGCCCCCGATTGGGTATGGGCCTGTGCCAAAGTTTGATAATTGCACCAATACTGCCGATCTCCATCCCAAGATCAACACCCAACCATTGTTTCGCCGTGCTGCCCCTGAAGGTGGTTTCATCAGCGTACGTGGTATCCAATGGAGGAAACTACAAATTGTTTGCTAACAGACCACGTTGATACAGCCCCTACAAGCCCTTACATCTCATCTCCCAGCGACGTACCGGATATGCAATCCTAGCTTCAAATACGAATCTTCGCGCAACCCGCGTCGTGTGCTGACGAAGCCGAGCAAAGGGGTAAAGAATGATGGCTACGATAACGAAGACAGCGATTACATACTCTACGTGAATGATATCCTGGGATCAGAAGATGCCGGTCACAAGAATCGATACTTGATTCTGGATGTCCTGGGACAAGGAACTTTTGGGCAGGTGGTTAAGTGTCAGAATCTGAAGACACAGGAAGTGGTGGCAGTCAAAGTCATCAAGAATCGAACTGCTTACTTCAATCAGAGTATGATGGAAGTTTCGGTTCTTGACCTGGTCAGTATCATAGTGTCGGGACCTGTTCTGATGTCTTGCTAACATTTGGCGCAGTTGAACAAACAAATGGACAAGAATGATGATCACCATTTGCTGAGGTTGAAGGATACTTTCATCCATCGACAGCATCTCTGTCTTGTTTTCGAGCTTCTCAGCGTCAATTTGTATGAGTTGATCAAACAGAACCAGTTCCGTGGTCTTTCAACAACCTTGGTCCGCGTGTTCGCGCAGCAACTGCTCAATGGTCTTTCTTTGCTGGGCAAGGCAAAATTGATACATTGCGATCTGAAACCCGAGAACATTTTGCTGAAGAAGTCAGTCATGGTCCACTCGCTATGAATTTTTTTCACTCTGACAATATACTAGCCTCGAGTCCCCGATTATCAAAATCATCGATTTTGGATCTGCGTGCGATGAGCGACAGACAGTATACACGTACATTCAATCACGATTCTATCGATCCCCTGAAGTGTTACTGGGTCTTCCGTAAGTATATCTCGGTGGTTTCGGTGGTCCCCCTAAGCTAATCGAAATTTCCAGATACTCAGCGGCAATCGACATGTGGTCGCTCGGCTGTATTGTGGTCGAGCTGTTCCTGGGACTTCCTCTGTTCCCTGGGTCGTCTGAATACAACCAAGTTGCAAGAATAACTGAAATGCTCGGATTGCCTCCGACGTGGATGCTTGACATGGGTAAACAGTCTGGGGAATTTTTCGAAAAGACACACGATGAATACGGCAGGAGAACTCACCGGTTGAAGTCGATGGAGCAGTACTCACGAGAGCATGGGACCAAGGAACAGCCGAGCAAGAAGTACTTCTCTGCTACGACACTCCCCGAGATCATCAAGAATTACGCGATGCCTCGGAAGAATATGAAACCGAACGAGATTGAGCGAGGTATGTTATGACCATCACAATGATAAATGATGTGCGACTGACTCGGGCAGAAATGCAAAATCGATATGCGTTCATTGATTTTGCTTCCGGGTTACTGAATCTCAACCCTCTCGAGCGATGGACACCAAGTCAAGCGAAGCAACACCCGTTCATCACACAGCAAAAGTTCACCGGTCCTTTCGTTCCACCAATGGCAATGCGATCGGGATCCAGCCGGTCGCCGGCTCCTGGCGTGCAAGAGCAGCAGCGGTATGAGGGCATGAGCAAACAGCGCCAGCAAGCTCAACAGGCCCAGCAGGCAGCTGCCGCCCAGCAGCAAGCTCAGCAAGCGGCTCAAAATGCTGCGTATACCAACATGCAGATGAACCAGTACGCTGCACAAAACGCACATGCGCAGGCGCCCAACATGTATAACAACATGTATACGCCGAATCAGCAGGGAGCGCCTCCACCGTATCCAGCCCAACAACCTGCGTACAATCAGCCAATGGGCATGATGCAGCAGCCTCAGCAACCACAGCAAGCGCAAAGGCAATACAACCAACCTCAAAACCTCTATGCTCAAGCAACAACGCGTGCAGGAAGGCAACGTGCATCAACTATGGACCAGCAGCAACAGTCTGGTATTCCGCCGGCGCTTCAAAGGGTCATCAGCCATCTGGACCCGAATGCACCCATTCGCTTGCAACCTTCACCGGCCTATTATCCCCCGCCGCCTGAAGGTGCGCCAGACAACACGGCGAATGCCGCTGCTAGGAGACGGGGTTCGAGAACAGGCCAGAACCAAAGAAATTTTGTCCGAACACTTGAAGACCGAACCCTCGAGGAAGGTTTCATGAGTCAGCAACATGGCTGGCAATGACGCGAAAAGCTCTAGGCCAACCCACTCACGCAGACTGCGAAGGGACACAATTTGTTCATATTCACAGGCATATCCTCCACCTTCGATGCGTCAGTCTGACCTCAATCGATCCTCTTCCGCTCGAGGCGTGCTCGAAGGCCTATTGGGCGTTATACCAATCAAATGAGCAGCCTTTCAAAGTAAAGCTCCGGCAAGCCGCTATGGCGGAAGGTGACAATGCGGAGCAGGCAACAAATTGCATCCTTTTTCCATTTTTCATGCCCTGCGAACGTGCCCGTGGGTGGATATTCTTTTCAATTTGAAGACGATCCAGTTTTTATGCAGAAGATCGATTGGTTCTTTGACACAAATCACGTCAACAAAGGGGCTCACAATCGAGTTCATTCGGCGAGGAATGAGCAGTCAGGTATCGACATAGCTGGGTGTCAAATTATCTCGCAACGAAAGCAAAACTTGATTCTGATTGTCGGTTCGGGATTGTCTACGGCGGCAAAAGAGAGCAAGGCTGCTCGGAGGGTGGCGGCGACAATTGTACTTCTATGGCAGCATTATTCATATGAAATGAGAACATACAAGACATTTTTGTTTACAATCTAAGTTTTGCTGGTGTAAACATCTTTCTGAATTCTGGCGAGGATCGTACTGACTTGCATTAAAAGAGTAGGCGAGCTCTTCTTTTCTTGAACGCCATTTGGGAGCACAGTATGGAATAAACTATATATCACGCGTTTACATATCAAATAGGCTACATCAGTGTGCGATATATCTGGATCTAGTGTGTCTGCTCTGCAGAGGCTACATTACGTGAGGGGCAGGTATTATTACTGACCTTTGCGACTACGTGTGTCTGCTGAAACCTGTGCAGGTAGGAGTAATAATAAGCAGATCATTCATGGAAAACCTCAAAATTGGCATCCTATAGTATAGAGTATCCAGTATCTCTTTTTTATGAATAATAATTGCAGTTCATTGTCTCTTTGCAACCCTCTGCGGGAGAGCAGTGAATTATCCCGCACGTGAGGTGATGAGAGGTGGTCCAAGCGTCCTCCCACTATGCACAATCGAATTTTTGGCTTGGCATTGAGTCAAAGGGCGAAGCGACAACCACAAGCGCGACCCAGGAAGTTTCGACAGCCCAACTGCGCCTGCGCCTTCAAGTTTAACCAAGCCTCTCGTCCCGTCGTCCAAAGACATTCCCCTACGATTCACGAGAGAGAGTCGAAAGAATCGCCACCATGACTTCCCGATTCTTTGCCGCCAGCGACAGCGACAGCTCCAGCGAGGAGTCCTCTGAGGAGGAGCTCTACTCGGACAAGGAAGAGTCCCAAGATGAAGACTCTGATGACATGTCCGATGACGATGACTCGGACGAAGACTCCTCGTCCGACGAAGAAGGTGGTGGCGCCAACCGTTTCTTGAGGGATGCCGAGAGTGAAAGCGAGAGCGACGAAGATGATGGAGCGAAGGTTCTCAAGAGCGCAAAGGACAAGCGATTCGAGGAGCTTGAGGGCACAATAAGGTTGATCGAGAACGCGGAGAAGATTAATGATTGGGCTGTTATCCAGGACCGTAAGTCTCCAGACACACCCATCATGAGAATGGAGGGGCCATGGCGGGGCAGAGACGACATGGCATGGACGGATATAGATACTGACTTTTTACTTCAGAATTCGACAAGTTGAACCGCCAGGTCATCAACCTAACCAAGCAAAACGATGGCAAGACGCCCAAACTATACATCCAAGCCATTGCCGACCTCGAGACCTTCGTCACCGAGACGCTCGAGAAACAGAAGGTCACCCCCAAGAAGATGAACGCCATCAACCAAAAGGGTCTCAACGCCGTCCGCCAGCGCATCAAGAAGAACAACAAGGACTACGCTAAGGACATCGAGGCTTATCGGGAGAACAAGGACGATTTCATGCGTGAGGAAGAAGTTGCCGAAGCTCCCGTCGCAAAGAAAAAGAAGAAGGTCGACCCTATTGTTTCCAGCGGTATTGCCGAGGCCGATGATGATGGTTTCACTGTGGTTGGTGCCGGCGGACGTGCTGTTCTCTTCACCCCCGAAAGCATCCTGAAGCACATCCGGTCTATCGTCGAGCAGCGCGGAAGGAAGAACACAGATCGGATGGAGCAGATCCGTACCCTGGAGAAGCTCCTTGATGTTGCCGTGTCCGATTACCAGAGGATTCGCGTGCTTCTCACACTCATCTCCACCAGATTCGATCTGACTTCAGGCACCGGTAACCAGATGGTTCAAGAGCAGTGGAAATTGTAAGTTTTATTTCTTGGCAATCATTGAAACCCAACAATTAACGTGTGATGCTAGGGCACAACAGGAATACATCCAGCTCCTTAACACCCTTGAGACATCCAGGGAAATCGTCGTGGTGGAGAACGCCGAAGAGTGGGAGGACGACGACAAGCCTCCAACCATCACACCTGGCGAGGTCTTCAAGATCCCAGGTAGCACGGTGTCTTTCGTGGAGAGGCTTGACGACGAGCTCACCCGATCACTCCAACACATCGATCCCCACACTTCAGAATATATTGAGCGTTTGACAGATGAGACCCAGCTATATGCTGCGCTGGTCCGAACATTAGTGTATGTCGAGGGGTTGAAGAAGCAGGAGGGTCTGGGCCTTCCTCAAGACTCACTCAACCGCGTGGTTATGAGACGACTAGAGCATGTCTACTTCAAACCTTCTCAAGTCGTTACTATTCTTGAAAACAATACATGGAAAGCCATCGACTCCGGGCTCGACTCAGAAATCACCCCACGCTCCATCTCCAACGACACCGCCTCGCTTGTTCAGACACTTTGCACATACTTGTTTCAACACAGTGACGGTATCATTCGGGCGAGAGCAATGCTGTGCCAAATCTACTTCCTGGCTCTCCACGATGAATACTACAAAGCTCGCGATATGATGCTCATGTCGCATCTTCAGGAAACCATCAGCAACTTTGATGTCAATACCCAAATCCTGTTCAACCGCGCTTTGGTACAAGTTGGTCTCTGTGCATTCCGAGCTGGTCTTGTATACGAAGCCCAGACCTCACTACAAGAAATCTGCGGCAGCAACCGACAAAAGGAGCTACTTGCACAAGGTCTCCAGATGCAGCGTTACTCACAAATCTCGCCCGAGCAGGAGCGTCTCGAGCGCCAACGACAGCTGCCATTCCACATGCACATCAACCTTGAGCTGCTCGAGTGTGTTTACCTCACATGCTCCATGCTTCTCGAGATTCCTCTCCTCGCACAGATCGGCTCGTCGCCAGATATCCGGAAACGTGTCATCAGCAAGACATACCGCCGTCTCTTAGAATACCATGAGCGACAAATCTTCACTGGCCCGCCAGAGAACACTCGTGATCACGTCATGCAGGCATCCAAAGCTCTCTCTGCGGGTGAATGGAAGAAGGCAGCAGAGTTCATCAACTCGATCAAGATCTGGGAGCTTATTGCTAACACCGACAAAATCCAGGAGATGCTCTCGGCACAGATTCAAGAAGAAGGACTCCGCACATACCTCTTCACATACGCACCCTTCTACGACACACTGGCTATCTCTACGTTGGCCGGTATGTTCGACCTCTCGGAGCGCAAGGTGTCTGCCATCGTATCCAAGATGATCTCCCACGAGGAGCTCGGCGCGGCGCTCGACCAGGTCAACTCGGCCATCATCTTCAGGAAGGGCGTGGAACTCAGTCGTCTACAGACGCTATCGCTGAGCCTGGCTGATAAGGCCAGCGGACTCATCGAGGCCAACGAGAAGACGCTCGAGCAACGCACACAAGGTACCGCCCACGCATTTGAGCGACAGCAAGGTGGTCGCGGTGGACGAGGTGGCCGTGGAGGAAGGGGCCGTGGAGGCGGTATGGGACGCGGTGGTGGTGGTGGAAGGAATCAACAGTTCACGGGTGGTGCATTGGGTAGGGCTATTCAGGCATAGATAGAGAGAGTGCGTGTGTACGTGTTTGCACGACAAAGACTCATGCTTACTTGATATGATAACCACGAGAGGCCCCGGTTTTTGGCTGCTTTTTTTCTTCTCACTTAAAGGATAAAAGAAATGTTTCCCTGTTCTACGAGTGCTTCTTCACTTGCTGCCCACTGTGACGTGTGAACTCCGCGATCTCTCTGAGTTGGAGGATATGTATACCCACCAACCCTGGCAATTGGCTTTGCTGTTGTGTCCATGTCTACCACTCACCTCTTGACATCGAATTGCTGCCGCTCCACAAAGATGACAAAGAACCGTGCCACACCCTATCGACGAGTTTCCTCTCCTGAATCCTCTCAAGTTTTCGAAACCCATACTTTGTGCATCTTATTTTATATGTACGTTTTTTTTTTCTTTCGGGACAATCCTGTCTACGTATTGGTCGTTGATGCCATACATAAGCTTGTCTACAACTTCTACTTTCTACCCATTATTGTTATTGTTATTGAACCACAGACAGGCAGGCAGGCAGGCAGGACCCTCGTAGTGGCTTTAAAGAGAGCTAAATAAAAATAGAAAATAATTATAATTATAATTTTTATACACAGTTAGTTAATTGCGTTATTATTAACATCTTAGATGTCTTTATTCACGCACTTGATTTTCCTAGGTTATCGATGCGATGAGATGGCGAATCGATTCCCCTTCCCAACAGCACCACCACCACTATCACCAGGAAGGAAAAGACACATTGAAAAAAAAACATACAACAGCAGGTATTCGCCAGTGGTCACCCACCTGACTACTAATCCGCCGGTATCATGCTTAAGTACAGCTGAGCGGACGGGAAGCTCTGTTCTCATGATCCTATGGTCGTATGTGAGAGATTGATATGTTTTCCTACACTAAGAAAGGGCTAGTTGAGAATGATGTTTACAACAGAATAAGGCAGTTAACAAGAAAACTCCAAATGATAAGGGAACACGATAGTTAGGTGCATGGGTGATGGGTTGATGAATTGCACCATCACCACAACCACCATACCACTATAATGATAAGAAAAGCAACACAGAGTTTTCATGATTCTTTGATGGTTGGTTGATTGTTCATTGAGCTAGGTAAAAACTTGAATGTTTGAACTGTTGGAAAGCAATCGTACATGACACACACTCTCTCTCCTTCATTACATGTTCCTCTGCTCATGACAAAAATAAAAGAGAAAGAAAAGAAAAAAACGCCATCGCTAAACCAGTTCCGAGCCATGAAAGGGGGGAATATGCCAATCATGATATAAGAAATCTCATCGTCATCAAAGAAACAGAAGAAAAAAAAGTCTCACAAGAGAAGAGGGTGGAGGAAGGGGAAGGGGTATCAGTGAATCGCTATGGCGGGGCGACTCTGTAACCAGTAAGTTGAGAGGGGTGGTAGGGTGTATCGTAGCCCGCACGTATAAGTAGCGGGCAGAGGATGATAGTCTGAAGCCTAAACAATGTTCTCGCCCATGCGGCTACCGCCAACAGGCTTGCGGTCAACAGAGTGCCTACCTCCATGGTGCAGACCATGGGAAGCGCCCTCAGCGCCCACAACACCACCGTGGGTACCGCGACCGTTCGCTGCGCCGTGAGCAGCGGCGCCCGCAGCACCCGCAGCAGCAGTACCAGCAGAGGCGATAGTTCCTCTAGGACCATCCGCAGCATCACCAGGAGCACCAGCCCAGGCGGCGGCGTCGTGGGTGCCCCAGCCAGCCTTGCGGGTGAAGACGGCATCGTGGAAGCCGTCGTGGGTGGAAGGGCCCGCGCCGTAGATGAAGGGCGAGTTGCGGATGAGGGGGATGTGGTTGAAGCGGTGGTCCCAGATGGCGGCGTACGTCATGCGGTAGGAGCTGAAGGCGAAGGTGGTGCCGATGACGGCGCCGGCAGCAATGTCGTACCAGTTGTGGAATTCGTCGATGGTGAGGGCGCCACCAATCAGGCACGCGCCTAGGATCGGCGCGTACAGCGCAATCAGCTTCCACATGGCTGGGTGGTAGTTTGAGAAGACTTTGAGTTTGGCGTTGAGGTAGAGGTACAGGTACACGAAGCCTGCGAACGCGGCCGTGGTGTGCCCGCTTGGCATCGACTCCAAGGCATCGTTGATTTCCTTGTCGTCGCCCGTGCAGATGCTGCGGTCGAACATGATGGACTGGTAGCCGTTTGCATTGTTTCCAGAGGGGATGAAGTTTGGTGGGATTTGGGGCTTGCAGACCGCTAGGAAGTGAGGGCGCAGACCGCCAATGAGCCATTTGATGAAGACCTGGAAGACGGCGGCCGAGATGAGCGAGTATAGAACTCCGATGGTGGCGTTGTTGACGTCCCAGAAGCTGCGGGCACGGATCTGCACGATGAGGAAGACGGCGATGGGGACCAGAGCTGCGAGAAGAGCCGCCGCCCAGATGGGCACGATTTCATTGCGAAGGGGGTAAGCGAATTGAGGGTATACGATTTGGCCATCACGGAACTCGATGGGAAAGCTGCGAGAAGGCGCAGGCTTAGCCATGTAGACACCCAGACCAATAGCTCCCATACAGGCCATGGTCACGATATCGAGACCTGTAGCTTTGATCCACTGTCCGAATGTGGGACGAGAGTTGAAGGTAGAAGCGCCGTGGTGTGTGCTGGAGCCGTGAGCACCTTTGCGGGCGAAGAGTCCAGGCTTCTTCTCGTGGTGAGTTCCAGTTGCAGCTGCGGTGTTGGCATCAGCGGCCGCAGGGCGGCGGTTGAGGAAGCCCATCTTGGTTGTGAGTGGTGTAGTGGTGGTTGTTGGTGATAGTGATTAGGAGGTTGTGGAGTAAACTGGTAGCTTGTCAGTCATGCCAACAAACAAGCAAATAGACAGAGGGTCCTTCGAGCAGGAGCCAAAATATTCAGAAAGTACATACAGGTACGTGAATGTCGAAAAGGTAGCAACCACCAATAGTATGGGCTGCTTCGAATGCAGCTGACGATGCGATGCGATGTGAACTGGAGAAACAAAGAAAAAGCCCCAGAAGGACACTCCTATATAAGGTTTCTGTACACATGCAATTTCCCCATGCTCAAAGCCATACAGGCCAGCGCCGTATGAACAAAAAGCCCATGATGACGCTGGTTGTCGACATCATCGCAAACGCATCAGCCACAGAAACAGGGTGAAATCCTAGCAGCCACTTCGCACGGCCCTCTCCGCATGCGTGCCATGACGAGCTCCTCTCTCAAAAGAGGCAGGATTGACAAATGACAAGGCAGTTTGTACTGTGAAACCCGAAAGGTCCTCTGGGCTCAAAGCTTGTGTCTGTGGCGTACGTGAGCTTGTTGCAAGCGCAGCCGCTACCCGTGTAGGCCTTGGTGACGGCATTTCTTCAATGGCCATCTATGTTTTTTGGTTATGTGCATTGCTCTCCGACCCATTCGACTTCAATCGCGTGTTCGCGTACTACATACACAGACTTCCAACATGGTATTCGGTGAATGTGTGCGGTGAAAGAGTGTGTTTCAGTTCTCAGTCTGACGTCACAACAAAAAGTTCCTTGATGTGCGAGCCCGCGAAAAAAACACAAACGGTCGCGACGACGACGATCATGCCACATATAGCCATACAACATCAAACAAAACCACTGTACGGCAACTTAGCCGGCCGTACAACCGTCCAGCTGACGGTAAATCGGCATACTGTGTGTATCGCGATTCGCAATTCCAGTGTGCGCGCGCACGCACCGTTGAAGGATTCTCTGCGTATCTTGTTTTTTGCTCGCTCGTCCACGTTCTAGAATCGCAGGACTGCTTGACTTCTCCGAGCGTCTTTTCCTTTCCATCATCTGTTTGGCCCCTTTTACCGTTCAAAAGATAATATTTATAACGTAATTTGGAGTTTAGTATGGGAGTTCTTTGTGCGTTCCTTGGTTACTCGTCTGACTGGTAATCTGGTAGGAAAGAACTCAGCTCTGATCATCGATAGTGACATAACCTGGAGAATGCCACGCGGCTTGGATGATCCTGACAGCACAGCAGTAGTTTCTCGCCTTTTTCTATATATGCACAAGATTGACACCTCACGACGTATCTATGACATCTAAGTCACCTGTGAAGGTTGTGTGTGCGTTTCACGTTGTGATATATGACGATTGGCTTTGCAATGGTATTGCTCACTTGGACATTGCCCGGGTCAAGCGAAATTTGGACTTTGTAGCCGCCGAGGTCGTCGGGAACTTACAAAGAACCGCAGCGTTCCGCTATTCTGTGAATTAAGTAGCACCGAGACACTGCGTGTAGCCTACATTGGTTATTACCAAGTGTTACATGTAATGTGTGGACGTTTGAAGTCTGAGCTAAAACAATTGGACGAATGAAATCGGTCTTGACTGGCGACTTCGATCTGGTCGAGCAGATGTTGACAGACGAACAGCATCTTGACGGCAAGGCTTATACGGTTGCGGGTGAGATGGTAGACTTCGAAGTTCTTGCTCAGTACCAGTGCGACTTTGTTCTGATAATCTAATAGCTTTGACGATAATGTATGTTTGTTGCCTGTGGATGAGATTATGGTGGTGGAAGTGCTTATTCTTTCATCCTTTACTAGCTTTCTCCAGTGTTCTTGTATCTATATTGTTTGCCTTGATGTATCCATGTTGAATTTAGTGGACACTCGAAAAATGATTTTGTCTTCCTTCATTAATATTTTATTCGTTGGAGATAAGCTATTTACACGAGCTCGGGAGTATTCCACTTGATCCCTTGATTCGTTTGGCGGTGGCAGTGGAAATCGCGCGCCTCTGACCCAAATCAGCTTGAACTCAGTACTGTATAGAAAGCCCCATCGAGTTTGAATCTAGCCGCTCACCTTGAGCATAATCTGAGCGCTTAACGGAACAGCCAAACTCGTCATTGTAAGTCAGAGCTGACTAATTCGTGGTGACTGTTTTATGACATCCCTCTTGGCTGCCTTCTATTGTACGATTTGCAACATCAGAGAGATCATATTATCGAACGTCTTGCTTTTGGGGAGAAATTTCATGAAGGGGTGTTACTTTTCTCTTCATTGACACATATCATCATATAGTTCAAAACCTCTTCAAACGCATTTTGAGGTCATGCCTTGATAATCTAAAGTTTAAACGGATACGTTATGAGATTTTGGGGTTGGAGGTTATAGTGTTTCCTACACTCAAAAAAGGCTGATAACAATAATTTAATAAAAAGCGGGCAGGGACAAAAAGGTTCACAAAAGGTGTTTTGCTTTCGGCACCGGCCAGGGAGCAACCCCAATCCTGTACATGGACTTTTGCAGTTCAAAAAACCACTTTTGTAATATGTCCCTCCACTCTAGTCGATATATCTCTCATTGACGAAAGCTGGCTGTGTCACAGCAATGTCCACAATACCCTATACCATGAGCTGAAGACAAGATTATGAATGCTCAGCTCAGCATGCGCCCCCAACCAACATCTCAGAAATTCCAACAGCTTCTAGACCACCGGCTACATAACGTAGATCACTATTGTCAGATGTGGCCTGACTTACCCCTGGGAGAGATTGAGTGCCAAGCTCGATAACCCCACACAAGTTAGCCGGAAATGTCACTAGAGACAAACACCCAACATCGTCTTTTCTGACACTGTTTCAGACTCCAGTTATCTCTGGTGTCCTAACAGCTGCTCCCAACACATTGCATAGACATGTGGGGCTGGTGACCTTGAAACAAATCCCGGTAATGTTTTCTACTTTGTTATAACACTCCTATTCAACGTTTTAGGTCTGCATTTAAAGATTCGCTTTTACCGAACCCAAACTGTCCACTTGTCCATTGTTTATTGTTTCTGCTTCGGAGAAATATTACCGTCGTTAGCACATGATGCGCAATTCGGCTTTCGCACTTTCCTGTCTCGCGGCTCTGGTGCCTACCGTCGAAGCAGTATCGTACTGCTTACCAGACGATAGCTGTTTCCCTTCAGAGGATGAACTCCAACAATTCAATGCCACCGTAAAAGGTCGTCTTATAAAGGTGGTACCGTACGCTCAGGCTTGTTACGAGGACACCTACGACGCTGAAGCCTGCAAAGAGTTGGCTGCGAAGCGGCAGGACCCCACATGGCGAATGAGCCTTCCTGGTATGTCCACACCAAAATTCAACAATATCGTATCAGCTAATGATTAACACAATAATAGCGGGTCTTATTTATACCACGTGGGAGCAAGCTGGTGATGAAGGATGCTATATTCCATTGCTTCCCGCCGACGGATCGTCCCCCGCCCCCATTCAGGGCAAATGCTCACTCGGTGGCATGTCTTCGTATGTGGTGAATGCCACTAGCACAGATGACATTGCAAAAACAGTCAAATTTGCAGCAGTGAAGAAATTGCGATTCCGTGTTAAAAATGTAAAGACATATGGAGGGCGCTGAGTACACAACGGCAGCTGACACTGCGAATAGACTGGTCACGAATATCTGGGAAGATCTGCAGGTGCTGGTTCCTTCTCTATATGGACACACCACATGAACGACATGCGAATGATTGACGACTTCAACACCGGGTGCGGTAACGACATCAGCTAGCAATCCAGGTTACCGGAGCCCGGGCAAGATATTCTCGGATATCACCCAGGCTCCGGCTCTTTTCCCACTTGGATGCACCACATGAACAGTATGGAGTCCATAAACAACTTCAGTCCAAAGCGCAACAGTGGGGTGGGTCAACGAGTTATCTCGGCTGGACCTGGTGTCCTGGTTCAAGAGCTATACGACTTTGGAGCGAGGTACGATGTAATCACGACGGGTGGATACGGCCCAACAGTGGGGGCTACCGGGGGTTTCATTCTAGGAGGAGGCACTGGACCTTTCAGCTCTACTATTGGACTCGGCATCGACAGTGAGTGTGCAGTTTCTGATCAAAGACATAGCTTCTAACATTCTCCAACAGATGTAGTTCAGTTTGACGTCGTTACTGCGGACGGCGAGGAGAAGGCAGTCAATGAGTGCACTAATCCTGATTTATTCTGGGCTATGAGAGGTGGAGGCGGTGTCTTCGGAGTACATACACGCGTTTACCTCAAGACACACACTCAACCTGCAGCTGTTAACTGGATGGTGAACTTGATCCGCTGCGATGACGATTCATCATTCAAGAAACTCATTAGCACAATGATCGAGATTCAACTTAGTCTGCGCGAAAAAGGCGAGAAGGTGAGTCGCAGTCACTATGCCGATTCTCACTACTCACAAATTTACAGAGCGGCCTATGGACTTCCAATACAAAGTTCAAAAATATTGTCATGATCTCGATTGCACCCCAATTCGGTGTTCCAGTATCGACAAACGCAACTCTCAACGCATTTGCACCTATATTCCAAGTTCCAGGATGTCAAGCCTCACCTAAAACAGGCACGGAAAAGCAGTGGAACGACGTCTTTCGGCGCATCTTTTGGCATGTAATCACACGTGCAGCGCCAAGCGGAACAAACATACTCGACTCGAGCCGTATTGTCACATACGAGCAGATGGAAAGCGAATCGGGGCGTCAGCGGATCACAGAGTACATTACCAACTTATCCCCCAACATCACGTTTCTTTGGCAGAACTCGGTGGGCGGGCCTACTCGAGACGCAGCTCCCGATGCGACTTCCGTCAATCCTATCTGGCGTGAGGCGTTTGCGTTTGTCAATGCGCCCATCAATGGCCCTGTCGAACGCGTTACAGAAGAGCAGACGAATTTGCAGATCGATAATACGAGGAATATGACCAAGGCTTTTGGGACGGCGGCGTATTATAGCGAGGCGAATGAGTTTGAGGTGGAGTGGCAGGAGAGCTTCTTTGGTAGCAATTATGCGAGGTTGTTGAAGATCAAGAATGAGGTTGATCCACAGAGGGTGTTCAATTGTAGGCTTTGCGTCGGCAGCGAGGAAGGATATTGATAAAAGTTTTATTAGGTTAACATGGGAAGGTTCACGTCATGGAGCGGGATGTTGAAGGCTTCGTGAATAGATGTTCAAATCTTTTTTTATCATTCATTACTCGTACAAGCGCAACATTTAAAAATTAGACACATCGCAGATGGCGATTTTTGAATATTATACAATCTGTTTTCAACATTCCACAGAATGTCTTTCATTACCCGCGATCAAAATTCGTTCCATCATTTCCCACAATTACATACCACCGTCTGGGCATTTAACCAGCCTGGTACAAGCCAAGAGAAACCACATGAGGGTTAATCATAGACAAGTTAAAAGGAGTCAAAAACAAGTCGAGGTCAGTGATAGCGATGAACATGGTGTCGTTCGCAGCTGGATCACCCTGGTAGACCTCAGCAGCGGGCTGGTAAGTATAACCCTGGTTCTGGCCGGTAAGGGTAAGAGGAGTGTAGGTGAGGTTGAGCTGGGAGACCCAGGCGACGAAAGCGGGCTGGCCAGCGCTGGTGGAAGTGACGTATGAGTTGTTGGGTCCAACGGGACGGCCGGGATTCTCCCAGGTGAGGTTGACCTGCTTGCCGGGGAATGTGAGGGGCTCGGATCGGTTGCGGGCAATGGCTGGCCCGCAGCTGTAGCCGGTGGTGTTCACGTTGACACAGGACTCATCGGGGGGAAGGGTGGAGTTGCTGGGGTCAGCCTGGAGACGCGAAAGATTAGCAGAGATTCTTTTTCGCGCTATATAAGGGTTTGAGAAATACGTACGACGCGCAGACCAGTCACTTCGAAAGGCGTGGTGTCGTTGGGCGACACACGGTTGGGGTTTGCGGCGTTGTTGACGAACAGGGCAGGGAAGTTTTGCCAGCCTGCAAATGTGAATTAGTCAAATGATCACGAATCGAAGATGGTCGACGGAACTTACTCAAACGGGTGGTGTTCTCGGGGCAAGAGCTGATATAAGGAGCAAGATAAGTCCAGGCCCAGGATTGCGGAATACCAGTCTCAAACCAGAGAGGCATTGGGTGCAAGCCAAGCATCTGCCTGAATGACATTTGCTGCCTGGCCTCCGTTGCGATGCTCTGACTGAGCAATTGGCCAACTTCACGGCTGTCGAGGTGGTTGATGAATCCCCAAACACCGGACTCTCCCCAGCGGGTGAGCTTTTGGTTAAAATCGATGAACTCGCGAACAGTGGTGAATGGGTAGTTGTAAGTGCACTGAGGAGCAGCAGTCTCGCCGAGCATGTTGCTCAACAGAGTAGCGTGACCAGTTTCCTGGTCGGCCATGAAGGCGATGTAAGAGCGGTCTTCAGCAGTGAGACCAGCTTCTAAAAATTGCTCTTCAGAGAAGACGGCAAGACCGTTGTTGAAAAGATCGAGCTCAATCCATTCTTGGTAAAGACCAAGCTGAATCGACTCGTAATCGAAGTCGCTGTTAACCATGTAGCGAGGCTCAGTTCCGTTGGTACCAAGTCCGCCATTGGGTGTGTATGGGATTGGGGCAGGTTTTTGAAGCTGGCCATTGGTGTTGTAGTATGTAGCAGTCGGATTCGGAGGTAGAGGCGCAATGGTGTCGGCCAAAGTAGTCTCTGCCATAACTGCTCCAGTCGTAGTAGCAGTTCCTTCATATGGTCCATGGCTGGTAGCACCAGTAACATCTGAACTCCTACGAGGGGGAGCAGGCGGAGCGGAAGTAGCAACCGCCGGAATCTGCGAATCGAGTCCAAAGGATGATGCGGGTGCACCAGTTGGTTGCTCAACGCTCAATGGGAAATCGCCATCAGTGCTAATATGAGGTCAGTAGGGTTGGAAGATTGGAATTGTGCGAGAAGTCATCTTACTATCCAGGCACTTGGGGCGCAGGAGCGGCAACAGCCAATGCCGTCAGAAGCGTCGAAGCGTAAAAGGTCTTTGTAAACATCTTGTCGGCTTGTTCAACACAATGGATGATACAATTCAAGAGGGAAAGGGAAATTTCAGACTTTATATACTACTGTCCCCAGCTAAAAAAGAAATCTCCGACATTCCTCCACAGCATACGACTCTATGACAGCCTCCATAATTCCGTAAGCGGTCGGTTACCATGACTTCATGACAGTTGGGATTCGGGAGCGACAAGGAAATATCGGAACAATATTTCACTTCACCAACCTGCATTGGGTGAACGGCATGCGGTTAGGCATTAGGCTCGTGTGGAGGCGGGTCCTCGGGATCAAATAACGTTCCAATCAAGATCCTGACAGGATCGATAAACATGCAAGATGGAGTGGTTCATCCTGGAAATCGCACCGCAAGCGCGTGGTCGCCACACGATCCTATGATGTCGGTATGACAATTCACCTATGAGCATTAGCCGCTAGTAGGAGATGTCCATCCCAGTAATCTTGATCGGACCAGTCCACAAATACTGAGAACAGGGATCCTCTCTGACAAACATTGCCATCTGCTGCTGAGAAATTCGATGTTCTCGACGTGGAGATGGGTCCGCGGAGCTCATTCGTCATCGATTTATAGTTCATATGCCAAGGCACACATTCATTGTTACCACAGGGATGGAAGCGTTCACATTCATGCTATTATTTTGCTTGTTATATATTTATCGACATGCACAATTGTTTATACTCGTGAAGTTCACGAAATCTCAGAGGTAGAAAGTTGCCGGAGGGGATACCGAGCTTACATAATACGTGGTGACGTAGATTGAATCGACAATGGCAACTCTTGTACAAAGAGGAGTGGCTACAACGGCTGCCTGTTCGGCAGCTGCAAGTCTCCCAGGGTCTTTGTGCATGTCTCGAATGTGTGGTGACCCTTGCTGTTCAATCGGTGAAAAGTACTAGCTGTACCTCGACAAATGTACCTGATCGTTGTCTTATTTCGCGCGAGCCATAGGACCCCAATTTTCACGAGGTGCCATTTGATACCGGACGAGCTTGCCTCTGTGCTGATCTCTGCCGAGTTTTTCATCAAATTTGACTTCGAAGTCGACACCCATGTATGATGGGCGCTGCTCCTTGTCTGCCGCTTTTTCCTCATTGTCGAGCCGTGTGTCTTCCATGGCCGTGCCCTGCTCGTTTGTTGAAATCTCTGCTTCGGCTTGTTGTACATCGGATTTGGATACAATCGCGCGTCCTGCACTGGCTTCTTTCAACGGGTTCCTCAGTGGGGCTTTTTGGCGGACCCACTCCAGCATAATATGCCAGATGGCTTTCCACGAGGCATCCGTCTTCAGGGATCCCGGCTTGCAGTGGCTCATTGTAACCTGGTACCCAGCATGAAGCAATGCACCACGTAGTAGTGCAATATTAGGTGCCGAACAATGTATGACCTTGCAAAGGGAGCCAGGGATAAAGAAAAACGGGTGATGGTCTATCTCTGTTGGATCAGCTTTGGGGATCAAAGGATCCAGCTTCTCCGGTTCTTGCTCGTCGCTGACTCTCTGTGAGCCAAACGTGACCTCCTCCATTGCTGTGTGCAGCATACCCTCGATGCGAGCCATCGTGGGATATGTCTCACGATCAGCATCTTTTAGTTGCGCAAGAACACGTTTGATGAATTCCACGTTGTGCAATGGTCCACCGTACATGGGTCCTGAAAGCTAATGAAAGTCAGTTCAGAAAAGGACTGTATGCGTGAAACGAGGGCACTTACATGCGTTTTGAAGCCACAATGCTCGCAATTCTGGCTAGCAGTTGGGGCTGCTGCGAAAGAATGTTTAGAGAATTGCTCGCCGTGCTTGTTTTTTAAGAATTTGTTGCGAGCGAGGAATTGAGTGGTCCATGCTCCACAGCCGCTCTCGCAATGATACACAATCATGGTCTTCCCAGCTAGAAGCTTCACATCATTCGGCGATCTACGAACGCGAACGAAGACTCGGACATAGTAGTCGATTGAGAGAGACAAAAGTGGTTCGATAGCCATACCATATCTGGCAGCAGAGGAGGCGATGGCGTGTAGAACTAATCGCAAACCTCCTTCATGACAGGGCTCGCCCTTCAGAGGCAGCCCCCCGTACTGAGAGTAGGTCTTCTCTAAATATCCGTGGGAAGCAAAAATTGCCGAATCGGTACATGTCACGCAGAGAAGTCCCTCGTCGTTGATAGCTTGTATGGCGGAATCGATAAAGGGTGAGGCTGTTCCGTAAGGATCAAGATCAATCACATCGAAGCCTTTCTTGTCCACAAAACTGTACATGTATGCTATGGCATTTCCTGTGTGTGCATTGATCTTATCCTCCAGTTTGTTATGTTTAATGTTCAGCGCTATGGATGCTGTAGCATTCGGCGACATATCGTTCGCAGTGATCGTTGTCGCAAAGGGTATTTCTTGTGCGTATCGGAGTGCCCGCAAGCCTGTAGCCGAAAGTGCGTCAAGAATAGTGAAGGGCGGCTTCCATTCCGACTTTGCTTGTTCCTTGGGCTCAGGTAACACAGGAGCCACTTCGACATCGTCTTGTAAGGCATCCGTATTCTTGGCTTTTTTGATGGGGCTTGGATGTGTTTCGGCTTCTACAAGCTCATCTCCATCAAGCTTCCTCTTCTTTGACAGATCATTATCTTCGGCAGTGGTAGGTTCCTCTTGCTGCATGGGTTTAGCTTTCCTCTTCATCTTTTTAGCTGCCTTCTTCGCCGCAAATTCATGCTTCGCCTGTTTGCGTGCGACCGAGTCCTCTCCAAAAGTTTTTATCGCAAGCACGCTCAAATCTCGATTAAATTGCTGAATGGGATTGTAGAAGACCTGCTGCTTCTGTGTTTCCTCCTTCGAGAGTCTAGGGTCTGTAGACGTGGGTGTACCATCGGGAACGAGGATATGCGCCAACCCCTCTTTGATAGTGGTATAGTGCTTCCCTTCATGGTCGATCATTTGTCCTCCTCGAGGCGGAGTATCTATGGGCATGCTCTGCGCGTCTGCCATGGTCGCGAACGAGTGGATCTCAATCAATCGATAGGATGGGTGGATCGGTCGGCGCAAGTAGCTATCGGTAGCCCATGATCCGCGGTAAATGTGAAGGCGGGCTGGTCGCGCACAGGCAAATCGACAAATCGATGGAAAAGCCAGCTTCGATAAAACTCTGAGGGTGAGAGGTGAGGGTGGTAAAGGTTGGCGCTACGTGAAAGAATTCATCATGAGTCTACATTGAATTATTTACAAAACTTTTAGGCTCGGATTTAAGCTCATGTAGCTTGGCAGGGTCCTCACCCACGGTCCACCCCTCTCTTAATGCTCAATAGCAAATCATGAACACGACATTTCACACGGTAGTGACTTTCATTTGATCACCTACAAAATCCAGAATTATAGAGGCTCAGGAATACGTTATTGCTCATTCATGTATGGCAGTCACCTATACGAGTACGCCAAGAGTAAGACGGTGCCTGAATTAGCAACATTGAACGGAGTACACAGACACACAGACCACAACGCCGTCAGATCAGTCTCACTATTAGTGCCCACAAGTTACTTGTCTTGTTGACTCCCTAACTGCGCTCTACTTTCTCTTACACTGACTGGCACCTGCTAAACATGGGGAAACCAACTAACTTAGACGTCCCTGGAGGGAAAGCCTATCGCGACGACACCGAAGCGCTGTCCCTTCACACCACCCCCGACGATTACGACTACGACGACGTGCCTGATACTCAAGGCTTGCTGCCTCCATCGTACCATGAGAGCCAGGGCGAGAGCTCCAGCGCTTCAGGTTTCGCTCCTGATTCCGTTGCACACGATCAACACGTTTTACCAACGAATGGAAGGATCAATCACAACAAAGATGTTACCATGAAGAATGGCGATCCTCAAGTGTGTGAGGAGGTGGTAGTGATGGATCCACAGTATGACCACGATCCAGCATATCTGGAGAAGGGAATCCGCGATTTCGCCCAAAGCCCACCCAACCCTCTGATCTACATCATGGGTACGCACCAGGAGACTATAAGACATCGCCAGAACGATAAACGTGAGAGGAAGACAATCACTGATTTCAGAATCGCTATACCTCTCCGACAGTATCTCCTCACACCTGGCGATACATCCCGAATGAGGCTGCTCGTGGCACAGAACGGAGAGAAAACACATCGTGGCACCGTCTTCAAAACACGAGCGCCGGGTGCGAAGCAGGACATAGAGGTCGGCACGCCCGCACCAACACTCAAGGAGTGGTGCCACCGATACTGCGCATCGTCGCGCATGTTGCGAATCTTCCGTCTGCAGCGGCCCGTTACTGGGTTAGATACAGCCCTGCTGCGCGACCGCATTGAAGGCATGATCCGCGCTACCAACTACCGCGGCTACATCAGCGTCACTTTCCCCATCGAAGAAAAGAACATTGATATATACACCACCAACCGCGTTAACGAATTGCGCAACACAACGTGGGTGCGCTGGGTATTCTACCTCACTTTCCTGTGGATCTTCTCCTGGCCCGCTCTCTACTTTGGCACGAAACGCTACGCTATCGTCCGCGCGGAATGGCCCTTCTCCACTACCGATGCGGCTGGCAACAAGCAATATACCAGCATGAGCGAGGAGCAGTGGTGGAACAAATGGCAGGTCGCTATCCGCCGTCTTGTCCTCGGGCAATACGAAGGCGAGGCTAGCTATGATGTTTTGGCCGGTGTTGCTGCTCGTCCTGAAGACCCCCCGATCCCGGGGACCATGAACACGGGGCTGGAGGGTCTGGATCAGGCTGCTAATATGCTAAATCAAGGGTTCCGATTTGCTAGGGCGCTTCAGACTGGGGAGAGCTTGGGGAGGGGGTTGCAAGGCGGGTGGGGGTATGATACATAACTACGACGCCGGAGGAGATGGTCTTGAATCGGGGTTTTCCTTTTAGATCTTCTTCGCATGGAACTTCCGGTTTTCCCATATGTGAGGGATGTTTCTGTTGTTCATCTTTTGTCTTTTCCTTGACGCGATTCCCCTCCCCTCCTATGTTCACAGGTGAACCATGGTACCTCGCGTTATTTGATAAATCCTTCTTGGTTCTTCTGAACAATATTTGTGACTATAGTACTGTAGCGTATTGAAATCTCGCAAGATCTCTTCACCCATTGACCCCACTTCCACGTCAATGCAATGATCCTTCCTCGTTTGTCAATCCAACCCCCAAAAGAAACAGATGGAAATGCACAGCTTGTTGAGATTCGAGGCCACGGCCATCGTTGAAATGCGGCACAACCCAATATACAAAGGAGGAACACAATCGAACCACCCAAACCAACAACCTCTATACGCGCAAACGGGGTCTAACCAAAAAGAAAGAAGAGAAAGACTACAGCTCACCACCCTTCATGCGAAACCAAGCAACCATATCCTCACTCCCCAAACTCCCCACCAAGATCATTTTCCCAAAAACATCCAAATCCTCGACGGCAGCATCCCTAAGCACATGGGCAAAATCCAGATCCCTGACCAAAAAATGCTGCTTCTCGTTCCAGCGCTCGGCAAACTCCAAGGGCGAGGCGGCATTCCACAGCTTGGCGGAGATGGTGACGCGGTTGCCGACGGCGAGCTCGTGGGAGCAGGATGTGATGTCGCCGGCCATGACCCGGCAGCATGCGATGGCGTGGCAGATGACGAGGAGGGTGCGGCGGGCGGATTCGCGGAAGATGAAGGAGGTCCAGAAGGCGCGGGCGGTGGTGGTTGGGTAGATTGGGAGGGGGGATGGAGTGGGGGAGTCTTCTTCTGAGGGGTTGGGGGGCATGTTTGTGAAGATTGAGGTTGCGCTTGTTTCAAGGTGTGGGAGGAGGGTTTGGACTTGTGCGAAGCAGCGGATCTGGGGGGTGTGGCGATTGGGGTTAGATTTTGATGGGGGTTGAGTTGGAGGGGAGGGGAGCTCACGTCGCCGCTGCAGAGCAGAAGAATCATGTACAGGAGGAGGGCGTGTGCTCTTGCGAGGACTTCCAAAGGTTGGATAGGTGGTGCTTCGTCAGTGAGCTCGCAGGCTTTTCCGGCGATGTGTCTTGCGATGAATCGAGCATTTGACTTGTTCCGCGACATAGACAGCGCACAGGTAGCATAGGCATCTGATTAAGCATTTAAATCAGGACGGGGAAGATCCAATTCTTCAATGATCGTTTAGTCTTACCTGCCATTGATTTGGGCATACGATCCTCATATAGCTTAGCATGCGACCAGAAGGTGCAGTTTTCTCTAACCATCATCGTGGGGACTTTTTCCCATTGTTTCATTGAGTACCCGATACGCGACTCAGCCATGGGCGAGAACGCGAGCAAAGATGGAGACTTTTGATGTGGATTGTAAGTTCCATATTGAGGCAGAGCGACTGTGCTCCCAGAATCGTTACTGCTTTCGAAGTCATAGCATGAAGGGGGCAGATTCAGGCCTAGGTCTAAGAATGTTGTATCTAAAGTTGACGGTATTTCAAATGTATCTAGCGAAGGCCACGAAGGTGTTTCCATCTCTTGCATTGTCTCAACTGTATTGGCGTCATTTACCGGCGAAGCTGGCGTTGGAGCTGACGAGACATAGGCAGGGGCAGCATAGTGAGAAGGCGGCCAAGTGCAGAGGAGTTGTAGCCTGGCACAGCGGCCGCAGCTAGGTTGGCGAAGGTCGCATTTTCTTTTCCCTTTGGCGCATTCGGAGCAAGACTTTTGTCTTCCTTGTGAGTTTGGGGCTCGAGTTCGTTCTGCAGGCATATCGGGTGTAGAAAGAGGATTCAGATGCAGAAAGAGGAACGGCTGCTTGGTTAGGATGACTCATTATGTAAGCAGACATGGCTTCTTCGATGTTATACAGCCGACAGCAATTGAATGCTAGATCTTATAATATCAGATCTGATCTAACTGAAGGTAGAGCGTGTTCTTGGATAAGATGCGCCTTTTGTCTATTACCTATACGTGTCAGAACTCCGCTCCCAAGCGGGATCCCGCATCAAACTCCGCGCTATGTACGAGCTGTGTCAGACCTCCGCACGACATTTGCATTCTGTTTCCACTTCCCTATACCACTATGGGATAATTTTGCACATGGAAGGATACCCTCATTCAGGCAAGAAACGCTACGTGATTGTCTTGTGGGATTGATAATCATCGCAATGCATCAATGATGGTATATAAAAGAACGGCTTGTACTATAATGATCAAAAGCAACACATTATTCTTACTTCATCATGTCCCCAAAAACAGCACTTGTCATTCGAGCCACCGGCGCGCAGGGAAAAGGAACTGTCAAGGCTCTCATATCAACTGGGTGGACAGTCCATGCTCTTGTGGGCGATGCCTCTAGCGATCGTGCACAGGCATTGAAGAAGTTCGGTGATGGAGTCATCCTCCACCAAGGCACGATTGACGATGCTGTCTCCCTCGAAACCGCAGCGAAGGGTTGCAGCGCTGCCTTTTTGACACAAATGCCTGACTTGCAACGGGAAGACGCCGTCGCACACGAAGCGCAGCAAGCCAGCACATTCCTCCAGGTGGCCAAATCTGTGGGAGTGAAGCACGTGGTATTATCGACTCAGATAGCACTCACTGATCCCGCTTTAGCAAGCAACAAAGCGTGGACAGAATCAGCACTACGACCAAGCGTCGTTGGCAAAATCGAAGCTGAAAAGTTGGTGCGGGAATCAGGTATCGATTGGACAATACTACGCCCAGGTACGGATTCTGATAGGCACTCTCCCTCCGTGATGGGGCTTCACTGACAGTGTTAGGATGGTTCATGACCAATCTTCTGCCGCCACTCTTGCATTACTTTGCCCCAGGAATAGAGCAAGGAAAACTTGTAGTCAGCTACCAGGCGGATAAACACCTAGGGGCTGTGGACCCTGATGACATTGGAGCGTTCGCAGCAGCAGCCTTTAACGCGCCCGAGAAATTTACGGGCAAGCATATTCCCTTGTTGAGTGAAGTCCTCACGACCTCCGAGGTCTTTGGGCAATTCATTCGAGCCACGGGTAAATCGTTAAAAATGGAGTATCGTACCGAGGAGGAGAACATGGCTAAAGCAAAGACCGACCCCTTCATCTTGGGTGAGACTCTGACGCACGGTTTGGAGAAGCTGGCGACCATGGAAGAGATGCGGAGTTGGGGTGTTCACCTTACACCTTTGAGTGAATTCTTGAAAAAACATAAGGAAGAAGTGGCTGCCATTTGAGAGACGTAGTTTCAGTAGGTATGTAGTGCTGGGAAATTGAAATAATCCCCATGGACGATTCCCCAATGGATGTCTCGTGTACCTGGCTTTGACGTTCCCGCCTGGTGCGTGCAACAGTAACAGCATTTGGGAGGACTGAATGACGAATCACGTGGTGGCACATGCTTGTGGGAGCAGGATTGCTCCAATCGATAGATTGATTACGCAATGCAATACCAGGCGGCGCGTCTCCACGAGGAGTAGGCTCACCAGATTGAGAATGGTGCAACCACAGAGAAAAACATAGCGATACTGGGCATATTAGCAGAGTTGACGACGGCAACGATGAAGTGGAAAAGAAGATGATGATGGTGTCTCGGAGGTGGGGAGCTGAAGGGTTCACAGGTTGCAGGAAGAAGTTAATGGGTAGCGTGGCTATGCGGCGCCTCATTATGATGTAGCAGCTAGGCACAGACAGGCGCGAAAAAAGAAAGGGATCAACAACAACGATGTTAAGCAATAAAGCAGCACCACAGAACAAGCTCAAACAGACGGACTTTTGTAGCGGATGAGCGTTATCGATATAGTGGCCAAGAGATGGGCAACAGGCTCTAGGAAATAAAATCGTAGTGGTGAAAAAACGGCGGGCGAATAATGTCCTCGGTACATGCTGGGTTGACTAAGTAGTGTACCGATGCCAGGCCGGCCAAGCCAAAAATAGGATAGGAATCGATGGAACATGCCAGCCAGGATAGGAAATGGCCCCTGTCTAGCGCGCCCGTCTCGTCCATCTCCACTCCCTCGCTCCCTCCCTCCATCAATCCATCCCGTCGCCGTCTCCTAAACCTAAACACCTTGCCCGACCTCGACGCTCGTCACTTTCACCTTCCTCCCGCCCTTCGTTCTCCCCCGCGCCCGTTTCCCATCCATCCCTCTTCACCACCAGTCACTCGTTTGTGGAGCTTGCCCCAACGTCTTCACACGCTTACACGCCCATTCATCCCCTGTTACGTGCCGTGTCAACAAGACGGACGCCTGCTTGTAGCCCCCGACTTTTTTCCACGCCGCCACCACCACACCACCACCCGGTTTTGCACCACCTGCTACACGCCTGCATCCCGCCAACCTTACCCTCGTTTCATCCGAACTTTGTTGCCTCACCCGTCTCCATACCTAGTTATTTATCTACAGTTTAATCACACCACTCCCCATCATGAGGCCGGCACAGCTCCTCGCCGCCGTCATGGCCATGTCATCCGTGTCAGCGGCATTGCCCGACGTCTTCTCTGATTTCAAGTCCCCCAGCCAAGTCAGAGATATACTGGTTGGACGTCAAGATAGTATGTCTTCATCAACTCACCATGTTGGCTAGAACCTCGACCTAACCTTTGCCAGATCAACCCGATTCCTCCGCAACAACCACCGAACCACCCAAAAGCTCAGATGCTCCCAAACCATCCGACAGCCCAAGCCAAACCAACTCCGAGTCATCAAAAGAGACTGGCAGCGGCGATAGCAAGCCTAGCGGTGACAGCAAGTCTAGCGGTGACAACAAGTCCAGCGGCGACAGCAAACCTACCGACAAGAACAACAGCAAAAGCGGTTCAAAGACCTCAGGCAAGCCTACGCCCACCAACTTTGGCCCTGATGTGCAACCCGGAGGTGTCAACATGATCACCCCCTCTGCCCTTGCTGGTACACAGCTCTACAAGATTGACGACTATGTCACTTTTGTTTTCAACTACACATCTCTGTCAAGCACTCCCAAGAACGTCGATGTCATGGCCACTTGCACTGCCAACCAAGCCACTTACACCATCGCTGTCAACCAAACAACAGAGCCTACCCACACCATCGTCTGGGATACCAAGAACTATGCTGCCGATCACCCCAACAGCCAGCCTCTTTTGACCGAAAACTTCCAGCTCATGATCTACGATTCCAACAAGAGTGTTACCGATGTTCCTCAGCCTGGTCTCCTGTCTCCGTTCAAGGGCTTGAACTTCGCCATGTACGAGAAGCAGCCCTACGTGAACTGGACCGGTACGTCGTTCCCTTTCCATTATACCTTGAGCGTCCCCTAACTAATTACGTCCAGACTACAAGTGCGCAAACTGCAACGGAGCCATGGGTGCAATGGAGGCTCTCACCGTCAAGGCAATGCTCATCACTTCGACAACCACCGTCGCTTCGTTCCTCTACTTCGCCGCCGCTTTTGGCTTGTGGTAGATTACTCGTGTAGTCACCTCGCCTCGCTTCAGCGTCCTTCCACGATAACGGCATTCATCTATTTTCACCACATGTCTATATATTCACTCCTTCTATGACCTTTTAACACCAAGAGACCGAATCCCGCCTTCCCCGGGAACGCAGCGCACGCAATGAGCACTTTTCATTCATTATTGTTTACCACGCAAAAAAATCGCCAACCGTTTGGGGGCATCTGGGGTGTTTTCGGCGTAAATTTCCAGTTCGGGCTACGGCCAAGGGATTTTCCTTGATTGCATTTACAAGGGTTCCACACGCATTATTTATCATTAATAAACACGCAAGAGGGAGGGACGCTAGTCAGGAGGCATTGATCTGGGCTATAGTAATCTATCTTGCATCGCTCAAGAGGTTGGGGGTGCAATGGGAGTATGGTGAGGTTGGGTTATCGCGATCTATGCAGCGTTAGGCAAATCTACCACTCCTTTTTTTTTTCTGTCGGTTGACTGGCATCACCGTCATTGTCAACGAAACAATCATGAGTAGTCAATAGATTATGAATGGTGAGCCTTGGAACCATTTTCGCTGCTAGTGTCAAACAAAATGCTGTGGTATCTTGGTAGGGCCATTAGAACGCCCTTTATGCGCCCGATGAAACAGAAAAAGGCGCCAAAGCGCGTTTCCCCCCTTTCCTGCCATGTACTCGTAAAAATCATGACGAAAAGATAATCCTCTCCGTCGATAGACACCGCCTGAAAACAAAGCACGAAAGTCTGCAAGTTTGGCATGTCGTGGTGGACATCGAATCCACATCCACATAACCATGAAATCAATCAATTAGCCCTGTCCCTCCACTCATCCTTCAACACCCATCTCCCCCTCCCAGCACCACCACCGCCACCGCTCTTGTCCAACGTAGCAATCATCTTCAGCATCTCTCTAAACTCCTCGCTACGACCCGGTACAGCACGGCAGTAGTGATCGAAATGATCGACCAGCATGCGCGACGGAACAGCACCGCCATGCGTCAGCAAAAAGTCCCGCAGCATTGTCAACATTTGCCGACCACGAAACGACTGCGTATTGGGCGTCGACGAGCGCGAAGAAGAAGCCGTCGAGCCTCCGGCAGATGCAGATGGTGTACCTGGAGCCGCACGACCTTGGCGCACAGCGAGGTTGTTCAAGATGGAAGAGGAAGAAGGGCCGTTGGCGGCACCGCGACCGCCTCGTCCACCTCGCGCAGATGAACCGCCGCGCATGGCGTTGAAGGTTCCGCGTGGAGCCGTGGGGAGCGGTCGCTGTTCTGGTCTTCCTGCTTCGCCGTGCGTGCCTGTCCAGGTTGGCACGCCGAGGGGCGCGTTGCGCGCTTCTTCCATTGTCTTCTTCAAATGGTCGGCTGCTAGTTTGGCTTGTCGTTTGGCTTCGCGTTGCGTGATTGCTGGGTCGGCTTGCACTTTGCGCTTGCGGCCTGGGGTTGTTGTGTTGACGATGGCATCGTGCTCTAGTACCGAGTGCACCCCTGATTTGGCGAAAATGGAGGACATGAGACTGGTGTCGCTCCTGTCTTCTGTGCCGTCTTCTGGTGCGTTGGCTGTTTCCTCTGCATCGGACACTGCATCTTTATAGGCTTCTGCATGAGCGATGCCTTTCATAGCTGCGAGGTCCGATGCGGCTGTTGCATCTTCAGCTGGAGCTGGAGCGGAAGGGCTGGGTTCTTTCTCGGAATGCCCATTCTGATCGAATTTGACTTCAGATCCTCGAAACATGTTACCTGTTTCCGTCTCGCCGTCCGCTGTGTCGGTTCCCAGTGTGAACAGATCATGGAGATCACTCATCTGGAACGTCTGCCGCTGTTTCGGATCTTTCAATACCTTGTTCGTCAAGAACTGCTTGAAGATTTGTCGGTGGTAAATTTTTTCTTCTATTGTCCCAGCTGACATGAGGCGATATATCTCAACTTCACGCTTCTGGCCGAGACGCCATGAGCGCTCTCGGGCTTGGACATCAGTCGATGGGTTCCAGTCGGGATCGTATATAATGACGCGATTGGCGCCTGTCAGATTGACACCTAGGCCTCCAACTTTGGTTGTGAGGAGAAAGACGTGGATATCTGGATTTTTGTTGAACTCGTCAACCAGATCCTGTCTACGTTTGATTGGAGTGTCCCCGTCCATACGTCGGTAGTTGACTCCAGGAAGCCTAGACACATATTTCTCCAAGATGTCGAGCATAATGCGATGCTGAGCAAACAGAAGAGTCTTGTGACCACCCTTCACCCATAGCGACAGCAACTCTTTGACCACTTGCATCTTTCCAGATTTGTTTGCCGCACCATAATCATACCCGGCCTTCTTAGAGAGATTCTTATGGTCCATGAGATCTGGATGGTTGCAAACTTTCCGCAGAAGATCAATACCATAAAGCATTTGACGCTTGCCCTCTGATATCGACCTCATATCCTCTGAGTTCAAGAATCCTTCGTAGGCCGTACGTTGTTGACGAGTCAACTTGCAGAAGAGAACTTGTTCTTTCTTTTGTGGAAGATCGGCTGCGACGTCGACTTTAAAACGTTGCAATAGATATGGGCTGATAGCATCTTTGAGCGTCTCTGCACAGTGCATGGCAGTTTCAAATTCGAGATTCGACGCGTTTGCATATCCACCACGCTTGATGGGGAACTCGAATTGGTTGCGGAAGCTGACGAGCGTGCCCAGTCTCATGGGGAAGACAAAGTCGAACAGCGACCATAGCTCTGTCAGGTTATTCTGCATAGGGGTACCAGACAGTATAATCCGACTAGGCGTACGCAGCTCCTTGCAATGGATTGTGATTGCTGTGTTGGGATTCCGAATCTTATGACCTTCGTCCAAGATTGCAGTCTCCCAGTCGACGGGTACCAAGAACTCATTATAGGTTTGGAGTCCGGAGTAGGTCGTGATCAAAACATGGCCGTGCCGCTTGACCTTGTTCACAATCTTCTGGGCAGCCTTTCCAGCGCGCGTCAGTGTTGGGTCGTAATCCCCGTACTCTTGGAGCTCCATTTCACGCTCTAAGCGGTCCTCACGATTGGTGTCGAGCATGCCACTACCAGAGGTATGCAAGATGGATACGCGTAGTGCTGGCCACCAACGATGGAATTCTTTTACCCATTGCTTCATCACTGTAGCAGGACAGACGATAATAACGGGTTTAGTGAGAATCTTCGAGTAGTGTAAGCCGGCGACAAACGAGATGGCTTGAATAGTCTTCCCTAAGCCCATCTCATCGCCGACAATACCACCAACGTTCTGCGAGTAAAGTTCCCACAGCCATTGAACCCCAACCTTTTGATAGTCAAATAAGGCTGGGTATATATCACCAGGTATTTTGAAACCACCACCAAAGTCTGCATCAGGCTCAGTTGGATGCGCCTTGAAGCACTCATCTTCCTGGTCGTCTTCTTCTTGGACGTCGCCTTTGATCTCTGCTGCCCGCTTCCGAGCAGCTGAGCGCTTCTCTGTCCACCTCTGCACTCGTTGAAGATACAGCTTCTCGTTGCCATCATCAACACCCGCAAGGTCTTCATCCTCCTCCTCTGCGTTTTGTGCAGCTTTGGGCTTTTTCCCCTTCCGGCCTGCGCCCTTCCGCTTTCTACCTGTGCCCACATCTTCATAATCATCATCTTGTGTAAGGTCACTAGCGTCACCATCGGAATCGCCGAGGGCTGCAAGTTGGCGATCGTCGAGATCGGGTGCATAGGCATCGTCGGATTCAGAAGCGACGGGCTCAGGGGTGGCACTGGAGCTCTTTGGGGTGTCTGCTGTCCCCGTTGCCACAACGCGCCGTTTCTTCTTCGGTCGAGCGCTATCGTTTGTAATACCGGCCTCCGAAGCTGATTCAACCGTATCGAAACCAGGCTTCATCAAATTTTGGTGTGATTTGGGTCCCTGGCTGGCCTCTTCTACTAAATCTTCAGCCTCGGCATCCTGAATGACCTCGTCCAACGATCCGGATACCGCTCGATTTTGTGCCAATTTCGAAAAGGGTGTAATTTTGCCTGTACGTATCAGGAAATCCCTCCTGCTCTCGTTTGGCAACGGCCCATTAACGTGGGGTTGTGAGGACTCATTTTCGTCGGGCGAACGATGTCTATCATTTATGCGCTGTTGAATGGTATCTAGCTCTGCATCTAAACCCTCAATCTTCTTTTGGTATGTCTCAATCTCGGCGCGAAGCTTGGTCTTTTGTGTGGAGACCATAGCAATCGACATGCGATTTTTGATCTTGTTAATAGCAACTTCGCAGCGCTTTATCTCAGCTTCAGCCTTCTCCATGCGCTTCTTGTCTCGTTCATCGGCCTGTTCGATGAGAAGCTGGTCTGCCTGTCGGCCAATATCCCGCTCCAAATCATCCTGATCTCGAGTACCAGTGGTGAGAAACCTCAGTCTGGTCTGTTCGTCGGCGTCTGGCGGTAATTCGTCTTCGACAACTTGCACGCTGTCATCGGTGGGAGCGACATCTGGGATAACGGGCGACATGTCTTCGGAGATCATTTGCGCTGGAATTGACGAAGCGTCATCTGCGTCAGATGACGGAAGCATGATTGTGGTTGGAGTTCCTGCGCAGGTTGTGTGAGCAAATGAGTGTAGAAGATGAAGAGTGAAGGTTAAGAGTGAAGGGTCTCGAGTGTAGACTGTCCAGAGGTCCAGAGGCAGTAGAGGCGGTTGCCTCCGCTACTTTCCATACAAAAGATTCAACTAGGCAGGCAGACGTCATGATTCACCACACGCGAAGCGAGGTATAGTAATCCACGCCAAGCCTTAACGCTCTCACGTGCCATATGAATCTCGCGTTAAGTTAAGTTGTCAGCTCCGAACGCTTTTCTTTCACCTTGGGATGCAATTGTACGGCAATCGCTCGATATCGCCCTATTGAATGCATGTTTCCCGATTGCTGGTGGCATGCATATAAGTAATCGCCTTGGGTGTAATGCATATGTACCTAGGTACCTACATACATACATATGTGTATATAGGTAGGTACACCCACTCACTTACCGAAGGGTCTTGTCTCTCTTAGAAAGCATATTTACGCGACAATATATTTCTCAACCCATCGATACGAACTTCCACAAACTACAAGAATCACTTCAAATCATCAAATTTCATCTGCTACGTAGACGTGACGTGTACTTTTAACCGAGTTAGGAACTGTACTCCACAGTGTAAAGACAGTTTACTTCTAAATGTATGCTGGGTAGGTCACGCCACTTCCTAAAGCTCTATTTCCCTGAAATTATATGTACGGGCAAGCTTGCAGAGAAACCCGCATTATTACCCGAGCATTGGATCACAATGTCACCATCACGCACCACCACAAAGGTCATCGTCGTTGGTGGAGGCGGTACTATCGGGGCATCAACAGCGTTGCATCTTCTGGGTGCCGGCTATAGCGCTTCCAATATAACAGTTCTTGACCCTTATGCAATCCCATCCGCACAATCAGCGGGAAATGATCTCAACAAAATTATGGGCATTCGACTGCGTAATGAAGTTGATATACAATTGAGTATAGAGGCGAGAGATATGTGGAAGAACGATGCCTTGTTCAAGCCCTTCTTCCACAACACGGGTAGAGTGCGTCTCTTCTTTTCTTACAGTAAACCATATAGTATATTGACGGAAAGACAGCTTGACTGTGCTCATACTGAGGGAGAGCTCAAGTCATTGAAGACAGAATTTCAGAAACTACTCGATGCCGGCCTCGGAGAGTCCCATGAATGGCTGGATAGTGAAGACAAGATTCTGGAGAAGATGCCTCTTTTGGATCGAAACAACATAAAAGGATGGCAGGCCATATATAGCCGTGATGGTGGGTGGTTGGCGGCTGCCAAAGCGATCAATGCCATTGGAATAGTGCTGAAAGAGCAAGGCGTCAATTTTGGAGTTGGAAGGTGAGTTCGCGTGGTACCGAGTTTCATAGCTCGTTGCTGACCATTCAATAGAGCGGGATCATTCAAAAAACCTCTTTTCGCTGATGATTGTGTGGCTTGTGTGGGCGTCGAAACAACAGACGGGACACAATATTACGGAGATAAAGTAGTGATCGCCGCGGGTGCTTGGACATCAACACTAGTTGATTTGGAAGATCAATGCTGCTCAAAAGTAGGTTTTCCAATTTCGAAACAGAGGTCACGAGTGATTAACACCGACAGGCATGGGTTTATGCCCATATTCGTCTAACAGCAGAAGAGGTTGCAGAATATAAGAATGTTCCCGTGGTATACAATGGTGATGTTGGGTTCTTCTTCGAGCCAGACGAGTATGGTGTGATCAAAGTGTGCGACGAGTTTCCCGGCTTCACTCGATTCAAAAAACACCAGCCTTATGGCGCTGATGCTCCCAAACTCATATCAGTACCTCGCTCCCACGCAAATCATCCGACAGATACATATCCCGATGCCTCCGAGAAGTCGATCCAGAAAGCCATTGATATCTACCTGCCACGTTTCAAAGACAAGAACAAGTTCAACCGGACAATGTGTTGGTGCACAGACACTGCTGATTCAGAGCTTTTGATGTGTGAACATCCAAAGTGGAAAAATCTCATCATAGCTTCTGGCGACAGCGGGTATGCTTTCAAATATCAATCATCTGCACTCATCCCGTTCTAATGAAACTTTTTAGTCATTCTTTCAAACTTCTTCCGAATATCGGAAAGCATGTGGTAGAGCTTATCGAAGGTAGATTAGCAGACGATAAGTCACAGGCATGGAAATGGCGTCCTGGCGGTGATGCCTTGAAGTCGACCCGAGGTGCCCACGCAAAAGATCTGGCAGACATGCCCGGCTGGAATCACGACAAAACTATGGCTAAATTTTAGATCTTCTGAGCTCTAGATGGAGGCCAGAACCCGAGTAATCAAGTCGCCCAAAGTAAAGTTTCCTCAAACATCCTTACTGGAGCTACATATCCAAGCCCAATATGGTGTATGCTGGCGTATCTCAGTGGGCTATCATGAGGTCAACTATTTTCCCTCTATCATATCTCAACGTAATAATACCTAAGTATAATCTGCGGTATAAAAGAGCTCAAATCCATAACCTCTTGCCGCCAGCCCCCACCTACTAATCCTAATATGGTTTAGTGGTTGTGTGTGCATGATATCCACACGAAAGTTCAGCTGTGATTCAGAATACTCTTACTTGTTATGAGAATCAGCTGTTTCCGGAGTGGACTGTGCATATGTATGCATCGTTCAGCTTTTTCACGATTTGAATCGACCCCTAAGTTCATTCCCGCGTTCTTGCCCTAAGCCTTGCCTCAACACTGGCCAGCGACATCTCAGCATCCTTACCTACTTCCGAGATGGACGCCTCAATCCACTATAACAACTCTGCATCACGAGAGCAGAAAATTATAGACTGGCGTCACTGGCCAAAACACCGTGCACCCGCTCCAGATCAGGAATCGCGACCATGGCGCCAATGGCCAGAAGATTTCCTCGCTTCCCAGCCGCATGAGTTCCCCATTGTGCCAGAAGACCCATCAAGTCATGCAGTTCTTGAGGATGAGGCATTAGTAGCATGGGGCTTGGCAAATTGTGATGACAATCAGGGATATACGACTCTAGACGTTTGTTCCGTCGAAGCTGGACAGGTTGGTAAGACTGCTTTTGGTGTGGTTGCATGAGTACACGTTATTGACGCAAAATCTTCCGATCAAAAGAGTGGTATCGCAATGTTGACGACGAAAAGTTGAAAATACTGGTTGATGTGCGTATAAACCCTCTTCGTCTAGATATTGCACCCGTCACTAATGTGGAAATCTAGCAATGTTCGGACAGCGATGATGGTAGTCAGAGTGCTTTTAGGGTATTGTAAGGTTTGAGATTTTTCATGGATGCTTGAATCATGTAGACGCTTTCAGGCTGATCTTTCTTCATCAAAACTACGATTCCCGCGATGAGGCCCATAAACTAACTTCTCAGCTTCATAAATACTACAGCCTCCGAAACCTCATGGCTTCCGGGTAACTTCAGCATGCGACCAAGTATGCTGCAAGCCTTACTGAAAATAGGCTTATCGAAAGTTGTTTTGAGCGAAATTTTCACTTTTGAGGGTTCTTTCGCGAAGATGGGGCCTCATGTCTTCGAGTCGCGAAATACCGATGACAGCCTATCTAGATTCGGTACGGCCAGACCTCTACCGAATATAAGAGTTCTTTTAATTTCTCAAGCTAACACATCGTATAGAGATGTGCTACCGTTCTCAAAGCGGCTGGAGCAACGGGGTCTTGTATATCCAATCCATACGGACAGCGACCCAGACCATCTATTTCTGCATCAACTATCCCACATACGCCATGGATCGTCTCATAATATCCCTGAATTTCAGTCCAAACGTGATTCATCAAGATCTTTACCTCGATACATTAGCAGCGGTCGATTCCTGCCGACAATGGCGCGAGATTATCGGTCTGCGGCGCCATAAACTTCTCAGGCATGAAACGAAATATGCAGATGATACCATGGATCACCTTACCTTGACGCGCAACCTTCATCGCCTAGCACGCGATTGGAATACATTGAATCAGGACTGCGTTGACTACGTCCTTACGCTAGACTTCTTGCAACGTGCGTACAAGAAATATCGAAAGGCGCTTGAACGCAGTACATGGACGGCGGAACGAAATAGCAATACTGAAGAATATCTGAACATGCTGAAGTGTCAAGGAGAGAATTGCGTTCGATGGACTTCGGTTTACAGGGAACGAACAAATATCCGGATCAATCTGGTGAGTTGCTGAGGAGAGTTGTCCGAGAGGGACTATGAGACAACAGATAAGCTGATACTTCTATGCAGCTCTTCCACTTGGCCAACCAACACGAAGCTCGGACATCCAAGCAGATAGCCATTTCTACAGCTAAAGTTGCAGAGCAGACGCAGCGAGATTCCTCGTCCATGATCACCATGGCTGCTGTGACGATGTTTTTTCTCCCTGGTACATTCATCTCGGCTATTCTGAGCACTACATTTTTCGAGTATGGTAAAGAGACACTAGATGTGAGCCGAAAGTGGTGGATCCTGCCCGCAACTACAATTCCCACAACCATCACTGTGTTTGCAGTGTGGTTGGCTTGGCGATGGTGGAGGCTTAGAGCGCAAAGGACGGAGATGGAGAAATATGATGTCGGAGATGTTGTTGAGGAAATAATGGTCAGAGGAAAGTGAATCACAATACAATAGACTGCCCGAAGAATTTGCTTTTTCACATCAATGTGGGCAGTGTGTGATTCGTTTGCTACCGTATGAAGTCTTAAGCTGACATAAAGCTTGGAACCACCCTCTCCGTAAGGACTGAGATGGAGAACTGATCTGTGGAGCAGTGTGTATGCTAAAGAATCGAGAAACTCTACGTCGATGAGAGTTCGCATGAATAGCTCTCTGACTGCTTCGTAGCGTGGATCAAGGCATTTTCACCAAGCAGCTATCACGGCAATGCTTCACTCGTCATTATGCAAAAGTGTACCATTGGGCGACCTACTATACATACTCTCCGCTCGTGTCATGGAAGTTCTTGTCGCTGCCTTCACGAAGAAGGAGCTCTATGAGGTGCTGATGATCATCTTACAGGGCAGTCTATTTGAGATCAGTCCCAAAAAGATCATACAAATTTTCATGCTGATGGTCTTTCTCCTAGGTATATACTGCTAGGCTTTTGCTATTCTTAGTGATTTTCAAAGATGCCGATGGTTCTATGGCCTCTATGTAGTCTCGATCGGAGCAAGAGGTTTTGGCGTGACCAGCTCCTATTAACGCCAGCTGGCATGTCTACATGCAATACAGTGTACTATGTTACAGGCGAAGCTACACCATTCTCAAACAGCGGCCTCACAATCGCCTTATATCCTGTAGATAAAGCCGCCCCAAGTGCGGAATTGTCATATCTACCTTGCGCGTCGACTTCGGCGCCCTTTTCGAGCAGCAGCTTTACGTGGGTACAGATTATTCTGTCGCGTAATGTGGAGATGTGATAGATTGGGGCTGTGCAATTCAATCTATCAAAACACCGTTCGTAAATCTGACAGGGCGGCTCGCTTGCCAGTTACGTTACATATCAGTGAAACTCTGTAATGATTTCTATTGATTGATCTTTCGTGTGTCGCGGGGTTCAATTCATTCTTTTGCCTACTCGCATATATATACCGGTACAGCTCCGGACATGTCTCTCATTCGCACGAGAGATAAGTACAGCATATATAGAAAGAAGCCGACTCTCTATTCTACTTCTTTACTCTACTTTTTGTCCCTGCCTACTTTTTGTTACCTTTTTTATATACTTTTTAGGTGTAGGAACCACTGTAACTTCCAATTAAAAAAAAAAAAACTTAAAACTCTTTACTCTATAAAAACAAACCTTGCAACTTAAAAGTGCATCTTAACAATGCACTACACCGCGCGGGAAAGATTTTTGCAGCTCATTCATCGTAGCCGCGGCAGCAGCGCCTTGAAGCAAGACATTATCGATACAGCCACGACTATCTCTAAAACACCACAGCCTCCATCTGTAGTGCAGCAGCATCCAAGGATTTACGACTACGGTGTCTTAGTCCTTGGTATCACAGAGGATGAAATCCCAACTGTTCTTGACAACGTACGCATTTCCTCCTGTTCCTTCTTCCTCAGCCCCTCCTTAAGAAAAGACAAATTGGACTATTACTCAACTACCCAACAATAACTAAAATTTAATATCAACCGAAGATAAGCGGGAAACCACCTGATGACCCGTATGCTCAAACGACAAGCTCCCGGGTTAAATATCATGTAGACGGCAATATAGTCCTTCTGGATTACTTTGGACCTGACGAAACGGTGTACACCGCAATACTTGAACAATGTATGCGAACCGCAAATGGATTCATGTTTCTTTATAATATTGCAAGTAGAGAGGGGTTTGAGCAGATACGGCCGAGATACAGTGACGCACTGAGATTTCAGAGAGAACCGTATGGGCGTAAACCCCTCTCTTTCTCTCTCCCCGCTATCATCATCGGCTATAATAATGGCAAGGAGGAAGAGCGCGAGGTGCCAAAGGAGAAAGGCGAGTTGCTTGCACGAGAGTTGGGGTGTAAATTTGTAGAGATAGAGAAGTTGGAAAAGAATGGAAGGGACGCGGTGCATATATTGATTAAAGAGATGATAAAGGGTGAAGAGTTGTCACCGTCAAGAAGTGAGACTGAGGAGAAGGGGGCAACGGAAGGGGAAATGCAAAGCGATGTAAAACGTCGAAGCGAGAAGAGATGGTGGAAGAGACTAAACAGAAATAATTAGGGGTTTAAGACGTTACAATAAGGCAAGATCGAAAGAAGGAGTCATCAGCTCCTCACTAACATGAGCCCTGCACGGGGATGCCTTAGCGATAATAGAAACTGGTTTCCTCGCGCCCCACAATCCATTCTATGTCTACGCTATGTCAAAAAATCCGTGGAAACTCTTGCCACACCTAATGCTAACAGCATCTTCTACTTTTCATATCTAGTGGAGTACCGCTTCGCACAAGCTGCATCACACGACTACGTGTAAGCAAGCCGCTGAATTATCATTAGACCCTTTTTATATCACATCTTAGGGAGCTTCTTTAAGAATCTCTACTGTTCTTGGATTTCTAGAGCTTCGAGCTGCCATCCTCCAATCACCTTGCGAAACGATATTATATTAAGATGCTAAAAGTCAAAGACGGATAAAAAATGGTCTGCTCTGTGCTTCATCCTATAAATCTCTGTCATTAGTACAAACGGTCTTTTTAATTCCTTCTACTGACTCTTACTGCTAAGCGTTGAAGTTACGTTGGCCTTGCTGATTGGCGTATCAGGTTGTCTGTACGTTAGCATACTCGAGCTCGTCTCTGCTACTTACTTGAAGAACTCTTTCATCTCTTCAAAGAGTAATGCTTTAGTGCATCTTCTTATAATATACGTCACCTTTATATCATCTTGGCTTGATTATAAAAACATTATATATACTTAGTTTTTTTTTTTTTTTTTTTTTTTTTTTTTTTTGATTGGAAGTTACAGTGGTTCCTACACCTAAAAAGTATATAAAAAGGTAACAAAAAGTAGGCAGGGACAAAAAGTTTCACAAAAGGAGTTTTGCTTTCAGCACCAGAGGCCAGGGATGCAATACCCGTATATACTTGGTATTTATTCAGTCTTCAACATGTTAGCAGATGGGAGACTCACTATATCAAGCTATAGCAGAATCTGGTTGTCATTGCGAACTATGGACCAGCCTTGTGCCGACGTTGAATAGTCGTAGTATTACCTCACCAAGTACTCTTGTATTGTTCTAAAGCAAAGGCCGAGATCAACGTAGTGTAATACCCGGTATTCCGAGGCAACTTGAACAACCGGGCCGAGCTTCTTTTCAACGTCATTGCGAACCATCCCTGCCTTTCGTTGACCAAGTTATTGTCGTTGCTCTCGACCAATGATCACGAAGCGTATTTCGTTTATCGCCTTACTCGTATTTTGTTCATGGATGAAGCTACCTAAACATAACTGCCGACCGAAATCGAGGTCGATGGTACCTTGATCTAAACTGCAATAGTACTTCTCCGCATCGTTGTACCCCACACTATTACCCCGGACTCGGGGGCATCTCCACCGAGAAACAACCTGGTAAAAACATTAAAACAAAACCACCAAAGTTTTCTATATAACCATGGTTGAATACGCTCAAAAACCATCACCTGTGCTGCTGATGCGCTAGCCCCGAAAATCAATTGCTATCATACAGAGAGAAGAGCATTCTCAAGTGTGAGCACGACGCAGGTCGAACTCCAGCAAAATGAAGTCATTTTTTCGACTCATCGTTCCATTCCTGCTGTCCAAAGCAAGCGCAATCCCCTACAACGAATACATTCTTGCTCCAAGAACAAGAACGCTCTACCCCGTCTCCGTACACAGCTCCAATGGCTCGGTCTCCAACCCAGAAAGTCTTACCTCTCCCTCCGGAAGTACCGTCTTCGAGGGGGATGCTGCTACCGCATACGACTTTGGGAAGAACATTGCAGGTGTCGTGTCTCTAGAGATTGGATCAATATCTGGCGAAGTGGGAGAGATTGGTGTCACGTTCTCTGAGAGCTCCTTGTGGGTGTCGAATCAATCGAGCGACGCCACAGCGGACTCGGGGTATGACGAGACCTTGTGGTTCAAGATTACTGCACCGGGGAGGTATACTGCGCCACGGGAAAGGGAAAGAGGAGGCTTCAGGTATATGACGTTGGTGCACAATGCGACTGGGAGCGTAAGTGTGTTTCTCATTGCAGTCGAGCCGCTGGGAATCTTGAATTTTCATCGCTTTACTGTGTGTAAAAGTGAGTGAGCATTGGCTGACTCTTGGTGCGTGCTTGGATCGAACAGGTCGAAGTCACGTCTGCCCAAGTGCACTTCACGGCAATGCCCCACTGGGAAGACGATTCCCTAGCGAACTACACTGGATACTTCCACAGCAATGGTAAGTCACGGATCATTGATCATTGTCCAGAAGAACTGCGGTTTACACAAAACCCTCATTCCATGCTTTTACCGCAATGGCAACCATCACATTAACCCATCCGCGAGAGAATGAGAAGCTCACGAGATACAGACGAGCTGTTGAATCGTATATGGTATGCCGGCGCCTATACAAACCAGCTATGCACAATAGACCCGAAATACGGAAACGCCCTGGTCCATCTGTTCGGGGAACCGACCTGGCCTCCCGACGCTAGGAACGTGACATGGTACAGCAACTACACGATAGCGGGGGGAAGCTCTGCATTGGTAGACGGTGCAAAGCGAGACAAGATTGTCTGGGCTGGCGACATGGCTATTGCCGTGCCCGCTGTGGTCACATCCACGAATGACATCATCTCCATCGAGAACTCTCTAAACTCTCTGTTCGATTCGCAGAATGCCAGTACGGGACAACTTCCGTGGGGAGGGAAACCATTCCCGAGTATTTTGTCGTTTACGTACCATTTGTACACTCTCATTGGAGTCGCTGATCATTACCTCTACACGGTGAGTTTGCGGGTTTCCTGCATCCTTCTGAGCTCGAACTTACTTGACCAAACAGGGGAATCTGGATTACGCGTCGTCGAAATGGGAGCAATGGAAACTAGCCCTCCGGTTCTCCATGAGCTTCATTGACGAAACCGACTTGATGAACGTCACTTCTAGCCCAGATTGGCTGCGATCCGGAATGGGCGGACACAACATCGAGGTGAGAACCACGACGTCCTATCATCATCCTCGACCTCGAATTCCACAGCTCCTGAATCAAGACTAATGTAACCACTGCAGGCAAACTCCATTCTCTACTTCACCATCAACCAAGGCATAGCCCTAGCCGAAGCCCTCAACGACACAGCCCCAATCCCGTCCTGGAAACTCGCCGCCGAGAAAGTAAAAACCGCCGCAAACAAGCTCCTCTGGAACGACACCCTGGGAATGTACACCGACAACGAAACCACAACACTAACCCCACAAGACGGAAACTCGTGGGCCGTCGTGGCAAACCTCACCGCAAACGCCACGCAAACCTCATCCATCAGCTCCAAGCTCACTTCGCGATGGACGCCGTACGGCGCGCCGGCGCCCGAAGCCGCCGATGCCATTTCGCCGTTCATCTCGGGGTTCGAGCTGCAGGCGCACTTTTTGACGGGGGATACGAGAGCCGGGCTTGAGCTGATGAGGTTGCAATGGGGGTTTATGATGGATGATCCGCGCATGACCAACTCGACGTTTATTGAAGGGTACTCGACGTCCGGGGCGCTGCATTATGCGCCGTATCCCAACGACGCGAGGATCTCGCATGCGCATGGATGGGCGGCGGGTCCGACATCGTCACTTACCTTCTATGTGGCGGGGATCCAGCTGTTGAGTGCTGGAGGGAAGACGTGGAGGATTGCGCCGTCGCTTGGGGATTTGGAGTTTGTGGAAGCAGGGTTCAGTACGACGGTTGGGTCTTTTGCGGCGAAGGTGGAGATGGAGGAGGGTGGCGGTTGGAGTTTGGAGTTTGAGACCCCGGTTGGTACGGTTGGGGAAGTGGTCTTGCCTGTGACTGCTTCCGCTGGAAGTATCGTGATGAGGGATGTTGGGGGAGTTGAAGAGGATGTTGAGATTAAGGTTGCGGGAGCAGATGATGGGCCTGCTGTTGTTGCGGATGTATCTGGCGGGAAATGGATGGCGACGTTCAAGTGTGGATAGTTGTTATAAGAATATCAGGGGACTTCACTGTCATTAATCCATCATATAGATGATGTGCAACATCTGAACGTCAATTCTCCTTCCACTTCAGTGAAACTGATCAACCTGGCTGGCGAGATTCCATTCTCTAAAAACTATGAACAACGAACGGGTCGAATGGGATTGTAATTGCTGTTCTTGACGGAGAATCGTGAGATGATCAATGTACACATGAGTGACAACTCCTCAACTAATATATTTCTTCAACCACTCAGCACATGGAAATCATCAAACATATTGATCTTGCCAAAACATCCGTGTTCCAGGCTTCGCTATAGAGACAGTTGTACAAGACTCTGATGATTTATCGAAAATGACAGCATAATGTCATGAACGAAGAGAAGGTGTATCAGCATTTGAAGTCATTGACTTGCAATCAATCGGAGCAAGCGTCGCAAACTCCGTGATAGTCTTAGGATGGAATTTAGAAGATGAGGTGCTAACTACAAGCGGTAGCGGATCTGCAATGACTCGGATCTGGTTGTTATATCCGAGCCATGGTCTCGTATTCCCCTCAAGCTTAGGGCTGAAGGAGAAGCAACGGCGATCGTGGAGTTAGTTTCGAAAGAACGAGGAAGAACCTTATGGTGCATGAGTCGCTCGAATAAAGTCCACGTTTAAGCCGAGCTGTTATGTGTCACGATGACAGCCCGCCGAAAGGTACCATTGATTGGAGAAGAAAAGAACAAGAAGTCGGCCAAAAAGCCAAAACAAGGGATTTTGCACATGGGAAATTTTTCCAACGCAGCCCCACATCAAGCGTCCATCTCAGAAGAACGGATGGTGGGAGCAGAAATCTACGGTAGCGAGGTCGTCCCTTCAAATCTCCCATGTTTCCGCTCCGTCCCCAAGCTTTTTTTTCATCTTCATTTTCTTGTAGGTATTTCGGCGACGGTCGGATTTTTTCCCGATTCACGCCGAGCTTTCTGCGCTAAGCAGATACGGACTAGGCTCGGCAAGACGCGAGCAAGAACGCCGGTTCGTGTACTCGCTTACTCGGCATTCCAAACTCACCGCTCCCGCGTAAAAGAGCAATGCGAGAAAAAAAAGAAACACTCCCCACTACAGAAGCGTATCCGCGTATCCACGTATCCACCGGTCTGTATCCACTCTTATCCGTCCCGGAAAAACCCAGACGAGAACGCACACCTTTGCTCGTTCTCTTGACCCATCACGAGACTAGCAATATTGCTGAACTAAGTTGAATCGAGTTTGCGAGTTCGGGCTATGGGTTATTGATTGGATCGAATGATACGCGTACTCGGGTCATGCCATTATCGTTTTACTTCCCCGCTGGGCATGGCATCTTGGTAAGAGCACCTCATTGAGTCTTGATACCTCGGCCGAGCGCATTCGCTCCGCATCGTCCGTCGTCCGTCGTCTGGTAAAGGGTTCAATCCAGAGCACCCTCGAATCTTGAAAGACGCCTTTTCCGTCCCCAAGTGTGGTACGATGATGACACCCACCTGATCGGTGCAGCGTGCAGCCATGTGACAGCAGCCCACCTGCTTCATCTCCCACGGTTATCTAGCCTGCAAATTTCAAACTGTTTTTTACTTTCAACACCGGTTCGGCTTCGACTCAAGCGTGCTGCGTGGAGTCGAGAGCGAGTCAGACGTGCAGTAGTTTCCGGTGTCGACATGCAGGTCATGCTGTTGCGCTTGTCGCGGCACACCGACAAGGCACCCATTTTTTTTCTTTCCCATCTTGCTCATCGTGAGGGAGTCTAGTCATCATCACTGTGCAGTTTGGTGAGTGTGTGGCTGTTACGCCGTTGCTGGGTTAGCGGTGGAGTCGAGGGCGTCGCTGTGGCTTTCCGAGTTGGAGCGAACGGTCCGACTCAGAAACTCTTTCTCGATGAGGTAATTGAGAGGTACGTAACGTTCATCGTCTTCTTGTCGAGAAGGGCTCGTCTTCTTTCTTCTCTGGGGTGGTGAATGATGCGTACACAACGCGTAATCGGTTTACTGAAAGAAGGATCAATTGACTTTTCCTGATCCATCATGGCGAGATCCAGGCAGCAACATCATCAAATCGCAAACAACTAGCCCCAATTTCCAAGGCAACCAACTTCCAACCGACAGAATAACTCGACACCGATGTTCGCGCCATGTGTGTACGTGGAGAGTTGAGGAGGAAGATCGACCGACCAATCTGCAGTTGACTAATCGCAGCTGCCTAGCTCAGCCTGGCAATGAGGATTTGAAATAACTGCGCTGCTTTGCAATCAAATAGATCAACCATCCAACTCGAACAACAAGGGTCTTGTCCATCTGTTAATCACATCACAGATCACGCCTTAAGCGGGACAACACTGCGCGAGTTTAGTAATAACCTGCTGGATGCCAATCATTAGCAATCACAGCGCACATCATTAAACAAGATGGCCTTGCATTGCATGCATGCGCACTCATTCATCTTCATTCACCGCAACAAAAATTTAAAACCAGCGCATAAACCACAAATCACCCAATCCCAGTCGATAACACGCAACGCGAGCTGAGCAGGATAAAGCAAATGGGCGCTCGCAGAACTGTTTCGTTTGATTACTCCGACGAACAACCATGACACCTGCGCATGGAGAGAGTGAGTTGAGCCACGTCTGCAATGCCTTGACCGTGCCGCTCGTTGCCAGGGACCGGGGGGGCTGAGGCTGACACCGCCAAGTCTTGTGCGGAGAGATTGGAGACTTGTCCCCATCCAACCAACCCGACCCAACCCAGCATCAGAGTGAGACTTGCTTTGCTGTTCTTGTGTGGGGCGGGCTCAGAGCGAGGGGTCGGGCTTACTGTACCTGTACATGTAGCCCATGGTACGGGTGTACCTTGTTCGGCTGGGCGTCGTTGCTGCTGCTGGCTTGCTTTGTCGGGCTCAGGGCGACAACGAAGCCATGGCTTGGGGCTTTTTGAGGCTGCCTTTTGCTTGCCTGCCTGCCTGGCTGATTGTAGACGAGGCGAGGCGCCCAAGGTTGTAAAAAGTTGTTCGGGTTGAGATGAAATGATTTACCGCCATATCTGTTTGTTTGTTTGTTTGTTTATTTATTTATCTATTCATGTTGTTTATTTTGTTCATTCCATCTAGAAATGAGCGTCTGTGGGAAAGAAAAAAGAAAACTGCATCCCCATGGTGTCTTTCTTGCTTCCCCAAGATGAACGCGGCATCTCTGGACTATCGATCAAACAAACCAACAACTCGTAAGATGCATCTAGCACGAGCAAGAAGTAAAACATTCCAATTCTCAAATTCCTGTTTTTTTCTCTTCTCTGTTCCAACTCTCCATCCCCCATTCCGTCATATCCCATCGTCATACATTCTCCTACCCTTCCTTCTTTCTTCGCTAAAGGAAAGTGACATATTGCGCAGGCATGCATGCAACAACAACACCATGCACCATGCACCTGCGCATCATCCACACCATGAGATTTCCAAGTTATTTTCCCCTCATTATCTGGAATTGAAAAAGAAAAAATAACTGAAAACATGGATTAATACAGAGGAAGCAAAGAAAAGAAAAAACGCCGCCGACGACGACAGTGACGCCCCCTTCGCTTCGGGTGTACATTGGCATTGCGACGCGCGCCGTCTTCGCTCAAGGCGCACTCTTGTACGTTCCTGGATGTGAAAAAATAGGCGAAGACGAGAGACCGTTTGGAAGCTCGCGTGGGATCCCGATGCGGTAATCAGTCTGAGTGAGGATGACGACCTATAGATTGGCAACGGTTCGATTTGATTTTGATGTCGTGAGCACTCCGCTACGTTTCTCTCCTCTTTCCGCTCTTCCTCTCTCTTCATTTCTTTCTTCTCGCCCGAAGGGAGAGAGGTAAGGCTTTTCTTTGCTCTCTCTCTAAACCTGCTCCTCACCTGATGTACATGGTGGAAGATAATAATAATGCCATGTGTCAGAACTTATGAGCCTTAAAAAAGCAAGGCAAAAAAGCAACGATTGCCTTTTTGAGAATACATAAACGAATAAACCAAAGACGCGCGGACCTTGTTTTCAAGCATTGATGCTGTATTAGGAGGCTGACTGTATGTGTTTGGGTACCTTGGTCTTGGGTTTTCTTTGAAGGGGGAACGCTGTTTATGCGCATAACTTCCATCCCTCATTCCCTTTTCATCATCAGCATCCAGCAATGAAATTAAAACAAATAATCATCTCCGTGTGTTTTGTTTTACGCTTCTTCCTGAAACGAGCTTTGTTTTTTCTTCTCTAAATCCAAAACAACATCGTTCTTGTAGTTGTTTCTTGGCTGTGACTTGCTAGCAATCTACATGGAGGAGAAGAAGGGGGACGTGCGCTTTTGTTTATGGGCCGCATGATGAGCGAGAATGGGAATTTGTGGTTTCGAAATGACCGGCAGATAGATTGAACACGCGCGCGCAAAACATGTTTTGCGACAAATACAGTGCAAACAACTCACTCATCAAAACAGATCTCTGGGAATTGCGTTCAATGCGCCGCTGCGCTGCGCACGTGTTTGTCTGACTTGTCTGACTGATCTTACACATGTATCAGCTCGATCTAGCACGGCCGACCATGGGAAACGGAACCGGAACCGGATTCTCTTCATCCCCCCGCCCCTCAAAGAAAAATAACCAAGAAACAGATCTGTCCTCGTGCTGCTCCCCTCGTGTCCACACACAAATGGGACCTCGTAACCAAGGGAATGGAATATATCCAACCATTTGACCCACAAAACGTGGAACATGCCCACATGTACCTAGGTACATGTACATAACAAACAGTCCTCGTGACGCTAATAACGAACCCATGGTTCCATGGCAGAAAAGAAAGGAAAAGAATAGAATTGAAAGAAAATAAGATGCCAAATGCTCCGTTCCCCCACTCCGTCTTCGCTTCGAAATTCTATTCTCACCCTCCGCTCGGACGAACTCGAAAAGGAACCGGCGGACGGACGGATGGTCGGTCGGTCGGTCAAGGAGGCACACACATACACATACACATACACAAAGAAAGAGAGAGAGAGAGAGAGAGCGAGATACAACACACGAGTACTAACTTGATTAATATCAGAATAGTTTATTTTATTGTTTGGTGGTAGGTATCCGTTTTTTATTTTCCAATAAAGATCCGCGAGAAAATGAATTAGCGGCGCAGTTCAGTTCAGTTCAGTCAGTCAGTCATTCGGCACAGTGCGCTCCCGTGTGATGTTATGGTACATGTGGTATGGTATGTACCTTGTACCTGAGACCCAAGTATTGCGTGCGTGCGCGGGCGGGGGCAGTGCGTCGCTCCAGGCAAGAGACAACAATGTGGCATGTCGTAGCAGTCAGCAGGACAAAAACAACCTCCCCCCTTCCTCCCCCTTCCACAGGCCGCGCAATCAATCAATCACCGCTTGATGGACGAAATATCATGGAACCATTTCGATGATTTTTTCCTGTTGCTTACTTATGCGAGCGATGCTGGCTGTTCTGAAGCCGAATGCGACGTCTTGTCTTTCTCTGAGATTCCACGGCTCGGGAATCAAAGCATGCACATGCTAACTAATCAATTTCTCAGCCTTGTTAAATCGAGAAAAAGGTGCCCCGGCGCGGTGGAAACCCGCCGCTGCCCGTGGCGCCCTTTGCATGTGTGGAACAGGGGGGGCTGGGTTAAAGCTGACCGTGCGCAACACGCGGCGCACGCGTGAAAGGGCGGTATGAGAAATTCCCTTGCGCTTTTTCGCGTGTCCACTCTTTTTTTTTTTGCTGTTTATTTTTTTTCTCTAGTTGCATGGGTGATGGTGGGGAACAAATAATCATGAAATCAAAACATTATGGCACGATGATGGCAGAATGATGAAAATGGTCTTTGAGAATAATGTTATTTTTTTTTGTAGTATTGATAGCTAAGAAGCGGGAGTCTCAACCACTGCACTATCCAAATGATGGGAGATCTCTGAACCAGCCTTCTTTTGTTGTTCTTTCTTTGTTGCTTTCTCGATTAGAGTAGAGTGGTCTCTCTGTTCCATAATGGCCCTGCCTGTTTGCTCATCCAATCCATGAACCGGTGCTAAACCCGCAGGGTATCCATGCACAGTGATGATATTAATAAAAGAAAAAGGAAACAAATGAATCGTAAACACAAGGAAATGATGCGGTGATATAATGCTCTGAAAACAACGCTCGCTCAAAAATGCTCAATCGGTGAAACAAGAAACAAAAGGTCGTAACAGTTGCTAAGGCCCTTAATAGCTTGTGATGAGCGGAGCGTTGGATTCGCGCAGATAGTGCAGCTCATGCTCGAAGAGCGATGATTGCGACTTGGCGTCGTAATATGAAGTTGCGAGTTGCTTGTCGGAGAACTCCATGGAGACGGAAGGCGGCGAGACGGGAGGCGACTCGTCGTCCGAGTCTTCGTCGTGTACGAGCTCGGGTGGTGATTGTTGTGATGAGACGCGGGTGAGGGCAAGGTCGGCATCGTCCTCCAAATCGTCGTACTCTTGGTCCTCGTCGTCGTCGACCTCGGTGGTGGTGACCTCTACGCGGCGGGGCGCGGCGACCATGTCGAAGTCACCCTCCTCGTCGTAGAAGTCGGAGTCGTCGTCGGAATCGGAGGCAGAGTCGGAGTCTTCGTCCATCTCCTCGACGATGCGGTCGACCCATTGCACGTGCCTCGACTCTTCGGCCTTGGATGCTTTGGCGACGGTGCTGTGGAACCAGGCCTCCTGCTGCCTCTCGGCGTCTTGGAGCTCGACCATGAGGGAATCGAGGAGGTTGGCGTGGCCGACTAGCAGGCGGAGGTTGTGGTCGGCACGGGAGGCTTCCTTGCCCAGCTTGGAGCGGGCCGAGGCGGCGATGTAGTAGGTTTGGGTGAGAGACATCTTCTGCTTCTTCTGGGGTGGTGAAGCGACAAAGTGGGAGCGAGTGGTCTCGGCAGAGATGGGCTCGAAGGAGGTTTGTAGGCGGAGATGTGATGAGGAAGGCATGTTTGCAGGTTGGAGGCAGGCAGAAATTTAATTGCTTTGCGCTGTAGGCTGTGAGTCAGTTTTGGGATCGATGACTGGAAGGGCGGAGGCTACCGACCTAAGGGATTTTATGCAGCCAATGGCAGGGGAAGGTGATGCGAGTGGATGGTTTGAAGAATGGTGAAGGCTTGCTGTTGGTGTTGTTGCTGTGGTGGTTATGTATGTGTGTGTGTGTCTTTGGCGTTGCAGAGGAGTGTAGAAGTGTACTGGATGTTTGGATGTCTGGGTGGATGGTTGTGATGCATGGCATGGGACGTGGGTGTCTTTATGTTTCCGAGCATGCGATGGTACTGATGATGGGCTGCCGGGATGTCCGGGCTTGTGAGGGTGGGTTTATTAATTCCGAGCAGACCGCCCACGCTAGGCTGGCAAGGGGGGGCCCATGTCTGAGGCAGAGGCAGAGGCAGGCAGTCGGTCAGGCATGGCCGCAAAGCCCGAGTGTGCGAGATTCCGTCCCATGTTCGGCCGTAGGGCGCTAGCCTGGTGGAGATTCCACTATCTCCTTTGCAATCCTTCCTTCATATGATTCATCCTGAGCCTGCAGCCCGCTTACCTGATGGCATGAATTGTAATCACCACAATCATCATCATCATGATTATCCGCCATCATCTACGGTACTCGTTGACGCTATCATGCCATGCTTTTGACGGAAAAGTGACCTTTGGTTTTTAATTCCTTTTTTTGCTCATGCATGCACGCTTTCGCTGCCAACTCCCATGCAGGCAATGGATGCGTCATAGCCATAATCGTGTTTTTGTCCACAAAGAGGATCAAACAACAATAATCAAAAATTACCAACAAAACAAAACAATAATGTTGGTGCCTGGAATTGCAGTCTGTGTTGCTGCTGTTGTACACGTACCCTGCTTGGATTGCCCAGGCTCTGAGCCCTCATGCTTGACGTGTCTGGCTGGCTGGCGGGCTGCTGGCTGGCGTGTACCCTTCAGCTGGTCCGTCGGGCCTGGCTAGCACCGCTCCATGGACACCGCTTTCTCTCACGTTCTGTCATTTCCAACATTTGAATGTTACAGCATGGATCCAAACAAACACCTATTCACAGTCTGCGGACGGGCGGTCCAAAACACGCGAGGAGTCATCGGACGAATCCTGAAGACCATTGGGTGTGCGGCCTCTCAAGTCACCCCGACTCCCCGAACCTCCATCCCCAGCTGTCACTTGCTATCGTCATGGAGACAGACGGGCCATCTGCTACTCGGCATCTGCCATGACGCCTCGTCTGTCGTCCATTCACAGTCTCGTCTGCATGTCTGATTATTAACTCCTGCCATGTGCCTGTCTCGTCTCCGTCCAACTGATCGTCATGCCTCTCCCCCGCACTCGCTGAACAATCAGGCCCTGATTAGGTCATGGTCTGATGACATATTCCACCGCTCCCAACCCCACACCCTGCTTTTCCCCTTATTTCCACCCTCTGCACGTCTGCTTTCCATCTCCTTTTCCGAACCCTTGCTTGCATCATCCGAACTTCGCGCGAACGCAATCAACTTGATCGGCAGGGCACTTACTCATCACCTCGATTGATTAATCAACTGTCCCTGCCTGTCTGCCTGCCAGCTCTCGCATCGCACGAGCATACCCAGTCAAACAGTAGTTTGCTGAACAGACAACACAGACTCGCTAGCGTCCTCAACCACTGCAACCCCTTCACCGCTGCCCCCCACCGTCTTTGCGCCTCACCGCCAGCCCCCTCCATACACAGCACACTCATGCCTACATATGCACGCCGACACGACTCAGGTCTGGCGAAACTGACCGCTCCAGAAACACCACCACCTCGCTGCTGCACTGCATCCACTTTCCGTCTACATATTCAACCCGATTATATAAGCGAATCCAATACCTATGTATTTTCATACTTGGGTTACATGCTCCCAGTCACCTTCGCCCTCCACTAATCTGCCTCAGAATCCACGCCAACCCTTGCACCATGGAATTCTGGGGCATCGTGAGCGTGAACATGTATGACCCACCGGAAACACCGTCTCGAGATCGCTGTTCCGAGCCCAATCATTCAAGTCGACATCAGTATCGTCCGACGTAGATTCGCTTGCATCCTTTCGTGTTGAAACCCAGCGTTCCGCAACCTACCCTGTCCAACCTCTCACCGGAGATTTTTTTCATCGCAACCTCAACCATTATATTGGTCTTGGCGCTTCACCCAACATTATATTGACACCGGAAACACGGGGGAAGGGCAGATTTCGTCAACTAGAGATATTGAGTCCATCCAGCCATACAAACCACTGTCCTTTTAAAACCCCCTGATCGCTTACTCACCCTCCATTCCACCACTTCGCATCCAACTTCATCCGCTTAGCCGCATCACACACGAACCGATTCGTAGTGGCAGCCTTCTTCTCACCCGATCCCCCGCTGCTAACCCAACCACTTACACTGCTCTAACAAACCCACCGAGACGAGCCTGGTCTCTCCCACCCTGCCGCCTCATCCAGATCCGCCAAGCTAACCCTCACTCTGTCATCTGGATCGCGACTATGCAGAGCCATTATAGTGTGATGTAGTACCCAACTCGTTCAAAAGGAACGTTTCCCAACGAGAGGGCCGAGACCGCTATGAAGCCTCACGATGCCCAAATCTCCACGTGCTTCCTGCATGTCTGCTCGCCTGTCTGTCGATCGCCTATCTTGACCGCTAGCTTGCTTGAGTGCCTTATCACACGCTCCCAGGGACCTTTCTCCAGGTTTACCATCATCTAGTCGATTGGTTCTCCGAAGTAGGACTATGATATCGAGATCTCTCGGTGCATCTTCGCATATGTCTGTCGCCGTCGACTTGGTAGTTGGTTGGGCTGTGTTGATTGTCCCGGAGAAGTAGAATGGAATCTAGACGTAGAAAGCCGCTGTGCGCAGCTCGACCTCGTGCGCTGCCATCCATTCAAACACACGTGTGCGAATTCTAGAGCAGACCACGATACACCGACCATGGTTGACGAATCGGAAACCTGGATCCTTTTGAGACCCAACCACGAGCCTGTCACGTGGACATCTGGGAAGCCCGCAACGACCATTGTTTCTTTTGTGCTCTAGACCTTTGTTCCGATTGCTTGTGTGCCGTTCTATGGGATGGGGAGCTTTGATACCCCGCTATTCGTCTTTCTGGGTGGCTTGACGTGAGGCGGCGTGGGTGTGGGGTCATTTTTGACATGTGGTGATTGTCGATAAGTCAAGCGTGGGAAGAGATACCTGGATGCATGCATACAGCAATCAACACGTCTTGAGGGTTTCTCTCCGCGGGAGAAACATCGCGCCGCACGAAGTAGTACTTTCCAAAACAGTTCAGTGAAATCCAGCAGGTTTTGAGCATCGAGACGACGTTTCGTGTATGCTCCTTCATGTTATCTTTCCAAACAAGACCGTCAACGATGATGATACAAAGTTCCACAAATCTACATGCTCATCTGGCAATAACTGTAAAAAACATTCCGTAGACTTTTTCGTTCTTCCTCCTCTGACACGTATTCGAGCAAGGCTCTCTCCTCAACGCAACCACGAACAAAAAGAAAAGAAAATAGAGAAAATCATACATCTGCCTTACCCCACCCACATGCCACATGCAAACAACTCGCAACAAGACGAAAACGCGCGAGCGCCGTAGAAACCCGGTCCAATGACTCTATCCCACGCAAGAGAGAGACAACACTAAAACAACAGCAAGAACAGACAAAAAGAAAGGAGGCAACACCAGCCACGTCGAAACATCCCCGAAACCAATGAATCCCCCCCTATCCGCTCCGCGTACGATGAGAGAGAGAGAGATATCAAGCTAATCGAGGATATGCTGGAATGCTTGTGCTGTGTGTGCTCCAGTTATTGCGGGGAACCGGAGGAAGAACCCACGAATTCCCTTTTCCCTATTCTATCCTATCCGATCCTATCCTAATTCTTCTTGCCCGCCCCGGCATGGATATCGGGTATGACAGCGATGATAATGACAACGACGATGACGATGCTCCTCTCTTCTTTTCCGAATTGGGCATGTGCACACTCCATCATCATACATACACATGTACATGCAATACCGAAGCATTCTCCCAACATATATAAAGTAGCCTCACTTGCGGACCCTTTCCTTTTACTCTCACTCACGCATCAATTCCTCCCCGATCCAGCAACGCAACAAAAAGAGTCGGAAAAAGAAACAAGAGAGGAAAGAACAAGGAGTAGCGAAAATGTCCTTCACCGAACTAAACAGCAAGCAAGATTTCGAAGCCGCAATCAACAACCCGGGCAAATTCATCTTCGTCTTTGTTTATGACAACGATATCCCCGCCAGTGCTAAGGAGTTTGTTATCCCCCCTCCTCTTCCTCTACCTATTATTCCCTTTTAACCCTCCACTTCCCCATTCTCCCTTCCATATATTTACAGCACTAACGCGCCGGTTGCGGGGAATCGATGTTAGGGGTCTCGCCGCAAACGTGCACCGCTTCCCACGCGTAGCTCCACCTTTCGCCTTCGACATTACAAAGGCTGACAAGGCGCGCGAGCACCTCAAGATTGGCCCCACGCCTGTCGTTCTAATCTACAAGGATGGGAGCGAGGTTAGGAGGGTCGAGGAGCCTAACCCGACCAAGATGAAGGAGCTTGAGGGCTTGTTTGGTGGTGCTTAGATGAGCGTGTGTGATTGAGGGAGAGAAAAGACGAAAGAAAGGAAAGGGGTTGGCAGAAGGGGTTACGGGATTGCTTAGCATGGGAGATGGGAGAGGGTGTCAAGGTGGATAGCATAGGAGACGCTACGTTGGAGTAGAATTAATTGAAAACCGGGCATCTGCGCTATTTGTTGTGGTATCTGAGAGAGAAGTTTTCTGTCTTTTTTTTTTCCTTGATTCCATCAGGTTTGCTTGGTGCCTTTCAAAAGCTCCCTCAGTTATGTGGTATATTATATAAATATGGAAATTTCCGTTACGTGAACGTCCGGAGGATATCTAGAAATGCTCGCAATGAGTCTATCTGTCCAAAAGTCTACTTTACCTGATATTTGTATATGAAACTGAGAAATGAGATCGTCGCTGCGGAGACTGTGGTTGAAGCCGGAACGTGCTTTGCTGCTGCTTCCTCTTCATGCCGTAGCGAGCGTTGTCGTGATTCGCATTATTAATGGTCGAGTTTCTGTCTCACTCGTATGCGTTACCTCTTTCTTTCCATAGAGCACTTTTCACCGGGCTTCGCTCTTCCGGTAAAATCTCTCGATTGTCAAACCTCCAACAACGTCTTCATTGTCAAGAGAATCGGGGCTGTAGACTTGATCCTCTACAGTCTCCGCAATCTCTTCCTTCGTGTAGCCCAAGAGAATCCAGAGCTTTCTCAGTTCTTCGTCTAGATTGTATGAGACTTCTCCACCCACTGCGTTACCGCCGATCCATAAGCACTGCCTCATTCGATCGAGCAGCTCATGAGTTGTGGTGAGCTCATGGATGCCTTGGTTCGCGTAAACAATCCTACAATGATGTTTGAAAAATGCAAACGATTCTGTCCCTTGAGTGGCCATCGCCCCCAGAGTCAATGCCCACATGAGCACATCGGTCGATTGGCCCCACTGAAACACACATTTTTCCAAGGCTGACTTGAGTTTTTGCGCCGCTATTTGCACCATCATGTGATAACTGCGAACTTCCTGTAACGCAATGAGGAAAATGATCAGTGACAAGCAGATACTTTGGTCCACAGGCGATCTTGTAATGTCTGCGTGCTCTTCTCCCAACTTGTACCAGTCGAACAGTTGGTACACGAGTAGCAAGTTGTTCTTTTGCAGCTCGAATGGATTTAAAGGAGTCCTCGGATCGTCGAACCAGACGCTCAAGTCGCCCACAAATACGATTACATTGGCGATTATCTCTAGGAGATTTGAATCAAGGTGGAGCATCTGGAAAAGTCTATGATTCCGCGTCGAGTAAGGTCGAGATCGAAAGGAGGGCATGTCATATGGAATGGGTTGGCCGTTAGTATCCACAAGAGTGGCATATGGTCTTTCAAAGGTTGATACTGCATGAGCCATGCTATGCCTATGAAGTGTTAGTGTGTACGACGAAGGACGTCTGCAATATCAATGCAGCTTATACAGATGGGGACTTTGGTACTGACATGAGAATGAAAATTTGTAGGTTCGGATTAGACGCGAGTGACGCAAGGCCTCCTCTTTGCTGTATCATTTCCTTTAGACCATCGCGGTGTACATCTCGTTCCTTCTTGCTTTGATCCACAGTTGACTGGTTTTTGTCATCGACAACAGTCATTTCCTCAAGAGTGAGCAGCATGAAGACGGCTGCTATGTTGTTGTCATCCACTCGCGAAGTCAGATCTTTGAGCTGCGCGTTGATTGCTCCTACGGCTCTTGTCTTGTACAGGAGAATTTCATCGGGTTTGGCCAGAGAGGTGAGAACGCTAGAATAGAGCACTGCGAAGATGAAAGGAGCCCCCGTGTGGCTCAGCATTGAGTTTGATATCCATTTTGTGGTAGATGCTTTGGAGACTTGACGGTGGTCCAATGGGATTAGACCGCCAGCAAATGTTTTGACGACTATATGAGGATATCAATTCATAGGGTTCTAAGTTTGTGAAGAGGGAAACTTACAGTTGTCGATCAGGCCTCTGACCCTTTCATTGGTCGGGATAGGGAAGCAATCAAAGGTGTTTGCGGATTTCAGAGTGAGGTTGGTTCGAGTAGTCAAGGCTGTATAAGGATCGTCGTGAATGTGCCCACAGTATTCGCCAGTGCAATGGGAGATGTTGCACACAAGGCGGGGGCTGGCAGGAGAGTTGGTATAGGGCTGAGAAGGGTTGAAACTTGAAGCAGCAGCGTAGGAGAAGCTGGCATGGCGGCTGATGTCGACGGGAGAGTAATAAGACTGGGCTGACAAGGGGCCAGGGCTTGGAGCGGTGGAATCGGACGAGTATGCCGAGTTGCCAGGAGATATATAGCCAGGCTGGATGTGGAGTGTTGGGGTGTTTGGTTTGTCGAGGGGCGGCGAGTCAGCATCTGGATCCGCATCCGTTTTGGGGCTTTTCTGTCGTGTACTCCAGGGCTTTTTGCTTCTCGCCGACTTCATAACAAAACTGCGGACGGCCTTGTCTGGCTTCGCGTTGACCCCATGGCTGGTGGAGTCGATGAACATGAACTGCATGGGCTTCTTGCCTGATCTGCGAGATGGACCACGGCCGCTATCTTGGCTACCGGTCGAGTCCATGGTGTGGGTGCATATCGCCCCCGTAGTTACGAGGCGCTGGGATCGCTTGGCGCCGTTAGGCTAAAAGATAAACGAGGCAGAGAGATACACACGTGAGAAGGTGCAAGTGCTGGCCGGTGGAGAGGATTCCAAACGGGAAGCCCATAGCTGTTGTAGATGCCACTGGTCAGAGGGGGAGAGCATCGGGGTTAGGCACCGGGCGGCGGGCAGCTGGCCGTGCGCCCCGGCTAGGCCGCATCGGTGCGCTATCGATGTCTCCTCGCAGTTAGGTTTCTGCCCTCCCCATGCCCCCTGCCCGTCTCTGTCGACCGTGTCAAGCAATGAGAGACGACTGTCTGTCCTGTCAGTGTCAACCATGGCCGCATGCATCCACTCCAGCGAAACAGCCCGCCTTTAAACATAGCCAGGCCGTCCCTTTGCCTCCGCCATCACCTTGAATCACTGGTCCACAGCCGCCTTCTTCCAAAAAGCCACCAAGTCGATTGCACTTGAGCGTCGAGAACACACGCACAGCAAGCTTCGAGACATGTTTTACATTGCGCGCCTGTGCCACACCCCATTCCGGCGGCGAATCACCTATGTATGATATTGCTATGACATGGTTGGTACCTAGGTACTTGAACTCTCCAAAACAGACGCAATTGCCCTCAGGCTCCACCACCGCTCAGTCCTCTTCGTCGTCATCATCGCCGTCGTCATCGGCTACGACGGGCACTGCCGCATCGGCCTCTGTCTGCTTGACTTTGCGGTCCTTTTCGGCACCTGGAGGCTTCGTACCACTAGGGTTGGCGTCTTCGTCCTCATCTTCTACTTCAGGCTCGTCTGCTTCAGCATCGTCGTCATCGTCTGCTCCCTCAACCTCATCCTCGTCTTCCTCGTCATCTTCATCCTTGGGGTCGGTGACACGAGTCTTCTTCTTTGGTGCTGATGACAGGTTATCAAACAAGATTCACAGTAGTCCACTCCGAGAACTTACGAGGAGCCTCCTCGCCAGAATCATCATCATCATCTTCTTCTTCGTCAAACGCAGAGGCATCCGACTCTTCATATCTAAGGATGTAGATATTAGTCTTGCGACGGCGAAGAAGAAGGAAAAATAAAGACAATCAACCGCCAACCATGATCATCGAAAGCGATTCGTAATACAGCATAATCAAAACAACGCAGGAATAGGAAAAAGTAGCACTTTGGAAGTCGAAAACAGACACAATCATATCGTTGGCGGCTTGCCCGACAGGCTGACGCGAGGCCAGAAGCGCACTGCTGCGCGACAACGAAGCTTGCAGACTCGGCGCGAGGAGCTCAATTCGATAGCACAGTAGCAAGCGATCATAATGCAGGTGTTTTTGCATGTTTGCGACGAGGTTGTTGCGAGGGCGCATGACGTCAAGAAGGCGTGGACTTACTCTTCTTCCTCATCACTTCCGTCGCTTGGGAGAGCCTGGAGCTCCTCCTCGGCATCTTGCTTCCTCTTGCGAGTAGACATGATTGTGGATGAGATTGGGAGAGGTGGGTATTAAGAGTAATGGATGCAGTGGGATAGAATTGGTAGGCGGCGAAGTGAGGTGAATGAGGATGGGATGGGATGAATGGGTGGGTGGGTATGTAAGGTAGATGGGAAAGGAGCTTGCCTGCTCGGGAGGAGGTGGGGACCAGCCTCCAGGTCCTCAACCGCACACCACGCAGCAAGGGCGAAGCGGCACGTCCGTGAGCGAATACGAAAGAAGTGTCTTATTGCTCGCTCGGCGGAGATGGGCCCGGCGCTCAGCTACATACAGCCAGCCAGCCAGGCCGCCTGCAGGAACCAGCCGTTAGTCAGCTCCCGTCTCTCTGCGAGTGTGTATGGACAGTGGGCACCATGTAAATGATGAAGCATAAATGTGATGTCCACCCCGTTGATTCGTTGCACTCCGTTACCGATGCAGGTACATGCCCTCTGTACACGTATGTAGGGTGATACCATGCGCTCATCATCTTGCTGTTGGGTGATCTCATATCTGTCTGCCCGTCCGTCTTGTATACCAACTGCCAACCAATCATTGGCTCTTCGATGCTCTGTTACCATTTATATGGACACTTCCTAAAAAGGACTAGGCGGCTTGGCAGTCTACCCACCCTTCGTGCCTTCCTCCCCACTTTCTAGATGCACCTTGCAGCTCTTTCCGGACGCGAACTTCTCCAATCCCCCAGAACTTTACATCTTTATTTCTTTCTTCCCTTTTGCTTCCGCTTGGCACTCATGTCTTGACCTCCACTATTGACCTAACCCCCCTCTTATTTTCCTATCCTCCTCGACCCCACGCAATGCTGGCCCCAGCTGTTCCTCGCCGCCGCCTTCAGTCCATCAACAACCAAAAGACTGCGGGAGGCCTACTTCCGTCCAAACGCCCGCAGCCACCACCGTCCGCCGCCGCGCCTGCCGCTCCGTCGTCGCAAAAACCTTCCATTCCGAAATGCTGCGACGCCCAAGAAATTGGACAGGAAGACGGCGATACTGTCTGCTTCAACTGTGGTACTCGCCTGGCCGGATCGTCCCTCACTTCCGAGCTCACATTTGGTGAAAATGCTGCTGGTGGAGCTACCGTTGTTGGTGGCTATGTGGCCGATGATCAACGACACGCCAATAGTATGGGTGGCTCTGCACCGGGCATGGGGAGCGGTGACAGCAGGCGTAATACCGAAAATCATGGGAACAACGCAGTCAGGGCCCTCTGCAGCCAGTTGTATCTGCCGGAGAGCGTCGAGACTCAGGCTAAGAACTGGTACAAGCTCGGCCTCAACCACAATTTTGTTCAAGGCCGCCGCATAATGAACGTCGCTGCCGTCGTCATTTACTTTGCGGCTCGTAGGCGACATGAGAATACCCTTATGCTCATGGATCTTTCGGAAAAAGTCAGATGCAGCGTGTGGGAGCTAGGCAGAACCTATAAGGATTTCCTACAAATCATGATGGAGAACGATCCTGGAGACGCGGGTGCAAGCCAAGGCATCCAACAAATCGAACCGCTCATGCTCAAGTTTTGCCGTAAACTCGAGTTCGGCGATGATTCACACAGGGTAGCCACCGATGCATGCCGCCTACTGAAGCGCATGAACAGAGATTGGATGGTTCAAGGCCGGAACCCAGCAGGCTTGTGCGGAGCCTGCATCATCATTGCCGCGCGGATGAACAACTTCCGCCGTACTGTGCGAGAAGTGGTCTACGTAGTCAGAGTTGCCGACACTACCATCAATCAGCGCTTATACGAATACAAACGCACAGCAAGTTCCGCGTTGACTGTCACTCAGTTCAGAAAATTCGGAGACCGTTTAAAGCCTGAAGAACAACCACCTGCCGTTTGGAGACGCGCGGAGAGGGAAGCAAGAGAGGCAGAACGGAAAGAACGGCGGGACAACGAGCGGAAACGTTCGCGTGAAGGTGAGAGCACCGGACGGGACGGTGCTAGCGATGATGAGTTCACTGGAGGTGTGGAAGGTTCATTAAATAACGATGGCACCAGCACTGAGGCACCGGAAACGCGGGCGATCAAAAAACGCAAGGTAGACAATGACAAGGCCAAAGACGCAACCACAGCGAGCAACAACGCCAGCAATCCACTGGCAACCCTCGATATCGATGCGCTTCAGGAAGGAAATCTAGCTATTGATCTTGACGCTATTGCGGAAGACGAGCTGGATAATGACATTGCTAAACCAAAAAAACGAGGACGACCCCCCAAAAAGCGTGAACAAGTCATCATCCCCGACGAAGACCTCGAAATCGAAGCCGAAATCGAGGAGGAAATCCAGGCTACCATTGAAGACTGGCAAACCACTTTCAGAGAGTTTGAAGATAACGACAACCACGAAATTTTAGTTAAGGCCGGTGACCGCGCCCGCGAACTTGCCCAACAATACATGCCACAGGAAGGTGTGAATACAGAGGAGGAGATTGGAGAAGACGAATTCGAAGACGACCCGGATGTCGCAACATGCATCCTCGCAGAGCACGAAGTCCGCACCAAAGAACGTATCTGGATCTCCATGAATGAAGACTGGTTGCGCGCTCAACAAGCCAAAATGCTTGCTAAAGCCCTCGAGGAAGCCTCTGGCAGGCCCAAGAAGCCTGTTCGGCGCAGACAGCGCACCAGACTTGGCGACGGCAGTGTGCTCGGAGGACGACCGGCTGATAGCCCTGCGGATGCGGCACATAAGATGCTTGAGAAGCATGGTGGCAAACAATTCAGTAGCATGCTGAACTACGACAAGATTAAGTCGCTGTTTGGCCGTGCCACTGACTCGACCACCAGCGAGGCTACGACTCCGAACGGTAGTACGGTTGCTGGTGCCAGTCCACCGGCAGCTGCGGCTGCGGCGGCGTCTAGTCATTCTAGCGTCACGCCCACACCGGCACAGCAAGTAACGTCAAAACCTACAAACGCCGCTGTACCAGAGGAGGAAGACGAAGAGGACTACGAAGAAGAGGTCGAAGAGCCTCTCGATGATGAGGATCTTGAGAACGAACACATGTACTCCGACGATGAAGGCTTCGGGGGTGCCGATTACGACGATTATTAAGACGCCCTGGAGTTTCCCCTGATATGAACAATGGGTCGGGGTATACACTTAGTATTTTGCAACTCGGCAACAAGTCTTTGGGCTGCCATGGTTGTCGCCAGACTCGAATTTTTGCCGCTTCCCTGCTTTTGCCTTTGCACTTTTTTGAAAAAGAGACGGGATAAATATGCCTGCGCTTGTGCCATTTGTTATCGCACCGAGAGAATATGGAGTGGAAAACAGGCCCAAAACAGGGCGTTTTGTTTTTTTATATCGTTTTACTAATCCTTCTCTTTATGGTCATATATACCCCGGGCACACCCACGCAGCATTTGGGATGGCGTTTTGCTCTTTCACCAGGTGCTTTCTTCATGAAATGGCACAGAGACCGGCGAAGGAAGCTAGAGAATTATTGAATTGGGGCTACGCGCAAGTTGGATGGCTTTCTTCTGAGGATGGCATCTAGATACCAATTCATGAGAAGGAGGTGAATGAAAGACAATGTCAAATGATTTTTTTTCGCTATCAAATTGCTCTTGTCAATTCGTGTGATTTGTGTGGTTTATGCTCCAAATATCTTCCATCGTGAATGGTTGGACAACTTCCAGCGATGAAGGAGTCGTAATTCACAGCGCGTGTCAGTCAACTACGCAAAACCCACAGAGGAAATCAAGCAAGGGTATTCTTCGCATTCGTAAATGCAGCCCCATCAAAAACATATTCATACTATTACAATATCCCGGTGACAGCCGTAGTCGTGTATATGAAAATCATTGTTGCAGTCGGCTGTCTGAGCCATTTCTCCAAATCGAGGACCACAACCCCACATCAACTATCCCAAACCATAACTCCTCGCCCATCCCAAAAAAAAAGAGCCAAAAAGTCAATTCCACATTCCGATACACTGGCTGAGTGTGGCCCGGGGCTTACGCCTTCCCGTTCCGCACGTCTTCCATGGCAGCATCGCCAAGCCCGTTCAAAGTACCATCAGCACCAACACCAGTCCCATCGCCTTTCCACCCGTGACTAAACACTTCAAAATTGTCGTCGACTAGCCATTGCAGGTCCTCGCTCTCCGGTCTCATCGTCCTAGCCAGTCCGTTTCCAGCTTTAGGATAATGCACGGGTGGATCGGTATCGTAGCCATCGTCGTACTCGTCGACCTGCTGCGGAATGGTGTTGCCATTGCTTGTGGCAGCGGCGGATGTGGATGCTTTTTCTACAGAAAAGGGGGTAGGTTGCGTATGTTGAGATTCGTTGAGGAGCTGGGCTTCCGCGGAGTCTAGCTCGGAGTTGGTAGATGTTGTCAGTGGGTTGACAGAGTGTGGAGTACCGCCTGTGGAGCTAACATGGCCCGCTGCTGGCGGTTTTGTAGGTAGTGATGATTGTGTTATTTGCTGGTGGTTTTGTGATGTTGAGTTCGGGTTGGGAACTGAAGTGGAGGGGTTCGCGGAGCTGGGGAGAAGGCTACGCACGTTCGGTGGGAATATTGGGAGGTCGGGGTGGCGGGTGGTAGCTTGCAACAGAAGAGAGGTCATATCTGCGTGACTGAGAGTAGAAAAGTATGTGCGTTTCTGTATAGATCTGTTAGTCGCGTTGCAGTCCTGAGGTGAATCAGACATACATCAGCATCTGAGAACCCTTCTGGAGCCGCTATCAATTCCTCTGCAGTAGGTTCTACCACGACAGTCTCCTCCTTGGACCGTGAGCAAGGACCGCATAGCCACTCCTTTTCGAGAACAGTTACCACCTCGTTATCGATAGGCGGATTATGACAATATTGGTGGTAGGCTGTGGTGCAATTGTCGCAGAACACAATACGGTTGTTCCCTGGATCAGTGCCCCGGTGGCAGATTTTACACTGCGCTGCTAAGATTGTCTTGGTTGACCGGCGCCGCTTCACAGTCTGCGTAGGTTCCGGGATTACAGGTACGAAAGCAACAGGCTTGTTGATATTGCGGCCGGATTTGGTCCGTGTAGGGAGTGGGGTGTATGAGGAAGATATATCAGAGTCGTCCTGTATGAAAATCAGAGCTGCTCGCCAGAGTCACGCGATGCGTGCAACTCACATCGCTTTCCTCACTCTCTGGCCTCTTCCTTTTCCCTCCTCTCCCACCGCCCCTTGCGCTTCCGCGTCCCTTCCCCCGGCCTCTCCCCCTACCAGACCCTCTCCCAGAAGCAGGTGTACTTTGCGCCGATCCAGTCGCACCATCTACCATCTTGGGTGTCGCAGTCCTACCACCCCTTCCCCTTCGATTCGAATTTGCAACTGGCGGCGGTGTCGGAAGCTTATCGCTTGTGACATAGCTTTGCAGCACCTCCGCTCTCTTTGCCTCGAACGCAGGCGTCCCTGTCGCATTGGTATTACTTGCTTGTAATCTCTTAAGAATTTCAGCAGTCGATGCCGAGAATTGAGTAAAGCCTGATGGCCCACTATTGGACGCGGGAAACGTTGTAGTCTGTGATGTCCACGGTGTAGATGCTGCAGGGGATTTCGATGTAGTCTGTTGAGCTGGTGTGGAGCTGGCGGGATTGGGATGTGCTCCGCTCACGGGACCTGAATCACCATTGTTGGTCGACGCAAGGTCAGATTGCCACAGCCCTGACTCCGTTTCATCCATAGGGTGCCGCAAAGCGAGAGTCGGGGAAACCGGTTATGAATGTTTTCACTATTGGGTACTTTGGGAAGGACAGGAGCGGAGAAATGGTTTCGTGATGCTGTGTCGATCATTAGATGTTGACCAGCGACGGTCCGTGCATCCAATCATTCGGGGTAGCGAAAGACCCTAGCCAAAATACATTCAATGTTCGTTCCACGTCCATTCACTTCTTTAATACATAGGTATGTGTCCGCTCTATTTACTACATTGCGATTCATGCTATGACGCCTTCATCTCGAAGGCTTGAAATTTCTCCCTCGTCCATGCTTAGAGTCTCCCGTAGTATGTCATCTGTGTGCTGACCCAAAGTAGGTGGCGGCATGCGAATACCGGGCTTTGACTCTGAGTACTTCACGGGAGTATTAACCAATTTGATAGGACCGCATGTCGAGTGCTCCACCTCTTTCACCATATCACGAGCAAGGACGTGCTCGTGGTTCAAGGTATTTTGGATGTCGTTGATGGCAGCATAGGCTATTGGAGTTAGCAATCGAAAAGACAAGCTATAAGGGCGTGAAACTTACGCATCCCACAACCCTCTAAGATCTCGAGCCATTCCTCGGTTGTCTTCTTTTGTGTCTCTCTCTCTATCAATTGTTCCAGAGTATCTCGGTTTTGTACTCGCAACGCATTGGTCTTAAACCGGTCATCTACCGACCATTCTGGTTTCCCTATTCTGGTGCAAAGAATCCCATACAATCGGTCGTTCCCGCCCCCCAGAAGAATGTCGCCATTCGCTGTCTTGAAAGCCTTATAGGGCACAATTGATGCTGTTGCGGATTAGCTCAGTTTCTTGAGTGCGAGAAGGTGCACGGACGATGCGAAGTACCCCATCTCCCCGAATCCTTTTTCCCGCTGATTAGAGCTGAGCTCGCAATATTGGCAAGGGTTGCAACTTGACAGTCGCTGAGAGCCACATCGATGTGCTGCCCTTTACCTGACTTCATACGGCGGAGCAATGCGGCCATGATCGAATTGGAAGTATAGAGTCCAGTGGTGAGATCAGTGACAGCGACCCCGACTTTAACTGGGGGACCATCTCTGGCTCCCGTGATGTGCATCAAGCCAAACTCCCTGTACAATTATTAGACTCGCATCTATCAAAGCTCGGGTCACAAACATACGCTTCGACCATCACATCATAGCCGGCTCGGTTTGAATATGGCCCTGTTTGACCATACCCTGTGATGCTTGCATATATCAAATGAGGGTTAATTTTGGATAATGTCTCATAATCCATTGCGTATTTTACTAGTGACCCGGGCAGATAGTTCTCGACAAGCACATCGCATTGTTTAGCCAACCGGTGAAGTATATCAACCCCGGCTGGATGAGCAAACGATAAGCCCAAACTTCGCTTGTTTCGATTGACCTAATGGTTGTCAGTCTGTCATTGCTTCGGAGGCTTGTGGAATGCAGTTTACCCCAAGATAATATGCACTCTCTCCTGGTCCATCGGGGTGCTTTCCTTGGGAATACTTTGCGTATGGGGGACCCCACGCTCTTGTGTCATCTGTCAAGTTATATATCAGTTCATATCAATATCGGTAAGCTATCAAGAAGACTTACCCCCTCGTGTCGGGTGTTCAATCTTGATTACATCTGCACTGCTCAATGTCAGTTCGAATTTCCTGGCTTGCCAACCTTGGAACGTTGGTTCGTACACTAGGGCTGTTCATCGCATACCCAAGATCACCCAAGATTTGTGTACAATATGGCTAAAAGTATTAACGACAGAATTGATATGCATGTGGTCTTGACTTACACCAGCCAAAACTCTGGTCATGTCCAGTACTTTTATCCCAGCCAAAGGTAAGGTTGATACATCTTCATTCGAAGCCGCAGTAGTGTGTTGTCGACTTGAACCATATACACGCCAATTGGGCTTAAAAGTGCGTGAAGAAGCTCTAACTATAGTTCTAGAAGCTTGGGGAAACATATTGATCATCATTTAACATTTATCCGGACAATGTGTCGTGAAACCTTGAGCATACCGTAGGGGAGGCTCTGGGATTCGTCGATACATATGTATGCGGGGACTGGTCCAAGCTTCTTCATCGACCGAGGCATTCCATACCCCGCTATCCACTTTCCCTTACACATATATGTACATTATCTCACGCAATTAGTTACATTTCACAATGTTTACCGGCTTAGTGGAGATCATAGGCAGTAAGCTTGTGCTCTTCACATTCGTTGCGCTTTCCATGGGCTGACTTGAGGCCAGCTGTGTCCTCGCTCGAGAGTCTTGATTCATCTTCGAGCGGAGGTGGCGGTACCTCTCTGACCATCTCAGATGCCCAAGACATCCTCGGAGATGCAAACCTGGGAGATAGTATAAGTGTTAATGGTTAGTAAAACAATCTTCAGAAAAGAAAATTGTTGGTCAAGGACTAAAGCCACAACTAGGAACATGTTTGACCGTCACGCAATTCGACAAGTCCTCCTTCAAAGTCGGCGTCGCCCCTGAAACCCTTCGTCGAACCAACTTGGGTTCCCTCAAGGAAGGTTCAAACGTGAACCTCGAACGCGCTGTATCTGCTTCGACACGGATGGGGGGTCACTTCGTACAGGGTCATGTGGATACTATCGCATCTGTTGTCTCCGTCACACCCGACGGTAATGCGTTGACGTTTCGCTTCAAGCCGCGAGACCCTGCAGTCCTTCGCTATATCGTAGAAAAAGGATACGTCACCATTGATGGGGCAAGCCTAACAGTCACCAAAGTCGAAGACGGCCCCGAGGGTTGGTGGGAGGTGATGCTGATTGCCTACACACAAGAGAAGGTGGTGACTGCAGCAAAGAAGCCTGGTGACGACGTGAACGTGGAGGTTGACCAGGTCGGCAAATACGTCGAGAAGAGTGTAGCGGGTTATTTCGAAGGCACCACGCATGGGGAGTTCGCCATCCTGGAGAAGATGGTGGCTAAATTGGTGGACGAGAGGCTCAAGGCCCTGGGAAAATAATCGATGCAAGACTTACGGTTTCCTGCCGGGGTTCACCTTTGCTACCTTTCTACCAAGGTCACGCCGGGCAAAGAAGACGTTGAATCACACCATGGAACAATAAAACTGAAAACTCGGGCCATATATTCCGACTAGTGTGGAGTTGTGTGGCTATCGCGAAAGTTGCACGACGGAAGACGTATGTTGTAGTCACAGACCTCAGAGCGGTTTCTACTGGTACATGGGCCGTCGTTGCCTAGGCCGTGTGATGATAAGGGTGGTTGAACGGGACGAACGGTGGCGTTTCAAATGAGGCGCAGCCTTGTTGTTTGCCATATTAATATAGAGTGTCTCTACCTGCTCTTTTTCTTTTCCCAAGTGTTTGACATGCATTTCCTGGTCGTCGCTTTTCAAAGTCAAACGGCTCCCTTCCAGTATGGCTTTTGATGGATTCCACTCTTGCATATGGTTGCCTGACGGGTGCATATAAAGCGCATAACGGGCTCCCAAATCCGCCCAACCATGAACAGCCGAGAGCGGATGATGTCACCATGGAAGCGGCTCTTGATGAGGTGTCTATTCAAATTTTCCTTCGATTGATCAAATACGCTTACCGTGCAGGATGTGTGATTTCCTCCATGCATTAGCGATTAGGCAGAAGCTACCGAGTCTTCGCCCGGATCAGCAATGGCAAGATTAGTAACATCCTCCAGACCTGTAGTGGGCGTCTTCGAGGCAGAGAAGAGATATCGAACGCAAATCGGGCGATTCCAACCTACTTCCCTATACCCTGTATGAATCTGAAAGTCGGCTTTTCTGTTCCATGAAGCATTGATTGCGTTCGTTGTCTGCGCCATTTGCAACTGTGCCGCTGCTGCCCAGGGCCGTCCGTCCTCCGGGACTTGCTAAGCTAAAGTAGCCTCGCATCCGCTCTCCAATTCCCGTCGTCCTGCATTGTTCACGTCCCGTGGCTGCAGTTGTAGTCTGAGCAAAGATTTTTTTTACTTGCCAAATATTGGGGGCCAAAAGATTGGTATAGAAAGCATCGCGAAGGGAGATCCAAGGGCAAAACAAGGCCGCCGGATAACGTGCAGCACAATACGGTTTTCGGCGGACAATCGATTGGTTTGCTGCTGCTGCTGCTGTTGCTGCTGGACACGTCAAACCATTACCCCCCCAGGCTCACGCACTCACTCGCCGCTACCGCTCACAACAACACCACACGTCCGCCCTTCAGCCTTATCGCTAAATCACCCCCTCTCTCCTACTCCACCTTTTTTCTGGTTCTCCCCTTCTCTTCAAAGTATGTGCACGGTATACTTTGGTGCGTAGGCCCGATCACACCATCTATCATCCATCATGGCGGATTGGAGACTCCTGGACTACGCCAGGAAGGCTGAGGAGGCTGCGTCTGGGCTCTCCGTTTTCCTTAGCGAAATCCCAGAGTACTCCAGAGATATCACAGGAGACATCGCCGAGCTTTTTGCCATCTCGAACGCTCTCCGCGTCCTGCACGAAGACCTCGATCTGAGGGCATATGGCAGGAATTCCGGTCGGATCTTCAGAGATCTTGATATATGTCTATCTAGCTTGGGTTTCACCCTGGATGATGTTACCAAAATGTTTGGCGAGTCCAAACGGAAAGCACGTCAGCATCCTGGCGCGTTTCCCGGCACGCCACCATACGCACAACTATGGGAGGACGCCTGTGACGACTTGAGTGAGCAAGGGCTCAGTCTGCCTGTGCGTCTTCAAATGTATCGTACATATCTGCAGGGCATGTCCGAAGCGCTGAAGGGGTGAGTACGTCCAATTGGTGCCAGTACTCTTCTGACAATGGGTAGTGATGCCGATGACCACGAAATCGATGTCGTTCGGGGTCGCTTGGCCAAACTGGTCAAGAGGCAGGAGCCGGTAGTAGACTACTTTGCCAGGCCGCAGCCTATAGACGTTCGTGCGTACGGTAATGGTAAGTTGACAGCATACTTCGAGCATGACGAGAGGGGTAAGAGCAAGTACAATTGCATCTTGCCTATAACACCAGCAGTTGGCTTTTCTGAGCGTCGCCATCTCATTATATGCCACTTGCACTGTCCTCTTCCTTCGTGTCTCATCTCATCATAGATGAAGGAAAGGACCCAGTCGATCTTGGACATCACTAATCTATCTGGCGTAGCACCTCGGACCCCTCAACCTTACCCTCCACCATCGTCCTCTCGACCGCAGTTTGATCGCTATACGACATATCCAGGATATCAAGGCAATCATCCACCACCACCACCTCCGCGGTCACCGGGTTTCAGGCATGTTCATCCTCCTCCTCCTCCACCACCTCCGCCTGCTCCTATCCCTGGGCCTGCCCCAGGCCAACGTTCATCGTGGTATGGAATGGGCGATATACCCTTCGTTCCGCCAATGGTCCCGGAAGTTCCCGAATCGCCTACCATTTCAACCGCTTCTTCGCACACTCAGTCCACGCATTCTAGCGATTCGGGAGGGCCGGTTCCCCATTGGGCTATGAGAATTTTCGATGGCAGGCATTCATCAATCCCATTCCAGACACTGGGACAGCCAACCAGGTGTTTGGGGAGAGACGAACCTTCAGCCATCGAGTTCCTCGACACTGACGGATTCATAAAAGTGCTTGAGCTACCTTTTGAGGCGACGGCCGTTTGGGTCAGATTGTACTGGAGGGCCGAGGACAATCGAGCACGCATACTATTCCTTACGATGGATCAAAGTGGACGACGGATGAGATACTGTCTCCCGCTAACTGGCCTGAAGTTTGTCCGCACTGAATCTTGCCTGCAGTTGTGCCGTGTCAACCGGCAGGACGGCCAACTTGACCTCTGGGCTAACCTCAGATTCACCCTCTATGAGCGTAAGCTAATCAGAAATTCGGTGACAAGCCCAGACTAATAGAATCTAGGGATGGTGCTGCTTTATTGCACAATGGCGGCAATGAAATGCCAAGACAAAGTCCCGACTCCCCATGGCTTGGAAGACTTCTTCCAGCCTGGGGAAAAAGAGGAGTTCGGAGGGTAAGAATGCCCCTTTCGAGAGAGTCAAATCACGCTAAAGTACAGTAGTGAGATTCAAGATAGCAGATATCTCCATGCGTTCCGCATATTCCGTGACCGTGACTCTGGATGCGTACGCTTCGAGGCTACTCCTCGACGCGGGCCTTTGAAGACGATTCCAATCTGGACAGCCTTTGTTACGCAATACATTGGTCATAGGAAATGGATGAAGCGTGTAGGACAGTGCACTGTTCAATTCCGCGAGTTTCACCCATACGTGTTCTGCGACGGCTACAAATTGTCGAAAGGTTCATCTGGGAAGTATCAAATCACTTTTACCACACCACAGGGTATGTCTAAGGCATCAATCCAACTCGCCATCGTGCTAATGGGCTGCAGATTGCAAGCTTTTTATGGAAATTTTCCACAGTATCCGAGTGAACACATCAGTATAACGCTCTCGCCCGCCTCGTCGATTGTCGGTACGAGATGTTTCACGATATTTTTTGCATGCTTCGCAGCGCTTGCTTTTCGGTTGCTTGATGACGGTCGAATTTAGCCACCACTGAGGGCATTCAAAAGACCCAAGGGAATTGGTCGCGCAACGACTGGACGATAATGATGACACGACTGATGAACTGATGAATGGAGGACATTGTGCATGGATTTACATCATATACCCTCCTCAGCCTACTTACGACATCCAATTCGCTTTGCTTGTTTCCGTCCTCGATTTTTCTTTCTTTTGGGTTGTTTTTACTTTGTGGCAACGCGGAAAAATGCTCGGAGATTTAGGTTGAGCCTTTATCTATTGTCGAAAGTTTTGGTTATTAGTCTCGCAATGTGTTTGCTTTTGTGTTAGTTTTTCGACTAGTTTATCCAATGTACGTGTGGTATCTCGTATGAAGACTACCCAGGTAGAGCAGAATCAAGTGCAGTCATTGTGTGAAGACAAGCGTTGGCAGACAGGCCTGGAGACATTGCCCGAGACTGACCGCTCGTTATCCGACCCGTTGGAGCTAGCGTGGCGATATAGCGGGGCACGAGAAAGGCGTGTGTCGAGGGAGGGATGAAAGAAAAAAAGAGCGTCTGTGCGCTACAGTCCAAAATTTCCAGGCTAATAGGGCACACCTTTGGACCAAACCAAGGGTAAGAGCTGTGTAGTCTTGATAGAGCCTTTTCCTCTTCTTTCACTTTCCTCCTTCTCTTCCTCTCCTCCCTCCTCCCTCGTTCCCGTCTCCGACGTTCCTCTTACTCTTTCTTCACCCCACCATCCACCGCCTCGACCTACAACATGGCTGCCAACTCATCATCGACCCGCGGGACCGGCAAGGACCCTCTCGCAGGCATGGCGCATTCCGAGGCGCACTATTTCAACAGGTGGGTTGCTTCGGAAATACATTGAATCTCAGATATCTCTGAGTGGTGCGCCATGGACAGGATTCCGCTGACTCAAATCCCCGCTCGCCATCAATAGCTACAATCACCATGGTCCGTAATCGTGGAACCAACCCACTTCTTGCTTTTTACTGTTGAATATCCTGGCTAATGCGCGCGTAAAGGCATTCATGAGGAGATGTTGGTATGTCAAGATCAAGGAGACATCGACAATGTACAGTTTCCGTGGCTGACTTGTGCTGGCGCTGTAGAAAGATGAAGTCCGCACCAAAAGCTACCGCGACTCGATATACCAGAACGGCCACCTTTTCAAGGACAAGGTCGTCCTCGATGTGGGATGCGGTACTTCCATCCTCAGCATGTGCGTACTCGGTCCCATCGTTCACCTTGTCGCTTCTGACACGGATACAATAGGTTTGCCGTCAAGGCGGGTGCTAAGCATGTTATCGGCGTCGACATGTCGACCATCATCGATAAGGCCAAGGAGATCGTCGAGCTCAATGGCATGAGCGACAAGATCACCCTGCTCCAGGGCAAGATGGAGGAGGTTGTACTACCATACGATAAGGTGGACATTATAATATCCGAGTGGATGGGATACTTCCTGCTCTACGAGTCCATGTTGGACACCGTCCTCTACGCGCGCGATAAGTACCTTGTCAAGGACGGGCTTATCTTCCCGGATAAGGCGACCATCTTCGCCGCCGGTATTGAAGACGGCGACTACAAGGAGGAGAAAATCGGATGTATGCGTCCCACCCTCAGAGTCGCTTCCTTCTTTCTATTCTTTACAGCTGACCTTTTGTGTGTAATCTACAGTCTGGGACAATGTGTGGGGCTTCGACTATACCCCCCTCAAGCAGACCGCCATGACAGAACCCTTGGTTGACACGGTGGACCTCAAAGCCGTCGTCACCGACCCCTCGCCCATCGTAACCCTCGACCTCTACACATGTACCACGGCCGACCTCGCGTTCCGCGTGCCCTACTCGCTCAAGGCCCGCCGCTCCGATTTCGTCCACGCCATCATCGCCTGGTTCGACATTGAGTTTTCCGCCTGCCACAAGCCCATCCGCTTCTCCACCGGCCCCCACACAAAATACACCCACTGGAAGCAAACCGTCTTCTACTTGCAAGACGTGCTGACGGTCGAGGAGGGTGAGGAAATCGTTGGCGAACTCGAGAACAAGCCCAGCGAGAAGAACCACCGCGATCTGGACATTACCATATCGTACAAGCTCAAGACGGAAGACATGCACAGGCAGTCTGACGGTATGGGCATGTACAAGATGTGCTGATGAGATTGACATGCAGGCAGATGTGTGTGTGTGTGAACAAAGTGGACGTTCTCTCTAGAAGGTTGGAAAAACGAGGACAACATGTTCGATGATGCACAATCGAGAGGTCGGGGCAGCCCGACTCGGGGGTATTCTTTGTCGGCCATGGGGAATCCTCCCCCCAGCTATCCTAGAAATGGCGTTGGATCGGAAAACTGAAACGGGGCTTGGGTTAATTGCAAGATATTCAACCAAAGCATGGCGCGGGGGCACATTATGGTAAGGGTTGGAACGAACGGGGGCATAAAATCTTTTATTGATAGGGTAGCCTTTACAAGTGTGGCATGAATTCATGAAGAAATAAGAAAGAAGGGACCAAGTCCATCGATTGGGAATTCCTCCCCTACTACATCAAAACAACAAACTCCCGTTGCGTGCAAATATAGTGGCAGGCGTCAGCTCACATGTAACTGATAACAGCAAGGCGGGTGACATGAGTATGACACGATTGGAAACATTTGGATGGCAAAGACTCAATTTCGTTTCATCATTATTCCAACGCTTGACACTGAGAAGAAAAAAATTCCTCGGGATATCAATCGTACAGAGTTTGCAATGCACGCTCATACAACATCAGCATCCCTTCCCGCCTTTTTCCCTTTGTCGTTAAGAGAGCTTGAATCCCCCGTCATCCCGTGAACGCCGTGCCATGCATGAATCAACTCGCACGCAGCAAACGCAAGAAAAAGAAGAGAGAGGAACAAAAAAGGATAAACAAAAAAAGGGAGAAAGAAACAGAAAATTCTGCACCGAAAAAATCAAGCCGGCCTAAAGGGGAAAGGGGAAGGGAGAAATTAATAAGTAAAATCAGTCGACAGACTCAATCATCCTCGTACTCAGTGAAGAATGGAGGAGGGAGAAGAAATAAACAGGACGATGTACTCGTTCACTGGACGAGAAGAAAAAAGAAGAGGAGTTAATCATCGGCAAATCCTAAGCCTGCCACGCTCTCCGGATCCTCCCACCGCTTCGCTTTGAGCACTCTCATCTTCTTGACCGGGCTCGAAGTCCTCGCCTGGCCTTCCCTCTCTTTAGCTTCGAGCTTGGCTCTCAAAATCTCGTTCTGTAACTCCAACTCTTGCACTCGCTCCTGGAGCTCAGGATCCGGATCTTCATAGACCTTGACGGCGTCGTCGCTCTGACGAACCTGCGCCTTGGTGGCCTGGATAACGATGTCGATTTTGCTATCGAGATGATTCTGCTGGTTCTCAAGCTCAGAATCAAGAGCAGACTGCCATCGACGACGCTCGGCTTCGACGGCGTGTTCGGTGAAGGCGTGGCATTCGTCGCGAACTTCTTGCTCGCGGTCGGCCATGCGGTCTTCGGCGGCGCGCCAGCTAGCTTCGGCTGCTCTACGACGCGCTGTTTCTTCGGCTAGGCGCATGGCAAAGACTTCCATTTCGGCTGTTAAGCGCGCAATCTCTGCATTGCTTGCGTCGAGCTCTTCGAGCATGGCGGAGGGTGTGGTCCGTCCTGACGGAGTGGCCCGGCCTGATGGAGTAGTGCGACCGGAGGATGCGCTGGAGGTGTGCTTGTGGCTGCGACCAGTGGGGCCGCTTGCGAGGATCGTGGAGGATGTGGATGGTATTCGAGGGACTGTTACTTCGCGGGCGAGAGCAGAGTAACGGAGAATTTGGGATGTGGCGTTGAAATCGCCTTTAGGATCGGCGTTGACGATCATGATGGACTTTTGGGGGTGGTGATAGTTTTGTTGGCGCGACGAAGAGGGGAAGGAGTTTGAGAAGAGGAGCTCGGTGAGCTTACATTGGCGGAAGGGGATGATGTTCTGTACAAGAGTAAGTGGATGCTACAAAAGTGCTTTCAGTGAGTGGAGTCATACCTTTGAACCGCCTTGGTTGTCGGATTGCATCTGCATGCACTGGCCGAGATACATGAGGGATTCGTTGATCTTTCCAGCTTCTGCCAGCGTCTCACCAGCTGTCTTCGCTTGTCGTGCTCGCTCCGATCCGGCCAAGTCAACGATGGTCATAGTAGAGCTTGACCAAGGTCCTTTGCGTTGTGCATCCCTCTTCTTGACCTCCACACAGAAGAATCCGTGGCTGCGGGAGCTCACAGCATTGCTGCCAGTCCCGGCAACCTTACGCTCCACTAAGCCGGTTTCCAGGACCATCAAGGCCTCCTCGAAACTACCGCAGATTATCTTGGTCAAGCCCGCGACCACTTTGCGGTCTGTACTCTGTTCAGTGCTCTTGAAAAGTAGCGCTCGGCGCTTCAGGCTTGAATGCTTGTTCTTGATCGCACTGCCTGTCAAGAGATCGAAGATACGATCGTTATAGACTTCGTACATGGAAATGATGATTGCGAATTCGGCGGTCGTATCAACAGGGAGAGCGACATGATCCATGTCTGGAGTTTGTGGAAGAGTTGAAGGACGCGGTATCTTGTTGGTTCTTCGCGAGCCTCCGTTGGTAATGAACGAACTGCAGTCCTTTTTGGGTGGTGAGCCTGGCTTCGTTGTCATGGACCGAGTGATGCGAGACAGAGTCCCGGACACCGGACGGATAGAGTGAATGCCAGCACTGGGCCTTGAAGAGAAAGTAGATTTGAGAATGGGATACAGGTCATCTCCACCGGGAAGTTTTGAGGGCGACGGGAAAGGAAAGTTAGATGAGAGAATGAGGGGATAGAAAAACGGGGGTACATACCGGCATGGGAGTGTTGCCTCGTGAAGGGAAACGCTCTGATTGATCATCGCCATACAAAGAGTCCAGATAGGCAGTCGCGGTGAACATGTTGGATTCGGACACATCGGCTGCTGCCAGGGAGGAAAAGGCAGGGGCACCATAGAAGGACTGCACAAGCTGGCCACCAGTGCTCTGGAAGAGCACTTGAAGGGCCATTTGTGTGAGGCCGCGCTGTGATTTAGTTCCGAGAATGGTATGACTCTATTCGAAAGCGTTAATGATGGAAAGAGGGGTTTGCATAGTCGTCAAGACGCTCACCTTGCCTGAGCCGGTAACGCCTAGTGTGGCTATCAACCCATCTCGGCCATGATGTCCTGGCGCACCCAAGACTCCCTCAATGACAGATGCAGCACGGATGCCGCTGAATAGGTCGAGTTGCTTTGCGTCTTCCTCGAATACGCGGGTAAAGGCATGGCGCTCTATAGCGCGTTTCCGGTTGTCGGAGGTGGGAGGCTTGATGGTGATGTGAGTCGGGTGGGTAGCTTCGTTTTCCTCTACGGTTAGAAAACGGGCATTAGCCGAATTGGAAGGGCGTAGACGCAGATAGACGTCGAAGAGCGAGCTCGATGGCCGCGGAGGTGGTTCCATAGCCATGGCTACGTCGGGCGTGGTGGATGTGGATGGGGGTGTCTGTGTATGCCGTCGTTGCGCAGGAGAGTTCCAATGGGCATGAATGTACAGTTTGCAGAGGTGTTTGTGTGCGCAATATTGTACTGGAAGTTGTGTAGCAATTATTATATTGTGTATGAGAGGTCGGGGTGCACGAGCATCACTTTGTTTACGCGTAGTCGATCGCCCGGGCAACGCGCTCTTGCCGGCCAGCCAGCCCCCACTTCCCCCCTCACTACCCGCCGCCGCCTCTCCGCACGTTTGACAAACATGTCCAAGAAGAGCCGAAAGAGAGTCCATCCATGAGCCTAATTCTTAGCAACCGTGTAGAATGCGACGGCAGAATGCAGGATTGCTTGAGCACGTCGCCTCTCCAGCGCATCGTGAGTTTCGCTCGTTGTCTGTATGCTTTGCCGTGTCTGCCTCCATCGGGCGAGTTCATCTGTGGCGTTGCTATGCCAGCCAGGCTGCCAGCAAGCAAGGTTAGGATTTGATATGACATCATGCAGACTCTACAGCAATCAGCTCTTTCGACCAGGATGCATGTTCCAAAGTCACGGTATTTCAAAGCGCAGTGGAAAAAGGATCGGCATGGTGGAGCCCATGGAGCCCTGAACGAGCATCAGAGCGGCAGTAAACGTGCATCATGATGATCAGCAAAGGATGCTCGACGGATGATGGATACAGCCATCGATAAGCGAGAGGCGCATCTGTCACGGCTGTCATCCCCGATTGCATCACCAAGCTCGTCCCGTGGAGATGACTCCGTGTCTCGGTGCTGCTGGCTGGCTCATCGGCCCTCCGTCGGTCCTCTCTACCATGCACATGTGTCGTTTGGTGCCTCCGTAGACTCGTAGGGCAGCATTTTGAAAAACAACAGTTAAACATCTTCTGTTTTCGTGATCCCGAGTAATGGTCGGCGAACCGAGATGCTCATCATGGATTACAATGATAATGATGATGCTGTGGCTGACGCATACGCCAACTCCCCCATGACGCAATTTGTGGGTACAGAGCGAACGACGTGCACGGCAGAGGCAGGCACATCTTAATAAATCCCCCCCCGTCCAGATCCCCGGGTTTTTGACCTGCACTGGGATTCTGTTGAGCGCACACTCGGAATCGACATTATCCTTCCTTCATCATGACAGGCGGGGTCGTCTACAAAGATCTACTGCCCATTCCAGCAGAGGATCCTACCGAGCAACATGGAACTACCCCTACACTGACGGATAAACCGACCGAAAGCCATGCCTTGGCCATGGAAGCTGCAAAGGCACCCGAGATTGCCGGTGCTGCTCAGGCAGAGCACCATGAAGAAGTCGTGAATTTGGGCTGGAACGAGCCCAAGGAACAGATTGCCAGTCCACTTGTCGGCGGGTTAGACAACGAAGATCTATGGGTTCTTGTCCGTCGCTTCAACAAGGTGAGCCAGAGTCACAGTCATCCATGTCAGTGTATGCTATGTATACTGATGGATTGGAATAGCAAATGTACCATGTCAAGGAGATTCCAAACGCCGCCCCTGGCGGTCTTGACCTCAACATTGCCGACGAAGAAGAGTTCTCTCCAGATAAATTGAGAAGCAACATCGAACGCGTCTACATGACCATTGTGAGTGCAGCCACAGTCTACGTGTATATAACTAAACGTAATAATGCTCTATTAGGGTATCGGTGTCATGGCATTTGTCAAACACATCGTTCGCCTGAGGTCGTGGCGTGAAGCTCGTCGCACTTCCTGGTTCTGTGCCGCCTACTTCACTGCCTGGATGCTCGACTTGATCATGCCGCTGCTTTCGGCTATTTTGATTGCCTTGATCGCATACCCTCCCCTTCGTGCCATCATGTTTCCCCCAGCACCCATTGCCCTCGTATCCTCCAAGACGGGTGGTGTGCAGAAACCCAAGTCTGGAACCTTGGGAAGTCATGACAGCGTAACTGGAGCCCCAGAAAACCACAAAGGTGAGGCAGTGGAGCAGGAGGCCAGCAATTTCGTCAATGGCATCGCATCTGTGGCTCTATCTAGTGCTACTGGCAAACATCCACAGGACGATGACCCGGCCGCGTCTGAGGAACCGGGAAGTGCGGTCCCAGACCCGACATCTATCGCTATGGGTACTGCAGAAGCGAAGGAGAAAGCTGCAGGTCGAAATCCAACAGCAAAGCATGACAGGACCAAAGTTCCCATGGAGACGGCAATGTGGACACAAATGCGCCCCATCATGCATGGTCTTGCCGACTTGACTGACACCTGGGAACGTTTCGCCAAGTAAGTGTTCAAGTATACCTCAAGTTCCGTTATAGTCTCTGATCAAAAGCCAGTGCATTATCCCCGACAGCTCCCTATCCACAAGATCGCTACCGCCTCCGACTAGCTGCCGTCGTCCTTCCTCTTTTCCTGATCTCATTATTTGTATCCTCGTACATGTACACAAAGGGCATGACCTTTGGGATTGGTTTCGGCTTCTTTGGTGACCCCATCCTCACGCGAGGCTTTGAACTTCTTAATCGGAAGTTCCCCAACTGGCAGAAGCTCCTCGAACTTCGCAACACGTTGCTTAAAGGCGTTCCTACCAATGCCCAGCTCACCATTACACTGCTACGTATCGGAGAGGCCAACAAAGCGCCTCTTCCCCCACCACCTCATATCGCTTTGCCACCACCTGAGAAGCCTGCAGATGTCAGTGAAAAAGATCTACGGGCCACTGGAGCAGATTATCCCCTTAACGCAACCCAAGAAGAGCTCGACGAAGCTATGGCCCATGATCCAGCTGTGCCTCACGAGACAGGTGGCGCCGATATTGATGCCTCTAAGAACAGCAAGCATGGCAGGAAAGGCAGCAAGGTATTGAACTTCTTCCGCACCACAGTCAAAGGCGGTGTGGAAACAGCGATGGGCACCGACAGACTCAAAGCAAAAGTCGGAGACCACCATGCTCAGAACAGACTGGGTGCCGTACCAAAGAAAGGCGAAGACCTCACTTCCGGTCCTGTCGAGTTCAAAGCTAGATATCGCGGCAATAAGGGCCATGTCTACATCACCACCAAATCGACAATCCCCTGCGTTGCTTTCTCTGCAGACAAGACTATCGAGACGATTGGGACGGCGGAGCGTGAAGATTTGCACCCGCTGTGGAGCATCCCTGTTGGTGAGATTGCCGAGCTGCGCAAGGTGGGCGGGTATGGATGGAAAGCGAAACTCGTTGTAGGGTGGGCGATGCAGAGAGAGGTCGCGGATGGGCTGGAGATTGTTACTAGGTCCACGGCTAGTAAGGAAGTCGAGAAGATCAAGGTCACGGCTATGCCATTGCGAGATGAGCTCTTCAATCGTTTGGTTGCTATGGGAGGCCAGAAATGGGAGACTTGGTAGTTTTTGTTTTCGTTGTTGTCGTCGTTCATGTTTTTTCCTTACGTACATATACCCATTTGATTAGTTTAGCAGTATACATAATGAGAGTACGGGATTTCACGATTGAATATGAGTTTTGCGTATGAGTTCCAAGGATGGGAAGAGACATCAGCAGGTCACAGATTGGCGCTCATGCTCGAGATCATGAAGTGTAACAGTCGTTGATTACGATTTGATTTCTCAATCCACAAGTAGTGTGAAAAACCAGCCAAGCTCAATTGGGGGTCCACAGAACTTGCGTCCAGCAGATGAATTATAGAGCAGCCAGTTCCAGTATCCATCATTATACAGAGCGTTCATAAAAACAAAAGAGAAGCTCATCAGAGCAAAACCGGCACACTCAATCCTCCTGAAAAAAAGCCCTAATCACCATCCGTTGAACAGAAAGGCGCCAGACTCTCAGAAGCTACAACGACAAATTGCCTTTGCAGCTCTGGTGATGGAGCGAGAGGAGCCTTAACACATAATTTACCGAGCCATTGAATTCTTGCGACATACCATCCTCCGCTGTATCAGCAGCGATAAAACTCGCTGCACAATCATGATAATGGTGGCACGCGCGATTACTCGAAATCGCTCATGCCGTCGGCGTCGTCGCTGTCGGCGAAGTCGAGAATCGCATCGTCCAGGGCAGAGCCGGCGTGCAGACCGGAAACGCTCTCGTCGTCCCCATCGATTTCTTCATCGTCGTCGCCGTCGTCGTCGACGTCAGCGTCGTTGTAGTCGAAGGAGCGGGACTCAAAGAGAGCGAGTTGGTACTTCATGACGGACTTGTTGCCGCCGGGGGGGATTTTGCGCTGGGAGCACAAGTCCTTGAGCTCGATGGCGTCGTAGGCTTTATCTTGCTTCTGGATGCGGTCGAGAAGATCCTTCTTGCTGCCGTCGGCATCCAACAGGCGCTGCTCGCAGAGGGCGGCGATCTGGGTCCTGGACAGGCTCATGCGGGGGTCGGCGGCGTGGCGGGCGACGATTTTGACCTTGTCGAGACCGTAGATGTCGTTCATGCGCGAGCGGGTGCGCTTCTCACGGTCGATGCGCTTCTTGTTGGCTTCGAGCTGCGACTTGCGCTCCTCGCGCTTGCGCGTGTTTTCCACGGCGCGCTGCTGGCGGAGCTGCGCTTTGGTGGCGCGCATGACGGCGCGGTTGGTGCGCTCGTTCTCCTTTGCTTCGCGCCGGGCTGCGACTTCGGCTGCTTTCTTTGCGTTGATTTCCTTGGCTTCGTGCTGGAGCCGGCGCTTCTCTTCATCGAGTTTCTCCTGCTCGCGGATCGCCGTCTCGCGCTCGTGCTCGCGCTTAGAGACGTACTCGAGTTGCTCGATTTTACGGGCGTCCGGATCGTCGTCGACTTCCTGAGGAATCACGGCCGTGCCCTTGACGAGTGCGATATAGCGCTCTGCGCAGGCTTCAGGGGAGAAGGTGGTGGTCTTGTTGAGGCGGCGGATGTAGTCTGAGACCTTGCGGAAGCGCCAGGCACGAAGACGCTCCATCTCGTAGCGGATCTCGATATCAGCGAGGTCGTAGGCACGCATGAGGAGCTCGTCCTGTTCATGTTTGTTAGTATGTAATTGATCAGAGGGGGATTGGATGATACTTACATCTTCGACGCGCCACTCAACGTAGCCTTCCTTGAGGAGATAGTCGACATGTTGGGCCTGGGCCTGGCGCAGGCGGTAGACACGAGTAGCGATGCTCTTCGTGTCGTAACGCACACGACCCTCCATAGCCAAACGATCGGCAATCTGACGGTCGCTGTAGCCATTGTCACGCATTTCCAGCAACAACTCGTCGTCGGAGTCAAGATCAGCGCCTACTTTCTTGTGATACGCAGGCAGTGTGCTGCCCTTGTCGCGGTTGCGGCGGCCAAAGGTGCCGGGAAGACGCGAAGTCATAGCACGAGGCTTCTTCTTGCTACCGGCGTCATTGTCGCTGTCGTCGCCGTCGAAGGTGAGAATGGTATTGTCCTCCAGATCAGCATCGAACGTCACACGTCGTCCCGAACGCTGAGCAGCGCGCACGCTGCGCTTGTGGTAGGCAGGACGGGAGCGCTTGGGAGCAAGAGCCTCAACACCATCATCGTCATCGTGCTCAGGGGTCGCGACGCGGTAGTCGTCGTAACCCTGAAGCGCGAAGTCGTTGTCATCCTGAAAATACGTCAAGACATATGGCCGATATAAGGGGGAACAGATAGAGAAGAAGGAAAAGACAAGGTTGGCTACAACACAAAAGGCTGCAAGATAACTGGAATACACTGAATACTTACGTCTGCGTCTGCGTTTGCATCCTCATCAAGAACAAAGTCCTCGTCGTCTTCATTATCGATGCCGCTGGACATAGACTCGTTGTCCAGATCCAGCTCATCGTCGCCGACGTCGTCTGTGGACAGTGAGCTATACCGTTCATGTTTGTTTGTTTGTTTGTTTATCACATCCGACAACACGTACCGTCGTGGGTAAAGGTCAAAGCCTCCTCAGACATGATGTCCGGCGCTTGACTCAAGTGAATAGTATAAAGAAGTGTGCCGTGAAGCAAGGTATCCGACAGGTAGGTGGACGAGATCCGAAAGCTTTGGGCGATGGGTGGTTGAGGGAGGGTGTCAAGTGCGGAGTGAGAGTATTTGTATTCCGTCGTTTGCAACCACGATATCACTTATGATGAGTCAGTATGTGGGTCTTTTGGTCAAGCAAACAAACGGGCGTAGGTAAAAACCGACGAGTGAGAGCAGCTTGTAAGACAGCAGGATATGATGACCCTCAAACTCCAACTTACAATTCAAGATGACCCTCGACGTCTCGCGAGCGCTGAGATATACTGTCGAAGTAATAGAAACTGATTCATAGTTCCGTAGTGGGTGATTATCGAGGCACGACAATGGCACTGGGATGGCAAGGTATGTAGCATCGCGACATGTCAGGACTGTAGGCCCACGAGAGATAGCAGCCCAACATTGAGATGATTGTGTGCCATACCCATAAAATGCTGATCATAGAACTCCATCCCTTTACCTCATTCATACACTCATCTAGATAACTGTGTTCCCATAAACTATCTCTTAACAAATTTGGCGCTGATGTTGAATGTTGTGGTGTTGTGGAGTCTAGCCGGCCAGGCGCGAGCTTGACAAAAATCCACAGCGAACTCATTTAGAAAGAGTTAGGTTAATACAGCAGTAGCTCTCGATACACGGAACGAAGCCCGGATGGTGACAAGTGGTGAACATGATATGAATCCTGTCCCTGGGCGATGATTGGTTGTGGCGATGGCTTAATGTGGCGTTTCATTCGAGGTGTCCCTTGACCGATGACGTAACGCTCTCCATTCCAGCGGCTGCATCACCCAAAGACTGCGCCCAGCAGGCAATAACAAGATCGCATAAGGATCGGCGTAACGTCAGGCTTGTCTCTTGAAACCTTTAAATTCTCCGAGGAATCCTCGTTCTTGATTTTTCCTAGACACTTCAAAAGCTCACTGGAACTTTGCGTCTTCCTGCACAGTGGATCTTGGACACATACACCATGGCCCTCTTATATTTCAATGTGAAGAAGCTACGGCGGCAGTCAAAGCAGACGAACGAACCTACCGAAGCCCTGACGTCTCCACCACCTGCACCAGTCGTGAGCACCCCAGGTGAGGAACCAGCGGCGTCGCCCATGCTTGACGACGAAGACCAGAAGTTCCTTGAGAGGCTCGCTCTCATCGCACAAGAACCTGAAGGTACACCGCCTCCACTGCCAATACGTCCAACTGAGGGTCCGGGAGGTGTGGCAGAGAAGGTCGAAAAGAATCCCGAAGAAGCTATCTTGAATGGCGCGCAAAAAGTCCCGCTGCCCATGAGTCCTCCCGAAGTAAATCCAGAGACGGGCGAGGATGATACGACAAAGCCAAAAGATGGATTGGGACGAAAGAAGAGCGTCATGTCATACTTCTCGCTTGCTCAGTCCAAGTTCAAACAGGCAACCGACAAAGAAAAAACCAAGGAGAAAGGGAAGAAAGATAAGAATACGCAGGATAGCAAGAAGGAAAAACTTACGGAAAAAGATCGAAACGTCCTGGCCGACGATCTTCTTGCTGCTGCGGCAGTAGCCAAGACTGCCGAGGAGAAAGAAGAAGAGAAAGAAAATGCCGACTTGACGGCTGTCCTCGACCAGTTGAACCTCTCTGCAGTCAACAATCGCGTGTTCTCCTTCTCGAAGGAATCGGAAGAGCTATTTGCCAAGTTTAAGCTTGTGCTCACAGATATTATCAACGGCGCACCTACCGCCTATAATGATCTAGAAAAGCTCTTCACCGAATACGACACGCAGTTGAAGAAGATGTATGGAAACCTACCCCCATTCTTGCAAAATATGGTCAAGAGCTTGCCCGCGAAGATGACGGCCACCCTAGGCCCAGAGCTGATGGCAGCGTCGGCGGAGAAGCCAGGGTTTGATGCCAAACAAGCGGGTGATGCGGCCGGTAAAGCCAAGTTGAAAATGCCGAAGGTCCCATCGTTAAAGAACCTGCTATCAGCGGAGGGTGCCGTTGCTGCCATGCTGAGAAGCATTCTTAACTTCTTGAAGTTGCGCTTTCCAGCGTTGCTGACGGGCACAAATGTCCTCATGAGCTTAGCTGTCTGCTGTAAGTCAACATTTTCCAGTGATCCATCATTGTACTAACAGATACCAGTACTACTCTTTGTGTTCTGGTATTGCCATAAGCGCGGCCGTGAAACCCGCCTCGAAAAGGAACGCGCTGCAACTGAAGATGGATCTGGACCTGCCAGTAGCGCTGCGTCTTTGGCGGATGATAACGATTCAATCTTTGGAAACAAGAGAGTCGTTGAGGGAGAGAGTAGCAAGGGTGCGACCTCAGCTGACAAGCAGGATACCGCAGTCGATGCTTCTAAGCCGCAGGAACCAGCGCCAAAGGTTGAAGACATGCCTAGTGTGAAGGACCTACCAGATCCTGGAAAGGGGAAAGAGAAGGCGTAACCATGTTTGGTGACAAGGTGTGGGCTCAAATTGGAGTGTTTTTTTTTTTCAGCTTCAGGATGATATCCCTTTTGTGTATCAATTGTAATACTCTAGTCATGATGTTAGTAATCTTCAAATAGAGTCTTCTACAAAGACCAATTTTCTGCTTGACGATATACTCTGACAATAGTGCGCCATGTTAAACTAGGTGCATAATTTCTGGCCTTCTCAATGTCCATCAACTGGATATGAATACGCCCAGCAATGTCAACTTTTCAAGTGGGCTGAAAAGCATCAATCGGGCAAAAAATGAACTCTCTCTGACGTCCCCACAGCCTCGGTCAAAGAACAACGTCATAGCTTCCGACCCTTGTCAAACAGACCTCTTCATCATCCGTCCTCAACGTTCGACCACAGCAACATCACTGGCCATCCGACATTTTTTAAACGATAGCTATGGCAACCAAATTCCTCCCATCAGCTCCAAATTTGGTCAAAACTCCTCGATTAGCGACACAATGCCTCCGCCAAATTTCGAAACGGGCGGCACCAGTCATGTCGCAGCGACGCTACATCTCTGCCTATGGCTATGAACAGGCTAGAGCTCTTACATTCTCCGATTATGGCGAGCCTCCATCTGTTCTATCGTTACACACGCACTCCATATCGCCACCGCATGGTGCCCTCATGACCCTTCGCTTTCTCGCATCTCCCATTAATCCGGCCGACATCAACCAGATCCAAGGCGTTTATCCTTCGAAACCAACATTTACCACATCGCTCAGCACCGCCAACCCCATCGCTGTTGCCGGGAATGAAGGCGTTGCAGAGATAATAAGTCTTGGAGAAGAGGTGAAGAAGGGAGGATTTAAAAAGGGCGATTGGGTGTATATGAAAGCACCGGGATTCGGGACATGGAGAACACATGCTTCAGCAACCGTAGACCAGGTGGTGAAATTGGACGAGCAAATGCGCGAAGGTATCACAGCTATCCAGGCAGGAACGGTCAGCATCAACCCATGTACGGCCTACCAGATGCTGAAGGGTTTCGCGGAGCTGAAAGAAGGGGACTGGTTTATACAAAATGGCGCAAATTCGGGTGTTGGACGCGCGGCGATACAGCTAGGGAAAAAATGGGGCTACAAGAGCATCAACGTCATTCGGAGTCGCGAGGACAAAGCTGCGGAGGAGAAGCTCAAACAGAGCTTGAAGGATATTGGTGCTGATGTCGTCATCACAGACGCAGAGCTCCAATCGCAGGGTATCAGAGACTTGAGTAAGGAGTGGACTAATGGCGGCCGCGAATCTATCCGCCTGGCAATGAACTGCGTCAACGGAAAAGCCGCAACCGCCATGGCGAAATTGTTGGCTTCGAATGCGCACTTCGTCACGTACGGTGCCATGTCGAAGCAACCTTTGACCATTCCCGCGTCGATGCTAATTTTCAAGGACATCCATTTCCATGGTTTCTGGGTGAGCAAGTGGGCAGAGCAGCACCCGCAAGATAAGAAGAGCGCTGTCGCTGACGTGCTGGAAATGACGCGAAAGGGCGAGTTCAAAGACATGCCTTTCGATGAGATCAAATGGGAGTGGGAAACTAAGGGTGAGGAACTCATCAACAAGGTTAAAGACACCCTCGAAGGGTATCGGGAGGGCAAAGGGGTATTTGTGTTTGGCAAGACATAAAACTCCAGTATTTTCGCACATCTATGTAAAAAAATGTAAATGGTACATGAGAATTTTGTCTGATCTACAGAATTTACGATTTGAATATCGTGCGAAGGTTAATCTCACTAGAAAATGTACACGATTTTGTCCAAAGACTTCATAACTGAGTTCTCTCCGCCAACCCCTGAGAGCGGAACGAATACTACCACGCACTCTACATCCTTCTATCCAACTGTCAGCGCTAGAATCAGTAGCATTGTCAGCAAATAGCAGATGTACCTACGTGATAAAGATCCTGCATGTCTTATGGGTTCAGGTTCAGGTTCTTGACGATGATGAAAGCTATCCTTACCTAGATCCCAAATCCTTCCATGAGCGAATAAGCAGATGTACTATATCTCATGCAGGGTAAGGATATGTTACCGATCATACGAAAGGAGCTTTCGTGCGCGCCTAGCAATCCTCCCTGTACAATCATGGTTGGCAATAAATATACGAGCTACCCCTCACATCTCACCCTCAACACCTCTTGAAAACACTGCAATGGAAGCCATCATAACCTTACAGCGATTCTACATATTCTGCGCGCTTGCAGCTTTGTATGTTTTCATTGGAAGATTCATACAATACTGGCGATTGCGCCAGTTCAAAGGACCGCCAACCTCTGGATGGAGTTGGTGGTGGCATTCGAGGGCTGTGTTATCGAGAGCTTTGTACTGGCATTACAGCAATGCCACAGATCGATACGGTAAGAACACCTTCTCTTCCCTTAACAGATATATGTGAGACTGTAGATTGGTTGGAAAAGTTAACTGATGGGACGGAAACACTCCAAAGGCCCCATTGCCCGTGTAGCACCAAACCTCCTGGTTACTTCTGATGGCGACCTTTGGGCAAGATTGAATGCTACAAGAACGGCATACTATAGAGGAGAATGGTAAGGCTTACTCATCGCTGTATAATAAATGTATCATTCACAACATTCTGACCTCTTAGGTGGTACCATTGTGCTCGAATTGAAGCAGGGAAGGACAACGTGTTCACAGAATGTGACAACGAGAAACATGATCAAAGAAGGAAAAAGTTGGCTTTTGGGGTGAGCTCAGTATAATCTAGCCCCAGGCTCACATAGACTGACATGAAAAAACGATAGTATTCTGGTAAAGACAACTTCGCCTTAGAGTCATCGATTGACGTACACATCAAGGAGCTTGTTCATTTGATCTCATCGAAATACGTCACTTCATCCTCCGGAAATGAAGTAACAAAACCCATGGACCTAGCTGCGAAGATGCAGTACTTTACACTTGATGTAATCAGCCATATCGGGCTAGGTACACCTTTTGGCCATTTGAAAACTGATCAAGACGTAAATGGCTACCTCAAGTCCATGGAAGAGGGTTTGTGGATTGCGACTACAATATTTGGTCTTGGAATGAACTGGTTAAGAAATTCCCCACTTGGCCCCTCAGAAAAGGATCAGGCAGGCTTTGGGAAGATGATGGCAGAAGCTCGAAAGATAGTGGAAGATCGAAAAGCGTAAGCTAACGACAAAAAGTCCGATATGATAGCATCTTTCATTCGCCACGGTGTTTCAGGTGATGATTTATTTCAAGAAGTGTTTGAACAAATTGTGAGTTAAATCCCAGGAAATAGAATGACCAATTGCCTAGCTACCGTGTGGCGCGGCGTGTGGAGCCGCATACAATGTACTGCTTGTCTGATCGAACACTACTAACTTCTTGTCCACTTTACAGGTCGCGGGCTCAGATACAACTGCTGGAGCATTGAGAATTACCATGTTATTCATCATGAGCCATCCGCGGGCTTACATGAAGCTGCAGGGGCAGAAATTGATGGCGCTGTCAAAGCGGGTATCACTGCCAAAAACTCAGAAGACATTATTTCGGAGTTCGAAGCACGTCGTTTGCCATATCTAAGTGCAGTGATCCGCGAAGGTATGCGCATTCATCCTCCAGTGGTCTGTCTGTTCCCACGAGTCGCTCCTCCATCAGGCGATGTGGTACAGGTCAGCGGCAAAGAATACTTTATCCCAGGAGGCACGATGATCGGATATGCAAGCTGGGCTATGCACCGAACCAACAAATCTGTATATGGCGAAGATGCTGAGACGTTTCGACCCGAGCGATGGCTTTTGGATCAGGAAGTGCCCGAAGAGAAACAGCGTCTATCTCAAATGACAAAGATCAATGATATGATATTCGGCCACGGAAGGTGGAATTGCTTGGGGAAGTCAATCGCACTTTTGGAGCTCCACAAGACCATCTTTGAGCTATTCAAGCATTTCGACTTCGCTTTGGCAAATCCACACCAAAGTCTGAAGGCCATCGATTCAATGGGTCTGTGGGAGATCAAGGATATGAACGTGATTGTTACAGAGCGCCAGTAATAATGAATATCTTCAAATACACAATTACGGAGATTTGCCCTGAAATTCCACTTGCTGCTGTTCTCTTGCAAACTATGTACCTACCTAGGTACGTTGTGGATGAACTACGTCCTAGAGTAGGCATAAAAAGTGGACTTAAGAACAACATCAACCCCTCATAACCTACAACATTACTAGCTTTGAAATATAAATATAATATTTCGGTTCATTCAACTTATTCATAGACTAAATGGATGAAAATAATGAAATGTGATTCTATGACTTGAACGTGGACTTGAGAGCCTGCTTACTAACATGCGTGCAAACTTCTGGGATGATAGCGACAGTCCCCATCCTAATCGCTCCTAATCCACACGACAGCCGATACGGAGCGGCACACCTAGGTCCTATTCACATAACGAACGTACAGCACCTTTGGCACACGATGAGGCCTGCTCCTCCACCTCATATGTCTGCCGGGCCTCCGACTGGGTACGCTCCTTTGAGTGGCCCGCAATACCCTGCCTTCCCGTCATCGCTATCCCATACCGAGCCCTCTCCGCCTGTTAACCGTTCAACGCCGGTTCACAATACTACATCCATCAATAACCCGGCGCCTATTAATCGGCCTGAGCCTGTTGATCATCCTGCACCCGTTAACCAAGCCCAGCACACCCCCGGCTATCAAGCTCCTCCAGTTCCGGGACATCACCACCACCGCATACCGCAATACAACTTCAATCAACCACCTATCCCCGCAAACCCACCCAGTAATTTACAGTATGACCCCAGCAATGTGTATATTTCGCCCTATGCACCACCAGTCCTCTTGCATGCCGCCAAACCAGCTTCGCCCGACCCCGCGAAACCCACGAGCAAGAATCCTTACCCACACATTCAATACACACCTGAAAACTTTCCCCCGGCACCGCCTATACCACCCAACACTGCACCGGAAGGCCACTTTGATATGCTTCCTCCCGCTCCCAGTACGCACTCATCTTGGGAAATACTCTATGCGTATGCGCAGGAGCATGCCTCGATCCATGGCTACGCCTTCAGTATCAGCTCAACCGACAAAAGTCGGTTACGAGTGAAGCTGTGCTGCGTATGCTATGGCAAGAACAAGAATACACGCAAACTTACAGACGAACAACGAGTCAGGAGGGCCCGTACCAGCAACAAGACGGGCTGCCGGATGAATCTCGAATGCAAGAAACATCCTGATGGCAACTGGACGTTGAGAATAAGGCATGGGGCCCACAATCACGCTGGCAAACCAAGTGAGGCTTGGGCTCTTCAAAGAAGGCGGACGTGGGCTGGGGCAGCTGAGGGTCGTAGTATCGGTACAGGTGGAATCCTTGCGCGGGTGGAGAGATCAAACGGCAGTAACGATAACGGACAATCTGCAAGCCAGGGACAGTCAAATTCGACTGGGGAATCAAGCACGCTCGACTCGGCAAACCATAGCCTCAAGCTTGGTAGCCCCGTCTGGAAAATTATCGAGCAGGAGATGCTTACGAAACTTGGCCCTGGCCACGGGCGTGATCGCGGCGTAGGGAGAACGGTTCGCGTTCTACAGGAAAGATTGCCAGGCATCAGCATATTCAAACGCGATATATACAACGTCCGCGCGGAAATCCGTCGCCTGCGGAAAGAAGCAGGGCAGGAAATCGGCGAAGGACTAGGCGAGAGCGAACAAGAGGGAGAAGAGGAAGAAGAAGATCAGGAGGAAGGTGCTGAAGGTGAAAATGCCCAGAATTTCTCGCAACTCGATCCAGGACTCGTCGCGCAGTGTGACTCTGTGCTCCATCAAATGCAAAGTCCAGACCAAGCTGAGTTGGAACAATTGCGGAATGAAGTTCGCGATCTGAGAGGTTTGCTGGACCGGTATAAGAAGGATCTGGAAGAGAAGAATAGTGAGAATGCGGGGCTTAGGATGCAAGTTGAGCTTGCGAACATGGCCATGTATAATGTGAGAGGGGCTCCAGCTTAGCTGGGTCAATGACTTGCTTCCCAGCATGGTAAAAGATGGATTGAGGGTGTCCGAAGCAATGATGCCCCCGTCCCTCCCGCCTTTCTCTTTTCTGCGGTCTTCTCTAGACGCTCGTGGGATACCCTTTTCTTTCCCTACTAATGATATACCCCCTTTTCCCGTAGATAGATCAAAAGTTAATAAAAACATGTGTTATCTCTCCACTCTTGGATCCTCAGTTCAGGATGACCATTCCCAGCATGGTTTGCGATTGCGTAAACGAATGAGATGAAGAGAAAAATACACATGATTGACTGAATATTGAAGAACAGCTGATTCAATTCGTGAGCGCGAAGAAGCAAATAAGAAGGCCAAGATCTAATACAAATGCCACCCCAGCAACCCCTATCGCAACGCCGGGACCGTGACCGTACCCCCCATCCAAATCCAATCCATCATCATCATGATCATCAGTACTAATAATGGGTATACACGCACAACACTAGCTCGCCAAAAAAAGAGAGAGAATCAAAAGATCAGAAGCGCCAACCCCAAAACTAAGAACAACAAATCGGGCCGTCATCACGACACTCAGAACGCGGGTAGAGAGAAGATGAAGCAGTGGGACTTTTACACCATCTCCCACTTGTCAGCTCCGTCGCCCACAGCGACATCGTCCTCGACATCGCCCATGGCGTCTTCCTCCTGACAGCTGCGCTCGACCTCGTCGGCGATGAACTGCTCGTACTCCTCGAGCGACTTCTGGACGTGGAGCTTGAAGCGCACAATGTCGTCGAGCATTCGCTCGATTTCTGTGTGGAGCTCCTCGCGAAGCGTGTTGGCGCGGAGTTGCAATTGCTCGTATCTAGATGCTCAGTCAGTGATGTGCTTTCTTGGGTGGGGAGAGCAAGGGACGCAAAGAAGATAGAGAGGGTAGAACATACTCAATGTTGACAGCCATCTCGCGTTGCACCATGAGTTGCACCGATTCACCGAGGTTGCTGCGCATGCGCCCGAGTTCTTTCTCCATCTTTTCAATCTGCGCATCGGACGCTGTTTTTTGCGTTCCAGTTATCTCTCTCAGCTTCTCTAGCTCCTCCTCTGCTTGTGCAACTCTGTGGCCCAGCGCCTCGACTTCAGCCTGCTTGTCATCCATTGCTTGCTTGACTTGATCAAGCAGGTCGTGGTTATTCATATCGGCTTCGAGCGCCGAATTGCGGCGCTCTGCTATTTCTTTGCGCAGGGCGAGGATGTTCGATTTGACTGTTCCTCGGAGATCCAGGTTCAGGAGAGTGTGTGGTGAGTAGCCGGTGCCGGAATCGGCGAGGAGGCGATCTGATGCTTCTTGTGAACCACCCATCTGCGATCCCGAAAAGTTTGGACTTTCATTGACTGTAAGGACCAGCTCATACTCTTGGCCTTTTGCGTTTACAGCAGTAGAAGGTATTACTCCAACTTGGTAGCCAAGGTTGTTGAAGCGTTCGATCGTCTGCTCCAACTCATCAAGTTTACGTGACGCAACTTGTTCCTTTTCTGCTACACGCTTCTTCGATTCCTCAACACGGGCAGAAGCTGCCTGAAGTGAGGAGTCGAGACGTTCTTTCTCGGTAGACATGCGATCAATGTCCGCAATCGTCATTCCACGACCGTCAATAATGGCCTGGAGTTCCTGCTTCTCCCTTTCAGATGCTTCCAATTCTGCTTCAATCTTCTCAACCTCCTTCTCGAACAGGCCACATCGGTCGTTGTACTTGTTCATCCTGGCATTAACGGTGTTGTTGTACGCTTCGAATTTGACGTAGTCTTGTTCCATGATCTTAATCTGCTCTTCCAATTTATGAAGCCTGGGTCCGGATTTGGAAAGCTCGTCAATCTGATCCTGCAGAGCTTTGTATTCGGCTTCCAACAGTTCCACTTGGTCTAAATGGTGAGCATTGGCTTCATCAAAGCGCTTCGCCATAGCTTGTACGTGGGGTTGCATAGACCTGGCCATTGCCAGTTCGCCATCGGGGTCGTTTTCGTCGTCCTCGTCTTCTGCTGATAGCCATGTACTGTAAGCATCGGACAAGAAGTCGAAAATGATGCGATCACCAGACACATCGTAACCTGCTTCCATACACGCGTCATCGTAATTTCCGTTTTCGTAGGCAGACATGATCTTAGCAAGCTGCATCATCCAGTGGAGCAGACCAAGGAACATGGACCAGGTATTGGCTGATCCCACTGCCGCGATCGCAGATTTGGTTATAGATTTTTCGAATGGGTACCGCATTTGCTTCAACAAAACTGGAACTTCTTGGTCCATGGATTTTTGGAAGCGATAGGCAGGGTCTATACGTTTGTATAGCCATTGGAACATGCAGTTGAAATCCTTCTGGGTCGGCGAAGTCATGCACTTGGCCGAAAGAACGTGCTTGGAGTCCATTTCGAAATTGTTTTGTGTGAGATATTCTAGTAATTCTTGGCCCATTTGAGAGCGAGTACTCGCATCCTTGAGTCGTCGCGGGTCCGTCGGAGCGGTTGATGGGAGTGGGGCGGTTTGGAAAAAAGATTGCCTAACTCCTGCCTGGCCTCCGTGAGACATGCGTGGTTTGAACACGCTACTCCGTCGCTGTGTATTTTGCTCGAAGGTAGGAGCAGGTGCCGGGGTCTGGAAGATGGAAGCGCCGGGCGCAAAGCTCTTCCTCGCGCCGCCCGCGCTGCTCGGCCCAAACATGTTGCTCGTAGAATTGCGATGGACTGACTGGAAGCCCTGCTCAGCGAGGTTCGTCCCGGACGACGAGCGCTGAAAGACGGGTTGGCTTGGGCGACTTGGGGCAAGAGACATGCGCGAACCAGACTGCGAGCGGGCATGGTTTGCCTGTTGGGAGCTGAAATTGATACTCGAGCGCTTCATAGCGGAAGATGGCATGGGAATCGCAGAGAGGTTATTGCTTGTGGGCGCCAGTGTCTACACATGGACGCATTATTAGCTAAGCCCTCAAATGTTGCGCTGAGAGAACATGGACGATGTTGACTTACCTGGCGACGGACCGAGAATGGACCTGGCTCGTGGGCCATAGTAAGAGGAGACGATGGTTTAGTTTTGCGAAATGATACTGTGTTGAAGGGCCAGATGTGCACCAAAGCGGGTGAAATGCAAGAAATTGGGTGTTGTGCGCTAGGATTGCGGGATTGTCGTGGGTTGGAGCGTTACCTATAGTAAATCAGTGATGCGGCCGTGTCACGGTGTGTTTGTTGTTCTCCACTGCGGTCTTGGCTCGCGGCTCCATAGCAACCGACGCGCCTCCTTTTTTGATTGGCCAACCGTGTTTCGTTGATCTCACCAGTGGGTTTGGTACAGAAACGGGAACTAGGAATGGCAACAATAACATCCAATAACAAGCTGGTCGGCTTGAATAGTGCTTGGAGACGTGCTTGTTTACCCTGTTTACTACATGCATGGCACGACACGCAACACTGATGGTTAATCGCAGAAACCTGAAGAGGGTAAAGATAATATTTCGAACAAAAGAAAGCAAGCGGCCATGTCCGCTCCACCAAAAGGCGGAACGCGACGGCAAAGCAAGCAGAGTGAATATACATGGATGGGGATGATGGAATGCTAAGGCATGCTGTAACAATGAAATAATCCTTTCAACGCTTCCCCCCCTCTCCTGCTTTTCCCCTTCAGCACGCAACATGTTTGTTCTCTCCACCCACCAAGCATCGTCTGTATGTGTGTGTGTGCCTCGACTGGGGTATCGTGTGCATATGCAAGCAAAATAAAATGTCCACAGGCTGGCAAACTCCCAAGCGTTTCCAGCGTATGCACCAAGAAGAACCACAAATCTCATTAAAACCTAGTCCATCAGAATCATCGTAAAAAACCTCCCACCCCATCTTGTCGTTCCACCTCTTTTCAGTGGCAACACTTATTTTATGTTTTTGAACAGGTCATCCGCGCCCATGCTGAACGTGTCCTCGCTGACTCCAAACGACTTGAGCTCTGGTAGCGCTGGCGGCGGCGGTCCTTTCTTCTGGGCCGGCTGCGCCTGTGCAGCATTCGTACTGGAAGCGCCATTTGTGTAGGGCGCTTTCCGCTCGTTCCCTTCAGGTATGGGACCGCTGATGAAGGAGCTCTTGCGCTTGCCGAACCAGCTGGTGCTCTTTTTCCTGGTCAAGCCCGGCTGGCTATTCAGGGTAGCTGGTGATCCTGGCCGTTCCGAGGTGAAACTCTCATGCGAGGAGAGTGGACGAAGGCCTAGAAACTTGCGCACGGAGCCCGGCCGTTTGCTGCCCGTTGGGCTCGTGGGAGGTCTCACGCTGGCATTTTCGTTGGAGCCCGTCTGTTGCAGACTGGAGTCTGCAGATGCATCAGGGGAGGATTTTTCGGTCGACGAGCCGCGGTGCTGTGGGAAAAAGGCAGAGCTGGGAGTGGGATGCGAGGACAAAGGTCCCTTGCCCGGCGTGGGAGGGCGTGGAGTGTTGGGCGGGGAATCGAGCGGAGCAGGAATCGAGGTGCCTTCGGTGAGGGAGAAGTTGATGGGCGTCAGAGTCAAGGGTTTGTACTTGGGTGCAGTCATGGCGGGCGGTATTTGGATGGTGCTGTGGAGTATGGTGGTACAGCCAGCGAGAAAAGACAGGCAATTGAAGAGTGTCAGGAAGGCAATGGCTTCCACGGCGCGTGGACGAGACAACGGACGATCTGCGAGGGTGCAGGGCAGGGCAGGCCAGGGCCAGTCGAGCGAGTGGAGCAGCTCAGGAGTTTAGGCGGGAGGCAGGGCAGGGTTGTGGTTGTTGGCTTGGACGGAGAAGGCGGATGCGTGTGCGTTGGACACGGGGAACCAAGAAAGACGTTATTCTTTTGTGAAACAAACGATCTAGCAAACAGGCGTTCCGTCTTGCTGCGATGGATTGAGTGCATGCACATGTGATTTGACCATGTTCAGAGCGTCGTTGGTGAGGTGTTGTAGCATGTATGTAGATATCTATGTAGGTAGGGAGGTACATGGGCAGGCAGGTACATGGCTAAGTATGTAGTCTCGTGCTGTCCAGCACGGCCAGACACGCGATTCCCTTGGTTGCGGTTTCCCTTGCTCCTCGCCGCCAGCTCCCAATCCAATCCAAGCCAGGTCTCGTTGCGCCCGAGCAAGCTGCGGTCGCTGCCATTGCGCAAGGCTCTAGCGTTCCGCCCTCACCAATCACGAAGCACACACCCGCCTCCCTGAATCAGGACACACGTCGCGAGAATTTGCCATCAGCCCAATCTTGTCCCATCCTGTCTATATCAGATCCGTTTCAGCAATAGTCATACGCCTCATGCCCTGCCGGTCCATGTTTCGTCCTGATCCTCTGTGTCCTTGCTATAGCACACATCCATTGCCTCGACACCTTCTAAACTTATCGATTCTTGCGCTGCTGCATCTCGTCCAACTCCGAAATCTCGTCCAGCAACGACACCGTTTCTGCAGGATTGGCAATCCACGCCGTCGTGCATGCCAGCCGCGCCTTGAAGTCATTCGCCCCAGCCGAGAGGAATTGATCGCCAACATGCAATGTCTTGCCTCCATCGATGCCTCCAAAGAACCGCTGGCATGCCAAAACACCCCATGATTTGTCGCCTATGTCCACAAAAACATCATTGCCTCCGTTGAAAGCGCAGAAGGGCAGACGGTTCCCAACCTCGGATAGTTCCTTTGACCGTCATTATTAATCTCGTCAAAAGGCAGGGCTCACTTACCAAAGTTTTCTGTGCAATCATAACCGTCTCCTCTAGCACTTCACGGCAAAACTTGTAGCCAGGCTTGGGTATGATCCCGACCGCCTTCTCCTTGCGAACCACAAGAGCTTCCATGCGCAAATTCTTCACCGTATCCTTCAAGCAAGCTTCCGCGATATCAAGCAGTGCCGTTATGTCTGACTCTTCCCACAATACCATCTCTTTGAGGAGCCATTCTTGCCTGGGTACCAGTTTTAGCCTATCGGGACTGTCCTCCGCAAACTTGAAACAGTAATTGCTTTCACCACCTATGACAACAAAGTTTTGCTTGGTCGTAGGTGGGAGGTCCGATGCATATATGGCATCTAGTAAACCGTACAGTCTTTCATAGTAACGACGTGCATCTGTGTACCCGGCAGCTGTGACTATGCCAATCTTCGACCCAGTCTTCATCAGCTGCAAGATCCGGGGAATGACTGGATTTTCTGGCGAGAGGGATTCGCCGTCATCGTAGAGGGTAACATCTCCGTCAAATGTAACTAGCTCGAGAGGTCCATTGCGAACGAGACTCATGACCTGAGCCGTGTTCAAAATCAGTCTTATATCGTTGAATGACGGTGGTACAAAACGACGATGGCTGATGAAGCGTCGTTGGTCTTGCCAAATAAAGGCATCGTGAAGAGCCAATGGCGTGAAGAAATTGGCCACAGATGGTACCAAAAGTTTGAGTTTAGATCGATTCTGCGTACCGTCCTGCTGGCAGGCGAAGTGCTCGCTGACGATGTCTTCTACATCTCTCATGATTTCTGCGTAACTGTTGATTCTAAGCTATCCATTTCATTCACAACAATCCACAGGCAGCTTACCGGCGCTGAGTCTGGGTTGCCATGTGGTCCACAGAGTCGCCATTCTGTTCAAATGCCGCAGTCGGTTTTGAGTGCAACACAAATGGTACCGCGAGGAGGCCCTATTCTGAGGTTACACCATACTCCAGTCGAGTCACAGGATCCGGGAGATATGTGAGTTACCTTTATCCATTCGATCTGATACCATGATTTAGTTTGATCCTTGACGTGCGCTAGGGAATATAACTAACCAATTGATCTCTACGGTGCGTCTGAAATCTTGGTCAGTAGCATCCAGATTATACAGCGAAGCAACATTACCTTGAGAGCATCTGTGATAGCCAGGGTCAGCCATGCACCTCGCTCACGATCACCAAACCGAGCAGGGCAACTCACATTCAACCCGGTATCTAGTCTAGTCACGTATAAGATTAGCCGATGTATTTTCCGACAATTGGCGATGATGTATATAACTTACAGTCATTTCGAGGAACAAGACCGAAGAAAGTAGAAGAGTGAATACGGGGTGTGCGGTTGATGTGAGTGTGTTGTCTATCGTCCATCGGAGGATGCCGACGTTTCCAAATGCCGCTATATCGAATGAGGACATGTGGTGGAGCACGTGGATAGCTTGTAGCCCAATCATGCCCCTATCTATGTGCACATACGCAAATCATGGTCTGCGGGATCGGTTCGGGAAGAGCAAAAAATAAAAAGCATTACTAGGACATTCCATTTTCCAAAGTCCAAACGCGTCTATCGCTTTCACAATTTCGAACAGTCCGCGAGAGTGCAGCAGGGGTACCTGAACGCTACAAGGGTAGCTTAATCGATAACATCCGAGTGCAGCATCACTAGACCCTACTAAGAGTACGATCAAGATTCACTCGCTTGTTTAAACGGAGAGGCCATGCTCCGAATGTGAACTCGACGAATTGAAATCAGGCCATAACAATAAATCGATCGAAGTATCAAACTATTCCTCTCACCCTCGAACGCAAAGACATGTGTCTTTGTTGTCGTCGCTGGACTCGATCAGACGTAGCTGATATTTCTTTTCCTCTTCTTCACATACTCTTCACAGCTGGCCTGTACGCTCGATAATATATTCAAGTATGAATTCAAGTCATCAATTCTCAACCGCCCACACATTTACTGTGTAGATTCACTACATTCACTCCAATCGAGGGACGCCTACCCGCATATGTAAGGACCGTGCGCCCATGGATCTTTCACGTGATCGGGTTATCGATAACGGCTAGCACTCACTTAACTGCTACTGGAAGCGAGCCGCGGCTCCTTGTACCATCGGTGCCCTCAACCAACAACAATTCACTCGCGACGCGCTCAACCGCATTGATCGGCCTACGATATAATGGCCACCACCGATGACACCACCGAGATCAAATTGAGGGCATGGCCCGCACCACAAAAGGAACCGCTCGACCACAAAGACATACTTGCGCAAGTGACGCAGCTTGCGGCCGAACGAGGGCACCTTCGAGGCATCACCGAACAATCTCTTCAAGATGAGATTGAAGCAAGCAAAAATGATATCGGCGTTGTCATGGATGACTCCGAAGAGAAGAGCAAGCTCGACGAACCGTCTGTCAAGGAAAAGCTCGAGGAAATACATGCTTCCAGGATGAGCATGTTCAAAAATCTTGAGTAGGCCGGAACCAACATGAGAGCGTAATGACGGTACTAAACATGAGTAGGCTCGCTGCCTTTCACGCTGGAAATGCCATGAACTTGGTAAATCTTGCTCTATCCCGGGATCCGACTAAGAATTTGGAATCAGCATACACGCCAATGTTCAAAGAGGTTAACATCCCTCGCGGCTCGGTTGGTGTAGACAAGGGAATCACGCTGGAAGAGTCAGGAAGACCTGAGGATATAGCTTTGCATGAAGATCTGAAGAAGCGTCAGAATGTGGTCGCGAAGGGCTCGAAGATGGAAGCTCTGGACTGGTCCACCAACAGCCTGCTCAAGGCTGCAACAGAACTGGAAACCGAGGTTCGGAAGGAAACAAAGTATTGGGAAGAAGTTCTTTCTATATCCGGAAAGGGTTGGTCGCTGCAACGGACCCGTGGAGAAAAAGGAAATGCTCCATATGCCGTGCATTATGGAGTCCCTGAAGGTAGGTTTGTCGCTTTCCTACTTTCGACATCATACTAAATTATTCGCAGCGAACAGTCGTTTCAAAGCACGCTCTTTGGCGCCATTGCGCATGAACAAAGATGGTGGCATCATCCTGGACCCTAATTTGAAGCTCAAGCCAAAGACATTGCGCGTGCGCATCATGGACAAGGAGCGAATTATCGGTACCTCACATCTGCCCACGCAAGGCTTAGATGAAATCGACATTGAGCAGTCGATACAGCTCTCCCGCGACTCACTCTTCGAAGAAGAGCTTTTCTATGAGATGTCCATGGAAAGTCGGCAACTTCTAGGGTATGGGGTAGAGTTGAGGGACTCCGTCATTCATATTGCTACGCCGGGATCGAATGACCAAGCCAGCCAAAGGAAGATTTTAGTAGACTGCATCGATCGGGATGGACAGTCGGCACTTGAGGTCGATCAATCTCAGGATTGGCTAGCACATAGCATCGCGGAAGCATTGCGATTACTACTTGCGCATGAACACCGCATGCGCTCGCATAGGCGGTCACAGATACCGCCTCCCATGATTGACCGTGGACGACAGCAATCATCCCCAAGACTCATACGAACACTGCTGGCCATGTTCAGTCATCTTAAAACTGTCGATTCCATGCATGCATACCTACACATGACTGTCAAGACTGTCAAGAGTGCTGGTTTGGATATAACGCTGAAGGCTTCGCGCGAGTCTTTATGGGTCAAGCTCGCAGAGACTGTCAAGGACTCAGAGAACACTGATATTCCAGCGACCGATCAGGTACTACAAGCCTTCATAAGGGCTTTCGATGCTACTGCATCTATAGTACTTCCCTGCAGTGGAGCACAACCGGAAAGCATCGTATTAGACACGCGAACGTATATTGGACAGCCAGTTTTTGGCTCAGAACATAAGCTGACACTGCCGCCATCGCTGGCCAAAGTGCTGGATTTAGAGCCGGACCAGCCACGCCAGTTCAAGTTCTCATCTACTGAAGATGCTGCATCGTATCTGGACTGGATTCTCGCTCTGTACATTGCACATGATTATCTCGCCAACGGATTTTCTGGACGATCATCAATAAGAAGTGAGGATCCACGCTTGATCATCATGTCAAAAGGAAGCAGCAAAGGTAGAGTTAGAGAAGACGAGATAGCCATTGAGCTGGACAATGGTTCACTTAATGCAAGCGCAACATTGAAAAACCAAACAAACGAAGGAGCGACTACGGAGTCTTGTACATGGAATGGTGCACAAACAGGACCGTCGTTGAGAGACACGGTCAAAGGCTGGATTGGTTAAATTCCGATCTCTCGTGGAAAAGAGGAGTTGTAGTAGCCAACCCTAGTTTTAAGGAGCCCCAAAACAAGCTCTACGTCGATTCCAAGTCTCATTATTACGCATGAAAGCAATTGACCTTGCGCGGAAGGCAACGAGCTGTGGTTGGGCGGGACCTATGTCCGGGAGGGGAGATCATCTACCCTTGTTGTATAGCTCCGATAGCTCGTCAAAACGCTGAAACTACATCAGCTAGCTTTACCACCACACATATATCCGTGACCCTTGTCCACGATCGTTCCTTACATTCTCATCATGACGTGAAGACTACAAACACCGCGGCTGTCGGCCAAACGGCGTTCATGATGATGTGTTTGAGCGGTCGCTGCACATGAATCTTTTAAAAGCGTACAGTGCCTTGGTTGCAACACTGAACTCATTACATTCGCATGTTGACTGACTGTTTATGATATCAACAGTCTTAGGATGCATTTCCTGACATTGCTGATAGCAAGTCTATCAATTGCGGGCCTCTCGCATGCACAGGATGTAATTTCTGATACAGGTCTCGCCGGCCCAGAAGTGGAGATTGTCCACCGATACAACGATCAATGGCCCACAGGTGAAATACAAAATCCGTAATATCTACACCCACAAGGAAAAACTAATCAAACTTTGACATCTAGGAATCACCGTATCCCGCACCGGCCGAAGATTCTCAAACTACCCACCAGGCCTCGACGTAAACAACACCAACGACGGCACAAACAACAAATACACCGTCGCGGAGCTAAACGGGAACGACACTGAAAGTCCCTACCCAAATGCCGAAATCAACAACCCACCGGGAGGTGCTATAAACTACTCCACATACCCAGCAACAGGCGCAAACCACCAAACCCACCTCATCGGCGTACAATCCGTCGTCCTCGATCCACTGGACCGCCTCTGGATCCTCGACACAGGCCGCGCCCTCACACCCGATGGCACGCTCGTCCCCGCATCCTACGGCGGACCGAAACTCGTCGGCGTGTCACTGGCCAACGACACCGTCATCCAGACCATCGTCTTCCCCCCGACCGTAGCGTTCGCGGACTCGTACCTCAACGACGTGCGGTTCGATTTACGCGCCAACCTCACGCAGTCGGGGAAAGGCATCGCATACATCACCGACAGCAGCAGCGAGGGCCGCAACGGCATCGTCGTAGTCGATCTCGGCTCCGGCGAAAGCTGGCGCCACCTCAACGGGATCAACGAAGTGCGTGCAGAGCGTGGGTTTGTGCCGTATGTCTGGGGCGTTCCACTCTATTACGTATCTGGGCCGGGCCAGCCGCTTGAGACGGTTCCTCTGGGCGCAGATGGGATCGCGCTGTCTGCTGATGGCGAGGATTTGTTCTGGGGCCCTGTTGGCGGACGCACGCTATATAGTATCCCGACCGCTAGGTTGCGGGACCGAGGGCTGAATTCGGAATTGCTGGCTCAAGCGGCGGTGGAGAATCGCGGGGAGAGAGGGGTGAGTGATGGGTTTGAGACGGATTCGAATGGGTTTATCTATGCGGGGAATATGGAGCAGAATGGTATACTGTTTTATAATCCGGCGAACAGTAGCACAAGCACTTTCGTGCGTGATCCCAGGATCAATTGGGTCGATACTAGTGAGTGGGAAAATTCCCTTGTGCCTGAGAAATGTAGTAGTTAATCGTTGTTGGCAGTGTCTGTTGGGAGCGATGGGTACTTGTACTTTACAGTCAACCAGCTCTTTCTTACGCCGGGGTTCTATCCGGGAACGGATCGGAGGACGAAACCTTTTGCTCTTCTTCGGGCGCGTCTACCGGTGAACGGGTCTAGAGTGTTTCTCGTGTAGATGGTAGGTCAGGCTTTCGAAGGAGGTAGATAGTTGCTGAGGGAGGATTCCTGTGTAAGAATATGTTCAGAGATGATCTATATTGGTGAACCCCTCTAGCACCGTGAGTTTCCATTGCTATATCTTAAAATTCGATTGATCAACTATCAAGGCCCGTGCCTTTGTTAGGGATCGTATACTCAAGATTGTAGAGCAATATTTAACCTCACACCCCTATATACCATATGAACAACCTTGGAACGTGAGAGCCAATTTGAAGAATGAGCATATTCTTTATTGGGTAAGGAATATCATATCGCCATCTATCATCAAATCGTGCAAGAAAATCACAAAACTACAAGAAAGGACAAAAAGGCTACCAAAAAACTGAACGTCTACTCCTTGGCCTGCGATGGACGTCCGCTAAGAATGTTCACATATTGCTTCAGATCCATCCAGAACTCGTTCTTGGGGCGGCGACGATGCCAATCGGTCTCCTTCTTTTCGATATTCTCCATGGGGGAGAAGAGAACTTTGGCACCCTTGATTCCGATCACAGCAGTGCTCATTGGGTCGTCGTCAATTTCTTCAATATCCATACCGGCGAATGACTCAAGGTGTTCCAGTGAGCGGAAGGCAAACCTCACAGCACGAACGCGGTCCATAGGTGAAGGCTGGAGGACTGTGTCAGCAACCGATATGCACTGAATATAAAATGGACGAGACAGCTTACCGTGGTGCCTTGTTGGAAGTGCCCAGGCACACCGTGACGGCTCTCAAACTTGCCCTTGCCAGCCTCTGCAATCATGTCCGCGATAATTTGAACACTATATGTCTTGCTGGTTTTCTCGTTCACAAGAATAACCTTGCCTGCGCGATTTTGCCCCTTGTCTCTTCGGAAGACATCTCCCAGAGTATCAATGTCACGATCGAGCATCTTGAGATTAATTCCGTCTTCTGGAGTATACACTGCGAATGCGCCTATGGAAAGACCGGCCACTGTGGCAATATAGCCGGACTCTCCACCTTGGGTTTCGATGACGAAGACACGTCGGCGTGAAGCAGATGCGGACTGTCGGCAAGCATCGCAGTATTCAATCAAAGCATTGAGACAAGTATCGGATCCAATCGAGTACCTGAAATGAAAAGAGGGTGGTTAGCTAATGATGCCCAGAGATTCATGTGTAAGACACTACTTACTCAGTACCGGGGACATTGTTAGAGATTGTAGCTGGCAGAATGACCTGGAATTCTTTTAGTACAAGCTCTATCTATGGTGACACACTGTCGATACTTACCATGGGTATTTTGAAGGCCTTGTAGTGCTCACGGCCTTTGCGCAATTCGCTGACCGCGGTGAAGGCTTCGAAACCTCCTACCACAAACAACGCTTGGATGTTGTATTTTTTGAACACAAATGCAACCGTCTCGATGTCTTCGCTGGGCAATCCACGGTTCGTACCGATCTCTGAACCGCCCTTGTTAGCCCAACCGTCAGCGTCAAGCCAGTCAATCTCCCGCACTGCTCCCCTGGGCTCATCAGAGTGATGTCGAATAAGCCCCGGAAAACCGTTATGAAGTGCAATGGGTGTATGACCCCTTGCTAAACAGTATGCTACAACAGCACGAGTGGCGGCGTTCATGCCTCCTGCAGGAGCTCCGACGTGAATGATACCAATGCGCAATCTCTTCTCCTCTGGTAGCTTGAGCTCGGGCTGATCCGCAGAAGTTGTAATCTGGTATGAACGGTAGTATTCGGCGAATTCAGCGTCTCGGAGGCGCATGGCCTTTTCAAAGTCCTTGCTTTCGATTGCCTTGGCAACCTCCTTGGTTTGGGCCACGGCTTCGAGCAATGGGCGACGCACAATCTTGTTCTCGATCATGCAAATAACAGGGGATGGGGTCTCAGGGGTGGCTTCCAGAACAGCTTTGACTGCTTCCACGCCCTGAAGTGTAGACAACATTCTATCGTAAGCGGCAGGCTGTCCTCCTCTTTGTACGTGTCCAAGTGTAGTAACCCTGGTGTCCAATCCGGCTTTGGAAAGAATGTCCTTGATCTGAGTGGGTGTGATTTTGTTGAGGTGAACATCAATGGCCCCTTCGGCTACAATCACAATAGTCTTGCGTTTGCCCAACTGGCGGTGCTTTTTGACGATGGAAAGCATATTGTCCTCCCACCCGTCCTCAACTGGCTTCTCTGGAATGAAGATGAAGTCACTTCCGGTAGCTACGCCAGCCATCAGCGTGAGCCAGCCACAGTGCCTTCCCATGGTTTCCACGACGAAAGCGCGTTGATGGCTCGTGGCAGTGGTGTCAACGGAATCGATGGCCTCGCAAATTCTGGCCAGTGAGCTGTAGCATCCAATGGTAGCATCAGTCATGCTCAGATCGTTGTCTATTGAGCCAACGAGGCCGACGATGTTTAGGTGTTTGAACGGTGCAACCTGCTCGGAGGTGAGCTCCTTTCTCTCCACGAGCTCTTCGATGAGACTTGGCCACTCGTCGCGGAACCTGTCGGCGCCCGTGAGACTTCCGTCTCCACCGCAGATGACTAGAGCATCGATACCTTTCAGTATCATGTTCTTGGCAGCAGTTCTCCGACCCTCTCGTTCCATGAAGGACATGCATCGTGCGGTGCCGATGATAGTACCTCCTTCGGCTAAGAAGCCTCTGACATCCTCCCAGTTCATCTCTTTGATCATATCTCCGCCTTGAACGAGGCCTTCGTAGCCTTCGTAGATGGCGAAAGCTTCGCAGTTGCTGAAAAGGGCCATGCGGACGACAGCGCGCACAGCGCCGTTCATACCAGGCGCATCACCGCCGGACGTCATGACGCCGATCCTGCGCTTCTTCCCATCGAGGGGTGGTGGTACATCGGTAGGAGGCATTGTGTGAGGATGAGATGTCAGAATGAGTAGATATTCTAGAGATGGGCAGATAAGGTTAGTATGATTCCGGCAGAGCTTCAACGGGTCGTTGGGATCGCAAGATACGACGGCGTGTGATTCTGAGGATTCTCTATGCCCGGGGAGTACGTACAGTGAGTTGGGAGAGTGGTTCTATCTGTGGGAGAGAAAGGTGGGAGTGGTCGTATCAAGAAGAGTTGGAAGCGGGGACTCTGTTGAGGCGTGGGGTGGGGACCAGCAATCAGAGGCGGAACGAAGCAATTGGGAGTGATGCAATTGAGTAATGTGATATGGAGGTGTGATAGGTCCAATCTCTTGGTAAGTCGCTGAGCAAAGAAAGGGATTTGAGTGAGCGAAAGAATCAAAGGTAGACGGGCGGCTCCCTCTAAATATGACGTGGGGTCAAGTGGATGCTGGTGAAAAAGAAATAGCTACGACCATGCGCGAAGCTCGGTCACAGGCGGGGCACACCACAACTCTCACCGCACCACGCACCTCAAGACAGAGCTCGACGGCATCGGACCACACCTCACACCACTTGCTCTACACCCGCGCACGTGAATACTACGCCTCAGGTCGCTTACCACCCGAATGCATGTTGCTGTACGAATGCAGGAATATATTGCTGCATGTCGGTGCATATCTGAGCGTGATCCCTCAGGACAAGAATCTTGTCAGTTTGTTAGCAGCATGGTATGACGCAACTCGACTCTTGATCGACCCAGGGAATTTCTCGGCCTAGTAACGAGACATGGCATGGAACATGTTCCAACGTCAAGATCCACTGTGGACATGCCAATCAGTGCCAATGAAAGTGAAATCATCGAGATTTCCAAAAGCACGCTTGTCGTTTGGGGAGTTATCGAGTGCAATTGACAGCCGCCTTTAGATAAAACCCACTGACACTACCTCATTACTAACTTCGCGACAGCCACGTTACCACACATCTCAGGCTGAGCCAGCCAGCCAGCCAGCTGCCTCGTTGGAAATTCCGGAATACTCGGCCGGAGAATAGCGAGCCTTGTGCGGGAGCTAAACGCACCCCGGCAACTTCAAACAAATTGACCACACCACTACGTATTCCTTTACAGAACGTGTTGAACACAAGCCCTGCAAAATATTCCATGGCCGGCCGTTTCGACACAATATCACGCTGAGCAAAACCCCGCACGGCACATGATCTGCAAAACATTGCTGTTGACTTGTTCGGCGCCTCTGGCCTGGATAGTCTTCTATGCTGTTCTCCGATTCATTCAATGTTGCATTAGACATTCTTCCCCCTTTGCCTCTCCAAACCTTGGATGCATAATCAAATCCATTCGCAACCCCGTATCGGGTTTGCTGAAATGATAATCTCTAGACGAAAAAGGTCTGGCGGTAGAACTTGGCTTCCGCTATGCTCTCTAAAATGTCGGCGCGAGCTTCATGAAGCATCTTCTTTTTTGGTATCTTCCTGAGCGTGTCTCGAGGCGCCCAACGGCGAGCGGCCTCCTTGATGCTGCTGACATCAAGGATGCGATAGTGTAAATGATCAACGATGGAGTTGTATGGCCATTTCACGAGGAAAGACTTGTCGGCATGCACAGAATTGCCAGCAAGGAGAGCCTTCCGCGGTTCAGGTACATGCTTTCTGATGTATTGCAGGAGTCCCTCAGCTGCTTCTTCTGCTGTCATAGTCGAATCAATGCAGGCTTGGGTGAGACCTGATTCGCCATGATGTTTCGTACACCACTCCCCCATCTGCTCCAGTTGCTCTTTGCTGTGATGGACTACCGCCTCAAACCCATAGTCGTCCAGAATGTTCAGATCATAGTCAGTAACGAAACAGGCCAGAGACATGATGGTTTCGTTCTCAGGGTCGAGCCCCGTCATCTGGTTGATTTAGTGGAGTTTCGAAAGAGGTCCAAAGCGTCCCATACTTCACAATCTATCCATACGAGTGGATCTCTGGACGCCATGCTGTTGTTTTGTTTCTTTGTTAGGGATGGCTAATATCTATTCCTGTGCAGCCGAGCGGTGGTTGGTTGGTTGAGGGGTGACGATAAAATGTTAATTCGGGCTAGGGTGCTTCGGTGGTCATAGCGTCCACTTAACGCGCGAACGCGTCGGCATAACTCACGCGCTGGCTCTCCCCTCCCCTCGACTCCGTCTTCGTGTCAACACACTTTTCTGTTCGCACCTGAACTTCAGTTCTTGTCCTCTTTTTATATTCGACTATATTTCGAATACTAACATAATGTCTCGCGCCTCTAAACTAGCGGAACTACGGGCGTTACGCGCTGCTGGAAAGACGCGTTTATCCACATACGAGGTGGCAGAGGAGGAGCAATTGTACGATGAGGTTGATGAAGAAGGTTACAAAAAGTTGGTGAGAGGTCGTCTTGAAGAAGATGATTTCATTGTCGACGATAACGGCGAGGGATACGTCGATGATGGCAGAGAAGAATGGGACGGCAACCAAAATGGTTACCGCTATGCTTCCGAGAGCGAGGAAGACGAGCGTCCAACCAAAGGCAAAATTGGTATGTATGAATGATGCAACGCAACAACTCGATCCTAATGTGTAACAGCGAAGAGAAAACGCGAAGAAGACAAGGAGCAACGAGACAAACAGAACCGAAAAATCAACTCCTTCTTCACTAAGCAGACCGTCAATGCAGCAGCAAAGGTACGTCTGGTTCAAACTACTCAGTTTTGCTGATACTAACATGAGATAGCCCGTCGCTACCGCCGAAGAGAATGATTTCATGGACGATCTGCTGGGCGAGATCAATACCAACGTTTCTCGTGCTGGTCCTCGTATGCGCCCGGTCAAGACAGAATCACGACGAAAGACCCGCGTTCTCTCCCCTCCAATTTCTGAAAACCGTGCGAAAGCGACAAAAAAACAAGCTGCTGACTCGGACACCTTCATGCCCGAAACACCGCCGGCCGCAAATGCATATGATGACGATCCGCTCCCCATACTCGGCGATGACGACGACATCCCTATGAGCGACCCTATTCCACAATCTTCTCCCGTGGCCAAGGCGGTCGAACGCAAATCCCAACCAATGATTAAGATTGAGGAGGAGAATGACGATGATGGTATGGAGGTAGAACAAGCGGTCGGGCACAGCGGCGTGGCTTCAGCCAGTGTTAACATCTCTGGAAAGAGACCAATTCCTAAAATACAGAAGGCTCAGTATCCCACACCAGCCACTTCATCGCCAGTAGGACCTACAGTTGCCCCCGCAGTCGACGCTTCATCGTGGAACAGTGTCACCAGCAAACTAAATGTCGTCAGTAGTCCGGCACCCACAATTACTAGCAGCGCTGGGATTGCAAGAGCAAATCCTGAGTCAGCACTCCAGGACGATGGGAGCTTGCACATGTTTTGGATCGATTACACCGAGATCAACGGCAGCTTGTGTCTATTTGGAAAGGTGCAAGACCGCACTACTGGTAAATACGTCAGCTGCTTCGTAAAAGTTGACAACATTTTGCGGAAGCTATACTTCCTTCCTCGCGAACACCGACTCAGACGAGGTCACCAAACCGACGAAGAGGTGGAACTGGGAGATGTGTCGGATGAGATTGACGATATTATGAGCAAGCACCGCGTTACCATGCACAAGATCAAGCCTACCAACCGAAAGTATGCGTTCGAGCTGCCAAACATTCCAAGGGAGGCCGATTACATCAAACTGCTTTACGGTTACGACAAGATGCCATTGTCCACGGACTTGCAGGGGGAAACGTTTTCACACGTTTTTGGTACTAACACATCACTTTTCGAACAATTTGTCCTGTGGAAAAACATCATGGGTCCATGCTGGCTCAAGATAGAAGATGCCGACTTCAACGCTGTCAGGAACGCGTCTTGGTGCAAACTCGAGCTGGCTGTGGCCAAACCTAACAACATTACCGTTCTTCCTAACACTGAAAACATGGATCCTCCTCCTCTGACCCTCATGAGCATATCTCTGCGTACGACTTTCAACGCCAAGGACAATAAGCAAGAAATTCTGGTGGCAAGTGCAATGGTTTACGACAACTTCTCCCTCACAGAATCTACTCCAGCAGAACAGTTGCCCTGCAAAAGCTTCACAATCATGCGCCCCAATGGTGATGGATATCCCAACGGGTTCAAGGCGGAAACCGACAAGCAGAAAGGCACCATTATGCTGAGGAAGACCGAGCAAGATCTGCTCAATGTTTTCATGGCCATGTTCCAGAGACACGACCCTGATGTTCTCATCGGCCACCGTCTCGACGACGTCGACTTTAGCACTCTTCTCAACCGTATGCGTGAGAAGAAGACCTCCGGATGGCACCGCATTGGACGTCTCAAGAGAAGTGATTGGCCGAAGAACCTGGGCAAGGGTGGAGGCAGCTTTTATGCCGAAAGACAATTGGCAGCTGGCCGCTTGCTCTGCGATCTAGCCAATGATCTTGGCAAATCGCTCATGACAAAATGCCAATCCTGGAGTCTAGAAGAGATGTGCCAGCTTGTGATCGATAAGCGCCGGGACGAAATAGACAACGAAGCAGCACTGAAAACTTGGGCTACTACCAAAGACGGCCTTTTGAACTACGTCAAGCACTGTCAAGCCGATGCTTTCTTCATTGCCGCCATTTCCGTCAAAGTTCAGATGCTCTCCCTCTCCAAAGTCTTGACCAACCTTGCTGGTAACTCATGGGCTCGTACACTGAGCGGAACTCGTGCCGAGCGGAATGAGTACATCTTGTTGCACGAATTTTACAAGAACAAGTATATTTGTCCAGACAAACAATGGGGTAAACCCAAGGCAAAGGTGGACGATGCTGCGGCTGAGGGCGAAGAGGGTGCCGACGCAAAGAAGAGGGACAAGTTCAAGGGTGGTCTTGTGTTTGAGCCTGAGAAAGGCCTTTATGACAAGTTTATACTTGTCATGGATTTCAACTCACTGTATCCTAGTATCATTCAGGAGTTCAACATTTGCTTCACCACAGTGGAACGCGCAGATATCGTAAGTGTGACACTACGCGAGAAACAGGTCATCCTACTAATCAGACACAGACTGAAGAGGACGACAAAGTACCCGAGATTCCAGGTGAAGAACAGGAAAAGGGAATTCTCCCTAGGCTTATTGCAAATCTTGTTCATCGTCGCCGAGAAGTGAAGAAGCTTATGAAGAGTCCCAATGCAACACCCGACCAAATCACCACCTGGGACATCAAACAACTCGCCCTGAAACTCACTGCCAACTCTATGTACGGCTGCCTCGGTTATTCAAAGTCGCGTTTCTATGCCAGGCCTCTCGCTATGCTCACGACATACAAGGGTCGTGAAATTCTACGTCGAACTAAGGAGATGGCCGAGGAAAAGATGCTTCGGGTCATTTATGGTGATACCGATTCAGTCATGATAAACACAAACGTGGACAATATTCAGGAGGCCGTCAAACTGGGTGAAGACTTCAAAAGGCAAGTGAATGGCAGCTATAGACTGTTGGAAATCGACATCGACAATATCTTCCGACGAATCTTGCTCCATGCTAAAAAGAAGTACGCTGCCATAAACATGATCCGTGTTGAAGACAAGTACATCGAGAAACTAGAAGTCAAGGGTCTTGATATGAGGCGCCGAGAGTACTGTGCTTTATCAAAAGAAACCTCAACGTATGTATCATGTCGCTTGGCTGTATCGAAGGTGACTGACAAAAGTTTAGCAAACTTCTGAACTTCTTGCTGTCGGGAGAAGACCCTGAAACCGTTGTCGAAAAGATCCACGATCATCTGCGCACTCTTGCTGAGAGCATGCGCGCATTTACCATCCCTACTCGCAAGTACACGATATACACGCAACTTGGCAAACACCCCAAGGACTATCCAAACGGCGGCTCCATGCCATCGGTTCAGGTGGCAAACCGCCTTATTGCGAAAGGAAAACATGTCAAAGCCAAGGATGTCATGAGCTTCATCATCACGGGTGAGAGTGGTGGCAGCGCAGAGAATGCTGCCAAGAATGCTTTCCCAGTAGATGAGGTGTTGAAGTCTGATTCCGATTTGAAGCCTGATGTGGACTACTATCTCCACAAACAGATTCTCCCTCCTGTTGAGCGTCTATGCGCGCCTATCAGTGGGACTAACATCACAATGCTTGCTGCTTGCCTCGGTCTTGACACGAGCAAGTACCGTGTGAGCACTGTTTCCGGAAGCAACACCCAAGATATCGAGATACAACCCCTTGAATCTCAGATTCCCGACTCAGTACGCTTCCAGGATTGCACACCGCTCTTTCTACGATGCCGAGCCTGTCACACCACATTTTCATTCCAAGGCCTCTCTTCAGCTCACACCACAACAGTCACACACAACGGCTTGCAATGCCCTAACGAGTCGTGTCGCAAGACTCTCTCAAATTTGAGCGTAGTGGCACAACTCGAATCAGCTATTCGCCAAACGATTTCAAACTACTACTCAGGCACACTGCTTTGCAACGATCCGGCTTGTGCCACCCGCACCCGCCAGATCAGCGTCTACGGGCACCGCTGCCTGGGTCCCAAGGGCCTAGCCAAAGACTGCCTCGGCAAGATGTCATACACGTACTCGGACAAGGACGTCTGGAACCAACTGTTGTATTTTGCATCGCTGTTCGATGTTGAGAGAGTAGGTAAAGAGCCCACCGGCATCAACGGCGTAAAGGTCGAAGGTGCGAATGAGAAGAGGGAGAAGATGAAGATTCTCGCGGAAGTCAATCGGGAGAGGTTCAATACTTTGAAAGGTGTGGTGGATAGGTGGCTGGAGAAGAATGGACGGCAATGGGTGCAAATGGATAGTTTGTTTGCTTTTGCGTTGAAGTAGGGGTTGTATATGATGATGGTTGGATGATGATGCATGGCACGGTGTAGGATAGGTTCAAGGTGGTAAAGTGTCTGTGAGGGCTTTGGTTTTTCACCGTTATAGCGCTATGGTTTGAATAAAGGGCGTTCACTTGTACATTTCATGGGTTCCGTCATACAGTACAGTACATAATATTATCCGTTTATTGATGGCATTTAAATCAGACTTTGGGATCACGCAAGCCCGCTAGGGGGAGTATGGAGTATCTCATGAGTAGGATACGCGTTCAATCTATTGTTTGCAAGATTCTGCTAGATATATATGTACATGCTCATGATATACACAATCGTTATGCTTCAACAGTCCTGAGAACCCAGCCATGTCAGTCCACAGGAACTAGCTTACAACAAGGTATATGCATTATATCGTACAGATGTTGACGAACCCACAACCCCCACCTTGCAATCCACTATGAGAACCCATCTCACATCCACCAAAGTTTCAACTCACAACTTGATATCAAAACTCGTCCCGCACCCACAACTGCTAGTCGCACCAGGTATCCCCGTCACCACAAACTGACTCCCAATCAACTCCATAGTATAATCAACCGTACTCCCATTCAACAGCTCCAAACTCGCCTCATCCACTACCACCTTAGCGCCCTTCTCGCCCTCGAACACGGTATCCTCTTCGGTGGCGGGTTCGGTGGAGAGGTTGACGAGCGACATGACGTACTGGAAGCCGTGGCAACCGCCGCTCTCGATGAGGATGCGGAGGGCAAGGTTGGGGTTTGAGTCTTTGGAAGCAATGGCAGCGAGGCGGTTGGTGGCGCGTGGAGAAAGAGAAACGCGCATTGGGTTGCCTGAGTCGTCGTTCCGGGGGTGGAGGATTGCGCGGGTGGGTTGTGGGTCGTTTGTGGGTGGAGAGGTTGGCGATGTGGCCGCTGTGGCTAGGGTTCGATGTGTGGTTGCTCCGGGAGCAGTGATTTGTTTCTTCGGGATTGCATGGTATGCAGATATATATGGTCTTTGGACGAGCTTTCGAGTGACGGGTAGTGGTTGTGGCGATGGAGTAGATGTGTGGTATGTTCGGTGGGAGAGTTGTGATGGTTTGTTAAGCACTTTCGTGGATGTCCTTGCCGCCCTCTGCGCTGCTCGCAAGCAGGATAGACACATTGTTTGCGGAGACGTCATCTTGCCCGGAATCGAGTGTGGTGGTGATGTGCTGGACGATGGTGTGTAATCAGAGGTCTCTCCACTTTAGCGTAGCGCCGCGCAGCTCTATGAATCTGGATCTGGACCGCTTAGTCAGTCTGGAAATGGAAGACGCGGGAGCCCCGCGACACCTGCCCCGCTTGTTCCTGGTTTCAAACTGAATAGCATCCATGCCCCGTTGACTTTGGCTTGTAAAAAGCTCCGTCCGACACCCCACTACTCAAGCTCCCGTGGCGACGACCATGTTCAGACTCCCGAATCCCCTTGAAGGGGTCACAGACGCTGAACTGTGCTCGGAGGAATTTGCTCAGAAGCAAGACGAAAAGGATGCTCTAAGCCGTTTCAGGCACGAGTTTATCATTCCGACAAAGGGCGACTTGCGCAACAAAAAATACGGGCCTTATCGAAAGCAAGAAGTAGAGTTCGGAAACGACGCGATAGAAGATGACAATGACGAGGAATCGATATATCTGTGCGGTAATTCACTGGGTCTACAACCGCGCCGGACGCGGGAGTATGTGGCTCGTTACCTTGACACGTGGGCCTCTAAGGGCGTGTTTGGTCATTTCAAAAGCCTTGAAGGGGGTCATCCGCCGTGGTTACATTTAGATGAGGCGCTCAAAGATCAGACCTCAAAGATTGTGGGAGCACTGCCGAGTGAGGTGGTGGTCATGGAAACGTTGACTGCGAATTTACATCTTCTCATGTCGAGCTTCTATCGGCCGACTCTTGAAAGGTACAGGATCATCATTGAGGGCAAAGCATTCCCAAGTGATCATGTAAGTGTTTTCCAAGCAATGTTTTTGGTTGCTTGCATGGCTGATATATAACCAGTATGCTGTGGAATCACAGCTTGTCCACCATAACATTCCCACCTCAGCCCTTATCACCATTGAGCCCTCTTCATCCTCCTCCCCCTATCTCTCAACAGAACATATTCTATCTGTTATCTCTCAGCATGCCGCCTCGACTGCTCTTGTCTTATTGCCTGGAATCCAGTTCTACTCTGGCCAGTTGCTTGATATTGAATTGATCACGCGTCACTGCCGCTCGTTGGACATAATCGTGGGCTGGGACTTGGCTCACGCTGTTGGAAACGTACCACTCAAGCTTCATGATTGGAACGTAGACTTTGCAGCGTGGTGCAACTATAAGTACATGAACAGCGGCCCCGGGGTCATTGGCGGCCTCTTCGTCCATGACAGGCATGGCGGAGTGGAGACAGCAGATGATCCACTTGCCTCGCAGTCTGGCAATCCAACAAACGGCAGCGATGGCAAGCTTGTATATCGACCTAGGTTGAGTGGCTGGTGGGGAAGTGACAAAAGCAGCCGCTTCGATATGGAAAATAAATTCGTGCCTATTCCAGGAGCAAGCGGCTTCCAACTCAGCAACCCCAGTGCTCTCGACATGACATCTGTCCAGGCGAGTTTGGACATATTCGCTATGACTGACATGAACGCTCTTCGGCAACGCAGCCTACGTTTGACTGCTTATCTTGAAGCTCGACTCTTGCGATACGGGAACGGAACCCCACCTTACAAAATCATCACGCCTGTGAACCCCCGAGAGCGAGGCGCGCAACTGAGTTTACTTTTAAACCCCGGCTTACTAGATCATGTCTTGACATACATAGAAGAAAGAGGAGTGGTTGTTGATGAGCGGAAGCCAGACGTGTTGCGCGTCGCCCCAGCTCCATTGTACAACTCGTTCTGGGATATCCATCGCTTCATTGTCGTCTTCCAAGAAGCATGCAGGAGGGCCGTTGCCGAGACCAACGACAAGGCCGACAGCGCTTAAAAGACTCTGCTGCCTATCGAAGAGCTCATCGTGATCTGGATCTTCTTCGGCTTTTGCTGTCTGTTATCGATCCAGATGGCCGCCACCTGTCCGGTCTTGGGTTCTTTCTCAGTTCTCCTATATTTCGTTTTTCTTCGTCAAGTTTTGTTATACTTCTTTTGATCTATCTCCTTTTTTTTCGATATACCCAAGCAACGATAGCGTACCGCGCATATTCACCCCCACCCCCCAAATCGACGAATAATGTAATATCCTTTAACGTGCGTTTCCAATGCTGCGATACATCTAGCTTGAGCATTTGCGTGTGAGAAGACACGGTTCCATTTCAATAGTATGGAGTACTACTTCAACGCAATTTCAATCAATGTATATCTTTCATGCTACTTCGGGATCCAAGGATTCATTATGTTAACATTGCCTAGATACGGGGCTAGGGTGTATATTCGCAGTTGAACTGTCAGTGAGATACAGTGATCTTGGGGTATCGCAGCTTGTATAAAATTCATCTCAGAGATAGTCGTTGGTTTGAACAATCAAGGCTTATATGCAAGAAGTGAGCTTCGTAGCTCATGAACAAAAAGTTGGTCAAACGCAGTGACCGAGGCCGACACTACTACAATATGAACTCACTCTTGCGACCCACTGTTTTTTAGTTCCGCGAGCTACATCGATCTAAACCGAATACATATGAGCACGTGACACCGCAATCCGCGAAATCTCGAAACTCCAATCAACGACACCCATCTCCATCCAGCTTGAATTGAACGCCAACACCATCCCGTCATGAATCTTTCGACATTCCGGCCGGTCTTCCGACCCATTGGGAACATATCACGACTCGGACAGGCCACGGTCCTCAGCCAAAATGCCCCTTTCACACGATCCCCGACAACGCCCATAACCAGCACATCTTCATTCTCCAGCACCGCGAACCTTCAGAAGCGCAAAAGAGGCGGCCCCGCTCCAGACCCTCGTATCAGTACGTCGATTCTTCCATCACTAGACACCAATCTACATACATCATATCGAAACCACCCCCTCCATCCCAAACCAAGCTCCCGCTGAACACATTCTAACCACACTCTGCGAATCTACAGCTTCTATCCGCTACTTCCTCTACCACCCCCTGACCCCCCGACCCCTCCATTTCTCCCGCCTCCGCTACCTCCGCCACTGGACAATCCACCGTGCATGGATGCTTTTCCTGCGCAAACGCCGGCGTGCCGAGGAGCTCGATCTAGAGCGCCAGTATAACAGCATGCGCGACGCGTGCGAGCACCTGCGGCTCCTTGACGGTAACGGCATGCGTGTCAGCGATGCCGAGGCCGGCGGGCAGGGCCCCGATCCAGGTTCCTTGGGTGTCAAGGGTAAAGATGTGGGCAGGATTTATCGGTCTGCTATGCTTAAGAGAGGGGTTTATGGAAGTGTGCCGATTGAGTATGCGAGGGCTCAGACGGATTTTCCGAGCCGTGATGGGTGGAATCATGCGTGGACCAGGGATTGATTTAGATTCAGGGGGGTGTGCGACGCTGGGGTTGGGTCACGAAGGATAGAGGAGGGTGTAAGATAGCGTGTATGATGGGGAAATGCGATGGAAGAAAATCCACCATGTACGATGTGTGTAGAACTACCTGTTCATGGCATCGAAGAAGCAAGTATAGAGGCAAATTTGGGGGAAGTGTACAATATTCACATACCAAATGACATTCTAAACCCCACACCAGCAACCCACATATTCATGTACGTTCTGATACCATCTTGACCGCCAACTCAACTCGCTTCCCAGACAAAACAAAGGAGAACTCAACATAATTACAAACGAACAGAAGAGAAGCAAAGAAATAGAGCAATGAGTGTAAGATGACAGCCATCATCAATCATTAGACCCTCCTGTCTCAATCCAAATATCGTACCCCTTCCAAATCACACACATACACACTCGTTACGCACACGGTAACGACGAACAACCGATTTTCCCCAACCGGGAAACAATATACATATCCCACTGTAAAAAATCCCAGAACAAAGCACATAGGCTTCAGGATCCCGATCCCTGCCACCCCTTTTTTCTCACCCTAGGAAAGACAGAGAACATGGCTATGCCGGTGGAAACAAAATAAAAGCTAACGCTAGCAATGCCTCAGCAAAAACAGAGACTTTGGTAGGAAATCAGAATAAGGAAAGTGAGCCAGGTAACACCGCCCTATGCATGAAGAAATGAGCACGCACGCACGCACGCACGCACGAGGAAGAATAAAAAGATTGCGAGAGGGGACGGAGATCTTCACATGATGCTGCAGCACCCGCCCTCACTCTCCTTCTTATCCTGGGAGAGCAATGCAGCGCGTGTAGCAGCTTCGAACACGTCGTCTACGCCGTCGCCGGTCAGAGAAGAGCACTCGAGGTACTTCCTCGCGCCGATCACGTCCTTCATGTCGCTGCCGGCCTTAGTAGTGGTGAACTTCAACGACTTCTTGCGCATTTCTTCTTGTGCTAGTGGGTCGTCGCGCAAATCCTTCTTGAGACCAACCAATATGATTGGGACGCCCGGGCAACGTTCCCGGGCCTCCTCAGCCCATTTGTGCTTGACGTTCTCGAGCGAGTCCGGAGAATCGACCGAGAAACCTATGAGGATAACGTGGGCCTTGGAGTAGGCGAGCGGCCGTAGGCGTTCGTAGTCTTCTTGACCGGCGGTATCCCATAACGCTAGCTGCACCGATTTGCCATCTACTCTGCAATCTGTGACGTAATTCTCAAAGACAGTTGGAACGTAACGCTAGAAGGATCAGTTCGGACGCTCCGTCGTTGAAGACAATGTTGGGGGCGTAGGGGGACCCACTGTGGGAAAGTAACCAAGCGTAAAAACGCTCAAAAGACTTGTCTTGCCGCAAGCTCCATCTCCGATGATGACTAACTTTCTGTGACGAGGATGGCGTTAGCAAAGGGTGGAGAAAGTGAGGAATGTTTCAATAGATCGGACGAGCAATAAACATAGAATCGGAAAGTCCATAGACTATCCATGAGGAAAAGGGAATACAGAATGCAAAACAATAAAATGATGACATGGGAGCCATGCAAGGTGCCCTATTTTTAGACAAGTGTATCGAATCGGGAACACCAATGCACGTTATCGGGTCAGGGTCGCTGCATCCCAATAACTGCACGCCGATCTCTGGGGAAAACAGTAGAATGAAAATATTGGGAAAGACTGTGGATTGAGAGAATGGGATGACGGGGAAAATGCGAGCGAAAGCGAAATGCAAAGTAGACCAAAAGGAGGAGAAGTAGTACGGAAATGGGAACTGAGGGGTAGGGTAGCGCGAACAAGAACCAGACAGGGTTCGCAACAGGACTCAAAAGACTGAGGGAAAGCAAACGTACCTGCGCATGACGGGTTCGCCGCCATTCTGAGCCATGATGTCCTGGTGAGGTGAGGGTGGATGAGGAAGGCGTGGGCGGAGTGCAATATAGAGGATAGAGGATTGCGCAGATGTCGCGAAAGTTGGGGGAGTGTGCAGCTGGTGCAGAGTGCAGAGTGTGTCTCGTTATGCAGTAATCCAAACAAGTGGGTGTTCACAGGTGATTGGAATACAAGTAGCGATTGATGGGCGGGAGTCTTGTTGACTGGCGGAGACGGCGGACCGAAGTGGAGGGTCGACAGGCGATTTGATGGTGGTTCGTACGTCTCACAATCACAGGCCCGGATGGCGATAGCAGCGAAGGTGGAGGCGACGGCGAGCGACGGTGCGACAAGCAGGCGAAGGGGAGACTCGGAGTGGAGCGAAGAGGCTCAGGTGGGTGTGGGTGAGCGAGGTGGACGGGTTTGGAGAGAGACAGGCAGGCAGGCAGGCAGGCAGGCAGAGTGACAGCCAGCCAGCTATATATCAATAGTCAGGGTCTGCTGAGCTGCAGGCACGCTTGCAGGCACGCACGGGCAGTTGGCGACTGAAGAATACTAGCGGGCCTTTTATCGGGGACAGCGGAAGGGAGGGAAGAGGATGGATGTTGTTGGGTAATAGTTGGATGTTTGGGGGTAGAAAACGCGACGGGCAAATGAACGAACCGGACGGGCTGGTGAGGCTGAGCCTAGGTAGGTGCAGGTACTTTGGGTACTTTGGTACTTGGGCTCCGCAGCTCTGCACTGTACGGCGGCACTGCGCTGCGCTGCGCTTTCTTAGGCGGTCGGTAGTTGGACGCAACTGGGGGGTGGAGAGCAGAGAGCAGAGAGCAGAGCTGAGCAGCTGGCAAATGCCACACAACGTTACATGCGGGCGGCGCAAGCAGTTTGCAGAACAGCCAGCCCACGATTCTGCATCCACCATCTACCTACATAGGTACTCATGGCCGTGGCCATTGATGGCGGCGGCAGGGGTGCTCTGCTCTGCTCTGCTCTGCTTTGTTAAGCCGCAGTCGGTGCTCGTTTTTCATCATGAGTAATGAGTAATAATTAATTAGATAGCATGGCCCGAATCTTAATATCCCATGTCATCACGTTCCAGCGAGGCCTGCTACACGTCTGATGACAGGCATACGCCCGCGCTTGATGGTCGAGCGCCAAGACTCAAGCCTCAGTGCACTTGCAAGTCGACAGCGAGTCTTCAACATAGTACCCGACACCCCGCCAGCCAACATCTCCCCAGCCCGATCGAGCTCTCTCCGTTGCCTGTTGCTCTACTCTGCGTGGCCTTTGCCTCCAGAGCGCAGACATTGATTGCTACAATACCCGCCTCAAACCTACCTACGCACAAGCGTCAAGGCGGGACATTCTGCTGCTGCACACACCCAACGCCGCCATCCACAACCACCGTCCGTCCTGCCCTTCGCCCGTCGCTCCCTCTCTTTCCTCCCTTTCTTTGCCACTGACACAGCTTTTCAGCACATACTGCTTCTCCTCCCCGACCTCTCCTCGATCTATGGCTCACGGCACGAAAACCACGCCCGCGCCCACGGCACCTCCGAACGGCATCGCGGGCTCCCCACACCCGCCGACTGTGAACCGGAAGAAGCAGAAACGGCGAGAGAAGGAAGCTGCGAAGAAGGCTGCTGTCCAGCAACAGGAGGCCCCGGTGCTTGCGAAGAATGGCATTCCTCAACAGCATCACCAAACCCCAGCGCAACACCATCCTTCCCGTCCGCAAGCCCCCCAGTATCAAGACGCCGACTACGACGATCCCCCATACGACGAGGACGGGGATTACTATTCCGACGAAGACGTTCACAACCACTACGTGCAACAGTACCAGAGCAATGGCCACTACCAACAAACCTATGCGCCTGCACCCGCCGACCCAGGTAAGAAGAAGAAGAAAACTCAGCATTCGCTATCCCGGCAATCTTCACACAACTACCATCTTATGTCATCCCGTCCCCAACCTGTGTCACACATGTCCAACGACGGCGATCACAAGAACGGCTCGGATAAAGACCGGATATGGAACACCAGCACTATCGAGGAGCGCGAGCGCATTCGTGAGTTCTGGCTGTCTTTGGGCGAGGATGAGCGCAAGTCGCTAGTCAAAATCGAGAAGGAAGCTGTCCTGCGGAAAATGAAGGAACAGCAGAAGCACTCGTGCAGCTGCTCAGTGTGTGGGCGGAAACGCACAGCCATTGAGGAGGAGTTGGAAGTGCTCTACGACGCCTACTACGAGGAACTCGAGCAGTATGTATACCGCTACCGACTCTCATGACCATCATGATTGCTGTTCGCGTGTCTTGGTATGCTAACAGTCCACCCTGCAGGGCCCCGCTTTCCCGTCAAATAATAGCGCCGCCGCATTCCGCCCCCGGTCACTTCGACGACACCGACGAAATGTCTGGCGAAGAAGAAGAGGAAGAGGATTACTCAAACAGTGAAGCCACTTCCGAGGAAGAGTACAGTGAGGAGGATCGAATGCCGCACCCGGACACCGATTTCCTCCGGTTTGGCAACAGCCTACAAGTCAAAGGTACCATGCCTGTCTTTAATGGTCTAGGCAGGAGAGACTGATTTGTTCGTCAGGCGGAATCCTAACAGTCGCAGACGACCTGTTAAAGAATGATGGGAAGAAATTCATTGAAATGATGGAACAGCTTGCCGAGCGCCGGATGCAGCGTGAAGAGGAAGCTCAATATCACGGTCAATCAGGAATGGCGTACCGGTCGCACAACGCCCATAATCACCCGCCTCCGCCCGAAGAAGACGACTTCGACGACGAGGACGATGACGAGGAAGCCTACGAGGAGGGTGATTATGAAGAGGACGATGAGGATGAAGATGTGCGTACTCGATCGCGCACACATGCTAACGGCCAGCTAATCGATTATGCAGGATGCGATGACCGAGGAGCAGCGGATGGAAGAAGGCAGGCGTATGTTCCAAATATTTGCCGCGCGAATGTTCGAACAGCGAGTGCTTCAGGCATATAAGGAAAAAGTGGCTGCCGAACGACAAGCACGACTACTCGAAGAACTGGCAGAAGAAGACGACAAGAAGGAACAGAAGGAAGCGAAAAAAGCCAAAGAAGCTCAGAAACGGAAGGAGAAGAAAGAGAAGGCTAGGCTGGCCAAGGCTGCGGAAAAGGAAAAAAGGGAAGCGGAGCTGGCTGCCAGAGAGCAAGAATTACGAGCTGCCGAAGCTGAGCGCCTGGAAGAGCAGAAGAGGAAAAGAGAGGAGCAGAGGAAAAAGCGGGAAGCTGGTCGAAAAGCTCAAGAGGAAGAGAAGCAGCGCAAAGAGGCGGAGCGGACAAGGCGCCAGCAAGAAGAGCGTGACCGTCAACAAGAGATTGAGCGCAAGGCTCGAGAACAGAAAGCCCAGGAGAAAAAGGCCAGGGATGATGCAAAACGCAAGGAGCGCGAGGAGCGTGAAGCTAAAGAGAAAGAAGCTCGTGAGAAGAAGGCTCACGATGATAAATCGAGGAGGGAACGTGAAGCACTCAAAGCCAAAGTCGAGAAGGAACGTATTCAGAAGGAACAACAAGCTGCTGCTGCGTCCCAGGGTACTATCCCAGCTGCGAAGAGATCGTCACAGCCAGTTGCTCCGGCCTTACCACCTCAGCTTCTGAAGCAGAATTCGTCAACTGGATACCCATCTCCGCACGTCACGCCAGCTGTTCCCAAAGCTCCTACTCCCAATAGGCCTCGCCAAGGTTCCCAGCCAGGATCTCATGGATCGTCACCCAAAGCCCATCATACTGCTCCCGGAACAAGCAGCAAATCAATGTCTCCGTCCTCGCAGACACATATACCCATGATTCCTAAATCTATATTGACCAAACCGCCCGTCTCGCAGCAATCTACACCAGCACCGCATACGCAGCCAACATCACCTATGCCGCCTATGGGACTACCACCGGGAATGCCGATTCCTCCTGGAATGGGATTAGGAATGGCAAATCTACCTCCGGGCTTGAATGGTTTCCCCGGACAAGGCATGATGCCGAGTATGATGGGCCCTGGCCGTAATGGGCCAATGTTTCCACCACAGCCCGGAGCCCAAAACTTCCGACCATTTCCTCCACCGGGTATGCAAGGTCCCAACCCGATGCAGATGGGACGTGGCTTTCCCGTCATCGATGGACCTCCCCCTGGATTTGGACCAATGCCCGGTTTCCCTGGACCCAACAGTGTGCCCCAGTTTGGTATGGGGATGCCTGCACATTCGCGACACACATCGGGATCGTTTGATAAACCAACTACGGAGAGCCCCATTACCGCGCCTCAAGCTCAACCTATTCAACGGCCTGCGCCTATCCAGCGACCCTCCAGTGTCAAGCCCCATGAAGAGGGAAAGATAATGGGCAATGATGTCGACGATCTTGCGAAGCACCTGGGTAGTAAAGCCTTGCTGGACGACGAAGACGACATGCCAGAGTTCCCGGAAGCGGCTCGTCGTACCAGCCTTCAGCAACATGGTTCCATGAGAGGTGCACCTCTTGGTTTTGGCTTTGCGGACACTCCGGGACAATCCAGGCCGGATCTACACGCTCCATTCGGAGGATCAGCTGGTGGTAGCGTCTGGGGAACACCGCCGATGCCCTTCCCGATCGCTGGTGGCACCGGGTGGGGCAACTCGCCAACTTCAAGCATGTTCAACAATCCCTTCTCCATGATGAGTGTCCCACGGAACAACGAACAGCGAGGCCCCACGGAACCACGTCTAGCATGGCTCCGCCGCATTGTGTGCTCGACATGCAAAATGCTCGCGATGCGGCAGCCTGGCACAGACGGCTACGCGGATGCCAATGAGGTTCATAGCCACATTAATGCTTCGCGTGGCCCATCAGAGCCCCCGGTATCGATGCAGGAGGTCAAGGATGCATGTGACGTGATTGGTGACAACAACAACGGAGGTGGTAATCTAGACTACAAGGAACTCCCCCCGGGTCAGCTTTCACACATCAAGTTCGTTGAAGCTGATGGTCCTCCTCCAACGCTCGGCGAGATCGGGAGTCCTGTTCCCAGCCACAGCATACCCGTTGGGGGTTTCGGGGCAGGAAGACCTTTCCCCGGTTTGGGACCCCCAGGCTTCTGAGCTGCCACAGCTGAAGGAGTCTATGCGTGTATCGTGTGCAGATATATCCCCTTTTCAGTTTTTAGTCATAGCATGGCACTGCTAGTTCAGGTGATGCATGGGTTCTGGAGTCTATAGCCTCTACTATGCAGGTAATAACTTTTGCTTCGGTCGGAGCTTGTAGCTTCCAGTCCAAGTATACTTCTCTTGAACGCGATTCTTGAATTTGGTGTGTAATGGCGTGATGATGTGATGGGCGTGCTAATCGCAATCTACTCAGTCGTGCAATGAGAAGACAAAGCAAGCAAAGCTGAAGCGCAAGTGGAACAGTGAAGCTGATTCCAGCTACGTCAATATGTGTGGCGTCGCCTAATAGGCCATAGATCCATTCTCACATCAGCCCTCTTTCAATGTACCACGAGAGTGGGGCACAACGGGGCGGTTACAACTGACTTATGCTTCAATGCAAACGGCTATCGAACCAATAATTCGAAGTGTAACGAAGCCCTCTAATGCTATGGCTATACGTAAAGAAAATCATTAGCAGAACACGGGTATTTATAGAAAATCAGGAACATTTTGTTTCCTGAGGCGCAGTCGCCCATGTCCAACGCTAGCAGGAGAGCCCTGCATGCTAACACTAGTGTGCAAGGAGGGGTTGCCCGCATACTACCACCACCACGCAGCTTCCCTCTTCTTGCATCGTACAGACATTGAGCTTGCTTCACCTTTTTCCCGAACACGTATCCCTATCAATTCTTACATTATCAGCATTCTGAGAAGTCAGAATCTCATTCAATACCTTCAAGTTCTTCGATCGGGTTTGTCCAAAGATGTCTGACCCTATTGTTGAGGCTGTACAGAAGCACCCGGCGCCTGAGGGTCTGGTGTACACATATGGCACTGCAGGAGTATGTGTTTTCTATCGTTGATCTAAACTCTCTTGCTGACAATTCGATTTAGTTTCGTACCAAAGCGTAAAAACCCCCTCCCCGGAAACACGACAAGTACACACTCGGGCCTGGGCTAATGGGAGAAGTGAGGTCCTCGATTCCGTTCTAACACGCGTTGGCCTTGTAGCGGCCCTTCGATCTCGCTCGCTGAAAGGAAAATGGATCGGCGTCATGATCACCGCGTCCCACAATCCGCCCGAGGATAATGGAGTCAAGCTTGTTGAGCCACTGGTATGTCTAGAAATCATCTGGCCCAACATCAGACGATAAGGCATTATCTAACCTTCCCAGGGTAATATGTTGCAAGAAGACTGGGAGGTTATTAGCACCGAAATTGCAAACAAGGCCACCCCAGAAGATGTCTCCAAGTACTATCACGATATCGCTGCACAGCAAAAAGCCGACCTCGAAACCCCCGCCCGCGTAGTCGTCGCCCGCGATACAAGAGCATCTGGGAGCAGACTACTTGGTTGCCTTCTAGACGGGTTGAAAGGTGCCGGGGCCGAAGTCAAAGAGTACGGCTTTTTGACGACTCCACAATTGCATTATATGGTCAGGTGTCTGAACACAGAAGGCACCAAGGACGCATATGGAACTCCTACCGAGAAGGGGTACTATGAGAAATTTGGTGCGGCTTTCAAGACGGCTCTAAAAGGCAAAAAGCCCAGCGGCAGCTTGACCGTGGATTGTGCCAATGGAGTTGGAGGCCCCAAGCTGACCGAACTCATCAAGCACCTTCCGTCAAAGGAAGAGGGTTTGGAAATCCACGTCATCAACGATAATGTCATCAAGCCTGAAAGCTTGAACGTAGACGTAAGGTTATTCTTTCGCTTCCATGAATCATGTACTGACAGGTTTTAGTGCGGTGCAGACTTCGTCAAAACGAACCAGCGTGCTCCACCATCATCAAAAGCAGGTCCCGGCGATCGATGCTGCTCACTAGACGGTGATGCCGATCGTGTTGTTTACTACTTCAAGGATGCCAACAACGTATTCCGCCTGCTCGACGGGGACCGCATCGCAACTCTCGTAGCCTCCTTCCTAGGAGACCAGGTCCGCCTTGCTGGTCTGGCAGATTCCTTGAAGATCGGTGTTGTCCAGACGGCATACGCCAACGGAGCGGCAACACAATACGTAGAGCAGCATCTCAAACTCAAGGTCGATTGCACACCTACCGGAGTCAAATATCTTCACCATGCTGCTGAGAAGCTCGACATTGGTGTTTACTTTGAGGCCAACGGCCATGGCACCGTCATCTTCTCGCCTGATACCTTGGACACAATCGCTACACACGAGCCCAAATCACCCGGCCAAAAGGAAGCTCTGGATGTACTCCGGGCTTGCATTGACCTGATCAATCAATCTGTCGGAGACGCGCTTTCCGACTTCCTCCTTGTCGAAGTAGTACTCGCACACAAGAACTGGGGTCCCCAAGAATGGCTCTCTACTTACACCGATCTCCCTAACCGTCTTCTCAAGGTCATCGTTAACGACCGTAAGATCTTCAAGACGACAGACGCCGAGCGCCGCCTGGTTGCTCCCGAAGGTCTGCAAGCGCTGATTGACAAAGAGGTACAGAAGGTGCGCCAGGGTCGGTCCTTTGCTCGTGCCAGTGGCACCGAGGATGCGGTCCGGGTTTATGCAGAGGCAGCTACCAAGGCGGAGGCAGAAGACCTTGCAAGGAAGGTCAGTGAGCTTGTCAAGAATGCTGGAGGTCAGTAGTATGCCTTCAGAGACCATGCAGTTGACGATGAAGATACACTACTGGACGGTATATGGCAGGACAGTGCAGCGATACTCGCCCGTCGATGGCTCAAGGACAACAGTTGAACAATAACAAAAGTTTTGCTTCTTCCCTTCAATACATTATTTTGAATGCAGGAAATGGTATATTTGTCACTCATACTTGGCTGGGACTATGCTGTTGCATGACGCGAGGCACGCCGCTCAAGTCAATTAAGAAGATTACAATTGTTTCGTGGAGTTTATGTCTTTTTACTTTTTGACATGAGAAGATTATGCTTCAATTGTCGGTCAGCTGCTTGGAACTCTGTTCAACAGTAGAAACACGCTCGTTATAGCGTCGCAGCATTAGAAGGTCTACCTCGCTATGTACTCGACAGCTTATCCTGATGTGGAGAATGCTTTGAAGCAACTACCATGGGCTGACTCATCAATATATTACTATGGCCAGATGAGGACGACAGGATCGTCGTACGTACCTTTGATTGCACAAGAGGAGTCAGATCAGCAGTCCCAACTGGAACAAGGGATTGAACAGCAGGCACATTGCAAAGCACGCTCTTTCCGCACGAGGCAGCAGATGTTCCGATGTACACATTCCTTGTCCCCTCCGAAGCGGGCCGATGGGCGAGCGAGGAACGCGGTGCCTCACTTAGTCACCCCCTTACTTTCATTCCTCTTTTATGACGCATTTAGGAGGGATTCAATGCGTAGTGTATACCTACTCGAGGTGCAAAGATGATCATCACTTGTTTTCGGCACGAGCGAGTTTGAAGCGGATAGGTCAAGTTTTTTTGTTAAATGACAAGGGGATCTGCGAACCAGGGAGGAAAGAAAGGAAAAAAAAAAAGGAGCGATATTCTGTTTTGTGCATGGAATGGTCTCGACCAAAAGGCATAGACGTGTGGCGCGGCTCCGCGTCAGCTGAAGTGGAGCTTGAGCGAGCAGCGATTTCGCTTGGAAAGCCGTTGATTGGGTGCAGCGCACACCCGCGCGCGCATAAACATTAATGGGGTTTTTTGATGAAACTTGGAGATGGGCACAGGAACGACCTGTCAAAAGGAAGGTGGTGCTGGCCTTTGTTTGACATGCATGCGTGTCCTAGTCAAGGCGAAACTGGCGGGCCTGGTTGGTATATGAGAAGGGCGTTTCATGAGGGGATCGGGGTATGTCATTGACGATTTGCTGTGGGTTGGCTCCTGTTTGATTGGAGGAGCTGCGTGGGTTTTATTTGTACAGTAAATGGGTGAGGCGGTAGTTTTGAATGGAGAATAATACGAGAGTGAAGAAGAAGAGGTTTACGAATACGAATCATCTCCAACGCAGATTCTCGGGGGTTTTGCTTCTTCGTTTTATTTTTCCGTCTCGTTCTCTGCATTGGGATGTGGAAATGCTTGGCCAGAGAGGTTACGATTAGGTACAGGGCAGGACTGCACGGCGAGGATTGGGTGAAAGTAGCTCCCGGTAGTGAACCATGTGGGATAATTACTGCATGTGGGCGTTGGCGGCGAAGAGCGGGCCGGCGTGATTGCGAAACTTGGAAAAAGAGGGACACTTGTGGAGGAAGAGTGAGGATCGGTCCAACATTGGATTTCCTGGACACTACTGTATAGGCACGGTATGTTGTTCATGTAGCCTGCTGGCGGGTGGCAAGCGACCCAGGCTGGCTGGCGAGAAAAACAGCAAAGAGCCAAAAATAGCGGCGCGACTAATGGCGATAAGGGCCAGCAAGCATCGTCACCCCCCCCAAGAAAGCTACCCTTTGCGACCATGTAACGGCGGCTTATAAGCGTAACAGGGCGTACTCAGCCAATGGGTGCGCCACCTGCCCTGCCCTGCCCAAAGCAAAAAGTGGGCCAAGGGTTACGGCAGGGCGGCCGTCATCGTTCCCCAACACCCACCCATTCCATTCATCCATCATTCTTCTTCTTCGTTTTCTGCTCCCCTGCACATGTGCTTTGTGTGTTTTACATCTCTCTTGCCTCTACCCATCTGTCCCTCGTTGAGTCCCTCGGTCCTTGTCCGTCTCTCTTTGTTTGCCTGTTAGCTTGTAATTCCCTCTTTATTCTATTGTTTTTTTCCCTTTCGGTCCCGCTGCTGTTGGTCGTGACCACAGCCCTCACCCCATCCTACTGGCGCACGAGGGCTACCAAGTCACCAGCTACTTCTCCCGCCTATTATCGTTCTTGCGCCGTGAACATCTCTTTGCAACTGCACCGCACCACAGAATCTCCTAGACTACCTCGTTTCCTCCGGCCAACGTATACGCACCCGGCCATCCCGTTCCCGGTCCTTCTGCATCTATACACCCCGTACACTCACATTCTCCACCATGGCTTCAGCATCGTCAGGGGCCGTCTTCATAATGGCCAGAGAAGAGAGTACAGAGGACAAGCTGAAGAGGCTCATGTCTGATCCGTTTGCAACACAGGTAAGAGAAAAAAATAGTCCAACACATTGCTGTTGTGGCTCCCGACGTTGCTAACCCGAGTAACAGGTCGCCGGTGAATCTATTATTGCCGCCGCAGGCACATCGCTTGCCGTCATGGCTGTTGTTTTCCTCGCCTTTTGTATCCTTCGCCCGTGGAACCAGGTCGTGTACGCTCCTCGACTCCGCCATGCCGACGACAAACATAAACCACCTCCCATGGATAAATCTCTCTTCGCCTGGTACAAGCCTGTTTTCAAGACTGCCGAGGAGCAATACATGCACATCATAGGCTTGGATGCCACCGTCTTCCTCCGCATTGCTCGCATGTGCCGAAACATGTTTGTGGTACTAGCCATAGTCGGATGCGCTATCCTTATCCCCACCAACATCATCAATTCCACCACATTCGAGTGGCAGCAGAAGAAAGACAAAAGCATACTGTTTCTTATCACTCCCTTGGATCTCTGGAATCGGGCTTATTGGGCTTATGTCATAGTGGCATATCTTTTCGACATCATCATATGTGCCTTCCTCTGGTTGACATATCGTGCTGTTCACCGCCTACGCAGAAAATTCATGGACAGCCCCGAGTACCAAAACGCCTTGCACTCGAGAACATTGATGGTAACAGACATCAAGCGCAACTTACGCAGCGATCAGGGTATCATAGATATCACTGACAGCTTGAAAACCGTGCCTGAGGTCCCGCGTGGAGCGATCGGTAGAAACGTCAGGGATATTCCAGATCTGATCGAAGAGCACGAAGAAGCTGTCGTAGCGCTGGAACAGGTACTTTGCAAGTATCTTAAGAATCCGAACAGTCTTCCTGCTCAGAGGCCGACCTGCAAACCATACAAGAAGGACCCGGAATTCGGTAGCACTAGCCAGAAAGTGGACGCCATTGACTATTTGACGGCCAGAATCCAGCGCCTGGAAACAAAGATCAAGACGGTTCGGGAGACAGTGGATAAGCGAGATGCAATGTCGTACGGATTTGCGAGTTACGAGACGATCGAGTCAGCTCACACAGTCGCGTTTGCAGCCCGTAGCAAGCACCCGAAGGGCGCCACTGTACAGCTTGCTGCGAAGCCCAAGGACATCATCTGGAAGAACTTGTCCCTTACTCCTCAGTCGCGACGGTGGAGGCGATTTATCAACAGTTTATGGATCGCTCTTCTTACCATGCTGTACTTCATTCCCAACGCCTTGATCGCCGTGTTTCTTGCACAGTTGAGCAATATCGCTCAGCTATGGGACCAATTCGACGATGAGATGAAGAAGAATCCAAGAACATGGGCTATCATCCAAGGTATCGCGGCGCCTGCACTTACCTCGCTTTTCTACTACTTTCTTCCAATCATCTTCCGGAAACTGTCTATGAAGGCAGGTGACATCACCAAAACCTCTCGCGAAAGGCACGTGGTGTCCAAACTCTACTCCTTCTTCCTTTTTAACAACATGATCGTCTTCTCCCTCTTCGGTGCCGTCTTCAAGATGATCAGTGCAATTGTGGTGATTGCAAAGGAAGGCAAGATGCCCTGGAACAAAGTTATCGAGGAAGTGCACCCGCTGCAAAACATCATCGTTGCACTCAACATGATTTCTCCCTTCTGGGTGACTTGGCTTATACAGCGCAACTTGGGTGCTGCTATCGATCTATCGCAACTTGCCAACCTGGCGTGGGGTTCTTTCTCTCGCAAATTCTTGAACCCGACGCCACGAGAACTCATCCAGCGCACAGCTCCCCCGCCCTTCGATTATGCAAGTTACTACAACTACTTCTTATTCTACTCGACCGTGGCCCTTTCTTTCGGAGTCTTGCAGCCTCTGACGTTGGTTGTGACCGCATTCTACTTCACCATGGATTCCTGGATGAAGAAATATCTTTTGATGTATGTACTCATTGATCTATTGTGTATGATACGTATGCTAATAAAATAACAGGTACGTGTTCTGCACCAAGAATGAGTCTGGCGGACTTTACTGGCGAGCTATCTTCAATCGCTTCCTCGTGGCCGCCTTCATGTCGAACTTAATCATTGCCTTCGCGGTCGCCGCGCGCGGCGACCAATGGAAGATGATGCTGGGCGCCATGATCCCCATACCTTTCCTCCTTCTGGGCTTCAAGTTCTACTGTAAGAATGCATTTGATTACTCGATGAAGTATTACACCAAAGGCGAGTCCGGGAAAGGTGTGGAAGCACCTACGCCGATCGACAAGGAATCTCGCAGGCGTGACCGCGTGGGCGTTCGTTTCGGACATCCAGCACTCTACCAGAAACTGACCGTACCCATGGTCCACGAGAAAAGCAAACACATGCTTGCTGAAGTCTACCGAGGTCGATTGGACGGAGATGTTGGAGGGACTGCGGGCTACAGTGACGTTTACTCGATGAAACGTATGAGCAAAGAGAACCCCGGTAAAGCAGTTGCAGGCACCGGCCCCTTCGAATTCGTATCAGAGGACAACATGGACTACGAAAACTACAAGAACCGCCCCGAATTTAGTGATGAGCACGGCGGTGACGGGTCCATATACGGCAACAATAGTAGCCGTCCCAGTACACCTACCTCGATCATGGCTGGTGGCGACCGTGGCCGCGCCATGTCTCGCGACTCGGAACGAGCTATATCGCACGACGACAACGGTGTTACATACCCTGCCGGGTACCATACGACACCATCGAACCTTCGCGAATTTAGCCCTAGCCCCGACCGAAATGGGTTCGGTCGGATCGAGTCCAACCGCTCGCAACAGTACATTGCGGCCGATGACTCGAATTTGCTGGTTTCAGCTGCTCCTATGGGACATCAAACGCCCAATCAAGCATTTACACCATACTCCCCAAACCGGGATGGAGCTAGAACAGACTACTTTCGAGGATAAATCAGTACTAGGTGCTCCCAACACGCATTTCAAACGAATTTCTTTGTTGTGTCACCATTTCCCTGGAACTATAATCGCTAGATACTTCCATTGCATCATATAGAGTAGGAAAAAGCCCCACATACTCTCCTTTTAAAACTTTTCTTCTTTCCAATCATGTTCGCACCGACTATCAGCGGCAGCTCTGGGCATTTCAATGGCGTTTCATACAGCGTGTGGATTCTCTTTTTCCTTTGGGTGGCCGGCTTAGAGACAGAGATGTAGAGCGAGGGAGACGAAGATACCATGGATTCATATTATATAGCATGTCTTGTGTATATACGTTGCCAATCCATCTGCCTTGAAAGAGGCATGGTGATCATTTCAGATTCCAGTCCACGTCTTCATAACCACTCGGATGTTCTCATGCTTTGTTCCTCGGCGGATCTCCAGCCATATTGTGTGCACACCATGCATGCCTGTGCGAACGACGAACATTCACGCGTGATTATACCTCACGTCTTTTCCTTGCGGACACACTCTCACTTTATCGCAAGGAAATGAGTGGGCGAACAAATCTTTCCCTTTCCGTCTTGGCGTGTATCCTTCGTGGCAGGCGCGATTGAATACTGCCCCTGCTTTTTTTCACTTCGTCGTAGGTGAGTCACAGCGCTCTTTCCTTGATTGACCTGGTTATTTAGGTACTTTCCTGACAAGGTAATAGGAAGGAGCTCTGGAGGTACCTCGTGACTCCACAATATGCGTCTGCAGTCAACAAGACACATATGACATTCGAATTATGGAACATGATATCTATGCAAGTGAGATTCTTCTGCATGGCTAGTTGTGTATCTGCTCCAAGTGTGTGGTCGCCATATCATCGCCGCCGTTCGGGCCTTTGTCTTTGCCAACAGACGGTATTTCTGCGTGAGATCGCGGGTACGACTTCGTAGCCTGGGAACGTGAGAAGCCAGTTTTCGGCCAGTACAGGACTAAATTCATTCGTATGGCGCCTGGACCCAATATGTCTACCTGTTGCGCGTATGTAGACTAAAATCACTCCAGGTCGCTCGCGAGCTATCTACTTACGCGACCCAACTTCATGACCGATACAATCAACTCTGCCAGGGGCAATTGAGCGTCTTTCACTTTTACCACTCACTTGCGACTGTCTTTCACCTTCTTCGGGCCCCGAGGTGAAGAGAAGAAAGCCGACACTCACTATCACCTTGTCCCAGCGCCGACAGTCGATCTATTTAAGCTCCGCCTGTCTCCTATCCCAGCCCTGCATTATCTTCTTCTTCTCTCTCCAAATTATATACCGAGCTTGTCTTGCTGTCTCTGCAGCCTGATTCACTTGATTCGTTCAAGACGAGTACTGGCATGTCTGCACACACGCACACAGATAATCACGACCAAAACCACATGAATCCCAATCTTCAACACAAGGTCGCCGAAATGACCGAAGCTCCCGCATTGTTCACTGATAGATTCGTGGACTTGTAAGTTATATCCTTCGATACGTGATGGCTCAACATGATTACCCAAATCACGGCTACATACTAACCAAATCTACTCACCCAGTCTCCAAGGACCAGCGGTTCAGGTCACCGTCGGCAGTGCGGCAGTGGCTACATTGCCTCATCTCTACATTCTGCCTTGCAAACTTCTTTCCACCCATTCTGGTATGTGAAACCCCTCGCAGGACATTGATTGATGCTAATTCCTGGTCCTGGCAGTTTCATTCCGTCGGGCAATCAACCAAGGAATGACAGAATTTATGAAAGCTCACCAAGAAGCAACTTCGTTGGTGAACAACAACGGTGGCAACCAAGATGGGGCCGACGGCAGTAAACCGACGGCGAAGAGAATCGAATTGCGACCCATATCATTGGCAAATGTCGAACCATCCATCTTCGGCCTCTTTCTTCGCTTCATCTATCAGGGCGGGTATCCATCTGATATGGCCTTCTCAGCTCCTTTTGGACCTGGCTCTACAGGCCCCAAGGATATAATGAGTAGCGTGCCAGTGCACTTCCGTGCTTGGGTTCTCGGAGAAGATCTTTGCGCCCACAAGTTCCAGAATCATGCGATCGAGCATATTTATTGCGGTGCCGGTACTCGATACTCGTTGACCCCGAGCCTTGTCTACTGGGTGTGGGATTCGACCAATAGGTTTGTCGGCATGGATCGCAACGGCAAGGCTCTCCCCAACAGCAACGCCGATGAAAATCGAGAGTGTAAATTACGCACCCTTGTGTTGCATCTCTTGGTAGCCCACTGGGCTGCTCCCAACAACATTGTTTCACGCTTCCCAGGGCTAGAATCGCATTGGGCCAACCTGTTCACCGCGCAGCAATCTCTGCGAGATGAATTCATATTCGGACTTAGAACTCTGAAAGTCTTGCCAATGGAGTCCTACTTGGTCGAAAGCAACGCTGGGAACGTGCTCGATTCAACACAAGCTACGAAAGATTCACTCGGAAGAGGCGGATCGCAGTCAGCAGCAGCAGCGACAGCGGCAACGACAGCATCGAAAGCAAAGACCTCACCCACCATCGTCATCAAGCCAGAAGCCTCTACCCCAGACATGGATAAACTATCGCTCGTCACACCTGCCCGTAAATCGCCTCCTACACCGACTAAGAAGCCTCCTCAGAGTGGTGTTTTCACATCGCCCACCTTATCAACCTCATTCCAGGATCGGAAGCAACCTCAATCGCAGTCTCAGTCTTCCAGTACGGCTAGCCGAAATCTACGTAAACGACCGACACCGCTCAGTTCTGTCGTGGATAGCACATCGAGTCAGCGATCCGAGAAACAAATCAAGTTGGATGGGCGTTTCCGATGCGCTGGAGACAAGAAAGACGACTCGGAACGAGATAGCAATGCTAATAACCGGTCACACACCACCAAATAGTGTCCTATAGCCAGCCGAATTGATTCGATCGTCTTTCTATGAACGACGACGTGGTGGTGCTTGACTAACGCCCCGTTTCCACTTCCTCCTTCCATGTCTTTAATTTCCTCGCACTTTCGCCTATTTCAGACAGATCTGAGATGTTTGTTCCCGGACTTCAAGGTTGAGGCTCAGGGGGGATAGAATATAGATGGCTATGGCTTTCACATTTCCTCGAAACCTTCACTGGGGTCACGATCTCTCTACACAATGCTTTATGGTCATTCTGCTTTCTTCACAAATATTCGAAGGTCGTTGACTTCTTTTTTCTCCGCCGAATCTATGAAATTCGGAGGAAAGGGAAACAGGGGGAGTGAGGTTTCACACTTCTGACATGGATACTTTGCTATTCGTCAGAGAGGTGACTTGATTTTATGTGTCTTCTAATGCGCGCGTACTGGCGAATATGAGATTTCAACAAATCATGATTATGAATAATATATATTACAAGCTATGAGAAGGTGAGCTTCACTGAAACCTTTCTGATTGATTTCATGGCGAATGCGGCGATTCAGTGACATATATATGGTGCTGCGAGTCCATGCTGTAGATTCAAGTTTCCCATGTCTATACCACGTGAGGACTCGTTTGGTGACAAGATTACATGTGATCAGTCCTAGTGTACATGTGTACACGTAGGAGTTCAGGTGATCTCATCACGTGTGATATCTTTTTTTCTTTCTGTTTCTCATTGAAAAGTATGGGGAGGGTATCCAATAACAAAAGAGGACAAGAGAGAGTAACGAACGGCTGACCGTCCGCTCGAATCCAAAAAAACTAATTGTACGTAAAGGAACATGGACTTTGTGGAGAACAACGATCTAGACCGCTGTCTATATAATCTTTATCTTTTTGGGAATCTCTAGTTTGCCCTCAATTCTCTTCTTCTTCGAAAGAGTCGTGGTGAAAAAGCTCTGAGTTAACAAAGCGAAGCACACTAACGTGTGCGTAATGGCGATACTATGCTGCTCACATAAATGGATGGGAATCCATGAATAGAGAAGAGAAAGGAGATTGAGAATAGTCAATGATTTACAAGGGGGTGGGCGTGGAAGGAGGGAGAAGAAAAGGAGAAGAAAAGAGTCTATACGTAAAATCATCCCTGCCTCTCTATCCCATTCAAAAGTCATTAAAAAAAAGTCTCGAAATTTACGGTTTCTATTTCTCATGTTTCCCTTCGATGCCGTTGTCTACAAAATAGCTTCTTCGTCGTGCGACCGAGAGCGCTGCTGTTCCTGCGAGTAACTGGCCATCCTAGCAACCTGCTCCGACACCCTCCCGCTGCCGCTCCTAGCACGGCCCTCGTTCGCAGCGGATGCTACCGCCGACGGAGATGGGACATCAAACGATGGCCGCAGACCTACCCCGCTGAGGTTGGTCGGCGCGCGGGTCGGGGTGTGCGGGGGGCTACTCGCAGGTGCTGTGGAAGTCGCCGCTGTGGTTTTTCCTTTGCCGGGGCTATTGCGTTTGGCGCCGAAATGGTGAGGGCCGCCCATGGATTCTAGAGAATCGGGTTCGCGCGCCGAGGGTGCTCGGGCGGTTGGAGAGGAAGGGGATGCGCCTATGCCGCGGTGCATTTCCATGGGTTGTGCGGAACGGCTGTGGGATGGAGGGGTGGAGGAGGAGAGGAAGTCTGCGATGTCGGCGTCGCTTGTGCCTTTTGTGTCGCTGCTGCTCACGCTGAACTTGGGTGAGGTTGGGGAGCTGGGTTTGCGGGCTGGTTGGGGGATTTGGAGGAATCGTTGGATGGCGTTGCGATCATCGATTTCGTCGTCGTCTTCGTCCGAGGTTCCTTCGAAATACATGTCGTCCCACACGGCTGAGTCTTTGCTCCGGAGGGATACTGCGTGTTGTAAACGGGGTGGCTGTTGAGCATCGCTCTGCAAGGGCGACAGTTCATCCGCAACCTCCCTCATTTCGCTCTCGGAACGGTCCATAGGCGGCTGGATATCTTCTTGACCTTTGACGTGCTCGCCATCTTCTTTGACAGGAGCGTCCACATTTTTCGCTCGGTCATGCGCTGGCTCATGCTCATCGCGGGTTTCGGCAGCGAAAGTGTCTCCAAAATGAGTGTCGCAAATATGTTTGATTACGGGCCAGCCGTAGGCATTGGCAAACATCCGTCGTACTACAATGTTATTGTGCGCATCGGGCTCTAATCGTACCAGCACTTTTCGCCAGGAGAGGTCTCTATGGTAGGCTCGGGCGATTTTCTCTTCGACGCGCATTCCACCGCCATCTTCATTGGTAGTCGCGGAGTCTGTAGTCAATGCGCTTTCGTTGGAGAACGAACGTGTGCTAGCGGTCTTCTTTTTTATACTAGGTGGTGGTGGGATATCGTCGGGGTGATAGATACGGTCGTGGAAGATTGTACGTGCCCGAGTGGACGGGTCTACGATCCATGACTCCGGAGGTGTCGGTGGACTGAGCAGGTCACCGGCGGATTCGAATATAGTTGTTTTCGGTGGTGCTCCCGGATTATTGGGATCTTGGGATAGCGAATCACCTCGAGTAGCTCGAGGCCGCTTGCTTTGTGGGTCAGTGCCGTCTGAACCGGGTGTTGTCTCTTCACTGGCTGCTTCTGCTTGATCTAAACCTAGGGTTTGACTCCTTTTGAACATTTTCTTGTCCTTCGAGGTATGCTTCCCCGATGGCCGGATGTAATTCCACAGGGTACTCAGTGCTGACTGGTTGCTAGTTGGCGATGCCGGCTGGTCGTTTGAATCATTTGTTTGATCACCCATCCATTGATTGGCGCTTGGTCCCGCAGCAGCTTGAGCTTCGTCATCTTGATTCGTGACATCGGCACTGGGCTGAGGTACGGTGGTGTCGTCTCCACTATATGATGGTGATTGTGTCCGATCATCTGAAGCAGCACCTTCGCGCGACAGCGCTCGATCATTGCCAGTCTCCTGAAGACCTACCCTAGACGGATTTGGAGATACATTTTGGCCCGTCAACTGACTGAAGCCCCATGTAGCCACAGTGCCAATGAGGCCATTTTCCCTCCTTGCTTTCTCGACTTTATCTAGACCTCTCCAGTCCAGGAACAATAAGCAACTAGTGCGAAGGGGGACAATTCCGTCATTGACGACGTTTGAATATACCGTTCGGTTCCTAAACATTCGCAACACACTGTGCGCAGGACCGGCTGGAAGTATCCTGAGAAGAGGTTTGGAACCAGGGTCTTCGTCTTTTTGTTGGTTGCTTGACTGCCCACCAAGCCCGTTGACCATTGCGGTCCACCCGCTCCTGGCAATAGTAGGAGCTCGCCATGTCAGACCCAGATCTTGCCCGGTCCTTCCCACCAGACCAAAGTCGAGAGCAAACTTGACATACATGGGATTCTCATTGCTCATACCGAGGAATGGTGTGGCCAACCCAATGAAATTGACAGGCTTTATTAAATCGAAGAACTCTGGCGAATGCTTGTGGATGTAGGCGACGGCATAAGTCTGAACAAGTCCACCAAGTGAATGACCTATGAAGCTGATACTCGTGTACTTGTATGCCCGCTTATCTTTGCGTGAAGGGTGTTCTTTATGAATTTGACTGCCCGAATGTGATGGGATGCCAGGATCTTTCTTATCTGAAACTGGCGAAAATGATGAAAACTTTGACTTTTTGATCGGCAGGTACGGCTGATCCGGATGTGTCATTTCCAGCACATACTTTGCTAATCGTTTGCCTAGGTACTGAATACCGCGTTCCGTTCGAACTACGTTCTTCTCAAAGCCGCGGACCACAATTTGTTCCTCATCATCGTCATCAGTGTCATTGTCATTATCGTCAAGTATCTCGTCTTGGCCACCTGAGAGTGGAGCGGTAGATGCGTCTTTTGAGGTCTGATGTTGTAGATCAGTTCCGCGTTTCTGGTGTCTTCGTCTCCTCCTATTTTCTTGTGCTTGTTTAGCGGAGGCATCGATGCTCTCTTTCAAGTATAGCATGTCAGCCCCCAAGTTGCTGTGCAGGCCATGTGTGAGAATCACTAAGTGAATCTTCTTTGGCTTCCGCTCACGTGTAGTCTCTGACCCTCGATCCTCCAGATTGCTGTGGTTGTTTGTTGATGCTCCGGTATGTTTTGGGTTCCAGTCCGGCAATTCGGGCTTGTTCCACAAACTTGTGGTGTCGTCGACGACAAGTTTCACGGCTTTGGAGTACACGCCACGAGGATTGGCCGAGTGTTTCCGAATGTGCTTCGCTTTGCCCTGCTGGTGATCCTCAACCTGACCGGGAACCCCACTGGTATTGCCGGTAACAGCTGTGAGTCCTAGATCGAGAGACCGCTCGTCCCTGGCGACTAAGAGTTCGTAGCTGACAGATGCGGACTGGGAAAATATAATCTGCGAGGCAATCTCGATTATCCATGTTGCACTTTGTGGCAGCTGTTCGTTCCGCTCTCGGTTGCCTCCAATTTCGCGAATATTTTCAGGCACTGTCAGCCTTGCGCTCCACGACCCACCGGCTTTGAGGTCTGGCTCAAATTCGGGCACCCCTTCCTTCAGCGGCGATTCGACTTTCTTGTTAGGGTTGAAAGTGGAAGGATATGCAGCGACGTGGAGGGAATAAGGACCGTGTAGATAGGCGGCGCGTAGCGGCATAGCCGCGGTGTTCCGTATGCGAACATGGAGATGGGAAGGACTTGGGAGGATTCTGTCTTCAGAGGGCGTATATGTGACTGTGTACCTGAGGAAGGTCAACGATGGAGGTGGGCGCGTGCATGCTCGGCTACCAACCTTATCACCTCGCCCACCTTGACGGCGCCGGTCTGGTGGAGCAACAGCATCCTCCGCGCACGCAGCTCTTCGTTGCGCAGGTCTTTGCGCGAGGGAGTGATGAGAAAATAGGAAGACGAAGGCTCGGTGCAGCCGGCGTCGGGGATTTGGGAAAGGGAATACGTCCGAGGAGTGAGAAGCATTAGCGGAATGCTACTAGGTAGGATAGTTAGGTAGTTGTGTTGATTGGCACGGGTTTTGGTGGAACAGCAGTCTGTGGCAGTTACAGTGGCGGTGAACCGTCGTCAGAACTATGCGTCATGTCTCGAGACTACTTGTAGGATGTGATGGAACAGGCGGGATCAAGGGCGAGCTGGAAGATGTGCCTCTGAAAAAGCGAGTGTGAGAGGCAGAGGTCACGCCTGGAGGTCGCGATGGGACAAGGTCACGCGTCGTTCTCTTCACCTGGGTATGGATGCGCAACAAGCTTGAAAGGACAAATGAAGGCGATGAGCGAAGGGCAGACGACCACAAGCCACAGGTTGCGCCACAGGCCAGAGAGAGGGCCAGCAACCAAAGTCGGACTGCTATAATGTTGTCACGGCAAAGTGCTGTTTACAGTATGCGTCAGGTACGTACATGCAAACAGACGCATGCACATGTGCGCCCTAAATAACGGCAACGTGCCAAACCTAACCAGAAAAGTGTTGTGCTTGCTCGATTCTTCCTCGTCCGCCCACCCCGCCGGTGCTGGGCCAAGCCGAGAGAGCACGGCCCGCATCTTATCACTTCAACCATGCTTGAGACATGTATTGGCCCAGAACAAATGACAAATGGTATATATATGCACTATGATACAAACAGCTGTTCAACGCCCTCGTGACAAGTCGAAAATGGCCCGGTACATCATTATCGTCATGTATCCGTGTGCAGATCCTACACAATCCCACCAGACCTTGCAACTCCCCTTATAGTACACGTGATACAGACAGACTGCGCGGCTTTCTCAACTAGTATCCATCTCATCACCGTTATCCATGCTCGCACCTTCTGTCGTCTCTTTCGCTGCCGTCTTGTTCTCGTCTGTTGATTCTTCCGCTTTGGTCGAAGCGTCCTTTCTGTGGGACATCAAGTTGGGGAAAAGCGTAGGTCTAGCAATCACAGACGGGGTACGTGCAATATTCGCCAGCTCTTCCACTTCGTCTTCGCCAAGTTCACTCAGCTCGCTTTCATCATCAGCATCTTCGGCGATCGAGCTCGGTGTGCTGTTCATCGTCACACTTGCAGCTGCAGTCGCCGTACCACTAGCCGCCCCGGGTCCTTGTTCGTTGGTGCTCGTGTTCGCACTCGATTCGTTCGACGTCTTATCGGGAACTTGTTGATTACCATGGCTCGAGGGCACAGCATGCGTCGCGGGCGGGGAACGTATCGGCATCGTAATCGACGAGGCTGTCTTTTGCGCACAAGCTTCGGCCCTTCTCTGGATCTCCCTACGGCCCACCGTCTTCGCTCTAGATTTGGCTACAGCGTCCGTCTGCGGGGGTGCAACTTGATTCTGTCCTTGCCCATGCGTCACTTGATACATATCGGCCATGTTCTCATTGTTTCCGTCCACATGGATTGGGGCAGCAGACGAGCCATGCTCTGAACCTTTCGCTTCTTCTTGCTCAGACGCCAGCGGTCTCAAAGTTGGCCCGATCGTGTTGTATAACATGGCAAACGTATCCCCTAGTAGGTCATCAATGAGCGCAGCTTTCATGAGACCATTGTTGAGACGTTTGAGCTCCACGACGTCACGGAGGATATCGAGCGTGTCGTTTTGAGTTGTGGGGAGCTGGCACCAAGCCTCCAACCGCGCGGCCGTCATGTTATATTCATCCATGCTCAAGGGTTTGAAAACAAGGTCTTCGTGACCATCTGGCACCTGTCCCGTTCGCCGCAAAAGCTTGATGTATAACAGGCAGAGCTCTTGCCACAGCTTAGAATGCTCGAAAAAATCGGTTTGTTTCTTGCGCACACGCTTGGCTAGTAGTTCCAGATTGGTCTTGTCTCCAGTCTTGTCCAGCAGGTGAATGAAAAACTTTGTATAGCGAGTCGTGTACACAAAGTGTCTACCAGGCCGTTCGTTTTCGGGTTTCCACACTTGAGGTGCCATGGACTTGGTGAACATTTGGGTCAGCTCATGTTTGGCCGCATGCGCCACCATCATCTCCTTCGATTCCTCATAGATGACATGAGCAGCCCGGGCGATGAGGCGATGATGCCAACTCGACTTGTCGATGTTACGGAGAGCTTTGAGCAGAGAGAGCACGTATCGCTCCCAGTCGTCGGCACCATCGGAGGTTAGGTTTTGAGCAAACGGCGTCTGCTTCATGATCTCTGTGCCCTTTGCATAATCAATGGCCCCACGCTGAAATAGCTTATGAGTTATGGAGACAAGCTTGTAGTGTGGCTCTAGGATCGGTTCGCGACCACGCTCCTTCTTCCCGGGCAACGTTTCGATTGCATTGACAACGGCGTGGATCACACTTTCCCAGTTCGGCCCTGCGTTGTCAGGCAGTGGTGCACCTTGATCTAAGGCATCCGCAGCGGCATCTGCATTCGCACAGTACATCTTCCAGAGGCACTTTGCGAGCATATAGTGGTTCCACCATTTGTCCGGATCACCTTTGATTGCTCGCTTGAACAAAACACTAGCGAATTTCCAAGCCGTATACGTAGACAATGGCTTGAATGGCACGTCTTGGTAAACTTTGTTCGTAACTATGCCACTGTAGAATTTATGCTCGGTGTCTTTGATGGAGTAGGCATTCATGCTGAAAGGTGCTCTAGAGGAAGCGTAGACCCGGGTACCAAAGTCAGTGTACATCCGTGTCATCTTGGCTCTGGTCTGCGATGAAGGTTCTGCCTCGCGAACAGCACACGCAACTGCCATGGCGTAACAGTGAATTGCTGTTCGTTGGAAATTCAATAACTCCACGCTGTTGTTGTTCATCTTGTCGGCAGTCCAAGACACAGCCTCCTCGAGCTGAAAATCGTTGGTCTGGGCAAGACGATACCATGTTTCCCATCGCTCAACTGAAAACTCGAGATCTTGTATGAAAAATACTTGAGCAAAGTTGAGATCTTCCGTCGGACCTTGGCCTTGTCTTTTCTGGGAGGTGAATTTGTTAAGCGCGATATTACCCATGAGGAAATACCAGCCGCGTGAAGCCGGCAAAGCATTGTCGCCCGGTATATGCTTCATGGAAAGGGAACCCACGCCTTTGAGACAACGGAATAGATTAACTGGGTTGATAGGTGACCTGAAATATGCTGTCAAGGCCTTCCGATTGGCGGATATGTCATCGTAAGTCTTTGGTCGACCGAGGGCTCCATGAACCTTATCAATGGTAACCTTGAGATCGTGTTTCGGCAAGTCCTTGATGTTGACCTTGTCGGCTTGAGACAGGATGAATGGCAGAAGTGTGGTGGATGTCTTTTTGTCTAAAATCTCCGTCACGGATCCATACTCTTGACATTCGTGGGGATCTATGAAAGCTTTCAATCCATACAAGTCGTACAAAACCTGGGAAAACTCCATATCACGATTGGTGGGCTCAGTAACATTGTCCAAACGAAGGATCTCGTCCTTGGCAAGCCTGAGGAATATCCGGCCGGCAGCATGGCAGAAGCCACGCACGCCGGTGGCGTGATGGACGTGTCGCAAGAATTCAAAGGCATCATCCGAGGGAGTTGGGAAGTCGTTGGGGTTTTGATACATGCCTTCTTTTAAAAGATGGTATTGGAGCATCCAGAACCTCATCTGCATATCATTGAGCCTGTTGATCATATTAGGAAATGTCGCTGGCGATAGGCCTTCGATCCTCGGTGGGTTGAGCTGCCCAAGCCTAAGAATGTCTTGAACGAAGTTCACTGCAGATACTATTCGCAGTAAATAGAATATAGCGGACATTGAAGACTGCATGTGCTCATAGGTCAAGCACGCGAAGGCGTCCTGCTCATTTTTAACAATCTGGAGGATTTTTAAGACAATCTCATCAACGATGCGCAGTCGACTGATCAGTTTGGTATGCCGATCTAAAGGCGCACATTCCTGATAAGAGAGTGTTTTGAACTCGCCCACCAATGTCTCTATGCTCCGTAGATAGCATGATAAAACTTTAGGCGAGTATTCTATAGCCTCGTACGCTTCTCGTAATCGTTGCCATAACGAGAGTCGCAGACTAACAGAAGCGGAGTCCAGAAATTTTCTCATCTCGTCTGACGGGGATGACTGGTCTAGCTGCAAATTTTGGCTAGAGTCGACGGGGCCAACAGTTGAGGCGCTTCCAGAATCGGACCGGTTCTCGTCCATTGCTATAATCTCAGATTCTTTGATGGAATTGGCTGTGGAGACGGGTTCCAATATCGGCTCAAGGCTTTCGATCACAGCAACTGGGTCTTTCTCGTCCGTATCGAAGACTTTCAGGAAGAAATCTTTCATGCTGATGCGAGCAAGTTCGCGGTCTATAGCAGCAACAGACAGCTCCGGCATGACAGCATTGTTTTGCACTTGAATGGCTTGCCCTCCAGCGATATCAAATGTAGATTTCAGCTCTTGCATGACGTATAAGATGTGGTCTGGGAGAACGTCGTCGCTGACACTTAGCTGGAAAACGGAAGCCCAGACATGTCGCAACGCCAACTTATCCATGCCGATAGTTGGTTCACAGTCCGATCGTATCTGCAATGCTTCTCGGCTTAAGGCGGACCAACGTTCTAAACTATCGCTTTGGAGCGTTTTCCTTCCATCATCCACACCGCTATTTGGATGCTTAATGAGAGAGTAGATGTCGAGGTGTAACTCGAAAAGAGTCTCCACCATTTCAAGTTGTGCATGATCAGATTGTGTGAATGAATACGTCTTTGATCGTTCGAAGTTGTACAGGACTCTATTGTTTAGCCTCGAGATACGGTCGCTCATGACCTCATGTATATAATCATCGAGGTTGACAATGATCTGCACCAGGTGTCGTTTCAGGTCGTCGGTCCACCTGTACTGCATATAACTCGATTCACTAGTCTTTGTAGAGTCACCTGAAGTCGCAAGACGACTGGGACACAAAAGCATCTCGAGCCAAGACAATGCAACCTCTTTAGTGGGAAGCCACGACTCGTTGATTTTGTGGATGAACGAGTTGAGTTGCTCATTCTGTAGCGTAGGCTTCACACATGCTTGCCCGTTTGTAGACTTCGAGTGGCCCAAGAAGGCGTTCAACCCCGCTTCTCTGGATGCCCCTCCTAAATCAACTGAGTCTATACTCAGCAAAAGTTGAGCAATGCTGGGCACCGGACTTCGCAGCGCGGTGAATAAATCAAACACAGCCTGGTTGACATCAGAGCTAGGAGGAGCATTAGACTCGGCGATCAGAGCACGAACTTCTTTAGGTGCTGTCAGAGGTTCAACGCCTAGTCTCATACACATGTCGTTCAATACCTCGAACAAACATTCGTCGGCATGCGTCCTGGCCCAATTGTGGTCCTCCTGCTGTTTAGCGTTGTCATGTGCCGCTGGATCTGCACTGGCAACCACGTCGGTAGTCTCCCGAGCTCTGAGGCGCTTGCTACGCACCCGGCCACCATCGGCAGTTTCAGGTAAGCCGGCAGAATCCGTCGAACGCTTACGAGACAGAGGGACTGCCACTTCTATTGTTGCTACAAGGCTGTTCTCATCCGTGGGTATCTGGGCCATTGTATCCCGGTCATTCGGGGTGGTGTCAGTGCCATCTTTGGTGTTGGGTTCGGGATCGGGCGAGGGAACTGATATTTCTTCCGTTTGTTGTTTGGAAGCCTGCCCAGCATCTTCGATGATCATTTCTTCCGTTACAGGCGTGCCGTCAAATTCATTCGACTCTTTCAACTGAGTCTCTGGAGGTAGGTCGAAGTTCAGACAAGATCCAGCGGGAATACTGTCAGTGATACCGGTTTGCTCAGCCATGTAATGACGAAGAATTGCCTCGCCTACAGTTGCCCAGTTCCAGGTGACGCAGTCCAGGACGATACGCTCGGGTGGGCTTGGAAGCGCGTGTGACGAGGAAGTGGCCGCGATATCAGCTGGTAGAGGTGCGAACGGATATGGATTGAGACGACTTTTCAGGGCCTTTGATAGATTCTTCAGTTTCATGCTAGATAGAGGAGCTTGCATGAGTGACAAATTATCCTCTAGGTTAGATACAAGCTGACGCAATTGTTGGCCAGCAAAACCATCTTCAAGGCCAGGTAATGGGAGGAGATTGTCATATAATTCATCATTTCCATCCAGTACAGCTTCGAGGCAAAACCTGGTGATGCGCTGACTTCCGAGCATAGCTGCTACAGAGGCAGTGCGCAGCCACAGATCCAGATCGGTGTCCTCCTTATCCAACGCTTCAGCAAAGTATGTCAAGGCGCCGCTGATCTGACTTGAAATCTGTTGTTGAGTTATAGGGCCGTGTTCTAGGATCCAATGCTGCATCATTTCAAGTAGAAATTGACCGTGATTTTTGTACGACAGATGGAGTATCTGTGGCAGCGTGTTCGGGGCACTTTCGTTTCCGCCTGTCGCCTGCACGGGACCCGCATCGTCATCGTCCTGCAATATAGTATCGAAAACCAAGCTATCTCCATAGAGCTCATGGCGCTTGTATTCCGAAAGCGACTCGGCGTACTTGAATATGTCAGAATCGAAGAGCTCCTTGTAAGCTTCGGCAGTCTTCTCGAACGACGGAGGGCCTTCCGAGTGGTATTTGAGTGCGGTCTGGTAGAGCTTCAACGCTTCTTCGATTTGTATTTCTTTGGTATCGTCAACCTCAACTTCCTCCTCATGGTCGGATTCGACATTCAGCGCATTCCAGGTCGACTGGGAGACTGTTAACAATCATAATATGATCAAAGACAAGTCAGAATGGCGATAGTCCCCAAAGACGTACCATCTTGGGCGTCAAAGTGTACGCTGGTGGGCGTGCGAACTCCTAGATACGACGGCGCGAGTGCATGTCGTTGTATGTGTACTTGAGTAGTCAACTGTTGGTGTTTGTCGGGACGGTCTTCCCTTTTAATAAACGTGGCAACAAGCAGCAGGCACCAGTCTCAGCTATATCGCGCGCTCGTACGCGTTGTATGCGTATGCGTATGTATGTACGTAGATGGAGGAGAGCAGGGACAGTGCTAGAGTTGACATTAAGGCAAGAGCCAGGGTCGCGCGCGTCAGAGGATCGCTCTTGGCGGGCTAGGAAGTATCGCGGACCAGGGTACCAGGGCCAGCCACGCCCGCAACCGAATGCCGCGCAGTCTACACTCTATCTACTACTACCATATGGAACTTTGCTACATCTAGCCAGCTCAGCAGCCAAACAGTCCCCCTCCACCACGCGGCCGACCGTCATCTCTCCCTGCTCGCTCGCGGCCAAACTCTCTGTCAACTCCTTCTTGACGCCTTTTCCGCGCCGTGCTGGCAACCACTGGAGCCATGGTGCATGCTCCCGCTGTTCCTGAGTATGCCACCATCCCCCAGCATCTTGACGGGAAACATGTTTAGGCGCATCTGCGACTCCCGCTCTTCCTGATGATCCAATCTTTACCTGCACTCATCATCAAGCTACTGACGTTTCATTGGTCAGAATATACGAAGAGGAGCTTCACTCTGCCGTCGACGCACGATCGGAATCACTCCAGGCATTGCGCGAATTAGGTCCTCCAGATCTGGTCCATATCATAAAACAACCTGTCAAGTCGACGTCAAAGCAGATTGGTGTATACCATCATGTTTCCGGAATCGATGCATCGTCATCGGCAAGCTTGGCCGCCTACATAAACACCCTGACACATTCTCCACACGACAAACAGAATAAGGTGGTCTCTGGTCTCTACTGGTACAACTTCCCCAACGCAATGGTTCTTCAGCACACTGACACTCCATAGCTGTTACAATGCCTTCTCGCGGCTAGATATGCGCGTGCAGGTCTACATACCTGGTACTGTGGAAAGCTACTGCATCGACGAGCGAGGAGACAAACGTATCGCGACCGACGAGCTATGGTTGGAAACATACCTGTGCAGTGTACTACGTGCATACTCGTATGCTGATGATGGGTCTGGAGACACGATAAAGAAGATTGTTGGGGTCCGGCGATTCAATCCTGTTACAAGCACCGAAAGTGAACACAAGTTTCTTGACGCAGCAGAGCGCCTATTCTTCAATGGTTGGCAATTGGGATCTGATCCGGAGATCCAAGTCCCCAACCTTGTTTCCAATCACCTCACTACTGGCTTGCTCGATTACATTCATACCACAGGAAGGTATGCTTCCGGTATCAATCTGTTCGAAAAACTGCGGACGCGGGATCCAGAAATTTCTTCCTTGTTAGCTCGAGTATACATTGAAGCAGACGAGGAGGTCAAGGCCGTGCAGCTATTACATGACGCTATCCAGGAACTGCCGATGGACTATTCGTTGCTTGATTGCCAAGCTGACTTCTGCAACAAGAAGGGACGAGCCGACCTCGCCTTGGATATTGCCAGGAGAAGCGTGGTGTCGGCGCCGAGTGAATTTGGTACATGGGCAAGGCTAGCGGAGGTCTATGTCAGCCAAGAACAATGGGATCTTGCGCTTTTGACCCTCAATTCTTGTCCCATGTTCACATACCAGGACAAGGATGCGCCACGAATGCCAGATCCGCAACGCGTGTTCCTCCCTATCATGCAAGAAGCCATATGCGATGAGATCGAAGATAACAACCTCGATGATATGGAGATGGTACATCCCACACTGCGAAAACTACATGCTGCTGGATTCAAAGGCACCTTTCTTAAAGCATACATGCTTTTGACTGAAATCACTAAGAAAATCGGCTGGGATCAACTTCTTCGGATACGAAGTCAAGTTTTCGTTATGGAGGAGGAATACCGCCACGAAAAGCAGAATTTCACGCAGCACCACTCGCAGAATGCCAGTACTACCGCTCTTCGGTCTCCAAGCCAGGGTTCCAGGATGAATGGCGAGACTAACGGCGAAACCCATGGAGAGCCAGAAGAGACATCTGACTCGGACGAACCCGCGAATGAAGATTCTTCGCCTGCAACAGTTGCTGAGGAAGCCATAGAAAAACCGTCTCACACTGTCGCTTCCGAAGTAGTGAAAGCTGGTTCGGACGACCCGAATACTAATACCAGTGATTCGTCTGACCCTTCCCAACCGAACTACACTCATTTCCAGAACAAGCGTCTGTGCGAGCGATGGCTTGATAACCTTTTCATGGTTCTTTACGAGGACTTGCGAGTGTACACCATCTGGCAAACCGAAATGGCACAATACCGTTCACAACAGCTTCTGTACAAGAAGAGCGCCGAGGAATGGGAGATTCTGGGAGAGCTGGCAGAAAGGCTACATCATGAAGATCAAGCAGCAGTGGCATATGAGAACTGTCTTAAGATGAAGTTCAGTCCAAAGGCAATGAGGGGTGTGCTCAAGTTGGGAGATAAGGCAGATGTAAGAGACGTTTGCGGAGCACTTATAAGGCTAGTGACATGGCAGTATCGATGGTATTCTGAGGTCAGTTGTTCCCGGATTCTTCAAGACCCCTGAAGAGCAGCACACTAACAACTGACAGTTTTCGCCCTCGCTTCTCTTCACGATCCGCAAACTTATCGAAGAAGAAGGTGCTGTCAAAATTCGCAGCATCATTCAGGGAACTAGTTTACCTCAACATGTGCTGGACTTGACGCACCAGTACGCAGCTCTATGCGCCGCTTTCAGAAGCAGCGGCAGCGATGGTTAGAAGACGCGGGCCGGTAGGAATTTATCGATTAGGGCCATGTGACAATATAATAATTTCTGAGACCTTCCAAGTGCACCTAGCATCCAATACGACATTTGATGTGGAGATAATGTGCACCAGTCGTTGTTTGGCAAAAGCGCTCATGTACATCTGAGCCTAAGCTACTGTGCGCAAACGCTTGTACCACAACGCATACAACCAAAAGTTCTAGGCAGCCAAGAATAGTTTAAAGATTCCATATATCGTCACAGGTAATGGACAACTTTTGGTCTCGTCACAAGCATATAATGCCGTGCTTGTAACTAATTCATTCATTTTATCGTCACACAAGATCCGAGTTTCCTTCCGGTCGCCCTTAACACGCCGTCACAGAATCTCATTCCTTGCCACACGAAGACCCATGAACCATAAAGTAAAAGAGCCCCACGATGAACACCGTCCATGCGTATCCTCTCCCTTCCATTCTTTCCCCATCCCCAAAACCAACGCTTAACGGTATGATTTCTGGTACTTCGCGCGGGCACCGGGACCGCCGAATTTCTTGGGCTCGCACCGCCTGTTGTCGGCGACGAGAAGTGTGCGGTCGTACTGAACGAGGGCTTGCTTGAGCTGGTTCTTGGAGTGCTCATCGACGAATTTCTGGTAGTAAGCGATGATGGATTTGGCGATGGCTTGACGGATGGCGTAGACCTGGGAAGTGTGACCACCACCGGAGACGCGGACGCGGATATCGACATCGGCTATAATAAAGAGAAACCCCCCCATATCAGCATGTGTTCCTGTGTATCGAAGGGTTGTGGAAGGTGTAGGTGGCCATACCGAACTTGTCAGCACCGATGATCAGGATAGGCTCGTAGACCTTGAATCGCAGCATCTCGGGCTGGACGAGGCTGAGGGGCTTGCCGTTGACCTTGACGAGTCCTTTACCGGCCTGTAAAATTCCAGTCAATATTATGTCCTGTTGCGCGAGCTATCGTATCCTTCGTGGGCGTGGGCGTACCTTGCAGTGGGCGACAGCTAAATTATTCGTCAGTCATTGTCCGTGATCATCATACACAGTGGTGTAGGAGGTGCGTACCGGTCGCGGTCTTCTTCTTGCCGAAGCATTGCACGCTCTGGGAGGCCATGTTGGGCGACTGTGGGATTGCGTGCGGTGGGAGAGGTGGTCGTCGGTATCTTCGTGGTCGAGAATTGGCGTTCTCGCTGGAGGTGTCGAAATTCGAAGTGTGTGGGCATAACGCGCTTAGCCTCTTCGAGATATACCTGAGCTGGTCCGAGCGCTGCCGACGCCGAAAGATTATGTCAGCGGCTAAAGTCGACATTCAACATTCAAATGTTTGTACCTCTTAATAAGTGAATCACCATTGGCTTGATTCACGATCCATTGCCAAAGTGAACATGACTGTGTTTTAGGTTACTTCGCGCAAATTCACTATATCCTAGCTGCCTCGTATTGCGAACTCGCCCTCAACATCACGCCACAGACTTATCTGAACGTGCTAGAATAAAGAGATATACCTGACATGCCTTATAAACTATTTGTGTTCGGCAGTAACGGCGAAGGCCAACTCGGTATATCCAGCCAAGACATCGTTCACAGTCCAGTTCTGGCGCCATCTTGGCCAGCGGAGCACAACATCGCAGCAGTGTGCAGTGGTGATAACCACACGCTCTTCTATACCTCATCTGGGAAGATATACGGAGCTGGAGACAACAGCAAAGGTCAGCTTGGAATTATTCCAAACAAGTCTGCTGAGCGGAAAAGAGTTGAAGGCTTTGAGGAGCTTTACGGCAGCCTTCATTTCTGTGCAGCTACCTGTGAGTCATCTGCATATATCACGAATATCAGCATGTTCGGAGGCGTTCAAGAAGGCGTCCTAAGTGTAGAGGGCACAAGTCACTGGGGGGAACTGGGAACCCCAGATGTCAAGAGCACAGAAGGGCAACCCAGAGAACAGTTCCAACAAACACTCCCCGATGCAGCCATAGATCTTGCTGCAGGAGGGTGGCATTATATCACGATCTTATCGAACGGAGAGGTGTGGGGATGGGGCAAGTCACGTCTTGATCAATTAGGTTCCAAGCTATCGTCTCAACAAAAAGTCGTTAGGCCAACACGTCTAGATGAGGCGATACCTTTCAAGCCTGTCAAAGTGATTTGCGGTAAAGAGTTCACATACCTCGCTTCCACACCCGCAGAAGGGAAACACTACCTACTCGGCCGTGATAAATCCGGTCTTCGCACCTCTATGCCTTCACATATCAAGGACTGGAAGACTATAGGCGCTACGTGGCATGCCATATTTGTTCTCTTCGAAGACGGGAATCTGGTCGCTTGGGGAAAAGATAATTTGTGGAAATTAGTACCGGAGGGATTGCCGTCTATCGAACAAATTGCGGTAGGAAGCGAGCATATACTTGCGCTTACAAAAGACGGGACATTGATCAGTTGGGGGTGGGGCAAGCACGGAAACTGTGGTGATCTGACAAAATTGGAAGCTGAAATCAAGAACGATATGGTATCGGGCCTCTGGAATAACATCAATATCCCAGGCAACATATCGTTTATTGGAGCAGGTTTTTGCACAAGCTACGTCCTTGTGGAAACGGCATAGCGTCCATTTCTTTTTGTCGATCTTCTAGATGCCAAGTTAAGAGCAATGTTGGCAACTTGTATGAACAATCCCCATCTAGAGCGCCTAGCTAGACGCAAGTCATCACCATAATCCTTGCACTTGAGACACTGTTTGACTGGCAGCGATGCCTTCCATCTTCTCTTCGGTCCCCGTTCCGGAGCCACTGTTATTGCCCGTCCTCGAGAAACTTCCAGTGTCCCTAAACGTCGGGAAGTTACCTGCATCTTGATTCGCAGATGCATCCCATCCAAGCATTTCTTCCTCGTTGCTATAATCTGCCGGCTCCCACCGTGCTTCCTCATCGTCATCCTGACCCACAAATAAACTTTCCGGGTCCGGATCCAATTGGGGCTTGGGTGAGTTTGTCCTGTTTGCAGATCCAGGTTGAAGGCGAGTAGGCCGTCTGGATGCAGGCTCAGCGGGTGGTGGCATGCTTTGGTTGTCGGTTGTCGTCCTCGAAGATGGAGCTCGTGAGAGTGAGCTGGCGGAAAGCTGCGGAGTGCGTGTTGGCAATGCAACCGCAGAGTTGTAGTCGCCCGATGTCATGAGTGTGAATTCACAGAGCAGACCATCAGAGCCGTAGCTAAATTGAAGAGGGCGAGTAGGTTGAGAGTAGTACGCTTTCAAACTTGTCTTCAGTGTATCGGCATGAGTGACTATCGCTTTGAAGTCTTTGTTGCTGATGATGATATGCAGTCCTTGCTGCACATTAAAATCTTCGAAATCTGAAATATTCACTGCAATTGCAGTTACGAGAGGATGTTTGAGCACTTCTTTCCCGTTCGAAATCTTTTCTGTGTAGCTTTTGAAGACGGCGCGACCGTCCTCCCCTGCAAAGATATCAAGCATCTCCGTCTTGGTCCCAAAGTGTTCGATATACTCCTTGATGACTCCCGATTGCATACTCCACCGATTGATGGCTACGTTACGATCGAAAAGCGCATGCATGACATCAACAGCCTCATACGTAAGTTTGTAAGTCTTGATGACTCCTTGATTGCACACCATTTTGACGATGAAACGACACTGTGCCTCATCGGCTCGATCTTGCACGCTGACTTCACAGCGACTAATTGCACCAGCCCTTCCAAGCGGATCGTATATCCTGCCTTTGAATACTGACAGAAGAGCTTTGGTGTACATACTGCACGTGAATCGACCATCTGACCCGCCATTGCCCGGTACACATTCATAGCTGGTGAAAAATGTGTTACTATCGAGCGTTAAAGCGGCATAAGTCGATTTCGAGGAGTTCAGAGCGGTGAATGTGAACTGGCAGCTTGTGAGGAAATGGATACGCAGCGTTAAAGGGTAGGATCGCCTACTTTATCGTGCCGAGCTTCAATGGCAACCGTGTCGCTGAATTTTCCCAGGCATATAAGCAGATCATGTATCCTTGACGCCGCTTCAGGCGTGAGAGTGAAATTGAGAACGACCATGTTCGATCATCTTGCGCTCAGATCTATGCTAATCACGCTGAGTCCAGACAGAATTGCTGCCGAAAGTAAAGCCCACCCCTGTCGTCGCGCTGAAGACTGGAGGTCGCGATGGCGCGTTGCCTGAAAAGGACTAGCGTTGATCAGCTACGTCAACAATGAACCTCGCAGTGCTCGCAAGCTCGATGCTTTCAGATATCCATAACTATCCAAATTTTACTATGGCGCCCGCACTTCCAGACGATGTATTGCATCTTCTTTGTGAGCACCTTGCAGAGCAAGAGCAGTTCGACACGTTGTTCAACTGTGCCTGCTCAAGCCGAACTCTTGGTGTTCCGGCGTTAACCCACATGTATCGGTATGTTTATGCATCAACGGATCTCTCACATAATTTTCCCGGAGACACTTTGCATCATCCAATATCTCGACTACCCTTACACTGTGTTGTGCCAAATCTCATCGATCGCCATGGCCTCATATCAACGCATAAGTATTCCGACTGACGCGCTCATTAGAGCTCATCACAAAGCTCCGGTCCGTGGCGGAGAGGAAGATGAAGGATTCGCTACGAATCTGTTGATGGTTCAAAAGTGGTCCATTCTTTGGCGTTCGATAATTGCGTCGAGCCTCGATGCAACGCTATTTCCATATTGCCGATACATCAGGACGTTAGACTTCCGGGATCTTGAAAATCTTCTCGAAGATGACAACTTCAAATCCAAGATTTCGAAGTATACATAACTACCTCCCAAATAGACTCCACACGCTAATAAATCAAGGCAATTCTTCACGGGCCCACTAGAAACTTTCTACAAAGCAGATACTTTCAGGAATTCGAAAGGTCGAAAGTACGAGCGAATGAATATCAAAGCTATCGTGGAAGCGATCGGCGAAGTGGTCACGCAGCAAGCGCATATGCTTCAAATGATATCGGGACAGCGTATGCAAAACAAAATCCTGGATTTCTGTATGCGGTCGACTGACTTACTCTAGTTACTTCGCCTGCATTAATACGATGGATTCCCCACCTTCCACGTTTACAGGCTTTGGAACCTTGGGATGGGAGTGCTCTTGAAGAGGCTCTTGTGCCTGAATATATTCGTCAACGTACGTATAGCCCGACCGTGAAATAATCACATATGATATGGTATTTGAGGGTCTGATACTATTGAACAAACACACTGATGACTCGTACTGACTTTTTCTCTCTGATAGACTGCCCAAGCTTTAACTCACTGATGATCTATACCTGGATTGGACAGGACCGTGATCAAAAGTTCTCTCAGTTCATATCAGCGATGAGACCGAATTCACTAAGAAATGTCTCTACCTTTTGTGACGTCGGTGCCGCCGCAGAGACATTCCTCGCTCTAAACGCCCATAGTTCGACTCTGAAAGAGCTCAGGATCTGCATATCAGACGATTCAATTTCTCATATATCTTTACTTGCCGGATGTACAGCCCTTGAAGTGCTGCGAATCGAAGACACACAGGGACACATAGTCCTCGAGGAGACTCAGAACGATGTCTATCTTGAGACCATCGAATGGCTACGAAAATGCGAAAATCTCCACAGTTTAAGCCTGAGCAGGTTCCTATCAGCAGCAACGCTCGTTACTCCTTTGTTGCTCGAGCATAAAATCAGGCTCCGTTCACTTGAAATCAATTCGTATGTTCTCAAAGATAGTCGAGAGTTTCACCAAGCTCTTTCCCATCAGAGAGACTCGCTTGAGAAGCTCTCGTTAAAGGGAGATACTGATGGTATGTTCCGGGACGACGTGGACATCATCGTCGACTCCTTAAAACAGTTGAAACATATGACTGTTCTCAAGCTGGATCTGCCAGAGATGTTTCGCGAAGAACACCTGATCCAGATCATTGCACATCTAGGTAAGCTTAAGGAGCTTTCCATAAGTGCTTTAGAACTGAACGATCGTGTACTCGAACACGTCGGAAATCTCGGCGGTCTACGACTCGTCACTCTAGCCGGAATTTCAAAGTTTACGGATGACGGACTGTTCGGGTTTGTTTCACGCCTTGGTCCCGGAAACAAAAGCATTCAAGTCATGATAGATATGGCGGATCCTGATACCATGCTACGGGAAGAACAGGTCGCTGTGCTTAGGGAGTTTCTGGCCGAAAAGGTCGGCGGAACCCTTGAATATATACCACTAAGAGGTAATTCAGAGCTTCGTGCACAAACTGGACATTTTCTAACTAAAAATTCCCATCTAGACCCAAATGTTCCGGAATTTGAAGGCGATTCTGACTAGACCACGCGCTTCCCGTCCAGCGCTCAGCCGACACTCCGGAGGGCTACACGCCGGCATCGCAGAAACTAATGAAGCCATGCTCATCGCATGGATTTGTGATTTATATTGGGTTGTCGTGTCCAGCAGTCTCCGTTTGTACACAACGGTCACACAAAAGATACTGGGATTCGATAAGAGATCAGACGCAGAATAACTGTAGCGACCTTCATGTATCATGAATGTTGGATGAAGTGCCTGTTGAACATTCTGTCGTAAATTGCCGTTCTTAGCGTCTTCCTCCGCATCCTTCTGCTCGTAGTGGCCGGGCTAGCTAAAATGTTTGCCTGAGATTACAAGTTCAATTAACGATAGGTTGACAACAGGATTCCGGTGACCAGGGTTTATGGGGTTAAATGCCGATCCTAACGGATTTCAGCCTGGTATAAATGCCATCAGTGAGATTTTAGACCGATCGCTATCTCATGCAATGATTATTGAGTGGAGGCTTCTCGGATTTGTTGGAAACTTCCAATTCGGTGATAACCCGTTCTTTGTTGTATATAACTAGACGATTCCAGCGTATACAAAATCTTCTCTGCCTTGCATTGACATCTTCTTGGCAATTCGCATAAGTCTGATTAGATCTTTGGTGATATTCGTTCTCAGGCTTCCCATCATGCTGCTTCTTTTCAGTCTTCCCGCATTGGCCTTGTCACAAGGCTTGAGTTTGCCACCACCTCGTGGACCCTACAATGTTGGTTCAAAAGAACTTGGGCTACACCACACTACTTTAAACGACCCATCTGCCCCAAACAGTAAGCTACCTTTAAATTACAGCTGTTCTCGAAGCATAAGCTGACCAATCTTCGTCCGATAAAGACATCGGAGACTCTTTGCTAGTCACCATCTACTATCCCACCCGTGACGCTGCTCCACTCCAAAAATATATGTGGGATGGCTTAGCTGCGTACTATGAAGATTTATATCAGATTGCGCCCGGAAGTTTTGGAAACACAACGGCCAACATTGCCTACAATGCTACCCCCGAAGCTTGTGGGCTTCCCACCCTGTTATTTGGGCCTGCAGGTGCCGTACGTGTATCCCAAATGAGGGCAGTATCTAGGATACAACACCATATAGCCTTTTGACGGTCTGATGGATTCAACTAACTCGGTATCATGTCTATTAGGGACCTCCCTCACAGTTGTTTTTCGGTTTAATTGCGGACTCTGTAAGCATGGGGCATGCAGTGGTGACTGTGGACCATCCGTACGAACAACCTTATGTTAGGTTCCCAAATGGCACAGGCATCAAGGGTCATGGAGTAGAATGGATTGACAATTTACCCTTGGCGGAGGAAGTGCATGCTTATCGTCTAACCGACAACTCGGCCGTACTCGATACGCTGCCCGCACTGGCAGCTGAGTTGAATATGCCGCTCAACTTAACACACTACATACTTTTTGGTCACTCGCTAGGCGGCAGTGTTTCGGTCGGCCAGGAACTAATTGAGCGAAATCGCACAGCTTCTGCAAACAAAACTTTTATGGGCGGCATCAACTTCGACGGTACTATTTTCGCTCCTGCCGACAACAATCATACAGGCATTGCCATGGATGCACGAATGCCGACCCTGTTGACCGGCTCTTCCATGCGTTTGAATGGGCAGGAACTGTCTTGGTCACGCTTTTTGTCTGCGCAAAGCAGCTGGCGAAAGTCCATAGTCTTGAGCGGGAGCGTAAATCACACTGATTTCTCTGATCTTGTTTTCATGAGACAAGCAAACGGAATTTCTGGGGGTGAGGGGGCAATCACTGCAACGCGACTTCTCGAGATCTCGAGAACGATTGTGGGCGATTTCATCGGACTTGTAACTGGGAGCGGAGAAGGCATTTTGAGCGGGAATGAAGAAGTAGGCGAATCATTTCCGGAGCTTCATTTCACTTTCAATGGGACCGGTGAACCCTAAGCACCAAGATTGTAATTATGGTGAGGCTGGATTGCCTTGGCCAGCTATAGCACATCTATACAATCGATGTTAGTTCTTGCTACGAGTAGCGTAGTGTTGTTATGAGAATTCACAAGTCGACATGTAGTCATTCTGTCCAAGAACCGATCCGGATACAGGATGAGTGACAATGTACACGGCTCACTCCCATCCCTGTTTTGGTCCCATGAGCTTGTGTGAAGGCATTTTTCGATCAAAATTGTAGTTATCGCTCGTTATTTTAGTCTACTTATCGTTGTAACCCTTCGCTGTGTGTAGGATCACCTAAACTCCAACTTGGAATATAAAAAAGTGCACGGCTCTCATCTAATAGCGCTATGCCTTGTATGGGATATGTCCCGCAGATTTCCACACTTGGTTGTGTAATAGTGAGGTCTAGGCCATCTGCAGTGTAGACTATGTAGATGAAAAGCGTGTGCTGCAGGAGCTGGGGCGGACGATCTGTGGCACCTATCTCAGCACCCAGGCGAACGAAAAACATAGCAAAACATATAGTAGCTAGCACAATTTTCATGATTTGTTCCATTTCTAATCGTTAGAACCACAGGCCATGCTATGATGTATAAATTTGGGTGCCGGGAAATTTATAATGTATCACAAGGGGTTGTCGATCGTTAACTTGTTGTTTGCCTTATCAAATACCTCGAGAGCCTGCCCATACTACATGAAGGTTCACTACCGGGATCGTGTTGGTTATTCGAGGGCCCCTACCGGGAGATTGAATTGTTTTGTACATGAGAGGCTTCGTGGCGCGCGATAATGACGTTAGCTTCGCTTGCGCCCCGCGTGTGATAAACAGCGGGCCATCAGAGTCTTGATGTCTCAATGCTGATCTGACTTCAGCAGGTGACAATCCTGTACCAATACTCTCATGTGTGTGAAGCGAATCCTTGTTATCGCTGGCTCCGACAGCTCTGGTGGAGCGTAGGCACCCCAGAAATCCCAATGACTTTTATTTTCCTGCTAATGGCTCATCAGCGGCCTAGAAGCCGACCAGAAGGTCATCGCTGCACATGGCTGTTATGCTATGACTGCCACTACGGCCTTGACAGCACAGAATACTTTGGGAGTACACGATGTTCATCACATACCTCCTCTATTTCTCCGCAAACAGATTGATGCATGCCTCGATGACATTGGCGTCGATGTTGTCAAAACAGGTAGGAAAGCGCTGTGATTTTATTTGTATCCATATCATTTACATGGTGAAAGGCATGCTCGCATCTGCAGATACGGTGAACATGGTTGCAGATGCCTTCCGTGCCCACGGAATCAGCAACACGGTAGTAGATCCAGTGCGTCGCCCTCCGAACGACAATCTTATGAACACAACAGCTAATGGGCAGGTGATGGTATCCACAAGTGGATCACGACTACTTCCCACGGAAGCCGTACAAACCCTCATTGAGCAGCTTCTTCCTCTTACGAAAATTCTCACCCCAAACTTGCCCGAAGCAAAACTACTTCTTCAAGTGGCTGGAATAGATTTCAAGGAGCCTGAAACAATCGATGATATCGTTTCCATTAGCCAGAAACTACAGTCCCTTGGTCCAGAGTACGTATTACTTAAAGGTGGCCACCTTCCCTTGACTATAGGTCGGCTTGTTTCGAAGAATGAAGCAGATCAAGACATTGTGCTTAATGTCTTGCACGGAGCAAATGAGACTGCACTGATAGAAACACCATACCAAAAGTCAAGAAACACCCATGGTACCGGCTGTTCATTAGCGTGTAGGTTGAAATTTACATCTCCTTTAACGACTGGGTCTAACCTGTTGCTCAAACAGCTGCGATTGCATGCAACTTGGCTTCGGGTTTGAGCATGATCAGCGCCGTCAAGAAAGCAAACCTGTATGTTGAGGCTGGTATTCGAACCAGCAAAGATCTTGGGAAGGGCAGTGGTCCAATCAACCATTTCCATTCTACCTATTCCCTGCCATTCGCACCGTACGGCTCATGTGCTCATCTCTACCGGAAGATATTGACATAATTAGTGGCGGGTTCATCGATTATCTTCTACAGCGAGAAGATATTGTGGATTCCTGGAAACGATACACGCACCATGAGTTTGTTGCGCGGATGGGTGACGGGACTCTGCCAACAGAGAAGTTCAAACATTACTTGATCCAAGATTATATGTTTCTTGTAAGAATTCAACAGCAACCAGATTAATCCAGTATTGACGTATCAGATTCACTTTGCCCGCGCAAACGCACTCGCTTCATACAAATCAAAATCCATGTCTGATATTGGACGGGCAAGTATCCTTCCGTTTCGCGTCGACAACGTTTATTATTGACTTCCGGCAGTCGGCTCAACAAGTGTTGCATTTGCAGCAGGAAATAAAGCTGCACATAGACTTTTGCAAAGATTATGGACTGTCGGTCAGTGATCTAGAGAATCAGGAAGAGGACCAGGGTAAGTGAAAGTGAGACTGGAAGCTTGTTCTTCACCGCTGACATAGCTGATGCAGCATGCACTGCATACACAAGGTGTTAAATCCAAGCTCGCACAATACTGAAGAAGCTAACACAAGAAGATATGTCCTCGATATTGGTCAGTCTGAAGACTGGCTAGCTCTTCAGATCGCCCTCCTTCCTTGCCTTATCGGATACGGTATCATTGCTCGCCGCCTGTTTGAGGATCCTGAAACAGCAAGAGAAGGAAACAGGTACTGGAAATGGATTCAGACATACGTAGCTGAAGACTATTGCGAGGCAATGGAAATCGGGAAAGGTACGTCAACGTCGTGAGGGCGCATGAGTGAGCAAACTGACAATATCATATGCAGACCTGATTGAGAACCATGCTACCAAGCAATCGTCCTCAAGAATAGACGAGCTGGCCAAAATCTTTGCGCATGCGACAAACGTAAGTCATGTCTAACTTTGTTTGCGTCGAAATACAAACTCACGGGCCTTAGATGGAACGAGGTTTCTGGGACATGGGTCTGAATAGTGAAGATTCGGTCCCGAAGAATTGATCCTATAGCATACATACATGACGAATCTATGCATTTCCGACCGAAATTGACCGCAATACACAAGCGATTTGAGTTTTCAGTTCTATTTTGCTAGCGGGCAACTGCGAGTCTGTTTCACGTGAACCGAAAGTCGCCCCCTTCTCTGTTATCAAGACGGATGCGGATTAGTGTCTTGGCAAAATAAAAAACTGCAAGCGCGACGGGCGACGCCAAAGGCAAAAGCACTGCCTATTTCTTTCTGACTTCCTCCATCCTCCAACAAGCAAACACTCACCTTCTCTCCCTCTTTCCACTTGCCGCTGTATTAGCGACACCTCCCGGTCGCTTGCGATACTCAAATTTACTGTTTCTCTTGCAGTTTTCACTCTCCTACACGAGTCCAGCTTGTCTTTCCAGATCGGTCCCTACCAAACTCACTCAACGCATCATGTCTTACGGCGGTGGATATGGCGGCGGTGGCCGTAACGGTGGAGGCGGTTATTCGAACGGGTACGGCACCACAGGGGGAGGATACGGCGCCTACAACTATGACTACTCTGGCCAATATGCTACGTATGGGTATGATGGTACATCCCCATGGTACAGGCATCGTCGTCTTGGTTCACAGCGACCCTATTCCCTTCGCATTTCTTTTCTCATCCTCATCTGCGCGTAAGCCAGGTACAATGCTATCTGCGGATCTGGCGATTGCCATTCCGAGCCAGCATTCCCCGGTGCCCGCGTAGACACCCTGTCTGACGTTCGTGGTTAGTTATATGCTAACTTGTGTCTAGTTATGGCGGTGGTCACTCCAACGGTGGCGGCGGCTACGGCGGCGGCGGTTACGGTGGTGACCGTGGTGGTGGAGGTTATGGCGGAGGCGGCTACGGAGGCGGAGGCGGAGGCTATGGTGGAGGCGGCGGTGACAAGATGTCCGCTCTCGGCCAAGGTCTCAAGACTCAGCAATGGGGTGCGTAAACTCTCTTCACTTTTGTGATGATCATCACTAACGATTCTTCTAGACTTGGACTCGATGCCCAAATTCGAAAAGTCTTTCTACAAGGAAGACGAGGCCGTTACCGCTCGTTCTGAGGCCGAGGTCGCCGCTTTCCGCAAAGAGAACCAGATGACGACGCAGGGCAAGAATGTACCCAAGCCTGTCACCACTTTCGACGAAGCCGGATTCCCCTCTTACGTTATGAACGAAGTGAAAGCACAAGGATTCGCGAAGCCTACTGCCATTCAGTCCCAGGGCTGGCCCATGGCCTTGTCTGGGCGTGACGTCGTTGGTGTTGCTGAGACTGGTTCCGGAAAAACTCTGACATACTGTCTCCCCGCCATCGTCCACATCAACGCACAACCGCTATTGGCACCTGGCGATGGTCCCATTGTGTTGATCCTCGCTCCTACTCGTGAGTTGGCCGTCCAGATTCAACAAGAAATCAGCAAATTCGGAAAATCTTCTCGCATCCGAAACACTTGCGTCTATGGTGGTGTGCCAAAGGGCCCTCAGATCCGCGACCTTGCCCGTGGTGTTGAGGTTGTAATCGCCACCCCCGGCCGTCTCATCGATATGTTGGAAGCTGGCAAGACCAACTTGCGTCGCGTTACCTACTTGGTGCTCGATGAAGCCGATCGTATGCTTGACATGGGTTTCGAGCCTCAAATTCGCAAGATCATCGGACAGATTCGCCCTGATCGTCAGACATGCATGTGGTCTGCTACGTGGCCCAAGGAAGTTCGCCAGCTTGCCGCTGATTACCAGAACGATTGGATTCAAGTCAACATCGGCTCCATGGAGCTCTCTGCCAACCACCGTATTCAACAGATTGTTGAGGTTGTCACTGACTTTGAGAAGCGTGATCGTATGAGCAAGCATCTCGAGACGATCATGGGAGACAAGGATAACAAGGTTCTGGTCTTCACTGGCACCAAGCGTGTCGCAGACGAAATCACTCGATTCCTCCGTCAAGACGGATGGCCAGCGCTATGTACGTTAAACATCCATTCGTGTACGATTACGGCTAACATGAATCAGCTATCCACGGCGACAAGCAACAGAACGAGCGCGATTGGGTCCTGAACGAGTTCAAGACTGGCAAGAGCCCCATCATGGTTGCCACTGACGTGGCTTCCCGTGGTATCGGTATGATAACAAACCCCCCCTTTCCCCTCCCTTCTACCTCATTGTCCCCTATAATATTTTTATGTGTGATCTGTCAGATGCTCTGCTTAGGTCGTCTCGTGCGCTTGCCGCTATTGCCCATGACATCGTTAAGGACTTTACGTCTCTCGAATCTGACTACCGGACCTCCTTGGTTATGTCGGTGAAGTTTTCTTCGCCGGTTTTGTTTCGAGCACCATCGCGGTGCTTCTGAGGCAAGTAGAGATGTGCAGACTTACTCAAGTCACAGTCTCTTGTGTAATCCCAAGGTTTTCCGGCCAGGAGATATTCGCAGCTTTTTCCGCTGGGTCCAATGCCATGATCTCGTAGCGCACGGAGACGGTTGCATGCAACATACTGCAGCTTCACGCGACCTTTGGTCGATATTTTTTGCTCGTCTCACTTACCCACATGCTAATAATGTTTCAAGATGTCCGTAACATCACCCATGTGCTGAACTATGACTACCCGAACAACTCGGAGGACTATGTTCACCGCATTGGCCGAACCGGTCGTGCTGGTGCGAAGGGTACTGCCATTACCTTCTTCACCACCGAAAGTAAGTTTCACGTCACTTCCTGGGAATTATTTCAAAGACTAATCCATTATAGATTCGAAGCAGGCTCGTGACCTTGTCGGCATACTCACTGAGTCCAAGCAGCAAATTGATCCCAAGCTCCATGAAATGGCCCGCTACGGCGGAGGAGGCGGTGGAGGTGGTCGCTGGGGTGGCGGTCGTGGCCGCGGCCGTGGTGGAGGTGGCGGTGGTAGTAAGTTATTCTTGACGGCGTGAAACTTGAACTTTGGCTAACTTTTACAGACTGGACTGGTTCCAACAACGCCCCAGTCCGCAACAGCCGCTGGTGAACGATCGACGCGTAGCGACCACCATCTGCCTGCCGTTGATCATTCGCCCATAAGCAGCACTTTGCGAGTCATGTTTCTGGCGCACTGACATAGACTTTTCCTCGTTTTCTTTGTATTCTCTGTTTTGTTTTCCAGCCATCATGGATGATCAACATTGCATCCAATCATCCATCGCTCCATGCTGATACCCCGAGGATGAAGAAGATGGGTTGCATGCAGGCGGTTCACAACTTCGTTATATTAGACTGGCATCTTCTTTTCGAATTGTCTAGGCTGCATATGTGCGGCTTTCTCACGTGTCCCTTCGACCTTCTATGGGGGTCATGGGAGCAGTGTGCATGCGAAATTATGGCGTTCATTCGACAAAAGTATAACAATTAACAGTAATATAGAACTACCGTTCATGTAATTCCAGACGTTTTCGAGTGATTGTGAATTGTGTCATGTGCCATTGGGTAAGCTGCATCCCATTGTCCAATCAGAATGGAATCCCATTCCAAGGACACATCATGTTTGATTTGGGCGAACAAACCGTATCATACGGTAGATCTTACACATAAGTCTATACATGGTGGGCGGACAGTAGTCACGGCTGAGGCTGGCGGGTGTTGAAGTTAACACATGAAAGACGGTGGGCAGAATGGTCCAGTGCAATTGGCGTGTCATTCTGGAGTGAAGTACCTGGGGCATTATCGATTCTCCTCTCTTATTGTATTGGTTTCCATTGATATAGGGTCTATCGCTCCGCAGTGCCAGGGGGTAGATTACCTCCTGACCCTCTGCCTCTAGAAGTCTTCATCGGTGTAGCGGTCTTGTTCTTTGTTTTTTTCTGTTGGCAGAAGACCTAAGGGGATGTTGTTTTGCTTTGGTGGAAGAGGGTTAAACATGAATCAATTTTGTGTTTCTTTTAGTACTTGTTAACTGATGGATGCTATTCATAAGGGATAATCGAGGAGGTAAAGCGCACATACGCAACACCTTTTGTTGCATAGCACATCGTAGGTTACGCTCCCGCTCACGACAATTAATCGTCTTCGAGTTGGCCTGGTGGAGAAAATCCGTACATCATGGAATATAGAAATTCCATAGCAAACAGGAGGTGATGGGCACGAAACTACATGGAATGGTGGGAATTGAGTACAGTTGAGGATCAGCGCGATAGAGCAGCCGTCCAATAGCGCAGAAACTCACACTGTGGAAGTACGTTGTGCTCACTTCGGACTACATGCTCAGGGCAAGTGTACAGAATCAAGCTACTGGGGTCGGAATTTAATAGATATACTGGCTGATATTCTTCATCTTTACCTTGGTGGCACCCCGTTTGACCTAAGGAGCTAATTGTCGGTGATATCTGCAACCCGAAATTGAGTCAGTGAGTAACGGATAAAAAAGCGCGGAAAAGTGAGGGCTCAGCTGAGGAACCCAATCACCGTTGTTTATCCTGTTTTTCTCGTCATAGTATAAAATCACAACCCGTGCGGTCTTGGATGGTCGTTCATGTCATTGATGACAAGCTTTCCTGGTTTGGGGGGTTTGGCTGTTTCTAGCACACGGCGATATTCACAGTAATGAAGTACCGGATGAAAAACAGGCGATTATCAAAAACATACATTAAGTTTTGTTTTCCTAGTCGTCATCAATTATGTATAAGCTACAAACATATGATACATATTTTTTACTCCGGTAATCCTTTTTCTCTGCCTTTGAAGAAGGCTTACACAGACGCCACCGATTTGAATGCTACCCTCCCTGTTCTTCTAGAATATATAGTACAGATTCACATGCCGTGACAATGTTACATTTCGATTTCGAGATACCAGTCCGTTGACAATCAATCGATCCTACTATCGTTTTGCCCGTTCGATGGGCGGCGAAGTCCTTGGGTTCTTATACGAAAAGCCGGGCGTGTTCTCGACTCTCCACCACTACTGTTCCCAACTTGGGGCGCTCCACCTCTTTCATCCCCGTCTCCACGTTTCCTGCCCAGCCATCTTGGAGCAGCATCAGCAGCATCTGGAGAACCTTCGACCACGTCTTGGTACATATCCCTTCTAGAGTATCCGTCTTTGTAGGTGACTCGCGCCATGAACGCCGAAAGCCTAGCCCTCTCCACCATAAACGGCTTATGTGCGTCTTTAGCGATCAAATCCGACCCCAATAGTTTGTCATAGATGCCATAGATGCCTCGTAAAGCGTCAATCGCTTCTTGGCGTTTCTCAGGGTGGAGCCGCACTGCGCCTTTTCCGCCGACCCGATCCTCACTGCCAACCGAGAGCTGTAACCGAATGTTCTTGATGATGGGCTGGAGAATACTAAGGCTTTCGATGAGATCGTCACCTTTGAGGAGAGGGAATCCGACTACGAGTTTGGTGTACATTGACACCGTTTTGGAGTCGACGTCGGGTAACTTGGCGAGCATGATTGAAAGAAGCTCCGAGGCGTTCTGGAGCGACCTGTGGTTGTTCCTATCGCGGACGCAAGTGCTCATTATAATCCTGCAGGTACCCGGCGACAGCTGCAGACCTGCGGCGAGAAAGTCATCTTTCAGCAAGGTAATGGCAGCAGTTGACGCTCGATTCTGGCGCATTAATCGGAAACGGAAGTTGAGGTTGTTCACATCCGGAACAACTCCATACGTTGTGTGGTCGGTTATGGTATTCCAATATGCATTCGCCGCTTCCACAGCCACAACTTTTTGGCAGGCCTCCAGAACCAGTGAAAGAGTATTGTTGCCTGGCTGGGCGTATACAAGAGAACGTTTTCCTGCGCCTGAGGATTTCACGGCTAGGAACTCATCACCGCGCTTATGGCCATCGATCGATTCCAACTGGTCATCCTGCTTGTAATTGATGAGCGTATGGGGTGCTCGAAGGTCAGGGACGCCTGCAGCCTTCCGAGCCAGCGTTCCAAGTCGAGGGACTAGGCGAGGAATATCCATTGTTTGTTCAATCAAGGAAAGGACATCGTCCCAGTCGCGAGGGCGGCTTCCAACGAGTAAAAGTCGGCCCATGGAACACACTAGCTCTTCCTCCATAACCAGATCGGCGTTCCTCCACTTGCCAATCACTTCTTCCCATATTCGCCTGCCTTCGACCACTCCTTTTTCTCGTCTCGAGGCAATCTCTTCTGCATTTTCGTCCGTCGGTACGTCCACGAGCAGGCTTTGTCTGATGGCGTTCAATATAGTAGTGTAAGTGATCGCATCCGCCGCACCAGGACCGCTCTGGGGCATCTTTGCCACGACTCCCCACAGTGCATCAAGATTCAAGGCCCTGGCGCATACACGCAAGACTGCGTTCGTGTGCAAAATGGTAGGCTGTACTCGAGAGTTGGGTGCAAGCATGGAGTGATAGACAGTGATTGCTTTGGTTGCAACGTCGCCACGGCCTACATTGTTTGATAAGCCTCGCAAGATGATAGTGTAGGTATAGGAGTCGGGGAACTGGGCGCGTTTCTTCATCTATATGGGATCAGCATTTTGGAACAGAAGCAAGTAGACGAGGCATATGGCTGGGACTACCTCTGTATAGATTTTCATAGCTGCTGACATTTTCCCATGGAACATATGGTAATCAATAAGATGATTCCAACTGACTATGACCTGCATGGAGTGGCTTGCCATCCGGACCAACTGCAGCATCTCATCCGCCCTGTCCTTTCTCAACTCTTTCTTGACAAAAGTCGCAATTTCAAGCGGATCCTTGAGCCATTGCAGCTCTTTCTTGCGCGCATTCCACTCTGCGGCTGGTATGCTACCATCACGCTTCCCCAACCACATGTCGCCTGCTTTCAGGTCCTTGTCCTCCTGCATAACGGGGATGGTGGAGAGGGAGGTTTTGGCGGCCCTCCGCTGTCGGAAGGCTTCTAGGGATAGCGACCATGGTGCTTTCTTGGGCTGTGACTCGCCTCTCGCTCCGCGATCAGGATTCCGGGCAGCTCCATGCTTGAAGGTATCTCTGTCGGACCTGGTATGCTGGGATCGGGAGTGTACGACGAGCGAGGACGCAAGACTAGGGCGGAGGGGAGACGGTTGGAGCGCTCGCAGGCATCGCCAAGAACTGGCACGGCAATTGAGCATGTGGAAACGGAGTGGTGTTGTGGTCGTCGTGTCGACGCGAGGTTACGGTTACAGGAGGTGGACAAAAAAGCTGCGAGGCTCGGCATGCAGACTCGCGTGCAGGTGTGCCGGGCCGAAGATGAGGCACGTGACTTTCGGGCCGTGACACAGGCCGACTGACATGACATGAGACGGGAAAGAGCATCGGGACGGAAGGGTGCAGGACGGGGCAGCACAGCACAGCAGAGCACAGCAGAGCGGAGCAGGACAGACAGCAGACGGGCAGCTGCGTATGAGCGGGGCCTGTCAGACCGAAGGCCTGCGTGTCTGGAGCGAAGGGCAGCGGAGGAGGAAAAACGAAAGTCCCTAAACGGACGTCCCGGGGGTCCAAGAGATGAGGCTCTGCGGGCGGTGGCTAGGCGGCGTCGGGCTACTGCTACGCCCTGGCAGGCAGCAAGCACCGAGGTGGTGGGCGACGGCGCAGACAATTGACCAGGGCTGCGTCGAAGAGACAAGATTCGGCGGGCAGGCGTGTGCTAGCTAGCGCAGGACATGGCCCAAGATACAGCAGCTTAGCAGCTTAAAGCCCAAGGTGGTGTGCGGAGTGAGGGAGTGGCTATCCGGGAAGCGGGCTAGTGTGGCAGCTGTACAGGACACGGCGAGACATGGCGCCGCCCATGGGCATCCTTTGGCCGGCCTGGCGGGACACACGAGCGTTCCCGCGACTCTGGTAGCTACGAGCGAGCGAGATGCACGAAATACCCGTAAGCTGCCTGCTGGTGGTGTGCTGATCATGGGCTGGCCTTTGGACCGTTGATGCTTATTCATTCCGCACCCGTCGCACCGCCGCTGGCTGCCATGGCCGACTTCATGCATCCTCGCTGGCTGCTGCTGTACGGCGGTAGCTATCGCCCATCGTCTTTCACCTCTCCATCATCTCCTCGTCATCTGCACACACTGATACACACAGTGCCATGGTCGTTCCGGCTTTTGCATCCATGATACCATTGCTTGGTTATTCCCCGTCGGGCGCTTCCGCAGAGTTTCGTGAGGCTGGGATGGGAGTGAAGTGACATGGTCGCCATCAGTACGTACCTACGTACATACGACACACGTACCTTCATGTACAAGCACGACACTTTAGCAGCACCCAAGCACCCAGCAGTAGCTCACCTTTCCCGACGCCACTGCTGTGAAACCCACCCGTCTACTAGCTGGCCTCGACGCATACACGTTAGCTGCCGCCGCCGCCGCCCGTTTGCCCGTTTGTTTGTTTGCTTCTTCTTCCGCCCTCGCACAGCCATGGCTTTCTTTTCTTTGCTGTTCATGTTCTCATGTGCGTGCATATGAGACAGCCGGCTGACGTCAACTAGGATATCTGGGCCGACGTCCTCCCCCACTGAAAATGTCGGTTAGATGGAATAACAATACATAGAGTGTTCAACCAGGAGCCAGTGTTTAATTCTTTCACATACTACCGTTGTTGCGCTTCTTCCGTCACCCTCTAGGAGGGTGAGGCGATTCCATTTACATGTCGAATCAAGCCATGACCATGGTAAACCCCGCCTATGTTCCCATGCAATCCCGCCTCGGAGAATACACATGATTACTCCCACCACGTCCTTCCGTCACCGCGTCATGTGGTGAAGCAAAGAGTAGGAGAGAAAACGAGGCGGAAAAGAAACAAGGACGATTCTCTGTACGAGTATCCCAAAACACGAAACCTCGAGAAACCAGGACGCTGCACAACAGCACGGCTCTTGTTTCCTTTCTTTCCGAGGCAACGTCTTGGATCGTGGTGGTGCATCCATAACACAGGATGGATACACACGCATACACACATCCTATCTTCTGTTTCTTCACCCATAGGACGATATACCACCCAATCGCATACTCGTATCACGCTCTCGTCCACCTTTCACCTCTCTCCCTCCCCCAGTCCTTGCTCTGTCTTGCATCTCGTCAGCATATTGTTGGGGCCGACCTGCCGTGGCCAGTTCCTCTCTTCATTTGCCATCCACTGATTGAATGACTGTGCGTCATCAACAACCCAATCTGTTCACCCCATCCCTGTTCCCCATCGCAAGATTTTTCGTCTCATCAGGCATGTCACTATCGATGCCTACAAAAAGAAAAGGAAAATGAGAGAGAGAGAGAGAGAGAGAAGAAAAAAAACAGGGCGCTCTTTCGGAGTACTCGCTCCCGTGGCTAGGATCATTTACGATCAATTGTACCGAGGATGTAAGAATCCTACAGCAATCACCCCCTCTTCTCATCCTCTTCCTTTTCCCCATTCCCCTCTCTCTCCCTCCCCTCATTCCCTTTAGGAGGAATATTCGAATTCCTAACCGTAGGTTGAGGCTGTCGTAGATCCTTTTCTCTCTCGCTCTCTCCCGTGAATATCATCTCGTATCCGTCCATGGACAGAGACCCCACCCGCTACATTGTAACATGGGTATCTCCAGACCCAGCGAAGCTTTTTCCGATGCCCCCCTCCTCCCCTCCCCCCTCATCCGGCTCAACAGGCGTCATATCAGGAAAAAAGGTCAGGGCTCGTATTCGTATGCGTGTGAGCGAGAATTGTGTATGGGTGTGTGTCTATGTTCGTGTTCGAGTGTGTATGTATGTGTGTGTCTTGCATACATTCACAACTTTGCTTCGTACAGCGGTGGCGTTACGCTGGCACCAACCAATATCCCCCATCCCATCCCATCATCATCAATGTTTTAAATCTCGTTACCGTTGATGCAATCTCGTAAGATCTCGTGTGTGAGAGCGGGCGAGCAAGCAAGCAAGCACTCTTTTTTTTCTCCCCTCTTCAAATATGCTATGATATGGAGTCCAATCCTCCGCGCCCTATACGATCCGAAGGATAGGAATGAATGAATCAATGAATGAATGAACGAGCACACAACCCACCCCCATCCCTCCATAATCGCGGCACATTTTACCAACTGATGATGTATTCTTCTGATTTTACCCATGTTAAACACGTATACGCGGTACAAGAGCCCGGCTGAAAAAACGAACCGCTGACCGTATACCGTATCCATTCACGTTCGGGCGGTCGTTTTCCGAGCAATGTACAGCATGTATTGCCTTTGCTGTTGTGAGCGGTTTCTGCGCGCGCGCTCTCTTTCTCCCTCACCCCCTCCCCCCTCACCATCATCATCATCGGTCAACCGTGCCAGGTTTGGTGACGGGGGCAGATGCGCCACCCTTACAATGTGTCTAGGTGTGTGTGTGTGTGCATGGCGGCAATCAACGGATCGAGGGAAAATGTGGAGAGATTTCTTCTCTCTTTCCTCCTTGTATTATTCGCCACCCGCGGGTATCAGTGTTGAACAGGAATGTGCTCGAGGGTCGTCCCCCCATTCAGCATCCATCACCCGCCACTTTTGTCCCTGATTCCGCCGTTTCAGCGAGGCATTTTTGAGGCATTTTTTTTGTTGGGTTTTTCTTTTTTGATGCGTGCAAGGTTTTACGTATAGACAGGTTATTATTGATACAGTCCAAAGATGACAAACAGACGAAAAAATTGAAAAATTGTGTACTGAAGAATCCCGACCTTCCTCCGCCTTTTTGCACAGGCAACTAACCACCCACCCACGGCAGCCCCTCTGAAACAAAACACAAAAGCATCCAACGAATATAGGCAGTAGAAGTAAAAGCAAGGTACAATTGTTTCAGAAGCGCGCCATGTTACATGCATCGTGTCTAGCCATGGGGGAAGTGAAGAAAACTAAGCCCAATTTTGAGAGACGAACTGATTGGAAGAGGAAAAAATCATGGGAAGTGAAAGCAAAGAACAAGTCCGCTCCCATGCGACATCCCACTCGAATCTATCTCTCGATCATCCGTCTCGTCACTCCTCATGTAAATTGCGGGAAGGGACCACCGTAAGGAAAATACTTATTTCGCCATTTCAAAGATGATCGTTTCCGGGTACCGTAGAACACCACAAACAAACACAGCCGCCGCCGCCAGTTGAAAATGCAGATGAAACAGAGCTGAGGATGCTGAAACCACTCCATGCTACTACCTTGACGAATGATGCAGAGAACCCCCATAAAAGGAAATCATCGAGGGATACTGCGGGGATAATAGAACATGGGGATAGATGATCTTTTGATGCTTTCATTTTTCGGCAAAGGACTGAGAGCCCGGGCGAACCGCGAACGCATCAGCCTATTGCGCCGTCATGGGAGAGATTTGCGGTCGAGTTCAATGCCCTTGCTGGTACATTTGCGGGTTAGAGCCGTAGGGCGACTGCGGGTAACTGTTGCTGTTACTATCTGGGCTGTGGTAGGCATTCGCAGTGGGAGAGGTATACTGAGCCATGCCCTCGGCGAGACCTGGGCTCTGCGTCCCATACTGAGGACCCGACGTGTTGCCAGAGGCAGCAGGTTGGTAGCCGATGGGAGGAAGTTGTTGAGGGTGGCCAGGTGCTTGGCCGGGCACACCGACTGCCTGTCGCATCTGACCGTACACGGGTGCTTCGCCGCCGTTCTCGTGAGCAGCGCGGTTTTGTTCGGCGGCAGCGCGGTGCCTGTCCTCATCAGCTTTGCGCGCAGCCTCCTCCTCCTTCTTCTTGGCCTTCCATTCCTTGCGGATTTCTTTGAATTCTGATGCGAACGAGTTAGTGTCATATAACAGGCATTTTAAGAAGCGCGCCAAGAGTAAAAGGGCAAGGGTGGACGGTGCTAGCTTCCGTCATCTGAGGCTATCCGTCCCAGTGGGAGCACCGTAAAGTAGGCGCAGCACCAACACCAATCGTGTGTATGCTAGCTTAACGCGGCTCTTCCAACGTATACAGAAACGACATTTGACGCGTTTTGAGCCAAAAACAATGGAAATGCGACATACCTTCTGGCGTACGCTTTGCGCCATGCGATTGCATCGTGACATGCGCGTTCAAATGGTTAAGTGTGCCATATGCCTTCTCGCAGCCGTTCCAGCCACATTTATACATGCGCTCGATTTCTTCATATCGCCGGCGCGGGCGTTTGTGCTGCTGCGCGCCAGGAATGGGGACAAATGAATAAACGGTTGACAACGGATGTCCGCCCTAAGTGTATGAAAAGTCAGCTGCGCGTGTCTTTCGCGTAAAAAAACAAAACAAAAGAAAATGATGAGCGACCGGCCGCTGTAGCCAGCGCGTTCTTTCTGTCTGCATTCGCACATGGCTCCTTGCTATGCTCTTCCGGAGAGACTAGGAAAAAAAACGCGTCCAGACGCGTGTGAAAAAACGTGACAACCTACCTGGGGAGGGCGCTGGATTGGCGATACCATGGCTGGCGCAGGCGGTCCAGAGGTGGCAGGGTGACCATAATGCACGCCGGGCTGGGGATATTGCCCGGCCCATTCCGGTCGCGAGGCATACATTGGGGTGCTAGGGTAACCAGAGTGATGCTGCATGTCGTGGTGTGGGGTGTACGGCGAGTACTGCCCGTGCTGAGGGTAGGTTGGGCTGGTAGCAGCGGCGATTGATGGATCTATAGGAACGTCTGTGTCAGACTTGAGTTCGGATGGTTGATGGTCATTGTTTGAGCCATCGTGTAGAGGCAAAGACGGACTCTGTGGTTGCGCCATACCTCCAGCTGCAGCTCCTTGAGCGCTGGACTGGTATGAACGCTGAATGTACTCGGGGAACGACCCTGACCGGGCAGAGGAGGGATTGATGGCGTATTCGGAGGTGGGCGTGGCCGAGGTGGAGTAGTTGGGACCTCTTGGATCTTGTCCTTGAGGATATTGCGCAGCAGATGCTTGATCTGCAGAATCGTCCTCAGAAGGCGTTTTTGGGAAAGATGGGTAGGGCGAGTTCAAACCTGTCTGCGAGTATTCGGATTGTCGACCGTCCATAGACTGTGATGCGGGAGGTTGCTTGTGAAGCTTCGTAGACGGCAGCGTAAATTAGGTTGGTTGCGCGCTGTGGAGGAAGGGGAATGGCCGCAGAGATATGACGGTTTGGCAAACCGTCGGCGGGTGATTTGCCGCGGACACAGAAAGACAGGCAGCTAGGACCACCAAGACAGAGGACGGAGGCGGGCCAAGGGTGGTGGACAGCCAGAGAACCGGAGAATGGCAACGTCGTCAAGAGGCACGATAGCGTGCAGGTTAGACGCGGATGATTTGCAGACGGTGTGGTTTCCAGGAAGGGCTTGTGGGATGGCAGTGGCAGTTCGGCAGATTTGCGCCAGTGGTGATAACGCACACAAGACGCAAGCTCAAGGTGGAGCAGGAGCGTCAGTGGAGTGGCGGCGCAAAAACTAGTGAGAGGTGGTAGTGGACTGTGGACTGGGGCCTCTCGAATCGCGGAGAATCTCGCACAGTGCAAGTGAGGTGCAACGACGCAGCAGTAGCACGAACAGTAGCGGAGCTAGCGGTGAGCCGGCTGTTGGCTGCTGGCTGGCTGGGGGGGGACGACGGGGGCAAGGGCGGGCAGGCAGGCAGTGGGTGAGTGGGCAGCTTGGGACGCAGCTAGCAGAAGCGCGGTCGCAGTAACTGGAAGTGGGTGGCGTGTGGTGCTGGAGATAAGTGGCACCAATGGCGGCCGGGGGAGGGGGTCGCGGCGTGCCCAGGCTGACTTAGCAGGCTCGATGAGGTAATGTTCCGCCGGCCGACGGAGGCAGCGGAGCCTGACGACAGTACAGATGCTGAGGGACCAGGGTTGCGAGATGGCCTTGAACCGAGCCGTGCTGATGGGTGAGGAGGCCTGCTGTTCTGGGATTCACTACTGCCTAGCGCCGAATCGAACCGGGCGATGCTCGCGACAGGCCCGCGGCGTCGAGATTGGGTGCGAGGCTGCGTGCGTCGTGGGGACGAGGCAGCGCGCGAGGGGGGGAAGATGGTGCTACTACGCTATGGTATGGTAGGGTATGGTATGGTATGGTAAGGTCTGGTATGATGCTGCTGCTGCTGCTGCTGACGATGATGATGATGATGATGATGCCTGAGCAACAAGCAGCAAGCAGACACACACACACACGCACACGCACACGCACTCACACGCCTGGAAAATTCGGCCCGTTGTCGGTCAAAACTGGAGGGATCGCAGGAGCTAGTGAGGGGCCTCTTTCTAGGGTTTCACTCTTTCGCTCAATTGCAAAGACAATCTCTCCACTTTGCACCTCTGCCGTCTTCCCTGCAACTTGCTTGCGTGCTGCTCGTTCGCTCTCAAAACTCCAGGTGCGCCGAGGAGCCGAGTGGATGATCAGCCTGCTTGCTGCGCGCGCGGCCGCTTTTCCGTTGCAACCTCGCAACGACTTGAAAATGCTGATGGTGATGTCGCTGCTGCTGCTGCTGGGACAGAAGACTCTGCTGCTTCCCTCCACGCCAGACGCGCGTGCGGGCGAGACGACAGTCTGCGAGCGAGAGAGCTGCTAATTGGCGTGCACTGCCACAGATGGACAGACACACACAGAGAGAGGCAGACAGCAGCGATCGGAGTCACTGGTGTGGTGGATCGACTGGAGCACCCAAGTGGATATTTTTTTTTGTTTCTTGGGGTACGTGGGTGTCCCGCGCGTTGCAGGCAGTCAGTCAGACTGTCAAGCAGCAGCCCGGCAGCCAATGTCTGTAGGTGCGATTGTTTGGCTCTGGGGCTCTACGAACTTGGTTCAGGTAGAGTCAGTCTGTAGCTAGAGGCTATCCAGCGTGGTGGTGAGGGTTGGGCGGGCAGCCAGAGATTTGCGAGGCCGTCTCAGTCTAGTGACAAAGTTGGGAAGGCGCGAGGGTGGCGAGGGAAAGAGTCCGCTAGAGCAGCCCAGGTAAAATACCACTGCACCCCGCGCACGGACGGCTGACTCAGCCTCCTCTGTTTACCTTTGGCACGCGTGCCCAATCGTCACTTGCCAATTTGCCCTTTCATCTGATGATTTTTCTCGCTTAATCATTTTTTTCGTCGCCGTCATCATTGCCCCCTCCCACACGCGCTTTTCCAGCGGCCATGCCGAGCGGGCAAGTTGGCTGCGAGGCTCGGTGTTTTTTTTTATACACAGCAGTTTGGTGGTTTGGGATGAGGCTGATAACTAGCTTCCCACTAGAATTACGCGCAGGGATAGGCGCGAGGCTAGCTAGTGCTTTAGGGTCGCAGCGTACCAAGATGCGACCGACAATGACAGTATTTGTCGTTCACCACAACATGGCGACTTGAGCCCTCATGATTGTCTAGCTGCAACAATGACAATTCCTCGCCGCGAGATGCCACGGCCCCGTCATCTCGCACCCGGAAAATGCCGCACAAGCTCGGCTCGATCGTCATGCGGGTCGATATTGGAGACGGCACACTCGACTGATGCGGCAGCAAGGGAGTGTAGACGCGACCTGAGTGGCTGGGGACTCCATGGTGGTCTGCCAAAGCAGTATGTATAGCGAGTGAATACGGGGATCGGGGGCATCTCTCATCGTCATTTTCCTGCTCCTCACCTGTCAATTACTCATTACTGTCCGTGGATGCTTGCCATTTGCTCCAGCACTTCACCGCCTCATCCCATGCCACAGTGCACTGTACATATCACAGTCGGGCCCCTGCTCGCTGATGAGTCGCCAACTGATACGGCCCACCATCCTATGCATGCTCACACCTATTCTTCCCTTTATTATCAGATTACTCTATCTCCGCCTCCTGCCACCCTTGTCGAGCCTGTGTATTGTATCCACCATGCCGCCTATTCTTATACACCCTCCTGCGGGCTACCATGTTCCTTTCATGAAATAGAAACTGCTGGTGGATCATGTCCGTTTCTCCTCAATACTGTCCCTGGTCAGGAATGACCCAACCCGATGTCTCTGGAAACAGGCGATAACAGTGCACGATAATGGTACGATATGTCATGTGCATCGGCACCCTAAGCCGGAGCGAGTGAGTGCGATGCACGCATTGCTGCCATCATCTACTTGGGGGTTTCATCAGAGCCAGTCAAGCTGACAGTGTCCTGTCTACCTGCTGTGTCTCCTCTCATGAGCGGTGGGTGCGTGGTCCATCGAGCCGTGAGGGTACTCGCACAGACTTGTTGCCATTGTTTCATTCGCCGACTACATTCCTACGCCCATGTACTCGATGCCTCGTCCCCGTTTGGCAGACCGTGGCTCACCCCATGCATTGTGACATGTCCAGGTTGAATCTGCTGCCTGTATTGTGTCCGACTGCCGGGTAATAAGCATCCTTCTCGAGTTGGGAGGGGCACCCGGCGAGCAAGAGCCACTGTTTGTCCGCATGGATGCCGGAATGTCCGGCTGGGCGTTTGTGTGCTGTGTTCCTTTGCTGCTGAAACGTGTATACAGCGGAAAAGAAGAAAAAAATTGGGGAAAATCAAATCATGGACGATGCCTCTTGCATCTGATATGGCATACGACTAACAGCAGTGGTCTTACCGGAAACAAACCAGCTCGCCAACCTTATCCCAACCTCCAGTCTGCTAAGAGACCCTTACAATTTCCTTGCACCTTCGAGGGAACTGCACGGTCCGACTTGGGCTGATGAGTTTCTAAGATGGCTTCGTGATCCGAGCCAGGATCAACAAGACTATGCAGCTGCTAAGATGACGAACTACGCCTTGGAGCGGGTGCGGGAGAGCTTGCATCGCTCCATGGCAGCAGTAGCGGACAGCACCCCATAGTATGGACCAAGGGAAGGCGTAGCATTGTGGGCATGGAAAAGTCGACGATCAAAGTGGCACCAAAGGCAGAGGTGGTGGTGGACGTCAAACGTCAGTCGGACAAGCAGCGGTGCGGGCGCGCGTGTGGTTGCATCGCACCCTGAACAATGTAGCCACGGTAGGTGACGAGATGTGCAGTCAGCTCCATTAATTTTCCGAAGGTGCATATGTACTACAGTGTACATGAGATACACACAGGTACGTGTAGATGAATCATGGACGGTACAAGGTAAGCACATGGACGCGAGCGGAGACATGGATTGGACGAAGGACCTTGCCAAAGCAAGGCGACGAAGGGAGCGCAGGAAAAGCGAGCATCGGACGACAGCACAGCAGCAAGCAAGCGAGAGGAGACGAATGTTGGAGGCTGGATGAGTTGGTAGCACTAGAGTCGCCCCCCCCTGGCCCCAAGGGCTAGAGAGTGGATCCTCCGGTGCCCTCGGCGAAGCTGAGCTCACGTGGACTTGTCGCGCACAGCCAGCGGGCACACCTTGCTCGCTGCACAGCAAATGCACGCTGTAGGACCATGCTGCTGGGGCTCTTGCTTGCTTGGGCCAATCGCCAACCCTCCATTTCCGCCGCCTGCCCGCACCGGTTGGACAGAGCAGTGACACCCACGATAGACACACGACTCCCCTTTGAAACCGCACGCAAACACCAATCGTGCTGAAATCACGCGACCGCCCGGCAATATTCACCATTGCAATGCTGCACTGCTGGCTCGAGGCCGGGTTAGCGGGCGCCCAACCTCGCTGCGGAAACCAAGTGCAATTCAACGAACGACCCCACACTGTGCCCGACTCAATTTTCCTCCACTAGAAGCCTGCTAGAAGCCCGAGACCTGAGGCAGTTTGGCAATCATGGAACAGCCTGCCCTCCCTCGATCGCCATTGGCCCGCGCCCTGCTGCCAACAGCCCAAGCGAGAGATTTCAACGATACAAGAATACTTCCGCGGCCCCTGTGCCTGCGAGCATGTGTGTGTCTGTCTGTCTGTCTGTGTGAGTGTGCGTGCGTGCGTGTATGCGTGCGTACACCCACGTCCAAGTAATGCATCCATCTGTCTGTACATTTGCGTCCAACCAACACTCACCCGACAGTGGGTGCGCCTTCCGACAAATCCACTTCCCAAGCTCATACACAGTATATCCGTCGCCATGCGTGTCCATGTGCGTGCATTCTCTCAATAATGCATCATATATTACCGGGGACACCGTACATGGTCGTACTATGTGCAATGGGTACAATTGATTCCCACTGCTTGCCATGGACGACAGGACAATGGTCGGCCACAAAATCTGGGCTGCCCACATGTCACCATCTTCACTAGCCGACTCGCACTAACATGGACGTTGTTGCATCTTGACATGCTGAGCATTTTCCGCATTGCGACAGCTCAAGTCATTGTCCTGCTGCTGCTACATGTCGATACATTGTCCTGATCATGTACCACGGCATGCACCACATCTGCTCCAACTACATTGGTATCATGTATGTACGAGCAGCCTGCTTGCCTGTCTGTTCACATTCCAGCCTCCCAGTAACGCCGACATTTCTCCTTGCACTGAGCAACATCCGAGTTGGTCCTGCTTACCTGCTGTATGCAAGCATACACACATCCATTCATCCATCCATCCATACATAATCATAACGATATGTCGACCATCATCTCGATACTGGTACACTACTGGCTGGGGTGGGCATTCCATCGTCATGATTGTTCCTCTAGCAGGCCGCCCTCCCAATCAGAAGCCATCCGGCCATGCATGACAGATATTGACGCATGACAGATCCCCTCCGCTCGACCTGCTTCGGCGATTCAACGGTCGCGCTGAGGCCGAAGGCTTGACTGGTGCCTGTCTTCTCTTCCAATTGCTCCTCTCATGCTTGTGCAATCGGGGGTCATCAACTCGACTCCACACTTGGTTGACTTTGCGCGAAGCACTAGCCCATCCCGTCATCCCTGCCCTGCTTCTGCCCTGTCCTCTGCACCGCCCGCACTAAAGTGTCGAGCATCTCTTTCAAACCTTCTGCGGAAATGGGCGGCAGCCGAGCCCCATGCCCCTCACCTGTGATTCTGATTTTTGCAACATTGTTGGCCCGCCGAGTCAGTACCTGCGCTCAAGGTTTGATTTGCCCTGGTGGCAAACCCGACGCCCAAGGCAGCTGAGGACTCAACGAGCAGCCAGAATTTCTCCTCGTCGCTCCACCTTCTTTTCGAACCTCCGTGGGCCATCTTGAACATGTGCCAAGTTCAACGTTGCGAGCATTCTGTACACCATCTCCAGCTCCTGGGCACACTTGGAAGCTAGGCAGGCTCCCCTGGAGGCGCCGTCGTCTGTCCCCCAGACAAATCTTGACCCGTCTTCTGTTCGCTTTTCGTCAAGAAACCGCGCCGGTCAGACACCGCCCACGGGAACCTTCTTGCTTCCCGCAAGCTCAACAAAGCCGGTGTCATGGGCCGATCGCTGCCAGCGATGGAGCTTTCCCATATCCAGTTCGAACCCGGGCTTCATGAATGCCTGCAAGCTCAACGTGGGGCGCGTCTTGTAGCCCACCTAGCGCGAACCTGCTGTGGGCTTTTTTTTTTCTCTTCCAGGTCTTTTTCTCTCCATTCCTTGTGGCCAGAGCACAACCACAATTCAACAACAGCAATCGTTGCCTAAGCCTTCCTATTTGTTCCTCCTGCTGGGGAAAACCGGCATCAGGGACCCACCATCCTCGGTCGTAAACTCAAATTCCCATGCCTCGCTTCCTTCCCTGAATGATGAGCCCGGTACGATGAATACGGAAACCTTGTTCTCCACCATGATTCATGATGCATCTTTTTTTTCCCTCTCTTCCGTAGTCCCCAATACGCTAGTAGGTAGTATCCGAATGCGAATGTATTCTCTCCAGTATTCGCCCCCGTTCATCCGGACATCGGAGGCAAAACTCGATGCTTACTCACTCTATCTCGCACAACATCCAATATGAAATCAGCATCATCCAGGAAGAGGGAGAAAAAAAATTGTTGGGCTCAAAGAGCGGGAAGAATAGGCTCCACTGTGGGAAACAATACTTTCCCCTGTTACATCGGAGATCAGCAGTGAGAGACTGAGGGCCCCGGACGACCGGCATTAGAGTACGTTATGGATACACATACTCGATGCGGAAACAGGAGCGTGTTCCGTACCTCTCCCTCCCCTCCCCCTAGTCGGCCGGTGTCTTCGGTCATCGAAATCTCGGGTTATCACTTCTATTGCTTGTTATTGTTTTATTAATAGTGCCAGTTGTGCAAATTTCTATTGCTTCCATTCGGAAAATCCGCTGTCCACGCGAGCCGTGTGTGTATGTGGGTGGGTGGGTAAATTGCATGTCCCTTTGATCTCGCAAAACGGGGTCTCCGGAGAAATATGTCGCCATTGTATTGGGGAGGCTGGGGGTGGACCGACTGACAAGAATTCTGCAGCAACCCTCGAGGTAGGCCATGTCTGTGGCAATCATTGACTCGGGGACTGTAGTAGATATGGGACCTCTCTGTATAGGCGAAGATGCCTTGATAGATTCTCTTTCTTCAATAGCTACAGCGGTTCCTAAACCAACTTGGTATACTATACATAGCTAAGCAGTGACCTCATAACACATCCCACGATATTCACGTATCCGCGTTTCCTCTGCCTCTGTGGAATAGACAATAACAGTAAACCGCCTCTTTTCCCCGTGCCAAAATATGAAATGACGGTTCCTCTGCTTCCAGTTCTACTCCCTTCTCCTCCTCCCTTTCCCTCTTCCATTCGCCCCCACAACCCCATGAAAGACATCTTCCAGCCATAACAGAAACAACTCTCCAATTCTATGCTCGATATATCCTACATCTTCCGGCTCTTTGACTTGAGCACCTTCACATCACATATATCGTCCCCCTTCCTTTCTAGCTTACCCCAAACAAGGCACAATCAAATACTCGTAGAATACCAATACCATTTCCAGTCTATTTTATTTTTTGAGATGGAGTTAAGGTGATCCTACACACAGCGATGAGTTACAACAAGGAATAAACCAAAAAAACGAGCGATAACCAAAAAGACCAATTTCCAGTCTATAAAACCCGTGAAGCTGTGACGAGTTCTCACGTTCCCTTTCTTAAACATGTATATACCATATTCGATTGATAAATAAAATGGATTATGAGAAAATAACTCGTGGGTATTACTATTGTTCATTTTTTTAAAGTTGGAGTTTAGGTGATCCTAAGGGTTTACAACAATAGAATAGACCAAAGTAACGAGTTACTATTGTTCGTATAGTGCCGTTTGAATGGGGAATGCTTTTCATGCGTGCTGTAATTTTCTTTTTCTTTCCATCGTCTATGTCTATACTTCTTTCCTCCGTTGGTTGGGGATGCAACATGCATGAGACGTATCACAGTCTACATCACCTACTGATACATATTTAAAGAATTCGACTACGGTGAGCTCGATACATTTTATCTTCCCAAGTGGAAATAACGGGTTGACGGATACAATCTCCTAGCTCCTTATTGTTACAGTGGGAACATGTCCATACGCAACCCAGACATGCTAAGCGATGAATATTGTATTCCCTGGAACTCTCCTGGATACAACATAAATAGACTCGTTGTAGGATGTCTATCGGTTTCACTTTCTTCTCCTTTGTCTTCCCTTCGCACAGGTCTTTTTCTTTCCACACATCGCTGTTATCATAATTCATACTATAGCGAGCGCTGCTGGAATCATACAAGATTACAACAATGCAGAACTGATAGATACTCGAGAAAAGACACGTATTCTATTGGCAAAGGAGCAAACACGGCACATCAAAGGCCTCGTTTTTCTTTTTCTACAGTGGAACTGAATACACCCTGTTTCGCAACTGGGTTTCCGAAGCAGATATCTTCCCAAGTGGGTGGACGTGTACTCAGACACGAGTGAGTGGACGGTGGGATTGATTTGTTTCTCATTCTGATCCATGTGTTCTCACTTTCCCGCGTATTTGCTATATACCCGCTCTTTTGGACAATGGAAGCAACTTGACAAATAAAGACAGATTCGCATGGTCCTAAAGGAGAGAGAGAGAGAAAGTAGGAGTTCATTAAAGACTGAAAGACGATGCCACTACGCAGAGTAGCTGTTTCGATCAAGTCCACGCACAACACATCAACGTTTCTAGATATGCGTGGGTACACTCATTTAATCTTGGTCTCGTGTGTTCCAAAGCCAAAGTACAGGCACATCTAGTCAGTAGAATGGTTGGTGTCTGTCTTCTCATATAGTAGTGTTGTCTTTGCACCCCCTTCTATCTAATCTTCGTGCTGACGTGTAATTCCATAGCTGGTGGGAGAGAGGGAGGGGCAGTGTATCCGGCCCTGCAATATAGCATCTCTATAAACTCAAAAGAGGTTGGGTGAGTTAGGCACATAACCACGTTCACCTGATGTAGCCAGTACGGGGAGCATTCCATCGTGGTAGCGGGACTGTATTTATATATCGTGAGGTGTAGAATAACCTATCTTCATAATCGAGACGGAGAATATCGTGTCCCACGAGTTGAATATGTATAATATCCTTCCGTGATATCTTTTGCAGACGATAATCTCACTTTCACGGAAAGCCCCCAGGTGGAAGGTTAATGTGACTTTACTGAGAACGAGTGCAATCTAACAATGTTAACTGGTGTAAATGAATTCTAAGTTGGAGTTGGGATGACCCTACACACAGCGATGCGTTCAAAACGACAAGAGTAACAAAAAAAATAGACTGGCGTAAAAGTTGTAGTGTTCCCAAGCCAAATTTCCGTTAGCTGTGTGCAAGATCACCTCAACTCCAACTGAGAATTAACAACCAAATGTCTGTTAAATACAAGTTCAGGTATTGCATCCCTGGCCCGGTGTTAAAAGCAGAACTCCTTTTTTGAAACTTTTTGTACTTGCCTACTTTCTGTAACCTTTTTTATATACCTTTTTAAGTATCAGAAACACTGTAACTTCTAAAAAAAAGAAAAAAAAACTTCTGTTAAATACATATAAGTGGATAGTGCTCTTTGGGCAGGTAGTTTTCTATATATGTAATTGTACGTCGCACCTCCTATGACAAAATGGGTATGATAGAATACCTCATGTGGCCATCTCAAGTAATGATATGCAAACATTTATGTAAAATTCTGTTTTTTTTACCATTGATTACGTACTTTAGAATGATGTATGTGAGGTTGACCCAAAAACGTGCCAAGACCTCCGTACCTCGCCGCAACCACCACCGGAAATCCGACTTCCGCCGCCTGCTCACCTACACAAGCCAAGCATATCTACAAACCCCTCTCACCCCAACATACCCTCGAAACCATGGGTAACGATGGAGGATCGATCCCCAAGCGCTCGGAGCTCGTAAAGGAAGCCGCCAAAGCGCCCACGGCCGCGCAAATCAAAGAGGCGCAACAAGAATCGCAAGAGCATGCCTGGAATCACTGCGCGCTTTCCTCCAAACCCCTCGCTACGCCCGTCGTTTCCGATGGCGCTGGTCTGCTATATAACAAAGACTCGGTGATTGAGTACCTGCTCGCGGAAGAAAAGAGCGCGGAGCAAGAGAAGGTTTTGGATGGGCGCGTCAAAGGACTCAAGGACGTTGTGGAAATTAAGTTCGAGGTGGAAGATGCAGAGGCAGCGGCGGATAAGAGGAATGGGAGTGGGAGTAGTAGAGGGGAGAAGTGGGTGTGTCCTGTTACCCGTGAGGAGCTGGGTCCGAATGCCAAAGCGGTATATCTTGTGCCATGCGGTCACGCTTTCGCTGGTAATGTCGTGAAAGAGGTCGACGAGCGGATCTGCATGAAGGTACGTCTTCCTCTTAGCACAGCGATAATGCATACACGACAACTGGACTCTGGGAATATGCAGAAAATGAAGCTGACTTTATATTTTGGATAGTGCAACGAAACATATGCCGAAAACGATGTCATACCCATCATCCCCACCTCACCAGCCGACATCGCCCGCCTAACCCTCCGCCTCAAGACGCTCCGCGAAAAAGGCCTGACACACGCACTTAAGAAAGCACCAGGCAGCAAAAAGCGCAAGAAGGGTGCCGAGAAGGACGCATCCACAATAACCACCGATGCAACTCCCGCTGTTGATTCCAAAGCCCCGTCGAGCACATCAGAGGACGACAAGAAGTCAGAGAGCAAACGAAAAGACAAACTGGCTGCTACAAAGAGCTCTTCAGGACCGGATAGGAACGATAGCATCAATAACTCCTCAACGGCGTTCCTTACGAAGAAGGTTCTTGAGGAGCAGGAAGCGCGGAACAAGCGACGGAAAATGGATCAGAATGACAATGTCAAGAGCCTGTTCACCAAGGGCGGGATTGTGCCATCCAACAAGAATAGTGCGGATTACATGACAAGAGGGTTTAGTTTTGGGAAGAAGTGATTCTTAATTTCTTCACATCGATCGACGACGAACAGAGAAGGAATTCATAGTCAGTGAAAACGTTTTGAGGGCTGAGCGAACGGGCGGTGGAAAGACGATACTCTCTATATGGGTCGGACTGCGGGTGATGTGTGAGATATTTGCATGGATACGGCGTTTCTTATTTATCTTGGGGCCTCCGGATGGCAATTGGAACGCTACTATAACGGAAAGGGATACTTACGTCTATATTCCCATATCTGTTATTGGAGCCATAGCTGTAAAGGGTCGGATGAGCACGATGAGGTTGAGGTTCAGCGTACCTCAGGATATTACATTAATTACACTGTCTACTTTAACATATCGTTAGCAGTGTAGCAACATACCTTTTACAAACTTTTTAAACACCTTAAACAGGAACTAATGTTGTGATAAAGCGTGGTTAGCTAATCCTAGAGTGCGATCACCCCTGCAATGTGATGCAGTTCCATCTCAACATTTCCGTTATTGCCAGATTGAATAGCTAATCACAACATCGGTCATGTTGTGGGCAACGGAATTGCTCAGGAAGTGATGATATGGTACATGAAGTGCGTTGGATAGGAATATACAATCTTGAAAGCAAGATAAAAAGTCCATCTAAAATCATCTGTCTAGTGAAAGCGACGTAGAAACAAGCCCAGAAGCCTTGTATAATACACTCGGAAATACATATATCAACCACACTCCAAGTCCCACAATAAACCAAAGAGAAAGAACCTGCAAATAGTTCAACCCTACACTTCTATCCTGCGACCAAAGACTCGGTAACCCACTCCCTAAACCCACCCTCAACACTCGCACTCAGCGCAATCCAGAAAGCCATCATCTCACTCACAAACGGCGCAGGACAATGCTCCACAAGCGCCCTAACAGTAACCTCCTCCAAACCTTTAACCTCAAACAACTGCTCCACCCAATCCAACTCAACATTCCTTCCAGCCCCCCATTCCCTATTCATCCTCGCCATAATTCCAAACGCATCCTTGGAAATCGGAACCACATTCTCCCACCCATTCTCCCCTGGCCGGCCCGCAACGACCGCGAGATCCAGACGCCGCAGCGAAATCGTAGATTCGGTGTTGCTCAGGTATTTACACAGCGCCGCCCACTCGGCGCGGTCGAATTCCTTGGTGTAAGGGAGGCCCTTTTTCGTGACCGCGATGCTGCGGAGGCTGCTGCGCGCCGGGATTGTGAGGTCCGAGAAGAAGGGCACGGTGGCTTCGATGCACGTGTGAAAGTTGAACTTGTAGGTGCTGTATAGGAGGGCGGTGGCTTCGGCGTGGATTTGGCGGTTCAGCGGGAGGAGGGAGGGGATTGTTTGGCGGAGGTGTGCGGTGTAGGGGGAGAGGAGGATGCGGTAGGTTGTTGGGGTCGTGCTGGTTAGGAAGGGTCCTGTTGTTTTCTCGTTGTTAGGGGGATTGGGACGGTTGAAGAGTAGGAAAAGTATGGAGGAGAGGGGTTAAACGGACCTGTGCGAATGTGGTAGAGGGAACGCTTTCTCCAGCTGCTGGAGCTGTAGGAGAGGTACGGGTCGATTGTTCGGACGGATAGGGTGAACGGATCGTCGTTTGTGTCGTTTGAATAGTATGTATGGTAATCCGGAAGGAGATTCGTCACTGACGTGGAACTGGACGTCGATGGTACGGTGGAAGGTAGAAGGAGATGTTCATAGATCATCAATCGAAGCTCGTATGGCAAGCGCAATAGTGGTGAGGATGACTGAACGACTGGATTGTCCATGATGATTAGTTCCTAGAGTTCTTTATGAATATGCGAGTCTGTTCAGATGTATCTTCGACTGTTCGCATTTATGGTCGGGTTTCGGTCTATGAATATGCACAGTCAGATACACGGTGATCATTACTATGGATTCGCTCCATGAATGACTTTTTTTTTGGAGTTTTTATAAGAGCAACCTACGTCTCTCGTCTTGCCTTAGACTTGGGCTTTTTTTCGTGCCGTGATGCGACTGGACTCGCGCGAGTTTCCATATACCGACAGCAATAAAATCGGTGGTAGTGTAGTACAAAAATCTTCACTGACAGATGGAAAGATGTAAATGTCGTATTCTATCCGTAGATGGAAAATAAAAGTGTGAATCCTCTTCAAACGGGAAACAGTCGCAAGTTGGGAATTTACAAATAAAAAAATTGTGTCTCGGAACAGTTCGCTATGCTTTACCCTCGGACCAACAGGGTCTTCATCACTCAAGTGACGTTCCAACACCGTATCGAGTCACCAACCCGTCAAGTCCCCGGAAAAGATAGGAACAAAAGTTCATCATGGTGCCATCCGTGTTTGAACACCGGTGAAATCGGACAAACTTATTTTTTCTTCTTTCACCATCTTTCTTAGCGTGGCCGAGGGTAGTCACTTGGCTCAGCCAGGATGACAATGAGAGCGCTGCATCATGGCCGCACCTCTAATCTCCTTCGAGCTTAAAAAGTCTTGATGAAGACTAAATTCGATCTCGAGACGCTGCACTAATGTACAGCTAATCGATCGCGCCGCATGGGTTGCTTGCCTTAACGCTACCACTCCCTCACGTTAACTGGGCATGCGACACCAGATGGGAGATAACATTTGACATAGCGGTGAGAATGGGATGATACGGTGATATCTCATCGATAGCCGCCATCGTTATCCGTAAGCGTGTCTTCTCTCGTGGGGACAATTGGGTGTCGTGGCATGAAGGAGTAAGTGGGACCCTGCTTGATGCTGATGTGACGACTTTGCTGTCATTGCGTGAGTGACGATATCGGTGAGCCGACTGTAGTGGCATGATCGGTAGGACAAATTGCAACAAATTGATACCAAGGAGTTCCATCCACTGAATTATACTTGTACTGCGAAGTTAATGGCTGTACCTTCTTTTATAGGTATTCACATACAAAAAAGCTGGCTGATAGTACCACGATCAGGATAATGCCTCAGTTCACCATCACTTGAGAGCTGCACATGCATATGGAACAGCTGATCCCCGATTCATCCCGTTTGGATTTGCATACTATCAAAGTGCTTCCAGTCTCTCCGTCGTCCGCAGCATCGTTGTTTAGACATTCAAACTCCGCCGCAATCCCTGAGTTGTTTAGTACCTACTTTAGACATGACCTAGAATTGAAACCCAAAACTGAAGAAAACCAAACATTTTTTGATGAATGCTTTCGAGACCCTCCCTTGCACGAAGAAGACCAAGACCATGGCTGAGCTCCGGCGCCTGATTTGTGAAAGTGAGAGGATGCAAGCGGAGAGATATAGAGAGGAAAAAAGGACAACCCCCCCAGAGCAAAATAAGTAGTGTCGTGATACAAAGACAATGTGGCCATAGCGACAGCACGCTTTAGGCTACAAGTCGGTTTGAACATTCAAGTAGAGAGAGAGGAAAAGTAAAAAGAAACAATGAGAAAATAGGGAATGCCCGTCCATTCGACTTGACATCCTCTATTCATAACCTTTGGTCTCAACTCGAATTCGTACAATGTGTGAAGGCAGTGCACAATTAGTGCTGGCCGTAGCTGTTGCCCCAACCACCACGGTTGTAGCTACCACCGCCGTAGCCACCTCCACCAAATCCACCATAGTTTCCATAGCTGCCTTGCTGGTGGCTCCCGCCGCCCTGGTGGCCGCCTTGATGTCCCAATCCGCCAAGACCTCCGTATTGGTTGCCCTGTCCATGACCGGGATATCCACCACCAAAGCCCTGCTGGTGTGAGCCTTGCGGAAGACCGCCTTGGCCTCCAGCGGTGTTGTTCGTGGCTGATCCAGGTCGTCCGGGTTGAGCGCCGAGAGCAGAAGGGCTAGGTCCGCTGCTCTTGCTGTCACCAAAGGGTTTCAAGGCGTCGTCGTTGCTTCCCTGCTGTCCAGTCTGCTGTTGACCATAGGCATTCTGGGCCCCATATCCGCCTTGAGAACGGCCTCCAAAAACGTCGGGAAGACCTCCAAATCCAGCCGTTCCAGCCGTTGCGCTGTGCTGGTTTTGGGAGGTGCCTGAGGCCGATCGACCATAATCACCAAGTCCTCCACTCAAGCCGCTGTCTCGTCCATGCATGGAAGAGGCACCAAATCCGCCAACATTAGCCGGAGAAGACGAGTGTTGGTCAAAGGAAGTCTGAGGAGACATTCCGTAGTGGTTAGGCTGACCATATTTTCCCATTCCGAAGTTGCTGTATCCTCCTTGTCCATATCCGCCGTATTGGTTCATGTAGTTAGCATAGTACGGGCTGCCATAGTATGGGTGGTTGTACGGGTAGTTGTTGTTGTGTCCGGGATGAGCGGCGTGTTGCTGGTGCATATGCTGGCTCTGTGACGAAGGGCCAGTAGGCTGCTGTCCGCCCAAAGTAGGATTGGGCGTGTTGTGACCGCTATTCTGAGCGTCATTGTATCTACCCTGCGACTGTTGTAACTTGTTAGATGTCGAGCGCAATGATTGATTTTGTCGGACACCTTCCATCTGCAACTCCGTCTCCTCACGGGTAGATTGCGTGAAACCGGGTTCACGCAATTTCTCCGCTAGAAGGTTTGAGAGCAGTCCACGGGACAGTGGATCTTGACGAGAAGGTGTCCGTGAAGAAAGCGAACTTACCGGCTGCTGGGTCTGACTCTGGGGGAAGGTCGAGTCGTGGGGTCCGGAACCAAAAGCACTTCCTGTGCGTTGCTGAGCGGAGCCAGCTTCTTGCTGGCTTTGGCTTCCTTGCTGACCGTAGGCACCTCCATAATACTGTTGATATGCAAGGCGCTGTTGGTCGGATGTCGAGTATTGTGAGGCGAATGCATCAGGTCCACTGGAGAAGCCTCCAATCTGCGAATGAGATTGATTGTGTTGTTGGCCAGGGTAATCGTATTGGTTCGGCTGAGGGGCTTGCTGGCCAAACGGATCGTAGGCCTTTTGTTGCTGCGCAGTGACTTCGGACTGGATTCCGGCTTGTGGGTAGCGTCCAAACTGGTTGTAGGGTTGGTTGCTTTGAGAGCCCTGATTTTGCATTGCCTGCGAGGCCATTGATGCGGGAGGTGATTGTTGGGATAAAGGCTGTTGCTGGGGTGGAGGAGGTAGCCCCGGAGCCTGTTTGGGAGTGGGAATTTCCTGGGGTTGAGTCTCGATTGGCGCAGCTTGTCGAGGGGCGGGTGGTAGCGATGCCCTCGGCTGAGCAACGGGGGAATGTTGAGGGGGTTGAGTCCTAGTCTCTGCTTCCTCACGATCTTCATCAACGTCCAGACTGTCTGCGTCTGCGTCTCCATTGAGACCCAAGCTACCAAATTGAACAGCTGCCTGGTTCACAGCATGCTTGCCCGGCATGACAACCGCCTCCTGTTGCTCTAGAATCTTCCTCTGGAAACTAGCACTGCGGTTCGCGGCCGATGTCGCCTTGAGCGCAGACGTTTGGAAACCACCCAATGCGGGACGGCCGATAGGTGCCTGGCCGGGAGTACCCAACGGAGTCGCGACGCTCGCCAAACTTCCAATGTCCTTTGAGCTAGCAACCGTGCTGGCAGCTGTCTCTGTGGGTGGAGGTTGCGACTCATCCGGCAAGTGTTCGACGTTATCCTTGGTTAATTCGTCTTTAGAAGGCGTAAGGGTAAGCTCGGGGCCAGGAGTCTCTGGCAGCTTATCGGGTGTCAATTTGGAAGTATCCTCAACCGGAATTGGAGGTTCTTCGGCGACCTCATCAGCCACGGGTGGGATGGGCAATTCCTCAGCCTCCACGGCGGCTTCTTGTGCGACCTCGCTAGCAGGGGTTTCGGCAGGCACAGGACCTGGTTCTTCGGAGGGTGGAGTCGGCTTTGCGACAGGCTTGGGTGCAACTGGTTTCGGAACCGGAGCGAACATGCTAGCCCAAGTCTTCTTTGCAGGGGCAGCGGGTGCAGCAGGTTTGCTAGCTTCTGGCTCGACAGCAGCAGGTGGTTGAGAGGCCTCTTTAAGTTCGGCGGGAGTGGAAACATCCCAAGCATTGGACTCTGTGGTCGGAATCGAGGGCGCACCAGCAGTGCGTGTACCATTGGTAGCTCCTCCACGATTTCCACCACGGAAACCTCCACGGCCACGATCTGTGCCGCGACCACGTCCGCGAACACTGTCACCACCACGAGCACGTCCAGCTGCTCCTCGGGTCGCCGATGTAGTTTCTGTGGGAGCACCTGCATCCTTCACCTTGGAGCGGGATCGGTCTTTAGCTTTCTTTACCTCTGCGAACTGGGACACATTGCCTGGCGATGGGGTCAGTGATTTTACTCGAAGGAGAGTATTTCAAAGGTAAACCAGAACGGGGGACATGTATGATAGCGGTGGAGGTCAGAGGAAGTGACGCACCTTCGGAGATCTTCTCGACTGTCCTCTCAATATCGCCTTCAGATTCTTCCAATGCCAGCACGAGGTCCACGTCAGCCCAGTCAGGGAACAGCTCCTTGAGTGTGGTCAATTGCGAGATATATCGCTTCTTAAGTTCTCCCAGCTCGCCCTGGTCTGCAGATGTGTCGATTGTTGATGACGAGTGATCGCCGTTTGTCTGCTTGCTGGAACGCGATCCTCGAGTGGCTGGGCCGCCTCTGCCGCCACGGGCAGTGCTTCTGCCACGCGCGGGGCGGGACTGTGCTTCAGACATGGAGACTGTGGGAGGTTTATGATGAGGCCTTTGCAGGGCTTGGTTGGGGAGGGGAGTGTGAGGTGGTGGATGGGGTGGATGGGGTAATTGAGAGAGAGAGAAGATGCTAGCGGAGGTATGTTGGCGCTTGGCGCTTAATTGGCTGGTGTGCAGACGCGACCGTTCGCGCTGGATCAGAGTTGGCTACGAAGGAGAAGTGCGCATGTGAGTCGGGGGGTTGCAGAGAGGATTTGGGTAAGAACTTGAAAGTAGTGGGAAAGAGGCTGGCTGGCTGGCGGGTTTACCTTTGCTCTTCAAATCGAGGTAGTAGGTCACGTGACCACTCGGCAAAACAAGCTAACTGCCCAGGTGTGAATCCGGCCAGGCGACGACGTCGGTGCGTTGACCGCCGTCATCTGACCTCCTCCACTATCACCAGACTCCCAACCACACGTCACTGTCCGCATAGTCGACACCCAAAAAACAAATCTACAAACCTCTACGTTTGCGACATACCTTACGCGCACATCGGGCTTCATTATGCAGTCTGCCGCAGGCCGGCGGGCCATCGCAACGCTTGCCTCAAAGCTACACCCACCAACACCTCTTTCTACCCAAGAAAGCAAACAGTTACTCGGATTGCTCACCACCAGCTTCCGTACCCACCTCGACCGTGAACACCCAATTGCCCATCCCAATGATACCCACCGCAAATCCACTTCCAGAACCCAGCTCGTCGAACAATCTCAAACTCCACACCCCGCATCGTCCTACACGTCTGCCCACGATCATATCGACTCCATATTGGCTAATCCCCTGATTTCGAGAAAGCCTGCACACAAGCACTCTGGAAATGATGCTGTGCGTCTCTTGGAAGATCCTGTCGAGTGGTTCTTGGATCAAATGGCCATCGGAGCTGCCGACCTTCCGAAAGCCTTACTGTTTTTGCAGATGGCTAAGGAAAACAGCACAGCGCAGAATACCAATATGAAATCCCCACGAAATCCAGCAACCATAGTCACGGACTGGCTACAGTCCAGTGGATTGGAAAACTCGAGTCAGTTTCTGGAAATGCTTGTCTTGGGTAAAAAGCGTGGATTGTTAAAGACCCTCTTTCCAATGTTGATGCACGATGAGAAAAACCAGGCACCTCTATGGCGTTGGCTTACACGCTCTCCAAAGCAGCGCATGAAAGAGACTGGTTTAAGTGCAAACCGTATCTTAGTTTTCCGCACCCAGCTCCTGAAGGAAATGGGGTCTTATGCTTATGACTCCAATCGCGATGAAGGCTTGACCATTTTCCTCCGGGCCCTAAACATGTGCAAGTCCGGAGAACATGATTTCAGTCTGAAGATGATTCAACCCCTTGGCGGCCACCTGGTGGGTCGCATAGAACGCGAACCTTCATCCGGTGGTTCCACGAACATCTATGACCTATTTCTCAACTCCTCTTCCGCCTGGCTAAGTACGTGGAGCAAGGCAGTCGAAGCCATGCTGTGGTTACATCACCCTACGAAGCCGACTGCGTACCCTGGCCTCGAATTAATCATTGCCTCCCAGGGGCAAGAATCTTTCATGCAAAACATTCATTTATCCAACAGCAGAAGGCTATTCATGGTTCGCTTGAGTTTCGGTGTTGCGCAACACCTTTTAGATCAGGAGAAGTCTGTCGAAGCGCAAATGGCCATGCGGTTCGCACAACAACATTTCGGCGACCTCGTTCTCCCAAAGACGCCACACCCAGAACGTACTAGCAATGAAAAGACGAGACAGAAGAAAGAAGAATGGAGTCTGCAAATGTTGGACAATCTGTTGCCCACCTGAAGTAATCGTCGAGTGCATACGAAATTATGACGTTTGTTGGATGTGACTTCAATGTCGTCATTAAACCATAGTTGGGCACAAATACACTATGTTCGACAGAGTAACTCGCCAATTGAATCAGGAAGGAGATGATACCAGTGTGCACAAACAGCTGCAAGACGCACTGCAACACATCTGATCGAGAGCAAGGGTCTCGCTGGCTGCTCCACAAATGATAAGGGTACATGTATCATTCTGCTCCACATTGAGCCACACCGCTCCGGTAGAACTACCGTACGGGTATGTCTCCACTTCAATAAAGCGAACATACAGATCAACTTCTGCGTGCGGGACATGATATGCAAGCATGACAATGTCCAGAGAGTTCCCTGTGCTCGAAGGTGTAATAGGGCGATGCATATGTCCACAAGCAAGGGTTAGATACAACATGCAATCGGATCACATAGCAAATGCATTCTTGAAGACTAGAGGTGGTATGAAATTGTATTGGTATCTATATGGAAATCATAAGATCGTGTTTTGGCGGCTTCAATGGCCAGCGCAAGCTATGCTAAAGGAAAAATAAAATGAAATGCTTTACCCAATTCAACGCCCATGCTAACGCCTATCATGACAAGAATATCTCGTGCAGTGTTTGTGTTGAAGATTTTTGCGGTGCATACAAACTGCCTATTCAATGGCGGAGTGCTTGCCGTGGAGCACAGGGTTGATGGACTCGTCGAACTTGAACTTGAAGTCCTCTCCAAGCTCCTTCTTGATAGCCGTGGTAACAGCCTCATAGACGTTCTTGAAGACACCGAAGCTGGCAGGGTTCTCCTTGTCGTTACCCTCGCCCTGGTACACACCAGTGCGCACCAAGCAGGTGTTCCAGTTGTAGTTGTTACCACCGATGATATCGGAGGCAGGGTTATCACCAATCATGTACACGTGGGAGGGAAGCTTCTCCTCGCCGTGGATCTGCTCCATCCAGCTGGCGATGATCTCGTCGGCGTACTTGTACGTGGCGAGTTCAGGCTTGCCGTAGACGACACGCTCGAGGTCTACGCCGGTGAGAGCCTTGTACATGGCCTCGAGACCAATGCGGAAGGTTCCCTGAGACATGCGGGGGAAGGGGTGCTCGGTGGGGCAGAGAGCATCACCCTGAGAGAAGTAGATGGGGATACGCTGGGCGACGGGGTCTTTGGCCATGGTGCCGAGACGGCCGTTCTCGCTGCGGAGCAAGTCCATGATGATTTGCATATCGGTGGCGTAGTCACGGCTGTCAGAGAAGACCATGATGGCTTCGATGTTGCACTTGGAGAAGTCCCTTGGGCGGGAGGTGGCACGCTCCTCGTCAGTGAAGACGCGGTAAGGGGCAATTGTAGGGTCCCAGGCCACAATGTCGTTGGGGACGACAATGTCTTCGAATCCGTATTGCTCGGCGACTTCGCGGCACTTGTAACCCTCACCACCTACTACAAGGACGGTCTTGTAGTAATCGGCAAGAGCACGCATGGGAGTGTGAGACTGGATGAACTGGTCGGTAGAGATGGGGTTGTGGAGGATCTTGGAGAGCTGGTCCACACGAGCTTGCTCAGGCTTTCCGGAACCGTTGGTGAGGAAGATGTGGGGGATCTTGATGCCGAGTTCGTTCTGGCCGTTGAGAATCTCGAGCACGCGTTGACCCTCGGGAATAAGACGGTCACCATGGACAAGCACACCGTCAATGTCGAACACAAAGGCCATATCCTTTGCGGCCTTGACCTTCTCGGACTGAACGTCTTGCACCACGGAGGCCAAGATATCGCGGGAAGCCTGAATTGGGGGCATGCCGGGACGGGTCGGCTGACCGCCCTCTGCATAGTGAACTGAGCTGAGACGAGACTGGCGTTTGGACTTGGGGATAGGGAGAGCAGTTCCGAAAGAGTTTCTGGAACCCCTGCGGGCGCTCATTGAGGGGGAGAGGCTGAGGTTGTGCATGTAGTTGGAGGCATCAGATACAGATGATCTTGTAGCTGGGACCTCGATAGTGTTCTCACTGGCGTGGCCATCAGCGGGAATGCTGAGGCTGATGCCATTTTGGCCAACGGCCTGCGGCGGTTGTTGCTCGCGGGACTTTGTGGGTGCGAGAGGTGCGGAGGCACCGACATCAGACTCCTCAAAGGTAGGCATATTGGAAGAGGAGTGACAATTGAACTTTGAATGAGAAGAAAAGTGGTTGAATAGATGAAACCGTAAGCTAAGTTAGAAAGATGAGAAGAGTAGGTCAGATGTGAGAGATGGAGAGCAATCCTTTTTTTCAGGGTCCGGGGCACGGTATATATGGACACTGACGACTGAGACTTGATTGAAAGGTATCATTATCTTCTCATTCTTATCGGGCACCCCGGCCATGTACCTACTCTCTGCTAGAGCTAATCCCGTAGTTCTCCGACTAGAATTCATGGAAGCACCATCCCTCGCGATTTGGGGCTTGTCTTTGAAACCACGAGAGCTCCACCGAGCGTAGGTGCTATGACGCAGCAGACCGGTACAACTCATGCTGGTACATGTATCGTCCGATCTGGGAAGCCCTTATCGAAGAGTTTTACAGACTAGGCGAGTAGCATAATGGTTGGTACGTTTCTGTTTTGGAAAAAAAAACTGGATGCAAGCTCCACGAGGAACATGGTGACTCGCCACAGCCCTATCCGTCCGATCCACATTCGGGCCGCGAGGACTACCAGAGCTGCTTTGGTCCCTATAAGTGTTCGGCATGCAAGCTCTTACTGGCAGATTGTGCAGGTTGACTTTGGTCATGATAGTGCTAGAATGCTCGCAGAATGACGTATATCATACAAGGACTGGGTGGAGTTGCAGCCTTGGATGTGACTCGCCGAACATGGTAGCTCGGCCGTATTTCTCCGCTTATTTATGGCAATCTGCCCCATATGGTCGATTTTAACTCATGCTTCCAATGCATCTTGAGGAAAGTGTGCTCCTGCCAGAAGGTAGTCCAGCGAATCATGGCGCCGCGTCGTGAAAAATAGGCTACGCTTGGCTTAGTGAGCCGCAAAACTCGGATCGTCAGGGTCCACCCAATTATGTCATCTTGCAAGCTCCAACATGAAAACTGGGGAGCTGAAACTGTTGGAATGGGGCTTCTGTGGTCAATTTCCTCGCTGGCGTCCGGTGAGATGGGTACTGCACGAAGAAGCTCCGGGGACAGCAGTGCTGTGACGTTGTCTCTGGCTCCATGGATGGTGCAAAAAACAGTTCGGCCGTGGATGAAAGGCGAATTGGATAGGATAGCCATGACGATATAGCTGGGCTGATATATTGGCTCAGTCCTAATCGAGCGCGCCTGCTGGAAATTACTCAGTTATCCAAACATTGTGCTGTTACTGTTTGTTACCTTCCATCCAGTGTACACGACCTTTCCTCTTATCACCTTGCCTTGCAACACACACCGAAATGGCACCCCTCCAGAACACCAAAACCTTCAAGCTCAACAACGGCGTTGAGATCCCCGCGGTTGGCTTCGGCACCTTCGCAAATGAAGGAGCTTCAGGCGAGACATACACCGCTGTCCAGCACGCGCTTAAGACCGGATACCGCCACCTAGACTGCGCCTGGTTCTACCACAATGAGGCTGAAGTCGGACAAGCTGTCCGAGACTTCCTCGCCTCCAATCCTTCTGTGAAACGCTCCGACATCTTCATTGTCACAAAGGTGTGGAACCACCTCCACGAGCCTGAGGAGGTAGAATGGAGCTTCAACAACTCACTGCAGTCATTCGGCCTGGACTACATTGACCTGTTCATGGTCCACTGGCCGATTGCTGCTGAATCGACCGAAGACCACCAGCCTAAGATCGGCGCCGATGGCAAATACGTCATCAAGAAAGACTTGACAGAGAACCCAGAGCCCACATGGAGGGCGATGGAGAAACTCTACCGCTCAGGAAAAGCCCGTGCTATCGGTGTTTCCAACTTCACAATCAAAGACCTGGAGAAGGTCTTCAGTTTTGCAGAAGTCAAGCCTGCAGTCAACCAGATCGAGATTCACCCCTTCCTGCCCAACACCGAGCTCGTCGAATTCTGCAAGAAGAACGATGTTTTGCCCGCCGCATACTCGCCGCTCGGATCTCAGAACCAGGTCCCTACGACCGGAGAGACTGTACGCTCCAACAAGACGTTGAACGAGGTTGCTCAACGAAGTGGATACGATCTTGGCCAGGTGTTGCTTGCGTGGGGATTGAAGCGAGGTTACATTGTTCTACCAAAGAGCTCGAACCCCAAGCGTATTGAGGGCAACTGGCAGATCCCCGACTTGAGCGATGAGGACTTTGAGGCAGTGCAAAGCGTTGCTAAGGGAAGGCACACACGCTTTGTCAACATGAAGGACACCTTCGGATACAACGTGTGGCCTGAGGAGGAGTAAAGCACAACAGGTCGAGAAAAAGCTAGCGAGCACTTATGATTGTATGATAATTTTTCCCGCTCTCAAGGGCCTTTAATGATACCATGTTGTCAAATTAAATACTTAGTGTAGCTTCCAGAGGCTGGAATCAACATGATTGTTTTCAGGCATGATCTGATTGGTGCGTTTATGTGCGCAGTGCAAGTAACTACTTCAACCCCACACTTCCTTCCTTCCTACCCCAGAATCTCGCAAGATGCCCCTTGCTATCTAATATATTTACCATGATCACAACCGCTACAGCTGCGAGCCCATATCAAGTCTTATAGTGAAGCGTGGCAAATGCCGGACTACACTATACCGAGCGTTATTCTTTTGTCCCGGATAGATTGCAGCCATTTGAAAATAGGCAAAAGGCCAACCCTAGCCTCGGTGCAAAAGCAATCTAAACGGAGAATTCAAGCTCAATGGCCAGGTAGGATCTTGGGCTGTGCTTGATCAATAGGGATTACCGAGGACAAATGCTTGTGAGATGCTTGTCCGCATGCAACACAGTGAGGAGAGAGGCACTCAATCTTGATTATGGCCAAGACAAGCTACATTATGGAAGATATAAGAAGGTTTATTTGTACTGACTTTGAAAGAAGCTCTCTGGAAATCAACACCCTCTTTTTGATCCACAGAAACACAGTCAGATCACGATGCTGTCCATTTCTAAATTCTTGGGGCTTGTTGGCTTGGTAACTCCAGCTACAAGCTCCCCAACACATGCCAAACGCGCTCCAACTATCTACCTAGCTGGTGACTCTACTATGGCGAGAGGAGGGGGTGGGGGAAATACAGCTACAGATGGTACAAAACCACTCTCGCTTTACCTTCAAGCGATATATCGCCCAGTGACTAACATAGTAAACAAGGCTGGGGAAACTTCTTTCCCTACTCCGTCTCTCTGCCCGTAGTCAACAAAGCAATCGGCGGTCGCAGCGCCCGCTCCTTCACAGTCGAAGGCCGATTCGACGAAATCACCAGGCTTGTTCAACCCAACGACATCGTCATCATCGAGTTCGGCCACAACGACGGCGGCTCTCTCTCATCCAGCGACAACGGACGCACTGCCTGTCCTGGCGCGGGCTCTGAAACGTGCAAAAGTGTTTACAACGGGCAACAGGTCACGGTGCTCACGTACCCAGCCTACCTCATCAACGCCGGCAGGGCCTTGACCGCCAAAGGCGCAAAAGTCATCATCAGCAGCCCCACCCCGAACAATCCCTGGGAAGGTGGTGGTTTCGTATACTCGCCGAGTCGCTTTACGACGTACTCGAAGAGTGCGGCGGCCAGCATTGGGTCGAATGCCTTTTTCGTTGATCACGGGCAGTATACTGCGAACATCTTTCAGTCATTTGGTAAGCAGAGGGTGGACTCTTTCTTCCCTAATGATCACACGCACACGAGCCCGGCTGGCGCGGACACTGTTTCGCGAGCTTTTGTCAAGGGCTTGCTGTGTGCTGGAGGTAGTTTCCTCTCTGGATCCATCAAGAACTCCACTGGCTCGGTGGAAGGAAACTGTATCTAGACATTCGTGATCGGTCACATGCAGAAATGAATACAGAGTATATGTGTCTCGCTATTCTTTTGTGACTCTCAACGGCACTCAAGGACGTATCCATCATCATCAGAGACATTGATTGAAAGGGTATAAATATGCGTAAAACCTGTAAAGGTAAAACATGATTTGCAAATCCCTACGCAAAGGACGTCTAAGTGACAATAGAGCATGATCTGAGGAAAATAAAAATACAGAAGCCCCAGATACCCGCATCTGAGAAAATAAAAGCTACGCGACCCACCCCCTTCGTTATTACGCCCTTCCCAAGGAGTACGACAGAGCCATGATATATATTGGCTCTTATCGTAGCTACCAGTTCTTCATTGAGATCTCTCCTCATGTTCTCAAAGCCCTAGTGGCTCTTCTGATTTCCTCGCAACCTCTGTGTGTGCATAAGAGAGCGAGAGATGGGTGACTCTCGCGCCGTCTCTATCACCCATTCCCCATGGCTACCTTTAATTCTCTTTGCAATCGTAATCCTGGCCCTTCTTTCCGACCATAGGGGCGCTAGTATTGACAATCCTGTAGCTCCCAAGTCCTTGCTTTAAGTCGCAAAAGGGTCAGCGGGGCGATCAAATGCGTATTGGGCATGAGCATGGCATGAGCAAAGGGTGTCTGGGTCACAGTACAATAGTGTGTCACGAGGATCACCTATATGTACCAAACCAAGACATAACAAAAGAAGGTAGGGAATTCCATGCGTATGCTATATAGGGAAAGAAGTAATCGAGATGAATGAACGAGAAAGGGTACATACGTTCAAAGGTATCGAGGCGCAACCATCGCTCCACGCATACCAATCCCCCGGACTCCCCGCGCAGCAATTCTTCCCTTTGAAAGTCTCAACGGTCAGACCGTTGTCCTCGGCTTTCTCCCACTCGATCATCAGCCCCCAGTAGTCATCCTTGAGTTTTTGACATCCGGACGATGGAGAGAGAGACCCTGGTTTATGGGTCTTGCCCGCGCAGGTGTGGAAGATGCCGGTTTTTTTGGGCTCGCCGGTCTCGGGGGCTGTTACGTCTGCTTTTTCGTAGAAGGTTAGGGAGAGGGCAGATGTTGTTGTTGCTGTGAGAGCTGTAAGGAGGAAAAGAAGGGTAGATGGGGAATGCATGGTGGTGGTTTTGGGAAATGTGTTGTTGTGAGGCAGTAAAAAATTTAGTAAGTTTGAGAATGTGAATGTTATGATGGCTGGATAAAAGCTATATTAAAACAAAAGAGCTGCTGTGAAATGAGGGGACAGGAAGGAATGAACGGATGCCACGGGTATCAATTGATAGACCCAGTTGTCCCAAAAGCTCTAAACAATCACAACGTCTTTCTCGCGCGACAGCAAGTATAAATGCAAATCATGTACAACAGTTTCTCCACAAAAAGCTAGTTGATTAAGGCACACCAATACCCTCTACATATAGAAACGAAACTATGATGTGCAGCCCTACTATATTCGGACCCCAATCCTACTTCAGTTTATTTCTGGGTTGGGTTGTGGCCAATGCCGTCGCATGCGAGAGTACACTACGGAGATTTACTACAAAGTCGATCCACTTTGAAAACACCCCTTGCCTAGTCGCTGTCATGAAATCCGAAGAAATACATGAAATAGGATAAACAATTGCAACATGCTTCACCATGTGGACTGCTTGATGGGTCTTTTATCTAAACCTCGGGGTCCGTTGCTGGAGTCGTTCGATTTAGCGACTATAATTAGGGAAATGAGAGTAGAACATGGCCTTGGTGTTCATAGAATGAGGCAGGAATATGTTTATCAAAGTTTGTTGTATTTCAAAAGCAATGCGCACCTTCATTTTTTGACGCTTCTCGATCTCTCTTTTCTCCATAAACTCGTCCGTTTGCTTTCGATGGTTCGCATATTTTAGTATATCCTATTGCGTTCATTCTTTCCGCAATATGAAGTCACTCTTTTTGAACGCGCTACTCAGCGTATCCATTCTTTCCTTCTCCAACGCTCTTTCTATTCCCAATGATAGTGTACAACACACCAACAATCTGCAAGCACGTGCCGATCTACTCCAAGGCCGTTGCTACAATGGACAGGTCATGGACCCGGATCTCGAACAGACAAGTGACGACTTGTGTACGTATGCCCCGATACGAAATCTCCCCATGAGCTACCGCATCTAGCTGCATTTCGAGATGTCGATAGCCTGTCGAGGTATGTTTGCATGGAACATACTAACTTTGTACCCGCGGCCTCAGACCCTGTTTGTATCACGAAGAAGATCTTACCATGCCCTGCTGGAAAGTTTCCGACACACGCAACAGTGAAAGTGAAATCGGTCTGCCTTCCAGATCCGGATGCGAAGGCAGCCGCCTCGGAGAAACGCACACCGGCCAAAGATGGTAAGAAGAAGGACGGTAAGAAGAAGGGCGGCAAGAAGAAAGATGAGACAAAGAAAGCCAGTGAGAAAACCGGCAAGAAGGCCGGGGAGAAGTTCAGGAAGCCCTCGGACCCCAAGTTGTTCTACTACAGAACTGCGAAGGGATCCAAGATGCAGCTCGATGAACGCACCACGCCTGCGGCCAGGAAGGAAATGAAGAAGAAGGCGTTTGACACGTCTAAGGATCTCCAGGAAGAGCAGCAAGATAAGGAAAACAAGAAGCAAGAGAAGGTGAGGAAGGCGGACGCACAGTAAGTCGTACAGGAAGTTCCCCTCGTCCTGTGGATTGTTTCGTTTATCCAAAAAGGAGCAAATAGCTGACGTTCACACACAGGAGGGAGAAACAGAGGATTCGTCGCAGCACTTGTCTCGCAGTCGGATCCATGAGCTGGCTTGCAAAAGAAGACACGAACAAACTTTCGGACGAGGAGATCGAAGGCCTGATTGAGCCCGATGAGGATGATCTCCTTGTACCTGAAACAGATATTGAAGAGTGGATGGTAAGATTCGATTGGAAGATGGTTCAAAGAATCAAGGGCGACGACACATCGACCGCAGGATTCTTTGGGTGGATCGGTGCGGCCATCAAAGCAGGGACCGCTGTCAGCAAGTCTGGACGTGTTACAGGATCCGTGGGCAAGGCTCTGAGCAAATCCGGTGGGAAATCAAGCGGAGAACGGTACACGATGCTGAGGAACAAAAAGACCAAGGACAAGGCTGCATCTAAGAAATCGATACAGGCGGCGAAAAGCTCGAGCACAGTGAAGAAGATTCTGAAGGACAAGACATTCCAGGTACGTATCACATTCAATGCTTCGACATGCCAGACGGTGACTTAGACGGACTCTTGTAGGACTGCCTCAAATTGGCAGCTAAAACCGTCGGGAAGGAAACTTTGGAAGACGCGAAGAATGCCAAGCGGGCTGGCCCGCCCATGAAGATAGAAAGGTTCGATACAGAAGAATATTCGATATGTATGTACCCATGGTGGGGAGGGGGTCTGATTGAACTGTGCTAACTATGAATTGTTACCCCCAGCTATCGACATGAAAGCGAAGAGGACGTACGATTACCCTTCACCAGAGGACCTTAGCTCCAATGCCATCGTCATGATCGGCGATAAGAAATCCGATGCGCGAGGCAAAGACGAACCGGATATGACGCTCCAGACATTTCCTGACAATTATGTCCGGCCAGATCGCATTCCTTAGTACGTATACCTCGGAAATAACAGGGCACGCGAAGACACGGTGGTGCGGCTGTTGGAGATGCTCATGGCCTATAGTGAACTGGACTTGTACTGACTTTGCGACTCTCAAATCTAGTGAGCACTGTTACAACTTCAAAGGAATGAACGATAATCTGAAGTTGTTGCAAACGTATGGAGGTACGTGTTCGTACTACGGTTCGAAAGACTGCAAGAAGTTTCTGTTTTCCATGACGAACCGTGAGGATGGGAACTTGAAGGGTAAAGACGACAAAGCGGTCAGCTCAGCATGGTGTACGTTTGACTTGAACGATAAAAGGGCACCATCAGGTAAATAGGCGGTTTGGATGGAAGGTTGAACGCGAGGCCAAGGTGGAGGCATGTGTGTGAGTTTCATGTGTAGTCGAGATTAAACAATGGTGGGTAGTAACAGCCAATCAAGAGCTATCAACATTATACGGCACAGGACCAATGATAGACGCACGTAGAGACCGAGTAGGTGAATAGGGGCGATGGTCCCACGGTAACGTGATGTTGCTCCAGACCATCCATGATCTGATAATCGATGGCAATTTTTCGAGTCTTTCCGGAGGCCGGGATGGCATTTGCCGAGTGGCACCATGTCGCGTCGTAACGAAGCGGGCGGTGAGGGAAGCTCTTTGAAGATGAGGGCCGCTCCTAGCGAGATATGATTGGCCGACTTTCACCCGTCATCCCGATACGGCCTAGTGGATCGGAAGGCCTTCGTCCCTGACTAGAGAAGTGGTGTGCTCGCCTTCAACAATCTTTCCACCAGATCCGCCTCCTTTGCATAAAACCCTCCTGGGCTCTCCTCCTCGACACCTGGATACCACCGCCAGCCATTGCCTTTCCGTGGGCTTCCTCATTACCTTCGAATTTTTTCCTACAGACTCATCACTCCTTTTCTGGTCTGCACTACAACATGTACGCGAATCCGCCCACGTCCGCGGTTGCGGTGATAAACAGACTGCTAACCATCGCTCAGGAATTCCACCACGCTGCTCTCGCCTATGGCGCAGGATACCTACATGGGCACTTTTGACGAGGTGTCCAAGTATAACATCTCGCTCAACTATGCCGAACGTTTGTGGCTTGCCTGGTACACATACATGCAAAACGACGTCCTTGCCACCGGCATCATGTCTTTTGTTATGCACGAAGCTATCTACTACGGACGCTCGCTCATGTGGGCAATCGTTGGCATGATCCCCTACTTCCAAAAGTACAAGATTCAAAGCGTATGTCCTCACTATGACTTCCGTCCTCCACCGACTTTCCGCTTACAGCCATCCTCAGGCCAAAATCCCCTCCGCTTACGAACAGTGGCAATGCGCCTTCCTCGTCCTCCTCTCTCACGTCACAGTCGAACTTCCCCAGATTTGGCTCTTTCACCCTCTTTGCCAGTATTTTGGATTGAGTACCACGGTTCCCTTCCCCAGCGTGTACAAGATGGCCTACCAGATTGCTATCTTCTTCGTCATTGAGGATGCATGGCATTATTGGATGCACCGCGCCATGCACTGGGGCCCCCTGTACAAGAACATCCACAAGATTCACCACCAATACTCCGCGCCCTTCGGTCTGGCCGCCGAATACGCCTCCCCTATCGAGGTCATGGTGCTCGGCTTCGGTACCGTCGGATCGCCTATCATTTGGTGCTGCATCACTGGTGACCTACACATCCTGACCATGTACATCTGGATCGTCCTCCGCGTGTGCCAGGCCATCGATGCCCACAGTGGTTATGAGCTTCCTTGGAGTCTACACCACTTCCTACCCTTCTGGGCTGGTGCTGAGCACCACGATGTTCACCACGAACGTTTCATCGGCAACTACTCGAGTAGCTTCAGGTGGTGGGACTTCGTATTGGACACGGAGGCTGGCCCCGAAGCATCCAAGAGGAGGCGCGAGAGAAAGATGGCTTCCATGAAGAAGGCCCAGTAATGGTTTCCAATGGGTGGAAGGAAGTGTCAATCTTGATGAAATTCAATATTCTCATGGCGCTTGCCACTTCGCAATCGAACTTTTCATTAGCATTTTTGTACGGCGTTGCATTAGAATTGGGAGTCCAGAACTTTCCACCGAATCGCTTCTTTTGACAGTTGACGACCTTACATACGAATGTTGTTTAATGGACGGAAGGGGCCTACCCAGATGCTGGGTGGGCACTGCAAATACTTAAATTACTTAATACTATCACGATCGTTTTTTGAACTTTGGAGCGACGTGGCTCTGCCTTTGCCTTTACTGTCTTTTTAGGTTGCTCCGCTCCGTCTCCATGCTTGGTTGCAATCCTGCATATAGTATCATGATTCTCTTGAAAGTGCCATGAATTTCGTAACGTTTCTGGTAGGTAGGTTGACGTAGTGAGCAGACTAGAAGATTCACTCGAAGAATTTTTTTTTAAAGAGTTTCCCTGGTTTCAAATGTTGACTTGGTACACAACAATCCGGTTTTGATATTCCACTATATTCTTGGTAGCATCGCGCTTAGCAGAGGCGGACACTCTATGTGAGATCAAGACTTCCTTTAGCTTAGAATAAGGAGCGAACAATCCTGTTTTGTTCAAAACCTTCTTTCGTTTGGCACGTGATTGGGAGTACCTAGCCCTGTTCAGTACCTAAAGTATAGCTATCTGATCTCCAGGACTTCCTCTCATGCGGAATCCTATCTAGAATATTCAACTGAGCGTATTGCAGCGCAAATTTATAGTGCAGCCCCATCCAGCCTCAAAATAGGAACAAACGTGTCTGCCAAATCATCATCATGCTTGCAATTTGTTTGACACGCACGTCACACCATCCAACTAGAGCAATCTTAGGCGTGCTGCTGAACCTTCATCTAGTAACCACAAAAGCCCTAAATTTACACGTCATACTAATAACAAGGTCTTTGATTAATCTACTTGTGTCGCAAACCTACAGCATTACTATAAATCATACCGATAGGCTCACCCACATGCTAGTTTCAAGTGACGCTCGAAACAGCTGTGCCAATTTTGATGAATCCCTCAACACATGTACGATTCGTTCAGCGCCAAGAGCTATTCTCAGGTTTAATTCTTTTTTCGCTCCACTAAGTGGGAGTTTGGATACTAGGTAAGGTGGTCCAGATGCGCAAAGTCTAATTCCCAAGCATTTGGGGATTGGAAACATGTTTACTCCTCTTTTCTTTACTGTTTACTGCAGACTACTGACAAGTGCTTTGGTTTCAATGTGACTATATAGGAAATGCAGATCCTCCTCAGTTGATATGTTTTCTTCTCCACTCCTCCGATTTCTACACGTCATTCCAACTCCAGCTTCAACTACTTCTCTTGCTTTGCAGGCAATATTTGTTTGAAATTCATAGTCGATTGTCATCGATATGCGCTTCTCCGTTGCTGTTGTCGCTCTCGTGAGTGCCCTTCCATTTGCCAGCGCGCTTCCCAAGGGTCGACGGGGGGATCCAGATTCGACTGCGGTCGCGGAAACACCAGAACGGCCAGGCACGATAGCCGTTGGGGCTGCTCCTGAGGCGAATTGGAGCGGCCACAAGGGATTTTCTGATGCAAAATATGGAGAGTTGGAGTACGGCAAGGACGAAGATGAGGACGACAAGGATGATGGAAAAGACGACCAGGACGACGAACAGGATGAGAAAGAAGATCAAGATGATGATAATGATGATGACGATGACGATGACGATGACGATAGCGACGACGAAGACGATGAGGGAGATGAGAATGGGGAGGACAGTGATGAAGAAGACAGCGATGACGGGGAAGATAGCGACGATGGGGAAGGCAGCGACGACGATGGCGATGATGAAGATAGCGAGGAGGAAGAACAGTACTAGGGAGGAAGAAGTGTGACGATCACCTCCGATATGCGAGCTGGAAATTTCGGATAATGTAATAGTCATTGCTGTTGACGCCGAAAACAGAGGAAGCGATATTTATTGCCTCACTCAGCACTTAGGCAAAATGCTAGAAGTACCATCTGTCTGCGATCAAAAGTGTATTTTCATTCCATGCACAGGCCAGATCTCTAAACCAAAAGGCGTTTTACTCATGTCGTGATTGCCTATCTTAACATCATATCCACCTCTTTACGCTTGCGCAATCTAGGACGTCAAGTCATATAATCAAGTTGGTTATGTAGCAGTTGTGGTAAAGTAAGACGGAATGTAATTTGATCAGCATGGGTTGAACTATACTCGGAATTTACTTCTCCTATTAATCCACAAAAGGGTATACGTGTTTGCCAGCAAGCGTGTACAAGCAAGAGCGTAGTAGCCATTGCCTCCTAGCATATAACGACACTTCATTGCACTCAATTGAGTGACCGACCTAGTTTGATAAAGAGGTATTGCCTTGATACTTGATACCCATGAACAATTACCATTGATCACGACCGTGTCCTTCACATATCCTGATCCCTCTATTATCCCACACAGAGACAGACGCATGTAGGCTTCTCATCTTGAGTCCTCGGTGACTATGGATATGCCCCTCATTCTGTCCATTCTTGTCGTGTTCCCTTATTTTTCCTAATTTAACATTGAAACTTGAATACCATCTGTCAGATTCCTTTGTGATATGATAACATGGTGATTCAATCACTAATGCTGAGATGCTCAAACTCGCTATCTGAAAGGTCAAGCTGCATCTACGAAGTTTTTTTTTTTCAACTCACCGAATTTTCATGAACTTGGACACATGCAGGTAGGAAAAAAACAATCGGTGGCTGCGTCTTCGATCAATCTTACAAACAAGCAGACTAAAATACAATTTTGTGTTGATTTTGAGTTGGATTTTAGGTAATCCTACACATAGCGAAGGGCTATAGTAATAAATAAACTAGAAAAACAAGCGATAACTAAAAGTGTAGCAAAATTTGCCTTTATATAAGCTTGTTGCGTTTTTGATGTAAGGAAATAAAATAGTAAAGCAACGCGTAAATGGGTGTCAAAGAAGAAGCGAAAGGCACACGAACGAGTCGAGACCTAATATTGTACTGTGGTTGAAAACGATGGTGAAGTTGGGAAGGTGGTATTACTTCTAGATGCAGATTAGCGCACATCTGCACTTAGTCATCGGCCAAAGTTCGGGACTCCCGCGTGCGGCGCGTCTACATAGGTCTATCAAGCTACAACTTTCTTTGAGCACTCACAACTATTACTGTCACATCGCAACAACGAGTCCTTCAGGTCTCCAGTCATGGTATCTTCAGGAAAACCTACCGTGATCCATCAGGACTACATAGCGCGGATACGCTATGCCAACACTCTTCCACCACCACCATGTCCTCCGAAGCTTCTCGACATTCCCAATACGGGACTTTCAAGCGGCCAATACACCTCAACTGGCTTTGCCTCTAGACTTGCGCGCGAGCAGCCGCTGAATATCGAAGCGGACGCAGAATTGGGTATGCCGATCGACCTGGTCGGTATCCCGGGTGTTTTCGATGGCGATGAATCAGGTAAGAATCGCATAGGATCGCCCTTCTGTACAGACACTGATTTATATACTAGCTATCAGCGCACTCCCTACTCCACCACCGCTTCACCCGGCTGACCGAGCCCTGATGCGCCCGCCGAATGCGCTGGGAAAAAACTCCGCCAATGCTTCCAGTGCCTCATTCTTGCGCCGCACCGAGTACACCACTTCTCATACACAAGGCGGCATGAAATTCGAGTCCAGCAACTCATCCAACACGATGCGCGTGCGCAAAAAGCGGGCGCGTGGACATATTGCGGAGGATGATCCCATTCACATCACCAGACACGTGCAACGAGGCTTTAACATCGCCTACCCAGAAGATGCGTACACTGGTCCTGATACACATGAGAACATTCGCGGTGCCGACATACTTCCCGAGGAAAGGCAGGCATGGAAGGTACCAAAGAATCCTCATGACCCCAAACTCGAGTGCATCGGCGCGTATCCCTTGCTGCCTGACTGGGACGCTGTACCCGACACAGGCTCCTACATGCTCCACAAGTTTTCCGCCGCACCGATCAACAACCCTGCCGACCCTTCGTACGATCCACGTCTGGATGTCGCCATCTTGCGTCCCATTGGACAGACTGTACAAGATGAACAGGCTTTCCGTCAGGAGCAAGAGGCTCACAAGATCGACCCGACAACCAACAACCACCCTATCCCGCGCTTCCATTACGAGTTCTTCCTCCCATCCGACCGCTCCAAGGTGCATGGCATAAAACGCAACTTCACCACCAACGACCCCAATGATCCCTCTCTTCCCTTTGACGAAGCCCACGACAACGAAGATCCTGATGCCCCACCCCGCAAGTACTTTAAGTATGAGAACATCCGCACATACGAGACGGAGAAGCAGACGGGTGACCCAGAGCGCACGTATGACGATGTCGTCGCGCTTGCTCTGCATGATCCCGACATCCATAGGGACGAGCCCCTGCGCAACACGCAGCTACAGAAGGCCGCGTACTTTTACCCCATCATGCAAAGGACTGTCATTCGTGGACGTAGACCTGGTAGGGTCGAGTTCTCGGAAGAACAGCAAAAAGTACACATCATCGAGAGCGCGGCGAGGGATCCGGTTGGCGAAGCTGAGAGGCGCGAGCAGGTGCGGAGAAGATTCGATCCTTCGCTCGCTGTGCAAGAGGTTTGATCTACTCATGGAAGGAGGAATCTCATGTTGGGGCAAGCAAATGAGTGTATTAGTGATTCAAAGGACGCATTGCTAGCGCTGGCGTTTTACACGGAGTGGAATGGTTGCATTTTTGGATTTAGTATATGCTACTCTTGCAGAATACCGGAGCTATAGGTGGAATTCATCAATTTCTCATACATGGGTTTCTTTGCCACTAGGGGAGCGAATGGTGAATGTCATTTGAAGAGTTGTATGTGGATTGAGAACATACCATTGAGTGATTCAAATAACGATTATGGCGGTCTTGATGGTTGGGGTATCTAGTATATATCCATCCATGCATGATCTCATCTACCCATATATATTCTATCCGTCATAGACCACCGCTAAAGCAAGTGAAAAAAAAGATGTACCATTCATCCATACCGTTCCACCACGACGTGAAACTTTACGCCTCGCTCCTTTGCGGTGCCCAATTCTTGAGCCACGCCCTCGCGCGATCCAAATCGCCACCCTCAGCCTCAAGAGCAGCAACACACCACTCAAGCGCGTACCCGCCTTTTCCCTCAATTCCCACCTCAGCACTCATCATCTCCGCAGTCCCCTTCCGGCGCTGGCTAGCCTCGTCGACGCAGAAGTGCAGCGGCGTCTCATACCCCTTGCCATCCATACCCTCTAAGAACGGCTTCACCAGTGGTATCGCTTCTTTAGTAGGTACGCTTCGATCGGGGTTGCCAGCGTTCTTGCGACCCGAGCGACAGAATTCGTTGCGGCACCAGGGTTTGGAACAGCCCGTGAGGAGCTGGCTCAGGTAGCGACGCTCAATGCGGCGACGTAACGCTTTGCCCTCTGGATCGTATAAAGAGACGTAGAGGGGGCCGAAGCATACACTGCATAGACCGATTTCGTTGCCAGGACCTTGGCCTTTACGGGTGCCTGCACGTGTGTCACCGGTTTGGTTCGCACCGTCTTGCGTGCGGCCGCAGTTTATGTTGCGGCATGTGCGAGGCGGTGGGCGGGACAGGCGTTCGAGGTCGTGGTGACGGAGGTGGGTGTCCATGTCCCGGAAGCGGGTGATTTTGTTGCAAAGGTGGCATTCGGTTGTTCGGGCGCCATCGGCAAGCTCGTGCGGTGTGAGACCAGAGAGGAGGAGTTCGGGGTTGGGCGGAGCGGTTGGGTCGCCTTCCTGGGGGACTTGGAGGTGACAGAAGCGGCAGAGGATGAGCTTGTCCGGACATTCCGTGACTTTGTGGCGTGAGAGGTTGGAAATGGACGTGAAGGCCATTGTTGGGCATGACGGGCACTCTTGCGGGGTGTGATATAAAGCTTCGTGCTTCTGCTTGGACAATGGCGTATTGCCGGTGAAGGTATCGTGCTTGCAATGCCAGTGGTTTTTGAAAGTTTCGGAGCGCTTCTGGAAGACTTGACCGCAACCTTTGGGGCAAAGGATGTTATTTCGGAGACAAAAATTCTCGTGGAGAAACAGTGATCCTTTGGGTACCCACTGCCGACAGTTCTTGCATTGCACCTCGTCCGGGTTATCGGATGTAGTCACGGAGCTCGAGTTTTCTTGTTCTAGTAGTGGACTTGACGTATCGTAGACCGCAACTCTAAGATCGAATGTTTTAGGTATGCTGGATGGAGGGATCGAGGGATAAGCTCGGACTGAGATGTATATTGCTTCGGCGTCCTCCAAATCGACATTGGTTGGCGGCAGACGTATGCGTTTGGGGAATCGACTCGAAAGATCGGCGAAGACGTGCTCATCCTCCCGTGGTTTTACCCTCTGTCGCGGTGAGAATGGACTGACAAACAGATCAACTTCCGACTCCTCGTCTACCCCACTTAATACGATTTCCAGTCCTTGGGTTCTATCCCATGATGACAGCTCGTAGTCGACATATTCTCCGTCTATGACCTGGCCTTGCTGACCCTTAAATATATCGATGCGTCCACCAACGGAGCTACCCTCTGCTGTACCGGGTGCGCGTTGTCGCTTAGCCGCGATCTTCTGAAGTGTCTCACGCGCCTGCTCCTCATTTAGGGCCTCAATATCGACCTCGAGATCAGTGTCTACCACACATATTCCATCTCCCTCTGGTTTGAACCCATCCACAAGGAAGCGGAACTCCTCTCGCTTGCCATCTGATCCTCGGCCTCCATATACTGTGAGGACCTCGCCATTAGTCAGGGTGGTGAAGTGCGATCGCATGTGCTCCTCGAGTAGCGATTTCCAGTCCTCCGGGTCGTAGCCAGCCTCGAGCGGACGCAGTTTCACAAATGTGCCCTTGGGGAGCTCTTTCGCATGCACTGTAATTTGCGCAGCTGACGTGCTTTCCACGGACAACCCGCTCACTCCATTAGCCATGTCTACGTCGCCATCTGGACTTGTACTCGGTGATGAGTCTTGAGACTTCACCTCCAGCCCGAGGGCTTCATGTAGGAAGCTGCTCAAGACTACATGGCCTTCCTCAGCCGAGAATTCCCGAATGCCTGCATGCACAACCCTGCCATTATCTGGATTGACAAGGCGAAAGGTTAACGGGTGAGGTAGTTGCTGAGTGCGATCTTGTTGATAGGATCGAGCTTGTCGCTCGGCGTCGAATGTGTAGGGGTTGAAGGGATCGAACGAGGTGATGTGACGGTTTTGCGGATCTATGGTCACGAGGGGTGCAGCGGCTAGAAGCTGTTCTAGAGCGGACGGGGGCAGCAAGATCTTATCGCCGGATAATTGGGCGGCCCGCGAAGATGGAGATGCGATTGTGTACTGTGAAGACCAGGTCAATTCGGGGGGAGCATCGGCCTCTGCAGACATGGCGGTAAGAAAGATCAAGCAGGTTGAGGGCGATGGTGGCGGTGGTGGAGGTGGTTGACGTTGTACCTGGACCAGGTACACTGGTGAAATAGTGTGCAGACGTTGGCTGACATATCGGTGGGTTTGATTCTCGAAGCTTCAACGAAACAACATCGCGAGGCAACAAACGGTGGGCGGGCGAGCGAGGCTAGTGCGCATGACGTCTTATCGATAAAGGCATTCACCCACCCACTACCAACTTGTTGCTTGCTACTGCCGATGTTTCCTAGTCATGCAAGAATAGGTACTTAGATACTTGGGCAAGTGGGTAGATGAATGGATGCATATGTGCATGTCATGGGAAAAGAAGCGACATGCTCTGCAAGCTATACATGCCTAGAAGGCATGACTGTCGTGTCGTGTGCGGATCACGCTGCACGCAGTGTTGGAGAAGCGAAGGAAAGTGTATGGTAATTGCGTGCACTAACTGATACTCGACGGCCCTTCGGCTCCAGCTTCCCCACGCCGGCAGATACGACAGCATCTACACATGTATCAATAATAATCAATCTATCTACCAATCCATGCATATGTACAGACAGCCGCGTCGCTTTGTCTGCTCCTCGCTCGACATTGTTTCGTCGGTCCCGCATTTCACTAGTCAGTCCACAAGTATTCCGACGGTGGCTGTTTGGGACTCTTCCCCGCGCAAACATTCCAGGTCTTCGCAGGATATCTTGGCTGCTGCATCGACGTGCTTGTCTCTTCAGATCCGTAGCAGGATGGGCAGGATGGGCAAGATGGACACTGTCTGCCCTGCATCAATGCCCGCACATCGAGTCCTTGGTGGGGAATGTTTCTCGGTCCGTAGTCATGCGCTGCTGCAGGCCATTCACCCTCCAACGCCACCTTGTCGCCATTTGCTCAACGATTCGACTCTTTGACCCAAGTTGTTGCACAGTCCGTGGACCCTGAAAGAGATCTGCGGCAAGGAAGCGTAGATAGCATAGCTTGCGTAGTCGTGGGTAGATGCGGCCGCCATCCCCTCCAAAAATCCACACATTGTTTTGTCACATACATGACCCTCGACCAACAACAGCTCCTCCTTTTGACACACCACGTCTCAATCCCCCGCCGTCCATAGACACGCACCCATTGTGCACCCCGTCCCCTGTCTTGCCCAGCTACCGCTGAGCACGTGTACCCTGGGGCTTGTTTGGTCGCTGTCTTGCTCATAAAGCCCGGGTGAGTACCAACTACTAACCTTCTCCTACACTTGTCTACTCTCTTGCTTTGCCCCCCATGAATTCATCCAATGCATCTCTCCCACCTCCCCTAGCCAGCCTCCTTTCCAATTCGCTGGTCCTACGCCAGACCGCCCCTTACCTCTCAACCGCATCTCTGTTTGCGCTGGCCGCAACCTCAAAAGCCCTCCGCCACCTCGTGCTCGAGGATCGCGAATCCCTCCGTCACCTGGATCTTTCCACCGTCAAGTCTGCCATTGTTTCCTATGAGCCCCTCGATTCCGGTGGCATCAGTTGGCGCTCTGAGCGTATGGACGAATCATTGACCGAGGATGAATTCTATTCCGGTCCTCTCCGCGGCATCTTCTCCAAGCTGCAACGCCGCCACATACTGCAAAACGTGCAAACTTTGGTGCTAGATGGTCTGAGTGTTCCGGCAGATCTTGTGCGAGAAATCATCGCCGAGGACAGGTTCAACGTTCGTATACTGTCGATCCGCGAAGTCAAGCACCTCAACGAGCGGAAGCTACAGCAAGTGTTGCGCTATGCTGTGCGGCCAACCAGACCTGCCGGTTCACCTAAAATCAAGGGCATCTACCTGTTTGGGCCTCGCGACTCTGTTCCCGCGCCTCACACCCACAACGAGAAGAAGAAAAGCCGTCAAGCCTCGCCTGCAAGAGGTGTTACATCTTCACAGGGTGCCCAAATCGGCGCTGAATGGAATCAGAAGTCTACGTCTGCGTTGAATGCTGCCTTGGCCAAGACCGACGACAAATGGTACCAATCCACCGGCAAAATGATCGCCAAGCGACCTTCCCTTGACTGGGCTGAGACTCTGAAGGCTTGTGAGGGCATCATTGCTTTTGATGCGGTACTCTGCAGAGGGCCCCGACACGACCCCGCCACGGCATTCGTTCACGATCCTTCCGTGCCCAGCATGCCTCATCCCTCTTCATATCTCAGTCCCGCCGTCGCGACGGTGGCACTTGGTCCTTCAGGTTGCGAGACGTGCCATTCCTGCCCCGAAACTCCCGCTGTCTTTGGCGAAACCCCAAATTCTTGGTTGCCGCTCTTGAGCCCAGTTCCACTCCACTCGAGCACAATCCGAGCTGCGCAGAAACCTCGAACCACGGACGGATCCAAACCTCCTCCTCTCTATATTCGCTGCGAGGATTGCCTGAAAGGGCGTTGGTGTGAACGGTGCCATAAATGGTGGGGGGAGGATTGTTATACCGGATCAACGGTTGCCCAACGTACGGAACTACAGCAAACCGAGTTTATTGAGGATGTGCAGACCGATGGAGCCACCTGTGTTATTCCAAAGCAATCTATCAAGGTACATATGGGACTTTGCATTGAAAGCTGCCTGGTCGGTGTCATGGAGGCTGGCGCAGGCAGCAATGGGATGTGGGGTTGAGATTTACACTCGGCGCGTCAGGGACGATAGGCCAATACCTGGAAAGTGATGAGATAGTTGGACTCCGGAATTCAGTCTCCATGGCTGAACGTGGACCCTGACTATTGGAAACCACAACCTGGTACTAGCCCTGGCGCGTCGAGGTATCTGTGCAAACTTCTGTTGGACAGTGTGCTAACATTCCATGCAACAGGTCATCGGCGTTCGACGAGACTGTTTTGGCTGCGGTCATACTGTAAGCTTTCACAATGCCGAGTCGAGGCGCAGAACTAATCTGTATAGTGCATTACATGTAAGGAGCTGTTTATTCGAAAGTGCAAGACATGCCAGAACGAATACTGTCTCGAGGATAACGACGCATCATCTGACAGCAAGGTATGCCTTGACTCTCTCCAATTAAACCATCGTCAGTCACTAATATGATCAGTGTGACTGGTGCAACTTCACCTCTCGGAGGACTGTTGAAATGTACTAGGCTGCACTGAAGCTGTCTGACAGATGCAGACGTAGTAAGCTATCGCGATCGGAGCGATGACGGTGAGTTTTTGAAGGGAGCGGAATTAGAGCGCCTTTCGGTGCTTGCTCTACGTCTTGTGTTGATAAAGCCACTCCACTCATAGCGTTTATGTGAATAAGATACCCCACTTTTACAACTCGTGAGAATTTCATAATCTTTCCTCCAAAATTATGCGTGAAATGTCCGAGAAAGACCATGTAGGTAGCAGTTTGGATACGTGAGGTTACCCGGTACAGGGGGCCCATGCGCGTTGCCGCGGTCCAATCATGGAGAGTTCCCTCCGCAGAACATGGTGCTGCGTTACGATGCGATCTCACTTCACCCACAACACAGACGGCACATCAGTAGCCATTGCCACGCCTGAGTCACAAGCTAATTGTTCTTCGCGTACGTCCTGGAGCGCAACTTCACGCTCACCACCTCCGCAGTGTCTACCCCTCATAAACCACCTCCATCGCCGCACTGCACCGCAAACTCACCTCCACACTGCGTATACGATCTTCACATCCTGTCCACACTCAGTTTGCAGCCTTGGCCTAGGATATTTCCCTCAATTTATCCCAGAATTTTGAAATACCAGGAGCTTCATCGAACATCATCATGGTGGGAAAGAAATCCGGACGAGCCCAACTTCGGGAGGAGGGTATGCGCCCATTGATGGCTTGCTTGCACATTATCCAGAGACGCTGACAGGTCCATCAGGCCTCGCACGAACCGACAACAATCTCGATATGACAACATGGCCGCAAGTCAGCATGATCAACCAGAAGAACTACTATACCGAGTTCTTGAAACGCGACGAACAGTACCTGGCTGTACGTTACCCACAAGAAGAAGAACGTGCTCGCATGGTACAGGAGGCTCGGGATAGAGACCGCGCATTGGCACAAGGAGGTCCAGCGGCACCTACAGAAGAAAATCCCGATGAAGCAGGCGTGTCGGCTTCGAAGGATGATCCGTCCAGGCTCATAGTTCTCCACGTAGGCAGTCAGAACCTGAGAATCGGACTAGGAACAGACGCTCTACCCAAGACTGTACCTATGGTCGTCGCGAGGAAATGGAAGGAAAGCGAATCGGAAGAAAACGGCGGTGAACCCAGTCCCAAGCGGATGAAAGTCGAGGGAGTACTACCTGCTGAAGCACTGCCGGAGAAATGGTTTGGGGAGGATTTCGCCGACCAGTACATGGCTATGTCATCAGAATTGAGAACTCGAATGCGCTCAAACAAACGACGTGTGCTCCCTAATTCCAAGGACCTCGTCACCAACTTCAATAAGCGAACACCACCTGAAGTCATAAACGAACACAATGATGTCGACAGAATCGAGTGGACTGAGATACCCGCAGCCTCATCGAAAGTTCCCCAGTCCTTTACTGGCCATGATGCCCTCCGGATACCAGACGGGTCGAACCCTCGATACAAACTGTTCTGGCCGATTCAGTGCGGCACGTTCAACGAAAAAGACTACACAAATCGAAACCAGATCTATCACGACATCTCGAAGATTTTTGAAGATGCGATTAGGACACAACTTGGCATTACTAACATGAAGGACCTGGCCCACTACAAATGTGTGTTTGTCATTCCGGATCTTTACGAGCGTGTGTACGTGACTATGATGCTCGACATCCTGATCAGCGATCTTGGTATCGGTAAGATTTGTCTCCAACAGGAAAGTCTTTCGGCTACTTTCGGGGCAGGCTACGGCATTGCTTGTGTCGTAGACATTGGGGCCCAAAAGACATCCATATGCTGTGTAGATGAAGGCATGTGCAACGAGGAGTCACGTGTCAACCTGAAAATGGGCGGCTCAGATATCACTGAAACGTTCATCAAGATGATGCTTTACGGCCACTTCCCGTATTCGGATATGAATCTGAAGCGCCGGTATGACTTCTTATTGGCCGAGGAACTCAAGCAGAAGTTCTGTTCAATGGAAGAAGACACGGTCACTGTCAAGACTTGGGATTTCCATGTTCGAGCATCGGGCCAAGATACGAGAAAGTACACTTTCAAGACGTATGACGAAACAATGTTGTCGGTCATGGTGAGTTGTTTGTTACTGATACGGCTATCTTGTTTATTTGCTAAGTCGGTGAAAGGGTCTATTCAAGCCATCGATCTTTGAAGCCGAGCGTAAACTGGAAGGACGTCGAAGTGTCATTGCCCGCTCGGTCGACCTTTACGACGGCTCTCCCAATGATCCGCTTTCCCTAGCCCAAACCGCCGTGATAGACGCGGCAGCCGGCAAATCCACATCTGTGAACGGCACGCAAGAACCGCCCACCAGTGTCCCAGCTGCCGCCGCCGCCACACCCCAGCGACCAGGCGCCCAACTCAATCACCTCAACCGTCTCCACGATGCCGAAAACACACCTCGTTCTTCGGTCGCCGGCTCTCCTGCCCCAGAAGGTACTAACACGCCCAACCCCGACCGCGACACCCCCATGGGCGACGCCGACCGGCCCCTAATTTTCCACGACCCAGTCCTCGAAAAGACCAAAGTAGCAGAGGAACGCGAAAAAGTCCTCCCCATCATGCCCCTCGACCAAGCGATCCTCGAATCCCTTGCTCAAGGCGCACGCGGCGACGATCGTAAATTACGCGACTTCTTCGGCGGTATCATGCTCATCGGCGGCGGTAGCAAAACCCCTGGCCTCGGCGCTTTCCTAGAGACTCGTCTCAGGGAGCAACGACCTTTTTACGGCAAGGAAATCCTAGTAGGACCTCCACCAAGAGAGTTCGATCCCCAAGTTGTGATTTGGAAGGGTGCTAGTGTGTTTGGTCGTTTGAGCGCGTCAGGGAATGATAGTTGGGTCAGTAAGGCAGAGTATGATGTCCTGGGGAGCAGGTTGCTGAACAATAAGTGCATGTTTGCTTGGTGAAGGGGGAACGAGTGTGAGCGGAAGATGTATTAATGAAGTTATTCTTGATTGCTATTTTATTCTGTGATGGTGGAGAGCCAGATAGGCTCCGTTATTAGTTTGGACGATAATTCCGAATCAACCATCTCTGGGTTTGCGGTCATGGTGCACAGAGACTTTTTTTATACATGGGACCAAGGATGTATGCATATTCGCGTTATTCGCTTTGATTTTGACTGAATCCACGTGTGCATGTATGCAAGCCCCTATAGCGTTGTTCCTTGTTACCTTCTGAGTAGAGGGAAAGTGGGTGCGACTTCCTGTCGCGGTAGGTCTCTTGTTTCAAGATCTTCTTGTCAATCACCATTGTGGTGTGAATCCGTCTTCACATCTTCCACCTTCAAATGTTCCCTAAGTCTCCCATGTGACCCAGTTAAGGAGAAACAGCCACCCTATTCTTCCAAATTCTGCCTTCCGACTTCCTCAGTCTCAATAGATAATTCCTTCACAAGCAGCGAGGATAACAATCCCAACGTACTGAACCCAGCCATCAAACACCACACAGCTCTGAAAGCATCTCGGTACGCCAACCTCACACCTCCCATGACCAACGAATCAACGTCTTCAACGGCGTCCCTCAAAAACGGAATGAACCCAACCGCCTCGGCCGAGTGCTCAAGCACAGACATAACTTCAGGAAGCTCCCCCACATTCACCATGGACGCTGCAAAGACATTACTGAACACCGTAGATGCAGCCGCCAACCCAATCAACGCGCCAAACAAGCGAAACGAAACAAGCAAGCCAACAGATAACCCCTGGTCATCTGGCGCAACACCGGCTTGTATAGCAACAGCAGGGACGACGAACTGCACGCCCAATCCTATAGCAGCCATGACCTGGAATCCCGCGGTCGCGGCAAGCGAGGGATGCTCGCCCCATAACGCGTAGAGTCCTGTGCCTACGGCCATGGTGATCCACGAGGCCCATAGCAGTTTCAGGTACCCCCTCGTGTGGTCGACAATGATACCCGCGAAGAAGCTGAAAGCTATAAGAACGGTACACAGGGGCAAGATGGAAACTGCGGATTTGAGGGGTGTTTGCAGGAGCACCGATTGAAAGAAGAGGGGGAGGTAGAGCAGCGAAGGGTAGAGAACCAATCCGTGTATGAGTCCTCCGAGGAGAACGGCAGACGACGATGCCGTGTTCAGGAACCTATATGGGATGACGGGATCCGAAGGCCGTTTCTCGTAGATTGCGAAGGCGACTAAGACGACGACGCCGATGATCAGGGGCACAATGGTCCGCCATGATGGCCATGCATACAGTGCACCGCCCAGCTCAAGGGCAAGGAGAAGATGGTGCACCCAGTTACGAACAGCGCCATGCCGAGCCAATCGAGCTTTGCGAGCCGCGAGACGAAACTGCCGGAGATGGGTTTGAGGTTCATGAAGAAGACGGCACATGCAGCACTGATGGCCACGAGTGGGAGGTTGATCCACCCGATCCAGCGCCAGTCGACAAACTCGCTGAAGAGCGCGCCGATAACGGGTCCTAGGATACATCCCGCAGCCATGGGAATCGCGAGGAGACCCAGCCAGAATGGGCGTTCTTTTAACGTGGTGATGTCGCAGATGATAATCTCGTTGAGCACGTCGAGACCTCCGCCTCCTAGACCTTGAATCACGCGGCCGAGGATGACGACCTGCATGTTCTGAGCGACGGCGAAGACGATGGAGCCCGCGAAGAAGAAGAAGAATGCGGCGTATAGCAGCGGTTTCCGGCCCACGACGTCTGAGGCGCTGGTATATAGAGGTTGCGTGATGACTACGGAGAGCATGAATGATAGATTTGCCCAGAATGCTTCGAGTGTGGTGCCGTTGAGTTGGCTTGTCAGTACCTTGTGGCTTGCGTTAGACTGACTGAAAAGTAGTGGTTGGGTGTTTGACGAACCGGAATCGCAACAGCCAGAGCCGTCGAGTCCAAAGAAACGATCAGAACCATGATAACAAGGGATAGAAAGGCAAAGTAGAAAGCTACTGGCTTTCTCTTGGATGTTATCGACTCTTCCCCTTCGGCAGCATGAGCTGTCTCTGGGCCTGATTGATGCTTTTTTTCTGAGCTTGGCAGTCCTTTCTCTGGATCAGAGCATTCATCATGAACGTTCTCGACATTTGAAACTATATCTGGAGAGGGTCCCGACATGTTACTGGACCATAAAAAATGTGTTGTCTGACCCGATGGGCAATGGGATAGTGGAAGTATATCAATATTATATACTGCTATGCAACCAATTCAACACAGCAAGAGTATCTCGTCATATTTTTTGTCAAATTATAGTTTATTGAAAATCGTGGAATTACCAATGTCTGCAGTACATGATCACAGTCAACTAGTCCCACATAAGTATGCTATATGCTCTTATGGGAAGGTTCGATTTGTCATATACCGCTTGGCCATACACATTATTAATCAGTGATACCATCTCTCTCTAACAAGCAGGAGACGATACCTCTTATGACGCTGAAGGATTTGAGAAAATAGACGAGGGCTATGCTTACACATGCAATTGGATGGATAAAACCCGACGTCCTTCAATCCTTTTGCATCAAGCTTAAAGTTGGCCACTTTCATCCTGCCTGTCTGTATGCTGTTGACCACCTTAGTGAGAAGGTAGAAATCGAACTCTCACATCGAGGCTGAAATATTGTTTATCCATATTCATACACGATACTCTCTTCGTAACTGTGCTGACAAGAGAAAGAATAGAGGAAAAAAAAAAACTGATAGGACAAGAAAGATGATAAGATTCTACGCCGCCCCTTCTCCTCCTAAGTATACAGACATATGCACGCCGAGTCCATCTTCATATCCTTCCTCCCATCCTTGATCTAACAGAAAACGCCCTCCCAGATGCCGCTTGGTGGAATGGAAAAGAAAGAAAATAATAGCGATGAGGATGGAAACCCCATCATGGCGCCCATTTTGCTCTTATGAAAGAGCGTAGAGATAAGCGAAAAAAGCTCCCTCGTACCTTTCCTTCTCTTTAGTGCCGTCACACCGGGCAAATCCTTGATTATCACGGCGATGAAACTGGATACAAAGGAATTACCAGAAGCTACACCACCCGATGTAATGCTGGCACAGGTTCTCCAGGTTCGTCGCCTCCTTGACGAGCTTGTCGACTTGCTCGTATACGTTCAGCTCGTCTTTGTCCTTGCTGACAAAATCGCGGCCCGTGAGTTTTTCCTTGACGCGGCTGAGCACGACGAGTGCACGCGCGTTCTGTACTTCCTTAGCCTCGGCCTCGTTGGCGGGGTTGTTGTTTTGAAGAGTCGACGAACGATGGCGGCCGCCGCCAGGACGCTGTGCGAGTGACGACATATTTTCGCGGTCTACAAGCGCGCCTGCCACTTCGCTGCCGATGATGGATTGGCGGCGTTCTGAGGGGAAGGTAGGTTGCGGTGGAGAATCACGTTGGCCGAGGCGCCAGGTTAGAAGAGGATCGTGGATGAACTACACGACAAAACATGGTCAGTAAATCTGTCTGATATGGGCGGGGATAACAAGGGGGGATGTAAAAAACTCACAGCTTCTAGAACTGCCATAACACTCTCCTTGTTCGTCCTCAAGACCCTCATGACATGTTCACAAGTTGTTCTATAACTTCCTTCGATGTTGCTGACCTCCATGGCGTAGGTCAACATTCTCGTCAACCTAAAAGGAACCCTCTCTGGATACTTGTCACGGTGCATTGCAACTTCGAAGCAGTCGCCAAAGTCAATGTGCACAATCTTTCCAGTGACGCGGTCGAGCATCAAATTGGACGGGTGTCGATCGCCGAGCCCAAGGATATAGCCTACCATAGACATGACTGCAAGTGAGCGCGTATAGTTAGTACGACGATCCAGCCATGCCTCTGAAGATTTCGATTTGAGCCATAAAACGCGGTAAAGATCTTGACCCGTGGTATTATCAAGGGCATAACCAAAGACTTCAACCTTTTGCATGAGCGTGAGACAGTCATAGTCGGGGGCCATCTGCAGCATAATGCGGTGTTCAATGTTCAGCAGAATTTTACGACTGTCACGGTATTCTCGAATCAGGACATGTAGAGTATCCGAATTAGGGACAAATCCTAGAAGACCCGACTGTGTAGACAAAGGAACTGCGGCGTAGCGTTGAATGTTGAGATGGCGCTTCCGGCTCTCTGTGTCGTTCATGAGCAGTGTGTTGCAGAGACCGAATAATTGCATGACACGTTCGTCTTGACGGATGTCTTCATGGCCCTTAAGAATATGCGTATGTGCCTTGCCATCACTACCTTTCATTTCCAATTTCCTCGGCCTCTGCTTGGATTGAATGACAGTGGCTACCGGATTGAAAGAGCCGATGCGAATGATAGGTTTGCCAACTTGATACGTCCCAGGTACAGCAAGCTCAAGATCATGTGCGTCTTTGAGCTTAGGTGAGACATATTGCAGCTCAAGTGTCATGAGGGAAGGTAGTTGGCGAGATATTTTACGGAAGACTTGGTAGTACAGGTCCCAAGCCTGATTAAGATCACCCATTTCGTTCGATGTACGGAAGGTGTTGCACCAGTCTCTCGCTTCTTGGAGTTCCCTGCCGAATGATTGAATGAAGGAAATTTCACGCAGGGTTTCCGGTCCACGGTCAATCATGGCGTGTAATGGTGCGAGAGTAGCGAACATGCCCTCTATGTTATGATCACCAAAGTAGAGCCTAGATGCTTCTTCAAGACCTTCGTGCCACTGCTCATGCCAAAGGACCGCAATGCGAATGAGCTCGTTGCTCACAAGATCGGCCTGTTCCACTAGTCGTGGAGAATGTTCGCGCATGGCCTCCATCAATTCCTTGGCCGATCGTTGTCGTCTCGAAACATCCGATTTCATTGACACAGTAAGTGGGAAAACGAGGGCTTGAGGATGTGCCTTGCCGACTTCGCTAAGCAACTGATGAATTGACTGTCGAATCGTAGGGTTGGGTTGGTTGATGCGCGCCAGCAATTGTGGAATCACTTCCAGCCATGTATCTATGGGAACTTGTTTTGTCCCGTCCGAAACAGTGCGGTTCACATCTTGTATGCCTCCATGGCTAAACCATAAGGTTAGTAGACGGAGAGTGTCCTGAAGCGAACTTGATGAAGACAAAGCGATTGACTTGAAGAAACCAGTGATGGCAGGAACAATATGCTCGTGAACCACATTAGGCGGTAGTTCGGTAGACTCGCGATCGGCTTGTGACGTGAGCATGTTGACGACCTCGAAGTTGGCCAGGGCCCATGAATGCCAAGCCCTGTACCAGTCTTTGTTGTATCGTGTCGCTGCTTGATATGCAGAGAGGACCTCATGAGTAAACTCATGGTCCCATTCTCCGCCATGTAATATTTGTTGCCATTCTCCGGCTTTATGATAGCATTTGGCAAGCAATCGTTGGCACTCGACCAATTCTGCCGGGGAACCGTACGTACTCGATCCATTGAGCATGCTGGAGCCATTCATTCCACTGTGGTTGTTGATTCCGTTGGACGCTGCGAAAGGATTCATTGAATTGTTCATATGACCATTTGACATTCCGTTCATGCCATTCATGCCATTCATGCCGTTCATACCATTCATGCTGTTATGTATACCGTTCTGGCTCATCATACCCCCCTGGGCAGATCGCGCTCGAATGGCAACATCCTCCGATAGCCTGGAAGTGAAGTCCTTGAGACTATCAAGAGCCTCTTTTTGATGATTAGCGGTAGCCCACATGAACTTGAAAGCTGCATATGAGACTGGGTAAGCGATCTTGTTGACGTTATCCCGGACGTATGTGAAAACATTGCCGTTATCAATGTCGAGAAGCTTCTGTAGGCCTTTCTCGGCAAGACCATGGCGTTCATTCTTGCGACAGAGGTTGGTATATTTGATCCACATATCCATGCTCTCTTGAGGGGTGATGACCAGTTGACGAACTTTCATCATACGCTGCCACACGTCGGGATTTGGTTCCAGGCCCTTCAAACGCTTCATCCAAGTTCTGCGCATGCTAGCTCGCTTCTCCGGGTTACTGTCATTCTGCTTGTAGATCATGATCTCTTCGAGTTCTGCCAGCATCTGAACACGAATCATTGGGAGATAAGCTCGCTGGTACGATTCACCTAGCAGTGAGCTGAGTTCCGTATCAAGACCTTTTCTAGCTTTGGCAATTTCTTCGGTTGCCACCTCGAATCGGCCGTTGTAAATGTTGACTATGGATGCGAAAAAAGCTCGGTCAGGCGACTGTTCCTTCATAACTCCTAGGTATGAATCCATATCTGCGAATTTTCCTAGGCCCCATGCTGCAGTTGCAGCTAGTGGTGCGATTGCTTTGCGATACTCCTGAGAAGCGTTGGCCCATTTCTCTTTGCTGAGGCTAGACAGCAGGTCCCACTCGCCCAAAGCGTGCAAACAGCGCATCTTTCCCATGGTTATCTCGAAGGAATCTGGCTCTTCACGTTCTCTGCGTTGATACGATGTTAATGCCTCTTCCCAACGTTGCAATTTCTCAAACCATGTCTCTTTCAATTCTACGTCTTGGTAACCCTGCGCCTTACGCAGAATACCGAACGCAGCATCTGTTTGCTGGAGCTGGTTGTTGATGCTGATAAGGGCCTCAACTGCGCTGGCGTTTTGTTCGGCATTGAACTCCAACTCTTTATAATGCAGCGCCTTTGCGAAAGCATGACATTTGCCAGCATACATACCTAGGATCCGAACGTCGATTGGCAAAGCCTTGTCGTCGTGCTCCATGAATTCTGCGAGATTCAGTAATATCTGTAGGATCTCCGGTGGGATCATGGGTGACGTAAGAGCGGTCTCAATTGACCGCACCAGCTCTTCTTGATACTGATCATACAGCTCGGTCCAACACGACACGAAAGCTGAATTGAAAAGGCTTCTAGCGATTGGGCTGTACACGCTGGCTAAGGGTGTACAAGCGCGAAGTGCCTGTTGGGGTGACTCTCTAAGTAACTCCACGCTGAAACGTCGCATCCACTCGACCCAATCTTCTTTTGTCGTCTTTGCTGAAGCCTCCCAAGCAGACTTTAAATGCTGTTGGTTGACAGCTAATTTCTTACTGAGGATTTCAGCTGGGTTCATATCCTCGTCGTCTTCTCCATATCGCTCATCAGGACTGAGATCCTGAGGTAATGGCTCGCCCTTTTGAAGCTTGGAAACAATCCGCCCATAATTCTCATGCGGAACTTTATAAGCAATCAAGATCTTATTGACAGTCGGGACGAAGTGAATGTAGTCGGGACCAAGTTGGAATATCAGAGCGCAAAGCATTTCTAGTGCGCTCTGTTTGATAGAGGGTTCGTTGCCTGCAAGCACCCGGCACACTGGGTGGATGATTCTCGCAGCGAACTCAGAAACATTGACCTGTTTAGACAGTCGACCCAGTGTCTCCATGGCGAGTTTCCGGAGATGGATTGGCTGGCCTGATTTGTCGAACATCTTGACCATTACCGGGATGATGAGATGCATGTACTCCTCAGCACTGGAGCCAAAGATAAGAAAGGCATGCAACACCCTTGCAGAAGGGGTCCGCTGGGCACTAGTATCGGTTTCCATGACACCAAGCATCAGCGGTAACACATCGGCTAGATAAACCTTGAACTCGCCTTCTAGTGATCGGGCAATTGATTCTATAAGCGACAAAATCGTAGCTTGCAACTGCGGAGTGCTGTCCCAAAACTCTTTGATTGCGGCGAGGATATCTTTAAGATATGGGCGGATGTGCTGTCGTACAATACGAACCAATTGACCGAGTTGGTTAAAGTAGCCCTCTGTCCGACCAGAGGGAGCAGCAGCGATGACCTGCAGAAACATCGGAACCACTTGATTGAGGAACGGAACGCACTTTAGCCCCATAGTAGCGTAAATGTTCATCACAGCTTCGACGACGGCCGAATGGAATTGTGACAGTGACGGATCTTTCAGCATATTCATCAGAGTATTAATCACAATGGTCGGGTAGTATTCCTCGTTCGACGGCGTAATGCCTTGCATGATCAAGGTAACGTCCGTCACAGCTTGGGCCTCGCTGATCAATTGCGTATCCGGAGATTGTTCCATAATCTTCTGGTACTCATCCGGATCCAGAGCTCCCAATGTTCCCATGAGTTTTACAGTTTCCCGCCTAAGGTCGCTCTCCGGTTCTGCTTTGACGATATTCATAAGGATATTCATGAGTTCAGGGTAGTCTCGGTATGGCTCCATCACGTAACCGGCGTTTGTAGCTAGTTGTCCCAATGCACGCAGCGAGGCGAATCGTTTTGAATCGGAGCTCAGATCCTGCATGAACTCTAGGATGATCGGCATGAGGTCCGGAATGTACTTGATCATACCCTCTCCGCCAACGGTAGCTAAGTCGCCGATAGCTTTCAGTGTGGTCGATGCAACTTCTGGGTTGGGATCCCTTGCTTTTGGCAACAAAACGTCCACAATGGGACTCACCAGAGGCTTGATCAGATGGTCTGCAGCCCCCACAAGATTGCTGATGAGCTTCGCGCTTTCTTCCTTGCTCCGAGGGCTGTTTGAATAGTTGACCTCGGTCAAAAGCTGCAGTAGGACTTTACGCAGGGATGGAAAGACATATGCGGGGTTGACGGTCGTTAATCGACCAACGATAGTCATGGCAGCTTCTCGGATATCGAAAACTTCGTCGTTCAAGGCCAAAAATAAAGTCCGGATATTGTCTGCTTTGCCAAGGTGTCTGTCAAATCGAGCATCGAGAGCTATCAATACCTCCCATCGAATGTCTGGTTCTACATCTCCCACACCAACTGTTAACAACTTCTCTATGATGTCGCCCACGACTTTCGTTGCCTGGACACTGGTTTGATGAACGATCGGATCTTTGACGAAAAGCTGACAACACGTTAGAGCAGCACGCTTTCGAATCTCTGTGCTGTCTGCCTCGACGTAACGAATGGCCACATCGCGAACAAATTCATTGAGAACGTGGCCGGTGAAATCGAAACTTCCAAGCGTATGAAGCGCCAGCGCTATTTCCGCTTCTCGTTGTAAGATGATTTGGGGATCTTTGTGGTCGCGTGTCCAGATCTGTGGCGGTTGCGAGACTTGATATGGACTTCCCAAAGGTAGATAGTGTCGCCCGGCAAGAATTTGACTCAGGAGATCCAGCAGCTTCTCTTGAATCACAGGCCGACAAGGGGGTACATAATGTGCCATGTCCACCAATGCTTGGGTCAAGGAATCGCTGAGTCCGCAGGAAAATATGGGATCCAGTAGCCGCTCCACATTTTTGCTCAAAGCCTGGCCCACTGCTGCCGCAATCATACTAAGACATCGGAAAATAGGGGCTTCGTTGATGGCTTTATTGCGGCTGTATACAAGTTAGCAAACGAAGATGCATCGGCCTGAATTCATCTTACGATTTTGCTGAAAGACCGTCATGTATAAAGCCGAGGATGCCTTCGAGGTATGGTGCAATCGATACACCTACAGCGTTCGCAATTTGACCGATTGCAACAAACGCCTTATCTCGATCTCGGTCCTTCCTTATAAGGCCTTGCAGGTGCAGCATACACTGATGCAAGTACTTGCTAGCGAATTCGGTGGGAGAGTAACTGGCGAGAATGGGGATAATGAGGACCACTTCTCGTCGCACTAGAGGGTCGCGATGATCTCTGTACTTGAGCACAACCTCGACCGTCTCTTTATACTTTGCTTCATTCATAAACATGACACTCTTGTCGAGGAGTTCCTTCATCGTCAACAAACTCCCATGTACAGCCTCGTTTGTGTTCAGCCCGAAACCCTTCAATATTTCTTCGTAAACCCTTCCAAACCATTGAGTGCGCTGTTGCAGGTCTCGTGGGGATATAATTTCGAAGCAGGCACTGATGGCCTCGGCAGCGGACTCTCGGATGAGAACCTTAGGATCACGGAGGGCTACCCATATGACTTCGAATATCTGTGCAATCCACTGGTACATGAGCGTCGGGGAATTTTTGGCCAATTCGCGCAGAATGAGTACAGAAGAGAACCTGCGACTCTCGGAGCGTTCCATCTGCAACCACTCGAGGGCTGATTTGACCTCGGCGTCGACCACCTCGGCGGCCAGTGTTCCCCCGGGTTTTGCCAGACGACCGAGAGCCATGGCGGCGGCTACCATGGCGGAGTTGTCTGAACCGCGTAGCACCGCCTTGAGATAGCTCGCAAAACGCGTCGTTTTCTGACCGGCATCATCGCCGCGGAAGTCAATGAGGGAGTTGAGGGCGTATATGCCACCGATGCGTTCGCTGGAATCGTTGCCGGCGACCATGAGTTGGGATATACGTAAGATGACATTATCGTAGAAAGGTGCAAAAACCTGGGGTGCGAGTTCTGTATTCTGTGAGCATCCGTGTACAATATAGAAAGCTTCAGGGACAGGCTCTGGCCGCAACAAACGCACCTCGGTGGGCATTTTCGACCGTTTGGCGCACCTTATGTGCAGCCTTGTGCCTCTGGTCATCGTTCCTATGCGCAAGTCAGCCTCTAGGACCAGCTCATTGTCGCCCGTACTACTTTGCAGCGGTGTGTCTGGCATTCTTACTTGGATCGAAGCTCATGGACAATGCGGTCCAAAGTCGAGGCCAGCGGGGCTGGCTGTTGCTGCATCGCCATTTTCGACTCCACCTAAGTCGCGCAGCTATGAGGAAAGGAAAGGGTGGTGTCTTCCATGAACAGGAAGCCCGTGGGTGGATAGAGGGAGGGGTTGTGAATGGGTTAATAAATAATGAGGGAAGGCAAGACGTCGCTCTCACTCTCTCTCTCTCCGCGCGTGCGGCTCGACCTAGCTACAAGGGCCCGTCACGAGCACGCTCGGACCACTACTTTAATTCTTGACCGCGACCGCATTGAGCCAGCTTCGCTTGTAGTCGCTCCCACTGTCAATGTCATCCGGCTAGGAGAGTATCGAGTGGTACCTGGTACTGGATGGATATCTTTCGCGGTGAACCGATTCTAGTATTTGTACGCCAATGGATAGCCTATGCTCGACAATGCTACACACCGCGCTCTTCTCTCTAATCAATCCAACTTATACACCTCCAATAGTACCTGCACGATCATGACTATCCAATAACGCCTTGCGCCACTTGGCCCACGAGCCCGCCCAGCTGTCCAAAGAAAATGCCTTTGAGCACGGTTTCGCCCTCCCCAACAGCCCACATGCCTGCTTCTGCCAGCGTCTCCTTCCACTCTTTCTGCTCATGATGGCTCAAGTCCTCCCATTTCCTGGCCTCACCGTGCTTCTTCACCACGTCTTCTTCGCCAACATGCACTTCAGCACTGACGACCCCGTCCTTTTCAGGATCGTGATGAACCACAATCGCTTTCCGTTCCTCTGCCGGCAAGTCTTCGCGTCCGTGCATATCCAGTAAATCCAGAAGACGATCCGACACTTTTGCTGCGGTGGAGTCGCCAAGGTTATGTTGCGCGGCTACACGAGCATCATGGATCACAGCTCCTGGTGCTTTGATCTCGGAAGCTGCATTTTGTAGACTGGCAGGCACGATACTCCTGGTCAGATTGCCCTCCGGATCAATGAATCCTTGAAGCATAAATGCTATCGCGCAGATGATGACTGCTACCAACATGTAAGAGGCACCTCGGTTCAGCGCTAAAGCGCTCGAGCTCTGTAGGATATAACGAGACTTGGGCTTCTTCGAGACTGGTTGTAGCTCAAATGTCTCAACATCGATCGAATTTCCGAGTGATGTCGAAGCCAAACGAAGGTATTGCGGTCCCGGCTTCTTTCCTGGCGCAACCTCGGGTTTGAAAAACGGAGAGAAGACCACTTTTGTCATTTGTAGTTCATGGACCTATACTCATCAGTTCTCGGTTTTCATTCCTTACGAATGACTTGATACATACGTCGTAATAAGTAGCAAAAGCGTGGAAGTGACTGAGTGAGTCGCGCGCTTGACCATGGTAGTCGATTGTCAAGATCGTAAGCGAAATGTCAATCGCAGATATTGCAACAACTGCTTGACAAGCCCCGTCCGAATCTGCATCCAGCAAGGCAACATCCATGCCCACAGCAGCCTTTGCATGCCTCGGCAATGTCTTTCGCATGATAATTGAGCCAGGCCCTTCTTCATAAAGCCTAAGAACCCACAGTTCTACCCCGGATCTGTTGTGCTTGTTGACGAGTAGTAGAATGTGAGAGGACGATAGCCAACGTATACTTCGGATTTTCGGACGGTTTTTGTTGTCGAGACTGGGGAAAGGCACTGAATACACTTTTCGTTGCGTATCGGCTTTTCCTAGGTTCTTCCTCTTGCCAAAATCGTACAAGATGCTTTGGACGTGAACCTCTCCCGGGAGTGCGTATGCCACATGGAATGCGCCCTTTCCTTCGTCCAAGATGTCTATGTCCTCGGCTTCCTGCCCTTTGTTTAGCGATATACGCTGGATGATATCCTTGTCATTGTCCGGCCTGTTTGATGTCGCGCTGAAAATGACAATCTCGTTCTCGTCTCCAGCCAAACTCGATGCAATTGCCCCAATCCGTTTGTTTGGTGGTCCAGAGGCATTTCTTTGCGGAGGCGAAAGGCGCACAATTCGCTGATAGCCTTCTCGTTTCGCATTCGTAGCCGCGGGAGGTTGGAAAAGACTCGTTTTGCTAAGAAACGAAAGCTTGCCTTGGGGTGTCTGTTCGTTTTGTACGTTGCTCGCCCTTCTGGTATTCTTCGGAAATTGAATTTCGAATGACCTGAAATGTTCGTTCTTATCCTTCAATCGTTCATCCTCGCTACTGTTGATTCCTATGCCAGAATAAGCCCGGTCCTTCGTATGATCTCAGCCTGTACGTACCAGCATACAGTATCATGCCATCCCTAGTGGCCAAGTTTGCGAGCGATTGCACTGAGTCGTCTTCGGAGGCTTCGATTTCGGCGCAGGACTCAATTGCGGGAGAACGGGAACTGAAGTCAAACACTGTACGACTTTAGCTTTGTTTTCGCCACAGCATCCGCTTGACTGACCTGTGATCTTGTTCTTTACTCCATGACGGCCGGCTCCACCCCCACCACCCACGACCAGGTACGAAGGTTTGCTGTTGGAAAAGGTTGCCGAATAAATCGGATAAGAAGCTAAGATGATCAGTCATTGTAGATCGCATCGACCATTCGACAAAGGGCGCATACTCTTCGCTTTGGAAACGGTGGGACGTGACATCAGGTCAAGCTGTGCGATTTGCGCTCTCGGGGTTGAGAGGGTAACCTAAGGATGCGGTAGGTGAGAGAAAGAAGCGTATATTGACGCGCTTGTAGGACAATAGGGATAGCGCCTGAAGGCAGGTTGTATATAGTTGATGACTATCGTGAATTGCTAAAGCTCTTTGATAAGGTTTAAACACGTTGCGCCGAAACCCATGTACAATGCGCAAGCGTCATCCGTCCGCGAACTGCTTCCTTTTGCGAACAGGGATTAGCGACGCCTCGCTTCTGGCCTTATCGATAAATCTACTCGCGGAATTATTCCAGGACCCCCATATGGATCTCTAGATATGTAGGTGCTTATATAGATCTGAATCGACGACAGCTTTTTGGGTGTATTTGATAATCTGTAAATACATTGCGTGCCCTGCGAAATGCATGTGTTCAGCTATAAGATCACGGGGCAACCATCTGAGCACTGCAAAAACGGCTACAGTTGAGCTTCGACTCCTGCCAGCAGGAATTAACGATGACGATGCGAAAGTCGCAAATGGTGGTTAACACAACCCGTTTGATCCTTGCAGTTCTTCATTAGGAGATATCCTGATAAAAATGATCTACAGCACCAGTTTGGTCCCAGACTTCTTGGGCGAGAACTCATGAAGAGCATTGGTAACTAGGTGCACTTTTCCCAATTCACAATTGCTTCTTGCGAGTGCACGCATGCGCCAACAGCGCTTTAGTAACATCGTTGCACATAAATATGAAAACAAATATACTCCCGAAGGAACGAATGAGATGAGGAACGGTGGAGAAAAGAAACGAAAGCGAACTATAGGTATCTGGCGGTGATGCCACCTCAACCTCCCGCCCTAGCATCTAAGCTCAAAGGGTAACAATGGAACACCATCTATCTCATCCAGGACACCTCGAAATTCCTCCTACTCATTTCGGCGCAACGCCATCCTCCTTCTCTTTACCGCAAGTCGTATATCTCGTGAATTTCATCCTTTTCGTGCCCTCTTATTAATTCCGAACCGACCCACATACATACCTGCTACGATCATTATCACTCGCCATCGATCCATTGGTTGCTTCGATAGAGTGTTCCCGCACTAGAACCACACCTTTATGCTCGCTAAACAAGATGGCCAACAACATGTTATATGGGAACACAACCAAGAACACGGCGAATATATATATATCTTGCCAAGGGGAGGACATCGGGCGACACGTGTGGATTACTGTGGACCCGGTGCTACGTTGCCGTTAGGGGCACCTCCTTGGGCAGCTGCAGCCTGAGCCTGGGCAGCCGCTTGTGCGATAACATCGGCTTGGTGTACTGCGCCTTCGACTACTTGTTGTTCTTCGGGATTGAGGTTCTTGATGAGGTTCTCGTAGAGAGCCACTTGTTCTTGCTGGAGACCTGTGGTGAGTTAGCAATCATGATTCATATGCCACAAATAACGGAATGGCATACGCAGAAGAGCATGTTTGAACATGCTATACGGCTCTACTTTATCGAGCGGTGTCTCGAGGAGGCTCTCTTCCTCAAGTTCATCATCGTCGTCATCACTCACGGAAGTGAATTTTTGGGCCTATTCTAAGTCAGTAGTGGACGGGTGCCAAAGGACAATCAGTCTTACCTCCTCGTTGAGAAATTCAAGGTACGCAGCACTCTCATCCTTGATTTCATCTGACTCCTCAACCTCATTACTCCAGTCTGCTTCATCACCTGTCCAGTCCTCATCGCCGCTCTCGTCGTCATAGCTGGAGAAGTCAAAGTTATCCTCCTTCTTAGCTTCTTCACGATCTGCAATCCGTTAGCTCACAGCATTCACCTTGTATCTGGGAGATACGCACTCTTTATGGCTGCAGGGAGCGTCTGGAACAAACGCACGATACCCTGGAGCAAGCGCGGCCAGCCTTGCTGAACACTGACTGGCACGTCCTGGCCCTTCAACGTAAGCAGTGCACATATAGCAGAAATACACAGTTTTTTATCATGGACCCTCTTGAAACTGTCAATCGAGGCGAACCACAGGCTGAAAAACTTGTTAGTCCAGCCATTTGTCTCCAACACATGAAGTGCCAGAACAGGGTTGTAGTAAATGGCGTTAATGATAACCTCCATCAGGTGTATCCTTAAGGACTTGACCTTGACTTCGTCGTTTGTGAGAACCGTCATGGTCAACGAGATGAATTCGGGTATGTAATCATCCACGTGGCCACGCATGTTAAGCATGACAATCTCGGATAACTTGCAGCCGCAAATTTTGTCGACACCTCCGACCTTGTCGTCTTTGAAGATTGTGCGCACCATGTCGACAATAGCGTCGAGATACGGTCGGTTTTGGATCAGTGTCTGAGTTCCATAATTCACGAAGTTCTCCAAGGCAGGAAGCATATCTGTGCGATATTAGCAATCCGAGTTTTCTATTCTATAGAGTTCGAAATACCTTCAAGATACAACTCAGCGCCAGCTTTGAAAGTTCGGTGGATCAGTTCAAAGGCTTGCCACATAGTGGCCGAAATGCTCTTGGCAGCAAAGGTGCAGCTGTCAATGATCTCAAACACTTCGTTGTACAGATCTACGCACTGGTCAGTTGTTGCAGATAGTGGATACATTGGCCACAATGCGTACCGTATAGTTTGTTTTCGAGTGTAATAGTAATGACAGGCATGAGAATTGTCTCCAGGTGTAAAAGGACATCGGGAGTACTTTCCAGGGTCAAAATCAAAGTTCCAATCGTTTGAAGAACACCCAAAGCAGTGATGCTCTTCTCATCCAAGAAATCACCGTAATCGCCGTCCTCTCCTTTCTCCTGGTTTCGAGACACCAGCTCTCCGACGATACGAAGATATGTGTCGCGTAACTGCTCACTGAGAGCCACAGCAAAAGGTGTGAGCTCAGGAGCAAAAACCTCGACGAAATCCTCCATCACATTTGCTAAAGCATCGACATCGACTTCATTGGCAAGCTTCAGTAATTGCTGCATCACCTGAGGGATATTAGCTTTCATATTCGTACGAATGACATCGTGCCGAATGAGAGGCTGTAGTGCCAAAGCTGCCGCAACCCGAACCGGCAAATTTGGGTCCGCCATCGATTCCAGAATGTTGCGATATATGATTATCAAGTTGTTCTGATCCTTGAAGTTGAGCTGTTCAAACTTTTCCAGTGTGTCGCAGGCGCGGGCTCGAAGGAATCCATGGGGGCTTCGGAACTCAGGAAACACGTGGCGAACGAAGAAGTACTCTACTTGATCGGCGATTGGACTCTTCTTTGACAGAATCACACCGGACAACGTGCCGATCATACGTAGCGCACCTTCCTTTTCCCTTGGATTCTTCTCATTATCCGGTGCCGATTCGTATCGGTTAACTATTTCGTTGACGAAGTTTAGTACACTGAATGTTTGTTTCCTGCGACTCTTGGTCAAAGTCACCAAGAAGTTAGTCGCAGCAACATCAGGCGATGTAACTTCCTCATAGAAGTTGAGCTTTCTGTGGAGGTACTCCTGAGGCTCGTCCTCGAAGAGTTCGATGTCCTCGTCTGACTGGCACAAGACTGGGAAGATCAAATGGGAAATAAGACTGTCGATGTGATTCGTTACGAGACTCCACATGGATTTGGGCTTGATGCAGTCGTCGAGAAAGTTGAGGGTGAAGTAAAGACTGGATTTTGACAACCAGATCTGCTTTCCAACCCATTTCTCCACCTGCTGCAAGTATATTTCGAGGATTTTTGGCGCGAAGTTGGCGATGAAGTTCTTGGCAACCTCAGTGTAATCCATCTCATTGTTCTTGCCCAAAGTCGAAGGATTGCCATATCTGACGTAAAGCCTATTGAGGTTTGCGTAGGACCACTTCTTTGCTTTCCACCAATGGTTTGCTTCGCGCTCATCGAGGTCTTCGGGGAGGGAACATTCCGGGGGGTCTTTGCTGACAACATTCAAAAACAGGGTGCACCAGCTAGCCATGGTGTTTTGTTCGCGCAACGCAGGAGGGAGATCGAAATATATAGCATGTTTGTATACTTTGAGGGTTGTCCGGAGGATTTCGCCGGCTTCCAGGCTCGTCTCATTAGCCAACTGATTTCCAAGATTCAAAAGCTGGGGGAAAGCCATGGCCACAATCTTGTCAAAATCCGCTCGACTTTCGGTCGATTTGAATCTGTAGATTTTGCATATCGCCAACAGGCATTGCACACCAGCGAAGACGGATTGGATGTCCCCCGTGTTGAGCAGTTGTATAGTGATGTCGAGAAAGTTGGGCCACTTTTGCGGGAAGTCGTAGGCAAGGATCTTCTGGAGTGTTGGAATGAGCTGAGCGCGGACGTTTGGCTGAGACGCGACGAGTATGGGTACGAGGCGGTTGCGGAAGGATTCCTTCTCTTCCTCGGGTATAGGTTTGGCTGAGCTGTATTCTTCTGCAGGACTCCAACCTTTGGAAACGCGGTTCTTGAGATAGACGACAGCTATGGATGGTCAGCACTACGTGGTATGGCTAAGAGCAAAGGTGGCTTCTTACTGGACAGGCGGACGGCGGGGTCTTGCTCGTTCTCGAGTATGTTCAGCAGGCCATCGGTGAAGCCGACCTGCTCTTCAGCCTGCAACCGTCAGTATCATGTTCAGGGGGGAAGGGTACGGCAACAATCGCGACACGACAGAGCGAGAGGTGACGGGCACAGCGGTGCGAGGTATGCCTACATGTTTAAGATCGAGCTCGGCCTGCTGGCGAATAGCAGCATTGGCGTCCAATGTGTTCTTGACACGCTCCCGCAGGGCCGCGACGTCCATGATGGCGGTGGTTCAAGGTGGGAGTGGGTGACGGGTTGTTGTGAGCGGGACACGACAGCTGGACTCGGTCGGTGGTGGTGCGGTGAGCACTGAGGAGTGGTAACGTGGGGTGGTGGGCTAGGACCACAGCGGTGATGAGGGCTCCAGTGGATAGCGGGCAGGATCAACGCGATGCACCTGCCATGCACGAGAATATGGTGTGACGGGGTCAGAGCAAGCGTTTGCGGATTGAAGTTTCGTCTCGAGTCTTTTGTTTTCAGCCCCCTCGGCTTGAGTTTGGGTATATTGGCTCGAAAAGTTGGAGGGGCAGTAGTTTTGCGTCTGTTTTTCTTCCGTGCGCGGCACATAAAGCTTGACAGGGTGGTCGTTAGAGTCGCTAATCCTACACGGGCTAGCTCTCATGCCACGTGCTGCGTCTCCTCTTCTGTGCCTCAATCTACATAAGTACATACATATGTACCTATCTATCAATTGATATAAGTACACATGCATAACGCAGATGATACATGCAAAATCCATCGTCTTATCGCATCATTCAGCTGTGTATACAACCGATTGCATATGCATTGATTCCTCCAACTCTCTCTCTCTCTCTCTTTATAACACTCATACCAACACTACAGTCTAGCAAACTGTACTCTCAACTACCAGCGCAACATCAACTCGCGCAAATGTTGATTATCATGCCCTTGACCTCACTGGTCGAAATCTACACACATGTGGTTGTCAACATACCTTCGCGGCCAATCACACGTACGCGAGCTCTTCTGTTCACCCATTTCATTTCCTCCCCTATTAATATGTGATATATTCAGTTGGCCAAAGCACGCCGTCAACGGGGCGGGCCGCTTGTCCAAATCACACACTGTAACAACGACATGGGCATCTTGGTAGTTACTCATCTTTACTATATATTCTTGCAAGGAGTTTATCGAGAAATTCAATTCGCTCCGTGCTTGTACAGTGGCAGTAGAAAGGTTGTTCGATACATAAAACATCGAGAGCAAAATGGCGCATCTACGTTGGTAACCGCATGTCAAAACCCGTCGCAACCCTCGCCGACTCGCTCCCCAAAATTTGCAACGCCGCTTTTGAACACGAGTTTCGCGTTCAAAGTTGATCAACCCTCGATACTTCGAATTTGTTTCGTTGTTGGATTCCCGCGGAGATTGCCGATAGTACATTACAGGTACAAGCTTGCACAGTTGCATATGTCGCTGTTTCACCGTAGTCAGCATGATCCCAACCATCAGCCAGTCCAGGATACCATGCACAAGCAACACACCGTTGCATCCCAGAAACCGGGCTTTACTCAAACATCCAGATCTGAAAACATACCGTTTGATAAGCTCCTGGCAAGTTCCCATCTTCTGGAACAACACCGGATCGCCAATGATCCGTGCCGCATTCTTCACTTCCCTGCACGTCTCGTCGAGCCGCGTAATGACTCGCACGATAGTCCCCTCCATAACATCAGTCAAGTCGGTAATGCGATTGAAACTCATGCCTCTCGCCCACTCGTATACGACCTCAACCATGCCAAACCGGGGCTTGCTAACAAAGTCGTTTGAATCCTCGGCCGCGAGGATAACCTGGTGTACTGTCTGCAAGTGATTAACCTTCTCAGATATCTCGACAATTTTGGCCATGCCCCGTTCTAGTGCGGCAGTTAAGGTAGGCTCTGTATCAGTCTTTTCCTGGAAAACGAAACAAGAGAGCAATGCGACAATCTCTTCGGGCTCGTAGGACGCGAGCACATTTTCAAGGATCAACTCGGTGAGAACAAGCTCGTCCGCAGAATGAATCTCGCATGCGACTTTCCCTTTCAATTCTACGCGGGTATCCTCATCGACAAATCCGAGATCCTTGAGGACGGATATTCTCTGTTCATAGTCAGGAAGTAGCTGGAGGTTTTGATCTGACATGAGCTGGCGAAGTTGAAGAATGTTCTCCTTGATAAGCCATTCATCGTGTTCCATAGCGAAGTGCTTAAGGAAGTCTGGACATTTGAGACACTCTCTATGGGCAGCGTCTTGTCCTGCGTTTCTCCGAGCCATTTCGATCTCTTTGAATTTCAGGTTCTTGATTTTTTCGTAGTCAAATTCGTCCCAATCTTGATAGTTCCAAGACTGGCAAAGTGGAACAAATTGATCCTGAGCTAGTTTCAACGCATCTGGAACACCCGTTAGCAGTTGATTCGATCAGTAAAATTGCAGTGTACATGCCTTTCTTTCTCCTCAAGTTTTCCACCGATTCGGGAATATCGATCACTGTTCTTGTTAAACACTCAATGTCGTTGAGAGGGATGAGCGCGCTCTTAAGAATGAATTCCTTAGGCTCTATGGGAAGAGCACGGAAGAATTGAGCAAATGGAGAAAGATAAGGGAGCAAATCATCCTGCTTGCGCTGTTTGTTCGCAGCAATCTCCATTACTTGAACTATGGGCTCGGTGCCTCTGCTTGTCCCTTCCCTCAGGAGCATCCCGACCGTTCTGACATTGTTCTTCTTATAAACAATCAGCCGGTTTGGCCCTAGTATGCGCCTGCCGACCGGATTTGCAAGTAAAGCGAGATGTAATTCGTTCGTCAAACGCTGGTAGTCGACACATGCCTTGTGGCATAATTCCAGATCAATATCGCAAATCTTACACGGCTCTCTCTTCACTTTCTCGAGGTCTGCTTCGGATATCTTGACTTTGTTCTCGTGCTCAGGAAGCAAGGTTTGCGTAGCGTTCTCACTGAAACTACGCTTGATCATCTCCTCGATTTTCAATGCTTCCACACGGAGAAGATTGAGGATCATGTTGTAAGTAAGTCTGAACTGTGATCGAAGCTTTGTTGGTTCCCCGAGCATCATTTGTCGAAGTCGGGTAACGGGCGGGGCTTCGTCTGCTCCTGGTGCGCAGATTATAACGGTACCAACTGTATCTAGACCTCGACGACCCGCTCGTCCTGCCATTTGAGTATATTCGCCGGGCAAAAGATCCCTAAACTGGCGACCATCGTGTTTCCGAAACCCAGAGAAAACAACAGTCCTAGTGGGTAGGTTGAGTCCCATTGCGAATGTCTCAGTCGCAAAAAGAATCTTCACCAAAGTCCGAGCGAAGAGAATCTCGACGACTTCTTTCACAATGGGTAACATGCCACCATGATGTACCGCAATTCCTCTGCTGAGTAACTCCCTGAGCCTAGTGATCTGAGGCAGGTTGCGGTCCTCCGGACTCAGACGCGCGAGCGACTTCTCAATAGTCATATGTATAGCACTCTTCTCTACTGCTGTGCAATAGTCCAAGTTTGAGAGCGCGTCCGCATTCTCCTCGCACCGTTTCTTTGAGAACACAAAGATACATGCAGGAAGAAGATCCTTCTTGCGTAAATGATTGATCAGATGTACCCATATGTTTCGGTCTTGGGCAGCTGTTGTTCTTCCCCCTCCACGGCCTGTTCTAGCAATGTTGCCTCGACCTCTTTGGGCGGGGGGACCCCCTCCTCGTTGAGCTCCACCACGTTGGCCTTGTTGTTGACCCCCTCTCCCTCGCTGATTCGGAGCCCCACGGCCACCTCCACCACGACCCCCACCTCTCCCAGTCTGGCTGTCAGCTCCTGGTGGCGCTTTTATTTTATCCTTGCCCGAAAGAATATCATTCGCCTCTTTCCAACCACCTTCCAGAAACTTCTTCTCTGCGGTGACGATCTTGTACATGTCCTTGCTAGCCCACAAATAGTGCTCGAGAGGGATAGGGCGTTTGGGTGTAGAGATAACATAAATGTTTTTCTTTTTCGTTCTACCAACCCATGAAGCAAACTCGTATGTGTTTGGCACAGTAGCTGACAAAAGAATCAAGGTGACATGTTCAGGAAGCATAATGATGACCTCCTCCCAGACGACACCCCGCTCTGCATCGTTGACATAATGAACCTCATCAAATATGACGAATTCGACATCGCGTATAAGGTCTGCGCCGCGGTACAGCATGCTTCGCAGAATCTCAGTTGTCATGATCAAACAGCTGGCTTCAGGCCGAATCTGTACGTCTCCAGTAAGAATTCCTACATCGTCAAATGTGAGTTGGAAATCACGAAACTTCTGGTTACTGAGTGCTTTGATAGGGGATGTGTAGATAGCTTTTGTCATATGCTTCGCAGCCAATGCAATGGCGTACTCTGCAACCACAGTTTTGCCGGCAGACGTGTGGGCAGCGACAAAAACAGAGTCCCCGTTCTCAAGATGATAGACTGCCTCTTTCTGGAAAGTGTCCAACTCAAAAGGGTACTCCCTTGCTGGTTCTGGGACGAGATCGCGGAAATTCGTGATTTCACGATTGACATCAACCATATGGGCCCATTCTTTGCCACGCTTCTTGTTGGCTGCCATGTTAAGAGCACCATGAGGTGCTAGTGCCGGAAATTCCACAGGAAGAAGAGAATCTATCTCCTCATCTCCTGCTGCTGGATCCTCCTCTTCTGGAGCCGACCCTCCACGTCGATTAGCACTCCGGCTCGGGATGTTATCGTCTTCCTCATTGTCATCGTCCTCTTCGTCTTCCCCTGTCATGGGCTCCTCTCCTAAGGTATCTTCTACCTCTTTGGCAGCCTTGGCGTCAGTTGCTGGCTTCTTGTCAAAGTCAAGCCCTCGTGTGAACCCAGGCGGAATTTCCAAAAGACCACCTTCGGCGGTAAAGTTGATGACACGGTTAAGACCTCCAGCTTTGTTTGGTTTGGCAGCATCCTGTTGAGACAACGCTTCGTCTTCAATGGCGGCAATCGCTTCCACGCCATCTAGGCCACCAGGCGCAAAGGGAAAGAAACCAGCTGCACCTCGGACAAATTCCGCCCTGTTTGCAGGTTTCCTGAGCAAAGACGTGGAGTTTTTGGCGGTTGCAGAGTGTGCCGGAACCGTGACTTCTTCATATCCAGTGACACGACCTTCCAATCCCTCACGCGTGAACCGTATAATAGTGCGTGTTTGTGTGGGTGCGATTTGAAAAAGGCTGCGATAATCTGTCGGGGCATCCCACCGCTGTTGTAACTTGTTCAACCATGTGGTGCTAAACGATCTGGAAGGCGTCAAGAACTCATGTTCCAATTCCTTTTTTATGTCGTCTTTGGTTTTACGCAATCGTTTGAGTGGGCGCGGTTCTTCAGTCATCGAGAGTGTCCAATCCGGATTCTCCGCAGACACAGCATCGCAGCTTATTCGCAAGCGTTCGAGCTCCTCGGAGACTCCCTGCATCGTAGTGTCCTGATGCAAACTCATACAATTCGTCGGCCTGTCTGTGTTGGATATGGAAAATCAGGTAGGGGTTGACGTGATGGCATGACATCGGCGTTGTAGAGAGCTTACGCTAAGCTTGAAGAGGGAAATCGCGGGGCAAATAGGAAAGAGCAGAGAAGCCCCACTCATGAATAAACAACATTTGGATTAATAACTGACATCACGATTCACGGAAATCTCAAACAAAAATTCGCATGCTGGGTATAGGCTGCGAGCTTTAACTACAGAAATAGCGATCCAGGCTTGTATGTATATAGAAAACCCCCCAAAACGCCGCGCTATGCAATCATCAAATCATCTTCCACCCTCATTATTCCTGAGAGGTCCAGTCTTTGTGTGTTTACAGTCCCTTGTTGCAACTACCACATATCTCCCATCTCTGCCATCGCTTCCATGTCATCAGCGAACGGATCATTACCAGTCGTTGTCAAATTGGGCCGATGACCTCCACTTTCGCCCTCAGCCAGTAGAGCGTCTAGTTCGTCTTCGTCCGGGCCTATGTCGCCCAACCCTATTGTTCCTCCAGTCTGGTTTGCCGGTTCTTGTCTTTCGGGCTGCTTTTCGCGTGGCCCATCATCGTCTGTAACGGGCCCCGTCTCAGCGCTATCCCGTGCGGGTTGGCCTGCCATAATTTCGTCTTGGACTTCGTCTTCATGGTCTGATTTATTCTTTGGCCTGCCCTCATCTATCCACTCCTTCCTCATCATTTGTATGTTCTTTGTGTGGCCTAATTTCTCAATCATGAAGAGACCATCCGCAAACTTCGCACGAGGGTATAAGCCGTCAAGCCACAACTGGTACATATTAAGGAGTCGCGCGACATCGCCATACTGGAACGTTGTCAGCATCCCTCGGAATAAATTATGTGGAGAGAACTACCTCATGTCCCTTCCCTTTGAGTTTCAACCTATCTTTTGATATTTTGCGCAGCTTTGGTATGCCCAGATCTGAGAGGAGAAGCTCACCGTCAAGCTTGGGGATTGGTTGTTTTGTCTTTGTGACCTTGATCTCCTCCTCCAAGCCCAACACATCGTCGCCGGTTAACTTCTTGTTCGCAGTCGGTAGAGAAGATTGCGCTTCAATGTTACTCGTGTCGAAGATGTCTTTGCCATCTAGTGTTCCATTGAGGATGGCGTCGAGATCGTCGTCGGAAGGAATATTGTGATTCGGCGGGTCTATAGGAGCCATGGTGTAACTGTACAGTCTACTCTCATTCGCGTGAGCGTATTTTTATCCAAGTACCTGGGTATAGGACGACATCCTGAGTTGTGAAGGATCGCGTGAAGCTGCGTCAGACGCGACGCGGGGCGCTAATCCCGAAAAGCAAGTAGCGCGCAACCTTAATCCCAGCCTCGACTGGGCTTTGGCGAACATCTCTAACCTACACCTAACAAATGCGACAACCAATCTACCCATACCACATACAACTAGCGACGACGGCCTCAGCTTAGAGGTGATTAATCAGCACTTGCGAAAATACATCGTTGACATCAGTGGTGACTTGCTCTCTTGCGGTGCGCCGGCCTGCTGTGAGTCTTGTCGAGCTCAAACAACGACATTCACCATTCAGTTGTACACATATTTGAATCACATTCAGTATACATGCTCTGTCTGCTGCCCGTAACCTCATAATACTTATGAACGAGATGGCGGTTATAGACAGTGCCACCGAAAATCTTTTCACAACCCGACTGAGCGAGCTGTTGCGACGTGCACGTGAGTGGAAACGGAGCACTTCGATTGATCCACCACTGCAAGTATCGAATTTGCTTGATGAGGGTCAGGGTGTCCTAGGTTCGCTACAAGCGGACAAAGAAACATCTGAGATAGAGATCGCAGCCAAGAGCATATTCTATTCCACCCTTGTAAGTTAATAGTGAAGTTTGATAGGTCTGCTACTAACATCAAAAGGCTTCATACGACATTAGCGATCCGCTTTTTGTAACTGTATGGGACCTATTGGATATTCTACAATACTGCAGTGATAGAGGTATGGTGTCCCGAGACTCATAGATAGTTTAATCTAATCTCAATCAGACCTATGCTCTCAACAACTAGTATTACTACTGATTGAGGAGCTATTCGATGGTCTATCGCTGACTGGTTGCCGATATGCCTTCACATTCCTGGAGTCACGGAGAGAAACTCTGATCACTGTATGCCCTTCCATGGCTCGGTTGTGTCACTTGACCCCACTAACAGACCCGTCTAGCCACAATCGCAGAATAAGAATCTGGTCATCTTGCGTATATGTAACGAACTGCTTCGCCGTTTGTCTCGCGCAGAAGATCCAGTGTTCTGCGGTCGAGTGTACATTTTTCTCTTCCAGAGTTTCCCGCTAGGTGACAGGAGCTCAGTGAATTTGAGAGGGAATTTCCACGTAGAGAACGTCACGACTTTCGAGGAATATCTAGGGGAGATTACTCCGCATCCCGAAGATAGCATGGAGGTTGATGCTAAAGAGGAGGTTAATGAGGATATACAGGTGGCTGAGAAAGACGGCGTACCAGCAACAATGGAAGCTGCGAAAGCTAAACCATCAACCATGGACATAAACGCCCTATATCCGGTTTTCTGGTCGCTACAGAACTTCTTCTCCGACCCTCCACGCCTTTTTGACACGGAGAATTTCAAGCGCTTCAAGGATGGTCTGGAAGCGACGCTGGCCAAGTTCAAGGAGGTTCCAAAGGTTATTCAGACCGTAGGATCAGCTCTTCTGACGACTGCACAAGCGCCCTTGGACGGAGACCATGATGAATTCGCTAGTGCTTCGAATCCGAAATATCTAACAAGTCTAGACTTGTTCAAGCTCGAAGTATGTGATTGACATTGCCACAGCCAAGAATACGGAACTAACACTTCGTAGCTCAGCGATCTTGCTTTTCAAAGGCATATCTTGGTGCAAGCGCTGATCATGGTTGACTTCCTCTTGACCCTGACGGAGAAATCCAAGAGTAAGCCTTACTACCAGAGTGCACAAAAGGCAATGCAGTACTCTTTCACCCTGAACGAAGAAGACGTGAGTCCATGGGTTTCCAATAACCGCCACTCCTCGCTTCGCAGTCGACCCTTACGGTTGCACTGCGATCTTCGTTTCCCCAGCTGACCACAAAGCACAGACCGAATGGGCGTTGGGCATCAAGATGTCCATCGCAAATTACCTGCAGGACGGCCCGGATGGCAAATTCTACTACCGGATGGTGGATACAGTACTTTCCCGCGATAAGAATTGGGTAAGATGGAAAATGGCGAATTGCAAATCTTTCCAACGCACGAAAGTCCCCACAAAAGACTATGTAGATTCAAAATCCGGGGCACAGAGAGCTGTTGGTAACAAGAAAGCACCGAAGCCTGGAAGAACTTCCTCCAGCCTGCAGTTTCTCTCCAATACGGACGTTCACAACGGGCTGTCGCCACTACGACATAACGAGAAGTAAGTTCCGGTCGTCCGATCGACATGCAAACCTGATTGCTAAAGAGAGGCCAGGTTTGAAAAGCCAAGTCCTCAAATCTATGCAACTCAGATTCGGACAATTGATTTGGACCTTGACATGGCCGATTCTGAAGAGGAAAAGCGTAAGCTGCTGGACACCAAATCGAGCCGGACATGGCGGGGTCTACGATTAGCATCCCAGGGTCAGCTGAAGTCATTCGACAGTATTGAACATGGCAAAGGTCTGGAGAAACTTCCACCGGTCACGTTGTCCACTGAGGCAATAGGCGACGAGAGGGCACCCACTGCTTCGGAAGACAGGGATTCTGTTCCGCAAGAACAACATCCAAGCGTCGAGGAGCAACGGGCCGACCAACAAGATCAAATCATGGCAGATTCAGCGATATAGAGACGGGACAAGGACAGCCGACACATATTGGTAGGATAGGTATCAACTGTTAAGGTTATGCAGCTGCGATAAAGCTTTCCTGGATGCGGTGATGTGCAGGAACGTTGAGCTGTGAAATGTTGTGGGCAGATTTGACGCACACAACAGGACAGCATGGGCATTGATGGAGGCACACGCGATGCATGCTTGCAAACGACATTACAGAGGCGGACGGTCCTGATTTTCCATACGTCGAGTTGGAGCTTGCGACTGTGCCACTTGGTGATACGAGACCGCCACAAATGCGCGGTACTGGCAACGGGCGACCTTTGCCGCATGGTTTGTAGTGGAGGTTTACTATTGGCGACGTTTCACGGCTGGCAGCGGATGATTGCGTGCCAGGTTCACGAGAAGCTTTCCGAGAAGACCGAACATTTTTTGTTCCTGGCTAGCTGCAAAGGAAGCATCTCGGCACTCTCTGTACCACAACGCAGCAACGAGGCATGTGGAGGTTGCGGGGCCAGGGTGGAATGGCATACGAAGACGATGGATGGGGGCGTATCGCGAACATTGGCCGAACTTCAGGCTCATTGCCCATACAGTATGCGTTGTCAGCAGAGACAATGCGGGCGATGCTGCATCCACCCGAAATGAAAGGGACCTTGGTGTATCCTCGCTTGCTGCTGCTGGGGGTTCCGCTTCTTACAGCCATCAGCCATCAGCCGATCGTTGAAAGCATTCCCATTTTTCATGGTCGGTAGGTGGAAGTGGACCTTTGCGCGGGGCCCGTGGACGACGACGACGGCAGCAGCAGCAGCAGAGTGAGACAGTGAGACGAGATCAAACATGGTTTTGGTGTGTTTCTGAGTGTTCTAATAATGATACATGGACGCGGAATGATGTGGGAGACTAGTGCGTTTGCTGGTAGAGGAAGTTTTGGGAGTCGGAGCTAAGCATCATGGGATGAATGAATCGTGCATGAAGCCATGGGCGCAATGCAGTCGGTCAAACATGATGGCATCGCGACTAGATGCAGAAAAGAACAAAATACCCGCGGCGGACACGGGCAGGCATGGGCCAGGCAATGGATGCTAGGCGAAAAGATGATGTTTTGGGCTCCTTGCGGGCGGCAGGTCGTGCCAGCTCCTGTCATTTCTTTTTTGCTGTTGGATACCCTGGCGCAGCCCGCCATCGGGGAAGTGGTGGAGCAGTTCTACCAGCCGCCGACCATGACCTTGGCGGCGTTTGGAAAAGGCATAACTCTGAGAGATTGCGTACAACCACCAACGTGTTTCTGGGCGTTTGCGAAACGTCCGGCTGCTTCACCACGCTACTCTCCGAGCGGCCTCGCCCCCCGCTCCAACATGGAGTTGGTTGTCTGGTTGGTTGGTTGGATGAATGTTGGTTGGTAACTCGCCATGTCTGTCGTTGGGGTGTTGCGTCTAGCGTCAGTGTGGCCGGCTTCCAAATATAGGGGCAGTAGGCACCACCGCACGAGTGACCGTAGTGGAGCGCACTACGCTTCTCACCAAACACTGCACACACATACGCCTGTTCGGATGTTTCTACATGTCGGCACAAACAGCTGCGAGAATACGGTACATGTGTGTCAGTAAGTATAGGCGGGAGTTGACTTGCTTGCTGAGTCGTTAGGCGCATCCTGGGAATACCCAGTGCTGATCGCGGCGAACGAGCGAGGGCATGACTCCTTGTGGCTGGCGCCAGCAGCGATCATGGATTCCATGGCGCACCCACCCTCCAGCGGGATTGATGGAAAATGTCGTCGGGAAATGCGACTCCCTGTCGTCTGAGGAACAATCAGTCTCCATCGCGGTCGCGCCAGATCGTGGACGGGACGCTTTGTTTGATCCAACCCAGTCATCTACCCCAAGTACCGACTTTTTCTCACCTAACTGCGCACCATCGTCTCCCAACCCACCCACCAAACGTCCCATAGCCGCGAGCTGTTTGAAGCTGGAGTTGAGTCGAGACGACGGTCACGTTACGCACCCCGCGGAACCACCACTGTCAGTCAACATGCACAAGCTGTGTGTGTGCAAAGCACGGCTGCATGGCATGCCATTCCATTGCAGGAGGCTACAGCGCCTAGCTGTTCGCACTACGCTGGCACTACAGGCTTCGAGAATGGCAGAAATGACCATAATTTTAGCATTTTTCCCGGTGCGGGCCGAGCTTTTGACCGTTCGATCTTAGACTAAGCTGCTGGACCTGACCCTGTCTCTTCGCGCGAGCAAGCAAGCAAGTCGGTCAGTTAGTCATTCTCTCAGCGTGTGAAAAGAGGCTATTTGGTTGACTACGATCGCGCGCATGTGGGAGAATGGGTGGGTGGGTGGATGGATGGAGGGAGGGAGGGAGGGAGGGATGCAAGACGGAGCCAATACAGCGAAGGAGGGTTGGAGGTAGGTGCACACGGCTGCAGGTAGTCTTACGACCTGTTGATGTTTGCCGGCGCCTGACGTCGGAGGGCGGCCGCTGTTCATGCAGGCAAAGCAATACGGCTGGCTGGCTGGCTGGCTGGCTGTGGAGGAAGAGGATGGGGCGGCTCTCTGAAGGAGCAAGGCTGACGATGGGCGTACATGTTCCTGACGCAATCTCGCAACCCGTAGCCGTTACAAACGACCGACGGCATCATTTCACGCCACTGCCTGCCCTTTGAGGGGGGGCACACAGACCACCACTGGGTCAGTAAGTAAGTAGGTCTCCAGAACGAGGTGGAAAAAATATTCTAGCCATGAAGAATCATGTCACGCCTGCTGGCTGCTGGTACGGCTATTCTCATCCACTGGCTGTCAAGTGTCAGTGTCCAAGTACGTACGCATACACATGTACATTGTACATTCGGAAGGGGATGCATCCGTGCACATCAAAAGCATGTATGTATGTAGATGAAGTAACAGGAAGAGGAAGAAGAAAACAAGTAGTGGCAGTGGCAGCAGCAGCAGCAGTTCCCTACGGGCCCGTACTCGGCAGCAGCATCAACTGGAGCCGGCATACGTGACTACCTTGGACGGTTTAGTCGAGCTAGATCAGTCAGACTTCAACCACCATCTTCATTCACCACCATCGACACCACCACCCGCTCGCACAACTCATCTCATCTCATCTCACCCACCACCACCACCCGTGCTTTGATGGCCTCCCAAGAATCTGTCTGATTAAAGCAGCGAGACCCCGCATCAAGCGTTGCCGAGCCCTGTAGCATCCTGGTCCGCTGCCCCTGCTCTCCCGCTGTGTGCTAGGAAGCATGAGCATGCATCTGCCAATAATGGCCACCATCGCTGAGATGGCTCCACGCCACACATCAGGCCTTGCTCGTCGGCGGTTTTCTCCCACATCGCCCTGGTCCTATGCAAGCCGTGCAGATGTCCCATGTCCACCACCTCCTCACATTCTCTTTCGAGAAGGCCATCCTGGCCGCTGGCCAACACACCTGATCCCAGCCGCCCTTCAATTCGCCAGACTCCGCTCTCCGCGCCCCCTCGTCGCAAAGGACCACGTCCCGAGGTACCGCACCCCTGTGCCCTGGATCTTCCAAGCTCATTCCTCAAGTCACGCCTCTCTTTGTGCTACGAGCAGCTTCCAGATGCTCGATGGATACCATGCTCCCCTACCTGCCTACGAAGCGCCTCCACCCTGGCCATGACCCCCCCCCGTCTCCCTGAACCTTTCTTAACTGCATTTTATCCGGATCGTCGCCCACTGTAAAGTGCCCTGAACCCTTTCAGTCTCTATGCCTCCCCGGCCACTATCGCCAATATAGCCTCTGAGCAGTGTTCCTGAGCTTGCCTTACAAGACTCCCCATCCTCGACCTTCACTGGACGCTTGTACATATCAGGTCCTGTCTGTCGCCTCATCCACCATCTTGCACACCTCTCGCTCTTCTCCTCTTGTCCATTGTTGACTTCCTTCCCAATTCTCTCCTCCTTCATTGAGTGCCCTTGATCAGGCCTTCAGTCATCCACCACCACCACCCCGTCGCCAGTTGCTATTTCCAGCGGACGTTGCACCAACACTCCGCGCCCCCAACCTGACCTGGGTGCAGCACATCAGCCATTCAGCCTTGGTCGGCATATCAGCAACTCCAATCCCGTCCGACGTGTCTGTTTCTTTGTGACAGTCCTGCAACCTTGACGCATTGAAGCTGCCAATACTCGGAACTCAGCTTTAAAGCATAGCCACATCTCTTCCTCACTCATTCCTTCTCCCTTCTCCCTCGCCGATCACCCGCATTCAACCCCGCACTGGGACTTGGAGACCGATCAGCACTGTTTACTGCACGTAAGCTTCGTTGGACCCTCTCGTTTTCTGCGTCGTTAGCTCTTTCGATTGTGTCTTGTCGTCTTGCAACAGCTTGCATACGATCAAATCCTTCATTCAGTGCATCCTTGGGGAAATCGGAAACCGCTGCTTGCCTTAAAACGCAAGACCAGTGCAAGGCCATTTTCGTTGAGGTGAGCCTCGCCGCATCCTCTCTCAGCGACAGCAACTAACCACCACCGAACATAGCAGGTTCCACACTTGCCATTAAACTTACCATCCTTACTTCTTAGGACAAAGTCCTCGAGGTGCCAATGGTGGACGGAAATCTCTTCATTCCGCTCTCCCCTCCTAGCTCACCGCGTATGTCTGCATACAGCACAGCCTCTGCGGATAACGAGTGGCAAACATCAGACCTAAAATCCTTGGACAACTCTTTGGCACATTCCGAAAACGACATGGCATTACTTCAAGCTGAAGTCAATGGCCATGGCTTCGACCTGAAGCGTCCAATGCTGCGAGCACACAAGAGCTTCCCTTTTGCCCTGGACGGCAAGCACCACGGCAATGGAGCCGACTCCCCTCCAAGGGAACGTATTACCATTAGCAACATCGACGAGATCGACAGTCATGATATGCCAACTGTAACCTTTGGTGGATCGGCACCGGCAAGCCCAGTGTCTAGACTGACGCCACCTTCACCTCACGATGTTCTCAACGGGGAGGACGTAAAAGTCCAAGCCGATGAAATCATCACCGAGGAGAAGGACGACCTTATTGACGATGATGATGAGCCTACCAATGAGGATGAGAAGCGACCAATGACTGCCGCGGAAATCCGAGCGCAGAAGCGAAAGATGAAGAGATTCAGACTGACGCACAACCAAACCCGGTTTCTCATGAGCGAATTCGCTCGTCAAGCCCATCCCGACGCAGCTCACCGCGAGAGACTCGCCCGTGAGATCCCAGGGCTCAGCCCTAGACAAGTGCAAGTCTGGTTCCAGAACAGGTAGACTTTGCACATCCACATATATCTGACTGTAAATACTGACCCTCCCCAGGCGAGCCAAATTAAAGCGACTCACTAGCGACGACCGTGAGCGTATGATGCGATCAAGAGCCCTCCCCGAGGACTTTGACATGGCTCAAGCCCTTCACGCACCCTTCGGTGCTGGCCACGGTCTAGGCACTCCACTTGCTTCGCCAGCCTATACTCCAACCTTCCCCGAAGGCAACATGATGCGACCTCTGAGTATCGATACACTACGAAGAGGACCTGTCGACTCACACATGTCACCCACCGGCATTAGCCCCGCATTTGGAGGCTTCACCTTTACGCCTCCCCAATCAGCTACTGACTCTCTGTCTCCCGTTTCCACGCATGGTGACTCTCCTTTTGCCTTCCCTCCTGCACCTGTCGACACAAGCCCGAGAACTTCCAATCCGTTTTCTTCATCCATCAGCGCCTCGCCAGCATATGTTTCCCACCACAACATCCCACGACTTTCTCTACACGCTGATCGCATCTCAAGAACCCGCGCCGAATCGTTGTCTTCGCCGCTTCGATCGAGCATGAGCTATTCTCACCACGATAGTCTCACTGGTTCGGCGGATGCCAGCTCGCACTTGCCCTATGGGCTCGGGTACTCATACTCGCCTGTTCCTGGATTCCAAGCTTCAAGCGCATCAAGAATGAGATCATTCTCCAGCAGTGTGCCGAGGAGAATCGAACTTAGCACGCACTACACTCCTAGCCGTAGCACTTCTACCCCTCAAACTGCCGGGTTCCCTAGCTACACCAGCTCTCCCCTGGTGACGCCCAACAACTACGCTATGCCACAACTTAGCGCACCGCACCACATCTCGAGTTTCCCCAACTCGTATCTAAGAAATGACTCGGCACAATCTGATTCATATTCATCAGGTGCTATCCTGGGAGAAGTCATTGAGAATTCGGCGCAGGAGAGCGACGACCACGATGGTCACCTATCGCACTCTTACTAAGATTATTCCTTTTGGGAAATCCTTTCCTACTGCAATGCGGCGTTAGCGAGCAGTGCGTCGCTTTACGCATAGGCTTCACGGTACGCAAAACGATGATCACGACGCAAATGGGCAATAGGTTTCATGAGTTATCAGAAGAAACATGGATACAGTACTTTCCTATTGGATGCGAGACATTCTTCCGTATTTCATGGCGGCTTATCAGTTTTGGCATGGGATCGGGTAAGGCAGCCATGTTCCTTGCTCTTTTCTTCCTTTGCAATGCAATAACGGTGGTGGCTGTTTCATACACGACACTTTATTGTTTTTGATTCTGGCGGGCGCCGAGCGCATGATTCCGCCAAGTTTCACCCCGCCCCAGGCCGGGTGGGCTTTTTATTTTCTTTTGTTTTGTTCATACTTGTTTTTCACCCGTCTTTCCACTGTTCCTTTCCTCATCTTCTTCGGTGTTTTACATCCCTCCGTTTACGGAGCTGGGCGGGGATGCTCGGAGTTCCGAGGAACGATGTTGCTTTTCCGGCCTTAACCTTGCTTCAGTTCGCAATGCAATGCAATGTCATGCAATGCCACACCAAAAAAAAGCCGTTTCTTTTTCCACAAATAACATTTTGGCGGGCCTCTTTTGTTCGTTTCGAAAAAGTGGCGCTTGGGGCTATTTGTTCTTTTTCTCTCAAATGATATCCTCGGTCATATCCATCAATCTATTGCATACCCTTCTTGTACCTACATGTCTTAAGCTACATTCTATGTTTACTTTTTGTTCTTCTCTTCTGGGGTACTTCCTTGCCCGAGCGATCGGGTGGGCCGATTGACACTTGTATCTAAACATACTTTTCTTTCTTCCTCAACTTTTGTTTTTCGTGGTTTGATTTGTCATGTCACACGCCATGCGTTTCTGTCATGTGGATTGATGGCTTTTTCTTTCCGAACCTGCTCACCCGGGGTTTCCCCACAACGACAACAACAGTATCATCATCATTATCACGATATCTTCTCTTCATACATTCTGTATAAAAAAAAAGACTCCAAAAGCCCTCAAACGTTTCAACTGGGTTTTTTTCCTAGCTATATATAACATACATACGAAGTAAATGATACCCATTTCCCCACTCTACCAACCAAATGGAGAATCATTGATGCATTCATACAAAGATACGGTGCAGCGGAAATTTTTATATCCGGACATGTTTAGCTACCATCGCAGCGTTTCAATACAAACTCCTGTGGATTTTAACCACTTTGGCCGCGCGTGGGTGGTTTGTAGACTTACTGCACAGGCGTAAGCTGAGGAAGGAAAGCCCGCGGGTACAAGGCGTTGTGGGAGTGAAGCTGAACGAGGGAGCGAGTGCTCGTAGACGGATTTCATAATCGGATATGTGGTTAGGTGTCCCATGGCTTAGGTGATTACATGTATACGAAGAATAACACATGAGGGATTGTGATGAAGAGGGACATGCAATATGAGCTGTGATGAAGTCTTTTTCTTTTTTGTTCTTCCCTACGGTGTCCGCTTGGAACGAGTTCTACAATGCTGATATACAGCATTGTAGATTTGAGAAAATCCCCATTCCTCGTCCTTTCCCCCTACTACTTCAAACGAGCTGGGCAGGGAAAGGGCGAAGCATCTCCCCGACAAAAGCACGGCATCAACACATCGGTGAACACAGCGTGGAACAGATTAGACTCCTCTCCCCCACCTCTCATTTGATCTACAGGAGAAAGAGAGATGGATTGGGGGAGAGGGGAAATACACCGATGCCATCCGTCCATCCATCCATCCAGCCAGCTAGCCAGCCCGTTGTTGTTTAGCCAGGCAAATCGGTGAGTGAGGAATCAAGCTAGCAGGACCATGTCTGTTCCCCTCAAAAGAATTTAGCTGCTGCGCTGTTGCTGTGCTACTGCAGGGCACACACACACACACACACTTTTGAAGGGCCTTAACTACTATACAGGATGTGTGATAGCGGAGTGCGTGTGCGTAGATAGATTGATGGGTGGATGGATGGATGGATGTGCGTGGAGTGTGCCCTGCAGCATCATCGGCAGCATCAGCAGCAATGATAGTAATGCCAACATTGACTATGTGTGTGTGTGTGAGAGGAAGGAAGTTTGTGTTGAATAGGCTCATTCACTGAGACTAGATGAAAGATGTCTGCTTCGTCTCGTTGAGTGAGACAACGGGAGATGATGATGATGATGATGATGATGATGAACGTCGCAACGCACTCCCCCTTCTCTTCCCTCTCTCCCACCTGTTCTTCGAAAAAGAGCTGATCTCTTTCTCTCTCTCGTCTCCCTTGCGTACAGTGAATGTGTACGTACTCCACCCCCCAGCCACTTAGACGACAAAGCATCACATGCCCTCCCTCGGGAGAGCGCCAGCAGGGCAAAGGGAAGATCAAAGATCGCCCCGACCTGATTAGCCTACCTAGATACCTACTGCATAGGTAACATGTACATGTACAGATAACAGCATTCATCACATCTAGGTCATCCGGAAAGCAGCCAAACTAGGTAGAATGAACGAAAGTCCAAAAAAAAAAAAAGGATGAGATGGTAGGTGATTGTGGGGATAGAATTCACATGATCTTACATGTACGGAGACTAGGTACCTAGGTACAAAGGAGAAAATGACTGTAAGTGGTGAAGTGAGAAAGGAAAACAAGTGCGTATGACCTTTGCTGTTTTCCGCGATTGTACCCGCCATAGGTACCTTACCCTGCGTAATCGCGGCGGATTCATGCGGTTCAGTCGCAGCCCAGGCGCCAGGCAGCTGCGCGATTCCTGAAATCTTCTGAATTCAGAATCCTTGATTCCCTTGCCTGTTTTCCCCCCTACCCCACACGTGATCAAACTTCATCCTCAATCAAATCACATAGAGAAAGAATCTCGAACTGGTGTCAGCTTATCATATCCAGTAACATGCTACAAGAAAAGAAGCGAATAAAAACTCTATCGTAGAAATTCCTTCTTTGGTACTTTGCCTCCTTCCTTATTCTACGCATTTACCCTCCCAAAGAGGAAGAAGCAGAAACCCCAAACAAAAACTGGGGATTAAGCGAAGGAATCAGATTCTCTCCGTCCTATCACAGTCGAAACCTCCAAAATCCCAATCGCGATTTTTAACGTTTTGAGAGTTCATGCAAAAGGCATGGCCTGCTTACCTGTTCCATTTTTTTTCTCTTTGCATTGTGGGGTTTTGTTAATGGATATGTGCGTGTGGGCTGATGCATGAGCTTGCACATGCGCTCCTCCAATTCCTTTTGGAGAAGGGTATAGAGATGGGACATCCCTGGATTAACTAAGCAAGTGTATGTATGCTAGCAAGCATGGAATCCACATCATCGTCAAAGCAAGATTCCGGTTGTTGTCGTTCGCTGGCGGGCTAGCTAGCCTATGGACAGACACGTCCTTCGGCTTCTTGATAGCGAACCAACGAGAGGATGAGCAGGCAGGCAAGCAAGCAAGCAAGCAGAGCGTAGCGCAGGAACCGGGCCTAAGCACTTCTACCCCATTCCAAGCCAATCTATTATGTTGCTGTGGAAGGTTCCTTGCAGCCTTCCATTTTTCCATCTTTTCTTTTTAATTTAAACAAGTGTGTGTATGTGTTGTACGTGTGTGTCCTTGTTCTTACCTTTACCCTGCTGCCCTTGCCCTTACCCTGCCTCAGATTTTAGCTTCATGGTCTGTGGTTTCTCTTTTGTAAGCTAGTGATCTGGTCTGGTTCTATGCGTGTGTGTAAGTGCAAGTTGCATGAGGGAGAATGGACAGGACAGGCATGTGATCCTGACTGAGGCTAATGGATAAATCGCCGAGGGACGAAAAAGACTGGGCGTGGGTGTGCCTTTCTCTCTATCTTTCTCCATGGAGTTTTTTTTTCTGGAGCCGCTTTTGCGGGGTCTGGGGGGAAGGATGGTGTGGAGATAGGATGCAGGGGTGAGAGAGAGAGAGAGACAGAGAGCATGAGCTATTCCTCTTTTTCTTCCCTTTTTCTCTCCTTCTTGTTGCCTCGGATGTATGTATGAATCTGCTTTATCCTTGAGGGTTTGTGCATTAAGGCGGGGAAGGAGGCCTTTGTTGAGACGGGAGGGATGTTGTAGAACCAGCGGGAAGATACAGTGTGGGTCTTTCATGGTTCAGTCAGTCATTCAGTCACGCACATGACTGATACTGGATTTTCGGTTTACGAGGAAGGGGTAGAAGGCTAAGGGCAGCGAAAAGGGTCCCCGCTGGGGCTAGTGGGACGTGAATGGGTGGAACGTCTTTAGAGTTGATTAGAGTTGTTCATGGGGTGCATAGATTAAACGGCTCGTCTGGCGTAGGTACCGTATTGATGATCTACCTTTGTAGATTGATGTGGGGATATTGAGATGGCATTGCGCTATGCCTGGTGCATGGCCAATGCCTTAGCTCGCGCTTGCACGTATAGGCAAGGGGGAGGGGGGTTGAAGCCGACATGCGGAGGCGAGATGCGGTGGTCAGCCATGGATTCTCGAATGCAGAAAAATTTGTACGAGCGCGGGTGAGTGGTGGAGAGCATGAAGGTGGTTGGGGTAGAGCCGCGGGTGATTTCTTGCGCTGGCTGAGGAGACTAAGAGCCTTGTTGCAGATCTTAGGCTCAATAGCAAAGTCTGGGCAGGCTCTTGAGTGACCTTCGTTACCGCACGAATTGGCAGAAAGAATCTCCAAGTCGCTGTACATGGGTGGGCGTGGATGATGCAGGCCGGGCTAGTAGACTAGGGATGATAATTGCCGACGATTTGCTGGCTTGCGTTGCTGCTAAGGTAGCTTGCTTGCTTTCTTGCTTTCTTGCTTTCTTCCAAGCGGCTTCGAGAAGAGTTTGGTAGAAGAGGATGAACGACTGGGGACAGGGCCTGTCCCTTGATCTGGTGATGTGAGTTTTGCTCGCGTACAGCCATCTGTGGTCGATCTGCAAGGCAAGGCAACAAGACTGGCGAGAAGCCGTGGCGGTGTGCTTGACTTTGGGGTGACGACTTCGGTGCGTCGTTCTAGTGTTCCCCCAACCTCAACTATAGACTGGGGATATTATGTAAGTCTGGCAGGGATGGAGAAGTGAAAGTCAAAGCAAGACGTTGGAGTCAGGCCAGGTCAGGTCATGCCAGGCGCAAGTGTTTGCAGTAAGACGACAAGAGAGAGCAAGCTCAATGCTGAGGCCAACGACACAACCACCGGATATTGGAGAGAACGATGCGTATCGAAGCAAGCAGGCAGGCAGGCAAGCAAGCAAAGGCTCAGAGGCATGACATGACTGGAGTGGCTCCCAAAGAGGATAGCGGGGACGAGGGTGAGAGATTGTCGTGTTCTGTGGGGTTGACGCGCTTTGTTTTCTGGTAGAGTGATGGGGATTGTGGAGTGCATGGCTCGTATTCCGGCTGGTGGTGGTGCTGCTTTTGCGTGCGCGGTGCCTTTCACCCACATCGAGTTTGCGTCAGGGCAGGACGACCAAGGTCGAGAGTTGCATGGCTGCAGATTGGTGTATGGGTGCTGTGGTGGATGACTTGGTGGCCGGAGGTTAGGCTAGGGCGTCCGATAAGATAATTGTCCGTTGCAGGTACGGCTAGGCTAGGACCGGCAAGTTCAGACAAGCATGCTTAGCGTTGCCTGCATGTGCAGCCTGTCCAATGCATCCGAAGAGGCTCATCGGAACGTCGTTCCACGACCTCGAGTGGGCATGTTGCGTCTTGGGAGCCCGGCATGGTGAGGAGATGAGAAGGGCAGGACGGAAGAGACCGCACCGGAAGAATAGCAGCGGCGGACGTTGCGCCGTCCTTGAACCTGTCTGTCAGGGAACCACCGAATGATTCAAACAGTCGGTCCATTATCCCCATGGAGTGACTCTGCTGGATACACGAGTCCAAAGGGCACGCAATGCCTCCAGAGGTCCTTCCGGCGGTCCCGTCGGTGCGATTGGCGCATCTTCTTGCGACGCGACTGTTGACCGTTGAAGCGCATCCAGACGGACGAAGGATACTGCATTTGGAAATGCCGTGTGGTCTTGCTTGATAGGCTCCGGATAATACGGGGTCACGTGTAGGGGACTGCCGCTTTTCCCTTCCTACATACCTACATGCGACCCCCGGTCAGCTGGCATCTTACCTACATTCATGTACGTACATACGTACCTTTGCTTTGCTATGCTAAGCTCTTGGGCATCAATAGCAAGTCATGCGAGGCGACAGTACCATTACATCACGGCTTTGTATTGCACGGCACAAGGGTGTTTCAAAGGCAAGCGAAGCAGACCGTCATGGATATGGCTGCAATAGCAGCGTGTTTCGACGACACACCCGAAATTCGTCTCTTGCTCCTCCTCATCATCATGGCTGCTTCCTCTGCCACTGCAATCTCTTTCCTGTGCATCGCCTCTGTCAGCCGAACGGTGACATGGCAGTCAGTCAACAGGGCGGGAAATGGCGCACAAGGGCGTTTTCGATGCTGCCCTATGCTCACATGTTGTTCCTCGGTCACCCCCCGGGGCCTGTGGCCGAATGAGACCTCGGGGATCTTCGTCTTGCTCTTCCTTACCCGGACAGAACAAGTACGCGGCAGTGGCGTGGGGTGTCGGAGACAAGGCTTGCTTGGTGGAATTTGTGGCTTTCCTGCCCATGCATGCGTTTCAGCGGTTTGGGTGTGAGTACATGCCCCGAACATGTTCTTTTCTTTCCGCCTATCATCCGAGCCAGCTCGACGTATATCCCCTACGATACACCCCAACTGTGTCGCATCGCTAAGGTCCAAGGCGGCGCGCATAAGACAACAGTACCAGGACTATAAATTGCAAGCACAAAAAGAAAACATGCATTTGTCGGTCCGAGCAATGAGGTGGCAGACGATGGGCAGCGCATGATGCCATGTCGTCTGGTCGCTAACAATGAACTGATGTCTGCCTTTGCTCGTCTGCTTCTGCGTTTCGACGTCGAGGGCTCGGCGCAGCCAAGGCACGCGCTGGACTCGGCTGGAGGTTGTACTCGCTCAACCAAAGCCATTTCGCGTCAGTACCTTGCCGAGAGCACATGTCTCGGTGCACAGCAGACACGGTTTCGTGGCATGTCTGAGGGCTTCGTGCCGGGAGTCGAAGGCTGTGTTGCGGGCCTCGTTTAGATATCCGCCCGAGCAAGGAGGCAATGACCGGCACACGAGTTCCTCGTGTACTTACGGAGCGCGGCCGCGGTGCTGTGACTGACACTCGTCATCGCCACACCATGCTTCAGTGACTCTTGAGGAGTTGCAGAGTTAGGTGATCCAAGTCCGTGTGATGTACAGCTCGTGGAATGACTCAGACCGAGTCTTGGAATAGGGGATGTGTGTTGGAGTATGTTATGAAGGCTGTCGATGCGGAAAAGAAATATGGAACAAAGGAGAAGAGAGCCAGGTGCACCCCTGACTTTCTTACGCCCAGTGGTGTGAGTATGATGGGATGCACTGAGAAGATGGGGACGTGGTGTAGACATAGATATCCTCTCCATGGACGGGTACACAAACAGAGGCGAGAGATGGAGTGTACATTGTCCATACATGATGGCAGTCTGCGATGTGTTTGCGCCACACTATGGGAGGCATTCTAGAAACATCCAGTGAGCTCGTAAGGCGGTTTGTCCAATGTTGCGACGAGAAACATGTCCCCCAGTACCCAGATAGATTACTTCTGTGGCGATGATCATCGAGACGAAAATAGGCAGAGCGAGCCAATGATTGGACACGGAGTTAGGCGGCGATACGGGCACTGATCACAGCGCAGCAAAGCTTCGTCATTATGCATTTGATTGCCTTTTCGTATCCCGACTCCTTTTTTTTATTGATGTTTTTCGTTCTTTGCTTGGGCAATGTTGTTGCTGGGTGAAGGGGGAAAAAGGTGCCCGAATCGGCAACATGGCCGAGCGTAAGAGGCGAAGAATTGGGAGACGGTCGGCGACTCTTAGAAGGCCTGGGCCCCGCCATGTTTGTAGAGAGGCTTTGTTTGCTTGCCCTGGAGCGGTAGATGGCGTTGCGACGGGACAACGTACAGTGGGAAAATGGGGGATCTGTATCGCGTCTCCCGCTGGCCCGGTATGGAGTGCTGAAGAAAACATGTGCATGCATGCGAGTCTGATGGCACAGGGCAGATGCAGATCTCTGCGACGCCTCAGCGCGTTGGCTAACAGGGCTGACGGGACCGTGCTGGCAGGACGTATGTACATATGTGCCTGGGCACCAGTCCTGTGACAAAAGGAGTCACTGTTTCGTCCCTTCAAAACAACGTGGGTTGACGATGAGCCTTGGGTACGGTGAATGAGTGGTCGCGCGAGAGAAAGAAAGAAAGAAGGCTGTTGGACGGGCTGTGTGCATTCTGCTCGAATCATGACTCACGCATACCAGTCACATACCCATTGTCCATTGTTACAGCGACTGGTTGGCAGACAGGCAGTGAGAGCGAGGGCGGCCAGCGCAGCGACGAGGCGCGGCGGTGAACGGAGCGGGCCATGGAACAAGTGAAGCAATGTCTCTCTTCTTGGTCGACTGAGTGGCCGAGTGATGGGTCGGAAAGCAAAGGCAATGTTGATGAGCAGTCCATCACAAGTCAGCCAGTACCGGTGCACGGCTTTCCAATCTCTCTCGTGTACCTCCGCTGTGATTTGATGCGAATATACAGTTTGATTGAAGAAGGTGCCGTTGTCTTCGTCGAGGCCTCGGAAGACTGGCACAAACTGTTTGACCGTCGACACGATCCACCGTGACTTGATATCGGCATCGAACACTGTTGTTCAAGAAAAAAAAAATAGTTGTTGGTTATATCATTGTTACCGGACAGGTAGTAGTGAGCGTCCATCACACAAGCCCCATCGATCCCACCCCCCTGCTTGTTTCGAAGCGAGCGAGGGCCGCCCAACCCAAACCAATTTTCTGCGTTTTGCCATCGTCTCTCTCCTTCATCCATCTTCCTTTACGAAGACCACCCCCATCAACATCTCGCAGCGGCTCCTTCAATCGAGCTGCTTGCCGATTTCCACAGGTTTTCTGTCGAAATCCGTCCCCAGTGGCACCTGTCGTGTTCCTGCCCAGGCTCACCCTCGAGTGAAAAGGCAGCCCGATAGCCGTTCGCCCTTTTTTTGCCTCGCTTGGCTCCCAGGACGCCTCTCCCTTCTCCTTTCTGCACCGGGTCTTCCAGCTCGCCGCGGATCGTGACGAATCCAGCAGTAATCCTCCTCTGCGAATCTCCACTCCATCGCCTCACCAGTTGAACCGATCCTGCGATTGTGCGCACGCTCTTTTGCCCGCACAAACCCGCCGTCATCGACTCCTCGTCCGCCCGAACCTCACTTCTCAACTCCACCCTCCAACATCCCCACGAGTTTCTAATGAGTGCACCCATCTCGACCCAGAACCCGCCCATCGCCGCTTCCACGCCTGCCGCCGCGAACTTGTCCTCGTCGGGATCGTCCGCCAACGTGGCCGCTGGATCGGCACAGCCCACTGCCCGCAGCTCGTACGCAAACGCGACCAAGAAGATCTCGTCTCCTCCGATCGCGTCCAGTGCAGCCCCGCCCGTGGCAGTGGGAGGGTCAAACGCCCAGCATGGCAAGAGCTCGTCCGTCTCCCCCGTGAACGGCTCCAGCCCCATCAAGCCCGCTGTTCCCGCCATGGGTCCTACCATTGTGAACAGCAGCAGCGCCAACGGTGACCACAGTCGCAAGTCCTCCGTCACCATCAGCGCCGCTGGCACCAGCGGATTCATTCCCAACGGTGGCCCTGTTGCAAGCAGTCGCGCGCCCTCCAATCTTACTTTTGGTTCGCTCGCTGGCTCCCCTGCGCCCTCTCCCGCAGTTCCCCAGCAGAATTTGAACCCTCAGTCTCAAAACCCGCGCATCAACTCGCCTGCGCATTCGCCCTCTCCCATCCCCACACCTACTGCCAGTGGTGGAAAACCAGACGCTCTACCAACGCGCCCGGGCATGCCTGTTTTTGGTGGTGGCAGCGACGGAACAGAGTCCAACGTAAGTTTTGCGCTTCTCCAAAACGCAGGGCTTGGCGCGCCCAAAAATAAAAGCCTTCAGTTGAACTTTGCTGACTCGTTCACACAGAACCGCCCAATCTCCATGCCTCCTCAACCACACTCCATTCCCCAAAGCCAACACCTTCGCCGCGAGTCGAGCCAGTCTGCGCACAGCGACATGGGCAACCAGCGATTCCAGCCCGGCAATAACAGCGGTCGCGGGCGCGGGAATTTCCAGCCTGGAGGTTACCCACAGATGGGACACTCGCCCCAGCCCCAGTTCCGTCAAATGAACAACCCTCCTCGCGGGCCCATGCCACCCAATTTCCAGCCCGCTATGAACCACCCTAACTCTCCCTACCGACAAAACCGAAGCCCGGCCATTTCTCCCGCTGTCATGCATCAGCAACAAATGGCCACACAGTCTGGCGGTATGCCCTACTACCCGGCGCAGTATCAGCAACAAGTGGGTATAATTTTCAATAAATCTTCAACTTCCGCCGCCTCAGAGTTCAGCAAGCCGATACTTCGTTCGCGAGCTTCTCAGAGTCGGCTTTCCTTTCATTCTCCCCCTGTATCAGCACCACCCCCTGTTCGACCGGTGGTTTCGGAGCACACGCCTCGAGACTTGCCGGCTGCTTTCCTTGAACCCATTGAACCGCCTTTTCGCGTCGCAACAAGCAACAACTCGTATCTAACGCAGCTCAACCAGATGAACTACATGCCCGGGCAACTTGGTGCTGACCCATATGGCCAGTACTATGGCAACAACTACAATCAAGCAGCATACGGTAGTATGGGTCAGTCCATGTATGCTCCCGGTGGGATCCCCCCATCCCCTCGTAACCACTACCAGGTTCCCTACGGTCAAGCTCCTCCTCAGGCGCAAGGTATGGCTAGGACCAACTCAAACATGTCCGAGTCTCGCCCTCAGTCTGCCGTGGCCCAACCCAGCACACCTGCCATGACCAATGTTAACGCTTCGCACACGCATACCCCGAGCGCTGCCTCCGCCAGCCCTGCCCCGAGCTCCTCTACTTTCGCCATCCCTCCTAAGAAGAAGAGCAATGCCATCGTCGTAAGAATCCGAGATCCCCATCTGACATCTTGCCTAGCTGCTGACACGTCCTAGATCAAGACCACCGACGGAAAGGTCGTCGACTTCAAGAATGAGAAGAAGCCGGCGTCCCCCGCACCCTCTGCTGGTGCTGCTCCACCAAAGTCACCTGCCATTGTCGCCACGCCAACACCTCCCCCTCGCCCGGAGTCCACGCACAGTCGTGCCGAGAGTGTCGCCGCAAAGACCGACTCCGAAAAGAAGGCCGACTTCGTGCTCCAGTTCAAGAAACAGCTCGAAGCCGAAAAGTCACAGAAAGAGGCCGATGAGAAGAAGGCCAAAGATGACGAAGCTGCCGCTGCTGCCAAGAAAGAGGAAGAGGAGAGACTGGCCAAAGAGGAAGCTGAAAAAGCCGCCAAGGAGAAATCAGATGCCGAAGCCAGCAAGAAGGCCGAAGAGGATGCTGCTGAGAAGAAGCGTAAAGAAGACGAGGAGTTCGAGCGAATGATTGCTGAAATGGAAGCTGCCGAGAAAGAGGAACAAGAGCGTGAAGCCAAGTTCGCAGAGAAGAAGAAGATTGCAGATGCTGAGCGCAAAGCCAAGGAGGAGAAAGAAGCCGACGAGCGTCTCAAGGCGGCTGAACGCGAAGCTGAGGCTCTTGAGGCTAAGCGTGCACAAGGCGGTGATGAAGAATCCGCCAAATTGTTTGCTAGTCTCAAGAAGAACACACAGTTTGGCCCGGGCGCTGCTGCTGAGAGCGATACTTCTACTCCTGCTCCTGCTCCTGAGCCTACCAGCGCTCCCGTTCAACCCAAATCTGCAACAAAGGCCAAGCCCCATCCTCTCAAATTGGAGACCAACAAGGCCATCGAGCCGGCGCAGCCCACCGCTGGTATGAACTCGCTCAAGAGTGCTCGCTTCTTGGCGATCAAGAATGAGGTCAACTACCCCGAAGGTGTAAGCTCGCCCAACCCAGCGCTCAACGCGACTGGCAAGGGAGGCAAGAGTGGTCGACCATATGACATGAGTTTCTTGCTTCAGTTCCAGAGCGTGTTCAAGGAGAAACCCAGCGTCGACTGGGATATGAAGTTGAAGGAGACCGTCGGTGATCCAAGCGACTCTGCCCGCACTCCCGGCCCTCGTCCAGCTTCCATGGGCCCTCGCCAACCCTCTCGCACCAACACTCTAGGTGGAGGCATGGGCAATTTCGGCAGCGGCAACTTCCCCCAGGGCAGGACCCTACCTCCCGGTACATCTTCCGAAGAACGGTTCCGCATGTCGCAAGGAACTGGAGGTCGATCCATGACGAACCCTCTCGGTCAAATGATGGGAGCTCGTGCCGGTGGCTCGGGATCTTTCCCTGTGCAGGTGTCGCGCAACGCATCCTATAACATGGGAGCGAATGGACCCAACTCTCCTCGTGTTGGTAGCTCTCGTGGTAGGGGCAGCCGTCGTGGTGACAAGCCTGCCCATAACGCCAAGGAAGAAAAGGCCATGCCTTTGACCGCTGGTATGCAGATCAAGGACCTTGAGCGTTCCCAGACTGGTTGGACCCCTATGAGTCTGAAGGGTGGAGGTAGTGCTCAGCCTGCTTCTGGCGGTCACATGGCCCCCGACATGGTGCAACGTAAAGTCAAGGCTGCTCTCAACAAGATGACTCCCGAAAAATTCGACAAGATTGCCGACCAGATCCTCGAGATTGCTGGCCAGAGCAAGAACGAGCAAGACGGCAGGACTTTACGCCAGGTCATTCAGTTGACTTTTGAGAAGGCTTGCGATGAGCAGCATTGGTCTTCCATGTATGCCAAATTCTGTGCGCACATGCTCAACACCATGAGCACAGAGATCAAGGATGAGAATGTCCGCGACAAGCATGGCAATCCCGTTGTCGGAGGAGCTCTCTTCCGCAAGTACCTCCTCAACCGTTGCCAGGAGGAATTCGAAAAGGGTTGGGAAATCAACCTACCCGACAAGCCAGAGGGTCAGACTGGCGAGGCTGCTCTGCTGTCCGAAGAGTACTACGTTGCTGCAGCTGCCAAACGTCGTGGTCTCGGTCTCATTCAGTTTATCGGTGAACTTTACAAGCTGAACATGTTGACCCTCAGGATCATGCACGAGTGTGTCCTGAAGCTTCTCGACTTCGAAGGTCTTCCGGACGAATCAGCTGTTGAATCGTTGACAAAACTCCTGCGCACGGTCGGTGGCACCATGGCTGCTGCCGATGCTGGCCCCAAGATGCTGGATGTTTACTTCCAACGCATTGAAAAGATCATGAACATGGAAGGTTTGAACAGTCGTCTCAAGTTCATGTTGATGGATTTGTGTGATCTTCGACGCTCCAACTGGGTTTCCAAGGACGCAGACAAGGGTCCAATGACACTGACCGAAATCCACGCAAAGGCCGCCGCCCAACAGCAAGCAGCCGAGCTGGAGCGTCAACGCAACAACACCCGCGGTGGTCCCCGTCCGCATATGGGCCGCGGAGATGCTCGCTCATTCTCCGGCGGTGGTATGCCACCTCCAGCAGACTTCCCTACTGGTCGTGTACAGATGGATGATCTTCGCAAGTTGACTAGGAACAACTCGTCACGCAATGCTGCCCCTGGTGGGTCGCTTGGTCCGTCCTCCTTGCTCGGTGGCCGAACTGGCAGTGGACGTCGCGGCCTTGGTCCCGGTGGCAATCTCAATCTCACAAGTCGTGGCGATGAGTCCGGTGCATCCTCCCGAACCGCTACTCCTGTGTCGAAGGAAAAGGAGCCCACAAACGCAAACTCTTTCAGGTAAGTTGTACGTGCTTTACAGCTTGTAGTAGCAACGCTAACCCTGCCTCAGTGCCCTCATGAGCCTTGGAGATGATGTCAATGAAGTTACCTCTCCTCCTTCAACTGCCTCGTCTCCCCCGCAAGGAAAAACCGCCTTGTCTCGGTCAAAATCGCCTGCTGCTGAAGCCAAACCATCCGAGTGATTACGGACCATAATTTAATACACCTTCCTTGGTCCACTCAGCGTGCGTCGTTCAACGTGCAAACGTTAGCGTACGCGGTAATCTAATACATGAGCGTTGCATAGACGGGGCATTTGTTGCGCACACTGCATTGCATTCTGTGGGTATTTCCTTCTTAATCCGGCATGGCGGATACAAAAGTGTTTCTCGTGTTTCTATCGTTGCGGGTCAGTGGTGCCTCGGCGAGTTCAGTGGGCAGACATCGATGTGCTCCAGCCCGCTTCTTTCAGTACTGCGATTTACATATGCGTCTTCTTGGGCAAGGTTCCACAGGTGGCGTCTTGGAGTCAATCGGGGGCTTTTTTGCTACGGACCAGCACTCTTACGCGCCTTCTGAATCATTGAGGCAGTATGAGGGCATTGTGTGAGTTCACCTCACTCTTAGTCGTTTCCAGAGTTAGTGCTTCTTCTTCGTCTTCCTTCTCTTCTTTTTCCTTTCATCAACTTTTTTAGAGCGATTGCAGGTGGGAGGCTTCATAGTCTGAAATGGCAGGTGGCTTATATTCTAAGAGTATGTCCTATCAATCTCCTGTTCATCAATCACACATGTCTTCCTTTCTTACTTTGGATGTCTGCAAGAGTGACGGTGCTATCTACGTGGGCGGGGCGGATCAGAGAGAGGTCATGGGTTAATAGGGACATGCGGCTGCTACGGTTCCTGTCTCGGTACGGGAACGGTCAAGATGATGGCTTGTAGATTCTATGTGTATAGTTGGTCGCAATTCAACAATCAGTTCAAGGTTTGCGATTGTTGCCTGTGATGGTTGGCAAACACGAGACTGGATTAGTGGATCTGATAGAGCTCTAACACGGCAAAGCGCTTGAACTAAGACTTTACGGATGACTGTTCGAATTGTCCTTCCCAATCATGGTCGAAGCGTGTTGGGGTTGAAGCTGCCATGCCTCTCGCCATCATCCAATGCGATTGTGATGTGTAGAGAGAGGGTCCGCCCCAAGCAAGCAGCTCCGCGGCGATATGATTCGATCGATCGGTACCGGCGAAGGTCCGGGGCGAACTCCAGAATCATTTTCATTCGTCGTGGGAGTAAGCTGTGCTAGATTTAGATGCTTTTCTCCGCGACGAAGGAAAGAGGGGGAGATGATGCATGCAGTAGGTAAGACCTGCAACTACGTCATCGGGCTGACGCACCGCATCGCTACGCCCCCATGTAAACACATACAAGACCTATCCTCCCCCACCCTTCTTCCAAAAGAAACATCATCACAATCACTTTCTCGAATCCTTTTCAACCCGAACAAAAACCTTGAGAATTTGATATCCGTTCCTTTTTCCAAAACAGAGGAACAACCCAGACTCGTCTACACAGCCAATATGTCTGACCAGAACCAGCAGCAGCAGCAGAGCAAAGGTACGTTCGCATTTCACTTCACACAAGAGATGTGGTGAGGCTCTTTTGAAGAGGCTTTGCTATCGCGCTGCCATCCATCATCTATACCATCTTCATCCGAAGAAGGAAAATAAAAGATAAAAGTCTTTAACAATACCCCTTCGTTAATACAGGATTCTTCGGAACCGCAGCAAGTGGCCTTGGTAATACCCTCGGTGCCGCCTCAGACACCGTCGGCAAAGGCGTTGGAGGCGCAACAAACACGCTCGGTAACACAGTCTCTGGACTGGGTAAGGGACTTGGAGACACCGTCACTGGCGTCACTGGTGGATTGGGAGATACCACCAAGTGTAAGTTTCACATCGTCTTTCCTCTTGGACATTACTTGGAAGCCTGGATGATTGGCTAACTTGCGATTTCCGCTACAGCGGCTGGCGACTTCGTTACCGGAACTACTAAGGCTGGAGGCGAGAGTCTGGGCATCAAGAAGAATGAGCAACAGCCGTCAGGGAGCAAGTAGATGGGAGCATCAGCGAGGATTCGGGAGGAAGAGAGTATAGAGTGGATGTAGACCGTCCTCCACATTGCGGATAGCAATAAGAAGACAGCATCTATAGTAATGGTGATAGAGGCCTTTAAGCGCAGTCGTACAAGGTGATCTGACGCTCTGTACAGTGGCAGCTGTACGAGCTTTAAATCATTAACACCGAGTGGTAATATTGTATTGTAATTGATTATAAAAGACAAAGATCGACACCATAACACATTTCATCATGAACAACACGTGTCCATAAATCGTATTACGGCGTGACAACCATGACAATCGATTTCTTTCCTATTACATTATATCATCTATCAGGGTATATGTCGAACCAAAAATCTAAATGGCAAACTAACTCCTTCGGAGTGACCAAATCAAGATGCATAACACCTCGAACGCACAATCACCTCAATCGTACATCCCATCAGTTATTCGCCTCATACAACCTCTGTCCACTCAACCTCGCCTTCTCCTCCTGATCCTTCTTAAGCTTATGATCAATAGCCGCCTCCCCGACGACATTCGGCACCTGCAGCATCTCGGATCCAGCACCCAACGAGACAATCTGACCGCCCAACGCAGGCGCCGAAAACCCGTTATCGTAAAAGTGGTCAACATCATACCACGAAGTCGCTGGTGTAACAGGATGACCCGCCGCGATGGCATTTGCTGCATCGCTCAGAGGCTGTGAGAGCACATTGTACGCCTCGTTACGGATATGCTCCGCAGCCGCTACACCAGGGTGCTCGTTGTTGAATAACTGCGACGTATGCTCAGTCACCGGCTCCGCAGCTCCCGTGATGCCCGATGCGCCCGAAGGTCCAGGGACGGCAGGCGCACCGCCAGCCACGAGTTCTGTGAAGTTATCTCCAATCGTGTCAAATCCCACCAGCCCAAAGCTCGCGCCCGTGAAGACGGTCTTGACGCCTGACCCTACGAGGATGTCTTTGTTGCCTTTGCTTGTGGCTTGTTCGTCGAACCAGACTGCGAATTCCTTGCTCGCTTTCTTGCGGCGCTCTACTTCTTCCTTGACGCGCTTGCGGTTTACGCGGCAGATTGTGAATTGGTATGTGTTGAGAACAGCGGCGCCTGTGAAGAAAGGGTTCGCGATGGAGACACCTGTGTTGAGGGTAATTCCGGTTGCGGAGGCGGATTTCATGCGGAGCGTTGAGCGCCAGGCAGCGACTAGCTCGGCGTCGGTGAGCGTGGTTATAGATTGCTCTTTGTATCGTTGGTTGGTGACGAGATTGGTCATCTCGCCTGCTTTGCGGAAGAAGCCCATGGTTGGTTGGTTGTTGGTGGTCTGGTGTATATTTGTAGGTGTGTGTAGAAGTGGGTGAGTGTGGGTTGTGATGTCCCAATGGGTTCGAGGTGTTTGGTGATTCTCTTCTTTTGTATCGAAGAAGAATAGGGTTGGTTATGATCTGATTGGAGGGTAAGAAGATTTGATATCGGAAAGATAGCTTATTAAAGCAGTGATAAATATAGGATTGGTATGGAGTGTAAGGCTGAAGATAGATCGTAAGACTTGAAAGCCGATCGATGATGGTAGTAGTGATTCAACAACCTTCCTCGAAAGCAGAAAAGCAGCTCCTTATATCCTTCTTCCTATCTAGCCCTCATGATCAACAGAGTGCCTCTGCTCGTTCATCAAGAGCCCTTAACTTGGCCATGAATGAACGAGCAAACGGGCGCAAGCAACACAGACACACAGACACAACACCAAAGCCCCACGGCCAGCATCGTTCCCGAACCTAAACCCCACCACTCTAGAGCCAAAGCACACGAGTCAGAACATTAGAAATGCAATGTGATCGGTGGTTGTGACCGGAGTGTTGGGGGCTGTAACCGTCGGACTTAAACGAGCGCGCGATGGTGATTGGTTGGGGGCTACGTTCAGCCCAACACGAACATCGTTGACAGAGTTACAATCAGGCGCTCGGACCTCTGTCGTTCAGTCTTACGGCCTTAAGCAATCGTAGCACTTGTTTCAGATGGTTGCCTTGAGGCTCTGCTCTACGCAAATATTCTACCTGAACGAATGGGGAATGCGCTCCGCCTCGGGGTTGTATCTGCAGGCTTGATGATACCCGCTGTCGACTGAACCACGAGCCAATGGAATTCACGGGAGTTTCTCTTAGTTGCTGGTTATTGCTGTTTAGGGCGTGGATCATGCGAAGAATGCTTTTAGGGTTTTGAGCGTGGCGAAGCTTAGTGAACTGCCATGTTTGTATGCACTACCCTCCAGTCCACCTTACGCACGAACGAGGGGACCAATAGCAGATGTCGAGTTACATACAGGAACTCAACTTTAGCAAGCGTATAGCACAGCAGTGACTGTATTCGTTTTAGTTCCCCATGACACCTATCCTCTGCACCTCTATTCATTGCTTCATCCTTCAACCCTTTTTTCGAACTTTAGAATGGGCTTAATCCCGCGAGTCAATATTCATAGTTTTGCCATCGCCCCCAAGGCTTTACGTGATCGGGGATCATCGCGAAGATCAACTCCCCTCCCACTGGATTCGGTCACCATCTTGTTCATTTGTCAAAACGATTAGACTTTCTATTAGTAACATTTCTTACCAATCACTCCTACTAACTTTGGTCGCGGGTGCATCTCTGGGTCGTTGCGGCAGTCATACGTGTTCACTGTCATCTAGGGAGTCGAAGTTTTCGTCTCTCTGCCTCCCCTTTCCGCTGCAAACGATCTATTTCACATTACAAAAATTAGACATCTCAGCCTACAAAGGGTCCTCAACGCACAGCCAACAATGACAAATAGATAGTAAGGCAGATCAACGTCAGCTGAAAAATATACATCCACATGCACATATGTATTGGGAGGCCCAAGCATAAACCTCAAGAAGCCAATAGCCTATCGTCCGACAGTGAATGAGTATTAGGGTGAGACAAACGGTGGCTAAGAAGAGGACGTTGAGTCCGTTCAGCTCGTTACCACATAAAGAGCGTGGATACGAGGCACTTGCCACGTGTTGTACATTCCCACATGTGTAACGATGTTTCAGCCTTGTAGGGCAGCCTCTCAGAACGGAACTTCCCGTTGTATGCTAGAATCTGAGAGAATGGCAGACTTACTGACTCACTCACTCACTCCGCCAATTTCGCCACGTATACGCAAGCTGATCAAAGAGGGATCTAGAAGAGTCAGTATGAGTCTCGTCTCTCGGATACAGATTAATTTCCTGGACACTGTTGCTGTTGAAGTAGTCATTGCATGACAATTCTCGTTCGCACTCCGAGGATGAGCGTAAAGGAGAGAGAAAATCGGTCGAAGATGGTGCGGAGGTATTCGCTGTGCAAACTGTAAGGTAAATCAAGTCTGTGACACAAATGAGTCCATGGGAAGGGACAAGGGAAGATGGCGTTATCTGCAGTGATAATCACAGTCAATTCGCCCGATGGTTGGTTCCTCTATTGTTATGACTATCGCCGTACGCAGGACTACTCTAACTCCGACTTATAATTTGTAACCATAGTCAACTCATATATGGCCCACCTACCGCTGGACAGTAATGGAACGTAACGACTGGGGGCGTTTTTCGAGGAATCCCACCTTCAACACGGTCATTTAGACACAGTCTGTAGATCGGGCCATGAATCTCCCCAGAGAAGTTATATTGGAACATAGCATTCGTCTCCTGCGTATAGATTAAGTTATCTTAATTGCCCGCCGCGCTTATCTGGTTGAATCGATAGAACAAAGAGGTTGGAGCGGAGCTGATCCATCATTTCAGGGCTGATATGGGATATCTTTCAACCTTGCCTCTTTCCGATGTGGCTTCTTCCAGCTCCGGGGCATTAAGACTCGGACGCTTCCGAGTTTGTGCGATATCCAAAAACTTCGGTGGTTCTTTATTCTGCTTATCAAACTTCGACGGATCTTGATACTGTGTGAGCTTTAGGTTTCCTATCTTGTATTCGAGCAACAATTCGGAAGAGTAGTGGTATGGGTTGGATATAGGCGGGATTGAACTTCCGTGATGGCCCACTTGTCTTCGGCTTTGCAAAAGCGGGAGAGCAAACGCGCCGATGTTAGGCTTGATATTGATTGACTCGGTAAACTTAGCCGTGGGCAGGCCGTGATCCACGAAATCAACACCATGACCAACGCAGTATCTTAGATGCAGGAGTTAGTTCATGTTGAATATGTTCTGAGCTTAAGTATTATAAATGGATGGCCGTGGTGTCCGCAAATAGAGCTTGCCAGAAACTCTGCAACTCCATCAAAACATACTGTAACCTATCCTACCTGCCTAATGGAATCGTTGGGAAGGATCGAAACTACAGTACGTTTTAGCTTCGGCATTGGAACAACGAAGGTTTCTTTTGGTTGTCAGGAGACGGATTGAAAGATAAACACAAGGTGTCATGACTCTGCCGAGAATATCACCGGGCTTGGACGTTACACGTATTTTACCATGGATGTACCATGCGTGGCGAATGTTCACTACGTAGCGGTACCCACCAACGTACTACTTTGGATCTTTCAGGTTATTGATCTCGATTTCCGCCAATAAATCAAAAATCATACGATAATCAATTAGGCGGGCACCTGCATTGTTCTGCAACTTGCAGCGGAGCGAGTTCAAATGTCGAACCATCTCTGATCCCATTGTGAGTCCCGTACACCTGAATTTTAGTAGCTCTTCTTGCCATACAATGGGCGGATTCAGCCCACAAGATTTGTCGCCGGCATCGCCAGTCAATGATGCGCTAATCAGTTTTTCACCCGGAGAGGTGCAACAAAGCCCATCTATTGTGAATCGCATATTCCCCATTCGCAGCGTCATATCCAAAGGTACAATTTTCACAGCTGCCGACCAGGCACACAGTGAATATGTCCAGCACCAATCCCCAACCGACAACGAATACACACCCTTCGAAGCCGCGCTACCTTCATTCCGCTTGAATCCGGCATGCGTTCCAGCCTGTCATTCACCATCCTCACCGCCAACGGTTACTAGAAGTACGGAGCGTACCGAACGATCGGATGAGGGCGATTTGTTTTCCACCCAGGATGTGCGTTCCACTAAATCGCCATTGCCTCAACCGCTCGTCCGCGAGGAGGTCAAAGAGACCACCATACTGACCACAGGTCGAGGATGCGACACTATACAATGGCTTGAGGATGCTCACCTCGAAATTCCTGGCTCCATCCAAGGATTCGGTCTCTTCATTGCCCTCGAAGATACAGGCGTTCCCGGTGTGGTCCCGGTTTCTGCTGCGAGCGAAAATTCGAAATTGATGATTGGCAAATCCCCGACAGAACTTTTCGCCTTGCACAGTTTCTTGGACATCTTCACGGAAGACCAGGCCCGGGACTTTATAGACCGCATTGATTGCGTCAAAGATCGAAACCAGGACCTAATAACAAATGGCCCAGACGTTTTCCTTACCGAACTGGAAACAAGTCCTGGAGTGAACTCAGAATTCTGGTGCGCATTGCATCTAAGCCCTGTTGATCAAAGCTGCATTGTATGCGAGTTCGAGCTAAAGGATAGTCGCCTCCACTTTTCTTTGTCCACCATACAACAAGGCTCCGAGGACTCAAATAGAGTGGGTCCGAACGCCGTTGAGCTCAACGGTGACAAGTCTGGGAAGAATACTGAGGAATACAAACAACCATTGGACGCCAAAAGAAATGTGCGGAAGCGAAGAGGGTATACGACAGTCACAAGAGTGTTGGATTTCATGTCACGCACAGAAGAGGCGCTTGCAGCAGCACCTAAACTCAAGGTTCTTTCTGAGGAGCTTGCCAGTATTGTGAAAGAATTGACCGGCCATCATCACGTTATGATTCATCAGTTCGACAAGCTCACGGAAAGCCATGTTATAGCAGAGGTCGCAGATCACAATGTCCCCAAAGCCAATCGTACAGAACTCCATGCACGCGCCTTGGAGCTTCCGCGACTTGCGAGATCGTTGCATAGCACGAACAGAGTCAGAGCCTTGTATGATCGAGACCAAAAACCTCTCCGACTAATTGGTCGCAGTGGCATGGACTCAAGAGCGCCTCTTGACCTGACCAATTCTTACCTCCGCACAATGTCACCAATACATATGGCATATCTGAAAAATCTAGATGTTCGTTCGACTATGTCAGCAACGATAGGTACAACAGATAATGTATGGGGCCTTATAGTATGCTTCTCATATGGATCATCGGGGATGCCCACTTCCTTTCAAACCCGCAAAATCTGTCAGTTTGTGAGCAAAGTTGCGTCCAGGAACCTTGAGAGACTGTTGAATAAATCACGCCTACAAAATTGGGACAAAATCATTGGGGCCTTTACGTCAGATCAATTGTATCAACACGTGGAAACACCGCATCAGCTAGATCGACAACGGCCACGCACGTCACCAGCAAACCTTCTACGGGTTTTCCGTGCCGATTTCGCAATCCTGTCTACTGGGGAGCAAACCAGAATAATTGGTCAGATCGAGCGACTTCCCGAAGCTCTAGTTATCCTGGAGTATTTCAGATTGCATAGGGCAGAGTCGGCGACGACTTCCATCAACATAGAACGAGATTTTCCTGACATCCAGTACCCGTTCCGCTTCAAAGATATCGCCGGGATCTTTGTCGTTCCTCTATCACATGCCGACAGCTTCTTTATCTTCTTCCGCCGCGCCTTCCCTTCAAGCAAAACAAGCATACCGAGTGCCACAAACTCATCATGTCGTAACGATACCATGCCACTTGCGCAGACAGAAGCCTCGCCGGAAACCGACCCAGATCTTCTCATTCGAACATGCAATCCTTGGACAGAAGCTGATCTGCAAACCGCGCACGTTCTGCGTTTGGTTTCTGGGAACCTTCTTCACACGTGGGAAAAAGACGATGCAAACCATTTGAAGCGCTTGCTGATAGAAAACTCGGCGCATGAGCTTCGCACTCCTTTGAACGCCGTAATCAACTATCTCGAAATAGCTATGGAGGGCACTCTCGAACCCATGATATGGGCAAATTTGAATAAGTCGTATTCTGCTTCACAGTCTCTACTCGGCGCGACTAGCGCCTTACTTGCCGACTGGAATAGTTATTGACATGTGGTACGCAGGTACTGTTAATGATAAGCTGAAAATCTCGACTCGAGATCGAATCCGCTGTTGCTGTGCCCTCCCTCTACATGATGATATGACAGATGAATGACAGCCATAATGTTCACTCTGTCAGTGTACTAGTCTATATATTAGCAGTAGAATATGCACTTGAATAAGGTAACGGGGAGAAAATAAACAAAACAGAATATTCTGTACTCCAAAAGAGACGGCCCACAGACAAAACTTGGAATCAACCCGAATTAGACATTGTCTCAAAGAGAAGACAAGAACAGAGATAGATCAACCGGCCCAGGCCTATTCGACCAGGGCTACATGAGCTTGAGGACTCCGATCGAGGCTGGATACGTTCGAGATCCGAGACTTTCGAATAGACTAGAACAATGCGACAACGGTAAGTCATGATAAAACCACCCGCCCACCCGACATTCCTGCCTCGCGTCGCCTGAATTCTTCGGCAGGAACGAGCTACCCCGTGCGCGCGCATACAAAGGATTGCGATAGCGGTGAAGTCAAACGAATGTCTCATTTGGGAAACGGGGGGGAAAAGATTTGAATCGGTCCTTGATGTCTCTCTACTAGAGTGTTGTGTTCTCCACTCGCAGCACTCAAGTGGTAGTTGCTCTTGTGAGAAGCAATCTGATTAATAACAAGTCGCTCGACGACAACAGCAGAAAACCATCACACCCAGGAGCAAAGGAAAGGTAAAGATAAAGGAGAGTTTTGCACAAAAAGACCTGTAAAGACAACCCGGTGCAACATTCTATCCGAGCTGATCGCCCATCCGACCCTAATTTCCCCCGACCCCCTCGTGTTCAGCCTCGTTGCTGTTGCCGTTCTCTAAGCTATATGGGGGAAAAGGGGAGTGAGAGACTATGCCGCATGCGCTTTACGTGCTTATGCGCATGCGCATGCACGTCCACGTTTTGTTATGCATGGCAAGTCGCATCTGGTAAATTGCGTCTCGCGTACGCTTACTATTTTCGTTTCCGAGACAACAATAACAAAAAGCGAGATCTTGTGTGGAGCTTGAACATTTTTGTTTTGATACTATCTACTGAAGAAGCGTGGGAGTTGCTGGGAAGCAGCAAACTCGTACAACTACGACTATGAACATGAAAAATTGGTCGGAAGATGATGCTTTTCTCCCCTAGAAACCGTATTGGTGACTGTTTTTTTCTTCTTCCTGTGAATAAAGATTAAACAAAAACATTTGTCGAAGAGTCAGTCCTCTTCGGTAAGACCGAATGAAATCCGAGTCTGTGGTGACCGCAGGACCATCGTATAAGTATTGTACAAAGAAAAAAAAAACAAGAAACGTAAAAAGAAAAGGGTGTCAGCAGAATGGAAGAGAAGCTCGCGAGTTTCTCTTTCTCTTGTTTGTCATCTCTCCCTCGCACACCAAGCCTAAGCGCGTATACTCCATTTCGCCCACGCTGCCACGCACATAAGGAAAAAAAGAAAAAAAAAAGAAAGGATAGAAGAACGAACAAATGTCAGCGATCAGCAAACTCATTTCTTAACATCCATAACTTCCTGGAACTTCGCTGGATTGTTGTGTGGTGTAGCTGGGTGGGCCGGTGACATGAGCGGACTTTCAAGCTCAACGGGCTTGTGTTGACTCATAGCTGGACTTGCCGGTGACAAAGTGGTGTGATCGCTGGGCAATTCGGCAACAAAGTTATTCGACGCAGCTTGTCCGCCGCCATAAGAAGACTCGCCCGAGAGTTCCATGGGAGCTTGTGCGACTTGTTGATAGACACCTTTTTGGTTCTGGTCGTAGGGCTTGTGCGGGCCCGAGTAAAACGTGCCGTCGTTGGGGTTGGGTGAGCTGTATACTGGTGGAGCTGCGGTTCCGCGTGAGTTTTTGTCTCGAGTCTTGTTTTGTTTGCTTCGGAGGAATACTCGAGCGAGGGGGGGTGGTTTACCTTCTGTAAGGGCAGAGGCACGGTAGTCTGTCTTGTCTCCGATGTCACCGCGGGCCACTGCAGCAGTTGCAGGGGCGTTTTCTTTGCTCTTGTTTTTACGCTTCTTGCAGAGGCAGAAGATTAGGATTGCGACGATGGCTACGATGACGACCACGCCTCCGACTGTGGCACCAGCAATGATACCTGTGCTCACGTGACCGTCGTCTTTGGCAGGCTCCTCTTTTGATGAATCTGATGATCCTGTGTACGCGTCGAATTGCAAGTCCGTCTTCAGCGATGCTGGAAAGAGATCACCCTCCGGACAGCTCGGTGGCGTATTGGCGCACGGCACTGTCTTGCAGCAACCCCAAAACGTTCCCTTTGGTTGAGCGCATGTGTAGGGCTTGATATCAACGGACCCACATTCCGGGTCAGGTGGGAAAGTGTCGGTGCCATGATGGGAAGCATTGAAAGAGAGAGGTTGAAGGTTGGTAATGGTACATCCGGTAGCCAGTTCGCAAGGGTCGATTTTGCAGCACCCCACGAACTTGGACTTGGACGACCTTGAACATGCGTAAAACTTGGAATCGTTGGGGCACTGTTGGTCGAAGAATTCGCTGAGCCCCCGCCGGGAGATGGAGTTGAAGGACATTTTGTGGTTAATGGTTTGCAGACTTGGGACTGTCGTAGTATGAGAAGAATGATTCCTGTCGGATAAAGGAATTGGGCACTCCTTTGATTCTGTGTTGGGGTTTAGTCAATGAATTAGAGAAAGTGAGGGAACAAAGAAAAGATAGGGACAATGGAAATGATATTGAGAAAGAAACCCGGGGCCAAGAGGGGGATTGCCCGCCGCTAGACAGACAAACACGTCAGATAGGGTTAACTCGTCTTGTTCAATAACTGTGATCTTGCTTATTAGTATGGCTGGGCGAGGCGTAGTCGTCAGTCCCGTGCCAACTACGCCAGGCTTGGTGTAATCCTGTGCCGCATATGCCATGTCGTAGGTAATTAAAGAAAGGTTATCCGTATCAGCTCATCTGTACCTACGTGCCTACTATGCTCAAGGCAATGATCCTCTTGCTCTCGTGCTTCAAAGCGAAATCACCGTTGTATGGGGTTTCGTCCTTGGTGGTACGGCAGTCACAAAATAACGCGCATACCGTGTTCGAAGAAGGTAAATGGGCTTTTTCGGAAGTGGGTGGGCTCCGCATAAGCATGGACCCCATTGTACGTTTTTAGACATCTTAGCTTCTTAAGAGGGGCGAAGCCCATTTGGTTAGACATTTGGATTATTGGCCCCTAAGTTCAAATCACCAAGTGCACATTGCGCTGATGCGCTTGTAGGTAGCTCTGTCAGCACTCGTGCGATTCGTCTACCCTCGTAAATACGTACATTTTAGACAAAAGCGCAATTCCTTCAGGATTTATCCCATTCATCTGCAAGAATGTTGCTCGTTGTGTTCAGCTGCCACTTTTCAACATAAAATAAATCGGTTGACTCGTGTAGTATGTACGCGTATTTTCCTTTGTGTTCCTTTTGTTCTTCAATTGCCTCTATAATCAATCCTTTGATACCCGCAAGTACTCTTCATTTCTTACTCAGACCACGACGAGATGAGCGGGGGCATTTTTCTATTTCGAAATTCCTACTCGTGTGTCCATTCAGCCTTCTTCTTCTCCGCGAAAGCCGACATGCCGATCTTCTGGTCTTTGGACCCGAAGAGACCATGAAATACCCTCCTCTCAAACTCAACACCTTCTCTTATACCTAGATCCTGGCTCTTGTTCACCACCTCCTTGCAGGCTTTGACAGCTATCTGACTGTACCCCGCGATCTTCTCCGCCGTCGCAATTGCGCCGTTGGTACACTCCTCCGGAGTCTCAAAGACCTTGGCAACGAGACCCCATTCTCCAGCTTGTTTGGCTGAAATGTTATCACCAGTGAGGATAGTTTCCATTGCGCGTGATTTTCCGATTGCTTTTGTGAGACGTTGCGAACCACCAGCTCCTGGTATTACACCCAGTTTGATCTCGGGTTGGCCAAAGACAGCCTTAGGCCCGCAGTACATGATGTCTCCCATCATCGCCAATTCACAGCCACCGCCCAAGGCAAAGCCATTTACGGCTGTTATGAGAGGTTTCTTTAGGAATGTGACGAGGTCTGACCATGATTCTATGAAGTCGTTGCCATACGCGTCACTGAATGTGAGGTCTTTCATCTCTTTGATGTCGGCACCAGCAGCGAATGCGCGCTCGGAGCCAGTCAAAACTATGGCACCAATGGATTTATCGGCTTGGAATTCGCGGAGGGCAGCATTGAGCTCGAGGATCAGAGGTGTGCAGAGAGCATTGAGGGCTTTGGGGCGGTTGAGCTGGACTGAGACATTACGTTAGTATCCACGCAGTCGACGTTCTACACAGAGAGGAGAAGAAAGAAGTACGTACTGAAGCCAACACCAGGTTTCGGCGACGAAACCAACAGATGTTCGTAATTGTTGGCCGACGCATACCCTCTAGTGACGTTAACAAATCGAAAGGCAGGGCGCACTTCGCGCGCTGTTCTGAGCGATGATCTGAAAGCCTGCATGTTTCAATGAGATAACTGAGCAAGGAAAAGTTGACTGGGAGTTGTATTGGTGTTGCACGTAACTCTTCAATGCTTCTGAAGCTGTTCAGGTAGCTGTTGTGGAGTGGTTACATAGTCGAAGCTGGATAGCATCGGCAGACCTCGGGTAACCCACGGCGAGGACCAGGCCAGACCGTTTATGACGCCTGCCCAACACCCCAGGCACGCCTTACTACTCACGTCATTAGCGCGAAGCGTCCCTTTGCACCGACTCCCTAGCAACTACATGCACCTTTGCGACACGCAAGCACAGCCTTTGAACAAGTTGCCTCAACAATCTTCTCCCACCCCACCGCCACCCTTTGCTGGATTACCAGCTGTCCATCGTTCCCGCTATACGAACACGCTCATCACGACGATATTGATTTAACGCTCTCATAACCACCCGAAAATGGACGCCCCGGAACCTGATACCCCTTTCGCCGCCGTGACGGCGCAGACGAGCAAATTTGGAAGGGTGCGTTGAAACCTGCATTCGATTCTTCTGGAGATGATGAACATCGAAATTCTTCATTTATTTGTAGACGAAGAATGACGCATGTGCATTTGCGCAGAACGAAAATATGACTGTGGGATGCTGGAAGGCTGATGCGAAAGAAACAGATATACCAAGCGTATCTCGATAAATCTACACCTTTCAAGGCATACCGATGGGCAGGCACAGCGACTCTCTTCATAGCCTTCATCGTCCGCATATTAGTTGCACAGGGATGGTACATTGGTACGCTCCATCTTCCATTCTGCTTGCACAATCCTCTAGCTTTCTACGTGCGCATTATCCGCACTTTCTTCCTACTAACACTGCATATCTAGTCGCATACTCTCTCGGTATCTACCTTCTGAACCTCTTCCTCGCTTTCCTCTCACCCAAATTCGACCCCTCACTTGAAGCCGATGAGGGTATGGAAGACGGCAACGCTGGCGGCCTCCCCACAAAAGAAGAAGAAGAGTTCAAGCCCTTCGTTCGCCGGCTCCCTGAGTTCAAGTTCTGGTACTCGACGACCAAGGCCATCACCACGGGTTTCGTGTGCAGCTGGTTTGAGATTTTCAACCTGCCTGTGTTCTGGCCCGTCTTGGTTGTGTATTGGCTAATTCTGTTTGGATTGACGAGTGAGTTGATGTTCCTATCCAGAGATCGAGATTCCCTTGTGAGAGATGAAGCAAGAGTACTAATTTGCGTCAATCTACAGTGCGTCGACAAATCCAACACATGATCAAGTACCGCTACGTTCCCTTCACGGTCGGCAAGACGCGATACCCCGGCGTTGCGAAATAAATCTTCTTCACCCACTCCGAGCGGGGTATTACGGCTTGTTTACGGAGACCCGCAATGGCGCACCGGAAGAAACAGCGTGGACAACCTCCACCACAACTTTGATTTTGCTTCAATTCATGAGCCTCGTGTTATCGGAGGGATGGAGCAATGGATAGTTTTTGTACATCATTAGAATTTGTTGTTGCGAAATTTTCCTGTTTGCCGCTTTGAGCGCGGGTGGAGGGTCGGCGGATGGCTTCATTTCACATGCATCGGTTGGGTCGACCTTTTTTTGGTGTGCGTCATTACCAATTTCCGCGCGAAAACGCATATGCGCACCCTGTAAATGTACTCAAGAGGGACGGATAATGCATGTTATATATACTTTTAACTAGGCTAGGGATGGATCTGGTATATGGTGAAAAGAAGAAAAGCATTGATGCAGGTGAACTGTTGGTTCGTATTTTGAATTCGGAATATCATGAATGCTATAATCGACTGACTAACGTATACGCACTATTTGAAATATGACTTTATCGTATGTGGACGGATAGAGCAAGAAATGTGAAGTCTTGAAAAAGAGACGAGGAGGGATCAGACGATACAGATACGGAAAAAGAAAATAGAAGAAGGAAAAAAAAAAGAACGCAGAAAGGTATCATCTCATATACAATCCAACTCACGGCCCGTGGCCTAAGTAAGCATCAAGCTTCTTTTTGTTATGGCTGAGGGCTTTCGCTCCAAACGCTCCATCCTTCAAATCTTGAGCTCGCCCATAGAACTCTTGCGCAAGTTCACCTTGGCATCTTCCTTCTCGATACTCGTCTCCTTTGTGCAGATCCACGTCGAAGCATACATGTTCACACTACTCACATGAATTAGTCAGCTACCGCATACCCCAACCACGAAAACTGGAGATAGAGAAAGGAAGGTGAAGGGGAGGGGGGATAAACATACCGATCAATACAAGCCCCAGGAACTCTAACGGCAACCCTCTTACACACAAACCCACATTCCTCAAACACGCTCAAATACCAAGGCTCCAGCCCCGCCGAGCGCAGCATAACGCGGCCTTTAACCTTGAGCGCGCGGTTCAGCGCGCGGATCTGCTTGAGCGCTTGCGAGCCCGTGGGCGGGAACCAATCCATCGAGTCCATGACGACGACGATAGTCAAGGTCGCAGGACGCATGCGCGAGATGACCTCGCTGATTTCATCCGTGTGGATGCGCAGGCCCGAAAACGCATTAGGTTTGCTGAGACGCACATGGGATTTCGGTGAGAGGTATGTAGGGTGCGAGCTAGGGGTGTAGTGACCCAGGAGCGTGAGGAGGTAGTAGTGGTTCGAGGTGCTGAGTAACGTGGTGTTGACGACGGGTTCGAACGTGTTGAGGACGTATTCGTAGATTGCGTTGCCCGAGGACTTGCGCTCTGCGGTTGCCGTGTCGAATTCCGAGGTCGCGTTGCGGAAGTCGGATTCGATCATGGCGCGTTGCGCGGGGGGAACGCCGAGGGCTTTCCAGAGCCATTTTTCGTTGGAGAGGATGGCCCAGGTGAGCAGTTTGGAGTGGAGGACGGACTTGAGCGAGCGGTTCCAGATGTCGCGTTGTTCGGCTAGGGTTTGGGCTGTGCAGAGGGCTTCGAGCTCGGGGGTGAGGCCTAGGATGCGGAATAGCCAGCCAATGAGTCGGAGGGCGTTACCGGATCCTCCAGAGTAGTAGAGACCTTTGCTTTTGGGTTCCGAGAAGACGGATGGGCCGTTCTGAAGCCAGAACTGGAACGCTGCGGAACTCATGTGAGGGCTGAGCTTTTCGACGAGGAGAGTGCGGAAGGAAGCATGCTTCCCTTCACCAAAAAGTTTCCATACGTCGGCGTAACCGAGAGCAGTGAATGCAGCGACTTTGAGCTCCAAGAGATGATTCTGTGAGGGGTTGAGATCGACGGCGTGGACGCGTCGTGGATTTTCTAGGCAAAAGGACAGAATATTATCACCTGCCGAGCCAATTGCAAGGACGACATCATCCGGCGTGACTTTCAGTAAACGAGCGTCTGCACGATCGTCTTCCCAAGTGAATGCGTATATGTAGGAGTTGTTGAAGCGGGTGTGCTTGGGCAAGCTTTCGTCGTAGTGGATACGCCAGTGATGATTTTGGTACCTGATGACATCAAAGTCAGAAGTTGAGGTAGAATCCGCGGGGATGGAACATACCAAGTTGCGGGCAAGGGGAGGCTAGACTGGAGATTGACAATCGCAGACTCGTACGCTTTGGAGCGGACTTCCACATCAGCCTGTACAGGCCCGGTCTGAAGATCCAACGCAGAAAGGTATGGGGATTCTGTGGCCGCAGCATCGATCTCAGCCAACTTTGCCGTCGAACCTTCGCTGCTCTTTGCACAACCAATCCAGATGTAGTATGGAAGCCGGACACCGAAGAAATTGTTGCGAGCATTCACGCTGAGGATAGTACCCAGCCTGTATTCTAGGTAGTCTCTCCGAGCAGCTTCGAGGTTGACCCGATCGATCTCAAACCATGTTCTCCAGAATACCCTGGAGATCCACATGCAGTGTCTGTTGATAGCGCCACCAGTGTAATTTCTGGAGTTGAACTCGACCTGGCTTTGAACATAGAAGTCAACAACACCTACAATGCCGTTTGGCGATAGTAGCGAAGAGATTGAGTCTATGCAAGGGTAGAACTCGGGGATCATGGAAAGAGCATAAGACATGGTTACAAGCTCAGCGCCTCCGGCATCAGCATCTTCGTCCAAGTCACGAACCGTCTGACTTTGCGAAAAGATTTGTTTTTGTGCGTGTGCTTCTGGTTCATGCTCATGTAGACGAAAGGCTCGAGCATCTTGACAAATGACTTTGACGTTCTTCCACCCGAGACGAGCAAAGCGCTTGCGTGCCATGTCGCAAAGACTGGGCGAGAGGTCGACGACGTAGACAGCTCGGAAGAAATTCGGAACCGAGACGAACTGGTTCATTTGCTCGACACTGGGTGCTGTTGTCAGCTGGATGGAGAAAAAATCTGAATGGTGAAATTACTTGTGACCAGTTCCACCACCAATCTAGGGACGATGGTTAGCACGGTTCTTTTTGAAGGAAAAGAAAGTTGATTCACATCTACCCATACAGGTCTCTGGGCGATTGAGCCAGCCTCACAGCGATGCTTCAGTTGGGCGGCCACCAAGCCCAACATATCCTCTCGACCTCTAAGAAGTCTGGTCCGTGTGGCATCGTAGACATCTGCCTGTGCTTTGTAGAAGCTCTCCTGTCTTGGGTCAGCAGCTAAATACGATGAACAGCTGGGAAGATGGTACCAAAGCATCTTGCTGGCTTCCCGAGCCGTCCCCGGTGTGAGGCTTCACGAAGCAAGCATAGAAGAACTTCAAATAGGCGCGAAATGTGGTCGTCTCGCCTTTCTGCGGCTTCAGAGAGAAGGCAAAGACGGAGAGCAAGAAGATGGTCAAAACACACAGCGACAAGACGACGGCGTTGAAGGGGTCCCTAGGGATGATTGTTGAAAGGGCGAGCATGGCTGCGGGTCAGAAATGTGAAGACAAGATACAGAAGAGAAGAGGCAAGACAAAGAGGGGCACCAGAGGGTTCAAGATATGTTGAATGGGCTTCAATGCAATCATGAGCGTTTCCGAAGGAGCATTCCGAGTTCGGGTTGGTCACCCACGCCGATCCACCTGATAACCAGGCGGGAAGATGAGGCCATGGACCACCTGAGCCAATCAAGCCACACACATGTCGACGAAGCATGAAGACAGCCATAGCTGCATCATATTGTGAGGCAACATCTGGGCCGTTTGGCCTTCGCCAGTAGCGGCTACATATGCAGGGCACCAAGGAACCGACAGCTTCTCCAGAGTTTGTTGTATATGGGGGAGGCAAAGGAGTGCATGCTGACCTATCAGGAGGAGACGAGCATCCTCGTGCCGGAGCATGTCTGGTGTTGAGGATGCCATGTTCCCAGCCTTGCGGAGCCCCCGTTGTTGTTCGTTGTTGTCGTCGCCCTCCAATCAGAGCGGCCCGCGGTGAAGCGTGCTGGAACCACACACCCACAAGATCCGTATGCAGGGTCCGCGACATGACATAACGCCGGCTCGCTTTCTTCATCTGCAATCTTCAACCCCTCGCCCATTGATTCTCGCCCACGCTGATCGGCCCAACGCGTAGCCCATCTCGGTCAAAGTCGGTGGTGCCTGTTAGTATCAGTATGAAGCTGCCTACACCGTGAGTAACGGGCACATCTGCCTCATCAGCATTACATATAGACATCAACCACGCATCACCACCAAGAGACATCCGAGTGAGCCACGTCTGACATGTTGAGACAATGTGTGCCTTCTATTTATTATTACAGCCGCGCTATACATGCACGCGAGTAACAGCGTGCACATGCAAACCGCCATCTGTCATCCTGTCGTGTCGCTTGCCCCACTCTACGCGTAGAAATTGACCGTGTCCTTCTTTTTGGCCTGTTGTCTTGTTAGCATACCTCATGCACCAATCTTTGCTGGGCCAGCTTACCTGGACTTCGGCGATGGCGTCGACGTAGTGCTCGTGACTGATCTTTTGCTGTCCCGACCGCAGGGCAATCATGCCTGCTTCCACGCATACCGCCTTGAGCTGCGCGCCACCAAACTCGTCGGTGCTGCGTGCCAGCTCGGGCCAGTTGACGCCATCATCCACCGTCATCTTCCGAGAGTGGATGCGGAGAATCTGGGCTCGTGCCTCCTCGTTCGGCAGGGGGAACTCGATCTTCCTGTCCAGACGCCCGGATCGGAGCAACGCAGGGTCCAAGACATCCACACGGTTCGTTGCCGCAAGCACCTTGACCCGATCGTCGGATGCGAACCCATCCAGTTGATTGAGAAGCTCCAACATGGTCCGCTGCACTTCACGGTCACCAGACTTTTCCGAATCGAAACGCTTGGTTCCTACAGCATCCAGTTCGTCGATGAAGATGATTGAAGGCGCCTTCTCTTTTGCCAGAGCAAAACAGTCCCGCACAAGCTTCGCTCCGTCTCCTATGAACATTTGCACCAATTGCGGGCCAGCCAATTTGAGGAACGTGGCGTCTGTTTGGGCAGCGCATGCTCGAGCTAGCAACGTTTTACCGGTTCCTGGAGGACCGTACATGAGGGCACCTTAGGGCAAAGATTAGCAGTAGACCTCCGTAGAACATAGCTCCAACTTACCTTTCGGAGCTTTTATGCCAATCTTCTTGAACCGCTCGGCTTCCTTCATCGGCCACACAACGGCCTCGACCAGCTCCTCAATCTGCTTGTCTAGACCACCGACATCCGTGTATTGCTCCGTTGGCTTCTCGTCCACCTCCATCGCCTTGACTCTGCTATCGTACTCAGCAGGTAATGTGTCCAGGACGAGATATGAATCTTTGTTCACACCAATGAGATCGCCAGGCTTCAGCTTCTCGTGGTCCACGAGGCCGATGAGCGGGAGGAAGATGGTTTGCCGCGTCGAGGTCTTGATGACCGCCGATTTGCCTACTCGGGTAGCATCCAAGTCAATATTGGCACCCTCCTCCGCAGCCTCTGCTGTGACGTCGAGATCCAATATTTCCACCACATTCCCGACGAGATATGGCAGTTGCCTGTGCTGGTCAGTAAACACTGGTGCGTGGGACCGCCACGTTGTCCGCGGTGGGGCAGTATCTTGAACACCCACCTATTGTTTTCAATCTTATCCAAGTTATCCCGAATCTTCTCGTTCATTGCAGCCTTCTCATGTGTGAGACGCTGGAACTCGCTCTTCATGATCCGCATGTCGTTCTCCATCAATCGCTTCCGTGCGACGATGTCTCGTGTGCCCAGGTTCAGAATCTCGTCATCGAGCGCCTCCTCCTCGGGACCCGCATCTTTCATGTCAGCATCCTCGCCATCTTTTTTCTTGTCATCCTTCTTGTCCTCCTGTTGCTCGCGCTCGATATCCTCGAGGTCCTCCAGTGTTGACATGGTGGCGGGGGTCGTGTGAAGTGGGGGCGGGCGGGGCGGTCTGTAGTCGTATATTTGGATACTAGCGAAAGATATCGGAGTGGATCCGGATGTACAGAGGATAATGGGTGAGAGTTGGGGAGGCGTTGATGGGAAGGAAGCTGTTTAGAGGCAGCTTTGGATTACGAACGTAATAGCTAGCTTGTCGGGATTAGTGACCGCCGATGTCTTGGCAGCCTACCATGACCGTTTGGCTGAGGTCGACCACCCTGCCGAAAGTGATACAAGTAATTCTGATCGCAATTCATTTTCAGATGTTGATTAGCAGACGCGAACGTTTGATGCAATAATGTTGGGCGTTTTATCAGTTTTTCAAAATACTGCTAGCGTGCATCTTGTTTTCATGGTCAGCAACCGAAGTTCGTCAAATGCCAGCGCTATGATCCACCAACCATTGAGTCTGGATATGGACTGATGACATGGGAACTTGATTGACAGGGGCTCTAGAAGCTCGGTTACTTCGGCCTGTCACGATAGCAGTTTAGGATCATCTGTGGTGCTTGGTGTAAGGCGGGGTCATCGAGGATGGATGATTCTATGGCTCATGTTTCATTGCTATATAAGCCCTAAAATGCTGAAAATTTTCCATTATCGTTTGAAGTTACTTCGGCCCAGTGGCCTAATGGCAAGGCGCTACTTTCCGGCTATCAAAGCAAGTCTGGTAGAGATTGCAGGTTCGAGTCCTGCCTGGGTCGCTCATTTTTAATTTTTATCCATGTTGGAAACAGATGTGCCGCATGGAAATGCGATGAATCATTATTACTTTTAGTTGGAAACAGATGGCTTTTTTGTCCCGCCATCCTTCACTTCAGCACTAGCGCAACTACGACATTCCTCGTTGGATCCTCGGTAAATGCCTCGGATCTATTCTCGATGTTTCGCGGGCGCTGGGGGGGATAATGGATGGGCCCATTTTCTCTGACCCCACCTGCAGCCTTGAGCATGAATTCAAGGTACCTTACGCACAGTTGACTCCTGACGCAACGTTACTCCCTCTCTCTTAGCACACATCTCTGATAGTCGTCTTTTTAGTTGCATCTTGTCTAATCATACCCGTGATTGTTATAATTCAAGTTTCGCGGATCATGGCTGCTCGAGTTCTGGGTCGCATACGATGCGGGGGAAAGAGGTAACTCATTCGATTCTCACTCAGTACACATGCATCTCTGGCATCTTACTGAACATTTGCAGCTCAAATGTTCCTTTCCCCTGCTTCTCGGCTTCGATCAATTGGCAGAAACCACGCAGGCCTACACCGATCCACCATATTCGATTCTACTCACCATCACGAATCCAAAATGCTCCTTCTATTGGACTAAAGGAAGGTGCTAAGATCACTGCTGGTACAAAGGAAATGTTTGTTTATTCAAATATCTATATTCCTTGAGAGGTGCTTGCTAAAGTTGATCAATAGACCGAACATATGGCTCAGGTGAGCTCATGAAGACCCGAACCAGATCACCTATGCAGGGCTGCGGTGTAACTAGCACAGGGATAACTGCCAGTGTGCGACGTGTGTTCACCCTGACACGAAACAACGTCTTTTGGACACATTTCTGGTGCGTCATCAACAGCAAGTTGGATTCAAGCAGTTAATGGACTGTTTGTAGATTCCAAAGGATATCCACATCGAGAACACGTCTAAAACAGAAGATGCCATTAAAGTGCAATGTTAGACTCATCACCCCACAAAGAACCAAGATATAAAAACTGAACTCAAGAAGGGAGCGATGGCCACATGAGCGAATATTCTAAAGCCTTTCTCGAAGATACAGCCAGACCATTCCTGGACCGCGCCATCGTACGTCAAGGCATGGTACCGTACGCTATCCATCTTTTGCCTGCTCACCACGAAGCTCACTTACACACAGTCCCCAACTCTGGGGAGCCGAAATACATGACACACTCCCACATGTTCACTATCCCGAGTTTGGAAACAGTCCAGCCCTCGTCAAATCTGTGCTCAATATCATCCGCACATACGGGCTCTGCACTATTGCAGCAGCTCCCCAGACACCAGAAGAAACGGAGAAAATCCTTAGCAGCATCGCGTTTATCCGCGAAACTCACTATGGCGGCTTCTACGACTTCACGGCGGACCTTGCATCCAAAGATACCGCCTACACTAACATTGCACTCGAGGCGCACACAGACAACACGTACTTCTCCGACCCGGCAGGTCTACAGGCATTCCATTTGCTCGAGCACGATGGGGAAGGAGGTGAAAGTCTGTTAGTCGATGGATTCAAAGTAGCTGCAGACTTGAAGCGTGAGGACCCCCAGGCTTATGATGTTCTGGCGAGGACAAACGTACACTCTCACGCATCCGGGAACGAAGGCATCTCCATCCAACCGTACCGCGGCTTTCCGGTCTTGCAGCACGATCCGGTCACTGGTCTTCTTCTGCAGGTCCGGTGGAATTCCTCGGATCGAGCGGGGATCGAGCTACCTGTTGACGAGGTGGAGATTTGGTACGATGCGGCACGGAAGTGGGATGCACTCTTGAAGAAGGAGGAAAACGAATACTGGCATAAGATGACACCAGGCTCCATACTGATCTTTGACAATTGGAGAGTTTTGCACGGAAGAAGTGCATTCACAGGGAAACGGAGAATCTGTGGGGGTTATATCAATCGCGATGATTGGATCTCGAAATTCAAGATGGGATACTTTGGCCAGGATCAGGTAATGGGGAAACTGGCGTCCGGTTAGCGGAAGCATCTACCATCAATAACAAATCGCATACATAGTACTTGGTGATGAACAAAGAAAAAGCATGATGGTACATTGGTCTGAGTATAGTCGCTTATTTACAGCTTCTCTAGACATGAAAAGAAAACCGTTCCATTCTATCCTGCGCACTCTCTTATTTGTTCTTCTCTGCCTCCAACTCCAATTCGGCTTGCCGATAGTATTTTGCCGTGTCCACACCGTGGTAGGGGTGGTTCACGAAGTTGGGCCACAGAATGACGTGGGAGAATGTGGCTGCATATCGCGAATTCCTGTGGGCCACGCCCTGCATGTAGTCTGTCATTTCGGAAGTGCCATAGAGAGGCTCGCCCCTCTTCACTTTGTCGACCATTTCCCTCATGTCCATTTCGACTTCACGACGGTTTTCGCGCGCACCGTAGAAGCGTGCTACAAAGCTGCATTAGTACCAGACATATGCCTTGAGGGGGATTCGGCAACAGGCGGACGTACCACATGTTCTCGAGTAAGCGAAAATAAAGGCTCCTGTCACTCCAATAGCGCCGGAGAGGCGCATAATAGGAGCGAAACCTCCCTTTCCCACAAATGAAGGCGAGATCTTTTCCCAGTACAGCATCAACCCGGGACTGAGAGCTCCAACAGCCGCACCAGTCAGCCAATCGGTGGGGCGAGTGTACCGCATGACACGGTTGAAATGCCTTGGAAAATTGTTAGTAGTCGCATGCGGTGGAGAAGTTGTAGCAAGGCATACGGGTCATTGTCGATGAGCTGGTAGAGGTTAGCGGAGATGTACTTGGTCATGAGGGTAGAGGTGCCAATTACATACAGGATACTCTCCATTTGGTACTTTGTCTGGAATCAAGGCCTGAGCAGGCGTTTCCTGGACAGGTTGAGACATGGCGTCGTGGTGGGGGGCGTCTTGCTGTCTTCGGTGATGCCACTGGAGGACGTGAGGTTGGGGAAGCTCGAATGTTGCCAAGCCTTGGCACCTTCTAAAGTTGTTGCTGCAACTGCAACTTGAGATGCGACAACAGTGAGTGCGTCTGCCACTCGCTGCGCCTACATTTCACGACTCGAAAAATAGAAGGAGAGGGAATTCAAATGGAGGACCGAACAGTTTCCCGCGCAACGAGCGCCCAGAACGCTGAAGACACGCACGCGACCGATGCACCGAGTCTACACGCCCGCCCGACCGTGGCTGACCTACACGGCGAGAACCATTTCGCACAAGTCGCAAGGAAGAATTGGCTAGGCACGAACGAGGCGCAAAAGGTTCGACCGGAAGTGATTAAGAAAGAGCTATGGGATGAGTTGGAAAAGATTGACTTTGCTTATCCATCGCTCCTCGTGCTCGAGAACCTGCAGCTGCTCGAGAGATACCTATGGCCTACATTTACCGAGGACGCATCCAATTACCACCATTTGCTGTTGGCGCTTATGATCAACGTGAAAAGAAGGGAGAATCTGCCTTCATGGGGTGAGTGCTGTAACTTCAAGGATCTCGACCACGCGCTAACATCATGCAGAACATTTTGCGACCAAACCTTCCGAATTTTCCGCCTTCTTCCGTCGCATACTTTCCATGACCATAGACTCTTCGCAACCGATCAAGATTCGAACCCAACTTGTATCCTTTGTTATTGGCGCGTTTCAATCACTGGACAGTGGGCTGGTGCGCAAGGAATGCGCCCCTTTGGTTGGAATATCAATATGGCACAACCTGCATTCAGAAACAGTGCGGGAAGACAACTTCGAGAATCATCAGATGCTGAAGAAAGCTTGGAGAGCTGCGCACAAGCGATTCGAGGCTGGAGACGAAGTGCTTCAAGCGCGGCTACGATTTGAGCGGTCGTGGCTATACACATTATTATCGGACTTCATCAATCTTCTCTACAACTCCAAGTCGCGACAGGATATGCAGGATAATTTGGCGTACTGTGAGCGATTTGTAGAACTCCTCACCGACCTGCAAAGCCAACTACCTACGAGGAGATATGTCAACACGCTGCTACGGGACCTAAACACCCTACCGGCTATCAACCTGTCGCCAATGTACACAGACGAGAACAACGGCCTATTACGGGATCTAACGGTACTCCTCAACCACTTCACATATTTTCCCATCGAAGATCAGACTGGAAAGCAGCTGTCGAAACTCGAATACGACCAGGAACACTACGATTTACTTGCAAAACTTCAGAGGGAGGGATATGCGGCGTTCCCAGAGAAACTACAACTTCTGGCTCTGGCCAATTACGGCAGTGTAGGAAACAGAAGCGAATTGGAGAACCACATCCGATCTCTGGACGACCAGGAAGTCATCCAATTGTGCTCTTCTATGGGGTTGAGGACTGAGTACTCCGCATCGTCTTTCCTTGTTCAAGATCGATCTTTCTACACAGAAATTTTGTTTGCACTGGTCGAGTACAAACCGATGTTCAAGGATGTCGTGCGCGACATGCCCATTCTGCCCACGGAGAATATTTTGTATGAGACAACCTTCCTCCGTAACGAATCCTATAACGGGGCTCGGCCACTGGCCATACCAAAGCTCAACCTCCAATACCTTACTATGGGCGACTTTCTATGGAGGTCCTTTATTTTGTACCGGGCGGAATCACTTTATGGTATCCGCAAAGACATGGAGGACGTTGCGAAGAGAGTCCAGCCGCGTGGAAAAGGTGCTAGTACATCGTTCAAAGGATTTTCGCGCATGTCGATACCTATTTCGAATCCTGGCATTGTCGACGTAGCACCATCGCAAGTCGGCGAGGAGCATCCGGCGTACGTTCGTGCTGAAATCATCTTAGATGTCAGTCGGCTCCAACATCCAGTGCGACGAGAATGGGAATTACTCAAGCCTGACGATGTAGTTTTCCTCCTTGCTGTCGAAGAACCGGATGATGCTCCAACGCGGAATGGCGTAGAGCAGCCAGACAGCGGTGAACAACACGGAATTCGCAAATTGAGGAGCGCTTCGGTGGTACAGATACAAGACGAGAATGGTCGACCTCTCAGAGATCAGCCGCCCGGCGACGGCATGCCGTATCGAGCTAAACAGCGAAGACTCATCGTACACATTGACGCTAAGCAGTATCAAGAGGACATGGATCGCGTCAGTCAAGGCCGACCAAATATTTACGAGCAGATCAACCTTGTCGTCCGTCGACGCGGCAGAGAGAACAACTTCCGCCCCATTCTTGAGTCCATCCGCCGCCTTACGCTCTCAGATATCCCAGCACCTTCATGGCTGCAGGAAGTTTTCCTCGGCTATGGCGACCCGTCTTCTGCGACCTACAAGCGGCTACCCAACCGCCTGCATTCGATAGACTTTCGTGATACCTTCTTAGACTGGCAACACCTGATCGAATCCTTGCCCGGCAGATCAATCGAACCCCATGAAGACGCACAGTCCTCCTTTGGACCACCATACGTCTTGCAGTTTCCTGCAGCAGGCGAAGCCAAGCCGGCACCTGCTCGATCGTCGAAGAAGCGGCGGCGCGACCAAGTTGAGGTTGTACAGCCTGCGCATGAATCGGTCCATGTTTCTACATACAAGCCTCCAAACATGGGTCCCTACCCTGCAGACACACTCAAGCTGAACAGCGTCAGGTTTACCCCTGCTCAGATCGAAGCAATCACATCAGGCTCGCAGCCAGGTCTGACTGTCGTGGTCGGCCCACCGGGTACCGGCAAGACCGATGTTGCGACCCAAATTATCTCTAATATATACCACAACTTCCCGGACCAACGGACGCTACTAGTTGCGCACAGTAATCAAGCGCTCAATCAGCTGTTCCAGAAGATTGTGGCGCTCGATATCGACGAGCGCCACCTCCTTCGTCTGGGTCATGGCGAGGAAGGGCTGGAGACAGAGACGAGCTACAGCAAACATGGCCGTGTAGAGTCTTTCCTAGAGAGAGGCACATATTATCTTTCAGAAGTAGACCGACTGGCGAAGAACTTTGGGGCGCCGGGAGCTCATGGAAGTTCATGCGAGACGGCAGATTACTTTAATCTCGTCTATGTGAAACCCGCCTGGACGCAATATTGGGACAACGTCACATCATCAGAATCCAGTGTCGAGCAGATAATTGCAGAATTTCCTTTCAAGCAATACTTTGCCGACGCACCTCAACCTCTCTTTCCACCTGACGCAGACAAGGCGCAACTGGTTGATATCGCTCAAGGCTGCTACCGCCATGTGGAGAAGATTTTCACGGAGCTCGAGGACATTCGTCCTTTTGAGATCTTGCGAAACCCGCGAGACAAAGCCAACTACCTTCTTGTGAAGGAAGCGCGCATTATTGCGATGACTTCCACTCATGCAGCGATGCGGAGGCAAGAAATCGCGTCTCTAGGCTTTCACTACGACAATGTGATCATGGAAGAAGCCGCTCAAATCACTGAAATTGAGAACTTCATTCCACTTGCGCTGCAAAATCCACAGAATGGAGAACTGCCTTTACAGCGAGTTGTTCTTTGCGGAGATCATCTCCAAAACTCGCCCATCATCCAAAATCTTGCCTTTAGACAATATGCTAACCTCGAACAATCACTCTTCTTGCGACTTGTGAGACTGGGAGTACCAACCATTATGCTCGACAAGCAAGGACGCGCTCGCCCTTCGATAGCAGAACTCTACAAGTGGCGCTATTCAAACTTTGGCAATCTCCCATCCGTCTCCACTTTACCTGAGTTCACGACCGCAAACCCTGGCTTCAAATTCGATTACCAGTTTATCGATGTGCCAGACTACAAAGGCAAAGGCGAAATGGAACCTACACCGCATTTTATCCAGAATCTTGGTGAGGCAGAGTATACAGTGGCGCTGTACATGTACATGCGATTACTTGGGTACCCAGCGCACAAGATCTCCATCTTGACCACGTACGCGGGACAACGGGCGCTCATCAAGGACGTGCTGAACCACAGGTGCAAAGGGGATCCCATGATCAACAAGATGTTCGGTCTACCCCGTATAGTCGCAACGGTAGACAAGTACCAAGGCGAACAAAACGATTGTTAGTAACCCCCCCCTTCCCCCCCGCCTTCCCTGTCATTGCCCCGAACCCCCAAACCAAAATTCGCGGAACAAAATTCTAACATTTGCACTCCTAGATATCCTCCTTTCCCTTGTGCGTACACGCTCGATAGGCTATCTCCGCGACGTGCGCCGTCTTACCGTCGCCCTCTCCCGCGCACGCCTTGGTCTTTATATCCTTGGCCGTGCCTCCGTCTTCGCCTCGTGCTTCGAGCTGAAACCCGCTTTCGACACGTTGCTCTCGCGCCCGACCAAGCTTGCCCTCGTCACCGACGAAATGTTCGCTCCTAACCCCGCCGCACGCTCGCGTCTGCTGACAGATGCTGTCGAGGAAGGCCGCGAGGCTGTTATGGAGGGTGTTGAGCATTTGGGAAAGTACGTGTATGAGATGACGCAGGCCAAGCGTGAGATGCTGGCGAATGGTGTTAGTGGAGAGGTGCAGGATGTTATGGACGTGGCGATGGCAAATGGGGTTGATGAAGACGATGATGCGGATCGTGAGGAGGACGTTGTGGTGCCTGATGTGTAAGGGGCATTTTTTGGTCGTCCTGGGCTTTCAAGTGTATTGTTTTGGAGGCTGTTTTCTTACTCTTTGGGCTATCTGCATGATAAAAGGGAATGAGTGGAACTGTAGGATTATTAGGATGGACGGGATGGAGAGCGTGGGAAATTTGCTTTCTCACTCCCAGCTATATATGTACGCACTTCATGTGCCTTCTCCCAATTGAATCGAGGAGCATTGAACCATGTCATGTCGCTTTCCTGTTCGCGTTCTTATTTGATACTCACCACAAGGCAGTGGATGACATACCGGTGGGTTCTATACACGCACCAAAAACTCATTTGTTTCCTTCGATACCATGTTTTATGATTTACGACCCACACAAGGAGGCATCTTCATATTATTTTGATTTGTATCTCGTTGTCTAATCATGTTCTGATCGTCCCACCAGAGTCGGCGAGCAGCGCACCCGCGCCCTCACGCCGATGCTAATTCTACATTTTGTTGTACCCCCTAACCTCTCCAAGAATCCCAAGGGACGTCAAAGGGGTGTCTCATCAACCCTTTGAATCCCGATCTGATTGAAACGCCAGGAATGCAAAGAAGCGCATATAAAAAGGATGCCAAGGATCAGTGCATGAACCAGATGTTCGCCACCGTCTCAAAAACTAGGAATATTTCTTGTTCATTCATGTTCCACTGAAGATTCCTCATCTCCTGCGTGCAGCCTGCCTCTTAAGAACGTCCTGCAACTGCTCGATACGGTCCACAAACAACTTCTTCTCCGCATCGCCCCGCCACACCAAAACGCCTAAATCCTCAGCGTACTTAACGATCTCCCGGTAATCCTTCTCAGACTGGAATTCCTTGAGCATGTAGCCGTTTGTGGTTTCAACCCTCTCGCCTTCGAGCTCCCAGAGACGAATCTGGTCCGTGACAGTTGGTGGAATGAAGGGCACGGCTTTCTGCATCTGAGGGTGAGCGTGTGCATCTAGGTACGATATGATTTGTGATGCCGAGATGCCAGTTTGCACAGCGCGAGCGATGGAGGCGCGGGTCAGCTTTCCTGAGACGAGATTAGGAAATCGAGTGGTAAGTTTTGTAAAGAGAGAGAGCACAGCGATTTGGAGGAGAGAGTTGGTGTAGGCATAGAGGCGGTAATTGGTTTCGACGATGATGAAGCCCTTTTTGGTTGCACCGGTTCCTGGTGCGACGACTTCGTTGGGGTTGGTGGTAGAGAGGGCGCCAGAGTCCGAGGTCAGTGTTACGGCGAGGCGTGTAGGGTAGAACGTTTTTGCGCCCTTGTGCGACATGTAGACGATTCCAAAGGCAGTGAGGTCGTCAAGCATTTGAGTCTGTGTAGGTGATAGTGTGGAAGTGCTGTAGTCCTGGCCAAGCTCGAGAGATCCGAGCATGAACAGGAATGAGAGCACGTCTGTCTCGGACATACCAAGCCCCAGCTGGTTGCCATGTCAGCCGATGTCACGATATATAGAGAAGGTAGATGCATACGTTATCGACATATTTCAGATACTCAATCAGCAAGCTCCAGACCTGGGCATTGGTATCTTGCAACACAAACATGAACCCCGTCCTGGTAATACCTATCTTACCGTGGTTTTTAGCGACAAAGCCTCCGCCCTGCAGCAATTTCTTCGTGCCTTCTCCAATGTCACCCCCCACACTTCCATGGAAGCCCACCGTGCTTCCAACCATGTAGAACAAGAGGCTCTCCCACTGTCCCTGTGCATAATCATCAAGCTCTTGTATCGTGACCTTGCGCTTCTCGGTCGGAGGAGCAGGAACGCCGAAGGAGCCGTGCCTGCCTGAGCCTTCAAGCGCTTGACGGAGGGATTTGGAGAAGCCGGGAGCCAGAGAGTAGTCTGTGAAGCGCGAAGTGTCCCGAGGCTTGGCCTCGACAATGTGGAGCTTCTCAAGTATGTATAAGCTGTCCTTTTTAAGCCTTGAAGCGGAAGGCCGAAACCATGCATCCAAATCGAAGGAAGACAAAGGCTGTGGTATGTAGAGTAGAGCCATGACGATAGATTTCGCTAGACAATGCATTAGCACCCCCGATCAGCCCGTATGAATTGCGGAAAACATACCTAGATGTGGTAGCATACAGCGAAATATCGCCAGCACGGTTGAAGGCTGCTCATACAGCTTCTTGTGCGTCTGCAACGGCAGCTGCTCGAGGTACTCGAGTGCCTGAGAGGATGACGCCGACATCTTGGGTGGATGTGGGCTCGTAGTCTGCGGCTATCGTGGTATCATATTATCAAGGCCAAAGGGGGCGCGCGGCAGGCCGCAGACGAGAGCAATGGCGATTCGCAAGTAAGAGACGATTTGTCTGAAAGGTGATGTTGAACAAGTGCGTTCCTTGAGTTAAGAAACGCGCCAAGAGCGGAACCTGGGAGCCAGGATGCCCCGCCATCTCGCGCTCCACCCTGTCCACCAAGCTTGACCGAGCGGTGATGCTCAACTGCCGAGCGGAACCAACTACATCGCTCTGTCGTCAACGCTGTCAACAAGACAGCAATTTCACAATCATGCCTGCTTTGAAATTTGTGCAATCAGTAAGGTACTTCTTCATCACCCTAATGATATTAGTCTAACAAGATCCGAATTGGACAGGTTTGGGAGTCGTTCCGGGCATCTTCGGGTAATTATCAAGCTTCCTTATTCAACAAGAAACGCTGTAAACTGATTGCAGATACTTAGGATTGGAACCAAGGTGAGAATAGCCATCTTCAATGGGTTTAATACTTTTGAGACTGACTTCAGAAACTCAGGCTTCTCGATGGAGTGCGTTCCGTTCATGCAAGTCAACTACGCTCTTCTCAATTAACATGTCTTCCGATTAGCTCCGAGTGACAAGTGCCACACCCGGCCGCGTCAAATTTGAACTAGACATCGAAAAGGAACATACTGTACGTTAACAGCTCCCTCAAATAACTGGTAGTCGTATCTTCCCACGCTCTAACACTCGCAAAGAACCGTCTGAACATTCTTCACGGCGGCACCATAGCTTCCATGGTCGATCTTGGCGGCTCACTAGCTGTTGCATCTCGCGGGCTGTATGCGACAGGTGTTTCTACTGATCTTAATGTCACCTATCTGTCATCCGGCGGCAAAGTTGGTGATCGGATCAAGGCCGAAGTAAGCTGCGACAAATTCGGAAAGACCATGGCTTTCACTTCTATTCGTTTCATGAACGACAAGGATCAGATGTTCGCGAGAGGCAGTCATACCAAGTATATTGCTTTGGCGTGGAAGGACCCAAAGAATATCGTTGAAGAGCTGACACCCAAATCTCAGGGGAAGGAGTAGAAGCTGTCCGCCTAGCTCTCTGTGTATAAATTCATGTAATCAGAATCGAACAAGCCAGTGTCGCACATAACTAAACATATCCAGTGGCCTTGATTCTCACAAATAGTCCTCCAATTTTATACAGGCATTATCAGTCAGCTGAGTAGGTTCCTCTTATAGACGAGTAAAATTCTGAGTGCATTTCTACCTTGCATAATCGAGTGCGTAGGTGCCCTCTCGAATTTCAGAATGCCGCGTAATGACACTGCGCCATACACGGGGTAACAGCCAGTGGGAAGACCATATCTCATCCACTACCATCCTTCAATTACCATGCACCCTCATCACATCATACAGAAATCGCCCGTAAAGTTCCTCCTCGAATTTTTGACCGATTTGTCGGACTGCGCGCCCTGCAGAACATGTCGGGGTGCGCTGCACGGTTGCTCGATCTCCTCCTAATCATCACTCCCTCAATACCCCGATAGAAAACGTGATTAACCTACGTGGCCAGACGAGCGTCTGGTCTCCGCATCTGTCGGTTGTTCACGACTGGTGTTAGAGCTCATTGACTCCTCCCGACTACGTCCTTTCCCCCTCATCAAGCTCACAAAGCTACTCTTTCTCGGTGTTAATCTTCGGACCGCACGAACAATAGGTCCGTCCTGAGGAGTGTCTGTGTTGCTCTGCTTACGGGGATTGAGTGCCGCGAAGTCGTATTCTTTACCAAGTAGTTGATGCTTTCGTCGATAGCTGTTTTCGAATTCCTAAAGTCACCTAAGTCAGCCTTATCTGATTACAAATGTTCCCCCAGAGTATTTTATGCTTACCCAAAGGCTGTCTGCTGCTTGGTCAGAGACGCATAGGTCACGCAGCTGAAGAAAGATAAAACAGGCTGCTTTGTCCTCTTGATTCAATCCGCATGATTCTAGCGACTCCGGCATATCCTCGCATTGTTCCGGGTCTCGAAGTAGAGCCTTGGTGCGCCATTCGTCGGAACGGGCCTGGAAACGGCCCGCCCAATACGAAGTCGGCATATAGTGTTTGATCTGTTTGTGAGACACGCTGTTAGCACGCTGTTTGAAAAATTGAATCGTAGCAGAACGTGGAAGAAGGTTTGGTTGAGGTCTAGAAGACGCAAAGAGCCGGAACGGCCCAGAGGTGGATCTAGAAAAACGTGAGCTCGATGTTGTTCCGCTGATCAAATCAGATGTCTCTCCGATCTTTTCAGTGACCAACTCAGGTGGTTTCGGATCACTCTGGCTGTCAAATCTACTTGTAGATGCGGCGAGTCCACATGGCGCGGCTGGACGCTTGATGCTTGCATCCTCTTTAATGTCCATTTGTCGGCCCTTGGGAGAAATGGACGCTGATGATGATGTATCATTTTGATCTGAGGATTTCATGCGACTTCCCTCCACGATCACAGGCATAGATTGACTCTTAAACTTATCAGGAATGGGGGGCACGGGAGGTGCAGAGAGGTGATCTTGTGCCATTGCAAGACGTATGGAAGATTTAGAAGGTCTCACCTCACGATCCAATCCAATACGAGTTTGCAAGGCCAAGTCATTTGCTCGACTCGCTGAAGCTGTAGAAGACCCAAGACCTGTGCCCTTTCCTTTCTTCGATTGATATAAGCCTAGTTGGGCACCTGTAGACTTTGCGGCAGGTGGAGTAGGAGGGTGCACTGGGTCTGTGAACCGAGCGCGGGGGGCTGCACTGCCACGTGATTGTGAAATAACATTTGATGCTGTCGCCGCACTGTGCAAGTTTGTTCTCGAAAAATCCCGTTTGAGCGTTCCTGGTGATTGATCTGAAGTTTGTGATTGCCGCTGACAGGCTATTGGTGACCTTGCCGGGATGTCGTGGCCGCTCACATTTTGATCAACATTGACGCCGGGAGATGCTTTATCTATCACAGACTCATTTGTGCCCAGGCGATTTGGTGAAGTCTCCGGTATCTTAGATAGACCCATGCTATACCGTTGGGACCGATAATTTGGCCGAGACGGGTCATCTTGGAATGAGATTGTTTTAGGCCAGGGTGTATCAGAGGAACTAAGTGAGGTAGGCATCACAGATTCCTTGGCTGTTGCCCTAAGTGGCTGTATAGCTGTCAAACTGGAGGTATTGGATGAACGAGTCGATCCACTCGGTTGGGATTGGGTTGTGTGTGCATTGGAAGGACTGCCAGCACGCCCATGTTCAGCAGCCGACAATACAGCGTCTACCGCTGGGCTATATGATCTCGTAGGCCAGCGATGACCGTAAGTGGGACTAGGCGTTGGGATCTTTGATGGGGGGTTCCGAGTGTCTTTGTCAGGGCTATCGGCGGATACTTTTCTAATCGTGCCTGTGTCCGAGCCCGCCATTGAGGATGCCGATTCTCTACGACTAGGTCTCGGAATATAGCTCATAGTACGTGAATGGGGCAGTTGACTGGGCGTTTTGCCACGATCCGAGCGAGCCCATACGCTCTCGTTATTGTATGGTTGAGAAGGTTGAGAAAGTTGATGTAGCGCCGAGGATTTTTGGAGGATCGTAGAACTACCACCAGAATCTTTGGAAAGGCCGCGATTGTTTGCTGCCTGGAGAGGGTCGCGCGCTTCCATCGCTGGTGCATCTGTAGCCAGTGTTGAGCTGCTTGTGCTCAGCTGAACAGGTTTGCGTTGTGAAAGCGGATTCGCAATGAAGGACAGGCCATCGCTGAGTTTCCGCCTGAATCTGCGAGGACCGACGTTTTCGTCATTTGTAAGGTCCTGGTGCGGTATAGACTTCTCTTTGCGCCCGGGCATTTTTGAAGGTGTAGCGCTCAAGCACTGGGCAGCTTCCCAGCGAGAGCGGATATGCTCAAATGTTCTACGATCTGGATAGCTTAGCATGGTTCGATGTAGCCCAGCATGGATAAGGATGGTTGCTTACAAGTAGTTCGCTCAGCAGGCGGGTATGGAGATTGAGGGGGAGAAGGGCATGGCGATGTCTTGAGAGTGAGGTAGCTGCCACCCACAACAAGTGATTTGGGGAAGGCACGACTGACGTCAATAGCCAGCACAACAAACAAACAAATAAACGAAATTAGCTGCAAACACGGCACTGTAGAAAGGCGAATCCACGTCGGGGAAAAGTTTCGTACGATTTTGGGTATTACTTAGTCAATGCCTGCGCCGCCCAAATGCAAAAGTCCCAAAGCGCCTGCACCCACCAAAACTCAAACATGTAGACCTACTCAGAATCACTGTCAATGACGAAACCGGCCCTGGCGTTTCTCGCCAGCGGCCTACGAACTATCGATGCATCATCCTCATCCTCTTCGCCATCTACATCTACCATGACCGCATCGGCATCCTTTGCCACTGTGACTGTCAATGGCTTGTCAGTAGTGTGGTCCGTGCTGGCATGTTGCGATGATAGAGGAGTGTCGGCAGCTATATGCTCGCTATCATCATCTGATATATCTTTTGTCTCTTCTTCCTCTTCCTCTTCTTCTTCACTCTCATCTGTGTCGAACGGCCCTGTCTTCCGCCTCGGGGGTGTTTTGCGTTTCTTCGGCTGGCTGTCTGAGGTCTTCTCCGCTTTGCGCTTCTTGGAAGATGGACCCCCAAACTCTGGATCAGCTAAGGTCCTTTTGATAACAGCATTCGTCTGCGCTCGCAAAGCCTCTTCGCGGGCAAAGAACTCAGCATCCCTCTCGTCGTCATCCTCCTCGTCAGAGTCATGCACAAACATGGTACTCTTGACCTTTTGTTGCTTCTCCAGTTCCTTTTCACGCCTCGCTTGAGCCCTCTGCTCTCTTTCCTCTTCGTCAAGTTCCACGGGAGTTCTTGCTCGTCGCCGCCTCTTCAGCTTCTTCTTAGCTGTGCCGTCTACAATTCTTACAGTGGGTCCGTCCACGCCATACTCTCCACGGTCTTCTTCACCATCGTCATCTATGCCGTCTGAATCATCGTCAAAGTTCGCACGGCGTGTAGAGCGCCGTCCAGCAGCCTTACTGCGAAGCATGTCCTCCGGATTCTTCCCATCCTCATATGCAGGGGGATCGAATTCGAATTTGCGAATTAACTCAATTGCCTCTTGCAGCTCAGCGGAAGTTAATGAAGATGGAACAACCCAACTAGCTTCTGGATCATCATGAGCCCCTAGTCGAACGAAGCCCACCAGGGTCATCAGAAGCCTTAGTTTATTGTCTTTGAACAAAGCTATGCGGCGTTCCTCATTGTCCGGCTTGATGACTGTATAAGGTCAGTTCACTGCAGACCATTAGAAAGGGGGTTGTGCGCTTACATATGGAAGGTGGTTTGTGATCATCGTCTTCTGGGGCCGCAGGAGGATCTTCTCCGTCTGTGATTTCTAGAGCAGCGGCAGTTTTGCGTGCTTCCTCGAGGTCCTCCCACGCCTTTCGCTCCTCTGTTGCAGACGCTAGAACATCTCGTACCCAATGCAAAGCGTCCGACTTTTGCTGATTGACCAAAACGCCCACAGCTACTCCGATTTGTTCAGGTTTATCCATGCCAGGCTTAACCTCGAGCTCAGCTGGCGCACGTGGCGTACGTGAAGGTAATTCTTTGTCATACCCGTGCTCCAAAAAGAAGATAGTTGCAGGTACTTTACTGAACAACATCTCCACAAAGAGCTCTGGTCTCTCTTGTAGCTTTTTCACTACTACACGGAAGAAGTGTCTCGTGAATTCCTCCCATTCTTTGAATGATGGTGATTCTGGGTCTAGCCCTTCTGGGCCTTTGATCATCTTATTGAATAAATGTATGATGTCCACGCGGTAGAGTAACACTGCAATATCCATCTTGAACGTGACGCGATAGAAGAAACGGTGGGCACGTTTGAGTTGTTCTGTACTCAGCTCCTTGTAATACCTGGTAAAGGCGACGAAGGTGTTGACGCTGCTCTGGTTGATGAACTTGGCTGCGAAGCGTGCAAAGTCGAACTTTCTTTCCGAGACGACTTTTTGCGCAGCAGTTATGTCTTCTGTCTCAGAAACATGGCCCTCCTCTCCGTTGTCCTGCCCATCGGCCTGAGCCTGCTTCTTCCGTATCTTCCGGGCGCGTTTTTTTGAGCGCACTTGCATGTCGACGTTTTGTTTAGAGTAGCGTTCCAACATCCGCAAAAAGACATGTGCCAATTCCGTAACCGCATCCAGGTAGCCAAACCCTTGGTCTTTGTAGGATCTCAGGGTATGCACAATGCGGTCGTGCGTGGTTTCCTCGTAGAAGATGCGGTTCTGTATGTTCTCGGCAATCTCCTGGTCCTCGTCGAGAGCCGATTCCGACATCTCGTGCACGGTAAGTAAGATTTGAGTGAAGCATTTCATGCCAGCATTCAGATCCTGCCAGGCCTTTTCGTCCTCGCTTTTTTGCATAAACCGATTGAGCAGGATGAATGTTTCCTGATTCATCACCTCTGCAACAAGTCCGTAGCTCTCATCCTCGGCAGCTAATACCTCCCCACCCTTGGAGTCTGCAGCCTTCTCTTTCATGGTTCGTCGACGAGCACACTCTGCACGAAGAAACCATGAGACGAGATAGAAGTATTGACGGGAATGTCTCGTCTCCACACGTTCAACCTCGCGCTCAAGTGCTTTTCGTAAATGCTGAAATAATGGGTTAAACGACGAGTCCAGGAAATCTTCAACGAAGGCTTTGATGGATTGGCGTGCTGATGATGTCAAAGCCACAGGCAGATCGAATTCTTCCAGGTCCCCCTCTACACCGCGCTTTCTTCCAGTGTATTTGGGCTTATTCCATTTCTTCGTAGCGTCCATCTTCTGCATGCTCTTCTGCGCTTTGCCGAGCACATCCTGTCCAGAAATTGTAGATACCTTGTCTTCATCCTGTTTAAGCCATATCATAGTACCAAACCGATTGTGACGTGTAGGAGCGTGCCGTGCATGGCCAGCAAGCATGGCCTTCTCTTTTTGGATCAACTCCTTGAGTTCCTCTGTGTTCTTGCTGTTGAGCTTCTTTTCCTGCATGAACAACTTTTCTGCGTCTATGCCTTTCAGTAAGAAGAACAATATTTCAAGGATCACGACGTCTTGCGAAACAAAATCGTCGCCAATGCTCGATGCCAAGCTTAGTAAAACCTGGAAGATATCTTGTTCCTGGAAACAATCGATGACTGCTGAGCGTGCTACCTCGGCCTCGTCTATATCCATAGGAACGCTCTTAGGTGGTGATAGCATGACGATGTTCCTTATGAAATACAATGCAATGCGAATTATGCCCTCGTCACGCGGCGATCGATCGCGTATGGGAACGGTCATGGAGGGGATGGCAACCCGGACGACAGTCTGTAGAATCTTGACGCGATCATAGTGAAGTATGGATCGTTTGTAACCGATTTGGGCCAGCTGAACATAGGGACCGTGTCTGTGGTGATTTACGGTGGCTTCGACTGGATCGATTTCGTACGGCCAAGTTAGAGGGACAAGAAGCTCCACTGTCGCGGTCAGCCATGAATCCTGTACTCGGAATGCTTCAGTGCATACATGTAGCCACTGCAATCTTTTGCTTGCGCACATCATGTGCCAACTTGTCGGAAACCTTGGCTAGTATCTCCAGCAGATCTCCCTTCACCAGGTTCGCTTCGGCCATGCATCGTGCAACATCGCGGCGATTCATTTGGCCATCGGCCAGCTTCAGCCATCGCCGTAGATCTTTCAAGCACAAGAATGCGTCGTCACCGAGTGAGTAGGTTCCATCGTCGCCGAGACCACCAAGCTGCCGGGCGTTAGCAATACCAATATGCGCATTTGGGTCACACTCACGGCAGAGATAAGACTGTAGACATGGGCACGAATTTCGGGATCTACGGGATCCTTGGCCCACTCGTCCAGTGTTGTTTGGGCCATTATGGGGGTTGACGTTGCGAGTGCACGCTGAGGCCCACGACAGCGCAATTGATGTTCTGGCAGACGCGATGCGACGCGTCTCGCGTAAAGTGGCTACCGAGATGATGCAAACACGGCAAACAGGCCATCCCGTCGTACTGACCGGGGCCCCATACCTACCTCGGCAACGGCTGCCATCGGCCCTAAACTGCGTATTGTATAGCGGAGCTGTCGACGTGCGCTGCATTTCATTTCACATGTCGTCGCACTCAACACCAAAACAGATCACACACCCTTCCGCGTGCTGTACTGCTTGATTCACACAGACACAATGCTCTCCATAGCTCCTCGCCGTGCGCTTCTACGCGCAGCAAAGCAACAGATTCGCAGCTTCAGCTCCACACCTCATGTGAATGCCGCAGCGGAGGTGAAGAAGCTAGGTGTCATTGGTGCTGGACAAATGGTATTCCCATCTTTTGCAATCCAATCCCTTGGCTATATGCTGACTCCCATAGGGGCTCGGAATAGCTCTGGTTGCTGCCCAAAAAGCCTCGCTACCTGTCAAAATAATAGACAACTCACAAGCTTCAATTGACAAAGGCCTCAAGTTTGCCGACAAGCTTCTAGACAAGGACGTCGGCAAAGGAAGGATAACAAAAGAAGATGCCACAGCGGCCAGAGAGCGCCTCACGTCCAGCACAACCATTGACGATCTCTCAGATGTGGACTTTGTCATCGAAGCTGTTCCTGTAACTATATACCCGCCCTGGCTGGCTGGGAATTCCCTCAAGCATATCCGTCTAACAGCATCTTCAGGAACTTCCCGACCTCAAACACAAGATATTCTCCCAACTCGCCCAAATCTGCCCGTCTCACGCCATTCTCGCCACAAACACGTCCTCCATATCCATAACCCGTATTGCCGCCTCTACCACTACAGACCCGACTGACCTGAGCGCTTCTTCCCGCGTCATCAGCACCCATTTCATGAACCCGGTTCCTATCCAGAAGGGTGTCGAGATCATCACCGGATTGCAAACTTCCCAGTCCACCATTGACACAGCGCTCGAGCTCTGCAAGCGCATGGGCAAGATTCCTTCCATCAGCGCCGACTCACCAGGCTTCCTCGCCAATCGCATTCTTATGCCATATATCAATGAAGCAGTAATCTGTCTGGAGACTGGCGTTGGAAAGAAAGACGACATAGATAGCATTATGAAGAACGGCACTAACGTTCCCATGGGACCGTTACAGTTGGCCGACTTTATCGGTCTTGATACCTGCTTGGCAATCATGAGAGTGCTGTATGAAGATACTGGAGATTCAAAATACAGGCCCGCTGTCCTCCTGAAGAAGATGGTTGATGCTGGCTGGCTGGGCAAGAAGAGTGGGAAGGGTTTTTACGATTATTAGATAATCAAAAAGTATGTACCAGAGTTTGATTAATTAATACATCTAGACTTATCGCGATAATCACTGCACAATGTCTTTACCGCACCCTGTGCTTGGTGCTCTTTACGCCATGAAATCGTGATAATCGAGTACAACCACCCGGCCCAACATACTAACAATGAAAATGGCCATGGTACAATCCGGTGCAGAAATAAGAGATAGCTGTGAAATGCATGCAAAATCCCAACCCCACTGAGGCAATGTTGGCACGAAAATGCTCACAACAGAAGAACATAACTCCGATATCATACCATGGGCCCGACAGGAATAGGACAATAAGCAAAAGACAAGCAATGCAGAACAATGACGCGCCCCTCACTGGAACAGACCCATGGCCTCGGCAACCTCTTCCCGCCACCGATAAATCCTATTCACGGCCTCTATATCCGCGACCCTGTCCTCCTCCTCCCATTCATCCCGTGAGCGCTTATACACCCCACGGAATGGCTTCTTCTCCACTTTCCTCTCCTTCGTCTCCACCGCTTTGATATCCTTCGTCTCCATCACTTTCCGCCGGTTATTCGCCCTCCCATCGTCAAAATCAGCATCACCCCGCACACAAGCGTCCCAAAACCGCTTTCCCCGGCTCGTAATCACTCGATTGAACGAGTCCTTGGAAGTACCGAGGTCCTCGCCAAAGTACCATGTCTCCATCCCCACTAGTGGCACGCTCAGGAAGAGGTTCTGAACTTGCTCTTGTTGTGGATCCGGGGGTGGCGGCGTGGCGGCGGTGGGTGGTGTGGTGTCCGAGTTTTGTGTGGTGGTGGCGTTATGAGAGAGTTCGGAAAATGGGGCTGGAGATGTGGTGGTGGATGGTGTAATGCGTGATGCTTGTGGGGGTCGTTGGTCTTGGGGTTCGGGGGTTGGAGGTGAGATCTCGGGTTGGTGAGTGATTGGTTGGTTCAGGTTGAACATGGTGGATAGCGGAACGAGATATTGAAGCAGTTGCTGTGGTGCTGGTTGAATTGGTGTGGACAGTTTATTCTTGGTAGTGGTTATGCGGCAAATGAGATGTTGTGATGATGAAGATGAAGTTGATGCAATTGATACTGCGATGATGATACTGATGTGGCGGATGAATTTGAGAGTTTAACGTCGAGGTTTGTTGTTATGATGCGGAGGGGGCCAAAGAAGGGGCTATTTGGTGGTATAAAACCTGAGAAGAGCTGAAGTTGAAGTTGAGAGTTGGCAGAAGTGAACGGAATGAGTGCAAGTAAAAAAATGTGAAAAGGACAGGCTATATGGACTAAAAGCGATCACAAGCTAACAACACATATTTCTCATAGGCATCTTGACGATCTAAAAACTGATTCTTATTTATGTCGCCCCATGCACACTCCCTCCCTTTCCGCCGTTGGGTCATTCCCATATTCAAATCAGCATCCGCCTATTGGCTACCATCAACCTCGCCCCTAGGCATCAGTATCAGGCCGTTCTTACTGACTAATTAGAATCAGTCTACGAATTAGGGCAGTCGACTCCGTATATCCTTACGATTCCGTCGAATCAAAGGAGATCAAGAGTTGATCACTACCCTCCAAGCCATGTCCACTCCTCTTAGCTCAACCTCGCAAATCCAGCATGTGCATGCTTCTCTCCCACGCCATTGCCCTTATTGGGTGTGTGTCTCCGATCATCAACTGTCCTCAAGTTCTTGAGTTTCTGTTTTGCGAATTGACTGGTTTTGAACTTCTTCCACTCCGGCAGCGAATTAGGCAATCCCCTTATTTCGCGTTCCAAGTCATCAGTGCCAAGTGCGGACTCGACCATGATCTCTCTCTCGCCTCGATCTGGCCAGGAGAAGCTACGCCAGGCTAATTGTGTTCCTAGAGTATTTTCAGTGATCTGGCGGTTCCTCTGTAAATCTTGAATTCCACCTCCGACTAGGCTTCCTCGAGAAGATGATGCATCGGGGTGCTTGGTTGGAACAGTGCCATACGGATAATTTGCGAGAAGATTGGTGACACGAGAAGATTTTTGGATAATAGGCTTCACGAAGCAGTCTTGGGAAGCTGTATGTGTCGACTCACTAGGGTCTGCATCGGCAGCAGGATAATGTCGCATCAACTTGAGATTGTACGAAGAGCTAATTTCTTTTTGATCAGGCTCGGGCCGCTGCAATTTTCCACTTCTTTCCCATTTTATGGCTGCCGTTCTTCGAACTGCTAGCTGACGCTTCTCTGTCCGAGTAAGAACATGGTCCGGTATTATAAGTTTCAGCGACACCTTTCTGTTGTTTGTGGTGTTGGCGCTCGGCGAAGGTGTAGCCAATGAGCCCGAGAAGTAACCGGAATCTATGTCACTGCGACTGCTTGATGATGGATTTGAGAAAGTGTTTGTCGGGTAACTGTCCAACCGCGGGCGTTTAGTACTGTGATAGGACGGCAAGCCTGTCGAAGAGAGCTCGTCGTCTGTATAGACGGGAGTAGGTCTTTTTCTGTCGGGAAAGAAAGCCATATGTGGACGTAGGATGTCTTGCGTTGTTTTGAAAAGGCAGGCGTGCCTTCGAGTAGTCGGTGAACGTGAAGGTTTGACCAGTCGAAATGAGGGCTGGTGAAAACTCGCGGAAATCTTGGCGTGGTAGTGAGAGAGCGCAGTTCAAGTGTACAGCGTGGGTCGCGCTGGGGAAGGCAGCTTATGGGTGGAAAATCTAGGTTTTGGTCAGTTAAGGACTCTTTATATCCACAGTAGACATACCAGAAGACGAGAGTCGAAAAAATTTCCGCGGTACACTGTCATGGATGCGCGGTCAGGGCGGAGCATGCTCGTCGATCGGGACGTGGACGAGTGGACAGGCGGACGGGCGAAAGTGATCAACAGTAATAGCGTTGATCGAGCTGTACGGTCACCTGCAATATCTGTGATTTCAAATGTTGGTGCTACCAGACATGCATGCGTCATTCACCAGTAAGCTAGGTTATTCAAAAACTGAATATTTGTGAGCTGACCGCATATATGCTCGCAATAGTCAAATATGCGGTGGGTGGGATGAGGATGTGAATTATGGTGGAACTATCCACTATTGAGACTGACAAATTAGAATAACCCGAATGGTACTGGCAGACCTGCATAGACGTGGCAGATCAACTTACGGTTGCTAGGCTGATGTCTGGCGATTGTCCTTTAATTTGTGTGTGATGGGTGAAGGAAAGAGCGAGCGTGACAGTTGCATTGCAAGCCTGGCTCATATAAGCCAACCTTGCAGAATGATTTGGTGCACCAAAGACACTGATTGTGTTTAGAAGCTGTAATTGTGTATTAAGATCACTATCTTGGTACGTGGATTGCAATAATGTCTCAAACATGTTAGACATGATGAACGCAAAAGTCTCACAGTGTGACCAGACTTGACACGGGTAGCAGAGGATTGCGATAATGGGTGAAGCTGATAAGATCTTGGTATTAACTAAGGGTAATCACTAAGATACAGAGGCAGAAAAACAAACAAGCCGTGAAAACTAATTGGAAGGCAAAACACTAAATTTGAGCCCAGTATAAATGTGTATGCCAGCGCAAAGTACAGTAGTGCTGCTAGCGCATGTAATGCAAGATAGTCCATCACGCGTATTTAGCAGTCCTCGCCAGCTTCATTCCTCCTCCGATTCCTCACCACTCCTTGGAAACCTGCAACCACATTCCCACATGTCACCTAAGAGGCCAGGATACTTCGTCCAGTACTCATCCTTGTATGTGGGGTCACGCGCAAGCCGTTCTCTATCCTCAGGATTCACTCGGTGGCCACGGCCGGTACGAAGGTCAGGATCTCCCTCCCAGTACCCTCTACGGTTTACGTAGTCATAGCCATGCTTGCCAGGCTTCAGAAACGGCTCGGGTGGGGACGGAAACTTGTACTGGCCTATTGCGATGAGCCTGAGCATCTCCCGGTGCTCCAATTGAGCTTCAGACAGTTCGTCGGGCTGTTCTTCGGGAACGCTTGGCAAAACAAGTGATTCTTCATGAAATTCCTCGCTGAAGTGATCCGATTGATCTTCTTGAGGTTGTTCCAAGATCACTGAAGTGCTTTCACAGGGCTCCGGTTCCACAAATGAGGCGGTAGTATCTTTCTCCCTGACAAAAGTATTAGCTGATTGAACGCAGGAGATGTACTCGGTTCCTAACATTTTTTCTTCGGTTTCTCTGGGATTCTCTTCAAGGTAGCCCCCAAGAAAGACAGGGTCCGAGTTTGTGAGAGCTTGAGCAGGCGGCATCTCTCTGGGAGACTCCAATCTAGGCCTCTTCGCCTGTTCTGAAGACGCATTCACGATGTCTTCAACCCTGGCACGCTTTTTAGCGTTTTTAACGCCAACAGAAGAACAGCTGCCAAGAGCTCGCAGCTCAACACCGCTTATCCACTGCGCCATCGCTTTAGTCTTGACACCTTTGAACTCTTCTGCTTTGCTTTCTCCGGCATATTCGGTTATGATTGCCATCATAGTTTGTTTGGATACTTTGCTGCAGAGAGTATCCACGGATCGAACGGTTCTAAATTTGCCTTGCTTGTCGAGCAATGGAATACGGAGATTTTCCTCTTCAAAATACCGCATCTCGATTTGCTTGGATGCCGTTCTCTTTTTGCGGGCTTGGGAAGGTGCTGCCGGGGTATCGAGAGTTTCATGTTCGGTGCCCAATTCTTGGTTGTTCTTGCTCCGTTTTGTCTTTTTCTGCACTTGTGATTGTATCTGTGCCAACACAAGACTCTCTTCGTTAGACATGATGTGGGTTTGACGGTGGTTCGTGTTGCTGTCCATTGTTCTCGTTTCGGAATCGTTGGTATTATGGCTGGGAAACAAAAGTGGTATAATGGGCGCAATAGTCTGGAAGGCAGATGGTGGAGGGAGAAAGCAACAGGGAGATCCCTATTGTTATATATTACTTCACCTATCAATAATTAAATATTGCGCTGTCTTCATCCAATCTTCGTTGCGCGTTCACCACGACCAAAATCTATTTTTCAGACAACAAGATCCAAATATTATCGGGATCGCACCAATTGCATGAGATCAATATTATTTTGGAATATCCTTCGCGGCTGTGCAAGAATCAACTACCAGAGAAAGACGTTTCAGGCGAGAGGAATAACGAGTTTTTATGTCAGGGTTTTGGGTGTTCCCGCACACACATGATAATTACAAAGATAAGGGGACCAAAGTATGAGCGACAACCGAGAAGTTCGAAGCAAGAGGAAAGTCGTAAAGAAGCTGTAGAGACATACTACTGCATAGTCATCTATTATGGTACTATTGATCCACCAGTGCTTGTGTCTCATAGATGCTGTGGGCGAATATGTCTCGCATGTTGAGACTTCAGGCTCATGCGCAGGTTGTCCTGACTTTGTATGACGTGACATTATAACAAGACCGCATGCTATCATTTGATAGTGATAGCGCATTTTGCGATATTACTAAACAGCGTGAAAAGATTGGACTAAGTGAGTGGGTATGGTAGTAATCTCACTATGGTGATAGGCTCAATGCTACGAATTCGAATAGTGACCCCTTAGAGCACGGCCCTGCAACTCACGGATATTTTCTCATCATCTGAATGAAACGGGAATTCTGCTTCTACTGAGAATATTTCCACCCGAGGTAATAGCATTCTCGGAAAGGGACGATCACTCATGACAATCCCAAGCTCACCATAAGTAATACTACCGCGTGATTGTCTTCAAGCGTTCAAATGTTCACAGTAATACTGAATCGAAAGACTGGTACTTGCACTTATGATCCACCCACTTAAGTGACTAGCGTGGCTTGCACTTTGAGAATAGGTCTCGAATTTGAAACTTGGAGTAGGAATATCAAGATTTGAGATGTAAACTAATCAGGCCGGCAGTAGCATAAGCCAGAATTTGCGTGGCAGGCGATTGATGTCGATGTTATTAGTTGTATCCAGACTGAGTCATAGTAAATTCAGTTCCCATAATCCAATATCTCAGCAGACAATAAGAATCTTAGACTTGAGCTCGATTTGGATGCACAACGGACCAAGCCGATTCGCGAGTGAAGTTGGCTCGCACGTGATGCGCTTTCCAGATTTCTGGAGCCGTGAGCCGAGGCATCTGACGTCCACCGGCGGCGCGCGACTTCAAGCTACACCCCCATCTTTCATTCTTAACCCACACTCATCAGTTCACGACGTCGTGAATCGTGTTCAAACGCCTAAAATGGTCCGTGAGGACCTCATAACATCGGCTGTAAGCAATCTTCGAATGAATACCATTCATAATGTCTGAGAGTCGCTAACATGACCGCTACTAGGTTTCCTGTATGAACGCCTACCAATGAACATGGTCGCCAAACAGATCAACTAACAACCTCCTGCTCAGTCTTACAGGATCCATCTGTCGCCAGTGCCTCGCTGGAAAAGCGCATCGCTTTCCTTCAATCCAAGAATCTCACACAAGAGGAGATCGACGTCTCACTCGCTCGCGCATCCGATGACCCCAGCCACCCGTCCTCCATACCACCACAAAGCTCTCCACCAGCAAATTACGCACAAAGACCACCTGCTCCAGGACCAGCATATAATGGGTACCCACCACCCGGATACTGGCAGCAGCCGCCACCACCAGAGTAAGCACCCCTTGCCGGAACTGTGCAAAGGTCGTCGAAACTGATTCAAAAATAGACCTCCCAAGCGAGACTGGCGAGACTACTTCATCATGGCGACAGTGATGGGTGGCATTAGCTACGGTCTATATTTTACTGCAAAACGATATATAGTCCCTCTCATCGCACCTCCCACCCCTCCTCAACTGGAACAAGATAAAGCCGCGGTCGACGAGTCCTTCAAGCGCGCCTTCGATCTGTTAGAACAACTCAATACCGACACCGCCGCCCTCAAAGCTTCCGAGGAAGCGCGAACAACCCGTCTCGACAATGCCCTCGGTGAAATGGAAAGTGTACTATCGAGCTTGAAAGAATCGTCGAAGCGACAAGGGGACGACAATCGGAGGATCGAAGACGACGTGAGAGGCTTACGGGATCTGATCCCCAAAGCCTTGGACGCACAGAAGGAGACAACGGATGCGAGGTTGAAGGAACTCTCCACGGAGCTCAAGAGCTTGAAGACATTGGTCGGCAACAGGATGGGCTCTGGCGCCGCACGCCCTCCTTCAACACCGTACTATGGAGCTGCCCAGCCTCAAGCTTCGGCCTCTACTCCCAACATCAGTGGCGCCTCGAGTGTACCAGGTGTACCCACAGCAGCCTCGTCAGCCCAACAACCCACTCCACTTAGCGAGCACAGCACGGCGACCACTAGCGCAACCGAGGCACAAGGTAGCAGCAGTACCCCAGCCCCATCTACTCCTGCCCCTGAGAAGTCAGCGTCTCCATCACCGTATGGAAGACTTGCAGGGGGTAGGGCCGCAATTCCAGCCTGGCAAATGGCGGCCGCGAAGAAGAACGAAGAAGCAAAGAAAGACACGAGTGAAAGTGGCACCGCGGCTGAACCAGCCGGCGCCAGTGCGTGACAGTAGACAGCGTAGTTTCTCTAGTTTTTGACCTGCCACTCTAAAACTTTGATTGAATGATTGCGGTTATAGCTTTCTCAATGTGTATTAATTCGGGTTTGAACTAAACATTCGGCAATGCAACTCTTGCCAATCTAAGAGAGTTGAATGCTGCAAGACTGATGGACTGTTATTCGGCGTGAAATTCTTTGAGTGTTCCGCTGCTTTTGCTAGCGCCATATGAACATGCCACCACTGTTTCCATGTACACCGTTCCAGCCTCTGGAGATGGCCGCAGCTAGAATTCGTCCCTCTCCACTGAAAAGAAAAGGAAAGAAAAGAAAAGAAAATCATACGTCCTTCCAATGCCCCACCGATGAAAATGCGCGCAAGAAGTCCCCACACCGTATTGATGATCAGTCATCCATATTCCGCCCCCTTCTCACACGGTGCCGGCCTCCTCACCTCATCTCCTACCCCGCCTTTCGCTCATCTTTACTCCTCTCTGCGTCGAGATATCCTGTCACCGATCCAGTTCACGCTCCTTCAATTGCAGTAATAGTCGTTGGGGAATAAAAATACACGGGAAGAGAGGGAAGGGGGTAGCTCGTAACACGGACTTACCGGTGGAACTTGGGAACGCGCTTAATCATGGGTGGCTTGATCACTGCAGGCTTGGGTAGAAGCTTCTGCTGAGGGAAGAACCTGTGTTGAAGAGCATCTTTTGGCTGCAAGCGCTTCTCGACATTGAAATTCAAGCAAGCTCCCAGAAGATCTGCGAAGTCGTTCAGCTCAGCACCGGTCGGACCTCCCTGTGCGATACCGCGGGCGGCTTCATTGACGCGGGACCTCAGGTCTCGAGGAATCTTCTTCTGTTGTTCAATCACACGGACAGAGGCCTGCAACCGTTAGTATCACCGTTTGAACAAGGGGAAAGAGCGACAATCCTTACCATGCCATGCTGATCTACTTCTCGGCTGATGAATTTGAGTGGCGGGCCAGCTTCAAAATGCTCGATCACATTTTGTAGTAAGCCTTTTTTCAAATATTTCTCAGATGGCCAGCCCAGACAATCCATGAACGCCTTGATCATCTGATTATTAGTGCGACCTGTGAAGAGAATTTTCCCCGTCCACAGTTCATACAGCGTACAACCAATTGCCCACATGTCAATGCCATAGCCGATCTCCATGCCGAGTACAATCTCAGGTGCACGATAGAAGCGACTGACAAGATACTCCGTACGGTCCATAACATCGCGCTTGTCCACAGCTGTACCGAAATCACAAAGCTTGATGGTCTTCTTATCATGTGACACTAAAATGTTGTCAGGCTTCAAATCGCAGTGAACTACCTGGCAGTTCTGCAGATGCTGGAGACCTATGAACATTTGACGCGCATAAGTTCGAACCGCTTGCAGTGCGAGCCCATGTCCATTGGTGTCTTCTTTAAGGAGATCTCGGAGATTCTTCGACATGTGCTCGAACACACCGCAGAGGTGACCCTTGTGATCGAAGGAGCTGAGGAGTCGGATAATATGGCGTTTGTCTCCAGGATCTGCTTCATTGACTTTGCGCACGAAGTCCATCTCCTTCTGACTTGCTACTCGCATCAGATCGTTTCGTCGGATTATCTTGATCGCAACCAGGGCTGGGCTTTGATCGTTGTTTGGAGATTTCACATCTTCAGCCTGGGCTACATTGGCAAAGACACCCCTACCCAAGCCTTTGATGATTCGATAGCGACCCTCGTTGACCAGCTCGTTGCTGATGAGTTTATAGTATCCCTCAGGGTCATCCCAGTTGTCGAGTAGCTTTTCATTGAGTACGACTCCCTTTGCATTGTTGTCATTGAGCTCCTCTTCAAGGTTCTCCTTATCTTCATCTTCTTCATCATCCGAGAGATCAAACATGTCGAACTCTTTCTTCTGTTTCTTCACCGGAGCGACCTTGGTAGCGGGCAACGTAGAGAGCAGTGTCGGATCGGTTTCACTGTACGCATTGGCTGAGACCTCGGATCGTGCGAACTTCTGAGCAGCACGGTCACGATCATCTAGCATATCCTTCGTGGGGTCATAATCTCCTGCCGAAGGACTAGCTGCAAATGGACTTCCACTTTGGCTTGCTATTTGTTGCTTGTCAACCAACATTACCTCAGGAGAAGCAGGCACAGAATCAAGGTGTCCAACATAAGGAGAACCTGCAGGTGAAACAGGGCTACCCGCAGGTGGGGATGCCATGGAACTCGTGCTTTCGGAAGCATTAGCAAGGACTGCTCGTTGGAGGAGATTGTCTTTGGCTTTCTCCTTCTCGGCAGCTGCACGGATCGCAGCCCATCTTCGCCTCTTTTCTTCCAGAGTCTCCTTCGGGGGTGCTTTTTGTTCTTCTTCCACATCCTTGGATTCATCAGCTTCTTGTGGGGGGCTTTTCCTTTGGAACAATTAGCAAGATTATTAGAGTAGAAAATTATGTCACTTACATTTCGACATCATTAGCCTGCTCTGTTGAGGGTGATTGAACTGGAGCTTGAGCATCTGCATTCTGCTTTTCACGGGCTTGCGACCGAGAGTCATACTTTCCAGTTTGCGAAGACGGTGCTGTCAATCTCGTCGACCCTCGGAAATCGGGTACTGCAGCTGGGCCCTCATTATCGGCGTAAGAAACAGGATTGTGCGCCCTTCGATCGTTATGATTAGAGTGCAGCACAGCACGGACATCATCGAATTGACTGCGGTGTCGGCGATCGTTGTGCCTGTTTCGATCAACATGTTGGCGCTTATCAGGCCTACCACCGCGTGGCGGTGAAGCTTTGCGTTTGTATTGCGACCGCGAATCCCGCCCGTCATGCTGGCGACCGCCACGACCATGACGAAAGGGAGAAGGTGATCGGGAATCTTTGCACCTATTTCGGTATGGAGATGGGGATCGGGATCGAGATGGCGACCGCGATATATTGCGCTTCTGGCGGTAGGGCGAGGGCGATCGTGTCCGCTTCCTGCGGTATGGGGAAGGTGAACGGCTCAAGCTGCGATTACGATATCCTAGATTGGTCGTTAGTTTCCATTGCATAACAAAGGATACAGGAAAAAGAGTACTTACTAGAATCATCTGACATCCCATCTGGCCCGCGAGCCCTGTTTGAGCTGTTAATTCTGTAGTTGCCGGACTGGTTGGTGTTGTTTGCCTTCTGCTGGTGACTGATAACCTCGTTGGGTAACATTGCATTTGCGCGCGAAGCCATATCGCCGCCGCGTCCTGCTTTCAATCTTCCCAAGAAAGATATGTTCGGATTTGGAGCGTCAGCGAGCTTCTTTTGGTCAGAGTGATTGAGCGTCTTTGCAACTAACTGTATGTCCCAACGGTCTGCCCGTAAAAGCGGGGTTGGCAAGTAGAGTCAGGGACCACGCAGAGCAGATACAAGCGCAGACAGTGAGTACCAAACAAGGGGAAAGTGGAAGTGGGGATTGTTGACAGGAGGGTTGCGCAAAGATGTTGTCGCGTCGTTCAATCAAGCAGTGACGCTGCGGTCCAAAATCAGGTAGCTGCGATCTAGGCGCCAAAGGTCACGTGCTGTACCATGCTTATATCATCAGCCAAGGCGGCGGCCTCGGTAGTCGGATAAGACATTTTTCCGGCTACAAAAGCTACACCCCTCAAACAGCGCATTTGTATTCGTTATCACACATGTAACCTTGTCGACGACTATAATATTTTCAGAATTGCAAAGCCTGTCAAAACTACTTTGGAAAGAATTGAACGACATTCATTTTTTTTGAACCCGCGGTATGTAGGGCCCTCTTCTACACTTCGAGTGCTAGCACCCCTTCTTTGTGAAGATTGCATAGAGACCGGGTCGTTCGTGTCGAGCAAAATCGCAAAGGGAGCGGAAGATAACTTCAATGAATCTGTGTTTGACATAAAGTCTCTAAGTGGGGAGTATATCGTGCGGGCACACTCTTATTTATTGTTTTATTGTACCAACAGTTGTTGGGATGGGCGTAGCCTACCCTAAGTACCCCCGGAAGAATCACTCAAAAGACATGAATCCAAATACAATTGAACATGGAATGTGTTCTTTCATACCGATTGCAATGTGACAGTATGGGACATCGAGAAAGGACACACAAATCACCACTTGTATTTTCAAGTGTTCAACTTCGACATTCTGCCTGGGCAGAGTTTGTGAAGCCCCTTGAGACATATGATCAAAGAATTGCAACGTATTGACGATGAGGCATAAAAAGCATATTCCTTCAGAGTTGGGCGGCGATTAGTCATACCGTTTTTCGCGTGTAAGTGGTGGAAGTAAATCCATCAAATCCGAGTCATTCAACCCAATGTTTGTGGTTGATGTGCGGTAGAGACTAGTACAACCTTTGTTAATTGTTTTCTTAGCTTTGTGAATTTTCCGGATGCATCATGAAATGTATGCAAAGGGCAACCCGCACACCACCCTACCCCACCTTGTAGGTGACAAGGCCAGATCTCAGATCCTCCCGGCTCGGCTATCTGAGAATGATCAGATCAGGTCGCAGATCCGCATCGCACTGCTGCCACTGCATGCAGCAATTCAATGTTGATAGCAATTGTCCGACGCATGAGCCGACGATCACCGGTTTCCTCGAGTGCTGCGAGACACTTCATTCACACGTGAGCGGGGAATTTTGAGGATACCTACCTACCTAGTGGCAGGCACCGGTACATTGGTGTTTAGGAGTATGCCATATGAGGTAGGCCGAGAAAATGGTTGGTCTGTGGCGTGCGGTCGGAACCGGATGATGCTGTCGCCAATGAACCTGTGTATACACAAAAGCTCCATCCACCATCGTTCATATTACCAGAAATTACCGACAATTGCCGCGACGAACGAAGCGCCATTAGATGAACCAAGTGCCGCCCAGGCTAGGAAGCGGCATTATCTCTTCTAAGACTAGCCGGCAGCGAAGTGGCCATGAGGCGCTGGTGGATGGCGAGCATGCAAACACATTAGTAAACTCTAAATGGCTGGCGCGAAGCATGACCGTATTGCATTCTGGATTCTCGGTGTCGAGGTATGGACAATGTGACTTTCATAGATGTGGCCCACATGTGAGAAAGAATGGGTGGAATCGCGCTTCAATCTAAAATGCCAACTTTTAATAAGTCTAGGTCGCCGAGGAATTTCGGATGCGGTGGAGGGATGGTCATTATGCAGAGCCCTAACTATGATGCAGCGGTATGTCCCGGTGATGAACACATTTGTGCTCGCCCTGCATTCTGATGGTGACGTTCATTGGCCATGATTGCCAGATAGACGCAGAGGTACGAGGAAAACACGTTCAGCCGTTTGAAGTTGCGGCGGATCGACTCACAAGGTGTCCCTTGTGCTAATGCTACAAACACTAACAATGCAGATCTCGAACGACCTGCGAAGGATAATGCTAGGTTCCGATGCATTTAATGAAGAGAAGCATCCAATTATGTTGGGATGGACGTTGTATTGCAGTGGACTCCTCACTGCCCTTGTTTAAGTCTGACGAACAGAGTGTCGGGCGATGCCAATCTTTCACGGGAAGAATGAATGCATGATTTGATCAGATCAAACGGCTTTGCCAACTGTGGTATGCTGCCGAGATCTGAATGGGATTACCGACATATGTTCAGGGCTCATGTTACGGCGCTCGCGTTCTTTTTTTGTAGTCAGTCATAAGCAATTGGATTGGGACCCTGCAGTTGAATCTCATAACAAAAAAGTAATGCCAACTAAGAGCATGGGAATCGGCACATTGAGAGATGTGTGATTGGGCCGAGACTGTGATCGCCTTCAAGGAGTGCCTCGTACCGAGCGACCGGTTAGATGTGGTTAACTTGTGAGCCTTTGCCAGGATCCCAGGCGATGCGACTTATTTGGTGGAGACTCCACTGACGATAGTTAGTTGCAAGTTGCAAGCCACCAAATTTGAAATGGCACTACACCGATATTCCACGTACACATGCACATGATACTCACCGAGCATGATGAAAGATTGGTACTCTCAAATATCTCCGCACGCTACGTTGGGAATAACTATGTGACCTTAGGGGAATATCGTGCGTATACATGGACCAACTCGAGGGATGTCGGACGTATTGATTTCTGCCTCGACCATGCCACAGGAATCCTCTCCTTGGGCCAATGCATCATGCATCCGAACCCGCCAGATTGTGCACCACGTACGATATGTGGGGTTAGCAAGGAGGACCAATGCCTAGGTGTTGGGGGCATTGTTGCGACGTTACAGTGAATGATGAGGGTTGAGATGGAGGGAGTGGGGCCAGTCTATAGTGAGTGGGTGACGAGGATGATCGAGATTAGCGTATCCAAGTGACTGGAGTTTATAGGTCAGTTTCTTTGGTTCGCCCATCAACTCCTCTGCTTCAGCGTCTGGATGAAGAGGGAGATTACTGGCAATTGTTACAAATCCTACACAGACTCTCGAGTACGGAGTCGCGTTTGGGAACCGCATGGGCATTGTAGGATTGGCAAGGTGATCTGCGTGTATACGGCTGGATACTCGGGGGCACTTGCGCATTGTGCTTGTTCATGTGCACTTGGCCAACCAGCAACAAGCCTCTTGGTCGACTAAGCGTGCAAGTTACGTCGTCAGAGGAAATTCATGCTCTTTATGGCCAAGCGGCTCGACACAGGAACTTTTTCCTTGCCACAAAAAGAAATTCAGACTGCCCTTTAGAGTTGCTCTTGTTGGCAGAATCGTGCATGGGAACTTAGTTCTGCGAACGGGTCCCCTCGACTCCCACAACAAGTTTTGAGCCAAAGCTAACCACCATAGGGGACGGGAAGAGTAGCGCTGGCGTTGGCACCGTTGACCGTTCTTGACGCTTCTCTGCTATTGGCTGGAAGAGATGCATACGAGCGATCGATTTCCCTGTGGTTTTGGAGCTTGTTGCGTGATCTCCTTGAGAACTCGAGAGTCCAAGTCGCGAGAATGATCCCGCAGCCGCGGGCGCGACGATCCCGCATCCAGCCAAGCGCTCCACACAAATCATCATATACCGGTAGCTATGTATGTAAAGGCTTCCATGCAGCATGTGATTACTTTTTCAGGCATTGGATTGCGCGAAGATAGGATGAGTGATTCCAGCTCTGCTATGTTTGGGTCAACTGGGACTCGAGGTACACACCCTCACTCACGGCATGATGAGGGACAGAATCATCGTACCCGGGATGATCCAACGTCATTATATCCTCATTGGAGAGATCGAGGCTTCAGACACAGGGCCGGCAGCATGGACAGTGAGGCAGTGCAATTACCAGGGTAGCGAAGCTGAGACGTCGACTCTCGGTCCGAATCTTCTTCACTCGTTACGCCTGCGCTTGGGCATCTATCGACATTCGCCGAGGCTCGAGCTCAGGTTAGCTGGGAAATGTCCACCTTCCAGCGAACGGCTGTCCATCATGTCCTCTTTCGTTCGGGCCTAGATCACTCCTGATGTGCTGCCTATCGATCCCACAGCACTGAACCAAATACGTCTCGCAGGTCAATTCACAAGCCACAGCTTTTCAACGCCGTGACCAGCGATGCTAGTTTAGTCTTTGAGCACGATATTGCAGGATGTATGCATTTTGATGTTACCAAGCGGACCAAATGGTGTGGGAGGGTGGTAGTGGGTGGAAAGCAGTGAGGCCCTGGCTCGACATGGGACGACGGGCTCTAAGGTAGACTCTCTCGTGAAATTAACGTTACCCAATGTTTTTGCGTTTACATTCATCTTTTGACAGCTGCGGAGGGGGCCGGACTGGGTTCTTCCGATAGTAGCAGTCCCAGACCCGACTTCCCCGCGAGCGTTCACCCTTGGTCCGCTTATCACTAGAGCTGTCCTGCATTCGCCTCCTCCTTGCTGGCGCGTAATGAGTTTTGAGCGACGCATCTGAAAGCCATTCACTGCCGATGCTTGTCAGCAGCTTAAACCCAGCAGCTTGACTCCAGCAGTGGTTGTGGCTGATGGTATGTATCCTCATACGCAACCCCCTAAATATCTGACATTTTAGACTGTACATCCCCGGAAAGTGCAGGGTTGCACAGATCAAGGGTCCTTGCACATCAAAGTCTGCTCTTTCTTTCCCCACCATTCAATATAGTATCCAGATTCGCATGTTTTAAGATAGATATGCTCTCACTCATGCCTTCGGAATCAGCAAATTCGTCGCCAGGTAAGTCAAATCGATCATCAATACCTTACACCATCGCTAAACACCATGGCAGGAGCCAATTTTTGGTATGGAAACAACTTACCAAACGGGTTGGAAGGAATGTCCTTGACGCCCGATGCCACAAATCCCAGGATGCTCCGGCGAGCTTCTGAGGCCGTTATCCATTCATCTTCTTTTCATAGGTAAGAAGATCCGACTGAGTGTCAATTTTCTCCCCACCACGCACTTCCCGACATGATCCTTCTTGGTTTGATTTTGTTCGGGCACTGTACGATACCCACAGGAATGAACTTCAACAACGTCGATTCACCTTGCGGTCGAGGGAGATGGGTCGCCAGAGTCATCTGGGGCCTACGGCAAAGGTGCGCAGCGCTCTACGACGATTACACAGCTGCTGCCCACTTGCTGCCCAACTGCTCCTCGAACACTCCTGGATTCATCTTGGAAATCCAACTTGACCACATGCAGCGGATTTCTAAGAGTTTCGATCGGCGCACTGCCCAAGCGGGGTTGCGACGAGACTAACCATAGCAAACGACCGAAAAGTGCCGAGCTGTAGCAATTGTCATCATAATGTTCGAGACATGAATGGATTGTCTTCACATCTGCTTTGTGATACTATTCGATTGAGCTGAAGCTGACCATTATCTTAGTCAAGGTTCGGCAACGTGGGACCATAGTGTAGCAGCACTACATCTCGATACATCGCATGCGACTCTTCGAGGCCAGCCTTCCACCGTAGCAGCGGCGGCTGCCGCCGCCACCGCTCACAAAGCTCCTTTGGCACCGAAGCAAGGCCTTGCGGGTGCTTTGGCCAGTTCCAGAAATGTGCACCAGTCACCAATTGCAGGCACCTACGCTCTTCGCACGCCACGAGGCAAAATTACATCGATAGCATGTGAGAGTTGTAGGAAGCGCAAATCCAAGGTCAATAACCTCTGTCGGATAAGTATTGCTCCTTGCTGACATACTTCCCAGTGCGATGGTGTGAGACCGAAATGCAACACATGTCAAACAAAAAACCTTTCGTGTGTTTACGATGTGGCGGAGGACGGAAAGACTACTACCCAATTGCGAGCTCATGTCAGAAGGCTGGCCAAAGAGCTTGATGATATGAAATCGATTGTCACGCTGTTGGCAATGGCACCGGATCGAACTTCTGCGGCCAACTGGGCGTCGGAGCTAGAAAGGAATGGATTCGCACATCATACACTGGAGGAGGTGAAGAAATCTCTCCAAGTTCGTAATCCTGCCTGATCCGCACACTCAGTTCGTTATGTTGACGATGTTCCAGGCAGTTGGTGACGGAAGTGTCAATCAGTTGGTCCACGAAGACAGTCTGGGGACGCCTCCCAGTGAAAACTTCCCGCAAGCATCACAGAGTGTTGCTGCCTCATCATATGATGGCTCTTCTAGAGACGAGAGGTAAGTGCTCTGTTGTGATACTTGGAAAAGACAATGGGATTGATCAATTTGCAAGCAGAGAACAAAGCCAGCCAACACTAGCATTTCAGCTCCCTGAATCCGTGATGAACGGGCCTGCATCGTTTGCCATGAGCGAATCTAATGAGCACAGTAAATTCAGCTTTGAATGCGCATACTACAAAAGAGTAAAGAGGGAAATGATCGCAAACGGGTGGGATCAGGAGCAGATCTATGGGAGTGAAGACATAGACGTAGATTCGTTGCTCCTGGGGTTCATGGACCCCCAAGAGACGCAATCGATACCTACCTGGTCATCCAGGATGGTGAATAAGATGCTTCCGACTGTCGCAATGCCAACACGGCTGGCTTCGACTTTCCTGTTGACGAAGATGATGCGGGTAAGAGCACCATATCCCCAGTGATCAAGTTCATCGTTGACAGCAGTAGTGGCTCATTTGGCCTAGCGTGGAGCATATGAAATCTATGCCAGAATGGTTGATGCCACTAGCGAGAACAGACTGTTCGACGTATGACCTGCTGGTGGACCTTATTCCTTGGTCAGTGCCTTTACCATACTTGCTGCTCTTTGCTCATCTTGACTCTTCTAACTTTGTGCAGGCCTGAAGTTCGCCAGTATTTTTACCAAAATCCTGACCAGGTGATCGGGGGTGCTTTCCTCGGGCACATCAACATCACCTGGCCATATGCAGAGGATGCGTGCCATTATTGGGATATCGAACTCGCGTGCACGCGTCTATCGCCGCTGTTCGAGAATCACATCAGCAATATCAATAGCTGGACCCTGGACGCAAAGGCGTTGGAGGTGATGCCGCAACTGCAAGGAATAGTCCCGGTCACACAGTAATCAGTCAAAAAGTCCTCCATCTTTCATATTTTGGCAAGGCGTTGATTTGGCGTAGTGGCTGTTTTGATTCCGAGGGTATTCCTTACGCCTACCAACCCTTTATCGCCGCTATATATCCCTCTCTTATCATTGACATGCCATCTCTTTTCGAGCTCCATTGATCGTATGCTGAGGCGGTCCTGTATCGATCCGGTTTTGCCCAGTGATATTCAACGGGGGATCATTCGTGTTCGCCATGGTTGCATTGTAATATTAGTTGCAAGATAATTCCAGAGAAGTGAGATAGGAGTCTAATGGGCCATGACATCCATGAAAGGCGAAATCAAGTCGAATGTGTACCATCGTGAACACGCTGTCTGAAAGTGGGGTGTGACTTTTATAGAGCTAAAAGATTGCCAAGAGGTCTGGTTCGGATGCTCCCTTTCCGAGCACCTATATTCCTCGGAGCTTCTCATGGCCAGGCCCTATCTGAAATGCACGATCGTCTCTGTCAAAAGCTACATTCTGAACCGTGGTGTTGGTGGCGCTATAGTTTGGATCGTTCACAGATGGCACCTGAACAGACGGAACTCAAAATAAAAAAACAGACGGGAGGATGCAATCGGCTGGAATCTCGATTCATAGTTTTCTGCCACATTCGTACGTGAGAAATTCGAAGTACAGTTAGTACCCACGGGCATTGGGGGCTGGTGTTCGTACGTTAATATACCGATGCACCACCATGAACCAAGGGTAGCTATGACCGGAACAACCACGAATCGGTTCAATGTCCGCTCAAGCGCAGAAAAAACTACACAAACATCCCCACACTCTCCGACCTGCCTAAGCATCATCCCCAGATGTCAGCGATCGATCGTCGGAGGTGGTGGGGAGGAATGGTGCAACGGCACCTTGTAGCCGATAATACGCGAATTAGAGCCGATGAACCAACCTCTCGGAAGCTCGCCGAAAACACCAGACGTCGTCAGTGCGTGTGAGAGGAGGAAGCTTCCATGAAGATGACGTTTGGATGAGAAGAAGAAGGGTAATCACGTAGTCATAGTTTTGCTCTCCGTGCCGTTGGCATATGTCATATGTAACTGTCCCCATTTTCCGCTGGATTATCATCTGGCGTTGTTGCTATTTACAAACAAGCCCATCGTTCTTTACAATACAGTTATATATCCAATTCTTGAATCGATTGGGCTGGGATAAAGAAGCAATTACTGTATACAATCTGGAGGGAAAGGTTCAACTGCACCCTCTAATTCTCATCCGGTTTCATGGAGACGTAAATAGAGCTTACACAATTAGGCTTTGGGCATGATGAGGCGAAGATTTACGAGAAAGTCCTACATATGAAGAGGAGCGGCAAGATTGGTATTGCCTTCGCGGAATGTTTGAAAGAAATTAGTCATGAGAAGGAATCCTACTAAAAACAAGAATTGAAAGCCACTGGGAGTATTGAGAAAAGGAAAGAAGGAAAGAAGGAAAGCATGATAGGTACAAGAAAGGAAACGGCAGCTGGGAGTGGCAGACGTCGTAATCAAAAAATCGAAAATGAAGCTCTCCTCCATGGCAAATCCAAAAGGGGGGAGAAAAGAAGGTATCAACTACAAACAGAAACATCTTCGTGGTGTCGTCTCACGATGTAACCCGCCGAACCCATAGTGCACTACCGCCGTTTGGGTCGTTCTTCTCCCTCTTGCGGAACGCTCGATGCAACTTCAACCCGACATCGTGCTCCTCGACTTTGATCTCCGCCAATTCATTCTCGAAATCCTTCTTCCGTTGCTCTACCAGCCGCATCCGCTTAAAGTCCGTAATCATTGGGTTGGGGGGCGCCATATTGTTGAGGTCGTTGAGTAATCGGTAGACATTACTACGTCGAACCCGTAGGTCCTCCATTTGCGACTCAAGAGCTTCAATGTGATCGGCAGCGGCCAGTTCGGGAGGTGGCCGTGGAAGAGCTTTATGGGGGTTACTAGAAAAGGTGGACTCTGGACGAGGCGAGGGAGGGTCGGGACTGGGAGATTGAGTCTGCATGATGGTCACTGTCGACTCAGCCACTGGTTTACGTGAGGGAATCCTGTTATCAGAAGAAGGAATAGGCCTCTTGCGGTCCAGTACCGAAACAGCCGCAGGAGCAGGTTCAGGCTGGTTAGACGTAGGTAATGGTGGTGGAGGTGAAGGTGGAGGTGAATGCTGATATGTAGTGCCGCTATTGTACGTGGTCCAGGAAAATCGACTCTTGGGGCCGCTCTCTTTGGTCGCCGTAGATTCCGGAGTGCCTTCAACCGATTTGCGCGGAGCACCCGCTGTTGTTGGCGTCACCGGCTTGGTGCCGGCTACTTCGTTTCTTGCTGCGCCGTACACGTACGACGATGCAACTGGAGACTGCTTGTTCGTTGGGGTGATGGGGCTGGGATATGAATGGATGGCCTGGTCCCTGGGGTTTTGTGGGGTAATAGGAGAACCAGTGTTATTGGGAGAGTATCGTCCAACTTTGAGCGGGACCACGGGTTTAATGGACTTTTGATGCATGTCGGCATTGTCCAAAGAGTCTGCGACAACTGCTGTATCGCTTCTAACGAATTGGTGTTTGGTGGTAGTCGCAAGCGAGTCCGCCACCCCCTGGTCCTGTTTCTTCGCGGGGTCCAGCTTCCGCACAAAGTTCAGTGGCTTCTCCGACGGCTGATCTTTGAAGGGCTTCACAATCTCGTTACGTCCACTAGCCAGGCTCCAAGGCTCGCGTGGCTTCGTATCAACTGGAGATGGTCTCCTTCCAAATCGATTTGCACGTTCTGCGAGGGGGGCCTTCCGGGTAGTTTCGGGCCCGGACACCGAAACCTGATAACCCATTTGGCGTTCATCTGCAGGAGGCGAAAGGGCAGTATGCGAGAAAGTGCGCGGGTTGACTTGGCCGGATTTCCCGACGTTGCTAGATGTTGGCTCTCCGGAATATTCGTCCCAGCGGACTTTTGCGTTTGGTGCCACTTTGCCCCCCCAAAACTTCTGCGTGGATTGCTGGTCTTCACCACGAACAGCTGGCGCGACCTTGCGAAGAACAGGAATATTGCTTCCATTCCGAGGCGAAGGGTTCATCTCTCGACCCCGATTCTCGTCCACGGGCGAGACATCACGCATGGAGCGATATCTTCGAGGACCATCTGATTGAAGGCGTTGAGCCTGTAGCTCTGGTGAACTAGGTGGCGAGATATCTACGCTGTAGCGCATATTGGATGCAGCGTTATAATCGTAACCGAATCCAGGAGAAGGTTGCGAATAGACAGATGAGACGGTAGGGACTTCAGATGCCCTATTGTCATTGGGATACTGAGGATAGTCAAGATATTGTGTCGTCAGGTTTCTGTCGTGTGAGGTCAGTAGAGGTGGGCTTTAAATGAGGGAGAGGCAGGAGACTTACTGATCTCCCGAAATTGGAGAAGCGGCGGACTGATAAGAAGCATTTTGGGCGACACCAATATTAGGAATGTGTCTGAGCCGATCCTGGTCGAATGTGGTTTCAACAAGGACAGGATGACCGATCTGCTTTTCCCTCTCTCGACCGTGGCCCTGCAGTCGTTTCCACATGATTACTTATGTAACAAGCCTAAGCAACAAAGATATATGATTAGCCCTATCACTTGAAAACTGGCGATGCAGACGTTTGATTGAAGTTGAACCGCAATAGAGGATGTGAAGAAGCTGTCAATACCCGAGGACGACGAGTATGCGAAGAGATGCGAGCGGAAAGAAAGTAGGGGACCTGTTGCTTAGGGAATACAACAACAACAACATATACATACCGATTAGGAATTACTATAGCTGTTGGGGAGGGGGCAAAGGGAAGCACGGTTGGGCCAAGGTGGAGTTTGTATCTTTTTCAGTCGGAAACCAGCAGGACGGCGACGGGGTTATTATTTTCGCCAGGGGATGCCCGCAGGGTGATGGGATCAAAAGGGTACAGAGAGTACGCAGGGGGCGCGGGGGCGCAGCAGGGTGCAGTGCTCTCGAGTCCGCTTTGTTCTCTCTTGTTACTGGAATCGCTGGCGAGGAGACCCTGCGCGACGAGGATGGGGTCGGAGATTTTGCACAGCGGTTGAGCTGGTTCGACGCAGAGGCAGATAGGGCAGTTATGGTTGCTTTTCCTGGTGAAGATGTTTCGAGGGCTCCTGGGCAGAGGATGCGCCGTTGGTTTGGACGTAATGAGCGTCTTTGGTGCAATGTTTCAGGAAGACTATGGTGGGTTTCAGGATGATGGGTTGTGTACTGTAGCGAGCGTGTGGCGGTGGCCGGTGACTCGCGCGAAGTGCACGCTGAGTCGGGGAACGGGTTAGGCTGACCAGCAGGAGAGAGAGAAATACGCTGTTGTGTATAAATAACAATACTGCGAACGGTTATCGAGTGCGGGAAAGAAAGAAAGAAAGAGAGAGAGAGAGAGAGAGAGAGCTGAGGAGAGGGCGAGAGCAAGGGACTAGTAGGAGCAATACATATGTCGGGCTGGCCTTGCCCCGTTTGATTATTTATAATATCTATCCACTCGCGCCTGAAGGCGAGGGCAACCATTATTATGCCTTTGTTTGTATACATACCTTGCATGTACAATCAGTCGCCATATACACTCCTTCACAGCTGTGGCGCATGAATCTCCGTTACCGAGATGACAAGAGGATGAGGAAGGCTTCCAGATGTCTGTTGCTGACTCCTCCTCACGCCTTTTCTCCCAGTTCCATATGCCCGTTGCTCAGGGGTGTATGCGGTACGCAGTAAATTCATGTACATTGATTCATCTACGGACAATACGTAAGCAGGTACCTACTCATACCGAGCGTCCAGAGCAGACAACGGTTGCAAGGCCGAAAGTTGCTCGTGAACCACTGCCTTCAGGTATCTGGTTGCCTAGGTAGGCCCCTCTTATGATCCATCTGACTGGCAACCTGCATTCACGTCATGCCATGTCCAATAACCGGCAGAGGTAGAGCAACATGATGGGAATGAGGTTCATTGTCGTTGTTGGGTGACTGCTCTACTGTGCCATTCGTTGTCGATTAAAGTTCACACGTTGGGTGTGCTAAGTAATCCATCGTCATCCACCGATTCCTCTCCCACCCCGCCGCCGCACCGCCTAGAGCCCACACCACCGTCCCAACTCAAAAGAAGAAGTCCGCTTCAACGCCCCAGCTATGGCAGACGGTGAGACAGGTCGCTGTTCAACACGTTTCATGCACATGGCATACTGACAACAGCTTGCAGCATCTTCCCCACCGCTGGCAACCCACGCGTAAGCCTCGCCTACAACCATCACACCAATCGTCGCTATTGTCAGGATTGACTGACTGACTGACTGCCCACCTGCAGAGCATCTCCAGTAACTCCTATCAACCTTGTGCTTCTCTCCCTTTTCGTGGTCCTGGTCTACCTTCGCCTCAAACCCGCGCAGCCCCAGACCCTTCCCAAAGCCCCTCCACCCATCGTATTCCGAACCTTCACTCCGCCCGAGCTGTTTCCCTACAATGGCCTGAATGGCATGCCTGTCTATCTTGCTGTCCGCGGCAGGGTATTTGACGTTACTGCCGGAAAGAATTTCTACGGTCCGGGGGGTCCGTACGCCAACTTCGCTGGGCGAGATGCCAGTCGAGGCCTCGCGTGTGGCAGCTTCGACGAGGACATGCTAACAGAAAATTTGGACGGCCCTCTGGATACGTTATCTGATCTCGATGCTGAGCAAATGGAGGCTATGAGAGGTTGGGAGGAGCGCTTCCTCGAAAAATACCTGGTCGTCGGCAAGCTGGTTGCTGTGGGCAGCGATGAGGCTAAAGCTGCTGCTGCTCACCAGTAAGCGTTCGGACCAGCGTAGAAGAGCACAAACGTGCTGCCTACTAGGTGATACGCGTGATCAGACTGGTCAAAGGGCAGGCAAGCATGAAAATCGTGCGCGTATAGGCCGGAATCTACGTACACATATGCAGGATGAGAGACCACCTTTGGGAATCAGTAGCAAGTAAGTAATCCAACAAATTTGGAATATAGACCGGCTTGTACGAAGGATTCGTTCGACTTAAAATGAACTTTCTCACTCTTTTACCTCTCCCGGAACTCTTCCGGGCTGCTTGCGCTCCGTCCCTACCATTTAAGTTCAAACATGGAACGCATCTACCTGCGCTTTCAGCCTCAATGATTTCCACATGCTCGGGAAACACACGCATGATCCAATAAATCGCCGGTAAACTTACAGCAACAATCTCTCATGTCATTACTGATCTCAACCAAGATCTCTCACTTAGGCTGGCTGATCCACGAAATAGGTAATTTCGAATGTTGGCACAAGGCATCTGGGTGATTGATGGTCTGTGCTGAGCACGTGACTCTCATACTCTAACTGCGCTTCACGTCCCAACGCATCGTTCGTTCCTTACACTATCTCCAATCCACTTCTTTTTTTCTTTATAAGATCCCAAAAAGACGCGTTTCTTTCCCAGCAATCAACTACTAAATCTTGCACCCTACATCCATTATCTATCATGGCTGCAACTACCACCAAAGCCGCTACCCCAAAGGCGAAGACTGCCAACGCTGGCGTCAAAAAATCGGTTGGCCGCCCCAAGGGCAGCAAGAAGGCTGATTTGAGCGCGAGGATGGTCAAGATGCAGGCTTTCTGTAAGTGTATCGAAAAATCCCATCCCAAAACGCGTTCTATCGCGTCGCAACGCGTCCCGCTCCTTCTTGTTGTGGTTGCCTTCACTTTCTAGATAATAACATCTAACGCGTCTCCAGTCAAGGAAAACCGTTCAAAGTACAAGGACTTGGACTTCAAGGACCAGCAGAAGAAACTGGGTGAAGACGTGCGTATCTCTCTCTCGTCGCTTCTTACACAATTTCCGCCATCTTCGTTGCCATGATCGACCACTTCTTTTCTCCGTGCTAGTACTGTCAACAGAGCTCGATCTGATGAACTATTCCAATTCTGTTATTACCTCTTGTACCTCTTCTCTAGCCTCAGCTCTCCGCTTGCGCGATATTATACGTAAAGCATCTACTAATGCTCTCAAAGTGGAAGAAGAGCCCCAAGAACCCCAAGAACTCAGCCTAGGTTTACGGATCATGATGCAACTCAAATGATTCCGCGCGAACAAGCTTGACATAGCGACTTCTGAAATGGTGTGGAATTCGCAGTCTTCGCGCTTCATCACTTCACGTCCGAATGGACAGGCCTGAGACTCGAGGGTGCCTCTTATTCAACCTCTTGCTCATCAACTACACATAGCTTCCACTCACGGAACATGGAAGCATACTGATTCCCTTTTGTTTCCTTTCCCATTCAAGAACATGCGCATCCTGGCGCTTTTTACGAATTTTTCCTTTGTTGACGGTACGATGATGTGTCCACGCGACTGCAATGTACATAGTTTCGGTAAAATGGAACATTTTTTTCTTATAATAGCGCTTGATATTGCTTGTGCTTATGTGCGTTCCTGCAGCGACGTGGTTCGCACCAGTTCAGGCTAATTTCATGCAGGCAATCGCATGAAACCCATACGGCTTCGCGGTTCCCGATGGCATTCATCTCGGAATCCCAATCTACACTTCCGGATCTCACGACCCTATAGACCCTTATATTATGTACCCGCTTCCGCAGCCGAAGAAATGTGGATTTGGCATAGTTATGCCTTCCACGAGTACGCTGCATGATGCAATCCCTGGCCTGGGTGCGAACTGACCTGTCGATTTCTGGTCGATCAGGTATTACCGTCGTACGTCTTGATTCCCATTTTCTTGGATCCAAAATAATTGAGAAACGTATCGCATCCCACCAGATAGATGCACACTCGATATCGAGAGAATCCGTACATATATGGAATTGGCTGCTGCCCCACATCACTTACCGAGCACATGTCCGACAGCATGTGTACCTCTCACATCAAAGCGGGGCCGCTCAAGATGTCCGTCCCAACCACGCTGCATCATGTCAGCACAGTGCTGTGAAAAGCTGGGGAAGCTCCTACTCGTACCCCTCATTACGAAGCAACATGCGGAACACGGCCGCGACAACTCGACCAGCCACTCTTTGGTTGGTGTTCAACGACTATAAAGCATAGACCCTAATCTATCCTTCAACCTATATTCAAGTCATTTTATTGGAAGTCTTGCTTTTTGAGGGGATCCAGGCACAATTGACACCCCGTTATCCGTTGTATTCACCGCTTCAAAACAATGCCTAAACCAGTCATCAAAGACCTCACTATCGACAACATCACCGAAAATGTGCACTCCATCAACTCGCAAGCAGACGATGCCAGGCTCAAATATGTTATGGAGAGGCTAGTCACACACATGCACGATTTCGCGCGCGAAACGCGTCTGAGCACTGATGAATGGATGGCGGGAATAGAGTTCCTCACTGCAGTCGGAAAGAAGTGCACTGATGTGCGACAGGTCAGTCATGAACAATCCTCTGCGTTACTATCTCACAACATCTATCCCCTAAATTTATCAAGGAATTATTAATTGGGGGTTCTGCAATGTAGGAATTCATCCTTCTATCGGACACGTTGGGCTTGTCTCTTCTTGTCGATTCCATTGATCACCCTAAACCGCCTGCTTCAACTGAAGGTAAGCTTGTCCAAAAGGAGCTTCTTAAGCACTTCTCTAGACTAACTTCTATCAGGCACGGTTCTTGGTCCCTATCGTACGTATACACCAAATACGACATTAACCCCCATAACACCAATTGCCAAAAGAAACGAATTGCGAAAACTCGTGAAATCGTGTCGGTAAAAACATGAACTAACTCCATCTCCCTAACACTTCAAGACACCCACGATGCGCAAGATCAAACTATTGGAACAGGCATAAGCGCTGACCCAGATGGCACACCACTCCTCTGTCTCTGCACAGTAAAATCCACATCCGGTCAACCCATCTCGGACGTCAAAATCGACATCTGGGAGACAGACAGCAAGGGCTCGTACGACGTGCAGTACGAGGATTACAACGGCGACAAACCAGACGGACGAGCCGTTATTCGCAGCGACGCCGACGGCGTGTTCTGGTTCAAAGCTATCGTTCCCGTGCCTTATCAAATCCCGGATGATGGCCCTGTGGGGGAGATGCTTGAGAAATTGGGGAGACATCCTTGGAGACCGAGCCATATGCATTTCATGTTTGAAAAGGAGGGGTTCGATCATTTGATTACGTATGTGTGATTTTCTTCCTTTCTTTTCCCAGCCTGCCTGAGTCGTATAGTCTCACGTATCAGCTCTTGCGTAATACTTGCGGATGGTGAGCTTACTCTAATAGCGCGCTGTACCTCCGAGGTGACCCCTACGAATCTTCGGACGCGGTTTTTGGCGTCAAGGAATCTCTTGTTGTCGATTTGGGCACCGTAACCCCTGAACAAGCCAAACAATATGGTGTAAAAGAGGGAGCGAAACTACTCGAGTACGACTTCGTCTTGGTGACTGATGACGAGACAAGAAAGTTAAGGGATGAGAGGGCTTTAGAGGCTATGAAGAGGCTGGGAAGAGAGCACATGGCCATCAAAGGAGGCTTGTTAGTGCCGGATGTGGATTGAAGAAGGCCCTCGAGATGTGTGGCGCATCTGTTGTTTCAGTACTCGTTATAGTTCATATCAAGACTGGGTGCTTCAGATTGATAGAAGATTGGTGTAATCTTCACATACAATCGGTTCAAGATATGCATATGCACTGAACCTATTGAAGTCATGATAATCAAATCTCAATGACCCAGTGTCATCCAATCCAAATCTCGGGAGCTGATTACCTACATCAGTTCTTGTGTAACCACCTGCATCTTACTTAGGGATTTTTCGATAGAAGATGCTAGACGGATATATATTTGAAGGTTTGTTCGATGCGGGTGCTTCATTTGCTGGCCCCATATCAGCTGCGCACCATTCATTTTTGAAAAAAATTGGATTTTTTGAACGGGCACGTCACCTATCTTAGTGCTACAACTCTGTAATGCTTCTTTTCGTGTTATTCGCTCCGTTTCTTGTACCAGTTTATTACAGCTTTTTGGTGTTGCATAGGAACATGATAAACACATTGACGAAATTTTGATTTTTGATTTGTTAGGAACCTTTCATTATCGCTCGTTTTTCTTCTTCTTCCATTCTTCTTTTTTTTTGGACCCGATCTTTGTGAATAGCGTGGTGTGCTAGAAACGCCCAAAGCTCCAGTCTAAATACTTGATGAACTCCAACACCGATACTTACTATTCGATGCTTTGTCTTCAAGGCCGATGTATCGGATTGAAGAAGGGGCCTACGTTGTGGAATAGTCCGCAAAGTTCAGGGCTTTGCTGCCTCCTCCCCACCAATACATGGCCACCATTCTAGAAATACCCAGGTCATATTCCATTCGACTCTGCAATTCCTTGAAGCCCGTTATTTTATAACCCTTCGCCGCATGTGACATGGTGATCAAAAGCGATCTCGCCCACATCCCTGACCGCGTCCGAATCTGTGTTGGAGGCCCAGGAGGATGGATCAGGACTTTCATTCGCTGATAAGCTTCAGAGTGTACGAGACCGGAGGCTCCAAGATAATGCAGTGCTGTTATGACGCATTTCATGAAGAAAATCACAGTCCCTTCGCCAGCTGTACTACTAGAGAAAAAAAGAATGGATTCAGAAATTACATGTGCGTATTTGCTTGCATCAATGCGTTTTGGGAGCAAAGATGGTGCGTTTCCCGTTTCTTTCCATGCTATACGGATGATGGCGTGACTATAAAGGCAGACTGACCAGTATAGTGCAAGGGCTTGTGCATTACTATGATTGATGCGTGATACCGCAGTAAGAGGTACAGCGAGATCGGGTACGGATGGATCGAATGTGTGTGGCGAGTTGGAAAACACTGGGGCGCAGATTGGGTAGAAGTCAACGGACCATTTTTGGGCGGCGTCGTCGAGCTTCCAGCATGCTTCGAGTAAAGTATCCCAGGAGTGACGATTCAAAGGATCATTGTTATGCAATCCATCAAGAGATTCAAGCAATTGTGGTATTTGGGCGAGGAGATCCAGGATGCGGTTGCTATATGATTTCGGCGTGGACTTTTCACTCCATGGAATCCTCAGCCATTCCGAGGTACCGAGATAGGTGGCTTTCCGATTGACCATGGAAAGACAAATCTATGATTCGTGAGTCAAGGGAAACAACGGTTACATTACCAACGTGTCGCACTTACAATTTCTAGACGAACACCTGCGAATAATTTATGACTGAAGCCGGATCGAAATGCGTGTGGGCCACGTAGCTGAAGCAAAGTCTCGACGCCTCGTACGTGATTCTGCCAACCATACGTTGAGTGTGGGTTACACATATATTCGTAGAGACCCAACAAGAAGCAGGTAGCGATGATATGATCTTTGGTTGCCTCACTATCCTTTTCAATTGCTTTTTTGACTTGACGGAGGCATGCGTAGTAATGCATATCTCCTGACCGTGCAATGTTTTGGTTGTCATCTTGCAGCCCGACTCGTGATAGAGTGACAGCAAGAACTGCGTTTTTGAAAGGCCCATCATCTGTATCATATTTATCCCTCAGCAATTGAGTCCAGTTCGAGGCCTTGGATCCCGAAGGCAAGAATCGCTCCCAGAACACATCGGAATATTTAATCTTGATCGCAGTAGCCTGTAGGTTCTTGTATCGGGAGGGCGTGTTGGGATTGTATGAGAAGACTGTCAATTCGTCGTTATATCCCTCGCATTTGAGTTTCTTCGCGGAGCATTGCCCACAACCGGGGCGTACCAAATCGCACTAAACTTGCAAGTTAGGGCTGTGAAGGACAATTTCGGAACTCGATGGATTTGCTTACACCTTTCTTACTTCGTCGGCAATTCGCACATGCCTTAGACCGACCTGCCCTCCCGACCATGCTGTACTGCGGCGTAGCTTCTGTAAGGCTGAGGTTGCGTCTATCGCCCTAGATGTCAATGCGTTTTGGACTAGGTAGGATGCGGAGCAATTGTGGGGTGTGGTCAGTCATACGATGAGTAGATCTCTACAAACTCTGTCAGTATACAACGATATCGTCAGCAATCAACACTGCTACTTGAGATGGAGACTTCCTGTGGATCATTTCATCACAAGGGTCCACCTCCTGGCTGCCCGTGGAAGCTGACGGAGTCTAACTACCACGATACTAGTTTGACTTGGCGTCTTACTAGGTACAGGGGTCGTATCGGGTTAGTATTTGGCGAGGAAAGTGCACTGAGGACTCCAGAGAATCAATATCGCAGGAGTTGGCCCGAACCACTTGTCAGTGAGATGGTGGATGGGCAACATCACGAAGTATGATCTTCTGTGCAGCAACTGCAGGTTCACGAACACCATGAACAACACCGATGATCCGAGTGGGCGAACCATCTCTAGACTGCAAGTACTTACCGAAGCTCGTACACGCCAGTCAATCTTGTGTACGAAGAGACTTTAAAATAGCATTATTTTATCTCAGTCACTTGATTATGTTCAGCGGCTCGGTGGTCTGTACTCAGAAGGAGAAGTGATTCAGACGCTCTTTCCCACGCGAGTGCGTGCATAAAACATGAAGATAATTCGCCTTGAAGTATCGTATACATGTCAACAACAATTCTGCAGATTCTCCCATTATGTAGTCTGAATAACTTTAGTGTTTTCGGACCCCCCAGCAGACGGTTTTGTGGCGGTTTCGCAAGTTGCGACTTTGTTCATAGGATATTTCGATCCTCGTTAAGATCTTAGGAAATCTAGAATAGAACCGCAAACATCGGTATCCGGATATAACTTGGCCGTGTCTTATCTGCTAGGCCAAATCCACATTCCGTCGCAAAGTGGTTCCGTTCCATGATACTCTGTTCTCACGCAAAGGATTCGATAGTCGCAAGGCATGCCGCAGAAGACGCTGTCAATACTTGAGCTGTCATCGGCTTCGTTTCCGTTTTCGTGATAATGGCGGTGTATTTGAGCAACCAAATAGTGTATACTAATTAGTATAGCACACAGATCCCTCATGGACGACTCGTAGTGAGTATTTATATCGTGACTCCTGTATTGTGATCAAATCTTGCGTTGGCTCTATAGTGTGCAATGGCCGTACAAGCCACCGGAACAGAGACTCGAATAGCCTTTCAATAAACGTTTAGGCATATATGTTGCATCTGACGGAGATGTAGTTGCAAGATCCACATATCTCACATAAGGAACCATCACTAATTGCTTGTTCATCATGCATTATATAAGACAGCCGGTCAGTGTTGATAAATATGGTGATAACACTGCATTGAAGCAATCTATACAGTTAGAATCGACCGAAGCCGACAGAACGCAGTGGTAACACTGCATTCGATCTAGGACGCAAAACTTAGGTGAGCTCCTACCAAAGGGGGACTATAACATTTGAAACCTCGATACATGACAATGTAATCTGAAGATAAAGAATTATTTTCGCTATATTTTCACGGGAAATAGATTACTTCAAATCGCAATGTTTGCATAAGAACGTTGGAAATGCCATCGTCTCAGATCGCTACTCAAGCGCAGTGTAATATATACGCACGTCGGAACATCATACACTATATCGAATTGTAGCAAATACCCAAATTCTTTGACATGTCGATGCCATATTCTCCTCCTCAAAGATCCTTGCAGTTCATCGCCGGGTCTCCTCTCGGATACCACCACCTCAACCCACGTACTCTCTATGAATTTCTCTCCTTCTCTCTCCCATCCTATAACTTGAGCATCATGAAACTTCGCATCGCATACTTCCTTCCAGCCGTGACCACGATCTTGTTTTCACACACAGCATCTGGCGAATCCCTCACATCCTACGAACTCACCGCAGCTATGGCAGAGCCAGTGACGCGCATCGCATGCTTCAAATTCCGCTCCACAGTCAGCGCAGAGCAAAAAAGCGATAGAACACGCGCTTTCCTGGATCTCTATGCGCAGCATCAGGATTTGATCTTGGAGATGCCGAAGGGAGGGCGGCCGTTGGACACGCCGTTGAATTTGACGGATGTACAGAGGGAGAAGGTGTGGGATACGGGGTTTGTAGTGAAGTTCAATGTAAGTAGTGCGTTTGTGGGGTGAATGTAGATTGTGTTAGTGCTGACAGTTTTGGTAGAGCGAGGCTGCGAGACTGGAGTTTGATGCGGATCCGGGTCATGATAAGTTGAAGGTAAGCAATTTCTGGAATAGCCGCAAAGCGCAAGGTATACTGAATGAGGTTCAACAGGAAGAGACAGACCCATTGCTAGAGAGAGTGTTTGTCTACGATTTTGTAGAGCAGGAGGGGTTTGGCTGGTGATGGAAAAAAAAAAGTAAAGGTAGAGGTGAAGTGCAAACCGGCAGTTCAGTCAAACAGTGAGAGAGGGACAATCCGTTTGGCTTACCTTTTTGACTCTGCTCGCTCTCATATAAATAGACAAACAAACATTGCTACCAGACTTCGTCATCTCCACCTACCTCTCTTCTGCGACCGTCTTTCCTACCAGCTTCGGGCACTGCTCTCATCACTTGCACATCTGCCCATGGATCAACCACCCGAAATGCCAGAGTCGAAACCGAAGCCTGTCAATGCTGCGAGGGTGGTGTTCGACAATCCTCGGTTTGTTCAGCTCCTGGATAACGAGGACCTCCGCAAGTTAGCTGTGTCTGTGTGGGACACAAGTCTGACCCGATACCAGCGAGAGCTTATCATTATGTACATGTTCGGCCTCATGGTTCACGCTGATATCGACGCTGAGATTGAACTTATGGCTAGACGCGTGCCTATTAGCGAAGGGATGGGTCAGCCTGATGGAGGTGCGCAGATCGAAGAGTTGCAAGGTAGGCGTACCAGTGAACGGTGAACACACTAAACCACGATTCGGACTAACCACGAAGCAGAGAATGGTGATAATCACAGCGGTGAATATGGTGATGATGGCATGGGTTCCGACTTCATCAAACCATCGACTCCCGATCCTGAAGCAGTCTCTATTGAAGGGCAAACTACAAAGAAGTCTTCGAGGAAGCGCGTAGTAGAGTCGGACGAGGAATATCAGGAAGGAGACAAGCCCCCGCGGAAGAAACCTACTGCTCGTTCCAAGTCCGATCATGGACCTCAGCTTGGCCAAACTAGCATCGATCCTTTCCCAAGCCTCGAATGGATCATCTACGTGCCGGACAAGGCGAAACCCAAACGCGGAAGCTGGAAGTCATTCCGTGAGCTTCCAGATTCAGTCAGGGAGGAATTGGAGGCGCACTTCCATTCTACGTACTGCACTGCAGGTCGTACCGACAAATGCAAGGCTTGGTACCGCAAGGTGCTTAAGAATGCCAACGGCTTAGATCGACTTCGCTGTCTGAGCAACGGGGTTTATGGCTACTACAAAAACCTTCCAGCCTACACACACGAGCCAGGACTCATTGAACGTTGCTGCGATACCTGCACCAACACCAAGAAGATGTGCGCAAGGATGGTCACGAGGCACAAGAAAGACAAGTTGGGTATATTCCCTCTTCCAGCTGGAAAGAGGGCTGGAGTGGAATGGAATGAGCTCGGGTTTTGGGTCGCGCAGTGAACCCAAGTGTTCTACTTCTCATTGTAGGAGTTTGCTCGGCATGGTTTACGGGTATCCGACTTTATGGGCATTACATGGTTTTTCATCGGGTATTTCTCTTCTTCATACATATATCCTCTCAACATGGGAGAGTTTTGGTACACACGTAACCATTGGGAACACAGACCCAGAATGGTCACATGCGTACTCAGGCAATCCCATTGAATAGTCAATCAATCAATTCATCGCACTCATGAGCATAGAGCACATCCATTCAATGGCCCAGCATAGTTCGGGGGCTGAATAATTCACTCGCAAATAACAGCCCTTTCTGATAAGGTATAGTGTATTAGGCTCCAAACCTCTGGGGTCGGATCTGCAGGGGTAACATGATGCTGCGTCGGATGCTCCACAGATGTACAAATCGCGAGCCCAAAACAAGTGTTCATGACTGCATGTGTTTCTGATTTCTGCGGTGCATTTGTGCTCTGATAGATAGTGCGTCGGTCTTCATGTTCACCTAAAGTAGAGCTTACCGGTGAGGTGAGGGGGGTTGAGACAGAATCACATGCCTGCCAATGCATGGTTGAGACGGCAGAAAGCACGAGTTGGCACTCCTTGTACGTGATGCAGATGGACAGTTGATGGGATACGTTGCATGGTAGTCCGACTTGAGTGTTGCTCGCTCGGAATGGTGTCAGGAGGCGAGAAAGAGATGTTCCGAGTCGGACACAGCCTACCTGGAAACTGGACGAGCCGGAGATGATGGGAAGGCGTTGAAGACGGATGCGAATGGCAGAGGAGGTGCAACAAAGATTGTGCAGGCGCAGGAGAGGCGGAGTGATTGCAGAGCAGCGCTTGCTGGCGGCGGATGGAGCATACCCGAGACTACTCGTCAGCAAGTGTGCAAGTATGGGACCCAGGCCTGAGGGAGAGAGCAGATTAGCTGGGCATCAGCAGCTACTGTAGATGCTAGCGAACTGGCGATGGAGGAGTTGGCTAGCTGGAATACCAGCTGATGGGGCCTGGATATGCGTGGGCCAAGGGAGCAGCGAGCGTGATGAAGTCTTGGACGAAGCTGACGCACTACCATGAGACACTAAAAATAGGGTTCGAGCGGGATGAGGGGGGCGTCGTTGCACGGGTTTTGGGATTCCAATGCTGCAAAACCAGGCTCGACGCGCGCGCAGATTCCAGACGGCAAAACCATCCTCTTCATCCGTCTTGCGCACCTTGAATCTCCATCGACGACGACAATCTCCTGGGGAACGTTTGGTTTCTTTGCCTGGCGGTGCGGCGACAGCTGACATCATCCCCACTTTCGCCTGCTGCATTGACGTACTAGTCAGCCCTGCCGCTCATCCACCCAGCTCATTTCACTTTTGTGATAAGAGTCCCCGGTCTGGCCCCTCTTCTCGTGCCTGATACCCACTCTTTACAACTTCCACCCATTAATCCCACACATACACCCTCACAGACCCTGCTTGCGCACCCACGCGAACATGGTCATGAAGAAGAAAACAACATACACCAACATCACCCCGATCCCCAGCTTCATACCCCGCCAGCTGGCCCTCGACATCCTCCACAGCCATGGCGAAATCATCGAGCTCAACCCCCTGGTCACCGGCTTCCAGCCCATAAAAGCACCTCGCGATGCTCCCTCGGACGAGTTCTATGCTACGTGGTACGAGATAAGCCAGCGCATCCAATTCGTTCCCGGCATCGGCAAGCTCGGTTCCGGCAACATCAAGTTCAACGGCTGCTTCCACGACATGCCCTGGGGCCTGCAGACACACACGTACGCCCCGGGCGGCGTCGACTTGCGAAACAAATGGCAGATCGCTGGGAACCAGCCCGACGAGGAGCCAGTCCAGCGGGAACTCGGCATCGGAGCTCCCCCCGAGGGCCTCTACCTGCGCGAAGACATTGAGATCAAGTGCAACGTTACCATGGTCAACTTTGTCAAGAAGGAATTGAAGGCTGCCTCCAAGGTGCTTGTCGAGCGCCTGATCAAGAAAGCTGAGCTATTGGATGCAGGTGCCTTGAGTGCCATCATGGAAAACGGAAAGCTCAAAACCCACAACCCAGCCGATCGCTCTTCCAAGCCAGGCTCGCAACGTCCCAGCTCTCAGCAGCTGTCTCCTGGACAGCAACCGTACCACTCACCCCAGGTCTCAACCTTCCCACAGTCCTATGCCCATTCGCGAAATAATAGCACCAGCAACGAGGTCATTATGGAACTACCGGGCGACTTTTCTTATCCGCAACAATCACAACCACCACCGAGTCATGACAATCGCATGTCCAATACATCCGATGTGTCCGCACAGACTTCGCGTTCACCTGACCCGAGATGGTCCAACGATTACCAAAGCTCTGTCAGCTCACGCCCAAGCTCCTATGCCTCGGACGGTGGTATGCGCTCCCCAGGCATGGACCAAAAGAGCTTTGCCGCTGAACTGCCCACCATGGAGGAAACGCGCGAAGAACACGACGATAAGAGACGACGACAAAGTCTTCAGTCACCCCCCGAAAAATACAGCTATAATCCCCAAGATTATGCGCAATATTCCCAGCCTCCCCAGTATTCGGCATACACACCAGGGCGGTGAGCAGAAACAGAGCCGCCTCGTTCATTTAATCTTGTTTTCTTATACTCTGTAATGTCAAGTCGGAAATGCGCGGGAAGGTTTTCTGTTTTTTATGTTATACCGGCGGTCAAGGCGTTCTTCGGTTGGCTGAGTACCATGCGCAATCTCATGTATGATGATAAGTACCCAACGTTATGTATACCAAAAAGATACCGTTTCTGCAGCAGGGATTCTCATCCCATGCTCGTTCCTTTCCCATCACACCCATCCAGTGGCACTCACCCACTACCTATCCGATCCACTCCCGCGTGCTCCGCGCCCCTCTAGCTCTTTTGAGGGAAAGCGTACCGTGTAATTGTAACGCTTCCGTTGCTGGCGTCCATGTTGGCGCAAACCGCATTGCGATCGCCCAAAAGCCTTTGCGCACACCTCGTAAAGCTGTATGTACTTCTTTTGCCGGCGGTTGTGTTCCGGACTACCTGCCGTTTCCCTCTCGTAACGAGGGTGAATTCAAAGGAGGGGAAAGGATCCGGCCCGCCCTTGTGTGGTGTGTGTCATGTGGCTGACCACCCCTCGGATCTGCAACCTGTGTACCTATGTAATGGTCATAGCCATGATGCGGTGCTGCTTAAACAAGCACCTCCAGTTTCCTTGTTCTGTTTTATTTCGAGGTGGCTGGTTCTCTGTTTCTCTTCACTCTTCCTCGTTATCCTCCTCCACGCGTCGCGAGTTGCCGCAAACTTTAAACAAACATGGCGGACACTGCAATTCGAGACCAAGACATCCTAGGCGACGCTGAGAAGGCGGGTACAGAGCAGAGAGAGAATATACACCATGAGAAGCTCACCGAAGAAGAAATGGTGGTTGCGAAGAAACTGCGGAAGAAGATTGACGTTAGAATCATGCCTTTGGTTATTCTGGTCTATCTCATGAATTACATCGATAGGTGAGTTCGTTCAAGAGGCTTGCTTGGACGATCTGGACAAGAAAAAGCCACCCGTCGCGCAAGCGTTCTGGGCATTGCTTACCACCGTGCTCCCCAGAAACAATTACGCTGCTGCTCGTCTGCAAGGCTTGGAGGAGGATCTTGGCCTTGTAGGGAATCAGTATCAAGTCGGATTGTCGATTCTGTTTGTTGGTTATATTTTGGTATGTGGTTTTTCTTGGTCAACTGTACATGAAGATGGCAATTCGCGTGGTGTTGGGAGACTCCAGCAATTGGGTTGAATGATCTCGCGTTGGAGTTTTGCTGACTCGGCGCAGATGCAAGTCCCGTCCAACATTTTGCTCAACTATGTTGGTCGACCGTCGTGGTATTTGGGTTTCTTCACTATCGCGTGGGGTTTGGTCTCCGCATTGACATCGCAAGTCAGCAGTTACGGAGGTACGTTTTCACAGTACACCGTACACCCAGACACCGCGTTTTGGTTTTCCAAGACCCTTCCGTGTAGAGAGCTTTGCAGCTCTGTCAATGTGCTAAAATATTTCTGGTCGAACTATACTGACTTTTTATTTCTTCGAATCAGGCATCGTTGCCTGTCGCTTCATTTTGGGAATCGTCGAAGCACCTTTCTTTGCTGGGGTCCTTTTCTACTTGTCCAAGTGGTATACCAAAGAAGAGCTTGCAAAACGCAATGCGATCTTCTACTCTGGCTCGCTCGTCTCAGGCGCTTTCGGAAACCTCATCGCTGCCGGGATTCTTAGTGGTTTGGCTGGGAAGAGAGGAATATCTGCCTGGCAATGGTATGAAAGCGCAGTCCTCATCGCGACGAACCAACTTGGCTAATCACAACACAGGCTGTATATTATTGAGGGAGCAATCACTATACTTGTGGGTATCGCTGTAGTGATCATCCTACCCGATTTCCCCGACACCTGGAAATCCCTCTCCCCAGAGGAAAAGCACGTTGCGAACCGACGCCTGGCCATTGACGCCGCCGAAGCCGACTTGGACGAAGCAGGCGGTATTTCGCAGATCCGCGGAATCAAACTCGCGCTTCTCGACCCCAAAACATATCTTCTTTCGATCGCATACATGGGTATCACAGGCGCGGCAGGCTGTACGTAACTCCACACCCCTTGCCCCCTATCTCTCATCTCTCAAACCTCAGACCATTCATCACCGACATCCCCGTGCAACATATACTGACTCCAAAAAAAAACAGTCCAAAACTTCTTCCCCTCCCTAACCCGCACCCTTGGCTACAGTTCAACCATCTCCCTCCTCCTCGTCGCACCCCCCTACGTCTTCATGGTCTTCTACTCCTTCGCGCACTGCTACTACTCGGACCACATCGGCAACCGCTTCTGGTTCCTCAGCTACCCGGTCCCCGTCAGCATCGTCGGCTTCGTAATCTTCATGACCACAGACTCCTTCGGACCCCGCTACTTCTCCTTCTTCCTCATGAACTTTGTCTTTGCGCAAAACGGCACCATCTACGCTTGGATCTCCTCGTCGATCCCGCGTCCGCCCGCTAAACGCGCTGCCGCGTTGGCGTTTATTAATAGTATTGGGAATAGTGCGAGTATTTGGACGCCGTTTACGTATTTTCCGAGCAGTGCTCCGCATTACCGGCCTGCGTTGGGCGTGTGCATTGGGTTGGAGGTGTTGGCCTTGGTGTGTTTTGTCGGGTTGAGGTGGTATTTGCAAAGGCAGAACAAGGAGTTGGAGCGGTTGGAGGGGGTTGATGTGGGGTTGTCGGAGCGCGAGGTTAAGAGGTTGGAGAGGACCGCTGAGGTGGAGGGAGTGGATGTTGGGCAGGCTAGGGCGCTGCAGAAGGGTTACAGGTACTTGTTGTAGATTCTTTTTGGGGTGTGTTGATTTTTGAATGTTCGGGCTGGGAGTGTGTTGGATCGACTTTTATGAGCGGGGGATTGTATTATTTGCGTGGAGGGTCGAGTTAGAATATTGTCTGTTTGTGAATCCACGGAAGCTGATCCTTCTTGCGATGAGAAGAATGTCGCGTATAGATGTTGCGAAATTTCGAAGAGCGTCAATGATTCTACGTAAGCTACCAAGAATTCTAGACTGATTGTTGTCTCTGAACGATTGGGGCGTATAGCTACTCTCTAATTCTTCGTATCATTATTCGGCGCACAAGCCTTGCCACATAAAAGTTTAGACACAACGGAAGAAGACACAATCCAAAACTAACATATCGCGGACGATGTTCTCATGTCTACACTTATACGCACATCAAACATCCCCAAACCCTACCCTAGCCCCCGCCTCACAACTTCTCCTTCTCCCTCGTCCTAGCTCCATCTTCATCCTCCCTACTCCCACTTCTCACCTCCCCTCTCCCAACACCTCTCCTCGTATGCCGATAATCATAATGCCAATCCTCACTCGCCAGATCAGCTCTGACCTGGTAATTCGCCTCCGCATCTTCAAGGATCTGCATATCCAAGTCGACAACAATCATTCCCTCAGTACAGCTGCCCATGCGCGTGAGCGCACCAATGAAAGGCGCTGTTACCTGCGAGAGGCCTGCATAGCCGCGTCCAGGAGGGCCGCCAGCATTTGAGAAAACAATTGCTGTTTTGGTGTGAAAACGAGTCAGTTATTGTTAAGTCCATATCGAAAAGATATGCCGGTAGTATACGAAGGATGAACTTGCATCGTCTGTAGAGTGAAAAGTACACATACCACAAGTATTCTCAAATGCCCGCGCAGTAAGCATGGAATCCAGAAACAGCGCCTCCGCAGATGGATTGATCTTCAACCCAGCCTCGTTGCAGTCATTGAGGGTCCAGAAAGTAGGTATGATGATGATTTTTGCGCCTTGGGCAATGAGTTCGCGGAAGGCTTCTGGGAAAGCTAAATCCCAACAAATGAGCAGACCGACTTTACCAATGGGCGTGTCGAAGACTTCGTGTATCTCGTGGCGTGTAGACGCGGTCAGGTGATCGCGCTCTGGTCCCCTGGTTGTAGATATATTGTGTGAGCAATTTCTCTTGCTTTATAGCGGATGGTATGGAGTCGCGGGGCTTAGATTGGTGAAGTTTACTGACCATAAATTCTTCTTGACGTATTTCCCTACCACCTCACCTTGGTGATCTATAAAGTACGCAACGTTCAAGAGTCGATTTTCTTCCTTGTCCTCATCCGGATGGCTCTCTACGATGGTTCCGGGAACGATGCAGATGCCGCACTCTTTGGCAAGTGCTTTATACTTGTTGAGGTAGAGCTCCCATTGCGTGCATAACTCGGCGAAACCAGGCTCCTTGGGTTTCCAGTTGGTGAGGTGGTATTCTATCAAACGCTCATGTAAGTTTGTGTGTGTTGAAGTTGATGAGACGCTGGGGTCTTCAACTCGTGAACATTTTCCCAATGTAGGAATGGATTGACAGAATGGGTATGGGGAATTGTCCCCAGACACAAAATATAGGGTAGATATGAAACACAACTTATGATAACCTGCCTTATCAGACAAGAAACAAAACTACATACACAGAGAGGAGAAATGGAAGATCATAACTCACCAGGCAACACCGCCAACTCTGCCCCCTGAGCCGCCGCACTCCTCACAAAATTCGCCGCCTTATTGAAGTTGTGTTCAAGTTGTAAAGGCTATAATCAGATCAACTCGCACGATTATTCTCGCGCGAACATTCCAGTTAGCCACCGCAACAATCAAATCAATGTCACTGAGATCGCAAACTCGGTTGTCTTCCCTCACAATTCCCCAAAAGCCACAGAATCACACATCCCGTCTCTTTTCCCAAATGACATCAGATGATTTTATACCTTACCTTTGGATACAACTGTATAACAGCGACTTTGACAATCTGCGTCATGTTTTCTCCTGCGTTTCTAGACCTCGACGGTATTTGCGCCCAATTTTGGACGGATTGGGAAGGTGTAGGATGGAAGCGGGACCCGAGATGCAGGTTTGGTTGTTGGATTATGGAGGAATGGAACGGATGGATTACGGTGTGGGGTTCGGTGTTTGTGGTTATCTAGTGCGGAGTTAAGGGCTGGTTGCTAGTCTACTGGCACCGGCTCTTTTACGATTTGGCCTAGTGCAGACGACGTACTACTCGTGGAATTCACAAGACTCTTGATTTGTAGGAAACCATGAAATGTGAGTTTAGGGAGATTTCTCGGGAATTGTGAAGCTGTGATCAAATCGTGAGGTGTCAAAAGTATATTGTCATACAATCGTAATTTCAATCCCCTAGTAAACCTACGTCGCGTTTAAGAGAAAACAAAATAATACCAATTCCACACCCCAACAATCAAAGCAATAAACCACCGCCAGATGGATACTCCTCAACAAGACTCCCTCATGCGCAAACAAAAAGAGATATAAATATCCTTTCCTCCTCCTCCCCTTTCCGAAAACACAAACCAAAACCACACCCACGACATCAAACACTCCCAACAAATCTCCACCCAACCATTCCCCCATCCCTCCCCGTCGCCTCGGTACCCTCAATCATGACTTGTTTAAACCTTCCCAGGTCGATAAACTTCTCCAAATCCGCTATGTGCAACTCATGCGTCTCTTGGTTGCTCAATTTCTCCGAGAACCTCGCATGGTGGTCTCGATCGGAGAAGGTGAGGATAGCCAGGGCGTCAAAGTCAACTCCATGCGGATTGCCATAGGTAACGTTTGGTTTGTCGTCGTTGTTACGCTCAAAATAGTGGCGCGTGTGGGAGAGCGGGAAGTCGTCGCCCACGAAGCGTTTGATGAGGGGGACGTGCTGGGTTTCCCAATGGTGTTTGAAGTCGGGCCAGGACATGCCTGGCTTACGGGTCACGAGTAGGAGGATGGAGTAAACCATACTGGAGCTTATGTGTTTTTTTGACCTCAAGAGCAGCAGTAAGACAAATTGTGTAAAAGATATCATCCAGCGAAGTAAAGGGAAATGCAGTATCGAGAGTTCTATATAGCGGAGTTAGCGTTAAATCCAGACTTCTCCCTCCGGCTTCGCGTGCAGGATTATCCCGACGCCGCTGGCTTACACGGGGAGATTGATTGAGTGCAGTTGGAAATCAGATAATCTAGCATACACTAGGGTTATTAATAACGTCCCAAATATGCTGCGACCACACACTGGGATATTAGGAGAGATGGGAACTTCAGATCGTTCGTGTTTGACGCGTGGTTGGGTATCTATATAAACGTGACTAAAAAGAGAAAAGACATGAGGCCATAGGCAAGAATTGGAAAAACCATGGAGCGAAATCCACACCATGGAGCCGTAGGATGCTAGCCATATCTTAAGTTCCCTTGAACCTTCATACCTAGGTTCCGAACCCCCCGTGTGGGTGAAAGAAGGAAAAAAGCATACTCCGTATTGAGCCTTCCGCCTATTGAATAGTGGTTGATGATGAGGCATTAATTCAAACCGTGGAGTATGTGTGCCTTGTCTTTCGAATCAGATTGGGTAGCAGATGAGGTTTTGCACCAGCGGTGTTGTAACATCAACGATTCTGGCCCTATGATCCGACACCATGATATCTCAAGCTACAGCAGCATCGGGCCAATGGGGCGCAATGTTGATGCCATCAGTCAAATAAGACCCTTCTTCCTCAGAATCTGAATCGTAGTCCCACTCGGTCTCTAGCAATGTATACCGATTGGCGGTGCGCATCGACTTCATGGCAACAGACGAGAGAGAATTGTCCAACTTTTTTGTTTTGCGTGGCACAGGAACGGCACATTCATCCGGATGCCAATCGATCCTCAAGCCTTTGTACAAAAGACGAGACATGCAGCAAGTTTTTGCGAAAAGCGCATTGTGGATTGAATTTGTGAAGACGTAGGCATTGCCATCCTTGAAGTATATATCGACCACGACAAGATTGTGAATGTGATCAAGATGGTCACGAATCTGATCGGCGGTGAGCTTTCCGTGGGCGCCTCGAACAACGAGGTTGCGAGTGGCACCACTTGCAATCTTGTTCGACACGTGTGGTGGTACATGAAATTGGCGATCGTCCCAAGAGAATTCAAGCTGTTTTGATCAGCAAAGAACGAAGAAATGGCAAAAGTGTACTCACCCGCTTCTGATGCAGGTATATGTCATTACGCTTCGCATAGGCGAGGAATTCGGCTGCTCCCTCCACGAAGGAGACGGTTGCCGTCCTATCGTGACGTAGGAAGATGTCAAGGAGCCTTCCACCACGGATGATGGAGGTTATGTCCTTGTGAGTTGTGCGGTCGGCGAGATTGGAGATGAGAACTGTGCGCTGATCGTGTACTGGGACTCGCTGTGAACTGTAGCTGGAGTCTTCCCTCCTGTGGATTTCGGAGGAGGAGGGTGATTGGCCAGCGGCGTAGGCATTGCTGCCATGAGCGCTCGCAGCACGAGCATTATTCGGGAACAGGCTGTTGAAGATGAGACCGCCTGGGTTGGCAGATAGAGTCTGAGATTGGGAAAAGGTATCCTCCCAAGAGCTGGTCTGACCTTGGGCGGTCTGGTCATCAGCAGGTTCACACTCGCTCGTCCGAAGGGTGTTGAGAGTCTCGGGCGTCAATCCTCCACGAAACAGGACGGTTTTGAGTTGATCTGTAGCACGTTAGACTGACAGCCGTGCGAGAAACAGAAGGGTGGTAATATACTCAGGTCGCGTAGTGCTTGGGTCTGGCGAGCAGTGAGTCAGAAGTTGCTCAGTGAGGAGGGGATAAAGCAGGCTGACTCACCAAGTAGTCGTGCTCGCTCTTTGAGATGGTGACATTGTCGGACAGGCTGGGAGTCGTGTCAAACTCGGCCCTAAAACGACCGTGAGGATCAGCATATGAGTGTTTGAATAGGTATGTAGCGGCGTAGCAAGCGGTGTCACGGGGAGCAAGCACGGAACGTACCTGCGGAGCAAGGCTTGGAAATAAGCTCGGCCTATGGTGACGGTAGCATCCATGGTGGCAAACAAGAGTTGGTAGGGTCTCCAGCCGAAGATGGTCAGAGAAGAGATGAAGCAGCAGATGTCAAGTATTTAGGTACAGTAGTACAAGTAGGTAAGTAAATAGGTATGTACTTGGGTAGGTAGGTAGGTAGGTGAAAGGAAATTGCAGGGAGAGAGCTCCTCCCCCGCGCAGCATGTACAGTCCAGCGTGCTGCATCTCTCCTGCGTCCAGCCAACGTCGCTCTGCCTGGTGGGTGTTTGTGTCTGTTGGGAGGGGGGCCCAAGCTCAAGCTCACCTCTGCGGTCGCAGCTTCCGTTCCCAGTGCTGTGGATGCGCGCGGCAACATGGCCCGCTAGAGCCTAGTGCCCAGGCAAGTGACGCCTGCTCGCCCGCGCCCGCTGCCCTCCAAAAGTTTCGCGAGCCTCTTCGCTCTGCTGCTGCTGCTCATGGCCAACAACACCCCCAATCCACCAACAGCACTACAGCAGCAGCCTGTCCAGCATGCTCCCCCGCCGCCACCAACCTTCAACTCCAGCGAGGGGCTCAGCGCCTATTTCGCCCAGCTGACTGGCAACCCTTTCTTTACCGCCGTACGTCTGTCCAGCAACCCGTCCACCCGTCATTGACCGTCCATCAATCCAATCGTCGTCTCCATCGTCACGTACATAGACTTACCAACACCTCAGGGCTTTGGTCTCGCAGCGCTTGCGACTGCAGCCCGCGTAGGCCAAAAGGCCCTCACACATGGCGCCTCCCTGGTGCGTCGTCGCATGCTCGTCGACCTCGAGATAACACGCCATGACCACGCTTATCCATGGCTGCTGCTGTGGATGACCAACTTCCACAGGACCCAGGCAACCGCCCAAGCGCCGTCCAAGGCTACCGGTCTTGTCGAATCGCTCATCAGTCGCATCAACCCCCGTTTGCATCACTTACAAGTCAGCACCGCCCAATCGCAGACCGGCCCGGCGCACGCTGCCCACTTCTCCTTCGTGCCGGGCCACGGCAAACACATCATGCGCTACGGCAATGCTTTCATCTTCGTTGACCGCCAGCGGGACAAGGCCTTCGACATGGCGACAGGCGTGCCCTTTGAGACCATTACCCTCACCACCCTCTACTCGCAGCGCGGCGTATTTGAAAACATCTTCGCTGATGCACACAAAATGCACCAACAAAGACAGGAAGGGAAAACGGTCATGTACAATGCCATGGGCGCCGACTGGCAGCCGTTTGGGGAAGCCAAGCGGAAGCGGCCTCTGAATTCCGTCATCCTGGAGCGCGGCGTGAAGGAGAGGATTGTGGAGGACGTGCAAGCCTTTCTGGCGGCGCGCACATGGTATCTCGACCGCGGCATACCTTACCGCAGGGGTTACTTGCTGTATGGGCCACCTGGAACTGGCAAGAGCTCCTTCATCCAGGCGTTAGCTGGCCATCTGGACTTCAACATTGCCATTCTCAACGTCAGCCAGCGCGGGCTTCACGACGACCGGCTGAGCCACCTGCTGACCAAGATTCCGCCGCGCACCATTGTGCTGCTCGAGGATGTCGATGTAGCCTTCGCCAACCGCAGGAAGCAGGACAGCGATGGGTACTCGGGTGCCACGGTGACCTTTTCGGGCCTTTTGAATGCCTTGGACGGTGTCGCGAGTGCAGAGGAGCGCATCGTGTTCCTCACCACCAATTTCGTGGAGAGGTTGGATGAGGCGCTCATCCGACCGGGGCGGGTTGACATGACTGTGCGGCTCGGCGAGGCTTCGGAGTATCAGATGGAGCAGCTATGGGACCGCTTCTACGCCGAGTTCGATGAATCCGGTGAAGGAAAGAAGAGATTTTTGGCCAAGGTGCACGAGCTCGGTCTCGTAGACGCGGTGAGCACAGCGGCGCTGCAAGGACTCTTCCTCTACAACAAGGACGACGTAGAGGGCGCGATCAAGATGGTAGATGCCCTCACCGCTGGTCCCGGTCACCGCGAAGAAGAAAATGTGGACCTGCCGGGGCACGTGGATATCCGATGATGCATAGTGCCGATGTGTATGACGTAGCCAGTGTAGAGTGAGTGTATTTGTAGTGAATGAAAAAGTGAATCTGGGTACAGCAAGGCGAGACGATATTGCAAGCGCACGTCAGGCCGTGGTGCATCTCAACAACCAGACGTGACAGACAGCGGGCTGCATGCACATGCAAATGCAGAGGGGTTGCATGATTCTGGCGCGAGGGCTGCCGCGGATCTAACCGCTATCTGATCTGATAAGGTCAGCTGAGCCCGTGCCTAGGCAAATCATGGCGTGCTAGCAGGCTGGCAAGCCCGTTATTGTTAGCCACGGCCATTGGAGCGGCGGCAGGCAGGCAAATCCCAAACCCCCCTAGGCCCCTTGCGTCGAGTCTTCTCGTTGCTGTTACATGGGACACGCGCCCGAGTGGCCCTACCTGCTTGTACAAATGGACTCGGATGCCCGTCCTGTCCTGTCTCACGCTTCCCGTCGACGTGATACCCGTGAGACAGCAGATCCTACCACCGTTCCAGGCAGTTACGAGCTCCATGACTTCGCCACAGGCCCAGCAAGCATAGACTCAGACAGACCCACTCCCGTTAGAGACAGCAGCAGCCCTGATGCCAGCGGCGACGGCGACGACGACGACGCTTCCCCTCCCCCCACACACTCTCTTCTCAACCGTCACGACATGTCGCGCGCGCCTTTGCTGGTGCGCTCGTCTCCCGCTCAAGGCACCGGCTCCTATGGCGGCCTTCCTATCCTCTCCGTGAGCTCTAGTCCCGACGATTCGGAAAATCAGGTGACCGATTTTCTGCACCCGTCGCGCAACGCGAAAAAGGGCAAGGGGAAGCAGAAAAGAAAAAGCAAACTCCGACATAGCCAAAATTACTCCTCTCCCGTAGACACTCGTTCCACCGACTCATTGCGGAGCGACCCAATATCCACTTCGTCGCATGCCCGCCGTCGCAGATCCAGACACGAATCCGACCATGATGATGAACTCCCGGCCCTGAATGAACCGCTGCTGGAATCCCGCTTCAATGCAAGCGCCCTAGACCCTTCCGCCGCGAGCACACGCCGTCCTTTCCAGACTGTGCAATCTTCTTCCTCTTCCAGTAGCAAAGCGGAAAGTCCCGGCGAGGACTATGACGACGACGACGGCGACGAAGAGGAAGCCTCCACGAGTGAAGACGACGAGGGTCTGCATGACATCAAGTCGAACGGTCAGCCCTCTGACAACTCACCCTACTCTCAAGTCCGCGCATCCGTTGCAGCTACCGATGACACATCGCTATCAATCAATACACCGCGCATGTGGATTCTTTCCATGTTTTTTGCCATTCTTGGATCCTCCACCAACCTATTCTTTTCCTTGAGATACCCGAGCGTTAGCATCACCCCTATTATTGCCCTTCTCCTAGTTCACCCTCTTGGTCTCCTGTGGGACCAAATCCTTAAATCTTCTTCCGATCCGGAAGAAATCTTTGTCAGCGGGAGTCTCCAATCACGGGGGCGTCCCAACTCACGGCAGAGCCTTCGCTCCGCCCATCTCCAGTTATCACGGCCAACCCGCTTACGACTTTGGCTGGCTCAAGGCCGTTGGAATGCCAAGGAACACTGTTGCGTGTACATCAGCAGCAATGTATCGTTTGGTTTTGCGTTTGCGACAGATGTTAGTACAACCCACGTACACTGTTGTGCAAGTGGTACACAGGCTAAACTCAAACAAGGTCATCGTTGAACAAACCAAATTCTACAACCAAGATCTTGGCGTCCCGTATCAGGTCTTGCTCACCCTTTCCACCCAGATACTGGGCTATGCCCTCGCAGGATTGACCCGCCAGTATCTCGTTCGCCCGAGCGGCATGATATGGCCCAGTACATTGGTTTCAACGTCCATGTTCACCACTCTGCACAAGGACGAGAACAAGCCCGCGGATGGCTGGACCATTTCTTCGTCAAAGTTCTTTGTGCGAGTATTCATGGGCTCGACTGCTTTTTACTTCCTACCGGGGCTTCTCATGCCAGCGTTGAGCTACTTCAGTGTCATTACATGGTTTGCACCCAAGAACGTCGTAGTTGCCAACCTGGTGAGTCTGCCTGGCATACTCGAGCTACTTTCACTAATGGTCACAGTTTGGTATTGCGTCAGGCCTAGGGCTATTTCCTTTGACCTTCGATTGGGCACAAATTGCATACATTGGCTCGCCGCTCGTCACCCCCTTCTGGGCTGCCCTCAATATCCTCGGAGGACTCGTGTTAGTTATGTGGATTGCAGCTCCCCTCATGTGTCAGTCATTACAATCACAAATGAGCCACATCATGCTTATGTCAATCTAGATTACGCAAACGTAATGTATTCGTCGTATATGCCCATCCTTTCGGCTGCGGTGTTCGACAATCGCGGAAAACCGTACGACGTGAGCAAGATCTTGACCGACAATTTCCTGTTCGATAAAGATGCGTACGACAATTACAGCCGAGTCTTCCTGCCCATAACATATGTTTTAAGCTACGCGCTGCAGTTCGCCGCCCTCACAGCCTTGATCTCGCACACAGCTCTATGGCACGGCAAAGATATTGTCAACCAATGGCGCCGCTCGTGGGCCGAAATCCGGAGGAGTCCGGGAGCAGAATACGAACCCCTGCAACACACAAGCCCAGCCCATAGCCGTCCGAACTCGCCACGGGTATACAGACACAGTACGACGTCAGAACCCGAACTAGAAAACCTTCTCACCTCAGAAGACGTCCACAACCGACTCATGCGTCGATATGAGGATGTTCCTATCTGGTGGTATGTTGCGACGGGTCTTTCCATGACGGCCATTGGAATGTTTGTTGTTGAATACTATCCTATCCATCTCCCGTGGTATGGTCTTCTACTTGCCCTGGCAATCAGTACGACGCTATTTATCCCTATTGGCATTGTAATGGCCATTACCAATCAGCAGAGTAGTCTGTATCTCATCTGCCAGCTTATCTGTGGCGTGGCATTCCCCGGCCGCCCAGTTGCCAACATGGTCTTCACGACCTACGGTTACATCACCAGCACCCAAGGTCTCAAGTTCTCGTCCGACCTCAAGCTAGGCCATTACATGAAGATTCCTCCTAAAATCCTCTTCAACCTCCAACTCACCGCCACCATCGTGTCTAGTCTTACGCAGATTGGCGTCCTCAACTGGATGCTAAAGTTCGTCCCAGGTATATGTACCCCACATGCGATCAACGGATTCACCTGTCCCATCGCCAGAGTTCATTTCAATGGAAGTATTCTATGGGGAGTAGTGGGTCCGAAACGGTTCTTCGGCCCAGGTGCTCTTTACCGCCCACTCGTCTGGGCATTCCTCATCGGTTTCGTCGCCCCCATCCTCCTTTGGCTCCCCGCACGTCGCAACCGCAAGTCCATCTTGCGCAAAGTCAATTTAGCCGTCGTCTTCGGCTCATTGTCTTGGATTCCGCCCGCGACCGGCCTCAACTTCTCGGTTTGGGCTATTGTGTGCTACATATTCAATTTTGAGATCAAGAGGAGGAAGAAGGAGTGGTGGCGCAAGTACAACATGACACTGAGTGCGGCGTTGGACTCGGGTCTCGCTGTGGGCGTTGTGGTCATTTTCTTCGGCATTCTCTACCCTGGGTGGATGAGCGGGTTCAAGTGGTGGGGGACGGAAATTTACAAGCAGGTAAGGAAAGCGCATATAATTATGTTCTTGGGTTCTTGGTTATGCTAACGTTTTTGGTTAAAGGGCTGCGATTGGACGGCGTGTTCATACAAGTCGGTGAAGAAGGGAGAGACGTTTGGACCGGAGAATTGGTGAAGAAGAAGTCGTCAACACACCACCATCGTCATTCATCTTTCCTCACGCCATCCCCCTTGCTTTTCAAGGCAGGTCCCGCCTTTCTTCCCTCCCCTGGAACCGACTTTGAACTTTACACTAGCTTTTGTTACTGTTCCTTGCTGTCACCATTGTTCTACATCGCATCGCACCGCATTGCATTGCATCGCGAGACCCCATTTGAAAAACCATGGCGATCTGGCGTTGATGGCCTGTTTTTGGCTTCGATACACATTGCTTCTTTCTCGCTCGGGCACATTGGCACGGGACTTTTCGGTCTTCCTCTAACCTCCTCATCTTCGCCATTCCGCCTCCTCCTCATCATCTTCTCATCACTGCTGCTTTTTCGGTCTTCTGCCTTCGGTCCTCGCGCTAAGATCTAACCATTGTCGTACGCTGCAAAATGAACCACCTACTCTTACATGCATGTTTTATTTTTATGTTATCTTTAGCCCTATAGAACGAGCACACGCCACCTTATGAAGCAATCACGAAACGATAGAAGGAAATCCAAAAAATTCAATTTTTTTAATTTGCAGAGAAACTTGTACTACTGTTGCTGTGAATATTCTCATGTGTGAATGAAGAGTGGAAGCATGGTACAACACGTTGATACTAGTGCCGTGCCACGACGACGCATATGTACTTGACGCTCTTTCCAACCAACTATCATCCATGGAACCCAGCAAACCTCCATCATAGACGATATTCACAGACAGACAAGATTGCAGTGTGCAAGCCCTCACACCGCTATCGCTAGCCTGACAGTCCACTCTAGCGAACACACAGCATCCCTGGGTTACCGTTTGAAGAAATAGCTATTCTTCCATCGAGGCGGAGAGGATGGCATTGCAGCGATCGATCAATCAATCAGTCAAAAAGGGGTTTCTCCTTCCCCCCCTTTCAATGTCTCTGTCCATAGAATTCGTCCAGGGGGGAAAAGGAGGAAAACTTACCTAGATGAGAAACCCCCATGTTATTTCTATCATGGGTTTCATTTTACCAGGAGGGAAAGGGGAGCAAAACCCTACCTGGATCAATGGAATGAATGTTGGAGGAAAAGGGGGGAGCATTTGTGAATGATGTAAACCAAGGGGGCTCTCCGAGTTGATTCAATTCAAGTTTTTAGACATGCCCAGTCGAAACTTAATCGATGTTCAGTAGAAGCCCTTGGACGTCTACTCAAGAAGGGGGAAGGGGGGATTTATATATAAGGTTTACCGTGGGAAAGCATGTTTGCAGCAGCTATTTGCATCATCATCATCATCATCATCACACTCATTTACCCCCTTTTGTCTTTGCGTTCGAGTATCTGGAATCGGCCAAAAGAAGGGTACCGTTCCATGATACGAAAACAGATGAAAAGTCGACTGAACTTAATCAAGACTCTCTCGAGACTCGGTTGTATCGAAAACATTGAAGATGGTGGTTTAGTTTGGTTCAAAGTTAACGACGGCGAATGGAGTTTGATCCGACCGGGCCGATTCCCTGTCACTTTGTCTCAAAAGTAATGTTCGGCTGTTTCATCATGGTGTGATTGCCTACACACTTCCCTTAGACTATCGTTTTTGTTCTCAGCTTGGCGTCTGGAGAAGTTTCTGGGGAGGGGGAAACGGGTTTGGGTGCTGGTTAGGCTAGTCTTGCGGCGAGGGGGGTTGATGCCGGTGCGTACAGTACCCCACGTGGGCGGTAGTCTGTATGGTTCTGGATGCGTTGCCGAGCTTGGTTGGTGAAGCTGAAACGGGGACGGTACATGCAATATTGTATTGGTGAGGGACGTTGAATATCAGATGGCGTTTTACGATATTGATGAATCATTGATTTTCCGGTAGCAGACGTGGAAGCCTGAGACGATGGAAGACAGCACAGAATGACCAATGGGTGAAGGAAAAGTGGCTTCTTCGTAGGAGAAGAGCTGGTGACCTCTCCATCTCGGTACCAAGCTTGACGTATCTGTGTTCTGGACGGATGCAAAGAAGGGAAAGGCTGCGCATTGAAGATAGATACGAGGGTGGATGACGAGGCGAGGCGACAATTGATTCAGGAGTGTGGGCTTTGCAGGCAGGCGATGACGAATGGTTCGGAGGTCCGATTCAGGCAACTCGATTCTCGGGCACCCCATAGGTCTGTATTGTGCTGCCTTGAACAAAGGCCCGAGTGTCGATATTGTAGCGGCCAGGAGCGATTGAAACTACTATTGACTGATGACTAGTGGAGGTGGTGATGACGACGATGGTGGGGAGACTGAACACGTCAGTGGGCCTTTTTTGTTCGTCGGCGGCGGCATCCTTTGTGCAGTGGCAAGACGGGAAAAATGACGACGGACGGCCAGCAGATTGTTCGGAAGAGCAGGCAGAAGGGTTATTGCATTGGGCCGGAAATGATGGGAAAATGAGCCAGCACTATAAGCAGGCGCAAAACGATAGCTAGACAGATGCATGTATTATCATGTTATCTATTGGATGCATAAACGAAGGCGAGACGGAACGGCGCACACAAGCAGAAAGGACAAAATATGCAAATGGAGGCAGATTCCATGTGACCATCTCAGGGACGACGGCGATGATAGGCTAAAGAGGGGATTTTGCGACCTCGTGCCTGGGGAACAGGGTAGTTACCCCAGAAAAACGCACATGTCCCGGTTATGATGGCAGCAAAGCACCGTTGTATATAGTAGGTGAGTATGCGGGGAGATTGCAGTCAGGGTTGCACGGATGCGCGGGCGGGGGAAATAGATGAAGAAGATGGGGTGCAGAGGTTCGAGAAGGCTTCCCGGAGGGTTGATTGTTCCATGCATCTCGGATCGGCAGGTGGTGAATCGAGGCATAGAAAGTTGTATATTGCATTCATTCCACGCATAATTTGCAGGGTGGATACCATGTCATCAGGAAGGGGAAAGGAATGGAAGGGCGACGAAGGGTGATGACGACGAGGGAATGTGGGTTGGCGAAGGGTAAGCGTCGCACAACAGTCAGACCAAGGGGGTACATAGACTGCTGGAGTGGGTATGTAGGCAGCAAACAATGGAGTCGCAGATGGTGTACAAGGCCGAGCTGGCTATCACGGGCGTCGGGGCAGAGTTACCAAGGACCAACGTGTTTGAGGCAGTGAGAGACCTTGGGTGGCCCTTGAAAATACCGCGGAAGCCGATATGAAACTCGCCTGTGTGGGGCAGAGGGGACCCTGACGGGGGGCGTCTTGATCTGGGCCCAGCAGCCGTCACCTTCCATGGAGGGTATCAAGGCAGCAGGATAAATGAATGGAATTTGCTGATACGACGATAGCAAGTAATCAAGGAGTAAGAATAGGAATCAGCATCGTCATCTGCTGTAGTGCAATTCACGTACACGCTAACAGTCTGCTGAGTGTGAATGGAGTGGTGGCACGGGCGCGGGCGCGGGCAAGGGAGCAGGAAGGGAAGGGAAGGGGAGCGAAGGGAAGGGAAGGGACGCCCCAGCTGCTGCTGCTGCGGCAGGCAGGGGCGAGGGCACCACGGAGCGTCGGGGTAAAGGTCGCGGTTTCTAATTTAGATTGCACTTGCCCGTCTTGGGAAAGCCCCCTGCCTCCCTATCGTGCCCGCCTAACATAAAGGACAGCTGTCCTCGCTCGCCCTCTCTCGATATCATCTCGCCCAGCTCCTCCCCTCCAGATGCACCACACGCACCACCGCCATCGACAACGCACTACAACAAGGGCATGGACGCTTTCTTCACCTCAGATCACATCCCCACTTCTTCTTCTTCCTCTTGTTTGATCACCCCCGACCACTCCTCCACAATGTCCCCACTTCACACCATCGACCCTTCCGCCACATCAAACCCCCTCAACACAACCATCAAGATGGAGGACCTCCACGCTTCCTATGGTACCCCCGCCCCGTCGTCTGCTTCCACAGCAGGCGACTCGCCACAACCCTCGCCTCAGACCGAGGGCAAGCAGGTCAAGAAGCGCAAGTCCTGGGGCCAGGTCCTCCCCGAACCCAAGACCAGCCTGCCACCCCGGAAGCGGGCCAAGACCGAGGACGAGAAGGAGCAGCGCCGCATCGAGCGTGTCAAGCGGAACCGTTTGGCTGCTCACAACTCGCGCGAGCGCAAGCGACAGGAGTACGAGGTGCTCCAGGCCGAAAAGGACCAGCTCGAGGCTGACCTCGTCTCCGCCCGCGAGACCATCGCTCGCATGAACATGGAGCTCAATGCCTTCCGTTCAAAGTACCCCACCGACGACCTGTCCACCTCCAGCGTCGCCTCCTCCTCCTCGGACCTCGCATCCGTCACCACCGACACCGTCGATCCCTCCCAAACCACATCGTCATCCTTCCCCAGTCCCGTATCCATGACGCTCGACAACCTGGACTCGCCCCGCGATTCCTCCTGCGCCCCCGAGACGCCCAGCTTCAACGAGGCCACCCCTGACTTCGACCAGACACGATATCCTGCTGAGATATTGTGCGACCTGCAGTGTCGGTCGACGTCAGCGGCCTCGCTTCCAGCGATTTGGGCTTTCCTTTCTCTTTTCAACCTCACCCTTCCAACGACAATGAAAAGTCTATCGAGTCTCTTTTCGACTTCGACCAGTTCCCAGACTCCTCTGTGGAACCCCCTACTGGCCTTGTTGACGGCGACGTCTTCTTCTCCTCTTCCCTCTTCTCACAGACTGATTCCAACTTTGGCCCAGATGATCTCTTTGATGCAAAGCACTTCGATTTGCAGACAGCCTTTGGCGCAACTGACGTTAGCGACGGGGCTCTCGCAGAGAAGAACTAGCATCGATCAGATCGCTCGGTCATGGAAAGTATCTCGGTCCACCGGGCATGAGGTTTTGGTGAGGCAACGACGTTTACGATCACTTCGGCTTAGACAAATGGGCGACAGGCGCAAAAGGACTTCTTGGGCTTTGAGGAGGGTCATTACGCGGGCATTGGGACGGAACCAGGAGGTTGCCATTCCAAAGTCATCAGCACTTGCTGTTTGAGTACTGTACAATCTTGATGACGAAGCCGGTTGGGTATTCTATAGGAGTGTACCAAGGGCTGGTGCCGATTCTTATGTAGCCAATCAATCTTCTCATCATCACATCCTCTACTCTGGTAACCTTTTGATGTGCTTGTTTCTTTGGTTTCTTCTGCTTTCTGCTTTCTCAGCTCGACTGTCTACGACATTTTGGCTCCGTCACCGTGCTGTGCGCCGAGCTCGCTTGAGTCCTTGGGAGGCCCAGAGCTTACGTGCGCTCGGACTTCATGCACATCAGCTTATCGTGGGGTGAGACTCAAGAGGGGCGTAGCGTCCCTCTGGGCCCGAATGTCTCAGCTCCCGTCAGCTCGCACGATTCGCATTATTACCCGACCTGCATCTTTGTCACCGCATCTACGACACTTGCAAATGTACATGAACAATCGCACGGGGAAGTGTATACGAGCATATGCGTGTTTGGGAATCGTTGACATTTCATTCGTTCAAATCGAGGTTCGTATATCATGTACAAGTAACCAGTCGGAGACCGAGTCTGCATCGGTACTGTCACTTGTTGGTGTTGGTTTCAGGCAAGCAATGCAAGGCAAGGCAAGGCAAACCCGACAATGCCAACCAGCTAGCTTGCCTACTCACAACAGCACAAACCAAGTGACAATCCAAAACGCCGTCATTCTCGTCCTTTCTATCCGTCCATGACCAATTCCCCTCCCCCCTTTCCTTTGTGCCTTACTTGTCAGATCTCGGAAGATGATGATCCATCACTCATCCCTCAATCTCCAATCCCCAATTCCTCGGAGAAGGGAATGATAGATGGATGAACGAATCATCAAATCCCAAGGATAACTGGCAAAGGCAATTCCTCCCATCACTCGCCCTACCCCTTTCTCCCCCTCTTTCAAGGGGAAAGAAAACAAAAGGGTTGTTGGGCGTCAATTGTAATATTTGGAAATTTATTTGGCGTCTTTGGCGTCGCTGTTGGTGCCTTGCACTTTGGTCACGTCTGCGCCGCCGCCCGATGCGCTCAAGCCGGGGAGAGCTGTACATGTTCTACGTCAGTCTTTTTTTTTTCTTTCTTCTACTCTTCATTCTTCGAAGTATGGGAGGAGAGGAGGGAGGGGAGGGAACGTACCTTCGCCCTTCTCGCCTTCGGGGAGCGGAGCTACTTTTTGTGTGTGCTTGATGGTGTCCTGGAGGAGTATCCGTTAGACTCTCACTCAAACACTTCGTGAAGAGAGAAGATGGGGGCGGGCGGTACTTACATCGCCAGAGTTTCCAATGATGATGTTGTCCTTGGCCTCGATGGGACCGTTGTCAGATGAGCCGTCTCCGTTGCGGGGCATGGTGAAGTATGTGAGTTGGTGGTGGTGAAAAGAAAAAAAGTAACTTTGTTCAAAAGGTTGATGGTATGTGAGTGTCGTGTATGTGTGTGGATGAAGAAAGTCTGTGGCACCACTAGAGTAGATTTTATATCGTCACGATTCGATTATCGTTTGGTTCCCTCTCACTTATTTCCCTGGCTCTGCTGTCCCTCTTTTCTGGGTCGCAAAGGAGGGGTGGATTAGGTGCGTCATACGTCATAATGACGCTTCATACATATTATCGATAACTGAAGTTTTCGATCCGGTGGTCCCCACTTGGGATATTCACTTTTAATTAAGAGCAGAACGAGGTCTTGGGCCGCGTTTTTGTAGTCGTGTGACGATGCTGTGGTTTGAGAGCGGGAAGCTATGTAGCTGGCGTGGGATGAGCCGTCTTCCCCGCCTTCGAGTCAAGCTTTCAGTTGTCGACCCTTCCACAACGTGCTGATATGGGATACTTCTTTTCAGACTTAACATGGTATTGCATAGTCTTACATCAATTTCCGTCAAAAAAAAAGAAAGAGGGGTGAATAAAACATGCGAGGAATATATGTAGTCAGTCAACGACAGAAGCTTAGCAGAAAAAGAGAAGAATCATAGCGACGGCAAAGTCAGCGCGGAGATATTCGCAGACGGAACCCGCCCTTGAATCAACTCAGACAAGACCAGTCCAGTACCTGGAGCAAGGGAGATACCCCAAGCGCCGTGCCCAGCTGCGAGGAAAACTCCCCCCTCGCTTCCTCCGCGAGTCTTGAGTCCACCGCCTAACTTGTCGTCTGGTATGCGACATACAATCGGTCGACCGCTTGCTGTGACCGGTCGGAAGCACTGTATATTCCGTTAGCGGCGAATGCGGCACATGCTAGAAAAGGGAGGATGTTGGATAGTCTCATACCAATGCTTCTCTCTTAACTTCCAACTCTTTTCCCTCCACAGCCCCTATCATTTCCGCTGCACACTGCTTCAGTTGCTCAACAGACTTGGGATCGGCCTTGACGTTCTCATCGGCGTCTGGAAGTGGTATGAGTGTGCTGTTGAGACCGGCGAGGTACAGTTCGCCTCCTAGCCTCGAGAACCACTCTGGCGAGAAACCCAAAGTATCTGTGGCGAACACAGAATGACATGATTCTATATCCTCCTCGTCTACTTTGTGGAGTGGATTATTTAGGAGGAGCGAGTGGCCAGCTAAATGAGAGATAGGGATACGCGCTTTCGACTTTGGAAAAAGAGACGAGAATACGCGGGGAGTCCAGGCGCCTGAGCTGATGACCAGATTCTTGCAGGGCACTGAATCAATATGTCAGCGGTTGGTAGACTGGTTGCGAGGGGTAGATAAATCGATCTTGTCTCTTTGGTGACATGGACGTACGTTCATTCTCTGTTCCACCCTCAGAGAGCCGAACCCCATTGAGTTGCCCATCTCCATCCTTTGACACGGAAATAACTCTTGCGGGATGATGAATAGTCACCCCTCTCTCTAATAGCTGCTCTTTAAGCCATTGGCAGAATCGCAACGGATCTCTAAGATATCGTTAGTGTTGCTTAACCACTAATTCAAACCCAACCACAAAGTCCACCAGAGGAGGAGGAGGGAGTGAATGAACATACATCTGCGCAACACTGCCTTTAGCACTGATCTCCTCCAAGATACCTTCCTCCGTTCTCTTCAACCAAGCCGGTTTCTGTCCAACAGCGCTCTTCGAATCCGCTGCCACCGCCTGTGCTCTGCTCGTCCCATCCGCGAGCCAATCCTCACCACTCCCTCCAACGGCCTCCTCGCAATCTTGGGGCTGACTGGATGAGAAGCTCGTGCTTGCACAATAGCCCCATTTATTCCGGCCATTGTACTTGGCTGCGAGATCTTTGTGAAGTTTGAAGGATAGCGCTCCGAGTGGAGCATTGGATGGTGCGAACCCTTTAATTTTGTCAGCCAATCAGTTGGCAAGAACATGACGGGAAAATAACTCCAGCCTTTCAAAGGAGCAAAACTAACAATCTTCTGCTACGAAACCTCCCGCATAACCTTTGCTTGTGATTAGTAAATGATTAAGATGGCCCTTTCGTCAATGGCATCAGGGGGCATACCGGATGCGCAGTTCAACAGCTCTTTACTCGCGTCGACTAGATGTATGCTCGACGCCGGCGTGGATTTGGATTCACTCAGGTAGTACGCGGTTGATAGGCCGATTATTCCTGCTCCGACTATTATCGTGTCACTCGTAGTCGTGCTCATATTGATTTATCGGAAGCAGTAGAAGAATTGAGCAAACAAGAAACTGATGATGTCGATGCTTTTACAGACGGCGACTGAGTTATATGTATGCCTATGTATGTGCGCCCACGAACCGGTCTGCGGCACTATTCTGTGGCGACGATCCATTTTTTCCTTGTCCTTTATTCATCATGTTCGAAGCCTTTGAGAGGCGGTTACAAAATGATCGTACGAGCAATCCCGACCATCTGGTGTTTACGACGTCGGCATGCCTCGCTAAGTCGTGCGCGTGACTCAGATGGCCTGACATTTTCGAGTTCTTCATGTGCTTGCATATGTACCTCCAGTCGCCATCCAAGAGCAAGACGAACCTACTGCAGCATCAATAAACTAACACTTCACTTACAGACAGTTCATCTTCAGTCATTGTGGGAACAAACGAGGGATGGAAGTATTCAAAGGCTTATTAGCTCTACAATGCACAAGTGCGCTGGAATCTGGGTTGAAAACCCATAGCAATAAAATTAACCCTGAGCCTATACTTTATGGCCACCTGCAATTCTCTGAGGAGTCGTGAGAAATAAACCCCTTCAAGCGAACCAGCAACAGGTGCACCGACTTCCACGCGACACCAAGTGTAAGAATAACCCAGTGCGAGTGGCAACACTCAAAACTCTGGTATCATCGTTGATGATCAATACGCTCTCAACCTCCAAGTGTTCTGTTCATGATGCGGGTGGCAAGCTCAACCTCAGCCTTCGTCTCATTATCAGCCAGGTCTCCCATCGCAGCGTGTTCCTGAGCTAGAAATTCGCTGCTGAAGTCGACAGGGTGCTCATCCGCGGATTTCTTGTTGGGGTACATCGCACCACCATACAAACGAACGAAATCCCTTAATTCCTCCTTGCCATCCTCCGAAGATGAGGACTCTGGTCGGGTGGAAGGTATGGTAGTCTTACTGATATTATCTTCACCGTCAGTTGGAAACCCCAAGACGCCCCCTCGTTGTCTGACAATCGAGTCATTTGGGTCATTGTGTTTGGAGGTCACTATGTCCGCTGATGTTGATCTTGTTTCGCACCAAATACTTTTGGTAGGACCATTGTAACAACTCCACACTTTAGCTCGAGGCTGATTATTTCTCTCCGGTGAGGTGTTCCAGAAGACATACAAAAGATCGTCGGAGAGTTTGTTGGAGCCGGCACAACCTCGCGGCTTGGAAGGTTTGAAGTACGTAGAGTATCCGTTTGATGGAGACTGATGAGATACCGAAGTATCATTGTTCTTTTGCTGCATATGTGAGATTTCCGATAGTGACACTGTCAGTTCGGTGTGCTCTTGCATAAGAGCCTTCGCTATCATCTCATTATAACCAGGATCACCCGGGACAGGTGGGCCAGAGGGTATCGGAGTGTCAAGATGATCCGGATATGCATGTTCTTTCGAGTCTATATTGAAATAGTCTTGGTACTGAGACAAGTCCGAAGGGTTTTGAGAAACAACTTCCGATGCTGCAACTTCGTCGAGTGGGAGGTTGGTTCCAGGCATGGGGGTAGGATTTGGATCTGCTGCAACTTCTCTCTGGTCCACCGCACAGCTATTGCTGATCGTGTTGACATCAACAGCAGCACTTATAGCTGGAGTAGGCTCATGCGGGCCCTGCGTTAAGGCGTACTGTAGAGGCGCAGGAGGTTCTGGCGGATGGCCAACCACAAACGAAGAGAGACATGATGGAGCAGCAGGCTTTTCAGACGATTCGTCATGTCGGTGTGCCATTGTAATGGGTGATGAGTGAAGGACCTCCCGATTGGAAGGTTGGGAGACCTCGCGAGCTAGATTTTCAAACATGGGTTTGTCTGGGGGAGAGACCTCAAAGCCCAGAGCTAGCGATGGCACAGGCTTGACTGGAGTGCGCGGGTTCTCTGTTTCTAGCGGCGAGTTGTCTGGTTGGAATTGCTTCGAATGGCTGCAAGTGGACCGTAAACCCCGATGCGAGCCCATGCTACGTAACGATCCTAGTAGACGTGTGCGTCTGGACGGACTGTCTTTGGTCGGCGAAGTGCTCTTAGATGTCAACCTATCGTGTCTTTCGTCGTCAGGAGAGGCTTTCTGCGGGCTGATGGGAATTGGTCAGCTTAGGAACACCACCCCAGGAACTCTGGCATACGTTTGAGATATGTGATCATTGCTGGAACAATACAGCCCGGAAAGGCTCTTTTTGGTCTGATCCTTGAGTCGTTTGAAAGACATGACTGCTGCGACTAGAATCACTAGTGGTTGGTAGGAGGTGAGGAAGCACGACTATCGAACCAAGTGTTAAGTTGAGGATGGAGATGAAGAAGTATGTTCTGAAGCTGCTCTCGAGCGAGCCTGTCATATCGCCTGGAGCCTGCTTCATATTTAATGTCTGGTAGGAAGCGGTGATCGAAGATGTCAGTTCTTGCTGGAAACGGGGCGTGGTTCACAAAAGCAGCAGTCTGGAACGATTCCACGGTACAAGCAGCAAGTACGGGAGAACATCCCATCCTATACATATCGGCGGACGTCTAATGACAGAATGCTATGGGAATATATCCCACAATGAGAGCATGCGATTGACTTTGTAAAAGTATCTAGGTCTCCATCAGTACAGTGATGTACATCATGAGTGTGCGTAAACGGTTTGGTTCTGCACTCGTATACAAACCAATCAACAGTTGACAGAGTATTTCCCCTCCGAAAACACTCAAATCTCCAAATCAGTAAGACACCACAATCTCAGAATAGCTGATGTTGAGTCAAGCAGAGTAATTGATGCTGGGGGTGGATGGTAGATTACGTAACCCACTAGTGGCCCTTGCCGCGTTCACTCCAACCTGACATGGCGCGTTCGCGAACCTCTTCTAACTAAGTACGTTCTGAACAATTGTATCATTCACCTACCAACACAGAGTCCCGGTGACTGCGCAAACTTGATCAATCATCCAATCGAGGCTTTTCAGCTTCGCTTGGCGATCCAAGAATATCTTCTGCGCACCTATTCCCCCGTCAAGATGCCACGCGCCAGCCGACCTTCGCGAGCTGCGGCTCGCCGTAGCACTCACAGCGCAACACCTCATGTTGAACTTGACGACGAAGAAATGCTGGATGTCCCCGAATCGCGCCCCGAAACACCTGCCGAAGAGGAAGACGCCGCTAGTCCTCCCCCAGACTCGGAGGAGGAGAAGGTCCCCTCTGAGCGCTCTGCTACTCCTGTTACGATTCCGCGCAAGAAGCGTCTGGGACGCCCGCCTAAGAACAGACCGCCAGATTGGAATGTGATTCCAGATAACACATCGGAGGGCGGTACACCTATCAAGCGGAAACGTGGACGGCCTGCTGGAGGTGGCTTTCGAGGACGACCGAAATATGGGCCAGCGCAGACCACGCGGGTCGCTATCGACAAAGAGGGCACTATGATGGATGTGGTCAACGATGAAGTAGATCTACCCGGCGATCCGGAGGGAGAGGAGAAAGTCGACAAAGACGGCAATCTCAAGGGCGGACGAGACTATCGCGTGCGTGTTTTCACCATTTTGGGCCGCGGCGATAGGCTTTATATGCTGTCAACTGAGCCTGCGCGTTGCTGTGGCTTCAGGGACAGCTATCTATTCTTCACAAAGCATCTGCAGTTGTACAAAGTCATCATTACCGACGCAGAAAAGATGAACCTTATCGAGCGCGAAATTATCCCCCACTCGTACAAAGGTCGCTCCATTGGTGTCGTTACCGCACGATCAGTGTTCAGAGAGTTTGGGGCGCGCATTATCATCGGCGGCAAGCGCATAATTGATGATTACAATGTGACTGCAGCAAGGGCAAGAGGCGACGTTGAAGGGGAGTTGGTAGACCCGAACGATACATTACCGCCACCCGGAGAGCCGTATAATAAAAATCAGTATGTTGCATGGCATGGTGCGAGTAGTGTGTATCACACTGGAGCTCCGAGTGTTCCTATGGCTGCTGGAAAACCGATACCAGGGAAGAGAAAGGTCAACATCACGTCGGCCAATTGGCAATTTGAACATGCTAGTTCTGCTAGGTAAGTGATGGTCCCTATACCTCAATCGCACAGCGCATACTAATGATCGTAGCCGCTTCAATTCAGGTCTTTCTGCGCTGCGCAAAGCCAATCTCGGCGGTGTATACGATACCCACACCAACTTGATGTGCTATCCTCGCGTCACTCAACCTACGCATGCTAGATGGGAAGAGGTGCCTATCAAACAGAGTGACGTACCGCCCCTTGTACGGAAGCATTTCCTCGTAATCGACACCTATGTCCAGAAGCCTCCTTATGCAAGCTTGGGCCTGCCAGGCCCGGATGGCGATTTTCTCGACGTTGGGGTCAACGGTCTTCCTAACCTCGAGGACGAGGACATTGAGAACATGACCGCTGAGGCTAAAGAAGCTTATCTTCAGGCCAAAGAAGATGAAAAGTGGTGGAGGGGGCAATTCGGGTCGGAGACAGTGGACGGGGCACGACCGAAAATCAAAGTCGGTTATACTGGTGTCCCAACTTAACGGTGGTAGCCGTAGAGTGTACGTGTAAGATGATGATACCAACAGGTAATAGGCAATTCGGCGTATTGGGGGACAATAAATGCACCACAAGGCTTGTCCTACAGCCTTTTCTCTGATTACTTTGTTACAAGCTTTATTCTCAATTGTTCTTTCAATTTCGTGGCTATCTCATTAGTGTACGTCTGTGTTAGAGGATAACCCCCCTTTGTTCCCATAGGAACCCGGGGAGCTAGAAAGTACGCCGTTCAGGCAATATTCCAGAACAACACATCATACGTCCTCTGACCACGCCACAAGTTTTGCAAACAAAGGAACGTTTCGCGGTATACGTCTGCTCGACGTACGCCCACGATGCCGGGTATCCTGCGCCAATCATGTGGACAAAGGCATGGGAATCGGGCGAAAATAGAACCCATACAATTGGGTTGCCGGGACGTCTTCATCCCGCCTTGAAGTTGTTCAAATAAGATTACTTGCATTTGCACAAATGCGCGGAGTTTTCGGTCTGCTCTTACAGGAAACATTGCAATATGCCTTTGGGACAATTTCAAAACCAAACGCAGTCTACATGCACCCCTCCTCTGTTGGATCAGTCTCTTTTCACCGGTCCCGCCGGATGTAAGTCAATTTGCATGATACTTGGTATAAATCACTGAAAGACAATATTAGATACACAGGGTCGCTACTGTGGCCTCGGATCATTTGAGGACGGAACGACATGTTGTTTTCCCTGCCCTATACAAGACTGGCTCTATCCTCCAGGTGAGTATCCTCACCTATTGACTACGGACATCGCAAAGCTAACATGTCACGTCAGAATGGCAACAACAGCTTCGTGTACCCAACTACCTCTCTATTCTATCCGTAATCCTGTGTTGCTTCCTGCTGCTTTCTTTTGCAGTTCTCCCTCCTGAAGTGACTCATCGACATTATCTCTCTGTCGGTCTTCTCTTCCCCGTGCTTTTCATCACGCTGTCGTTTGCCATACCCGTCACTACGAATCCCAGCATGTGTCATGACAAAATCACACCAGACGATATGCACGGCTCCTCGTCATGCGCCTGGACCGGCTCATTTGTCGCCTTGGGTGGATTGGGATGTGTGGTCTGGGTCTTCCTACGCTCTCTCTGGCTTCATATACGTATATTCTGGGACAAAGATCCGGGTAAACGATTCAAGTGGGGAAGTATCATATTCGGCACCGTGGTACCGCTCATCTTCCTCACTGTAATTCTAGTTGTCACGGGCTTCAGTTACCGTATGGGACAGACGTGTTTGCCAAACCATGAGAGCGCAATCGTAACATTCTGGGTTTGGCTGGTTGTCTTCGCTATCCTTGCTTTCCTCCTTCAACTCGTCACCACCGGATACTGTTTCTTTGTCTTCGTACGCACTCTACAGCGCGAGCGTCGAGAGTCAGCTATGAATTCTTTCCAACAGCAGCGTACACACGACAGGCTCGAGACGTGGTCCAATGTTCGTCGCTTGTTTCTGCTCCAATGGCGCAACATTCTTGTCAGTATTTTTGTCATAGTGGGGAGTATCAGCTTCTTCATCGTGTTCTGGAGCCAGGATAGTAAGCTAGGAATGGTGTTTAACGATCCTGAGAACATCAAGCCTGTAAAGACTTGGATCATCTGCCAGACACTGAGTAGAGGAGACAAGGAGGAATGTCGCAAATATGTGCAAAATTTCACGGTCAACCAAACTGCTGTGCTCACTTCACTTATATTGGCTTCGGTAAGTACGGCAGCAATTACATACATGTAGTGTAGAACTGACGAAAAGTTATAGTTGATTGGTATCGAAATATTCATCCTCTTATTTCGTCCCTCTATGATCACTGGTTGGATAGCCATCTTCCGTGGCGGCGTCAACTACGCTCGACGTAGAGGTCGCCCTGCCACACCTCCGCTCACGTCGCTCGAGAATCCCGAGAAGTATCTCCCTGCATCTCCAAGCAGGCGACGTCAATTCTTCTCAGTCTTTTCACCTGATACACAGAAAAACGCCGTCAGCTCTAGTCACACAAGAGATCCTACATCTGGTACAACAGAGTTCGGTATGCTAGAAACACGACCCCCGTTCGAGCGCTTGACAAGTGATGCTGTCCTCTTGGAGCAACCGGAGCAGAGATACCAGAGTTTCTGGGATACCACGAGCTCGACCGGGAATTCGAGAGCCGCCACGCCTCTGCAGACAGTCGATGAGCAGCCAAATTCGCGCCCATCGAATCATTTATCAAATCGTTCGCTCTCTCAGATACAACCTGGATTATCTGCTGATCACATTCCTCGGTCATATACTCCGATGAGACAGGCCCCCGCACCACCCTCACGTGCGTCCTCTGTGACATCTGCTTCAATAAATATCAAATACTCACCCTCCTTGATTAAGCCAAGAACATCAGGTACGCCGACAGTAAGTAGAGAACTATGCAGCCCAGTGGTCTTGATTATACAGGGTACTAACTCAAGCTAGGTGAGGGGTATGATTAGTGCACCAATAACGGAGTCCTTTGTCCATATTGATGGAGCATTCATGGCGAGGAGCGGAAGTAGGGCTAGTGAAAGGGGTGGCCCATTAGGCTTGAATCCGCCCATGTCTGTCAACGCAGAGGATACCAATGACATCCACATGAATAGGTTCTAGGTGATCTACAAACATTTGAAAGGTGGACGTTTGCGCAAAACTTCGAGACTTTGTTTCCTTCATGTAAATATATATACGTCAATCATAGATTCAGATCCAATATCGATTTCCATGTTTTGCAACTTCTCTAAGTAAATTTCTTTGACATCTACAGGAGTCGCGCTGACGTAATTACCCAAGGGGTATGTAACCAATCACGTGCTACTCCCGACCCCTGTCAAGTTTCTCAAGCTTTCTCATCATCAATCCTCCAGCAACACGACACCGCGTTACCACTCCCATTCACCATCCACCAGATCAAGTACGCGCAACTTATCCCTCATCCAGATCTGCATCGCATTACTAACCCGGTCCATCAGCCATACCCGCCGAAACAATGCCCCCCAAGAACGTCATCAAATCCCGCGGCACCGCCGAACCCGGCTTCGCGCAAAGCACGTATCAATACTTCACTAGCAAGGAGAACCGCTCTGTCGTCACCGCCGTCGGCATGTTCGCTGTACGTCTAACTTTCTGAACCGGAGAGATGAACCGGGGACGGGATATCGAAAATAGATTAAAGACTAACGTTTGCACAATCAGGTCGGTGTCACATTCCTCCACAGCAGCTGGGCCGAGCTCCTCCTTCCCGCGTAAATCACGAAAGCAGCGATGGTGTATTTAATCTGGGACTGAGAAGCATATGGATCGAGTCCAATTGTGTAATATAATGAAACGACAGCGTGCAAAGAGGTGGATAATTATTCCCAGTCCCTGTCACTACATCGCAAACGTGATCTAAAAGGGGATACAGAGAATTATCTGCCGAAAAAAACAAACCGGCGTTTCAATCGAGCATGTCGACCGAAGGAAATATGAGCGACGAATCCAAAAGAATGGGGGGGATGAGATCCTGTAACAACAATCTGTACAAACACGCTTCAAAACTCGTTTACTACTTGAACTACCATCCCCTGGCCGCCTCCATTCTTCCAACAATACATCTAACAACAGCTTCTTTCATCGCCTACACGACTATACTGTAGCTATATCAGTAGTGTCAGTGTTTGATGTTGTAAAACCCACCCAACAACAATTTATGGGGTCGAATGTGAATTGACTCTGCTATCTATTTCTGGTGTTCCGTTTATATCTCTTTTCCAAACAGTTCTCGGACCATCTCTATTGTGCTTCAGGATACCGCGGGTGTAATCAAGACAATCAATGTCAAAATAGATTGTCGAAATACCTGTAGGATATTAGCAGACCTACATGTATTCGAGCGGTAGTTCAACTGACAGACTCAGCCGTTGTTTTGACAAGCTATCTATAACTATTGTTGTTGATTCATCAACAGAAAAACGCACGAGAGCCTCGATTTACTCCGACTCACCTTGCATCTCGCCTTACCACCAAAACCTAACACAAACTCACATATGGCACTGTTCTTTACGCTAACCCTCATTCGCAACAATCGATCTATCAGTCTATAGGTAGGATAGCACCCAGCGATCATCACGCCTCTCACACACCCCCTTCAACCCAATGTCTGAAGAAGCGATACCATGATGCATGTGTACCTTCAATCCTGGATACAATGAAAACACACCCTCATTTCCTCGCCAGGTAAGAGTAAAAGAAAAAAAGAAAACCCTTTTTTAGGTTTTATCGCTACAAATCGGACAAGCCACGGAGTTATTTCTGGGTTACGAGATATACGTTGAATGGGAAACTTGGGAGTTTCGCTTGTTCGTCTTGTTCTGTTTTGGGACGGGGAAAACGGATGCGGTTTCGGATCTGAGGCAGGTCAGCCTCAACAGGGTCCATTTCAATCCATCGATCAGCAAGTAGGAGAGAAGGAAAAAGAAAGTGGAGAACAAGAAAACGGTGCGAAGAATGGCCGTGACTTTGTCCCGGCTCACGGGAAGGAGATCGGATGTCCGGTGTTGTGTGGGTTCAGTTGTGAGCACGGGGTGAGCTGAACATGCTTCATGTAGCGATCGCCATGTCGCAATGGTATCCAGAATTGCGGATTGGTGTAGCCTAAGCTGGTAGTGAATGGTTGCACATCATAACGGTTCCCACATGTGTTATAGCGATATAGTAGGACACGGACGCTATAGCTCAAGCTCCACCAATTTCAAGATATCATGCACCGCATCACATTATGTTCATGGTTTTCAGCCGCATCAAGCAGGATATGGAAATGAAGAGCAGATTTAATTCATTCTTATGGTATACCCCCCACAAACCAAGCACAAATGTTTCGACCGTCATCATTTTTCCATTCACATCTTCCGTTCCTGTACAGGCATCTGATGTGCATCTTTACGCCAGCGCCGCCACTTTCAATGAATACTCCTGGAGCCGTGATACAGACATCAGACTCCTCACCTCACGCACAGACTCCCTTTCCCATTGGAAAAAACCACTCCGGTCTAAGGCCATAATCATGATGCATCATCATCAGCATCATCGTCATTCCCGTCGGCGCCGAAACCACTCCACCCCCTCTCACCGAGATGCGGTCGAGCAAAGACAAGAAAACGGAAAAAAGTCAAGAGTACCAAGGTCTTGGTGACATGAGATGAGCAACACACACGCACAATCCCTCGTCTTATTATTGCTTGGCTCGGTGGTATTGTGAGGGAATGCCCTGATGTAAGAAGGGGGTGTTTCGCGGAATCGCGAGATCATCACGCCAGGAGCATGGTAGGTCTACCAGCACCATACACAAGCACACACCTACGACGGATACTTTTTGTAAGGCTTCTTCATCCAATGTGAGTCCGCATACCCTGAAAAAACAGGTTTGGTTGCGAAATAATGTGCAGTAAGCTCAATCGACAAAACCGCCACGATCCTCATACTAAACGGCATGGAAAGAGAGAGAAAGAGAGGGTGAGATGATGATGTGGACAAGGGGAGCCTTCAGGAACAAAGGAGATGCAATGCAAGGCAATGTAATGCAAGATGTGGAGTAATGCGCATGCTTCCGGCTTTTTTTCGTGGCTGCGACAAGCCTACGTGTTTGGGACACAGAAACCTGAGACGGCAGTTACAGAAACAAAGTGGCCTGATACTCGCGTGCTTCAGGTGTGGAGAACGGGTGATGTGCCGCTGTCGCTCCAGCCTCGAGCGGCCGTACTCTTTCTGGGCGTTGCGTTGCCTTGCATATACGGCCTGCGTACGTGCGTGTGTCCCGATTCACCAGTTGCTTGATCGTCAGGCTTGTACTTTCGCATCTTGTCCGTTCACGTACAGTGCTCGCGCCAGGCTTAGTGTACATCTTTCCACCAAGTCATTGAACGTTGACGACGGCGCTTTTGATAGTCACCGACTTCTGGCATCATCCGCACAGTATTTGCAGGCTCAAGATATGGCTTTATTGGGGTTAAACAAAATAACAAGAAGCAATGACTCTCTCTGCGCTCTTCTAAATGATATGTATACGCGGTACCCCAGTGATTAAATGCTCAGTAGATGACGCTGGTTCGAGAATGCTGCCAGATTGATGGATAACTCTACGGACACTCAACAGTCCGGCTGTGAAATAACAAAAAACAACGCCTCTTCCTCGGGCTCGTATCTGATGCGTGTAGAAGACAACTGAAAATGGTACATCATCGCTCGCTGATAGCAATATGGCAAGATTATATCCAGGTCTCATGCGGACGGACGGTAGTGACAGCGCAGCAATTCTCTCCAAAAATAAAACGTTACGGTCTTGAAAACAGAAAAGTGTTGCATACTTCTCGGTGCTGAAAATCCAAACGAGACAGTGAATGAAAGGAAAAAACGGGAGCGGCCCCTCATGAGAGAGTGGTGTGTCGCCGGGGTATCTCTATTTCTAAACTTCTCGTACCCAAACCTGAAAACAAATGTACGTTAGCATCTCGTTCCAGCAAGATCGCAAATGTTGGGATGGAATGCTCAAACGACTAATGAGAAGAGATTTGAATGCTGGGTGTAAGGGGCGGATTCAATCCCTTCTCGCCGGGCAATGTAATAGTAAGAAATTTGATCCATACCTCCATCTTTGGTACATCGGAGCCTTCCTTGCGTGCAGCGCTCTTAGCCGCCTGGATGGCCATGTCCAGATCGTCTTCGTCAGCCATGGTGATCATGTCACCGTCATCCTTGATTTCCACCTTGAAGTTCTGGCGAAGTCCAAACTTCTCCCTAATAGACTGTACAAAATCGCGCATGGAAGAGTTGGGCGTAACAAAAACGTAGCGTGTATCACCCGCGTGAACTTTAACTTTGATCTTTCCACCACTACCGCCGCGACCAGATGAGGTCGTTGAGCGGGCAGGGGATCGCCTCCTGCTCTTCGTCTTGGAGCGAGAAACCATTTCAAAATCGGCGTCATCGAGGTCGCTTCCGTCATAGTCATCCTCGTCTTCCTCGTCAATGTAAGCAGGACGAGAGGTCTTCCCCTGGCGGGACCGAGTATAACCTGGACGATTTGAGCGTGGCTGATAGTAATCATCAACATCATCCCCGTAGTCGTCGTATTCTTCGTCCGTGTTACGTCGACGGGGCCTATCGTCTCTGCGATCGTCTCTACGGTCATCTCTACGGTCATCACGGCGATCGTCACGGCGGTCGTCACGCCGATCATCTCTGCGGTCCACATCACGGTCTCGGCCAGAACGCATCGTGTCTGATCGACTTGGTGGTGGTCGCTCAGAGGCCGATCGTGTTGTCCCTCGGCGCTGTGGCTGCGACTGTTCCTCTTTACGATCGAAAGCAGCGCGACCCAGGTTGAGCGGTTGTGGTTTGGGGCCTCCGCCACGCACAGACTGAGCACGGCTCATTGGAGCATTGGACGAAGCAGCTCCCTTCTCAGCAGACCTTCTGTTGTCGGACTCTGGTGGCGGCGTGGGAGGGAACACATTGCGGTTCAAGGGTGGCTCCGATTGCTGTCTCGCTCTGCTCTGGAGATCAGGCTTCACAAGGTTGGTGGCCGCAAAAGAAAGCTTGTCCTCGGGTCGATCGTCTGTAGCGGAGCTGGCCAGCTTCTTGATCTCGGAACCGGCGAATCCAGTGAATGCGTTCTGCCTGTCCGAAGCAGCAACGAGACGCGCCTTTCCGAGATAGTCCTTGGTCTTCAAGTTCTTGACCTTGGCGTCGTTGGGACGATAAACTATGCCGACAGGGATAGAGAAGACGGTGTATCCCTCTGCCTCTTCTCTAATTGCTTCATCAATCACCTCGTGATCTGGAACGACCTTCTCCTTTGCAGCAAAGTCCAAATCTTGCATACCAGCATCTTTTTGCTGCAGATAGATGTAACAGAGACCGCGGTTGAAGAGAACCTCGCAAGAGTAGAGCTTAAACTTCAACCCTAGTTGCTCGTAGTCGATATTGTTGTTTCCACGCAGGTATAGTAGTGTATCGTTGAAGTTGGCAAGCGCTTCTTCAAAGTCACCCATGAGGAAATTGGAAACGCCCTGCTGAAAGTAGGCGACGGCAAGATACTGATCCAGACGCACAGCGCGCTGGTAACAATCGACCTGCGGAAACGTCAGAACATGGGCAAGGATAGCGGTGGAAGAACAAGTTCCTAGCAGCTGGTACATACCGCCTTCTCATGCTCGCCGAGGGTCGCATGGATGACACCGCAATTGAACAATATCTTTGAAGTATCGGAAATGCCGTCAAATACTTTCAGCGCCTCATCAAACTCGTTGTTGTCGTAGGCGCCGAGGGCTGCCACCCAAGTCTCGATTTCCTAGGTGCAAGTTCAGTAAGTATTCTATCAAGGGCAGCGCGACCCAGAGGTAAGCTAGCATACCTGCTTAAGAGACATGGCGAAGATTGCTAGTAGACACTAGCAGATACCCGGCAGTATGGTGTCGTCGTCAAGTCTTGCGGTGGTGGGGGGTAGATCTACCGAGCCACGGTCGGTGGTGGGAGGTGTCTTTTTCGTCTGAAGACGGACCCGACTACCCTCTGCGCGGTGGGTGTGAATTGGTGGCGAGGTGGTTGCGGATCAGTCAATTAGAGCCGCCGGGGCTACTGGAGGTGGGTGGTTGGCGTATATGATGTCGAGGTTCGGGTAGGCGTGAGTAGGTATTACTATGATAAAGGCAGGTGCGGATATGGGCGGGCTGGATATTACATGCGTAGTGAATGGGTACTGTGCGGTACGGTACGAGGGGTGAGGCACAAAAGAGGGACGGTGGGTTAGGTTGGAGGAGTCTTGGAGGTGGGTAGCGGGTGGGGTTTGAATGAAGAGGACGAGCAGAGCAGCGAGGGCAGCGCGCACAGCCAGACGGACGGGCGCTCAGATACAAGGCAGGCACGCAACAGAGATTTGGCAGGCGCTTGGATGGGCTGGTGCGAGTGGGGAGGCCGATTCTGAGTCCCAGTTTGTATGAGGTGCACCTTGGCGGGGTACGCATTGGCCACTTTTATTGGGTGCACGCCTCCGTGCCGCCGACATCCACGGCGCTTGCACGCTCTCCTTTGGTCGCTCCCCAACCTCCAAGACACTCGCATCCATCCCGTTCGAGCATGACACCACCCCCGTGCGTGCCTCTGAGGCCTCAACCGCCATCGACGTCTACCCACCGCCCTCGCCAGCCTCGCCGCTGGCCACCGGCCCAACACCGCCAGTCTTCGTTTGTCGGCCAGCTTCGTCTGCCTGTCCTCGAGATGGCTGTTCGCGTTTGAGGTCTGTTACAGGGCCATCTGGCTGATGAGACATGCACGTGAGCCCATGTTCGTCCGGTCCAGTCTCTGCTGTCGCCCCGAACTCCAGGCATGAACGCATAATCCTGAGCCCTGCAACGACGCCACTGCCATCTGTTCTCCTTAGGCCAACTCACGCACACCCAGTTTCGCCTCAGTCCTCGACCCGGTTTTCCACGGGCGCGCCTTATCGATTCATCAGCAAATGCGTCGCTCAAATCTCTTGGTACACGCCAGACAGCCTTGCTTCTTCTCGTAAAAGACGTTTCCGTTAAGCTTCCCCGCTATCGACTGACTTGCTACCTACACATCGAGTAATTCTCCCTCCGTCGATCTTGCCATCAAGGGGTACATGGCTTGCTTGCTCCGTGTTCAGTGCACCGTTCTTCCCCTCACAGCATCCCGCCTTTGACTTGCTCTTGCCGCTCCTCCCAGACCGTCTTTCCTGAACATGAACAGACCGTTTTGTCGTTTTCCCACACACCAGCGCTTCTGCCCAGCTGTCAGATATTTGTGCAAGACCCCATGACCAATAATGCTCCCGAAGAAGCGTTGCTTACCTGGCTATCACGCCCACCAGCGTATCTGCATCGTTCTTGTCCAGCTTCCCATCTTGCTGTTTTGCAATCACAATGCTGCGGCCGATCATCTCCCAGATTTGGATGGGCTTGTCCAAGAAGACAGCCCCCATGCCGCCTTTGCTGACCTCTACGGTCCCAAACACTCCGCGACACGGTTTGCCCTCCTGTTTGGCTTTTACGGCCTCCCAGATGCCACCCGTTGATTCGGGACCCTCCGAGATATCTCCTCTCTCTCGTACTGTGGCATGGTATGTTCCAGGAGACAGCCCTCGGATAGTAAGGTCGATGACTGTGAGATTAGGGCCAACTTGGACCATGCGCGCCAGCCCCCGCACCTTGTCTTCCACGTGCGGTGCATGTGACTCTAGTATGCATACCGCAGCGCCTGTAGATCTTTCAATCAACATCGTACGATGGTAGCATGGCCAAGAGAAGTTTATCGTGACCACCATGAACAGAACAAAACGATGAGAATGCAAACGTACTGTTTGAATTACCGCTGCCACGGAGGATGGCATCGCGGCCGGTGGCTTGTATTGCTTCTACAATGCTTGACGGAGCGGCTGTGCCTTCTATGGAAACCAGCTGATCCTTCAGATTCGCTGTGACCTTTTGTATACCTAGTCGAACTTAGTCACAATCTTGATCTCGTTCGATACAGATGGCATTGCTCTCATACCACTCAATTGTTGCAGTGAACCTTTGATGTCTTGGACGCAGCTTTCGCATGTCATGGGCACCGCAAAGGTGGTCTCAAACGTTGGAACTGTCATCTTTGAGAGAAAATAGAATGAGAAGGTAGGAGTTGTCTTGAGGCGAGTTCACACCACTGCCGCAAGTAGCTCTTGCCTCTATGCGGGCCTCGCTTTGAAATCGAACCCGTCCGATGCGGGCCGGCCGACACGTGATTAGACCCCCAGAACATGGAAATTATTTGGGGACAGTGCCAAGCATCTCAAAAGTCAACCTCAAGAACACACGCTCGACACCTCCGCGGTCCACCAATCCAAGCCTCCAGACACCCGGACTGCACCGCGAGCTCTTAAATTAGCTTACAGGAGCTACCAACACCACCCCATCCTGGCCATTGGCCTTCAAACATCATGTCTCAGCTCGTAGGCAAGGTGAGTCCCTCCTCCGATCGTGAATCCAACATCCACCACCGCCATCCCGCAGCATCGATGCACCCAGAGAAAGAGTTCCATCCCTACAGCCCCTACCAACAAAGTAACCAAACAACTCACTAAGACTTGTTTTTCGTAGACACGCCTCGCCTACGCGCGCGCCTGGCACCACCTCGACATCTCCGATGACCCACGCGCACTTGGCCGCATAGCCTCCTCCATAGCCCTGACCCTCATGGGCAAACACAAACCCATTTTTGATCCCTCCACCGACTGCGGCGACTACGTCGTCGCTACCAATTGCGCACACGTTCACGTCTCGGGCAAGAAGCGCTCGCAGAAACTGTACCGCACGCACACGACACGGCCCGGTAGTCTCAAGGAAATCAGCTTCGAGAACATGGTGCAGAAGTGGGGAGGTGGCGAGGTGTTGAGGAAAGCTGTGAGTGGCATGCTGCCTAAGAATCGGCTGCGTAAGGGGAGATTGGCTAGGCTGAAGACGTTTGAGGGTGTTGGGCATCCGTATAAAGAGAATGTTTTGAAGGTTGTGAATGGAGGTGGTCAGGCTATTGTGGAGCATACGGAGGTTAAGAAGACGTTGCAAGGGCTTAAGGAGGTCAAGGAAGTGCCTGCTGCTTCATGACCGAGGGCATGAATATACAGATGGGCATGGGTGGCAGGGAGCAATTGTTTGATTATGTATTGATAAATGGGCGATTGCATATTTTTATTTGCATGCCTACTTTGTAAAGTTTTCTTGGAGTATATTTGTAAATATACCTGTATGTATGATTCAATCCTACTCAGCAATGTCATTTCAGGGCACTGGTGATTGGTTCGACATTCTGGCTCATGGTTCCTAGGACCCAAAGTGACTCTAGTCTATATCCGAAGGCAGTCAAGTGGTTATCGTTGCATATTCACTTTGAAGGGAGAACGACTTTCTCGGAAGGCCGTGACATTACAGCGCACTGCGCTGGTGTGTATCTAGTTCTACACCGAAAAAAAGGTCAAGCTTGCTACTCTCCACCATTCCCATCCCCTCCTCCCATGTGTTAATTAGGTAAAATTGCTACTCCCTGGTATCATTGTTGCTCCCCCTTGTGACAAAAGCTATGTATTTACAAACAAATAAAAAGAAGATTTTAATGAAGACCGTCCATGGATAGGCCGTGAAGTTCGACCAAGGGCAAGGGTGATATGTCTATAGCTTCGACTTCGTCTTGCGCGAAACAGTGCAATAGATCAGGCCGTTGGGGTCGGATTGGGGAGCGAACACGGTAGCGTCCTTTCCAGTGTTCTTGAGACCTTTGTACCAGCTGAGATCTGTAAACATGTATTAGTAGTTGCTCAGGGTGATCGTGGTTCTGGCGAGGCAAACGTACCAATTTCAAAGTAGTGCTTGTTAGGCAAAGCATAATCAACAGTATCTACCTCAGGGACAGCAGCCAGAATCAAATCGCACATTTTGTACATGGTAGCTTGCACACTGGCACTGTTATCCTCTGCAAAAGTCTTGAGCGTGATATTCCTGGCCTTCTCCCAAGCAGCGTTGAAATCAATCTTCTTGACCTCAGCGACGTTCTGAAATGTCTTCCATTTCCAGCCCGCCTCGACCTCGGTGCTCAGTATACGATCCCACGTTTCGGGGAGTCGGGTGAACTCGTCACGGTGGAAACCGTGGAACGCACTACCGGTGCTCTTCAGCACTAGTAGCTTCTCGATCTTGGAGCGGATGGTCACGCCTTGGTTCTCGCGGGTCACGGCTTCTACAACGCGGATCTCATCGCTGTCGCGGTAGAAGGAGTGAGGATGCGGCTTGCCATCGATGTTCATGCGTGTCCAGCGGTGCTGGATGATCTTGACGTGGGCGGCATGGATGTGGGGGTAGGTCTTGACGAAGTGCTCGCCGAGGATGGCAGCGAATTGCTCGGGCGGGTCGATGGGGTTTTGTTTGGCGAGGACGTAGGTAGTTTGCTTTTGGGTGTCTGTGGCTACGATGGGCGAGTTGTCGGCTTTGGTATAGCTGTAGCTGTTAGCTTGTGTGGACGATTGAGGGTTTGGGAACCTACGAAACATCAATGTCGCCCTCTAGGAGTGTGCAGACGGTTTGTTCGACAACGGTCTGGACGCCTGTTTTCTCGTTCTTGTCGACTTTGTAAAGGCGGATGTTATCTTTGCCATATCGAGCGTAGCTGAGTTCAGACATGGTGGGGAGGAGGAGCAAACAATGTTGAGCTTCAAGAAGTGAGTGCTAGTGTCAATTGATGCTGTTCAGTCAGTGTGAAGAGGAATCGATGAAGACAGTAGCAGATGGACGACAGCGATGAGTGGGAAGATGTGAAGCACTTCTTATACATGGACGTATGCAGATAGAATCAATCTTATCAGACGACCGAACGGGGGCGGCCGACGTCTGGTCTACGCGAACGGAACGCAACGTGCCATAGGGTCGGCGGAAGAGAGCTTAGAGGTTATCGGCGAGATCCGACAGTCGAAGTATGCTGCTACCCCTGCAATGCACAGAATCTCAACGCTGCTCGTCTGATAGGTGGGGCAGACGACAATGCTGGCGGCATCAATCGAACGAGCGGAGATGTTGCACACGAGATGAGGAAAAAAATAATCTCTCAGAGAAGAAAGGTATCCAGCTCTCTCTCTCGGTCTGGCGCTGGCAGGCAATCGATGCACGGGCTGGTGGGTGTTCTCCCAGGCAAGGCCAGGCAAGGCGAAGGCGCGTAGGCGGTGCTCGCACGGCCATTCTGTGTCTTGCCCGCCCTCTCTAGACGTCGACCATGAGTTTCATCGCCCGCAACGTCGACCTGCCCAACCACCATTACCTTCGCTCTCCATCCATCATCCCATCTTTTGACAGACTGTCGCTAACCGCCTCTACGCAATCCACGCTCCCTGCCTTGCCGTGACAGCGCCCCGCCTTCCCGTCTCCGTTTCTTCTCTCGCACCGCACCGCACTGCATCGCCGTAAACCCCACCCATCGACTGCCGCCGACCCCTCCCCCGTTGTACATCCGCAATCCATTCTTCTTTCCAAGCGCGCCCGGAGGAGCTCATGTGGCTAGAGGAGGTGGGTCAGGCCGAATTCTGGAAATGCAATGCGGTTGGGAGACGTTTGGTTAAGGCACGCTCATGACCCCCTCTGCGCGCTCCATCAACACGCAGGCCGAAGCCGACCAGGTCTCGCTGTTGGCGCCCTCGCGGAGCAGAGATGGGCGTTCGCTGCCCACGCAGCCATCTAGCATCATGGCCAGCTCGCGCACCCAGGCTTCGTATGCGACAGCCAGAGAGGCTCCTGGCAGTTTCAATTCTCAATTAAGACCCGCAACGTCTCACGATCAGCGAGCCCGCCCGGACTTTGATACCCACACCATCGTCATTGGAGACGATACCACCACCACCACCGAGCAACGCCAGGCTGAATTGCAGGATCGCATCGAGAAAGAGACCAAGATTAAGGTCGGATCGGAGAATCTACTTGAAGCATTGAATGCAAAGAATGCAAAAAACACGAGGGATCAGAGGCTACAGGTGGAAGAACAGCTGAACATTTCTAACAGAAAGCTCGCCGCTCTGAAAACCGGCTTGGCAGCGGAAATCCAGCGAGCAAAGGACGTCAAATCCCCATCAGAGGACCCGCAAAGTCGACTCTCTTATCTTTTCCAGAGGAATCTGTCCCGATCACCGTCGCGTCATGTCGCACAGCACGCGGAAGAGGAAGAGGCCGAGTCGCCTACATTCGTTCTCGCAGAAATCCTTCAAGCTCTGGAGGCGGATGGTATGCCTTCCGAGTATTACGTCGAAAGAGCCAACTCTTTAGTCAGTCTCTTCAGACGGCATCCTACGCTCAAGTACGATCTTGCCTGGTCAATCTTTGGTCTCCGAATGCAAACCATGCTACTGAGTGATAGCCGAGAAGTTGTCGCTGCTGCATACCGTGTGATGCGTTATGCCATTGTAGACCGTAGATCTTTACAAATCATTCGCGGGCTGAACACCGACTACCTTGTCATGCTTTCTCTGGTCAAAGAGAGCAAAGCTAGCGTTGAGCGAGAGCAGGCGCTCAAATTCGTTCGAGCCTTTGTCGACGCCAAAGGTGGAGGTGTGGAGGAGATACCTCGCTCAATAATCCGCATGATTGTCGCTATAGCGGAAAACACTGATGATCGTCTGCGGAATATAGCTGTTCTGACTTTGACAGAAATACTTGTGAAAAAACCAGGCCTGGTCGTATCGTCCGGCGGTATGGGTACATTGGCCGACGCCCTAGGAGAAGGAAATTATGCTGCTGCAGAAAGCGTAGGCAGCGCGTTCATCTATCTCCTGGATACCCCACAACGTCGGATGTTCCTGAGGTCCGGCCATGAACTGGAGGCTCCATTTGCCATGTTTACGGATGCGGGGACTTCGCACAGCCATCTTCACGAAGACAAGTTGAAATCCAACGCCAAAGTCATTGCTTCATTATTTAGAAGTTGGTCTGGGCTGATCACTCTGTGCATGGACGACTTTTTGCCAATCAGGTCCCTCCTCCTTTCATTACAGATCCCCACCCCCCACGTACGCAATATTCTCCTCGAGCTGCTATCCGATATTCTCAGAATCAAACCGCCCTCATGGTCTTCTTCTTTCCTTGCCGGTCGACGGTTAACTACATATGGCCGAGTAACCAATTTGAAGAATCAGATCCCAGAAGACAGTTCTACTTCCCAAAAGGACTCTACCAATAAATGGAACTTACTGGAGCATTACGTCGCATTGGTTCTGGCTGCATTCCTACATGCAGGGCTTGTTCCTGCGCTTTTACAAGCTGAAGAAGAACCTCTTACACTTCCCTTGAAACGCAAAACGACACTCCTGCTAGGGGAGGTTTTGAAAATGGCTAATGAGCTGTTGCCTTCTTCGTGGAGCTCGCAGCTTCAAGTACTGCCGCAACTGTTGAACTCAGCTGCCAAATTTACTACGGAGCATCGATTCGTAGCCATTGGAACTATCTATCAAGTAGATAGTGTCAACAGGACACTCTACCGTTCTGGACCGACATCAATATCCACGAACCCCACTGTCAATCCCAAAACGGGAACAAGTACGGATCAACAGTCTGATCAAACCAAGACGCAAGCAGCTATGCAAATGGACGAGCCAACATTCCGTAATCTGATGGTCGATACTCAGGTTTTAAACACTGTCAGTTTCCAGAAATGGAGATGGGATCTCATCTTGAACGTCATCAATGGCCCTTTGCTCAATCCGAAACGGCTTGATGAGGCTATGAAAGCGACCAAGTTCATACATAGGCTTCTAGGATTTTATCGACCATTCAAATACAGATTCTCGGATGTCAAGAATACGAAACCGAACCAGCGATATGTTCGCGCTGGCTGTGCTTTGATCCATACATTGCTCCAGAACCCTGAAGGTGCCAGACATCTCGGAGAGAGTAAATTCATTCGTCAACTTGCGGAATGTTTATCCCATTTCGATAGGATGAGCGGCTTGACATCGGAATCACCTATGTTTCATGTCGATCGTATGAACGACACTCTAACTGGCAGCTACTTTGCACTCTTGGGTGCGTTGACCAAAGATCCAAAGGGGATTCAAATCTTGGAGAGGTGGAGAGTTCTGAATATGTTTTATCACATCATCGAACTCAACGACCGAGATGACCTCATTCGGACCTTACTCAGCAACATGGATTACACCCTAGACGGCCATCTACGCATCATCGTCTCGAAAGCCATGACATCGTGCTCAAAAGAAGTTCGCATTTTTGCGACTCGTATTCTCCGGAGATATGCCACGAAACCGATGCAACCCTCGGGCACGCTGGGTGTCGCGGAATGGGCGATACGACTGCTGGTCACACAGCTTTACGATCCCGACGTGGAAGTTTGCGAAGTGGCCATCAAGATTTTGGAGGAAGCTTGCAACCAGACCGAATCTCTCGAATTCGTTGTGAAATGCCGGCCTGTGCTTGACCATCTGGGAGAAATCGGTGCCCCTCTGCTGCTGCGCTTCCTGTCCACTTCGGTAGGCTACCACTATTTGGACGGCCTCGATTACATCACCAAAGAAATGGATGACTGGTTTTTAGGCAGGAACGATACCTACGTGGCCTTGATTGAAGCGTCTATGGCACGCGCGCTTGCGGACATCCTGGAAAAACCCCAAGCTCAGACGTCTTATGACGAAGTACCTGAAGTGCCTGAGTACGGTATAGTGCCACCGCACTTTTACCGCGAACTTACACGAACCAAAGAAGGATGCAAACTTCTCAAGCAGAAGGGACACTTTGATGAGTTTGCGTCGACCATTCGCGAGTTCGCCAAGGAGAGCGAAGACGCTGAACTGATTCTCAAAGTCAAGGGTTGCCTATGGGCTGTTGGCAACGTCGGTTCGATGGAATTGGGTGCACCGTTTCTCGAGAGTTCGGATGTGGTGAAATGGATCGTTAAGATCGCCGAAAGCAGCGAAGTCATGTCACTCCGAGGCACGGCATTTTACGTGTTGGGACTTATATCACGGAGTCTTCACGGGCAGGAAATCCTACTTGAATTCGGATGGGACGGTGTCATCAACGAGGCGGGCATTGCTCTCGGGTTCTGCTTACCGCTGGACTTCAAAAAACTCTTCTCGGTTAGTCGGGCCGCCTACACAATGATGAAGTATTTGCTGATTGTGATAGATGACTCCCTGGAAAGCTAAGCCTGTCGATGTCTACCTGCGTGGTAAACCGGAGGTCAGGATTGCAGTTACAGATAGCGATCCTGTGAATGCGCGTATACTTAAGCTTGTGACGGACTTGGGAAATACGGTACTGGCCAAGAAAGCGGCGAATGACCTGCAGATGTCAGTACCATTGTGTAATAAACAGGGCAGCAACAGAACTGACATGACAACATTAGGATCAAAGCAAAGAAGGCGCCGGGTTTCTCGAAGCCAGCTCTATTCCACAAGGTCATGCAGGTGCTCGAAGCGCACCATTTCCGGTTACCGGCGTGCCGATTCGTGCTGGATTTGTTCGACAAGTCGGTTCTACAGGCGATTGTGCTAGAAGAAGAAAGTCATGAAGAAGACAGCAGCGAGTCGGAATCGGATGAGGAACGAAGGAGCACGACGAACGGTGGTGAGGAGACGTGATGGTAGTTGAGGGGTTGATTTGGAAGACGATTGTTCTGATGTCGACGCTACAGTTATGGCGGGGTTTGGTTCCCGTGGTTTGGTAAAGGGGCGGTGTTGTTCAAGGAGTTCTAGCTTGGATTTTTCGACTGCTACGGGTGGAGGACGCACTGCATGGAGTCTAGCGGCTGACTGTATACCTATCGCTACTGTATGAAGCATTCTGGAGTCTTCTTTTTCGGTTGATTTGGTTTTCATCTATTGCCGCTATATACTGCACGGTTTGCATGATGGCAGTGAGGCAAAAGGCTTTGACAGCATCAGCAGCGGGAGAAAGGACTTGGTATTTGTGCCGTCATGTACCACTGTGCATGATTATGGTGAAGAGCATCATGACTATTGATTGTGGAGTGCCATCAAGATGTACTTGATATTTGGATGTAGTTTTGGTCTTTGACGTGCTAAACAAGGCAATCAAGAACAGCAGGACACGGTGATGATGATGATGATGATAATGATGATAATGATCATGTTATTGTATTTGGTGTGGCTGATGAGGCGGTACGGTAGACGGGGCGAACATAGATAGGGTCTGGTGGTTTGCGGGACGAGTAGGATTAGAGTTTCGACATGTGCATGGCGAGATGGAGTGGGTACTTGGTGTGGCAGCGTGGAGAGCAAGGAAGGTCTGCCTTGGCACCGAGCATTTCGAGGGCTGCAGGCGAGCGTCATTGGGTAAGCAGCATCCTCGAAGCACATCGATGACGCTTCCACAGATGCCGAATCCACAGACAACGTGCAGCTGATGTTTCCGCTCGGTACCTCCAATTACATGTCCATGTACATGCACCCTAGCTGTTGAATGGACCTCTGGTGAAATGCAAACGTGCTTTAGCAAATGGTGAGGCGATTCTAGATATATGCATGATTACTCATCCGCCCAGAGTCATTCATGTCCGAGAATGTGGTACATGTATACATATATATATGTGTATATATACATATATACACTAGGTACATACATGCGATGGCACACATTTCCAGACCCAAGGGAAAAGGTGGGGTCTGAGTAAGAGAGATCAAGTACTTTTTGGCCATTGGGATACGGGCGAGTAATGTGTGCCGCTTGCAGCAATCATGAGCAGGAGCATTGCATGATAATGTAGGCCTTGTACACACACACGCGCGAGTATCCATCCGTTGATTCATGATTTCAATCGTTTGTTCATCGACTGACTGCGTGGGCCAGCGCAAGCCAGCGACCGTTGGGGAATAGCGCGGCGGCCGATGACGCGCCAGAGCAGCGATAACCGTAGAGACGACAGCGGACCCGAGATCGAACAGCTCCTCCAAAAGTCCACCTGCAACTGAGTCCTGGCCGCAGAACCCCCCAAGCCCACCGTGTTGCATCGCCGATCCCAACCGGCGCCCTGCCATGCCACTATTACTTACAAGACATCAGTACGTATCATGCATTTGCGCTCGTGCGTGCAAACGCTGCTTGCTTTTGCCTCTAAATAATGCCCTTGTTGATCATCCTCCTCCTCCTCGTAACCACAACTAGGTACCTCCAGACACTGTCCATGCCTTACACTTCGACTCTGCACTTTGCATACAACTAATCCTACATTCTTTCACTTGTAACCCCCCCGTCCATCCCGTCTGTTCCTGTTTTTGCCAGTCTACCTGTCGGTCGGCCAGTCTATCTGTCCGCCGCATCATCCTTCTATCCCCGCCTCCCCATCGCACTCGGTGCTGGACGCTGCCAACTCGCTTTCCACTCAGTACAACCAAGCACGAGTCCCCAAGTACACGTACAGCCGCTGCACCTCTCCTCCCCGATCCTGACCACGGTCCACCTGCTGTACCTCTTCCTCAGCCGCCAGCTGGCCTCGCGTCCAGCCGTTTCACACTCACCACCCTTCAAACCTCCAAACTTCTTCCCGCAACCTATACTGAGTCCTAACCTCACCCCCCAAACGAACCCTACGTACTCCATCTCGTTATCCTCCGCTCGCGCATCACACCCCACTACCTCGACATCTCAGCTGGTACATGGAAGGAAGTAGAGGGCTTGAAAAAGCGAAATCTGTATGAATTCGCCGTTAAGGAAACAAGACATTTTGCTCCACGGTGGCAAGCAATATTTTGAGCCACCAGTGCACCCGCAAGCCTTGATGGTCCAAGATGTGCGACCGGAGGAGCCCTCGGAGAAGTTTCTTCAGGCCCCTTACGACGACATCAGACATCTCGTGCGCCTCCTACAATGCCCGTGTTGCTCGAGGCCCTTCACTTCGCCAGTGACTCTACCTTGCTCTCATACCGTCTGTCGCGCCTGCCTTCCCGCTCCGAAACCGCGCGCCAACATTTCCTATCCGAACACACCTGATCGCCTTAGTGGTGTGGCCTGTCCATTGAAATACTGTGGTGTCGAGCATGCTGCTGCTGAGTGCAGCGTGGACGTCACCATGTCCAAGCTTCTGGAGCTGATCAGAACGGAAATCACACTTCACATCCCGGCCCTCGAGGATACGCCCATGCTACTTGAAGAGGTCTTGCGAGAGGAAATCGAATCACCGACCGAAGAGAAGGATGCCATGTTGGAGGAACCGCGCTCGCGCACTCTCCATGGTGGTCGCTTGGTATCGACATTCACAATGGCAGAGCTAGGCGAACTTCAGTACAGCTCGGAGCTCAAGTATCAGTCACTGTCTCCCGCGGGCGATGACTACAGCGATCTGGATATTGCATTGCTTCAAGGCTTGCGTGAAATCGTCCAAAAGGAGCTTGACTGCCTCGTCTGCTACAACATGATGCTAAACCCCACAACCACGTCTTGCGGTCATACATTCTGTCGTGGCTGTCTTGTCCGGGTCATGGATCACAACAGCATTTGCCCAGTGTGTCGGCGAGGCATACACTTACCCGCTTCCTTGCAGAACGAGTCCAGCAATACATTGCTAAACTCTTTGCTGAACGCTCTGTGCCCCGATCTGATCGACGCTCGCAAGAAAGCGGTAGAAGCGGAAGCACAAGTTGGCGACGACGACCTGGATGTACCGCTATTCATATGCACACTATCTTTACCTACGATGCCCACATTTCTCCATGTCTTCGAGCCACGATATCGACTTATGATGCGACGGTGCGTCGAGGGTAATAAACAATTTGGCATGGTCATGTACAACAAGACAAATGCCCCGCAGGGTGATCTAGGCCCAACCCAGTTCTTGGAATACGGCACACTGCTCGAAATCGTAAACCTCCAGCTTCTCCGTGATGGACGCAGCTTCGTCGAGACGCGAGGGATCGGTCGATTCAAGATTCGATCGCATAGCATGCTGGACGGCTATTCGATTGGGCGCATCGAGCGTGTCGAAGACCTTTCGCTTGGCGAGGAAGAAGCATTGGAGCAGAGAGAAACGACTGCTGCACGTGAATTAGCAGAAGAGTGCCGACAAATGAATCCTAATGCACCCCTCCCTGGACCGGTTGCGCTCAACCTCAACTCCACCCAGGACCTACTTGACAAGTGCATGTTGTTTATCCGCGAGATGAGGCAGGCAAGCGCTCCATGGCTGAGCTCGAGAATCGTGCAAGCATACGGGGAGCCGCCCGAAGACCCTGCTACTTTCCCGTATTGGTTCGCATCCGTCCTCCCCATCGCCGAAGAGGAAAAATATGCCTTGCTGCAGACCACGCGCGTGCGCGAGCGTCTCAAGATTGTGTACTCGTGGATTGAAAGGATAAGAGGACACAGATGGTAAGTCCCTTCCCCTCAACCCCTCAACAAGCAACACAACGTGGTACGTGCACAGCCGATGACGCTCTTCATTCAGTCTCAACGACTCGGAAGCCCCTCCGCACGTGAGTATTTATCACCAATCACAGAATATTCGCTGACATTATTTTACGCACAGGCCTGCGGGTAATTCGTGCAATATCCTTTGACGTTACGCCTTCCCCGTTATCGTTGCCCTTGTTCTCGCCTTCATGAATCGTCGATAGAGTCTTTTGCCCATGCATTTCGAGCATTATCATGCATAGCCTGCGCCAAAGGAAAAAAGTGCTCTTCTTACGACTTTGTACCCTTTCCGTGGCACAAAAAGTGATACACCAGCGCAGCATTGGCAGCATTCCGGGGGAGTTTTTTCTTCTTCTTTCTTTTTTCATGCCCGGTGGTTCTGTTGGGCATCTTTTTGATCGTTCCTATTTCCGTTTTCTCATATCCGTCTCTCTTTCCTTCATGTCTATGCTCTTTTATTCTGTGTCTAACTCTTTTCTCCCCTCTTCCTTTTATGATTACCCCCTATCAGGAGGACAGCACGCTTCTAGGCGTCGTCCATGCAAAAATACAGGTTTATTATGTTGTTTCCAAAAACCTAGTCCCAAATATTCCCCACTTGAAGAATCCAGTTGCTAGACTGGTTGATATCCCTATTTTTTTTTCTCCCACGATACCAAAAAAAGCGGAAAAAGGAACGACGAATAGAATTAAGAGGAGTGGAGGGGCAGAGAGAGAAAGAGACAGCGGTGCAGAAAGAAACCTCCCCTGTGCTTACTGGTGGAGCAGTGAAGTTGTTATGTATCTATGTATCTATTGACATAAATGTCATCTTCTGACCACCTGCAATACTTTGGTCCCATCGTGGTGTCCGTTACTGTGGTTCGAGGTGGGTCTATGGAGTTCGCTGGGACAAGAGCGATATATGGTTTGTGTCCACAGGCGCGGTACTTTTTTCTTGGACTCTCTTCCTTCCCATCATGTATGATTTGCTAACCTGGGTCCAAAAGTAACGTGTTGATTGATATATGGATATCGTATACGCACCCATTCCCTATTCTTCACTCCAATCATTTCATCTTCGTAACGCCTCAAAGACGAAGACGAATACAAAAGTACGATACCCCATCACTAACCATCCTCTTCATATAAATTATTGCATGCATGCTTGCATTTCACGAAGGACACCCTGCCTCCCCATCATCATCAACATCATCAACCCCCCAATGCCCCTCCACCCAATCCGTCATAATATCTGTAAAGCTCTTCCCGTCTTCATATAAATGCGAGTCCTCGGCACTATACGATTCCCCCAGGTAAGCGAGGGCAAGTAAGACCCACTTCTCAATGAACTCGTTATACATGATGTCCACAACCTCTGGCTCGGACTCGTCTCCATCCACCATCTCCGCGCCATCTACCCAGCTGTCTGGCCCCGCCGAATCAGAGCTAGAACCAGAACCGGAGACGGAAGCAGGAGAAAATCCGACGGCGGCCTGGATACAATTCGGCACGTTGTAGAACTGGATCGGGGCGTGGATCGTATCGTCGCCGTCGGACCCTGCGTCGTCGTGAGTGGTGTAGCCTGGGATGAGCGGTGGGGGCTCGGTGCTCGCGTGGTGATGGTGGGTGTCGCGCAAAGGTTGCTGATTCCCTTGGTGCTGGCGAGTCCCCAGATCCACGGACGCGAAATCTAGCATGCCGTCCTGGTTTGGGTGCTCGCTTGGATCGGTGGGGGAGGAGTCGAAGAGATGTGGTCGGTACCGCGCAGCGGCCACGTGCTCAGGCGGCAATAGAAACGTAGCGTTGGCGTCATTCGTGGAAGATAGGATCGGTCCTGCGTTATTTAGGAGCTTGATTACGCGCTTTGCTGCTGTATAGGGCACGTCCTTGAGGTACGCGATTCCGCTGGTGAAAGGCGATACGAGGAATTTTGTGTCTTTTGTGAAGGGGCCTTTGAACACGTCGAAGCGGATCCCGCCTGTGTTCATGATGACAAGGGCTTTTTTGCTAGGGTCACGTGATTTTATAGATTGCGGGAGGAGCTCTGTTTCGAGCCAGGTGAAGATGCTTTCGTTGTGAGGGTATGGTCTGCGTGAGACGAAGAGGTCACGTGGCGCGCAGCCGTAGATATGGTTTAGGGAGAGGGATTTGCGTGCTGAGCCGATGGCGAGGGATACATTGAGACCATGTTGAGTGGGGAAGGTGGTAGCATTTTTACCGCTGTGGTGGTGCATGGAGAAGAGGTTGTTGTCGATGTATCTTCGTTGGAATTGGAGCGTACGTTTCTTGCTGTTGGTGTTAGGGTTTTGGTGACGACTTGTGGTGATTCCTGAGATTGACATGAATCCTAGTGTTTCCATGTATCGCCCGCTTTCCAGTGCCACGGAGCCAGAGTCGAAAATGTGGTAGTCACGAATGTGGGAATGGCCTCCGAAGAACTGGATTGGTGTGTCCCAGTGTGCATCCCGGATGGTGGAGTATAGTAGAGCGTATTCTTGGCTGCGGATATCAACGTGTCCATACACGAGAATCAAGTCGACCTCCTTGTCTTTGATGGCTTCCCTGAACCACTCCTCTTTGACAGTGTCTTCAACGCGTTGAACAAAGGTGTTTTTGTCATTTCCGGTGAAGTCGAAAATGAAGCCAAAAGCTAATATGCGTATGCCTTGGTTCTTAGTTGTGAACTTTTTGTAGCGTTGGGCCAGTGGTTGTCGCCCCCCCGTCTCGGGATTGATGATATCGAGGTTAGATGCTAAGTAGTTGTCCTTGAAGTCAGGAACAGTATGATAGAACTCTCCATCCGCTGACTCGGCCTTGTATAGTTCGTGGTTGCCCGAGCATATCAAGTCGATGGTTTGCTCTTTAGCAATCTCGTAGGTGAATTTTCCACGAGGTTTTGAAGAGTCGTATATTGCATTGCCTTCTATCCTATCACCGGTGTCGACGAGAATTAAATCGGTTCCATCGGCATCAGCTCGATCACGAAGGTGTTTTGCAAAAGATATATAATCACCTGAAATGACGGAGTGGGGAATTAGTAAGTATTCTGAGCCTTCACGACTCGATGCTTTATCAAAGTCTTGGGGTGCATGCGACGGGGTGTTTTGAAGTACTGTGTACCGCGTAATTACGTACCCCAGTCGGATGAGTACGAAGCCTCTTGTAAATGACCACCCCACCAACCATGGATATCAGTAGTGTGAAGAAAATTCTATGGTAAAAGGTAAGTCACTTTCAGGTCGAAAGTATATATCAGTTGATCTACGTACTAGTTGGCCCCATGGTAGCTCACGTAATGGTGCTGCAACCGGGTCTGGGGCGGACGGTTGAGCAGCCAGAGCGCCGCCAAATAGAGCAACCAATATTAGAGGTGTCTTCGACATTTCTGACACCTCCTTAACAATATCCTTCTATTTAAGTAACACGCCGACGGGAATGACTGGAAGCGGGTGGCTGATGTACGCGCCACCAATCTTGCCGGTGCAACAGCAGGACAAGTATCAGAACGGTGTGATGAGTTGAACAATATGCAGACGTTTTGCAGACGTTTAATGATCTGTGAACAAAATCGGCCTTCTCGCGACCATCAAGTTGTCATCCGAGGCTGCTATTGTCATGCAGTGTTGGAATCCGAGGTGACGTCGAGAATCAGCTGACTAAGGCGTGAGGTGATGCGCTGAAGGCGGCCTCGCATCCCTGTCTCCCGACTGCCCCCAATCCGTTAGCCTGGCTATCGCGTTCGCACATTTCACAACACTCCGAGCTCCCAGCCACCCAACATATAATCCCTTTCTTTCCCTCCTCCCACATCATCACGACCCATTCGCGTCGCGAACAGCTCAATTACTCAAGTACAATGCCTCCCAAAGCAGCTTCCCGCGCCTCGAGCGCACAACCTAAAAAGGCCGAACCGACAAAAACCAATGGTACGTCATGCCATAGCTGTTCTTCACCCTGCAAAGTTAACTTTTCTTGGGCGCAGGTCGAGCGCGCACAACCAAAAGCAAGACGCCAGCTGCAGAAGCCAAAGCCGATGCTGCCAAAACCGAACAACGTATGTTCCGCGCGTTCTAATGCCTACATTCCGTGACTGACGCCTTTATTCTAGCTGCTCCAAAGGGTCGCGCAAAGAAGAGCCAAGAGCCAACAATGAACGGCACGACCACCAAGTCCAAGTCCAAGTCCGCTGAGCCTGCGAAACGTAAGTCGCCTGTGACACCGTACCAGCAAAACTCGTCGGCTGACATTTCCCAAGCTGCCGCACGAGGAGCCCGTGCTAAGAAGACAGCGACACCCGCTGCCGAGCCCAAACCTGTCGCGAAAGCTGCACGCAAACGCAAGCTTGATGAACAAAGCGAGGAAGAAGACGAAGCTGAGTCGGAGTCCGAAGCCGCGCCTGCCGCAAAGAAGGTCAAGACCAAGGCCACAGCGGCAAAGCCGAAGCCTGTCAAAGCGACCAAGCCAAAGCCAGTGAAGGCACCTGCAGCTCCCAAGGTTGAACTTCCCAAGGGTCCTCGTCGTGTTCGAGGCAAGAAGACCGAGATCAATCCTCTACGATACACCGAGCCGTTGAAAGTGTTTGTGTTTGGTGAGGGAAGCTCTGGTGAGCTTGGCCTGGGTGCTACCAAGAAGGCCATCGACGTGAAGCGACCCCGATTCAACGAGATGCTTACGAACATGAACGTCGTCAAGATTGCGACTGGTGGCATGCATGTGGTCGCCCTGACCAAGGATAACAAGATCCTGACTTGGGGTGTCAATGACAATGCGGCTCTAGGCCGAGACACTTCGGGCGGCAACGTCAAGATGAGGGATATGGACGCCGCCGAAGGTTCTGATTCCGATTCCGATGATGAGACTGGTGGTCTGAACGACCTTGAAGCCACCCCAACTGCTATTGATGCCAAACACTTCCCCGAGGATACCGTGTTTGTCGATATTGCGGCCGGTGACAGCTGCTCTTTCGCACTCACCACCGAGGGTGCAGTCTATGGATGGGGAACTTTCCGCGTAAGTCTTCTGCTTCTTTGATAATTTGAAATCATCTAATTTGGTATAGAAAAACGAAGGCATCCTAGGCTTCGGGCGCGACATCAACACTGCGAAATTTCCAGTATACATTGATGGAGTGACCAAAGTCACCCAACTTGCCTGCGGAACGAACCATGTTGTTGTGCTGGACAAGGACCACCGAGTCTACGCATGGGGCAATGGGCAGCAGAACCAGCTTGGCCGTCGTGTCACTGAGCGCACCCTGATTGAATCTCTTCAGCCCAATCGTATCGGTTTCCACGACAGCTCTGTCAAGCGTCCGAGCCAGAAGATCTCCAAGATCGCATGTGGTGACTACCACGGTCTAGCGATCGCTGAAGACGGTCACGTTTGGTCTTGGGGCGCCAACAATTACTGCGAGACTGGACACCCAGAGGAGGCCGGGGAAGACAACGCCAGCGTTCTCACCCCACGTATCATCCACAGCCTCGAAGGCAAGAAGGTCGTCTCCGTCGAAGGCGGTTCCCACCACAACATTGCCCTGACTTCAGGCGGCGAGCTTCTCGTTTGGGGCCGCTGCGACGGCTCCCAGACCGGTATTCCCGCTAGTCAACTCAACGCCATCGACGACAGCGAGAAAGTTCTCAAGAGCAACGACAAGGCCAAAATTCTCATCGAGCCCACCGCTGTTCCAGGCCTCAGTGATATTGTTACCGGCACTGTCGGTCCTGAGCATACTATTGTCATCAACAAGGACGGCAAAGCATATTCATGGGGCTTTTCCGCCAACTATCAGACCGGACAGGGCACCGACGACGATGTCGACACCCCTACTTTGATCGACAATACTGCTGTTAGAGACACCAAGCTTGTGTGGGCCGGCGCCGGTGGCCAATACTCGATTGTCGCCAGCAACAAGTAGATGGCGACAAGTGAACCTCCTACTTCATTGCTACCCGCCATCCCTTGAACAAACATTGTTGTTCTTCGATGCAGCACCTTATATCCATCTGGGCTTGTGCCCCACAGACTTGAGGATCTCAGATTGTACCAGCGTCTCCTATTCCCTCTCATTTTCCACTCATGGCATCAAGAAACGGAGTTTGTTAGTTTCCAAGGTTGATTAGTAGGGGAGCTAATCTCTACTCTACTCTTTCCGATTGGGCAATTATCTTTTTGCTTCCTCGGAATCCTTGTTGTGTGTGTTTTCTTGCTTTTACTTTTCTTGTTTTCTTGCGATATAGACGAATTGAACGATTGGTTTTTGAGTATGCGGGTGTCATGTGCATGCGTGGACTGTGAAGAGGAAGAGGAAGAGGAAACGGAGGAAGTAAAAGCCAGTCATTGGGGAAGACATCATCCACTCTCGAAGATCAGTCATAAAGTTATACAAATGGTATCATAATATTTCCTCGCCCCAAACAATCCAGCGAACAAAAGGCCAAATCAACCGTAGTGAGAAAACGAAGACGAGGAATACCGGTCACATCACCACCTCCACCATTTCCACAGATGAAGGTGAAGAGCTTTCCCAACCAATCTATCATCTACCTCTCCTCCCACTCCTTCTTCTTCCCAGACCCTTCCCACTCTCCACCCCACTGTCCAGCCCAGTTCCGATCCCCGAATCCAAATCCCTCGATGCAGGTGGATCCTCGAGCAAAAAGTCGTCATCCTCTTCATCATCCGCCTCCTCCTCCTTGATCTGCACATCCTCCATTCCAGGTGTACCGACCCTACCACTACCGCCCTCATTCTTGGGCTCAGACGATGAGTAGTACAGCGGCTGGTGACCAGACAGGGTGGGGAACGTGCGCGAGGTGTCAGACATGGGCGTCGGGGGCGCAGATTCCTCCGCAGGCTCAGTCTTGGGTGTGATAGCGCCGATAGGATCATCCTCTTGTTTAATCCCGCTGGGAGACGATGCAGGGGACGAGAGCGCATTGGAAGCCGAACCAGAAACAGGGTTTCCATCGCCGCTACGATGGCCATCATGTTCGGAGTTTGCGAAGAACAGCGAAAAGAGGCCCCAGGTGAGGAGCACGACGCCCATCTCCACCCCCCAGAAGACACCCGTGAAGAGGACAGCGCTTGAGAGGCGGTATGTGTACATGATGTAGCGGATCCCTTCTAGTCGCGCGATTACGCGCACGGAGGTGCTGTATACCTCGAGAGGCGATTTGGAGCGGACTTCTAGACGGAGCGAGGAGGGGACGTTGCGCCATCCCTTGTCGAATGCGACGCCTTCCATCATCTTGACCTTGACTTGCTCGGCCTCGTGGCCGAACCCAAGGATGTAGAGTGGTAGGCGTAGCACACGGTGTGCTAGCTCTGTTGTCCAGCTTCTGTAAGTTAGGATGGCGGGACGCCTGCTCCGGGCCAGCACCACAGGTTTGTCAGCTTTGGATTTGGATCCCAGATCTTCGGCGGGCTGTTGCGCAGCGGAAACTTTGTCTGTGGTTGTGCCAGATGTGCCTCCTTGCGAGTAATCGTCTACCTCCCATTCTTCATCCCAACCCAATAGTCCTTTCATACCACCACCACCAGTCTCTGGACTTCTCATCTCTAGACTGAGCATCCAGTTTCCAGCTGCGAGGTTGCGTTCGCTGCGTGGGACGTTCATGGTAACGATGATGTCGTATTTCTGTCTACTGACCAGACCTTGCACATTTGCAATACCATAGGGATGTCTCGTCTGGCTCGTCTGACATGTCTGTTGATTTACACGAAGATCCGGGCCTTCGGTTTGAGGAGTTTGGGCGGCGTGGTTATACTGCAGATACACTGGTGCAGAAAGACCTCGAATGGGAATGTACGCGTAGTAAAAAGATGTATACGCAACGACGGCCACAGCAAATAAGATACTGCTTGCGATGAAGAAGAGGATGGTTGTCAGATAGGTGCGGAGGAGGGTCGGCGACGTCGCGATGCGATAAGGTGCTAAGACTGCATCCTTGAACGGTGTCAGTGTCGTTACGATATGGTGAGGACTGTGATTTGGAGAAAAAAAGCTTACTTTGAGGGTGTGAAACACTGTTTGAGGGTTATCGGCCTCATCTTCAATGTAGTCCATTGTTCATACAGTCGCATGATAGCAAGGATGAGGAGGAAGCTTCGCGTACACATGGGGGTTTTCACATGCGAGGGGTTTGGCCATGACGTTGTTTGAGCTTGGACCGTCCGTGCAACACACGACTCAGGACTGCAGCGGATCGTGAATTCCACGAGCTACATGATTGGACCAATGTAAATATGTAACGACTTTCAATCTGTAGCCAATAGGTCAACATGCATAAATTTAAAGTTATTGCCAATGCTATGGTTGTAGTCATTCACGCGTCTATGAAGAGAAATGATTTCAAGAAGTTTGATTGCAATACTAACAAAAACAATCGTCAGATATTCCTACACGGCCTGGGAAGATATACACCGAGCGACACCCATACGCCTCATAATCCGGAAACACTGGCTCGACCGGTAGAGCAGGCAGAAATCCTCCCACCCGATTGGAAAGCCGTTTCCCGCGTCACTCGGCCGTTGGAGCCGGATGACATGGTTCTAGAAGATGCAGGTCATGACGCTCAGCGAAAAAGAGGACGCAGCAAGTGACACAAGAACAGAAACAACATGGAGAGACAAAGGAAACGAAAGGAAAAGATAGCTATTGGAATAGTAACAGGAAATTCCCCTGGCAACTACGGCTCCTAATAGAGGTAGTGTGCAAGCGGTCATCACCATGTTCCGGCATCGCTGAGCGCGCAGTCCAAGTGCAAGAACTTTTGGTAGACATGCAACCGCTTAATCATAATCAACCGTGTAATTAAAACACTATTGCGAAGAACTGGGAACCAAAAGCCGTGGGTATCATGACGTCGTATGCAGATCTCCTTTGAAGATTCCAGTGGCTTTGCCTCAAATCTTCATCTGCACGTAAGATATCTATAGACACAACCCGCATTGTGGGTAATCGAGTGTGAGTGTGCCGCAAGTTGCTTTTCAAGAGAATGTACCCATTTTCGGGGTACGATGGGAAGTAAGGGCCGAGAGCCTGGAAGAAGCTCGAGTAACGCCATTAAGAGGAGAACTGGCATGTACCATGGGGGAGCTGGGCTGAAAAGGTGACTTGGCAGGGCGCTTCGGTCCAGATCGTTTTCGAAGGGGTGTCATGAGTTGCTCGGCAGATTTGCCAGATCGGATGGGTTTAGACACGGATGCGCGAATGCTAGGGTCGGAAGGAAGGCATGCAACATCGCGGTAACGAGTCTGGTTGTTTCGAAAGGCAGTGACGACTCCGCGATCAAAGTGTTGTAGCATGGCATCGGATGCGTTTCTCTTCCTGTTAGAGGGGGTCTCGCTCATGGGAGTGGGGCGAGCAGGCGTTGATCCGTTCATGGCCATGGTTGAGGCAGCAGGAGTGGCCGGAGCATCCGTCTCATCATCCTCCTGATCTACATCGGTGTCATCAGCGTCATCGCCAAAGTCCATAAAGTCAGTGATGTTCAGATCATCCTCATAGTCCTCCTCTTCGTCATATTCTCCCTCCTCATCCACAATAGCACCGTTCGTGCCGACGGCGACAAATGGATAGAAAGCTTCCGGTGGTCCAACACTGTCGGCACCAAAGAAATATTCATCGGTAGGTGCTCCTCCAAAGATGCCAGTGAGCATGATGTCGGTAGTGTAAGGGTTATTGAAAACCTCATTGCTCACTTCGCTGTCGGAACCGTTATTGTATTGCTGCACCGAATTGCGAGGGCTATTGGTAGTGCTGTTAGAACTGCTCTGGGGTCCGAAAGACGTGACCCAAGGATTTCCGGAGACGCGAGGGCGATAAAAAGTCAAAGCCTTGGTTTTGCGGTTCGTCACAGCAATTGCCTTGTTACTGTCATCGTGAATGAAGATACCACGAGTGGGTGGTATTGCCCTGCCTGATGGTCTAGATGAACGTGCGAAGGGTATCGGGCTGGAGATCCTTGAAGCCGGTGCAGATGATGGCCGGTGCAGAACCGACTTCTTTTGCAACGGTGTTTGGGGATTAGCCAACGATTCGGCGTCGGATTCGTACTCGTCAGTGGTATCACCTATGTCGGCTGGCACGCAACGTTAGTAATTTTCGTGACGCAAACAGAGAACGCTAGCATACTTTCATAGCCACTCGAGCCCGGGTCGGATGATTCATCATCTTCAAGATCATCGATGGCTTTTAGAGGATTAGGCCTGCTCGGAGCTGAGTGCCTTGTTTCGTCCTGGCCATAATCCCAGAAGGATTTATCGGAAGCCGCAGAATCATAGTCTGCATTATCCTCATCGTAGTCGATGTCCAGAAGCTGGGTGAGACTGGGAGGGAGCTTGTCTTGCTCCAAGAACAGGTCGGGATATAGAGAGCTATCAAGCTCGGAAGAAGAAGCGCTAGAGCTATCGGACATTTGAACCTCATCGTCAAAGCGGACACGCTTGGTAGAGCTATCCGAGTATTTTCTCTTGGCAATGGGATCAGGCGAGGGAGGCGAGAGAGGCAAAGCTTCAGACTGTTCGAAAAACTGCCCAAACCCTGGATGATCATGGGTGAAGCTCAAGTCCTCGAGGTAGGCGCCACTCAGCGGGGCAGTCATATCGAAGATGCTGTCACTAACATGGCTTTCGAGGCTCAAGCGGCGTGCATCGTTCAAGCTGCCCATGAACGAATTGAAATTATTGTCATCTAATGCATCCTGCATGATGAAGCTTTCTTCTTCTTGTTCGTAGTCGTCGTCATCCGGGACAAGATTAACGCCGCTGTAGTCTTCGTCATCTGACTCGATAGCGGTCTCAGAGTTCTCGACAGCTTGACTGGCGTTCTCTTTATACTGCAGCAGTGGCTTGATGTTGCTGTTGCTGAGCTTCCGAGCCATCTTGCGGCGGGGAAATGATTTTTCGGATTCATCGTCTCCAAAGAGCAAAGATGTATTGGAGACATTGCTGAAGGTACGTTTTTTGTTAGTTGTGAGTGAGTGGTTGCCAGTGTGCTTTCTGGGGAAAAGTCCCATGGCGGATGGTACGGTGTCGTTTTCCTCGGCTTCGGATTCATCGTCCTCAACAGGATCTACACGGATGGCGGGGCGTTTACCCTTGCCTTTGCCTTTGCCCCGACCGTGAGACGGGGCGAACACTTCCGGTTCTTCTTCGTCTTCATCTTGATCGTCGCCCTGAGTTGTACTGCTGTCTGCCTCTTCGTCTCCATTTGAAGCTTCTTCACTGCTCGATCCTTGGACAGTGGGTGTGGTATTTGATGTCGAGGCGTTGTAATGTTTCCCGCTATGGTGGGGTTGGTAAGGTGTGTCGTGGTTGAGCTTGTGGTGTTGCTGATGGTTCCCACCGAGCTCGGCCATGACGGCTTGAGAATTTGTCGAGTTGGCCATTGAGGGGGATGTCGTGATTGTTTGGCGTGCTGGACTGCTTTTGGAGTGGTGTCGTCTGGTGAAGACTGGATGGCGGTAGCGGGGAATGAGGAGTTGGAACTAGGGTCGAGTGTGCGGAGGGAGAAGGAAAAGAGAGAAGAGAAAAAAAGATAGCGTTCGATTGGAGAGTGATTTCGGTGTACTTGGTGCAAGACTCGTAACTATGATGAGTCCTGGGCGAGAGTCGATGTTCAAATGAACGGACAATGGAGGGAATTTGCAAGTGGCAGGCTCGACGATTGATCAATTGAGTAAGTCGAGTGCAAGCAGGGCTGCGGAGGTGCAATCGAAATTGTATCGTCGTAGAGGTGAAATTCTCGTGAGCTGGCCGGCTGGGACGGCCCACAAACTTTTTGCAGGCCGCCCAGAGGGGATTTAGAGCTCAGCGATAGCCTGCGGCATTGTCTCGACGAAGATGAAGTAGTGAATGCTATGTAAAGGGGGAGTTTTCTGGTATAATCTGTAGTGATTTGTCTGGGAAGGGAGCTGGCGGGAAGGGCAGAAGGGCCAGAGGCATCAGAGGAGTGGATATGGTTAAGAAAAAGGTGGGTCTTGGCGGGGCCATGCTGGAAGCAGGCTAGGGCGGCAGGACCAGTACCAGCGGTGAAGACGTCTGTCTGGGGGAGTCATCCATCCATCTCTCTCTCTACGACAGGACAGGACAGGCAGACAGTCACCACCATTGGGCCCCCAAAAGTGGTGAGCCCATTGGTGGTGGTGGTGGTCGGAACGAGCCATCAGTGACTCGATCCCATCCGTTCCCGCCCAACACCCAAACCGTTCCTTTTTTTTTTCTTTCTTTTTCCTTCTTCTTCTTCTCCTCCTCCCTAGTCATCGACCAGCATCTGCATCATCATCATCATCGACGGCGGCGGATGGAGTCTGGAGGGCGGCCGGTCGTGTGCCCCTCTCGCTCCCTGGGCGGCTTAGCAGGCAGGATCCCCACCCCAAGCAAAAAAGAGCGGCGACAAAAAACTAAACCTTCCACGGACCCAGCGCTGGTTCAAACGCGCGACTGGTGAGGCTACAGGGCTATGAGGCCAAAACCTCATCATCCAAATAGCCCACGCCCGTTTCCAATTCGCCAGCTCTCAAACGCCAGTGCTGCCGGCATGGCCCAACCCACCCCTGCTCTGCCGGAAAATGTGCTTTCGCTGCGCATGCAGCAGCCATCCCCATATTAACTCCCCTAGCGACAGCTGCTGTTGTGAAGAACCTCGTCTCGCCCTCGGCCGTCATCGCTGTCTGCTCTCTTTCTAGGTACCTTTGCTACATATGATGCTCGCGCGCTCTGCAGCATGCCCACGGTGAGATTGGCTGTTGTGTGGAATCGCCCATGTGGCATAGCCAGCTGCTGTATTGAAATAGATCATGGCCGTCTGTGGGGGGGAAGGATCGGGATACGCTGCGCATCATGTCCACCTTGCATGCCATCGAAACACCCCCCTAGACGGGACCCTGACGTCGAGTCTCGGAGAGCAGAGTGCCCCTCCAACAGCCCGTGTTATCGATACAGAGAGATCCCATGCCATCATGCCATGCCATGGCCATACGCGAGAAAAAAGCGGTGAAGCGGTGCAAACGTAGCCGTAGCCAAAACAGCAATCTGGCGGTCGTTGGGGTGCACGCAGTGCTTGTGCTGTGCTGTGCTGTGCTCTGCTGCGCGGTGCAGGGGCGGCCCGCTGCATTTTCTTGCCTTTTCTTTTCTTTGCTTGCTTGCTGCTAGAGAATCCAGTCCCGCAGCCAGATGCATGCAAGCATGCATGGCGAATGCACCGCCAGCCGGACGTTAATCTTACCTAACCACCCTATTCCCCCCCGCAATTGGGACAATCAACATGAGAAAGGGAGAAATGGAACATGGAGAAACATCACACATGCCATCATTCAAGCCATTGGAACCCACACGCCCTTGTACAGCTGTACACTGGCTTCCCTCGTACTACGACACTCATCAGCCGGCATCCCGTCCGCTGCCAGCCTTGCAATCCGTCCAACTTCTTCCGTTGTTTGTTATGTTATGCACACGCACCACAACACGCAAACAGCACCGCTAGCCAGGCGGCTCGCCGATTCGCCCTATTCTGCCGATGGCTTGTTTTTTAAACCCTTTAAATATCACGCCAACTTATGCAACAAACTTGTATTGCCGGGGAACTCCGGTCACTAGACGCCGGAGCTGGCTTGCTGGAGAGCAAATGATCTTCATTGTGACATACATTTGTGCTAACCTCTGAATCTATCGAGTCAAGATTTTACATTGTCCACCTCACTAGAGAGAATAGACCGAGGGACTCCTTTCAAGATGGCTAGTCTCAGCCTCATTCAAAATCAAGATACAAGCAGCAAATCGGAATTGCCAGAGCGAGAAGAGAATGCAGAGAAAATCTTCCTTTATCTTGCTACATGCGGTTCCGACCGGTCCGACAATGGAAGCACGTACTCTGCTCTTTCCACTTTTTCCCCAGTCGCGAAGAAGAAAAAGAAAAGGGAAGAAAAAAACCTCAACAGACCACGTGCGTGCCTCAACGTCAACAGCTCCATCAATGCATACCCACCGAGAAACCTCTAGCATGGCACTGACACTGACACATGAGTATGACGCGTACCCAAACCATTTTTTTCTCTCCTTCCTTTTTTTTTCTTTCTTGTTTAGCATGTGTCTCGTCCCTTTCCCTTGCTATTGACACCTGTCTACCCTTTTAAAGTGGAGACGTCCCTGTGGGGAACGAGTTTTCCGCAAAGCAAGTTTACCGCCAAGTTCCAGCCAAGCAGAGGCAAAAATGCGGGTCCAGGGTACACACACATGCTGCATACATATCGTGGACGTGGGTACATGCCCCCTTGTACTTTACTCGATAGGTACTCTGTGCATCGTACTCCAGCGCTTAACCCGTTTTTTTTCTCTCTCTCCGTTGCAAAGTGTCACGAGAGGGTGATAAAAGAAATGGGTAGGTGAAATAGGTACTTGTCCACAGGCACAGTTGCCTACTTGCTCTGTTGCAGGCCGTTCCTTGTCACAATGTGAATCTGCAGGCTGGATATAATGGTTGTCTAGACGTAGAAGGGCACACCTGGGAAGTATCTGCAGGTAGCCGTTCACGGGGTCTCTCGAGTGTAACGAACAGCACTAGGCATATGAGGTATACCGCAGATGCCTATATATTGTACTACGGTACTGAACACGGGGTAACGCTGTGTAAGGTGACTACCTAGGTAGGCAGCAGAGAAGAATAGGAAAGAGCAGACACAAGAGGGAGTACTGCTCTAGGAGCATTTGAGCCCGACAATTAGGTTTTCCAATATCTTCAAGGCGAAGTTGATAATAGATGGGTATCAAATCGAATAGAATCAAAAAAGAACCCGATAGACTAGTTTGAAGAAACGTGTTCCTGCAATCATACAAAAAAGAAAGGAAATGTCTAATAAACAGCCAGTTAGGTGATGGAAGAAAATCAAAGATGCAAGAACCTATGTACAATAGCTACATCTATACATGTATACGCACAATGATATGTGTATCACAATTACAAGCGCACGTTGCAGCAGACTGCCACGCCCTCAAACAGCAGCACGTGGATACGGAGACGGACGCGCAAGACCCTCAACCCCAGCCAGCTCCGCAAACTCCCCAAGCTCGCCTACAACATCGTCCCAGTCCGCACCAAGACGACACAAAAAGCCCAAAGCCCACCTAAGCGTCTCGCGCAGCTGCTCTTGCCGCTGCTGCACATCATCAAGTCCCTCTCCTTCGCCCTCACCCTGCCTGCGCTCCACCTCCTCTTCCTTGACCCTATCCACTATAATGCGGATAGTCTGGCGATTGAACCGCATGCGGTTTTTTATGACCAAACTCGCCTCTCCTGACGGATGTGTGATTACAATGTTTGGAGGTTTGGACCGGTATTCCTGGCCCGCATCGACACGGTACTGCGGCATCCCAGGTAAGCCGCCTGGAGCTGTGTACACGCTGAGCACTTCTGGCGCGGTGTAGCACCACATTTGCACCGTCTCGCGGGCTTTGGAGCTACCGTAGACATCTGCGATGCCGCTGAGGATGCGGTTAAAGTCGTTGACGTGGAGCTTGATGCCCTGTGTTATCGAGAAGGATAGGAACTGGGCGCAGTAAAGTTTCCATTCTGTGGAGACGGTTGAGAGGATTGCGAGGATGCTGTGGAGTTCATTGGATAGGTCGTGGAAAATGAGATGTTCCCATCTGAAGAGAAAGTCGGTGAAGGCGTGGCAAGCGACGTTGTCGGCAAGTGGTGGCGCATCTTCTTCGCTGTCTGGGGGTTTGGAGGAAGATCGCAGTAGCTCTGCGGCGAAAGTGGATAGCATTTCGGGCAGTAATCTGTACCCTGGATTTGCTAGTACGTACTCCTGCATGCCCCGGATGGAGTTCCAGCGGTGTAGCTTGATTTGGCTGCAGAATAGCGCCGTAAGCAGATCGTGCGACATGCGGTGCGTGGCAGAGTCTGTGGTTATTGTTCCATTTTGGTTCACTATCTTCAGAACCAGGTCGTTCTCACCGGCCATGGTACCAAATCTGACAATAGAAGCGCCAACTATCCAGTCGCAGTGCAGGCCGGGATGGATGAGCGGGCCTTCCCAGTCGTCTGAGAATAGCAACGAACGTCCAATGTCGTACATTTTAGATTCGGTGGCAAGATCCAAGAGTTTCGCGAGAAGCGGCGGAGGAAGTTGAGGATGAAAGGCTGGGAATTCGATAGGACGCGGCTTGTACGTGGCTGGTCCATCTTTCTGGAATCGCATGTTCTTCAGTGCCTCAAAGAATTCCTCCAATGATTTTTGCCTGTTACGGTCTGTAAACTGTTGCAACATCTTGATGGTATTCATCGCGCTCTGTAAGTCGCCTTTAGCGAGGTAAGATCGTAATACTCGATGGAACAGATTGAGAGGAATAGTTGTAGGCTCAAAGAAGTATGGCGGTTCAGACTTAACCACATCCTCTTTCGGAGACGCATTGATGGAGCTTACTTCCTTGCCGAATGAGGATGCCATGTCTAAAATCTCCAAGAGCAGTTCGGGACGATTTTCCGGAACCAGGCCACCCGATCCTACAAGACGTGACACAATGGCATCCCACGTGGTCGATCCCAAACTAAGATTGTTTGTGTCGAGGAATTGTTTGTGATTTTTGATTTGCGAGATCAATTGTTCCGGGGCAGTGCCTCGATTGCCAACTCCCAGTCGCATGGAATTAACCAGTCCATCCACAACAGCTGTCACAATCTCGCTGCTAACGGTCATTCGGGTTCGAGCGCGGTCTTCGGGTTGCGCAGTGTTGTCTTGACGTATTTTGAACAGTCCCCATCCAAAAGTTTTTTCAGAAAATGACCTCTCAGACTCCTTTGACTTCGCCTGTAGAAGCTCTCGCCAGCTAATGAGACCCCAGACACGCTTTCTGTCCGACGACACGACCCGCTCCAGAATAGCAGATGCGTCCAAAACCCAGCCACCATGGATACACGACCATAGTATCAACTCTAGCCACAACTCTGGTCCTAAGCCAGCAGCTTTCAGCTTGTAGCGCGACCCCGGAATTTCGTGGCCCAGAAAGTAGCTTGCTTTTGAATTCTCGGTAGCAGCTTTGACAGATGCCTCGTGGGCTCGCCATGTCGCATCCGAGAGCGCTGTGAGAATTTGGGTGGATAGTAGAAAGAGAGTGGGAGGCTGCTGCAATGCTGAGTTATCCTCATTTCCCTTCTGTGAATACACGGAATCTGGGACAAATCCGGTATGGTGGAGATGGGCGATGATTTCCAATACACAGGTCATGATAGCATCATCGCCTTCGCGCTCGTCTTCAGCCGCCACCAAAACTAGCTCACCCATACTACGCCAAAGTTGTCCTATTGCTTCCTTAACGATCTTATGGACATGAACAATCGTGCCAGGTGCCGTGGTAAGAACGTCTAAAGTAGAACTCGATTCCTTTGAAGGAAGGTTTCGTCCTATAAAGATGGGTCCTTGGGTTAACTCATCACACCCAAGTGTGTATAGACCGAGCTCAGATCGCATGTGAGCATGAAGGGGTCCCAGATGAGCAGGAAGTGCATCGACATGTTTCCCATCCTCTACAAGCTTCTTTGAGATCCACACCAACGTTGACCATCGCCGCTCCACCAATCCAATGTGACCCAAAAGATCCAGCGAGGCAGCCTTTGTGGCATTTAACACTTTTGCCAAATCTAATGGCGTAATGGAAGACGATTTATCGGGATCGTTTGAAGGGTTGCGTCGTAGGCGTGGAGGGAGAAAAGGATCGATTACGGCAAGCCACGATTCTAGGTCGCCACGATCATGTTGGGCCGGAAATGGAATTCTCGAGACGATAGGCTCGGGTAGTGGCTTTTGGGGTAGCCCAGAAATAACGGCATCGAGCCGCTCGGGTGCTACCGTATGGGACGTTGTTTGAGCTTCATCGTGGTCACGGCGACGTTTTGCGGAGGAGAAGGGGCGGCGACGGGGGCGAGAGAGTGCAGGAACAAGGAAATCGGGGAGGGCAGTTATGCTCGGGGCATTGGATCTCGAGACGGGCAGACGGAATGTCTGTGTTAGCACATTGCGAACGCACAAGTGAGCAGAGCTCATGGATGGCTGTCGCAGGCACACGGGGGTGGATTGGAGGGCAATGGAAGCTGAAGCCGAACTTTTTTCATGATGCATCAGACTGACTGAGCGATGCACCTCGCACGTCCCCACGCGACCGGGGCCAGGGCCCTAGTCCGGTGCGGTATGACGCGCGCGCGTCTGCTTAGTAGCGAAGATGCAGGTAGGACCACACCTCAACCGCGCAGCTGCCTACCTTCCAATATCTTTACCACCAGCACTTGCACACAATACTACAAGCACGGCCAAGGGGCAGGATAAAGAAGGAAGCCAATTGTTTGCTTCTGCCTACATTTCTGCGAAGCTTCAAAGCTCGGCGCCGCCCTCCTCCATTAGCGGATACATTCGTTCGCAGCTCTCTACCACGATGCCCTATCGTGTCGGTATGTAGCGCCCGCACTCCCACTATTCCACTCGACTACATAGACTAACTCCCAAGATAGAGGTTGCCTCCCAAGGCCGTGCAGGATGCAAAAACACGGAATGCAAGAATGCCGCCGTCAAGATTGCCAAGGGTGAATTCCGCATGGGCACTCTCGTCACAATTCAGGAGCACACAAGCTGGACCTGGAAGCACTGGTACGCACCATCTTCGACGAATGGATGAATTCAAGCGCATCATATCAGCTAACAGAAATCCTTCAGGGGCTGTGTGACCCCACTCCAGATCGGTCACCTCCAGGAAGAATCGGGTGGCGACACGGACATGGTAGATGGGTACGACGAGCTTCCTTCTGAGCTTCAGGAAAAGGTCAAGTATGCTCTCGAGCATGGCCACGTAGAAGACAGCGACTGGAAGGGCGATATCGAGGTCAACCGTCCCGGTCAGAAGGGGTTCCGCGTCAATGGACCGAAGAATGGGAAGAAGGCCAAGAAGGCCAAGAAAGCTTCTGAGGTATGCTAGCTATATCGCATGGCCTGCTTGAGAATATCGCTAACGCCAGTAGCAGGACGGTGCGACTTCTGACGAGGCCGCTGCCCCACCACCCAAGAAGAAGCGCGGACGGGCTGTTAAAGATGAGAGCGAGGACGACGAGCCAGAAGCTCCCGCCCCCAAGAAAGCCCGTGGTCGCCCCAAGAAAGCCGCTGTCAAGGGCGAATCCGACCAGGAGCAAGAGGCCCCTGTTGCCAAGAAGACTCGAGGTCGCCCCAAGAAGGCAGCTGTCAAGGCAGAGCCTGAGAGTAATGTCAAGGAGCCCAAGGCAAAGAAGGCCGCCAAAGGCAAAAGGTCCGCTGTCCAGAAGGAGGTAGCTAGCGATATTGATGAAGACGAGGACTCGGAGTCTGAAAAGCCATCTCCCCAAACTGTCAAGAAGGCTGCGGCTTCAAAGCGGTACGAGTCCATCTATTTCTGAGGCATGGCTGTAATAATGACTGACCGATTGTTTTAGTGGCAGGAAGAAGAAGACTGCAACCGATGACGATTGAGCCCTGGCTCCAGCCCATCTGGGCCTCCAATGAGTATCATTTGGTATCAGCACAACGGGATGTCGTGTCACCCAAAGTCGGTGTACGTTCGGAGCTCGAATCTGTTCGCGGTCTTCGTTGGCCGGCAGATGACTCCATATAAGTTTACCTAGTATGGTACATGTAGCATAGATACCCGTGAGCGACGTTCACACACCTTGTTTACAGTATTCGCCAGAGTCACAGCTTTAGTGATGGTATGGCAAATGAACAAGCATACAATGTTCTTTGCTTGTAACAGTGGAATACTGGGTGTGAAGTCCCTGTCGATATGATTAAAAAAAACATTATTGATACAAAGTTCCAAGGCCTTCGAGCAGTGATATCTTTGCTGATCACTAGTGTTGACGTGAGAGCGTGCTGACACTGTTATCAAAGAATGGCTAGAGATTACTACATTAGGCTAGCCACATGGTCTGACACGACTTCATGAGGTCACGATATTTCGCGACGTGCCAACCCACCCCACCGCAACCCTATATCGGAACCCGATTAGGGCATGGGAGAATGTGATCGCTGGCACAGAGATTAGCGATATCGTTTCTTGATCAACATCATCTTGGTTCCTGAAGCTAGGCGGCACTAAGTGTTGTTGCCTATGCGACTTCGCAGTATCCCACAGAAATGCCCTTTGTAAATCAAAGAGGCTGGGTGATCAGACCCACATCGTCATCTAGGTTTTACTGACGACTAGAGATAACATGCCCCATGTATCGCTTCGCCGATATGCCTTCCACTTATGTCATATCGCATTCACTTCCAATTCCAATCAACCAGACAGGAACCAAAGGAGCACCCATCGCGAATCAGGAATACCACCTCCGCATCATTGATTAGCTCCCGTCAGTGAATCGGTCCCAGACTCAGTCATAAAAATGGGTCCTGATGCAGTGTCTTTGTTCCGCTTTGACACTGAATCATCCTAGCGGTCTTGCTTCCCCCGGATCATGCTGTCATAAATGCATTTCAAGTTGCTTTTTTACGATCTAGCATCTTGCAATCGCCCGATGAGCATCAAGTTCAACCCGTCAGAGGCTTGCATAGCACTGCTAGGACTATGACGTCTCCGTTTCACATACCACTAGAGAAGTACTTAAGATGTGAAGTTCACCCTGAACAATAGCATTCACTATCATCATACTCCGCTATCACGCCTTCTACAATACCAGTCTCATCTCTCCGATATAACCTTCAGCAACCACTTTACATACCACCAATCAGCATGTCTGCCGACCAACAAAACGATATCCCTGCCGGCATTGCCCACGACAATGACTACGTTAGCCGTACGGGACAGAATGAGATCCCCGTCCAGAAAGATGAAGCTCCTGTGAGCGATCCTTACAGCGTCGAATCTGCCGACTCAGACGAACAACTTCGTACGTGTCCTCAGCCCCTATTCAAATTTTTCGTACTAACTTTTGCAAAGAGCGAGATGAGAATGATGCCATTGACAGGAGCAACATCGTTGAAGGCCGCACTCGTGGAGCCACCAAAGAGGCTGGCACCTACGTCGAGCCCGGCGATGAGGAGGGTCTTCCTACTGACAACGGAAGATCCGCCATTGCTCAATAGATTGTGAAGATGGTCGTGATGAGTCAGGACTGTGCTTTACGATTATGATATCTTTGTATTTGCAGTTGTTTTTGGTAATCCTAATAACGTTACGAATCCACTTTTGCTCTATGCATGTCCTTCGGTGATTGTTCTCTGTACGGCATGAGATATCATCTTGATATGAAACATCTTCCATCAAAGATGATATACAAGTGGTACGCCTCACGCTCTAAACACCTAAACCGTAAGGAAGTCAGGAACACAAATCTCATTTGTTAAACAACCGTTTCTTTTATTTTGGTTCATTCATCATGATAGACCTATCGTTGTGTGAAGGATCACCCAAACTCCAATTTACAAATCATTGCCAGGGGTAGTACTAATCTACATGTTTCCAAATATGTACTCAATACTCCTAATCCAAGCCCAGGGACTAGTTAGGGTTCTGTCCTACACCTATACAAGGAACTTCCAATTAGCGAAAAACGACTTGAAACCAAGACAGCCGTGCCTTAGAGATGCAACGACTTCTGACCCTTGGTTACATACCTCAGAAATACCAGTTAGTTTATCATGATTCGTGTCTTGTGGTACTCAATCTTTATACTTTGTATACGCAAGACTTAGTCATCAGGTTAAAGCTTCGGCGGTGTGATTTTATGCAAGTGGCCAGGACGTTCTTTGAGTCCTGATCAAGTATGCATAAGCAGGCCATATTTCACCGTCGTTATCTCGGTTATTCGATCCTTACGATTGAGATGTACGATAAGATGTAGCTATATTTGTTCATGAGCCTCGTATAGAGCCTGTATAGAAAAAAAATCTCGTATTGGCCGCCTTCGATAGTAATTCGAATCAGATTTCCATCTACCATACTAACGAGAATATGGTCGTTGTACATTTCAGGCAAAGACTTTGAATACGGATGGATGTACGAGCTCTTAAAATTTTGAAGAATACTGTACTGTTTCCACGATGTATATCGACTGCATCATGTAAGGCATCGTGCGTGGTCTCATATCCCGTACCAAAAGACAAATCAACATCCTCCTGCCAATTGGAGTATACCAAGCATCAGCAAGTGGAAGCGTTTGTTTGATGACTCCAGCGCGCTCTTCATCACAGTATTATGTAATCTGTATTCAAGGTCACTGTGAATACCTTTGACAGCGGCACTGCCGTCCGCCTCACCTCCATGTCTCCACACACACAACATTAACCCAAAAAAAAAAGTCAATTAGGTACGTACAAACGCACATACCGCCATTGCCACCGCCAAAACATCCCCGTTCCTGTTCCCTTTCACATCTCCACACCCCTTCCTCTATACCGATCCTCCCATTCCCAAAACAACCATGCCGCCCCGCCCGCCCAAAAGCGCCGACGACAACAAAACCAAGGTCTTGATCTCGGGCTTGAGAGGAAATCACTCGCTGGAGGTGGGCATTGCCTACTACTACCGGGGTCATCATCTCTATGGGCCCAAGGGAAATCCGGTCATGCCCATGGGGTTTTCCACCCGACAAACCATCACATTGTCTGGTCTTGCGCCCGACTTCGCGCCGCCATATGACTATAACGACCCCACGCTCCTTGAAGAAACCCAGATTCAAGCCTTCGACTGGGCCAAGCGAGCAGAATGGAAACGACAGCAAGCGGAAGGTCAATCGACTGCTACCTCCAATGCTGAAGGTGAGGAAGAAGGCGTGATACTGATGATACAGCTTGCCAGTAGACATGGAGATAGCGACAGGCCCATGCAACAACGGGACTCTATAAAAAATGGCTCCGCATCGGGCTCCATCTCTTTTGATTTACACTTGTGCTACTTGATCGACGAGCTGCCCAGCTGACCACATTCTAGAACCAGGTTCTTCGTCGACTTTCGCCACCATGCGCATCCCGGATATCAAACGTGACAATCCCGAGCGCCAGTACAATGCCTCTGCGCGGTACCTGGCTGCTTCTGCTCCGGGATCAACTCACCCAACGGCACCAAGCTCCCCTCAACTCACCAAGATGTCGACCATTGAGGAGGAAGATAGCGACTCAACTTCTACATCCCTCCGTCGGATCGCCTCCACCAGTGGCATATCTTCACGATCCGCCACACCTATAATGACTTCTCAGCTCGATACACAGCACCGTACGCCTCTTCAGTCTTACACCATCCCCGAGCCAGTCACTCCCGTCCTACATTTCAAACAACCCCCCCGAACTCGAGCTCAGCTGGGTACTCCTCCTCGACCCCCATCGCTCCTCCGTTCGCAGAGCATGTCCTCTTTCCCAGCTTCAAAAAGCTCTCTCGACGTGCCACCTCCAGGCTACAGCTTTGACGAGCCAGTTCTTCTCTTCAAAAAACCTCCTCATCCCCAGCCCCGGGGTTCTCTCTTCGAGAAAACCTCTATCACTACAGGCCCATCTACCACCAGAGCCGCAAGCCTCCAAAACGAACCCCTAACCCGTAAGTTGGACGCCGCATTCGCCCTGTCCCTCTACAAAACATCCAAATCCTCCACCAGCGTTCCGTTCGATCCACCCATCAAAGCTCCCCTACCATCCCAAGACTTCGGTCCCATAGGTGCAGGTCGCCCCCGCCGTTCCTCCCTCCGAGACGCTTCCTTCGCCCTCAACGAATCTCATAATTTAACCCGCACCGTCCGGCCCTCCCCAAATCCACCTTACGAGCCCCCTGCTCTTCTTTCATCTAGCGACGTCGACCGCACGGTTCCGGAGCCTGGCGTGCTACACTGCCCGATCCACGGTGGCAATTGCGATGGCGTGGGTGTTACTGGCTTGAATTTGACAGAGGCTGTTGCCCGGGGTGCGGGATTCACTGAGGTGCTGCCTTGTTTGAGGAGAGGTGATAGGGTCATGGTTGACTGGGAGAGGCTTTTTGTGGAGGAGATGGAGAAGGAGGGAAGGGAGGTGAAGAACCGCAAGGTTGATTAAGGGTTGTTTTCTGTGGTGTTGCGTCTGTGTATTTGTAAGTTTCGTGTTTGCATAGCATTGCGTGGGCAAAGAGGTGTTTAATGGGTGGTCGGATGCTCGGATGCCTTTTCTTTGTTTTCTTTTTCTTGCTTCTTTCCCTCTCTCTAGTATAAATGAGACTGAGTAGACAACTTGATATGAAAGTGAGATACACTTTACATGCTTCTTCATGTTAATATTCCTTTCCCTCAAATAATCTTGATATGGTGACATCTAGTTCCCCAAGGTGTCGTAACGAGATACCTACCTAACTCTGAATGACGTAAGACAGCATGGCTGGATGTACTATCGTTTAATTATAACTGGGGTGAGGAAGTGTTTTCCGGGTTGGTTTAGCAGACATTTTCAGGATTTGCTGTTCTACACCGTGTTATCTTGACCTCATTTCAGAAATCTGGATATGGTTATGCAAGTGTGTGTGATAATGGTATTGAATACCTCATGTTCAAAAAGACGTATTGCTCGACTGTAAGATCTTTTGATCCATTGAAAAAGAAAACATGTGATTGCTCTTGGTACATGGTAGCGTGATATGGGGTTATGAATGCGCTGACTTCACAACACAACTCACTCATCGCAATACCCCTCGATAACGTACAGAAACGTAGCATTTCATAAGCGCATTCAATTGAATGGCATAGAACTGATGTGTAGCATCATCCACGCTACCCGACATGACATTTGAAAATACATATGTACTAAAGAAAAATGAAGATACAGGCCCTCGAATCCACATGCAGAAAAACCGTCAACGATGAAAGAAGAAAGAAAGAAATAATATCTGAAATGCTATATCGACGCCTCCCGCTGTTGAAAGCCCACAAAACAATACCCTTTGTCCCATATCCGAATTCCCTTTCCTGGATTTTTCTTACAAGATGGCTATAGCCATTAGCCTGGTATCATCGTTCCTATTTTTCCCTTTTCGTAAACTAAACCGGTCGATAGAACGCTATGTTGAAGTCGTTCATGAAAGGACGTCTTGTGTGAAGACGTCCGCTTCCCCTTCCGTCACCCTCACCACCTTAGGAGTTGTGACCTACGACTGTCCCGGCCAGATCGCATCAGCAACGCCCCTAACAAGCTGCAATTTCTTCCTCATGTCCTCATAACCCAACGCATTACCCTCAGCGTGGCTGGCGAATCCGCACTGCGGACTCACACAGAGCTGTTGTAGCGCATCTTCCTTTGACTGTCCTGTGCCCTTTGCGACAAACTCGGCGGCCTGCTGGACGCGGGAGATCATCTCGTCCTTCTCTTCTAGTTTTGGGAATTTGGAAGTCACGACGCCGAGGACGGCGTTTTTGTGCTTGGGGAGGTGTGCGAGGGGTTCGAAGCCGCCGGCGCGTGGGGTGTCGTATTCAAGGTAGTATGTGTCGACGTTGAGGTCCTATTCCGGAGTTAGAAGACGTTTGTGGAATTTTGGGCTGAAGAGAGAAAGAGGGGTGTATGGGGAGGGAGGTGGTACGTACTTGGAAGAGCTTCTTAGCAATGGCATCGTAGGCACCTTCGGAGAAATGCCTGCTTCCCACGTAGTTTCCACGGCAGAGATGAATACCGAGGTGCATGTCCGAGGGCCTTTCAAAGCACTTGTTGTAGAATTTGACGTAGGCATCGAACATCTCGTCGGCCGTCTTGTCGTTGTCGCTGTCAGCAGCCCACCCCTCCAACATAGCCTGGGAACAGAAATACGCCAAGTTGGGGTCATCGATCTGAATGTTTTTGATGCCTTGTGCGTGGAGGATTTTCAGTTCTTCCTGGTATGCCTTTGCTACGTCCTCAAAATATTCTTCGTCGTTTGCGTAGACGTCTTTTGGGTAAGCCCTGCCGGCCTTGTAGCGGAAGTGATACCATGTTGGGGAGATGATTGTGATTTTAATGTTCTTCCACTCGCTTTCCGGGACTTGCTTCTTCATTATGTCGACTTCGCGCTGGTTGCTCGAGTGGCCGGGGTGTGAGATTTTGCCGACGCATACGGTGACTTGGTTGGGGACTTCCTTTGACTCAAAGAAGGATTTGACATCTGGTGCATATGGCCTGAAAATGCTCGCATCGTATCCCTTCATAACACCCAGTTGAAGCTCCTTCATTCCGTTTAGCTCCTCGAAAAAGGTACCCCAGAACATGTGCCTGCATGCATGATTAGGGCTGGACTTTTTTGTGTATGCTGTGCAGTAGCGCGAACCGACAAAGGCTTACCTGACATATTCGCCGCTGGAAATGGCATGGAAACCTGCATCCTTCTGCAGCTTCACAACCTCGGCAATGGACTTGTCTTCCAAAGGAGTAAGATCTGCCTGGGTAGCCTTGCCTGCAGCTACATCATAGCGTTTCTGTACTAGCTCCTGGGGCCGGAGAAGAGATCCAACGTGCTCGGCTCGAAAAGGTGGGCATCTCTTTGCGGTAGACATTTTCTATAAGGATAGAGATGGATGTTTACTTCGAATTCGACTTCAACTTCAGTTTCAGCGGGGGTGACGAGACAAACAAACGATTGCAGCACGAGGGACATGGGGCTTTAAGGCCACAAAAAGGCCCCTCATTAGGTGCCCCGCAACGATACCCTTTGCGTGTGCATGTGGTGCATCGCATCCACATCGATTGTGTTGGTCAAATGGGGCCGGTGGAAAAGTGACGAAGTCAGGGTCCGCTAGCTGTTGCATCTTGTGTGCGAGATGAGGTGCGCTTGCACGATTTGCGAATGGTACAATCTCGGAGACGAACAGCCGTTTGCCCAGATTGCTTTTTATAGCGCCATCAAAGTATAAAAAACAGTCAAAGGAGGTGGTTAGTCAAGACATACAGCAGTACAAGTGTATTGTGGGACTTGGTGTGGTGAGATCGCCCTCATGCCTTTCTCCACATCCCGCTCGAGACGATCGTGGCGATACCGCTTGACGGGTGTGTGGAACGACTATGCGAGTCCAAATATCGTTCTGGGATTTATGCCAGGGTAACTCATTGGTGACATCAGATCGATTCTGCCGCCTTTACCACGGTCATGTCTTGCCATGTATGCAGTAAGCGCAGCGTCAAAGTCTCTGCCCTGGCGGATTAGTTGCCATCGACAAGCAGTGAGCTGAGCCGACTCTGCAAAGCATCATTCGGGACTTCATACGCCATGTATTACTCCAACGGATTTATTGCGGCCATAGCAAACACCATTTCAAAGCAGAGGCGTTAAGAGCAAAAGCCGCCGTGATGCCCCGCAGTGGGGTATAAGGGTACATATTACGACATTGCCTCGAGCATAAACATTTCACCACTGGCAATCCATCACTTCGCTACAAGCTGCACATGCTGATTTCTCCACCACGAACGAACCAACGAACCAACCAACGAACAAACAAACAATCAGACGGACATTTCTCAATCCACAACCCATCAGAATGACGCGTGTTCTACTTACAGGTGGCAGCGGCTTCATTGCTGCACACACTCTCGATGTACTTCTGAAACGGGGCCATTCAGTAGTCACGACAGTACGAACGCAGGAGAAGGCAGACAAAATCAAGCTGGATCACAAAAGCGAGGTCGAGAATGGACAGCTCGGTTTCACCATCGTACCAGACATTGCTCAAGAGGGCGCCTTCGACGAAGCGGTCAAATCGGAACCGCCTTTTGAAGCTGTCTTGCACACGGCTAGTCCATTCCACTTCAACGTCACGGATGTGCAGAAGGTAGACTACGAGTGACCACGCAAGTTTTCATAAAGTTATTGACTATTGCAATAGGATCTGCTCGACCCCGCAGTTATCGGCACTACGGGTATCCTCAAATCTATCAAGAAGAGCGCACCTTCTGTGAAGCGCGTAGTCATCACATCTTCTTTCGCCGCTATCGTCAACCCATCCAAGGGCGACTGGCCCGGCCACACCTACACCGAAGACGATTGGAATCCAATCACTCACGAGGAGGCTTTGCAGAACCCCGCGAACGGTTACCGAGCTAGCAAGACATTTGCAGAGAAGGCGGCGTGGGACTTCCTCGAGAAGGAAAAGCCGAATTTTGCAATCTCTACTGTCAACCCCCCGCTCGTGTTTGGCCCCATTGTAAGCTTGACGATAATATCCATGTGCCAGGATGCAGCTGATATCCATCACAGGTGCATGCTCTAGACAGCCTGGAAAACCTAAACACTTCGAACCAGCGCATCATGTGGGCGGCACAAGGCAAATGGAAGGATGAGCTTGCTCCTACTGGCACATATCTATGGGTCGACGTGCGCAATGTGGCCGAGGCCCACGTGGCCGCGTTCGAGAAACCCGAAGCGGCCAACAAGCGTTTCTTCGTGGTTGCGGGACACTTTAGCAACAGAGAACTCGCCGATACCATTGGCAAAAACTTCGCCGAGTACAAAGACAAGCTACCTACCAAGTCGGCTCCAGGTGGAGATTACCCCGAGGGAGGACGCGAAAAGGGCGTGTACGAAATTGACAACAACCGATCGATTTCAGTACTGGGGCTCAAGTACAAGACCTTCGAGGAGTCCATAGTCGATTCGGTGAAGTCGTTCCAGCCCAAGGGTCTATAATCCTGCATACTTTGGATTGGTTAGCATCGATGCATTATAGAATGTAAGAAGCTATAATAGACGAATACATGTGTAAAATCAGATTGTTGAGCTTGACTTATTTATGCTAATCTTCATTGACGAGCTAAGAAGTAACGTTTGAATATTGAATCATCATTGGAAAATTGAAAAGAGATGTAAAGGAGATGGAGGGTTGCTTACCATTGTGGTCGGGTGTGATGTAGAGGAGAGTGAAGGTCTCGACGAGGAAAAAAAAAAAAAGTAAAAACATAGAGCCGGGCAAACTCCGGCCTTCCCATTCGTGCTTGGCAACTGCCCCGCCAACACAGCAAAGCAGTGCCATCTGCCTCGACAACCAGCGTCTTGCAATCCCCGACCCCCGCGTCTGCCAGACTTTCCTTCTCTTCCTCATCCCCACCACATCCCTCTCTCACAAACGTCAAGATGGATTTCAAACAAGAGGCTCGTAAGTGGCAGGTCCAATCGTGGTGCTTTTGTTTGCCAGAAAATGACTGACCCACGCGCCTTGTTGTAGTCAGCTTCGTTGGCAAGTACTACCAACAATTCGACTCAGATCGTAGCGCACTTGCGAAGCGATTCTACGTACGCCTCTCCATCTCGATCCGGGACTCGCTGCTCGAATGCGCCTAACCTGACACAGGCCGACAACTCCATGCTCACCTTCAGCAAGGACAACGTCCAGGGTGTAGCTGCCATCCACGAGAAGTTTACGGTAATCCGACCCCCCGCGGCACAATGTGGTCGGATGCTAATGGCGTAGAACCTCTCGTTCACCGAGCAACTCATTCACCAAATCGATCAAACCGACATCGACGTGCAACCATGCGCTGATGATGGTATCATGATCCTCGTCACCGGAAAGCTCCAGGTGCGCTCATACACAACCTCTGGCGATTCTTTGAGCAAATGCTGATGACTTGAGCAGGAATTCGGTCAGCCTATGCCGTTGTGCTTCGTGCAGACCTTCCAGATCAAATACAGGGGCGGCAACGAGGCTGAGCCCTGGTACATCTTCAACGACATGTTCCAAATCGTTTGGCCGGCGGCTTAGAGCAGTCTTGCACGCGATAGTAAACAATCTCAACTCGCGATTTGCGACTAAAATTTGGTGGCCGGGGCCTTGGCATTTGAAGGGGGTGGGGGGACATATTTACTTGGGGTGATAGATTGCAGAGGACGTCCTTGAAGTGAGGAGCATCGAGCACTCGCCTCTGCAGGCGTGCCGGCTGTCTCGCGCATTTTGGTAGCGGTTAGACCAAATATATCCGCCGCCGACCCTTTCGCTTTTCCGTTTTCCGTGCATGCTTCTTAGCTTTTCCGCAGCCTGCTCCTTATCCGACCAAGACTGTTAGCACCCGCGGCGCTTCCACCCCGCATCCTGGATCAAGTCTCTTCCGGTCGTCACTGCCGAGCTCGTTCCCTGCGTCGCAGCTCGCATTTAGCGCCTACAGTGTCCATCGCGGTTCGTCCACTGCGCCAACTTGTTCCACTTATCCTCCATTCTCTCCTCGTTTCGTTGTTTCCTTCTTGCTGCTGGCTCAATATCCTGCCAACTGTACCGTCAAATTTCATGACACGCTGTTTTTCAGTATAACACATCACACTCGTCCGTGCGATGGCTGGTCTCGTTCAAAAGGGTGTCAAGAACATCTTGCAGAAGAATCCCAATGATGTGGTTTTCCTTTCCGCCCTCCGAACTCCTGTCACAAGAGCCAAGAAAGGTGGGCTCCGGGATGCATACGACCATGAAATGTTAGCCGCTGTATGCAAGCCATACGCAACTTCATACAAACAAGTGTCTGACGAGCACCCAGGTCCTTAAAGCTACCACTCAAAAATTCCCAAATCTCGATGCCTCCAAAATCAATGATGTATGCATTGGTACTGTCCTATCAGAATTGGGCGGCTCCAAAGCAGGTCGCATGGCGATGAACCACATTGGCATACCTGTAACGACTTCATTTAGTACCGCGAACCGAGCTTGCGCATCCGGTCTTACCGCTATAACTCATATCGCAAATTCAATCGCCGTAGGGCAGATTGACGTGGGCATCGCAGGTGGCATGGAGAGCATGACACGAAACTACGGAAGTCGAGCTATCCCAACCGAGTTATGGGGTGAAATGAAAGAGTCACCTGTCAAGGAAGCTCGAGATTGCATCATGAGCATGGGCATTACATCAGAAAACGTTGCAGAGAGGTATGGCGTCTCTCGTGCAGACCAAGACGCTTTCGCCACCGAGTCCCACCATCGCGCTGCGAAAGCACAATCCAGCGGACGTTTCGACGAAGAAATCGTGCCAGTCACTACACGCTGGATCGACCCAGAGGTTCCTGAAAGCGAGAAGCCGGTGACTGTGACAAAAGACGATGGTATCCGGCCGAACACCACAATAGAGAAACTGTCTACCATGAAACCTGCGTTCAAGAGTGACGGAACTAGCACGGCTGGAAACAGTTCCCAGGTCTCCGATGGCGCTTCTGCGGCTCTCATGATGCGTCGCTCTACTGCCAACGAGCTAGGCCTAACTTCTCACATCATTGGCAAGTGGGCTGGATCGCAGGTCGTTGGTTGCTCACCCGATGAAATGGGTGTTGGCCCTGCCCTGGCGATTCCTAAATTGCTCGAGTACACAGGTGTGCAAAAGGAGGAAGTGGATCTCTGGGAGATCAATGAGGCATTCGCCAGCCAGGCGCTGTACTGCATAAGGAAGCTGGGCCTAGAGAACAGCATGGAAAAGATCAACCCCAACGGAGGTGCCATTGCTTTGGGACACCCGCTGGGCGCAACCAGTGGAAGAATGCTGGCTACTCTGCTGAGCGAAATGGGAAGGAGCGGACAACAAATCGGTGTTCTGAGCAAATGCATTGGCACCGGCATGGGCATGGCGAGTCTGATTGTGCGCGAATAGGGTTCAATTTGATCTCATGCATCCGGCTGAAAAGCTCTGGCGTTATAGCGACACATGAGTCCTTTGTTCACAGCAAAGCATTTTTTTATTGTATACAAGGCACATAGATTCATGACACCACACATATGTATATAGTTATGTACAAATCAACCTGGGTATCATTTCAAGTGTTGTCTGTGATTAACGCCCGCTCATTGTGACCTGCTAGCTTCACCCTCCCCCCCATCAACATTATGTTCGTCGCTCTCTATTTCTTCTGTTTCTTTTTCGAGCGTCCAGCCAGCAGCTCATCGAGGTAGCTCACAGCCTTTGGTTTTACTGCTGCACGTGACTTGGCAGTGCTCTTTCTGACTACATTCTCGTTGCTATCCGCGTCTTGACTTTCAGGCCTCCCTTGCGATTCTTCTCTAGTTTCGGCTCTCCTTTTCGGTGCTGATGATGCCAACCCGGCATTCTCCTTCCTCACAGCTCCTCCATTACCGTCCTCACCACCATCACTTTCCACCCCAGATTCTGTTGCCCGCTTCTTTGCCACTTTCCTTCTCTTTGACGTAAACGCTGATGCCCGCCCTTCCTCTTCATCCTCACTTTCCTCTTTCACTTCATTGCGCTGAGGCTTCCCGATAACCTGCGGCTTGGCGCTGCTAGTCGTAGCTTGTCTAGCAAGATGAGCTTTTGCGGCCTTCTTTCCTAGGAGTTGCTGTAGCAGTTTGTCGTCTGATGCTGGTATTCTCCGTGTGAAGCTTCCGTCTTCGATGTCTTTTGGGATTGCGGCACCGACTCCGAATCTGCCGCAACCCGAGTCAGTGAATTCGATCGAACTTCGGTATTCCGGGGATTGATTTCTCGACTTACTGCTCATCGTCTACATATATATCCTTCAAATCTTCATCAGTGTTTTCTTCGATCGCTGTTGAATTGAACAGCGTCGCGTCGGGTGCCCCTGCTAGCGACGCAAAGAGCGATTCGTGTTGCTGTGCTGCTGCAACAGCTAGCTTGCTTGAAATTATTTCTCCTTCATTATCTCTTTTCGACATGTTTTTATGCGAACGTTGGGAGTGAGTGATCTTGAGAGCGTGGAGGGAACTTTCATATCGAGAAATATTTATCAATGCGATGTGATTGGCTAGGATATCATGACTAAGGTTATCTGATGTGGATGTTCGCTTGGCAAGCTGTGACAATCAATCTTTCATCAACATCTCGTCTGATGTACTTCGAACACCAACACGACAACGTCACCGAGGCTAGGCACCTGCCTCCAGATTACACGCCTCATTATTTCCACAGCAAGAGATAGATATTGGGTCATGACTTACAGACAAATAAGTTCGATGCTCCTGACTGTAGGGTTGTGGATTAATGGATCGCTCCGTGGACGCGATATCCCCTAGTGTGGGCACCGAACACGACGTGAATCTCAGGATTCAGATTCGCGTGCCCGTCTTCTATTGCTAGCCGTAGGCTCATTGCTGCCTACCCATTTACTTATCTATGGAGCTGGTTATGTGAGGTTGAGTTTGTTATCATTCACGTTTCCCTTCTACGTCTTATACTCTACGTGGCATAGATTTCGTTACCGCGCGCTTCGTGACCTCTAACCCACCTTCACTTTTACATTATTTGATCAAGCTCGCATATTCTCTCCGGTTTGCAGTTGCTTTACTTCCCCTCTCTACTAGTCAAACAGTCTCTTCCATACAAAACTGTTCTCAACCTCCATTTCGATTATTTCATTATGTCTATCAAGTTATTGCTAAATCATTGTCTGTTTTCTTGTTCAGATTCACAGTAGGAGTGCTACGGGTCTTTGACAGGCTCCCATATGTCGCTCCTCGCAGGTATCCAAAGCTGGACGGCTGGTTAAATTTCGCATCCGGGACATGAAGCATTCGAACATCAGGCATGGTGCCTCATGGCTGCAGCCCCCAGACGATATGTGCATCGTGCACTCTGCCGAATCCTTGGACTCGGAGCGGTCATAACCCTCACCTTTGGAAACCAAACGCTACTCCGCCAACACATGGGCCCCGTATACAGTCACATGGGCGTGTGAATAACACAGCCTAGCCACTACGCCACATCTGTGGTTGGTGTTGTCAAGCAAACACGCTCACGACGTCAATATGGCCTGTGCGGGCCACAAGCAAACACGCACACGACAAGCAACCAAACACCATAAGCGAGGATACCAACATTTTCAATTGTCTATATATACTGTGGGAGCAGGAATTATTCTCATCAGTACTAGTCGAGAAGCACGTAGCTTGCTGGAATGAGAAAGTGTCAGACTTGGTTCTGACCCACACACAGTCCAAACCAATGCGGCCTTCTCGGGAGTTCGAAACTGCAAGTAAACTAAACTCCGCATGCATAATGCGAAAGTTGAAGTTTCTAACGGTGAAGCACGCCAGTAATGGGGTCTGGGCCTTAAAGTAGCCGCTTTCTTTTTGCATTTTTTTTTCACCGCATGCCTTTTTTCGTTTTTACCAAGTAGCTGGCTGCTTGTACCTTTAGGATCTCTTTTGTCAGTTGCAGCTTTCACTGGGCAGTATAGTTTTGTCCATGTTTATGTGCACATTGGCGTTTGCCTTTCCCTCGAAGCGGACGGCGTAAAATGCATTACACGTCTATACTGTGGTACTTACCCATGTACGGTGCAAGCATGCACATTTCTACATGTTCGATTACCCTAATGGGAGTCGTTTACAGGAACCATCCTGCTCCTGGGTTGGCTGGACTTGGTAGGAGCCGCGAGAAGGAAGCATGTTCAATCATGGGCGATAGGTATCTGCGCAGCAAGAGAAGCTCTGGGTCCATCTTGCTCTGAGCATTGATCTGCCAAGTGTGACGCGGAAGATGGCAGGTTCTAAGCATGTGTAGGCGATCTGAAAGGCTCACTCATCAAGGACCAAATACGTATGCATGCAGACTGAAATCGGCCCTGGTATGGTCGAGAATTCGCGAGCAAGACATCGACATCAGATACCACACACCAGGGGGACCGTTGGCTAACTGGCGTCTACTCCTCACGTCATTTGTATACTATAGTATATACATATGTATATATATATTTTCCTTTCTTTACTGCTATCCACAGCATAACACCAATATTATACACAAAAACAATTGAGGGCTCTTCGATGCATGGGACTCGAGTATCGTAAAATTGAACAGAAGCGTTTGAGTGAAATTGTCGGTTTAACCGATCTATTATTTTTTTTCTGGATGTCAATTCACATACATTGCAGGCAGTGCAGATAGTTGGGCCTGGTTGGAAAAGCTCTGCAATCATTGATCATATGCGGCTATTATGGACTCCCGGCCGAGCTCGAAAACAAACCGCTAGGGGTTCTTGGCACATCGATCGGAACCTCGAGAAACTCCCGCAAGCTCCATCACATCTGCTCCATCAACCCCGTCGCAAACATCCCCATTACTTCTTTCCGGTGCTCTTCTTCTAGGACGCCATGTACAAGCTTCTTCGCAGTCGGCCGCTGACCGGCGCTCTGCGCGCTGCCGTTGTGAGTCTTCCGATGGACCCTGGCATGCTGCTCAAGTTTCTGACGACGAGCTGCATATCCTTTGAGAACCCACGTTAACAGATTGCAGGCAAGCCCATTGAGGCAACCAGTCATCCAGCAGTCTCGAGGCCTTGCTATCCACGAATACAGATCCGCAAACCTTCTTGAGTCGGTAGGGCAGCCCTAATGGTTTTCGCATAAAACATCATGTGCTGATGTGCTATCTAGTACGGCATTGGTGTACCCAAGGGAGGTGTAGCCACCAGCGCTGCAGAGGCAGAGCAGATCGCCAAGGACATCGGTACGCCCGAATTGATATAATGAATGTGTTCAGACTCCCGAGCTAACGGGTGTAGGCGGCGATGATGTTGTTATCAAGGCTCAGGTTCTTGCTGGAGGCCGTGGAAAGGGTACCTTTGACAACGGCTTCAAGGGCGGTGTCAGGGTGGTTTACTCGTAGGCATTCTTTATCGTGTAAAGAAAATTCACGTTGCGACTGACCACAACATATAGCCCTCGGGAAGCCTCCATCCTCGCGGACCAGATGATCGGCCACAAGCTCATCACCAAGCAAACCGGAGCTGCTGGTCGGCTCTGCAACTCCGTCTACATCGTTGAGCGCAAATTCGCCCGCCGTGAATTCTACCTCGCCGTCCTCATGGACCGTGCATCGCAAGGGCCTGTTATTGTTGCTTCTTCGCAGGGTGGAATGGACATTGAGACCGTGGCCAAGGAACACCCTGAAGCCATCATCACCACCAACATCGACATCCACAAGGGCGTGACGGACGATATTGCACGAAACATCGCGACCGAGCTTGGATTCTCCGAGCAGTGCATCGAGGACGCCAAAAACACCATCCAGAACCTGTACAAGGTCTTCATGGAGCGCGATGCTACCCAGATCGAGATCAACCCTCTCTCCGAGACCACCGACCACCAGGTTCTTGCCATGGACGCCAAACTGAACTTCGACGACAACGCCGATTTCCGCCAGAAGGAGGTTTTCGAATACCGCGATATCACCCAAGAGGATGCTGATGAGGTCAAGGCTTCCGAGTCTGGTCTCAACTTCATCAAGTTGGATGGTGATATCGGCTGCCTCGTCAACGGTGCTGGTTTGGCCATGGCTACCATGGACATCATCAAGCTGAACGGTGGAAGCCCTGCCAACTTCTTGGATGTCGGTGGAGGTGCTACCCCCGAAGCCATCAAGCAGGCTTTCGACCTCATCACCTCGGACCCCAAGGTTACTGCCATCTTTGTCAACATCTTCGGTGGTATCGTGCGCTGTGACGCTATTGCCAAGGGCTTGATCTCCGTGGTTGAGACCATGAACCTGAGGACACCCGTCATTGCTCGGTTGCAAGGAACTAACATGGAGCAGGCACACAAGCTAGTAAGTTGCATGCCATGTTCAGCAAAGTGATACGAGACTGACTTGCACGATAGATTAACGAATCCGGCCTGAAGATCTTCTCCATCGATGACCTCCAGCAAGCTGCTGAGAAGTCTGTCCAATTCAGCAAGGTCGTCAAGATGGCTCGTGACATTGATGTTGGCGTTGAATTCACTCTTGGTATCTAATTGTCCTATCTTTCCTTGGACGCATGCCGCTGACTGTGCTCGTTCACCTTCGAATGAAGCGCGTTAAAAGCGAAACCTCACATTGGGAAAGAAGATAGAAAGGTTGGGAATTGGGGATGGGCTCGTTGTCACGTGTGTATTATTCAAGTCATCCATAGTACCCCTGTTCCTTTATTGTATTTAGCTGCATGAAGAGCGCATTTTTGTCAGTTCATGAAGGTTTTGCTCCCTCAAGTTGCTCTATGTGTCGTATTCTCACGGAAGCTCCACCCACGCCTCCGCGTTTGACCCGCGTCCGGTGCTGCGTCGCTCTCTCCAGGTCTCCCCCTCCGGCTCCTCGTCTTCCTCAGCGTCCACACCCTCGCAAGTCCATTCCCATCCTCAGCATGCATCTCTCTATTCTTCCTCCTCTGCTCCTCAGCCGACTGCTCCTTCCACCCACCCTCGGTTCTATCCTCCTGCTTCTGCGGCCACAAAATCTGCCTCAACAACACAGCCCGAATCATCATGCCAAACACAAACAACCAAGTGATCACCAATCCAATCGTCATAGCACACCCTACAGCCTGGATCGCGCCATTCCCATCCAACGCCTTAGCAATCGCAAACGTCGCCGTCGTCAACGCCGTATTTGGAAAAACAAACGAATACCACGTCATTGCAAAATCCATTTTACCCCTAGTCGCACAACTCCAATGCGCACCCACACTGACGAAGAAGAACCATAAGGCTAGACCCCACAACCACAGTCCCACGAAATTAGCGCAGATCATGGCTACATCCCCGACGAGTTTGCCCAGTCCCTCCCCCATGAAATTAGCATATTCGGGCGTGGCCATGATCTTGGGGAGTTCCTGGCCCATGTTGACGATGCCTGCGATGGTGAAACCAGAGGGTCCGACCGAGATGAACATTCCCGGACGAAGCGATTCCTTGGGCAATTTCTGCGTCATGAGGCGGTATATGAAGGCGCTATAGACCATGAGGGAGACCATGAAACCTATGCCCTGCAGGACGAAGCCTGAGAGGATGATTTGGAGGGCTGTGTGGGGGGAGGTTACTTTTGGTGCGAGGTTACCTGCGTGGGGACCGATTATTAGGAGCGAATAGGCGGGGAAGATCCAAACGGGCGTCATCTGGGAGATTGTGAAGGTTTGGGTTGACCAACTGGTATTGGCGAGATTAGTTTCTGTGTCTTGTGTGTCTATATTTGTTGGGAAAGTGGGATGGGAATCGATATTCGAGGGGGAAGGAGGACTAAACGTACACGATGAGGTAGATGGTAATGGAGAAGCAGATGGCTAGGCCGCAGTCGATCCAGTAGAGTATACACATTGTCTTCTCGAGCCAGAACCCGCTCTTGCCGACGCCATATTGGCTCATGTTGATCAGGATGGTGCCGAAGCCTACATTCTACCAGTCAGCTTTCTCTGCACACTAGTAAGTTGGGGAGAGGGATTTCTTTCTTACTTATCACAGCAGCGGGTATGAACAGGCTCTCGGTGGGATGGAGGAAAGAGGCCTTGAAGGTTTTCGGAAACCAGTAGAAGCGGAGCGATATCATAGTTACGTTGAAGACGAAGAGAACCATGTTAAGGATGAAGAAGAGACATCCCAACGCGTAAATACCCGGGAAACGATATGGGACTGTAGTAGCACACCGGTAAGCTTTCTTTCATTGCTACCGAGTAATGTGATATCTAACGTACCGGTGTAGAAGACATTCGCGATACCTCCCGTCGCCATAGTCATGGCGAACCATGTCCAAGTAAAATGCCGAGTCCGTTCTCTCCAACTCATCTTCTCCTCTCCAGAGTTCTCCTCGCTCGCCGCCTCTTCTTCCCCAACTTTCTCTGCATCGCGGTGATGCTCGTTATGAGCGGCACCGTCGCTCTCGTGCTCAGTATCTGGAGGAGTATCCTCGAAGCTATGACGATTCCCGCCCCACTGGGTATCCTCGGCCTCTCTGGCCTGCCTTTTACTCAGCTCTTGCTCGTAGTGCCTATCAAAGGGATTCGTGTCCGTATTGTTTGGGTCTACGAAAGGAGAAGCCATGGGTTGCTCGTTTCGCCATTGCAGACGGTCTTCGGCTGTGAGGTAAGAATCTGCCGTTGCTGTCCTGGAGAGAGGCATGTTGACATAGGAACCTAAGTAGGTCGTTGAACAAAAGGTGGGGTTTTGTGCTAAATGAGTTCAATGTGGAGTATAGTGCACTGCTACTCCCAACACGAGATATAAAGAATCTCTTGGTATACAGAAGCGCATGCAGATCTTTCCGAGGCGCAAAGGACGACGGAGAAACAAACGAATGATTCTAGGGAATTTGTCGATGCATGCAAGTGACTATTGGCACGGCACACACCAAACGGTAAAGACGGCAACGTTGTTATCGTAAACAACAAGTGTGTGCATGAAGGCTAGGGCAAAAGTGACGTTTAAAATGCTTGTTCTGGTCCCACATGCAGCTTCTGACGATGGCGAGGCGCGATAGCCGGTAGAATATGCTTCTCGAGAAGTGAAACAGCTGTCGTGAGGGTATTCGCCATTAGCAACACGGGCGAAAAGGCAGAGGAGATGAGGAGATGAAGTGGCTTGTCTGAATGTTTTCTTGTTTCTCCTAGACTGTTTTGCAGGGGCGGCGGGCTGCTACCAACGTCACACGACTAGGAGCGAGAGGTGCAGGATCTACCTAGGGCGCCGACGTGGGGCCAATATCCACCTCGATCGCTCGATCGAGTCTTGTAACTCGTTCATCTGTCCGACTGACTGACCTCTTGTCCAGCATACACCGGGACGTGGTGTGCAATTTGCTACTTCTGTAGAGAATTCGAGCGGTCGTCGCGGGACAGCTCGGTGGTGGTGGTGGTTAAGTACGAAATGTTAAGCGCAGACTGCAGCGATTGGCCAAGTCAACTGACAGTCAATGCCTCTCGTATATGCAACACATGGATGCTAACACTGCAGCCATTTTTTTCATCTTCATCTAACATTCTGTACATATCAGCAAAAAAGGCCCAAGGTTTGTAGGAACGAAACAATATTTTGTGGTCTTGATATCCTCTCCTATTTCAATCAACCACGAGCGAGGGCTTGCTTACTTCACGCCCAGGCTTGATCATCTGCATTGGAGGACGATCGACAAATCCTTTGATTGCCGTTTCAGCGCAAAGGATCAGAAGCGCAAGAACACTATGCCATCCTGGAAATATGGCTCTGGACGAAACAAGGCCGGTGTGTTCGCAACAGTCGATCTCGTCTGCAATCAATCTCCCTTGGACCATCTCTGAAAACACCACATCTTCTCAATGCGGCCTTGTACCGCCAAGTGCATACACACTGTGTAGGCAAGAACACCCGTTTGGCTGCCTTGGCCCGCTTAGCTCAACTGCCGCTGCTCTCGGTACTTAGCCGGCTGCAACAATCCTTGGGGGATCGACAGTCACGGAAATCTGTTCGACTGGAGCTTGCCCATGAAACTGCATGCAAAGCATTCACGGGCTGGCTACACAGAGTTTCTGTGTCCGCTAGAATGAATGAAAGAATGAATGCAGCGCAATCCGCCATTCCTTCGAGGCTAGCATCACTCGCTTCACACTGCAGAATATCCCAACGCCGTCGATAATTCATGCTTCAAAAATTCAATATGAGCCAGGATATTTCTCCTTTCGAACAACTATCACGTTTCCAAAATTGCAATTGGTCTGCTCAAGTGCGATTCAGGCATCTGTGATGCATCATCCATGTGTTTATCATCCCTATGTTATACGAGGTCAGAGCGCGGGAAAAGGATGGACCCGGCCTGTGTTTTTATCCAGCACTGGTTTTTATAGTGATCCATGCGCGAAAAAGCATCTGCATCACCAATGGCTTTTGAGGAGTGCCCATGCCTGGTAACTGAGAATGCGGGGAAACTTCTGCCCCCTGGGCGGGACACTTCATGTTTACCCCATAAACCGCGGCGACCACCCTGAGGCTTTGTGCTTCAATGTGAGCGCTTGGAGCTCAAATCTCTCACTACTTTTGCACACACCTGCCTTTCACGTCACGGCCCTATATGTACCTGCGGGTGCCTCGAGGGCTACCGTCCGAGTAACCCACACAGGTGATCGTTACCATTGGGAAAGACGACCATACTTATATTCTGTCCTCTACTGGCGCTACTCAGCATTGCCGTCTAGACCATGAATTCAACCGTTTACCATGGGGCGCTGGCTGTTAGAGTCTCGTTTGTGCTCACCGGCTTATCCACCATCGTGGTAGCACTCAGGTACATGCTGGCTACCGCCTCCACAATAGTGATTTCGTCCACTGATAAGTCCCAGATTCTACAGTCGCGCTTACATTGTGAAGAAACTTGGTTCTTCCGACTGGATGATGCTCATGGGTTTGCTCGCTACCTGGAGTTGCGCGGTAATAGCGTATTACAACAACTTAGCCATGGATTACAGCCATGTCCATGTACGTTTGCCCTTTCCATACAAGAAATACGCGCAGGCATAAGCACCGACTCACAGTGTCCCATTAGGACCGAGCATCATACGCGAAAGTCGTCTCCAAAGGTCTCCTCATGATGTGGGCTTTTCGCTTCAACTACATGCTCGACCACCTCTTCATCAAACTCGCCATCCTCCTCTTCTACAAATACATCGCTGCCTCGCACCGCACCTTTCACCGCATCGTCACTGCGCTCATTGCCCTCGTTACCGTCGCAAGTATCGTCATGATCAGCGTCAGCATCTTCATCTGTCACCCCGTCTCCGACGCCTGGTCCTCGCACGTTTTCATAAAAATGTTTCAAGGCATTAAACCAACACAGTGCCTGGATCCCACGGGTCTTTGGTACTTCAACGCATCTTTCAATCTCCTCACCGACGCTATCATATGGATCCTACCTTTCCCGTTCGTGCTTCACCTCCGCAGCATGCCAGTGCGTCGTCGCCTCGAGCTTACTGCTATCTTTTCCATTGGAATCCTCGCCGTCACCGCGTCAGCCGTCCGTCTCTGGGTCGTCTCCAAATGGCTGTCAGGATTCGTTGAGTCGGGAAAACAGTTCGCCAATCTCCTCATCTGGTCGCAAGTCGAGCTGCACGCGGGCATCATCGCCGGCTCGATCCCGTTTCTGAGACCCCTCGCCACGCAGGTACTGAGAAAAGCTACTGCTGCGAGGTCCAGTGCGCGGACTCGCGAGAATAATGTGCATAGTCCTGGGGGTGCTCGCGAAAATCTCATGTGGCCAGAGACTACCGAGGATAATGTGGTTATGCCTAGGACGCCCATCATACCCAGTCCGGCGCCTACGTTGGGTAGTGATGGAGCCTTTCGGGCTGCACCAAATTTGCTGTCACCTATAGTGCCGGTCAAACCTGGGATCCTTGCGATACATACAGTTTGAAGTGACATGTGTGTAGGACGGGTTTTATCTGTCACAGCCCGTGACTGTCTCGACATTTGAAGGTCTATCCACCATGTCAAAGTGTGTCCTGAACTCTGCATTTAGTTCACGAGATGTGTGAGCAAGAAATGTACCTCGAGAGATTCTGTGGCACATACAACGAGCCCACGTCGTGTACAGTTGTCTCGAAAGGTCCAATAACATAAGACCTTGCCATGGGTTTGATCTACGACTAGCTATCAAAAAGAAACTCCAGGGATGCAAATTCGCTCAAATCATATTGCATTCAGCCAATTATCTGTAAAAGCGCAGAAAACATCGTCAGAGCGAGCGAAAGCGCGGGAAAGCTCATAGATGAGTTAGAGAGAAAGAAGGTCACACTTGTCTAAAAGGTCGTGAAAGAAATTCAATTACTGAGATCGATAACGAGCCCAACGGGAAATAGGGTATGGTATTGGATATAAGGGCAATAGTTGTTGCTTATGGAAAGACAAGGTGACAGTAGAATCTACAAAAAAGGCAGGGAGAAAGTTGATCAGGGGGGTACAGGAAGGATGAAAAGGCGAGGAAACATCAAAAAAGGACATTTCCAAAACAACTTAGCAAGCCTCATGCCTAAGGCGGAAAGAAAGCGTCTGGAAAAGAGCAAGGTGTGGAGCTTTGTCTATAGAAAACAGGAATGTTAGAGAATCATCTTCTTCAATTCGCGAAACTCTGCTTTTGAGGATTGAGAAAAAATTGAATGGAAAGGTAAACAGCGAGCTTCTGGGAATCCAAATACCCATAAGAGAGATGACACACATGTGTATACATGTACTACATGCGATCCCGGCGGAAATGTAAACGGGAAACAAGTTATCCTATGATACCAATGTAGGAAAGGCTCATGTTTCATAAACCCCATAATTCGTTCTGGTACTACGCTTGCGCAAAGGTCTCTTAGCAGTCAGCGCGATATCGACTAAGCAGGAGGTGGGAAAGAGGGATGAATGAAAACACGTATAAGTATTGAAGAGACAAGCCATTCATTCATTTGTTTGTAATCACAATGCCACCTGTCCCTCTCCAACTGACTCATCAAGTTGAAGGTTCATTATACGAGGGGGAGGATGATAAAACGAGAAATTATCCCAGGGGAGAGACGGAAGGGGGACAAAGAAAGAGTAGTGGTAAGTAAGACAGAAAGAAGTAAGTTTACATGACGATAGACCCTTTCAGCCCTTCATCCCTCCCCCAGCGAGTATAAGTGAAGTAAAAACGCCGTTGCTTTTCTTTTTGACCGCCGCCCTGCCAACCAGAAAAGGGTTTTAGAAACAAGACAAAACAAGAACAGAACAGTAGTGGAAGAGAGGCATGACAAGGAGCCCCGACCCACCACCGAAGTGGAGCAAAGATCGTCTCTTTTGTTCATAGAAAGAAGGCTCCACCAGCATGCAATAAACTAGATCCTAGAACCCCGTACGCACGCAAATGCAGGTTGTAGACATTACCAGCCATAAACACTCCTTCCAAAGTAAGCGGCCTAATATGCCAAGTATCGAATCGTCATGTATAGTGGGCGTAGGGAGAGGTAAATGCCCTGTTTTGATTTAACGTTGAGAAGAGGGTGAGCATCGATGCTTATGCGAGAGACCTCGGGCTCTGCTGCGCATGGGTAAAGAGAGCGTTGAATAGACGTTCAACCTGTTACAAGAGTCAATGGGAAGAGCTTCAGTACATTAGATAAAGGGTTACGAACCTCGGGTGCAGCTTTGACGAAAGGCAGGTCCCAGAATGCATACGTGCGATTTTTGAGAATCTCCAGAAGGGTGATGATAAGGCCCCATGGATGTGGTCTATGTACCAACAGTCGCTCGAGCAAGACGCGTGTGATGGTTTGTTGAACATCCAGGACAAAGGAGTCGTTGTTTGGCGGTCCAAACAAATGGAGTAACGCATAGCTGAAGTACTGCGTGTGTGAATTGGGCCAGCGCAGCTGGTTAGCAATAGCACTGATGAAGTGGAACTTCGCTTCTGGCCGCAGTTGTCGCACCAGTCTCTCCATCAATTTGGCAGCAGGAGAGCTGCCATCGAACGCATGCCCTTTGGAGCTCTCAGAAGCAAGAGCAGTAGCGCCAATGTGAAGAACAATTGCGTGTATGAGAGTCGGGTCAGCCGTCGTGGTAATGAGTTCAAAGCCTGCAGGCCTGGGCTCAGCATAATACACGGAATTGCTAAGCTTCGTCATCTCTGCCTCTTTTGGCTCAGATGCTTTCAAAAGTCCATCAAGAGTCTCCTTGATGCCAGCTTGACGAAGAATCTCGTCAATGTCAGCACGAATGATAGGACCCTGGTGACTGTCTTCGATGCGTTCAACCTTCAGTCCCGCCGTGAAAGGATCAGGCATCTCGAGAATGTTGGAGGGATAAGCACTGACGACCAGATTGCGGAGTTGTGTGCAATGCATGGGAATGCTGTTGCAGAAACGGAAGTGATTCTCGGCGAGGAACTCGGGATAGTCATGGTGAATGACAAGTAGAACCCTCAAGACTCCACGGTAGAACTGTTGAGCGGCCATTGCCTCCCCCGTAGGCTTGATCAACTGCCCGGTATATCGCAAGAGTGTTTCCATCAGCTTGGCATATACGTCCCACCGCTCATCCTTGCCACTTTCCAACATTGCGGGAATGAAGATCCGGTGAGCGATCATGTGCAACCACGAAAAGGCAAACAGCGGGAAGTTGTGCGGCTGTAATGCCAGGAAAGCTCGTGCAATAGCGAGGAACATGTCAGCTTTCAAGGAAGCGAAAGTATCGTCCTTGACGACGTCGTTGAGGTGGAACAAGACTGTAGAGAACAGTCGCGAGAATCCTTTCTGACAAAACAAATCTTTGCGGGTGTTTGCATGATTCATGAGAACGAGGATGACTACAGTCAGGATTTGGTCGAAATAAGTGGCCTTGGTCTCCTGCACAGCTCCGTTCTTTTCGCCCCGATAGACAACCAGATCGACGATGAGTCTACCCAAAGCATCGATCTTGATAGTGGCCATATCCGGGCTGTTCGTGCCATATGGAAGCGCCTGCTCGCGTTCATATGAAGCAATGGCGGAATCAATGCATGTTCGCATGAAGTGGATAGAGTCTGCCTGAGTCCTCATCACATTGTCCTTGTCCAGTTGATACATGAAAGCGGCAATGGCTTTCTTTGGCGTATCGGGATTCTGGAGATGAACCCACTCATCAAAGATGTACTCGAACTGATCTTTGTGGCTAGAAGAAGGTGGCGTTAAAGCATCCTCAATCGGCTGGACTTGAAGTTTGTTGATCATTGATTTTCCAATCTCCAAATCGGGGTCTTCGACCAACCATTGAGTGAGTGCGTCGATGGAAAGTGCAAAGTCAGCGCGGAAAGCACTGGGGTGTTCGCCGAGCAAAGTCTCGTCTAGAAGGCTGTCCAGCATTTGAACAGCTGGGAGCCGACGATCCTGTATGGCTTTCGCAATTGTGGAGTTGACACGCTGCATATCCATCAAACCGACTTCCATGAGAGCCACCATGACAGGTGTGTTGAAGATTCTATCATCATCATGGAGGGTTGCGAGCCACATCAGAACCTGCCTAGACGTCTGCGATGAAAGTTGGCAAAGATTGCTCATCAAATGGGCCAGTGTTTCGACCTCCAAACGACCCGCATCATCTGCGAACAGGAGGTTGGTAACTTGTCCGGCAACACGGAACGCCCATTGCTCTTTATTGGGTCCTGCGAATTCGATACCAGTGATGAGTTGCTCAAAGAGATGATGAATCGGGTTACTTGGCTGCACCTCGCTAATTCGTTCTTCAGGGGCTTCCTTGACCATCCGCATTAAATCTCCAAGAAGATCCTCGGCGTTACGTTGACCGCGCTCGGGCCCTTGATGCTCGAGATATCCGTTTAGCTGCTGCTGGGTTGCCGCGTGGGGTACTTGAGGATTCTGCAGGCGAGATTGCTGAGGAGCCTGGCGCGGTTCGGCGGGGGCTGCCGCAGGCGTTGGCATGCTGGGAACAGCGGCGAATTGATCTTGCAAAACGTCAGGAAGTTGTCGTCCACTGTCCTGGGATGGAACGTTTGCGATTGGAGCGGTTCGGGATTGTCGACCGAAATCGTCGTAGATCGCTAGCTGGTGAGAGTTCAATCCGCCAGCGACTTGCTTGTACGGTTCAGGAATATAGAACGCCCATGGGCTGATGGCAGCATCCTTGAACGGTTCATTGGGACGTGTTTGACGGAAGACACGTCGAGCTCGCACGGCATCTTCGATTTGCGTATCAATTTCCTGGAGAGATGAGACTTCGGCGGCTTTCTCGACAGTGCTACAGACGAGATCGAGATTGTCGTTGACAAACATGAGCACGTGGCCTTCAGGCAAAGCACCGTCGGGTAGGGTCATTTCACGGGACATGCTGCGGATGTTGTTTTGGATGCTCATGCGCAGCGGCTCTTTGCAGGTGACAAGAGCCAATGCACCCGATAGGGCTTGTACGACCGTATGTGCGGCTTTACGCAGCTTCTCCTCGTCAGGTTCCATTGCGAAGTCCTTGCTGATAAGTTGAGAGGTTGAAATGGCAGCGATAGTGACGGATCGCTCGACAACTGGCGCAATTATTTCCTGTATAGCCTGCTGTACCGCGCTCAGGAAGATCTTCTGTAGAGTTGCGACAGGCACAGCATTGTTACCAGAGGGAGGATATTGCAACTGAGAGGTGAAATCGGGCAAAGCGGCAGTAATAGTGGCAGATGAAAACCTCTCGCTGGGTCCTCGGGCGCGATTGAGGCTCATGATACCACCAACTTCACCAAAAGGCTCCAGCGACGGGTCCGGAGGCATGTGTCCGAGATAATCATCATCTGCAGCTGGCCTAGCTCGGATGCAAGTAGATGCTTCGAGTGTTTTGTGATCAAGATCCAATGCTTTGCATAGAACTTCAATCTCGAATTTTTGGTTCAGCTTCAGATCAGCGAAATCATACAGCTCCTTGAGAACGGATAAGATTTCCATCAACCATGGGTTGGGAGGTCGGAAGATGGTAGATTTGACAGCTTCTGCCAAAACTTTGCAGGTGAAGGTAATGACCATGACAATTCGATCGGTGTCGTATCCCTCAATCAGTAAATCCTTGAACGAGATGTTGCGGAACTTGATTGGGTGATTCCTCGCGATAGTGAGAGAACCCAACCAGGCACCGAGATTTTTAAGATAACCGCGCTCGACAGATCCAAGAGCCCCATCGCTATTGAGGATGCGGAAGACAACAACATATGTTTCTCGCAGGACCTCGCTCCACAACAACTTGTCGTTGAAGAGATCTAGCATATCGAGATACACCTTCTGGAAGTTGGGCTGCATCTTGGCTCGCTCCTCCACCAAGTAGTTTGCGAACCATTGATGATGTCTATCTTCAACGGCTTTGGTGAGGTCGTGCATTTTATTCTGTAGGTTGTTGCTGGATAGGTTGTTGAGGACGAACAAAACCTTGTCTTGTATCTCCTCGTCGGGGTCTTCATAGAAGTCCGGGCGCAAAGGAGGTTCCAAATGAAGGCAGTTGAATTTGGGCACGACAGATTCAATCTGAAGCTGTTCGTTCGCTGCATTTCCGTTTGTCAGTCCTACTCCGTTCTGACCTTCTCCATTCACTTCCCCGACCTGAGCATGGACGACTCGCTGGGCAATAGGATAAATCTCGGATTGCTGAAGACCGGGGATCATCAGAAGTTGATCGCAATAGTTGGGCCACTCATCTAGACGATCTTTGAAGTTGAGAAGAGCTTGCAAGCCGAACTTGTACATGGACTCTTCCGGTCGGAACTCCTGGACTGACTCCAGCACCATCGCCAGGCCGACTTGGAGAGCGATGCGCGAAAGCAAGTTATAGTTGATGATACTGCCAAACAGAACAGCCGTGGTAGCCAATGCTTCCACAGGATATTCCCCAAAACAATTGTATTCGTCAAAGAGTCCATGGATCATGCAAGCAAACAGATCCTGCTGGAAAGGATCACGCGATTCCTTGTAGCCTCGTAAAGTAGTGATGATTTCACGCACATCGCTCTTGTCGCTGTACATCTTCTTGAAGTGCTCTTGCATTTCCTTGTCGGCTTCCTCGGGCAAAGCGTTGCCGTTCTGACCGTTGGCATCAATGATGTCGTCCACACCTTCCCCATAATTGACTAAGCGAGGGTAGGCCTGAATACAGTTGCGCTGTAAAGGGAGAAGCTCCTGTTCGGGAAGATCGCACTCGGCAAGAAACCATAGCAATGGGTATACTGTTTTGACCGCAAGTGGCATGCTGATAAGGTTGTGTTCCTCACGGGCGCGCTGCATCTCATCCGAAGCCCTCGCGCCCAGAAAGTTTGTGAGGATTCGCCTGAATAGGGGACCTGCTTGTTCAAAAGTTCGTTGCAGCCAAGGTTCGATCTCGAAAAGTCCACGGGCGTGTGCTTGTGCAGCAAGATCGAGACTGATGTCCGTATTACTTCGGATCAAAGCGTCCAGCCAGCCGAAATTCTGAGCATGCTCCAGGGTCAGTGTCAGCGACATCGGGTCGGCATTGTAGAAGTCCACAAAACGATCAACCAGCCATTGAGTGTCCTGCTGCCACAGACCGTAGAGAACGAAGTTGTAGTTGTGCAATTTCTTGTAATAGTATGGGCTAAACAACTGCTTGAGAGCCTGCTCTTGCAAAGCTCCCCACGGTTTGGGTACTGCGGCTGCGGCAGTGAGGAATTCGGACGTAAAAGGGTTAATCACGGTATCGGGAATACCATACAGTTGAGCAGTATGATACGACTCGGAAGACTGAAAAATCATGCCGAATAACGCGCGGGTAGCGTCCAAGGAAACGTAAGGATGTTTGACAGCTTGCGCTGCGATTGTCTTGACATCCTCCGGTGCGTTCTCGAATGTCTTCATGGAGAATGATGCGCGGAGACGTGGGATCTGAGAAACATCAAGCTCCGTCGGCGTGCATGAGAGGAAGCGGGTAAGGAATGATAACTGTGTCAATCCGCTGGACCACGAACCGCCCCATAGTAATTGGATGTCGAATTTATCGTCGCTTTGCGCAATTGGCAGCAGAGCATGGAACAAGGCCAAGAATTGAGGCTTCGTAACTTGCAAACCTTCGCGATCAAAGGCATGTACAACGTCCTGCCAGTCCAAGTGCTGCCCAGCCCCGTGTTCCCGCAGAGCCGCGACAAAATTCTTGGCATTGTATCCTGAAGATATGACAAGAAACAGAAGGGTAGTTGCGACGTGCTGGTAGCTTATGTCGCGCGTACCGACCGATGCAAGCATCTCTTTGCTTGCTTCCACGGTCTCCGTGCCGCGTGGGCCAGCTTGTTGTACCAGCCTCATCAGAGGATTTTGTGAGCCGTTGGTGAGATCGATAAGCTGCAGCACAGATTCAAGCTCAGCAGGTACACTGGTGCGCAAAGTCTGGTAACGCATCCGGATTGCATACGCCCAGTTGGCTTTTCTCTCCTCGGTCATATCCTGCGGGGGGTTTCGGAAGACGCGTTCGGTCAAGGCAGCGAGGTAATTGGAGGTGATGTTCTCACTATTCGAGTGCTCTGGTTGGGCAATGGCGGGCAGGAGCTCGTCGATTGTGGCTGATAAGACAGCATCGGCTAGGGCTGTTAATTGGCATGATCATCAAAGTTCAGTGAGCATCTCACCTTTTGCTCGAAGATCGGCGTTACTGCCTAATCTGCATGTGGCAGCCAGCATGGCCTTTGCGAAAGGATCCAGTTGGAAGTGAGAGACCAGTGCTGCGAGATCAAAGTCGCGAAACAAATCACCTTCGGACGAGTCAATCGACTCGGCTATCTTCTGCGCCTGGTCGGGATCGGTCCGTAGCTTCTGCATTTCCTCGACAAGCAGGGCATAGCTTCCACTGCGCTCCCCCGACGAAAATATGTGGGCGGCATTGTTTTGCAGCAGGCGACGGAAGGACTTTGCAAAGACCTCCATGCCGTTGGAGTCGATAAGCTGATGAAGATGATGATCAGCTTCCGAGTCCAGACCATACGATGATGACAATGGCAATGATGATGACGGCGGCTTAGAGATGTGGGGGGCAACTAACCTTTCGAATCTGCTCTGCTTGAGCGTTCCACTTAGCGCGGTCCTTATCGTCCTTGACGGGACTCAACTGGCTGAGCAGCAGGAAGACCTGAGCGACGACGATGCGCGAAAGATCCTGTTTCTGTTGTTTGGGCGCGGAGGCGCTCTGGGGGTTAGAGGAGATGGGAGAGCCCACGGTGCTCGAGATGGAGAGTGAAGGTGAAGCGCGGACAAGCCTGGAGGCCCCTCCGCCGCTGGACGTCCCACCACTCCCCTGCAAAGCGGCTGTTGCGGCGGAGGAAGCCTGCTGCGAGGCAGATGAGGGCGCTATGTTTCTGGCGCGGGAGGACAGCAGCTGGGTGGGGGGCTGCTGTCCAGAAGGGGCGGGCGAGAAAAGCGACGACGTCGAGGATGCCGCCGACGACTTGCGACTGCTGCCAATGAGACCGTGTCTTGCAGTTGCGGCGGAAGTGGAGGTGGTAGCAGCTGCCGACGGCGCCGTCGAGGGAGGCGGCAGCGAGGGGAAGCTGGAGGTGGCAGGGGAGAAAGCCGGGCGCGTTCCACTGGGCGAGGGCGTGTTGCGGTCCTGGTCGACAGCAAAGGTGGTGGAGAGAGGTGTGAGGCGTGTGGACGAGGTGTTGGAGGTGTTCTGAGGGTGTCTTCTTGGCAATCCCCACGGGCTGTGCTGGCTCATCTGAATGGCGTTTCCATTAGCAAGCGCTTTGGCGGCTGCAGTGGAAGGTGGTTGATCGGATGGATGGCGGCGGGGATCGATGATGCTTTGTTCGCAGGCGGAGACGATGGGAATTGGGGGGGTTATGTACGAGGCTGGAGGGATATTCTTTCTAGGTGGGTAGGGTGGGAGAGATATGTTCGACCGCGCGTGGTTCAGAACGACACCAGCCTTGGCGTCGCTAGGTACTAGCTAGCGACGACGACGGCTACCACCACCACCACGTCCATTCTACTCTACCTGTGTAGGTAACCCCTAACTACCTGCTCATTTATTCGTGTAAACATTGGATACCGAGGTATACGTATCCTCGAAAGGGCGACATTAGTATCATTCATTTCCATGAGTGCACACGTTCGACATATGCTGCAGTCGATAGCAAAGAGAGCATTGCAACTTGCGGGGGCACGTTGCCATTTTTTACACATAAATCTTCCCTGGTCCAAAACTGAGCATCGTATAAAATGAACAGATCTCTTTAATGTCCGGACGCCCGAAGCGAAAACCCGACGCGGAACATATCACGTCTATGCCTCTCCGGAAGCGACCGCAGGTGACGTCCGAAGAATGCATTACTACGACGCAAGTCACCCACGAAACATCGACGGAAATTTATGAGCTCTCTTCCTTCCATCGTGATATTGTTCATTGGCGTAAGCATCATAAGTGGCCCAGTGGACTCCTCCCAGCGGGATTACCACGAACCTCGCCAGTCTGCACGTACGCAGATGTTAGTGAACTCTCGATTCATGTATTCGAAGAAAGGGTTTGTTTCTGCTCTCAAGAAGAAAGGTATGTATATGCACAGCTTTCACGGCGCTGAAGAGCAGGGCATCACAGAAAGCAGCAAAAGCATCTGCCAAACCCTTCTTGAAGAGCCACAACCCTTACCCACAAACACCATCTTCGACGACGACATATGTCATTAATTCTGAGTCGGAGTTCATGTCAGTCACTGTCGGTACCCTCATGGATAGTGAGGCGACCAGGGGACCAGATCAAAGGCGTTCAAGTTTCTCCTGTCATGAGTTTCGAACCACCCCAGATTTCCATTTGGATAACATGAACAGTATTGCGAGTTCGATGTGCTATTTGGCAATATAATGTGTAACTATAGTATGATTGCTATTCAGATGCGATTTTTCTTCTGTCAGAGTTCTTTGGATCTGTGTCATGATTCAACAGATAGCAATATACCTATAATAGTTTATGCCACCACCCGCGTAGTTGTTACACCCCCAATGCCATCTTCACGCGTCAAGGACCTGGATTGGACTTACACACCGGAGCCTCAGCTCCATTGCCCCTTCTTTACATCATGAATGAGGTTGCCAAACTCACGGAAAAAGCACTATTCTAACTCCCACCCCATTCTCTTAAGCTTTCAAGATCAACGACAAAAGTGGCACAACGGCAACACCCAACGTAGCAAATATCGCTAGCCACCTCAACAGACCCTTCTTAATCATCTTCATTGCCAAATCGTCAATAGCCTTTGAATCATTGATTCTAGGAAACGGGATATCCGGCACATCTTTACCCAATGCCCTGCACAGCGGCTCCCACCCATCTTTGACATTAAAAAACATCAGTTTATCTTCTGGCACCACCCTCTTTAGATAGGCGACATGATTGAAATGCGTCTTCTCAGTAACTGGTTCGCGTTCACCGTAGTGATGTACCCATTGATGCCGCAAAACATTGATATAGTCGACAAAATACCGCATCCCGGGGATAGGGAAGAGAACGAAGCGGAGAAACCACATGGTAGACGCGTTACTCACACCCTCCATGCTCTTCACCCATGTCTCGGGCGTATCGCGCACTGTGCAAATGACCATGGCGTCTGGGTACACCTGGAGCAGCTCCTCCACGAGACCGCACGTGGGCGCGTCTGTGGCGGCGGCGTAGCCATCGAATCGTTGCTTGAGCAGGGCGTGCATTTTTTTCTTGTCTGCTGGTGTTTTTGCGGGGAAAAGAGAAAGGATCTCGATTAAGGAGCGGATTTCGACTTCGGGGCCTAGAGTTGCTTGGGTGCCGCCATGATAGACGGGGCCGCTGAGGAGAACGCGTATGGCTTCGCTAAAGGACGCTGTGCCTGTACGTGAGAGACCTGCGCCGATGACTTGGAATTTGGTGCCTGGTTGAGGCACAGAGGGTTTGTTGCCCATCTTCAGCAGCAGTAGTGTGTGGCTAGAGAATGGTATTTATAGAAGATGGAACAGGGAATTGAGTTGTTGCTCGAATACATGAGTGTGAAGAGACAGAGTTGGTGACCAGCAGATGTATGTAAAGTAACGCATAAGTCGCTTTGGGTCTGATTCGGATTAGTGTGCTGATGTGCATATTTCTGTAATGGTACATATAACCCGCCCCTAGTAGGGGGCCTGGCGAAGGATTCGTAGCCTCTTATGTTTTCATCAGCAAGTATCCAAGTTCAGGTTTGTATGCGGTATGTCAATTATTCTACTATCTGACAATCTGTTGCTTTCTGGTAAGAACTTCGGTCACATGGAAAAAGCTAGTAGTCTCTCATTTTCATGGCAGCTCAGTCAATTGTGTAATCGTTGGTGCTGTTGAAGGGATCATATTCATTTCCACCATTTCTTTTCTAACCCAGTCTGTAATACGTACAAGCCATCTCACGAAAGAACTATGTTGCGTTATCAGAGTTTACGTCATAGAAAGCTTCCATATGATCATTGTATGATACTCAACCTCGTATTGCGCAAGAGGCGCCAACACAAGATGGAACACTTTCGACACTCCCACAATAATGTCTCACATCCGCTTCCACGTCACCGTTGAGAGACTAGCTTGTAAAAGCATTTGGTAAGATCGCTCTACCACAACTGCATAACAGACTTCGCCTTATAATTCTCCTCCAACCTCTTCACTTCCTCATCGGAAAGCTCCACCGCCAACGCCCCAACAGCCTCATCAATCCTCTTCACACTCTGCAGCCCCAAAATTGGATTCACACCCTTCTTCAAACTCCACGCAATCGCGACCTGCGCCATACTAACCCCTTTCTCTTTGGCAATCTGCTCAACGCAGTCCACAATCGCCTTATCACTGTCAGATTTCAGGAGCCCCGCGAACTGATCGGACTCGACGCGTGTAGTTGCGGTAGTGGCCCAGGGCCGCGCGAGGACGCCTTGGGCAAGGGGAGACCAGGGGATGAGGCCGATGCCGGCGAAGGCGCAGTAAGGGTGCATTTCGCGCTCTTCTTCGCGGTAGGTGAGGTTGTGGTAGTTTTGCATGCTAATGAAGGTGTGCCAGTTGTGTTGTTTGGCGATGTTGTTTAGGTGCTGGAATTCCCAGGTGTACATCTGAGGGGTATCTGGTTTAGTCCATGTTCTGGTTTCCCGACTGTTTGGCGAACCGGGGACGAGAAAAGAGGGACTTACGGAACTGGCGCCAATATATCTTACTTTGCCACTCTCAATCACGTCGTTCAGGGCACGCATGATCTCCTCGGGCGGAGTATCCCTATCCAAACGATGGATCTGAAGGACATCTATATACGTCCCCAATCTGAGCGTGACCAATCGTTAGCAAATGCACAGTTTCTCTCCACAATCCGTCGTCCAAGATGCAGAGGAGAAGGGAAAAGACTTACCGCCTAACACTATCATCCACAGCATCCATGATATGTTTTCGGCTCAACCCAACCCTATTGACCATGCCGCCATCATTAACAGCCGCCTGTCCGCTCAGAAACTCTCCCTTGTCCCCAACCACTTCGTCTCCAACCCCGAAGAAGCATTTAGTCATGATGACTAGTTTCTCTCTTTTCATCCCATACTCTTTGATGGCTTGAGCAATGATTTGTTCGGATTGCCCTTGAGAATAGACGTCTGCCGTGTCCCACGTATTGATGCCGAGGTCGTAGGCATGTTTGAGGAGCGGGAGGGACGCGGAAGCGTCGTGAACCCAGGATCCGTTGAGGGTGGGGGAGCCGTAGCCCATTGCTCCGAGGACAAGGCGGGAGATTTTGAGCCCGGAGTTACCAAGGCTGTGGGGAATGAGGTTAGTAGTTGATTGGTTTTGGGGATCAGGTGGGATGGGAGGATTACCGATGGTATGTCATCTTTGGGGGGGAGTCTGAGGTGGTAGCAGTTGTAGACATGACGGAAAGTTTATCTAGGGTATATCGTGCAGTGGCTGGTTATGTCGATGAATTGAGCGATATTGATGATGGTCTCTTAGCGTGCGAGAAGTAGATGACAGTGCAGAATGTCCAGCGACAACAATGGAAGTTTTTCGTGTAGGCAAGTCAGCGGGTCTGTTTCGCGATACATAGCTTCCCTCCCTCTTGTATATAAATATAAGTCTGACATGGTGGACTGACGTTGCCGCCTGCACGAAGGATGAATTAGTCGAATCCGCATGCACGTACGATCCGATCAGTTAGTCGAAACCCCGCTTTTGTTGGCGCATCACCACAAGAAGCCAATGAAACCCTCACAGGTCGTTCGGCTGTCGAAGCAGGAGTGGCGTTAAGATGGAGTATGCAGGGACATCCGGCAATAGGACATATCGATCTGACCTTATTTCCTGCTGCAGAACCATCTCTGGGTTTTTTTTTCGTCCGTCGTCCGTCAAGGTGGTTTGGTTTAAGGCGGGCCGTAGCAGGCATCCCTGTCAGCCCTACAGTTCGCTAGCGCAGCCTTCGGAGTTAAGCAGCAAGCAGACAAACGTTCGGCGGAGGAAAAGCAACAACACGATCTTCTCTTTGTCCCATCTTACTATCGTTGAATGGCACGCCTAAGTCGTGGTTTGGAATGAGCATGATGATTCAAATTGAGTACTCCACAAAAATCAATCTTGGAACGCCCAAGGTACTTTACTCCCCACAAGGACGAAGCCCTCCAATAAAGCGAATGTAGTTACATGTATACTCGAAACTGGAAGAAAAAAAGAAAGAAAAAAGAAGGAACAAGCTTCATATGCGAGACGAGCGAGGGATGAAAAAAAAAAGAAGGTATCAAAAACACCACCGCACTAAAGAGTACGCATGTGCACATCGCTACATCAAACATTTGAAGCAAGCAAGCAAGCCATCGAACCATCAATCAGCCAAAATTGGAGAGAAAAGGACAATTCGGTTCCCTCATTATCTCACGTCCCCCCATCCCTTAGCAATTCTGCAAATAATTGGATGGCACAAGGCCACGCCGTCCATCTTTCCCAACCACTTCAGCCTCCCACCACCCATCGTCTTGCAAGCGAAGCACGGCGAGGATATCGCCCTTGGCGAATGTGAGTTCCTCGGGGATCTGCGCGTTGTACAGGTACATCGCACGCGCTAAAAAGGAACATATGTGTTAGTCATACTGCAATGAAAAATGTTTGCGAGGAAACGAGGAGAACTCACAGTAGTGCAAAATCATGCGTCCGTCCCTGGTATACTGTCTGGGCTCAGCCACGCTCTTGCTCCTACTCCTCGTGCTGAGCTGGCTGGCACTGTGATTCAAATCACTTCCACCGCTGTAGTACGAGCTCTGTGGACGTTGGTTTCCTCCTCCGCCGCCGCCGCCTCGACTCCGCACGCTTCCACCGTACACACTGCCGTCTCCGCGTTCACTTCCAGGGCCTTGTGCGAGTTGCAGTGCCATATCGCTTCCGCGAGAGCTCGAAGGCCGGTCGTATGACTGCCGGAATTGTGGTTGTGGACTGACAGCCCGCGATGTGGGTGCTGCACGTGAGGTTGGACGGCCGTTGCTCTGTGCGTATGCAGGTTGAGGCGACACTGCGCGAGGAGCGTTGCTGTATCCTGGAGATCCACCACGTACCGAGGAAGTGTAGGAGCCTCTTCCAGTGGGTGTTCCGAATGGGCTTTGAGGTTGGCCAGACGTATTCGCTCTTGGTCTAGTGCTTGTGGTCGGTGAAGCATAGGGATTGGGTGATGCAGCACGGTAACCAGCTGGAGATTGTGGTGGTTGCTGGGAAGAGTAATGACCAGGTCGCGGACTGGTGGCCCGTGGCGCTGGGGAAGTGGCCCGAGGAGCTTCCTGAGCTGGGCCACCGCGGGTGGACGGACGAGATGCCGAGCCCGTGTTGAACATGTTGGCCTTCTGGTCGATGTACATCTGCGTAGTCTTCTGCATTTGGCGCGCAGTATGCGCTGGCTGAGGAGCTCCAAGGCGAGACATAGGTGGTTGATCATACGATGGCGGCGGCGTGCCTCGTTTGGCACCACTAATGTTGGCGTTTGCAAGGGGGGTGGGTGCGCCGCCAGGAAGTTGTGAGCCTACAGAGGGAGTACCTGGAGGTTGGGGCGTAGCCAGACCGTGGAAACGATCAGCAGATACGCGGAAGTCGCCTTGCTTGGTCACTCCTTTTAATTCGGCGAGTGCTTGAGCAATCGGATCAAGTTCTTCTCCAGGCTCGTTAGTCTTTGCAGCAGCCTTCTTCTTGTCCGGAGATTCGACGTCGAAGACGTTGTTGCCGATGTTAAGCTGGAAGTTGGCTCTGGGGTCAACGGGTTCAGGGCTCGCGGAACGACCATCATGCAGTTCAACCCCACGCGAGCCTCTTCCAAATGGGCAGGTAGGGCTGACGTTCTCATTGTTACCAGATCGGGCTGCAGGCGCCCAGGTGTTTCTACTGCTGGGTGTAATCGAGATGGGCTCATCCCCATTGTGTGTGCTCTTTCGGCGGGCGAACGGGCTGTTCTGGAAGAAACCTTTCTTCTTCTGCACTTGTGATTCTTCGACTGGCTGTGGCGAACGTGATAGTGGTTTCCCTGGGGAGGCAGAGCCACTTGGAGGTTCCACACTAGAGAATGATGTGGGGTTCGAGTAGTCACTGTTGGAGTCTCTGCTGCCTGGACGTATGCCACCTCGCTCTGATGGTGCTCCAATGCGGCAGAATTGTGTCATTCCATCTGCAGGATATTCATTGTGCGGGACTTTGCTCTGCTGGTATTGCTGATGAGCTTGTTGCTGAGCCTGGACCAAGCGGGGGTCTGGTTGGATGCCCTTCCCTACAGGCGCTGCCGGCTGGATTGGATCGCGAGACGCAGTATTGATTTGATCCTGCGGCACTGGCATGGTGTTACCTCCAAGGCCCATCTCGCGCGCCAATGGATTGTTCGGATCATGATGAGATTCGAACACAGAGGGCTGGGGTGAGTTGGCCCGGTAAGCTGGATTCATAGTCCTCGCAAATTGTGCCACGGAATAGTTTTCGTCCTCGGATGTTTGCGAAGCCGTGTCCGCATCACCCCGAGCGAAATTGATGAACTTGGGTGGGTCGGGTATTTCCTGTCCAGTACCGCTGTCTTTGATGAAGCTGGTTACGTCTTTCTCCACATCGCAGTCTTCCAGAGATAACCGTACTTTTTCGCAGGAGGCGTCGTCACTGACGCATACGGTCGAGGCAATGTTGGCGAAGTTCCAGAGACTGCTCTTTGTGTAATCTATGCGCTCCTCTTCAAGGTCTTGGAATTTCTGTAGCTGTTAGCGACGATGTTGTTTCAATGTTTGATATATACTCACATCACAAGCGGCCTTCCAGTCTCTGTTCCATCGTCCTGTAGTCTCCTCGAGAATCTTGACAGCTGTCTCATACTCTCGTTCTGTTTCGGACAATTGGATCTGTGTCTTTTCTAGTTTGGCCTTGTTCTTGCGCTCTTCTTGACCCATAACCATATGTGCCTGAGCTAGGAAGCCCTTGATCTTCAAACAATCATTCTCGTAGCGATCTCGTGTCTTATTGACCGCCGAGGTCTGCTGCATCTTCAGCTTCAGGAGCTTCTCAATGCCGTTCTGAATGATCTTTCGCCTCTCCTTCATGCCCCCCGCAAAGGCTGCCAGCGGCTCTTCCAGCTCAGTCTTCATCTGCTGAGCGATGCTCTGGTGTGCCTTGCCGGTGGCCTCGATTTCACCGCGAATGACGTCAAAGGACATGCGTAGGGTTCCCGACTCGGATGACCCGAGCGGCTTCCGCGAGAGGTTGAGGAGTTTGCGTGAGTATTCGTCCTCGAGGGCCGCGCGGGCGGCGTAAAAGGACTTGAGCTCGTCTGAGGTCACTTTGGCATTGTGCATGCGCTCGAGCATTGGGGAGACGCCGGCGTCATCCTTGCCCCAGAAGTTGTTGGCAACTATCGGGAATCAGTGTTGGAAAGATTGTAGATTGGACGAGCGGATTGCACACGTACAGGAAAGAGTGACCGAGGGCGGCTCTGCCACTGTTGTGCCAGGCATGATGCCCGTGTTTGTGATTTGCAGCGAGCGGTCGCGCGGGCAAAGTTTGGGACGTTGAAGGGCGGTACAACAACAGAAGCACCACACGCTGAAGAATAAGGTGTTCAAAATATGTAGGCTCGAACTGGCACTAGGAGTACAGTGATTGCGGTGGGGTAGGGATGCGGGTACCTGGGGTTTGCCGTTCCTCGAGCTTTGTTTATCGCCCGCCCATCGTCCGAGCAACCACAGTCCAGCCAATCGCTTGCGCCTTTCCACCGGCATATCCTTGCCGACCATCACACCATGATGCAATTGGCCGACCTTGGGCAGACAACCACATCGCCGTCTTCACATACACACATGCATGTCGCTTGGAATAACGATGTCGATAGATTGCAATCTACTAGAACAGCCAGTGGGAATCACAAACAACTCATCAGCGCCCTGCAAATACCAAGTGCGGCGCCATCTCACGCCGGAACCACCACAACTCTCCCCAGCACCAAAAAAAATATATGTACATGTGAATAGAAAAACACACTAGTAGCCCGAGCTGGAGCTACCTGGTGCGCTTGGGCTGAAGAAATCTTCCGTGGGGGACGGTATCTTGTCGCGTAACCAAGCCAATATGGCATCGGTGCCCTTCTTCAGAACAGCGTAGTTGGGAACCCTAAACCTGTTCCCTTCTACATTCAAGCTCGTCAGGGTCCCCGAGAGCTGTCCGATCATGGGCTCAAGACGCCCAATATCGTTGTTACTAACATCTACGCACTTCAGCCCGTGCAGCGACTCGGCAGAGACTTCAGTTATAACATTGTCCGCTGCGAGAAAGAACAGAAGCTCAGGGAACGATTCGCGCAGAAGAGGGAGCGACCCGGCGATTCGGTTGTTGGAAACATCCAGGTGCTGTAGTTTTGGTGCTGATAGCAGCGACGTTACGGCGTCGAGCGAGTGCAATTTGTTCCCGTGGAGTTTAAGCTCCCGAAGTTTACTTAATTCCAGTGGCTCACTCAATGGAATGCTGATGTTGTTCTTGGACAGATCCAGCACCGAGAGAGCGGAAAGCTGGGCCGTGATTACAGGAAGCGATGAAAGGTAGTTGCTGGCCAGGTATAGCTGGCGGATACTATTTTCTTGGGCGAACGAAGCAATGGCCTCGTCATCCAACTGCAACAGGTTCTGGAAAGATAGGTCAAAGGTACCAGAAGGTGTCAACTTCCACCCATTGACAGAATCTGAAGGGTTTTCCTCTGTGGTCCCGACCACGCCCGCCAACTGGTCTGCATTTTCCGGTTGAATTTTGGACATCAAGTCGCGCTTGATGTCCTCAGTAGCCATTGTTAAAAATTTACGTTCGCGCAAAGGATTGGCGGCAAGGGTGATGTTCTCCAACCCTTCCATGAGCGCGATTCTTTCGTCCAGCCTACTGATGTTGTTTGCTGTTAAGTCGATGTTACGGAGCATCTGGAGAGAGAAGAGACTGTCTGGAAGCGTAGCCACATTGTTTTCACCAATGAGTAGTGTTACTAGACTCGTCCATGACGACACATCTGGAAGCGCAGAGAGTCGGTTTCCCGACAGATCCAGATATTTTAGGTCCGGTAACGTTACAGTCGTGGATTGGCATATACCCGTGATTGAATTGTTGGCCAGTTGTAGGTTTTGTAGCTGAGGCATTGAATCGATCTCGAAGAACGCTCCAGTAAAAGCATTGTTACTCGCAATGAGCTCGATGATGGGAACGTGTTCGAACAGTTCCATGGGCAATGATGTGATCTTATTGCCCGATATATTCAACGTGCGCAAATGAACCAATGCGCGAATTTCAGGAGGCAAACTAGTCAGCTTATTCGCCTGAAGTTCTAGAGCCTCGAGCTGAGCCAGATCCCCAATACAAGAAGGCAGTGACCCATTGAATTCGTTCTCAGCAAGTTTCAGCTCGCGAAGGGAGCTGATTTGGCAGACAGTATTTAATGCATCGAGTGTAAGTTTGTTCCTTGACTAGCTGTTGTTAGCCAGGTTCAATATGCTTCATGATACAGCGTTTGCTTACAAGATTGAGCTTTGAGAGCTGTGTGAGTTGCCTCAATCCCATCGGCAGCTCTTGAAGCACATTGCCATGCAAATCAAGGTTCTGTAGGGCGCCAAATTGAGGTGCGGTATCCTCATCCGCTTCCGTCATGGACTCAATGTCAATATCTGGGAACATTCGATCAGGAAGAGTCTGAAACTCATTGTCGGCAGCAATTATAATAGTAACATCAACAACCTCGCTCCAGACGACACCGGTGTCATTGGAGTCATACTTGTACATTTGCATCACGTCCTCGGGCATTTCATTCATTCCCATTGCAGCAAGGTTGAGCTTCCCCTCGACGCGTGCGGCATCTATGCGCTTGCGCAGCAGTGATTTGCTGTTTTTTGGCCCTTGATTGAAAGGGTCTTCGAGACCAAAGTCAAACCCAGCAATCTCAGCGGGGTTGGGCACGATGGCATCCCTAGGAGGGGTGCTTGTTCGCGGTTCATGGGTGGTATTGTTGCGCTTTGCCGTCGCTTTGGCTTTCGCAATTTGCTCTCGCAACGTCTGTGACGAATTCGCCTTTGGTGGCGCGTCTTCTGGGGACGGCAAAACATCTGGCTTTCTGGTAGCCTTTGCTTTGGCGATGTGCTCACGAAGCGCAAGAGAGGAACTTGGGGCCTTTTTACTAGTTATTGGGGTCTTCTTGGCCACGGAAGCTCTTTGAGACGGTGATGGGGTGGTGGCGGCCACTTTGGTAGGCGGGGAAACTGCTTCGCCGAATACTCCCGCTATTGAAGCGCGGGGCTTTGGAGTCCTCGATAACATAGTCTTGCTATTTGAAAGAGGCCGGGCCTTTGGTGTATCTTGCAGGTTATGCATATGCGAAAGTGGCTGTTTCTTCATGGTGGAGTTGAGACGACTCAGTGATGGGGTTTTGATGTTGGTTGCCATTGTCGCGCTGGAGCTTCTCTTGCCTGGAGCTGTCATGGATAGTCTTGTGGTAGATGGACCAGACTTGCGTGGTGTGATCAAATCAGGCTGCGGGGCTCCGTCACTTGTCGTCGGTCGTATGCCATTAGACAATGCTGAGGTAGGTCTCACTGGAGGTGGCATGGATTGATCGGCATTGAAGAAGCTAGATCTACGTCTTCCTTTCGCTACAGATGGAGATGACGGCAGCTGCGATAGGCTCTCTATAGTCCTATCGGAAAGCGAAGGTCGAGATTTCCTCGCTGGAGGTTGCGCTGTGCTATGGATCTCTCCATCACTCTCCTCCAGGAAATCTGCCGACTCAGCTTCTTGCAATCCCGCGCAGGAACTCGCGCGCGACGAGGCTCTAGATGCCGAACGGAAGCCATTCAGATCTCCAAGCACATCTTCATCGTGGGGTTGGTTGGACAACCTTGTGGGCTGAGGGACCGCAGGTGTCTGCCGGAATGGTGGAGGGACAGTCGGTTTCTTGAAAGTGGGAGCTCGGGAGTTTGGGATGGACGATCGTGCCTGTTCTTTAACAGGAACGGGTCGTTTCGATATAGGTGCGGAGTACAGGGATGTTCTGTTGGACGGTTTATTTGCAGCAGGTCCCGCGGAAGGAGGAATCGCAATGGATGAACGGGAGGCCTTCTTTTGCAGCGAGGGCGGCGGCAGCTGCTGCTGACTGGATCGACGCGAGATGGAAGACAGAGACGACTTCTTCCGCAGCAAAGGATCCTGGGCGTCCGGGGCAGAGGCAGATTGCGAAGCGGAATGCAGGTGAGACTGGCTGGCCGAAGCGCGCAGAGCTGGGATTTTGGAGGCCGGACGTGGGATGCCCGAACGAACGGGGATGCCCGAGGATCGTTGGTCCATGGTGTTGCGGAGGTTGCTGAAGCTGGAGCTTGTGGTGTTGAGTCAGGCGCGCTGGATGGCGAGTATAAGACCAGCAGAATACTTGGGTACTTGGTTGACAGGAGTACCAGACAGGCAGGGAGGGTGTCCACGTCACCGGTACGAGACGCAGTACCAGAGTTCAGCTCCAGAGACAGTGGCAGCCATGCATGCGAAAAGCAAAAAGGTGTCGGCGACTTGTGCGGGCGCGCAAAGAAAACTATGTATCGGTCCAGGTAATTTCTTTGGAAACCACCACCAAGCACTACGGGGAAGCGTGCACAGACGAGCGCTGAGCGGTTTGGGCAGGGAGGCAGGTGGTGGTTGCCCCTAGAGATACCCGCAGGCGGCGCTGCCTGCGTAAACATTGGAGCGCTGACGTTTATTCCAACTTCCTTGAACCTGGACTCTCCACCACCCCCCACTTGCCTGCCTGCACACCTACATAGCTGTCTATGTACACGCAAACACATGCGCATACGCACACCGGACCGCATTCACTCACCACCACGTACAACCGCGAACTGCTGCTCCCATCGCATCTGGCTCAGTCGCCTATCCGTCTTTGGTTGCACCAGTCGCGACTCTAGTCTCGGCGACGCGCATCCCCGCACAGCGCCTTCGCGTCAAGTGAAGCCAGCCGGCTTACATAGAGCTTGCGCCGCTGCATCCACCCACCCACCTGCTTACAAGTGCACATATCGTCGCGCCCTGTGTAGTAGCAACAAGTAGAGCAGTACCGCAACTACTACAGCCATGGACTCGCTTGTGCCATCCATAGAGACGTCTCGCCTTGCGCCTGCTGCCTCACCTTCCCTATCGCCTCAAGACACCGACGCGCCCAAACCCATGACTTTGGACCACGACAAGTTTGCTTCGCCCGCTCCGCCCACCACCGCATCTTCCATGACTCCACCTCCTTCTTCTCAGCTCCCGCCAACTCGCACTGTGGCCAGGACCCCCACCCCACCAACACCTCAATTGACCTCTCCTCCACCAACCTCCAAGCTCCCGAACCAACCTTCGGCCCTGGCTGAGACAGCTGCAGCCGTTTATTCCCAAGATGAGATTAACAACGCTTCTACCGACGACCTCAGGTCCATGGTCGTCGAAGTCACCAATGCGTTGCGCGACGTCAGGCTCTCTGCCGCTCACTACAAGCTGCAGTACAACATGGCAGTCATGGAGAGCCAGGAGGCAGCCAGTCGCATGGCAGTCGAATTAGCCATGGCCCAGCGTGAGATTGATGTCCTGCAGCAGGCAGAGGAAAAGCGCCGCAATGCTACCATTCCCGAACCAAACTACGAAGAGTCGTCCACCAACGCAGCCAACGCGATTCTCATTTCGGATATGAATCGTCGACTCCAGATGCTGCAAACCGAAAACGAAGCGTTGCATGATGTAAACGACCAGCGGAAACGCCTCATTGAGCATCGAGAGGGCGAACTCGCTAGCTTGGTGGAGGAGAACGACCGCCTTAAAACACGAATCCGTAGAAATCGCGAACATATTGCTCCCTATCTGCCCTTCCTGGAACAGATGGGCCAGTCTCCACGGTCGAATTTCGGTACTCCTCAAGCTACTCCCCGCCAAAAGGCGAACCGCATGAATCCACCCGCGTCTAATGAGGGCAACAGAGGACAGAGCAATTTCGAAGCGCTTCTCCTAGCCGACAAAATGCTGAGCCAAGATCCCACGACAGCCCCATCAACACCAACGAGACACAGCACGCAACGTTCACGCTATGGACACAGCCGGGGAACCCACTCCATGTCTTCGATGCCGCAGACTCAGACTCCCAACAGGCGGTCTCACGCTCGATCCCATGCGCCACGCACTCCGCCGACATTTTCTGCTGTCAACATTCCTCAATCTGCTCCTCCAGCACACTATCAGTCCGAGACCACGACCGCTCGTCGCGAAAGCAGCAACTCTACCATCACCGCATCTAGTATAGACGAAGAGGAAGCGTTTACTGACAAAGAAGAAGAGCAGATTCCCGAATCACAGGCGAGTCAGGCCGCCACGAGCATGCTTAGAAAGGTACTTCCCCCGAAGCACTCGTCTGCCCCGTCATCTCAATCTGCCAACTTGATTCAGAGCAAGATATATGGCCAGGTCAAGAAGGGCCATGGCCTGACCAAGTCTGGCGATTTTGAGAAGAGAAGATTGCAATCTTCAGAACATCACGGCAATCCTTCCAAGCGCGGCCGAGTAGATGCAAGCCTTGGACTGGGCATTGGCGGCCTGCTGCGTGACCCATGAAAGGATGCTGCTAGAAGACGAATCATGAGTGATGACTGCGAACCTGTTTTTATTTATTTTGGAACTGGGGTGGGGCATTGAATTGTAGTTTTGGATGGTGCACAACAGCACCTCTCTTCTCAGTTGTAATATTTCGCGCTCGGATTGTTTTCCTCTTACGAAGGACTTTATACCAGGGACCGTTGCGTCTTGCAGGACGAGAACTAGATAGCAAATGAACAATACACAAATAATGAATGTTGAACCCACCGAAAGAAGCCTAACTACGAGCTATTGTACCTCGTGCATCTGCGATTGCGGTTGATCATGGTTGATCATGGTTGATTAGGGCTTGGGCTCCATCCTGCGATGCGGCTGACGCGCGTGTTTCGCGCGGTGTTCGTGAACTCACTCAAGCGCTCTCTCGACGCCGATTTCATGCCAGTAACCTTGGATCCATTGGATGAATTCTGCGAACCGCGACCGTTGAATCAAATATCGTCAACTCTGTAGATTCCACCTGAAACGGAGTAGAAACTCAGTTGTCAAACAGAGTTTTTCATGATTTGGTACACTGGTCGACAGTCTCCCAAGTTCGCTAGGAAGCGAAGCGTGCGCACAGACTGTTACGGCAAAACGTTTCGCCGCCTCTAAGCGAATTTTCGACACTTCCACACTTCGCATCCAACTTCTGGTGATCCAGTACTAACCACAGGTCGACTCAAGGTACGTTCGATTGACGGCGATACCCCTTTGATCCTCACTGATTGTTATCAGAATCTGCAGCAATGGCGATCAAGCACAACCAGCAGATCCAGAAGAACCACTTCCACAAGGACTGGTAGGCATCACCGTCACCTTTTCGAGTCTATCGAGTTTTTTTCGCTAATTCTCCGCAGGCAACGCTACGTCCGCGTGCACTTCGACCAGGTAATTCCCCTCTCAGTTGCATGAGAGCAGTGGCGCCTGTGTCCAGATGTTAACGATTTCGAAATAGCCCGGCAAGAAGAAGTCGAGGCGCAACGCCCGTGTTGCGAAGGCCGCCAAGGTCGCTCCTCGCCCCGTCGATAAGCTCCGACCTGTCGTCCGATGCCCTACCATCAAGTGTATGTAGGATGCGATCATCATGAAGGACAATGTTCGCTGATGAATTTTTCAGACAACCGCCGTGTGCGCCCAGGCCGTGGTTTTTCGTTGGCTGAATTGAAAGGTACACTCAAGATTTCGGGATAGTACCAAGAAGGAAGCGCAACTAACGTTTGTTCAGCCGCTGGTATTCCCCGCAAGTTCGCTGCCACCATCGGTATCTCTGTCGACCCCCGCCGCCAGAACCTCTCTGAGGAGAGCCTCAAGGCCAACGTGGAGCGTCTCCAGGAGTACAGGAAGCGCCTCATCGTCTTCCCCCGCCGCAGCGGTCAGACCAAGGAGGGTGACGCCTCTGCTGAGGACGTCAAGGCTGCCAAGGACAACATCGTCAAGTCCACCAGCGAGGTCCTCCCCATCAAGAACACCGTCACCTTCGAAGAGGGTCCCATCAAGAACTATGAGCCCACCGAGAACGCCTACCGTGTGCTCCGTGACCAACGTGCCGTGGCTCGTTACCAGGGTGCTCGTGAGAAGCGTGCCAAGGCTAAGGCTGAGGAGGCTGATGCCAAGAAGAAATAGATGCACAGAGCTGTGGTAGTAAAATAGCGACATGGCTTACGACTTCTCAAAAATAGCGGTTAAGGATTGGTGAAGGGTATTCCCAGCGTGAATGGCGTCAATGGTTAGGTCTCTGTCGATTCAGACAGCATGTCAATGATATCTAGTCTTCTTCAATGGAAGCCACTGCTGCCCTCATGCCCATTTGCGATGACACTACATGTAGGGTTCTTGACACCACGTGATCCATAATTGGACATCCAAACATTCGCCTCTTTTGACGCTACCAGTAGCTTAAAAGTGTGGCGGTGCGGGGTCATCCATCCACTTGTAATCAACTGGGAACTTTTGCTGGCCCTTGTTGACCTTTCACCGTCACTTGGCTGAAGCTATCTCCCAGCACTCTAACAGGTGTATACATACCTAGGTAGTGACACCAGTTGACATTTTGACAGCTGGGCTAACAACGACCGAATCACGTCCGCTACCAACCTCATCATCGTAATCTGTTCGTGGTAAGTTCCCGCGCTCACAACGTCGTATTGCACGTACTGCAGCATTTAAACACAACCCTCACTCGGCGCTGCTTCAGCAATCGCGTGTTATGATGTATTGACCTAGCATGTCTTCTGCAAACCCACCACTTGACTGACCATGTCTACATAGATTGCAAGCGCTAGCCACATCGCAATCTTCTCGAAACCAGCATCGAGTTTCGTGAGTGCCTATCGACAGATTAGTGTGATTCGAAGAATCCAAGCTCGAACTCTTCATGGCTTCCAACAGCCTGGAAGCTACTAGCAAACAAGACGTTCTGGGAGCAAGCGCTAGTGTCACCACTGTTTCCCCGAATCTATCAGCCTTCTTCAATACGACCACGAGTATGGCGTCCCCAGCAACCACTACCAATAATTCCACCACTCCCGCGCCGCAGCCAGACCCGCGTGAGGCCAGTATTTCCATTCGCGACTACATCTACTTCCTACCATACCCGATCCCCGATGGCATCCCCATACCTTACACGATCCACCTACCGGACAAGAACGAGCTGGAATTAAACCCCCTTCCCTTTGAACCAACACACACACTCGTCCTGACCAGCATCAATAAAACCTTCGTCGACCTCCGCATCTTCCGGTATCTATCCCCTTGCCCTTTTCCCCCTGCCTTTCTTCCTTTGTCTACCAGACCGAACCCACCCCCCAAGCCACTAACCTACCCGCAAGCCCCATCCGTCAAGGTGATCCCCCCCTTCCCAACACCGGCGGTCCCCTCGAGCGTCTAGAATGGGCATTCAGTGGCACATCCACCAGCGTCGCAACACCAGACCCGTACACAGCTTCTTCGCGCGGATCCTTTGGCCCGGATCCAGACTCCCGTGCCTGGGACGGCTCCGTGACACGCGCATCCTGGACGCACTGGATCGACTCGCGGTACCCCGTCGGAACGCCATCTTCGCAAATCCCCGTTGACGAAGCCCTCATGTTCCCACTTGATCCAGTACGGGTGCTTGAGCATGGCCAAGCGAAGAATTTGCACACGGGCATTATGCAGAGTCATGAGGAGATGTGGACGGATCAGGAGATTAAGGCTTGTAGGCCTGCGGCGACGGCGTTTTGTATTGTGTTGAGAATCAATTTGCCGGAAGTGAAGGTTCGTGGGGTGGTAGTGAGGTTGGGGCAGTATTGTCAGGGGATGCTTATGCATGGGGGTGTCGTCACGGTTGAGCGGTGGGAGTTCGTGGAAGGCGACAAAGCAGATGAGGGTGGGAAGAAGGAGCAGGGGTCGTGGCAGAGAACTGTGAGGATTGGAGACGGGTTTTTGCCCTGTGGCTTTACGTTCAACGAGGAGACTTGTTTGATGGGTGGCAAGATTGAGTATGGGCAGCATGAGTGGGTTGTGGAGGAGAGAGTTGAGTGGGAGTCCCCTGAAGACGATGATGAGTAGGGGATGTGTGTCGGCTGTGTTTATATCGCGACTTGTCAGAGGCTTATAAAATCTGGATAGCCCGGTTCCAAATGCACGCTTAGAACTCTCTAGAGCAGCCGATCTGCGAGAGATAAAGCAATGGCGATATGGAAAAAGACTAGAGTCGCATATGGATACACGCCTTCATAGTGCATGAAAGCTCGGCTACTGTTCAAATACCGTCCACCTCTTCTAATGAATCAGCTCACTCTTCAATGGATGCAAGCATGACAGTGCTCCTTGCATGTTAATCAGAATGCAGCCAAACGGGGTGGGGGTAGAGGTTGTCACATTACGATACTCAACTCAACACTCAACACTCCACGCTCTACACTGGGAAGAAGAGGAAGAAGAATTCATTTCATGAACAAGCAATCACAATAAAATCTCGGATGTCTCATTCCAAGGACATATAGTGTAAGTCAATTTGTTGTACTGTTATATAATGGTTGTATGCGGACTGGCTTTCAATAGAGATACACAGTCCTAAAAACACAGCCTGAAAACTCGATGTGATTCGCTCAAATCCTCCGTCTTGCGTGTACTGAAGAAGAGTCGCTTTTCTCTTTCCCTTCCAAATGAATCCCGCAGTTGACATAGGAGAACATGATCGTTGATAGGGATGGTAATGGAATGAAATCAAGGATCAGGTGAGGGTAAGGGTGCTGGGTGCTGGGTGTTGTAAACGAATTGGGCTGTAATAGAGCAGATAATAAAACAAATGGAGCATTCTGCATTAGGTGAAGGGGATGGTGGGTTCAACCGTTTGAAAACACAACCGCTCAATGCCATTACGCAAACACCGGTAATACCTCTCGATTGCCCCATAATTATAGGCGTTTGCCCGGTCGAGTTGTCGCAATATATCGAAAAGGTTACGATTGTTAAGACCCAACAGGGTGTCAGGTATGAGCAGGATTATGGTCGTTGCACACAGTCATGCTCTAGAGGGTGTGTGATCGAGGAGGGGATAGAGGACGATGGTGGGCCACATAAGATCTAGTGTATGTGAGATAGATGTTGTTTGAAATATGAGGAAATATGGGCAAGATAGACAGAAATGTTGTAGGTAAAATGCAGCGTGAACGTTGGGGCGGGCATACTGGCTCAAATGGTCTTCCTCGATTTGTTGGGTCGGTCCTGTGGTTCTTCGTCCTGAAGATGACGCTTGGCTCCTGTCGTAGGTGTTGGTGAGCTGAGCAAGCTGGTACTACTATACTCGGCCAATGTCGTACGACGGCGAAGACGACGAGCGCGCTCCGTAAGGGCACTCACAGACTTCTCAGTCTGAACCTCGGTCAGCGGGTCAGACGTCGTCAGAACTCGAGGTTTCGATGGTGGTTTAGGTGTGCCCAGAGCTTGGGGGGGTGGAGTATTTCGCCGGCTAGGAACAGTGGCTTTGGATTCGATGGCATTGACCTTTGAGTCTTGTTCCACGATTGCCTGGGTGAGATGGGAATGAGAAGGTGAAGGAGAGGAAGGAGAAGAAGGAGAAGAAGGAGTCATGGCGTCGGTAGACCAACAATCAGGCGATTCCTCCCAGGGGCGCACTTTTGTATTGTAATCTCGCATCACTTTTTCTTTGAGATGTTGTATTCCTGCATTGAATTCACGGATTTCCGTATCCGTACGATGAATTCCGGCAATAATGTTATCGGCATCCGGACAGTAGAAAGCCGTGGTAACATCCATAGGTAAATCCCCAAAATTAGGCTGTCGAAAAACGGGAGACTGCGGAGTATTGGGTACAGTAGATTCGTAGCCCTTAGAACGTGGAGTGACAGGAGGAGAAGGGGCGATTTCATATAGTCTGAAGCCATAAGTTGCTTTGATCGGCCCGGAATCTACTGCAGTGCCAGTCTGTTGACTATCCACCCGGTTTTTGACGCCTGGGATTTTTACCGTTCCCTGCTCAACATGGTCTGCGGTTTCGACGGTGACTGAATTTGCCGGATCGGTCACTTGAACTTCTTAGATCAGTGTCTGTATATTGTGGTCTGGTCCGGTACTTACTGGCTTCTTTTGCCATAGGAGGCTGTCGGATAGTGCGTTCCAGGCTGGATCGGTTGTTTTCCACCTTTATAGGTGGACCATTAGACTCCACAGCGATAGCATTTGCGGTCGAGTGCTCCAAAGGGCGAACGGGTTTCTCCACATGGGAAACAAGATCGGTAGGCGGTGGAGTCCTCAAAGGTTTGGTCCATTCTTGGCTACCACCAACCCTATCTTCTGACCGCACAGAGGAAACCTCGCCACGTTCGTGGACCCCGTCCTGGTTTTCAATGGCGGGGGGAACAGGGACGGACAAGAAGACCCGGTAATTGGGGCGTTTCTCGAGGGCTGCTCGGAGCGCATGTTGTTGTTCGACGCCCAACTCGCCAGGTAGAACGTCAAAGATGAATTCGGCGACTTGGGAGAGGGTTAGGGGAACGAGAACTCGCTCTGATACTACATTGTTTAGCTTCGCCGCGTGTGACGAAGCGATGGGAGGGACACTACCGCTTATATCGGCCATTAGACTGCAGAGGCACTTGTCTTGCTGCTGTTATATGATATAGAAAATTGCAGTTGATGGTGGCTGAACAGGCGGGTATGCGCAGTTGAGTAGAGTAATGAGTGCGAGACCGCACAGGTGTGCGGAATTTATACCAATCCTCGCGACCAACCAAGCCACCTCCAATTCAAACAGACGACAATGTCTCGCAGTTCGACTAGCGGGGTTACCAGGGAAAGATGGCCGGACGTGACTCAATGCGAATGTGTGAATGGATGACGGAATCAACTGCAAACGCCCACGCACAAACGGGAAAGAGAGACGTTGGACACGATCCCTGAAGTACCCAGCTCGCTGAGCATCCCGTCATTCACAGGCTACACACGAACTGTACAAGGAAGGCGTGTAGTAAGTAAGAGCGAGCACTGAGACGAGTGCTGCCCAACTGTCTCACGTAGGGGGTGAGCGGGGAGAGAAAACGTGAATGTGCAGATGGGAATGACAAAGAACATGACGGGAAGCCTTGAAGAACCATGTCAACAAACGTGAGCGAGAAGAGAGATTAAACCACAGGAACAGCAGCTTGTATACCGGCAACAGAAGACATGAAATTGAGGAGAAGAACGGCAGGCTCGGTAAAGCAAATACCCACTTGTGAAACTGGGCAATCTGAGAAATAGAACGAAAAGGGAGGCTATCGGGCGTATTGAAGTATCCTACGCACTTTCCGATGCCATGTTTTCCTTCCTCCGCTTCAACGTCTCGTTCCCTGCTGGTGACGTAGCTCAAGTGCTTGTACCTATGAATTGTTGTGTCTGGCCCAAAAATCACCAAAATATCTCTTCTTCCGCCTTCAAGCTCATTATACCCCGGCACGCATATCACGAGAAAGGAGTCACTAGGTCTTACCTACATATGTAGGTATGTATGAACGATTCTACAAGTGGAAGTTGTGGACAAGTGATGAGCGGTAGGCGACGAAAGAAAGATGTGCATGATTCAAACTATAGGAAAGCTGTGACTGTGTGTTTGGTGAGGTACATATTGTAAGAAATATGGCTAGTTAATAGCTGGCGTCTCATCGCCGTTGATGAGAAGAGCGGGTTAATTGCAACCCCACATGAATCCTCATTTTTTCTCTCCCTTCTTCGTTTTGCTTCTGGTGGACCTGGACGGTGGGGGAGTATCTTCCACGACATAATCGGCATCATTTCCGGATGCATCATCGTTACTAGCAACCGACTTATGCTCCTTTCCCTTTCTTTCTGCTTCCCAGCTTTGAACCAACTCCGAGACGGCATCCGCCTGGGTTTTCTCCTCTCCATTCCATGCATGACAACCGCCGCATCTCCATCGGCCGACATCTTCCAGGGAACGGGTTCCTGGTGGGGCTTGTCCATTGACCAATCTACATTCGGAGCAGATGAGAGCGAAGCGGTTCTTAGCCTGAGTCTCGTCTTCACCGAGAAGCGAGTCCAGTATGCGATCGTACCAATGCACTTGAGTGTAAGCTGCTGGTGCAGAAGCCGAATATTGCTTGGTCAACTCGTCAGACGAAAACGCATTCGGGGCAAAATCTTCTCCGGGTAGATCTGGAGGTGGCAGAGCCTGCGGAGATGGAGGACTCTGCATAGACGATGATGATGTGGGTCGCTGAGGAGTAGAAGGCCGGTTCTGATGATTGACTGGCTGTATATTTGCCGTAGGTGGGGGCGCAAGATTGGTTCGTGGTGCTGGAGGTTGGGCGGGCTTTGGCGGGCCCTCAGACTTTTGGCGAGTGGTGGAAGACGCAGCGGCTTGCTTCGATTTTGGTATAGAACCATACTTCTCAAGCAGCTGCTGGGTGGAGTTGTACTTGGTCGCTTCCTTGAGACTCTCTATGGTTTCATCCCTTTCCTTCGAAAGGCTTTTGATGTACGCGTCCGTGTTGGAGATGCGGTAATCGTAGTATCTGGTCAGTGAGGTTCGGGTGAGGTAGATACTACACGCTATTAGCTTCTACTGGCATCGGGTTGTCGTCGCGCAAGATCTTACAGCACTGGGCCGCCCGCAACTACGGAGACCTCCACAGCAGTCCAGTTTTTCCATCCAGTGACCAAGGTCAACAGCAGCGCTGCAAGAATGTAGGCGAAGCCAGCGTAGAGCGTCCACATCACACGGACGCGCCGCGATCTCTGCTTCAGCTTGTCATTTCTCGCAGCCGCTCTCGTGATTTTTCCAGAAAGTGCAGAAAGAGTCCGCTCAAAGGACGCAGCGTCCCGGTTTGACTGTTGATGATCTGTTAGCCCACAAACATGTCCTTTTACCAGATAAAACGGGTGGGGCTGCCTACCTTGAAAGGCCAGAAGGACACCATGGCGAATTCGGTGTAAGGAGCGACGTGAATGCAGCCCGGAGAGGGTGCTGGATTAAACTTCAAGACCACGCGGGCATGATCGCGTGTCAATGTGAAGAGAAGACAGATGTTTGGTGGATTGGCGACGTCACGGAAGAGCTTCAACGCAGCTGACTATTTGGCGCTGCGGGAGCGGCAAACATCCCTGTCGGTTCGGTCCCTTCGACTCTGACATTCTCAATCCTACAACTTTACCCAGATTCATCACCACAATCACCACGACGAGACCGATGTCACGCGAGATGGCTTTGCAAGCATACAGGCATCTCCTGCGGTCGACACGCATCGCATTTGAAGGTATTCGGCCCCCTCAGGTTCTGCCAATTGGTGCGATACAAAAAACTTACACCTGCACAGGGGACATGCCAACGCTCTTCGCGGCGCGAACCAAAGTACGCTCGTCTTTCGAGGAGAACCGCGGCCTCGCCAACGGGAGCCAGGAGAGGGCAGAGCAAATTGCACACGCTGAGGAGGTGGCAAAATTCCTGAAGGAAAACGTTGTGCAGGGACACGCAACAGAGGCCGACGGCAATTACAGTATGTTAGAGTGCTGCAGCGCATCTCTGAGTTCAGTTCATCATTCGCTAATTGTACATGGCAGAGCTTCGGATACATGAACATACCGAGCGTGGAAATAATGAGGATATCAAAAAGAGCAAAGGGAAAACACTAGGAGGGACCAAATGCTGCTCGTCCTGAGCTGATATTCTGTTCCACCCAAAATGAAAATATGATACCCATGCACCTCGTTCAAACGCCGATTTCCGTGACCCAATGTTTCGTTAGTTGCCTGCCAGACTGGCGTAATTGACCTCGTCGTCTGCTCCTGGAGGCGGTGCGATCACTGCAGCGCTGGACACGCTTGCTGGCCCGGCTTCGATGGCTCCCTGTGCGGCGTCTGCGCGGTCTTTCGGCCCAGCCATCTTCCGACCCTCCTTTGCATACATCATTCGTACATTCTGATCGAGAGTATCAAGTTGTTTTGGCCTTCCCCAGGTGACCTTCATTGGGCACCCTTTGATGACCACCTTGCCTTTCAAACCCTCTGCTGCCGATTCCGCGTCTTGCCGCTTCACGTAATTGATGTATGCGCAATGCGCACGATGGGAGCATACAACCGAACGTAGTTGGCCATACTGGGCAAAATGTGCACGAATCTCGTGCTCGGGCAGATCATCTTCCACGCCGGTAACAAAGAGCGATGCAATGTTCGGATCCTTGGGCGGCAGCCAGTCTTCGGGTTTTGGTGCCGCAGCTGCGCCTCCCCGAACTTGTCGCGGTCCCCCGCGGCCACTAATCAGACCCCGCGTATCTCTCGTTCGTATAGGTCCAGGAACATGGCCGCTATTCGAACCTTCTCCAGATCCGCCACCTGGTGCTGGAAGCGCTTTTCGTTCCCCTTCTTCACTCTCTGCATCGATGCGCCTCTGTTTCTTGTAGTATGGTTCACTCTGTGCTAGTCGTTTCAGCAACTCGCGAGCCTTCTCATCTGTCTTCTCGTATGCTTCTACAGCTCCGCGCCCTTCTTCAATCTCCTTCTCATGCTCTTGGGCATAGAACTGTCGGTTCACGTCGCTCTGCGGTCCGGGCGCAACCATTTTCAAGGCGGCGTCACGGACGACGATAGGTAACCCAAAAGAAAGGTCCAGCATACAGCACTGGCAGCAGTTTTTGAGACGTGCGCATGTGAGGCATATGTTTGTGCGTTTCTGTCGAGCTGTGCGATCGGCTTTCCATCGGAAGATAGTGAAGGGTCGAGTGCAGATTTTGCATTCCTGAACGGCATCAGTCAGTTGATGAGCCTCGATATGAAAAGAATGCCACTTACAGCGCCGTAATCCTCTTTCAGCATCTGGACATAAGGGTTTTCCGGAAGGCATCGTTCGCAGACGGATGGGAAATCGGTCGTTTCCCAGCCAGACCGGTTAAGGTCTTGCTTGATTTGCGGAGGCATCGTGGAAGAACAGACGGGTGGTTTCGGAGATTGTCGTACGTTGTTTCAAGGACGGGTGGGCGAGGTTGAATATTTGGGGCAATGAGAGGCGTGCCTGTACGACGTCGCCGCGGCAGAGAATGATGCGGAGGGCGACAATTCCAGGCGGGGACACTAGCTCCACGGATTAACTCTCGGTCCGTTTTCACCCCGGCCGATATTTCCAGGGACTGGAGAAGCTAGAGCACACTAGCCAATCAGCAATTAAGGAGTACGCTATCACGTGCTTCTCACCCCCCTTCTCCCACCGCCTGGGCTCGAGACTTTTTGTTTATTAGGATCGTCTTTCCCTCAATTGATCAACTCGAGCAAATCAACCCTCCAATCGTCCTCAAAAGTCATTCAACTATCCTACCATTGTCTCATATTCTGCCACCATGTCTCCCGTAGCCCTCGAGAAAGAAGACCACGTCCGCGATGCGGAATTCAATAAGGCCATGCACGGCAAATCTGCCCAGGCCGAGGGTGGCTTCAGGGCCATGCTGCAGAAGGACAAAGCCGCACAGAATGCCGCCGTTGACGAGTACTTCAAGCACTGGGACAACAAGGCAGCGGAAGATGAGACTGAGGAAACTCGAAAGGTACGCTGTGGACTCGACCCCGAATATGCGACATCATAGACTGCAATACTAACGAAATTAGGCTCGTCGCGACGAATATGCCACGCTCACCAGGCACTACTACAACCTTGCCACCGATCTGTACGAATACGGCTGGGGACAGAGTTTCCACTTCTGTCGCTATGCCTTCGGCGAATCCTTCTACCAAGCCATCGCCCGCCACGAACATTATCTCGCGCACATGATGGGCCTCCGTGACAACATGAGAGTGCTGGACGTTGGATGCGGTGTCGGTGGTCCCGCTCGGGAGATTGTCAAGTTCAGCGGTGTCAACGTCGTGGGTCTGAATAACAATAACTATCAAATCGAACGTGCGACCCGGTATGCTGAAAAGGAGGGTCTCTCACACAAACTCTCTTTCACGAAGGGTGACTTCATGGTACGATTATTCCATGCCTAAGATCATAGAGTTTCTTTACTGACTTCTGCAGCAAATGCCGTTCCCTGACAACTCCTTCGACGCCGTTTATGCCATTGAGGCAACGGTGCACGCGCCCTCTTTGGAGGGCATTTACAGTGAAATCTTCCGTGTGCTCAAGCCAGGCGGTGTCTTCGGCGTCTACGAGTGGTTGATGACAGACAATTACGACAACGACAACCCTCACCACCGCGAAATCCGTCTCGGCATCGAGATCGGTGACGGTATCTCCAACATGGAGAAGGTTGAGGTCGCTCTCAAGGCTATGGAGACTGCAGGCTTCGTCATGGAGCACCACGAGGATTTGGCAGATAGGGATGATCCTTACCCGTGGTACTGGCCTTTGTCCGGCCAGCTCAAGTACATCGCCAGTGTGGGTGATATCTTCACCATTGTGCGGATGACCAAGCTCGGACGGGGACTGGTGCACAGGTTTGTCGGCGCTCTAGAAACTGTCGGCCTTGCCCCACGCGGAACACAAAAGACTGCCGACAGCTTAGCACTGGCTGCCGACAGCTTGGTCGCTGGCGGTCGCGAGAAGCTCTTCACTCCCATGTACCTCATGGTCGGCCGCAAGCCGGAGAAGGCTTAGGTTGGATCAAGTTCTCTTTCATCTTGTTCTGCGTTGGCTCGATTGTCCACTTCTTCAAGGTGGAGCATTTGGTCCACTGTTCACTTCTCGCTTTCGCCCGCAACGGTGATTGCATAGCTACGGCTCAAGGGCATTTGACTGCATAACATTTGGGCGGGTTTGAACTATACAAGATTTAATACGGCACGTGGACGATGATATCATATGCAGGTAGGTAATGATGGGGCGGAGTAGATAGTGCGCTCATAATACCCACGCTCATGTATGTACCCGCGTTCATAGATGTACAACATGGAGCGCCACCGAAAAAAAAAATACAGAATGATGTTTCGACAGTCCTCTGGGCCATACTCGTCGTGAATCGAGTTAGTGATGGCCATGTTCAGTTATTGCTGTATCCTCACCATGTGAAATACGTTTGCAGGTTTGATGGGCGGCGTTGATTACATTGATACGACTGCAAATGTAGGCATCTATCGGTTGTCGTGCCGCCCACTGCTGGCGATGATCAACTGATGGCTGACGAGCGGCCAACTCCAAGCCAGCCATCTGCTCCCATGTCCGACATTTCCATCCGACACTCACTCAACGTTTCGAAAGACTGGCTAGAGGGTCCTCTGCATCTGGTAGTTCAGGAACGTCCTATTGGACTCCTGCGGCTCAACCCACTAGCGGCTTTTCTAGGTAAGGAGTGCTCGGACCCTCAACAGATTAGTAGATTGACCCCCGTCCAACCCTCCGAAAAAGTGTGCTCTCGCAACAGCATCACTCCCACAAACCCAACTAGGCCATCGCCCGCCCACGGCCGCTCTCTTTCTCCTCCCATCCACCATCCGTCCACATCATCTCACAATGGCTGCCTCCAGACTCCTCCGACCGGCTTCTCGCCTGCTGTCAGCTTCGCGCTCAGCACCCGTTTTCCGACCCGCCCTCCGCGCGACGGCGGCTGTCCCATCGATCGTGGGGAGGAGGGGATATGCATCGGCAGGTTCCAAAGAGATGACTGTACGAGAGGCTCTCAATGAGGCCATGGCCGAAGAGATGGAGTCCAATGAAAAGGTCTTCGTCCTCGGAGAGGAGGTTGCACAGTACAACGGAGCGTACGTCGGCCTCAGTGCACGCCATTGAACCGTTCCAAGGCTCAATGCTGTCGACTTTTGCTACCCTATCAGCCCAGGAGCAAAAGTGACAGAATTCCTGTGGCTATCTGAACAATGTTCGGCTGACAACGCTCTAGATACAAGGTCACGAAAGGTCTCCTTGATCGTTTCGGCGAGAAGAGAGTGATTGACAGCCCCATCACCGAGTCTGGTTTTGCTGGACTTACGGTTGGTGCTGCTTTGGCCGGTCTTCACCCTGTCGTAAGGACACACTGCCCATCCCGACCGCTGTCTGCCGTCTAACCTCTTATCAGTGCGAGTTCATGACCTTCAATTTCGCTATGCAAGCTATCGATCAGATTATCAACTCTGCCGCAAAGACACACTACATGTCCGGAGGTATCCAGCCCTGCAACATCACTTTCCGTGGACCAAACGGTTTCGCCGCCGGTGTCGGCGCACAGCACTCGCAGGACTACACCGCATGGTACGGCAGCATTCCCGGCTTGAAGGTTGTTGCACCATACAGCTCCGAAGATGCCAAGGGTCTGCTAAAGGCCGCTATCCGCGATCCTAACCCTGTCGTCGTTTTGGAGAACGAGTGAGAACACCCGCAATTGAGTTGTATTGGAACATGATCTGACACGCTTGTAGACTTCTCTATGGCCTTTCCTTCCCAATGAGCGAGGCGGCCCAAAAGGACGACTTTGTCATCCCCGTAAGACGCAGTCTCCAGGTTATCAATACACGTCCGTATGCTAACGAACACAGTTTGGCAAAGCCAAGATCGAGCGTCCTGGAAAGGATCTCACCATCGTAACTCTCTCCCGCTGCGTTGGTCAATCGCTTGTTGCGGCCGAGCAGCTCAAGCAGAAGTACGGCGTCGAGGCCGAGGTTTTGAACTTGCGCTCTATCAAGCCAATGGATGTCGAGGGTATCGTCAACTCGGTCAAGAAGACCGGAAACCTCCTTGTCGTCGAATCTGGTTTCCCCAGCTTCGGTGTCGCCTCGGAGATTATGGCTCTTACTTGCGAATACGCATTCGATTACCTCAACTCACCCCCCGCGCGTGTCACTGGTGCTGAAGTGCCAACACCATATGCGCAGAAGCTGGAGGAGATGAGCTTCCCGACTGAGGAGCTCATCACTCAATATGCGGCGAAGCTTTTGAGGGTGTAGACTGTAGGGAGTGTACAATGATTTGATGGTTTGGGGAGGAGGATAAATTTCGATTGTATTAAAACCTCAGTGTTATTATAGAGAATAATCATGAACTTCTTGTCGTGGGGCCTTAGGTGTGCAACGACCTCTCGTAAAACATCGCAGCCCCGCCTTTGCCGTAGTGGCAAACCATGTCAGTTCCCGACATCAGCGACGAACTGGTCACTCCCAGTCTTGGATCACCGATGTACGTATTCGAATATCTGCCTATCTGTGGAATGTTTGGGTACTCAAGCGAAGGAGGGTTCAAGTAAGCATCTGCGCGTAAAGCTTCGTGTGAGTCTAGAATAGAAACGCCCTCGGCTACAAGATCGGGAAGATCCATCGTACAACCTCATACCTCCTCGTGCCACAACTTCATTTTCTCACGTTTTACTACACCAACCCCCCGCACGATTTTCTCTAGTCTGATTCACGATCCCGTCCCATACCAAGAGGGCTTTTTGCAATCGTACGATTTACTGGCGATGCACCACTACGCACACGAGCCAGAACCACGCAGTTCAGCAGCGACCAGATATAGCTAATGATGGGTCCAAACCAGAGTAATGTGTCCTCCGCACACGTTGTGGCTTGCACTTCCCACGTGGTAATTTGGAGAACCCCCGTAACGCTGACCCTAGCTCTGCCCTACTTCTCGTGTTCGGACGGGTATCTGCAGTCGCACCGCGTTCTCGATCCTGGTATAGACTCTGGGTGGCGAAGATCGAACTGCAGATGCCATGATTGGGCATCAACCAAATTGTCTCGGCTAAGCTGACAGCAAGCCTCAAAAGACTTTTGCTATAGCAACTATTTTGGTCACAGTCAGTTCGCCTTCTGGAACAGTCCTACGAGATACGATTTTGTTCGACTGGCGAGTAGGATGCGCTCCCGTGTTGACGAGTATCAAGAACACACCACCATCGCACCATCACCAGCGTTCTTATATGGACTAGTCATCACAATATACCGGAAAAGCTTACAGCTGAATCTATATTCCCTGGGAATGTTGACAGCCATCTCCAAAAGCCACACTTAGCAACACAAGGTCGCTGCAAAAGCAATTTCCTGATGACTCCCTCGAATGATCCGGTCGAATCAGTACGGAACGCATGTCGTATGATCAAGTCTTTAGAAGGAATTTCCGGTGATGACTGGCATTTTTCGTTGTAGTGGTACTATTTGGCGCGTCACTGAACTTGCTCGCTTTCGACAACTATTGCGAGTCTTGGACAGTTGCTGTAGCAGCTCTTTACACCTACAACCTTCCCAAAGCTTGACGTCTTAACTTGGCCACAGATCAGTGGCGCCGGAATTTTGCTTGTTTTCATTATCGTATCTCTCGCCTACCCAAGTGGATAAGGACCTGAGTTCACGAATTATTCGTCGGCCATCTCCGTGGCGTTCGAGGAATTTCAAATATCGACGATCGGCCGTGCCCGCCTACCAAAACTTTGAAGTCGATAAATCATTGGCTGGTTGTAATTGTATTTGCTTGTGCATCCTCAAAGCAAGGAGGCCTGATGGCTGTCATCACGTACCCAATGGTCGATCTTGGGTATCAATGTTGTACCTACCGGTACGCGTCTGTATCAAAACTTTGGGCAGTGATCTTCCAGATTGGTAGTGGTCAAAGGTATCTCTAAACCCTCTGCCAACGTATATAATGCTTCAATCCCGATCTGTGCACCTTGGAAAACACCTACCTATCTGACTTTCTCACTACTATGTGCTACCAGGAAGATATACCAGCTACGCTAACACGCACCTTACCATGAACTTATCGCCAATTGGGGCCCCATGGCTTACAATTGCAAAGCTGAAAAAAAAAACGGACATAAAGTTCTCGTATAACTCTCGAAGATATTAAGCCCAGACTTATCGTCTTTCTCTCTGTACAGACTCCGCATATGCAAACTATCGAAGCCATGGCGAGCGAATCCGCACTTTTCTTCAGACTACCTCTAAGAATCCGCCAGACTATTTACAGTAATGTCCTCAAACAAACTACAGAGATGTTTCTACTGCGCACATGTCGTCAAATATACGTGGAGTCCCATCAACTTGTATTCCGGCAACCGCTTAAGCTCAGCAATCAAACATTGCGGCAACGACTCCGAAAAGTGCCAGAGAGATTCATGCCCGAGGTGACTGAGATCTTCTTCACCCTCCACGATGTTGACATGACGCCTCTGCTGTCCCAGACAGTCTCCCCATCACTTGTTCGATCCGGCAATAGCCTACCGCTACATACGTGGGACATCTACGACACGGAGGTCGAAAGCATCAGAACGGCCTTGATCCGGTTTCAAAGTGTCACCAGATTCACTCTGCAAGTGCTCGAGGGCAGTCCGTCTCACTTATATCGCGATTTTGTAGGCAGCATCATCGGCATGTTAGCTTCTATTTACCCCAATATCAACGGCCTCGGCTTCGAAGGCAGTTTCCGGGATCAAAATTTCCAGCTCTTATCGCGTTTTATGTCTCTGGAATCGATCTCGTTTGACTGTCATCTGGTGCAGAGACAGGCCGAGATAGCCAAAACATTCTCCCGCCTCAATTTGACCGGCGTGTCCTTTATCACCCAACGCCCCCCTCCTCGATCTTTCCGCCATCAAGACGGTATGTTCATCTCAAATCTACAATCATATGATTCTCAATCTTTAGATTCATCATACTACTACATACACTACAAACCCTGGCCTACTACTGAACGCCGTGCAGACATGTCCACTCCCACCTCATCTGCCATGGGTGAGTTCCTCAGCACCTTCACGAGTCAGGCGTTGTCCAGCCTGTGTATCTCGCAACCCCATGCGCCAACTCCAAATGTTCTCGTATCTCTTCGGAGCTTCATTTACAAAAACACGCGTGTCAATCGACTGGAACTCGACTGGCCACGCCTAGATCCTGAAATATTGCAGCGCTACACTCTATTGAATAAGCCTTTAAAATGTCTTTGGATAAGGGCAGTAGATAGAGCCAGCGCCTTCGATATCTTCCGGATTATCGACGAGGAAAAGGGGGATCAAAGGGTCGTCAATCTACAAGACGTAGGGATACTGCGCAGTTTCTGGCATCCCATTGTGACAGAAACTAAGAAACAAACTCGGGTTTCCGATTCGTCTAGAGCAGAGGTGTCTGACCGCGTCACTTTCAAAGATATACATCAAGATGTGAGAACCATCATTTGTTTTCTTGTGCCTTCGCTGTTAGTGTCGATTCTTTGCGATGGCATGGTTGGCATCTATTGACAACGAGCTTACAGGAAGATTTAACGTCTGCTGAGCTTGATGAAGCGAATCTGGTCTTTGCACAGCACCGTCTGCGTGCGCTCGGGGTAAGAGTTATGTGGTGTACGGATCCGTAATATCACTGTTTTGGAGAATGTGGCGTTGTGGTTAGAAGATCGCGACACGTCGTATTTCTTGGAAAACATTGACTTTAATAATATTTCGCGCTCTTGATTCATAGGACCATTGGTCAAGGATTGGAAATTGAAATTTTGCTTGATGTCATCATGGGCGAGGAGTTTGTCTTGCAATATGGTATTCTTGGAGATACCGAAACCGCACAGGCGGTTACACAAGTTGTTCCAGAAATCGAAGATATAACAACCTTGGAAGTCATCGTGACTGATGATAAGATGTTGTTGGAGCATCGGTGGAGGCGGTGCCCCTCATCGCGCTACACGTGATTGGAGCGATCGACGGCGCACCTAGGATTACCTCAGACATTCAAGATCCGAAGCGACACGAACAAGTGGCAGCACATTCAATTACTCTACCAACTCCCTCGCTCATCTGTCTAACCGCCAATAAAAAAACCCGGTTGTCTACGTTTCCACTGGATTAGACACCGCTAGACTCCCACGCACACGTCCGCAGCAAGCTTAATCCTGTACCTCGACAACGTCTGTAGAAGCAAGCTACCGAAACCCCATCCACGCTGGTCACGAAACAATGTCACAGTACGGTTACGGGCAAAATCCGCAATACGGCGGCAACGCAGGCGGCGCGCAGAATCTCCAATTTTACTCTTCCACGTTCTCGAACCAACCTGTCTCAGGACACTCTACGCCATTCCAGGCAAACTACGGCGCACCACAAACACAGGCGTATCCGTCACAGTATGGCGCTGGGTTCTCAGCACCGGGTGTGAGTGGGCAGATGGGGGTGGGAGCTTCGGGTTTGCGGACTGGATGGCTTGCAGCTTTCGGTACTGAAGGGTATGTCTGTCGTGTGGGCGGGTGGCCGATGTATTTGCTAATTGGAATAGATATGAGGGAGAACCACCACTGTGTAAGATTATATATGGCAAAAATATATCGAGCGAGACTGACGAAGCACAGTGGAGGAGTTGGGTGTGAATTTCAGTCACATCAAGATGAAGGTATGATATGAAACATGCGCGTATGGCGAACTCAGACTGAGCAGCGAATAGACACTTGCAGTTCTCAACCCATTCGGTCGAATCGATCAGCATCTCATGGACGATAGCGACATTGCTGGTCCAGTTCTATTTTTCTTCGTGTTCGGAACTTCATTGCTAGTACGCTTGCACCCAAACAGAGTGTATGACTAGGGTCTGGACTAACGAATGATAGCTTTCTGGGAAGCTTCATTTCGGGTACATATACGGTAGGTTGCACTTAGGTTCAAATGTGCGCTCCGCTAACTCTAGGCTCAGGTCTCGCAGTACTAGGCACTGCCTTGCTTCACACCATTCTTTCTCTCATGTCCCCGCCGCTGAGTCCGAATGAACTGGCGGCTAGCCAAGACCACGATCCCCGAGGAAGCTCACATTTCTCGTCCTCGCTCACATACCCACGATCTGCGTCGGTGCTGGGTTATTGCCTATTACCACTCGTACTGGTTGCAACGCTGGGCATAGCAGTCCCATTGGATGGATATTTCGGATACATCTTGACAAGCTTGGCTATCATCTGGTGCTCGTACTCTTCCAGCTCCATGTTCACGATTGTTGGTAAGTATTCATTGGAGTTCCCAGATTTCGTGAGATTGACTGCAAATAGGACGCATGTCGTCTATGAGGGGACTCGTGGCATACCCTATGGTCCTGTTCTATGGAAGTTTTGGTATCATGGCTATCTTTAGCTCAAGGGGAACCGGTCAACTAGCCAAGGCAACGAACGCAGCTTAAAGAAGACATGCGGACAGTTGTCTGTAGAGGTCGGCATTGGAGTGTCTGTGGGAGATAGGTGGGAGATAGAGGCGGTGCTTCAGCAATTGAAGAAAAAAGTGGTGTGAAACTTTCGTACGATGATTTGCATTTCTCGTAGGTCCAATCGATAGATTTCGAACTGTATGATTATCACAGATTTCCAATGTGACAAAGAGAATATTCCAATGTTTGAACCGTCGACACTTCATGTGACGGCCAATCACAGAATAGATGATTCTCTAGGCTGAATCTGATAAGATCCGCCAATAAATGACGCGCCAAAAACTTCTCCCCCGACCTTCTCCGACTTGCCTCGTCTACTCACTCCTACTCTTTCTTCTCCTTACGAGCTTTGTAATAATACATTCACCTACACCTTCTAATCAAGTCTTCGCATTTATTACATCGCCGGAATGGGTTGGTTCTGGGCAGACACTGCTACATCCTCTACATCAGTGGCACCGCATCCCATGCCTCTCGGTGATGCGAAACCTCCTGTATGGTCAACAATCTCCAACCCTTGAATTCTCACATCTAACAATCTGCCTCAGCCATCATGTCCCATGCACAACAAGACAACACCACCTCCCAGCCGTCTCCCCGCAAGCGCTTCCACACCCCAAGGCGCTTGCCCCTACGTGCCTCCCGAGACAAGTTCCTCCTCACCACCCTCGTCCAGCGCAAATCCAGAGCCCGCCGCTAAACCAAGTCTTCTCTCCCGCCTCAACCCCCTAAACAACATGCCCTTCGACCTCTCCAACTCGCGCGCCGAGAACCAAACCCAAGCCCTCCCCCTCTCGCGCGAAGCCTCTACCATCCCCAAAGCCGATGGTTCCCTATGGGAATACCCCTCCCCGCAGCAAATGTACAACGCAATGCTCCGAAAAGGCTACGACGACACCCCCGTCGACGCCGTCGAAAGTATGGTCTCTGTCCACAACTTTCTCAACGAAGGCGCATGGGCAGAGATCATGGGATGGGAACGACGCTTCAGTCGCGGAATCGGCGAGGGATATCGCATCTGTAAACGCGGCGAGGAGAATGCAAACGAGGCATTGGGAACGAGCGATGCGTTTGATACGACTACGTGGAAGGATCGCGAGGTGCCGCCACCGAAATTACTTCGATTTACGGGACGACCGACGGAACCCACGCCCAAGAGTCAGATACTACAGTGGTTGGGGTGGGCGTGGCCCGCCAAGTATGGCACGCCACCGCCGTTTGATCGTCATGATTGGTATGTGGAGAGGCATGGGCCACAGGGTACGTCGGAGGAGGTGCGGTATGTGATTGATTACTACGAGGGCCAGCCTGAGGAAGGGGACGAGCCGGTGTTTTATTTGGACGTTCGACCTGCGATTGATGGGCCCAAGGGTGCGGCGGAGAGAGCTGTGAGATGGGGTACAGATGTGTGGTGGAGGGCCAGCGGCGGTGTTGTGAGGGAGGTTGCGAAGGCTGAGGCGGAGAGGAACAGGAAAGAAGAGCAGTTGCAGGCAAACAGTCGGAGGTATAACTGAGCGCCATATTTCTCGTTCTTCCCCTCTTTTGCATAAACGAGAAGAGGGATCATGCGATATGAGAAGACGGTCGCGCATACGGCATCCATCTGATCGCAATCGCTTAGGGGTCAAAAATGGGTAATATTAGGGGCTTTCACATCAGCAGAAGCAACAATTCGGTTGTTGACCCTGTATGGTCAAAGACGTCATTTGATGCTAACGAGGTAACTGTTTTCATCTATTCGAATTTTCCGAGCTTTCAAACTGTAAGGTATGATTATCTCTTGTACATTCTTACTCTTTTTCCTGTCTTTTGTCTCTTTTTGTTTCAGGAGGGAGACAGCCGGGAAGCATGTTCTGTCATGTTCAAATACTTGGAACTATGTGCTCCTTGTCTACTACTTGTGTATTATCAAAAACAGAAATCTTATCTCTTCTCCCCTTTCGCTCTACCTCTTTTTACGTTGTCGCGCCGCTTACGTTTCTCGGATACGTCAATTGATCGAAATTATCTCGCGCAGCCGAGAAAGATGGAACGATCCAAATTCATCGGCATAGGCTGCTGCCTGAGAACGGACGCTACCACTTTGTTCACCAGCAGTCAGGTTGTCCAAAACCTACATATGTACACAGTCACATTCACGCACCGGAGACAGGTACCAGAACAGATGATCCATTATGATTCGCTATTTCCAATTTGGAGGGAACAGTAAGCGGATACACCAACAAACAAGATCCTCCGTCTACCTTCTACTCGCTACAACCCGATTAGGGTTGCGGCTACCTTTTAAAGGACCCGGTAAGCGCAAAGAACCTAACAAATAAAAAACTCCACCAAACTGGGTGCGAAAACACGTAGACTGCCGGTGTGACGCGGTCCGACCTCCCCTCTCCGTGCAGCCACAAACATGAAACTCACCCGCCTCTGCACCCACAGTGAGGAAAAGCATGACAAAAAAAAAGGGAAAGGTGGGATATGATTCAACGCAAAAACCAACGCCGTTGCACCAGAACAGAACACCGAAGCCACTGTGTAGTATTGACTTCGAGCATGCATAAACTCGTAAAGGAAACAAATGAAACCCCATACCGGAACTCCATACCACGGCCCCAGGAGCAGAGGCATGGCCTCACCCCGATCACATGGCAGCGTGCTTGCACGTCGAGACTCCAGTATTGGACATTAAAGATTAGGTTGGCATCAAGTCGACACTACTAGGGTGTCAACTATATACCCGTAGCATCAACGGTTGCTGCGCCTGTGGGTACTAAGTATGGGAGTAAAAGAAGGTAGGGGTTGAAGAGGATTGCTGACCTTGCACTGGGGACTCGGTCTTCTGGCGCTTGTCTGCATATTCCCCTGCGACAAGTGAGCCTTCGATGGAGTGCTTGCCGTTGCTAGATGGGCCGTGCTGGGCAGCGGCAGCTGCTTGCGCCGCCATCTGTAACTCTCCAATCTGACGTTCAGATAGACCACTGTCATTGTGGTTCTGTGTCTGAGGTGGCGGTTGGGGCTGCTCTTGCTGCGGTGGCTGATAGGTCTGGGGCATGTTGGAGGCCTCATTGTGGTTGCGCGAAAGGTCAACACCTGCAGGAGCAGGTGGTATTTCGCCCTGAGTTTCGAGCAGCCGCGATTGCAAGTTGATGATGTAGTCACGGAGCTGATAGTTTTCTGTCTGGAGAGTCTTGTACAGTTCCAAGAGATGCTCAGACTCTTTGACTTTGTCGTTCAAGTGCCGGATGTGTTCCTCTTTGCGCTGACGGAATGCACGCTGTGGAAGCAAGTCAGTACGCCCTCTAGTCAACAAGACCATGAATTCACTGATGATGACGTACCTGGGCAGCTCTGTTCTGGGCAGCACGTTTCGAGGTGGATAGCTCCCGACGGCCCTTTCTGTGATCGCCCATATCGGCTTGGGGAGCTTCGCCTTGACTCATGCCGTACTGAGGAGGACCAGCGATCTGCGGGTCAATAGCGTGTTGCTGAGGAGAGTGTTGCTGAACGGGATGTTGCTGGAGAGGAGGCGCAGGCGGAGCAGAAGACTGGCCAGCTCCAGCGGCAAGCAGATGCTCTCTTAAGCCTGGAAACGGGTGGTTAGTAAGCAAGTCGAGGCGAAGACATTCGGAATACGGAAGCGACAGCAGAGGAATGACTAACTCATCTCGATGGGTTTGGAGTCCTATTAATACCGTCAGCAAGGTAGGCTCGGGTAATGTGTAAGCCATTAGAGCGAAGGCAGGCTTACCTGAGCAGGTTGCTGCATGATTGCGGTGGAATCGTAGGTCCTGATACTTGGATACAAGGTAGGTAGGCTGGACGGCATCAAAAATGCACGGCAAGGCCGAACAAAGTAGATTGAGTTTGCGCCAGGTCAAGAAAGTGAGGGTGGGAGACAATCGCGACAGCCAGGTTCGGTTGGGTGCAGGCGGCGCACAGGTCAAACAATGAAGTCAGCAGTGAGCACCTAGAATCGCGAATCAGTTGTCACTGCAGCATAGACGGCATGTATCATATTTTGGAAAAAAAGAAAAAGAAAAAAAGGCAAGATGATGCGCTGATGGACGGATTGATGCATTCGGTTGCGGACACGCAGTCAGTCAGTCGGGCAGGTGCAGGACGTCGCGCTGGGAAGAGCGAAGATGGGCCGCCGCATTGTCGCGATGGAGGGAACAACAGACTGATAGACCGACTGCAGCGGCTTTTGGTAGTGACAGGCGGCACTTGACGCGCCATGCCGAAGGATGCGCGTAGATGGGGAGGCTAGCCTGCACGAGCGGAACATGTTGATGTTGTCTGTCTGTCGTCGTCGTCGTCGTCGTCGTCGTCGCCGCCGCCAGGAAAGCCGATGTGTTTGTGTGTGTGTGTATATAGATGCTTGAGGAATTGTGTATTTGCTACTCACCTGGGGATATGGGCTGGTTGGTTCGGGATCGGTGGATGGTCGAAGTGAAAAGCAGCTTAAGTAAGATCTCAGTCAGTAAACTGGGGGGGCGAGGGTATTTAAGGCCGGAAAATCACATCGGCGCGGGCGGTTTGGCGTCACCACCAGCGCAGACAAAGCCGATCATAACGACATTAATTACATGCAATTACCTAATCACCGCGCTCCGTCGCTGCACTCTTGAGGGCGCGCCAGAGGGTTTCAGCCCGCCATCGCGGCCCATTTGCAACAGTGTCAGCTGCTGTGCAGACCATTTACCCGTTCATTGCTTGTCTATTGCTTTCCTCTTGATTCGCCCGCCCGCCACGGAGTCACTGCAATTCCGCATACAGAACGAGAAGCGATCCTGCTTACCAATCCCGCCGGCTATCCCTAGCCCCATCCGGCTTAGTTTCCGGCTCCGTGGCCACCTCGAATGATTAGAGAACACACCACCACACCCATCTCCGTCTACCCATTGTGGGTATCCAGACCAGATAGTCTCTTTTCACCACCACCACTCTGATGGCCTGTCTTGTCCCATCTTACTCCCCCCTGTACGTTTGGTTTACCCCAGCTCCAACAGCCAATCCTTTACGCTTGCAGCCGCTCCCCTTGACGGGCTTACCGTGAATCAAGTCACCACACTACCCAACTGAATCTCTTCTGACATGACGAGACTGCAGAGTTTCTTTCAAGTCATGGACCAAAGCTGGTAACACATTACTACGCCAGTCCACCCGTCGTGTGTTACCAATCAATCTGTCAGCCCCCAGTTCACAAAGCCGAACTCTTTCACTTTTCGATCCATCCTCACCTCGGCCGAGCATCAGTGCTCACAACCCATCTGAGATCAGATTCTCTGCAGGTCAACCAGAAGATCTGCCCACTCGACTTTTGGAGCTGTCCGCATGGGAGCTCGGCCCATCCAAATCCGCCATCACTCGGCAATTTACATTTCGCACATTCAACGATGCCTGGCGCTTCATGAGCGTCGTGGCCGACGAGTGCAAAGCCAAACGACATCATCCATCGTGGTCAAACCTCTATAATCAGGTTTCCATTGAATGGACCACCCACAAACCCCAAGGACTGAGCATCAAAGATGTTGACATGGCCGCTTTCTGCGACCGCGCCGCTGACGAGATAGGCCTCAAGATGCCATGATCAACACTGGGAGGACCCCTAGGCGCCCCGCATGGTGATCACATAGCATGGTCGTGCCTACACCGCACAATTACCCAATCATCTAACACTCATTATACAGACACGAGAAATATATTACAATCCGACGTGTCTGCGGCCATGTATCCTGAATTATCAACGTACATGTTTCGGAGATAATGAGACGCGCAAACTCCGTGAAATAGGTCTGTGTCCGCCCGTGTACCGACGCTTCCGCACCCAGCATTCACCGTGCAACCGAAATCTTGATGCAGTGAACTTCCTGAAATTGCCATGGGATTTGATCGTGTGAGTCTTCAAGAACAACCTTGATGCTCAGGCATTCCGCATTCTCCTCAAATGGATAGGTTACGACCGCGCAACACAGCATACATGCGAATCTCGCGCTTCTGTCCGAATCCGTGCAGTTGATGGATACCGGAACATCGCACGATCCGGTTTGTCATGCATTGGTCATCCCGTCAGCAACCACCAATCCTCCAACCAACAGCTCCAAATGTCGCCCTCTCTCTCTCTTCGTTTACCTCACCTTTTCCACCACTCTCTTCCTGGTTATTTCTAGTCACATGCACTTGCTAGCGATGCTTCCTCATCTCACCTTTCCTGGATCAAGTAATTGTTCCATAATCGGGGCGTGGAAGGAACTACATGCCTAGCTACTAGCCGTTTTCAAAACCCTCGCCGCCGGACGATTAGATCCGGAGTTTTTGCACTCCGACAAGCGGAATGTGTAAATGCGGCGTGGGAAAATGTCCGAGTCCCACTTGCTTTCCTAAGAGATATTGGTGGAAATCCGCTTCAGTTCGCCTACTTTCTTTGTAAGCATTATTGATACTTGCGATACTGGTGATCATCAGTATCATTGTACCTGCGGTTCTTGACCAGGGACACGCAGTACCGGACCTATTCTTGTACACCGCGATGTTCTTCTTGCATCTCTTAGCTGTCTTGTGTGAATATTTGATCAGAATGCTGGGCATCGCTGTTCCTTTCAAGTTATCTATCCATTCTGTGAGACCCATTGAGATAGCCGTCTACTAGGCGCTCATTAAGTTTGGGCGGGTTTGTTTGAAAACACATGGGCTTTGAAAAAATGACACACGTCTCCTCAAACAAGAAAACGTATCGACAAGCATTGACATGCTCACCCGAGTTCTCGGATTCTGGACACGTTCAAGTGCTTTGATGGATCTTATTTCCATTCTTTTTTTTTTTTTTTGCAATAAAAGAGCGTGGGAATCGTTGGGGTCCAACACTTTCCACACACACATGTCGTCAGTGTGTGGATACTTTTATACAGAACACTGGACATAGGATAGAAGTAGCTCAGGGTTTTTTAATTGGTCTTTTGCTCGGGTATTTGTTGTCTGTGTACACCTACAGAATCCGGATAAATTGTGGATAGTTTCGATGTAAGATTCTTAGGTCCAAAGCATGGAGCCTGGGCTAATGTTCATATAATCCCACAGATTGTCGTTGTTAAAAATAGCTTTATCTCTACCCATTGGTTCTGAATCTATGCCTTTCGGCTCACAATGGAATCGAGACTTTGTTGGAAATGGCATGTTGATCAAATGCACTGATTCTACAAATACTGTAACGCAAAAATAATAAATTCAACTTCTGTTTCGCATTTTGCTGCTCTCCTCCTCACATGTGTTCAGCTAGGCGACGTTTTCCAAGGCAGGCAGGCAAGCAGACACAGAACAGAAACACATGACTCTAATGTAACGTGGATTCTGATACCAGCATACATTCTGACTGCTGTAATACATGACTTTTGAAATGCTCTTCACCCCCATCTTACGTGATAGAACATGATATACTCTTTTCACCAGGAATCGACACACTCTTATTGGTTCTTGAATCTGTCTTCACACACACGTACAAGCCACTTGCATTAAGTTTAGTGTAGGCCTCATTTAGGTACGCAGGGCCTGAAATAAAACTTCGTCCTCCACATAAAGGCCATGTCTAAGTATAATCTGATGGTGCTTCCTAAATCTTGGAACTTTTGTTCCCATCTTCCACATCCCTGTGTTGTTGCTGTTGTTGATGAATGAATCTAAAGACTTTAGAAATCTCATCCACCTATTGTAGACATTGGCATTATTCAGTTATCAACCTTCTCTTTGCATTATGATTCTTATAACTACAGTATGTACCAGGATCACCTGAACTCCCACACAGAAAAGGAACTAATTTGGATAAGACTCTCGCTTCTAACAAATGGCTTACTTCCATCCAGTAATTTTAGTATCTGGACTCGAGAAACTTTGCCGCAAGACCACCGTTTCAATAATAAGCCTAATTGATGAATACCCAGCCCAAAAGCGCTTCACTATATAATCTGCAATAGTTTGTAGTGAAATGCTCTAGAACAACGCGCCCAATATATAAAAGTCATTACTACCAGATTGTAATTCAAAGGCAAAAGTTTACATATGATTATTGCTTGTCGCAGGTTAGTAGGTGCTCCTCATCGTAATTGTATCCTCAACATCAAAAAGTACATATAATTCCCACCCTATGCGCAAAAAAGGACATTTTTGTATATATAAGTTGATTAAAAAACATCATGGGCTAAATGTTAAGAACAGTGCCACCAGCCACATGGGTTGCAACACGGTCTTATTTGAGCTATGTAGAACTTAGTTACATCAGAATCCTTGGGTTTGGCATGTTCTCATACAACTATTTGTATGTTGCATCTGCTGATTCTGAACTACTTGTACACCTCTGGAGGGTGTTAGATTATTCAATGTCTCTCCACATGCACATCGCAGACACCTCGAGTGAATTGTAGTAAGCTTCTCGACTCTCACTCATGACATTCTCACTTCCATAGCGGGGTTCGTAGTCCATCCATGAGACTTGGAACGATGTGATTCTTGAACGACTCGCTGCCAAAATTCTTCATCAGCGCCAGTCATTTGAAGCCCAGATCATTGCATTTCCGAGGTAAAAGTTCTAGTTCTCATGTATCAAGCATAAAAGCAAGGCTGCTAGAGGCATCCTTTGAGATGTATCCCAGACTTCACCACTAATACCATGGGCATAGCTTGTCAAAATCAACACATGCATTGGTTTTAATCTTGGATCTTAGCAATGCTCTTCCCGATAAGCGTGATCGTCAAAACTAAGCTTTCTTTTACTTGAAGCTACAGTGTTTCCCTACACTTAAAAGGCAGATAAGAATAATTTAACAAAAAGTAGGTAGGGACAAAAAGGTTCACACAAGGGGGAGTTTTGTTTTCGGCACCGGGCCATGATGCAACAACCACATTGTAATCGTCAAAACATCATACACTGTCCAGGCTCCCGAGCTCATCTCATTTTCCGCTTCAAATGCTCCATTCACCATATGTAAATGGTCGACACATCTTTTCATATCCCTCAAACATTGATATAATCGAGAATCATGTACTTGCAAGGTCTCCTCTCCACATCCAACGAGCGTTGTGTTTGTTTTACAGCATGCATTGCACATGTCAACTTCTGAACCTTTCCGAACATCGCTTTGGTGATACTAGGTTTGAAACTTTTTCCGCCACATTGCTTAAATTGATCTGATTATCTCTCATGATTTCGCATCCTCCGCAATCATCATTCGTCGCGCACTTGAGGCCAAATACTTACACATAGATGGTGTCCAGTATAACTATTAGATGACCTCCGTCCCTCCAATCTCAAATTATTGTGTTGGACTAGTTACAAACATATGCAGTGCAAGATGGATTTTTAGGCCTCGTACGCCTCCCCTCACACAAAATTGTATCTAAAAGGGCACAGGAAGAGCTTTCGGTTCTTCTCAAAGCTATTCAATTTCCACGTCCGAAACTCACAAATCTTCAACATACAATCTCTATAGGTCTTTAGTCCAGACACTTCTCCTTCCTCCCAAATCATCGTGATTCCAAGTTTTAGTGAACTCAAGTCCTCCAAATGATAAGCATCAGTCGCCCCTTTTTCGTTGATCACTTCTTCTCTCACACAGAAAAATATCAATTATAGGTATCTCTCCAAATACTCCTATCATCTATGTCGATGTGAACTTTGACCCACCTCTTAGATAACCACTGGAGAAAGATGTCAAGTCTTCATCCCATGTACACTCTCCGTAAATGTTTTTGGTTAATACCTTTCCCACTTCCCCATAGTTCAACATGCTCCAAAATTTCCCATTACCCCCATCACCCTCCCCGCCCCTCACCCAAAAGATGATTTCGAAACCTCCTCCTCATAACATAAATCCCGTCTGTCTTCCAATAGAAGCCCCTCATGCCTCCAGAACAAGAATGTATTATGTTCAAAAAGTCCACACCCAGAACCTCCCCCACGCGTATAAAACGAATTCGGGATTTTAGTTCACACTATTCAAAACAGTCATCATCATGTTCCAACAAAAAAGTCCACAACCCCAGACCTGCTCCCAAATGTCAGGCCGGTTGGACTTTGGTGTCCAGTTCAAAAATTCTTTTTCCTGCCTTCGTCCAAAAGTATTGATGAGCAACATAGCCTTTGTTGAAAAGATACAAACAAAAGTGTTTCCCCTTCTCCCCCAACACTCCTCCACATCATATGACCGCGGAAAAAAAACACTTTTTTAGTCCAGATTTTGACTGCAGGCCAGAGCAGCGCGCTCACAGCAGTGTGAAGAAGAGGAAAGGAAGGAAGGAAGGAGGCCGCTGGAGAAGGGATATATATACTTGGAATTAGAGAGGAAAAGGATAGATACCTCGAATGAGTCGTGAATCAATAGTGAAGCTGTAGAGAGCTTTTGCTGTGTGACAGAAGTTGGTTCGAGATTGCTTAGAGCGGGGAAATACGTACCAATGGAAACCACGCAGAGGGTGATGTTAGGTGTGAAAAAGCGGGACAGGGCTAGACATGGGGTAATTAATAGCAGAAGGCTTCTCAAGTCCTTCACTGGATATTGATGCGAAGTACCTCACGATACTCCAGGTTGCACTCAAATAACTGTTAATTCATGAAAGATTGAATATCAGGATACCATAACCAAAATCTATAAAGGGAAAAAGATCAAAAGTCTACAAGTTCGCCCTCCGTCCCTTCCCTAGTTCCTCCTTCAACACCATCCCTACAGGTCCCCCGCGACTCCCATCCCCACTCCACTGCTCCTCTGGCACGCGCTGCTGCGGCCATGCCCACCGCTCTTTGAAGTCCTCGGGCGTACGACCCATGACGCAATTTACGATACACTCTCCAATCACAGGCAGAAACTTGTACCCGTGGCCGGAACCTCCAGTCGCGACAAATAATCCTTTGTATTTGGGGTGGTACGATATCAGAAAGTCGCCATCACGGGTATCGGTGTACCAGCAGATTTTGGATTGTGTGAATGGGCGCGAAGGAATTGCGAGGGAAGGGTGTATGTTTGCGAGGAAATCGCGACACGAGCGGTGAGCTTCTACCGGGACTGTAAGATTAGGGTCGTCGATGTGTGTGTAAGGAAGGGAGACAGTGATGGTAGCGTTTGGGTCCTCGGACTCTGGGTGGCGGATCGTAGTGGGATTTGTATAGCCGTGGCCATGTCGAGCGACTTTGAGGAGCCCGTTAGCTGGAGGTATCATGAAGAGGCCGTTGGAGAGGTTGAGGAGAGTTGGACGAGTTGAGAGGGTGGATTCTTCGGATGCGGAGATGGGCATGTAGCAGAGTGCTTGGCCGGTGGCTTTGCAGATGCCACGGAGGTCAAGTAGGGAGGCAGACCAGGCGCCGGCTGCAAGGATTGTGAGATCCGCGGTAATGTGGGTCGAGTCGGAGAGGGTAGCCCCGGAAATGCTGGAGGTTTGGTGGTCGATGGCGAGGGAGGCGACCTTTCCGACGACGAAATTTACGCGGTTGAGGGCTTCAAGCTTCTTGCGCAGCCAGCGCATGCCTCCTTCTGCGTTCGCCCAGCCGGAACTCCAGTTCACGTAACCTACATTGCCGGCTCCTGTAGGACCCGTAGCTTCAAGACCGCATACTCTTTTGATGTCTTCGGATGATTGGAGCACTTCGACCTTGTCCACCCCCAGGGCTTGCACGTTAGCCAGTGAAGCGGAGACGTACTTCTGCTCCGGTCCAGCAGCAGTCACACAGAGCCCTGTCTGATGATAGTGTTCGGGGGCGAAGTCAGTGCGCCATTTTTCTTGTGCAATTGCTGCTAACTTCGCATACGGTGCGGCAGCATAATCAGGGCGAATGATGCGAGAGGCATCAATGCTGGACCCATCAGTTGTAGGAAAAGGAAGTCGATCTATGAGAGTGATTGAGGTGTCTTTGAAATCCGGGTTATTACACAACGCCCAAGCCGTTGACAGACCGAAAACGCCGCCTCCGATGATGAGGATGGAGGAAGGGACTCGGCCAGATGAAGAAGAAGGAGAAGAAGTAGATGCCATTGGTGACTACGAACGCTCCAGAACAACAACCAAAAGAAACGACGATATATACAAAGACTCTACTCTTCGCTCGAAGCGATCAAGAAGAAAAGGAAAGAAAAATCATGTCATGGTGAACTTATCGATAAAAAAGTTGGTGGGGAACCTCCGATGTCGTCCATGTTCTTTTGCACCAGATCGGCTTTTCACGGCCCCGGAAAGGGAACCCTGGAATGGAGCATGGACTGGACTAACCAAGCACAGACCCTCCACGAAAAGCTTGAGATGGCCAACGTCGGCCTCAATTGACCTTCCACTTCGCTCCGTGTCAACTTGTTGGAGGCTCAATTGAAGTCAACATGGCCAAGATTCCAAAGGTGCCCAAGACGGTGTTGCCGAAACCGCCTCGACAGGCTGTCCCGCCGCCCCCACCATACGTACCTTTACGAGCCCGACCCGTACGACCGCAACGGACGAACCTACCGAACCAACAATCACCACCGCACCCGTCAGCACAGGAAACCCCGATTGCACCGCCTGGAACTACTCGTTCAGATAGACTGAAGCAGGTGTGGGACGAGCGACCACGGGTCTCGGACATCAAAAGACTGACGCCGGAGCAATTGAGCGCACCCACCCACCAGAACCGCATGAACAAATGGCGACAATGGACACTCTTTATCTGCGGCATGTCTGCCTTTGGAATGGGTCTATACGGAATGCAGATCTACGTCTCACTTACGACTGCACCAGACGAAAATGCTGTTCCTGACGACCTCTCCGATCGCTTCGACAAGGAAGCCGACGGCTACGATGAGAAGGTCAGCATGGCTGAAACCATGCTTTTCCTAAACTCGCGCCGCAAAGCACTCATGCAGAAAGTGCGCGGCCACGTTCTCGAAGTCGCCGTCGGTACCGGCCGCAATACTCCTTACTACCCCACCAAGCAGTGCGCTACGGTGACGCTGCTCGACTCCAGCGCGCCCATGCTCGAGGTCGCCAAGCGCAAGTGGAAGGAAACGCACATGGAGTACTTCAGCCGAGTCTTCTTCAAGCACCAGTCTGCAGTCGATCCCATTACGCCACCGTACGGCGCGCAGGACGGCTACGATACCGTTGTCCAGACCATGGGTCTATGCTCGACCAACGAGCCCGTTAAGCTCCTGCATAGCCTCGAGGCTGCGACAAAAGAGGAGGATGGTCAGATCTTGCTACTTGAGCACGGGAAGTCGCATTATGAGTGGCTCAACAGCTTCCTGGATCGCACGGCGCCTAATCACGCCCTGACGCATGGATGTTGGTGGAACAAGGACATTGGCAAGATTGTGGAAGAGAGTGGGCTCGAGGTGGTCGACATGAAGCGGTACAATTTTGGTACGACGTGGTGGGTCGAGTTGAAGCCACGGAAGGGCATGCGCAAGCAACTCGAGGATGCGGCCAAGGAAGAAGTTGAGGTGGCCGTGCAGAAGTCGTGGTCGTGGTGGAGTTTCTGGAGATGAGAAGATGGCCGAGTTCAGTTTGGTGTGGAAGCATGGCAGTAGTGGTTGGCACACTCCATGATGTACTATAGTAACTCTGTATATACGAGGGGCATTGCATCTGTATCCAGCTTTGTAGCATACAGTATACATCATTTTCAACGTCTAGGATAGGTGGGGTGGAGCCTAGATGGTAAGACGTCATTTCTGTAGATCCAACATTTGAATGTATTGAGATGTGTGGCACGTGGTTGGATTGGGGTATGGGAATGGCACGACTCGTGAATCTGATGGTTGTGGCTACTTGTTGATTCCAGTCCGTGAGATGGCAGATAACAGTGGTTTCATGGATTGCAGGCACGCACAAGGAATGCAATTGGTCACGTTGGCATGCACCAGGCGAGCTTTTTGGATGACCAGATGGATTGATTGAGGTGATATCAACACTTGGATATGATTCAAGATGGGATGCTCGAGGAACCCTGGCTTAATCCTTCTTACCTGGAAACCATGTTGAATTGGGTCATTTTGGGCACATTACCTTAGCATTGCAATAAGCGGGACCAGGTTTTGCGCACTTGGTCTTAGCATTGAAGGAGTATGCATTGGACAGTTGATAGCAACAATGGATGTCCCTAGTGTTTCTCGAAATGCTCAGCGAGCCGAGTTGCTCCCCACTTGGGCGCATGCAGGCGAGAAAATGCAAGGCCAAGGCAAGCTGGAACCGGGGCTACTAGAAGAGCGGACCGAGACTTGCACAAGCTACCGGTGTCGACCATGGTGGCTAATGGTGGGTGTTTTGGGACAGCAATCGATAGGCGGGGGACGTGGGAGGTGGCCCGCGGGAGGCTGCATACATAGGTGGCTTGCAGGGAGGAGGGGAGTTGCGGGATTGCCATGGCGATGGAAACATGCACGGGCACAGAGGTTGGGAAAGGGGAATATGAATGGGAGCGAGGGGTTTTGGTTGAGAGATTGCGATGGTAAGATGAGATGGGGAACTGGATACGAATGCACAGAGAAGGGCTTCGTCATCGGATAGCGACATGTGCATATGAAAGCGAGGTACCATTGTAATGACACTTGATGGAGCCGGAGGATTCGTCGCCGGCTAACCGCATGCGGACGGCTAAGAAAAGGTTAAGCGAGCCGATGATTCAAACGACGTGGAAGAGAAAAGACATCAGCAGCGCGCATTTCTTTTTCTGTGCTGCGGCATGGCCACAATCGGTGTGGGCGCTCGCTCGTCTCACGGTCCTGGCTGCAGCTGCAGAGGAGGTACATATATTTACACCGTTGCCATTGATATACCTAGAGGAAGAGCTGGCCGATGCCCTGCGAAACCACTTGCACGAGACGAGACACACGGCGACGTCTATGGAAGAGGTCGCGCGACCTACCTGTGAATGCCAGCTCCCCACAAAAGGTGACGATGCGAGCTCTCGCCTTATGTGATGCGGGTCTTCCGATTGGGAACTTGGACGGGGATGTCCCTTGGCGTGTGTGGAAAGGCACATGGGCATACATCATCACCCACTATAGTCCGTGGTACGGCTGCAAGTGGGGTGTAAATAACGGCTCACGTGGCCCGCGCGGTGCTTACTAACGGGGCCGAGGTGGCACATCCAGACCACTTTGTCCAGCATACATGTAAACACCATGTAACGAACGCGCAGGACGCAAACGGTGTATTGGCATCTGGCATCCCTGGTCGCCTGCTTGCTCTTCCAGAATCCGAGGGCGCGTACCCTCCAACGAGTGTGGCGACCCATTGTGCCCTCGCGCACCCCCGTGCTGGCTGCATGCCGGATGCAAGCGGGCAGACATGCAGCAAATTCTTCGCCGTCATGGCCGCTCGAAAAAATCTCGAGGGAACAATCTTCATTTGGCCGACATTGAACGAACGGAAACTGGGAAGAGGGAAAAAAAAAAAAAACAAAAATTTTAGCTCACCGCCGGGAAAGAGGCTAAAATCCTAGGGCAGCAGGGATGACTGCATGCATGCGAGGTCTGCAACACCACCAGATCACAACCACTCACCCGTTGCCTCTTTGAGTGCGGCTGCGAGGCGGTCAGCAGCCTGAGTGCGATCAAGGAAGCCTGGAAGAATGAAGTTTGCTCGAGCAAATCCCCATGGCGGGACGCGATACGCGGTGCAAGTCGTGCAGCAGCAAGTGTTTGTATTGCACGCAGATAGGGCCGAAACGAACGGGTCAAAGAGGGTAAAGCAGTCGTGTCTCGCAATGCTGGTGTTCGCGAATCATCGGCTGAGCGCGAAGCTAAAGATACATACATGTGTAACACCCGGCAACGAGAGTCATGGTGAAGGTTGGAGCGAGACACGGTCGCGGAAGCGGGACGTTGAAAGGTGGGCGGATGAAATGAAGTAAGTGTACATAGAATTGTGCTGTTACGAGATGGGTGCATCTGAACATGGCCAATGTGGTGACGATAACCAATCCATACACAACCATCAGATGCTGCTGTTTCGTTACTTTTTGCGCAAGTTTGGTGCGTTTGCCCCGTCGGCAGCTTGATAGGTCGCCATGGCGCCGTGCTGTCCCTCCCCCTGGACGAAGCAGAGCAGAGCGAACTTAAAAAAAAGTGCTTGGCTATCCTGGCCATCCCTGACCATGTACATTCACCCTAAAATTCCACCGTGCACCAACTACTCCACCACCAAGTCCCCTCTCCATTCTGCATCTGCCTCTGGGCCCGGCCTGGTCCCTTTCTCCCTTCCCATCTCCCACATCCCCCCCCCTTCACCATCCCATTGCCCATCCCCATCATCGCCGTAGGGCCTCATCTCGACATCTGCAAGAGGTGCATCATCATCTCCATCTCCCGTGTACTATTTCTCACCTTGGCCCGTCTTACTCGTTTTAATCCCCTTCCTTCCATCATCTCGTTGCGCCTGGACGTCGACGTCCCGTGCTATCACCACAGCTCAGAACATTGGCACGCAACCAACCAGGCAGGCAGGCAGGCAGGCAGTCACCCACACCTTCACAACCAACATTGGCAGCGTGGCGTGCCGCTTTCTCTTTTCTCCATCCATCTCGCATCAACAGCATCAACAACACCAGCAAACACCGTTTTCCTCTCTTTGCCTTGCACCTCGAGTGACCGTCCCGACACCCCGGTCATCTAATTCCCTGGTGTTGCACCTTGCATAAACGCTTCAGGTTAAGGCTGCTGTGCTCGCATCATTCCGCGCGCAACATCTTGACTACATTATTACCTACACCGCACTCCCTCCACCGTCCCCTTTTGCTTTCCCTCCGGTCTTCCCAAAATGCCTTCTGCCGTCTTTGCGACCCCGTCGCAACCCACGACGATGCCCTACAACACCCGAAGAAAGTCGCTGTCCCTCCCGTCCTTGGGCATTGCCCTCCCCCGGCCTGCTCGCTCACCGCCTGCCATTACCGAGAGTCAGCACATTGCCAAACGACAAAAGCGTTCGCACTCGAGTTCCACCTCAAATCCTTCTACACCGGCCTCTCCTCCGCGACCATCTGCGCCGCGTTTCGACGAGCGCCCAAAGAGCCAAGGTCGAGCTGCCGCCGACACACCGCCACCATCGCCGGGCGGCGAGTCCGGGCAAACAAAAATCGACACCCAAGGCATCGATGATATTATTGTCGTCGGCGTGATTGAGCAGCTGGAGAAGACGGGAAACCGCCCGCATTTGCTCAAGGAGCTTGCCACTATTCTCTCGCCAACCATTCCCATTGTCGAAAGGTACGAAGCTACCCCATAGCTCACCCCTCCTCTAGCCCTTTTACTGATGCAACTGTGTTATAGCTCCGCCAACCCTGCTGCAATCATTTCGTCACGCCTCGCAACCTACCTGAAACGCAATTGGACCGCCCTTTCCCGCTGCCCACTCGACAAGAAACTCGTCGGCACCCACCCCAAGCGTGTATACTACTTCCTCTCCACCTGCCCGCATCAACCGATACCCGACGATGCCTCCTCCAATGTTCCTTCAGTAGCTCGCATCATCTCACCCTCGCTGTCTTCGGCCGCTTCCGAAGAGGCGGATGACATGCGTTCACGAGATGTGAGATCGCCCTCACCAGAGCTTGATCTCTCGGATTATGACGACGCTGCGAGCGATCCGTTCACCAACCAGACGCACCCCCCCACTGCCCACAACATTGCACACAATCGGCGAGCCCAGTCCCCGCCGCTGGAGAAGGACGAGCGCGAGTTCACCCAGACAGCAACCATCTTGCAACAACGCAGGAGGAGCCAAACGGCTGAGCGCGAACGATCGGCTAGCATGTCTAGTCAGGAGACGGCCAAATCTGATGTGTCGATGAGCGACATACCGGAAATCGAGGATGAAGAAAGTGCTGCTCGCAAGAACTCTGAGATCGCCGTGGCTCTTTTTGGACAGATGGAGCACACCAATTTCGAGCCGCACTTTGGCACGAGCAGTCCCATGTTGAAGCCAACCTTTGATGTGGTACCGATGGCAAGCGATTTCAAACCAAGCCCAACCAAGATGGAGACGGTCGAATCCGACTTGCATTGGGAGAGCCGCGCTTCCGAAAGCATCGAGCTGGACGAGCTCGACGATCTTTTTGAAACATATTAACTAACAAAACAAAAGACTAAAATTGGCATATTACCATACTTGATGGTGTTTCACGAATTTCCTTGACCTGCGATTTTACTTGCCTTGTCCTTTCTAGTATATCCATTTCTCAAGTGTTCCCGTCTCTTTTCTTTGATTGTCCTTTCATTCCTTGTCTCCTTCCTTACTCTTTTATGGCGTACTTGGTAGATGGGATCTCCCTGCTGCTCGCGCAGCACAAGGATCCGCCTTTGACTGTTCTGAGGATGAGGATGTTTTGGTATCAGTTCGAGTTCGCAGCAATGCTCATGGTGTTCAGGGTAATGGTGTGGGGAATTCTTGTAAGACTACTTTTGTTCCGAGGATTACCATCCGCTGAGACACTGGCTGTTCGGCGACTGATATGGGCATTCGGGTATGAATGCTGGGAGAAGCCAAAAAAGGACTGCGAGGGATGTTCGTCTTGCTTCGCCCTGAGAGCAGGACATGAATAACCTCTCTCTACTCCATCGGTGAGAGACTGGCGCGATGTTACATGCGGCGTTCGCAGAAGAGAGCAAGATTTCTATTAAATTGGTCAAAAAAAAGGAATAAACAGTTGATAAATTTGAACCAAGCCCTGTCTGTGTACGTATGATTTTGTGCCATCAGAACACCAATGCAGAATTGAATCTGCTGCTCATGTTGGGGGCATCACGCTGGTATTCTGCCAGGCCTGGCCATAGCTCCCCACTCCCCTGGCACAAAACTCCGAGGCGGTGAGCGCATGAGCTGTCCTCCGCATATGCATACCCACCTATCTGTATAGTGGGTACATGTAGACTTGGACATCATGTACTACTACTCATGTAGGTACATGATTGCCCCATGTGGTATCATGTATACGTGTATATAGGTGGTCTCGCCCTTCCATGTACCTTTTTTGTAACGGGGTTCATCCCCGCACCTATGCTGTTGTACATGCAACTTGAAGACTAGATCGCTTCTTTGGGCAGCTGCTCACCGGACTGAAGTGGAGATGCTCAAAGCTGGAGTGGTATGTACAGAAACACTGGGAGGGGGTGGACACCAACGGGCTGTCGTGTCCAAAGCGAGGTGGACCCATGAATCTGTTGGAATTGAGCAAGTAGGGGGGTTTTCATTATTATTGTTATCAAAGCTGAGAGTGAGTGCGTCGAGTAGTCTTTGTGACGACCACCCAACGGGGCGATCCTGGGTAGAGGTGCCCAAGCGGTCTTCTTGGCGGACGACACCATCCTTTCCGAGTCGCAAAAGGAGCCTCTCGGAGCAACTACCACTTCACTCTTCGCATGCTTGCTCTGTTGCTGTTGATCAGCGACGTACCATTGGATTTATTCGCCCGGGCTCCAGTTGGTCCGACTCTCCAGCCACCCGCTGCAGCCCAGCCACCGCGTTTCTTCGACAAGCGAGACGCAGGGCAGTCGAGTTTGGTTCAGAGGGCTTTTTCGCGTCCGCATTCTGCATCTGTCTGCAACAGCCAGCAACTTCGTCCCAGCTGTTGCGCGGATTGCGCGCCGAGATTCGTATTGGTTTGGTTGAATATGCCATTTGGATACGTGGAAACTTCGTCATCTGCTGCACGCCATACCACCAATTCAGTCATCTCCTTTGAGTGGTGGGAAAGACCCGGTCCAGACATCGGATTGGTTATAGAAGCTGGGAATCGGTGGTGAAGCGCATAGAAGCAAGGCCTGCAACTAACACACCCCTTGCGCGAACGACTGGAGGAACTCGAGATTCAAGAAACCATCGCGTCACAGCGAAGCTCCCGCCGCCGCTGTTACATGTCATCCGCCTTTTCGCACCAGGCTACGAACTAGCTGCCGCTTGTTAACCAAACTTCTACACCGCTTCCATCGTACCCTCTGATCTACCTGTACTGTGTAAATTATTCGCATTTCTGAAATCACTGCCAGGCATAAGCGCCTCCCAAGCACTCAACCGCTCTCCGCCTAGCGCGTGAGCCTTCACGGTGGATTCCTCTTCAAGTAGCGACTCGGGGTACTTCCCCTCACCCAAATCCGAGACGCGTGAGAAAAGGAGAGTAAGATCGAAAACAGACGCCACAATGTCTCTTGCACCATCCAGAGCGCGAAGTCGCAGCCGTGCGCCGAGCAATGCACGAGGATCAACACCATTAGTCATATCGTCGACTCCCAAGCCACCCATTGAGGTAGTCCTACCTCCTCCTCCCGGATCCCGAGCAAGAAGTCGAAGTCGTGGACCACCTATCATCGAGGCCCCGGGTTTGAGTGGTGGAAGGGGCATGTTCAAGAGACTGATTGTGGCTTGTGACGGGACTTGGATGAATTCAGATAACGGGATGCACAACGGAAAACTCAGCGTTCCCAGTAACGTGACACGTATGTCACGAGCTATCAAAGCAGTAAGCCAAGACGGGATTCCTCAGATTGTCAATTACCATTTCGGAATCGGTAGCTCTGGTCGACCGCTCAATCGTCTCATTAGTGGTGCTACAGGCGAGGGACTGGCGGAAAACGTCCGCGAGGCATATTCATTCTTAGCAAACAACTACCATGTTGGGGACGAGATATTCCTCATTGGATTTTCACGCGGTGCTTTCACCGCTCGTAGCATTGCGGGTTTAATCGGAGAAGTGGGCCTACTCACCAAGAAAGGACTCCACGCCCTCCCCGAGGTTTTCGAAGACGTCAAAGGGAGAAGAGATCCAAAGTACTTTCCAAAGAACCCAGATGTACCATTTCCTAACAAACCAAGCGCGAGCAGTCCGCGGTATGCCCAGGAACTTGAGAGGAGAGGCCTGACTAGACTGGACATCTGCATCAAGGCCATTGGAGTATGGGATACTGTTGGGAGTCTGGGAACCCCGCGAATCGGCTGGCTGACTCGCGTCGGACTTCAATCCAATGAAAGCAAAGAAATGTCCTTTTACGACACAAAGCTGAGTTCCTGTATAGAGAATGCGTTCCAAGCTCTTGCCCTCGACGAACGTCGCAGCGCCTTTAGTCCCGCTGTGTGGGAGAAGCCGGAGGGTAATCAGACTACGCTTCGACAGGTGTGGTTCCCGGGGACGCATTCCAATACCGGGGGCGGGTATGATGATCAGCAGTTGGCGAATATCACGCTGGCGTGGATGATGAGCCAGCTTGCACCTTTTCTGGACATGCGTATGGAGTATCTATTTGAACAGGATGACGAAAACGCAAAGTATTACAAGTCTATGGGAGAAGGAGTACGACCGTGGGGCTTTGGCGAGATCTTCAACAGCATGACCGGGCTATTCGCTATGGGTGGAGGTGCGGTAAGTTTGATTTTCCCCATCCATCAAAACTCAAAATAAGGACGACAGAACAAGCACACGAACGATGACTATGCACAACCGTCCCAAAAAGAGAAAAAGATACTGACCTTACGAACCCAGACCCGTACCCCAGGCCAATACTACGCAACCGACCCCATCACAAACCGCCCAACCGCCCGCTGTCTCCGCCTCACTAACGAATATATCCACGCCTCAGCCCGCACGCGCATCCGCCTAAACGGCCCAGGCATCGGCGACCGCGGCCCCTACGACTGCCGCGCCCTGACCGACAACTACAAACTCGTCGTTGATTATGGCACCGCTGACCCTCAACGCGCTGCTGACCCAGAAGTCCACTGGAAAGCGAAATTCCGCGACATGGACGGCGCGCGTATCCTTCCCGAGGCGCCGCTGTGGGGTATCGAGAAGGAGTTCGCGAGACGCGATCCGCAGACGTTCGACTACGTGAAACGGCCGCCTGCAACAGGATCATCAAGACGGAAATCCGGGAGAGGTCTAAACGGCGACTTCGCTGCTCCCCTGAAAAGCCCACGGATGAACGGTACTTCTGGACGTAGAAGTTTCGTAGAAGACGACGGTAGAGAAGGACGTAGAAAGAACCGTGCGAGTGCGACTGTATTGGAGAAGAAGATGCCTCCTCCGTCGCGTAAGCGATCCAAATCGAGACCGAGGAGCTTCGACGAGAGAAGTAGTGTCGTCAGGGAGAGTATGCCGCATCGAAGGAAGAAAGATACTGCGTGGTGGGAGAGCGTTAGCGGGGCTGAGTCTGGGTTTGGACCTGGTGGTGTGAGGGATGGTAGGAGGAGTCCGAGGAGGAGTAGTATGAGGATTTGATGGAGTTTGCCCGGTTGTTCTGTAGGACTATGTCTTTGGATCCAAGGGCTCTAGCCCTTTTTTGTTTCATCGTTCGCTGGTTTGGTCTTCGAGGGGTGCGCTGAAGGTTCACTGGTCGCCACTTCTGGCGACTGGGCCGGCTGGCTTTTCTTCTTCTTTTGCGGGATACCCCTTTTTCTGTTTTGCTGCTTTGGTCTTGTCTGAGGGAGAAATTGAGGTAGACAGATCGTTGGCGATGTAATCATCGAGTGAAGAAGAGTGCAAGAGGGAAGTAGTTGATATCATAGAAAAGATAATGCCTTGCTCCAGTTTTTGTATTTGATGCATATGTCGAAGACTTGATGGGAATGAACATTTGAATGATTGGTCTTTTCAACCGTACACACGTGACACACTTCTGTCCAATCGTGCCCAGTATTCTTCTTCTGCTAGCTCTGTGTTGGACATGATTTGGGTAGTTCATGTGTACTTGGAGCCCATATTTGATTGCCTGTATATGTCAAAGGTATCATGGGTTCATGCAGCTATCTGCATCTGCCAGGGATATTCTTAAAGATTAGGATACAGCCTGCCTTGGTCAAGAAAGATGGTAAATCATCATCACTCCAACAACAACAACTAAGAACAGGAATGCACATGCCATGCCGTCCGTGTATTCAACTGTGACCGGTCTACGACGCTAATCTTCCGTTACACCCGCTGCAGCCACTCGGCATTGCCACCACAAGGCAAACAGGATCTACCCTCCCTAACAAACGAAAGGCGGAAAAAGAGACGCAGGCCAATGGTGCCAAGCTACAGGGCCCTTGGGGGTTGCTTACGTCGGACGATGAGGTGCACAGCGCTTTTGCCAAGTCGCAAATCGTGACATCAAGATTGTGATTCGAAGATGAGGATACCGCGTATGAACATGATGACAGCGATCTCGGATTCTCCGCCAGGGAGTAGCAGGATAAATATGATGCTACACGTCCCCACCATATTCACGCCACTACCAGCAGCAGGTTTGATTTTTGAAGAAGCATGATATTCAGTAACAGAAAACGGAACTCTGGGAGCAGTATAGTACCCTAGTCAGCCCTACCAAGTGGAAAGGCTCACACGCGCTCTACAGATGGCACACAGCCGCGGTGGGATGACAATTATTCCACGTCACCGACATCAAGTCACCACGCCAGCAATCACCTCTACCCAACTACCTCGATAACATCAAACGGCACGGCGTATTCGGCTGCACCGCAGCCATACACGGCCGCTCCAAGGTTAAGTGGGCACTTCAATGCACCCACTCACATCGAGATGGAGCGCACAAAATCCAATACAAGCAAGCGCCGACGGGCTGCTGAGAAGATGGACCGCAGTCCAGGCAGAAGCAATAGCAAAACGATTGAAATAGTCTCCGAGGTCAAGATGTGGGGCAGCATGATGAGAGGTCTGGTCCATCGGTAAACGCATTGCGCTCATCGTGGTCCACGGCGCAATGATGCTTCCTTCGAGGAGGGTTAGTTGGTGGCTCACGGTATTTGCTTGCCTGTACATTCCTTCGCTCGACATGCTTCAACGATACCCTTCCAGTCGATACCAACACAATACAAGACTGTTGTTATACTTGCATCCGTGAGATGGGAGTCGGTTTTAGCCGTGCAAGCGATGCTGGTGTCGCGCTTCTCGTTTCACTGCCCCTACATCCATCGTCATCCAATGACATCATCTCACTGAACCGGCAGGCGTACATGCATCACCACCCGCAACCCGCAGTCCCAGCCCCCGGACCAACACCGATCGTCTCCCTCCCCCTACCCACCGTTTTCCTGCCATGTCCGTTCACATGTCCCCACTTCTCGAGTCATCGCCTCAGGAACCGTGGGCGTTGTGGCTGTCCCCTGACTAAAGCAGTAGCGATCGTTAAAGGTGCTCTGAACATCATTCCCCCTTCGGGAGATGATGGACAGAATGGGCTGTCTTTGTGTCTTTGCCCTCTACCGTGTCTGTTCGCAACAGGAGCTGAGCATGACGATGGCGCTGATATGACGTCGGAAAATAGCACAATAGGCATGTTGATATGTCCATGATGAAGACATGGGCAAAAGGACGTATAAAGCTCCGATTACGCATGCAAACCAGTTGACATTCTTCATCACAGACATCTATTTCCCAATCAGCCATTTCATCATCTGTCAAAACCCTTCTCTTATCCGTCACAGTTAGCGAAGCATTTGCATCTTGTCTCTCCAACAATCCACCACACATTCCCATTTACTTCCTTACAATCGGTCGTAAAAGCATCCAATACGTCATCACAAATACCAAACCGCATACATAAACTCGCAAAAGATGCATAGCTCAACCGCCACATCCCACAAGACCATGGGCTCCACCTCATCAACATCCTCCACCTCCACACAAAAGCCCTACGAGCCTCTGACTCCTCAATCTCCTGAACCTCCATCTTCCACGCGGCACTCTCAAGAGGCTGCCAGAGTCGCAGAAGACTACGAGCCATCCTCAGTTCAACATCACGCTGCAATGCCAAACACCACTGTGGATCCTAGCGCACCACCTGCCTACCGTCATGACAGCACACCTGCGAGCGCTAATGCAGGCCAGGGATTAGCAAGGCGCATGAGTAAGAAGGAATACGCGACGCAGTTGTCTAGAATGATGGGAGATCAACTCGCAGCTATGTCTAAGGCGCAGGCTAGACGTGGTTCTGCAAAGGCTTAGTTGCCATGTTAGCGTTACTACACACCGATGTAGTATTTAATACTTGTTGCCAATTGCTATTACAACGCAAATACAAGGAAAAAGAAGAGTTCAGATCTCTTAGAAGAAATCTATGTATTATTATCTATGTTACTTTTAGCGCAGCGTTTAGATATATCTATTAGAGGCTTAGGCATTACCTAAGCCTAGTCTTTAAGCTAGAAAAGCGAGTACTTAAAAAAGATAAAGTTTTTTATTAAAAGTTACAGTTTTTTCTATAGTAAAAAAAGTAAGTAAAAAAATAATAATAAATAAAAGTAAGTATAAAAAAATTTAGAAAAAGTATTTACTTTTAGCACTATTTTTATTATTATTACTTATTTTTTTAGTTTATTATTAAGAAAATTACATCTATTTTTAGTCTTAACTTATTTGTGTGCCTTTTACTTCTTCTTTAATACTTTAATTACGCGTTGCTTTATTATTTTTTTCTTTTAACTATTAACTATTAATTACTAATTATACTAAGCTTATATAAGTATTAGCTACTAAGTAAAGTACTTTATAGTAATACGTAGTGCTTTATAATAATTATTATTTTTTATTTACTATTTATTACTATTTATTATTTTTACTTTTTAATATTTATCTTTTACTTACTGTTTATTACTTTTATTTTCTAATATTTTATTTTTATTTTAATTAATTTTACTTTTACTTATTTTTTAATATTTTTAACTACTTTTACTTTTACCTTTACTATTAACTTTTTTAAGTTTTACTTAATATTACTATATTTAGTGCTACTGCATTTAGTACTTCTACTATTAACTAATAACTTTTATTTATTTAAGTAATAAATAGCACTTTTTTTACTTATTTTAGCTATATTAGTAAAACTAACTTTAATTTAAAATACTTTTTAAAGAGGCTTAAATTTAAAAAAAAGCTTTATATACGCGTGTGCTTTATAAGCTTATATAAGTATATATAATATTTTTTTACTTACTTTTAACCTTATATATATATATATAAAGCACCTTATTTTTTATTAAAATAATAATACTTTTTACTGCTTTACTAATTATGCTTTATATAATTATTTATATTATTAATTTACTTTAATAAGTTTTTTTAAAAAAGTAAGCTAGATATTTACTAGTGCTAGTATTATAAAGTATGAAAAAATAAGTAATTAAATTAGTAAAGTAAATATTAATTATAAATATATTTACTATTTTAACTAATTTTAATACTAACTTTAATACTAACTCTAATTTAATTTAACTTTTAAATAAACTTATAATAAATAAAGCTGTTTCTGTAATAGATTAGCTGATATAAAAAAATAGAGCTAAAAGATTTTAAAAGTCTTTTATATATAAAAGTGTAGTAAGTATTAGTATTATTATAAGTTTTAAATATTTATTTTAGTTTTTTTATATTATTATGTATTTTAATTTAAAATCTTATTTAAATTTTATTTTTAGTATATAGCAGTTGTAGTGCTGTTCTACTTTAAGTATAGTAGTTAGTTAAAAACTTAAAGTTAATTTTAAAATAAAAAAATAAAGTAAAAAAACTAGTCTTTTAGCGCTAGTGCCTAATTAGAGCTAGTACTAAAAAGTACTTTTTAATCTTTACTTTTAAGTAAAAGTAAAAATTATTTAGTCTTTTTAGTTATTGCTTATTTTTTTAGTTTATTTTTTATTATAACTTATTACTATGTGTAGAATTACCTAAACTTCTTCTTAAAAAATAAACATCTATTTTCTTATATTAGACTTTAAAACTAAGTTAATTTTAAATAAAATATACTAAAATAAGCGTGTTTTTTTAGCTTATTAAGCTAACTAAATTATCTATATAAAGCTTTAAAGTTTTATTTTTTTAAGATAAAGTTAAGGTAATTCTATACACAGTAATAGGTTTATAATAATAAATTTACTAAAATAACAAGTAATAACTAAAAAAACAGCTTTAAAGTTTAAACTTAAATAAATAGTAAATTATTAATTTTATAACTTTAAATTTAAAAACTAGCTTAAATTTAATAGTTATAAGCTTAGTACTTTTAAAAAATAATTTTTTTTATAACTATTTTAATACTAGTTTACTTATACTAATAACTTTTTTTTATAATAATATAGATATAGTATAGCTTTAATATAGCTATAAATTAGTTATAAGGCGTAGTTATAGGCAATAGTACTTGCTTTACACTACTAGTAATAGTAAAAAATAGCTACTTTTAAAAAGTACTCTTTTTTAATAATTTAAAATAATACTTATTTTTTTCTAGTACTTTAAGTGCACTTTTTATATACTTTTACTAAGCTGCCTATACTAACTAGTAGCGCTTTAGCAATATTAATTTTCTTTAATACTAACTCTTATGCAGCAATGTTACATTAGTTTAATAAATAAATTATATAAAAATAAAAGTGCTAAAAAAAACTAAATTTTTATTAGTTTTATATATTATAATAATAAAAACTATTTAACTTTAATTTCTGTTTAATAAGCTTCTATGTTTAATAAGCTTAGTAAAAGTAAAAATATTTTATTTTTTTAGTTATTACTTATTACTTTAGTAATTTTTTATTATAAACTCTTACTATATATAGAATTACTTAAACTTTAACTTAAAAAATAATAAAAAAAAACTATTTAATAAAAATTAAGTTATTTATAGTTTTTATACTTATAGTTGCTGATAAGTATTTAAGTAATATTTTTTAATTATTATAAATATTTATAGTATTTTAAATATAAGTAAAAAATAAATTAATTTTTATGTATATATTTAAATATAATATATAAAGTATTTTTATTAAAAAGCTAAGCTGTTACTAAATAGTACTTAAGTTAAATATAATTAATATATTTTATAAGCAAGTTACTAACTTAAGTAAGTTGCTAATACTTAACTAGCGCACTACTTGTATAATAATAATATATAATATTTTAATTATAACTTACTTAAAAAACTTATACTAAAGTTAATTTATAGCTTAATATTTTTAATATTAATTTATAATATATTTAAAACTCTAATTAAGCTATAGCTATATATAATATACTTTAAAAAACTTTTATTAACTAACGCGCTAGAAAGCGTATATAATATAACTATAAAGTAAACTTAAAGCGCTTAATAGAACTAAAAAAAAAGTTATAGTTTAAAGAGTTATTAAGTAGTTTACTTAAAGTTTTATACTTTTAAGCTTTATACGTACTAAAGCTAACTATATAACTATTAGTAAGCTACTTATAAAAGTTTTATAAGTATTTAGCGCTAGTTTAACTTAGTATAAGTAATAAAATAAAAATAAAAAATCTTTAATAGTAATATTTATAACTTTAATAAAACTAGCTTTATTATAAGTAAAATATTTATAATATTACTGCATAAGAGTTAGTGTTAAAGAAAATTAATATTGCTAAGGTGCTACTAGTTAGTGTAGGCAGCTTAGTAAAAGTGCATAAAAGGCGCACTTAAGGCACTAAAAAAAGATAAGTGTTATTTTAAATTATTAAAAAAAAATACTTTTTAAAAAAAGCTATTTTTTACTATTACTTGTAGTGTAAAGCAAGTACTATTGCCTATAACTACGCCTTATATAATAACACTTCTTAGCAAATAGCTAAAAATAGCTCTTTTAACTTAATTTTAGTAGTAGGCTTTTAACTGCAAAAGCTTAAAGCTTAAAAAAAAAGACTTTATAATAGTTACTACTACTATAGATACTTCTAATTCTATAGGCGCACTTACTATAATAGAGCAGCGCATTTAAGCTACTAAAAAAAAAAATGCTCTTTTAGCAGCCTGTTACCTCTAAAAGCTAAAAAATAAAATTGCTTTTTTAAAGAGTGCTACACTAGCTCTATTTATAATAAACTTTACTATAGAAAAAATATTTAAAGTAAAGATAATAGGTTAGTATAAGTAAAATATAAGTAGCCTATTACACTATGCGCTAGTAAAGTAAAGTTTAAAAATAAAAAACTTTATAAACTATAAGAAAAAGAATTATAAAAAATATTAAAAGTTTTTTTACTTTTATAAACTAGCATTTAAACTTGCCTTTTATAAATTTATATAAAAAGGCAATTAGATTGCTTAAGCTATATAGTACTTATAAAGAGACTTAAAAGAGCTTTAGTATACATATTATAAGTATATATTAAAAAGAATAAAGTAGCATTAACTTAGAAGTACTTTTAGATATTTATGCTAAATATACTTTTAAACTTTATTAACTAAAGCTTAAAAGCATTTATAGCGCACGCGCAAGCTATGTAATATAAAAACTAAAGTATTTACGTTTTTATAACTTACTTTAGCATTTTAGAAAAATAACTTACTTTTTATATAAAAGCTTAAAAAGTATAATATTTATTTATAAAACTAAAACTAAAGTTGCAGCGCTCTATTACTAACTATTACTAAATTTTTTTAATATAAGAAGGCTTTATCTTATTAAGTTTAATGCTAAAATAAAATAACTAGCGCGCAAGCAACGCGCACTTATAAAACAACTATAATAAAAAAAAAAGTATAAAAAGAAATAAAGAGAAAAAAGCTTTATTACTTAATATTAGCTTTAAAAAACAAGTTTTAGATTACCTACTATAAGTGTAAAAAGCAAGGTTATTACGCTAATAAGTGTTAAAATAGTAATTTAAACTATAAGCTTATAAAAATTAATTAAGTAAAAAAAAGGCATGCTTTACTAAAACTTTAGCTATAGTAAAGCATATACTACTAAATATTTTACTAAGTATAAAGCGCAGGTGTTACGCAATAAA